AATCAGATATATTAAGAGAAATATCTATTTAAATTTATATTTTTAATTATAATTAATAGTCTTTAGACTATTTTTAATAGCATAGCTATATATAAGAATTAGATCTGATAAATTTAGCAGAAACTAATTATTATTAATTATAAATAATTTATTAATTTTAATATATCTTAATCTATCTAGAGCTCTGAATACTATTATTAATAATAGAATTAATTTAAATAAATAATTGTATAGTTATTAAGTTAGATATTAAATAATCTATAAAAGAAATTATAGAATCCTAATCTCTTTATTAAATATATAGATAATATATAGACTACTATATATAATATTATAATTAATAATAATAAGCTATAGGCTATAAATATAATTAATAATTTTATTATCTTAAAAAGAGCTTAGTATTTATTAATTCTGGATTTTATTATTATATATTATAAGATATATAATTATACTATATATTTTAATATTATATTTTCTCTCTATATTTCTGTAATTATATTCTTATATAAGCTTAAAAATAATATATTATTTTAATATATTATTCAAAAACTAGAGATAGATAAGATTAAGCTGAAGTCGAAGATATATATTAAATAATAATTTAATTATTTTTATATTAAAATTATAGAAAAGATAGTTATTATAATCTCTTTAATTTTTATAATCTTAGCTGTTTTAATTATTTTATATATAAAGATATCTAAGTCTAAGATATCTGATTTAAAGAAGAAGAAAAATAATAATATTAATATAAAATTAATATCAAAGAATAGATAGTAGAGATAGTCTTTAAAAGATATAATAGATTATAATTATTAATAATATTAATTAAAATATTTTAATAATCAGATAAACAGTAAATATATATATTATAGAATTTTAAATAATTATAAATTATATTTTTATTCTTACTTAATTTCAAAACTGCAAGATTCAGATTAAATATCTAAATAAGATATCTGAGAGTATTAATCTAAGAATAATAAATAAATTATTATATTAGATTAATCTATTTTATATAAGAATTTTTCAGAGTAGTCTAATATCTTTATAATAATATTAAATAATAAGAACTTTTATTACTTAATATAATATACTATACTAGATTTTATAGAGAAGATAATAAAAAAAAATATATATTAGAATATTTATCTTTCTCTTTATATACTAAAATAAATAAAGATATTAATAATATTATTATATCTATCTAATTTATAACTCTTAATATAAGAATTCTAAATATAAAAGATTAATAGATTTAAGATTCAGAAACTAATTATTATATTATTTCTGATTATAATTATTTTATTAACTATACTCTCTATTAACTAAATAAGATTTTATATTAATTTAATATCTTTAATAATATAATAGATTATACTCTGAATTATAGTATAATTCTTCTTTATTTTAATAATAGTTATAAAGAATAAATAAAGATATATAATATTATATACTATTATTTAGATATAAATTTCAGAATCTTTAGCAGAATCTCAGCTTATAAAATATATAATATATAGAATTATTCTGATATTATTATTTAAAATATCAGAATCTAAAAGATTATTAATAAAGTCTATAAGAAGTATAGAATTCTGTTTATTAAATTAAATAAATATAAGAATTTAAAAATTATATTAATTATAATATTTAATCTGATATTACTATACTAATAACTAGAATATATAGATATTTCTAAATTAAAAACTACTGTAATAGCTAATTAACTTAAGATTAATAATTCTATATAATCTAATTATAAATTATACTTACTAGTAAAGTCTAAGTAAGTTATTAATCAAGATTTAATTATTATAGATATAAATTTCTTAGTATTATAAATTACTAATATTTAGTTAATAAAACTAATAGAATATAATAAATATTATATATATTTAATTATAATTAATTCTATTATTTAATAATCCAAAGTTTATTTTCTAAAGATTAAGAATATAGATATTAAACTAGAGTATTTTATTAAAAAATATAAAATATTAACTGATAAGTAAATATAATACTAATATTTTAATAAAGATACTAAGTTTAATCTCTTTACTAAGTAGATTAAAAACTAATTAATATATATTATTTTAATACTATATTATATATTTAAGATTAATAAATCTTCAGAGTAATATAAAGATTATCTTAATTAAATAATTTATATAATAATTATTAATAGTAGTCTATCTAAGAATATATAGTCTTTTATAATTAATATTATTAATCTAATTATTAATTAACTATTTTATTTAAATAATAAGACTGACAAATCATATATTATAATAATAAGAATAATCTGGATTCTGATATAAAAATCTCTGTAAAATATTAATTATAGTCTATTAAATTTATAAAAAATAATTCTGATTATTATACTGTTCTATTATTTATAATTAAATATAAAATAATTATCAAGAATTCTTAGATAAGAGATTTATTATTAATATATAGAAGAATTTAAATAATCTCTTAATTATCTCTGAAATTATATCTTATCTAATTAATTATATTTTATCTAGAAAATTCTTAATAAGTTAAAAAAGATAGCAGTATTATTTAGTTTTTTATTAGATTTAATATTATCTGATTTTCTATTAGACTTATTCTTTTCTTTATTTATAAGAGTATTAAAGAATAAAAAAATATTTTTATAACTTTTTCTAATAATTTTACTAATTATAATATTAATAAAGATTAATTATAACAGATTCTAATAAGAATTATTATAGTCTAAGATCTTTTAATATCTTAGAAGATATATTTATTTTATAATATTAATTAAATTATTATTAGATACTCTTATTTTAATAATAATATTATTCTGCGGTTAGAGAGAGTATATAATCTTTAATTAAGAGAGAATATTCAGAATAAATATATAAGATTTTTATTTAATAATATATATATTATATAAATTATAGATATTTTATATTATTTATATTAAGCAGAGTTATTAAGTATTAGCATGCTAATAGATTAGTTAGATTTAATTAATAATTCTGATATAATTAAAGATAATATCTCTGTTATTATTCAGAATAATAAGATTATAATATTATTAAAATATATTATTAAAAAGAGAAAGCAGAAGATAATATAATTAATATAAATTTTAAATTATAAGATTAAAAATAAATTTTTAATTTATTTAAGAGATAAAATAATTCTTATAGCTTCTAATATATAGATATATATAATAAATATATCTATTTCTAAGATATATAAATCAGTAATATTATTATTATATATAGATTATTAGTAGAAGATTATACTAAAGAAACTGTAAAATTTATAAGAAATATAAATATTTAAGATTATATTTTATTTAATATATAAAGATATTTATATAATTCTAGATAAATAGATTTATATAATAAAGATTAATAAAAATAAATATATTAATTATTTTAAAGCCTGCTGAATAATCTGTAATAATTATTAATAAATAAATAAAGACTATAATATTATATATATATCTATAGTCTCTGATATTATTATAAAAATAAGATTTATAAAGATTATTATTAAAAAACTTAAATAAAAATAAATTAATATAGCTATTATATATCTATATATAATTATTAATAACAGGCTTATTTATATAAAATAATTAATCAGATTTAAGAAAAATAATAGTATTTGTTTTATTAAATATATATTATATAATTTAAAACAAGCAGATTATCTCTAGAATAAGATTTTTAATAAATAATTATAGATACTTAATTTTAAGAATATTATTAAAGAGCTCTGTCTCTATCTTTAAGAATTAAATTTAATTATATTATATATTAATAATTTTATTATTATAGATTATATAAAAATTAATATTAATCAAATATATAAATATTTAAGTCAGAGTTTTAAGATAAAATATTTAGATATTCTGATTTATTTTCTTAATTATAATATTAGCAGAGATACTACAAAAGAAACTATTATTATAAATTAGAATATTTATATTAAAGATCTTTTAAAGTATTATAATATAAATAAGATATTAATAAAGAATTATTCTATGAATTCTAAATATTAAAAATTCAGATCTAAGAATTAGAAATATAATAATAGTAATATTAAGAATTATATAATAATAATAAATAAACTAAATTAACTATTAATATATATAAGATCTAATATTATATATTCTGTTTTCTGTTTATAATATTATTATTAAAATCTGATATTATATAATATAACAGCTATAAAGAATATTCTTTATTATCTTAAAAATAATAAATATAATCTTATTCTGATTCTGAAGTATACTAATTCTATAGAAATATAATATAATATAATATATTAGAATTATTTAGATTATAAATTAATAAAGATATTTATTATTTTTTTTATTAGATTACTAATTAGTTAATTAAATAAAAAATAAAAGATTATTATTAAGTTCTTAATTCTAGCTGAATTAATTATATATAAGAAGATTATTAAAAAAAATCTGTAAATTAAGTAATTAATTAAGATACTTAATATATTAATATTTAATTATATCTTAATTTATATAAATTATTAGAATATTATTAATCTAGTTTATAAGAAAGACTATACTCTAATTATTAAATAACTTAATAATTATATCTAATTTATCAGAGATATTTAAAAATAAGAATAGATTAAATTCTGCTGAATTCTCTTAAAAAAGAATATAATAAATAAACTAACTAAATCTCTTTAAATAATAAAGTTTAAAGTATTTAAAAAGATACTTTATCTTAAAGAGATAGAATAATAATTAAGAATTAAAAAAACAGTTTTTTTATAATTATTTTATTATAATTTTATATATATTATCTAGTTAGATAATCTACAGGACTTCAGAGATTACAGCTAGAAGATATATTAATAATAACTGCTCTGAGACACGTGATCACGCCTCCTACTTCAGATACCGGGATTTCTGGCCCCTGCCCTCCGAATCAACTCATTGTTTCCCATTGCCTCGTGTGGTCGCTTCCTACATCTTCATGAAAGAATCATCTACCACTCATACTAGGCGGCAAGTCCTCGTCTCGAGTCCCCCAGCTACTCTCCTTCGAACCCAGTTCAAGCTCCAAAACGCCCCCCTCGTAGAAAAAGTCATGGCCAATCCAGTTTTTTGTCCATGGTTCTCCATCACGTCTCGCACTCTGGATATAGATAGACTTGTATGTGGGATCGAAATTAATGTTCTTGATCGTTGCCACTTTGCCCGTCGCCTTGTTCTGAATGCTGATCTCCTTGAAAAATGGAGGGTTGATCAGATACACGTCCTGTCCGTGAACCGGGAATAGCCCCATCATGCTGAGTACGGCAAATGAGCCCATAGCTCCACTGTCATCGTTTCCAGGAATCCCGGAGGTAGACGTATTGAACTGGGTTGGGATGTAGAAATGAGTACGCTCGGCTGACAATGCGGGACGTCCAGCGTAGTGGAACTGGAAGACGGTTAAGAATGCTTGCTCGTCTCCGACATAGAGCAGACCGGAGTCGTGCAGATAGGAAAGGCGAGAGGTGAATGCGCTCGGTCCCCCGAGACGTGTTATGAGCGCAGCCATGTCCTGCGGTACGAAGCTTTCATCCAGACGTTAGCTTCGTGATAGACCAAAATGATAGAAGACTTACAAGGTGTAGAGCCAAGCGCTTCCCTCATACGTTTCGTGTCCGTTTGCGTTGAGATAGCATGAGGTAAAGCTCAGCAAGGGACTGCAGAATATCGGGTCTTGGTAGCCCCAAGTCCCGTTGGGATAACGAGGCTGAAGGAAGCCGGTGAAGTTTGTATTCACAATACCGATGAAAGACTTCTGGTCGGCCTTGAACATATTTTGCCAATTGGTCGCGCGCTGCGAGTACTTTTCGTAGTCGCTCTGGTGACCAAGTCGCAGCGCCATTTCGGCAATGCAAAAGTCGTCGTAAGCATATTCGACCGTTCTTGATATACTTCGCGTGTGCAGCCCTACGCCATAAGGATCATAGTCGTCGGTAGGAATGTAGTTGAGCGTCTTCCAGCTAGTCAGGCCTCCGCGACCTTCGACATTCCAATTTGCAGGCTCGACCTCCGCATCCTTCACGACGGCCTCGTAGGCAGTAGCCCAGTCGATATCACTGATATTCTTCAAAAGAGCTTCCGTCAAAAGGACATCGGCGTTCGAGCCTCCTTGGGTATAGCCCTTGCATAGCGACATACGGCAATCGGGTAAGTATCCTTCGTGGCGATAGATATCCACGAGGCTTCGCAGCATCCGAGATTGAGACAACGGATCTGCCAGAGTCAATAGTTGATGTTCGCCACGGAAGGAATCCCATATACTAGTGTTTCATTAGAGCTGCACTGGGGTACACTTCTCGGGAACTCTCACCAATAGTAGCTGTCATAATACGGCTCATCACTCTGCCAAAGTGGATTTTCTCCGGTATAGTCCTGTGGGCTGATCATAGCACGATACATGCCACTCCAGAACACTTTTTGCAAATCAGACGAGACGCCCTCCGCGTTGATGCGGAAAGAATCTAGCTTCTTTCTCCATGTGTTCTCTGCTTCACTTACAGTGCCAGGAAAGTCGAAATCCGGTTGCTCGTTCTCTGCATTGAAACAGGCTTGTTCCACACTGATGAAGCTGACTCCGACTCTCACCAGAAGTGTATTGTTAGCAGTTGGGGCATGGAATCTGGTAAATGCGCCAGCAGACAGCGTCGCCGGTGTATTACTTCCGTCTGAAGTAAGCGAGACGGATGTCTGCCCTACGCCAGCCCGGTTGTTTGTCCATACACCTGTGTCCCTGACACTGGCTCCTTTGAAATCGGCGCAAAAGTGAAGATCATATGACCCGATGCCAAAACTGGGGTTAAATGTCCCATTACCGCTGAGTCGACCTGTCGAGGGATCCACTGAAGCTGTCCCGTTTGTACGTGACTGTGGGAGGTCCATGAGATCGACTAGAACGACAGGGCTGAGCGACTCCATAGACGCATTTGCGAAGGTGAATCGATATAAAGCTGAGTGGTTGGTAACAGTCATTTCAGCGTGAATGCCATTCTGGAGCGAAATGCTAAAATACCCAGGGTGAGCGTTAGGTGAACCCGGCGTCCACAAGACCGCTCGATCAGACTGTTGCCATGTACATTTGTCGAGAGCGTCACTGGGACAGCCTGGATGCACAAATATGGGAAAGTTTCCCAGCGATGGTGACTAAATAAGACTCAGAAGGTGTATACAACATGATTATGCGAAATGACTAACGCCGCCAGTGCCAGAATCATGCATGTGTGAAAATCCTGTAACATTTGTTGTATCATAGGCGAACCCAGCTTGGTTCTCGCCTATGGTATCTGCAACTGCTTTGGCCATTCCTTGAAGTCGGTTAGGATCGCCATTATCTCTCAAGTACGAGATTTCTTACCAAATGGCAGACTCGCGCCTGCAAATGAATGACCTGTGGGCATAAATTAGCCTTTTGAACGAGATGAGCTGGGTAGCAAAACATTTACCTCCATTGGAAGTCCCAATGAAGGGGTCCACATAATCTAGCACATCAAAGCTAGAATTACTAGATACCTGCCCCCAAACAAGAGTAGCGGTTGAAAGAGCTGTCGCGGTCACTTGCAGAAGCTTCCTAGGGATAAAGGAGAGCATCTTGCAAGAAGGGCTCTAGTCGATTGAGGATGAGCAACCGACGGTGGGGAGAAAAGCATTCGTCGGGGGAAGTCACGCAAGGTCTCAGCATTCCATGCTGGCCCGGATTCTCCAAACATTGTCTGGAGAAGGCAACACCCCCCTCTTAAATTAGCGGGGGCCATATGAGGGGTAAACAGCAGGAGATTACTGTGATGCTCAAGCCCAATGACGAGGACTCTTTTTGTTTGGCACCCCCTGCCATATAACATAAAGGGGTCAGCTGCAAGGATTGACGAGAAAGATTCCTCATCAGGTGCGACCTACTGCATGTAACACACCGTCGGCAGAATGCGCTCGGCCATCCGGCAAGGGATATAAACACCCGGTCGCCAAAGTGCGGAGAAAGATATGCTAGTGAGATCTGCCTAAATAGGGAGGTTGCATCTGCTTGTGGTAGCAAGTATAACATAGCCCGGCATTGCTTTTTCGAGGTCTGCGTCAATTCATGGTCTTTCTGGGCCCGCTCGGGGATCGTGACAAGTTTGGTTTTCGTCCAATGAGTGGTGTGAGTCGAGACTTATGTGACACCGACGATGATTCCCATTAATATGTATTTTGCCAGGTGAATAGATGGGGACATGAATCTGTTTCATGAACGACGCTGTCAGCCGTTGCAACGTAGGGCTTGGCACAATGTTGAACCAATCCACAAAATAGTACCGCATTTTGTCTTATACTGAAGACATGTACAGAAAGGTGGGGTTGTCGATACTTTTCTTGAATCAAGTTAGCTACCACAGGCTGGTCGCATAGCATTTCGCTATGAGTATCAATATTGGTTCCGATGTATTTGTACTTTGTATATGACCTGCAGTATGACGAAGATGTTTGAACTCCTCCATCTGCGATATAAAGCCTAGGACTTTTCCTATTTTTCAATTTTCTATGTAGCAGCCGGATCGGTCGGATTGAAATGTTCTCACGATGGCTTTTGACGATCGTTCTTGAGGTCGAGAAGTATGAAGAGGTCGTATTCGAGTTCGCGTGCGCGTTCGAGTTCAAATTCGAGTTCACGGCCCCCTTCACTAGCGACCTGGGTTATATTTGTTTCCTCTCGCCTTTAGTTAGACCAGAATGGAGTTCCGGGTCCAGAAGGGGGCGCGAGAAACATGCAGACGCGATGCATGGCGAGATTTGTGGCATGTTCCACAGAGGGTCGGGATTCTCAGTCCGACGTTTTCTATAGATAGCATCGTATGAAAAAGAAGGTCTGCATTTTAACACATAATCTCAGCAGGGCAGAAGCTTACCCCAACGGGAATCAAACGAGAAGGCCGAGGGCCGCAGGTTATCCCATCTAGTCATTATTTGGAGAGGAGCGGATCCTGAGCTGTCTATTGGAATACAACCCGTCAGGATGGATCGGCCATAATGCGCTGGCAGAGCAGGCGGCGAGTAGCTGGGAGGATAAGTGTGATAAGGACTAGGATATAAATCCATTAATATTTAATCAAATCGGGAAACCAGATACTTACTTCCCTTCTGTCTTTCCTCTTTGTACCCATTCCAGCCATCACCTTCTATTTTCGTACTTAGAAGATCAGCCAGATCCCTGAAACCAGAGATGGTGAAAGGTGCCCAAGTCCCGAGTGTCTCATAAAATTAGACGCCCGCCGAACAACCAGGACAAAAGGCGGTGCGATATCGGGTTCAACGAGGGGGATAGTTTCGTTTGTCTTGCTACTTCACCCACTACCACTATGGAGACAGTCCGGATGAATGAACCATGAAATCCATCAAAAGGTGAGACATGACAACAGCCGATGTCTCTGATTGTCCGACCCCTTTTAAAAAGACCCTTCTCCTCTGATGTCCACATTCTCTGGCAAACCATTTTCTTTTCGCATTTCGCCCCTCACCATCTCCGCGTCTAACAATAACATCAGCAATGTCAACTCACAGTGACCCCCCGAAGTCTCATCCCGACTTGCGTGAGTCGGTCTATCAATGGCAAGAATATGTCGAGGATCTTGAATGTTACCAGCCCGGCGGGTATCACCCAACCCACATTGGCGATCAACATTGCAACGGCCGTTATGAAGTTGTTCATAAACTGGGATGGGGAAGCTACTCAACCGTCTGGCTTGCGAGAGATCACAAGGAGTCAAGATACGTCGCACTCAAGATCATCGTCGCTTCTTCGTCCGAAAACTGTTCTGAAGGAAGGATACTACGTGGTTTGGCTGCCGGGAAGGCGGACCATCCCGGCAAGTCATTTGTTTCGTCGCTCTTAGACGAATTTTTCATCGATGGGCCAAATGGTCGGCATCTTTGCATTGTTAGCGAAGCGGCTGGATGCAGTCTCGATCGGTCCAAAAACGGCAGCTCTACTTGGCTATTTCCGGCTGATGTGGCCAGGGCTATATCCGCGCAGCTTCTGCTGGGGTTGGAATTTATTCATTCGTGTGGCATCGTACACGGTGGTGAGTCCAATCGAGTTCTTTTCAAATTCCTGTGCTGATATGTAGCAGATCTGCATCCGAGCAATATTCTTTTCACGTCTTCAAATCTCGACGGATTGACACTGGAGGAACTTTATCAGCGCATGGGAGAGCCTCGGAAGGTACCCGTGGAACGCCTGGACAAGCAACCGAATGGTCCCCAAGCTCCAAATTATGCATTCATGCCTGCCATGATTTTCACGTCAGCTGAAGATGTCGTGGACGCTCGAGTTGTGATCGCGGATTTTGGCGAGGCTTTCGTGAAAACCGAAGAGCGCAAAAAGCTGAATACTCCTATTCTTCTTCAACCGCCCGAGGCGTTCTTCAATGAACAGGTCGACGAGGCTGTCGACGTGTGGACCCTAGGATGCACGCTCTACAAGGTCCTCGGTGATGGTCCCCTTTTCGACGGTTTCATTGCTGTGGACCAAGCATGGGTCCTTGCCGAGATGATAAGCACCCTTGGAAGTCTGCCGAAACGATGGTGGGATCAATGGGAAATGAAAACCGACTTTCTCCTTGAGGATGGATCCTGGAAAAAAGAGACACATCGTCCTTATGGTCTGTACTCTCGACCTCTTACCGAGAGACTGAGCAGTATGGGACGAGGAGAGGATCCGTCCACTTGTGAATTTAGTCCGGGAGAGATGAATGCCCTTGAGAACTTGCTCAGAGCGATGCTGACATATGAGCCCTCAGAGCGGATTGATGCCAGTACTGCCCTGGAATCAGAATGGATGGAGGACTGGGGTCGGCCTGCTATGCGCAAGCTCGGTATTCAGGATAATCCTAAGCCGAGTTCAGGCTTCCTGACCACCGTCCACTGCTTTTTTGCCAAGTGGTCAACCACAATATTTGGTATCAGTATCGGCTACGACATCAAGTTCAGAGCCGAACAGTCAATTCGTGATGTTTGAAGCCTGTTTGTACATAGTGCAAGTCCTTTTGATAGAACAAATTGTGTATTTCCTGGTGAATTTCAAAGAGCTAAGTTTCAAGAATAACTGTGATATAAAGAAATAGTTGGTGCTTTTGCGGAATAGACACCAATCCATTTTATTACTTCCAGCCCTTTGCTTTGGAAGCTTTACGGAACCATTGTATTTGCAACGAAGAACTGACCTTAGAGCGGCCACGCTATTCACAACAAACTGTCTCCTTACATGTACCCCATACACCCAGCCTCTAATCCGAAGGATGAGGCGGACACTCCTTCATCCAGTCATACACTCGCCACAGCTCCCGCTGTTCCTCAGTAATGGTGCTCTCGGTTCTCTTGTACTCATCCTCCAGCCACTCCTGCCATGCCCAATTAATCCAATCCTCGAAGAACATCTGTCGTCGAAAGTAAACATTCCACCTCAGCAACGGACTAATAAAAACTCCCGGAAGGTAGCGCTGTTCTTCATCCCTATCCAATGGGTTGCGAGATCGTCCGATGACCGACTTTCCCAGGTCGACAACAGTAACCCGTACTACGGCTTTACCGCTGCATTCGATAATAACATTGCGTGGATATAGATCCTCATGCCAGACATCGCGTTCGTAGAGAAGAGATTCCGCGTCGACGATTTCTTTCAAGATTGTTTGGCGTTGTTCTGTCGTGAAGCTCTCGGGATTCAGCCTGTCCATCGAGATACCGTTGATCTTTTCAATTAAGATCAACCGAATCAGGCGAAAACGGTCACCGACGGCAATTTTGAGGGTGAAGGACCCGAAGAATTTGGGAATAACAGCGCCCTGCAAGTCCGAGAGATGCATATATGCTCCGCATTCATGAGTGTAATCATAGTCAACTCCGAGAAAGGGGTCTTCATCGTCGAAGTCAAACTCGCAAGATAAAGGGTCGTATATCTTGGCCACCAGGTCCTGATCTGTCGGGACATGTGGCAAGTTAGAAGTATTGAGAGCCTTGATCACAAATATCTGGGATCTTTTGCCATATCCAACCCGAACCGGATCGATTAGCTTAATGACAGCATATCCGTCTCCATTTGATCCTGGTAGTGGTGGGTTTTGGAGAGATAACTCTGTAGGAGACAGCGATTGATCCCATGTCGCGGAGGCAGCCCGTCGGGCAATTTCTTTTTTTGAAAGAGGTGATGGGGGGTTGTGCGACTGGATACTGATCGTATCTCCCACTCCATACTGAAAGGTCTCATAGTGATTGTCTCCCATTCTAGCATTAATGGTGGTTGATGCTGAGAGTCGCAACGAAAAGTTGGAAGGTGTCAAACCCAGTAATATTCAGTATCACACCTACTTTGTTCTGGTCCATAAAGTCATGGTCACGCCCACTCGAGTTTCTGTCCATGGGCCGGATTTGGAACCCAAGAACCGGATCTTGCGCAGGTTTCCTAAGCACCACGATCACTTTCTTCGGGTGCAGTTCTGTGACGAGAATGGTCAAGACCTGCACTTTAGTCCGCATGTTAGCCACGATGATGTGTTTACTCGATTCAAGAAAGTGCTCACTAGAGGGATTCAAATTGCCGGAAGAACGTATTCATTCCCCGGGTGGTCACATTCGTCACTGAGATCTCATGCAGTTTGGGCAAGTAAAGATGCTCGATGTTTCTTACTTTCAGGCTAACGGGCTCTTTCTTCAATAGTTTTCCTCGCCATTCGTGGATGACAACGGTCAGCTGCAGACCCATTTCAGCATTATTAAAGCCCTCGGTGATTTTAGCAAGATACAATCCCCTACATCCTCCTGTCCTAAGAAAAGATTTTTGTTGTGGGAACATGCAGCATTCACTGCACTTTGCTGGTGCAAACAGAGGTGGCCTGTTAGGTGTTGCTTGTATCTCCCGTCCCACCTCTCTCACTCTCCCCATCTCCTCCATCCTTCGCTCATCGAGCTTTCGATTTTCATCCTATTCATTCGTCTTTCTATATTTTTGTTATCAGCTACTGCATGTTCTAATTCTTCCAAAACAACTTTATTGCCATGAAAGGGCTAATCCGCAATCTCCCCGGCCAACTTACCGATAAGCGGCTGCAAAAGCAGCTAGAGCCACACCTCAAAAAGCTCACTATTCCGGTTGCCAGCAAGGCAGACTGATGAAATGCCTTGTTTCTCTCCATAAGATCTATTTGACATGGATCATAGTGGACAGGTTTGAGGGTGCATCAAAAATATGAAGGTATGGCTGGTATCTCCCAAAAAGTCATCCCATGAGCTGTATCTTCCCTGGCAGCTCAGTTTTATTGTGTCTTCCAGTCCAAACTTAAACCACTCAACTGAAGAAGGGCATACTGATAGGTTTACTTCATGGTACCTGGAACGGATGCAAAATCCGCATCTCGTCCATATGAAAGAATGGTGCGCAAAATATGGCGTCATACCGCCACTCCTCATCCCATGACTCCTCGCCCATTCAAATTTCTCTCGCTCATTTTTTTCTTCTCCCCCATCCTCACCAGTGGGAATTTTGGCGAGAAGTACCTCATAACGTCCAAAAAGCATCAGATACACCGCGTTTACCTGCCCCCACCCCCTCAACAACCTTCCAGCATGTTGAAGCACTTCCTTTCCCGGAAGCCCAAGTGTGAGCGGGACTTCGATAAAGCCTACAGCAAGTGGCTGGATGAAATAAAACACGAAAATTATTCGAAAACGGAAGAAAGCTCATGGGTCACTCCATACCTTGATGAGACAAAGCGTGGCTTTGCCATCCTTCAGCGACGACGACGCCTCATAGAGGGACCACTAATAGTTCCTACCCAAACAAAAGAAAGCGAGCTCTACCGTAACCCGCCGGCCTATAGTGATATTCAGTCACCGCCCATGGACTGGAAATCAGAAGCCAAAAAAGACGCGGATGAGCTTCTAGAGCTATATTGGGAGCATAACTCAATCCTACATGCTATGCTGCTCCGGAAACCTCGGAACATCGCTATAAAAGGGTTTGACATTCTGACTCATCACAGTGATCGAAATGGCCGTTCCTATTTATGGGTCAAATGTCGTGCTCGGTGTGCCGATGAGGGGGGGTGCTGTGGGCGACCTTGTGGATGCTGTGCAAAGTCACTGTTGACGTACCTTTGTCCATCAGAACAGGAAAGCGCACGCAAGACCCGCTATGTGTACGGCCATTGTACGGCGGAGTGTCCCTGCTGTATACAGACACGGCACAGACCCTACCTACCTCATCCGTCCTTGCCTCCACCGAAGTTCTGATGTAGGAAGGGGCGATGGCTAGTTTTCATCCATTTAGTAGCTTCGCCAGCTCGTCTCCTTTCTCTTCCTCAACATCATCTTTATTAGCATAGCTACTTATTATTATGGACATCGCTCAAAAAATCCCTTGGTGGGTATACCTCATCGTCCCCGTTGTTATCATAGCTGCTTCGCTCGTCTGCAAGTCTTGCTGCCTGCCCTTGGACGTCTTTTGCGTGTCGGTTTCAGAGACAGTCAGGAACTGGTTGAATTCGCGTTCGCGTCGTCCGTAAGTACAATATGTACATATCCAAATTCCCACAATTTTCAACGGGTACAAGGTACTAATCATAATCATAATGTGATTATATATAGCGCTAGGTCGCATACGTCTGTCGCTCCTCCCGACTCTTCATCCGTGGGACTTCAGTCCCTGCCTCCAAACTCCGTCCCGCCCGAAAATGCACAACTTCCTGCTCCTGTGCCGGCGTACATCAGGGACGCAGCACGGGGTGACCTCTCCACGGTGGGGGGCACTGGATCTAGGGTCCGTAATTAGAAGCGGTTCTACGTTCTTTCCAGTCCGGATGGAAGGTGCAAGACCTTTGCTTGCCGTTGATATTCAGTTGTCAAAAGCTCGGGTCCCGATTCGACCGTCGATGGACATGAAAGCCATACCAAAGACCTCAAAAATCTCCGACATGGCATGGAAGCAAATCTCGCTATACTTGAATCTTCAAATTGTCCAAATCCTGAAGGACATGGGGGCAACTGTCGCGGAGAAGAAGGATCGGATATGGGGATTTGAAGAGCTTTTGCAGTGTTGCGACTTGTGCGTTGCTGTTCGAACTGGATCTCTTTGAGAAGGACGGGAAGAGGGATGCGAAAAAAGGGTGGGATTTTGATGGGAAGTGATAGCATTCGGATGCGTAAACGCTAGGAACTTGCTTATGCCAGCTGAAGTTGGCTTGGAAAATCAAATCTACCTTCTGAATGCCCGACCTCTGATTAATATCCCAGCAACATCAGCCTTAAAATCGCGCTGAATTAGCCTACTACTAGAGATAATCCCATTCCACTGGACCCAAAACATCATAATCCAGAAACGCAGTTCAAATTGGCTATATAACAGCATATCCCATCAATTCGTCTATACCATCCGACTCATCCCTCATCATTAAGCATATATATAATATAGGTAATACCCGAGCACACATTATCCCATTACCCCAATCATCCCATCGAAAAAAAGCAACAATCAAACAATCAAACGCACCCAAAGCCAAAATCTATCATTATCATGAACAAGCCCCTCAAACCCCCGACTCATACGGCCCATAAAGCCCACGGTATTGGTCCCCGTACGGGTTGACCCTACCATACTCATCCCACGCCGAACAAGTGTCCTCCAGCAACGATTGATTGAAGAACGTGCTAATCTCACTCTGGATCTCGACGACCTGCTGCGCAAATCCTTGGGTGGCATGGAACCCGATGTGGCAGTGGATGATCCAGACGCCCGGGTTATCGGCCGGAAAAGCAAGGACGACGTGGCCGCCGCCGGCGTCTTCGGAGGCAATCATCATAGCGGTGTCGCGGCGGACGGGGTTCATGGTCTGGAGGGTGACAGTATCTGGGTTGTATGGTCCGAAGCCCTGGGCGAGGACGTAGAAGTCGTGGCCTGAGGTTGTTAGTTAGATGGATATGCGAGAGAAGAGTTATTGGAATAGGGGGGGGGGGCGTACCATGTAAATGGATCGGGTGAGGGACGGGGAGATCAGTCTGGACGATGATCACAGTCCACTCGTCTGGAATGGGCGCCTCGATGACACCTTGGCTTGGTTGCCAGTTCATCTTGGTGGGGTCTTCGAAAGTCTGTCGCAGCGTGGGATCGACCCACGAGATATTGAGGGCGTTTCCACCCAGAGTCCACAAGTAGATTGGAATTTCGCCGAAGGGTGTAAATGAGACGTTAGATGTGCGCGCCTGGGAGTCTGTAACATTTGCATCGAGGGCAAGCCAGGGGACAAGTTGGGATAATTCGAAGTCCACGCACTGAACGTCGTCGGGGTAATCCTGCTTCGTAGATGTGGGGTCGGAGGTGTCATTGACTCCCTGGTAGCTGAGGATGCCCTTGATGTTGTCAGGGTTCTCGTTATTGCTGCAGAAGGACTGGGGAACTGCTCGAATCCAGTAATTGTCCGGGACCTGGTTTGCTGTAACGATGATATCGTAGCGCTCGCCCATGCCGATGGGGACATTGTTCGTTGTGAAAGGCACGATAGGCACGAAGTCATTGGCGATCACGGTGAGGTTGTGATTATCGATGGAGAATCTGAAGTGTGTATGCATGGCGGCATTGACCAGTCGGATGCGGTATCTCTGTCCCGGAACGAACTCGGTACGGAAGCGCTTTCCGACGATCGAGCCATCTGGATTAACCCAGATGTTGGTTCCGTTGATAACTCCGGTCTGGAATGTAGGCGGCCCATTAGTCTCTAAGACCCCCATATACATTTGATCAACTGTCACGTGTGACCAGTCGTTTAGAAACAGGGACCCCAGGTCATGGTCGTACTCTGCTGTGGCAGGACCGTGGATCACAATGCCTCCGAAGACGCCTTCCCAGGCTTGAATAGAGAAGTGTGAATGGTACCAACTCGACCCGTACTCTTCAGCCCTCCATATATATGTGTAGCTGGAGCCGGGTGGAACCGGGCACTGGGTCACTGCCGCCACACCGTCCATTTGGTTGGTGTAATGCTGTCGGACTCCATGAAAGTGGATGGCGGTGCCGTTATTCTGCATGCGATTGGTGACATGAACCTTGACAGTATCTCCCCAGTTGGCCTCAATGGTAGGGCCGGGGAACTGTCCATTGACGAGGAGTACTTGCCTCTCGACTCCATCGAGAGCAGCGGTTGTGTTGACGACATCGAAAAAGTACTCCCGGACAACACCGGTGTCTGGAATAGTCTCATAGTAGTTGGTGTCGAGATTGTATCCATCCCACGGGGTGCTGTTCTGCGCTGCCATTGCAGTTGGGGTAAAGGGAGCAATGTTGGCATCCCGTTTCATGGGGCCACACAGTGCCAATGAGGCTAGGAGCCCTAGTAAAAAGATCTTCATGACGGCGCGACTAGTTCCCAGTAGCTTGGAATCAAATAAAGTAAGTGCCAACGATCCAAACTGCTCGCTTGCTTCCTACTATCGAGTCCGGCCATGACAACCGCATTTATACAATTCCACCGTCGATCTCACTTACCTCCTTTTCTTTGTTTTCGTATTTCAGGTCTCCACCAGAGGAGTCATTTGGCTCGTGAGTCGGGGATAGGACTCGGTGCATAGCCTTGCAAAACCAGGGATTGACCTGTCTCTGGGGGTTCACGAGATGCTGCCTCTCATGCACAACCTAATGCAGATAATCCTCCACCCGTAAGAGACCCACCCACAGGAGCGGATGGGGCATCGAATGGATTACACGACCGACGAAGAATCAGGAGCTTACCAGGGTGACTTCGCCATGTGCATCGAGTGACACATGTTAGGTACCAGAATCAGCCGCAACTTCCAATATGGTATATTGTTTTTTTGTATTGGAAACATCACGCATAGGCGAAACCCATGAGCCTCTGTGTTTGGTTTGCTTGGAAATCGGCCTAATAGCTCGGTGAGTGACCATGAACATCAACTCGGATGGGCTCAGCGGCCAGTTGCTGTGTAGTTCCCTGCAATGACATCTTTGGCCCTTTCTTTGACACTGTCTCCACTATCTGGGGGTTGGTGGGCCTTGGATACGAACCCATGATCATAGTGCCTGACACTATAGCATCCGTTCACCATGGCTCGGATCCCGAACACTTCATCCGAGGAGATGTGGCGTGCAGAAGATAGTCCATAGCGATCTATTGTAGCCTACAACCTGCGAAACCTGGCCAGTCCCGATTCCTTTCCTCTGCAACGCGTAGAATGCCTGATTCCTGTATCGGGCGCGCCGTGGGATTAGCGCTGACCGCTACTCAACCGTATAGCCACCACGCTCAGGCACACCGCATGCTCGGCATAATTGATCCGCGCTGAGATCCGGTAGACTTTTTTCCCGCAAAAGATAACCTATGCTAATAAATATAAGGCTGACCATACTTATAGCCTGACTGTTAGCCTCTGTATTGTGTTGCTAATTTCTGACTCTCGTCTAATGATGCACTAAGGCCACCGGTTCATCGCAAGGCTGTTTGAACCGGTGGACCTAGGTCAGATAGATGCTAATCAATGTCACAGGTGATTTGATGCTGCATCTCGCTGGTAATTTCTGGTACATTTCAGCCAACCCACCGATGACGAGCCAACACCAAGAGGTCGATATCCACCCGGCGCCCGAAACCTGTCAGGCTGCCCCCACGATAAGAGACGTGGAAGGAAAAAGCAAACAAACAGAGCTCCGCTCCGTGCGATTCCTCCACACCTCAAGATCTGCTAGGAAAACCTCAGTAAACTAGTCCGACTGAATTCTCACTCACTCACTAAGCCATGCATTATCTCAGAAAGTAGGTCGGTCATGCGATTGCAAGCACAATGCGGATCCTGAGTCAAGAGTTAGGGAACCCATTGATTTGGATGGCGTCACTTTTCCTAGGTCAGCAAACTCTTCGAAAAGCCTCCATCAAAATTCACGATCTCCGATCGTTGCGATTGGCAGTGGAAGCGAAGCATCTGACCCTGACACCAACTTGGCTAAGCGCCCTATACCCAAACCCGGGGAACCCAGTCTGAGCTGGCACGAGAACGCAGGGCGCGATCAGGGGAGACAAACAAACGCTCCCACGGTCCCTGGGGCTGTAAAGCGACGGCTGCCACAGCCAGCAGTGGTTGGTGTAAAAAGCACCATCACTAAGCGACGATGTCAGTCAGATGTCCCGGCGCCCCGGTGAGCCTGCTAGTCAACCGCGATACCCTCGGTGGCTTGGGTTCAGCAGCGCGCGAATGGATGCAGTCATCTCACCAAGCAGGCCAGTCCCCTCGTCCTATCATCTGTGCGCAATCCTTTATTTGCCAGTTTCAAACTGGCCTGCCTTATGCTGTCCACTGTGGAGCCACGTGCTTGTACAATTTTTCGAACGGGCGGACTGACACGATCTTCCTTGCTGGTTACCATGTCTTTGTTACCTAGCCGGCTTATGCTTGAGACAGGATGATAATTTTGGATCAGGACCCGCTCGAGTACAGAATCAATCTCCACAAGAGTATTGTTTCGTGAGAGGTGTTTGCCCTCGGCCTCCGTCGATATGGTTCTCTGATCGAGATGATGTCCACGTGCGTGCAGTTGCGACGCGCAGTCTGTGCAACATCGGCGACACGCTCTCCGGGAAGACACGAGGTACCAGATACCAGGTTTGACCCTGAGGAGTCACTTCCAGCTGATAGTCACAGATAGCTGTCTTCGATGTCCGCTCGCTCAGTCATGCCCCAGAGTTCGTCTGGAAAGACTGAAGATGTGACCGCTTGTCGAGCATATTCCAGTCTAATGACTTCCTCGACGCGAGCAGGTGCTCAAGACCTCCGGAAACCGAACCCCCCTGTCTGCTCGTATACTTGGTGGGCCCAAATGGGTAAAGCATCACGGAGGCGCAGTTCCAACAAAGAAACCAGGAGATGATGACCCAGCTGGTGCCAGGAATGATCGCGGTGGATGGGGGGTGGATGAAGGAGAAACCGAGGAAAGCGGCTTGGGGCGGCTTGAAGATAGGCGCAGAATCAAGTTTGCTGGGTGCAAAATTCTCTGCTACTAGTCTTCCCTTCCTTCACTGGGCATTCCCGCTCTTGCCGACCATAATTCGAGGGTTTGGCAGTCTCCGGTTTCTTTGTCTGGCGTTCCCGTCCATTTTACCACCCCTTTCTGAATCCTTACGAATCTCGTGTCGCGTCCGTGTCCTTTCTTTCTTTGTTTTTGTTTTTTGCAGCCTCGATTGATTTACCACCCACTCTGCAAAAGAGCGGATACTCGGGTTCAGCTCCGATCTCATCTCCAACTGCAGATATCTGCGGTTGCACGGCGGGCTGGCTCCGTCTCCGCCTCGTCCAGATTCTGATGTTTCAGCCCACCCTGCACGCCCACCAAGTTCCTGGCCGAAACAAAGTCTCGAAATGTTCTCTGTCGTGTCGGGTTGTATGCGGATGGCTGTGCAGAATACTGTCACGAACGACGCTTGAAGTAACTTGGATTGATTTTGCCCCAGGTTAACTGAGAAGGCATGACGCGCGCAGTTACTAATATATGACAGAAAGAGAGAAAGAAAATAAACTGCCAAGAAGGGCACAGTATCCGCAGCCATCAACTTTAAAAGACGGCAGAGAATCCAAATTTCTTTTGCCAGAACATCATTTTCCTCCTTTGTCTAGTCATCTTCACGATCAACCGGATCCACTTACGGCAGCATCTTTCTGAGCTTTCCCTTAACTTCCCATTTTTGATCCAACCTCCCCTTATCCCATAACATTGTTCCAAACACGCAGAGCCAGCTAGCTGTACACATGGAACATGTCGGTCAGACACCGACGGCCCCGGGAACCTTGGAGCCGAATCCATAGATCTCTCGGGCCAACATCCGGTCGGGAAAAAGCGGCTTAGGGACCTCACTTATGTGGCCGAAGATCCAAGACGCAGCCATCTCTGTTTGGAATAGTATGCGGAAAGTGGATTTTATAGGCATATCATGACCAGAAACTGTGGTTATACTATGTGAGTCGATGCTTGTTAAGTACCAGGAGGGAGTATTTGCTTCAACGAATTTTCGAACCTGCTCTGGACCTTGGTAGATCTGGTTAAAGCGAGTCAGATTGTGGGCTGGCATATTATACTGGCTTTGTTCCACAATCACATTGATATATCTATCGATGCAGGAAATTTGTTCCACTTCCCATGTGGCAAAGTGCCCCAGATATGGTTTGGATGGATGATGCCGCGGATATCTAGGGACCGTTATATATGTCTCGAAATATGTTGATATAGAGTTGATAGTGGTATAGTAAAATGCCCGCATCATTGGAACGCTCGAGATGATGTACTCTTGCGCAGCTGTTACTCAATATAGTACTTAGCAGACTCCAAGGTAGATGCATGCCAAACACCGGGATCCGGAAGATAGTAAATTGATGCAGCGGCGATCCGGCACATGCAGGGGAAAATCTCCGATCAGGAATGAGATTGCGATCGCGGTAGTACATAAGGTGTACCGTACCCCCGCTTCGATGCAGGGGCTACCTATGTACTATTTCATCGAGATTTTTTTTATCAGATGCTGCATTCTTATTCTCCGGTGAAGGGATATTCTAACATGTTTCTAGTCTTCCTAGCTTGAACAGTGAGAATATAAATTGATAGTGACGCGGCAGAACACTCCAGAAAAATCTAAGCATCACATATGATATTTATGTCCTCAAGAATATAGTCTGGTGATTAGCAAGGGAAAGGGAGACCCTTGGATATAGCAACCCACATCTCAATAACAAAGAAGTTGGCAACAAAGCATCTACCTGGCCCTGATTCCTACATACAATCGTAAAAGGGGCCGTCGAAGTATATATAACAGATAATGAATAATGCATTCCTTCCAAAGTGACTACATAAATTTCCCTCCCGCCTGTCACAACTGCACCAAAAATCCAGAAGGCATCCCCAGCCTCTACCCCTTCAACGGATCATGTCCCCAATTCTTCAACGACTTATAACTCCTACTATCCGTATCCTGCTTCGCCTTCCCCTCCTGCGCCAGATGCCGTTTGCAGTACGCCACAACCCGCCGCATGTGATCAATGTCCTCGTCTGAGTACTCAGAGGGCTCTTTGGATGGGTTGTGTTCGAGGATGTTGACAATTTTTCGACCGCTTCAGGAACCTTTATTAGCTTGCGACGTTCGCTTCCCAGGTACCACCCACATATCTCATGATAGAAGGTGGGAAGGCTTAGATGGTAAGTGCAGGGTAGTTGCAGGAAATTCAATATCCAACCGACCTTTCATGCCCGATCGTCTCACCCGACTCGCCAGTCCATCCTGAGGACTGCGATTGCTCTTTTTTGAGCCAGTTCCGGAGCTCGTTAGGCGTCATGTTGACGAGGGAGTTGAATTCGCTGGGTGTGTTAGTGTGTGGAGCGAGAAGGGGGTTGGGTTGGGGTGTGCGCACTCGATGACGGTGTCGTTGTCTTTGACCATTGTGGGATTAGTCTCCTAGAAAACGGAGGTAGTGGGATTTGGAATATTGTCGTTGGAGTTTCGAGATCAATGCCGTGGAGGACATTTATATTTGGTTTGGATGCGTTGACGTCATACTTCCGAGAACAGGACCATCGTCATCGTTTGATGTCTGGGTTTGGTGATGTCCTTCCCTGGACAGTTTCCGAAAGTTTATCTCAGGCTTCAAGGCTCTCAACAATTCCTTTCCTTCGGGGCTGAAATTCGCAGGGGTGGGTTAGTATCTTGAAATTTGTGCTGGGGCGCTTTGGCGCTGCGCAACAGGGGAATGCCTCATGTTGGACGCATTAGACATTTCGTCTGATAATATTAGTTTGTATAGTGGGAAAAACAAATCCGCAGCCAGAAAAAGAACAAAAGTATTATATACGATGTGAAATGACACTTGCCACCCTGTACGCTCACCATACCACCCAAATTGATTAACCTCGAACATCTATGAATCTCCGCCGAGTGCTTTACCACACCTTTGTATCTGTTTGTAGATAAGCTCCTTCGCGAGATATTCCTCAGTAGCATCCACGATCGTATCGATCTCATCCACGCCGTCGAGGCCAATGTCCGCTAGCCCGTTGGGTACATCGAAGCGAAACAGACGCTTCTCGTCATCCAGCTCAGTATGCTCACGGATAAACTTGTTCATGTCCATCTCCGTATCAATTGTCTCGGTGCGTGACGTCTTGAATAGGCCGAACATGCCTTTTCCGGACCTTTTGATCGAAGGAACGCCCGTGCCAATCGACACCATGCATTTGATCTGACTGTCAAGTGAGCCGGAGGGCCATATGCCCCTGGCCTCAATCCACACTTCTCTCACGGGGTTGTTGACCTCCGTGCTGCTGTTGTAGAATCGCCGTCCGCTTGGTCCAATTGCAACGGAGTCGAAAAGAGGATCGGTGGAGAAACACGCTCTCCCAGCCTGCCATACTCTGGCCGTTTTGTAGAGCTCGTTGGAGCAGTATTTGCTTGGGTAGCTGGTCAGAGGGGCCAGGTTTCGCTTGGATCCAGCGTCGGTCACGCAGACATAACTTTGCCAACATCAGTAGGGTGGTCTCTGCACGCTGATTTGAGGGGACTTACACCTTGCAGGGGTTATCTGGCTCTCTCAGGAGTACGTCATCTTCATATCCGAGTTCGTGAAGAATCGCCTTCATGCCAGTTTCTATCCTCCGCCCGTCGTATCTTGACTGGCGCCGTAAGTTGCCTCCCACTGGCAGAATTCTCTTTCGCGCAAATACATGGTTTGAGATCCTCTTGTACGCGTTGATGCATTGATCAATGTCCATCTCGAGACGACCCAGCATAATTGCAATCAAGCTGTATATTCGAAGGCAGTTAGAATATCAGACTCGGCTGCAGAACGATTCCGACGCTGAATACCAGCTTACCCGCCTGAGCCTGATCCCCCAATCAGATCAAAGTGATCGCATGGCTTGGGAGTATTATCCGGATCAATGAATTCCATGATATGCTTCAAGATGTAAAGAGAAGACAGACCACGGACGCCCCCGCCATCAAGGCTGAGGAGGCTGATGTTTCTATCCATCATGGCGAGTAGTAACGATGTACCGTAAGCCACGCAATTTCCGTATCTCAATGATGGCTTGATCGAATACGCCACCGTGCGGCGAGTCGATAAATATATGTTGGCCCGAACATCCAACGTTCGACATTCCTTTCCACTCCATCCCACCTCCGTGCAATGACGCAAGCGGTTCAACGGCTGATCGGGCTTAAAGCATTATCGGGGCTGGGGTCAGAGCAGCCAGTGATAGGAGTCGTCTCAGCAGTTCCGGCCCGATGTATTGATCGACACTGTCAATGCGAGTTGTGAACAGCAACAAATGGCATCCATGCCCCGCTTCTTGGGCACATCATATCGGACAGCATAGATCCCCCTCACCGTCTTTTTTTCGAATCCCATTTGACGAAGCTCGTTTTATCTTGAAGGGGGGGCGCTTCATGTTGAGATTTAACTTCGAGGACCGACGGTGATAGGCGCGGTCGCAGCCACGTATTCAGAGCTTCGCGCCGTCAGCACGGGTGAAGCAGTCAGAGGCCCCTGCTCATTGGGGTGTCGGAGGATATTGTGGTGCCTAAATTGGATCATGCTGTCAAGTGAGCATTTGCATTAGTTTCATCTAGTTGATTTGGCCCTTGCATTATCGTTTTTATCGGCCAGATGGAGAGTGCAGTTGTTGGGGATGATGTACGGAGAGTCATTCGCCGAAGATTGTCATGGCAGACGGGAAACCCGTGGACACCTCAGGTGTTCAACCGGGTAGTGTCGCCCTTTCCCGGTCGGGACTAGTTCATACAAACGAGCTGCCAACAATCCCGCGATCGCCTCAAATTGTCTGTTGTCCACCTTCCCCTGGGGCTGCTTAGTTCCTTTCCAGATGGAGCCTCCGGCTACTAACGCCTCGTCACATCGGAATATTGAGGCTTAGTCTTATGGAAGTTTTCAACTTACTCGTTATGGTTTCTAAATACGCGTCGACCGTTAAGAGAGAAAGCAGTAGGAGTTTCGGATTGACAGTCGTTTTAACTAACTAATGGAAAAGAATCTTACGTCATTGTGGGATATTGAGTAAAGCTGCTCTGCATTATCTCATTCATCTGTCTCATATGCAGTCTGGGTGCACATTGCTACTGAGTTCTTCATATACCAATTCACCATTGTCTATTCTGAGTCTCATCACAGCAAATGGCGTGGAAGTCATACTGATAGCTTAATCTAAGGAAGGGTATAGCCGCCATCGATTACGATATCAGCCCCAGTCATATAGCTTGACGCGTCGGATGCGCAGAACACATAGGCCTGGAGGAAGGGTGAGCTGCGGATGGAGGTGGACATAAATGGCTAGGAGAGACTCACCCCTTTGAGCTCATACGCATCCGCCATTCGACGTGCCGGGATCATACTGTACCATTTCTCTCGCCATTCTTGAGGGTGGATATCGAGGATTTCGGTGGCTATGAATCCAGGAGAGATGCAGTTGACGCGGCAAAAGTCAACCCACTCAACGGACAGGCACTTGGCCATCTGGACCACGGCAGCCTTGGAAGCGTTGTACTAGTCCAATGCGATTAGTCTACCGTCATGCTGCCATGTTGAGCGTTCAAAGTACCTACTGCGACTTGTTTCTGGGGCACGTTGACGAGTGTGGCACTGACGGACGCAGTAAAGATAACATTCCCATGCCCCTGTTCCTTGAAGATCCGAGCTGCCGCCTGGGCAGTATAGAAGGCACCGTCCAGATTGACCTTCATGATATCATGCCATTGCCCCGCGGTGTAGTCTTCTGCAGCGATGTTCGAGGTGATACCTGAGTTGACGACTACTATATCCAGTTTACCAAAGTCGGATGCGATTTGCCGAATAGCCTTCTCGACATCTTCCTGGTTCCCGACATCGGCTTTATATGCGGCTGCTTTGACGTGATTTGTGACGGCGATCTCTTCAGCGACTGCCTCCGCAGTTTTGGACGAGTTGTAGACTAAGGCGACATGCAATATCAATTGGTCAGATTTGTCTATCAATAGAAGGCGGACTAACATCGGCACCTGCTTCTGCCAAAGCCTTCGACACCTCCAACCCGATTCCACGAGCACCACCTAGTCATAATTAGAAAACTGGGAAGCTTTCAAGCGTGGGGTAGCTAATCTTACCAGTGATGATGGCGACCTTGCCGCTAAGGTCAAAGGCTTTGAGAACGTGCTTATTCTCCGGCTTAGCAAGAACCATGTTTAGATGTTGTACAAGGTAAGCCTCTCAAAGATGCCGCTGAAGATGATATTTATGTCCTACTCACAGCAGTAGACGACTCCGGCCGTCAGATAGTTCTCGCCCCGCCAGAACCCCGCATCGGATCCCCTCCGAGACCCGCCTGTGATGGTTCCATATGGGGAATAGCTCACTTTATTCGGCCTGTGCTCGTTTATTATCTGGGATAATCGTGGTCTGGACATGCGCGCATGTCCGCATTTGTCTGGACCGACAAACAGCAACAGGACATGAAATACTAAGCCGCTTGGGTCACTGGTGAGTTCTTTTCTATCATACCGATCAATGTGTTCTTTCATACGCTGACCAGCAATCCTTTTCTAATAGAAAACGGAATTTTCGCATGTCTTTTACCCCCGAAAGCCTCATCACCTCTCATAAAGATAGCTGTCATCGATAAAATGGGCCTGATGGATCAGGCTGTGCACGGAGAGCTGAAAATGTCTCTCAACCGCGTCACCCGATGATCGGAGGGAATTAAGCGCCAAGGCTGCTTCAAGTTGGCTACCACGCGTCTCGTAAGCTCCGATCAAATCTTTGAGATCTGAAATCATTCTCTGTACGTGAGCTGATGATGCAAAGTTTTCCTGCAGGAACTTCAGGCTTGAGACGGCGTTCCTGATCACTGCTTCTGGTACCAAGCTCGATCTTGCGCTGGCCATGTGGGCGAGAAAAAGACTGAGGCTTGTCGCTTGATAAGTGCATCTGGCAATGTCGAACGAAAAGAAGCCCTGAACACCTTTCTCCAGAACCTCGGAAATAGAGTTTACGATCCAATCGCTGTGTTCCTCGCAGATCACCCTAGCCTGGACTACATATGTGCTCGGCTCCATGGAGCGCAGGACAACATCAGGAGCCGAATTTGGATGACCGGGTATGAAAAGGCGAAACAAATCACAGTATGCTTGATGCCATGCCAGACGGATTTCCATGACTCGGATAAACCATCGAGACTCCCATTGAATACCTATGGAACCAGAGGTCGATGGGCCGAAGGCAGACGTGATTTCTCCCTCGATCTGTGATAGACTGAGTCGAAGCCCTTGTAGAATGCTCTGAAGTTCTCTCAGGGGATGTTCCACAAGGGCTAATTGTCTGGTAAGTCGCATAATATCTCTTCGAATTTTGGAGATGCGCAAGATTAATTCGAGCATACTGTGAGAGTCTTGGGTCGGCTCAACCTGGGGGGTCTCCGGTACCGATAAGCCCATTCCCTCTGGGACGGGCGATCCAAACGTTTCTTCGCGACATGGAAATCGCAGGTATATCTCCTCGTAGTTGATGGTACTATATCCAGGCAGGCCAACGGAGAAGTAACCATCTAGAAGCGCCATAGTCCACACGGCCCTGCGACGGATCTCCTGAGTTATGAAACCTAGGTGTGGGCTTTCATGGTTCAGCTTCAGAGCGGCTACATGGCGACTGGCAATGGAAGCCATCATGAAGGCTCTTTCAACCCGGCCAACTTCGGCATGGTACTGAATAATTAGAAACAGCGCTTGCAGTCTGAAGATGGATGGTCTTTCAAGCTGATCCCAGATCCGCTTTTCTGCCAGCTCGACCATTGGTGCGCTCTCATAAGGTACAGACCCCGTTGGTCTACAGCGCAGCTTGACGATGGCGCATATTGCTATTACTAGACTTGGCTCTAGCGTTTGCTCGGTGCACATTCGTCGAATGGACGGTTCATGGAGAAAACTGTATGATGGCAGAGGATATAACTGCAAAAAATAGTTATCCAGGATTGTCTCCAGCTCGGAACTGTCTTTGACAGGATATACCCTGGTACAAATCAGCAACCCCACCAAGAAGTACTCCAGATTGGTCTTCACTTACAATCCTTGCTCCAACTCTGATCCGGTAACTTGCTTTACATATGTTATCCTGGATGGCTCACCCGATTTGTGCGGCGAGTGACGGGCCTGTCTTGATGGATACCGACATTCTCGATTCCGCCTCTGGCAGTTAATGCACCGTGGCAGTTCACCTGAACAACGAGCCTTCTGCAGACGACAATTCAGACATGCCTGTGCCCCGCGACGTCTTGCAGGATGAGTCTCCTCGTGTCCAGGAGAGGCAATCTCCTTTCGAAACGAGCATGAGTGCTTCAATCGCTCACAATTGCCACAAGTATACTTCTTCCGGTCGCAGCGAACCTATGACCCATTCAGCAGGCGGATCTAGAAGTAAAAATGATACGATGAATGAACCACTCACTTTACGTGATCGGCATTGAAAGCAAGGATCAGGTAAGCTTTCGTTACTTGAGTCGGCCATTCAGACATGGGCATAGTCCCTTTCTGTTGTTGTTCAGGCTGACTCGGCGCTGCGTACTCCGTACTGAGACTTGAAATAGGATAGATTAAGGTGAGGCCTATCTAGGACATTTCGCTACCTCTCAGGACTCTCTCGGCTTCCTTGTTGACGTGGACACGGTGGACACTAGTTGCGCCTTAGAGCCACACGATGGCGTCAGCCCGAGGCGGTTCGTGCCGCCAGTTGTCGCTTGCCCCTTGGGTCTATTGACCCGCGACTTTACCAAATTCTTTTAACCCCGGTTTTCCTCAACTCCTCCTGGAAAACAGAGTACGAATCGAACATGCCTGACTCCTGGAAGTACGTTTCGTAATGTGCTATCATCTCGACCAGCTTTTCAGGGTTGCTTTCGGCAAGGTTGTTTACTTCACCCAAATCACTGGACAGGTCGTACAGTTCCCACTTGCCTTCCCCGCGCGGAGGTGGCAAGTACAGCGCCTTCCAATGGCCAACTCGGACTGCTGCAATTCCAAGCTGCTCCCAGCCAACAACATCGGAGTGATAGATGTCAATGTTGCTGTCGCTGGACTCCAAGAGAGGTCTCCATGAATGGCCTCGTATAGGGGCCACCTCTCGCCCCCGGAATAGGGTACCGGGATGCTTGATACCCGCCAAGTCGAGCATTGTCGGCAATATATCCATGACTGTGGTGAACGTGTTGCTAATAGTCCCCGGCTCCATCTTCATGAGGGAAGGATAACGAACAATGCAGGGACATCGAATACCACCTTCCGTGGTGAAGGACTTGGTGGCCCTGCAAGGAGCCGTGGCAGCCGATGCCCACTGCGGGCCATACCACACAAATGAATTATGATTCCCCAGGTTCTCGAGTGAGTTGTCATAGTACTTTTCGATTACATCTCCCAATGTCGCTCCTGCTAGCACAGGAATAGCCTCAAGAAGCTGTCCTTCCGCCCCGTTATCGGACATGAAAACCACAAAAGTGTTGTCCCATTCTCCGGTTGACTCAAGGTATTCTCGCACGCGACCAATATTCACATCGATGAGATCAACCATTGCGGCGTATACTTCCATGGCACGACATGATTTCTTCCGTTCCTCGGCAGGCAGTTCGGCCCACGGCGTAGTCCCCATTGTTATTATGGGAGCGGGCTCGACCCCTTCTGGAACGAGTCCATTTTTGATCAGGTTCTGCAGTCGTTGACTCCGTAAGGCCAGCGGGCCGTCATCATACAAACCGTGGTACTTCTGTACTGTTTTTGACGGTGCCTGCAGGGGCCAATGCGGTGCTGTGAAAGGAAGATATGAAAAGAAGGACTTCTCCCTTTCATCGCTTGTGCGGTTCTCCAGTATGGATAAGAGGTTGTCAGTGAACGTGTTGGATGAATAGAAGTCTTTGGGGAGGTCGTTAGCTCCACTGATGAATTGGTCATCGCGCATCCACAGTCCGTCCTTTCCCTTGAGGATTACTCGTGGCTTTTCGGTTGTGTCATACAGCTGAGGCTCGTGGTTGAAGTGGTTCCCGGCGCCAGGCAGAGTGGTGAACACTTTGGTAAACCCTCTTGAGCAAGGAGCAACATCCTTCGTCAGGCCCAAGTGCCTATTTTGCAACAGTCAGTTCTATCTCCGCTTGCTTGTGGGTTGTGCCTCGATACGCACCATTTCCCAGACATACAGGTAAAGTAATCATTATCCTGCAGAATTTCGGGCAATGCCGCCACCTTATAGTTTAAATAGCCTTCGTAACCTGACTTTCCATCGAAGACGTGCGGGAATCGACTCCGTCTCTCGGCCATGACTCCTAGCCCTGCAATGTGAGCATCGGTGCCAGACAGGAGCATCGCTCGAGTTGGCGAGCAGGATGCCGCTGTGTGAAAGTCTGTCATTCTTAGCCCTTCCATGGCCAGGCGGTAGAGATTCGGGGTATCAATCTCCCCTCCGAAAGGGGATGTGTCGCTGAAGCCGAGGTCATCGGCGACGATAATCAAGAAATTCGGGCGTTTGGATGTTGTCATCGTTTTGGTGTGGCAATGAGTTGGACTTTGAAAGGCTTGCTGGGGTCGCGCTTTAATGTGGTGTCCGAGATTTGCTATTTATCGACACCAGAATATGTCCAAATGTATGGTGATCCTCACCACACTGATCTAGAATCTTGAGTTAACGGTCAGTGAAGTGGCGGTTGGTGGCTCGAGCTCCACCGTTGGCCCTACGGGCCACGCATGCTTATCCCGATCAAGCGATGATGCCATCCCTCCGCATGATGGCTTCATCCACCTCCATTAATCAGGCGCGATTTTCTCCCCTCCTTGACTGCTTGTTCTCTACGGCACGGTAGTCGGCGAAACTACGGCTGTCGGTCGTTTGCCTTGTTTTCCACTGGCCATGGTGGAGACCCCAAATTGTCCAAGGACCTTCTAGGGCCATATGGCAACATCGCTCCAGAATGTCGCGATATCTTGACCGAAGACTATAAAGCTGCGGCATGGTTATCAGCCAAATTCTCGCAATACGAGCCCGGCAGTGCCATTATATCCTCAACCCGAAGCTCCCACCCGAGCGAGAGGCGTCCCCTCTTATCAAACACCCTGAAGTTCTAGACTGTCACTTTTGCAGGCGAAATGACGGGTTTCAAGAGCTTTCAGATTAAGCGTCACGCTTTCACCTGGAATATGGTGATAGCGTACACCATGATTGCTGTCAGTGTGTTTAGCTATGGCTTTGACGATGCAGTCTTCTCGACCATCCAGTCAATGGATTGTAAGGCCTTCCATTTTGACTTCCCCCCTTTAGTCCCTCATATTATCCTACTAACTTCGAAAAGCCTTTGAAAAGCAATTCGGCACGTTAGATACCTCTACGGGCGAATACGCCTTCAGTACTCAGCATTTAGCCTTCCTGAACTCGCTCGGTCTTCCTGCCAAAGCGTTCGGCACCTTTCTCGGCTGGTACATCGGAGAATACTACGGACGTCGGGTCTGCTTCATTGGTATGCAGCTGATGTGCATTGCCGGCATCTCCATTAGCTACACTTCTTCAACCTTCGGTCAGATTCTGGCGGGGCGGATGATAGTGCAATGCTTCATCGGATGGGAAGACTGGCTCGTGCCCATGTTTCTGGCCGAGATAAGCCCTACGATTGTGCGTGGGGCTACAGTCGTGGTGTACGTGTTTGCCCATATGTTTGGCTCATTTATCTGCGCCATCATCACGTACGAGACGGCCAAGCTGGACAATAACTCAGCCTGGAAGATCCCGATTGGCGTGATGTGGGCGTTTCCTTGTCTCATTTTACTTTTCTGTTGGCTTGTGCCGGAAAGTCCTCGGTGGCTTGTCCGAAAGAACAAGACCCAAGAAGCGGCTAAGCAGCTTGCATATCTTTACAAGGGTCAAGACTTCGATGTTGATGGGGAAGTTGCACTGTTACAAGCATCTATCGAAGCAGATGCACAGACTAAGGGCTCGTGGGTGGAGCTTCTCCAGGGAACCAACCGAGTATGCACCAGTTAACTGTTGATTTGTATCTGGACACAACACAACTGACACTCTAACAGAGAAGAACAATGATCGCCGTCATGACTGCGGCATTTAACCAACTAACGGGACAAAGTTTTGTCAGCCAATATGGCACTCTCTTCATCAAGTCCCTCGAGGTCATGAACGCGTTCGCCTTTACGCTAATATCCCGCGGCATCTCGACCATTGGCCCCTTAATCACTTTTTCCCTAGTCGATACCACAGGTCGGAGGCCTATATATCTGTTCGGTGGCACCATGACGACCGCACTCCTTCTTGCCTGCGGCGGACTAGGAACCGGCACGATAACCGATGGTAAAAAGCGTGGAGTTTGCGGCGTGCTCATGATGTACGGGCTGTTCTACATCATGTCATTCGGATCTATGTACGTCCCCCGTGTGCCTTGTTTGGCATTTCCCTACTAACGACAATCACCCACAGATCTGTCATCACCGGCGCGGAAACGCCCCATCTCCGACTCCGCGATCAGACCTCTGTCGTCGCCTGGATTGTGCGCATCGTCTGCGACTTCGTCGTCTCTTACTCCCTCCCCTACCTGCTCGACGCACCCTACGCAGACCTTCAGTCAAAGGTCGGCTTCATATACGGCGCTCTCGCCGCCCTGGGGGTGATCAGTGGCTACTTTTTCCTTCCCGAGCTCACGGGACGTTCCCTCGAGGAGCTGGAAGAAATGTGGCAGCAACGGATTCCTGCCAGGAAGTTTTCTGGTATGTGGCATGCTTGGCTTGTTTGTTTTGTTTCCCTTCTTTTTTTTTTTTTTTTTTTTTGCTTTTTTACTGGGGGCGCTATTGTCACACTGCCCCCTTCACCCTGACAAGTGGTTTTTGAGGCTCTATCGTTTTCTTTTTCTTTTTCTTTTTTTTTAATTTTGCCTCGCCCGTGTCTGGTGTCCGATTGCTAATGGAAGCGCAGACTGGAAGTCCGATGTTGACGGGAGTTTCGGGGCCAAAGTCTCACAGTCGGACCTGGATGATCCTAGGGGAACTGAGGAGCGGCTCGATTCCAGCAAAGGTGGAGCGACTAGTGTTTATGTGCAGCAGGTGTAATGTATCCGGTGGACAGATCATGAACTTCTCTTTCTTACGATACAATTACAGTTTTTAAAAGGTTTCCAAATTATTATCACTGTATTGGATTATACAGTAGATGCCCACGATGCAGTCCTTCCACTCAGTCCTGCGGTCCACTGAGTACACCCAGACAAGCAAATCGTCTGGCCCATTCTACCGCATCACCTCCGTGGTCTGATATCCTTACAGCCACTCCTACTAGCACTGTGAGCTACTCCGTAGCTCCACGCCATTACCTGACTTCTCTGCCTCACCCCCGGACATGCTGCATAATCCTCACGTGACATATATTCTCGTATTATGCCAAGCATAAGTCCTGATCGGTAACTAAAGCGGGGAGATGAGCTAGCCGATGGTCCGTGCGGGAATGGTGGTCCCTCCCTCAGGCCGGTTCGTGTAAACAACCATTTCGCTCAATCAACCGATTTGCTCGAACGGGCGGGATATTCTTTCCAGGGTTATGCCGAAATTGGGGCCTATTCATCTCTCGGCCATCTTAAAGTCAATTCAATTATCTTTCCCCGACTTACAGACCGGTCGGTTGGAAGGACATGGAATGGAGGACAAAGTATCTGGACTTTGACAGCTTGAGTGCGAGTGTTCGGTTCGCGACAGACCGATTGGGGGAATGTGGTGGCCCACGATCTGCCATTGTTCGGGCCGTGGCTAGTCTACCTCAAGGTCCAACGACAGGTAGATGTAGATGGGCGGAACATGGAACGTCAACAGGTGGATCAGATCATCAGACAGGTGAGAGGAGCGGCCCCCGCATTTACTCTCGATCGCCGGGCTGCCCTCCAATTAACTAGGCTGCTCTCCTTGTGTCCACTTACGCAATATGACCTAAGTACCAATAACAATCCCCCCTGCCACTGATGCGTTAGTGCTAGGGAGCCAGCTAGCTGCTCTTTAAGAGGCAGCTTCCCCGGCTGCCTGTCTCTCCGCGAAACACAATTTCCGCATCCTCACCTTCCCTCGCCATCTCTCCCACCTCACACAATGACTTTCACCACGGCAGCCGAATTCGATCAGGTGAGTGCCCCTTCTACCCATCGGCTCTAGCTTTATCGGCATCGTATCGCTGACGATGAAACGGAAATAGGCATATGCGAGTGTCCAGGCGGCCTTCGCGTCGGGTCGCACGAAGCCCAAGGAATGGCGACGCCAGCAGCTCAAGAAAGCCTGGTGGATGATCGAAGACAACCGAGACCGTCTCTGCGCTGCCATGCATGCCGATCTGCGCAAACACGAGTTCGAATCTGTCGTCTTTGAAATTATCATGGTCCAAAACGAGATCATTTCCACCCTCGACAACCTCGACAACTGGACGAAGGATGAGAAGCCAACGAGAAAGGATCCCATCAACTTCTTCGGCGGAACGGTGGTTCGGAAGGAGCCGTTGGGTGTCACCTTGATTATCAGCGCCTGGAACTGTCCGATCAGTCTCGCGCTACAGCCGATGGTTGCCGCCATCGCTGCTGGCTGTGCGGTGATGGTGAAGCCTTCGGATGTGTCACTGGCTTGCCAGGACGTGCTGTTGGATATCATCCCTAAGTATATGGACCGCGATGCTATCCGCTGCGTCAGTGCTGGGCCACAGGAGATGAAGAACATCCTTGACCACCGCTTCGATCACATCTTCTACACTGGATCCGCGAACGTCGCCAAGATTGTCTACGCCGCTGCTGCGAAACACCTCACCCCTGTGACTCTCGAGCTAGGCGGCCAGGGACCCGCCATCGTCACCCCATCGGCGAACATTGACCTCGCGGCGAAGCACATTGCCGGGGCAAAATATGCGCTCGCTGGCCAGGTATGTCCTTCCCATTTAAACCAAATCCGTGCTGTCAAATGCTAAACACACCCGATCTAGGTCTGCGTGAATGCCAATCACATCCTAGTCCACCCCAGCGTACGAGACGCCCTCGTCGCCAGTTTGATCAAATACTTCGATGAATTTTCTGGCGGCAAAAACACCAAAGCCGACCACTACTGCAAAATCATCAATGAACGCAACTTCGACCGCCTCGAGTCTCTCCTGAAACGGTCATCCGGCAAAATCGTCTACGAAGGCATTCGAGATCGCCAAACCCAGTACTTCGGTCCCACCATCGTCGTGGATGTGAAGAGCGACGACGCGCTTCTCTCTGAAGAACTCTTCGGTCCTATTCTCCCCATTATGGATGCAGATTTCGACTCCGCCATCTCCTACACCCGCAGCCTCGAATACCCTCTCGCGCTGTACGCCTTCACCTTCGATGAATCCGAAAAACGACGCATCGAGACCGAGACCGCTTCGGGCGGTGTCACCTTCAACGACTGCATTCTGCATGCGGCTGCTCGCGATGCTCCGTTTGGGGGTGTCGGACATTCGGGGATGGGAAGCTACCATGGCAAGTATGGCATCCTGGCCTTCTCGTATCTTCGCACGTACACGAATGCGCTCCCAGCTTGGATGGAGCGCTTCGTGTCGGCCAGGTATCCTCCCTATAAGGTGGAGAATATTGCCAAGTTTGCTTCGCGGGCCCCGGCTTCGTTTGATCGTGATGGGAATGATATCAAGTCTGGAAGGGCGCTTACCGGCTATGTGGCTGCCCTTGGGGCTGTCGCTGCGTCCGCGTGGGTGCTAGGGGGCCCGGAGATCTCGGAGTATGTGTTGGCGTTGTTTCGTAAATGATTGGGCGAATGGGTATACTCATGGCTGCAATTATAAGCACGTCATATGTTTAAGTCTGTGTTTGCAGGGTGTTCTCATGTTCTCGTGGTTGCTTTTCTTGGCGGGCTGGCTTGTGATCGGTAAATTGGACTATTTAGCAGGGCTTTTATAGGGAAAATTCAGGAAAGGGGGGTATGAAATTGTGTGGGAAGGAGAAATCTCAGTCGCGGCTTCCTTCAATGTATGAAATCTTATCTGTCGGGTGCTTAATCGTGTCTCGGCCAGCAAGCCACTGAGTAGTGTCCTTGCTACATCTACCCTTCTAGATCATTGTGCTTACTTCCTCTTCCATCACACATCCTGCCTTGGTCAGTTTCAAACGTTTCTTTCCATCTGTGATCGGTGTTGCTGGCTTATATGGGTCAGGACCGGGGATTGTTCGCTTGTCAGTGTACATCGCTGCGGGTGGAGATGGCTACGAGGTTGCTAGATATGGTGGCAATCGTTTCTGTCTGTCTGTCTACCGGGATACCTAAGAGACTATAACTTTCCCCATAAGGATCATAGTAGACTGTAGGAAGCTACCCGATGCACGGGTCGATTCGCAGGCCTCAGAACAGGAGCATCCACCCCATGATGACAGCCTCTAACTACTCCAGTCTATCTGTAGTGTTTAGCATCGCTGCTCTATCGGTAACACTCTATGACCTCAGCTATACCACACTCCACACTATGTCACACGTCCTGGAGAGTCTATTATTAGTAGCTATGGTAGCTATGGGCAAGATCCTATCGCATCATTGCGTATTTCCATATTCCTGACGTCGCAAATGCGCGACTTGAGGAGGTCACTCGCTCGTGAGAGAGTTGGGTGACCAATATGCTTCCTCCATTCACTTCCATCAACACATAGTGACTTCACCTCTTTCATCCCTACTTAATCCTCCTCCTCCCCCTCCCCCAACTTCCTTTCCCTCTTCTTCCTCCATCCATCTGCCTTCCATCTCTCCTCCATCCCACCGTTCCCCCTTTCTTCCATCAACTTGCCCATCTTTCCTATCTTCTCCATCTTCTATTGCATCTAGATACGCCCTCCTCCATCCTTGGGCCCCGACAGTCCACCGGATAGAACAGACTCCGGCTCGTCCTCGTCCTCGAAGCCTCATAGCGTTGGTTTTCCCCTCTCCTCCCAACTGCCTCTCAAGACGCGCGTTATACTGACTCCTCCTTTGCAGGTAAATCGAGCGTCCCAGTCCAACGCATCCCGCCCATCGGCCCATCGTATCACGACAGACTCCCGTCTCGTCCTCCATGCCTCGTAACGTTCATTTCCCCTCCCATCTGATCCTCAAGACGTGTCTTACTGACCTCTTTTCACAGGTAGACCATACCAGCCCGCCCATATCCTGGCTGAAGAGGGATCACTTGTGGTCTGGGTCCGCCAGAAGACTTGTGATACCCTTCCAGGTACGTGGATCCCCCTTCCTGCCACTCGGTCTCGTATGAGACTCGAGTTTCTCCACGCCTCGCCTCGACTTCATCACCCTCAACCACCACCAGCCTCTGGCTGAAGAGGGAACACTTGTGGTCCGGCTTGCCGGAAGACATGTGAACCCTTCCAGGTACGTGACTCCCCCTTCCTGCCACTCGGTCTCGTATGAGACTCGAGTTTCTCCACGCCTCGCCTCGACTTCATCACCCTCAACCACCACCAGCCTCAGGCTGAAGAGGGAACACTTGTGGTCCGGCTTGCCGGAAGACTTGTGAACCCTTCCAGGTACGTGACTCCCCTTCCCCTGCCACTCAGCCATCTCTTCGAGAGGCTCGAGTTTCTCCACGCCTCCAAAAACCTCAACCAACAACACCAGCCTACGGCTGAAGAGGGAACACTTGTGGTTCGGCTTGCCGGAAGACTTGTGAACCCTTCCAGGTACGTGACTCCCCCTCCCCTGCCACTCAGCCATCTCTTCGAGGGGCTCGAGTTTCTTCACCTCCAAACACCTCCACCAACAACACCAGCCCACGGCTGAAGAGGGCAAACCTGCCGTCTGGTCCACCGACCACCGACTCGTTCGTCCTATTCAGGTACGTGTCCCCCCTTCCTGCCACCCGGCCTCCCCCGAGGCTTTGGGTTTCTTGGGTCGCCCTCCAAGCGTAGCAATGCGGCCTCGTTGAACTCACTCAGCGGTAGATAGCAAATCCTGCCGCAAGGCAGGTACCTGGGGTGTTTTTGGAGGGACACTCTGGGTCTCCGACGACGAGCTCGCACCTCATCGTGGTGTTGGAGTCTAGTAGCCCTATGGGGTGAAGCTAAGACGAGCTCACTTTGTAGTGTATGTAGTGTATGTAGTGTATGTAGTGTATATAGTATATATAATTTAGATAGAGTAGATAGTATAAATAGAGTAAATAAAGTATATAGAGTAGATAGTATAAATACTTTAGAGTAAATAAAGTAGATAGAGTAGATAGAGTAGATAAAGTAGATAAAATAGATAGAGTAGATAAAATAGATAGAGTAAGTAGATTAAGTAGAGTAAGTAGAGTAGGTAGAGTAGGTAGAGTATGTAGAGTGGTAGAGTAGGTAGAGTAAGTAGAGTAAGTAGAGTAAGTAGAGTAATTAGAGTAGATAGAGTATGTAGAGTATGTAGTGGTTTAGAGCTCGCTGCGACCTCACCAGACTGGAATCCCACTATTAGAGAGATAGAAAATCCTGCTGCATGGCAGGTACCTGGTTGTGTTTGCAGGAACACACTGGGTCTCCGACGACAAGCTCGCACCTCATCGTGGTGTCGGAGTCTAGTAGCCCTACGGGGTGAAGCCAAGACGAGCTCACTTTGTATTCTCTGTATTTAGGGAGGTACTGGGTGGTGGCTTGCAAGTAATTACTTTTCTGTACATAGTATCCAGGGTTCGAACCCTCTTCATCCGCCGTGGTGTGCCGAGAGATATTCACAGTCTGTTCATCTCAGAGACCGTGTGTCTCGTAGAGTACGGTGATAGATGATACTATACTATAGCTTTCCTCGGGTCTGAAATCAATATCCAACTGAATGCCTCGGAGGATTCCAACATTGGGTCCATCCATATTCATTAATTTCCCCCTATTGCTACCTACTACAGTCACTGGAAATTTTCATCTCCATTCTCATTGAACTTCTCTGATATCCCCCTTTCTCTCTCCCTTTCTTCTTTCTTGTTTTATCATTTGTATTCTCATCACCGCCCCTTTACCATACTCTACGATTCATGAAGCACCCATCTTATATAAATCTCTACTGGTACCAAGTATATATTATCCAATGACTAGAGATGAGTAGATTGGGCTTTTTTTTTATTTTTTTTATTTTTTTTTCGGTCAAGTCTCTCAAATATTGCAAAAAAAAAAAAAAAAAAAAAACTTCGGCTACGCTACCACTTAGTAGCGGTATACACTGGGGGGCTACGTTAGTTATTCCGGCTCGTTTACTCTGCCGAGATTCGGCTCGGGCAAATATTCTGAATCGGAGGGCCAAGGTGATCGCGACATTGGGAACAAGGAAGGAAATCAGTGATGGGAATAAGTCCGACCAATACTTATAGTAGTACTTTAAGTATGCTTCCTGGTAGTGGGTCTCCCCGAGCACCGGTATATCACAAAGCTCCTTAGTACTTCTACTTCTATGTGTCAACAGCGCCATGTTCTTCAAAGCGATTCAGCTCTCTGATTTCTATCGATTTATGTACACGAGTAAGAGATACAGGATATCATGCAACCGGGCACCTCAGTCAAAACAAGTCTACTGTAACAAATACCACACAGACCACCAACCCACCACTCTATCCATCGCACCCGCCCACCAATCAACAAAACATGCGCTGACCAACTCCATAAACCGGTCCAGTCCGGTCCAGTCCAGTCCAGTCCAAAAGACAGCTTAAACCAACGCAGTAAACAATGCAGGAACGCAACGCAATGCACACGTATTCAACGTATCTACTGATATTCCCCCTCCGCCCCTTCTCTACCATCTACCTTCCCTCAAGCGACTCATTGCTAGTCGACACCGCCCGTCGTCCCCACCCACTGAACAGCCCGCCCCCGTTGGCCGGCTCGGCCGGCGCCTTCGTGGGCGGGACAGCCACAGTGGATGAACGGCCCAGGAACGAATGTCGAGGTTCCGGTGTGATTCCGTTCCGCGCCATGACCTTGCGCATGGAGTCCAGCTGGCCCTTGACTTCTTCGAGTTCCTGGCGCGCGACGGCTTCCGCGGTCTTTGCGTTGACGAGTTCGAGGAGGAGGGATTCGTCGGGGGCGGCGGCGGGTGTTTCGGAGGCGGGGGTTTCGGAGACAGGGGTTTCGGGGACGGGGGTGGGTTTGGTGTTGTTGTCTGAGGCGAGCATGGTCTGCATACCCAGGCTGCTGGATCGTTTTGCGAAGGTCTTTGTGCTCCGTTGGCTGAGCTGTGAGTTGGTGCGCACGAGCTTGAGTTCTCGGAGGCCCCCTGTGCCGGTGTATCCCTCGCTGGTGTCGCTGGTGGGGGAGGCGTAGGTTTCAGGGGACGAGTCGGGGTTGGAGTTGCGGGTCTTGGTTTTGATCGTGCGGAGCTCGCGCACCAATCGTTCCAGACGCTGGCGCTCGCGGTAGCTGTCTTGGATGCGGCCGCGGGCTTCGCGGAGTTCGTCGCGGAGGGAGGTGTTGGCCTTCTCGTGGTCGTCGATGCGTCGGGTCAGGCTCTTGCAGCGGCTGGATTCCTGGGCGTGCATTTCTTTCCACCGCGTGAGGTCGTCGCGGAGTTGGTGTTTGCTCTGGTCGGCACGCTTGGTGGATTCGACCATGGCGAAGCGCGCGTCGGCCTTGTGCACGAGATCCATGGGTGGATCGTCGGAGGTGTCTTTGATGTATTGGAGCATGGATTTGGCGAGGGCTTGGTCTTCTTCGCGCTCTTCGCGCTCCTGTTGCAGTTCCAGGGTGAGGTCGGCGTGTTGGCGTTGGAGGTCGCTGAGGGCCATGAGGAGGTCTTCGATTTGCGTGTGCAGGTCCCGGTCTTTGTGCTGTGACATGACCGATTTGACGCGCGGTTTGAGGGCATCGGTTGAGAGTTCTGTGGGCGCCGTGCTGGCGTCGGATGCCGATTCAACCGAGTTGAGGGTGGATGTCATGCTTTGCTTGGACGTGGAGCGTCGGATGCTGGCTACGTGGGCGGCGCTGGCGTTGTTGGGGTTCAGGGTGATGGATTTGGAGGAGCTGTGCGAGCTGGATCCTGCCCAAAGCCGGCCGAGGAAGCGAGATGCCGCAGCTTGCATCTGGGGGAAGGTGATGCCCGTCGGTACTCCCTGAGACTGGTTGTAGCTGGTTTCTAGAGCTTGAAGACTTTCTTTGGTGACGAGGGAGGTGAGAGAGACGAAGTCGTTGACAAAGTCTTCCGCGTGGCAGGCGTACCTATATATACAAATTAGTCGAATTCTTGGGATATGGGTTTGATCACCTACGTATCCCACAGACTCCTTGACAGCAACAGTTGCATGACATCTTCGAACTCGGCGCATGCCATGATTTTCTTCTCGTTTCGAGTCATCAGTGACAGAGCGACGCGCATCAGGGTCTCGCAGGCTCCCTCTAGGAAGATGACGTCGTAGATCCGGAGAAGCATTGGGAGCGGACATGCGACTGCGAAGAACGACAAGAACCATTGCGACACATAGACTGGTTCGACATTCAGCGACTCCAGGTGCGCAAATAAAGTGGGTCGAAGACGGGCAAGGAGGTTCTGGAATTGGTACACGCGGAGATGCAGCCCAGATAGATCGGGAAGGTAGCACGTCCGGAGGTCATAATGATCCATTAACCTGGGTCTGTTAGCAGCAGCTCCGTTGTAAATGCTGGGTGTAGACTCACCGAACAAGCACGCAGAATGCCTCAGCATCCGTCATGTGCATTAGCAAGGGGCCCACAACAAAACCCAGTCCCTGACAGTAGCCAATCTTCGTGTCGTAGAGGCTGAAGCACTTCAACACGCGCGCGAGCATCTGCTGTCCTTCGCCATTCGGGTCCCGGAACATCTCCACGTTGGGAAAGCTGCGACCGATGTCTTTGCCTATCAGTCCCTCATACGGACTCGTCTCGCCGCACAGTCGCTGGTACTCGGCCAACAACGTATTATCCCGGGCGCCCGCCAAGCTGGGCCACACCACACCACGCAGTGGAGGGGGGACACCACCCCTGATCTTGTTCGATGTCAACGTCGGCAATCGCTGGGCTGTCTGGGGGTAATCGGCGACCAAGGCGGCCCAAAACTCGAGTTCGGTCATTGGTGGGGGGGGAAGTTGCGAATACCGTAACGACGAACGGGGGTCCTCGTCAATCAATCGCTTGATATGATGCAGTGACTGGGAACGGGATGGTCGGGTTGCTCGCTTGACGTGCGACTTGCTCGCCAAGCCGGACTTGGGGTTCGTCGCAAGGGCGTTGTTTTCCTGCTCCAGCCGCGCCAGGAGAAGAGCGGTTGACTAAAACACGTCAACAACTGCGTCTCAATTTCTCGATTGTGTTACCAACCTCATCCGACCCTTCACATCGGGGTTCCTGCTCTTCGGTTTTCTCCAGCTCTTCCCAGTCCACGGTATCATCCTTTCTGTCGCGGTATTCGCTGTTGCGTGATCTTGTCGAGCTGGCATCACCGCGATTCGAGCTGGGTTCTAGGTCCGATCGCGCCAATTCCTGATCCTGAGTTGGCGTGATCTTCGAGTCATCTTCATCCGTTGCGGAATGCTCTCGTGTCGGGGACGTCACGTCAACGGGGGTCTTGGGAATGTCGAGGGTGCGCCAGTCGGGCTGTGTGTGTTCTGAGTTGGAGGTCAATGGCACGGTCACCATCGAGTCGGTATCGTTTGACCCGGTGGCGGTCGAGTCCGAGTGGACATGGGACGGGGTACGATCGGCGCTATCCATGGCCATTGCGTAGCTGATAGGGCTGTAACGGTCACTGCAAATGCCAAAGGCACATTCCTCGGGGAGGTCCAGACGTTAGGGGGGGAGGGGGGCGGAGGCGGCGGAGGGGTTAAATGAGCAGCCAGACGCGATAAGGAGAGCGAGTAGTCGAGGGAGGGGCCGTCAGTGACGACAGCATATCTTTCCGGCGTGGGAGCAATGGGGACCGGGGCGAGGGTCAAGAGAAAGGAATTGAGGCTGAGAAATAGGGTGGTGAGATTGACGAGGGGGCCGAAAAGCAGCGAAGAAGGGGGGGAAGTGGGAAGACGAGAGGGAGAAACGGCGGTGTTTTTGGTTTCAGGGCCGGATGGAGCGACGGCGGGCGGACTGGGCGGGTTATCAACTTAGGCAGTCTTAGCGTCGGGGACTACATTGGCCCTGCCGCCACTAACCTGTCAGGCTCAGGGGAAGCATTCGATCCAATTACCAATAACTCGTCCGCTCAGGGACTACCGCCGACTATTTATCCCTCCTCCTGTTCGGGGGCCAGTGAGTCCTCATGCACATGCCTCCAGCTGACGTTGCTCATCGACATCATCGAATCTGAATCTACATGTGCATCGTGCCCAACTGCATTCATTCCCCTGGGGCGGTTATCTATCAACTTATCTCTCCCTGATCAGGCCCGAGGTCGATCTCTCCGCATCGCGAACCATGGAATTGCCTGACCTTTTCGACCGAACCGCTGCTGCGTGAATCCCCAGGAGGTGTCTTCAGTCTTCATATCGTACCGTTGCTGCGCAATCTTAATATCCCGCGGGCCTGCCGTCTGTAGCTCGGGAGGACGATCCACGACCCATTTGGCGTAAATGGGTATTGTTGGAAGTTGTAAGCACATGATCCACCGCTGAATGACTCGCTGGGTGGGGGTCGGGAGGGGCGAGGTGAAGCGTCGGAAACTCACCCACAAACCTTGCTTGCTGCGATTTCGCGCATACGAGGAATGCGCAGTCTGCTCACTGATGGCTTATCTGGTCGATGTTCCAGGCGACGGCCCCTCGGCGTGTCGATGTGTGCAGCTGGGAAGCTTTCTGGCCAGTAGGGGAGCATTGCCGGTCGGCTTCCCCTGGCGGTATTATCAAACGTTCCATAACCGTTTCACCCTGGTCAAGGTGTGGTGCTCTGGGCTCCGATTGGTTGGGTGCTGACTGTAAGCGGCGGCGATTGGCTGATGTTTTACCCGCATCGTGGCTTACCGTACAGGACAACCTTCCACCCAGGATTCTAGAAGACCGCCGGATTCGATGCAAAGCGATCAATGGTGAAAGAGAGCATTGGACTAGTCTCCGAAGATAATGACTATTGGTATTATCTAGCCGTGAAAGAGATGCTGCTGTTTATAACCATCAATGGATTCTAAAACAAACCCACAAAGACACGATCCGAGTAGATGAGGTATCACGTTAGGACGCCCAAGGTTTGGTGGACAGAGAACTCCGGACATATATATTGAACCTTGGATTCAACGACATCTTCAACCGATAGAGAACCCCCTGATTAAGTTACAACACTTTTGAGAAAGAGATGGCTAGATTATCACGAACTCGATAGATCCCTACGCTTTAGTCAGGTTCAACTGAGAGGGAGCTGACCGGTTGGGGAGGTACTAGCAAAGTGCTCCGTACACCCTCCTCTGGTTGTCCAGGGTGATTCACTACAGTAGCCTCCGTGACAGCTGTCAGCCCATGGAGAGCAGTTTCTGGCCACAGCGAGGGGACAAAATCGCATGGCATCCCTTGGAGAGAGATGCAGATGATGCGAGTGTCGGGACGGGCTGCCCCTTTGTGCTAAGAATAAACGCGCCGGGGCGTGGCTTCCTTTTTCCCCTCCCCCGCGCCGTCCTTGCGTGTTTTGGTCGTGCCTTCCGCTTTGGGCCCGAGTGTTTGGAGTTTTCCCTTTTCGGCCGCTCCGGCGCCACTCTCCGCCGGCCTGATGTTGATCCGGGCCAGCTCGGCCGCGGCGGCAGGTTTCTGTTTCTGTTTCTTTGCGGCAGCCGTTGAATCGAGGGCGCGTCAACAAAGACTCCGGCAAACAACTCACGGTCGACAAAGGTAGCCTGCTTGGGGGTTTGGCTACTTTCTTTACTCACTTCCAATTTATTTCACTCCCTCTGCGACTGGGACGTGAACTTCCTCACTACTTTTGCTTCCTGAATTCCTCTGACCCTTCTGTCACTCCTTATCCCTCTTTACCTTAATTTCCCCCGTACACTCGCACGATCACTCACTCAAAATGGATGACTCTATGGTGGAATCCGCCTTCGAGGACGAGGATGTCTCTGACTTCCTCCCTGAGCCCGCTCCTGTACAGATCCATCTCCTGTTGCCCCTGCCGCCCCCGTGCTGACCAGAGCGCCATGACTGCAGAAACCCAAGGCGAAGGCGGCCCCCAAGAAGAAGCTCACCCAAACCAAACTGACCGCGAAGCCCACTGCAAAGGCTGCTTCTAAGAAGCGGGCCAAACCCGATACCGACGATGAGATAGACGACGGCGATGACAACATCTCCGGCGACGACTCCGTGTTATCTCACACCCCTCCCAAGAAGGCCAAGAAAGCGGCCGCCCCCGCCAAGAAGGCTGGCTCCAAGCCCCTCGCAGATCTGGAGAATGAATCATTTGGAAAGGACGGCTCAGTAGAGCCCGCAAAGGGAACCGACGTATCAGAGAAGTACCAGAAGGCAAGCACTCGTGACGTCGGTCGCCGTGTTTCTGACTAACACGTCTGGCTATATAGCTTACACAACTTGAACATATCATCAAACGTCCGGATACGTATATCGGTTCCATTGAACGCACATTGCAGCAAATGTGGGTTTATAGTTCGGAAACAGAGGGCATGGAGTTCCGTGAGGTCTCCTACGTGCCCGGTCTCTACAAGATCTTCGATGAAATTGTCGTCAACGCCGCCGACAACAAACAGAACGATGCGGGCATGGACGAAATTCGCGTGACCGTCGACCGGGAGTCGGGAGTTATCAGTGTCTGGAACAACGGCCGTGGTATTCCCATCGAAATGCACTCCAAAGAAAAGATCTACGTCCCCGAGCTGATCTTCGGTCACCTTTTGACCTCTTCCAACTACGACGATACCCAACAGAAGGTCACTGGTGGTCGTAACGGTTTCGGTGCCAAGCTGTGTAACGTGTTCTCGACCGAATTCTCGATCGAGACCCAAGATTCGCGGCAGAAGAAGAAGTATAGGCAGACATGGACCGACAACATGACCAAGATGGGCAAGGCCAAGATCACTGAGGCCAAGGGTGATGACTACACCAAGGTCACCTTCAAGCCAGACTACGCCAAGTTCGGCATGGATGGCATGGATGACGACTTTGAGGCCCTCGTGAAGCGTCGTGTGTATGATTTGGCGGGTACCGCGAAAGTCGCAGTCAAGTTGAATGGAACCCGTGTCCCCATCCGCAACTTCCGGAAATATATGGAGATGTATACCAAGGCTATCCGCAAGGAGCGCGGCGATAACGGCCCGGCCGCGAAGGACGAGATAATCACTTGCAGCCCCGACCCTCACTGGGAGATTGGATTCGCCGTTTCCGACGGCTCCTTCCAGCAGGTGTCGTTCGTCAACTCTATCGCGACCACTTCTGGCGGTTCCCACGTGAACTACATTGCGGATCAGATCTGTAACAAATTGGCCGACCAGGTCAAGAAGAAGAACAAGAACGGTGCTACTTTGAAGACGGCCCAGATTCGGAACCACATCTTCATCTTCGTCAACGCGCTGGTTGTCAACCCCGCGTTCACCTCTCAGACTAAGGAGCAGCTCACTACCAAACAGTCTCAGTTCGGTAGCAAGTGTGTGCTCGAAGAAGACTTCTACAAGAAGGTGCTGAAAACCGAAGTCATGTCGAACATCTTGCATTTCGCGCAGCAGAAGGCCGATCAGATGCTCAAGAAGACTGACGGTGGCCGACGCTCCCGTATGAACAACCCGAAGTTGACCGACGCCAACAAGGCCGGCACTAAGGACGGTCACCACTGCACGCTGATTCTGACGGAAGGTGACTCGGCAAAGGGCCTGGCCATGGCTGGACGAGCGGTGGTCGGACCGGATCTTTTCGGTGTCTTCCCCCTTCGAGGAAAGCTGCTCAACGTGCGTGATGCCTCATTCGACCAGATCTCGAAGAACGCGGAAATTCAGAACATCAAGAACTTCCTCGGACTGCAGCATAAGAAGGAATACACCGAGACTCGTGGTCTTCGGTACGGTCACTTGATGATCATGACTGATCAGGATCACGACGGTAGTCACATTAAGGGTTTGCTCATCAACTTCTTGCAGGCCCAGTTCCCAAGTCTGTTGAAGATCCCTGAGTTCTTGATCGAGTTCATCACGCCCATCGTGAAAATCTGGAAAGGTGACCCCAAGAATCCTACCAAGCAGCGCTCATTCTTCACCATGCCCGAGTATGAGGCGTGGAGGGAGGATCACAAGGATGAGCGTGGTTGGGATCACAAGTACTACAAGGGTTTGGGTACCAGCACCACTGAGGATGCTCAAGTCTACTTTCGCGACTTGGACCGTCACTTGAAGGAGTTCCATACGATGCAGGACAACGAGGCGGAACTGATCGAGCTGGCGTTCTCGAAGAAGAAGGCCGACGAGCGGAAGGAATGGCTGCGGCAGTTTAAGCCCGGAACCTTCTTGGATCACTCAGTTGAGAAGATCACCTACACCGACTTTATCAACAAGGAGCTTATCCTCTTCAGTATGGCGGATAACATCCGTTCTATTCCCTCAGTCGTGGATGGACTCAAGCCTGGTCAGCGTAAAGTCTTGTACACCTGTTTCCGTCGCAACCTGAAAAAGGATATGAAGGTTGTCGAGTTGGCTGGTCACGTTTCGGGTATGACTGCCTACCAGCACGGCGATACTTCGCTGCAGCAGACTATTGTGGGTCTCGCGCAGACCTTTGTCGGCTCCAACAACATCAACTGCCTCGAGCCTAGTGGCAATTTTGGTAGTCGTCTCCAGGGTGGTTCCGACTGTGCCAGTGCGCGTTATATCTACACTCGACTGTCTCCGTTCGCTCGTCGTATCTTCCAGACGGCCGATGAGCCCCTTCTGACCTACAACGAGGATGATGGTAAAAAGATCGAACCCGAGGTCTACATGCCCGTCGTTCCCATGATTCTGGTCAACGGTGCGGACGGTATCGGTACTGGTTGGAGTTCGTCGATTCCCAACTATAACCCCGAGGATATCGTGGACAACTTGAACCGGCTGATGGATGGTGAAGAACTCAAGCCTATGCAGCCCTGGTTCCGCGGTTTCACGGGCGAGGTCACCGCCATCGGTGGCGATCGCTTCAAGTTCAGTGGTATCATCAAGGAGACGGGCGAGAAGGAAGTGGAGATCACTGAACTTCCCATCCGGACCTGGACTCAGGATTTCAAGGACAAGCTTGAGGATATCATCAAGGCGGAGAAGACTCCCTCGTTCATCAAGGACTACAGGGATTACAACACCCACACCAAGGTCCACTTCGTTATCCAGATGGATGAGAAGCACATGAAGTCCGCCGTCACGGATGGCTTGGAGGAGAAGTTCAAGCTGACGAAGACAATCGCCACCACCAACCTGGTTGCATTTGACCCGGAAGGCCGCATCACGAAGTATGCCACGGTCGACGACATTCTCAAGGAGTTCTTCCATCTTCGTCTCAAGTTTTACGAGCGCCGCAAGGTAATTTTGTTCCCGTTCACTGTTCGCGGGCGTCTACTAACACGACACTAGCAACACCAACTCAACGAACTCCAGAAGGAGCTTGAAAAGCTGAGCAACCAGGCGCGATTCGTTCAGATGATTATCGACGGCGAACTTGTGGTCTCGAAGAAGAAGAAGACCGTTCTGGTTGTTGAGCTGAAAGAAAAGGGCTTCAAACCATTCCCCAAGGTGGCGGAAGCCCACAAGGCGGGTGAAATGGAGCCGGCGATGGAGGACGAGGAGGAAGACCCCGAGACCTCGCCAGACACCGAGAACCTTTCCAATGCATACGACTACCTGCTGGGTATGGCCATCTGGTCGCTGACTCAGGAGCGTGTGGAGCGCCTCCGCCGCCAGATTGGTGAAAAGGAGGTTGATATTGATACCTTGATCAAGCTCTCCAAGGAGGACATATGGAAGAAAGACTTGGAAGACTTCATCAATGAATGGCGATTCCAGCTTGAAGACGAAGCCCGCCGCATGCGCAAGGTCCAAAACATGGGCCGCCGCACTTCCGCCAAGTTGATGACGACCACCGGCCGTGGCGGAGGCCGCAAGCGCAAGGTCGCGGACGACGACGACGAAGACTTCGGTGTGCCCAAGACCAAGCGAGGCCCTAAGAAGGCCGAGCCGAAGGGAACTCTCCATAACTTCTTGAAGAAGCCTTCGCCCAAGCCTGCTGTCAAGGATGGCGATTCTGACGACGACTTTGACTTTGACATGGAGGTGATGCCGAAGAAGAGCCGAGGATCCGCTAAACCGACGCCTCAGCCCAAGGAAGAGGAGACGGCCGACTCGGACGTAGAAATCGTACCCAAGAAGAGTCGCGCAGCGCCCAAGTCGAAGGCAAAGGAGGAAGACACGGATGCGTCCGAGGTCAAGCCAGCACCGAAGCGGGGCCGAGCCGCAGCCAAGCCGAAAGCTAAGTCCGCGGATGATGATATGGACGACGACGATTTCATGGAGATCGCCAAGGCGCAAGCGGCGGAGGCTGCCCCGCCCACCAGCCGGGCCCGCAAGCCGGCCAAGTACACCATGAGTGACTCGGAGAGCGACAACGGCGATGACCTGCTGGGGGATGTGAGCAAGATGGTCAAGGGTATCGGCGGCACCGCGGGCGGGTCGACGTCGGACCGTCAGCTCTTCTCGGAACGGTCGCAGATTGGCGGCAGCTCGGGTCTTCCGACCAGCTCGAAGCCCTCCAAGCCGTCTCCCGACTTTGACGCGGACGAGACTGACTACAGCAAGCTTGTGCCGCAGAGCTCCCCCCGCCGGTCCCTGCACGTGAAGTCAAAGGACACAAAGGTTTTGGATGATAGCGAGGATGAGGAGGAACCCGTCAAGCCGGCTGCTTCTAAGGCTAAGCCAGCCGCCCGTGGTAAGGCTGCTGCGAAGGTGTTTGAATTCAGCGACGAGGACGAGGAGGAGCCTGTGAAGCCCGCCGCCACCAAGGCTAAGCCCGCCGCTAGGGGCAAGGCCGCAGCCGCCAAACCCGCCGCGAACGTGTTTGAATTCAGCGATGACGACGAGGAGGAGGAGGAGCCCGTGAAGCCCGCCGCCACCAAGGCTAAGCCCGCCGCCCGTGGCAAGGCTGCATCGACAGTGTTGGACGACAGTGACATCGAGGAGGAGGAGCCTGTGAAGCCCGCTGCAACCAAGGCTAAGCCCGCTGCGCGAGGCAAGGCCGCCGCCGCCAAGCCTGCCCCGAAGGCGCGTGGTCGGCCCAAGAAGGATGCTGTGTCGGCCGTGGCAGCGGAGAAGCCCGCGGCCCTGTCTCCGGCGGCCAAGGCGTACGCTTCGAAGCAGGCCAAGACGACCGCAGCCAACAAGAAGAAGCAGCTGGCGGACGATCTGTCGGACGATGATATTGATGCGATGGCGAATGACATTCTGGACTCTCCGGCAGCGGCGACGACCTCTCGGCCTGCGCGTCGTACTGCCACGGCGCAGAAGAAGACGTATGTAATTGACGATGACAGCGAGGGAGACTCTGGTGATGATTTTGAGGAGGACAGCGAGTAGATAATAGTGCTTTCTAGTGCTTGCTGATGCTTAGATCCGTCGTGATACATTGAGCATTTGGTGAAGCGATCACGATCATTGATGTACATTTACTTTTGTCTTGTTACTTCAGACCTGGTCAATTTGGATTCTTGTTTTTTGATTGAGCTTGTTGTCGTGTAGGTGGTTGCTTGCTCCAGTAGGGGGAGGGGTTCGTAAGAGGAGTAGTTATTAGGAGCAGAAGCGTCCCGTGTCTAGCACGCTGATGCGTTTGTTTCCCGTCGGAGACCGCGCGCGTCCTTCCTTCTCTTCCATCTCCTTTTTCCCATTATCTCCCCCACCTTTTCCCCATGCACGAAACATCGCCCCTTCTGGGTTCCCCCCGGCCATCCTCCCCTCCATCCCCACCCCCTCACTCATCCCTCATCCCTCTACCATGTCGCATTGCTCGGCATCTGCTGTTTCACCCTCACGGGGGCTTCATCCTTCCTCGACGTGCCCCTACTGCAACTCCTCGAGAACAACCTATGCCATCTAGACTCGAGCCTCGGCAAAACCGACCTCATTCAGTCCAAACTGGCCTACCTCAATGGCTCCCTCTCCATCGTCGAGGCTATCGTGGGTATCTAGGATCTATCTCGTCGGGCATAATTATAGCAAGAAGCTACGAGGCTGATTGAAGGGCACACACCGGTCTGGTCGCTGCTTTCCCCTTCGGTGTTTTGGCCGATATGTGAGTTGGCCATCATTCCCGTGCGATTTCTCATGTCGGATCAGAGACAGCCGTTAGATAGATCATAGATGGGGATTGCTTGAACCTGTATTGTGGCTGCCTACCGAGGATTGAGGCTCGAGCTGCAGGAGTTGGTAGCCACTGGCGTGTTGGAGGCAGAAGGTATCTCACCAGGCCTTGTATCATCTCCTATAGATCATTGTTCTTCCCACGTATTGAAACCCTTCTCCCTATTATCTTCCGAGTATCAACAGTTCGTGGTCGGGATCAGGGTCTAGATCTTCTCTGCATATTTACTGGGGATAATGACCCATGTTGCTGTCGAAGGAATCAGGCTGCCATCGACTAATGCGTTAGTGAGCTTTCCTTATCAAACGCCATTCCTTCGACTCGACCGACTACTTCATCCACCGTCCCCTTCAATCGTCCTCCTCCTACCGTGCTCTGAATGTTTTCTCTCATGCCACCATGACGACTTCCTCCGTGTCCAGCTGCCACGACAACTGGTTTGGCCCTGTCCTCGATTCCAGTTGTCGCGGAGGCTTCGACTTCACAGGTGCGCAAGTAGTTTGTCGTGCCTGCTCCATGCGCTGACTGCCCGTCCTTTAGTGCTTTTTGAAGCATCCATCTTGACCGTCACTCCCGCCGCTCTTTTCCTCCTGCTCGTGCCTCTTCGTCTATTCTATCTGGCCAAGCAGTCCCCCAAAGTACACGCGTCTACCATTCATGCGGCCACCCTGGTAGGTCTTTCTATTCGGTACCTCGGTACACAGAACTAAGCCGCCACTCGTTCCCAGGTTGTCGCTGCTATTTCAGCAGTCCTTCAGGTTGCTCTCCTCGCACTAGTCGCGACAAATCACGTCATCGAAGAGCGCATCTCGCTGGTGGGCGCCGTCCTCGAACTGCTCGCAGCGTTGGCCATAGTGATACTCGTCGACTTAGAACACATCCGATCCATTCGACCATCGTTCCTCGTTTCCGCCTATCTATTCACCACACTGCTTCTAGACCTCGCGCGCGTCCGGACCGCCTGGTTAATCCCAGAGAGCAGAGCATACTCCGCGTGTCTCACCACATCCGTCGCCCTCAAGCTGCTCCTCCTGGGACTCGAGAACGTCGAAAAGAGAAAATGGCTCCTGCCCGATGAGAAGTCGCGGTCTGGCGAGAGCATAAGCGGCCCCTTCAACCGGGGACTGTTCGCCTGGCTGAACGGGCTGCTGCGACAAGGCTACACCGTTCTGCTGACCGGCGAAGCTCTGCCAAATATTCACGAAAAGCTGGCGTCCAGCGATCTGTCGCGTCGGTTCTCGGACGCTTGGTCGAGCTGTGACCAGAGTCGTCAGAATGCGCTGCTTCTGGCCGTGATCAGGTGTCTCCGGTGGGAGATAGCTGGTATTGCGTTCCCACGGCTTTGTCTGGTGGGGTTTAATATCGCGCAGCCGTTTCTCGTGAGCAAGGTGGTTACAGTTCTGGAGGAGACGAACTCGCTGTCTCTGGATAAGGGATATGGGCTGATTGGGGCCACGGCAATTGTTTTCGTTGGTAATGCTGTAGGTCATACGTCTTGTTCTTCTGCCACGATCCACAGGACCTCGCCTTTTAGACCAGCGCTTACCATATCTCGCCTTCACTAGGTAGCCACCGCTTCGTACGAACACCTGGGATACCGTTCGACAACTATGATCCGTGGAGGTCTCATGGCGTTGGCATTCCAGCACATGATGGACCTACCTCTAGGAAGCACCGACGAGTCCAGTGCTATGTCCCTGATGGGCGCGGATATTGAAATGCTCGCCGAATACTTCCAGACTACCGTCTGCGAAACGTGGGCTAATGTTGTCCAGCTAGTACTGGCAGTCTGGCTCTTGGAGACTGAAGTAGGTGCCGTCTGTATTGCGCCCATTGTAGTGGTTATCGGTGAGTCTAATTCTCCTCCTCAATCGTGGACCCCATCTGACTATAGGGGGTTAGTCTTCACGGCCCTGTCTTTCGCTATGGGAAATGCCGTGTCGGTTCGGCAGAAATCGTGGCTTCAAGCCACTGAAAAGCGCATCAACTTCACCAGTGAAGTCATCGGGTCCATCCGAAATGTCAAATTTCTCGGCTTGACCGAGACCATGAGCGAAAGGATCGAGGCGTTGCGCATCAGCGAGCTTCAGATCTCGAAGAAGTTTCGTCGGGTCCAGTCTGCCCGTATCTGCATGGGTATGTTGTCTCAATCGAGCTTTTATGCTGCGAGTGTTCATGTGCTTCACGCTTGACCCTCGTCGCCTCCGATCAGGACAGAAGGCTGGCTGTGCAGCTCTCTAAACATTACATACTGATAAGTCCCAGTCAATCTTCCCCAAATTGTTGGACAGCTTGGAACCTTCGGGGCCTATGCTATAGTGGCTAAGGTGCAAGGTTCTGGCGGTCTTTCAGTCTCGCAGGCTATCACCTCCCTGTCGCTGATTAACCTGCTGATCAACCCGCTTCGGATTCTCATGCGAGCGATTCCGGACACGTTCGCTTCGATGGGATGTCTGCATCGTGTAGAGGACTTTCTGAGACAAACGAATCGGCTGGGTGAGTCTCGACTCCCCTTCGGCCTAGCGAGATCTAACAGTGATGGACAGACAAGAGACAGATCCCTCGGTTGGAAGTAGTCCCATCCAGTCCGCCCACTAGTGTATCTGATATCGAACTGTCTCACCTTCCGCCCAACGGCGCAAAGGGCAGCTTCGCTCTAGGAACTCAACCCGATAGCGTTATATCTCTGCAGAATGTTCGCTTTGGCTGGAAGCCCTCTTCACTGGACCGGGCTGGTCTCACGCTCAACATCGCGGCCTCTCCCTCGGGTAGTCTTATCGCGATTGTCGGTGCGGTAGGCAGTGGCAAGTCGACCTTCCTCAAAGGCCTCGCAGGTGAGACGTCGCTGCTCGAGGGCGATTTGTTTGTCAAGTACCCAGACCTCGCCTTCTGCGACCAATCTCCGTGGCTGTCCAATGCCTCAATCCGTGAGAACATTATCGGCGCACACTCGCCCCTTGACTTTGATGCGGCCTGGTATCGCACCGTGGTGAGCGCCTGCGCGCTGGACTTGGATGTTCAGAGGATGCCAGCAGGCGATAGGACATTGGTGGGTAGCAAAGGTGCCAAACTCAGTGGAGGGCAGAAACAGAGAATCGTAAGTGATCCGTCTCCGCCAGTAACACCTGCTTACATCTTGTCTAGGCTATCGCGCGAGCCGTCTATGCCCGCAAGCGCATCGCCTGCTTCGATGACGTCCTAAGCGGTCTGGATAACGCGACTGGCCGACTAGTGTTTAATAACGTCTTTGGCCCGGCCGGTTTGCTACGTCGGCTGGGTTGTCTTGTGTTCTTGGCTACTCACAGTGTTCATCACCTACCCCAAGCGGATTCGATTATTGTACTGGAAGACGGTCAGGTCTTGGAGCAGGGTAGTTATATTCAGCTCCGGAGCAAGCCCGGAGGCTATGTCCAGCGCCTGAGCATCCATCTCGGACAGACCGATGACATCGAGGGACCAGGGGATGATCAGCCACCACGGTCAGAAGAAACCGGTCCTGTGGATGGACCGACCCAAGCCGATGGAGGTCGGCAGACCACCGACTTGGCTGTGTACAAGTAATATTTCTCTGCACTCGGCTGGCTGCGCGTGTTCGTGTTGGCTTTTTTCTTGCTTGTTCAAGCCGGTGTTGGCGGATTCCGCGACATCTGGATCGAGCTGTGGGCCTCTAGTAGCGACAGCGCCTGGGACTCGCGACTGGGCTACTGGCTCGGGCTGTATGGGGTCTTTTCCTTTCTCGAAGCCAGCGGCATTGCCCTTGCGGTGTACTGGGTTTGGGTGGTTATTGTCCCAACAGCGTCAAAAAATCTGCATTCGACCGTGCTGCGGGCCTGCATGGGGGCTCCGTTCTCCTTCCTGTCGAACGTCGAGACCGGGGCTCTTGTGACGCGTTTCAGCCAGGACATGAGGCTAGTCGACATGACCTTGCCGGGGGGGGTTATCTCAACGGGATTCCAGCTGACTGGGACCCTTGCTCAAGGCGCTATCGCCATCGCCTCGCTGCCCTATCTGGCTGCAACGTTGCCTTTTCTCGTCGGGTTGTTGGTTCTGATCCAGCGCTTTTACCTGCGCACATCTCGCCAACTGCGGTTGCTTGAGTACGTTGCCCTTACTTGATTGGGCATTCTTTCTACTCTACTGATAACTTCCAGGATCGAGCTGAAGAGCCCTCTGTACACCCACTTCATCGAATCCCTCGCTGGCGTCACCACCATCCGTGCCTTCTCTTGGACCCGCGCCTACACATCCCGGATGTTCTCCAAGCTCGATGAGGCCCAAAGACCCTACTATCTCCTGTTATGTATACAACGCTGGCTCGACCTGGTCTTGAACCTCGTTGTCGCTGCGCTCACGGTACTGATGGTGGGCGCTGCGGTGGCCCTGCGCAGACATATCGATCCAGGTCTGCTAGGTATTGCTCTCCTCATGATGATGGATCTAGGACAGACTCTGTCGGCACTGATCCAGGGCTGGACACTCCTCGAGACATCATTGGGCGCGATTGCCAGAATTAAGGACTTCGTTGAAGACACCCCGAAAGAGGACACCACAACGCCCGAGCAAGCACCACACCCGGAATGGCCCAGCCGCGGCGCGATCACATTCTCCAACGCAACCATCTCGTACAGCTCAGACCAAACTAATCCCGTACTGCACGACATCCATCTCCAGATCCAGGCCGGTCAGAAGATTGGACTCTGCGGCCGGACTGGAAGGTAAGCACCTCCCCCAACCCACAACTCAATTCCCACGACCAAACCACCCCTAACCTCCCACACCCACAGCGGAAAGAGCTCCCTCGCGCTCTCCCTCCTCCGTCTCAACGAGCTCGTATCCGGCCAAATTCTCATCGACAGCCAAGACATCAGCGTGATCCCGCGGTCCTTAGTCCGCCAGCGAATCAGCGGCCTCAGTCAAGACCCGTTCCTCTTCCCCGGGACTGTCCGCCAAAACGCCGATCCTCTAGACACCGCGACAGATAGCGACATCATCACCGCCCTGGAATGCGTGGGGGTCTGGGATGCGCTGGTCTCTGCGTCTGCATCTGCGTCTGCGTCTGTATCCAACGGGGCAGAATCGCCTCTCGACACGCCCCTCAATGAAACCACCCTCTCACAGGGTCAAAAGCAGCTGTTTAGTCTGGCAAGGGCACTACTTACGAAGAGCAAAATTTTGATTCTGGATGAGCCGACGAGCAGGTATGTTCTATGTTCCCCCCCTCTCCCTCTCCCTCTCATATGCATTATGCATTCCACGTTACAACCCATCCTACATAAGTGTATGCTCTGTATGTACGTATACTAACAACCAACCAATTGCCGTCGGTGTCGATAGTCTGGACGCCGAAACCGACGCCACAGTCCAGACCGTCATCCGGGAGGCCTTCCGCGATTGCACGGTCATCATGGTCGCTCACCGGATTCATACCCTTCTGGATATGGATCTGGTGGCGGTTATGGATGGTGGGCGGCTCGTGGAGGTGGGGGCTCCGCGGGATTTGTTGGAGAGGCCGGAGGGCGCTTTTGCGAGGTTGTTGCGGTTGGAGGCGGGGGTGTAGCCAGTCAGTCCACTGGGCGGGGTGTTTATCTTTTTTTTTTTTTACTTTTTCTTTGGGGGGGGAGGGGGTTAATTTTGGGGGAATTGCTTTGGTGATAGTACATAGTATTTAATTATGAACTTGGAGCAAACTTTTGTATAAAAAAAAAAAAACGGAAATTAACTCTATAATTTTCATCAAAGAACAGGAAAAGCTGGATATGTTTTGAGTGGGGGCGGGGGGGGGGGAAGGGTCTGATCTACTCACCGCAGGGACCAAGCTCGTAAGACGGGTAAAGTATAGTACTATGTATATGTATATGTATGATATGTACTATGGATTTACTTTTACTTTCAGTTTACTCACATGCTGCAAGCGGTAGGTATACGTATAGAAAAAAAAAATCATATCTCAAGTTGAGATTCCCAAAGGCAAACAAACCTGTAGTTATCTGACCGGTAGTTACTTTAGTTAGTAGTTAGTACTTGGTACTAACTGATCTAGACATCCCCCCCCCCCCCCCAACCCCAAAAAAAAAAACATAAATCCAACTACTACATGATCACGGTACGCTACATCACCCACCCCCTAAACAAACATAAGCAAAAGCCCAAACTATAATATTACCATTACCCATAATTTTAATCTAAAGATATCTAAATCTAAGTCTCATCTATATCTCATCTAACATCCGTAATTTTTTTGTTTGTTTCTCTTTCTCTCTGTCTGTCTCTCCAACGCCCATTACCCCATCCTCCATCTCCACCTCCACCTCCACCTCCACCTCCACACAAAATACCCCCCAGACCAGACCCAACCAGACCCAACCAGACCCAACCAGACCCAACCGCCTAAACCTAAACCTAAACCTAAACCGCATACTTACTCCAGCCCCTAATAACAGTCCCATAGCGATAAAACACATACGGCACAGGCGTCATCAGCGCACTGATCGCGCCCAGGATAGTAAGCGTATAATGCACGCCCATGTTGCTGTAGAACGGAATGCCGACGACGGTCATGCCACCGGCAGCGCAGTAGCGCGACACGGTCATAAATCCTAGCGCGGAGGCGGCGTAGATGTCGTAGGCGTCGATGACGTACATGTACGAGGAGATGAAGACGCAGATGGTGCCGAAGCCGAAGAGCGTGCTTGCCAATATGGGGGACCAGATGGATATGGAGGACTGGGTTTTGGTTAGTATGTTTTGATGGTTGATGGTTGAAGGAGAGAGGGTGGTTCAGTGTGTTATAAGAAGTGATGGGGGCGGGGGGGGGGGGGGGGGAAGGGACGTACATAATCCGTCCAACCCATCCAGAATAACCCGATCGGGATCCCCGGAGCACCTAGCATGGCGAACCAGAGACGGTTTTCTGGACGAGCGATATGCAGGTGAGCCTCTTTCTCGGGAGCGTTTGCATTCGGGTCCACGTCTGCCTCAGCGACCATCTCCGAGCTGGGGGCTCGCGAGACGGCAGCTGACGCCGCAGCGTCTTTGAATTCTCGCTTCGTCCAGATATAAACCACCGGGACGAACAGCCCCGCGAGTGAAATACCCACGTACATGGCTACCCAGACGATGTTGGTCAGTCCCTGCGAGAGGCCGTGCACGTCGCTGAAGATGTATGTGTAACCATCGAAGAAGGTGAACAGCACGATGTAGATGACGGTCATGTAGAGGGCGATCAGCAGGATGATGGGCTCGGAGATGGTGAGCGCGAACTGGCGCATGCAGGCGGTTCCGATGCGCGAGAACAGCGCCGTCTTCTGCAAGTCCATGGGGGATCGGTAGCGGTCGTCGCCGGTGATGTGGCGGAGGTGGTGGGCCTTCCATTTCAGGAGCAGCGGGCCGTAGGTCTCTGGCTGTAGGAAAACAATCAGGGCGAAGATGAGACCCGCGAGGATCAGGATAATCCAGTTAGTCCAGCGCCAGGAAAGGGTTCCTTCTCCCATGTAAGATGCGATGACGGGGCCCAGGACGGGGCCGCCGAAAGAAAGCACCGCGTAGAGCGGGAAGAAGAGCGTCTTCTCGAGCGGGTTCCACAGATCGGCGATGGTGCCACCCGCGCAGGTCAACGGCGGACAGCCGAAGATGCCCGCCAGGAAGCGAAAGGCGAGCTGCGCGCCGATGTTGGGCGCGAGACCGGATGCCATCACGAAGATCATGAACAGCGTGAGAGAGCCCATGTAGACGGCGTTTCGGCCGAGGATTTCGGAGAGCGGACCGGAGACGAGAGACCCGGCGGCGAAGCCGAGCAGGTATGTGCCCGTTGCGAGAGAGGCGACTACATCGCTGACGTGGAAGGCGGCTGCGTTTTGGGGGAGGACGCCGGATTCGATGGACGAGGCGGCACCGACGGCGAAGCCGAGAGCTGAGACGATGAGGGTCGCGCAGATGCGGGTTGTCCGGGAGTAGTTGCGAGGGTTCATGGGGTCGTGGTCGTGTTCCCAGTCGACCAGGAGGACGGACGAGGACGTGCCATCGTCGTCGACGACGTCCTTCAGCTGCACGCCCGGCAGCAGCGGGCTGGGACGACGGTGCTGCGAGTCCTTGTCGCTGGTCTCCCCGGGGAGGTCATCTTTTGTGGCTTCCGGCCGGGAGAACTCGGGGTATTCTTCCAGCTGTCGGCGCACCGCGTGGCCGATGCGGCGGTATTGAAGATAGGCCTGCATGGGGGGAGTCAGTGGGTGCACAGAAGACGAAAAAAGGGGAGGAGGGGGCACAACCTGGGAAAATATGGAGGATAAGAACCCCGGACGAGAGTGACGCTGACGCTGAATAATGGGTCGTTCTCGGGCGATAACGCCGACGTCCAGGCCAACGGCGATCGTCCAGAAGGCGTGCCAGGGCGAACACCGTGAAGAGGCGTGAAAAAAAGCAAGAGGTCAGCATACAACAGTGGGACCTCGAGGCGTTTGATGGATGTGAGTGGATAGCAGTGGAATGTTGGGTGGAAATGAGTGGAGCCGCGGTGGATCTCGCGTCGCTTCTGACTCAGCAGGGCTCGGCCTTGTGGCCGATTTCCTGTCCGTCGGAACGAGCGAACCCCGATTTCTACCCCGAATTTCCTCCCCAAGATGCTTTTCTTCCCCGACTGGAGATGAATCCGATACTTGGCATTTGGCTTGGCAATAATGGACTGAGTTGCGTTGATCTGGGAATGACGTGGATAGAAGAAGAGCACGGGGTATTCGATTCGAGATCATCATAACAATTGTGTGTAGCAATTAACTAGATATTATCCTGTGACAGAACTGTCACTGTGGGTCACATGATTCCAGTCATGTGATCTGCCTCCCCCCACACATCCTCCCATTGGTCGAGATGGGGACGGTTACACAACCACCACGCCAAGAAGGATGTATCGAATTCCCCGCCCCTCTCAGCCATCCAACATGGCCAGATAGTTATGTCCAGAGCAGAGATTGCACTCCTTGTCAGATACAATGGTTATAACTACAATCTAGACAGCAAACGTGCTTTTCACTTTCTGGTTTATTAACGCCAAACTCCTAACATAAGAGAATCCAAGTACTGTTTTCCTTGACTGAACCTCCCACCAAAAGGCCATGAACAAAAGACACCCTCTCGCGCCAATAAGCCACGAAGAAAATAGAAGACGGATCCCCACTCGAAATGAGAACGAATGAAATACGGTGCCCGTTTAAAACAACACCGATGAATGCGAGAAGAAATCCCAAACCAGAACGTATGTGAAAATGAAAGAATGAATGTTTTTTTCCCGACTGATCCTCTCCACCAAGACGCCGGGTGACATGCTGTATTTTTTTTTTTTTTTGGATGCTTGATATGCTTTTGTGTATTGAGGGTGGGGAAGGGGGCAACAAAAACAAGAATGAACACAAGAATGACCAAGAACGACCAAGAATTGCAGACCCGAAATAAAAGGGAAGAGAGAAAAAGGTAAGTAATGGATGTAATGGTGGAAGAGAGAACACGTGAATCGCGGGATAGAAAAGACCCAGATGGGGAGGATACTCAGATAGATCAATTCACCTCCATCTCATCCCCAGCCTCCGATCCGCCGTCGCTCACACGTCCATGATCAACGGCTTCTCGCGGGCCCCGGCTCATCGTGATCAACATATCCGCCGCGTCCACATCCTCAACAGTCACTGGCGCCTTAAACACTGGAGCCCTGCGCAACAGCAAATGCTCCATGGCCGTGAGCAACGCTCGGGCTGCCCCACTGCGTTCCTCAAACAGCGCCGAGGGATCTTCACCCCTCTGCTTCAGCTTCTGCCGTGGGGAATGCGGATCGATCGTGCCGTTAGAGGAGCAGTCATCTTCCGATATGTCGACATAGACGTCGCTATCGGAATCTTCTTCAGGGGCAGCCTCGAGGTCATCGATCATCGTCCACGGAGTCGCCATACCGGTGTCGATATCGTCGGTCAGGGAGGGCGAGGCAGTGATGCGACTCGTGGCATCCGTGCTGCGCCTTCTGGCGGTGTTGATCGCGGTGAAGCCGTTCGAGTTGGAACTGTTACTTGGAGAGACACAACGTGAGACCCAGGGGATGAACGTGGATGGGATCTGGTAGGGTGAGGGGTAGGAATACCTTTCCTCATCTCTAGGACTGGAGCTGGGGGCTGGGGTTGGAAGGTACTGCGGTCTGTCTTGCGAGCCCAGCTCCATGCTGCGGAAGGTCCGGGATAGAAACGTGGCACGCTCGACGGCCTTCTTAGGTATGCGATAGTTACCGAAGTCTTTGTGGCCCTTAGGGATGCAAATTGAGGGGAAGTCGGTACCGAAGACCGGGGTGAGGGCGTGGCGGATCTTCCAGCAGAAGGTCGCAGCGAGCTCTCTGGCGGCCTCCCATGGCACCCAGTATCCTAAGCATTCATCGTTAGTGGTTGCGGCTGGTATGGGTTGGAGGCAGCGTGGGTACCTTGTCCGAGAAGGTTGCCGCCCGTGATGCTATAGCTGATCCGTGCTAGGTCCAGGTTTTGTCTCATCGCCTTCGCGGGCTCGGTCTATACCCGTTAGCTTTGGTGGACTATAAGATGGGATGCCATGCACCTTAGGCTTATCGCAGGCCCTGAAGATGTGCGTCGTTCGGACGAGCCCGATGTTGTAGTCCCATATCACTACCCACGTTTTGTCTTTCCCGGGTACCTGGAACGTGTAATGGAACACTATCCGGTCAGCGTGCGTTGTGTGGGGATGGTTGGCTGGCTCACCTTCGAGGACTTCCCGTCCCGTACCCTCCGTTAACAGTCGCTTCTTGCTCTTATAGGGGATACGGGATGGATAATTCCCAATATTCCGAGATGGATACATGTTGAACTCCCGATGGATCCTCTCCAGCTCCTCGCTCCGTTCCTCGCAGGGAGGATATCGCACCTCGCCATAGGTTTCACGATTCACGAAGACTGGCTGGTCTGAAGCCTTCGACTTACCACCAGACATCTTCTTGGTGTCCTTCTGCTTTCTGGGACCCTTCTGTCTGGGATCCTTCGACCTCTTGCCGATGGGCGACCGAGGTGGCGATCGGGAGGGCAGCGAGCTCGACGATCTCGTCATGGGAGGAGTTGACGACCTTCGGTCAAGACGAGGACGAGTATTCATGGAGTTAGGGAAGGGAAGCTCCAAGGAAGGAATAGGGTCATCAGGCTCAGTCGGATTGACCAAGGAGGATATCGATATGCGCGTCATCATGGTGAAGTATTCGAGGAAGCAGGGAAGGAAAGCGATGAAGAAAGAAAAGTGACAGGTACAAGAACTGAGGAAGCAGGAGGGAGAAGTGAACCGGGAGAAGAGAAGAATGAGAGATGAAGATGGGGTGGAAAGGAAGAACGAGAAGAGAAGAGAGAAGAGAAGAGAGAAGAGAAGAGAGAAGAGAAGAGAGAAGAGAAGAGAGAAGAGGGTTGAAATAGTGCAAGCAGAGACAGGCAGCGACAAGAAGCCAACCGTTTTGGGCAATATGGAGGTTCAAGATTGCAGCGATTGGTGTGCAGGAAGCTGTATGGGAGGTTGGGCCCAGGTCCCAGTGACTAGTCAAAGAAATAAAGAAAGCCCCCATTTCGTCCGGATTTATCTAGAGCGGTCCCATTCGGGTCCAAGCCAGCGGCTGGCACCAGTCTGCTTCCAGACGTTCGGCCAGATGTCTTGGATGCCCGTATGGTACTTTCAGACAGTCCCGTTCACCGGTCTGGCGAATCCTGGCGAAGAGCCCAGGCATGGTCAGTCCTGCTGGCCACGGGAGATCCCCCAGATGTCATTTTACATCCCTGCTGCCGTTCCATTAGGGCCAGACGATCACTTTTGACAGTGTGGGTCTTAATCCGGGGACGGGAAATAAAATAAAAATAAAAATAAAAATAAGCGGTCTCGCCAGATACGCAGGGAACCGTCTTCTGCAGCTACAGAATATCAAAAAGCCAGAAAGGCAGTAGACCCCGCTTCTTCAACTCTGCTGGGGCTGGAAGTGAAGATTCTGGACAACGGGCCTTCGTTCCATACCAGAGTCTTTCGAAATGCACGCCCATTGCCCGCAGTCCGTGCAGACGAACTGAAAAGGGGGTGTGAGTCCAGAAAAACCTAAACGGGTGTCTACAGGCCACCTTCGCTGTCCTCGTCTGACGTCTGTCGGTTCGACACCTTGACGTTTGCCATTCTTGGCTCTGTGGATTTTGAATCGGAAGCAACCGTGGCTCCGTCGCTGTCAGAACTCGAAAAGCCGAGTATCTTGCTTATAACGGTGAAGAGCACTGCTGTATGAAAGATAGAAACCCGAGGCGGGAGGCTACAGCGTAGGCGGCCAATCAGTCACGGATCGGATTCCTTTGCCTGGCGGTCGAAAAGAAGTACGTCGTACGGTTTCAAGGCCATAATCCCGACATTACATGACATGGGGACCAGAAAGCGATGCCCCCCAAGAACGAACCCCGAATGCCTTTTTTTTTTTTTTTGTTTTTTTTGCTTGCCACTCTGGATGGCAGACAGCCTCAGCAAGTCAGAGAGTTGCATAGCCAGTTCAGGCATCGACGCCATCCGCACGCCAGTGGTGGTGTTTCACCTCCGACGGTCTGGCCGCGCAATCCGCCCAGCCATGCGCTCTGTACTCGCTGTCTGGGAAAGTCTGAACCCCGGTAGGGACGCCGAATCGCAGACTGCGGAGCATAGAAAAACTTATTGATCCTTCGCGAACGTTCGATGGTCCACTGTGGCGGCTTCACAGTAGTCCTCGTCTCACATGTTGTTGGCAGGAGCCTGGGGTTCTCTGCTACTGTTTTCTTTCGATAGTCTGCGTGTAGCGGAGGGACGGGGAGACAGAACAGCTCGCTGGGAAATATCGTGAAAGAGAATGGGGCCTATGACAATGTAGTCAACGGTCCAGACCAGTAAAAGGAGGTCTGAGAATGAGAATGTTCCATACAATGAACTGGGCAGGACTGGACAAAGCCCTGCCGATAAGGTGCTGGGGCTAGTTGAAAGGATCAAGAACGGTGTTCCGTCCGGCTTGCTTGGCCACTATGGTGGCCGACCCTGGCGCTGGCTGCGCAATTGTAGCTCTGGGTTGTTGGTTGCACAGCCGCCACCTCTCCTCAGCCAGAGGCAGAGACGGTGTAGAAGTAGAGAGTCATGATTCCTGTGTTCCAATGCAGTCTCGAGGGGGGAGTCTTGATATTTGCATCTCTCTTGCTTCTCCCGTCGGACCAGTGGATTGAGTCATTGGCTAATGGCCATTAATTATCAATCGCTCAATTGACAGCACCGATGGAACGGACGATCTGCAGCTAGCATCTTCTTGTCGCCTGAGGTGCTTGGCCAATCCACACTCTTGCGGGTGCCGAAGAGATATCGACAGCACCATCTGTCCTGACGTCCCAAACATAATTAACGGTTGAGTTGAATGGATATCATGACCAAACAAAGTTCTCCCTCTTCGCCCCCCCCCCCTTCCCCCCGGCGCCAGCCCGGGGGGTTTCGATCTGTAATTGGGCAGATGCCCCATTCCATCATCAAACGTCATGCACGTGCCCAACCCCCTCCCTCAAGGGCAAATCGACGTATGCCCAAATCAAAAGCTCTCGCTCACCAACGTCATGGCATCATGACATCATGGCACCAGGTATTGGCACTTGCCCAATGCCAGTGAGGGGACGGGTCTTGGCTATTCCCACTTGCATGAAGGGGAGAGGAGAAGACAGAGGAGAAGAATGAGGCAGTTACTATACTTTACCTCCCGCGCAACTCCCAGTCCTGTATCACCTTACTGGCATCAACAACATGTAAACCAAATGAGATACCACCCGAATACAGTCTTTGTAACAGGACCGGAGGGGACTTTGATGGCACGTGGGGGTTGTGACCAACCCACTCCACACTCATTCGACTGCCAGCCCGCCAGACATCCAGCTATACATCCATCCATTTACTCTGTATTCACCCGTATTTATTTATGCATACATTCATTGAAATAAAGAACCCAGGACCCTCGAACCCAATCTGATCGGATCTGGATCTGGATCTGGATCCACTCTGCTGATGGCGCATATCACGCATGGCCAATCAGTAGCCCACCTACCCCACCCAGTAGTTAGTTATACCAGTCTATCTACCTACTATAAGCAACGCCCCCTCCCCCTCCTTTGAATGTCCGGACACCTGGACCCACTCAGAGCGTCCGAGACAAGGTCCAACAAGAAGACACTTATCCGTATCTACATCAACATCTACATCCACACCCTGTTAGCGGTGATAGCGATGATAGCGGTGGTAGCGGTGATAGCGATGGTTTAGTCGTCTTGCCATAGCCGTGACCGCCCGGGTATCTCAGCTGGGATCAGAACACCGGTACTTTTCTATTTTAGTTCTGATCTGACAGACGAAAAAGACCACTCGGCTTTTAGACACCTAAGTATAAGAGTAGGCGTGATACTGAATGATACTGCAGCCGAGCAAAATCCACCCCCCAAGTAGTAGTAGTAGTAGTAGTAGTAGTAGTAGTAGTAGTAGTAGTAGTAGTAGTAGTATTAGTAGTAGTAGTATTAGTATTCGTAGTAGCAGCAGCAGCAGCAGCAGCAGTAACCCCCCCCCCCAAGCAACCACAATTATCCCATATCCCATGAATCAACCAATCCAAACCAACCACTCCTTCACGATCCCCCATTCTCTCCTGCACACATCTCCACTCCCACTCTCCACCGTCCACACAGCCAGACAGAAACACTCATTCATACCCATAGCAACCGCATACAACATACAAAAACACACATACTAAGTAAAGAAGCAATCATTGACAGATACACAGCGTCCCATCCTGCCATGCCGCACAGCACGAAAGGCTTCAGTCTCATGTTCATTGTTCATGTCTGTCTGTAACAATATCAGTATACTCGCCACCGCTGCGGTGTCGGATTGTCTGGTGCGGTGTGGATTGTCTGTTGCGGTGTGGAGGTGTGGAGGTGTGGAGGTGTGGCGAGGGACGACAGATGCTGGGTTTGGGATGGGGATCGGGATGGGGATTGGGATTGGGATTGGGATTGGCGCGCAAGAACTGACCCCTGCAAGTAGCCATGGAACAAACTTCACCGGTCTTTAGTGCCGGGGAGGAGGGCAGGGATGAGCAGGGGTCGGAGGTCGGAAATGAGTTGCGACGATGCACGGGCGTGGTGACAGAGGAGAAGGGGAAGGGGAAGGCCAAGGGCAAGGGAAGGGGGGGGGTGTAACTGAAAGGGAACACAGGATGGCGTACTTTTGGAGTGGAAGGTGGGAATGGCATGTTTGAGGTTTCAATTGGGTCGGGGGATGGAGGGAAGACTGAAGATGATAAAGCGGATGATGAATCAATTGTATTCCCAAATAACGACGCATACATGCATTAAGTGATGCCTGATATAGCTGGAATGGAACACGCAACCAATATTCCCCAGAAACGCCAGACCCCCGGCCATGCCATCCGTCCATCCTGCCACCCTATTGTCTGCGGAAAATGGCCATCCCAAAGTAAGTGAGTCATGAAGTGAAAGGAAAGAAAAAGATTGCAACATCAATTGCCAAAGGTCCAGCCGCCGTTCAGACGCAGCCGCTGTCGCTCAGCCAGATCGCGCCGGATCTCGTCCTGCGTCAGTCCATCGGCCCCCGACCAGTTCGCGCTGCTCGTGCGGTCGCGGAACTTCTTCACCCTCTTGTCCGACTTGAACGTCTCCTCCAGGGAGAACGGCGCGATGGGCCCGAAGATCGAATCCACCTCCATGCCCTCTTGCTGCCGCAGCAGGGAGTCCAGCTCCTTGGCCTGCGCCCACTTGGGCACCGGAAGCATCTCCGCGTCCGAGTCTTCGTCCTCGCTGTCCGTCGCAATCTCGGGAAGGTTGATGTTCTCGCCGTTCGGGTAGTTTGGCGACTCCTTCACCGGCGCTTTCTGCGACGCACTGGGCGCGGGTGTCCGATGCGCTGCGGGCTGTGGGGCCGCTTCCGCGAAGGGAATCTTGCCGCTGGTGTACTTGGCCATATCGAGCGGGTGTCCGGGCCGCGGCGCTTGGGCCGTCTTGAAGATCGAGGACCCCGGCTGGTGTGCCGCAGACGTTTGTCCATGTCCAAAGATGGAGGGCTTCGTAGTTACACGGTCAGCAGAGCTCAATGTCAGCTTCAAAGGCGTACCACTCACCTTGCGGATGTTTGACTGGCGGATCGGCGGAGCCATTGCCGGTCGCATGGAAGACATGCGACTTTGCTCGTCCTCTGTCCTCCGGCGCTTGGACTCGCCCGCGGGCTGCATCGTAGCCGTCTTGGGTGCCGTGGGCCGGTGGCTGGTCTCCTCTTCAAGGCCTCTCTTGGGCGGCTTGGCGGGATTCGGCTGGGGCGGGTTAATCGACCGGTTGAATGGCTGGATGGATCCCAGTCGCGAGGCCGGTCGAGCTGCTCCGAGAGGAGCCTCGGGCTGTTGGCTTCCTTGTCTTTCGAGTCGTCGTTGGTTCTCCAGGCGCCGCTTCTCGATGGCCTGCATGTGGGCAGCCTTCTTGGGATCTTCAGCGGCAAGTCGCTCCCGTCGCTCAGCCTCCGCCCGACTGCGCATCTCCTGACGACGAGCCTCCTCTTGTTGCTGTGCCGCCCGCTTCCGCTCCAACTCGCGTCGTTGTTCCTCCCGGCGCCTGGTCTCGCGTTCCTCCTGCTCTCTCTTCCGCTCACTGGCAAGCTGGGCTTTCCGTTGTGTTTGGCTGGACACGGAGCTCTTGAAGCTGCTGTTCGAAGACGCGGTATGCAGGGAGTTGTTGCTTGCCTTTTTCTTAAGGGTCGGTGGCTTCGAAGCCGAGGCTGGCGTTGGTGCGGGCACACTGGACTCACGGGTGCTGGAGGGTACCTGAGACGCCAGTGGCATTTGCCGGGACAGAGCGCTGCCGACACGGATGGACACGGGCTGGGGTTTCGGTTTCTGGAGCTCACGGGCAGGCTTCAGACGACGCTCATTCTGCTTCGCAGCCTGCTGTTGCGAGGGAGCTAGGATCTTGGGGCCGGCCTCGGCAGTAGTTTCGGGTTCCTTGGATGGTTTCTGCAGTTGTGGTATCTTTTGCGAGGTTGATGGCTCGGCCGGTGCACGAGCTTCATATTCAGCAGTCTGCTTCTCCTGAGCCGTCCTGAGTTTCATGGCTTTCTGTTTCTCCAGTTGTCGGGATTTTTCGGCCTGCTCCTCTTCCCGCTGGCGGTCTTCAAGCTCCTTCTGTCTGCGCTTCTCCTCTCTCTCGGTAGAGCTCCGGGTCCGGCGACCCTCCTGGCGCGGAGGACTCGGGGGCTGGGTAGACTGCGGTCTTTGGACACCGGCGTGGCGATCGGTCTCCAGGCGTCCTTTATGCCGCAATCTCGGTGCCTCCGGAGAGGAAGCTTCCATCCTCGCGGCTGCTGCAACACCACCGGTGTTCGTAAACAGTCCCTTGGCGGATTTCACGATAGACTGCAGCCTCGACTTGGATGCACTGAGTGGGCCATCATAGCGTTCTGCGGGAGAGCCGACTGGGGTCGTCGACAACTGGGAGTCAATGTTCGCGGACGCACTCTTCTGGTGATTAGGCCGCTGAGGTGATGAGTATACCGGTGTCGAGGACTTGTCACGGGCCGTATCTGAGGTTTGCTTCGAGCTGGTCGTCGGCGCCTCTGCATCCAAGTCGCGGGCCCGATCAACAAAGGAACGATCTTCGTCTGCGACGCGGGCTGCCTTGGCACCTGAATGCTTGCTCATGCTGTCTTTCTGGCTCGTTCGGGGGTTTGGTTTGTACGGCGAGTTCAACGGTTTGATCCAATCATCATCGGCAGTGGGCTCAAGAGCAGGTGGGGTTTCACGGAGTTTCTGGTTGGACGCCTCCTGCTTGGCATCAGGCTTGACGGTGGGAAGCTCGGGATATGTCACTTGAGCGGTCGACACGCCAGAGGCGGAAGGAATAGACTTTGTCGGTCGCGACGGCTGGAGCTTGCCCAGCATGCTGATCTTCTCATGCAGAAGCTGGGTTGACGACTTGGTGTGGAGCTTGCTGGCCCTGGTATCTGCATCGGATTCCTCCTCGGGGGCGTCCTTCTTATCGTCTAAATCCATCTTGTCATCGTGCACATCCTCCGAAGCGTTCTGCGTCGTTCTACGTCCCCCGGTCTGTCTGCCCAGGTAGCCTCCGGTGTTGCTCGGCTTGGCAAAATCAAGATGGCTCGTGCGAGAGACCCTCGAGCCTCCCAAGCTTTTCTTCATCAACGGCTCGCGTGCCGGGAGCGATGCGAAACTCAGACTGCTCTTGCGAATCGGCGGCCGTACCGGGGAGACATCCGAAGGCGAGCCCATGTCATCAAGACTATCGAGGGCCATATCGTCTTTCTCATCATCGTCTTCCTGCACGGGTTCGGACTGCGCAGTGGGCGTCTTCGCAGGCGATGCCATTTCCACCTCTTTCGGCTGTGGTTCTGGTGCCGACTGTTTAGGCTTTGATTCGCGTCTGGGCTTGAGCTGGGGCGAGGGCTCGGGTTCTTTCTCGTGCTCAGGCTCTTGTTCAGACTCGGACTCTTGCTCGGATTCTTGCTCGGATTCGGGTTCTTGTACAGTCTCAGGCTCGGGTGCGGGCGCGGGTACGGGTGCGGGTGTTTCTTCGGGTTTCGACTCGGACTCATCTTCAAGTGCTGGCTCGAGTTCTGGCTCGGGCATAGCTTCCTCGAGTTCTGGCTCGGGCTTATCCTCGTGTGCTGGCTCAATTTCTGCTTGGGGCTCATTCTCGGGCTGTCGGTCCGGCATGGGACTGTCTTCAGGCTCCGGCTCCGCATCTGAAACGAGCTCTGGTTCCTTTGTGCCCACAGGTTTTGGCGTATCCGGCTGCTTCTGGGGGGAACTAGCTTGAGCAGTTCGCTTGGGGGGCGACGCAACGGTAACAGGTTCAGCCGTTTCGCCGCGCTGGCGCACGTCTTCCTGAGCGGAATGGAACGAATCCCTTGTAGCGCGACGGTCTTCTTGTGGTTCCTGCATCGGTTCTTCGGTCTCGATGGGCGCTAGATCCATGGGCTGAGTGGAGGACTGAGACTCAGGCTGCACTTGTGTCAGCACAACATCATCGTCTTCTTCATCGTCGTCCTCTTCCTCCGGCATGCCATGGTATCCTGAGTCCGTGTTGAACTGCGGGAAGGAGTTCAGGTTTTGGCTCAAATCTGGGTACCGGGGCTGAGTCGCGGTTTCTGTCGTTTCCTTGGTTTCCGTAGTTTCCGTGGGTTCTTCTGCTTCTTCGGTTTCCTCGGTTTCCACCGTGGTGGGCGGAGCTGTGGTTGCAGCTGCGGTCGCAGCAGCGGGTCTCGTGGGGGAGCGTTGAACCGCCGGACTGTCACTAGACTTGTTTTCCAGTTTGCCTTCCAATTTATTTTCCGACTTGGTGTTGTGCGCGGATGAAAATATCTCACTCAGAGGCTAGGGATAGTCAGCAAAACCCAGACACTAGCCAGGAAGCAGTTTCAACGTACCACTCGAGATTCATTCGCATCACGCTTTCGCACCGTGCGCGGAGTTTTACCTCGTAGCTTCCCGGGGGTCTTGAAGACATCTGTGATATTGCTATGGGGGAGTGAGCATTTGCAGATGTGTGGGATCAGAAGGCGCAACGCACAGTTGGTTGTTGGAGAAGATCTCGGACATGTGCTCGTTCAGCCAATCCATCTCATGGCGCACTGGGTATTCCACTTCTTCCATTTCCTGGTCGACCAGCTGCATGAAGTTTTCCTTTTCGGCGGAGATCCACGCTGCAGAGCCTACAGGCTTCTGCGCCCTCGCGCCTGCCGCGGCCATGGTGATGTAAACAAAGGCGATCGGTGGCGGGTTCGTCAAGTGCGCATTAAACGGGGAAGATAGATGAAGGGCAAAAAGTCCCGACCTAGATAATAGCGAGGGGCAACGATGGGGACATCGAAGAGTGGCGTGCAGGCGGTGGGCGTTGAAAGTCGAGTGGGCTGAGATCGCCTTGTCGTCGGGAGTCGAGCATCAAAACATCGGCAACGCGTGAGTCCCGCCCTGACACGTGACCCGTGCATCACTCGCTGCCTGGCAGGCCAGGCACCAACTTCGCTCTCGCGTCCACTACGGCTGACAGTTTCGATCAAAGATGTTTGTTTTGATATCCCCGACAGCTTGGCTCTGCAGACTGCGGAGACTTGAGCGGTTTGTTTCACTTGCACTAGTCTACTCTGGATAGTCTTTGCTTCACGCGCAGAGACCATGCCTTGGTGCCTGGTCAGGCCACCATTCTGTACCTAGGTTGGACCGTTGAAAAGCACACGGGATTGGATTGCCTTGACCAGCAAAATGGACACTGAGACCATTGTGATGTCACGCTGAAAGCCACCCGGCTATGCTACATAGAAATGATGCGAACCCAAAGTGCCATTACTTACCAAGACGATCTGAGCTGTCGCAGCGTTCAATCTCCAATCTGCCTATCTATCAAACTGGACTGGACGGTATCACCATCACGAAAGACACCAGATCCAGTCTGTCCTCCACTGTAGACTCGGTCCTTCCCCCGCGGGCGACAGTGCGCATCAACCAGAATCATGAGCTGGCAGTGACATCATCCCCGCTCCCGGGAGTTGTACGAGGTGTGCGCAGCCAAGTCCTGGGAAATGGTGACGGAAGTGTAAGATGACCGTTGTCTTACTGGGACAGGCGTAGGGGACACAGGCCGGAGTATTGCTCAAGGAGCTCCTGCGCCCCGTGTGTGGGTGTTTCAATCCACGGAATCTGCATGGGAGAACCACTGCTGGGTGCAGTAGAGTACACGAGGTATAGCCTCGGACTGGGATGGATACAATGGAGTCGGCGTCTAGGCTCCTGTGTACAGACCACCCCTTGCATAAGGCCACACCGTTTCAGCGATTGAAGATACACAATAGATAGATAGCGACACGACGAGGACAACGATTGCAAAGGGCAATGTAGCAGTGTAGGGAACTAAAAGTTAGTCCGAACCTCCCGCCCATCACATGTCGCCAAAGGCCGGCGGGCCCTGCCGTTCGGCGCAGAAAGGCCAAAGAAGGCGCGAGAAAAGCAAGCAAGCAAGCAGCAACGCAGCACACGACATTGCATCACCCTCTGTCTCTCTCACTCTCCTATCCACTTCCTTCTTCCCTCTCGCTTCTCTCTTGTTTCTCCTCCCTCACATCCCCCACCCCCGCCGACCAGCCCTCGACTCTCTTGCTCTTCTTTTCTTCCCGCGGTCGTTATCTTTCATCTTCTCCTGTATTATTTAATTTCAGACGATTAGCCCCCTGAACCGCGCCCAGCCCCGACGCCTACCTCTGATCTTTCTGACCCGAGATTCCTCGAAAGCTTCCGATTACCCACACACAAACACACAAACACACAAACCTTCGCCATGGCTGACGTGACCTACCCCGACACAAATGGCCACAGTAAGGTACGAGAAACAAGAAGACGTTCTTTGTTGGAAAAGGATATGAAAGCTGACCGTTTCTTGTCCCTAGTTCCGAGTCTCCCACACACATTCCCACTGGCTAGGTTACACGGACTGACCCCGATCCTCCTTCACTTAGGCGCTGTTGCAAATGGTAAATACCTGACCTCGCCAACCCGTGTTTTCCGCTCGGGGGAGAATGTGCAGCGAAACAATTGGTCTAACAGTCACGTTCAGGCCCCATCGCCGATAACATCAAATCCGAGGCCTCCCGCACCGGTCAAGAATTCCGCGAGTTGAAGAATGCCAGATTTACCCCCTCGTCCACCACTGCGACCGGTCAACCATTGACTTGTATGTGATGCCACGACCCAGAACCACGCTCTCCACTAATCCATGCCAGACTACCACTCTTTGCTGTACAGCCTTTTGAGCGTGAGTGATCGATGATGCCGCCAGCGCGAAACAAGCCTAATTCATTGTTACAGTGGGAGCAACCACGAGCCACCGCCGCCTCCTTCGCGAGCGTTATCACATTCATCTTTGCCGCCCGTTACCTTCCTCTCCTCCGTTGGTTCTTCAAGTTCATCTATGTGGTTCTCGGATGTAGGTTCATCGGGCTTGCACCATGCATCAACGCGTTAATACTGATCCGATATACTAGTCACTGCTGTCGCGGAGGTAGGTGGCCGGCTTGTCCTATCCCAGAGCGTCGTGAGCTCTTTCCGGCCCCGCAAATACTATACCGTGCCCAAGGAAACCATCGAGGCTGTTCTGGAGGATCTTGAGCAGCTCATCGACTTCATCCTCATCGAGTTCCAGCGCGTTCTGTTCGCCGAGAACATCGTCCACACCATCGCTGTATGTCCAAACCTGATAACGGCTCGCGCAATTGTCGGTACTAATCTCATACATAGTCCTTCTTCGCCGCCTTTGCCGCCTACTGGCTCATCAAGTTCCTTCCGTTCTGGGGACTGTCTCTGATTGCTGTCACTATCGCCTATATGGGACCTCTGGTCTACATTAACAACCGCGAAGTCATTGATGCCCACATTGAGCATGCGCAGGGTGTTGTGAACGCTCAGGCCCACCAGCTGAAGGGTCTTGCCGAGGAGCGCACTGCCCATGCCACGGGTGTTGTGAGGCAGTACGTCGACGACTACAGCGCCAAGGCCCAGGGATATATGCGTCGTTCCGCCTCCCCCGAGATGGCCAAGGTGTCCAGCCCCGTCATCAAGAAGGAGCCTGAGACCGAGCCCGAGATCAAGACCACGGACTTCCCGGAAGCCCCTAAGGACGAGCCCAAGGAGGTTCCCGTGCTGGACACGCCGAAGGCAGAGCCTGTGGAGTCGATCGAACAGGCTGTTCAGAATGTGGAGACGGAGCCTCTTCTGGCTGCTTAAAGAGTCCATGTCTCGGCCTGATGCTGCTGATGCAGTGACAGGCAGCTGGTTGTGGAGCTGGTGTGAGCGCCGCGGGTTCTGCTTGATAGCTACGGCATATAGGATGGATTAGGTTTGTGTATGATGACAATCGGTATGATTCGTTTGGAGAGCTTGCGGGAGTTTTCTCTTCTGTCCTTTCCGGCTGAATGTGAATTAGTAGTTTTTCTGCACTCTTCAAATTGCACTCTCCGTATGACTTGATCTGATGGTGTAGAAATTGGCGGGTGTTCCAGGGAGCCCAAGCAGGTCTTGATGATAGGATTGTAGTTGTGTATTCTTGCGATGGCTGATTACATTGCTTCGCCTGTGTTTACAAGAAACCCAAGGCATATATACTACAAAGAGGTCCTACATTTCGCGGTCCAGGCCGATTTCTTTTTTTCTCGCGCGTATGTCCGTAGATCTCTCTTATATCTGTGCTAGAGATACTTAGACGTCACCGCCCGGATGGTCTAGTGGTATGATTCCTGCTGTAAGTTGCCATGCTTCTATGATACCTCCTAAAACAACCACTAATAACAACACCAGTTGGGATCCCAAGTCTTAAATGCAGGAGGCCCCGCGTTCGAATCGCGGTTCGGGCCTGTTCTTTTTTTTCATATGCCACATAACATCTGCAAACCTCTCTTGTATTGCCTGATAGAGCAAACACTTACATCATCAATGCCCGGATGGTCTAGTGGTATGATTCCTGCTGTAAGTTACCATATTACTATTACACTTTCAAAACAACAACTAACAACAACACCAGTTGGGATCCCAAATCTTAAATGCAGGAGGCCCCGCGTTCGAATCGCGGTTCGGGCCTGTCTTTTTTTTTAGGCCCATACTTATTCTAAGTTTTACACTTGGTTATTTAGTTTCCCTTGTGGTAATAACTAGGTAGATACCTATGTGTGTAGATTTTAAGTCTTCTTTCCAGAAGGTATTACATAGCTCACATCTCCTAGTGGATGAATGCTATTATAGACTCTCGGGTTGATATGAACTAGACCCCCTCCCCTGAGGCGTGCAGAGTAGAGAGTAGAGCGGTAAACAACTTGATAAGCAACTGAACTTTACATTACATACAGTGAATATTGGAACAGATGATGTGAACATGTGGAATAATATAAAGGTAGGAGGGGAAAACAATAACTATGGACTGGACATGTGATGTAAGTAAGGTAGTAAATAGCTGACATGTCACACTGTATCAATGATGCTCCAAGTGAATATCAAACCCCGCTACGTATCTTTCTTTGTCGATATACTACTGCCTGCCTAGAGTACTGTTTGCCGGCTCGTACAAATGAATAGGCAGGCACACGGCATATGCTGGAAGATGTTTTATTTTTTTCAATCTGCCTCGATCATATTCTAGAATATGTGGACCCTGCAACATGATATTCCATATACCGTCGGATAATACAGACTAGCGACGAGCCCCTTAAGGTAGCAGACAGACTACTCACTTATATCGATGCCGACATTCGTGCGCTCAATGGGAAGGAGATAACGGTACCACAGTAACATGGACCCAACTCATGAACGTTGGTTATATTTGCTAAAATTGATAAGGCTGGATAAGATCAAAGGTGTCCAGGGCCATATATCTCATCCCTGGCCAGCAAACAGGGAGTATCTGGATTATGTTACTGACGATAGAGATACACGCTATTGGCGACCATGTGTTGGCCAGTCAATAAATCCTTGGAGCATTGGGCAGCACATCAAAGCAGCTGCTAGCCCAGGTTCCGGGGACGCTCCATTATTGGATAATCTACGGAGTACAAGGGCACTAATTGTACGGAGTTAACCGGCTGGAAAGTCAAAAATTGCGTGGATAGATGGAAGGGGGAAAGAAAAACAAAACCAAAAAATAGAAATTGAATTGCATCATCCGTGAATCGAACACGGGCCTCATCGATGGCAACGATGAATTCTACCACTAGACCAATGATGCTTCTTGATGTAATGAGGCGTCATTTTTAAACCCTTGACCCAAATAATAGGGGAACCAGCGCAGGTTTACGATTTCTTATATTCGCAACTCTACTTCTTAATCATTGACCTTTGGAGATGGAATCCCTTTAATGTAAACTAGCTATCTTCGACAGTATTCCGGTCAAGCTTGATCTTCATCAATTCACCCGCGAGTTGGCGTTTTTCTTTTGAGTGGTTTTCTATGGACGGTACGGGTTGGGTATATATAATATCAGATCCCAGCCCATGTGTGACGAATAAACAACCCCGACCTCGCAGCACGATAGCATATGACACAATTGAGACAAACAAACAAACAAACAAACATCGAATTACATTACCACATACACCCTCACACCCAATTCAAGCCCAGAAAAACACCCCTGGCCCGACAAGGGGGGAGTACTTTGCTCCATACTCCCTCACCGACACGGCCATCTAACCGAGTGCCAACCCCCCGGGCAGTTCAATAATAGAGCTCAAGACCTGCTATTCGCCCAAGTCATTCGGGAAGTCGCGGGTGGCGTCAACGAATAACCGCCCTCCGCGCTCCCGTGGTTGCAGAACAAGAGTTTGGGGGGTAAACCGATTGGAGAATGGGGAAACGGACCGCGCGGGGATCCAGGGTATCCCATCCCCGCTGCCCCGACTTTCCGGAGGGAGGTATGCACCATATAGCTCCTACAATATACCACTTACGTTCGCGAAGTTCATCAGAGAAGAAACTTTCCCAGCTCGAGCGACCATTTCACCCCCCCCCCCCCCCCCCCCCCCCGATACTACATACTACCCCCCACTATGACCGACAAACCGGAACTCAAACCTCTCCACCAAACCCTCTTCGACGAGGGTATGAAAGTTCGTCGTGAGGTCCTGGGCGACGCCTACGTCGACAGAGCCCTTGCCAACGGGTCCAGTGAATTTGCCCGTCCGGGCCAAGAGCTCATTACCGAGGTGGGATGGGGGTATATCTGGACCCGGCCGGGGCTTGAACGGAAGCAACGGAGTATTTTGAGTAAGGATGATCGATTGCCAGCCTCCCTGTATATGAGTGCAGACCATATTGAGGATCGAAAAAGCTAACATGGCTCTCGCTGTGTTATTAGATTTGGGAATGCTCATCGCGTTGAAAGCCTGGCCTGAACTGGCTGTCCATACCCGCGGCGCTATCAACAACGGTCTTACTGAGAAGGAGATCAGCGAGGCGGTTCTGCAGGCGACGGTTTACTGTGGGGCCCCGGCGGGGATCGAGGCTACGAAGGTTACGGAGAGGGTTATTAACGAGATGATCGAGAGTGGTGAGTATAAGAGGCCTTGAGGGTGGGTGGGTGGCTTCGAGAATACTGTGTGGGCCATTTGTGTATGCGTGGATCATAGTTTATGGTATGCGTATGGGATTTGGACAGAACGTGCTAAGAAGAGACTGCAAGGGGATTATGTTAGTTAGACCTAGTAGTACATACTAGATCAGCGAGGAAAGGATGCCCCCACATACTTACCCACGCGAGGGGTCAGATGTCGCGTTCTTATTCCAATGTCAAGAATGTGAAATCCAACCTTCTCCAGTCTTGAATCGGAGTGTTTTCTTTCTTCTCAGTTTCCCCAAACATGTCCAAACACGCCAGCACCGTGACAGTCTACGCCTTGATTACCGGCTGTCCGACCCCGAGAACATTAACCCCCCACGAGATAAACCCATTCATCTACTCTTCGACCCGAGGAATTCGTCACGACCCAGATCTATACACTGACAATATTCGACAACGCCCAGCAATCAGACGGCATCTGGAATCGAGGCCCGACGTGATACAATCCCTCCACCGTGGGATTTGGCAGCCTCCGACACCGACTCCATCTGTCACAATCGAGACACGTACTCTGACCGGGGAAAAGATCTCGCAGACTGGATTTATCCACGTCAACCAGCTGCATTCATGTTGATCGGTCTCAGACTTTGAGACAAGACAATACGCGCAATCGCGGGTCTGGAAAGGGGTGGGAGAGTAGAGGTTATGCTTCCTTATGATGCGTAACGGGTTGAGGAGACAAGGCATCTAGATAAATTGTAAAGATACTATATACCCTCGATCTATTCCCTGGCGGTATGAACAACAGTAGTGTACATGGGCTGCACGTAGAAGCCATCGCAGTTTTTCTTCTCTTCCAGCACCTAATATAAGTAGCATATGCAGAGCCCTCACAACATTGACAAACCCTCCACGTACACCACTGTCATTGGAGGTTTTTATTGCATTGGTCTCCATGGTTATTTCAAGTTTAATATTATTTAGGCTGATAAAGCACTCAGTAGAGCCTGTTTTCAACAAGTAGCCCGGCTAGCTCAATCGGCAGAGCGTGAGACTCTTAATCTCAAGGTTGCGGGTTCAACCCCCGCGTTGGGCTTTCTTTTTTACTGTCTTTTTTCTTTCCGTCAAGGCATTGGCAGAGAGATGGAGAGTTCTCGTCATTTTTTTTTTTGCTTGTCTATCTGACATTGGGTTGTGGTGGAGTGGCAGACTGGACTCGCTATGTGGTTCCCGGCTGTTGTCCAGTCAAAACCATGTTTCTCATGCAGCATACTAGCAATATCACCTACCTTGACCAGGGGAGCGTTGCTGTGGGATTGTCATGGTAAATAGGGTCCTTTCTTTCGGGGGTTTCATCTTACTTGGAGGTGTACTGCTCCCTCGGTTAGCAATGAGATGTTTACCGTAAAACTACATATACCATAGTATAACCTTTGTATCATATCATTGGCCGCCAATTCGGCGGAATATAAGATCCTGTAAGATCCTGCCGGAGTCACTTCTACTCTACCCCAGCACATACGAGTCGTTTGTGTCTTCTGAAGACCTGATTCTTCAGGATTACTTACCTGACATTGCAGACAGAATACACCACTAAACAATATAGATAGCCCAGCCAATGCAAACAATCCACACAAACCACCTCTAGATGCCCAAGACAGCAGCCACAGGTCCCCCCTCCAGACAGCATTAGAACCAAGAGCTAGATGCAAACCAAACCAAACCAACCCCCCATCAACAGCAAACTGAGCAAAGCCTCGCGTGAATGAAGGGACCCCACCAGCGCGACAGAAGTGCCGTTTATTGTTTTGGGCGTCAGCCAACTCACAAAGTGACAACAACTCTCATACATCCATCTCGTCTCTCAGCAGAAAAAGCCCACTTCAAGACTTGTTTTCTGTCCAAAAACACCCTAAACCAACCGCCATGGCGTCTGCCGACTTTTCCAAGATTGGCTTTGTCGGTCTCGGCGCCATGGGCAAGCCGATGGTCGAGCGGCTCGTGGCCAAGTTGCCTCACGACGCGAAAATCCACGTCTACGATGCGATCTGTACCCCCATGGAGGACCTGGGAGCGAAGTATCCTGACAAGGTCATTCTCTGTGATTCGCCCAAGGATGTCACTGTGGCTTCTGTTTGTAGTCCCATCTTATGGTCAAACACCCAAATTCACTATATCAGCCTACTAACACCACGTACCTTCACAGAATTTCATCATCACCATGGTCCCAGAGGGCAAACACATCCGGGCCGTGTACTTTGACGAGATCGGAATCATCCGTGCCGGCGATCTGAGCAACAAGATCTTCATCGATTGCTCGACCATTGACCTCGAGACTAGTGCTCTGGTCCAGTACTACGTGACGCAGAGCCACCCCACCGCATTGTTCTACGATGCCCCCGTTAGCGGCGGAGCCCAGAGCGCCGAGCAAGGCACCGTCGCGTTCTACATCGGCTGCCCCGAGAATGATCCCAGACTGGGTCTCATCACCGAACTGCTCAGTCTCATGGGCTCAAGCGTCACTCCCTGCGGAATGCCCCAGGGTGGTCTGACCGCCAAGATCTGCAACAATTATCTCTCCGGACTGATTGCCATCGGCAGTTCCGAGGCCCTGAACATGGGTATTCGCGCCGGCTTGGACCCTCGTGTCTTGTCCCGTGTGTTTGCGGCCGGCGCGGCTCAGAACGCCGTCTGCGATCGCTTCAACCCCTGCCCGGGCGTGGTGCCGGATGCCCCGTCTAGCAAGGATTACGAGGGCGGGTTCAAGGTTCAGCTGATGAAGAAGGACTTTGCGCTTGCTGTCGATCTGGCGGAGAGTGTGGACGCCGCTCTGGCCGTCGGATATCAGGCGCTGGAGGTTTATCAGGCTGCCGCCAGAGATCCCGATTGTATGGACCGTGACTCCCGCGTCGTGTTTCGCTTCCTTGGTGGCGATGAGCGTTGGGCGGAGAGATTTCCCAAAGATGAGGCCTGAGGCTGATGTCTTTGGGATGTCGAGGATGGGCCTTCCCTTTCTGTCTGGTTGGTCTATCTGATTGGTCTCTCTGATCTACTTGGTCTACTCGACAACGGATGTTTCTTATTGGGACTGCTTGCATGCAAGTATGGCCTTGTTTACTATGCTCGAGAGTTACATACCTCGCTTAAGAGGAGAGTACATAATACCTCAGCACATAATGTTTATTAACTTGAATAACTTTGAAAAAACCAAAAATATGATTTCCTTTCCGTCGTTGAATCCGATTTTAAAGGGCCATAGTAGCAGTAGCAGCAGCAGCAGCAGTACTAGTACCTCCCAACCCTCCTCTCCATACTCAACCCATACCCATCCAATCCATCCATTCACCAGCAACAACCCGTTAACAAATCAAATACTAACATACAACCCCCCACCCCCCTTAGCTTTTAGCATAGGTATATCAAATATGCCTCATCATATGCAAACCATCCCATCATCCAAACCCGTATACTCCCATCATCCAAACCCCGAATCCCGACCAAACCCAACACACAACACAATATACCTACTTACGGGACCATCCCTGCTCCACCCCAATAATCCCAAAAAAAGAAAAAAAAAAAACAACCACGTAGAAAGACAGGAACGGAGTACAAACCATCATGTACTCCGTCCGAAGCAAAAGCCCCATTCACTCACTCGTATAAACCCGCTCCCAAGCAAACCAAACCAAACCAAACCAAACCAAACCAAACCTCTACTTTGCCTTACCTGCACTGCGTATGTAATGGAATTAAAGGCAACCAAACCCAAACCCAAACCCAAACCCAAACTAAGTCAAAACCTGCTTACTTACTCATCTTAGTACTAGTAAGTAAGTACTAGTAAAGAAAGTAAGAGTAGTAGTAGTACTTGATCCACACACGCATGCAGGAGAACCAAGATCTGTATGCCTGGAAACCAAGATTTAAGCGCACACACACACACACACACACACACACACACACACATACCCCACACACCCCACCTCACAAGTCGCAGTCGCCCTCGCAATCGCAATCGCCGTCACCGTCGCCCCTTGCTTGATAGTTAGTACAGGCTGATATAACCCACCCTCCCACCCTCCAAAGCAAGGAAATTCAATGTTGACAACAGCGTGCGGTGTGTTTGTTTGCTGAGGAAAGGAAAAAAAAAAAAGAGTTAAATATCTCCCATCTCCCGGGTTTCTCTTCATTCACATTCACTCAGCTTCTTCTCGGGTTTCGTTTTTTTTTACCATTCTTGATTCTCTTTTTTTTTTTTTTACAATTCTTGATTCTTCCCCCCAATCTCTAATGGATGAATTATTCTTTCCATGTATGGTCTCTGAATTGATGATTTATTTTGATTATTAATATCTCTCTATGACTAGTTATACATCCGGCAAACACAACCGAAATGTGTATAGCAAATGGGGTCACGGTATAGTACCTTATAGCCTGACTCATAGATAGCTAGCTAGCTACCTACCTACCTACATAGGCAGAGTGGTTTGCTAAATAGGTACAGAGTACCATGGGAGCGTTCGCAAGTGAGTGAAAAGTAAAGTAAGTATTATGTTATGATATGTTATGTTATGTTATGGGTTCTTTTCTTTTGCCTGTCCCCTTCCCTCCTTCCCCCCGATTTTCTCTTTCTCAAACCCCCTGTTTTCTTCCCCCCCTCTCCAAGAACCCAGATTCCTCCCAAAGTTCAGTCCATGACTATTATGTGTATGTTGAGTAACCAAAAGAAAAAAAAAAGAAAGAAAAAGAGAAAGATAAAAAAGACAAGAAGAAAAAAGAAAATGAAAATGAACGATGATGATGATGATGATGACGCCCCGCTAAATCCCAACTCAATCCAATCAAATCCAGTCCGATCTAACCGACTAACCGACTAACCAACCAACCAAGCTCGACATCCCACCCCTCAACAAAAGAAAGAAAGAAGAGAGCCCGGGAAAGGGAACCCTTCACACACACGCAAGTCTAATAGTTGAAATAGTACGGATGCGTACATCCGCCCAAGTCCGCGCCGGAGAGACCCAGCACAGGGAGGGAGGGTTGCGGCTGGCTCTGAGGGTAGTATTTCATGGAATATGGGGTGGGGTCGAGGGCGGCAGCGGCTGTTGATGACGAGGATGGTTCTTGGTGGAAGATGGATCCGGCGGAGAGGTCGAGCGGGGGGTATTCGCTCTCGCGGGGACGTTTGAGGGGCGCGTATGAGGCGGAAGCGCTGCTGTCCCAGGTTGTTGTTGGGAGGGGGGCTTGCAGGGGTCCGATGCTTTGGAGGATGTGGAGGGCTTGGAGGAGATGGGGGAGTTGGTGGCGGCGGAGGGGAAGACGGAGGTGTGGGATTCTAGATCGGGGATTTCCTTGCGGTAGACGGGGTTGGTGGTGCTGCTGGTAAGGCCGTCTTTGAGGGCTTGGGTCGGCGAGCCCAGGGTTTGAGAGTCGGAGAGTTCGGGGAGGTGGACGCGGGAGACGCAGATGATGGCGGAGCCGTCTGGTGGGTTCATATTAGTATGAGTATGTGGAATGGGTTGGTTTGATGATGCTTACCGGTTCTACCGTCTAGGTATCGCTCTTCCTCTTCGCGGACGTGGTAGATCTCGTCAAGAACGGGGATGCGCTCGACGGGGGCGATTTGGCGCCGGACGGACTGGTCTGCTTCTTTGAGTTTCTCGACGCAGATGGAGTGGCTTTCGCGCAGCTCGCAGAGGATGTGTACGAGGAGGCGGATTCGCTCTGCTTCGTGGTTAGGGTGGTGATGGGCCAAGGAGGGCGATGTTGAACACACCAGCTTTGAGGAGATGATCCGGTTCCCGATGGGTCACGCCCGTTGGCCACCAGGCTGGCTTGGTCAGCTCGGGGTTGAATTGCTGCGACGAGCCGGAGATGATCTTGCGTCCGTTATATGGGTAGTTGACCTGTTTCCGGGGCTCGACGAGCTTGATGTATGCCTTGGCGAGGATCCGACAGTTGATCTGCTGTAGACTGTCGAAGGCCTTCTCATAATACCGGCGCAACAGCCCGGTATTGCGGACGGGCAACATGGTCTTCTGGTGGCAAGTGATGCTCATCGGGACAAGGCATTCGTGGGAGACGCGCTTCCGTTTCGACTGCGGAGGTTCTGGGGTTGAGTGGAATCTGAGGGCGCGTGGTCAGTGGGTTGTGCATCTGCAGACTGAGACTGGGGCTAGGCCGTACATTGACTTGCTGGATAGGTCGTTCGCGCTCGGGGACTCCGGGGAGAGTGGGCTTCGGCCTCGGATTTCGTCTACTTTCGTTATTGGATGTCCTCGATCAGGATCTCACGCGTCTTACCGAGCATCTTGGACGGGTCTCCCTTGCCGGACAAGGCCACGGCGCGCAGGAAGCTGTCTGTGACGTTGGGAGACAGGATGCTCTGGCAGTTGTTGGCGATGGAGGGCGAGGCCTCGAAGCGCAGTTTGCCGCTGTCGTCGATATAGATCAGGGCGAAGTGAAGACAGGCCAGCCCGTCTAGCGGCGCATCCATCGACACGGGGGTGTGAGACTGGCGCGGTCAGCTTGCGACACTTGGGCCGTCGCCACGGGCATGGGCCATACCATGGTGATGATGATGATAATGAGAATGTGATAACTCGCAAGAGATACGGAGTCCTGGTGGGAGGAGTGACCTGTGCAATCGCCTGGTCGCGGTCGCGCAGAAGACAGAGAAACGCCTACACGAAGAAGAACTGAAACTCAGAAACAAGGCACGAGAAGGAGCATTTTTAAAGATGTAGAGAAGACAGGCGAACCCAAACCGAGGCAAATAGATTGAAGAGGGTGGCCAATAGATCCACCCACCGTATTAAGCTTACAGGATCGTCCCCGACCTGGGCTTCAGCTTTGTTTCGCTTCCGGATCTGGGACGCCCCCGATGCAATTTCATATGCGTGCGTGAAATACCCTTTTCCCTATTAGAAATCGTCCATAGGTCGCTTGACTGCAGACAAGCGTCGAAAAAGGAAGAAAAAGCAACGCGATCTTGGGCTATACACCGTAATGATGAACGGTAGCAACCAGATCAATGGATCAGCCCAAGTTGTGTCACTAATGTGCGTGGCCCTATGTGGCACAGGAGCCGACGGGTCCCTCATCCGCTCGCATGCATTTGGGCGTAGGAACTAATGCTCGGCTGCGTCGGTTGCTTCCAATCATCGAACTGGAGGATGGGCGTCGACTGAGGGTCCCGTATTGCTGGCAGCCTTGGGAGCAGAGCAGGTGGCTCCTGGGGTGGAGCTGGAGTGTTCATGCCCTTCGTTGCCATCAGCTATCCAGCGGATCCAGCATCCGTCGTTCCAAAGCCAAACCGGTCAGCCACCATGGCATACTCATGCAGTGTCAGTGGAGGGGCTGAAGCTGTACTGCCGAACAGTCTGGTAGTGAGATGGACTCGACCCGGAGACCTAATAGAACCCGAACCAGCGAGGTAACGATATAGGCTGCAATGCCGACTCTATCTTGTTCGATAGCATGGGGATATGCCTGTTTCGTTGCCCCCCCCTCCCCTTTTTTTTTCTGGTTATACCTAGAATCCTTCGCGTGCTTTTGCTCCTATCTATTCGATTGCCTTGCCTTTTTCACAAGTTGCTTCCTTTTTACCGGACCAACACTCCTTACCTGATGCATCGGGTGTCAGACATTCATACGGAGTAGTTGCACTGCATCCATGGCTCGCTGTGAGGGTGAGCATGCCTGGCCTGCGGGGCAGACGCTGTCACCAGATAGTAGCCAGCACGCCAGGCACCATATCAGAATCCCCCGAGAAATATTTGTCATGGTATTATTATCCCAAAGTCAATAGTGGACGGTCAGGTACTCCGTACGGCGTCGCTGGAGGGTCATCTTTACGTGGTCCACCGGATGCTCCCAAGCTATGCGCGAAACATGCAGCGTTGGTTTCCAATTCTGGTGCCCACCCTGGAGTAGAAGCCGGGTGTATTTTACGCAGACATTGCCCTAGTTAGGAAGGGAGCCAGAACTAGCATGACAGGGGGGCTAGTCGAAGCGAGCAAGTGCACCAGAGTGCCTGCTCAGGACCGTCGGAAAACAGTTGCGGGGCCGAGGCGGCCCATGGTGATTATCACTATTGCTTCGCATCATTTGATGCCGGGTTTTCTCCATTTGGAAATTCGGACAACGCAACGCCATTGCTGGTTATCGTTCCTGTTATCCACATGGCAGATGTCAAATTGTCAATAACTGACTTGGTCGAGTCTAGAGCAGTGGTCCTCTTGCCACCTTGCGGCGGTTCTGAGGATGGCCACCGTGAACCAATGATAGGATCACGAAACCCGTGTCCCGAACGCCTGGGAAACCGCAAAAAAAAAAAAAAAAAAAAATTAAATGAAACAAAATAAAGAAAGTAAAAAAGCCGACGACTTACATGGACCCTGATGGAGACGCGGCGCGGATGCGATGGCTCCATCGCGATGGGGACGGTTGGGGCAGATCCACCCAAGTCATTGGTCTATCCATCGTTGGATCGTCTGAATCAAAACAATGCCTGACCTGGTCCTGACATGATTGATAGAGCCCAGCCTCTGCCGAGACAAGGTTGTGACACATCGCGGACGTAAAATCTAGTGGTGCAGAAGAGAAGGCCTTCAAACCTCCGGGTGTCTGGTGTTCTGGCAAATCCGCCAGAAGCGAGGAAACGATCGTGGCACGTATTGGCCTGCGACATTAGGGACCGGGCGTGTCTGGACTGGCGGATAGCCGGGAGGGCAGAACCCGTCGACCGTCTGTCCCAGGTGTCGATGGAGTGGTGTTCATTTGTCCAGATGTCTGATGTGTCGGCCGGCCGGGCTGCAGTCGGGTGCATATTGCATATGATACGGTGACCTGTCACCGTGGCTGGACGCCCATCATGCAGGCCGGGGAGCATCCGGAAGTAACGAGTAACTTATGAACCTACCGTCGAAGTTCCGCCCAGCATGAGTTATAAATAAATAAATGGGGGTCGTTGAGACAATGGGGGAAGGTACGCTGCAGGTGGGATCGAGCGGTGGCTCCCGCGCGGCACTTTATTCAAAACTATTGTTGGGGATGGCTGCATCAATGGGCAGATCATCGATAGACGTCAGTTGTCTGGCAGGCTGCCTGATCATCCACATGATTTGCAATAACCCGTTTGTGCTCCGTCGACGGCGAGGCTTCGGGCGTTGCTGGGAAATTCGGGGCGACTACATTGCACTAGGTTGGCACTATACCGCGATGACAGCTTGGCCATTGATCCTCCCGAGGCTTAAAATGTACTGCACCGTCCCTGCGATCCAAGGCAACTACCGATCAGGCATGGGGTACCAAGCTGGTGGTAAGCTTACTTACCCTTGCCAATAGTGCTTGCAGCTCACTATTGATTGCATGGAGGCAATCCGCCAAGCCACAGACATGGGCAGAGGCAAACATGGAAGGCACGAAGCGGAATTAGTATCCGTGAATGAGTAGATTGGTTCCTGTATCTCCGTACTTTATCCATCTCGCGTACCTCTTTTCGAGGGGCGGTATGGATGGTATGGATGAGTCTTCGAATGACAGGTCAGGTCGAGTTGGATAGGTACGGCGTGGAACATTCCAGCGATATGACAGAATAAAGCCGATGGAGCTATGATGATAATTGATAGCCCTGCTGTGGAGCCGGGAATGGCTCGGCCATGACCACATCATCACGGCCGTGTTTCTAGAAGGTTGCCACTTTGCGAGGCAGATCCACCCCGAATGCTTGCGCAGTGTCCACTATCCGGTAGATAGTTCGTCTCGACGGCCTCGGGTTCGTCGTACGTTTGTCAGTGATCTGGACTATTGCCGGGGATCAATTCAAGCGACTTGGCCCCAGGGCTTTGGAGCAGTAGCGGTATGGGGCCCGACATTTTGGTGTTGATCCTCTATACATAACCTGGTAGCTGACGTTGTCGTCTTGGGAACGGCGTAAGTACGAGTCCCAGGCACACCGGGGGGGGGGAGTGCTGTATTGGGGTTGGATGTTAGATTAGCCGCTGAGGGTCGAAAGAAAAGAATACTTGACGTGCAGACAGTATTCAATCAGGTCCAAGAAGAAGCTGATGCCCGGGTCAGTGGAGTTGCTCTGGTGTGGTATTGCGAAGAAGAGCAGGACGACCAAACAGTACCCCAGAAGCAGGAAGAGCTGTGACTTGCCTCAGGTATATTTGAATTGCGGCAGGCGCTGTTTTGATACTGTTTGTCATCTGGTAATACCGGCATGTTGTAATGTCAGGCCGGATTGGCGGTGGGCCTGGGAGCCAGATGCCGTGTTGTGGTACAGGTATGATACCTGTACAAGGGACAGGCAGGCGTTGTCCAGCAGGTTGCCTTGCAGCCACCGTGTCTGCTTCCTGCTCCCACTCTCACAGATCCACACGCAACTCATAATTCCACAGCCGCGGCCTGCTCTGACCGCACCATCCATCTCGCAATTCTCCATTATTGGTAGGCCGGAGTACTCCGTTCTCCTCCGTCCGACCCTTCCTCTCCACCCCACCGCCCGGCCGAACCCCGTCCGCCCCCCCCCAGGTTGATCGCGCTCGATCCGGCCAGCAAATCTCTTTCCCTTCTTTCCTTCCCTCTGCTCACCTCCCGTCCCAATCAATCCCTTCCTGACATATGACTAACTGACGGACGCGCCGGTCTGTCCTCCCAGCCTGACTAACTTGCTCTCTTACGGCCTGTCACTCTTCACCTGCCGTCGGCGCGCCTTTGTTGCCTCCATCTCCCTCCGCATCCCTTCTGGCCGTCGTGTCCGCACCGGCCAATCACCAGCCCTCTGCCCTCTCTCTGTTGCCAGTTCAGTTGTATTGGAATTTCCTGTGCCTTGCCCTGCTTCTCCCTGCGCGACTCGTCCCAGCGCCAGAAAAAAAAAAGTATATCAAACGAAATTAAGCAGCACAACCGCCAGGACACTAAGTCGTTAGAGGAATTGGCTTAGTGTCTCATCCCGCCCATCCCTGGATTCCGGCGAGTCAGAGAGAGCGACCGACGGTCACTGTTCCTGCGGACCTGATCCGTGGAAGTTTTTAATTTAACCACCAAAATAATAATAAAAAGGACAGAAGGGGAAAAAAAAAAAGGAAAGCCTGTGGCCTGGCCCAGCCATTGATTGTCGACCCTCCTGCTCTTATTGACCGACCGACATGGACCCCAACGTTCCCGGCTTCCCTCCTGCGATGCAGCAGACCGCGGGTTTTCCTGTCACCTCCCAGAGCTCACAGCAGTTCCCCTACTATCCGAATGCCATTCCCTCCTTCCCCCAGCCTAAACCCGCCTCGCATCCTCCACCGCAGCAACAGCAGCATTCTTCTTTCGGTGCGGTGCCTCTGCAAGCCGGCCCTGGTGGAGCTATGATGCCGTCTGGCTTCCCCCAGCATTCATCCGGTACGTCGGGATCTTCTTCCTACCTCTTCTCCCCCCCCCCCCCGCCTCTCCCTTTGCCTCTTATCGTTGATACCATACTGTCGTACGCTTGTGTCTCGATTCCCTGTGACCATTTGATCTTATGATCTTCTCATCCGTTCCCCACCTTTCCCTCCCCGGATCTACGTACTACTTGTTGTCTCATGGCGCGGATGCTCTCCCCATGTCGGCTCTACTGCATCCTGCCTGGCTGAGTAGTTTCGCGGTGGGTGTGCCAAAGGTCTAATGGGTCTCCACTGCTGTACCACCAGCGCCTGTTACCCTAGCCCCTGCTATTGCTGAGGCTGCTGTTACTTTCCCATCGCCCTGGCCAAGTTGTCAGACTCGATGCCCGGCTGCAAGGACTAGCCGCTAACCAACGGGATGGACTAGCAGGACCCCACGCCAACTTCTCTGCTCCATTTGCGCAGCCACCTGTCGCACCGTCAATGAACCAGTACCTTCCTCCCCAGGCGACCTCGACTCCGAGTCTCCCTGCCACTACCGCACAGTCCTTTCCTCCTGCCATGGCTGCCATGTCGGCAAACAACATGATCCCCATGCAGCAGCAGCGGCCGGTTCCGCAGCCAAATCCAATGCAGAATGCCGCCCAAGCGACTGCCCAGTCGCCAGCAACAACCGCGCGGGAGAAGGCTCGCGTATCGGCGCTTTTGGAGGTCAACTCGATTTTGCTGCAGGAGGTAATGAATCTTCAGGCAGCGGGCAAGGCCGGTGGTACGCCCGCTCAGCAGGGGGGGCAAGAGTCGAATCCATCGCCTGGATCTGACCAGACCCCCGACAAGTCGGCTCAGCGGTCGGAATACGTTGAATGTATGCGCCGGTTACAAGCCAACCTCGCCTATCTCGCAAACGTGGCCGACCGGGCTAAGAAATCAGGAGGCGTGCCTCAAGCCGCCCCTGCCATCATGACGCCGCCCCCGAACATGCCGTCCATGAACGAGGTCTATAATAAGCTCAACGAGCTTTTCCCCCGCATGGCGCCAAGTAATGTCGGAACCCCTCAGCCAAGCCCACAGGCATCCCAGGGCAACGGGCGGCCAAGCCCTTCTCCAGTTGCCGAGTCGATTGTCTGACGAACCCCGGAGACGAGAACCGAACGATGATGTATTGCAAATCAATGCGCGTTCCCAGTAGACGCGAACGTACCGGTCCAAGGTTGGGGGCATACCAAAGAGAACGCTGTCGTGGTTTACCGACCTTCTATTGTTGCATCATTATTCTGCTAGGACCAGCCATAGACTTCGAGCGATCGAAGAATGGCTCAGAAATGAGCTTCCTACTGGAGATCGCAGGCGAGATGCAATCACGCCTCTCCCATTCACCAGTGGGTCCGCAAAGGGGAGCTTGAAGCTCAATGTCCAACCTGAAGCGTTTTACTGGGGCTAAGGGAAGGAGCACAAGCTGTACGCAACGGGCCTTTTGTCCAGGACCAAGCTGGCGAGGATCGTACACAAACACGTACGATTGACCGCAGCAGGATATGATAAGATGGAGTAGCCATGTGATTATTAGGGGCAGCCTGATGGCACAAAATAATGGGGGGGAAGAGGCAGTATTATTATGATTGTAAGAATAGCCAGCGATTGCACCATATATAGCATGTATTGCCTTGTTACCACAACTTTCGAACCTGGATGTACTAGACGGGGGTCCCTGGTGGCCTGAATGATCAGGTCAGAAGACGCCGCCGCGCAGGCGGCGAGGGCGGCAGAGCCAATCAGCGGGTGGCAAGCCCGTCCTCCGCCCGCGAGGTTGCCTTCTCTGGTTCTTCTGGCGGGCCCCTGCTAACGACTGGCTGCAGCTCGCCTGACTCTCTCTCTCTACCTTCTCTTTTCTCCCTCACGGTCCTCGCCTGTTTGTCTTTGGGGGTCTCGTGAATGTCTTGTGCCTGGCTCCACACCTACAGAAGGAGCCTGCTGCCTGTCGCTACTAACACATCTGCTGTGAGTGCCGCTATCACTCCTTCTCCCGCTGCGCCGCCGCCGCCGCCATCGCCGCCTTTTGATCCTACTACTTATACGAGACTCTTTTCCAGCTCACCACCAGCCCCTGCAGACCTTTCTTGTCAGCTGCGTGGCCATCCCACCCCCACCGTTCTAGCCGGTCCGCGCATTGGCGCCCTGCTCGGACACTTTCTTTGTTATCAGCCGTCGGAACGCCAGGTACTACCGCTAGCATCGCCCTCACGCGTTCGACGCCCGTCCGCTCCTTCAGTTCGCTCGTTACCCCTTCTACGAAACCCCGTGGCCTTCGCTCCCCGATATCCCCGATGGATTTGAACGGAGATGCAGGCGCAAAGCGCAAGCGTAGCTCAGTCGCCACGCCCGCCGAGCGGCCCGCCAAACACCTCCGTCCTGAATCAAACGCATTGACGCCCGGCGACTCGACGCCTGTGCATGGGACCGTATATGACGTGGAGGACAATGAGGACGCAGGGCGGGTGATGCCTGTTGGGCCCGCACAGGCGGATTCGCCGGAATGGCAGGCCACTATCGAGGGGGTCGTGAAGAGTGTCGTGTCGATCCACTTTTGTCAGACTTGCTCCTTCGATACGGACTTGTCTATGAGCAGTCAGGCTACCGGCTTTGTGGTGGATGCGGAGAAGGGATATATCTTGACGAACCGACACGTGGTCTGCCCGGGCCCGTTCTGGGGTTACTGTATCTTTGATAACCATGAGGAAGTACGTTATTTCCCCCGTGATCCGTGTGATGGGGACCTGGCGAGCGATGTGGCTTGGTTCGTGTTGCTAATTGTTTACCAGTGCGACGTCCATCCGGTGTATCGGGACCCTGTTCACGACTTTGGGATTCTGAAATTCGACCCCAAGGCCATCCGCTATATGAAACTGAAGGAGCTGAAACTGCAACCGGATGCAGCTAAGGTTGGATCGGAAATTCGCGTCGTGGGTAACGATGCGGGAGAAAAACTGAGTATCCTGTCTGGTGTCATTAGTCGGCTGGATAGAAATGCACCCGAATATGGCGAAGGCTACAGTGATTTTAATACGAATTACATCCAGGCCGCCGCGGCAGCGAGTGGTGGCAGTTCCGGCAGTCCTGTAGTGAACATTGATGGTCATGCGATCGCTCTGCAGGCCGGTGGTCGTGCAGACGGCGCGGCGACCGATTACTTCCTCCCGCTGGATCGGCCACTGCGTGCTCTGGATTGCATTCGCCGCGGAGAGCCTGTCACGCGAGGCACGATTCAGACGCAGTGGATCCTGAAGCCGTTTGATGAGTGCCGCCGTTTGGGGCTGACGCCTGAGTGGGAGGCGACCGTGCGCAAGGCAGCGCCTACCGAAACCAGCATGCTGGTGGCAGAGATCATCCTGCCCGAAGGCCCAGCCGACGGAAAGCTCGAGGAGGGAGACGTGCTCCTGCAGGTCAACGGGGAGCTGCTCACCCAGTTCATCCGGTTGGATGACATCCTGGACTCGAGTGTTGGGCAGACAGTGCGTCTGCTGGTGCAAAGAGGCGGTCAGGATGTGGAGGTCGACTGTTCTGTTGGCGACCTGCATGCCATCACGCCCGACCGGTTCGTGACGGTGGCCGGGGCACGTTCCATGACCTGTCCTACCAGCAGGCGCGGCTGTATGCCATCGCCGTCCGCGGTGTCTATGTCTGCGAGGCCGCGGGCTCCTTCAGGCTGGAGAACACTCTGTCGGGATGGATCATCGACTCGGTGGACAAGCGGCCGACTCGCAATCTGGATGAGTTTGTGGAGGTGATGAAGACGATCCCTGATGGCTCCCGAGTGGTCATTTCGTATCGACATATCCGCGATCTCCACACCCGGGGCACCAGCATCATCTATATTGACAGGCACTGGCATCCGAAGATGCGACTGGCAGTGCGCAACGACAACACCGGCCTGTGGGATTTCTCGGATCTTGCGGACCCCCTCCCGGCCCTTCCTCCGGTGCCGCGGAAGGCTGACTTCATCCAGCTTGATGGTGTGAGCCAGCCCGCAGCAGCGGAGATCGTTCGCAGCTTCGTACGAGTGTCCTGCTCGAGCCCTCTGAAGCTGGACGGCTACCCGGGGGTCAAGAAGACTGGGTTCGGATTGGTTGTTGATGCGGACAAGGGACTCGTGGTTGTGTCGCGAGCCATCGTGCCGTACGACCTTTGTGACATCAACGTCATCGTGGCCGATTCGATCATTGTGCTTGCGAAAGTCGTCTTCCTGCACCCGCTCCAGAACTACTGCATTATTCAGTACGACCCTAGCCTAGTACAGGCTCCGGTCCAGAGCGCCAAGCTTAGCACCGAGTACATCAAACAGGGCCAGGACACCACCTTCGTGGGATTCAATCAAAACTTCCGCATTGTCGTGGCCAAGACCGCAGTCACCGACATCACCACGGTCTCGATCCCAGCCAACGCCACGGCGCCGCGTTACCGCGCGATCAATCTGGACGCGGTCACTGTGGACACCGGTCTCAGCGGGCAGTGCTCCAATGGAGTCTTGATTGGCGACGACGGAGTGGTGCAGGCGTTGTGGTTGAACTATCTTGGAGAGCGCCAGGCCAACTCGCATAAGGATGTGGAGTACCACCTCGGATTTGCGACCCCATCCTTGCTGCCCGCTTTGTCGAAGGTGCAGCAGGGGGAGATGCCCGAGCTACGGATCCTGAGCATGGAGAGCTACGTGGTGCAGATGAGCCAGGCTCGCATCATGGGCGTTTCGGAAGAATGGATCGAGAAGGTGACGCAGGCCAATCCGGCACGGCACCAGCTCTTCATGGTGCGCAAGGTCGACTGCCCGCGACCGGGGTTCAACTCGACCGTCGACAGCTTCGAGGAGGGTGATATCATCCTGACATTGGACGGACAACTGATCACCCGCGTGTCGGAGCTGGATATTATGTACGAGAAGGAAACGCTCGAAGCACTCGTCGTGCGGAATGGACAGGAGATGCGGATCCAGGTGCCGACGATGCCGACCAAGGATCTGGAGACCGACCGGGCCATCGTGTTCTGTGGTGCCGTGTTGCAGAAGCCGCACCATGCGGTCCGCCAGCAGATCTCCAAGCTGCACAGCGAGGTCTATGTCTGCGCCAGAGTATGTCTTTTCTTCCCCTCCCACCTACCTTCGATGATACTGATGAACATTCACAGACCCGCGGATCGCCCTCTTATCAATATGGCCTGGCACCCACCAACTTCATCACGGCCGTCAACGGTGTCCCCACCCCGGATCTGGATCGGTTCGTCGAGGAAGTGAGCAAAATCCCTGACAACACGTACTTCCGACTCCGGGCGGTGACCTTCGACAATGTGCCGTGGGTGGTGACGATGAAGAAGAACGATCATTACGTATGCTCCCCTTATTCCGGTGATGATTCGAATCAAACTGACTTGCTTTCTTAGTTCCCCATGTCCGAGTACATAAAGGATGCGACTGCTGAACCTTGTGGATGGCGAAACGTGTCCCACAAGGATCGATACAAGGATGGCATTGCGCCGGATGCGAACCTGAACCCGGATGCCATGGAGCAGGGGTTTGAGGGGGCGAGCGATTTCGACGACATGGAGTAAGAGGGTTGGTCGGTGGCTGTATACTATCAGATTATGTGCTGGATCTGACATGAACATGGACATGGATAGAATTGTATAGGATATCCAAAAATCGAAAAGTCTGGAGAGTCATGTATGTTGGGTCTCCGAAGGAGCAAGCAAGGAGTGTAGTGGGTGAGCCGGTGGATGGAGGAGTACTACTACTAGTAGTAACCCCGGGGGTCTGAGCATAACTCAGCCCGCCAATCCAGTGCTCTTCCCCCCGATCCTCTTGCTTTGACTTTACAGCTGCGTGCCAATCACCCCTCGCCGACAGGCGGAGAGCTGTTCTGGTCCAACCCCCGCCTTTCTTTCCCATAGCCGAACCCAAGCCGCGGCTTTGATCTGACTGGCCGCTCTATCCAGGGCGCGAGCGACGCGTCTGGACCTACATAAATCGGAGTATTCCATCCACACCGTGGCGGTTGCTACTTGAGGAGATGAAAAACTGACCTCCCAGACCGACGCACAGAGTCTCTCTACGCCATCTCCCCCATCTCCCCCATCTCGTCTCCCCCAACCGGTACCAACGCAACCCCTCCGATCCATCCCTTCCCCCACAATGGCAACCCATCCAACGCCCCGCAAACTTTGGGACCACCCCAACCCCAATGCCACAGCGATGGCGCGATTCAAACGGCGCCTCGAAGCTACCAAGGACGTGACCCTACCGGACTTCTACTCGCTCTACCAATGGTCTACGACCCACCGTGCCGCCTTCTGGGACTTCTGCTGGAAGTACTTCCCCATCATCCACGACGGAACCTACACGCATGTCGTCGACGAGTCCGCGCGCATCGACAGCAACCCGGACTGGTTCCCGGGGATCAGGCTCAACTTTGCGGAGAATGTTCTCTTCTCGCGGGGAGATTCGGATGCCGCTGCGTTGACGACGGTAGGGAAAGAAGATGGGAAGATTGCGGTGACGGAGGTCCGCGAGGGCGCGATAGAGCCCCCGGTGGACCTGACTTGGAAAGAGCTCCGACAGAGGACGGGGAGACTGGTGCAGGCGTTGAAAGCGGCCGGGTTGCAGCGAGGGGATCGTGTTGCGGCGGTTGCGGGGAATGGGATCGATACGCTGGTTGTGTTTCTGGCTACGACGGCCCTGGGGGGGATTTTCACGTCCACGTCGACTGATACCGGCATCACGGGGATTCTGGATCGATTGAGGCAGACCAAGCCTGTCTGGGTCTTTATGGATGATGTGACCGTGTATAATGGGAAGACGGTGGACTTGACGCCGAAGTTTGTTAATGTTGTTGAGGGACTGTCGCAGTTTCAGGAGTTCAAGGGCGTTGTCGCTCTGCCTCGGTTCAGGGACCGTCCGGCGGATGTGACCCATCTTCCACGGACGCAGACTCTTGCGAAGTTTCTGGCAACGGCGACGTCGGATCGACTGGAGTTTGTGAGGCTGGGGTTTCGGGATCCGTTCCTGATTGTGTATTCTTCTGGGACGACGGGGGAACCCAAGTGCATTGTGCATTCGGTGGGCGGGGTGGTGCTGAATATGTATAAGGAAGGTCGACTCCATCGAGATATGGATTCGGAGGCGGTGCTCCTGCAGTATACGACGACAGGATGGATCATGTACCTATCCTGCATCTCCGTGCTGCTTATTGGCGCGAAGTCGATTCTCTACGATGGGAGTCCGTTCCTTCCGGACATTGCTATTCTCGTTAGACTTCTCGAGAAGCATGGGTATGTCATCTACCTCAACTCCTCTCCTTCTTTCCCTTTGCACCACGCTGCACATGAAACTAACACATCCGACTCCAGAGTAACCCACTTCGGCACCTCGCCCCGCTGGATGCAAGAAATCCGCAAAAGCCAGATCAGCCCCCGACAGATCGCCGACCTGCACCGTCTCAAAGCCGTAGTCAGCACGGGCATGGTCCTCTCCGAATCTCTCTACGAATGGTTCTACGACGAGGCCTTTCCCCCACGCACGCAGCTGGCCAATATCTCCGGTGGCACTGATCTGGCCGCGTGCTTTGCGCTGGATAATCCCCTTTCCTCGTTGTATGTGGGCGGATGTCAGGGACCGAGTCTGGGTATTCCCATTGCTGCCTTCGAGCAGGCAGACGAGTCGGTCACCCAGGTGAAGGGGATCGAAACGAAAGACGGCGAGCCCGGGGAGTTGGTTGCTACCGCGGCGTTTCCGAGCATGCCTGTGAGGTTTTGGGGTGACGAGGGTGGGAAGAAGTATTTTGGGTCTTATTTTGCGAGGTTTGATAGTGAGTATTTCTCCCTTTCTCCCTCTCTCTCTCCTCTCCCACATCTCCATCCACCTCCAATCTTCAAAACGAACCAGGAACGAAAACTGCTAATCCCACATGATATGATAAAATTCAGACGTCTGGACCCACGGCGACTTCATCTCCAAACACCCCACAACCCATCAAATCTTCTTCCTGGGCCGCTCCGACGGCGTCCTCAACCCGTCCGGGGTACGTTTCGGCTCCGCGGAAATCTACAACGTCATCGACACGCAGTTCTCCTCGGAGGTGGTCGACTCCGTCTGCGTCGGCCAGCGTCGTCCAACCGACACCGACGAATCCGTCATGCTGTTCCTGCTCATCCGGGACGGGGCGACGTTCTCCCCGGACTTGGTGCAGCGGGTCAGAACGGCAATCAGGAAGGCGTTGAGCGCTAGACATGTGCCTAGGTTTGTGTTTGAGACGCCGGCGATTCCGGTATGTTTATCCCCATCTCTATACTTTCTTTGTTTGTGTTATGCTGGGGACTATTTTATGGTTGGACTGAGCTGGGTGAATTGGGTCGTGGATTGGACTCGTTTGCTAATGATGATATTGTTTGCCGACGTAGGTCACGGTAAACGGGAAGAAAGTCGAGTTACCCGTGAAACAGATCGTTTCTGGGAAGAGGATCAAGCCCTCTGGGACTTTGTTGAATCCCGAGAGCTTGGAGTTTTATTATCAATTTGCGGAGGTGGAGAATTTGGGGGGGGTAGAGGCGAAGCTGTAGTCTTTTTTTATCTTGTGGGATGAAAGGACGGAGTGATGGATTCCCTGACATAAGACATATATATACTTAAGTTAAGAGAGAACAAACAAACGACCAAGAAATAAAGAAAAAAAAAAAAAGAAAAACGATTAAGGATCTTCTCTCATGAACCAAATTTTCACCTGATCGATTCAATAATCTTCTATTTAACAGTGAACCATCAACAACCCCAACGTAAGATCGACTTCTCCCAGGAGTCTGGAACAACCAAGAGTATGGCAGCTACATAATATTACTTGCACTATTAGACAACTTTAGGGTCATTCTTCCATCACAACAGGTGCTGTGGTCTAGTGGTATGACGTCACGTTGTGGCCGTGCCAGCCCCGGTTCGATTCCGGGCAGCGCCAATCATCATTTCATTTCTTTTTTTGTTTTTCTCTCATCATTTATCTTTTTATCTATCTATCTATATCTATCTGTCGGGTACGGTCTGGGTGGGTATGGTGGTTTATTGAGTCACTACTTTACCTACCGTTTTCTTCTTCTTCTTTTCTTTGTAAATATTGGGTTTGGAATGCAGGAAGACGTGTCTAGAGTTTAATGGAATAGATAGATAGATAGATAGCTTCATTGTTACTTCCGTCTGAATACAGAGTACAGGCATAACACTCAAGACGTAATCCATAATCTGACATTGAGGTATCCGACAGATCAAGTAATGGATAAGGATATACAGGATGCCAGTTAAGAAACACAACGATGACATATGACAGACGAAGCAGGCATTCCACGAGGCTCACGATGACTGGAAATTCACAGATCTCCTGGGTTTCGACCACCCTCTCTTGTAGAAGAGGTAGATCTGATAAACCCAGAAACGACCATGCCTGAGGCAACCTACCAAGCCCCAGTACTCCGGAGGGCTGGGTGTTGGGTGGGGGTCGCCTAGCCCCCTAGTATACTCTATAGCTTAAACTCCAACTCCCTCCCCAACAGGAGCCGCCCGATTCGACGTTTGCTCCTAGAGAACAGCCCCAATGAAGCACCAGTCCTTTCTGAAAGCCAGGCAGAGGTCAGCAACCCGACTGGAGTTCCGATCGGGCATTTGCCTGGCCTCAACCACGGTCGAGACCAGATCACGTGGACCCAGCACGTGAGTCGCACGTGCGCCGCACGGGAGGTCAACGGTAAACAAGGATCCCCGCAACTTCGAGAATGCCACTCGCAACACCTGGAATCCAAATGTCCTCCGAGGTGGAAGAGTTAAGGCGCCTTCTTGCGGAAGAACAACGTCTTCGTGCAGAAGAACAACGTCTTCGTGCAGAAGAACAACGTCTTCGTGCAGAGGATCAGGAGAAAATATCCAAGACCAGTCTTCCCACGTTTCTCGATGGTCTCCATAAGCACCTCTTCCTCGGTCTGGGCGTTCAGCAGGATACGACCCAGTCCACGCGTGGAGACCCCGCAAATGCAGCCAACAAGCTTCGCCCCAGGAAGCTCAAAGCCTGGGACTCCTTTGCCCAGGAACAAGAGGAGATTTGGCGATTGCTGATGGATTCTTCGCTGGTCGAACAAAGACTGTTTACTTCCCTTCATACCCTGGAAGAAACAGGGGAAAGCATTCGGCGGCGGCCTCTTGGTTCGGAACGTGATCTATGCCACTTTCTTCGCCAGACCGTTGAGGACCACGTATCGAAGATCATCGAAGAGCTTTACAAGGATCCAACATTACGACAGGTGTTTGGGCTTAGAGGATCGATCTGTTTTGAAAACCACTCCAATACTCTGAGCCCGGAGCGGGAACTGGAAGAGGGGATGCAGAATATTGATCTTCGCAGCCGGCCACGCCGACGCTCGCCGCGTATTGCTGCCCGAGACAATCGCACATCAAGCACCATGGCGCCGAGTGGCCCGAGAACACCGCCTCTGGTGCGAAGCACCAGGCCTCGTGCCGATCAATTCTGCGTCTACAACATCCCCAGTGAAGCATCCGAATCGATCCATCGCGTTGCAGCCTATGTTAAGGAGTACAAGTCCCCGCATAAGGTGACACTGGGCCACATTTATGAAGGGCTGGAGGATATGGATATTGACGCAGTGGTTGAGCAAAAGGAAGATGAGACCCCAAAGGATCGGTTCCGCCGCGCGATTGCGGGGCTTCTCGTGCAACCACATGACTACATGATCCGTGCTGGTACAGAAATGGGAGTGCTGAGTACTGGCGAAGCGGATATCTATCTGCGGATTGGGGACGACCCCGGGACGCTTTTGTACCACCTCTCTGTTCCTAAGGGAGATGTTGGCGACTCCACCGATTGGGACCCCCACTCGAACGGCCCAAATCGTCTGCATTTGACCGCCGTCGGGCAATCTCTCGCTTTTACTCTCCAGGCGCTCAAGTTGCGGCCTCGGAACCAAGCCTGGAGGCAGCAAGCAGTCAACTCATTGCCCAGGTGGGAGGTGATAGTCGCAGACATTCTGGACAGTATCAGGAAGGAGGATGTACCGTCTTCCGAATATCGCCCTCCACGGATGAATGGCGTTCTTCGAATGTCTCCAATCCAACTACGCCGCAGGCGAAACAAACCCAGTGTTACTGGCTGTCAACCAACCGACACACCAGGAGTTGAGGACGACGAGCAGTCTGACCCTGATACACCGAGCCGAGATCCACGGCTTTCTCGCAACATCGAACGGCGACAGCGATTGAAGACCCCGCAAACACCCACGCCAGACACACAAAGGTCTTCGGGAGAGAATAATCGGTATTACTGCACGTTGAAGTGTCTACGTGGACTGGTATGTGGGGATGAGCTCGATCAGGCTTGCCCCAATGTCCTTGATCATGGCACAACGCGCCATGTCATAAACGCAAAAGCGTTTGTGAAGCGGTTGCGGCGCCAACTGTCTGAGACCGTCAATGCAGATTGCGAAGCGCTGGGTATACACGGTTCCCGGGGTGCTCTTCTGAAGGTTACTCTATCATCGCACGGATATACCGTGCCTGCAAAATGCACCATATCCGAATTTTCGAACCACCTCCGACACGAAGCTGCTGTATACCACAAGCTTCGCTCACTCCAGGGCATATGCATTCCGCTCCACCTCGGAACCATCGAGTTGGTTCATCCGTACAGCTACGACGGGATCGCGTATCTCAAACATATGATGCTCCTGAGTCCGGGTGGACAGTCTCCCGGCCTGGCACTCCGGGAGATGAGTCGAGATTGCTTAGAAGCCAAGATGAAAGAGTCTCTCTCACAGATGCACCGCTTGAATGTCTTCCACAAGGACCCGGCCCCGCGGAACTGGTTCTACAATCGAGAAAGCGAAAAGGTCGTCTTTATTGACTTTGAACGGGCCGAGATCGTCGGATCGCGACCTATATTAGGGACGATCTCACCGAATCACAAACGAAAACGGATGCACCGTGAGGGGCTGGATAAGCTGGCTGGACCAGATTTTACGAGGGAAATAAACAAGGCAGTGTGGGAGTTACAAGGTTGGAGGTAGAAGAAAGAATACTTCTAGGAATATAATTCTAATGTCTTAAGCCTTCCATGACTGGTTACTCTGTAGGCAGCAGGGTGCTGGGAATGCGACCAGATGATAAGTTATCAGAAAAAGTGACCTACCGGGATAGGATACTGCATACATAATTGTCGCTTTTAGGTTTATTTTTCATTGGTCAATTTGCCACCAAATCCACCGCGCCCCGCGGAGCCCGGCGGAGGGACCAGTTCTTGTTCGTTGATCCTTGTACATGGCGACAGCGAACCCCTGTTTGGAAGAGGGGAAGGCCCTTTCGTGAATTTCGGTAAGAAAGATGAATTTCACTTATTTCAGTCCAAGCTCGGAAGGGTCATCTTATCTTGCCTTACATCTTGCCGCCTGCCTTATTGTTAGTCGGAAGCGCGATATTCTGCATTCGCCAACCTCGCCTGTCGCTGCCAGAGAGTTCCGTCTGATCGAGGTGTGGTCCTTCCATCTGGTTCCAAGCTGATGCCAGGTTGGAGTCGCAGTTGTCGCTCAACACCATTCCTACCAATGCGACTGAGATGTATGCGCTAGTCTCGAAGTTGATCTGGCAGGGTGAGCAGCTTTGCTTGCCTTCTCACCGTAGCCAGACTCAACAGTCTACGGCATGGCAAGATCTGCTATCGTTGTTCATCCCACTCTTTCCCGCATTGACCTTTGCCATCTTTGCGCCTTGGAATTACGTTCAACTTCGACAAGAGCCCATCAAAGTGGTCCAAAATAGGAAAGGAGCCTGGAAAGTGGTAGGTGGATTTCGCTTTTTTTTTTTTTTTTTTTTTTTGTTTCATTGCGACACGAACTTATTTTCCTTCTGTCAGGCTACTTCGACCAGCTTGTTTGTCCTTCATCTGGCCCAGTTGATCATCGAGGTTCAAGCAGGCTCCCACGCAAGATTTCTCGGACCAGCCGTCGGTCTCCTTGCTGTTTCTGGCTCGATTCCCTACTTGTCCCTGATGAACCATGCAAAATCAGTCAAACCCTTTGACCTGCTCAATGCAATCTTGACTTCATCGATATTCCTCGACGTTGTGCATGTCAGCCTTCTGCATTTGCTCGGAACGCACCAGTGTCAAGTTTCCTCTCTGAACTTGGCTATATTCATTGTTAAACTAGTGCTTCTGGCTCTCGAGTTGCAAAGCAAGCGCTGCATTCTTCGCGAGTCCTGGCGCGACCTCTCATTTGAAGAGACCGAGAGTACGTTCAGCCTAGTGTTTTATTGGTGGGTGAATGCTCTTCTCAGAAAAGGGTATTCCAAGCTTCTCGAGCCAGGGGACCTTCCTCCACTGCCTAGCAGGCTCTCATCCAAGCTGCTCAGGGCTAGAATGAAGATATGCTGGGATAGCCGATGTGTGTTCACGATAAGTAGTCTCTGCCTTCGCCTTCGAATGGCCACTCACCTGCTACAATAGCCAAGCCAGAGAAAAGATACGCCCTCGCCTTAGCTACGCTGAAATGTATCAGCAAGGAAAATTTAGAGGTCGTCCCATACATGCTTGCTGCAACTATCGTTCGCTATGCGCAGCCTCTGCTGATGTCGCAGTTGATCACGTTCGTACGTGCCTCTTCGGCTGAAGGCACTGGGAAGCTCCAGGGCTTCAAGCTGGTGGTTCTAGCGGCTTTTATTTACATTGGCCTAGCTGTGAGTAATACGATCGACGCTCTCAGTTTTTTATTCAATAAGCTTACTTTGTTATCAACAGATTCTGAATGGCCAGCGGGATATAGCAAAGCGAAGAGTAGATGTTGCCGTTAAAGGATCGCTAGTCGGAATCATCCACGAAAAAGCCTTGCAGTCCAATCATGACGATCACTCCGCCATTGCCTTGATCGGAAACGATGTAGAAGATGTGCAGATGGCTGTGTCACGATTCCATAATTTATGGTCATCGGCTCTGTCGCTGGGCTTGGGCCTCTTCTTGCTGGTTTCCAGACTCAACTGGGTCAGCATTGTGCCCATGGTCTTACTTCTATGTCAGTTCTACACCCTTGACAGACCCGTGTTCCTGGTTGTTGTTGACAGAACTGTCCAGGTACTTCCCAGTGCAGCAAGTACGTCTCGAAAGTCTTCGTCGCAAAGCAGAGGGCCTGGAATGATGCCACACAGACGCGAGTCGGTCTCATCAAGACAGTCCTTGAAAAAATGAAGTCAATCAAGGCAATGGGCTTTTCGCAGAACATCGAAGGAAAGATTCAAGGCGCTCGTGACATCGAGTTAGCTGCAGCCCGGGTTATCTATTGGCTTGATGTGCTTCTAGCAGCTTCTGGTAGGTCGAAGCTTTCCTACTAGTTCTTCACTCAACCGTTTAATCCACCGAAAGCTGGCAGAAACTGATATTTCTTAGCAAGTTTTCTAAATGCCGTTGGACCTGCCATAACCCTTGGCATCTACACCGTTTGGGCCAAATGGACTGGAAATGCTCTTCTAGATGCAGATGGGATTTTCACTTCGTTCGCACTGGTCCAGATGGTTACACTGCCAGCAAACTCAATCTTGTTCACCCTTCCTGCATTTTTGTCAGCACTTGCAGGGTTTGATCGGATCCAAAGCTATCTGTTAGAGCCTATCCAAGAAGACGGTCGCATTATCCTTGCGAGTGAGGCAGAGACTTCATTTGCAGGTAGTACGCCAAAGCATGATGAGCATGTGACTATCGAGTCTGACAGAGCTTGTGCTATTTCGGTTGAAGATCTGACGGTCACCTATGGAAATGGATCCAGACCTGTGCTGCAGAAAATGACTTTTAGTGTTGGCAGTGGTTCGATTGTCATCACCACGGGAGCCACTGGCTCTGGTAAAACAACATTGCTCAGGTCTATCATAGGAGATCTACAACCCGAAACTGGGACAGTACTGGCGACTTCTAGAGTGATGGCATACTGTGCCCAGTCATCCTGGTTAGGAAAAGGTACGATTCGTGATAATATTGCAGGACCTCCTGGCTCTAAAGTGATAGACGAAGATTGGTATCGACGAGTAATTAGAGCTTGCGATCTGGAATATGACCTTCAAAAGCTGCCTGCGGGAGACCGCACGATTATCGGCAATGGAGGTACAGCTCTTTCAGGGGGCCAAAGATAACGAGTGGTAAGGTCTCAGAGTACCTGTTGCCGTTCTGCTTTTCTAACAAGTATCCAAGGCACTCGCCCGAGCTATATATTCTGGGCTAGACATTCTTGTTCTTGATGATGTGTTTAGCGCACTTGATGCTCGAACTGCTGGACGCATCGGCAATCGGTTGCTAGGTCCAGCTGGTCTGTTTCGTGAACTCGGCAAAACTGTTATCCTGAGCACACACACAGGTATGTAGATTGCAAAACACTTGACCGGTATCTTTACTGACATCTCCGACCTAGTCAACTTTCTTCCTTTCACAGACAATGTTATTGTGCTTGAGAATGACGGGAGCATTGCTGAGCAGGTTCCATGGGATAAAATCAAAGGCCAAGCTCACTTCAACAGTCTGAAGTCACCTGAGGTCTTTGATATAAGCGACGACGATTCCGAAGAAACCAATAACACGCCCTTTCAACCCGAGGAACCGCCTAAGGCAAGGACATCGTTGGATTCGAACCGTCAAACGGGAAACGGAGCCATATATTGGCACTATATTCAAGCCATTGGAAAAAACCGTGTTTTCGCCACCCTTCTCATTATGATTTCTTCCGCGACTTTTGCTGTGCTCATCCAGACATGGCTTCGGTGGTGGTCAGCGGACAAAGAAGCAGGACACCGGGTATGGCTCCATATTACAATTTATCTTGCTCTCTCCCTTGCCCATTGGTGCGCTCTCGCCAGTATCAGCACTGTTTCGCTGCTCATAGTGCCTACATCTGGCCGCAATCTACACAACCAGCTATTGAAGACAGTGATCAAGGCCCCATTGGCATTCATCACCTCCACTGATATCGGCACTACTCTGTCGCGATTCAGCCAAGACATGACACAAGTCGACCGCCGCCTACCTGGTCAAGTAGCTGCTCTCGGAAGCCAAGCCTTCAAGCTTCTTGCCCAGGTCTTTTTGCTTTTCATGGCTCAGACATACATGCTTGTCACTTTTCCTATTCTGGTCCTGGTCATCTATGTCATTCAGAAAATATACCTCCTCACCAGCCGACAGCTTCGGTGGCTCAGCATGGAAGCAAATGCCCATCCAAGTAGCAGCTTTCTGGAGACCGTCCAGGGAATCGCGACCATCCATGCGTTTGGATGGGAAGACGCTTACGCCACCGAGAACAGCAAAGCAGTCGACGCAGCACAATTACCCTCATATACCCTCTTCTCAATCGAACAGTGGCTTGCCCTGGTACTCGACTTGATAGTCGCCGGGGTGGCCCTCCTCAACGTGACCCTCATAGTCACCCTAAGCGATAGCCTCACGGCCGGCGACGTGGGAATAAGCATGAACGTGATCCTGACAGTCAACATGGTCCTATTGATCACCGTTCAATCATGGGCGAACTTCGATGCTTCGCTAGGCGTCATTTCCCGCATCATGAACTTTACAAAGACCGTGACCCCAGAGCCAGAACCAAGCTCACCAGTTACACCACCCCCATCATGGCCCGCCAGCGGCGCGGTCGAAGTGAGAAACATCGTTGCAGACTACGCCCAGCCCACGGAATCATCATCATCATCATCATTGACAACCGGCCACCCTCTCGACCACATCTCCTTGAAAGTGGCCCCTGGCACGACAATCGGCATCTGCGGCCGGACCGGCAGCGGCAAATCCTCCCTCTTCCTAACTTTCGTGCGCCTCCTCGAGCTGTCCACGGGTACCATCACCATCGACGGCCTCAACCTAACCTCTATCTCCCAAGACGTGGTCCGGTCCCGACTACTCACCCTCCCCCAAGACCCATTCATTCTCCCCAGCGACTCCGTGCGCGCAAACCTCGACAAGAATGGAACCGCAACAAACAACGAGATCCTAGATGCGCTACACAAGGTCCATCTCTCCACTCTTTTCGAAAACAGAGCAATGGATTCCGGCTTCCCACCGACATTCTTCCTCGACGTGCCGATGAACCAGTGGCCTCTATCGCAGGGCCAGTTGCAGCTTTTCTCTCTCGCGCGCGCGCTTCTGCTTCGTCGGTCGCGCGGGAAGGTCATTCTGCTCGATGAGGCAACGAGTAGTATCGATCTGGAGACAGATGGCCTGATACAACAGGTCCTGCGTGAGGAGTTCAGAGGATATACTGTTCTTGTTGTGGCGCATCGGCTGGAAACTATTGCTGATGCGGACGCCGTGGTTGTTTTGGATCAGGGCCGCGTTGCGGAGGTGGGGAATGTCTATGAGTTGCTACAGCGTAAAGGATCGGTGCTGAGAGCTCTTTTTGGTCGGGAATCTTACGCCGTTGAATAGGTGGTTGGCTATAGCCCGTATAGGCTTAGGGGTGTTAGAGATAGCAGGGGATTTTGTTAATGCTGAGCCTCATGCAGGGCGGGCTTTTGAGTTAGGCTTGTTTGTCAGATGTGGGTATAATTGGATACTATGATGTTTTGTGCTGTCATATCATAGTGATGGCTGTGTTTATATTGCATATGTACTGACTATCTTGTCTTTGATTTGACTGGCATTGCCTAATTGCATAAATCATCACAAATTTATTGTGTTATAATGCGTTCAGTAAAAGCCCGCTTGCACATGAAAGGGAAAACAAATTCAAGTAAGTCATATCTATGAAACTGGCACGGGCAACTCTTCTCTTGTAAGCCTTGTGCGTTGTTCCTGGTTCCGTCATTGCCGACTCACATTAAGCAGGTGACTAGAGGACTCTGAATCTTTGTAAAGTTGGCGGTGCTGATCTAAACTCTCGTGGCTCTTCTCAACTGATGAACCATTCATTGCATGGCACTGCTTACTATGTAGAAAACAGTGGCACGAGATCGCACGAGACAGCAAACAGCCTCGCACATGGCCAGATTAAAGCCCTGGCCCCAGTCATCCGTGTCAAGAAATCGTGAAGACCACCGGAGGTCAAAGCCGGATTTGATGCGTTTCCCAGAATGGATGCAGATGTCTATCGTGGCCAATATCTGTCAACATATCGGGCAGGAATATTCAGAGTTTCACAAGGGCTATCACCGATACAGGAGTGTTGCTTCTACCCAAGCAGGAATCCCCAGTGTCCATGAGCATCGCGTTGCAGATAACCTGTTTGGCCTGCGCAGCTTCTGTTTAGGAAACATTACCGGTGCCTAGGAGCGTGAGACAAACTGCCTGTCCCGCGAGTGTAGCTTCCAAAGGGCCAACCCGGATAATATCCAAGGGTTGTAACACTTGGCCACATTGATGTCACGAAAATCATGCCCATTAGCAGGTCGACTGGGATGTCTGTCTTATCTATCATCTCATCTGTGGTAGATGGCTTCGCTGTCGAGGCAATCGTTATCCCCAATCGATAGAAGATCCGGAGAACAGAAGAGTTGTGACGCTATTCAAGTCTAGAATAAGTCCCAGATGACAGAGAATAACCACGGGGACAGTAGACAAGTCCTTTAAGACTGTCAAGCTACCCTTCTGTGTCTGGGGGTGCATCATCAGCAGAGGTAGCCGACAATATGGAGAAGATGTTTCCAGACGGGGGTAGCTGTAAGGAACCAGACGCCGCTCAGCCATCCACAGTGTATGCATCGTCGGGTGTGAAGTTGACGAATAGTACGTCACCCGAGCGGAGTCGGCGTTCAGCAAAAGACAAGTCAAGAAAAAGTCCCAGAAAGCCGATATATCGGCGATTGACCGCTAGATCGTCATCGTGCTCGTGCACAAAGTGCGCAAAACGCCAGTGCTGATCGCGAATATAAAGGCGGAGCGCGTTCTGGCCAGCGACCCTCTCGGCGAGGCGGATGTTGCCGGTCGTCTGAGTACGAAGATCAACTAATTGCGGTTTAAACTCAGCATCAACCTTGTAGCATGGGAGATTGTACTATAGACTTACCATGATGCCCTTCTCTGATGTGTCTGTACAGCGACGGAGCGCGATCAAAGACCATCCCACACATCTCGCCCGGGTTAACTTCGATCCAACAGCTATCATTGTTAGTTTAAACTGCGCGTAAACAACGCGTAAACACTGATTATACGTACATGCCGCTGTGAAAGCGACTCAACACCATCTGGTCCGCGTCCCAGCCAGTTTCGGCAACAGTGTTGATATCGTCCTCGTCGTCAGGGATCGGGACAGTGGTAGAGATCGGTCCTGTACTCATTAGTGTTTGAACCAAGCACAAAGGAAGATTAAACTGTAAACAAACCGTGATGGAATCCGTAATCCGAGGGGTTCGAAGCATTCTCGATAGCATTGGTAACGAACACAGCGCTGCCAGGAGCCGTGAAGTGGCCGGGGCCAGGGTCAGCCATGTTTAAACACAACTGGTTCTGTCTCCAGGAAGTCGGCTGGCGCCCGAGTAGCTTCGTCTTCGTACACGGCGGCATAGCCCAACATCGATAAAAGTCATCGACACCGGGGAATGTCAGGCGGAATCTCAGGTTGACCTGGGGACGCAACTCTGGCAGGCATATCTGTCCCAACTGCATTAACGCTTTGCTCGGATGCTCGAAGCACCGCAGGAGTTTGGAGGTGCTGTACGTCGAAATGATAGCGGCTTGGTGACCTAAGACCAGTCGGGAGATTGCGTAGTCACGTCTATGGGAAATAACAGGAAGGGCGGTCGAATGTTGCGTTATAGCTCTGTACGCCACTGTTCTTTGACTGCTGGGGCAGATCCCCAGTAAATATGAACACAGATGTGGTAATAGCAGTTAGCTGGCCGTTGAATAAACTGCGAGAGCCCTTTATGATAGGCTTCAGATGCTGGCAATATTCTTCATGGCGGCTTCATGTGGTGCGACGGTCAGGATAAACAAGTTTCTTTGCCGCCGTTGATTCTTGTATAACAGGCCTGCCGTGTATCACATCCGACGAAAATTAGACTTCCATATTTTGCTGAAATCTGCTCATCCCAGTAGTGGGTGGGCATCCTAATAAAGTCACTTGGCAGGATAAGACCCTGACTGTCTGGCAAGAGTGCATACTTATTTCAAAGTCTGTCTAGAGAGCAACGAAGACGATTGCCTGATGACGTCTGTGGACAATCGTCTTTGCGCAGTGTCCTTCATCACAGACAATTCTGGCAAATTCCGCCCTGAGAATCCCAGTATTGTGCTTACCGCCGAAGCGAGCCATCAGCAGCGAGCGCGCTATAGATCCGGGAAGTATCGAGAATTCGTCCATTCCTTGAAGCACATTATTGCCAAATACTCCTTTTCTGTGGTTCTTTGCTTCACATGACTGACGAGCATCTCACAGGGCTAGAATTGCCTAGGATTTCTTCTGAGAGGGAATAGGGATAATAAAAGACTCCATGCCAAGGTACCCCCGATGGTCTCAATACAATCAATGTCCTCTGACATTTGAAAGCCTTTCTAAAAAGAAAAGCCCGGACGATTGAATTAATAGTTGAAACCGTCATCCACCAAACACTGTTCTTCTCCCCATGATAATTCGCAGTATGTGATATACTGCTGACGCAGCATCACAGAAGCGGCACTTGTATGGTTTGATGATCGAAAAGCTCACACCGTTTGAAAGTGACTGGCAGATCCCACTTTTTCCCCCACATAGCCCCACAAACATCTTGGGGTTGACACCAGCGAGGCGTCTGTGATGCAGGAACTCAAAGAGATAACTTTCGGCAGTGAATAAGTTACGAGGTATCTCTCTTTCGAAATGGGGCTTTATTTGCCAGGGAGCCATTTGTTGAGGCGAAAGAATTCATTTGTTTGTCCTCAGTCGCGGTGCACCGCTTAGGGGTCATAATTGGTGAAAAATATCGTCCGTTTCATTTTTGGTATGGCAATGGGTTATATAGTCGTCGAATATTCCCATTGCAATTATTAGAAGACTGCGCGACCGTGTTGTATAGCAGTTCTCTCGAACTATTGCACAGAACGGTTGACTCCCGTCATCCGCCAACGATATTATACCATGTTGCGTCCGACTCATCGACAGCACCGAGGGAAATCGGCAAGAAGCTTCTCTAGGAGCAGTATGAAGTTTCAGGAGTATAGTATATATGTCGAGACAACGTTTCGAGAACGCGTGGCGCGACGCATTGCAGCGATACCAGGGCCATATGCCACACCATCGATGGACATTTCGATAGATCCTCCTAGGACCGGATTATACCATGGTCGCACCCGTAACCGAAGAAGCATGGCCAGTAGGTATAGTCGATGCTTGAAAGCAAGACCTCAAAAGTTGGGTAACTTCGTCAGAGGCAATCAGCGAGGCACCGTCCCAGCCACCGTGCGGGCGAGTGGCATGCGAGGACATAGAGCTTGTCCCAAAGAAACCCAGATCACCGGAGAGGTCTGCGTTTTCAGAATATTGGGCTGCATAGTAACAGCTGCAGCGTAGGCTGAAGACGAGTAAACATGCGCGATGACGACGTGCAGAAAGTTTTCGTCCATCAATGTGGGCAGTGCTGATTCTCCCCACCAGCGATAGGTGCACTGCGATGCTGCCAACAGTGCCGACTGTGTTATCCAATCCAACACCCATATTTCTTTACATAGATAGTAAATCCATCACAGCAATCCAGGTCCGATTGCCAAGCAGCCTGATGGCTATCCTTGTTGCCGAATATGAACGGCAGTCCACTCACTGCCCAGCTGGTGTATCCCCTCATCCCCAAACCACAGACCTAGCCTTTTTTGAAGATGCGTTCCCCGAGGTTCCATGCAACATTTTCAAGCCGTAGACTTTCTCTGTCTATACAATTTCCAACCCAAGACAAAGGTGAGACCGAAAAAGATTTCGAGACCGTTTGAGGCGAAGATCCCAAGTTGATCCATGGCAATGAGATCGAGGACTCAGGGGCGGAGCGAGACATCAACCGCGGGCGACCATCTGCGAGAGGATAAAGTGTGATGACTTGCTGGCGGTACTGGAAGTATGCCGACCGCGTGTTGGTCGATTATAATTTCGTGTCTCTGTTGAACTGATGGGGAAGGACTGGCTGGGAGGCCCGTGGGAAGAGGCCGGGGGGTCGAAGCGTTTCCGGGTCGGTTTTAGAACGAGGTAGAGGGGGAGTACGGCTGGAAGGTGTACTCGGTAAGCTTGGGAGTTTAGATATATAATATATAAAAGATGGTAGGAGACGAGATGCGAGATGAGATGGGATGGTCTTGATTTGATGGGAGTGGTGGAGGAAGGAAAGAAGGAGGAGAAGGGAGAAGAGAAGAAGGGGGGTTTATATACCCCTTCGAAACTAGCAGCCTGATAAATCTGGCTTTGTGCGTGCAGCAAACGGATTCACGGATGAAGGGGAATGAGGGGGTGGAAATGATGTGCGGCATTGAAGTCCCTTTCACGCTGGCTGGAATGAATACGAATACGCTATTGACAGCCCAGTATGCTGTGAATGAATTCCTATTGTTCCTGGGGGGGAATGCAGAAGCTGTGCCATTGACGCAGGAGACAAACCCCGGCAGGCCAGACCCTTTCATCCCTTTCATTCCCAGTACATCCTACAGTTCAGCACCTACAGCTACTTCAGATCACTCGATTGGTTTTTGGCAGCCTATCCAGTAGGCTGCAGACGCTCATCCACGTCTATTGATGGCAGACAAGTCTGGTGAGATGCTCCCTGAGCCATCTCCAAAATCCAAATACATACTGAAAAGTCATACTCCTCCAACCAGGCCATTACCAAGACCCAACACCAAGACACCAAACAGGGCACAAAACAAAAACAACCAAACATCTCTAGACAAAAGTGACATCCCCCAAAACTTCCCGATTCCTCCGCGCAAGTTCCATGCATTCAGACAGGTATCCGAAATCACGACCATTGCTGGACCTGACATTCGCCTGTACGTCAAAATCCCTCAAATGGGCATTATCCCCCCGAAGAGTATACCCACATCCCTGGACCTCCAATCGACGGAGGTTGTGACACCCCCGCAGGGCGTCAAACACCTCCGCCCACGTCCCGGACGACAGATCGACCCCCCAAAACACGACATGCTGTAGAGTTCCGGCGAACTCTTTCAGCGCGATCAGACGCTGGGCGGAGGTATGGACGTCCGCGAGGGTGAGGTCGTGGAGCGGGGCGCCCGGGTGGATGAACCCCGCGCAGGCGCCCTCGGTCTCGATATCGGCGAGACCGCAGAGTTCGACAGAGGTGAGAGCTTGGCCGGAATGAAGAAGGTCGAAAATGCGAGAGGCCTCTCTCTCGCAGGGTGAACGGGAGGCGTGTTTGAGCTTGAGCTGCTTGAGCAGCGGCAAGCAACCCGAGAGGTTTTGGAGGTATCGGTCGGGGGGGGCACGACGGCAGGATAGTGCGTGGTGATCGATGTGTCCGACCTCGATGTCAAAGCCTTTGAAACGGGAGGAACCCGGTTGTGCCTGGACATGATGGTACAGGCCTTTGCAGAGGACGTCGATGATATCCCGGGTCATGAGCTCCTGCTCTGGAGTGGTGGCATTTACGGGGTCAAATTCGATGCTCTGGAGGCGAGGCAGTCGAGTCAGACAAACCGGAAAGAGTCGTTCCAGCTGCTTTTTCTGGCCGTCAGAACCCTTCCACGGGTTGCGACAGACAAAGTTGATATTCCGCACGTAGCGGGCGATGCTCTTCCTGCAGAGAAGCTCAAGGTCGAAGAAGGGCCGATTTTGGCCGTCGATTTCGAAGTCTGTGATGGGGACAACAAAGTTGGAGAAGAGGACCCGCGAGGCGCTCTCGTGGAATTTGCGATCGACTTGGCGCAGGTTCTTCAGGGTGTTTCTGCTGACCCTCTTGGGGGACTGGCAGACAATGGAGACGATCTGGATGCAGTTAGTATGGGAGCATCAGTGGATGGTTGGGAGGGATGGCTTATATACCTGGTCAATCAGCTCCATGGGGAGGGAGGCCATTCCGGATACCTCGGTCGCGCCAGTCATTTTGAATGTGGAATCTCTTGATGGATTCTTAAAGAGAGACGTATATAAATCGTCTTTTGAACAGTCTGTTGGATGAGACTGTTGAGACAAGGAGTGTCGAAACGAGTGTCGAAAGGAGTGTCAAAAGAGGAGTCTCGAAGGAAGGAGTGTCGAGTCGACAAAATAAGTATACCGATCTTTCTACAGATCGATGTATATAAAACTCTTATCAAGAGCAGAAGAGAAGGCAGAGTATCGAAGTCACGAGGACCTCAGCAGCAGCGAGGGGTATTCAACGACAGTAACTCGACCCAACCGATCGATAGCAAGAAGCCCTCCCAAAGAGAGGAGACCACAAAGGCGAATTTGGAATTTAAAGAACGAACAGCCAACACCAAGTACTTGATGCCAACAGCGATCGTACTCGATGAAGCAACATCAAGTTGAGTTGTATTGTGCCACAGCAACCAGCAATAAGACAAAACCAAGAGAATCGAGGAGGGAGATGAAAAAGATAAAAAAGTCCCCTTTCCCCCCCCCCCAACGACGACGAAGTTATTATCCTTTGCTTCGAGAAGAACCGAGAAGGTCTGGAATGAGTCGTTTTGGTGTCATCGACCCATCAGCTGTATAGAGATTAGGGCACGGGATGGCATGGCATGACATGATGCAGGGGGGGTGGGGGTGAACCGCGGTTCGAGGGAGCGATGCGGTCTTATCTAAATCATCATGGAATCTATTGGTTCGTAAGTCGATTTTTTTTTTTTTAGGTTATGATGGCATGGACGTCATGGGGTTGGTGATTTTTGTCCATGACGTTCTGGTCGATGTGAAGATTGAGGTTGATGTAAAGATGCGGCAGGGTAGATTGATAATCGACTAGTTGAGCAACTACACTTGAGTCTGCGTATACACAGCAGGTTGGTTGAGATGGGGGTGAGGAGGTAGAAGAAAACACTGTGAGACGATGACCTGATAATGAACTTGGCAGATATCAGGGTCATGATCTTGTTCTCGACAGTATTCGGGGAAGATTTAAGTGGATGGTAGAGGATAGGAGAAAAGGATGAAAGACGGATTTGGATGACAGTTCTATGACCGCCCTTTCTGAGATAGCAAAAATGCTGGTGGTATATACAAGGCTATGTATGCTAGCTACATAGCGTTCGTGGGTATAGAGTAGATCGTGGATCGAAGTGGTAGCAAAACCTGGCAGTCCGCGCGCAGATGTTCCGCTATGGCTGATCGTTCTGGACGACCGTGAAAACGGCTATATCCGACGCCATGCCTTGCCCGAGCGGGAGCAGAGAGCAGAGCAGTAGCCAGCTACCACGCGGCGATGATCCCAAGACCCAAGAGCAGGAATGTCAAAACCTAGGCTCATCCCTCAGCTACTATCCTTCCTGGCCTTCATCTCAGCGATAAACTTGGCGCTCTTGCTCGTCGGCACGACGTAGATCTTAACCAACTCATCCACAACCTCGACCTTCCCGCCACTCAGAATCTGCAGCAACGGCACCTTCTTGCCCGCACGAATCAAACCCCCGGTGATCGTCTCCATGAAGCACTCCACGGAGTTCATCGAATACTCCTTCTTCTGATCCCACGGCAACGGGAAAATATAATCCAGATGGTCCTCGATCGAGTGCATCTCGGAGAACGCTTTGATGAAATCCGACTGCGCGTCCATGTGGTACAGTAGCACGGCGGGGAACTCGAGGGTACTTTCGGGTGACAGCGGGTCAGGCGATAGACGGATCGTCGCGTCCTCCATCTCGGGCGGCTGTTCTGTCTTGCGGGTGCGGATCTGTCTCGCGCGCAGAGCAACACTGAGCAGGGTCTTCTCCTTCCGAGTGCGCTCGTCCTCGGCCTTCTTCTTCGCGGCAATGCGCTCGAGCGCGGCCTTGCGTTCCGCGATCTTCGACGCCACCGTCTGCAGGGGTTTGTTGTTGGGATCGAGCTTCAATCCACGAGTAGCGACGTCCTCCGCCTCAGGGATCTTGTCCAGGGCAAACAACGCCATCGTGGAGCGGTAGTACGCCTTGACGTTCCTGGGGTTGAGCTTGAGGACGGACGCGCAGTCGAGGGTCGTGGAGCGGAAGTTCTCTGTTTTCGTCAGCCATCCCATTCCGCACCCGGTAAGCACAATATCACGGATCTCAACTTACTCAGTTCCAGATTACACAGCGCACGGTTGATATAGCACGCCTCCTCGACCTCACGCCGCAACTTCGCCTCCTCCTTCTCGTCCTCCGGCTTATCCCACTTATCGATCTTGGCCTCCAGCACCGTAATCGCCTTCGAGTAGTGCTCCTTGGCATCGATCCAGCGCTTCTCCCTCGCCGCCTCGTTACCCTGTTCCCGGAAGTTCTGCGCCACATCGCCGCGGGTTCCCTCGTTCTGGAGGGCGTAGATCGCATCCAACATGGGGTTTTCGCCCTCTAACCCACACCACCAGCCTGTTAGTCTCTCCACACCACACCACCAATCACTACCTAACAGCTACCGGAAACTCACTCTCATCATACGCCTTGCTAATATCCGACATGAACAGCGGCGTGCGGTTCAGGATATCCGCCAACTCGTCGGTGGTATGCGAGCTCACAGCCTGCATGGCAGGGGACATCTCAGGCGCCATGGGGTCGTTCACGACATCCTTCAGACGCTCTTCTTTGATGGGGATGGGGAGTTCCTCTTCTCCTCCGGCGGAGGTGGGGTCATTGTTGAGGTTATCCGGGTGGAGGGATTCGGGGGCCGGGGGCGGCTGGTTGAGGTCGACGGACTCGTCGTAGTCATCGGGGAGCTCTTCTATTTGACCCATTTTGCCGGTAAGGTGTGTATTGGGTGGGATGAAATCGTTTTGGGGGGGAGATGGTGGTCGGAGATCGGTGACGCCGAGGGAGGAATTTGCTGCTATCGCGGGTGCAAACACTGCAAACGTGAGGGGGAGGGCTAGCCCTACTTATCTTATCGCGGTGCCTGATACGGTGGGCTATTGCGGCCTGAGGCAACGACATGCTATCCTGGACCGCATGGATCCTTTTGCTGAGGTCATAGTCATCACAAGGGCATGTCATCAAGACCTTGTAGAGATGAGTAGAGATGATCATAGACCGCTCTGTAAAGCTCCCTGAGAAGCGTTTTCTCAGGAGATTTTTCAAACACTTGTAGAATACTTCTAGAGCACCTCATGAAGAACTCCGTCAACCACATCAAGCATATTGTCCCCAGTGAACCAACCATGCACCAACCGCCTACAGAACTCCTTCAGGGCAAAGCATACACCAGATACTGCCGGCAGAGCAAAAACTGAATGTGATGACGCTGGCTGCCCGCTCTAAGGTAACACAGACGGAGTATATTAAGCCGCTCACTCAATTCCGAGCTCAATCTCCTGTATATCCCCCGCATTTCACAGCGCGTGTCACACCCACCCAGCCAACGGCTCAACACCCAACCAACTTAACCAACCAACCAACCCAGTCAGTGTAACGCAGCGCCACCATGAGCCCTCGCAGAAGCAAAAGCAAAAGCAAAAGCAAAGGCAAGGCTCCCATGTCCGCTCCCATGCAATCGCCCTCGTCCTCGTCTCCTCCTCCACCCCCAGCCTGGAACTACCCCACAAGCACCCATACGCCGGCCGAGCTCATGGAAAACTTCGAGAAGCTCCAAGGCGCCCACAAAGCTGCGTTCATACGGTTTCTAGCCAGAGACATCGGCAACATCCTCAACAATGTCACCAAGGGCGAAGAGGCCGGGCATCTGACCAAGGAAGATGTCGAGCCTGTTTATCGCATGCTGGAGATCGTCCGTGACGGTGAGCTTGCAGAACTCCGAGCCCAGAAGAAGAGATTGTCTGCGCAGGTGATACGGTTGCGGGAGGAGAACGACCAGATGGCGGAGCAGATCCAGCGGATGGCTGATGTGATGGAGAGCTTTGTGGGGCACCTGGAGAGGGTTGCTGGGATGGATAGGGCGGCGGCGATGAGGTTTTTGAAGGTGGTGGAGGCGAGGGAGGAGATGGATATGTCTGGATGAATGAGTGGGATTGTGATGGGATGGTTCTGTTATTTGCTTATTGCTTTCGGTGGATTGTTTTTTTTTTTGTTGTTGATGGATGGGAGCTAGGGTTAAGGGAATGTATGTTCTGTTCGCGGGTTAGCTTGGATTGAATTGAAGGGGTTGGTTACTATTCGGGTGCTGTGATGTCCTGACGGAACATTTTCCGTAAGTCTGCCGTAAGACAGCATTACATCGACCCAGCTACTCCGTACACAGTAGATATTCAGTAGAAGCAGAAGTGAGAATCTATCTAGTATCTACTATACACAGTAAGAAAGATAGGGGAAGCCCTGCCAGCCCCACCTGACGGCCCCACCTTCCCACATCGAATCCCACCTGGTGGACATCAACCATCCATCCATCGCCGCGAGATGCATTCGCTCAGCCCGTGCAGATTTTATTGAACCGCCATCCTGCACCTAACTTACACTATCTTTTTTTTACTTATGCATGGTAGCGCAATCCTTCCGAATTGCTTACCGATCGCCTTCCCTCCCTCATCCCCCCCCCGAGTCCGACAGACCACCGTCGGCCCTTCTTATCTTCGGCCATTTCCTGCTCGCCCTCGACTCCGTGCTGACGAACTGACTCTTCGAGTCTGCGTCGCCGTCGCGTTAAATCTAGCTCGGGAGCACCCCATCTGATTTCCCGACCTCAGCTCGCCCCTGCGCGCCCCGACCAGCCCAGCCCCAAAATGGCTGGGGACAAGGAACTCGACGTGACTCTGTCACGGTCGGAATCCATCCGATCGACCGTGCACAACTTCTCCCCTCTCCATGAATTCGCCTTCGTGTTCGTCGTCTGCATGTCGCAGTTCATGACCCAAGCCGCGCTGGGGACCGTTCTCGCGCCGCTGGACATCATCAGCGACAGCTTCGGGATCACCAACCCGGGCATCTCCAGCTGGCTGATCGCCGGCTACTCGCTGACGGTGGGAACGTTCATCCTGTTTTTCGGCCGATGCGGCGATCTGTTCGGGTACCGATCGATGTACATCATCGGGTTTGTCTGGTTCGCGGTATGGTCGATGATCGCCGGCGTGAGTGTGTATTCGAATACGCTGCTCTTCATCTTCGCCCGTACGCTGCAGGGTCTGGGACCCGCCATGCTGCTGCCCAACGGCCTGGCGCTGCTGGGCGCGACGTATCGCCCGGGAAAGAAGAAGTTCATGGTCTTCTCGCTGTTTGGGGCCACGGCGCCCAACGGATCCGTTTGCGGGGCCGTCATCGCTGCCATCTTCGCCGAGTTCGCCTGGTGGCCCTGGATCTTCTGGTCCATGGCCATCTACTGCATGGTGCTAGCTGGGCTGGCTGTCCTCGTTATCCCATCGTCCCCCGCACCGGCGCGGGGAATGTCCGCCAGGGAGCTGCTCTGGGAGACGGATATCATCGGTGCCACCCTGGGAATCACAGGACTAGTGCTGGTGAACATCGCCTGGAACCAGGCGCCCGTGGTGGGATGGCACGTACCATATGTATACGTGCTCCTGATCATCGGGACGCTGATCCTGGCGGGGTTCTTCGTGTGGGAGATCAAGTACGCCTCCAACCCGCTCATCCCGTTCGAGACGCTCAACATCGACGTATCCTTCATTCTGGCGTGCGTGGCGTGCGGCTGGGCCAGCTTCGGCATCTGGATCTACTACTTCTGGCGGTTCCTCGAAGACATCCGGATGAAGTCGCCGCTGGTGGCTGCAGCGGAGTTTGCCCCGCCGACAGTCGCGGGTCTGATCGCCTCCTTCACGACAGGCATCCTCTTGGGCAAGATCCGACCCGGATGGATCATGTTGATGGCCATGATGGCCTTCACCATCGGCAATGTCCTCTCGGCCATCGATCCGGTTCATCAGACATACTGGGCGTTGACGTTTGTCACGCTGATAATCATCCCCTGGGGAATGGACATGTCGTTCCCTGCTGCCACGGTCGTCTTGTCGAACGCGGTGGGGCGTCGTCATCAGGGTGTCGCGGCGTCGTTGGTCACCACCGTCGTGAACTATAGTATCTCTCTGGGTCTGGGATTCGCGGGCACGGTCGAGGCCCATGTCAACAATGGTGGGAAGACCTTCCACGACAGGCTGAAAGGGTATCGTGGCGCGTTGTATATGGGTATCGGACTCGGGGTGCTGGGTCTTGCCACCAGCTTGGTTTATCTGATTAAGAGTCGACCGAGAGCCAACGAGGAAAAGACATTGTCGGAGGAGGTGACCGAGTGAAGGTCGCCAGTTGTTGGATATAACGAAACGCATATAGAATTAAATTAACCAATAGACAGATAGAACCACGCCCGCCTTGTATCATTCATATATAACCATTTTTCAATTCAAGTCAATAATACGATCTTTACGCCTTCAAATGCTATAACTACTACCACTACCGTAATGAAATCATGAAATCCGAGAACATTAGAATCCAGCGATCGTATCATGAATCCTTCGCTTCTAGAACCTGACGGTTAGAATATCTGCCCCCGCTTCCTTCCCCACCCTGGCACCCAGTCTCTGTCGGCTCTTCTATAGACCATTCCTACGTTTCTATCCCAAGCTTCTATCGTCTCGATCCATTCCAACAGACAGGACAAGTATATATATCCACATGCAGTATAATCAGCGACGATGTCGTGTCCTGCGATAATCACCAGAGGTTGACGACCCCGCACGGTAGCAGGTGGTGAGTAGAAGAACATCCTGCCATAACTAGTTAATTACCGACCCAATCCCGGCTGGTCTGCTGCCGGAATGGGTGGCCACCTTAGAGAGCAGTGATACTAATAATGGGGGCAGCTGCAATCGCGTAGATAGAGGTGATTGAAGACGTGCACCTCTTCTTCTTAAAAATAAACCCGAGTGGCATCCTTGAAGAGTGGTATATCTCCAGGCACGACCGATTGATTGAATCCGGGATGACAAGACCTTCTAATTTTTTCGAGAGGTAGGTGTATAGTAAATAACTTGGCTCTCTGTATGGCTGCGCCATGAAATAACGTCATTTGCATAGTTAGTCGATGTATCTTTTTACTATATAGTGATCCTAGCAAGCGTCGCGTGGGCCTCGAGTATATTAGAACAGCGGTCTGCACAGCACCGATTAGATCATGAACAGCAGGTTCTTTTTCGCACTTTCCGCAGGCTGAGGACGAAATATCATCATCAGCGACGCTCCAGCTGAATATAGCTCTCGCCTACGCCGATATCAAGGAGAGCAGATGCATATATGGCGCAAGGGGCAGACTGCATTGGCCCTAGTGGTCCTCCGAGAAGTACTGAGTAGATAGTCAATAGTTATTGGGTGTCCCATTTCCCCACTCTGCATTTCCACAAGGGTGTCTTGGACTCAGCGAGCACAGGAACGATGAACGGTCAATTTTGTCTTTGGTATATTCCCATGTGGGGGGGGGGGGGGGGGGGGGCATTTTCGACTGTAGGGGATTAAAGCACCTTGGACAGACTCCCCTTGGGACCGACGAAGCCCGAAGACACTTTCGTCAAAAGACTTTAAGATAGACGTCGTCTTGCGCTGCCTGCATCGAGTCATAGTCGCACCAAAACTGCCGTCGCACAACTAGTTCATTTACCCCGTAACACCGCTTCTGGCAAGGTGCACTGCAGCAAGAGCGATGTGACCAGTCCGATGGAGGAGCAGCAAACAAAGCGGGAGAATAGTAGTTAAGTTAGTGGCAGTCGGAGCAGCTGCTTCTAGCGACCTCAAACTAGACGGCTGAGGTATTATCCAGATTACGGGGAACGATAATATTTTCGGCTTGCGCACATTGCATTAAGACGCAAGGATGGGCATAGTTATATGGTTGGATCCTTTCACCAAGGCACGATAGCTGTGTTGTGTCGCTCAAATGGCTGTTAGTTGCCAAGTGCCCCAGTACGTGGAAGAAAATTATCACGGCTTCTGTCATTCATTCGCCAAAATCCGAGTATCTCGCAGCTTTTGTCCGTGGTGGAAGTCAAGTGAGCCGCTTTATCTGAGTTCAAAATGACACGGAAAGAAAGGTGTATCGCAAGGCTTTTCCCCCTTGGATGGAATTGGCCGTCGCTGTCAATTGCTGCGGGGATATATGTTGAGCATTCGATGCCTGTTTCTCAGGGTCTACTTGGATCTCATGCCCCGGATATGGAGCAGTGACAGTAAGTTTTTCACCCGGGTTTTCAATAGATATGTCCGCATGATTCTGTAGAATCCTATCGGGTCGCTTGTCTTGTTTCTAGACACAAGCATCCCAGGTCCAAGACAAAGGTCAGACGGATAGGCTGATGAGGTGAACATGTATCAAAAAGAGCAGGGAAACGGTTCTTTCCTATATCTTAACTTATATAAGTAGCAGACAGTCGCTCGGGTGTATACTGATATAGATAAACCGGAACATCCTCGTACCCGGTAGAAGAGTATAACGGAAAGCTCGTCATCTAAGACCTGCATATCAGATTCGTCCCTATCAAGGAGGATAGTATCGTAATCGGCTGTCTCAGGTAGTTAGTCTCTGGGCAATGATATCGTCATCAGCCATAGGGTAATTAATCCATCGCATGCAAATTGACCCGTCAACGCGCAATACCACATTTTCCTCATCCATATTGCAGCCCGAACCAAGACCGATAGCTTCACGTATTGCGCTATATAGAGCCGGGAAAAAGATAAAATCAACATATGAAATACCGCGATGATATTAGAAGCTGGCTATTCGCTTAGCCGAGCAGGCGAAAATCCATCTATCTTCCGGATAAATAGAACCGGGACTGGGACAGCGATATCCCATCCCTGTCCCTATTATTGCATGAAGGCGCATTAGATCAAAACATGGGATGAGTATGCAGGATAGACGATTATTGGGTCGCTCGGATGTCTTAACCCCTGGGCCAAAATCCTCCGATCATTTTGGCCCTAGTCCAAGTCACCAGGACAGCCTCTCGGCGAATCAACTCTGTTGACGGGGATGATGGGGTCCAGAGATCCACTATTTCTTAGAAGCTCACATAAGATAAGATGACCAAGCTATTATTCAGATCAACCGTGCAGGGCCCTAATGCATGATGAGCTGCGATTTGGGCCCTAAGGCCGGCAGTGGTACAAAGTATTCTTCTCGCCGGTCTGCTGGATTTTCCAGATAGGCTTGAGAGCGACAATACTCGTAGTAGGTCTTGAACTTTAGTCATCATCCAGAATATTGGTAAATGGACGCTGCTGTTCGCTATAATACATTCTTCGCCCTCAGACATGACTAATGGCGTATTCGTAAAACAACTGACTCGCAGGAAGTTGTATAATAAACGAACAGTGAGACATGACCAGGCAGCTGCGGACGTGCGACAACTGGCAGGTCACCCGAAGAAAGGACCCTTTCCTAGCCTTGCCGTCTCATTTCCTTTGCCTGGGCCTTCTGAGGTCGATATCGTATAATAGCAAGACGAACACTGCGTTTGGTGATGCCTTTCCAATCACTGGCGTGTTCCTGGCCCCATCAGAGTCAAAACTATGCACTACGCATACATTAGCCGCTGTCTATGTTTCCAACAAACATAGGACCCCATATTACCATGTATGCAAATGCGTCGTTAATCTCGAGGATATCAAACTCATTCCTCGATCTGGAATTGCCTCCATCGTTCATGAAAATTCAACATTGGGGATGGTGGCGCGACTTTCCTCGACTATCGTCAGTTGCAAAGCCTAAAATCTCCCAGCCTTTTTGCATATATGAGCGAGTCATAAAGGCCCAGTTGAAATGGAGTGCAGTGGAGAATCCATCGTCTGCACTCAATGCAAATACAGTCTCAGTCTCGTTTATATCAGGATAAACGCTTGCTAATTCTGTTGGGCCTGAAACCGGCATGTTCATAAGCAGAGACCGGCTAGATCATTATACTGTCGCACAGTCTAGTTCGATGAGCAGTGAAAGATACAGAAAAGCGCTGTCGAATAGCAAGGGAAACATGACCGGACCAAAAGCGGCCAGTTTCGACTCTTTCCCTTGCGTAGAATCGGCTGTATCCGTGGTTGGAATGTAGGTCGCGTGGAATTTGGCCTCCGTATTGGGAACAACGACTGTCTGACCCCAGTGCCTGGGCGCGATGCACGGTTATCTTGTTGTCGCGGTTTTGTCATGATTCCAGTGTTTCGAGTCAATAATGAAGAAGTTTCCGACTCGTTGAATAAGGTAATAAAGGGACGGGAGGTCATGTTCTTCACTCTTTCGTCTGCTCTTGGTCTCCCCTAGTGTATAACCTACCTACAGTGTGCATTGAGTCGATATCACAGGGGCATCGAATCATACTAATTAACTTAATTATAGGTCGACCCTGTGCCTGCGCCGGATCGAAAAAGAATTCTATCTTGATATCCTCGGTCAGTGGGAGAAGAACCTATATCGAAGAGAGAAGATAAATCATAAAAGAAATAGAACTTGGTCAGAGGATCCAGGCTTCAAGGTATTGGCGAGAATAAATCGAAAGATGGTGCCCTGCATCCGATGGGTAATCCCACAGAGAACATAGTGTCAGCCAAGATATCGCAAATGGGCCGATTCCCCCAGCTGTACCATGCATGTGGGTCTGTTGTGCCTTAACACACCCCAGCCGTGCAGAGAAAGGACAGAAATAAACTCACCAAATAAAACCTGGCAGGAAGGCTGCTGAGGCAATAAGAGAACTTTTCTCTTTCTCTCTTTCAGGGCATCCAGGGAACGTCTGACAGGAAGGCTGAAAACTATGGGAGAGCGATGGCCAAAGTGAGTTATGGTGGAAAGAGACTGGGCAAGATAAAATAGAGGCTTCGAAAGAAATATAAGCGTGAGAGGATGAGGGGAGGAAAGAAATCGGGGTGAGAGAAGAATAAAAAGAGAAGATAGAGAAGAAGAGGGGGGTGGCCTACGATTATAGGCGTGAGCAAATGGGTCGAGTGAAGTTATCCAAGACAGTGAATATCATTTCACTGGCAGAGTCTGGTATGTTAACTGAAAGTGTTATTCCTTGTCTCTACTTGAATGAAATTGTCTTCTCTCGAATGGAATTAGCTACCTAGGTAGGAGTACTTTATTCTCTTTTTTGATTCTTTTTTTGATTCTTTTTTGATTCTTTTTTCTGATTCTTTTTTTGATTCTTTTTTTGATTCTTTTTTTATTCTTTTTTTCTATTCTTTTTTAAAAAAGATAAATAAAAAGACCAAGATACTTTGATACCTCAGACTGGTGCTCTATAATATGCAAACAACCATCTCTACCATGATCTCTTGATTTTTTCATAAAAAAAAGATCACTTATAGTATCCTGGCGATGGTTATCTTAATATCTATCGCGATAGTCCTGCATTTCGGCTTCCTGGGAAATCTCACTCTTAAAATTCTTATTATATTGACAGTATGTATTATTATACATGGACGTTACTTGGTGTAGTGTAGACTATTCAGTTGTATACTTGTCTTACAGACACCCCAGCCGCAGCATCAACCAATCTGACGTCGCCGTAGTAGAGAAAGTCATGAAGTTCGTTCTCCGTACTCGGGAACCCAAATTCCGAGGGTCACGGCTTTAGGTTCGATCAAAATAGAGTCCCAGGAACCAACCCCAAGCCACAGGCACACACATACCCACAACCAGTAGACGAAAGACTCATTAGAAATGGAACAATCGCCACAGGGTCGACAATCTGGCAGTTCCTACTGTTGGAGTCGCCTCTTCATGTGAAGACTTCCAGAGAGGACCAAAGAATGTGACGCGGCGGTAGCCCAATCAGCAGGGGCGAGAAGTTGGCAATCCAGACGCCGCAAGTCCGAAAGTCAGAGACTGGTCCTAGTCCGGTCGCCGCCTGCGAACAACAACCTCGGCATTTGCCATCAGGGCAATCAATCGGGCCGCGGATCCACAGGTCGCCGTCCCCTTCATGTGCCAACAAAAGGAAGAAAGGGCCTCTTTACTCCTGCATATCTCCGCGATCGATCATCTTTTCTTTCCTTTGAACTCTTAGACAGATACTGTGTTGTTGGTGTCTTCTATTCCCTCTTTCAAAGACCTCCAGCGCAGAGCGTGAACTTTTTTTTTTTTTCGCTCTCTCTTCATTCCCCTGTTCCCGACCCACTACCCCGGACGGACTATCGGCCGAGATGAGCGCCCCGGGCGATTATGACGCTGTGCGCAAAGACATCGTCGCACAACTGAAGAAACCCGATTATGATGATGGAAGTGCAGGACCTGTGTTTGTTCGTTTGGCATGGTGAGTTCATCGTATACTGGTTGAGTTTGTGTGTGTGTGTGTGTGTGTGTGTGTGTTCGCCACTAACCCCTGAATAGGCACTCCGCAGGTACCTACGACGCAGAATCGGACACGGGCGGCAGCAACGGCGCCGGGATGCGATATGAAGCCGAGGGCGGCGATCCGTCGAACGCAGGACTTCAGTACGGACGAGCATTCCTCGAACCGGTGAAGGAGAAGCACCCCTGGATCACATACTCGGATCTGTGGACGTTAGCCGGCGCGGTGGCGATCACGGAGATGGGAGGCCCCGAAATCGAGTGGAAGCCCGGTCGGACGGACCTGGTCGACGACTCCAAGGTGCCGCCGCGCGGCCGTCTCCCTGATGGGGCACAAGGCGCAGACCACCTGCGCTTTATCTTCAACCGGATGGGCTTCAACGACCAGGAGATCGTGGCGTTGGCAGGCGGACACAATCTAGGTCGGTGCCATACCGATCGCAGTGGGTTCGAGGGACCGTGGGTGAACAACCCGATACGGTTCTCCAATCAGTTTTTCAAGTTGCTGTTGAAGTTGGAGTGGACGCCGCGCAAGCTGGCGAACGGGATGAGCCAGTTTGTGTATCGGGATCCGGACGCGGAGGAGGGAGACGAGCTATTGATGATGCTGCCGACTGACATTGCGCTCAAGACGGACCCGTCGTTCCGGAAATGGGTGGAGAAGTACGCGGAGGACAAGGACCTGTTCTTCGATCACTTTGCGAAGGTGTTTGCGAAGCTGGTCGAGCTGGGTATTCGGCGGGATGAGAGGGACGTCATCCTCAACACAGACAACGTGAAGGGGGGTTACATCTCTGCTCCGAAGAAGAGTGGTACCCCGACAGGACCCCCGAGGAAGTCGAATGCCGTGCGGGCCAGGCTGTAGACTTCTGTCTGTTTGTGTGTTTTATTTGGGAGGATCATGATGCGATACACGATGGAAGATTCCACGATAGAGGGTTCCTAGATTAGATCATGGCCCCAGCGTATATACTGGGTTAATAGAAGCAAGTCTTGTTCCGATCAACCAGAACGTCGTAGACAGTAGAAAGATGCCAGGAGATGCGAGAAGATGAAGTCGCAGGATGAAAGGGGCCGGGGTTGAAATGCGGGGAAGGCTGACTTTGCTGCGCCCGCCATTGGCTGGCTGGGCAAACAACGCGTGTAGCTGCATAGTACTCCTGGCTATTATTTATGCTATTTATACTGGCCAGGGTAGTTAATTAGTCAGTTGTTGTGATTACGTGCTGTACTGCCTGGGAGTATCTACTTTGGAAGAGCACACGTCCAGAGTTACATGTTTACCAGTTGCCGTCTTCAGCTTCCCGACAACGAATTTCAGACACACGCGCATAGATATTCAATTCGTCTAGGTCAAGATTGATTCCGATATTAATCAATCCATCAAGAATCTGCAAAAAGCCCCTACTATCTATATAGCAAAACTGAAAAGCCTAAGTCCCCGGAAATCGAACGAACTCCCAAGGCAAAAAAGGCCAGGTCCCGAGATGGATCAGGTCCACTTCCGCGGCTTTCGCGGTGGCTTTTGAATCCGCCGCGTAGAATTTTTTCGCTGAATACCTGGTACGTTCCTCGGGAGATTGAGGTTGACATTAGAGAGGTTGAAAGAGGGCCTTGATCCCGGAGTACTTATTGCGAGTGTATGGCTGTCGTTGAAGGAGGGGGCAGTGGACACTGCTTCTGGGCAATCATCGTTGTCATAATCACAATATTTGTTAGGGTTTTTTACCTGCAAGACAGAAGTCTCGCGACATGGATGGGGTTTATTGGCAGCTGGGTCAGTAGAAGATGCGGGCGGCGGTAGCTTGAATCCTTGACCACCGGGTCCGACGGCCAAGCCAGTGCCTTTGCAGCTTTCATCGAAGCACCTGCCAGGCATCATTGATGGCCATGGGTATTCACCCGGGCCCTTGAGGGGTGCAGACGGTGTCCATCCTTTCTCCCGCTGTAAAACGAGCTTGCCTGTCGTATGTTCTTGCGCCATTTGGCGGATCGTTCGCTGGGCCGCATCGAGCACTAATGGGTCGGGGTTCATCACCCGTTCATAGAACAGCAAGGGCACCTGCTGGGCTTTCCAGTATATCTCGGGTACTCTCTCCGCCGGATTGGCTGGGGAAAGGCCTCCGAAGATGACACCAGAGTTTGTACGGCTCTCGTACACGCGCAGCGTGTTTTTCCCATCATGCTCCCCTCGCTTGGCATTGTTCCAGCAGAGGTACATGCGACCGTCATTGAGATATACACCTCCTATCCAGCGATAGGTGGCCTGTCGAAAGTAACCCTCTCTATCCTGATACTCGGAAGTGATATCGTCGGTGTGGTTCCGAACGAAGGAGTGTCCATCAAGCTCTACAACCAAACGCATGGGAAGGCTTTTGAAAAGTCGCAGGCAATATCTGGCCCCAGCGGCACACTGCGTGCAGGGGTACTTGACTTTGGGGTTGAACGCCAGGGATAGCAAAACCCGCATGTCCTTGACGCGGTGGATCTGACCCGGAAGTAAGTTCGGGGTCACAGAAGATCTCGTAACCTCGGAGGCGGCAGCGTGGTTATTTCCGCAACGGCAGGGATTCATGATTTCGGTGTAGGAGAACTGAAACTGCTTGAAGCTTCTTGTACACGCGGCCCAGATAGACCGAATAGCATCAATGGACTCTCCCTGAGAAACTGCAGCAAACGGTGCTACCAGTTTCCAGAATCTGTTTCTCAGCTTGATGCTCAACTCACGAGGACATAGGATCTGTCGCTTCAATGAACGCACGCTCCGCGAGTGTGAAGCCCTTCCACCACTCCTTCGTATTACGATCGATATTGGTAGACCCGGCATCGAGCAGTCGCCCTGCCACAATGACACAGTCAACAGCACTCGAAAAGTTGTCCCAAACCGGGCCTCGACCTCTATAAGGGTAACCTTGCAGGCGCGGAGAAAAGGTCAGTCCCTCGTACAGCCGGGGGTCGCAGATGAATTGAACCTCGGCTGTTGCTGGGATTACACTTATGATTGGTCTTGTCAAAGTGTCCTCCGATGAGGCCGTAAAATGAGGCATTGCAATATTTCGAGAGGAAGCAGTTGGATGACGCTCGAGGTCGGCGTAAGCAACCCTCATAACCGCACGCTCTACCTCTTCAGTGACAGACGGTGGGGTCCGAGGTGCCGCATTGGCAGATTCATGTCCCCTAAAACTTGAAGCCATAATATCCTTTGTCGCTGCTGAAAGGCTAGGAATAGCAGGTCCTTTAGTCGACGGCGTAACAGGCCTAGTTTCAAGAGCCCCAAAATCATTATGTGCAACATCCATGGAGCCCATCTGCGTTTTAGCAATTGGAGTGAGATGGCCATACATTTTTGTATAAATAACGGAAAGAGCATCGGTAGTAATCCTCGATTCAGTTAGATTCATCATATGGTCGTTGTTCGGAGACATCGTGGACTTATGCATGGGACTTGGTTCTTCATTTTTCTTGTTGCGGGGGCTCTTCGGAGGACTCTTGACGGTGCCCTTTCGAGAGTTCTTGACGGTGCTCGTGGCGGTACGCTTACGAGGGCCGTTGGGGGTATGGATATCAGGCGCTATTCCACGAGGATCGAAATCGGAAGCTTGGCCCCCCACATTAACAGGCAAAAGCATTTGTTGTATGTACACATCCGGAAGCAAAGATGGGGCCATCTGGGGTCGATGGTAATCATTGACCAAAGCAGTATCAGGGTCCGGGGGATGCGGATAACGCCTGCTGATAGGATATAAACATGGTATATCTTTTTCAGGATTCAACAGACGAGGACCCGCATCTCTGGAGAAGTCGAACATTTCTTCCATGGTACATGGTTGGTGGCCAGGTGCTTGGTTGTAGAATATTTTGAACAGGACTTCAAGTTTTATCCTCAGGACACTGTCATATGTAGCGTCGTATACGAACCCCCAGCCGTGAAAAGCCAATAAGGCGTTCCAGTTCAGAATTCTGTGAGCAAGGACACCCAAGTAAGTCGTCTTTTTCTTCCCACACAGCCTCCAATTCTCGGGCGGATCTTCCAGGTCGACAATGTTAAGCAGAGGGTAGGGATTGGAGACGGGTTGCCCTTTCCCACCAGAACCTGCTAATTGGGCGAGCATTATAAATTGATTGATATGAAGGCTTTTGTCGTCGAATGTAAGTATAAGCACTGGGTATAGTATTCGATACAAGATCTGCGCAAACAAAAGAGGTGATTTCACCCAATGGTACGCGTCCCAGGGGGATATATACCCGCATGGCCAACCAAATGACAATTCCTTTGGTGACAAGGGAAACAAGGAGATGGTCGATTCTGTCGATCCCAAACACGCAAGTTGCCGGTCAAAGCTTTATAGATTGATTCCGGGTTCGGATCACCTTTTATACGGTCAATCATGGCACTTTTTCTTCCCGACAAATAGGTGCTTCATATTGCAGTTGTCGGGGAAATCAGTGAGGTTAGCCTGAATGGAAGCAATCGCTTCCAACACAATATGACCGTCCGTCTCTCACTGTCATGGTGGATATATATTAGGGGACCGACAACGGGACCCCCCTTTTCGCTAGCGGGACCCCGAAGCACCCTGACCGCCAACGGAGGCGGACTAGTTCCCAGCCTTACTGCCTGAGGCGTCAGGGCTGATACATCATGATGCGCCATCAGAGTCCAGCATGGATGGAAAATGGATGAGTATACTCCGTAAAATCAAGATGGAACCCAGCAGAGCCAGCATATTGATTCCTGCCCGGATGTCAAGTCATCTCTAGCTCAGAGGATATGCTGTGGAAGTGCCACCCACCCATGGCACACAGCGGCGGGAGCACCAACATCAGCTAGCAAGCACACAATAAAAAGCTTGGTCCTACGTAAAAGTAGGGACTCAAAGGCAACGTGTGAGCAAAGAAGGTAGAGGCCATGAATGAAACGGCTCAAACAACGCAATCTGAAAGTCTGTCAATTTGTTTAGGTTGTTGCAGGTCCATGCGCAGTCAAAGCAACAGCCAGAAGGCAAGAAGAACAAAGCCGTCCAGACGACAACCTCCGCTCTGACATGTAATAAACCCAATACCACACATACTGTAACCTTACCTCCTGTCACGTGCCCGTAATCCAGCCCAGTGACAATATATCCCCATCAGGCCTAGCGTTCTCACAAGCGAGCCCTGGAGCGCACCATGCCCGAGGTGGCTAGTCCCCAGCTTACCCGATCCCACAACGGGCGAGCAAAGTTGGAAGCCCAGCGAGTTGCCTCGATTTCAACCTCTCTCATCCCATCCCTTTCGCTGTCGACAATCAATCGCGGTTCTTCGCGCCATCGCCCATCATGTGTACGTGCAAACCAAGAAACATCAACCCTGGACCCGATTCCCTCTGCTATCCTGTTTTTCCTGTCGGCGGTTGTTTGATGGGGGAGGAAAATTGAAATATTGCGGAAGAGAAGGGATTTCAGGATGGCGACACACCAGACAGAAGGAGGATAAGGAGGAGGACGAGGACGAGGACCGGGGGGGTGTTCAACCACGAGGGAACAAAGAACAAAAAGGCTGACTCGGTTTTTTTTCTCGACTTTTAGCGCTCGTGTCCGGCGAGAAGACGAACTTCCAGTACATTCTGCGTCTGCTCAACACCAACGTTGATGGCAAGCAGAAGATCATGTACGCCTTGACCCAGATCAAGGGTGTTGGTCGCCGTTACTCCAACTTGGTCTGCAAGAAGGCCGATGTTGATCTCAGCAAGCGGTACGTTATCCCCTTATCTTTTCTACACATTCCACACGAATGTTCCCGGAGATGGAAAGCGACACAGTTCGACATCTTTCAGTCGATGGCAATATCAATCCATCCCAAGAGTCGAAACCGGAAACCCTTCCCAACCTCCAATCTCAGATGAACACAGAACCACAATCTAACATATATCCACAGCGCTGGTGAACTCACCACCGAAGAGCTCGAGCGTATCGTCACCATCCTCCAGTCCCCCACCCAGTACAAGATCCCCACCTGGTTCCTCAACAGACAGCGCGACATCACCGATGGCAAGGACTCCCAGGTTGTGTCCAACTCCCTCGACAGCAAGATCCGTGAGGACCTTGAGCGCCTGAAGAAGATCCGCTCCCACCGCGGTCTCCGTCACTACTGGGGTCTCCGTGTGCGCGGTCAGCACACCAAGACCACCGGTCGCCGTGGTCGCACCGTCGGTGTCAGCAAGAAGAAGAACTAAGCCAGACTGCAAAAAACGGGATCGGATCACCTTCTCTGCTTTGGTTTCTTCATGCTGGCTGGAGTCGATTGTCGGGAGCGGGATTCCTTTTTGTTGTATGTTGGTGTGTGGTTTTTTTTAACGAATCTTCCGCGGACCGGATCATAATAAAAGTGCCGAGTCCAAAAATGAAAAGAATCATACCAATGTGAATGAATACCAAATCACCCTCTTCTGGTCGTAGGCTGCAGTTAGGAATAAGGAATGCTGTGTCGGGGTGGCAATCTCCTTCCATTATGATGCCTGGTCTATCTTAAATGGTCTTCATATGTGTAGCAACACTGGCTTGTACACGACGTAAGGTGATGTCTTTGATTTGATATGTAGAGTAGCTTCTAATATCCAGGGTGGCTCCATCAAGGCGTTGGTTGCTCTGTCCACCACGGTATCACTACAGGTGATTGAACCCATCCTCGCCGCTCCTTTCCAGTTTGTTATCGGGTATGCCATATTGGCCTGTACATATGCCCGTGTTGTACACCGCAGACACCGACAGATGCTGATAATTACCTACCCTACGGCTACCCTCAAATTGATGCGATATTAGCCAATTCATTCAGGGCGGCAATCTCCTTCATTATAATACCCTGTCCGTCTTGAATGATCGTCATTCAATTCATATCAGCCCGTACACTTGCCCGTGCTGTAGACACCAACAGACACCCATAATTACTCTACAGCTACCCCATATACACTCGCTAACGGTATTATCGAATTCATTCTCATACGAACTAATATAATATGACGCACTATGAAGACAAGGTTCGTATATGCCATGCAACTTATGAAGCCTCAGGAACTAGTGGGCATTGGCAATCCATCTCAAAAGTCAAAACTCTCGTTAAAAAAATATCTGCAGTGTCACTGCAGCAACGCTGCAACGCAGTCTAATGCCTGATGGCGGGTTCTCTAGAACCATTCACCTCCCAACCAGCGGTTGAAGAACTCGAGACTCGACTCGGGCTGGTCCATGGGGACCATGTGGCCACCACCGTAGATACGCATGAACGTGAAGTTGCCATGCGACTTGACCTGACCGATCTTCTTGCCCTTGTGCTCGTTGTCGACCACCTTCAGGTCCTCCAACTCAGCAGAGGCGTACTCCTTCTGTCCGGGCCACTCCAGGGACTCGGTCCAGGCCTTGTTGCCCAGCCAGTTGCAGATGAAGTCGGCATCGCCAGCGTAGATCAGGACAGGGATCTGCTCCAGGAGACCAGGCACGAGGCGGTGGTAGGGCTTCATCCAGTCACCGTGGAAGAGGAAGTTGCGGTTGATGTCAAAGTTGCACGACTCGTAGCCGTGAACCTCAGCGCCGACAGCTTCGATGACGTTGGCCTGGTTCAGGTAGTCGCTGACCCATCCCATGGCCGAGTAGCAGAGGTTGGAGCTGTCTTCGCACTTGCCGCGGACATCGTAGACGTTCTGTCCGGTGCGCTGGTAAGGGGCCAGAAGAGCGTTGTTACAGTAGATCGAGGCAGGGACACAGACCCAGGCGCTCTCGGAGTTGTAGCAAGACTCAATCATAGAGCGGCAGCGGGGCAGTGCATTGTCCATGGCCTGGCAAGAGCTCTCATCCAGAACAGCAGGGTAGCCACCGTCACCACAGGCCATGGGGCGGTAGTACTCATACTGGGTGTAACCGTCGGTGAGACCGTTACCGATCAGAACGGACTGCAGGTTGATGTTGCGCTTCTTGTGAGACAGAATCTCCGAGGCAAAGACAGGGATGTAGTGACCGGCATAGGATTCACCAGAGATGTGGAAGTCCTGCTTGGCATACTCGGGGAATTGCTTGAAGAAGAGGGTAAGCAGGGCATAGACGTCCTTGCCAGCAGCGACCGTGTCGCTGACAGGAGAGTTACTGTAAGAATAACCGACGTTGACGGGCTGGTCAAGGAAGATGACGGAAGCGTTAGAGTTCCACGCGAAGTCGTTGTAAACCGGCTGGAGCTTCTTGTTGATACTGCTAGGGCCGAGCTCCATGAAAAGACCGGTGAGGGAAGAGCAGCCCGGGCCACCGTTCAGCCAGAGAACAACGGGGTCGTTCTCGGGGTCATTGCGGGACTCAAAGAACCCTGGTTACGAATTAGAGATAGCATCGGATGATGGGAAGTGAGCAAGGTCGACTTACAGTAGAACAAGTGCTTATCGTTCTCGTTATCGTCGAGATAACCAGTGTACTGCTTGACACCGGGGTCGATGCCGAGAGCGCTGGGATCGGTCTTCTTGACACGGAGATCGTAGGTCTCGAGCTTGCCATCGATCTCACGCTCCTTCTCACCGCTACTTCCGGTGACCCAGACGTTCTGGACGTCGGATCCGCGGACGATGTGGTCCCAGTGGGAGTCAGGACGGCGGTTGGACTTCTTGGGGAGAGAGAAGACCGGGTTCTGGTCCATGCTCTCGGGAAAGAAGCTGGCCACTTCTTCCCAGAGCTTACGGGCCTCATCAGAGAGGCTCTTGAGCTCCTCCTGGAAGGTCTGCAGTGGCTTGGAGAAGCTGTCGGCACCCTGCTTGGCACCCCCGAGGACCTGCTGGAAGGGAGAGACAGCCGCAGCGGCCGTCCCAACCAGCACAGCAGCTGGAAGAACTCTCATGATGTATTATGTAGTCGAAAGACAGGCTTGAAGTCGAAACGCTGATGAAATGGCAACGCTGAGGATGAGGAAGGACCTTGCGGTCTGGAGGGTACCTAAGGCAGGGGACCTTATCAGCACCGGGTTATCACGGGAAGAGATGGGGAAGGTGTGGAGGCGTACAGATCAGAGCAGTGGAAGGTGAGCAAACGAGCAGCTAAGCAGATACCAACTACTGGGTGGTCAATGGGAACCCAGACGAGGATGGAGAGAGGGAGAAGAGAGGAGAGGAGAGGAGAGGAGAGGAGGTCCTGGATGGGCTGCAGGCAGGCGATGACGCCTCGATAGCTGGGCAGGGAGGCGCCCAATCAGAGGCCGGTGCCTTCCGCCCGCAGCAAGTCACGCGCTGAGTCATGACGCTGAGTCAGCTACAGGCACGGGACCGGCGTCATTGGTCCGTCCACCAATCACAGGCCAGCCGGGTGACTGGCTGGAAGAGGTGACAACATTTTTTCGGCGCATTCAAGGCTGTCCACTCGACTCTTTCCAGACTTGACTGTTTCCTGCGAACCTCTCCCTTCATCAGTACGGAATTTTGTCCCAGAAAACCCACACGGCTTCTCTGGAGAGGCCTCGTGCAAAATGCCCATCAACCAACCCTCAAATCAGATCAAGTTCACCAATGTATCAGTGGTCAGACTAAAAAAAGGTACGTGATGTTACACCCATGCCCCCTCCACCGTCGATCTCCTCGCCATGGCATGTCGCAAGGGATGAGAAGAACGATCATGTGGGAAAGCAAAATCCCCAGCACCGAAGAAACCTGGAAAAGATCCAACTCAGTCGGCCCCGCAACCCCGCTAACAATCAATGAAAACAGGCAAAAAGCGATTTGAACTCGCCTGCTACAAGAACAAACTACTAGAATACCGCTCTGGCGCCGAGAAAGACCTCGACAATGTCCTCCAAGTCCCCACGATCTTCCTATCCGTGTCGAAAGCGCAAACTGCCCCGTCCGCCGAGTTAACCAAGGCCTTCGGAGCCAACACCCCCGCCGATGAGATCCGTCAAGAGATTCTACGAAAGGGCGAAGTGCAAGTCGGCGAGCGTGAGCGGAAAGAAATCATCGAGCGAGTCGAGAAGGAGATGCTGGATATTGTGTCGGGGCGGCTGGTCGACCCCACGACGAAACGAGTCTACACGCCGGGGATGATCTCCAAGGCGCTGGACCAGCTGAGTTCGGCCAGTGGACAGCAGCAGACTCAGGTTCAGCCTACGAATGGCGAGACAAATGGAGCGGAGGAGGAGGCTAAACCGCGGAAGCCGCTGTGGACGGGCGTGTCTGCGACTAAATCGGCGAAGAGTCAGGCCCTCGAGGCCATGAAGGCGCTCATCGCCTGGCAGCCGATTCCGGTGATGCGGGCGCGCATGCGCCTCCGTGTCACCTGTCCGGTGTCTCTTCTGAAGCAGAGTGTCAAGGGCGGAGCGGTCGCTGGTGCCGCTGGTGGCAAAGAGAAGGAGGCACCGCCTAAGGGCGCCTCAAAGGGCAACAAGAAGGGTGGAAAGGGGTCTAAGAAGTCACGTCAACAGGAGTCCGACGACGAAGCCGCTGGATCCGATGCGGAGGCGGCCCCAGCTAAAGGCCCGGGCAACGTGAAGGACAAGATCCTTAGCTACATCGAATCGATTGAGGCCCAAGAGGTGGTCGGTGGGGATGAGTGGGAGGTCGTTGGTTTCGCGGAACCGGGGGCATTCAAGGGTCTGAATGACTTTGTGGGCACCGAGACACGGGGCAGAGGACGTGTGGAGGTGTTGGATATGACGGTCACCCACGAGGAGTAAGCTTGAGGATTACTTCGGGGATTGAACGGATGGTTTCATGTATAGATGGCCGGGGGCCCTGATATGATTGATGACTCGGAATACCAGGAATGTACGAAGCAATGCGATACCTTACAGTCTGTGGCTGATACCTGCCATGCGGTTCCTCTGGCTCTATTGTCTCTTTTTTTTTTTTTTTTTTTTCTTGTTTATCTTTCCCTTCTCCCATCCATACGGCATGCATGTCTCAGCCGATGCATGTGAGAATCACCCCTAAATCATGCAACACCTGCTGAGAACCGGCGAAGCTGCCAGCAGCAGGGACCCAATGAGACTTCGACTCCACCAGGGGTGTTGTGCCTATTCTCTGTCTGTCTGCCTGCCTGCCTGCTTGCACATCCGATTCATAATCCGTGCCCATTAATAACATCTCCAGCCTAAACAGGTTAACCGGGATTTGACCTGAATTCTCCACCGCGTTGGTTCTGAGTCTGGCGCAATGTGCATAGATAGATAGATGCCGGGGCCCGTATGGTCCTTGCTTTTCGCACGGCCATGCAGAGGCCATTCATGCACATCCACATCCACATCCCCATCTCCATCCCAGAGCTGCGATCGATTATGGGTCACACCCAGATCTCCAGCTCACATTCAATACATACATTATCATCATTATAACTATACACAATACCAACCGTTTTCGCAAGACCCATCCATGTACTCCGTATGCCTGCACCTTTTAGCTCTGGCTGTCCGCCTATCTAATGCCTATATGCCATCCCCTTGTCCACTCACTAAGCAAAGTGGCTAATGATTTACCCTCATGGCTTGATCAAGCTCTCGGTTAGCGCTTATCCATCCATCCATCCATCCCTCAACCCCTAGTTATAGAGTACTCCGTAGATAGATAGATGCTAATACCTCGCTTAGATTCACAATAACAATAACAATACAACGGCCCCCTCCGAAGCCTCCGAGCCGAGACCCCCGGAGACTTCGGAGCCTGGAGAGAGGGGGAGGGGTGGGCAGTGGCATGGGGGTGTGGCTGCAGTGGTTGCAGTGGTTGGCCCCAGGAGGGGGGGGGGGGATAATCAGGCCATTGCGGAGTGGCTAATCGGCAACGGTCCGTTTTGACAGCACTTGCCATCTACTTATGGTCTATCTGCTTAGCATGGTGGGGATGGTTAATCTATGTAGGCTGGGTTAGTTGCGTTAGTTCAGGCGAGGGCAGGTTAGCTAGGTGCACTGTTTTTTTTTTTTCTTTTCTGGTGGAGTTCAAGTAGAGATAGCATATTCCAAAATAACGGATTTCTTGTCTCTTCTTCAACTGAGCAGAATGCCCAGCACTTTATATAGACTAATTTATGTATGTAGATAAATAGGCAGCTAGATACTCCGTAGGTGAATACTATAGACATCTTGGTCTCACAGATCGCAATCAAACTAGCGAACGTTGCCGGGCCCGGAAGGCTTGTCAGGTTTGATAGTGAAACTAGGGCTAGACTACCAACTCCACCAGACAAAACACAAGGATTGGATCAAAGTATAAAACCTACTTTGCATATTAATAACGCAGCCTACCTAGGTAGTTAAGTGGCTACCATCGCTATTAGTACTATTATTTATTCTGCCACGCTTTATCCGTACAATGCAATGATGGTACAAAGTAGTTTCTCCTGGTCAATTAGCCAATCACTGGGTAGGTATTAATTCATTCTAGGCTCCGGAGTAACCGGCCCGGAAATAACCAGTGCCACTACGGTTCTGGACTTCCCGGTGGCCCGCGGGAGCTAATCTGGAACCAGACAATGTGCTGCTCTATCAACAACTTGAACTGGAACTTGAACTTGAACTTGAGCTAGACAGGAAGGAATTTTTCCTGTCAGGGGCTGGATATACCACTTCCTCTTATTATCGGACTAACCAAGTAAGGAAGTATCTACTAGATATCTAGATAGTAGGTGATATCTCAGCATCGACCTGCCTACTTAGCTACCTACCTACCTACCTACCTACCTACCTACCTACCTACCTACCTACCTACCTGCATACTAGATACTAACTAGCTGGTATCCATCATGCAGCCTACGCCTATATAGCGCCAACAAAAAAAAAATCGATACTAGCTATCTGTCTAGAAAAATAGATATTTTCAATGCATGCACGCATGCTTGCTAGAATGCTGCGGCTAACATTCTTAAACCGAATCTTCAGAGTAAAGTACCCGAGGCCCGACCACTGAGGCCTGCAGGGGCTTTTATAATAGCCCTGCAGGAACGTGTCTATTTATTTATATACATACATACATACATACATACATATTATCCAGCACTACTCCGTTTCATTCATGGCATGCAGTTGCTATAGTTTTAGTTACTCGTATACTATAATACTTATGAGTCCACTTATGGCAGATTATAACCCTATAGTTAAGGGTCGCAGGATTCGCGCAGGATGGCGGATGGCGATTGTGTAAATCCCGACCCGCCGACGACGACGACGACGACGACGACCAACCAAGCTGGTTAGACAGACGAGCAGAGGTTCGGAAAAGGTAATACAACCGACCGACCGGATTTACTGTCTGCTAATCTAGAAGTAGAAATAGATAGTAGTATTAATGCCTATCAGTGCCTGTGCCAGTCCCAGTCCCAGTTCCAGTCCCAAGTGTTCAATGCCAGTGTCATGTAATTTGCTCTTTTTTTTTTTTTTTTTTTTTTTTTTCTGAGAGGAGCTGGGCTGGGTGAGGGTCGGCAGGATCTCATCCGGGTCCTGGTCCGGCTCCGGTTTGACAGTTGTCTTGATTGAATCTAGATAGTGGGTTTATGCTAACTCTAAGATGGTATTCCGTATACTATCTAGTAGTTAATTGGCAACGGATGATTAGGTGCTTGGTTGGTTGATTGGTTGGTTGGTTGGTTGGTTCATGTTGCGTTGCCATGTGAGGGAGGCAGGCCCCGGTCGGTCTGTAGCTAGTCTTGACAATCTACTAGTAGTTACTTAGGCTGGGTGCGTGGTGTGGGTTCGCATCTTGCTACTGCTGCTGCTGCTGCTACTATAAAGTGCATATCTCTCCTCGGTCCTCCAGCAGGGAGTGTGGTAAAGCTCTTGTTTTCGGCTGTCTTTTTTTGTTCTTATTCTTTTTCTTTTTCCTTTTAAACAAAACAGCGACAGACAAAATGGTGCACAACTCCTTGAACCCCCTCACAGAGACCATGCCCATGACCATGTCTACATCACCCTCCCAATGTCCATTCAGGGAGTACGAGAAGATCATCTCGAAGAACCCCATCCTAACGCCCACCGGCTGCACGGAACAATTCTGTCAAGCGGGCCGCATGAACCACACCGACGAGCCGAAAATCGGCGAGAACCGACCCCTCGAGACGGTGCGGGACGAGGCGTCGGGGTTCCTGTGGCAGCTGTGGCAGGACGGTATCTACACGGAGCACGAATACAATGAGCGACGGACACAGGTGATGGACGAGATCGAGCGATCGGCCAAGGAGAAGATCGTCTGGAGCCGGGAGGTCAAGAGAGTCAGCAAGACGTCGACGTGGACGCAGACCCCCGAGGAACTCCGGTATGGGCTGCGGCTGGCGTGGAGGAATTCCCGGAAGTGCATCATGCGATCGCGCTATCAGGAGCTGGAGTTGTGTGATCTGAGGCGTGTGAATACGAGCGTTGGCATGGCTACGGCGATTCTGGAGGAGGTGACCAAGTCGTTCAATAATGGTCAAATAACGCCCACGGGTAGGTGGGATCCGCGATGGGGGCGGGACTTACATGGTTGCCTATACTGACGGTTTTCGCAGTGTTCGTCTTCCCCCCGAAATCTGTGGATGGCAATGGGCCCATGTTTTGGAATAAGCAAGTGCTGAATTTTGCTGCCGTACGCTTCTCCCCATCCATCGCAATCCACCGGATGCAAGCCTAACTGACCGCAACGCAGTATGAACTGGACAATGGCTCAGTACTGGGCGATCCAAGTAATGTCCAATTGACCAAAGACATCATCGACCTGGGCTGGACGCCACCAACCCCCAAGGGTCGATGGGATCTACTCCCGATTGTTGCGATGGCAGAAAACGACGCACCGGCTTTGGTAGAGATACCCGACAATCTGCGTCGATTAATCGACATCGAACATCCGGACTACCCCGGCATTGGGAAACTGGATCTGAAGTGGTACCAGTTTCCGGCCTTGAGTAGGCTGGGATTTGATATCGGAGGTGTTCAGTACACGGCTGCGCCCTTTCTCGGATGGTAGTCTCGTCCCGGTTTTCCTCACGTTGATTTTAATCTGACATGCCACCAGGTACATGGATGCAGAGATCGGGGTGCGGAACCTCGCGGATACGTTTCGCTTCGACTCGCTGCCAGACGTGGCCAAGGCTGTTGGTTTCAGCATCGATTCATATCGTCAAAGACAGGAATACTCGGAAATCAGAGAAATGGGGGATCTGCCCGACTATGAACAGCTGCGGTGGCTGAGCCGGGCCCAGGCAGAACTTAACTACGCAGTGCGGTGGTCCTTCCTCAAGAAGGGCGTCACTTGTGTAGGCACTCTCGCGGCCTCGTCCGACTGGTGTCAGTATGATGATGATCATGCCGAGAAGAACGGCTACCGCCTCAATTCCGACCCATACTGGCTGTCGCCTCCCCAGGGCTCAATCGTGCCTGTGTGGCACCGAGGTGGCGCACCAAACTACCAGCCCAAACCGATGATATGTCGGAATCGCTATGACCCTGTCAAGTCCTGGCAGCGTCAGAAGAGCGCCACTGAGGCATACCCCGTTCGCCTTGTGAGAAAGGAGGGAAGCTGGGTAAGAGCGTATGTGCAATTGTTTTGTTCGTTGGCTAACCAGATTCCAGGTCACCGAGGTCTTGAGCCCCTTCACATCCAACCCGTCAGAGCGAAATGGCAGTACGGCCACAGAAGCCGTGTCGGAAGCGAAACTCAACACCGTGCGCATCTGCTACTGCAGCAAAGGCACAACTGCCCGCATCCTCGCCGATAAACTGCACAACAGCGTGAAGAAATGCGCCAAAACATTCCGTGTCGCGTTCAGCTCCCTGAATGCCCTGGACCTTCACAAAGTCGATCCATCAGATGTCATCCTCGTGGTCGCGTCCACAACGGGCAGTGGCACGTTCCCCACCAACGGAGACGAGTTTGCGAAATCGACGCGCCACCTGCTCAAGACACTTACCACCGACTTCTCGCAGCTCCGCGTGTCGGTCTTCGGCGTAGGCGACAGCGCCTATCCGAATTTCAACGCTGCCGCGATCGACGTGTACAATTTCTTCAGCAAACTGGGCGTCTCCCCCATCGCGGGAGGTCTAGTCAAGGCCGATGTGGCATCCGAGGCACTGCCATTACGGCTGTTCCATCGGTGGTTGGACGTGGTCGAGTCTTCCCTGACGGGGGGTATCGATGAGTTGACCGAGAACCCCGAGGACGAGTTGATCGCGCAGGGCGAGATGCTCCGCAAATTCAACAGCGCCACACTTGTATCCAAGTCGTCGCCCTCCGGGGAGGAAGACGGGCTCATCCTCATGGCCCTCGACGGTATCGAACACGCAGAGATGACACACCTGCGACTCCTACCCACCAATTCTCCATCGCAGGTATCCCGGGCGCTCGCCGCCCTGGGAATCGACAATCCGCACCAACAAATGCCTTTCTCCGACAGGAAACTGCAACAATGGACTTACCAAGACTTCTTCCTCTACCTTGTGGACCTGGAAGACCGCTTTAAGACCCAAAGCTGGACCACCCAGCCGCGGAAATACAACGAACCCGTCCTTGAAACCCTCGAGCGACTCATCAATCCATCCCAACTCACCGATCCCCTCCGCCTCTCAATCTGCCTCGATATCCCTCTCCTCCGACCCCGCGCCTTCTCTGTCGCATCCTCCACCCACTACCTCGGCGACAAGAAAGTCGAGCTGTTGATCAAACCCCACCGCCAGGGCCGATTCAGCGAGACATACCTATCCACCCTCTCCCCCGACGCACTCGTCAAGTATTGTCTGGTTCCCACCTCCCCGGCCTCGGACCTCCCCGTCGTACAGAAACCTCTCATCGCCATCACCACCGGGTCTGGTTTCGCCCCTGTCCGCAGTCTCCTCCAGCAGCGCATCCATATCGCCCAAGCGTCCGAAGGACGAAACACATGTCCGTTCCGACCCAGCCCCATCAGCTTATTTGCCGGGTTCCGGCGCGTCGACGAGGACATCATCCGCTCGACGGCGTCTCTGGCGGAGGAACATGGCGTGGTGGATCTGTCGTGCCTCGTGCCGAGTAACAGGGAGAAAAAGAGAGTTCAGGATTTCCTCTGGGACAGGCGGGATGAGGTTCGGGCGAAGTTGGTGGACCAGGGGGGTTACGTGTATGTTTGTGGAAGTGCGGTGATGGTGGAGGGTGTTCGGGGGAAACTCGGTGAGATGTTGGGTGCGGATGTAGCGCTCAGTCTGGGGGATCGGTACGTGGAGGAGGTTTTCTGATGTCTGTCTGGTAGATGTCAGATTGAGTTTGGGGGTGTTAAGCTTAGAGAAACCGTGTTTCTGGTATGACTATGTAAATGTGAATGTGAATGTGAATATGAATACGATCAGGTTTTGTTTTCAGATTGAAATGACGATGGTATTGCATGCATTGACCATCTGATGTAGCTTGGTAGTAGATAGATAGATAGAGAGAGAGAGAGAGATACTTATCTGAGTAGTAATAGATAGTTAGTACCTAGTACCCAACAATCTCCACGGATGATGGGTAGAGGTGGTATGTAGTACTGCGAAGGTCCCAGCAAACGGGACGCGCGCGACACGACTCTACCTAGGTAGGTAGATAGGTAGATCAACTTGGTCCAAAACCCTCAAGTCCCGGTATTAGTATCAAAGAGATCTGTGCATCAACCTAGAGCAAGCATCAAATTTTCCTCCAAGGATTGATTGGCAAAAATGTAAACAAGGCAGAGGCTGAACCTTTTTTCGGCTGGTATCTAGGTGGAAGAAGGTGGGAAGTATTTTCCCGTCCAAGCCCCGCGCTTGCTCTGGTTTCCTTTCCGTGCGCGGGACTGCGGGCAGACCGACCGACCGACCGACTGGCCGAGCTGGTTGAATTTAGCTAGTCGGAAGGAAGAGTGGTTGGTTGGTTGGTGGTGGTCTTTGCGAAAACTACCTAGATTTCTTGAGGGTTTTTTGGGGGGGAAATGTGCTTTGACCCTTCATATACCTAGGTAGGTTAGGTTTCCTTACACAAGGAAAAGAGATGTCAAGTTATGTATGTATGTATGTGTCTGGTTGTTGTTGTTGTCGCGTAGGGAGGAGAGTCGAGACTATAGGTAAGGTAAGGTTACTATCTAGTAGTTATGGATGTGCACGGGCGGGATTAGTTATCAATGTCCACGACAGTTAACTACTCCGTAGGTACTTATGGAATGGAACAAAGCTTCGCTTTTGGGAAATAAAAGATAAAGTGTAGACATCTAAAATCTGTCATCTCTCATCCAAAAACCCAGTCCATTGCTAGGTACAAGTACATTTAGAATACTACTCTAAATGTACTTGTCTAACTACTTTGCATTGCTTATCCCAAACATATTGACTGTAGATACTATGCTGGTAGGTGGTTCTCCACTCCGTACTGGGTATATATTTCTAACCAAACCATCAAACCACCAAACAAGCAAGCATATGTATTCACTTTTACAATACCAACACCTTCCCTTTTCACTTTATCAATATACTTTCTCTTCCAAGTAAATCTGACATTGGTTGAGTTTAGTTACCATCATTTCACACCCACAAACAGAAGCCCCCAGTCATATCCCATCCCGTGACCTTCCTCCCTCCCAATCAACCCTCCAGTAAACCAAGTAAACACTACCACCAACTCCATACATAGGTACAATAAGTAGGTCATAGATAGCTCGCCCTAGTCTCACCATCTAACGGACCAAAGCGCCGATCAACTAAACAGACAGACACAGACACAGACACAGACACAGTCAGAGAGAAGGAGGGAGCCTGGGAAGGGGGGAGGGGGAAGGAAGCGTAGATGTCGGTCCGGATCTGACCAGTCGGTCTGGATTCTTGGCGCGACGCACTATCTACAGGGGTGGGTGGGGGTGGGTGATTTGCGGGGTGGGATTGGAATTCGGAACCAGACGTTCAGAACAGAATTGGATTTAGGGAAATTAGGGGGGGGGGGGCGGGGTGAGGTGAGGTGAATTGAAGTGAAGTGAGATGAAGTGGAGGTATTTATTGACTGTCTGGTTGTGATTGATTGATTAGTTTTCGGATAGGTCGTAGGGTAGGTGGATGAGGGGGTTCAGGGTATGGGGTATCAAGTGTACGGTAGGTAGTTAGCTGGGTATAGTCACGTAGCCTGTAGGTAGTAGTTAAGTAAGCTCCGGAATGTCGCGGATGGACATTCTGCTTATACCTCGTCATATAGTACTCTACGACGCACAAGACAATATTTTGTGTTTTAATTATTATTGATTCATTCTCAACTACCCTACAACTAAAATAAGTGGGTAGATACATTACAATTCTATCTCGGCCATCAACCCAGGTGCTAGTAGTAGGCACCCAGGAGAAGTGTAAAAAAAAGAAAAGGCACCGTCACACGACAGTCGGTCGGTATGGGGCCAAGATTGTAACTTGCTTGGACGGACGGACAGACGGATGGATGGATGGATGGGGTATACGCTCAAACGCAATGCATGAAGCAACACGCATAAGACCGATGGATGGGGTTTCGAACCATCGTTCTCGTCCCATGCGTGGGAAAATGGCAGCCACACGGGGGAGGGTCCGGAATATGCAATAAAAGAGGCGCCCCCTCACGCCAGGATTGCATATAGGTGGAAGTGTGTGGACTGGGTTAATGGGTTGAAGGGGAGGAAAAAAACAGTCGTGGTGGCCTCGAACACGGGTGGGTACGTGGTTCGGACGGGGTCACCGTTCTGCGCGACCCGCAGATTTGGGTCGAGGAAGGGAAGAGGCTTGTACCCGTGTCGCAGGTAGGATATAGAATAGGGTAAGAGTCGGTAGGTGGCGTATCACGTGACGACGAACCGAAGATCTTGCCGGAAGTTGTCGGGGACGAATTAAAAAAAAATAACTAGGTGCAGATCTGCACGGCGTGCAACGCCCGTGTCAGTTCCTCCGGGGAGAATGGCATGTAACACCCCTTGGGCGAAAGGGGCGGCGGCGAAATGGCCCGTACAGCTGGGGATGTGTATCGGGTCGTTTCCTTGAGGTGTGCGATCGAGCCCAGCCGGGGGATATCGGCATAGAGCGTCATCATTGAGTCGGTGTAGCTGGCAGCGTCGACCGCCGTGGAGGAGGAGGAGCCGCTGTCGTCGTCCCGACTGCGCGCGTATTCGTCGTGACGGACGGTAGGGGCTGCTGGTGATTGGTCAGATGGGCGTCACGCATGGAATGTTTCAGGACGAGGGTGAGAGTGAGAGAGGTCGGGAAGACGCCGAAGACGACGAACGGGACGAATTATCGCACATACCACCAACTAAGACTTCTACCTCCGGTGCTGCTGTCCGAATCTGATCCGGGGCCAAATCCTCGTCGTCCTCATGTGGCCTCAGATAGTCCGGCAGTGTCGCACACGGGGATAGAGATAGATCGGGAGACCGGGGTCGTTCCTCTTGAGCCTCCCCGAATGACCATGCGGCAAGCCTCTTCTGGTGTTCCCGGTCGAAGGGGCCCTTGAATTTGGAGCGTGGGATTTCGTGTCGTTTGTAGTATTCAATCTTGATGCCATTGCCCTTGGATTTGGACGAAGACGACGACCCACTGCTGGACCGGCGGAAAACCCGACGAACTTTTTCTCGAAGATTCATGGTGACAGGGTGACAGGGCCGAAGCGTGGCTATGGGAGGGAGATATATGCGGTTCACCGTCGGCTTAGTAGTACCTCAGTTGCATGCCTTTCCCGCAGAGGGATTGGACGCGAGGGAGGGTGTGCAAGCACGGACGACAATCGAGTAGGTGCAAGGACCCTGGTATCATCGTTTGCCTGAACAGGGTGTGGGGAGAGGGTTGGAGAGGAGAGTATACAACAGAAGAAAAGAAGAGGGGAGAGTAAAGAAGAGAGAAGAGAGAGAGGGGGGGGGGGGAAGAAGGAAGGGCTAGAATGGGTAGTAGTAATGCGGGTAACTATCTTAAGAGCGGCCGTCAGTACGAAACGCGCGACTAACTGGTAGGAGTAATCGGAATCAGCGGCCACCATACCTACTATGATTCAATCGGATGGGAATAGATTACTAGCAGGCCGACTGGGGGGTAATCTGATTGGAACGAGGCGCTTGACTTGCTCAAGGCACCATGCCGTTAGTCCCATCCCACTAAAAGCGAGTCTCCATCCATGGATGGAACCCACCATTCCCGGTCCTGGCGATAACTCACCTGGTCGTGACTTATCACCACCCACCACTGGTTCTTCCGACCTTGCTCCGTAGTTAAGCCTGCACTGGCCAGGCCGACCCCACGGCTGGCAGACGTACGGTTTGGTAACTGGCAAGCCGCGATTGCCTGCGGCCAAATCCGATGCGTGAATAAGAAACCACGCCGAACGTGGAGGATCCACCAGGGGGAAGGAGGAGGGGGTTGTGCGCGAATTTAGCTGGCTCACTAGTGTGTTCGTTACCAGGAGGTGTTGGAGTTGTTGTTGTAGGAGATAAGTGAGCAGTCGGACCGTCGGAGGGAGTCCGGCGGATGTTATGTCACTGTGAGAGAAATTATGCCTGCGTATCTACGGAGTACACATCACGGAGTAGAAACTGTGTGGGGAGTGCTATGTTTGCTCAACCCGGTTCGTGGAGGGGGAGAGAAAGAACAGCCACCACTGATCCCCCGGATGTCATCACACCTCCACCTCATCATCTTCTTCCCCAGCTCAGCCTGACACGGCCTCTTTTTTTCTTTTTTCTTTTCTTTTCTTTTTCATTCTACTGTAAGTAACTGTGTAATCCTGGGCCTTGCAGGCTTGCAGGACAGACTCCTCATCGGCGTCACGGTGCCGACAGCCGGGACAGGCTTCTCCCAGCCAGGGCTGACGGAGCGAACTAACCCCTTCTCGCTCACCCTCACCCTCACCCACCCGCCTTCCAATCAAGGCAACCGGAGTGGCTCACCTTCGGGTTGCATCGCCGGCAACTTCAACCTTCGACAGGTACCGCACTGCTACGCTCCCCCCCAGCCATGGGGGGTCTCATCCATGGTTACGCTGCGACAATTCGGTGGTTTCGCGGAGACAGCCCGGGACGATGTCCTTTCCCACCATCGCTTTGGGTTGCGACAGCCAAGTCTAGCCATCTGCTTGCTTCAAGCCTTCAACGCCCTCGGCGTGTGCAGGCCGGTGGCCACATCTGTACATGCACCGGAATGGTGGTATAATGGCAGCCGACTATCACTCAGCCTGCAGGACGTGCAGGAGGGTGTGTGGCAATGGCAAACCGGTCGCGTCCAGTCGAAGGGCAGAGAATTGAAGTAAGGCAGACTGCTGTCGTGGTCCTGCAGCGAACCCTTCCAGAAGGCGGCCAAGACGGTCGGTCCGATCGACGTGCCACCACCGAGTCGCCCACCATTCCAGGGAAGCGCACCTGGCTGCCCTCTCAGGCTCTCTCAAGTGGCAGCGACCGGATGGTCGTCGGGATGCAACCTGCGACCGGCATCGTCATTCGTTCTCGCGGCGCCCATGGCTGGCGAGCGAGTCGTCGGCCGGGCAGATGACCGTCCCACGTCAGTCGCCGGAAAGAAACGGTGGCACTGGGAGGCGATGTTCCCGACATGGCACTCCGTATGGAGTCTTCCGTACGCAGTAGAAAACCATCGCGTAGGCAGAGAAATACTCTTGACTAATGAGATAATGCGCAACTGGACGGTGATAGGGTGTTGGCGGGAGTGATATCGTTGGGACGGCCATGGTTTCCGACTGCCCCGCCGGATGACTCGGTGTCGCCTCCACTCGGCACGCTGCTTCCGGGCAGCACATTGGCTGTAGGATATTGTAACACAAAACGGCTCCCATTTCCCATCAAGTAGGCCGGCTGGCCCAATGGTAAGGCGCTTGACTACGGATCAAGAGATTGCAGGTTCGAATCCTGCGTCGGTCATTCTTTTTGTTTTTCTTCGTACATCTCTCCTGCACTGCCGCTTGCTGTACACAGTACACACAAGCTATGCGCTCCATCAACTCGAGACGTCTTTTTGTCCCAGACAGCGAGCGTCGCACCCCGAGCCGATCCCCCAAAGTTAATGTTGCATCCCACGCATGGCTCTCAGATCGCTATGAACACATCTCCCGAGTTATGTACACTGTAAGGGCTCGGCAGAACCACATGTTGGGCCGTAACCATCCGTGGCATCCTCCCCTCCCGTCATTCTATGATGTCACATCCCTCGCCTTCTAGAAGTTCCCCCCAGCGCACCCATCCGCATGCTTCATCGGGTCGGGCATGGATACAGTTGGAAAAACGATACCGCCAGCGGAGGAAATTGGCATCCAGCTGTCGTCTGCAAGGGATGCGAGGCAGTATACGAGCGATCCTCCGTGGCGAAACACCTTGCACTTCTGTTTTTGGGTTGACTTGGATGCCGGGTCAGATCGGATCTGCCACAGTGTGGTAGGTATATACTACTGAGGCAGTGAGGCATAGATACTCTTCATCGTATAACTTCCCCTACCGGTAGTTCACACTCCACAGTCCACACAACTCACCTCATGGCCCATAGCCATGGGGCCAGACACGTGACGGTACCATTCCCCGGACATTCCACCCCGTCATCGAACCCAACCCCGGAGTTACTCGTTTGGTTTCTTTAGGCGAGAGTCGTTGGTATGTCATTGTCATGACTAACGAACGGTCAACCATCCATCCATCAGGTCTGGTCTGGTTGGTATGTTCGTTCATGTTCGGCCGGAAGCGTGGACGGGACACGAATGGCAGACATTCCTCGCCGGGTTTGGCCGTCCCAGTCCCAGCCATCCAATCCAGCATCCCAGGCTCATGATGCAATCGACCTGACAACCCCCCCCTCCCAGTCCGATCGAATGCGGGTGCTGCAGTCACCCGGTCCGGACGATTAGGTAGCTTGATGGGCTGGGCTGGGCAGGAGTGTCGATAAGAAATACGATACTGGGGGTGAAGATGATGATGAGCACTACTCACTCTTATTATCATTGTAGATAAGCGATTTAGATATCTATTCTATACTCCTTAATCCGTGCCAATCTAGAATCTACAGTCGACATCATGACTAGATAGGTACCGACAGGCCAGACCGCCAGAGTGGTCTTTTCTTTTTCTTTTCTTTTCTTTTTTTTTTTTTTTTCTGTTGTTGACTGGCGGCCAGCCGCGTCGGGTTAATGGCGGGCCCGGTCGGAGGTGATGATCGTCCGCCATCGTCCGGCCTGCCTTAGTCGGGGCTAATTAAAACGGCCTGGCAAGCCCAATCTGCAGGTACAGACCCGAGTCGCCGGAATCAGGGGGAAAATGGGCGTTCGCCCTGCTGAGAGAATTCCTGGGGAGGGATGGAGGGGAGGACAGGACAGGGCAGAGACAGGGCCAGAGAAGAGAGAGTCTTGTACATAACCGTCCCCCGTAGAATGGAGGGAGCTTCCGGAAGCAGCTGGTCTAGCTGGGTGCGGGCCGCAACAATACACTCGTATCCCATCCTATCCATCGAGTGCAGTGGGTGGCAGGGGACGAAGGAGAAGTTGTAGGAAGGGAAGGGCCATTCTCGCCCTCGCTGGGAGAAGTCCCCTGCCGATAATTAGAGAGGTCCTGCAACCTTGGAAAGGATTGTAATGAGCTTGCTGCAACTTGCAACTTGCAATTCGAATAGCATAACACCCCCAAATTTCGATCCGCAGGCACTTGGAGCCCCTTCCCTTCCCTTCCTTTCCCTCTCTTCAACCACGACCCCCATGTGACCGCGGCGAGAACTTTCCCCCCCCTCTAACTACCTATTGTCTCGCTCGTCCTTTGTTACTTGTTCTCTTTGGCATCGATCGGGTAACTCCTCTACGCTTGTCAATCTATACTGTACCACACTGCACCCCATTTCAGAGCTACTACTCGTGGGATCGGGGTTAAATTGAGTGGCACAGCAACTGTCGCGTGCAGGTCAGTAGCTCACTGGCCCAAATAATTGTGTCGTCCCGGGCCTCCACGGATTAACGTTCCCCGATCGTTTAGACATTCGGAAAGGAAGGAGGACTAAACCAACATACCTTACCACAACCTACCTTGCCCGCCCCTAACTTCGCACCTCCTCCGGCCGTGAGCTCTTATTAAAACCCCCATCGCAGAAATCGCACGACCGCCAGTTTTGCATCCATCCACACCCCCAGTCCGTCTACTGCGTTCCGCACAGACAGTAAGTGTTACCCTTTCGCGGCTGGGTCGCGGTCGTTGTCGTCATCACTCGCTTGCTTGCTTGCTCGCTTGCTCGTTCGCTCGCACTTGTGGCTGGTCGGTTAGTCGGTCGCTAACAATTTTTGGCTGCCGCACAGATCACTGCCCATTGATCACCATGGCTGGTAAGAAGGGAGGAAAGAAGGGAAAGGGCAAGGGCAAGAGCGGCGGCGCTGTTGCTGCTGCCGCGGCCAAGCGCTTGGCTGAGAACCAGAACAATAAGTGAGTGACACAATTCCGATCGCACAAATGAATTGCGGCGGGGGGTCGGTGCGCGGGTCACTTAGGGTCGCGCGACGCTGACATCTGTCTTGTTAAACAGCAAATCCGGCCAGGAGGTTGAGGAAACCGTCTCCAAGAGTGACGCTGAGGTCGAGACTGGCTCCACTGATGATGCCGTCTCTGCTGGTGATGCCGTCCCTGCGACCGCTGTTCCCGCAACCACCGCCATCCCCGAAACCACCACCGTCCCTGCGACCACCGCTGTCCCCGCGACCCTTGCGGTCCCTAAGACCACTGCTGCGCCTGAGACGACTGCTGTGCCCGAGACTACCTCTGTCCCCGAGACCACCGACGTGCTCGAAGCCACCGCTGCTCCCAAGACCACTGAGCAGGCCCCCTCGACAGCCCCTCCGGCCAATTTCACCTCGGAGGCCTCCAATGCAGTGAACACTTCGTTCCCCAAGGTAGACGAGAGCGTCGTGGACGATGCTGCGAAGAAGGCGCAAACGTCTGGAGTCGACTCCGTGGAGGAGGGCACGAGTAAGTCACGTCATTCTCTGTGTGTGTTCGCACAATTGGTCATCTGCTGACATCTATCTCCTCACAGCCGTTCTGCCTTCTCCCTCTGCCGCCCCCGCAGATGTGGGCAAGACATCCCTGCCCGAGCGGCCCAAGGACAGCGTTTTGGCTTCCGAGACCACCGATGCCCATGTCAAGCGCCCATACGAGAGCAGCCTCACTGCCAAGGATGAGAACCACAAGCCTTCCAAGATGCCCAAGGTGGACGACGAGCTCGCTGCTGCCTCCGCGGCCACGGGTGCATCGGCCGGCAAGACTGAAATCCCTGGTACTACTACCGTGCAGCCGCAGATTGTTGCAGGACTTGGTGCTGATCCGTCGGATAAAGTGACGAAGGACGTGGAAGTCCCTGGTCTTGCTTCGGCAGACAATGCGGCCGCCAGTGAGGCTACTGCAGCCACCAGCACGGCTGTGCCGGCTGCTACTGAGAAGGCTGCTGTCAACGACACCCCTGCGAAGCCCGAGATCGCCGATACCACTGCTCCGTCCGGCGCACCCACATCTGCCGTGATTGATGACGTCGATGCGTCCAAGAAGACGACTGGTGCAGTGTCACACGCGGAGCCCACGACGACAACGGAGACCCCGGCCGCCGCGCTCGCCAGCGAACCTGCCACCGTTGTTCCTTCCAGCATCACAGATCGTCCTGCGACCGGCAGTAAGGACATTGGCAAGGACGCCGTGGAGAAGGCCACCGACCCCGCTACCACTGAGGCGCAACAGCCCCTCAAGGCGGCGGAGGACAAGCTGCAGTCCGCCAAGGAGCAGGTGCCCGAAAAGCCCGCCGAGAGCGCTGTTCCTTCTCTGGGCAAGGAGACCAAGCCCCAAGAAACCGAGCCCCTGACTACTAAGGCTGGCGAGGAGGCCCAAAAAGAGGGCGGCGCCGCAGCCAAGACTGCTGAGGAGGCGACCCCCGCGGCGACCCAGCCGGAAGACACCTCAGCCGCCAAGACGGCCGACGCGAGCAAAACCGAGGCCGCCCAGACTGGACAGGACGCACAGGCAGAGGGTGCCACGGCTGCCCAGAAGCCCGAGGAGGGCAAGTCGGCGGTCGAGCAGGCCAAGGACACCGCCAAGGGCGAAGCCAACAAGGCCCAGGAGGCTGCGAAGTCGGAAGTCGCCAAGGCCGAGAAGCGGAAGAGCGGGATCTTGGGCTGGTTCAAGCGCAAGATCAAGGGCGACAAGAACTAGACGCCGCTGTTTGTTTCTGTGCCATGCGCCGCGGACCGGACGCGACCGCGATCCGGCCCGTTTCTTTGGCTCCTTTGGTGGATGTCCGCCGACGAAGAAGCCCCTATTGCTGATACCCCAACACGGACGGTTGAATTATTGAATGGAATGGAATGGAATGACGGGAAAAGGAAAAAAACACCGCAAAACCCTGCAAAAAGAAGAAGGCCGAAAACAAGATGGATACCAGAGCGAATACCCCCCTGTGCTTAAGAAGGATGGATGGCGGGTGTACGATATGAATGGACGGCCGGGATACCACGGGGATTGGATTAGGGCGGTGGTTCTGACTGGACTGGACTGGTTGGGATTGATCCATGCTTGTCGAGCGCTTGTGTTTCGTATGTATTGTTCACGCTGGGCGGAATGGGCTGAGAATGGGATGACATGACGTCTCGTTAATGGTAATGGAGGAAGAAATGCAATGATGCTTTGAACTTTTGATTATTTCGCTGCTACGATGGGATGTCTGGAGATGCCCGGGGATGCCATAGGGGGGTGTACACGTATGTATGTATGTATGCCTGGCCACATCAGGAGACGAGGAGACCAGGAGACTAGGAGTAGGAGTAGACGGAGACTCCGGACGGAGCACCGTGAAGCTGTCCAGGGTTAAGGAGAAGGGGGAGTAAACTGAAGGTATATGGCACGCTGATTGAGTGCCAAAGAGGACAGACAACACATCAGCGGAGATAGATAATACACCGCCATTTAGAATGTCGGAGAAGTGAGACTTTTGGGAGGGGGGAGGAGGAGGAAGAGGAGGAAGGGATCCGCCGAAGAGCTCCAGAAGTGTCGTTAGCTAGTCAGAAGAGGGGGTCCGCGACGCCAATAGACTCGCCCAACTATCGGCTATTGCGACCCCCTCAACTTCTCAACAGGTCTTAACGCTCAACTCTCTTTCTCTCTCCCTCTCAACTTCAACGATCGTCTGTCTCTCCACCACACCATGTCTGAACCAGTCATCGTACTCTTCATTCTCCAACTACCCGAACGATGACATATCTGTCCCAATTCCCAGTCTCCGCTGGCTGGAGGATCCGGATCGCTGGTCGCCCATGATATCATCCGCCAGTCCGATCGTCCGCCAGCCCCTCCACTTGCCGCCCCACGATGAGGGAATTCGCGTCTCCCCGTCGGCCTCGTCGGTGAATCAGACCCCCTCCCATCGTGGCTGAGACACCCCCCCGCCCGCTGTCGACCGATCCAGGCCAAGCTTTCCTCAAGCTTTTAGCGCTGTGTCCCTGGTCGCCGTCTGGTGATTCGCCCATCCGCTCCAGCCAGGAGGGGCCCCAATTGCCGGCGTTATCGATGGGCAGTCGAGCTTTTGGGAAGCTGTGGGCGGTCGTCCTCATGAGTGGCTGTCGCTGCCCCCTCCTGGGGCTGAAGGGGCTGAGGACAACAGCCACTCGTTGGCTGTCCCCTCCTCCCGTGTTGCCTGAGCGGGCGGATGATGCGGCAGGCTAGGTAGGACCGTAGGACACTCTGGTCGGGTCAGGACACTGGCCAGGACAGGGGAGGGTGAAGAGGGACCGAGAGGGGCAAGCTTTGCTGGGCTGACGTTGGCCCCTCCCTTTATTTACTTCACTGCTCCCCCCCCCATTTCTCGTCGCAGAGCTTCTGTCTCTTCTTTCTTTCCTCTCCATTCTCCCATCTTTACCCCCCATTATCCGTCACAATGGTCCATCTTGCCCAGGTTAAGCGCGACAGCGAGATCGAGAAGATCGCTGGTCAGGTTGGCTCCATCCAGCTCGAGAACATCGAGGAGGATGGCTTCTCCACCAGTGTCTACGGCACCCGCTTCGCTACCCAGGAGCTCCCTTCCACCGAGATGCCCGAACGCGAGATGCCTCGTGAGGTGGCTTACCGGATGATCAAGGATGAGCTTAGCTTGGATGGCAACCCCATGCTCAAGTAGGTTTGGTCGGATGTGAGGAGTGGGCGTGGGCTAACGGTTGGCAGCCTTGCGAGTTTCGTCACCACTTACATGGTATGTTCTCCGGATGATGGTAGATGCAGGGACAAAGCTAACTTCAACAGGAAGAGGAAGTCGAGAAGCTCATGACCGAGTCCTTCAGCAAGAACTTCATCGACTACGAGGAATACCCCCAGTCCGCCGAGATCCAGAACCGCTGCGTGAACATGATTGCCCGTCTGTTCAACGCCCCCACCGACAGCGAGGACGAACACCCCATGGGCACCTCCACCATCGGATCTTCCGAAGCCATCATGCTGGGCACCTTGGCCATGAAGAGACGCTGGCAGAACAGGCGCAAGGCCGAGGGCAAGGACTGGACCCGCCCCAACATCGTCATGAACAGTGCCGTCCAGGTGTGCTGGGAGAAGGCAGCCCGCTACTTCGACGTGGAGGAGCGCTACGTCTACTGCACGGATGAGCGCTACGTCATTGACCCCAAGCAGGCCGTCGACCTGGTGGACGAGAACACCATCGGTATCTGTGCCATTCTGGGTACCACCTACACTGGTGAGTACGAGGACGTCAAGGCCATCAACGACTTGCTCGTCGAGCGGGACCTCGACGTCCCCATCCACGTCGACGCCGCCAGCGGTGGCTTCGTCGCCCCCTTCACCGTGCCCAACCTTGAGTGGGACTTCCGCCTGTCCAAGGTTGTGTCCATCAACGTGTCCGGTCACAAGTACGGGCTGGTCTACCCCGGTGTCGGCTGGGTGGTGTGGCGCTCGCCCGAGTACCTGCCCAAGGACCTGATCTTCAACATCAACTACCTTGGTGCGGAGCAGGCCAGCTTCACGCTGAACTTCTCCAAGGGCGCGTCGCAGGTGATCGGCCAGTACTACCAGATGATCCGACTGGGCAAGCGCGGCTACCGGTCGATCATGGTCAACATCACCAAGATCGCGGACTACCTGGGCAACGAGCTGCAGAAGATGGGCTTTGTGCTCATGAGCGAGCAGGGCGGCAAGGGCCTGCCGCTGGTGGCCTTCCGACTGCCGTCGGACCGCCAGGAGGAGCAGTTTGACGAGTTTGCGCTGGCGCACCAGCTCCGGGAGCGCGGGTGGATCGTGCCCGCCTACACGATGGCCCCCAACAGCGGCGCCCTCAAGCTGATGCGCGTGGTGGTGCGCGAGGACTTCACCAAGAGCCGGTGCGACGCTCTGCTGGCGGACATCAAGCTGGGAATGAAGACGCTGGGCGACATGGACAAGGCGATGCTGGCGCGGTACACTCGGTAAGTGATTGCCTGATTGTGTGTTGATTGAGTGAGAAGGCTAACGAAGACAGCCATGTCCGCGAGCACTCGACCAACTCGCACAAGTCCAAGCATGTGCACGAGCACTACAAGAATGAGAGCCATTCCTTGCAGGGCAAGCATGGCAAGACCCACAGTATCTGCTAGACGGCTGCTAGAGGGCAGTTGAGGGGTAGTTAGAGTGAGACGATCTGTATATCTGGTACATACAAGGATGCTAGCCATCACGTACATGAATGAACTGCAACTACTACATTAGCCTGGACGGGGATAATCGGGTTGGGGGCGGAGGCAGTGCCCCTCCCCTGTCAGTCGAGTGGGATCCTTGCGACGTATTATTATTATTCTCTGTAGTCTTACAGCCTACAGCCTTACTGTGTAGTCTTAGTGGTGCCAGGCTGCAGGTACTTTGTTAGTGCTCGTGTAGAGCGCCAATCGCCGTGCCGCCGTCCCGCTCTTTGTTTCTCGCGCTGCTTTCCAACCGTTTCACTCCAACACTCACGCATCTCTCTCTCTCTCTCTCTCTCTCTCTTCTCATCCCATTCCCTCCCTCCCCTCCCCCTCCTCCCCTGCCTCTCATTATCTCCCTCCTCCCACCACCTTCTCCATGCCCCTCTTCCGCCGCAAGCACAAGCCCTCCGCCGCCGCGACTGCATTCCGATCCGTCGAGCATCTGCCTGCGGCCGTCCCTCGCGTCTACCCCGACGACGATCTCGACCGCCGCTTCTCCGCCTCCACCTCCCGCGACCCTCTGCCTCTGCCTCCTTCGAGAACACCAACTGCTACAACTACAGCTACGACTACGAAGACCATCCCTCCCTCCGCATCAACCCCGTCCATTACGCCCATCGACACCCCTTCTCCCCCCAACCCTGCCCCGCAACCACGCCACCCCGCAAATACCCCCCTCGGTCGCTCCAAGAGCCAGCGACAAGGCCCCAGCAACAGCATCAGCAACAGCAGCAGCGACGACTCTCCGGTACTTGCACATGCAGCATCCCCCGCACCCACCCTCGATGCTGACCCTCCCACCCAGTCGTGGCCTTTGCCAGACCAGCCCCTCAAGTCCGCCGACCCCGAACCGCGCAAATCGCGCCGCAGCATCTTCTCCCTCCACTCGTCCGTCGCCCGCGAGCAGTCCGGCGGCATATTGCAGCGCACTCGCTCCGTGAAGAAGACTCCCCCCACCGTCGAGCCCCGTCGGATTCCTATACAACAGCGCCCGGTGTCCGTCGACACCACCTCCGAACCTCGCCCTGCTACCTCCTGGTCGAGGGAGCACGAACTAGACGCCCCGTGGCAGAAGATTCCGCAGCCGCCGCGTCAATCTCCCCCGCAGCAGCAGCAGCAGCAACAGCAGCAGCAGCCGCAGCCGCAACAACAACCACAACTACAACAGCAACCCCAACCCAAACCCAAACCCAACCTCAGCCGCAGCCCCAATTCCAACAAGCTCAGGCTGCGTCCCCGTCTCGCGGATCGCAAGAAGCTTTGTTTCCGCCCCAGAACCAACCTCAGTCTGATCCCTCTCCGCCCCAACCTCAAACCCCGACCCGATCATCCATGCCGCAGAACGCAGGGCCCCTCGACACACGCTCCCCCCGTTCACCGCATCCCTCTATCCCCCGATCCAACACCGACTCGGGTCTGATCGATCACCTCCCGCGACCGTCCCCGGTGGAGCCACCCAGACCGCCCGGCGAACTGGCCCCAACACAGCCCCAATTGGACCCCACGGTCGGCGCTCGACCCCCATCGCGCCAGTCCATCGGGCCTCCCTCGCCACTACGTCCCCTTCCAAACCCTCCAGACACAGTCGCGAGTGGCATGTCAGAACGTCCATCGGGTCCGCCTCCGGGTCAGCCCACCCCCGGCCATGCGCCGTATGCAGGAAACACGCAGGAAGCTGGCTTCCGCACCGCGGCGGCACAGCAACCGGAGCAGGGTCGCAGCACGCCCAGCTCGCGGGACAGCCGTCGGGACGCTCGCGAGGAGAGCGATCTCGACGTGCGGGCGTTAGTCCAGAAGCACGATGAACTCCGTAAGTGCTTCGTCCTGGTATGGAAGCCCGCTAACAAGAAGCAGAGGCCAAATATTCCAAGGTGAAACGATACTACTTTGAGAAGGAAGCACAGGTGCAGCACCTCCAGAACACGGTAGCCCACCAGCGCATGGCCGTGTCCCGCACGGTGCTAGACGACAACGAGTACGCCAACCGATTCGGTCGCCTCGACGGCGCAATCAAGGACCTGGCCTTTGCCATCCGCAAGGACTGGGAGACGCTGCCGCCGTGGCTGAGCGGGGTCGTCAACGACGACGCCCACACCGTCGGCACGAAGGAAATGACGGCGATCGGCCGCGCCGTGATGAGCCGATGGCTCGTCGAAGAGCTCTTCGAGCGCTACTTCCACCCCGCCCTGGAACCCACCTTCAGCCGCCAGCTCAAGAGCATCGAGATGAACCTGCGCCGGCAGCAGGTCAAACCGTGCACAGAGGAAGACAAAGAGAACGCCATCGCGCGCATCTCCAACTGGCGCCGCACCACGCTAGACGGCCTCACCAACCTACAGGGGCCACAGGCCGACGAACACCGCTCCCAGCTCATCGACCGACTCATCTCCCACCTGGTCGCCACCCTCGTCTCACACCTCCACGACCCCGCCCCACCAGGCCTCGACACCGGTGCCCGCATGATCGTCGAAAACGCCGTGGGCATTGCTGAGAAAATCCCTCTTGAATCTCGTGATATCTGCGTCGAATACATCGCACCCGGGTCGGTCATCCACGAAGGCACCATGAAGATTGAAGCGGGGCTTCCACCCCTCACCCACGTACGGACTGAATCCCGTGGTTCGGACGAGCTCGATCCGGCCGATGAAACCGATGAGTCAGGAGGAGGTGGTGGTCCTGGTGAATCCAGCCCACCGCAGCAGCGCGAACAACGCATGCGATCGGTCTTCAGCTCCCTGATGGGCCGTCGTACGGGTCCGACGGCGCCTCCTGGCCCGGGCGACACCCGCGTTGTTCAGGAAGAGCGAGAGCGCGGCCCCGGTCGCATTCGGTTTGCGTCTTTCGTCACCGCGGAGGTTCGAGGGAGGGGACCGATGAACGTGTTGGTCAAGGCGCCGGTGTATTTGATTGAGTAGATGCATGAATGGCATGCACCTAGAGCACAGCGAGTGGAAAAGAGCAGAACAGGGAGAGCAGAGCAAATAGCATGTACAGCGAATTCATCTGGTGATGAGATGTATATTCTTCCTTCCCAGCAGACATGTGCTTAAATTAAGTAAGTGGAGTATCCGTAGGATAGCTATAGATGCGAAGGATGGAGTAGAGGGGAAAACAGTGGTATTAACCATCCATTCATCCATCCTACTATCCTACTATCTATCCCAACCATCATTATCCACCCCATATATCCTATGATCCTATCCATCCGCACCACCCATCCAAACTCCCCCGGGATAAACAAAACAAAACAAAACTAGTAGTATGTATGTATGTATGCATGTTTGCTGACCGCCTAGCCTGAACTCAGCCTCGAATAGACACAATAAGAGATGACTAATATCCACCAGACAATATGGCCGAGTGGTCTAAGGCGATAGACTAGAAATCTATTCTCTTCGGAGGCGTCGGTTCAAATCCGACTGTTGTCGATTCTTTTTGGTTTTTTTTTGTGTTGTGGGGGATTTGGGTGGGTGGATGGCTGGTAAATAACAATGAAAAATGGGTTGTAAATTGTGTTGATTGGGCTGGGATTGGTGTGTATATACTAGTATATAGATATATGGAGAGAGCATGATGATGGGAGATTAAAAATATACCAAACCTGCTTTACTGACTAACCTCTATACTGGCATAGTGATAATGTGGTTATGATTGGAAAGCTGGATTTAATATTTATATATAATCGGTATATTTTTTAATTTTGGTTCCTGGGTACGTTCTATTCCCGCCTCGCTTGGTCTGTAATCTAATTATCGCGCAGTATAGGTAGTTCGTTCAGGTTGGAGAGTGCAGATGGACTGATCTTGCAAAGCATCATGATGGTGATGATGATGATGATGATGCTGGTTTGGATACCTCGAGTATCGCGGCTATCTTTCGAGGAAATGAGAATCTTCGATCAAGGAAGAAGATCGATTAGGCCGAGGCTAGTTGGATTATCAGGCAGCGTTTCTAGCTGTCAAGACGGTATCTGGACAGGAATCGAAATCGAAATGACTCGACCAGTACTTCTCATCCGTGCTTAATATCCCAACAGCATCTATAAATCCGAGAAGCTGTCCTTCTCCACTTTTTTTTTTTTTTCGAGCGGAAACAACGAACTCGATGTCCTAAGTTCGAGCATATCATAGCCAGCCCTGTCAGTGATTGGCACACCCTTGCTTGTCCTTCAGGAAAAGTAAGTACGGGGTAACCATCCAAGGAGCTCCTGGGCGATGATCTGTTGCATTGTCCATAGGAATCTTTAAACAGTACCCATTGCACCTAGAAGCTGGGACTCCTTCAGCAAAAAAAAAAAAAAAAAAAAAAGAATCTTTAGTAGAGCATCATCTGTACTGTCTCAGGGCGATACGTGCTACCGCAGAAGTATATTCGACCTGGAAAAAAGATTTCTCCTGTCGTGATGTGCATCAATCTCCAGCCGACTTGTAAGCTCAATGGGCTCTAACCTGGTTAATGGTATATGCCGATGCCGATTCTCCAGTGTCAACGCTGTCTGATAGCAGGGTTTCCCAGACAAATAACTGCCACAAATAACTGCTGCAGTTGCTGTTTAGTGTAACCAGTATTCATACTGCATTTCCCATCTGTCGACGTTCGAGAAATGGAACTCATTGTTCATGTTCTTTGCAAAGATGACATCGTAGTGTTTTGCTCGTAATTTTCCCGCTTTGAAGTACTTCTTTCTCTCACCGACGCGTCGAGCAATCAATCCCGCAAGTTGGGCGACAGTAACTTAAGCATCGTGTTTTTCTTGACCGTAACATCGTCGTTTGAGACTATATCTATGGCCGAGTCCACTTCAAAAGTTGACTCGGCTTCAACAAGTAGATTCGGGTTCAAATGTTGATCAAGTCTGGAGTATGCATTCTTCTTGGACCAAATCGTCAGTCACAATGTCTTCATCCATCTATTCGGCTATTGTCAAAAAAAAAAACATCTATGAGTTGAAGGCTTTGCACTATGAACCACCGTTTCGCTGAATAAAATCCCAGAAGGGTAGACAGTTTCGACGCAATACGCTCCATATCCATCATTGTAAGCAGAAAACGAGCTCTGGATGCAGGACTGTTTCTGTAAACCATCTTTCACGCCCTTCCGGGCTTAGATCAGACCAGATTGACAGCCACCATTGCCTCATGGATGTGCAGTCTTGGACCCCAATCTGGATTTTCTAAGACATTCCTTGGAGGCCGTGTTCATCTTCAAGGCAAGACATATTCCGTGCCCCATGTTCATCACCATACGTTCCTTGCATACCATGCTCATCTCGAAGACATGACTATCACTACAAGTCATGTCAGATTCCCTTGACAAACACCGTGCTCACTTAAATGATAGAAGCATAGGCTAGTCAACAAGATAGTCGACAATCAGCTGTGTCTGGTCTCTAGAAAAATTTCTGACGAGCCAGTCATTTACAGCCCTAGGGTCTGTTCGATCTCGGGGGTCGTGATCTCAGCCACGCAAAGACTGATCTGCCCTGATTGCTGTTGCAGGGCTTGTAAAAACAACCGTCATGCACTGGTGATAATATCGCGTCTAGTCTACTAGTATATATCATCCGCACTGCATCCATCAATGTGAGTGTGACGTGATGAGGCTGGGTATATGATAGAAACCCCGAAATCGAAACACCGTCGTGGTTCCCAGATCGGAAGCTCTATCTTCGTTGCATGTTCAACCATGAATGAATTTGTTTAAATAGGTAGAGTCTGGTTGACGATGTTCTTCTGGACTTCCGATTCAGCTTCGTTTTCTTCCAGCGAGGATAATTCTCAATCGGCTTTGTATGTTCTGCATGGGTCCTTTGATGGATCTTGATTGATGTATGAGAATTTATAGTAGACTCTGTAGATTCAGTTGAGCAAGGACGTAAAAATAATTCGACGGCCAGTCCGCTCGCCATATTGATCGTGGAGAGTATGAAGAGGAGGAAGAGGAAGAGGAGGATAAGGATAGGGGTGGGGGGTTTTTATATTCGTGTTCTGGTCTGGTGCACCTCTCTCGAAGAATGGGATTCACTGAGTCTGGGGAGGGGAATCTTGGATAGAGATGTATTGGTGCTTGGTGAGGGAGGGGGTGAATATAGTTTGAATGGGATGATAAGGATGGATGTTAGGAATGGATATTATGGAATGAGTATAGGGCTACAGAGACATCCTAAAGAGAGTGAATAGTATACTCCTGTCTGTGTAATCACATAGGAGAGATATCTATCTATAGATAGCGTATTTTAAAGATGATTAAGTAACTGGGATATTCCCCGGGAGCATCTTCGGAGGTTTATCTCAAAGTAAGAATCTATATAGAACCCAAAATAAGCTGTACACTATACACTGCACCCTGTAAGCTGTATAATATACACTATATACCCTACAACCTGCAAGGGTACGTAGGTAGGTGGTAGGTAGTAAAGAAGATAACATCACAGGGCACTCCCTACAGGAGTAATAGCTTCTAACTATAATTCTATCTAGTATTAACTCAATTCCATTCCATATAACTATGTATTATACTTTACACATCCCACATCACATCATAACAAAGAGACATATCACATCACATCATACACCTAAACACAGTGTACCCTAGTAAATATCTGAGGGGTGAGGAAGAAGATGGCTGCCGGATGGGCGGAGCATTATTAACCTCAGGCACCACCCCGACATATTCCGCTTTGCTCAATAGATTGCTGACTGGACATAAATACGGGCCCTAATCTAGAAATATCAACGATTTGACACGCTGAGCCAAAAGATACACCATGCTGGTATTTAGTCCCGAACACCCAGTCGGGGGTGGACAGTGAAACTGCGAGCAATACTTACTGTGACCTGCTGTTTGTGCTAGTTGACAGACAGACGAACAAGACGGAATAAAGTGGCTCATGCCGTGCATTATTATTATTATAGTAGTTGTATCTATATGCGCAGCATATGTCTAGCTGTCTATCAGCCATGCACGCAAGCATGCACCGTGTCCTGCACTAGAGGCTGCAGTCAATGCAGCCATGACTCGAAGCGAGCCTTTTAACAAGGAAAGGATGAAGTACCATCCTTCAAGCAGCAGCAGCAGCAGAATCCGTACCAGCATCGCCATTCATCTCCCACCAAACAGCATACCCGACCAACTCCAACAGATACCTCTCGCGATACGCAAACGCCTTGGAGGCATACAGCCCCAAAAACCCCCTTGCCTTCTCGATCACGACGCTCTCATTGCCGCGTCCCAGAGCCACAAGATCCCTAGGAGAAAGACTCACGACATCCACTCCAGCATCAAACCCCAAGAGCCCCTCCACGCCGCCATCCAACCGATCCACCCAGGCACAGAAGCTCTCAAACATCGAATTCCGCGCCACAAACTTCACCACGGAGTCCAGGTCCGCTTTGTCCACCACGCCGCGGGGCAACGCATCCCCCGTCGCCACGATCGTGCGATGCACCTGCGCCACGTACGCCAACTCGGCTAGCAACTCCTCCACGCCGCCGCGATCCTCCGCAACAGGCAAGAAGAGTGGGCGGTCATAGCCCAACCTGCTTCTCCAGAACCAGTTGCACGCGAGCAGGCTGATAATGCAGGGTATCAGGACGACATAGCCGTACCACATGGTCGCGGTGACGAGACTCGCACCGCCCGCGACCAGCCCGTTCACCCCGTTCACAACCGCATGCCACTGGAGCCCCCGGAACCGCAGTTTCAACTGGTCGCGAAACACGCCGACGCCCGGATGCGTCGGGGAAGCAGTCGCCGTGCACGCCTTGTAATGTGTCTGGAACCGCCGGACCAGATAAAACGACCACGCGGCATTAACGACGCCGAACAGCGCCGCCAGACCGTTCCCGATGTATCCGGATAGCAGGTTGCTAGCACGGTAGACGCGCGGATTGGCGCCCCAGATCGCCATCAGTGTGCCGGTCCCGACGAGCAGCGCGCCCAGGCCCATCAGCAGGTCCATGAGGATGCGGTCGACGATCTCGGTGCCCAGTTCGCGGTAGTTGACGCCGAGGCGGGTTTTCAGGAGGCTGGTGTTTGTGGGGGTGGAGGTGGAGAGGAGGTGTTGGAGGTGGGAGCGCTCCTGGCGGAGGAGCTGCACGTTGGTCCAGCTGAGGTGGAGGTCTCGGGCGGCGACGAGGGTCATGAGGAGGGCGATGGGCCCGCCGATGGCCATGAGGATCAGGGCGTAGCGTGGTACCGGGATGTCGTTCCAGACGTTGGCGGCGAAGTCGGCGGCGTTGGCGAGTTCGAGGAAGCCGACGCCTGCGAGGAGGGAGTTGCGGAAGAGGGGTTGTTGGGTGAGGCGCAGTTTTGGGGGATGGCGGGTGGTGAAGGGATTGAGGGATCGGCGGGAGACGCGGGTGAAGGTCACGGTGTTGGGGGTGGAGTTGGGCCCCGTGGTGGAGGAGATGGTGAGGTCGCTCGACTCGCGGAGGAGCTTGGGGATGGGGGACGACATGGCGGTGGTTGTGGTTGGGGAGGGAGTTGGGCCACAGCCACCATGTGTGCGGATGAAGAGGAGGAAAAAGAGGAGGAAAAAGAGGAGGAACAAGGGGTCGAGCAGAAGAGCGACAGCCGGGGGATTATATTTGGCCGGATTGGGTCGGTGGGGCCGCCCTGTAGGGCTGAGCCGGGGATCCGTGGTTGGCTATTTTGGGGTCTGGCGGCCTATCAGCGACTGCCTAGTACGCTCGCAGCCTTCGCTAGCCGGTGCTAGGCTGGGGATGTGCAGGACTTACGTGTCCTGGCGGCCCATTGATGATTATCTATTGATTTGGACGGGGTTTAGGCATCAGAATGTTCACCGCTGATGGTGCATTATTTGCTATTTGACACATCGGATTATCTATCCAATATCCATCGACCATTTACTGTCTATCCAATATCCATCTACCATCTACTTCTATTTCTATTTCTCCCTCACCATGGCCGCCTGCCTATACCCCGGAATGACCTCCCACTCCCGCACCACCCGAAACCCATACTTCTCATACAGCGGGCGACCCTGGGGCGTGGACGCCAGGAACGTGTCGACACCCACTTCATCCGCACGCTGCAGCCCCCATCTTAGCAACGAGGACCCAACCCCGCGTCCATTGAAGTCGGGTCTAGTACCGAGCATGTCGAGATCTGCGCCGCCATTAGACACCATCATCATCATCCAAACCATAGTAAAAAGCAAAACAAAACAAGCAAAAGAACCTCCAGAGAAGGAATAAAAAAAAAAAAAAAAAAAGAAAACCTACAGAAATACCCCTCTCCCTCCCACCCATAACCCTCCCCTTCTCAGCATGAATATCCCCAAAGAACCTCTCACACAGTTCCGAGTCCGAGCTGGGGGGCCACGCCACCTTCTCCTCATCCCCGACCCCAGCGCCATGGCCATCGTTCGACGCAGAGACGGGAACAGGGAACTGCCACTTCGCAAACCCCGCAATCACACCATCTTCATCAACCACCTTCAGCACCGCACACGACGGATCCCTGCCCCCCGCCAGCTCAATGTCCCGGCGGAACTGCTCCACCCACCAGCTCCGCACGTCCGGGGTGGGCGGGAACAGCCGACGATTGAAGTCGTCGGAGAAGGCGGCCAGAAATGTGTCTGTGAGGGCGGTGCTGTCGGAGGGTAGGGCGGGGGAGACGGTCAGACGGGATCTGTGGTTGGGAGGTGCGAAGGTTGGGGCTGGGGGTGTGGTTGGTTTTTGCATGGTGAGGGGGAAGGTGTTGATGCGCGTGATGCCCCGGAGTGTTTGGCTTGGGCGGAGGTGCATAGATTATGTATCTATGATGTAATCACGTATATATTTTGTGACTGGAGGAATAGGATGGGCTAACAGGATTCGGAAACTCGCAATAGTATTTATTCCTTTTCTCTTTTTGCCTCCTAATTTCGTTTTGTTTGCAGATGAGTCACGGGATGTCGCCATGTCGGAATACAGGTCACGTGAGTATATTCCGAGGTTCCGACCGGAATGGGATGGAGGGGTTGTGGCTGCCGGATGGGGGTTATTGTTACATAGATTTAATTAGCGGGTTTTGGTGTTACGGATTGCGGTGGTAGGATGGTGCTGAGAGGGGAAAATTACTGTCAATTTCTGCATTGCGACTTGTCAGAGTTTCCTGAGAAAATGGAAGCTTTAAGAGTAAGACGGGAAAGACATGGTCTGATCGGCGGACGAGGTATATACTCTTTCAGGCCTTCAACGCGTAGATTAGTCGGGACAGTATCATTGACTACCGTGAACTCCGTATTTAAATCGTGTCTACCTATTTCATAGTATCTGAATGTAGGCACCTGAAAAGCAGTGCCTCTTCTACTCAGGCAGTCACATTATTTCCGGACCCCGCGGCCCTGCGCCTTTCCCCTGCTATTAATACCTAACTAATTATCCGCCATAGGGCTGAACCAAGACCAAACGGGCATGCCGTGAGCGCGACAGCCAGTCAGACGAGCCGCCCAAGCTTTTGAAACGGGACCCTGGCCCCACTTGGGCTGACAAGCTTTTCCCTGGACGCTCCCCGTCACAGGCGTTGGTTGTATCGTTGCACAACAGCGGCACACAGCCAGGCAGCCGTATTTCCAGAGCCCATCAGGGTCTGGCTGCGGCTGTGGCTGGATTCAATACGAGGATGCTGTATCAAGCCCAAGGGGGATGAGGGAGATGATCGCCAGTAGAGATGAGAATCATCAGGAAAGAACCAGCAGATGCGAGCAGGGCGTTCGTTGTGTAGACGGCGGAACAAAGCGGACGACGGACGACAAAGACACCAGAGAGAACTTAGTCTTCGATGGAGTTATCGCTGGGTGACGATGGCATCAGCCAGCCCCATTCCCCCTCCAGCGATCATAAGCTCATCGAACATCCGGGTCCGTGTAAGAATACCACCAGCCAGGATGCTGTACCACGCCCCGCGGAGACAGATTCGCCAGTTCATCGTACTTCTGCAGCCTGACCGTGATCGGTCCGTACAGACATTACAGCGATTCATCGCTGTAGTGGCAGCCTAGAGCAGTGCCCCTTCAGTCATTTGCCTGCTTTATGACGCGCCTTTTGTCTCTCTCTCTCTCTCTCTTGTCCTGCTGGCCTTTCTTTCCCTTTATATACCATACCATCCATCCATCCATCTTTTCTCTCCATAGCCCCTTCTTCTGAAGCCAAGCAACGGCCAAGCAACAAGAATGGTCACACACGATCGACCACTCAGCACCATGAGCCCATCCTCTGCAGACCAGCCATCCCAGCAGCAGCAAAAGCAGAAGCAAAAGCCAAGAAAGCCCAAGAACAAGAGCAAAAACAAGCCAGACCCTCAACCAGCTGCACCGAAAGTCCTTCTTGCCGACAAGATCGGACAATCTCTCTACGACCGCCTCATCGAGTCGCGTCTCGAAGCCCCAGACTCCCTCCACCACTGGGGGGCCCTGCATCACAACCTCTCGAAATGGCCATCCCCATCTCCATCGCCATCGCCAACCCCCGATCCAGCAGCAGCAGCGCCAACACCACACACTCGACCTCCTCGTCCCTCAAAAGCCTCGCCTCCAGCCGCACCAGCCATGACTCCTCCTCCTCGTCCTCCTCTTCCTCCAACCCTAACAGAAACCACACCCACAACAAACCCCTCCCCCTCTCCCATCCCCCGAATCCACACCCTCACGTACCCCCACCCCCGGTCTCGACAATCACCTCCCTCGCCGCCCACCACGGCCAAATCTCGCACATGGGCCTCCTCGACCCCAGCTACCACCTCTTCCTGAACACCACCCACACCGGCCTGCTGTGCTTCAAAGTGCTCAACAAAGTGGCCATCATCGCCGGCGACCCGCTCTGCCACCCGTCATCCTTCTCCTCGCTCCTCTCGGAGTTCAAGGTCTACCGAAAGCGGCAGCACTGGGGCATTGCGTTCCTAGGCGCGAGCCCAGAACTACTCCACCACGCCAGAATCACGAACGCGCACTGGACGAGTCTGCAGTTCGGGCAGGAGAGGGTGTTGAATCCCCTTACGAGTCCGATCCTCGCGGAGACGGCGGGGAAGAGGATTCTGGTGCAGAATAAGCAGTTGTTGAAGGGCGGGTGGGAGGTGGATGTTTATGTTCCCGGGGGACATGGGGATGAAGCGTTGGAGAGCGAGTTACGCGGCATATATGATGAGTGGCGCAGCGAGCGGAATACCAGTGGGACAACGCAGGCGTTCATCACCGAGTATGATCCCTTCTCGATGCCGGAGCTGATGACGTACGTTTACTGCAAGGGGCCTGGCACCGGTCCCGACAGCGCAGTGTGCGGATTCGCAGCATTACGATGGATCGGTGCCAAAGGCGGCTATCACCTCGACCCGTGCATCGCGAGACCCGGGGCCGCGCGGGGCCTGAGCGATCTGTTGGTGTTTTCGGCGATGGCGCTGCTGCGGAAGGCCGGCGTCGGGTATCTAGGGTTTGGCTACGAGCCGTTTGAGCATCTGGGGGAGGTGGTGGGGTTGCCTGGCCCCGTGGAGAAGATGACCCGCATGGTGTATCGGTATACGTTCCAGAGGCTGCCGATTAGTGGGAAGAAGGCGTATCATGATCGGTTTCGCCCGGATGAGGACCTGGATCGAGGGCTGTTTTTGGTGTTTCCGGCCGCGTTGCCGGAGGTGAGGCAGATGGTGGCCATGACGCACATTGCGAATATTAGTATTCGGCGGTTGGTGTTTCGGGTGTGATTATATTGTTTAGAGAATACTGCTAGGGAGCTGTTGGGACTTGGGATGGTTGGCTTAGTGATTGGTTTTGGAATGGGGATGTGAGTGTGAGTGTGAGTGTGCATATGGGGGTTTGGGGGTTTGTAATACTATAGCGGTGATTCTTATTGCTTGTATACACCCTTTTTGTCTATGATTATCTTCTTCCCTTGTTATTTTTACTATCTTGTTAAGTAGACTGCACAGCCAATATGCATCATCATCATCATCATCATAATGACTATCAGGATTGGATATATCTATCAGATTAGATCATGGCAAGGACTAGAATCCACCATCCAAGCCAAACTGAGACCCAATATGTATTTCTTTTGTCTTCCTTTCTTCGTTTACTACTGCATAACCCCAGAGAGTTAGTTCAGTTACCCCATTCCATGCTATCCGGGACTGGTAGAACTAGACAGTGAATGGACTCTCAACAACAACACGTCTTGTCTTGTCTTGTCTTGTCTTGTCCTGTCTTATATCTTCCCCCCTCCCTTCTTCTTCCTTCTTCTCTCTCCTCTCTTCTTCCTTATTTTCTCTCCAAACCCACCTCTCTTATCCAACCGCCATCGAAACCACAAACCATCATGTCTTCTTTTGTCAATACATCCTTATTATCATCTCCTCTCAACCAGGCCCCAGGAGCTGCCGCTGCTACCGCTGTCTCCGGAGGGATCACTATCAACATCAACCCCAATTCCAACCGAAATGGCGGTGACAGCAACAGTCATCATTCTTCTAAGAAGAAGAAGAAGAACAAGAGAAAGAACAAGAGAAAGAACAGGAGAAAGAACAAGAGATCCACTCTTCCAGTAAGCCAATCCTTCCCCCCATTTCCCTCCCCATCATCTTCCCAGCCAGCATCAACTCACAATACCCACCCAGTTCAGCACGATATGCCAAAAATGCAGCCATAGGGAACGAACCTGCCGACACCCGAATATCAACAGGGCGAGGGCGTCGAAGATGGTTTCACTCAGTGTATTGTCTTTCTTTCTTTCTTTCTTGGTTCTTTCCTTCTTTGCTTCATTGCTCCCCCCCTGCTTATCCTAAATACCTACCCACCCGCCAACCCAAACAAAGGCCCACCTATAGTATCTACTACACCTAACAAGTATAGCAATCTGCTAATAATATTAACTATCAGCACCAACGCACCGACCCGCTCCCCCGCCCACCTTCATTCCTGCCTTCTCGTCCTCCACTTCCTTCACAGGGTCCTCGTGGGTTTGGGTCTGGGTTTGGGTTTGGGTCTGGGTTTGGGTCTGTATTTGGACAGCAGAGGCCCGCCCATCTGCCGTTTCGACCCGGGTGGCTGAGTAGACGTGATCGTTGGGTGGATGCTCGGGTGGGACATCGTGTGGAGAGGGAAGAAGGTCAAGGTCAAGGTCGGGAGGTTGTGGGCTGGGAGGTAGATCGACAGGAAGCATGGCGATGCCAGGGTGAGACGCAGACACAGACACAGACACAGACACAGACACAGACATGGGTGGTTGCTCGCCAGAAGGAGGAGGCCGAGGAGGAGAATCCCCGGATGATAAAGATTGAGGATGAGGATGAGGATGGGAATGAGAATAAGAATATGAATACGAGCGAGTGCAAGAACGAGACCGTGGAGGATGAGGAATTTGAAGAAGAATATGAAGAAGATGATAGATGGTACCCTTGATACAAGACAAGTCAAGTCAAGCTCAAGGCAAGAGATGTACTTACTCATATTGATAGTATCTAGTACCTACCCAGTACTTACCTACTACCTACCTACTACCTAGAAATATTGCCCCCCTGCTCGCCAGATAGCTTTCTATACTTGACATTTGTATGAGTTTGATGATTTTCCAAGACGGATAGGATAGGATAGGTGAGATATGTGGTTCCTAGGAAACCTATTCGATTTGTTTCGTCTGCCAACAATCTACACTACATACGAGCTAACTAATAAGTGCTAACTACACGGTGATCTGGCTAAATGTATGGACACTCCAGACATGGATTTCCGCTCCAGATTGTTTACTTGTTGATTGATTGTTTGCTCGATAGATTGCACCATGGAAAGGGATGGTACGGAGTACTGTTATCCACATCCCCACCCCCACAGGGTGGGGGAGTGTATGTGTTTTCGTGTCAAAATAAGTAGATCTTGTAGATTAAGACGATGAACTCAAAAGGTATCCTCATTCACAAGTAAATTCTTTCGTTGCTGCTTGCTTGCTAGCTAGCTATCTAGCCCAAAATACTGCAATACGGCAAGAATATTGGACCGACCTAACTATTCTCTTCGCATGAAATGTTGTATGTTGTATGTTGTATGTTGGTTGTCCCGACGCATAAATTACGATGATACCCGTGGGATCGGATAAAATCGTACTCAAAGATCATCGGATTTCCTCTCGTCTCGTACAGTGTACTAACATAAAGTAGTGCAGCTGCATCCAGCTCAAGATCATCCGAGGGGAGCGGATGACCGAGCGAGGCAAGAGACATGCATGACAGGGCTACGACTACGGGCACGACGATGACATGAGGCATGACATGACAGGGTCCAGTGGAATATCTGGTATTGGTTGGATATAAGTGTACAGATTATCGGGTATCTAAAACCCAGCAGAGCCGAGCCTGGTTGACGCCGTACCAAGCAAATCAATACGCCACGCGGGTCCGCATGTCCTAGGAGGGAACTGTTAGTTTGGTAGTCAACGTATGGAATGAAGACTGGCAGCTTACCGAAATCTTCCGCTCGATTTCCCGGACGGAGCGGTCCAGTTCCGCGGCAATCATCATCTTCGTATCATTAGGCAATAAGAAATACATCTCGCACAGGTCTCCGTCAATGACCCCCTTCACCGGGGCATAGTAGCTCCGGTAGATCAGGTGGTCCCGTCCAGCGAGAGGAGGGTGCTGTGCAGCCAACTGCATCTCCAGGTTCTGGAAGAAGTCGACATCCTCTCGACTGAGGAACGGAACCAGCATGCCGATGGTGCCGTGGAAACCGGTCCACATGACAATGTCGCGTCCACCGGCCACCAGCTGCGTCTTATGCAAACTGGTGGGGATGTCCTGCGTGTACACGTGGATCATCAATTCCAGACGATTGGGTGTTCCTTGCAGGTAGCCACGCTCGTGGATCAGATGGGCACCCGATCCATCCTCATCCGCCTCTTCAGACGTCTTCTTGGGGCAACGCAGGAGCCATAAGTTCCCGAACTTGTCACCACCGGCTGTGGTCTCATAGTCGACCATGGTGGTGGAGGTTGTCCAGCGAGACACCGAGTCATCCACGAAGGGAATCAGAACATTCTCCTGGTACTTGTACACGACGTACGTGACACTCTCCCGGACGTCGCTGACGACAATTCTGCTTCCCTGGGTCTGGAGACCGACGATGGTCCTGGGCACGACCGGAGCCTGGCACTTGCGAAGCAGCTGCTTCATACCCAGGTCGTAGATGCGAAGCAGGGAGCCGATACCGGCGGCCAGACGACCTTGGAATCCAAGAAGCGCAAGAGGCGGTTCGTCAACCTTGGTCTTGTGGATGAACTCAAGCTCTCTTCCGTCCTCCTGGAAGCGATAGATGTGGATGTAGCCACCCTTGTGAGAAGGCGGGTTGACAGTCATATCTTTCGCTGTTCCCACCACCAGGAATGTCTCGTCATCCTGGCTAGTGAAGGGAACGGCCGCAATGCTGACAGCAGCCTCGTTCTCCTCAAGTTCAATGGTGTGGACGACAGCCTTGGCATCCAGAGGATCGACTACCTGAATGCAGGAGGCCCAGTGACCAGAACCCTTAGGATATCCAAAGTCTTCCGCCGGCAGGACAGTTTCATCACCACCGCGCGACTTGGAATCCTCGATCAACCGAGCTCTAGTGGAGGGAGAGAGGACGTTGTTGTCTGACTCGATCACATAGAAGAGCGGCTGCTCGGGGTGCTTCAAGAACCGACGCGGAGTATACGATAGAGGGATGGACTGCTGCAACATGTTGTTGTCCAGTTTCTCAATCGAGAAGATTCTAGTGTGCCATTAGCAAACGTTCACCAAACATTCATGAACAATAAATGTGTATTGGGGATCGATCTCAGTAGGAACAATTGGAATATAAAAAAATTTGATCCACATTTGTTTATTCGGACCCTAATTTTCATCATACGATCAAGGGGATGGGGCGGAAAAGGACGAAAAAAGACGAGATGTACATACCGTAGGTTCTGTCCCTGAATACCCACCATGCCCTCAACGCACTGCTCGCTGGAGAAGTTCCAGCCCCATTCGAGCCCAACGTAGTCAAGCGGCGTCAGCATGAAGCCCTTGGTCTGCACGTCACAATAGCCGAGCCAGGGACGGGAGCTGATGGCAAGAACAGCCGCCTGCCCCTTGACGGAGACTTGGAACAGCTTGACAGCCTTAGATCCGAGGAAGCGTGTCCGGGTGTCCGATAGTTCACCCGTGACCTCGTCCAGGACCGTTCGCAAGTAAACGCCTGAGTGCAAACCGATGTGCAGATACAGAGTCGTTCCACCGGAGCTCGAATCAGCCATGGCCATGATGTTCAAAGCTGAAGGGGCGGCGGTGAGAGCCTGGACTGACTTGTTCTCCAAAGTCGAATCCGGATCCAAGCTCAGAATACGGACAGTCGAGTCGTCGCATCCGACAGCCAAGAAAGAGCCCCGCATGCGACCCTCAGGAACCTCACCCAGACTCAGACAAGTCACAGTGCCAGACATCTGACGTCTCTCGTCGTATTCGGCCAGAGAGCCATCCGCATCCATTTCAAAGTAAACGATCTCACCAGAGCTCAGAGCAACAGCAACCTGACGTTCGTTGGTTGCAGCAGCCACGATGGACCGATGCTGAGGAGCAGGCCATTCGTTCACTCGCCGATCGGCTAGGATGTGGCGGATACCGCGGGGGTGGATTTGGATCAATGCATCCTCACCAAGCTGCTGGACAGCCAGCGTTGGCGCGGTCGAGAGGAAGCCAGTGTCCGTAACTTCTTCCACAGTCTCACCAATGCTCAGGACCAGAGTGCCGTTGGCGAAGGAAAGAATAATGTACGCATCAAACTCGTCGGCTCTGGTGAGTTTCGTTGTCCATACTGCAGAAGGCACACTCGGAAGCTCGGACTCGACAATCTCGGACACTTCCAGGCCATGCTTCAATGTCCTGAAGCTGCTCCGAGCGCCACCGCCAGATATAGTGAAGATCTGAGGCGCATCATCCTCGGTGATGTTGACCACCTTACTGTCGATCAATGGGTTCAGGGAGTTAATGGTTTCCACCAGGTTCAGGTTCTCCGAGCCTCTTGGTTGGAAGAAGATCGGCTCATACGGCACCGAAGGATCCGCAGAGAAAGACTCGCTGGTGAACTCGATCTCTTCGTCATCATCACCGAGCTTCTCGAACTGGTAGAAATGATGATTACCAGCCTCACTGGCAACATACAAGAAACCACTCTTGAGAATTAACAAGTTCGACGCGAGGGGAACCGTATCAAAGTATTTGATCTTGAGCTGCTTGACTTCGCCAGTCAGCTGGCCGTTGTCATCCTCAACCATGTCGATGGTGAGCTTGAAGAGATCACCATCCTCAGTCTGCAGAAGAAAGAAGAAAGCACCCCTCATCTTGTGCATCACACCAGCAGTGATGATCCGCTTGCGTTCCGGGTTCTCAGTAGCACCACTTCGACGAGGGATGGGTACTCTGAACGCATCCTGGTTGGAGTGTCGGTAGGTGACGCTATCCTCAGCACAGACTAACACACCACTGGGGCCGTCTGCACCGCCAGGGACCTGGAAGAGCATCGTCGCAGTGCGATCAACAGGATCTGACCACTTCCTGACGACGTGATTGAGACCCAGATCCAGCTCGTAGTAAACCAGGTGCTTCTCGAGTTCTTCGTAGGCCTGACCCGTGGGATCCTGATCCGACTCAGAGTAGTCCACTTCGAGCGCCGCGAATATCGGGTTTTCATACCCAACATCCAGACCCGTCATGGCAAAGACCAAGGTCTGTGGCTTGTGGGCCTCCAATGGGGAAGATATCGTCAGCTCGGCCTGCGAGTTCCGATTCAGGACGTAGACCAGCTTGTTCTTCTCGATGGAAGCGATGATGCAAGCTCTGCCCTTGGGGTCCACGGCCAGATACTGGCCCGGGACTACCCGGCGGACACCAGACTTGCCAAACGTCTCGAGGTGAATCCGGTTGAACCGGTTCTGTGAGGGCACATACTCAATGATAGTGATGCGTCCCGAGTCCGAGCCAATGATAATGTAATCTATAGGCATCTTTCAGCACAGTTCAGCCACCAACACCGAGACGGGACGATTCGGCTAAGGATCGTGCTGCCCGGGAAGCTTGAAGAATCACTATGATGATCTTGAAAGTCCAGGCAGGGGGAATCTGAAACATACCTTTGTTGCTACCAGCCAGTCTGAAGGCGGCCAGGGAGCGAATGATTCCAAAGACATCCTGAGAAAAGAGCGGAGTGACCTTGCCCTGCGTCGGGTCGGGGCGGTGGATGGTGAGCTTGGAGCCCGACGCGGTGACGATCTGCTGTTCCTTGGTGCCGGCAAACTGGCCCAGAATCGCCTGAGTGATCGCAGTGGGCGGCTGGATCGTCAGGGAGTACATGAACATGTGCGAGGTGGTCGCCATGGTGGAGGGGGGGGAGCTCAGGTGAGCTTGAGCGAGGGGGGTGGGGTGGTTGTTTACGACGCGATTGCAGCCAGGGGGAGACTACAGTGAAAGCAGTCCCATTGCTGCTCGTGGAGCAATTGAGATGGGAGGACTCTCGAGACCGAGTGTCCTCGCTGGGGGGGGGTGGTTGCGTGGAAAGAAAGGACAAACCCAGCAAGTGTGTGTCTGCGAGAAGAAAGAGTGAAAATTCCGGTGCGAAGAAGGAAATGAGCTTGGGCGGGTTTGGGTTTGCCTGGTTTGCGGCGTCACGTGGTGCTGACCGTACCGTACAGCAGCTTACGTTGGGTCATCGCGCCCACAGGACGGAGGGGCCCGCAATACCGTTCCAGCAATACACACCCGGCAGCTGGGAGGGCGGACGATGGGGTTCTGCCCGCTTCCACCTCACCGGTTACGCTATCGTCCAGTGCTGGGCTGAGGCGACTGACGGCGCGATTGCACTACTGGCCGTTTGCTGGAAGAGGACAAGTCCCCCCCATCCCCTTCCGTTATTCCTCATACTATCATCGCTGTATATCTACTCCACGACTCCCCAATCTGCTTCTCTCCCTCCCCACGTCTTGTGCAATCTACTCTCCACCAACTCCCCTCCCCCCGGTGTGACGTGACTGGTCTCCTCAGGCTCCCTCGGGCCCCCCTCATCCCCTCCATCCGCCGCATCCACCACCACCCACCCCTACACACCATCATGGCTGATGAAACCTCCCCCGCTGATGATGCGCCCATCACCTTCAACATTAAGTCATCAAATGATGCCAAATACACCCTGACCCTGCCCGCGTCGACGACCGTGTCCCAGCTGAAGGAGAAGCTCGCCGCCGCGGAGTATGCCGATACCCCAGCCGAGCGTCAGCGCCTGATCTACTCGGGCAGAGTCCTGAAGGACAACGAATCCCTGGCAACCTATAAGATCAAAGAAGGAAACACCATTCATCTGGTGAAGAGTGCTGCCAGCAACCAGCGTCAAGCGCAGACTGCTGCTACCACGGCCCCGGCTGCCGCCCCGGCCGCAGGCGTCCCCACGAACCTCGCGGCTGGCACCGGCAACAACCCGCTGGCTGGGCTGACGGGCGCCAGATATGCTGGGTTTGCGCAACTTCCGGGCGCAGGGATGTTTGGACCAGATGGCGGGGTAAGTCGCGTCTTCGCGAAAGCTTCCGGTACGGGGATGAGTGCTAATCCAGCTTGGGTAGATGGGTCCTCCTCCGGACACCGACACGATGCTCAACATGCTCGAAAACCCCCAATTCCAGACTGCAATCAACGAAGCCTTGCAGAACCCCGCGATGATTGACATGATGATCCAGCAGAACCCGGTGCTGCGCGCCATGGGCCCCAACGCGCGACAGATGTTCCAGAACCCGGAAGTCCGCCGCATGCTGACCGACCCCAACTCGATACGTCAGGTGGTACAGATGCAGAGAGCCATGGGTGGCGGGGGGCTTGGTGGCAGCAGTGCGTTCCCAGCTCCTGGAGTCACGAACACCACGCCCGAGGAGAACAGGAACGCCCCGAACACTGGCGCTGGCGCTGCGCCCAGCCCCGCCGCGGCATTCAACCCGTTCGTGCCCACCGGTCTTGCTCCAAACAATCCTTTTGCTGCCCTCTTCGGCGGCAATCCCAGTGCGGGCAGTCCTACGGAGACGCCGTCTACAACCAACACAGCGGGTGGCGACCAACCGGACGCTGCTCGAGCAGCAGGCAACACCACCGGAGACAACGCTAATGCCCCAGGTCAAGGCCAGCCGGCCTTCCAGAACCCGTTCGATCTCTTCAATCCTGCTCTGTTTGGTGGCCAGGGCGGCCAGGCTGGCCAGGCTGGCATCAACCCCTTCAACCCCCAACAGAACCCTTTCCTGCGCGACCCAGCGATGCTCCAACAGATGATGCAGTCCATGGGTGCTGCGCCCGGAGAAGGGGCGGGGGCTGGGACCAACCCCCTCGCGGCACTCCTTGGTGGTGGGTTTGGCGGCGCCGGGTTTGGCAGTCCCCCTCCGCAGGACAACCGACCCCCGGAGGAACGGTACGCCGAGCAGCTGCGTCAGCTGAACGACATGGGATTCTATGAGTTCGAGAGGAACATCCAGGCTCTGCGTCAGGCCGGAGGCAGCGTACAAGGGGCAGTGGAGTATCTGCTGAGCCATCCTTCCTAGTCTTGTGCTGTCCACGACCTGCCTCGCGATCTTTCAACGATGCATTTCCTGCGTATGTCTCCATGCGGACCGACAGATTCGACATTGGCGGCTTGGCGGTTTATCTTTCTTACCACTCTGCGTACTCTTCCGAAAATGTAGGGACCGGACGAGGCTCATGTAGCTAATCCTATCGCCCACCTGATGGCGTTATATAGGAAGAATTATGACATGATGATTTACGGGAATCCTGGTAGTATGATGATGTGTTTCACGATTTCGATGACATTGCCAGTTGCCACCAATATAGAGTGTAGACAGAGTAGATTGCATAGTGCATTAGTTCGGGCCACCACGACAGCAATCGGTAGTTATTGCCGACAGGAAAAGGAGGCGACGGCGCAAATCCCGAGCCCGACCGAGCCTGAGGCCACCGTGACGGCCTGGATTTGTTCCGGAATGGGACTAACCCCCTTGAGGCTGGCAGCCCATCCGAAACAGCGCATCTTCAACCTCCCTCCTGCTCCTCCTCCTCCTGTTCTTCCTACCTCTTCCCTTCTCGTCCTCTCCATCTCGCTGCTCCTTTGCGCTGCATCTGGCATTCAATGCCGATTCCACTCGTTCTCCTGGCCTGAGTTGTCACTCTCCGGATCCCGTACCGCTGGACCTCCGTTCAACCCACCCCTCCCCCCCCCCTCTGCCACTTGCCTGTCCTTTCCCTGTCCCTCTGATTATGTGTGCCGTCTGAGTCCGGCTTGTCAAAGACCTTTAAATACTACTTGTAATTGTTCCACCATCCGAGTTGAGCTCTGGAGGAAGATCGTGGCGGTCAGTTGAAAGTTATTGATCGGCATCCGATTTTCGTACCCGCCACGTACGAGCCAGCGATCGTAGTCGTTGGTACATACTTGCGGCAGTTTTCTGTTCTGTTCAGACAGCTAAACCTCTTCCGCTCGCCGATATGGAGCTTCGTTGGTCTTTGCGCCTTCGTCAATGGACGCTGTGGCTCCTCTTTGTTTCCTACACCTACGCGTTCTACATTCCTGGTAGGTGATCGTGGTTGCGACAGCTTGCTCTTTGTCTGACATGCCTGCCCGCTAGGTTACTCCGTCAAGCGCTATGGCGACGACGAACATATCCCTCTCCTCGTGAATAAGATCTTCTCCGACAACACCCAGCTTCAGTATGCGTACTTTGACCTGCCCTTCATCTGTCCCCCGAGCGGCCGGTCGCATGGCGGCTCTCCGTTTGGCTCCGGACAAAGCGTGTCTCTCAATCTGGGCGAGATTCTCCGCGGCGACCGTATCATGACCTCCGATTTCGAAATCCAAATGGGCAAGAACGTCGAATGCCAAGCGCTTTGTACACAGGAGGTCGGGCGCAAGGACGTCAAATGGACCCGTCAGCTCATCAAGGAAGGATATGTGGCCGAATGGATCGCGGACAACTTGCCTGGGGCAACGAGCTTTGTGACCGTCGACCGCAGCCGCAAGTACTACGCTACCGGCTTCAAGCTGGGCTTCCAGGACTACTCGCCCATTGATGGAAAGGCGCGATACTATCTCAACAACCATTTCACCATCGTCATTCGCTGGCGGTCGGTACCCGAGGGCGGCAAGGTGATCGTTGGGTTCGAGATCTATCCGAAGAGCATCCGCGCTGCTGATCACTTGGAGGGTGGCTGTCCCCAGCAGGTGCACGAGACCCACGAGGGTTTGGAACTGTACATCCCCCCGGACACCTCCAAACTCCGCGAAATGTACCCTGGATCGTCGTATATCCCCGAGGACGATGGCGACATGGACGACGGTGCCACCTTGAAGGTTCCCTACACTTACTCGGTCTACTTCAAGGAGGAGAACGGGGTTGACTGGTGGAACCGGTGGGATCTCTACTTCAGCAACCAGGACGAGGGCTCCACGACTCACTGGCTTGCGATTCTCAACTCCCTGACCATCTCTGGAGTACTTGGTGTCGCTGTGTACGTTATCTGGAGCCGGACCGTTCAAGGCGATATCAAGGGCCGGGGCGACGGAGCCATGGAAGACAAAGTTCGTGGCAAGAGCAAGTCGGAGAGAAAAGGCGACGGGCTTCTTGAGCAAGGCGACGTCGAGCGTGACGCGGACGCTTCGTCTGATGATGAAGGCCTGGAGGATGTGAGCGGATGGAAGCTTCTTCACGGCGATGTGTTCCGGGTGCCCGAGTACAGTGGGCTTCTTGCTCCGCTCGTGGGCTCCGGCATGCAGTTGTTCTTCATGGTCTCGGGGCTTCTGCTGCTCAGCTCTCTGGGCGTGTTGAATCCCAGTTTCCGTGGCGGGTTCGTCAGCGTCGGTATGGGCCTGTTCATCTTCGCCGGTCTTTTCTCGGGGTACTTTTCTGGAAGGCTGTACAAGACCTTTGGCGGTGTCAAGTGGCGGAAAAACACACTGATCGTAAGTCACCTTCGTGTAGCAACAGACAGCACTAACCTTTTCAGACCGCGTTGTTCTTCCCTGGACTGGCCTTTTCTCTCATCTTCATCCTGAATTTGTTTGTGTGGTCGCAGGCATCCAGCACTGCCATTCCGTTCGGCACGCTCGTTAGCCTTCTTGCCCTCTGGCTGCTGATCCAAGTTCCCCTGGTCTATGTCGGCAGCTGGTATGGCTATGTGCGCACTGAGGCGTGGGAGCACCCGACCAAGACCACCTCGATCGCCCGACAGATCCCCCCACAGCCGTGGTATCTGCACAGCATCAGCGGGACGCTCTTGACGGGAGCCGCCCCGTTTGCGGTGCTGTTCATTGAGCTGCTGTTCGTTTTCAAGAACCTGTGGCAGGACAAGAGCGGCTACTACTACGTGTTCGGCTTCCTGAGCGCTGTGTCGACGATCCTGATGGTCACGGTCAGCGAGGTGACCGTGATCGCGACCTACAGCCAGCTCTGCGCGGAGGTAAGTTTTTTTTTCTCGAATGTCCTGTATATTCGGTGCTGACGGAATAGAACTACCACTGGTGGTGGCAAAGCTTCCTCACCGGGAGCAGCAGTGCGTTCTGGGTGTTCGGCTACTGCATCTGGTACTACATTTTCCACCTGCACATCACGGGCTTCGTGTCGGGCTTGCTGTTCTTCAGCTACAGCTTTCTGGCGTGCGCGGTGTACGGCCTGTTGACGGGGACTGTTGGCTTCCTGACCGCATACACCTTCATCCGACGGATCTACAGGTAGGTTCTTCCGATCCGATCCGATTCGATTCGATTCCCCATAGGACTGCGGCCTCGCTAACCATGCACAGTTCCGTCAAAGTCGACTGAGCGTACGCACGACCCGGGCACGGAGTAGAACCTTGACCCCCAGACGCCCTGCTATCGAAAGTCGAGGCCTCATCATGTCATTTCTTTGAGAGAAACAGTCATCTGAGCTGAGCAGCTGGCCTGAGGCCTCGCTGCGGGTCGATATATATAACATGTCATTAGCGAAATCATAGCCATCTCTTTGTACAGTCTAGTCTATTTTAGTCTTGCGTCTTGCCTGCAGTCCGGTTTCTGGGTTCTGGGTTCTGGGTTCTGGTTTTTTGGTCCTGGGTTCAGGGTTTGGGTTCAGACTCGCCAAGGCCGCAAGGGTCAGACAGACCACATGACCCCCCGCCCAGGACCAAATAACGGTGGGCGGGCGGGCGCTGAAGTACTTCTAGGACAATGGTAGATCCCGCCAAGCCCGGTGGAATTCAAACCCGGCTCATTATTTGGATCTCATCTTCTGGTGTGAGACTCTATACGTACTTAGACTTAGCACTGAGACTCTGGATGGTTGAGTTGTGCATTGATCCCACTTTCTTAGAAATATGTTCAACGATGCCAATACCATGCGAACCTCTCTGCATTCGTCATAATGTGAAGTCGACCCTCCAGAGCTCTTCTTCCCCCTTCTTTTCGTAAGTCGGACTGTCGCTGATCAATCCACAAAACATACCATACTGCATAGAAAGAGTACGGAGTACCGGGGTCATAGCAATCAGACTCAGACCCAGCCAGCACACGGTAGATATCTACCATGCTGCGTAGCCTATCAAAACCTACCATATATCCAGGTAGGTAGGTAGGTAGGTAGGTAGGTAGGTAGGTAGGTAGGTAGGTAGGTAGGTAGGTAGGTAGTATCCTCCGTACTTAGTCCAGCTCAACCCAAAATGCGGGGAAGCTTACGCGCCAGCCAGCCAGCCAGCCTTCAGCCCCAGCGCTCCCCACTAGATACTCCGTACTTACTTCCACTATCTATCTACACTATCCCTACACTGGCAGTACTACTATACTACAGCACTAGACAGGCATACTAAACATTAAACCCACCTCCCTGTATCTTGCACCCAGGCGTATAAATCCAACCCTACCTACTTACTTACTTCCGTCGTATCATGAACAAAAACACTGGGTCCTACTTCTAAAACCTCTGGATATAATATCCTCTGTACGGAGTACTATAGCACAGACACAGACACAGACACAGACACACACACACACACACACACACACACACACACACACACAGCAAAGAAACTAACTTACTAGCTAGCTAGTTAGAGCCGCTTATTTTTAAATCAAGGAAGAGACAACCGCCCATCTTCCAGAACAAAGTGGTATGATCCCCCGGATCGGAGCATAGATACGTGGAACCCGCGCGGTAGAGGGCGCGTGATAGGCCCGATGGCGGATGATGCCATCGATCCGCAAGATTGGGTGAGCGCTAGGTTGGGTGTGGGTGTGGAGCTGCCGAAGACAGGAATAGTAGATGCTTGAGTATTATTATGACGATGTGGATGGTAAGGTGAGGAGGAGAGAGAGTATTGTTATGGGGTGCGTGAAGGCTTTACTGAGTAGTTTACTGCTACACTACCTTACCTAGCTAGCTAGCTAACGTATATAGTACCTGGCTATTACGGCGACTAGTACTATAGCGGTGCTGTATTTATTCCCTGCTAATCATACTTGAATACCGTATATCCACGACCTTCCTAGTATACTCCGTACTACTTAAGCCAAACAGAGATACGGAGGGAGTCCATTACCCATCTCCATACGGTGGGAATCAGGAAGGCGGGCGCAGTCACGAGTCCGGGTTGAAGGATAAGAAGCAACAAAGAACATTAATAATAATAAATGGTTAAATTGAGCGGGCAGGCATTGTTTCAAGAGTTGGGTGGATGGGATGGGTGGGTGGATGATTGGCGGAGGGGAGGGTCCGTGGCTCGGGGCAGGTGGATGGACTGTTCCGAGTATGGGGTAGATCTAGCTGAACAGGAGGAAGAGAAAGTGGTGGTGTGGCGAGCTGGACCGCAGTCTTGGTTCGGTTCTGCAGGTGAAGACAGACAGGGATTGGATTTGGAGATGTTCTTGATTTATAATTCTGTAGTACTTTGCTACCGGTGTAAGTACGGACTGCGGAGGCTGTTTCTTAAGTATGTCCTAGTTCCTATTCCATAGGCCGTGCAAAACTCCCCGGAGCAAGTTCGGACAAGTTCTTTCAAAGACTGCTGCTGTCGCAGACGCTGTGGCTGCTGCTATTTCCTTGCTTACTCTTATTGACCCCCATTCATCCTTTATCCGCCATGAGACCACCCATCCCATCACCCCTGAGTCTGAGCCCGAGCACCTGTCACTGTCTACCTATCTATTTAGATCTCAACCAATCAATCTCTGTGAAACCACCATACCGAGCAATCAACTGCCGCGTGTCCCGTACAAAGTACACAGTCCTGTGTGGTGGCAAAGCCGACGCATCAGCCAGACCCCTGTCGAAACCGCAGACTACCCAATCAGAAGCCCGAAACGCGCCAAGGAGCCAAGCACTGGGCGATCCGGAGGCCGAGGCGACTAGCGGGAGGGAAAGGCCGGGGTTGGGTGGATGGAGGAACTCCTGGCGGTGTAAGGAGTACAGGATTCTCCTTTTGGATATTGTGCGACAGAAGGGGGAAGATAAAGAACTGAGTCAGAAAAAAAAAGATAGATAGATAGATAGATAGATAGATACGGAGTAATGGCAGGGGAGATAGAGATACACAGTGAGTGCGCTAGACTTGGGAATCAGGATGCTGTGTGCGCTAGTCGGCCACTCGGCGATTGGCTCGCGTGGCGAGAGAGGCCTGGATAAATCCGTCGCCTATCGGAGGATTGGCGGTCGCGGGAAATGAAGCTGTCCTCTGCCAGTGGTGAACGGATACATTATCAGCTGCTCCACTTGGACAGGGTGAAGTACGAAGTACTGTTCTTCCCTGATTGTTGTGAAGCGTGAAGACAGTCACGGTGTACGGAATGGACTTTGGAGACAGTCTGTACTAGTACTGCAACTGTAAAAGGACAGAAAGAGGCACTCCTGAAGATCCTGCCCGTGGGCGTGAGATCACATTCCTCGCCGCCAACCATGGAACCTCCCGCAATCACACCATCGTCCCCGCCGATGGTTCCATTGTTGCGGTGACATGGGGATCGCGGCTGTCGCTCGCTTCCTCTGATTTTATCGCCGCCTGCTGCCCCATGGGCGGTTGGCCAATTCCATAGTCTTCGGGCCCACCGGCTGGCTGCCAGGGCTCTTCGGGTCGAAAATACTTATATCCTGCCCTGCCCGTGGTTGTCTTCCACCCCCGTACTGTACTCCTGTCTTTTCTTCATACTCAGACCGACCTGACAAGTGACAAGTTTCTTCTATCTTACACTTGCCACTGGCTCATCACCCGTCATCATGGCTACCAAGAAGCCCAACATCCTCTACATCATGGCGGACCAGATGGCCGCCCCCCTGCTAGCCTTCCACGACAAGGACTCGCCCATCAAGACCCCCCACCTGAACCAGCTGGCGGAGGAAGGGGTGGTGTTCGACTCGGCCTACTGCAACGCCCCTCTGTGCGCCCCGTCGCGCTTCGTCATGGTGACCGGCCAGTTGCCGTCGAAAATCGGGGCGTACGACAACGCCTCGGATCTGCCCGCCGACACGCCGACGTACGCCCATTACCTGCGCCGCGAGGGTTACCACACCGCTCTGGCCGGCAAGATGCACTTCTGCGGCCCCGACCAGCTGCACGGCTACGAGCAGCGTCTGACCAGCGACATCTATCCCGGCGACTACGGCTGGTCCGTCAACTGGGATGAGCCGGTACGTACCTTCACAATCAGCACTAGCGAGCGAGCGAGCGAGCGATCAGGAAATGTTGACCCAAATAGGATATCCGTCCCGACTGGTACCACAACATGTCGTCCGTGATGGAGGCCGGCCCCGTCGTGCGCACGAATCAGCTGGACTTCGACGAGGAGGTGATCTACAAGTCGACCCAGTACCTCTACGACCATGTGCGCCACCGTGGCGACCAGCCCTTCTGCCTGACCGTCTCCATGACCCACCCGCACGACCCGTACGCTATGACCAAGGAATACTGGGACCTGTATGAGGATGTGGAGATCCCGCTCCCCAAGCACGGCGCCATCCCCCACGACCAGCAGGACCCGCACTCGCAGCGCGTGCTGAAGTGCATCGACCTGTACGGCAAGGAGATGCCCGAGGACCGCATCAAGGCCGCCCGCCGCGCCTACTACGCCGCCTGCACCTACGTCGACACCAACGTGGGCAAGCTGCTGCGCGTGCTGGAGAACTGCGGCCTGCGCGACGACACCATCGTCGTCTTCACCGGCGACCATGGCGACATGCTGGGCGAGCGCGGCCTCTGGTACAAGATGGTGTGGTACGAGAACTCGGCGCGCGTGCCGTTCATCGTGCACGCCCCCAAGCGCTTCGCCGCTAAGCGCGTGTCCGAGAACGTGTCAACGATGGATCTGCTCCCAACCTTCGCCGACATGGTGGGTGCGCCGCTGATCCGCGAACTGCCGCTGGACGGCGTGTCGCTGCTGCCGTACCTGACGGGCGAAGACGGCGTTAAGACGGACACCGTGCTGGGCGAGTACATGGCGGAGGGCACGCAGTCGCCGACCGTGATGATCCGCCGCGGCCGCTGGAAGTTCGTGTACTCGCTGATCGACCCGCCCATGCTGTACGATCTGGTAACCGACCCGGAGGAGCGCGTCAACCTGGTTGCGGGTCTGGCGGAACCCTCACTCAAGCTGGAAGCCAGCAAGGCGGCGCCGCAACTGAACCCGGCTCCTCTGCCAACCCCGAGCGATTCCCCTCGCGTGTCTCCGATGCAGCGCACCGCGTTCCCCTTCCCGACGCCCCCTCGCACCCCCAGCCCGGGCAAGGCCGTGTACACGCTCCCGGCCACCAGCGAGCCAGCCAAGCTGCTCGCGCACTTCACGGAGGAGGTGCACGCGCGCTGGAATCTTGAGCAGATCCGCGAGGACGTGCTGCGGTCGCAGCGGCGTCGACGTCTGGTATACTCGGCGCTGATCCAGGGCACGCCGTCGTTCTGGGACTACGAGCCGCGCGTGGACCCCAGCGCGCAGTACGTGCGCAACCAGGGCAAGGGCGCGCTGGACGACGTGGAATTGATCTCGCGCTGGCCGCGGGTGTTGCAGCAGGCTGCCAACGCCACGGGGATGAAGGTTTGATTGATGCATCCTGCGATCGATGACTGCATTCTGGTACTGGTACTGCGACAAATTGATACACTGCCTGCTCTTTGGTACATAAAATGTGGGATCTAGCGAGGCGCTTGGTTTTCTTTCTTTTTTCTTCAACTTGTCTTCTACACTGCGTGTGCTTTTGCTGCTCCTGTTGCTGCTATCTAGCGCGCGATCTTGACTGTACATGTGTATAATACTTGCGATCGTCTATTATTATTATTATTACCTATTACCTTGACTATCTTATCATGTCACTTCCATCTCCAAATATCCATACTACGCTCTTATCCTTGTACCTCTCTTTGTCCGTCACACAACCCGGACCGCAACCAACCAACCAACCCTCAACCCCAACCCATACGTCACCATCCCCAGATCTCCGCACTTCAGAACCACGGCTCTTTCATCCATCCATCCATCCTTCCTTCCTCTTCCATCTATTTATAATACTCTTAATCTCACTCCCCACCCCACCGATTCCATCTCCTCCCCCGGAATCATACCCCCAGAACGACTACTCCCTATCCGAAATGCCCCCCAAACGAACCCTCACCCTCGCCATCGCCCAAGCCCATCCCCCTTCCCCCTCCTCAGTCACAGAACCAGAAACAGACACAGAAACAGTTACAAACGCAGACGCAGACGCAGAAGCAGAAACAAAAGCCACCTCCCTCACAACCCTCACGCAAACCACCCACCTCGCCGCCTCGAGAGGCGCTCACCTCCTCGTCTTCCCGGCTGGGTATCTCGGTTCTCCTCCCTGCACACCACCAAGGATAATAAAAGCGAGAGCACAAGCAAAAGCAGGAACAAAAACAACACCTCGTGAAACAGCATGTAACCGCAACGCATACCTACAAGCGTATAACTGCGCGTGCGATCTCGGGGATATACCGGCTCCCGCGGGCGGCGGGAAGGCGTGGGTGGAGAGGGAGAGGGGGATGGTGATGGGGATGGGGATAAAACGCCCCCAATCCTATGCTGTGGCTGTTCCTGGTATGAGGGAGAGAGGGGGGAGTATTGGGAGTAGTGTCAGTAGTACTGCTGCTGCTACTGGGGTTGGTATTCCTAGCACTACTGGTGCTGGTGGTGCTATTGGGACAGGTGGCGCTGGGACTGGAACTGGAACTGGAACTGGGACTGGTGAAAAGACAAATATCCCCGGCGACGGCACGCGCGAAATCCTGGAAGCCCTCTCACACGCGACAAACGTCTTCCTGATCGTGGGGGTTGTGGAGCGCGCCGGACGGGCGCTTTTCTCGTCGGTGGTGTTCGTGCATCCTGCTTTTGGAGTGGTGGGGAAGAGGAGGGGGGTGGGGTTGGTATGTCCTTTTCTTTCGTTCTTCATTCCCCCCCCCCCCCCTCCTCCCTCTCACTCAAATATTTTGACTATGAGTTTATGACGACAAAGCGCGTCTATATTGAATCTCACCTGTGACTGTCTACCCGCTAACCTCTACAAACTTCTCATTGCTGATGTGACTGGTTGTTAACGATGGATAATAGACCCCCCAGGAACGAACCCTCTACACATCCGGCTCCGCGTCGGATCTCGTTGCTATCAAGACGATAATAAACGGGACGGAGGTGACGCTTGGCGCGACGATCGGAGCAGAGAATTATATGCCGCTGGTACGGCACAGTTTGTACGCACAGGGAGTGGAGGTTTTCTGTGCGTTGGGTAGTAACCCGGACGGAGAAGCGGATGGGGATGGGGATGGGGATGGGGATGGGGTACAGGGTGTGTGGGGAGCGGTAGTCAGGACGGTAGCCGTGGAGGGGAGGGTTGTTGTTTTGGGGGCGAGTGATGTTGTTTCCTCGGCTGGGTCTACGTCTAAGTCTACGTCTTTGGAAGGGCGAGGGCGAGATCGAGGACGAGAAGATCAAACAGGCGGGTATACGGGTAGGGATGTGAGTGGAAGTGTTGGTAGCGACGGCACCGGGGACCGAACCGTCGGCTTCGCGACAGGATACAGCTCATTCGGGGATATCGCGCCGGGGGTCGATCCGCTATGCTTGCCGCCGAACCCCAGGCTGCGGAAGAGGTCTGTCACCCTCGAGGGGCCGCATGAGATTGTTTGGCCGGATGGGCGGTTTGGTGGAGCTGCAGCTGGAACCACAGTTGATACTGGGCCTGGAACTGCACCTGAGGCCGAGGCACAGCAGAGAGAGAGCCAAGTGTCCGAAAGAGATGTCTCTCCCACAACAACCAAAAAAACCAAGAGAAAAATGGAGTCTCTCTCCGGGGAATCGTATATCGTGGGACCTCTGGGTGAGGTACTGGCCGGTCCGGTTTGTTTCTCAGATGGGGATGGTGGCTTGCTGGTAAGGGAGATCGACTTGGAGGATTGTATCCGCGCACGCATGGATCTGGGGTGTTGTCCCGGGGAGGCGTTTCGGTTGGTCGTGGATGGGGTGGATTTGGGGGTATAGTTGGGTATGGTATGTTTGTGGCTATATCTGTAGTATATCATTGGTGTTAGGAGGTGTTTATGTAGTACTATAGTAGTATAGCATGCATATGCATACTTTGGAACAAAATTACTCATCTCAAGTGATATTTCAAACCCTCTTCCCTTGCCTAACCTGCATGCATGTCCTTTGGCGAGGCGGTTGGCATGGCTATGCAGTAGTTAGTGACACTGAAACGCAATCGTAATGACTAAAGAGTTGAGTCAGGAGGGCGCAGTGAATGACGGACCCCAACTATTCCCCAACAGGTCTCGCTTCTTCTCTTCTCTTCTCTTCTCTTCTCTTCTTCTCTCACCTCCCCCTCTATCTCACCTCCATCTCCAACTCCTCTGTATAAAAGTTAGTTGTTACCGGACAAGGAGTATCCTACTGCAATAGCAATGCAATACAGAATCCAACTCTCCTCTACGCCGCGCAGGAAAACCAGTGCCACCACCTGCGAGTGATCAATCCGCCTTGAAACCCAACTTGACTATCATACATAACCCTATCTTATTAGACACTACCTTCATCAATGGTTCTATTGGATGATGTATTTGTTCGTCTTCCTTATACTACTTATAACAGATATTACGTTCCCAGGATGCCCTTTCGTATAAGTAAGTACCTTATATCTGGAGATGGCGCGCTCATGGCGGTATCAGTTCGGGGTTTGGATTGGTAATAAGGGATAAGTAGCAGTGGAACTGGGTCTAGTCTTAAGTAAATGCGGTGCTTTAAGGCGTCGTAGCTATATTATATTTGTCTTCGCAGGTCAGTTTTGTCTTGGGTATTAATTTATCTGGCTATCTAATCTAGATCTACTTATATAGTATATAAAGTAGTATCTCCCTCCCTCCAAATTCCCCTCGCCCGTCATAGGTACTTTCAGTTTCAGCTATCAGTCAGACCCACTCTTCATGTATGTAATTATCATAATGCTGCAGGGTCCCTCTCCATCTACCTACTAGTACCTCCTCTCTCCCTTTTTATTTTTAGCTTGCAGGATGCTTAACTACCTGCTTACCTACTCGCTTATAAGTACTATACTCTTGATTCAGCCCCACCTGTTCTGGATATCTGATGCTCTGCTCTGCTTTCAGACTTAATATTAATCTTTTATTCACTATTAAACTACTATAATTACAGACAAGCAACGCCGGAGACAGACTGCCACCGATTTTCACATATCTCTATCTCTATCTATATATAACAGAACAGATGTGGTTCGCCTAGATTTCTACTGTCTATTCAGCATCTACACTACCAAACCAGCCGATCTCTGATCCTTCGATCTGCGGTGGGCGCTGCATAGTTTTGTTTTTCGGGGGGTGGGGGGGATTATTTATTGGCTGTTGAATTCTGTATATAACATACACTATATCGTACATAGTAGATAGTAGATAGTAGATATACTCTATAGATATTTCCGTCAAAGCTTCACCCGTGGCTAAAGTAGCGAGGGTAATCGCGTTTCCGCGCCGGGGGGAGGCTCGGGGAGGGGAAAGTTTTAACACATCGTATCGGATCCTGCCGTGGATAGCGCACAGCAGAAACATATCTCCTGTTCCTGACGATCGCTGTTCCTGTCAGCGTCCCCCTATCCAGTACCAAAAATAAGAATGGTGTACTAGTAGTTATAGAAAGCAAACCCGTCCGCCCCCGTCGGCATCGCGCATTTACCCGCGGGAAACCAAGAATAGGACTCGGACAGCCAGCCAACCCACTGGCCCGCTTGTATGCGAGAGAGAGAGAGAGAGAGAGAGAGAGAGGGTGCCGCCGGCGCCGCCGCGAACCTCGATCCAAAGCGGGTACACGGCCAGCGATCCACGCGTTAAACCACTTAACCTACTATCTATCTATCTATTTTAGCATCATAGTGTGTGCGAAGCCGTGCAGAAACCGGCCCTGCGGTCGGTTACGCGCGGATAAAACCGGGGCGCGGACGGAGGAGGGTCTGGATCGGGAGTGCGGTTATTGTCGTTTGTGGTCGGGATTGAGAAGGGAGGGTCTGGGTTTCGATCTATCTAGTTATATGAATCGGAGGAGAAGAGAATGTTTTTTTTTTTATATTTATTGTGGTTGTGGTTGTGGTGCGGTGGTTTTGAAGTATCAAGATTTATGTACTCCGTATATTATTTTGTGGTATTCTATTCGTTCAATGGCTGGAATCTCCCGCAGAGGCAGGCCGGCGGGCGCCACCAATGGGAATGAGACCTTCCTGCTGGTGGCTTGCGGGCGTTTGTCACCGGGCGTGAATCAAGCAAGTCAATTGAAGTCACTTCAGTCACCGCCAAGTTCCTCACCTCCCTCCCTCCCAGAATCCACACGTGCATGCAGGACAAGCTGGCGACGATCATACAACCTGACTACGGAGTATCTACTCTAGAGTTGCCTGCTCGATGGTGAGATCGGCGAATATCACCAGGGTCTGCCAGGCATCGGGGATCCGGGGATCCGGGTATCCAGGAGGATTGAATAATGAGAAGATGATTCCAGACTCAGCATGGTGAAGTGCTCGGACAGATTATAATCATGTTCCATCCGTGTAGATCTATCTAGTTATCTTTCTGGGGGATGGGGGATGTGTACTGACTGACTGTGTATGCGTCCATCTGCGTGACTGCGTCATAGCATTCCAGGCCCGAGTCCTGCACTGTATCCCATAGGGCGCATGTCATCGAAGGGCGCGCCCTCGCCCGCCAACGTCCAATGAGCGCGATGCCGCCATCGGCATGGGCGCAACGGGCCTATGGGCGGCTGTTGCTTTCTCTGTTGTCCTGCCGTCTTGGTCTAGTCGCTTAGGCTTCTGGACCATTTCTGCCAGCCCCAAACGGCAAACGACCCCTTGGATGCAGTCCTTACGGCGCCTACGGTGTACTTCTCACCTCGCTTGGCTGCCGAACTTCCCATCCCCCCCACGTGCCTGGGGAAGGAGGGGGTTTGCGCCATGACTCACCCAAGGGGGTGATGTTCTGCCTCCAGGCGAGGTCGGAGGGGGGAATATTTAGATATTTAATATGGGAAGACATCCCGGCGATCCAGAGTGGTTCTTGAGCATCAGATCCGGATATTTGAGGCCTGACTTGAGGATCGGTTCTCCACCCACGATATTTCCATTACCCAACCGCAACGGCCATCACCCCATCTGTTCCCATCCCATCGCCATTCACTCGACTTTCCCGACCTCCTTTTCCGCGCCTTCGATTCAAATAAAAAGTGTTCGCCGCCGCGTCGGTTGGCTTGACTTGGATTGACTTTCATATCATCCTGTCTACTCACTGTCCGTCGCGATTGATTGGTGCGCGTCGCCAGTCCCACTCCATCCGGGGTCTTCTATACTCCCCTCCTCCCATACTTCTATCCCCAATTGAATACCATGGCCGCTTCCATCATCACGCGAGGGTCCAACTCTCTTGCGGCATTCGCCGTCCGCTCGCGCCCCAAGATCGACATCTCACTGAGCAGCCAGAAGGAAGGCCTGGTCCCGTCCTACACTACCGGAGACGTCATTGAAGGCACCGTCACGGTGACTGTCGACCACGATACCCGCTTTGACGAGCTGGAGATCACCTTCGAAGGTATGTCCCCGCCGAACCAACCATTCCCCACGGACGACCGATACTGACTGGCCAGGCACCTCGCGCACCTCGGTCGAACGCCAGTCCATGCCCGGGCGGACAGGGGCGTACCACACCTTCCTGCGCCTGCGGCAGCCCATCGAGGAGACGGTGTATCCGACCCCGCGCGTGCTCGAGGTCGGTCGCACGTATCAGTTCCCCTTCACCTTCGTGGTCCCCGATCGTCTGCTGCCGCACATCTGCAACCACGCCAAAACGAATCTGCACGTCGAGCACTCGCACACCCTGCTGCCCCCCACCCTGGGCGACCCCATGATGACCACCAATCGCAAGGCCGTCGTCGATGACATGACGCCGGAAATGTGCCGCATCGCCTATCTCGTCCGTGTCACCCTGCAGAAGAAGCCCGCCGCGCCCAACGCCGCCCCCGCTACCCTCGCGTCCGTCGGCAAAAAGGTGCGGATCATTCCCACCGTCGACGAGGAACCGCCCCTGAACGTGTCCGATGACGAGGGCCTGTACTGCATGCGCAAGGAGAAGGACGTCAAGCGCGGCTTCATGCGCGGGAAGCTGGGCCGCCTGGTGGTCGCCGCGGCGCAGCCCAAGCCGGTGCAGCTGAGCCCGCCCGGCGAGGACAACAACGGTGACGGCTGCGACTCTGTGAACACAGTGGCCACCGTCCACCTGCGCTTCGACCCCGTGGGCGACGAGTGCCCGCCGCGCCTGGGCACGGTGTGGAGCAAACTCCGGGTGTCGACCTTCTACAGCTCCGACCCCTGGGGCGACTACCCGTCCGCGTCGTGTATCCGAAGCTGGGCGCAGATGGGCGGCCGCGGGATGTACACCGAGGTGGTGCCACTGTCCACCATGTGTGTAGCCTCGGCGCCCTGGACCAAGCACACGACGCCCGCCGGCGAGCGCCGTGACTCGATGCAGTCCACCTCGTCCACGGAGTCGCTGCCAGGCCCGTCCGCCTCGTTCGGCGGCAGCACGTACTATACGGCCGCGGTGGTCGTGCCCGTCACGCTACCCAAGGCCAAGACGTTTGTGCCGACCTTCTTCTCGTGCCTGACCGCGCGCGTCTACGCGCTGGAGCTGAGCATCTCCTACCACGCGCCCAACGCGCGCATCCTCACGCCGTCCGCATCCCTGAAGGTGCCCATCCAGCTGACCTGCGAGGCGCGGCCGGGCGCGCCGTCCAAGGGCACGGTCGTCAACATCACCCAGGATGAGGTCAACGCCGAGTTCTTCAGCCCTCGCAGCATCGCGCCCGCCGCCATCGCCGAGCTGCCCGCCATCGCGCCGCCCGACTACACGGCCGTGCGCATGAGCAATTTGGCGCCGGACCGTTCGCAGATGCTGGGGACAGCGCGAGTATAATCTAGAGGTATCTCTCGGACTGTACAAACATCAACTGGCACCTACAAAAAAAAGACCAACTCAAGCATCGCACAAAGGCATCGACATCAATATCGACCCGGCAGTCAACACCAACTTCAAAAGCATGATTTCAAATTCAATTTCAAAGGCGTTATGGATAATACCCGGGATGGTTAGGATTAGCAGTTTGCCTCAAGGATACGATACCCACCTACCTGATTGTGGAATGTGATTTATGGTTTAGAGCACTACATAGCATAGATAATCAAGCCCTAATTAATCTACTTTGACCAAGTGATCCCCACTCGCTCTGTGTGTGTTTCAACTGTCGCGGTGGATAGTTTCCGTTTCACCTCTTTCACCCCCGACCCCGGACCCCGTCCAAGCGCCCCCATCAGATCCACCCACCAGACCAGACCAGACCAGACCGGACCAGACCAACAGAAGGGAATGCGGGGTGGGACTGGGACTGGGACTGGGACTGGGACTGGGCCTGGTGTCTGTCAGGTCAGGTTCGGTTCAGATTAGGTCCAGACTGAGGCTATCAATTCCCTTCACTTCCAGGTCTAGTCCACTCCAGCCCAGACTGCAGGGAGACGACTTACTTAAGATACTCCCTCCCGCCGACGATACACAAACCCTTCCTCTCCCTCGGGATAGGTCTAATCTAGTACGGAATAGTCTGCCGCGCATGATGCACTCACGGGAAGTTAATAGCCTGCGTTTTACTTCCTTCCTTCTGACTGGTTTCATCTCCGTCCCAGACGCACGCACGGTATCTGCGGGTGCTCGTCACTCTCATCTCTGGAACGGGTCGCGTGAAAGGGGTCTCTTATCTTGACTTGTTGACTTTTTGATTTGTTGGGGATGATGTGATGGCTAGCTAAGTAGTGATGGCAGAGTAGGGAGAAGCAGCTAGGCACGTTGAATTTAATTGTCCTGTCTGGATGTAACAAGGCAAGGGAGAGAGGGTCAGGATGGGACAGGAGGGGAGGATAGGGAAGGGAAAGGGAGATGAGATGAGACGGTTGGTCCAGGATTATCAATCAATCAAAGAAGTTGGATTATTGCGACCCCAGACCCCAAACTCTAGACTCGAGATGAGATTCTTACCCCCGGATAAGAGGATGGCCAGTTAGATGGTGGGATATCCGGTATTCATCTCCAATGGAGTTATCAACTTCTTTCCCTCCATTCCTCTCTCTCTCACCAACAGGCACATTCATTCAGCCGATAAGACTGGACTGGACTGGACTGGACTGGACAAGTCTAGACCATGAGCGCAAGAGCAAGAGCAAGCACGCAAGCATGATCCATGCATCCATCCATCTTCATTCTATTCTATTCATCACGCACGCACCATCCACATCATCCATACTCCATCCTCATACTCCATCCCGTTACACCCAACCAATGCAGGTCCTCACCGCTGGTGACTTTCCCTCCCCTCCTACCCTCGCACCATCTACCCACCCCCCGAGCATCCAGACCCTCGATCACCCGTATATATATCAGTGAAGCCTTCGAGCCTCTCCTGTCTAGACCCTTCTGTCCAGTGCATTCCTCCAGTATAGACCTTCACGGCTTATGGGATATCTGGCCGGTTTGGAGCGCTTCGAGGTCTATAAATTCGCTCTGGATCCCCGTCGCTCGCTACTTTTTTTTTTCTTGATTCTCATGCTCATGCGCTTGTTTGTGTTCATGCACAGGCGCTTGCACGGCTTTGGATTTTGTTGATTGGTTACAGGGACAGATACAGACACATATACTGATACAGTTACAGATACAGCTCGTGATTGTGACTGTGACTGGACACCATGCGATTCTTTACCTTTTTCTTGATGGCCCTGGCTGTGGTGGTCAGTGGCTTTGCGATTCCTTTTGTGGACGAGGGTATGCTTGTGCCGGGTCATTGGGCTCATGCTCGTGAGCAGACTCGTGCCGGGGTTAAGAGGGATGCTCTGAATGCGACTACAAATGACTATAAGTCTATTGCTTATTATGTTAACTGGGTATGTCATTCTTCCTTTCTTCCTATTTTATCCTATCCTATCTTGTTTTTCTTTGTTTTCGCGGTATATCTTTTCTACGTACTTGTCAATGTCCGGCTCTCATACCCCATGTTCCATGCATACATGCATACTATGTCCCCCCCATGTCCAGCAACAGTGCCCTCATCCATTACCCATATCTCACATCCCAAATCCCAATCCCATCCACCCCCAACTCCAATTTCCATCCAACACATCCACCCGCCCACCCCCACTAACAAAAATCCAGGCAATCTACGCCCGAAACCACACCCCAGCCGACATCGCCATCGACAAACTGACCCACGTCCTCTACGCCTTCGCCAACATCCGCTCCGATGGCGAGGTCTACCTCTCCGACGCCTGGGCCGACACCGACAAGCACTTCCCCGGCGACTCGTGGGACAACGCCAGCCAGAACGTCTTCGGATGCGTCAAGCAGCTCTTCCTTCTCAAGAAGAAAAACCGCCAGCTCAAGGTCATGCTCTCCATCGGGGGCTGGACCTACTCCAGCAATTTTGTTCAGCCGGCGAGCTCGGATGCCGGTCGCAAGAAGTTTGCGCAGACTGCGGTTAAGTTGTTGGGCGATTTGGGGTTTGATGGGTTGGATGTTGATTGGGAGGTATGTTTGTTTTTTTATTTTTATTTTTTTGTTTTTTTTATTTTTTATTTTTATTTTGTCTTTTTTTGTTTTGTTTTAGTGAGTGCATGGATGGATAGATGGATGGATGGATGGATGGATGGGGTTTATTCTAGGGTTGTTTGGGGAAGTGTGCTAATGGCTAATGTGATGTTGATATAGAGTCCCTCGAACGATAACCAGGCCAATGATATGGTTGAGCTGCTGCGGGAGACTCGTGCCGTACGTTCCTCTTCCCTTCTCTTTCCTCTCATGCATCCCTTACCATCATATCTCTCTGCTGACCCACGGATCCAATCCAGGAACTCGACCGCTACGGCCAGGAACACGCCAACGGAAAACACTTCCTGCTCAGCGTTGCTGCACCTGCCGGTCCGTCCTGAGCCCTAACTCCCCTCCCCTCCCATTAACCCCCACTAACCATATATATTATATTCCATCCAGGCCCATCCAGCTACTCCACCCTGCACCTGAGCGCCATGCACCCGCTGCTCGACTTCTTCAACCTCATGGCCTACGACTACAGCGGCAGCTGGTCCACCGCCAGCGGCCACAGCTCCAACCTGTACCCCTCCACCTCCAACGCCCCCTCCACCCCCTACAACACCGAACAAGCCATCAACGCCTACCTCGCCGCCGGTGTCCCCTCCCGCAAACTCATCCTGGGCATGCCGCTCTACGGCCGCAGCTTCACCAACACCGACGGCCTGGGCCTGCCGTTCAACGGCGTCGGCGACGGCTCCTGGGAGAAGGGCCTGTGGGATTACAAGGCGTTGCCGGCCGCGGGCGCCCAGGTCGTCGAGATGGAGGATGTGGGCGCGGCCTACAGCTACGATGCTGCCAGCAAGACGCTGGTGAGCTATGATACGATTAATTCGGCCAGGTGGAAGGCCCAGTATGTCGTCAGACGCGGGTTGGGGGGCGGCATGTGGTGGGAGACGAGTGGTGATCGGAAGGGGGAGGGGAGTTTGGTTTCTGCGGTATGTTTTTACTTTGTTCTTTCTCTCTCTCTCTCTCTCTCTCTCTCTCTCTCTTTCTCTCTTTCTCTCTCTCTCTCTCTCTCTCTTTCTCTCTCTCTCTCCCTCTCTCTTCCATTCTCATTCCATCCACTTCATCGACGTGCGGGTTTATCATCACTCCCCTTACTAACCTGTCCTTTTTTTTTTTTTTTTGTCCTACACAGGTCGTCGATTCCTTCGGCGGCGAGGCCGTCTTGGATTGCGAGGAAAACCAGCTCGATTATCCCGTCTCCAAGTATGAGAATATTCGCCGCGGCATGGCATGAATATAAAATACACTGGCAGTTGTTTGCATCAGGGATATGATGATATCATGGTTTAGTTGTTTCGTGGGTGGGAATCTGGTGGTGTCGATGGTACGCTCTGGAAGAGAGACTTGGATTGATGGAGTGATGATGTGTGTTTTGTCTGTTGTCTGTTGGGTTGGGTATTGACTGCTCGCTCAATCAGTTACAGACGCGGTCATCGGTCCTCGGTCCTCGGTCATTGGTCCTCGGTTTGTTGGTTTGGATGCTTTGCGGTTGGATGCTTTGCGGTTGGATTTAGTTTGGATGGTGGATGGTGGATGATCGTTGATCGATCATTTTCGCTTTCTTGTCGTTTACTTTCAGTTCCTTTTGCTTCTATTCTCTCTCTCAGCTAGCAGGCCATCATCAAAACCACCGTCACGGTCACGGTCAGCACTCAGCACTCAGCAGAACTAGGCCAGTCAGTCAGCTGGTCTGGCCAACTGGCCTACCTACCTACCTACCTGTCTGTCTGTCTGTCTAACTGCTGGAGTCAGGAATACGATCTTACTTGTTTTGTTTTATTTTATTTTTTTTTTCGCTCTTCCTTGTGTATACTGCCATTCCTCTTTGTACTACTACTGTATCCATCCGGTTTGATATGCTTGCAGCCGAGAGGAAGGCCTCCTGCCCCCCCCCCCCCCCCCCCCCCCAAGGAGGAGTAGCCAGCCAGCCAGCCAGCCAGCCAGCCGGTAGGCAGAACCTGCAGGTCAAGAGGCCGCCCGGGCGGGTCGATGAAGATTGATCTCTCGAACAAAGTGAACCCAGAAAATGCTTCATTTGTCTAACGGAACAGGTATATGATCACAATCACAATCACAACCACAATCACAACCACAACCACAACCACAATCACAATCACAACCTCAATCACAATCACAACCACACGCGACGATCCTGTAACTTTTAATAATAATATGTATATATACAAGCAAGCAAGCAAGCACCCAAATACGCCACGCCCGGCATCAAAATGCTCACTCTATCCTCACTCACCAACTCACACCCATTTCACCCCCTCTAAGTCAACATATCATCCAGCCTCTCCCCCAAAACATCCTCAATCTGCTTCACCCACTTGCGCACCTCGCGCTCCACATTCTCATCCTCATCCTCCATCAACTCGCTAATGTACGGCAGCATCTCGGGCAACAAGGCCAGCCACTCCTCGCCCAGCTGCTCCGTGAGCGACTGCTGGGCCTTGAGCGCCGCGACGCGCGTGTGCGGGTTCTCGCCGCCGGCGGGCTGGCCGGTCGGCCCGGCGGACGGCCGCAGCAGCCGCATCAGCACGGTGTTGAGTTCCTTGTGGTTGTCTGTGGAGTCCGCTGCGACGGCGAGCTCCGTTAGCGCGGGGACGGCCTCCGCGACGACGAGCGTCGCCGTGGTGGAGTTCTTGGCATGCGCAAGTTGCGAGATCAGGGGTTGGGCGATCACGGTGAGGTGGGAAGGGGATTGCCAGAATTCTGTTTGGGGGTTAGTATTTGAGGTTGGGGGGTGGATGGATGGATGGATGGATGGATGGGACTTACCGTCTTGGTCGTGCTCGAAGGCATTCCGGAGCATGCGCATCGTCGCCAACCATAGACTCTTAGTGTCTTGGTTCGCCGGGCTGGCTTTGCTGAGGACCTTGACCACGTTCTCGATGATGTAGCTGGCGTAGCCGGTGACGATGGACTGGAGAGGTTAGATGGGTTTGTGATGGTGCAGGGGGAGCGGGGGCTTACCTGGAGGGTGCCGAAGAAGACCTGCAGGAACCGGTAGAATGTGGTAAGACGGGCCACGCTGCCGCGCACGTCCTTCTTCTGGGTCGTGGAGGTGGCCCAGTCAAAGAGCTTGATGAAGATGGGCCGGAATGTCGTGTCGTTCAGCTTGTAGATCATCTTGATCGTTACCTCGTTGATAATATCCTCGATCTCCTCCACGTCAGACGAGTCGAATGTGGCGTTCTCGCCCAGTGACACCTGTTCGCGGCGCAGGTCGAACGCCTTGAACAGAACGCTGGAAAGGACGGGCAGGTTGGCGACGGTAGCGGACTTGGGGTGCTTCTCGATCGCGAGGCTGATGACCCCCAGTGTTTCCCTCGTGGCGTCAGGGCCGGAGGCCACCGCATGCTGCCAGTTACGGTCGATGGCAGCGAATGTTTCGGCCATGTCGACCTTGCGAGCCATGAGGCGGAGCGCTTCCTCGCGGCTGTCATCCTCGACACCCTCAGAGACAGTAGACTTGTAGGAGAGAAGGAGAATCTTGTCCAGATGAGACCCGGCAACCATGAAGGGGATGTGGACGAAAAGAGCGGAGAAGAACGAGAACACAGCATCGTGCATCCGAGCGTTCTCCTTGCCCTCTTCCAGACTCTGCTCTAGCAACGCCAACGAACGGCTGAGCGCATCAGGCAGCGCCGGGATCATGGCCTCGCCGAGCACCTCAGCCATGGAAGCAAGGGCCAACACACCCATGATGCGGATACGTTCGTCCTTCTGGCCGATGCAGGCTTCACTAGCGACCACCTGGGCAGCGTGGATAACCTTGGACGGGTCCTTCCGACCATACTTCTCAGCTATGCGATCAATGCACGCGACCGCGGCGTGCTTGAGCAGAATGTCTGGCGAAGACTGGACAATGTTGACCAGCGTAGGCAGGAAGTCAAGCATGCGGTGTTGCGAGACACCGTCACCCTCGGGGTTCTGACGCAGGCGGCCTTCCAGCAGGCGGAGAACCTTGCGCCGGAGGTCGTTGTTGCGTCGCTGCAGCAGAACCTCGATGGTGTCGAGGAAGTCCACAAGTGACAGAGTACTGAACAGTGCGCTGAGAACATCACCGCTGGCCTGGCTGACGGGCTTGACGTTGTGCATGGACTCGCCAATTGCGAGAACCTGCTCCAAGATCCGAGAGAAGTACGCGCGGATGTTCCCAACAACTTCTTCGTCATCCTCGGCAAAGTCCTTGGCCATCTTGGCCTTGAGCGACGAGTGCTTGAACAGATAGGCCAGTGCCCGGAGCAAGTCAACAGCCACCTTCTGAGGCTCGCGGCCCTCATCGCTTCCGATGCCGAGAAGAACCTGCGAAATGCCGGGCCTGGTCTTGAGTGAGTCGATGACCAAGTCCAGGAACTTGACGTATGTCACAAGTTCAACCGGAGAACTGGCGTCAGAAACCAATCCGGTCATCAGAATAAGGACGTCCTTGTCCATGGCATACCGATTAGCGAGCATGGACAGAACAGCGAACAGGAACTCCTGTGTTCCGAGCTTGTTGACCAGGGCATGGAACAGGCGCAGACGGCGGTGGGAAGGAATGTGCTCAAAGGCAGCCGTGAAGCTGAGCAACAGCTCCGAAGTTCCAGAAACGACATCGCGCTTCTGGTTACGCAGGGACTGGATAAGCGCCGGGACCACTTGGTCGATCGTCTGGTCGATGACAGAAACAGAGTACTCATCGTCCTTCCGCAGGACACTGGAACCCATGAACGTGAAAATGGGCATCACGCTGTGGAGGACCAACTCCGGAGCGATGACAGACAATCCAGCCACCAGAAGAAGGGCCGCATTCTGCACCTGAGGGCTGTCAGTGGTACGGACACAGTCCACGACCAAGTCGGCCCGGATAACGGAGGTGTCGAATTGTGGCTTGGCAGTTGCCTTGCAACGGTTCACGATGGCCAGGAGACTGCCGAGTGTCAAGCTGAGAAGGTAGCTCATTCCAGACTGAATCTGGGTCTTGAAATGGTGAAGGGCAGCCAGCGTCAGGAACAGACCGTCCGCCAACTGGGGGTGGGCCTCTGGGTTCGAGCTATCCACCAGCTCCAGAATAAAAGTCATCTTCTCCATGAGCTTGCTGAGCTTGGCTTCATCCTTGATGGTCATGGCGACCATGTTGTTCTGACTGGTGCGCCGTCTCTTCGGTGCCGGTCCGGTGGCCTCCATGTCGGTAATCGAGACAGGGATTTTGCGAAGGAATTGGGAAAGAACCGTTCCAGTAAGCTCAACGCTGCGGAGAACCTCCCTGCAACCGCTCACAAGGGGCGACTCCACCTCGCCGAGAGAAATCTCGAACAGCTTCTCTGAAGCGTCGACCTGGCGGTTCTCTTCAACTTTAGCCCAAATAGCCTTCATACGGTTGAAGACGGCTGCAGCAAAAGATGGCCGGAGAGACTCCGAGTACGGGCTCACATTGGACAACAGCACGATGATAGCGTTCTTGTCCTTAGGAGTAACAGTCAGAGCTGCCTGCTCGTCCACCTCCGCAACAGACACACGCTCTTGCTCGCAGACCTCCTTGGCCTTCTGCTCATTCATATCGCGCCAAGTCTTCAAGAATGGCTCGAGTTCCTTGGTGCGAGTGCTGCCGCCAGCCTTATCAATGCGGTTGAGGAGCTTAAGCAGGTTCAGTTTAGGGGCATAGAGGGGCATCTGGACGGCGTGAGAGCAGAGGAAGGTGAAAAGGCTCAATCGAAGCGGCTTCTTCAACTCGAAGTCAGAAGCAGTTCCCCGCAGTGCTCCTTCGACGACGCGGCCGATATAAGCTTGGTCGAGGACATACTCCTCCAGGCCAGGAAGCAGAGCGCGCTCGACGATCTTCTGCGCATCGCGGCCATCCAGCCACTGGACATTCTTGGACTGCATTCCGTAGATCGTGTCGCGAGCCCAAATCGTAGCGTCGGCCTTCTTGCTCTTCTTATACAGAGCGCCAATAGCGGCAAGGACGCCTGCTGCCTCACGTCGAATCCTCTCCGAAGAGTCTGCAAGGCCTACCAGCATGAAAGGAAGCAATGCCTGGAAATCGAGGTCGGCCGAGGCGGAACTCAGGAACGTCGAGATCATGTTCAGCGCAGTTACCCTAGTGCCGATGGGGTATGAGCCCGTGAAAATCCGGGTAAAGAAGGACAGGTACTGCGGCAACTTCACGGCATCCGCTTTTCCGAGGATTGGCAAATTAACCAGGGACTCCAGATTCTCCTGGGAGCCAACGGCAAGGGCGAAAACCTGGACAAGGGCTTCAAAAGCGGGAATAGATTGCGCACTGAGAGCCGACGTATCCAATTTCTTCCCTCCCAGTGCCTCCAGGGAAGTGGCAAAGTTATCTGCCACTGCCACTTCCTTCTCTGCATCTCCCATATCAACATCCTCGATAGCCTGCGTCGTGGGCACGGATTCGATCACAGTCTGCAGGTTGTGTTCCAAAGCGGTGACATCGATGGACGATTCTTCGATCGTTTTCTGGAAGATAGGACGAAGCGACTCGGACTGGGTGAACTGCTGGACGAGTTCCGCAAGGTGCGTCTGAGCATCTAAGGAGAGGACACCCTCCGTATGGCTGGTCGCATGGAGGGTGATGGCCATGGCCTGGGCTGTCTCGGGCTCACCCAGGAGCTTAGCCTCGAATAGAGAAGACAACAATTCCAAGCGTGCCAGGTCTTTCTGCTTCGAAATGTCGCTCACGCATCCAGCCACCAGGCCGAGAACGAGGTGAGATGTCGGATATTGCGCGGCAATAGTCGACAGCTGCGACACGGGGTCTTCCAACCGAAGAACCGCCTTGAAAGCCCGCTTCGGGATTCTCATATCGGGCTTCTTCTGTGCCAGGACAGACAGGCAAATCAATCCGGATTCCACCGTCTCTGCCGTCCACGACCCGGCAACGGCCTCCATCAAACCATCGAGTAGCGTGTCCTGGAGAGACGCCTTCTGTGCAAGGACCACGCAGACCATGTAGCAGCCAACAACCAGCTCGGAGACATCCTTCATCGCCAATCCATCGTTGAGAATCGGGAGAGCCTTCATGATGATATCCTCGTGCTTCTCCTTCTCAGCCTCCCGTCGGCCCGAACGTGACGAGTCCAGCATCCCAGCCACGGCCTCTGTGAAGAGACCCGCCCAGAACGACAAGAGCGCATGGTGGTGTGCCCGCTGCTTACTAACTTTCAGGGTGTAGTTGTTAACGGCAGTGAGGAAGTGCTTGTTGGTCGTAGCACTGTGCACGAGAGGATGGCGAGGGGGGTTGATCTTGCCCTTCTTGTATGGGTTAAGGATTTTGAATGTCGCGGTTAGGTCTTCGGGCAGTATCGACATCAGATTTAGAAAAAGAGGAGTGTTGTAGTAAGGCAGGAATGTGAGAATCGTGAACTCGGTGTTGTATTCGTGCACCCTGCAGGCCCGTTAGCTCGCAAATTTGACACAGGGAACCCTGAGAATCAAGACTCGTACCGGAAGCGTCTGATCAGCCAGTCAACGGCCTTGACGGCCGGACTCAGCAGTAGGTGCCCTCCAACGAGAGCCAGAAAAGCCTCCAGAACGGTATCCAGCTCCTTGTTCTGCACCGCACTCATCTCCGTGCGGTCCTCCGACTTGCTCTGTTCATTGAAGATCGTGCGCTCGAACGACGCGAATCGGGGGTCGAGTTGGCATAGCTCCTGGAAGCCCTCGAAGCATATTTGGTAGACGGTATCGTAATCCTGGGATGTGGCGATCTTCCAGTCGAAGATGAGGGATTGCGAGTGCGCTAATCTCTGTGCCTTGAGGTTCAACTGGTTGGTCGACTTGGCCGCAATTTGCGACAGCTGCGCGGCGAGGGCCGAGGCCATGTTGGACGGTGGAAATTGATTATCGAGAATTGAACCAGACTCCCATCCCTCAAGCAGCGTCTCCAATCAAACTGACAAAACCCCAAGCGTTGGCGGGCAGAAATTCCCGGAGTGACCGTGTAGATCTTTGGACTCGGAGCAACTTTTTTCTTGAAGCCGCAGACCGACCGGAAAAAATGCGGGAAGCGGGACCGCAGTTTTTCCAGCCTGAGCCTCGCCCGCCCGTGGGAGGAGACGTTCGTCATGCCTCACCCCACGACGATGCCGATGGATTCCTCGGGCGCCCAGGTACGTGTGACGCTGCGACAATGGTGCTGGTCTCGTCGCTTTCCACTGACCCTATCTTCTCTTCCAGGAGAAGAAATCCATCCCCCGCTTCGCCAGCTTCAAGCCTCGGCCTCCTCCGTCCGAAGCTGATCGGCCGCCCGCGCGCCCCAGTCGCGACTCCTCCGATCGGGAGGCGAGGTCCAGCCATGACAGGCACCGCTCGCGGCACAGGAGTCATCGTGAACGCTCGCGGTCCCGGGAGCGTCGCAGGGAACATAGAGAACAGAGGGATTATAAGGAGCATAGGGGGCATAGAGAGCGCAGGGAATACAGAGAACGCAGAGAACGCGAACCCCGTCGCTCGGACAGAGATGCCGGTCCCCGTCGAGAACCCTCCCCCGAATACCCACGAACGTCTACATCCGACCGTCCCGTGAAGCAGCAGCCAACGGACGAAGCATCCGATCTATATTACATCGACACCAAAGGCGATCGGTTCAATCGCATATATGGAACCCTCCATCGATACAGCATCCCCAATTACCATCGCATCGGCCGAGGGAGCGTTTTGGGGTTACCCCCAAGGTACAAAATCGACCGGGAGAGCGCTCTAGAAAATGCGCTGGTGATTCGGGATGAATCTGGCAGGTCAGACAAGTCTCGGAAAAGGGCGAAGAACATTCTCTCGGGTCTCTCCAAGCAGAAAGTCCGGCTACATCGCATACGGCCAGAGTCATCGCTCAACACAACCGTGGACTTCTCTACTGATTACTTTCCATTGAGCGTCTCCGGCAAAGAAAAGCGTCTAGATCTTTTAGGTCTCAACTCCGATGACGAGAAGCATGCGTATCGCTCGATTCATGGCAAGGCAAAACCAGATGAAGATCTACCCAGCGATGTGGAAGCCGTCTCCGACACGGATTCGGAGGAGGGAATCCGAGGCGACCCGGACGAAGAGATCAAACAACGCAATGCGGAGCTGTTGAGGCTCGTCAATCAGCGCCCTGGTGACGTCGGGGCGTGGCTTACGATGATCGACCACCAGGAATCCCTTCTCCTAGGGTCCGAGAGGGAATCCAGCTCTTTGACGTACGCGGAAAAGAAAAGCTTGGCAGACATCAAGGTGTCTCTGTACGAAAAAGCCCTCAAAAAAGTTGGCCAGAGCTCTGATCGGGATCGCCTTCTACTTGGCCTTCTGGAAGAAGGGGCGAAGCTGTGGGATACCAAGAAGCTATCCGCCCGGTGGCAGGCAATATTGAAGTCGGACTCCCAATTCATCAGCCTCTGGGTCAGATACCTCGACTTCCGGCAGACACAGTTCCTGGATTTCACCTACGAACGGTGCCTTGCGACCTTCCTCGAGTGCTTGAAACTCAATAAGTCGGCGTCAGACACGCCCGAGATGGTACAAATCCACATGTATCTGTTTCTGCGGCTGACACTGTTCATCCGTGAGGCTGGGTTCACCGAACATGCAGCAGCACTCTGGCAGGGCATTCTCGAATTAACCTTCTTCCGACCCGACTCGCCTGAAGCCAGTGGCAGCCCACCAGAAATAATATCGGCTTTTCTGGATTTTTGGGAGTCGGAAGTCGCGCGTATTGGAGAAGTAGGCGCCAAGGGCTGGAAGAATGGGGGGAATGTGCTGCCAAGTCCAAGCAGTACTGAAAAGCCCTCTTTCCAGCTCGATCCACGGTCTTTGTTCGCATCTTGGACGCCTCATGAAAGCGAACGAATCACCAACGCTCGGTTGCCTGCCCGCAGTACCGATGACTCGGAGGAAGACGACCCTTACCGTGTTATTATCGCGTCTGATCTGGATGAGATCCTATCCCTAGCATTTCTCGGGAACTCAGCGCAGGTGTTGATTGACAGCTTTCTCTATTTCTGTCAGCTGCCGTCAATCGCATCTTTTGAAAGTTTGGGTACGACAAGGCGTTGGAATGGCGACAGCTTCATACGAAACGAGCTTGCGAGCAGCTTCTATTCAACGCTTGAGGACTGGCTTCCCAACGTAGCTGCTGACACTGAGCCCACATCAACGCCCCCCGCCCTTTTCCCCCATCAGAACTTCCTCACTACACTGGACACCCTCTTTGCTGATTCAGGAACGTGGTTCTCGACCTTTAAAACTTGGACATCCGCCACTTCGGACTCGAGATCTGCCATTGACCCTGGATGGGTACGCAAGAGTCTCCGGTTGCTGGTTGAAGCGACTCCCGGGAACGACAATTTGGCCGAATACGTACTTGCTGTGGAGTTTGCATGCAACCCCAAGGATGCTAAGAAGTACGCGAAATCTTTGCTGAAAAAGCGATCATCCAGCCTGCGACTCTACAATGCATACGCCCTTATGGAACGTCGATCCGGCAACCATGCCGCTGCGGACCATGTCTGGGTAACCTCTCTCTCCATGAGCAAGACATTCTCCGCCCGCGCCAGAGTGGACAGCGTCATAGTATGGCAGACCTGGGTCTGGGAGCTTCTCGAGGCCCGCAATATAGCACACGCGTCGCACCTCCTTACCTCCATCCCCCAGAGCAGCGTTGACCTGCAGGCTTTCCCCGATGCTCCATCCTTCAGCCCGAGCAGCCTGCTGAAAGTCCAGAATGTAAGCCACAAAGCCCCAACACATCCCCCACACCCTCACTAACACCCACGCCCCAGCATCTATCTGACTCCCAAGAGTCCGCCATCGCGAGCAAAAACGCCAACGCCTTCGTCGCCAGCACCGACTGCCTCGCCATCCTAGCCTACCTCACCAACTCCCAAGACCTCACCAAAGCCCTCGAGGCCTACATCACCGCAACCACCAGACTATCATATATACCCGACCAATCCAACCCCTTCATCCCCTTCGCAACCGAGCTCCTCCACCAATCCCGCGCCCGGCTCCTCTACCACCACATCCGCACCAGCACGACCTACAAACCCACACAAATCCGCACCCTCCTATCCGAGAGCATCTCCCTTTTCCGCCACAACACGATCTTTCTCTCCCTCTTCGCCTGGACCGAATCCCGCTTCCGCATCGACGAACGCGTCCGCGACACCATCAGAGACATCACCTCCATGTCCTCCTCCACCCCCAACAACAACACCACCCTCTACCCCACCACCCAAATCTCAATCCCAATAACCACGCACCTCTTCTCAATCTACACCGAACTCCTCCGCCCCGTCTACGCCGGCTCAACCCTACACTCCGTCCGCGCTGCCTTCGAACGCGCCATCGGCAGCCACCACCACCCCTCCTCAGTCTCATCCTCATCCTCTTCTACAGCCCCCTCCAGCATCACCCTCTGGAAACTCTACATCCTCTTCGAGCTCTCCCGGCGCCAGATTCAGCGCGCAAAGGACGTCTTCTACCGCGGCATGCGCGCCTGCCCGTGGTCCAAGGACCTCCTCATGCTGGCGTTCACCCATCTGCGCGCGGATGTTGTCGAGGAGCGGTATTCCCGCGACCGTGACGGGAGGAAGGGGGAGGGTATGGCGTTTGGGGAGCTGAGACATGTGTATAATGTGCTCGTGGAGAAGGAGTTGAGGGTTCTTGTTGATGTGGAGGGGTTGTTGGATGAGGTTGCGGTGGGGGTGGAGGTGGAGAGGAGGGGTGTTGGGGGGTTGCCGATTAATATGCCGGAGGATGGGGATAGTGATGGTGATGGTGATGGTGATGGTGATGGTGATGGTAATAATGGGGGTGAGGTGGAGATGGAGGTGGATATGGGGAGATAGGGGTAGGTAGGGGTAGTTAATTCGACGCAGACTTTACGTACGGAGTACTACTCCAAAGTCCTGGCAGAGATTGGTGAAAAGACGGTGAATTAAGCTGTACTCCGGTTCTACTCCCTATATCCTGGTGAGGTCTCGATTGTCCTTTCTGTTTCTTAAAAAAAAGTCTTATCGTTTCGTTTTACACCATGTAATATTTGATATGATTGCTACTAGTAGTATATATAGTACTTAGGTATATCGGATCGGCTAGTATTACTGTACATATACGGATGATCGGAGTAGAATGTCCCGATAACTTAACGATTTAACTGTCTGAAGAATAATATCAATGATGAATGAGCAGAGCATCACTTTCATATTATAAAATTTTAGTAGACAAACTGAACCATCTAGTTACTACAACATGCCTACCTACCACCCCGCACAGCCGGCCCTTTTACCCTCAAACACGCAAACATCATCGACATTCAACAGCAACACACATACACCAACATACACCACGACAAACCCAAAACAAGCGAAAAGATAGTATCCATAGATATATGTGTATTCATATTTATTCATCATGCTACCGTAGTATTGTATTGTATTGTATTGTATTGTATTGTAGTAATCCAGCCTGTCCGTGTCCATACACAACATCACCACCCATCAAGGGCAAGGCAAGGCAAGGAAGGGGTTTAATACATCATCGTCATCAATCCTGATTCCTCGACATACAAACACCACCCATAAAAACAAAGGCAGGTTAAAAAAAAAAAAAAGGGAAAAAGGCCAGCCAGCCAGCCTATCCAGCCAGCCAGCTAGCAAAGCAAAGCAAGCAAGGCATGCCCGGCATACACCTGCACGAAATTATCGGAAGGCGGGGCCGTTCCGGAGGTTGGTATCGCCTTGTTGTTCGCGGGCCTGGAGGTACCATGTTGTCAGCATATTATTATTCTTTTTTTTTGCTGGTGAGGTGGTTGGGATACAAGACTGGGGTGGGTGGGGTGTATTGCAGGGGAGAGAGGGGTAGGTAGGTAGGTAGTAGGTAGGTCAGAGGGGTAGGAGGGGTAGAGGGGCAGAAGGACAGAGGGGTAAGGAACACATACAACAGTCGCCTGATACTCTCCCTTCTCCAGGATCTTAGTTATGCAATCATCTTCATTCGAAGTCCCGAATTCATTCTCGAGACTGGCCTTGCTGGCGCCATCGAGGACACCCTGGGCTCCGTGTCTGCGTTTTCATAATTCAATTAGCCTCTGTTCTTCTGTTCTTCTGTTCTTCCGTATACCAAGCTTGACAACATGCCAAAGCTCAAAGCAAGGCAGCAGCATCAAGAAAACTCACTTGTGAGTCACAAAGATCTTCCAACCGTTAAGCACATCCGCGAGGGGAATTGAGCGATCACCGCGCCACTTGTTCAGGATGTCGACGTCGTCAACGAAGACGATGAAGTCGTCGGAGTTGCCCTTGTAGAAGAGCTTGGAGGTGGGGTCGTTGTGGCGAGGCATGATGAGGTTAGGTGTAGTTTATCAGAGGTTTTTTTTTTTGAGGAAGAAAGTGATAGTAAGAAGTGTTTGAAGCTGTCAAAAGGGATGGTTTGCAGATTCAAGAGAGAGGGATGAGGGAAGAAGAGGTCGAGATGGCGAGAGAAGTGGTCGTGTGAGGTGATGGCAGATGACGTCACCAAGATGGATGCTCCCGGCGGGACAAAGATGGAGGAAACAAACTTCGAAGGGGTTCTGGAATGGATGGATTGAGGGAAGGGGAGTGGGAGAGATGTCAGTTGATTGTTTATTATTGATTCAAGAGTAATAATGATTCAGTAGTCCCCTCCATGGCAGACACCCTTTAAATAAGACAAGAGAAGCGTAATGCGATGCCCTGGTCGGCGGGCTGGAGCACGACGACGTCATCGGTTTCCATCGACCGATGCGCGCCGAGAAAGCTGCGAGCTTCAACTCCCCCCTTCTGGCACACCCGGTGGAGATGTGGAGAAACATGGCGACCTACGGTGGAATTCAATTCCCTCATCGTCATCATCATCATCATTCTATTATTGTTGTCTGGCATTCTGGCTCGCTAATGCTACTAGTTACGTCTCGCTTCCATCCGATCAAACTCGCTACCCCCCACCGTCGTCGAATCAGCACGAATCCACAAGAACACTTTTGCAAACTTCTGCAAGTATTCCATACTTCAGCACACCTGTCCTTAACCGCATATCCCCTGATGCAATAACGCAGGCAGTCTCAATATTAATCAATAATGGGTTGCATCATTCCCCTCACGAGGCTCCACTTCCCAGCCCCATGCGACCATGCCTTTTCGGTCGCCTTGACGACATGGAATTGAACATCCTCCGGATAGTGGATGCCTTCATTGTGCAGTATTCAGGAGACTCATGGCCTTTGCTCCCTTTGCTGATCGGTGTGGTATCAACCTCCATGGTCGGCTTGTGTCCTCCCTTGCCTTTCCATGTCTTAGATCGTCTGATTGTTGTCACCTTGCCATGGCGCGGCAGGTCGGGCCCCTTCTCCTGCCCAGGGGATGCTGGCTTGGTCTTTGACACATTCCGCGCCTGTTTCTCGTTGTTCTTTGTTAGTTTATTGACTCCAACGCGAGTAGCCCCGGTGGAAGCCACACTGGAAGTCCCGTTAGTTCGCAGGCTCACGGAGCTAGAGCGTCGGTATAGCCCTGGCCGGAGACTCAAGTGTCTTTTGATAATATCACCCGCTGCCAAAGTCATGCCTGGATACGGCAATACGTCCCTCGTGTAAACGGACGATATAGCACGTTCCAGTCGAATCCGGTCTTGCCTGTGGGCGGTCAGGATGAACGCAGAGCAGGAGATAGGCGTTTTTGGTCGTTCGATTTCACCACCCACTGGACCGGAGATCCGATATCTATGTGGACAGTGGGTATTCTTGATCACGATATTTTGTGAATCGACCTGGGCCCGTGAGGTGGCCAATGCCTGCATAGACGGCCGACGAGGCAAACAAGGCGTCAACCCGGCTACGCCAGTCAGCGGAATCAGTTCCAGGGTCAAGAACGAGTACGCCTTCAGCTTGGCTGACACGGTCTTCTGCATATTTGTCGATGCAGCGGCAGACTTGAGTATCTCAGTCTTCCATTTCTTTTCCTCGCACGCGGACGAAGCGCTAAGCACCAACTCGTAATACTTGTCGTGATACTGGAAAACAGTCTTCCAGGAGAACAAGCACTCGTAGCATTGAAGGCCTGGAGCAGACTTTAGTAAAATACATAACCCCCTCCAAATGTACTCACCTTCACCGTTTCTCGGGGAATCGATCTTCATGTCCGAGACATACAAACACGCTACTGGTAGCAGCTTTCGGTAGTCATCGTTTATTTTGGCAATGAGAAGATGATAACCAAACATAATGCAGACCATGTAGCCATTTTCTATGCTCTTGGGGGTTTGATATGTGACGTGGAGGACGCCGCACAGGGTGAGAGGTCCTAGCTGTCTGTAGATGTCGTAGATCACATTCTAGAATTTCAATCTCTAGTCAGTTCTGCAGGTAAGGGAAACTGGTATGTAGTTTCTCACCGATGCCGAAAAGTCCAGCATAGTTTGTAGCACGAGAGTCTTATCCACTAGTGCTTTGTTGATAGGGTTGTCGGTCACTTGATTAACTTCGCACACCACGGCACGGACAGTCTCCAGAACCTGTCTGATACCATCATGAGCAGAAGGATCATCTTGGATGTGCGTCCACTTTAGTAACTCCTCGAGCAGTAGAGGGTACTTGCACAGGCGCTGGACTGGCTATAGGAAGTCAGTATTGGGCATAACTTGGAGCAAGTCGGCGAATACCTTTATAAGCAGGTCATTCAACGACATTGCCTTGTTTTCTTCCTGTGTCTGCCTCTCCATCGATGCGACAGACTTCGAGAGAGCTTCTATTCCCTGATCGAATATACGCCAGTTCGGTATCGATTGGCGGAGAAGGGTGACATCCACGGTGAGTAAGCCATAGTTCTTACAGAACACTTTGTAGGCCGCGAAAGACTTGGCCTGCAACAGAGACATGAGCAGTTGAGCCAGGAGCTAGAATTTGGAATGCATACCAAGTTCCCAACCTCCCGTGCGACTTGCAAAGCCTCTTTAGCCTCTGCAGCCAGCGCTTTGAGGCGAGACTCTACAGAAGCTCTGAAGTTCCGTGATCGCAAGGATCTATTCTGAAAGGCCTTAAAGCCAAAGTCAATCGCACTCAAACGCTTGTGGAACCCCTGTGGCATCAAACTATCAAACTCGGCTCCGGCAAGATTCGAAATTGGCGTCAGCTTCCGAATTTGTGCTAGGAAATCCTCATGCGTGTCGCGGATTTGTTGAACGTTGCAGTAGATTTCTGGTCTCACGGAGAAGATAAACAGCGCCTATAAGAAGGGGACTCGTCAGCCATTAATGCGATGAAAGTTAGGACATCAAAGCAAGCGCTGTAGGAAAAGCATGGAAAATACATCTGCAAGCGCTTTCAGCCCGAAAACATAGTCACACTCGGTTGTGATCAGCTCTCGGAGGACGCGGCGCCTCTTGATCGCGCGATGCTGAGCCTCCTCGTCGATGGAAAAACTTGAAGTAGGCCTTATGCTGTCTAAAGATTCGCGGACATCCGATCTGATACTGTGATTTGCCGTGCTCTGTGTAGTCCCTCTCGACCTCATGGCACTTTGACTGGCAATGCTCAGGGTAGACGTCTTGACGGTTCCTAGATGAGATGAATGACCCGATAAGGATTCCCACTGTTTCTCATCAATCTCTTGGACCTCATGCAGGGCCGCAAGTTCAGAGCCGTAGTCCATCTTGTCATATAGATACTGCTCGGGCCAGCCGTTGACGTATCTGCCGGGACCCAGAAGGGGGAAATTCTTCTTCGGACGAAAGCTGCTCACCCATCGCTTGAATGCAGCCACAGGCTCCACTGGGGTCGGAACGGCATGTGTTCTGGTGGGGTTCTCCTCTGATTCTGTCTTCTCCAGGACCAGGAGGGGTGTCTCAGCGATGTCCTTGGACTCCTCCATGATCATGAATGAGCTGGTCGGTCGACTTTCCTAAGTCATGGAGAGAAAGATGAAACATCAGGATTTTTCTCGCTTGTAAGTGCACCTGTAAAGTCCTTTGCTAGAAACCATGGTAGCTGGTGGTGTGGAAGTCGCGACCAGCTCAGGTTCTCACATGGGGAAAGAAGGATATAGATCTCACGTGTCCCGTGAGATGCCCAGATTTTCAAGGTGCAACCCCACAAATCCGGTAGCTATTCCGTGAAACTGAAACTGCTACCATCCACGCAGTCTCACATTGACTATAAGGTGATATTGCGGAAGTAAAGTTGGCCACACACATTGCATGACATGGTGGAGAATCAAATATTGGCGGCTGGTCGTACCGCGGGGAAGCCTTCCTATTGTACTCCGTATTATTCCCATCATCTGTACACCCTGACTTATGATTGATCACCTTGATCAGAGTCTGAGCGGCGTTACAGATTAGTACAGATGATTCACACCCACAAATTGTTGGGTAATGGGGATTGTTGTGGGAGAAAACAATGCCTCCGCGGCAGTAGTATATGTTAGTAGTGTATAACTGAAATATTCTGCTACAAGTCCCGTCCACTTGCCTGATACAGGTGCCGCCACTTTTGTGAGGGCAGCACATGAGCACTCCCTGTGCGCTCCGGGACACTCACTTGTCACTCACTGAGCACGCACAGGCTGCACCGGTCGCTCCCGGATTATTCTTATCAGCTCAACTGGATGATACCAGAGTAGCTCCTGCGCCTGTGGTCGTGTTCCACATGACTAGGGCCTGGGTCTCTATACTATGGACAAGCTAGCAGTCAACCCATCACTTTGGTGAGGGCATCGCAAAGATAAGGACCGAGTAATTAATTACTCTTGGACACAACACACTATGGCCAAAATAATACCTCAAGCCATCTTCTACAGAAGTGGAAAGAAGTGTCAGTCAATAATAACTAGTCAAGAATCACATTACCCATTGAATAACATAACTTATAATGGCTTCTTATCCGCATACTTTCATCTCTCTTGCGGTAATATATTTTCTTTTGCATTCAATGTCTTTTTGCTCCCTCACTATTGTTGTTCTAGATATTCTGTTTTTCAGCCATATCTCTACAAGATGATCATACGCTCTGCTTCATGGAAAGCCTCCCAGGCTGAGAAAAAAAGACAGGCTCGTCGTGCACTTTGTCAAGAACGAGGATACAACATCGGTACTCATCTCAAGGAGAATGCAGAGAGAAATAGAGGTAGGGCATCACCAAAAATAAAGGAATATTACAAGAAGAGGGTGCACAAGTATGAGGAGTATGTCTGTGTCTCTGGGATGTTATTCATCTACTTACATTCATGCATCAGGTTCCTCATTGAGGAGAGAAAGATGCCCAAGGGATATAAGATTGGAGAGGGGCATCCAGCTCCAATCTTACAGGAACTCAAAGCATTTTTTTGCTGGCTTATCGAATCTACTAAGGGAAAAATTTCCTTGGACAGACGACCAACTATGAACACAGTCTTAGTGCGGGCGCAAGGATTCATTCCAGGATTTTTTCTCGAAACTGGAAATAAGATACCTCAGGAGGTGAAAGACCTGTATCATGTAGGCCCCCACTTACTTTTTAAAATATTTGTCTAATTTGTGCAGTGGATTGAATATGAGTTAGTCGAAAGACATGTTCTCTCAACAATCACAAAGCCAAAGTATAATTTTAAGCTTAGCAATTATGAGCGCGCTATAATCACTTTATGGGCTTCCAATGACTTCTTCTTTATTTATAAAAGGCGTCGTGATCAGTTTCACTTTCTTACTCTTTTGTCTCTGTGTACAGGTGCTAGAGTATCCTCTCTCGCACCTGCATTAGAAAATCAAAGGGGTAGAGGTCTCTGTTACAAAGAAAAGCCTTGTATACTACCAATCCTTGAGATTGTATATGATAATACTCAGAAGCATATCCAACTCGTGCTTTTTCGCGCCGATGATGCTCCTTGGTCAGATGGCGGCTTGATCAATATTTTGTCAAGAATAACAGAGACCCCAATAATACAATATAAGTAAACATCCCCTTCAGTGGCTATATGAGTCTCTTTAACAATAATAGGTTTGGTACTGCTATTTGGGACTGTGATGAGCCTATGTATCTGGGTGTACTATATCTTGTTGCTCTGGCCCTTGCAGATAATGCTCTCTTCGGATTCTCTATCCCTAAAGAGTTGTTCGAGCAAAGGATTCCAGAAGAGCAGAATAAATTAATTCTCAGATAGAATAAGAAGGCAGAAGACCGATATATTGTAAGAAATATCACAGCTGAAGGAATCAGTGAAGATTTCTTGATTAAAGAAAACTACCAGAACAATTTCAGAAGGATATTGGCCAATGCGGGTTATTTTGTAACGCCTACAGTTCATGCAATGCGCCGGGCTCTATATACAGTTATCAAAGATCAATCTTCCTTCTATATTCGATCTTCTATTTGGCTAATAGTATATACAGCAAAGTACACCTCGGCTCACGTCGCCCAAATCCTGATATATAAATCTACAGCTGTTTATGGAAATGACTACCTCGCCAAGTGCTCCGGTGTGGATGTTTTCAACGCTTTGAGAGGCAGACTTCTTGATCACACTCATGTTGATTACTTCCAGGGCTACAGTTAATTCCACGAAGACTGCCAATTGGGGAAGAACAGAATATTGAGACAGACCCGCGTCTGGCGGTCAAAACTGTAGAGTTCATGAATATATTATCTGAAAACAATAAAGACCACATATACCGCGAAATCAAGATATGATAGAAAGCAGAAGTGCTTTCATTCCTTGTAATAACTGGATATTTTAGTGTTTCAAATCTAATGCACCGTCAATGACAATAACGTACCCTGTTCACATAGGCTATTTTAGTTGAGGGATTCTTCACTGCTTGATGGAGTCATTTGGTGAGTACTTATGGATGTTGCATCTTCCTGGTTTTGTTTCCACCCTAGTTTGCTGTCTGGGTGTCTGGGTGTTGATATTGCAATCACTATTGCAATTTTTCATATGCCCCAGCTTCTCCGGGATACCCAAGCATCCACAGAGCTGATAAAGTGTCTGCTTTCAATAGCACATCTGTCACGGGTATCAGTGTGTTTTGATATCAATAAGTACCTAGGTGTGCAAACCTCGTTCAATTCCTGGGTTTGGCTTTCAAACCGAGAAAGAAAGTGTGCGAATGAGATGTGGAGATGAAAGACTGGAAGGAATGGTCATGATATTCTTATATAGATAAGCCTTGAGGCCCAAGCGTGTCAATATGAAATTCCTACTGGACACATCTGTTCTACTTTATGGCTGGAAAGAGAGTCGCAACAACATAATAGATGTGATGGATGTGATGGATATGGCGGGTTTTGATTGGCCGCATGTTCCAGACAAGAGCCAACAGAGCAAAGAACCTAAGGGCGAGGAGGTGCCTCAAATAATTGGTTAGATTTATCATGCCCCCAGCACAAGTTGAATTAAGCCTACTTTAACTAAATAATATTATCGATCAACTAAACAACTTTATTCCCTCAGGCAGGCGTTCGGGGGTAATAACAGCTTTCAACAGGAAGGTAACAAGATTCATTGTACATGCATCGTCAGTGGCAAACTCAAAATTCAACGTTGGAGGCTGCGTGGGTTGCAGTATTGTCGATTCTTGTCACAATAATTGTCAAACAAAGGTAGAGGGTCTTGACCATGGCCATTATGCATGATCCTGAGAGTCTCAGCAATTTGTTCATCCAGTTCTTGTTTTCTGAAAATCTTCGGGTTTCTTTTTGAAAGGCGAAGGACATAGACGGGAATCGATGTCTTGCATTCATGAGCAGTCTGATAGTCATAATTGGTATTATTGAGATCAACCACAAAATAGGAGTGCTTGCCGGGGTAGATATTGACTGCGACAAAACAAGTCTCGTTGTTTGCATTGTATTCATGGAGACAATCCTGAACCTGTGTGGCAAAGGGGCGTATAGATCCTAAATAATCTTTGGGGTCAAGCATACTATTCGGAGTATCCCCAAGTATTCGCATCGTGCCTGAACCGATCGTTCCAAGAAAGTCGAAAAGGATCTCTCGAATCCGGCGCAGAATGCGGCCGCAATCATCTTCGGTTGAGTCATCCATGGTTAGTTTAATTATATCCGATTTGAGAGGTATGATAATGAAATATGGTGAACGTTGCTGGCCTTCCCAATCCCTGTATGAAGAAAGATGAAGCTGATTCAATCAAGGGATGCCATTACTCCGGGGGAAAGGATCAATAATCTTCCGTGTTCCCCTTTTTAGGAAGGACGAAGCAACCAACCTCCTTGCAAGAAAAGAGGTAAAGGTTTCAAGTTTCTGAGTAATGATTGGCTCGAAGCTACTCGATCCCTCGAACGACTAGATCTGGTCCTAACCTCACGATGAGTGCCTACTGGTCATGATGAAGGGATCTTTTACATATCTAAGGAACCTGATCAGACCAGGAGTCGACCGAGGGAGCTTGATTGATCAGTAATTATCGTAGGATCTTCAGACATTGCCTCTGAGTTATCGAGATAAGTGGCGTGAGAAACGAGTAAAAATACAGGGCGGGGATCTACATTGAATCCATTACAATACATTATCATGTCCTGATCTATAAGAATTAAGATTTTATATATTTTAAATCTATATAAAAATATATATATTTTAGTATAATAGATTAAACACCCGGGTAGGCCCGGCAACCAGGATTATACAAACTTGCCGCAAAGAACTATACCAAGAAAACACCCAGCTTGCCACAGCTGCGTCAACTTCAGTGCGTCAACTGCTAATGTTGCAGCGAGCAAGCCACGCCAAGAGGGGCGCGTTTCCTCCCCCAGATTTCGCACGCCCGACCCACCGCCGCAACGCCGCAGCGCCGCTTCCCGAGAGCTCATCGCCGAGAGACATCACCGCTCACGGCCTCGTCTCACATCCCACGTCCCACCCAACGATGTTTCAACCTACCTCCGAATCGCTTTAGAATGGGAATCTCCATGGACGACATTCATGCTCCAACAGTTGCCTCCGGCCCTACGTCCGGAGGGCCCCCTCCCCGCGACCTGTCCAAGCTCGGCATGGTCGACCTGATGCAGGAGAAGGAACGCATCGAAGAGGAACTTTCAGCACTCAGCAGTGTCCTCACCTCAGTACGTTGGCGTCTCATTTGGATATCTTTGGCCATTGCCACTACCATGCGGGCTAACCATATTTACCCTCTAGCACGGCGTCCGTATGAGTACATCGCTGACAACCTTCGATGGCTTCCCCCGAGACGACATCGACGTTGCCCAAAGTGAGTCACTGCTTATCCTTCCACAGTGCGCCCTCTGAGAATGGGACAGTACGGACGACTCGGACACGGATCATCCGACTGCGGAACGATCACAAAGATGTGATGTCACATCTCGAGAAGGGCATCCACAACCACTTTGCGAATTTGCAGCGCGCCCAGGCGGTGGCGCCATCTGGTGGCAACGCGGGTGATACTCCGGGATTGCAAGCGAGTGTGTCCGGGAATGCTGCTTCAGACGCCGGGGCAGCTGGGATGCCGTTCGCGAAGGTCAATAGTGTGGTGCCCGGCAGTCCGGCAGACCAGGCCGGCTTGAGGGCGGGCGATACTGTGCGGAGCTTTGCCAGTGCCAACTGGCTTAATCATGAGCGCCTGTCGAAGGTGGCACAGGTGGTTCAACAAAGTGAAGGGGTACGTCTCGATTTTTCCTGGTCTCGATCCTTTTGAAGCCCCCAATATCTTGGTTCTTCCACCTCCTTTCTGAGACATCGCCTCTAACATTATTTCTAGCGTACGGTGGTAGTAAAGGTGTCGAGGAAGGAGCCCAACTCTACGAGCAATATCGAGCTATCCCTGGAACTTGTTCCACGTCGCGATTGGGGTGGTCGCGGCCTGTTGGGCTGCCATCTGGTCCCATTGTGATATGCGGTTTGGTCTACAGCTACTGTACGATGGAGTGACTTAGGCGACGTAGTTTTTTTCTCTCGTCTGACCCATACCATTTGACTATGAGGAACGCGACATGTTTACATGACCTTTCTATTGTTGGTTGTTTATTTGTTTGTTGCCGGGAAGATATACGTTACAAGGAGAGCAGGGCAGCAGGGCAGCAGGGCAGCAGGGCAGCAAAGCAGTCAGGCTGCGTGGGAACAAATATCAATTTGCAGCATCATGAACACAGCCGATGTCTGTGGATAGATCCCCCGTAGATAGCCCGTAGAGCCATCGGGAACGCCTGCAGGCCGTGCATTTGCATTTGCCGCGATCCTGCGGGGCAATGCTGCCTGAGGCGCCAACAGCCACGTGACGGAGCACAGGCTTGGGCGACCGACTCGGGGCAAAAATTCCATCACGGCCAGAATAACCTTCCCTCTTGAACTCCTCCCTCCTGCCTTCTCTCCACCCCCCCCTCAGTTCTATCGATCCCCCCCAGGTCGCTCTGTCTGTCCATCAACCGTCGCATTTTTCTGCCGACCGTTGATTTTTCTCGACTCGCGTCTACCTTCTACAACATACTTGGATCCCCCCCCATCCACATCACATACCCTTCACCATGGCTGCTGAGGTACCGACCTTCAAGCTCGTCCTCGTCGGTGACGGTGGTACTGGAAAGGCGAGTAGAATCCCCTTGCCCCCTCATCCCTCCAGCGTCCGATACATATTGGAGTCAACTCGTCTGGATATGGCTGGTCGCTCTCTCGATGCCAGTTCCCTCGCGGCAACCATTCTCGCCTGGCGTGTTTACCCCTCTCTGGTCCCGTCGGCCCGATCAACAAAAACTTCATCGCCCCTCAACCTCACCGACTCAGACGTCATTGCTGACCAAAAATTTTTCCTCTAGACCACTTTCGTCAAGCGTCACTTGACTGGCGAGTTCGAGAAGAAGTACATCGCGACTCTCGGTGTCGAAGTGCACCCTCTCGCTTTCCACACCGTATGCCTCCTGCCCCGCGGCCGGCGACCCCGCTTTGTCCATTGCGCCGTCTTTGTCTCGCATCAACTAACCCTTCCTCCAGAACCTGGGTAACATCCAGTTCGACGTATGGGACACTGCTGGTCAGGAGAAGTTCGGTGGTCTTCGCGATGGTTACTACATCAACGGACAGTGCGGTATCATCATGTTCGATGTTACCTCCCGTATCACCTACAAGAACGTGCCCAACTGGCACCGTAAGTGCTTTCGCGTTTCTGCCATGCGATTACATTCTTATTAACAACTGATCCAGGTGATCTCGTCCGTGTCTGCGAGGGTATCCCCATCGTGCTGTGCGGTAACAAGGTCGATGTCAAGGAGCGTAAGGTGAAGGCCAAGACCATCACCTTCCACCGCAAGAAGAACCTCCAGTACTACGACATCTCCGCCAAGTCCAACTACAACTTCGAGAAGCCCTTCCTCTGGCTCGCTCGGAAACTGGTCGGCAACCCCCAGCTGGTAAGTCGATCGTTCCGTCTCGCTCCGTGGGCGCTCACTAACCCCCCCGTCAGGAATTTGTTGCCGCTCCCGCCCTTGCTCCCCCCGAGGTGCAGGTCAACCAGGAGCTCATGGAGCAGTACGAGAAGGAGATGCAGGCTGCCACCCAGATGCCCCTGCCCGACGAGGAGGACCCCGACTTGTAAACGCATCGCCAATAAAAGGCTGGGGACGGAACGTCGGTCGTGGCCGCGGCCGTGTGACTGTGGCCGTGCCCAGCTCCGGGTACGTTATGCAAAGATTTCGAATCACGATACAATGATAGCGGAGAGAAGGGAGGAAGTAAGCCCGAGAACGGTCGGCATGATTATGCATTTGCAATATTTACCACTAGTAGTCTAGACTCTGATTATCTCTACAAAGTTCCTTTGAAACGATGACCTCTGTTTTACTCGCCAGCCAATCAACCCATCAATCACGGATCTATCCGAAATTCCAGGATAGTTGCGGTTTTGGCCTCCGAAAAGTTCTTTTATTTTCGTTTCCTTTACTTTTTTTTTTCTTGTTTTCTTGTCCCGTTTCCCTTCTCAGTCAGTGTCTGTCTATGACTACAGCACAGCACAGCACAACACAACATGCAAGAAAAAAAGAAAAAAAAAGCCAAACCAACACCAGCACTAGCACCAGCACCAGGAACAACACCAGGAACAAAACCACATCTAGGATACCTGATACCTGATACCTGATACCATCCATCCATCCATCCAATCCCTTCCATTCTGGACCTAATACATCTTGTCTAGATGTCGGTAGTTCATTAATGCGATTACCTACCTACCTCGTACAGTAGCAGCCGCAGCAGCCGCAGCAGCCGCAGCAGCAGCAACAATCAATCAATCAGAATCAGTCATGTTCTTCACAGTCACATAACCACCACCACCACCATCCCTTCCATATCCCTCCCTCCCTCCCTGCTTTCTACGGAGCATTTCGCATCCGATCAACGATATCCCTCCCGGTCGCGCTTATAGGTGACATCAGGTAGGTACTATCTATCGATGCAGGTAAGTCAGGTACGTTATGGTTATGTAGGTAGATAGGTAGGTAGGTAGGAACAGGAACTCAAGGTGGTAGGTAGGGTAGATAGGACCTTAAGGTGGTAGGTAGTAAGTAGTAAGGCAGGTAAGGTAGATCGGATCAGTTAGGTTGGGTTGGGTTGAACTGGGTTGGGCCGAGTTGAGTTGGGTTTCCATGTGTGTTTGATTTGTGCTTGGATTATTTGATCATGTCATGGGGTGGGACTACACCACTACACCACTACACTACTATACCACTACTTCACTATTTCACTATAGTCTACGACCACTACTTGCAGGGCAAGTACATCCTCCAGACTCTTATCCTACCACCCACCCAGTACAGTAAGTATCATCCAAAAGAAGAGTCGAGTCGATTCGAGTTACCTAGAGGGACTTCATTCTTATAAGCCAGGAAAGATCAACAAGTCAGGAACGATTCAGAAAAGGAACAACTACCCAACTACCTAACTACCCATCTAATTAACGAATCCAGTGGAATATTCTGCGAATGGATGGATGGATATTAATTCATGTTCGACGATGAGGGCGATGTAATGTGTCTGTCTATTCAAGGAAGACTCACGGAACCAACCCGGTGAAAAGAAGAAAGAAAGGGAGGGAGGGAGACAGGGAGACGGAGACAAAACAGAGCAGGATAGACCTGGTTAGATAGCTATCTATCTAGCTAGCTAGCCAGCCAGCTAGCAGAGAGATGTTATGGGAAAATATACTGTAGTGTAGGATAACGCTTGGTGGTGTTGGTAGGGAAGGGGAATGGAAGGGAAGGGTATCTTGGAAATGTCAAGAAAGGAACGGGCTCAGATTCAAAATTCCGCCATAACGCCAGAGGTATGTAATTTTTAATTTGATGACAGGATGAGGAGGAAAAAGATCGAAAGGGGGGATTATTCACGACGGATGTTCTAGGAGAGAGAGACAAAGTTAGTAAGAGCACTACCTGGTTGTGTTTGGTTGGGTAGGGTGGGGGAACATACGAATAGATAAGCCAGTTCTCTCGTCCCCAATCTCGAAACATCTCTGGAGGCCTTCTCATCCAAAGCACCTTCCACCAGCTCTCGCTTCTTATCCTGAAGCTCGAGGATCCGATCTTCGACTGTGTTCTGAACGACGATACGATGGATAACAACAGGACGAGTCTGTCCGATACGATGGGCGCGGTCGACAGCCTGTTCCTCGACGTAGGGGTTCCAGAAGGGATCAAAGATGATGACCTGGGAAGCGGCGACGAGGTTCAAGCCGGCGTTACCGGCCTTGAGGGAAACAAGCATAATAGTGCAGTCCGGGTTATCCGTGAAGTCCAGCACGGCTTGGTTGCGGTCGGCGGGTTTCATGCTGCCGTCGTAACGGCGATAATCCCATCCTTGACGCGCGATCGGGACCTCGAGCAGATCGAGCAGCGAGGTGAACTGGCTGAAGATGATCGTCTTCTCGTTGTTCTCGCCGCTGTGGATTCCGCGCAGGATCTCCATGGCTTTTTCGATCTTGGCGCTGGAGATCCATGACTTTTCGAGACGGCGCAGGTATTTCAGTTTGGACTTTTTGTTGCGAGTGGCTTCCTTTCTGAGCTGGGCGAGCGTGTGCGTTTTCTTGCCCGTCTTGCTTTTGCCTTTGCCATTTCTCTTGCCTTTGGCTTTGGGCCTTTTTGACGTGCCTTCTTCGTCTTCATCGTCGGCGACAATGAATCTGGATAGGCTTTGGTTGCTGTCGTCGCTGTCGTCATCGCTGTTGTCGGAGTCGGAGTCGTCGGAGTCCTCCTTTGCTGCACACCCATCTCCCTCCTCTTCGGTAGATGGGTCGGGGAAATGCACTTTCTTGAAAGACAGATGGTCGGTGATCTTCTTGGGATCGACGCGACCACGGCAGTTAGGACATTTGGCTTCGACGGCACCGTCCACACCATTCCTGACGGCTATGGCCGGATCCGATATTCTCGAGAAACACTCCGCACATGTACTGTGACCGCAGGGGAAGAAAATCACAGGGTTGTCCACGGCATCGATACAGATAGGACATTCGTAGTCGTCATTGTCTTTCAGACGATTGACAACATCAGCGGCGAAGGCCTTTGCATTTGCAATGAGGTCCAACTCGCCTGTGGCCGCAGTGATCTCGACGCCAAAGTCCTTGATCAGGTGCGGGTGGCAACATGCCTGTCGAAGTCGGAGGAGTAGCACGAGGATATTAGAGTAGTTGCGGCCCATGGTACCGGCCTCTATATACCTGTTGACCTCAAGCTGAGTCTGGGTTTCCAGAGCATTGTAGAATTCCTGCTCATCCTCACTGAACACCGCATGTACCCGTTCCGAAACCTTGGGCGGGAGTTGCAGAATCGGCTTGCCATCTATCTTCGACGTCTTGGTTCGCCGTAAGAGAACCGCTTTCAGCAGGACTTGAAGTTGCAACATGGCCTTCTCGCGCAAGGAGTTTACACCGCTCTTCAGGGGTCGAACAAAGTCCTAGAGTTCAGGATTAGTAACTGCTCATCATCGTAAAGGAATGGATCTAAGTGTACTTACACGTTGGAAATTCTCAAGTTGGCAGTAGGGCCGAATGCGGAGAAACTTGATCAGCGAGTGAAGCTCCTCAACGCTGTTCATCATGGGAGTCCCCGTCATGCACCAGCGGTACGTGGCGTTGAGCCGACAGCATGCGTTTGCAGACTTCGTGTTGCGATTTTTGATGCACTGAGCTTCATCGATGATGACGCGGTACCACTTGCTGGCTGGGCTCAGGCAAGGAAGGTCCTGCATATAGTGCCTGGCCAAGTTTGGATCGCGTTTCTCTAGCTCTTCGTACTTCTCTCTCCGCTTCAGTTCCGCCGCCAAGGTACCGAAGGTGGTGAGGACCACGTCGTATTGCTTCAAATCTCGAAATTTCGTAGCTTTCTTTTCGCCATGCAATACGCAGACGGAAAGTTGGTGCCTCCCGGGCTTCAGCATCCTAGTTATCTCGCGTTTCCACTGCTGTATCAAGGCAACCGGGGCAATGATGAGAGTCGGCTTTCGGTTGGGATCGGTCGACGGCCGGGTCACCATGAGAGAGATAGCCTGGACTGTCTTTCCGAGACCCATGTCATCTGCAAGGATCCCGCCTTTGTTCTCTCCTTCCTCCATCGCCTTCATCCAGGCAAGTCCCAGTTTCTGGTGTTCCAATAGTGGGTATTTGAGAGCGTCAGGAGTCCCTTCACGATCTTTGAGGGAGATTTCGGAATCAGGCCTGATGCTTTCAAGCAGTTTCACAATCTCCTCCTGGGTCTTTTTCGGGTCCTCTGCGGACCCGTAAATATCACTATAAATTCACTAATTAGCACGAGAGCTCTTATATTTTAGAATTCAAAACTCACTTCAAACGATTCATGGCCATGTCGTAGTTCCTTTGGCCAACATAATCTGGGTCAAAAGAGGGATAATCGGAAGAACCTTGATAAGGACCCGCATCGCCAAATAAAGCCCTCGTTGCTTGCGCCAGCATATCCTTGCCTGAATTAAGCCTTGCCATGGTGCTTGACATCACATGTGGACTAAACGTAGTTCCAGGCCTTCCCATAGCAGAAGAGAGAGATGGTCTTGATGGAGGCATTGGCATAATATAAGAACGACCAGGTCCGTTATTCATCCTGTCCAAAGGGTGACGGTTTGGTTGAAGGGAGGGGTGAGGGCGATTGAGACCGTCATTGTCCATCCCATTCTCCCAGGGAAGTGGGTAGCGATTCGTCCGCGGGGGTGAATTCTGGACATGACGTTGGAAGTCCAACGGCGTAATTTCGGCGACATCACTATCGTCGCTATCACGCATACCTGGTGGTAAGCCGGATTCCCTGGCTTCCATCAGCCGACCAAGAAATGCCGAGCGGTTTGGATCGAGAGAACGTGATGGTGGGGCCAGCTGAGAGGGGCCAGGAGGTCGGTGGCTGTTTCTCTGGTGCGGTCTCTGAGGTGACGGCTCAGGCGTATCTGGGTCAGAGGAGGACACGATGTGTCGAGAAGACGATGGTTGCGGCTGGAAGAAGGATTCATGGAGTTGGCGAGCGTACTCTGCGTCACGACGTTCTTGTTCCCTGCGCTCCTCGAGCCACTTCTCCGCCTTCTTCTGCTCCTCTTGGATGTCGCGGAAGATATTAGCGCTGTCAACGCCTAGAATGGACCGCAGCATGTCGTGATCCACAGGGAAATCGTCTTCCTCGTCGTCGTCCCCAGCGCTATGATGAGACGCAACTCCAGGACTGGAGCGGCGAGCGCGTTTGTGTCGGTGTTGCCTAACCGGCGCATCAAGATCATCCGTGCCCGAATTGGTATATCCGTCATCCTCCTCATCATAATCACTTTCGTCGTCGTCGTCGGCATCATCATTATCCTCATCATCATCGGGGCGTCGGCGCTTCCCGGAAGCCGATAAACCACCACGAATTGGCCCAAGCGCATTCGTGCCCTGCTGAGAGTCACGAGAATATCCAATCTGAGGGGGGGGGCCATCTAGTTGCCCAGCAGACAGACTGGAGTACGCCGGAGGAGACGGAGGTTGAGCGGGAACGGGATAACCTCTGAGCTCCGCTATGCGCGTCTCGAGGTCTCTAATAATGTCTATGATCTCACGCCTATCTTCGGCAGCATCGGGACGTTCCTCATCCAAGCTCTGCAAAATGACATGGTTGAGCTGCAGATCGTCCTCGAGATCCTGAATCTCAGCGTCCTGCGCGGCGGAGGCCATGGTTGTTATCACAGGCTGGTTGGATGGCGAAATGGCAGGTCGCGAGGCCGACTGGCCGAAACTTATCGGTCGATGATATCACGACCACCTCGAGGCTAACGCGCCTCGGGGAACCTGCTGGTCCAGAGAAGGACACGCGCACAGACTGAAGAAGGGATGCGAAGGAGATGGAGGGGAAATAGTCAGCACTGTAGATGGTGGGAGAAGTTGACGATGGGGGGAGTGGGAGGATCGCGATTCTCTTGGCGGTACCTGGCAGTAAGTAAAGTGGTGGTTGGTTGGCCGTCCGTCCGTCGCGGGTCGATCGCGTTAACGTGTTAATTGGGCGGGCAACTCCCGTTTCACCTTTCAGCGGTGATTCTTTGCTAACAGAACAGTGGGGGAAGAAATAACCCAGCGTTAGTCTGAAAAGCAAAAAAAAAAAAAAAGTTCAATATAAATGGTAAGATATAATATAGAGACTTCAAGTGAAGAGAAGGAAATCACAGTAGTGAATATTTAATAATAAATCTCAATCCCATGCCATGGAATTGTCCTGGTGGCAACTGTCCCTTTTTTTTTTTCCTGCGCCCCTTGACAGTGCCAAACCGACAAACTGAGACCGCACCGCCGCGGAACTCTCCCCGGTCCATACAAATCATACAAGACCCCGATTCTCGACCTGTCAACTTCCGCACATACCACCAGTTAACACCTTTTCCTTCCGACAGGCTCCTTACTCTGGCCCGGGAATTTCATTTGACATGACGATGGGAGTCTGGATAAAAATAGCCATTCTCTGATGGAAATCAGGGATAATCCGGCCAAGCCAAAAGAGAGAGGGGGGAAAAGACCAGCAGGAAACAGGAAAAAGAAAATGAAAATGAAAATGAAAACTCTATCCGGCTGTGGCGGGGCTTTCCACTAGCCACAGTTGGACATATAACTGTGGCTGGTGCGGGTGGTTTTACCTGCTGCTTGACAGCATGGCATAATGCATAATCGTTTCCTTGTCTGGCTAGATCTTTTGTACTGGTGAGAAAGAGACATCGGTCTGAATCAGGCCAGATTTAATAAAATAGAGAATTAGCAGAGCACCGGACCTATAACCAGCACCGTCATGGTGAATTTATCAAGTCATACAGATCAGGCAACTGTACGACATCCTTAACTACTTGCTGCTTCACTGATTTCCCCTGGGGCCTAATTCCTCTATGAGCAGGATCATGGCCAGTCTTAACAGCTTCTCTTTATTTAAGCTGACATGATCAACTCCCATCTCAAGCTACCGCGCACATCATCCTGATGAGTTAAAGAAAAAGTAACTTTACCATCCTCCACAGTCCCAGAGTGTACAAGCCAAAAGTCAGAGTTTACAGGTTGTGAGATACAAAAGGCTGAAGTGCCAAAACTAAAAACACAATAGACCCCCCTTCAGCCTCCTCCCATAAGTTTTTCTCTACGTCTTGACCATGCATATCGGCTTATACGCACCCAGACTGGATAACCAACCCAACCCGACCCAAATCAAATCGAATCCCTCTTTCCCCCCCATGTGAATTTCTCCCCTCTCTCTACGATGATAAAATCCTCCGCCCTGCAGAACTAGTCCCACCACCTCTCACAGCAACGCCTCGAATCTGGAAACTTGATCCTCGGATTACCACCACCACTATTACCAGCGGGGTAGAATACCAAACGGACTGCAACATCGATCATGCAGCACCGCATGTGTAACCTCCCTTTATCCGCCCTCCTATCTATCCCTCCGATCCCCATCGTCCCAATTCTCAGCCCAAACGTGTTCAAAGAGCATGGAGCACGGATCACGGATCACAGAGTACAGCAGTTTACTTCGTCCCCTTCCCCTCTCAGCGGATTTCCAACCCGCCTAGCTAATCCTCTGACATGCACGAATCGAGTAGCCGAGCCCTCAAGGACCCTGTATTGAAGTCTTTATGAGATACCAGGGGATCAACTCTGTTATTCATTTTGCTATGTTAAGAGACTGTTGATGAATGAGGATGCTGCGTTGTTCATGACCGGATTCCGGGGTGCCGAGGTTCCGGGGTCGATGATGGTAGGAGTGATTTCGTTGGGGTATATTGGGGGTTTTGATGTGGGCTGAGGGGTGGTGCAACGTGGTTAATTCAATGTCTGATATTTGGATGGCTGGTTGGTTGGGTAGTTGCTGGGATACGATGGGATATGGGATTGGATGAGCCTAGACCTCGTGGTGTGGGTGGTGGATATGATGGATTTTGATCATGCCTGTTTGTCTGTCAGTCTGTCGGTCTTGTCAGTCGCTACAGTATATCTCGGCAGGCGCTTCCCCCACCACTTCTATCCATAGACCAAGCAAGGATAATATCAAAACACCACTCACTTACCTACCTGCCACCTAGCTCTCATGCACGCTCCATGCCACGAGCGACATGCCACATGCCACATGCTACATACATCATGTGGACGGCTCAGTCTCCATGAAATGGCTCATATACTTACTGAACAGATTTGATACCGGCCTGGTTCTAGGCACGGTGGTCAGGTCGGACGGTGGGGAGGGGAGGGGAGGAGAAGTGTTGCCTCATCCGCTCCTCTCCCTAATCCGGTTGAAAATGGATTAAGTTTCACTCGAAGTGTGGTACTGACGGCTTCACCTGGGATTAACTCTATAGCTACCGCATGACATCGGAAGTATAAGGGCATAGTGTGTTCCTGCAGTGAGTATTAGCTTTTTGTCTTTTGATATTTGGGGGAATTCACTTAGCAATATGACGTGCAGAGAGCTCTTGGTTAACTCCTAGAATAAAGGCAATTGCCATTGCCATTGTATAGTGAAGAAATAAATCTCCTGAATATCTTAGGTCGATCCATGACCCCAGATACTTTAATCCCCAGGGTGTTCCTATAGGCATGCGTTGTATTAGAATTTGGTTCAAGGTGGACGGACGAATAAAAACTTGTGGTAAACTTACTATAAATAAAAGCATCACCATACCTTTTAATATGACAGACCCCTGTATTATTTACTTACTAGGCAGGATCATAATATTTAAACAGGTGCAACCCATCTCATGGGCAGGTATACATGTTTGCAATCCCAGTAAGGGTATTCCATCAGTTCCGCTGCAAAAATGTTGCTGAATATCGGTATCATCTCTTGGCTTAGCTCGGGCATTCTCGTTTTTCTTGTATGTCTTATGGTCAAGCTCTTCGAGACTTCTCCCGTCCCGGATGGCATTCCCTGGGTTTTGAAGAAGAAGAATATCTTGGGGCGTGCTGCAGAGCGTTTCGTTGGCGTCAACCCCGTTGGCTTCATTCAGGACGGGTACAAGAAGGTTTGCACCCTGTTCAAGGCAAGTTCCATATGGTTGCTGACATGGCTGCTTCTCAGTACTCTAGAAATCAGGAACCGTTCGTGATGCCCAGTATCAACGAGGGTGATGCAGTGATTCTTCCGACGGATCAGTCAAATACTGTTCTCTTGGCCAAAGAAAACGAATACAGCTTCAAGGCCCATATTCTCGATTTTTTCCAGCTGATGTATACTAGCTGGCCCTTGGCCTTTGCAGAAAAGTATGATTTCTATGTCAAGCTAATCAGCAAGGACCTCAGTGCAACACTCGAAACCAAACTAGTCGCAAAGTCGCTCGCTGACGAGGCTCGATCCTGCCTGTCAGACCTCTGGGGCAATGATACCGACGACTGGGTTGAGGTGCCATTGTATGCTGCTATGGAGAAGACGGCTTCCAGGATGATCAATGTACTTGCGATTGGACCGGGTCATAGTCACGATGAGACTCTTTTGACTGCCTTGACACACTGTTCTAACGCCATCGTTTTTGGGTCCAATGTTATCAAGGCATTCCCCACCTTCCTTCACCCGTGCGTTTGTCTCTGGGGTTATATTCATTTTTGTCTGTTTAAAGTCCTGACTGACCGAGTCGCCAGGATCATCGGCCCAGTTGTGGGACTGGTCAATAGATACTTCGAGGTGATCTTTCACAGACGCATGAAACCTATTATCGAGGCCAAGGTTAAGGAACAAACCGAAGCCCAGGATTCCACGGCTCTGCATGAAACCCTCAAGTCCCAGGTGAGCGCAAGACCCTCCGCCCAAGCGTTCGATACTGAAAGTCTTCAGGGCAGTCTTTTGGACATGCTCGTTCAGGCGGGACTACGTAGTAAATGGCCGATGGAGGTCACGTCGATGTGGCTTGCGTATCGAGTCTTCATGATCAACTTCCCTGGCGTGCATACCAGCGGCGTATCTGCCACCAGCATCCTCCTGGATATCTTGAGCCATTCAGCCGATGAGAAACTTCTTGACGTCTTGCGAGAGGAGATAGAGGGTATCGCCATCAATTCCGACCGAGCATGGACCGCCGAGGATCTAGAAAAGGCCTGTTTGCTAGAAAGTGCCGTAAAGGAGAGCCTGCGATTGAACGGCATCAACTCTATCTCGCCAACCAGAAAGGTGTGTGACTATCTATCCCTTCCCGGTACTGACTGTGACGGACGTTCACTTCTCGTTCAGGTTGTTGCGACCGACGGAGTCACACTCCCGAATGGGCTTTTCCTCCCTCGTGGAACCAATATCGGGATCCCTCAGTATGCCCTCCACCGGGACAGTGACCTATACCCCGACCCGGACAAATATGACCCTTGTCGATTTTATACTGCGAATGCCTCTGCTGAGGAGCGACAACGGGATGCGATGACCACCACCACCGACAAGTATGTGGTCTTCGGTCACGGCCGTCGACAGTGCCCCGGACGCTGGATCTTCGCCCACATTGTCAAGGTGACTATCGCGGAGATGCTTCTGAACTACGACATCAAGCCTCTGACTACTCGTCCCAAAATCCATAGTCAGTTTCGTGCCAGCGATTGCCACTGAGATACCGAGCTGACCAACTTACAGGGTGGGGACGATTCCAGCTGCCACCGGTTACAACCAAGATCTCCGTCCGGCGCAAAAAGAGCACCGTCGCTGTGCCTTTGTAGAGACGGAATGTTCATCAGCTCACGAAATTCTATGAGTCCATTTTTTTCTTTCGTTTTTTCGTTGCGTTTCATCGAAGAAAATGGCAGGAAGTGGAATTGGGGAAACCGTTGGATAACAGTAAGTAATCTAGTACCTGTGTCGTGTCCAAGCAGCAGAGTCACACGGACAAATTGATTTCATGTGGATGCCAGCATCTGGTTCAGGAGACGGTCCTCGGGCGGGCGACCGTAGCCGGTTACCGTCGTAGTATTGCGATTGCGTAGATCGATCCCCTCAAAGTTTGTTTGATCCACGAAGGAGGGAGTCAAAGACCGAGCCTTCTCCGTAGAGAGAAGCTCCGTACATGCGCGGTGGAGGACAGATGGAAGCTGTCTGGTTTCGGCAACTTGCAAGGAGGGCACAGTCGGACAATTAATAAGTCAGTCTCTTTCACGTTGATGAAGCAAGGTAGACAGAGAGCGGCAGCTTCAAAGGATGCATGACTGACTGACTGGATCTGCAAACAATAATCACAGGGCAGCCTCGGCCCAAGCGGATCCCGCGACCGCCTCCAGGATTTCACATGCCCTGCCAGTAGTGGCCCCCCCGAACTCTCCGGGGAAGCTCCATAATAATATCGCCCGTCATCCATCCTCTATTAATACTGGTCCCTTCCTCGGCACCTTAACTCTCTTACTTCTTCATACTTCATACTCCAACGACCCCCGTTCTCGCTCCTTCGCAAACACCAACATCCGATCCTCTCGTCCCGTCACCATGTCTCTCAAACACAGTACGTGTCCCCGCATCCTCTTATCGGCATTCCCATCGAGCCGTGGCTGACCATCATGACGCACCTGCAGGCGCTTTCCCTTCCTCCGCCGCCTTCGACGCGATCAACGCCACCCTCCAGTCTGACGCCGCAGAGCGCAAAGACGCCATCAACAAGGCCAAGGCCATCGTTGCTTTCAACATCAAGAACGCCAAGGGTGAAGAGGAGAGCTGGCATCTCGATCTCAAGGACAAGGGACACGTCGCCAAGGGTGCTGCACCCGCGGGCGGAAAAGCCGATGGTAAGTCCACCTGCCTGCTTCGAGTTCGGGCATCGTGCACCCCTGCGTGGAGCGCCTAAATACCATTCTCTTTTTGGTTTCCCCGATCGCATGCTGACGGGCGTCCCGCTACGATCAACAGTGACTCTTTCTCTATCCGATGAGGACTTCAGTTCTCTGGTCAGCGGAAAGGCCAACGCGCAGCGACTCTTCATGGGTGGAAAGCTCAAGATCAAGGGCAATATCATGAAGGCGACCAAGATGGAGCCCGTCCTGAAGAAGGCCCAGGGCAAGGCCAAGCTATAGATACCCTGTTTTGTATTTTTTCCTCTTTTACGCCTTTGAACTCGATGCATGGACGTCGACTTATTATGATGACGTTTTCTTTTATTTCTGCTTAGCCTAAATTGGTATCGCTTTTGGTAGAATCTATCAACACTGGGTTTTTTCATCTCGTCTGTGCCTTGTAGATTGGAGTAAGAATGCTGCTGGTTTCTACCGTGATCGACCTTGATCAACAAAACAAGGGTCTCTGATCAAGGCGACATAGAAAAACAATCGTAAAAAGAGTTGATGCGAAAAACTGTATGACACTTGTTCTCTTTCAGTATGGTCTATGAATTTGGTTAAGTTCAAAGAATCCCACTGATGTAAGTATCAAACCACTCTTACATCACCCTAAATATATACCGGGCCACCCGAGGTTGACAGAGAAGGCTTCATACAGTTCGACCACGGGAATCCACAAGATTGATGGAGACAATAGTGTTGATATTTGGTTTCCTGTGCCATCTACTAAGACTGACACAAATGTCAAGCGACAAAAGTATCCTCCTCCTGCATGCATTTGGTGCATCTGCAGAATCCGAGTCCTGCCTTGCCATGGAAACCCCGAGCGCAGCTGACCAGCATAATTACCCAGTATTCGTACCGTCTCACATGCCGCCCGCCCGCCGCGGCGGGTGTCACTGCTGTAACCGTACAGGCTGCGGCAGCCATCGAAAGGATCCAGGGAAAGAACAAGAACGGCGTCTCAAGCCAGTGACCAGATCAAGGAGAGATGCCGCAGACATCCAGAAAACCCCAGTCTTTCAGCAGACCATGGATCTGGGCCGCCGCCCAGCATCCAGAAAAAAAAGGAAATGAAAAAAGAGGAAAACATAAAGAAAAGAAAGGGAAAGAGTAGCTGCGTTATGTCATCCCCGCCAAGATGTCACCTTGCATAGGGCTCACGTGACCGTAATTTTTTCTGCCAGCAGAGTTCCTCTTCCTCTTGCCGGTCAAAGTCGCGAGCCGAACGCTGGAAGGCTAAAAAAAAGAAGTGCACTCGATCGAGCACACCACTCCCCCCCATCACCCCCCCAAGGCAGAGCATCTCGAATGGAGGCGCGTCTCTCTGTTCTTCTCCCTAGAAGTCTCTGACACTCACTGCTCTGCCTTTCATCGACCACCCACGATTTCCACCCCCCCCCCCTCCCCTCTGGTCGCTTCACTTGCTTCGCGCTCCGCGACTCAATTCACACCGAATCCAGAATCATCGCGCGACCACCCAACCTCACCTTTTTGACAGGGCGAAGTTTGGATAATCCTAGGAACTTGTTGGGCTTGTGGTGAATACTTCGAAACATTCACAACGCGATTCACTGTTGTCGCTTGGTTCGCGGTCTCGCCCACAACTCCCCACCCCCTCCGTTCAAACGCCTCTTCTCTCCCCCCATCCGACTTAGCTTTCTTCAAAACCACAGACATTGGGTCATTTTGCGGATCTCGATCACATCGTATCGCATACTCGAACGAACCTTTGCGCATTGGATAACCTTGCACCGTGCATGAGAGACGGTTGTTAAGGGGTGAATTTGGACATACACGAAGGGGTTAAGCCAACCGCTGTCTCGACGGTCGAGATAGTCGCCGCTGGAGGCTCCAAGGTAGATGTCTAAAAGAGGGGCCCAGGGTCCTCAAGGGGACAAGGATACCGACTTGTTTTCATTCAACATGGCGAGTACTCCGGAAGATAAGCCGCAGCGGGCCACCGCGGCGCAGTTGGCGAACAGAAAGTAAGTTGAAAGCAGACCGACCTTTGCGGGCTATCTCATGCAGGCGATGCTCTTTTTTCCTGCAGCCTCAATATTCACTGTATTTACCGGGTCGCGGCCTGGAGACACGACGCGCCCGAGTCTTCTGTGTTACTTCCGTCTGTATTTCTTTTGCATCTGCTCTTTCTTCCTCTCGATTCAGAATCTTTGTCTAACACCCACTTGCTGAATGTCTTCGTTCATCGTCTCGCTTATTACACTTCTCTGCATATCTTTTAACCCCATCTTGTTTATTAACACGTTGACCAGGATCAAAGACGTCCGCAGACGCCCTCGTCCCAACTCTGCTGCGCCAAGTGCTCCAGCTCCATCCTTCGGCGGACCGTTCAGCTCCATCGATCCAAATACTGTTTCTTCTACACCTTCCATGTCGCAACCGTCTTCCAACGGATTTTCCTTCGGACAAGGACAAAATCAAAGCTTCCCAGGAGCTAGCTCAACTCCTAGCCAGTCGACTCAGAACGGCACATCGTCACCCTTTGCCTTTGGCTCTGGAGGCGCAGGCGGATCCTCGTCATTCAACTTCTCTTCATCATTTGGTGGCTCGGGCTCGAGTAATCCATTTGCCAACATGAACAACGGTAATTCCGGCCAGTCTGATGCGGGTAGCTTCTCTGGCTTCAAGGGTTCGATGTTCAACGCGCCACCGGCAAGCCCGGCTCCGGCTCAACAATCTCTACCTTCTGCTCCACTGTTCGCAACCCCATCTCAACAGAATACAAGCACCGGGGGTCTGTTTGGTACCAGCATGAGCAACGGGCCATCCGCCCCATCCGCCGCGGCGACTCCAACGGCCGGTGGACTCTTCGGTCAAAGCAATGCTGTCAACACCCCTTCAACCAATGTTTTCGGCCAGCCCAGTGAGAAAAAGCCATCTCCCTTTGGCCAATCGACAGCATTTGGTAATGACTCGATGCAAACCTCTCCGGACGCTAAGGCTGCTGCTGCTCCTCCCTCGAAGCCGTCTATTTTCGGCACTGCTCCTCCTACTTTCGGTGTCAACCCCAGCACGTCCTTCTTTGGTGCACCGGCATCCTCAGCGACGGAGACTCCTTCGAAACCAGTATTTGATTTCAAGGCCGCTACACCTACGCCATCGCTTTTTGGCACCACCCCACAAGCCTCTTCTGCGGCCACTCCTGCTGCACCGACACCAGCCCCGGCTGCTGCGACTACGGCTACACCCTCACTATTTGGCACCGCATCTCCTGCTAAGCCGTCTACTCCTTTCCAGAACCCGTTTCAGTCTACGAACTTGTTCCAAACCACACCTTCCACCGCCCAAAAGCCCGTCGAAGAGAAGAAAGAGGAGTCCAAGCCTGTCGAGTCTCAGCCCAAGTCTCCTTTCCAGTTCACTTCCTCTACAAACACTGGCCCTTCTCTGTTTTCAAAGGGTGACAGCGCCGCCCCTGCTTCTCCGGCAGCCCCTTCGACTGGTTTGTTCCAGACACCATCTACAAACAACCTGTTCGCGCCCAAGCCAGCTACAACTGCGGAGCCAGAAAAGCCGAAGGTTGCAGAAGCGAGCGCAAATCCGTTTGGCGGGCTGTTTGCGAAGCCGGCAACGCCAGCGACGCCGAGCCAAACCTCAGCGGAGCAGCAGCCTGATCCTTCATCCACTCCTTTCCAGGGTCTTTTCTCCAAGCCCAGTACAGCTCACGATGCTGCGAAGCCAAGTGAACCAGCAAAGCCGGCCACTCCTGGTCCATTTTCCTTCACTCCCTCAGCTGCTACTCCATCGGCTTCGAGTCTCTTTACGCCTAAGCCACCGGCGTCGACCTCTGCTCCGGAGCCCAAGGCACAAGCACCCTTCGCCCCTTCAGCGCCTGCCGAGAGCCCTTTCAAGGTGAATGGTGCAAAGCCGGTCTCATCAGTTCCTGCTATTGGCAACGGTGCGCCGTCTACCTTCGGACAGCTTCAAGCCCCGAAATCTACAAAAAAGACCGAGGCTATCGGCGATTCCGAAGCACTATACCGTCTGCGCATTCTGAACGAATGCTTCCAGCGTCAAGTATCCAAATTGGACCCCGCAAGCGATAACTTCGATGCTGCTGTACAATTCTACACGCGGGTCCGTGCCACGCTTGGTGCTTCTGTTGGCTCTAAGCGCAAGGCTACGGACGATGGCTCCAACGGCATCCCTCCCAAACGAGCTCAGACCTTCGGTAAATCTGCCGATAAAACGACTCTCCCCCAGGTAATATCTACTCCGGTTGCGACTGCACCGAGCTCTACACCGTTCAAGGGGTTTGGCACAGCCCAGCCTACTTCTACTCCTACGAAGCGAAAGTCGATCGATGAGGGTGATGATGTTAGCCCTGCAAAGCGGGTAAATGGTGACTCCACTACCGCAAGTATATTTGCTCAGTCATTTTCCAAGTCGAAGACCACTGAGTCTGACGACGAGCCAGTCAATGCTGCGCCCTCGGTGAAACCGTCTACCCCTGACTCTACCAAGCCTTCTCTGTTCTCTGCGACGCCGTCCACGGCACCTGCCAAGCCTCTGTTCTCCTTTTCATCCTCTGTCAACAAGGATTCCTCCCCCGCGCCCTTATTTTCATCGTCTGTGTCTGGCACTAGCTCGACGTCAGCTGCTCCCGTCGCTCCCCCCCCGGCCAATCCCTTTGTACTGAAGGCACCTGGGACAGATTCCTCCGCGAGCCCTGCTCCAGGACCGCCGAAGTTTGCCTCCGCAGGCGGCACTGATTTCCTGGCGCAATTCAAGGCACAGTCCGCCAAGGATGCCGAGAAAGAGAAGCAGAAACGCAAGGATGAGGACTGGGATTCAGAGGAAGAGGACGAAGCTGAATGGGAGCGTCGCGACGCCGAAGAGCAGCGCAAGAAACAAGAACAGTATGGAGCGAAGCCCAAGCAGCAGGCCAAGTTCATTCCTGGCAAGGGTTTTGTTTTCGAAGAGAGCAGTGATTCCCCTGCAAAGACACCCGAAGAAACCCCTACTCCTCCCGTCAGCACTGGTGCGTCGGTCTTTGCTAGCCAGAACAACTCTGCCGTCAAGTCGACGAACATCTTCGGTCACCTGTCGGCGACGCCGTCTGAGGCCGAGGACGATGATAATGAAGCCGACGACACTGAGGAAGCTTCTGGTGGAGAGGGTGATGATTCGCCGGATAGCAGTGCGGAAACAAAGACAGCTGACTCTAAGGCGGCTTCCAGCGACGATGTCAAGGGAAGCGGGCGCAGTCTGTTCGACCGGGTGTCATATGATGATGACGGAAAGCCCAAGCGCCAGGGTGAAGAAGAGCAGAAGGGATCCATGTCAACCTTGTTCAGCTCGTCTAATAAATTCTCATCTTTTAACAGCACCCCTGCGTCTCTGACCCCGGGCAGCAGCTCCGACTCGATTCAAGCAACGTCTAAGTCTACAACCAGCAATATCTTCGGCTCTGCAAACGCAGGCACCAGCGTCTTCGCCTCGAACGCCTCTTCTGCCAACTCTACCCCGTCGATTTTCAACACCACGAACTCGGCTGGCGATAACACCTGGAAGCCCAATTCCCCCATCCGGTTTGCGACGGAATCCGCCTCGGCATCGAAGCCGGATTCTGGAGCGGCAACTCCGGTGCCGGAGGCCCCTAAGCCATTCTCAAACCTCTTCGGAGCACCACCCACTCTCACCAAGTCGGACGCCAAGAGCACGACGCCATCACTTGGGTTTTCTTTCGGAGCTCCCGCTCAAGCGAACTCGTCCCTCTTGGCCCCTCCCACACTTAACTCCGCTGCCGCCAGCCGCTCCCCCACCCCTGGAGTCACCTCTGATACGGGTGCTGAAGACTCCGGTGATGGCGAGGGCGAAAACCTCCCGCAGGTCGATCTTGCTCGAGGCGGAGCCGGAGAAGAGAACGAAGATCTCGTGGTCGAGAGCCGGGCTCGTGCGATGAAGCACACCGCCGGCGGTGGCTGGGAGAGTCAGGGCGTTGGATTCCTTCGAATCTTGAAAGATAAGACTACGTCTCGTGGTCGGATCCTCGTCCGTGCTGACCCAAGTGGAAATGTTATTCTGAATGCCCGCCTGATGAAGGAGATCAAGTACTCGGTTGCTAAGAACAGTGTGCAGTTCATGGTCCCCCAGGCCGAGGGACCACCCCAGCTGTGGGCTCTACGCGTGAAGACCAGCACCGACGCCGAACGTCTGTCCACTTCGATGGAGGAGACGAAGTCTTGAAAAAAATCGCCAACCTCGGCTTTTCGCACAAATTGAAATTAATTGCTACGACTAGATGGTACATAGGATATGCATTTGAACAACTTCACCTTCATGATGGTCTTTTGCGGGCGTCTCAGAGTGGCGATCGATGTATTATGGTGTGCTTTTGCTGCTTTCTGATTGTTGTTTCTTCGCCACCTCTGTCTCTGACCCCGACCCCAAGACGAAGGCTTTCTCCCTCTCTCCCCTGACAACGCCCTATCTTTTCTTTCTCCGTTGTCACTATGGCATGACCACCCCGCTCGGCAGTACGAGATAACTGTGACTGGATAAAACGGATCCTCCCTCCCCTTCAGCGGCGAATTTGTGTTTACTTTACAACTCCGGCGTCTCTCTTCTTTTACCTTGTCGCTTTGCTCTTACTTTTGTCTCTTTTTTCCTTCTCAGGAGCATCGATTGATTTCCCACCCTCTCCGAATTCTCTCTCCAAACTTGTGTAATTAAAATCTTGCCTTTTTTCTTCTTCCTCTTTCTTCCTTGTTGTTCTTCTTTTACTATCCTGTTTTTTGTTTATTGCACCTCGCAATTACTACCTGCAGCTGCATCCTCGGAATAGCGCGCGCGTCTCCTTCATGTGGTCTGTCATGTCTGTCGTCCTTCTGGTCTGTTTGTTCTGTCTGCCCTGCCCTGCTGCCCCCCAACCAGGAAGGAAGGAAGGAAGGAAGAAAACAGGCGCATCGCCTTAGCATAGCGTGTGGGATTCGAAGATTATGATTTCTTGCAAATGGAATTTGTTTCTCTTACTTTCTTATTTCATCGTGGTGATCGGGTTCATTGGATGGGTTCGTTGTATTAGTATTAGAGTGTTTAGTCGATAGTCGTCGATAAATAGGATCGCCGTTTGCCATGGATCATGGATGCATTGTTTTGAGGTTATGGGGTGGGTGTTTGTTGTATTGGGATTAGGATAAAATTAATCTAACTTGTTAAGGAAAGTGCTTGATCTCGAAAATTAGGGTGCAGTTGCTGGGTAAGAGTTCGTTTCATGGCTACTATCTAGATATTCATCCCAGCCAGCCAGCCAGTCAGCCAGCCAGTCAGCCGAGAAACTGTAACTAACTACTCAAGCTCGATTACGTACTCCTCCCGCTGAGGGAAGAAAAAAAAATCTACATCTACAGTTACATCTACATACCAACCCCCAGAAAAGATACAGGAACTATAGAGAGAGGGAGAAGAGAAAAGTAATGACAGCCGACAAACCCAGCAAAATAGATTTTTTACTAAAACCTATCTGCTGGCTCAATCTGACGTTTGAAAGCGACAGACAGACATACACCTCAAAGTATTTCAACTTTTTTTTCATTTGAGAAAAGAAAAAAAAAAAGAAAATGATCCAAGACCGACCGGAGCAAGGTAGACACCGCTCCTCATTCCGACGCATCCCATCCTAATTCGATTTCCATTCCCTTCTCATCTCATCTCTCATCTCCATCGCTGAAGAAAAGCAAAACACATTCTTTTATTTTATTATGGATAAAGAGAAATGCATTTACTCGTCATCAACGACAGAGGTGTGGAGACCCTTGACGTCCTTGACGTTGACGGCCTGGACGTAGGAGTAGAGCTTCTCCTTGGCGTTCTCCTCGTCGTTACGCTTGCGGGAGATGCGGACACGGAGACGGTAGGGGACGCCCTTGATACCGGCCTCCCAGACCTTCTTGTTGAGCTGGGGGTCGACGCGGACGTCGGTGGTGCCCTGTTGGTGTTAGTTCGGTTCATCTTATTGGACCATACCACTTCCCCGACCATCAACACCCCAATCCGGGTGAAAGGGTGGTGGGGGGAGGGGCAGGGGAAACAGGGTGGGTTGTACAACATACCATAGCACGCTCAGCGAAGGCGCGGATCTCCTTGATAGCACGAGGAGCACGCTTCTTGAAGGAAACACCGTGCATCTATTAAAACGAACCAAAAAGAAGAGATATTAGTCTTCCGCCCGAATGCCATCTGGTAATGATGTATCATATAGAGTTTTACGTCTTCTATAGACGGTTTTTTTTCTGCGGCCATAGAGGTGGACTTCATCAAACTAATTCTTCTTTTTGTGGATTCCCCATCTTGTGTGCATGTGTTCCTCCACGCTCTTGAGATGGGACCGACAGGCTGCGGTGGTTTTGTCTCTCCGAGGCCTTCTTGTTACAGAAGGTTGTGGAATTGAAAAAAACTTCGCGCGCGCCTGTCCGGTCTTTTCCCTTCTCTTGTTCTCCGTCCAGTGCCTCGGTGGTTGCGATTTTCCGTAGGTGGGAAATATCGTTCGCAGGTCGCTTGTGGGAGTAGGGGATGGATTGGATTGTGCTGAAGCTCAGTTGACTGAAGCTTGCTGTGTTTTTCAACGTACTCTCTTGTGCATGTTGATGGTGTACTCGCGGGTCACCACGTCGGCGATGGCCGAGCGGGTCTTCTTGCCGGTCTTGACGGTGGTGGACATTTCTGCAGAGGAAATTGTGTTAGGGGAAATTCTCGGGAGAGAATGGCGGTTTATCAGAGTCTGCGAAATTTCACTCACTGAATGAGGGACAGATGTGTCGGCTGTCGTTGGCTGTAGTGGTCGACTGTCAAGGTTGGAGGAGATTTCGAGATGGTAGATTTTCTCCTGGTGGGAATTCCAGTGCGGCTCGCTTATCGTCTGCGCGTCCTGTGATTCGCCCGCCCGTCCTGCACGTGATGCTCCGCTGCAAGCCCCCAGCGGGTCCGCCTGAGGCACCGACCATCCGTTTTACGTAGTAAATAATGTTCCGTAGTTTGTGGTTGTCTGTTGCACAGCCTGTCTGCACCGCTCGGTTGGGCTATTTCATAAATCATCCTATTTACATGCTAGTTTAATTGCTGGCTGGCAGCGCACCTCGTCAAAATACAACGTGAGATGCGCCTACTTTCTGTCGGCACTCACGTCCGGATACACGTCGAATCGCCGCTGCGTGTAAATCGGGATGCCCTTCCTCGTGTTCTCGATGGTCTCGTTGTCCAAGTCCGCGTAGATGATCTTCTCCTTATCTTCCGCCTCGGCCAGCAGGTTCGCGCTAGGGTCCGCGACCAGACTGTGGCCATAGGCATGGTACGAAGCCTCCATGTCTCTGGCGGGGCTGCACAAAGCCACATACACCTGGTTGTCGACAGCGCGTGCCCGCGCCAACAGCGACCAGTGCAAGGGACCAGTCGTCGTGTTGAACGCGCCCGGGTAGACCAGCATAAATGCGCCCTGACGCGCCGCGATCATACCGGCCTCTGGGAAGCGAATATCATAGCAGATCGCGAGGCCAACCTTGCCATACTCCGGCAGGTCGACCACAGTCAGCTGGTTGCCGGGGGAGAGCACCTCGCTCTCCTTGAAGGTGATCTTGCCGGGAATGTCAATGTCGAATAGGTGGGTCTTGCGGTGTGTGCCAATCAGGGCACCGGTGGGCGAGAACACCAGAGCGGTGTTGTAGTATTTGTTCGTGGCTGGTTCCAATTCGGGGATACTGCCGCCGATCAGGTAGGCCTTGGCCTCAGCGGCGATGGCTGATAGCGCATGGTAGGAGGGGGACTGTTCCTGTGTGGGTGGGGAGGGGAGCAGCGTTTCGGCATACTTGGGGAAGTACTGGGTGCCGTAGGGGGAGTTGAAACATTCGGGAAGTACGATCAGCGAAGCACCGGCTTTGGCGGCCTCGAGGACTTTGGAACGAGCGTGTGCGAGGTTTAGAGACTTATCGGCGCCTGGGTATTGTCATCATAGATTAGCTGGGGCCGGAAGGATTGATGTATGGTGTGGCAAGTACGGGGTCGATGGGTCGACGGGTGGAAGAGTCGGAAGGAGAAGGTAACACGGACCTGAGGCCAGTTGAACCAGGGCCAGCTTCAATGGTTTCTTGAGGAGGGCGGCCATAGTTGGATTGGGTGTATGCGACCGCAGTGACAGACGTGTGAGACGTGTGGAGCGCTAGAATTCGAGAATGGGGGGATTGGGAGGAAAGGAGGGAGGCAGAAGGGGGGAGCGAGATAGGCGATGCGGGGTACCGTGACCGGGAACAGACCGAGGACTCCTCAGGGCTCAGGCACGATTGCACTAGCGCGTCCGCAGCCGGACTGGGATTCCTGGTTCCTTCGTTCCTTCTTCCTTCTTCTCGCTCATCCCTCCTTGCGCTGTACACCTCGCTTTCTCCTCGGGGTCATCTGGCAGATTCTTGCGAGAGACATGACACATACTTGTCGATTGTATGACCTGATCGTACCTACAGTCCTACACTCCGGTACTGATGTCCGAGCTCTGTTGATAGGATAGGGACCCGCCACTAAACCTTCGTCTGGCGATGCGGAAATGCCCTCGCGGACCGTCCGTCCGTTCACGGCCCTCAGCCCTACTGAGCAGTACTGAGCAGAAACATAAAATAGACTGGTCGAGCCTTCAACAACGTCCCATCAGATGGCCCGGGATGTAACAGGGAAAAATCACCGGAGAATCTCATAGGTGCAGCCACCGGCTCCGAAATAGCGTCTCCACGTGTTGGTGGGCACGGTGATGCAACATAGGGCGTTTCTATAGCATCCTATGGAGAGCCTCAGTCCAATCATATACCATCTCCCCAATTCCCGGAATCTACTCCCAGAAAGAATTGACCACCTTGAAAAATGCAGATCAATGAAGGTTACATTTGCTCGGAACAGCTTGTTACACGAGGAGCCACAGGAATGCCACTAGTACTTGAACATCGTCCACAGTGGCGGAAGAAACAACCGAGTCCCATAGCTGCTCGTTGTCATGGCTGGTGCAGACCTTGGACCCATACCCTGTTGTCTTCAATCAGGGAACTACAACCCTAGCGTTATCTAGGGCTCCTCTTCAACCCACGAGAATGTAACCTGGGGCTGCAGATCCAGCCTGAGCACGTCCATCTTCGACAGCCTTCAGCATGCAGCGGGTCCATTTGCACTCGGTCTTTAACTCTCTTTTCGTTTCAATCCAAGGCAATGGTGCTGAGAGGGAAGGTATAAATAGACGACACGATGCCTGCTTCTTGACTTGCATCAACTCAATCGACAACCATTCGACAACCAATTCGACAACCCTCCGCCCCAGAGACTCCGCGGAAGCCACTCGTTCCTCCTACCACTCCTTCATACCTTCCTTCATAATGGTCCACCTTCGCTCCCAGACAGGCCTCGCCGCCTTGGCTCTGCTCCTCAGTGCCGTTCAATTCGTGTCTCCCGTTGGGGCTAGTCCCGTGTCCCTGCAGGCCAGAGTACCCGACGATGTAAGTTTGCCCTCATGAACATACCATGACAAAATCGTGCTTACTGCGAATACAGGGTGGGAGCACTTCTGCAGGTGGGGGCACTATTGCACATGTGACTCTCGAGACCGGAGGCGGCTGCTCCAGCAACAAGCGAGGAACTGATGGTGGTTGCGATGATGACAAGGACAAGGGCAGCGGCAGCAGCAGTGGCTCCAACGGAGGCTCCAACGGCGGAGGCTCCAACGGCGGTGGCTCCAACAACGGCGGTAGCTCCAACAACGGCGGTAGCTCCAACAACGGCGGTTCAAATGGCAGCGGCTCGAACGGTAGTGGCTCCAACGGCAGCGGCTCGAACGGTAGTGGCTCCAACGGCAGCGGCTCGAACGGTGGCAGCAGCGGCAGCGGCCAGCCAGGCTCAACCAGCGTGTATGTGACCGACACCAACACGAACAGCGAAGGCAGCAACAACAACGACAGCCGCGACAACAACGACAGCGTGCTCTCGGACGTGGGGACCCTGCTCGGGCACATCGTCTAAAGTGTCTCTAACATACAGGCAAACGGGACACAGCACGGATGCCACAGAGTCAGACGAATGATTCCTCTGGATGTGACGTAGGCGTTTTTGTCTTTGCGAGTCGTTGTTTCTTATATACCTACCTACCTAGCTAGCTACTGGATTGCGTTATGTACCTCCGAACCAATACCGAATAATAATGATACTGCTTAATAAAAAAGGAACTTTAATTGTACTCGACTCAAATCAGGCCAGTATGGTGTTCGTCAGTTAGGCTTGAGTTTGTAAATGAATTAGGTAACTTGCTGGGGAGTGACATGTTTGCCATCGAGAAACACTGGAATTAACAAATGAAAGATGAATGCGTAAAGCAATAAATACCATCTACCCATTCCCTTCCTTATATTTTCTTTAGATATCGTGATATGATCTTACCAGATCAATCACCAAGAATTTTCATAATCGTAATTCGGGCCCCCGTCCACATTAAACAGGGCGATACGAGTCACCGTAAAGGTTGTTTTTCGCGCTTGCTGATCCTGACCTCCATCATCCCCATGAACGGTATCCGTCCCATCATGCTTCTTCGAATTGCTGGGGACAGTTACCGTGACTTCTTCATACCCATCCCCGTCTGATACCCGATTTGTTCCTCGCAGAAAAGTAGCCTGTCCTGTGACGGAGTCAATTTCCACCCCCACCTTCGATCGAATGGGATCTCCCAGGTAATTGGAATTAGAAGTAGGGTGGGGGTCGGTATATCCCGTGGCTGTGGCTGTGCCTGTGACACTGCTGCCCTCTCCGTTCCAGCGAAATAGCCTGAAGGTTGGCTGGAGCTGGAAGAGAAATTGTGGAACTGGAAGAGGGGAGATGGTCGATTTGTCTCCTACTGTTCTTTCCGTTGGCTCTTTTTCCTCTTCTCTTTTCGCAGCAGGGGTCGTGGGGAAGAATGCGCCCACGACTATCGGTACATCTTTCGACGAATCCTGAGCTTGATGACCCAGAAAAAGAACGAGGCGGGATTGCGACAGACGGTTCGGGTGATTGTCTTCGGAGAATTGCTGGAGGATATGGCCCAGGTCCATATCGAGGCTGATGCCACTGCTGTCCGTCAAGGACTGGGATGGTATCGAGTCATCGTAGCATTTTTCAAATGTGATTGGCTTGAGTTTGCGTACCTGATCGGTTCTTTTATGAGGGTGGAAGGGAGGGATGAATAGTGATACTGCACGGAGAATCTCGTCCATAGTGGTGGTGTCTGGTGGCAGTGGTGGTGATGATCGTGATGATTGGGTTTCTAATAAGTTTGGTTTAGGTGATTCTGTGGACGTGCACGGTTGGAAAATGGCTGCCCATAGCTGATGAACCCATTGCTCTAGGTTGGGCTGGTGCGCAGCACAGCGATTTCGTTAGATTCGTAGCTGGGAGAGAGAGGGATGGAAGGCGGAAGACGATCAATGGGTGGGTTCATCCACTTACCAGGATATCTAAAGCCCGGAGCACCGTGTCGGGGGCCAGGTACTTGTCCTCCTGGCCAGAACAGAACGATCGGGCCAGAATATGAGCCAACTCCTCCTTCCCCGGAGTGGTATCCTCGAATGACCCGTAATGAAAGTCCCGGGAGCCCCAAGTCGGCTTATCATAGACCCTTAGTCTCATGATCAGGCCGAGTAACGCAGCCAAGTCGATGACCTTGATCTGATACTGGTCTGTTCTTCTCCCCTCGAGCAACCGTTCCGCCAGCGGCTTCAGATCCCTAGGGGATGCATTTACTTTCGGATGGAAAGGGACTATCGAAAGTAGAGCATCGACCGCATCGTCGGTGTTGAATGTGTCGAAACCAGCGACTTGTGGAGCGAAATTTGACGACTGACGATTGACCAGACTGATGCTTCGGAGGATCCGAATGGTTCTAAAACTGCAGTTACAAGGCTCGTCGTGACGACCCCAGCGATGACCGAAATCACTATCTGCGACTCCGAGGAGCCGTGCGCCTTGGACAGATAGCAGGATCAACGCACGCTCGAAGGCTGGTAGATACAGCTTCGTGTCGTCCGCACTGGGGAGTGGGAACGGGTGGTAGGCGAAGAAGCAGAAGCAAGTCCACAGGACATTGATCGCTGTGTCGGGGATGGTCGTGTCCGGATGGGTCCTGACAAGGTGGTTTTGGAAACTCTTTTTCGTCCAGTCTGGAACAGGATCAGTTTCCAGTAAGTATTCTCATCAGATCAGCCCCTCCTGGTACGGTATGGGCTAGCTAGCTAACTTGCCCGCTGGAGCCTTGATCTCTCGTGTAGTGGATGGGTAAGGATCAATCACTTACAAGGCTGCTCCTGGGGCGAGTCCCGGATGCTAGACGCGTCGAAGACGGCCTGCGATGTGATGGAGGTGCTTCCTTCCCGAACGAGGCAGGTGTGCAGGTTTGAAAGAACGGAGTCTGGATGGTTTCGTTTTCGGTCAGGTCGACCCATTTTTCCTTCTTCGATTCGATGCCACTAGCTATTGACTGACTGACTGACCGACTCACCAGGTGTGGTAGTGCGAAGAAACTTGTCGAGTTTCTTCTTTCTATCTCCGAACACCATGCGGAACAATACCTTGTCCAAGAGGGCCGCCATAACTGAACCTTTGCGCTTTTCTCATGGGAGGTGGTTTGTAGGAGGGTGATGGTGACTGGGGAAGATATTTACCAGCAGCGATGGATTTATGGATGCCTTGCTGGGATCATTAATTGGGGCCAATGAATGATGATGCTACATGGGGGCCACGGCGATGGCGCCAAGGCGGGGCGCAGCCTTACAGTACAAGCATTTACGGCGTCGTACTAGTTGCATGGGGGCTGAGCGGAACACAACCCAATCACACCGGATATTCCCTGTTGGTGAAGCTGGTTTACGGAGTATTCCATGAGACATATTCATCAAAAAAAAGCTGAAAAGGTCCACATGCTCTACAAGTAAGTAATATACATCCGAATCATCCAGACTAGATGACCAAATACCCCCTCTAACATGGCCTGATCTCCCTTTCCTTCTTTCCTTCCTTCCAATTAAGCCTTAATCTTCTTGTACAACTTCTTCACAAAATCCCGACAGTTGTTAGTGAGGAGGTTATATCCCTTCTTTTCCATCTCCTCTGCAATGGTTTTGGCATCCGATTCGAGAGTCGCGGATGTGATGCCCGACTTGATCTTACCGAGCATCGCATATGTGGCCTTGAAATCATACCACTTGGTGGCACCGCAGTCGTTGAGCTTGATTTCGCCATCGACGACCTGGATATCGTAGCATGCGGAGTCGTACTTGAAGTATTCGGTGCTGCCCTCGGTTGTCTTCGAGACATACCCTGCAACCATCAGGTAGTGGTCGACGTACGACACGCCGGATGCCTCATTTCGTTCACTCCCTGGAGAGGAAGTTCAGTTTCACGACAAGCTGTAGGAAGTTGAGGAACAGAGGGTTATCAAGACATACGGATTTTGATAGCGTAGCCGTCGTTGACTACGGGTGTGCTTCCGAGGGTCTTCTCCAGCCGCTCATATTTGGGATCCTTCGAGGTTGTAGTGGCCCGCTTGACCTCCGTTGCCGGCTGGCGTGTAGTCTTGGATGAGATATCATCACTTGGATCATCCCCGTTGGAGGGGACGGTAATGACGGGAACTGATTCAAGAGGCTCGGAAGAAATCTCGTAGCCACTGATATCAGTCTGTTCATCCTCATCATCTGCATCGCAGAACTGGAATTGATTTAGTTAGATTTCAATAAATAGAAAGAAAAAAGTAGCAGGATCCAGTAGCACTTACCTGGCAGTCTGGGGCATCCACAACAGGGACAGAGGTCGGCTTGCCATCCACTCCAGTTGCAGTGATCTGCGTGGTCGTCGCAACATCGTTTACCACCGAGACGGATCTGGGTCCATCGAGGTTGGAGGGTATAGCAGCTGCTGAGACCCCGGATGTCAAGAGCAATGAGGCCACGGCGAAGGCCTTCTGGGCGGTGATGTCTTTGAACCACATCTTGGCAAAGGAATGTAGCTATTGAAACAACGAATGACGATAATGAAAAACAACGAGGAAATTTTACAGGAATGAGTGACAAAGAGAGTAATGAGTGTATATCCGCAGAATGAGTGTCTGGCAATAGCAACGAAGAGAAGCAGAACTGGGCATTTATAGATATCTCGCTCTCTATACATCGAGGCCCTTCATCTAAAGGATTGGGGCGGTTTCAGCAACTACTACCAGAGTAGGATTGCATTGCACCAGATTATGAGATGACATGGTGAATCAGTAATGAGATTTGCAAGGTCTTGTCTCTGGACTTGAGACAAGTCAACCAACTATTTGGTTAAAGCTGGGGGCCGCTTCTCAAATGGGGGCCAGCGGGAATGGCTTTGAAGGAGTCCGGGAGGGAGCATCCCGCCGAGTATTGGGGGCGGGTGGCTTTGGTGTCTGTTTCTACATCATGAGGGAAAGCGGTTTATCAAGTCGTACGCTGAAGTAAATGTAGGATATTCACTGGGTAGCGACCAAGAGACTACGATGTAAATTACATAGTGGGCTCATTACCTATAGCAGGTCGTGTCCGATGCGACACACTATTAGTAAAAGCCTTTGATTTCTAACAGTATATTAGCTATTGTAATGGATGTGGCCTGATGGCCAAATGACATGCTACAGTAATATGCACTTTTTCTTTTCCACCTGGGACAGAGACAGGATCACCCGGAGGCTTCCGGTGATTTGGCCCCCGTTGTGTCAATTCAGCACCTACTGCATCATTTCCTTTAGAACCCGAACCCGAACCCGAAATGTTACTTTGCAGGTGTGCACAGCCTGGCCTAGATGGCGTTTAGTGCCCACGGACGGTTGGTTCGAATTTTCCTCGATGACGTGAGTGGACAAGATCAGCTAGCTAAGCTCAATCAGAGTCTTTCAATGATAGAAGCTTGTGGATGAGAACCCCTGTACAGTTAACCTATTTTATGGTTAGTAGAATGACAATCACCACAATATCCAATCAGCCTGAGGTAGGTCCAATCCAATTCTCCATTGAGACCGGCATAATCTGCTGATAGCCTGATACCCACTAGTCTTATGCTCCCTGTCCTGGTAAAATGAAGGGGTGCAAACAATTATCGAGACCCGGACGGTGGTGGGAACAAGGCTGGGCCGGCTAGCCGACAATCACTAGTACCAGACACCAGGGTCCAAGCCAGGCACCAGGATAAGCTGGTCTGAACTCTGTCTCTTGCTCGGTCTCGCACTTGCCTTCTGCGAGCTGCTGACTGTACCCAACAACGGGGACCTGTGGATCCATGCACATATTCACGGTATCTCATACCTTTATCTGGTAGTTCGAGTTGGAATTGATAGCATGTCAGGGCTAATAATGATTGTTTGGAACTCTTGCAGCACCATATCCGGGGTAAGCGGGGAGAGTGCTTAGCCGTTAGGCATCCATCCGAAGCCAACCGCGAAACTGATTGCCAGAGGGGTGGGGAGACTGAAGAGTAATTCTGACCAGTCAGTATTCTGGATGAGTCTTTGGTCTAATCCAATTTCAGAAGAGCCGTTGCAATTGGATTAGCCACGGGAACTACTCCAGTAAATCCCATACTTCAGTTATAGCAGGGACAAGAAGGAGGATGTATTATATACAGCCTTCACCTCTAGGGGGCCACTGTTCGCGGGAAAGAGAAAGAATAGGGGACAAAAATCATCAATCATACAATCCATATATACAAATTTCTACCTATATACATCATCATCACAACAACACTAGCCCACCCCAGCCTATCATACTCACCGTAGTCCCAACCAACCAACAACCACCCACACCCCTCAAAGCAACCACTTCGGCAGCCCCAAAAACTGCGCAAACGCCCTCGCACAAACCCTCATCTCCCCCCTCCTAGACACCAACTCAAACCCCCTCCCTGGATCCTTAAACAGCACCAAACCCGAACCCGTCCTCTCCTCCTCCCGCATCCCCTCCCACAACCTCTCCGTCCTCTCCTCCCCGAACCGAAACGACGGCCCAAACAGCACATAAAACCTCGCGATAGAATGCAACCGGGGCGAATGCCAATCCAGATCCGACCACACTAGCCTCAACCGCCAAGGAATCCTCCGTGCCGCCATCCCCTCCTCCCAGAGATCCTTGAACCGATACCGTCCCCGCTCGCCACACACCGCGTGCACGAACCCGCTGCTTCCATGCGCGATGTGGAACAGCGTCCGATCCACCACCACGTCCACGGGTACCTCGTCGGCTGTGACCTCTGCGTCCGGGTTGCGCGATCGCGTCGCGGCCTGGAAGTAGATGCTGGGGGTGATGGCGATCATTGCGGCGAGGGCGGTTAGCGGGGTTGCGAGGGGTACGCTGTAGCCCCGGTAGGGGAGCTGTTGGGCGGGGCCGAAGATGGAGGGGCGGATGATGAGAAGGTGGGTTTTTTCGAGCCCGGAGTGCGTGAAGATGGAGAGGAAGACGCGCTCGGAGAGGTGTTTGGCGTACGCGTAGGGCCAGGGGAAGGTGTGCGGGGAGTATTCGGGTGTTGTGTGTGTGGTCTGGAGCTGGGTCCAGGTTGTCAGGGCTGGGGTGGAGGAGACGGGGTAGAGTGTTTCTTTGATGGTGATGTCCGGGGACCGCGTGGGCGAGGTGTTGTACAGGTGGCTGTTGGCGTAGGCTGTGGAGATGTAGATGAAGCGTTGCAAGCGGGGACACGCCAGGGCGATGTGCGCGAGGCGTTCAGTGGCGCCGATGATGTTGGGGGAGAGCTTGGGGAGTGGGTCTACGAGGTTGATGGAGGAGGCGGCGTGGATTATGATTTCTAGGACTGGGATGAGGTGTGTGAGGTTGTGGGTTGGGGGGTCTTGGTTTACGAGGCCCAGGGAGGGCTGTTTGATGTTGCCGTCTAGGTAGGTGATGAAGGGGCAGCTGGTGAGGGTTTGCGCGAGGGAGCTGGGCAGGTTTTCGGTCCATCTTTCGATGGCGCGGCTAGGGTTTATCGCGTTAGATGGATAGGTGACGGGATGGCTAGATAGTAGTGCATAGATAACAATTTATATTGGGTTGGGGTTTGGGATGGGATGGGATGGATGGGCCCGGACGTACTCCTTGCCTCCGCGGCAGAGAAGATATATTTGTTTGGGGCGGGTCTGCGACACCAGTCGACAGACTAGCGCCGTGCCCAGGAAGCCGGTGCCTCCGGTGATGAGAATGGTCTTGTCGGAGAAGTATTCCCACATTGTGTATGTGTCTGTCTTGGGAGGATTGGGTGTTCTTGGGCGTTGATTTCGAATGTCAATCGGGAATGATATAACTTCTTTGTACTATGGGATATGCAGGTGAGTTACGCATGTGCTCTGTTGCCGTCTCGCGGATACCAGTTCCAGCAGAGATCAGCATCCGTGATCTCTGTCTCTTGGTTTATGGTCCGAATTTAGGGTCGTGACGGCACCCGACAGCCAATGAAGACCGACGATGTTGCTCAATATCAGGGTCGGAGGCCGTTGACAGCAGGATTGCGGCACCATGGATCGAGCCGGTTACCTGGTACAGGTGAGGCCCAAACCGGGTCTTCCTGGTATGAGTCTCGATTAGATTGGGTTGGCATGTTGACAGGCTAGGCGACAGTATACGAGGGTATATGATGCTGAGAGTGGGTGGGTGGAAAGTTAACACCGGACTGTGACCGGTGTTGGGTGTCGACTTGTCCAGTGTCCGTCCGGTCTCTTCAGCGTCCAGTGTCCAGTGTCCAGTCGCAGTCCAGTGTCCACATACCACACACTGACTGGGTGGCGAGAGATTAGGGCGAACGGGTCTGCGGGCTGGAACCGGCAGATCCTGGGCCGCATCCCGGCGGACGGTGGCGATTTCGGTCCGTCTGGGTTTCGTCCTCCACCGTTGGGGGAAGCGAGGCTGGAACGGTATAGAACTCCGTCGTCCGTGCAGGAGATGAAGTATACGAAGTGCTTAAGACCCGCGGAGGGCCAACGGTTGAGACGCGGCGGAGAAGTGTGGGACAAGACGAGGAAGAAGAAAGTAGGCCCGAAGCACGCCTCCTGGAGACGCGGCTGACTCAGCGATAGTCAGGAGGCTCCTCTGCTGAAACGGGGCTAGCGCGGCCACTCTGCAAGGCCCCGCCTAGCCGGAAGCGGCGTAGCGCACGGCGGACTCCGCCGTTCGGGGAGGGGCGCTAAGCCCAGCGCGGCGTAGCGGCGGCGACGACGACGAGGCACTAAGGCAACTAAAGGTTCTCGCCAGAATTCCCCTCTTCACTCCTCTTCCTCGATCATGCATCGTATTTCTTCTTCCTCAAGTCGAGCCGAGTCCAGACGTGCACGGTTATCCGCCTGGCTCGTCCTGTCTGTCCATGGCGAGGAAAAGCAATACCAATATTAATTTTAATGAAAAGGGGGCCTGCGGTATCATCTGGCGCGCGCGCTGTCTCTCTCTCCTTTTTCCTGCTCCGATGGCGCCCTCGCCTGCCCTTCTCCTTTTCCGGTCCACTCCAACCATCGCCGTTGATTGATTCCTGGCCCTTCCCCACGGCCTCCATCCCAAGCCATCCCAAGGTTCGCCCGTTTCTTTACGCGCCAGATCCGTCGGCCCTACCCTTTTTTTCTTTTTTGGGCTTTTTACTTTTTTTTTGACTGGGGCTACAAAACAGAACCCATTTCTCTGATTCACAGGCACGAGAAATTGGCCACTGTGGGATTTCCGTCTTATATTGAGCCAGGAACACACTCGCTCTCTTCCTCCCACAGCCCTGCCACCCCCCCTACCCTACTATGTCCAGATAACCCCGTCCGTTGACCATCTCCATCCCACCCACTCGGATCGGACCCCCCGGGCCTGTCGAACGAACTGTTTGTCCTGTTGCCAGCATCAGAATCCTCGAATCTCTGAGTCATCCATCACCCATCAGCCATCACAATGTTCGAGGACTTCTCCTTCTCGTCCCCCTCGTCGACCAGGCCCTCGCGCCTGGCCCTCGACGGCGAGGACCGCCGCATGGCGGATAGCGACAGCGCCCTGATCTCCCCCATGTCGTCGCGCTGTCCCTCTCCGCGATCCCAGCGGTTCTCCCGGGCGGTGCCTCGTTCGCGATCCTCCTACTTCCGGTCCGGTCAGCAACAGCAACAGCAGCCGCCGACCTCCGTCCCCTTCTCCGCCTACGATCACAAGCGGCTCTCGATCAGCACCCTGACCCGGAAACTGCACGAGCACACCCTCCAGAACCCTTACGCCAACGGCGGCGAGGAGAACAACAGCCGCTTCGACTGTCCGGCATCCCCGACCCCCTCAGACCTATCCCTGAATACCGGTGGCAGCAGCGGCGGCGGCGGCAGCAGCAGCAGCATCTCCAGCAAATTCCCGGGCTACGTCTTGACCCCGCCGGACACCGACCACGACGATGAGTCGCTGACCTCGGGGTCGCTCTCCCCGTCGCCTTTCCTCAGCCCCACCTCCATCCCCGCCGACTTCCCCCCCCTCGCCGACCCCATGGACCTGTCTGCCATCCCCGAGCAAGAAGACGCCTGGCACGTCCGCTCCCAACGCCAGCAGATCTCCCGGCTGCAATGCAACCAGTCCGACATCGAGTCCATCCGCCGCGCTCTTGTCTCCGACGACGAGATCATGCGCTCCGCCATGTCTCTCGACTCCCTCTGCGAAGACGACTGCCACCCCAGCTCCATCCCCCCGCAGTCCTCCCCGCGCAGACGCGCCCTCACACTCTCCCGGAACCGCTTCCGCAATACCCAGCCCGCATCGGACTCCTCTTCGGGGGCGGTGTCCGTGTCCGAGCCCCGTTCCCGCCGGAAGAGCAGCGTCTCGTCGCATCGCATTGAGAAGAACTACCACTGTCCGTCAACCCGGGAGCTGCGCAAGAAGAGTGAACAGGGCTTGAGACGGAAGAGTCTGGTCAGTGCGGCTTTGGCGTCAATGGTGGAGCCGGTTCCGGATGAGGAGGATGAGGAGGAATGATTCGATTGATCCCAGTCGAGTCGAGTCTCTCCTTCCTTTTGGTTTCCTCTTGAACTTTCTTCCATCTCTCTTTCCTCAACTTTCTACTATTTCCCCTTTTCTACCTTTTCTTTTCTTTAACTTCTTCTCCTCTTTTTTCTTTCTGGCAGGTTGGTTGGTGGGTTGATACGATGCGATGTGATCTCTCAATTGGACTCGATATACCCTCCTCCCATCCCTCCGTTCACCTTATGTCTTATTTATTATCTACACATTTCTCTTCTTCTTTCCACTACCCCTCCCCTGTCCTCTTCTCTCCTCTCCCATTCCCATTTCTTTATCACCCGTTTCCTTTTTTCAAGTTCCCTCCATCGCACCTATCTTCTTTCAGGGTTCGGATATTCCTTGTGCATATTGAAAGATAGATACCCAAATTGTACCCTCATAACCGGATTGTTTGTTTGCCTTGCCTTGTTTGCTATTCCCTGCCTTGTGCATTGGACTTTTGTTACTAAGAGTAACCTGGCGTGTTGTTTCTTTATTATTTATCTCGTCTATCTCATAACCTTTTCTTCCACTGTCTCCGTCTCCGTCTCTGTCTGTGCAGTGTGCAGTGTGCATGTGTGTGTGCGTGTGTGTACACCTTAGCCTTAGCGGGTCCCGACACTGAGATTCATCCACTATACTATACTATACTATACATACAGTCTGCTGAATCTCATCTATGTAAATAAACATCACATATCCATACATACCCATACATATCATATGTCATATGTCATATATCATATATACCCGGTGAATGGGTGTTCTTTCGGTGCTCTCATCTGATCTTGCCGTTTCGTTTTACTACACTACACTTTACGCTACCAAATGGTTTCGAGTATACTTCGAGTCTGCTCGATTGATTTTCCTTGACTAGATTGGTGAGTATGATTCTCTACTTGATTGAATTTACTAGACTAGATTGATTAATTAGTAGGATTTCACTTCCATGTTACTTGATTGGCTTGATTTACATACATGATATACTTTTGATAATGGGAGCTTACAGCAGGGTGAAAACTTGGTTGTGGGGACCGTTGGATTCGCGGTGTCTAGGTATGGGGCGGAGGAAGGAAGAGGTGAAGAAGGAGGGAGAGGAGGAGCAGGAGCAGTAGGAGGAAACAGGAGGAGGAGCAAGAGGAGAAGAAGGAGGAAGAGGAGGAAGAGAAGGGAGAAGACTGCAGAGGCAATCACTGCCTAAGTACAGGCCAGGCGGCGACGACAACCAGCCATGCTGACAATTTTACTCGACTAGTTTGATTCTACACTGTCTGATTACTTCAATAATTACTGGATGGATGAAGGGTCCATGAATTAATTGGTCCTAGGTAGTTGATATCAATTCCGGCCTCTTTTTCAATGTTTCACTCTCATACTAACATGCAAGATAGGCCCCATAGGTGAGAGGTAGGTAAGTAGTACAGCACGGTACTTAGCATAACAAGCATAGCGTGGCAAGCATGGCAAGCATGGCATGGCATAGGTAGTAACATAAAGACAAAAAATCTATTTGCATCATAACCCCATCCTTAATATCGACAATGAAAGGAAAGAGAAGCCAGCTGTAGTTTGATCCTGTCAAAGGATCCCAGGCCGGGAGGATGGGACAAACACCACCAACTCAATCAAACGATACAACTCGTACAGACGTGCATGGGTGGGTAATGGGTAGTGGGTAATAGCTCATGAGGTAATCGACTCATTACATAGTATCAGTAGTGGAGTGCCGTGCAGTGAAGCGTAAGATAGTGTAAGATAGTGCATGCCTGCATGTACCTATCCTGCATCTGCACATGCACATGCACGTGATACCGCAGACAGACAGACAGACAAGCAGGCAGGCAGCGCGGCAATAAGTAAAAAGTTTGAAAGCGAGCCGATAGAGCAGAACTCGGACGAACGAAAAGGGCAAGAAGCGGTGAGTGTGAGTGGAGCAAGCCTTCACCGGCGTTTCTTGCAAAAAGCATTGTAGAGTCGACGAAAGGGCTTGAATGGCCCCGACCCGGACCCCGACTTGCTGCCTTTGCGGAGATGGTTGAGGGACTGCTTGGAGATGTTGTGGTGGATGCGCATGTCCTGAGCCGGCTGTTGGGGCAGGAAGGGAGACGGCATTGCGTAAGGGGAGGGCGGGTTGGAATACAGGGGATGGGGGAATCCCTGTCCGTGCTCGTATCCGGAGACCCCGTGCCAGTAGTTGATGTCATAGAACGCGGCTGCGTGCGGGATTGGCGAGTTTCCGTCCATGGAGAACGGCGAGGGGGTGGAGAGGGAGACGGGGAACGACATGGGCGAGGGATACTCTCCGTCGTCGCGGATGGGCGACCCTGGCTCCCCGAGATCGCTGTCATCCGTCCACGCACGGGGTCGGAGGGGGATGGGCCGTTTCTGGGTGTATCTCGGTGAGGGGGAATGGCTCGACCCCGCCACGTCGTCGGAGTCCTTCGTTTCGAGAAGTTCCGAAATAGACGGCATGGGTCGGTGCGGTGAATCGCCCACAATCTCCTGACGCACTTGCGTTTCGTCCTTCTCCGGGGTTGCTTCCGCGAAGACGGGGTTCTGCGGGGGCTCCTCTCCCGCGATGATGAGCGTGTCGTTGGTGACTTCTATATACGACTCGCGATGGTTTCCAGTCGAGTCACGGTCGACGTCTTCAATGAAGGAGACGATTCTGGCGACGTTCAGCGAGTCATGCGGGTTGAGGATCTCAAACGAAGTGCCATGATCAAATATAGTCGCGGTTGGTCTCTTCATGTTCAACAGAATGGAGTCGGAGCGGGTCCTGGTGTGCTTGTGGTGGGAGCCCGTCATGTCTGAGTTTGGATCTGGATATTTCTCCAATCTGTCACGGAAGGTATCCTGGCGCTCGTTAGATAATAGCTTTGCAGCTGCCTCAGGTTGACTTACCAGCAGCTTGTGGGGATTTTGCTTGGAATATATAGGATTGTCCGACGAGTAGACTTCCACATTGGGGGACACTGAACTCGCCGTCAGAACAACTGAACCACCACCCGGCCTGAGCCGGCCAAACTGTAAACACTCACATACGAAGCCATGGAGGCTCTCTGGTCCCTGTGCACTCGCGGCGCTGGGGGAGTAAGACGGAGACAGCGGGGGAGGGCTCGATTGCATGGAGGACACCGAGAATGGATGGACGGAGTGCTGCGGATGCATGGGGTGCTGGCTGAGAGGAAACGCAGCGTTTCTTCGTCTCAGGGACTTCCCCTCGTGGTTCTCGAGGAACGAGTCTCCGTCCGACAGCTGTTTGCGGTAGTTGTGCAGCGACAAAGTTCCTGGATATGCTGCCTGGCACAGGGCCGGACTCCCGGCAGGGAGCTGCAGTGGATCAGGTCCCGGATCCAAAGGGACTAATGATGTCGAGATCGAGTTGATGGCGTGGTGGTGATGTGAGGATCCATGGCCCGGGGCCCGGATATCCATGGTTATGGCCACCATCGGCATCACCGAGCCAGATGGAAGAGAGGAAGCGAGAGACAGACCCTGGATGGAATACAATCACGACGGAGACAGACAAAGAAGATGAGGGCCCGTGCGACCTCTAGGGCGGTAGCATGGAGCACAATTGCTATTATGTTGATTGACACACCACCGCTGGTGTTATGGTCAGTTCATGTGCCAGGGCAACGGTGTTGTCCGCATATTTCCTGCACGGTGGAGGGATGGTGCGGGAGGGCCGGGGAGATGAAAGCGAGACAGGATGTCTCAATTGCGGGAGTGAACCTGGGGGGGGAAAGAAGTATAGCAAGTCAAGAGCGATGCAGTGAGATTCTCGCGATCGCTCCTGGCAATCGGGATGTGCAACGCCGGCAATCACGACTGTGCGGCGGATGGGTGAGATGACGATGAATAGTGCTGGATCTCCAGCAGGAACGATGGAAAGACAAAGAAAAGGCCAGCCCTGAGGGCCGAAAGTAAAAGGAAAAAGCAGCAGCAACAGCCAGGGGAGTGTCACTTGACTGAGTGACCGAATTACTACCACTACTGTACTGCTACTACCAAGGTACTACTGACTGATTGCGGGTCAGGGCAAGCTGCTGGCAGTTGACATGCATGCGGCCAATCAGCGGGGCCATGCGCTATACTGGGAGCTGCTAGTAGAAGTCCGGCCTCGACCAGTCGGACTCAGGCAACCAACCGGCCGGACATGACCAGTCAACCACTGTCTGTCTGTCTGTCTCCCTCCCTCCCTCTCCCTCTCTCCATCCTCCATCCTTCTACCCACTTGGGCACCAACCTGCGTGGCAGTGGCTCTCTCCGAGGATCCACTTACCACTTCCTACTTCCTAGTCCCTCTCTCTCTTTCACGACTCCCTCCATCAAAGTTCCCTCGTTCAAAGTATAATCCCTCCTACTGACTGACTCGGGAAACCTCCCCCCCCCTTCCTTGCCTCCGCGTCGAGACACGAACCATCCAGATGACCACCCGCCCTTCCGGTGATCGCTCAACCACCCTGTCCTCATCCCTCCCTCCCTCCCTCCCTCGAGTCCCTCCGGGACATTCCTGACGATCTTGTTTCAACGCCTCCTCCCTGTGAGCCGGTTTGAGATCCCTTCCCGGCCACCCATTCGCTCGCTCCCGTTCCCCCCGATCAGCAGCCACCGCCCAATCACCACGGCCAGAGCACCTGTTTCAACTCGGGCGCACTCGAGGCCCAGCCACTTCTATATTTGACGCCATCTCCTATCCTTCTCCCTCCTGCATCTGCTCCCCCCCCACCAGGCACACCCGTCCGCCGCTCGCGTGAACCGGACTATGCTATACGTCCAATCTGCGCCCGGTTTAACTTTTTCACACATCATATGTGGTCATGACGGATCCCTTTCGATTCAATGAGGCTGACGGGGTTCGAACCACCCGCGAGCCAGTTTACGAATCCTCCGTGCGACTTCGTGGTCCCTGGGAGGGTGTCACATCGACTCACGCGTGGTCTTTCGGACCGCAGCCTGCTCTTTCTCTCCCTCCGACTCGAAACCGCATAAGAATGTCGCAAAGAACCCCGCCCTGTCTTTGTCCCAGTTGAGATCGGAATGGACTTCCCTTGACTGCGCTGACTGCGCTGGGTCGCCGCTAACGTCATCGACAGCCAGCCTTGTAGAGTCCGATGGCTTCCTTCCCATGTTCCACGAACGTTGAAGCGGTTGGCCCACACTGTCCTCCCTAAGCCTCTGTCCTGTGTACTCTGTGTACGTACCTTTGCGACGATCATGGTGACGGTGTGCTCGATCACTCTCGGAGTCCCCGGCAATTGTGACAAGGCACATGACACTGCCTGTAATGGCAATCTGCCGAACCCTTTTCTACCGAACTATTGGGCCAACGGCCGCTGAGTCGCTCCTCCTGGCCTTCGGAGGTATTTCTAATCTATTATTGGATATCAGATCCACAACGTTTCATACTAATGCTTTTGTGTACTGATAGGCGTTATTATTTAAACATAGCCTCCACGATCTAGAAGCGAATAAAGCCGACATAGGATAGCTGCAGTTCCGGAAGTGCTTTATGGGATTCGCGTCACAAACGCGTGCAACCTGAAAATTGGCCAGCGCGGACTTCCTACCCTGGTCAGAGACAGAATGAACACCTGGTTCCAACCATGCCAACGATCAAGGCCTCTGAGGAACTCTCTTGCTGAGAGACTGTACAAAATGTCCTGCATCAGATTAACCACCCTGTCTGAGACAACATTCCATTTCCCTGACTCAAGGGATAGACCGAAGCTCCAGGGAGAATCAATTTCCGGAAATTCTAATCCAACGTGCACTAACCACAATGCGACCATCAAGAGAATCCAGATAGCGCAGATCTATCTTGAAAGCTACTGCACAGGTTGTACTAACTGGACCCTCGAGGTCACCAGCCTCTGTTTCGCGTCTCGAGTGGTGATCTTTACCTTAGTAGTTGAATAATACCTCTGACAAGAACCCTGAAACCGCCGCAGTCATCCAGTCCTGCCGTCCGTACTGATACCCAGCCAAGACCCGTTATCACCAGCTCCAGGGGAGGGTTGGGTTGACGCATGCTATGAAACCCAAGTGTCACTAACACAGCTGCCACTCAGGAGATTATCCAGCTTGCAGTGTACTGCATGTTGGGCCTTCTAAAGCAATAACCATCCATCCTTCTAGCGATCTCTGGCACGTCCAACACTCAAATATTAAACATCAAGAATGAGTTTCAGACACAGCATAAGGCAGGCAGACAGACAGACAGACAGAAAGGATCCCACTCCCATCTACGCTAAACTGCAGACCATTCCCAACCTCAATAAACAATAAAATTTAACCTTTCAAACAACACATCATCGTTTCAAATCCAATCCAATACCTACTCAAAACAATTCTTCATCCATTCCCTCCCAGTCTTCATCAACACTGGCCGTTTCTATTTTCCTACCCCCACAAGCCAACAAACAATCAACCTGGTAACCGAACCAATCAAAGAAAAGTCTCCGGTCGGTCGGTCGGTCGTCGTCTGGCTTGAGTTGTACCTACCTTCCTACGGAGTACCTACCTACCTCCCTACATAGATACATACATACACGGAACACGGGGAGGAACACGTTGTCTGACTGGCAGCGAGCCACGTACTACCTCTTTCTGATGAAGCTGATTGGTTGGTTGGCGGATATATTGCATTGCTATTGGGTTGATTAATATAGATATGGCTTAGTCACATGACATAATTACAGGTCTTGTTGCATACATACTAAAGACAGGTGAAGGTGATGTGGTTATTGATTTAGGTGCATGGATTGACTGATGGGTTCGATTTCATCTGACTGGGCCGTATCTCGAACGGAATGGTTGTTTGTTCTGTTCTGTTCTGTTCTAACTATCGAACTGCAAGCGGTACCACGATTGCCAGATGAGGATATTTATCGCATACTTGCACTACTGGTAGGTCTGTCTCTAAAATGTAGCTCTTTACCACATATATGTTCCTGATCACTGCACTATGACTATGGCTATGCTAATACACGCTTCACAGTCCAGAGCAGATCACTATCTGTCCTACATACATTGGTACACACATCTATTGAGAACCAAGAAACCCCAGCTTCTTCCACGCATCAATATACAACCCCACCATCTCATCACCGATCGGCTCCAGCTTCGCCATAGCTGGAGAATGAGCCTGCGTCCACGTCGTATCCAGAACCCTCCCACACATCAACGATTCATACGCCGACTCAAAGAAGCTAGCAAACAAAATAGCAGGATTATCCGATCTCTCGAGCGGGGAGTTTCGGACAAGAGCAACCCATTCCTTAACTGGAATGATCCGGGAGGCAGGGATATTGAGAGCGGCGGCCATGACGGGTGCCATCTCCTTCCAGGTCCTGGCCATGGGGTGCTCAATATGGTAGACGGAGTTTGGCGTCGGGACATCGTGTTTAACACCGACAGCCAGGAGATCCATGAGAATAGTCGCGATCTGGTCGACGGCGACCCACGAGACATGGCCCCCGAGATCAGGCCATGCGCGCAGCGTCTGCGCGGACTTGATGAGAAAGGGGACATGTTCGGCGCAGGTCCAGAAGCCGCTGGTGGTTGATCCGCCAATTTGGCCAATTCGAACAGTCATGGCCCGGAAGTGTTCGGGGTATTGCCGCAGGGTTGCCTCGAGAATGTGCTCACATACCCATTTGGCCTCGGAGTAGCCCATCGCTTGGGTGCCCTCCATGCCACGAAGCTCTTCACGCACTGGCGTTTCCTCAGAATAACCGACAACACTGACGGAGGATATCATCTGGAAGCCCACGCGAGAGGATCGCTCTGTGCGTGGTTGGCAGGCCATGCTGTGCGCGAGGTCTAGCAGGTGGCGCATGGCTTGGAATTGGGGCTCGAGTCCGCGCACGGTCTGCGTCGGGCTGAGGGGAAATGCACAATGGATGATGTCTGTCCCGTTGGTTACGAGCCACTGATAGTCCTCATCCAATAGTCCCAGCTGTGCGTCCGTTGTGGTCGACTCCAACACGCGGAGCTTGTCCAACGCGTCTTGGGATAGCTCAATGCCGCGCGAGGAAAAGGCGTCGTGCTGTCGAGTCATCGCTGGTACCCCACGAGCACGCCGGTTGAGGCACACAACGGTCTCGACAGCTGGACTCTGGGATAGCAGGGCGGCAACGTGCGACCCCAAGTTACCCGTGCCTCCGGTGACGATGACCACTGATTTCTTGCATTCGCCTCCCGGGGAATCGTTGACCGGCGCAGGAATAGGCGCCGTGAACCCGGATGTGTACTTGGAGACAAGCTCCTGGGCTCTTTCCTGGCGTTGCATGATCTCCCCGGGCTTTGTTCCCGCCCTTGGTACTGTCGAAATGGGACAAACTTCCTGAATTGGCCCAGATGCCAGCGCAAGAATGACCTTGAACCCTTCCTGCTCTGGGAGGCTGCCGTCCGTCCAATCAACGTGCTGGAAGCCAGCCGTCTGCAGATCACGCTTCCACTGCTCTGTTGGTACCAGAGAATAGTCACTGCTGTCATCGAATAGCCACCCGCCCTCCAGAGGACCGTAGATAGTATCTAGAAAGGGTGGCCGTTTCTCAAGGATCATCAAGCAGCCGTCGGGTCTCAGCATCTGATGAATACCTTCCAAGGAGGCTGTGATGCTTTGCGTGGCATCTGCCGCGAGGACAATGTGCTGTCCTTGCAAGTTCTCCGCGGGTGAGTTCTCAATATCGTGGACGGCAAAATTCATGAAGGGATATTGTTTGCCGAGTTCGGCGCTCGCCATAGCAACCCTGGAGGATGATGGGTCGGTAAAGGTATACTCAATGGGGACACCTTGTGCGGCCAGCATCGATGCCAGCACGCGGGTCAGATCCCCAGCACCACCACCCATCTCGAGTATACGAAGGGTACCCGGGGGGGTATTCGTTCCCGTCTTTGCCCTGAGGCGGTCGAGCATGCTGCGAATGGAATCGCTAACGGTCTGATACATTACCTGGTTATACAAGAAGTCGCGGTGCATTTCATGGACGAGTGCGTGGCCCTCACTCGCGTTGGAGAGGGGGTGATCCCCGGCTGCTGTGCCTTGAAGGACCTCGGCTAGGTGCTTGCCGGCTTGGAAGGTCAGCTTCAGATGGGCGCTGTGCTCAGGGTGTTTTCGCATCAACTCTTGCAGTAGCGCGTCACTCGTCTTGGGATGTACCGGAATTGCTGTGCGAACAAGAACCTCATCCGCAGCATCAACATCCACCAGGCGGGCCGTGTTTGCGATAAAGTCATGCAATGACCGCAACGTCTCCGGACGGACGTAAGAAGACTTGACGCTTTGCAGCCTGTCACCAGGAGAAGCAGTGCGCAGATCGCAGCCCAGCTGCTCAAAGGCCTCAACCACCAGAGCGACAGAGAGTCTGTTGGTAAGGCTCACAGCGGTGTGATACGAGTTCTCGAGACCGGCGTCCCTAATCCGTTGATCACTGTTCATTTTCACAGTGTTGAAGTTATCGAGAATGTCTGACTGCGCTAGTTGAATGTCGATATCTGTAGCAACGATAGAAGCGAGCTTTGCAGGTATTTGCAAATCAGAGTCAATGAGAAGCTTGCCGGACAGATTGACATTTTCACCGTCTCCAACCTTTTCAACGATCAGGGTTTCCTCGCTTTTTTCGGATCCTGCCGTGTCGTCTCCGCGTAGTGTGTTCCAGATGCAAAGAGCCAACTCCTCCACGCTTGTCGCCTCCATCATATCCGCCTCGTCAGGCAAGCATTTGAAAGTGGTCTCGATGTCGGAGCCCAGCTCAACACTCATCAGAGAGTCAATGCCCAAGTCGGCCAACTGGGATTGAGGGGCCACCTCGTTCTCATTGACTCCCAGCAGCTTGGCGACCATCACCCGTACATCCTCGAGAGTGTGCTCAAACCCGCGTCTCCCCTCAGCTGCGGAATCCTGGTCTGACTGCACGACCACTTGAGGGCCTTGGTCTTTGACTGGGGCGGCACGACGATGGGCCACTTGCGCAGTACTCTGGGAAACGGGTTGATCCGCGTTAAGCCGAGTGAGAATGTCGCTCAGAGCGGCCTTGGGGAACTGTACAGCCCGCGCCCCCAGCATTGCCTCCACCAAAGCACCAGTCGTAGGATCAAAAACAAAAACATCCATCTCCCGAAGGCGATCGGAAATATGCCGATGACGCACGAGGACATGCGATGTCTCTCGTACTGTGCTGACATTGGGAGAGCGGATCCATCGGTTGCATCCCCTGTGGACCCAAACGTCGTCCGGATGCACGGTATCGTTCATGCAGTTGATGGCGATGCTCCCTACTTGACAGAACGCATCAACTAGCCCGACATCGAAAGCAGAGGCCAGGTCAACTTTCCGCTTGCGAACACAGCCAGCAGCGCTGGAACCTCGGCTAACCACCCGTTTGAGCCATCGATAGGGCTCCCCGTACTGGACAACCTTGTCCATGAGGTGGTACACGGTGGACCCTTGAGCAATCTGGATCTCGTCGGCGCCCTCATCGGCATCGCTACTCGTGTTGGCGTGTGCGAACAGTGCGCTGCATTCCTTGTAGCTGGCCAGAGTCTGCAGGAGCCTAAACTCGGCTTGGTATGCAACATCGTATGGATGATACATCTGCATGCGTGCCTCCACATGCATGAGCCGAGTATGAGGCAACTCGGCGCCATCAGTACTCACAATGGCCCAATCCCATGTCAGCTGCTTCTCATCTTTGACGTGGAACTCCAACCACAGCTTTCGCGACGGATCATCACAAATGAAAGCGTGGTTGATCATGTCCTGGACCATCGGTTGCATCCGGTCAGTGACCCATTGGGGACGGAGGCTGAGCAAGGCATGGAAGGCGAGACCAATCTGAACACCCACGGGCAGAACTGGAGTAGTCCTGTTGAGAACATGGCCGTTAAGCAACTCCGAATAGAGACGGGCGCTCGTGTCGATGGCGAAGTAAGGCCGTGAATAGCTCCCGCCGATCGAATTCTTAGAGTCTGTCTCTTCTCGGTTACCAACAAATTTGATCAGGTCTGCCAGGCCCTGCGCCTCCTTGCGCTCGGGGCTTCCCGAACTAGCCGATGCCAGGTCTTGCGGCAGCTTGAGTTCGAGCCAGTGCCGCGATTTCTCAAATTGATACGGAGGTAGCGATCGTAGCGCGACTGTTGAGGCTTGCACGGGGTGGTGACCCCAGAACGTGACTGGGATACCCTCCGTCCAGAGGGACATGGTAGTCGTCACCAGGCCATCCAAGCCTCCCCGGCCATCAGTCACGTTCAGCGAGTGGAAAGAGTGAGGCCCTGCGGCAGTCTTGAGAGTGCCGCTAGCCATTGTGGTGACACCGGAGGCTGATCCTGCCTCAAGCCATACAGCGGATGGGTGCTCCTCGGCCAGCCGCTGAATGGCTTGCCGGAAGTAGACCGGGTGTCTCATATGCTCTGCAAAGTGGAATGGGGTATCGACTGGAGACTCTGTGGCTCGTTCCTGGCGAATGACGGGCTTCTTCCATGAGACGCGCTGGTTGAGTTCTGCCAGCCGATTGCAAAGAGGATCAACCAGTGAGGTGTGGAAAGCATTGGTCACCGCAAGCCGCCTTGTTTTAATCGTTGGCTGTTGCTCATCGCATACAGCCTGAACGGCATCTATGGCCTCCGATGATCCGCCTAACGTGAACTGAAGTGGTCCATTGTAGCATGCAATGGAAGCTGGGTGAGCCCCGGTGTAGCGGACATTTGCTTCGGCGAGAATCTGAGTAACCGTCGACTCCTCCGCATTGATCGTGAGCATGGCTCCAGAATCATTACCCCACTCATCGCGCACCAACTTTGCCCGGGCAATCAGTAATTGCACTGTTTCTTGAAGGGTCAAAGTTCCTGATATGCAGAGAGCAGTGATCTCGCCAAAGCTGTGGCCTACTACCGCGACAGTCCTGGACAATACGCCGGTGTCAAGCCAGGAGCGTGCGCAAGCGTACTGCATGGCAAAGAGCATTACCTGAAGGTGAACTTGGTCCGCGATGGGCTCCCGGGAGAAGATGCCTGGATAGATACTACCGGCCCCGGCAGCCTGAATGGCCACATCACACTGATCTAAATGGTCGCGGAGAAGAGTGACATTCTCGTAAAGAGTGCGATCAAGACCAATGGACTGGCCGGCCTGACCTCCGAAGCAAAGGATGAGTGGGCGCTCCTTTGGTGCAATGGTGATTTGTGGATTGGCTTCGCCTGTCTTGGTGTGAGTGCGGGACGCCAGTTGAGCCAGCCTTTCCTCCAGCTCCTTTCTGGATCGACAACAGAGGAGGGCTCTTTGGGGCAAGGCCCGGTTGGACGACTGGTTGACGTTGAATGCAATATCCGATAAGGCGGCAGTTGGGTGCGATTGAAGATATCTCAAGAGTCGAACACAATATGCGCTGATGCTGCGCTCATCCAAACCAGCAATCCACAAGGGCACGAGATTCCCTGCGTGTGAATGTTCGAGAGAGGAAACCTCGCTTCTTGGGGGGGGTTTCGTGACCACCATGGCAGCAATCGAGCCGGTTGCTCCGTAGTTACTAATGACTGCTGCTCGAGATCCACTGGGCCATTTTCGCAGTGCAGTGGACACCTCGATCATATCCGTCGGGGTGGCGTTGAGATGAGACGATAGGGTGGAGAAGCTGGCTTGGGGAGGGATAAAGTTCTCCTGCATCATGGCCAGGATCTTGATCAAGGATACCACGCCCGAGGTACCCTCCGCATGGCCCACATGTCCCTTGACCGAACCGAGGATTAGAGGCCGTGCGCGCTTAGGGCCTGCCACCACCTGTCGGATACTTTCATACTCGGCCGCATCGCCCACTGTTGTGCCTGTCCCATGGGCTTCCATGACGGAGATCGCGGCTGGATCCATCTTTGCTTGGTCTAGGATTGTCGACAAAAGTTGCGAGAGAGACGGGGAGTTCGGAACAAAGAAAGGAGTAGTGTTCAGATTCTGCAAGACGGCCGTGCTGGAGATGGCACCGATAACTCGATCCCCGTCGCGCACTGCGTCTGACATGCGCTTCAGATAGACGCAGCCAACGGCCTCAGCCCGACAGTAGCCGTCCGCCGCTTGATCGAACGGCTTGCACTGACCGGTTGGACTGATGAAATTTCCGGCTGCGAGAGCGCGGAAGGTATGCGGGTGTGTCATGATATTAACACCGCCAGCCACCGCGGCGGCGCATTCCCCCGACAGAAGGCTCCGGCACGCAGCATGTAGAGCTACCATGGACGAGGAACATGTCGTGTCATACACGATTGTCGGACCCGTCCAGCCAAAGAAATGGGCCACTCGCGCAGGAATATAGCTCTTCGTGGCCGTCCCTGTGAACGCGCCAGGACTATGTCCCACCGTGTGATGCTCATAGTCGTTCATCGTCGATCCAGCAAAGACCCCCACATTTGAAGGCGACGACCCTGTCCGTGTCTTCGTCGCGAAGTATCCCGCATCTTCTAGCGCCTGGTACACCGTCTGCAAGAACAGGCGCTGCTGTGGGTCGATCGTCGCCGACTCGCGCGGGCTACGCTTGAAGAACTTGTGATCGAATGCGTCTGTGTCTTGCATCATGTTGGCGTACCATTCCCGACTCGTGTCAAGTGGGATCCGCTCGGCTCGCACTCTCTCGTGCTGCGATTGCCCGCTGCGCAGTAGGGACGCGAACTCATCGATGTCGTCCGCGCCCGCGGTCTTGATTGCCATTCCCACGATTGCTACCGTCTCGAATGAAGGGATTTCTGCGTTAGAAGTGCCTTCGGAATGGGCGGATGAGGGGTTGGGTGGTGGGGGTGAAGGTGTAGTCTCGGTGGCAATCGGGGCAGCAACCGGGGAGGCAGCAATATCGGCAGAGGCAGGGGCAGCGGGGGCTGTAGGCGCAGCAGGTCGACTCTTTGCTCGCTGTAAAGCCTTCATGCTCAAGAACGTGGAACGGATCCCGGACACCATGGATCTGGGCACACACTCCTCGCCAAAAGAAACTACAAGCGGTGTATCGAGCTGGGCATGGACCGCCATAAATGTGCGATACCAATGGCATGGCTGGGACAGGATGCCACGGACGGCCATCTCATGCAAACCGCCCTCGGAGATGGGAGTTGCCCCGTTGTAAGTCGGCATGGAGACCTGGGAGGCATCCGGCAGCCGGAGGCCCGGCATAGACTCGCAAAGCTTGGTGAGGACGGCGACACTGCGACGACCTTGATCGCCAGGGTGATGGGCACGACCATGAATGCCCAATCGGGAGGTCTTGACGCCTACCGCACGCAGTCGGTCGAGCAAGACGGGCGCCTGCTCCTGAGACACACACAGCGTGGCGCACCCGACGTCAAAGGTTGCCTGGACATGAGCATCCGATGCGAGTTCTTCCAGGATGCCGCGCATCTGTTCCCCCTGTTGTTCTTGGCGACAGATGGCAGCGAACGACTCTGAACGTCCATCCCACACCTCGTAGGCATCCACCATTGCGCTGGTCACCATGCTCAACCGCACCATAGCCGCGACATTCTGTTCGAGCTCCTCCCAGGTATGAGAGGAGGCCACGGCAAATGACGCGAAGAGCCCCCCGCAGAAGCCCAAGGTGGCTGTCTTGCTGTTCTGTTGGCGGGCGAGCCACCAGGCCTGCAGGTCGGTCTTTCCGTCGGAGGTCGCCTCTCCTTCATTACCGTGAATCATCTGCAGAAACCGCCAATATTGCAGGAATTCTTCTATAACGGCAATCGGGGAAACGATCATATTCGGCGCTCGCCGTATCTCCTGATCCAGCCCATGTTCTAAGCAGTGTATGAGGGTTTGAACGTGCTCTTTCCCGGGAATGGTTTGTTCGATCTCCGGGAGCTCTGCGACCAGTCCATCCCAATACTCGGGGAGGCTGGATATCGTGTGTCGCAGAAAGTCTGGCCCTTCCGCCAGGCCAGCGCGAACGTGTTCAATGAATTTTGAATCGAACACCGCCACTTGCGGACCGAAGACAAGGACTGTGTTGCCACCTGTTGCCAGTAGCTTCTGAAGTGATGGGTCCATTGTTGTGCTTGGAGAGTCGAGGTCCAGCGGCTGGCCTCGAGTTATGAAAGAGGAAAAAGACAGAACGAAAATGCGAGAGGAGAACAGGATGGCGGACTTGGGGAACAGATGCCATCTCTCGTCTTTATGGGTCAAAATATAGTCCCGGGTCTGACAGCGAGTCTGGGCGCTCCCGCTCCGTCATGGGGTGAGTGGCAGGCAGGTGGTGATCATCGGAAGACATTAAGATCATCTCGGATAAACACGCGAATGTCCCAACAAAGTACTGGTGGTATGAGCGTTCCGGAAGGGACAACCCCAGTCGATAGTGCGATGCAAGAGAGGAATGCTCCTGGGAGACGGTGTTGCCGGATTGCTGTCATGGACCCAGAGAATCTGAGGTGTCTGATATTGAATCCGGAATATCTCACCGCATTTGCTTCTCGGCGCAGTTATTATAAAAAAAAGAAGCGATGTTCCGTGTTCACGGTACCTAGCAGACAGGTCGAATCTATTCTGCCCGGAGCCCATCCACAACATATCCAACCCACGACTCGGAAATTGTCAGGCAACCGTTGAGCCCAGTGGCTTTTATTCCGACTCTCTCCTCCACCATCTGCCTTAATTCCCCCCTCCCCCCTTCCAGACCTCCAATCATGTCTGCCTCTGGAGTGTCCAACAGCTCAATGAACCATCAGCCAGACCAAACGCTTCACCTCCCGCGGATTCTATGTCTCCATGGGGGTGGGACCAACGCGCGAATCTTTCGCACTCAATGCCGCGTGATCAGACGCCATTTGGCGTCCTTTTTCCGCCTCGTCTTTGTTGACGCGCCATTCTCGAGCCCTCCCGGTCCCGACGTGGGCCGAGTCTACGCCAAATGGGGGCCTTTTTGCAATTGGTTTCCGATGGGAGTCGATCCGGAGACCATTTCCGCGGAGCCAGATCTGCGCACTATCGCGCCCATCAATGAGCATATCCAAACCGCGATGGAAGACGACGATCGCGCTGGCGCTACGGGTCCCTGGGTGGCGCTGCTGGGGTTTAGTCGAGGAGCGCAGATCGCTGGAAGTTTGATGCTTCGCCAGCAGCAGCAGCAGCAACAGCAACAAAAGCAACTACAGGACACTCCGGTCAAGACAGCCCTCGAGGCCGGGACACCAACAAACTTCCGGTTTGCGGTTCTCATGGCTGGACCAGCGCCCTTGATCCCGATGACGGAAATAATCGATTCTGGCGACACCGACAAAGTCCTGCTGCGGGTCCCAACCGTCCATGTATACGGGCGAAATGACTCTGTGCTCCGCCCCTTCAAGCATCTTTTGGACTCCTGTTGTGCGCCTGACAGTATCCGGAAAGTGGAGTGGGACGCAGATCACCAGGTTCCGCTCAAGACGGTGGATGTGGATGTTGTGGTGGGGGCAATTTTGGATGTGGCTCGGCAGACGGGGGTGCTCCACAATAGCACCGGAGAGCAAGGGACTGTGAGTGTGGATATCTAGGTTGGCTGGCTGGTGCAGGGTGTTCGTAATCGTATGACAGTGGACCTTATTGATGGAGACCTATTGTACCTACAGCAGAAAGTTGTTTTGTATTTTGCTCTAGGTAGACCAGGTAGTGTACCCAAGTACCTACCAGTCGTCTCTTATGCTCTATACAGAACAATGATCATGAACAGATGAAATAATTTCCTGCTAACTAGACAACCCTTTGATGACTAGCTAGGTAGCATACAGGTTGTAGTAAACGAGGAAGGTGAGGGAGGCGTCCCAGAAAGGCCGTAATAGACGGGAACTGCGCACGGCAAGAACCATCTCCGCCCACGGCTGCTCAGCCTTAGGTACCGTATGTATGTATCCAATTGCATATATATATGGATACACCTTAATAAGTACTACTGCCATATGCATGTACCGGAGTAGACTGGTACTAGTAAGTACTCATACTAGGTACTACGGTAGCTGTCAAAAAAAAAAAAAAAAAAAAAACCCCTCAACTAAACAGCGGACTGAAACTCTGTGTCAACAACATTCCTACTGATCGTGTATCACAGGATCCAATTCCCACAGAGTACAATACGTACGTACGTCGGTATGTAGGCATGTCCATCAGCAGATAATACCAGTATCTACCGGTAGTTGCCTACATACCCACCTACCTAGGTAGCGGTCAAGAGCCGCACAGACAGATATCTAAGATATGTCATAATCGTTAGTTAGCCTGGGTATTGGGTTAAGTTGCGGAGAAGAAACATCACATCACATCACATCCCTAGGTAAAGTGGATAGTAGCGAAAACATAAAAAACATGACATGTCTGTTTTGCGGTTTTGAGTAGGTAAGTAAGTAACTACTACCTAACTACCTCATTGGCCTTAATTTCCCAGATCGATCGACGCATCGCCATTGAGGCAACTGCCGGCGCAGTACGAGATAGGTACGTACCGTACGTAACCACCCATGTTTATACCTGTATTTGAGCTGTGTGTTTATTCTCCGAGACGGCAGTGGCTAGGTAACGCACGGACGTACTTAGGTTTACCTAAGGTAGTTAGGTTCTCGGTAGTAGATAGATACTTGGGTATTAGGTAGGTGGGTAGGTAAGTACATGGAGGCTGCCCACCGGATGATTTATCCAAAGTGGTAGTTCCATGCACCTGGGATTGCCTTTCTCCCTATTCTACGGAATGCAGCGGAGCTTACTGGTTGACAGGTTGCTCCACTGGCCTGCTGGTCTGCTGGAGCCTGGAACCTGGAACCTGGAACCTGGAACCTGGATGCCTAGGTACCTAATCTACATACCGACTTGGGTAAGTGCATGATACTCTAGCAGCCCCCTGCCCGTACATAGTAGCCACCTAATAGTGCAGTTTTGGGGATGCAGAAAGCCCAGACCTCATAGCTGAGCGAAAGAGTTTCAGCCTGACGCAATCTTGTATGCCTCTGCACCTATCACGGAAGATTCAGGCACAGCAACGGGGTTTAGCATGCGCAACTGGGCCCCGTGGCAGCCGAGAACATATATGACTACGGTTCCCAGGAGAGAGAGACCCGCCAAGATGGTGACGCTATGGCTGATGCCCATTTTATCGTACATGCAGGGACTGTCCATGATAAGGACGGTAGGTGGATGGAGGAGCGTGCGTTTCAGACGAACAGAATAGGACGATGGTCGTGAAAATCACAGCGGGGAGGGCCGGGAGGAGGGTGTCTTTGTGAGGAGGATGTTCAGGGCTTCAACCAGATGGCATTAATATAGGACGTGGGTAGTGACTGCGATGACGGAGCTGATTAAACATGCCAGGAAGCCGAGGCTGTAGTCGATGGGATCATGCCGTAGAAGCCTAGATACACAGAGGGAAACCTCGGAGATGAGTAGAACACGGCGTAGAGCAACGAGCGGTACAGGCATAAAAGTCCGATGGCCGGGCGGTTTACAGCGGCGGACAGGCGCGTTACGAAGAGTGCTCCGGCGGAGCTCGCGGGCACGATGAGGTCTGGCTGCCCGGCAAGGTGGAATAGACGGCGTGCTCATCGAAGTAGGATGGTGTCGTGAGAGGTCTCGGGAGGGAGCAACACGAGCACGGGTGCAGCACCAGCAGGGAGAGGAAGCTGTCCGAGATACCCAGAATGCTCGAGAGAAGCACGAACATGGCAAATGGGATAACAAATGGGATAATGAAGGGTGGATTTCAGCCGACGAAGGCCAGCTCGCTGAGCTGGGGCGATAGGAAAGTGCCAGTGCCGCCTACTTTAAAATTGAACATGCTGTGAAGGAGCGTACGAGATAGGAGCACTCACATCCGAGGATGTAGAGAGACAGAGCGAGGAAGGTGATTTCGCGCGAGTGGTCGAAATGGCAAGTCCTCATAGCTCGGGATGAAGATGGCCGACCCGCAGTACACCGTGAACGGATACAATCTAACAACGGTTTATCAGGGATTGACTCTTCGTGAGGAGGGAGAGGGTGTACAACAGACTCACGAGATCGCAAAGTCCACCGGGATCTTGTAAACAGCGGACCAGGTCTGCGAAATTCTGCATCCTAAGTCCTATTCCATGCTGGTATGATGGGCTGGGAAGCTTTGGGCTTGGGTTCACCAGACCTATCTCTGTTAATAAGCTTATCCAGCACTCGTGCTTCCTCTCGGATATGCTCCCATCGACGTGATTGGAAAGGTTGGATTGCTCGCCCCACCGGAGTGATAATGTTCCACATGTCCAATTTCTGTGAAAGAGAAAGATATGATATGGTGGGGGCAGCTTGCGTATGCACGCACCATTGATTGGCCGTTACCACCAAGGCAAGTTAATCATAGGCATGATCGTGTCTCGCCCTCTATAACAGAGGTTTCTCGCCTCTCGCGTCGAGGCTGGCTGGACTCCCTCCCCCTTGCGTCGTGGAAGGGGAAGCCATCTCCATTTACATCGTTAATCAGCGACAGCCCACTGTGACATGTCGGATATTGCTCGGAAACACCGCAGATCAAGACGCCATTTATCTGCCCTCAATAGTGTATGCAGCATAGATCTTTGGGTAGCACGCAGTTGAAGAGAGAAAAACTCATACTGCGGGCGCTGCGTGCCTTTGGCGCGGAACGGCACAGCGCTGGGGCGATTTGTTGGGGCCGGGTTAGACAGAGATATTTATACAGATCTAACCCGCGAGAGCAACGAAACAGCCATTGCTTCGCTGTACTGGCATTCACCTAGCCCCCCCCACTTCTCTCGCTCTGGCATCTGATGCTGTCTGCCCCGACCACCATGTCCGACAACACACAGAATGCCCATCAAAAAGGGGAACCTGTTGAAGCTGGATGGCTGAAGCGGATCCATTGGCCCAAATTGACCATCCTGGTCATTGTTCCGGCCCTGGCCTTTCTCATGGTTCCATTTGTTCCGCTTCAGGCGAAAACGCTCGTCCTCTCAGTAGTGTATTATTTCATCACCGGGATCGCAATCACCGCAGGTACGGCTTTAACTAACCGATCGCCCATACCAGTCCAGTCACTGACTGAGCCACTAGGATACCATCGCCTCTGGGCCCATCGGGCCTATTCTGCATCCATGCCCGTGCGGATCATGCTGGCCGCCTTCGGAGCCGGAGCTGTAGAAGGTAAGGGACCCCCTAATACTTCCGCCCCCTCAACTAACCCTCATCATGCAGGAACAATCCTCCGATGGTCCTCCGAGCATCGTGCGCATCACCGATATACCGACACCGACCAAGACCCGTATAACGTCAAGAAGGGATTTCTCCACGCGCACATTCTTTGGCTAATCCTGCGACACCCGCGCAAGAAAACCCACGTGGATATGTCTGACCTGCATAATGACCCCGTAGTGAAGTGGCAACACGAACACTACCTGCTGGCCATGGCCGTCATGGCCTTCGGGGTCCCCAGTCTGATTGCAGGACTGGGCTGGGGCGACTTTTATGGCGGCTTGCTGTATGCCGGTATCCTCCGGTATTTCTTCGTCAACCAGGCCACATTCTGCGTGAACTCGCTGGCGCACTACCTGGGGGAGCAGCCGTATGGGGACGGACGCTCCGCACGGAACCATCTGGTCACGGCCCTGATCACCTTTGGTGAGGGGTACCATAACTTCCACCATGAGTTTCCGGGCGACTATCGCAATGGCATTGAGTGGTATGACTATGACCCGACGAAGTGGGTGATTCGGGCGCTGGCGGGACTGGGATTGGTGAATCGGATGAAGCGGTTCCGGCAGAACGAGATTGAGAAGCGACGCGTGCAGCAGGGCTATAAAGCGTTGGAGAAAGAGCGTGCCCGGTTGGACTGGGGGCCTGAGCTCGGGCAATTGCCGGTGATGGAATGGTGCGAGTATCAGGGTGCAGTGAGGACGGGAAAGGCCCTCTTGGTGGTGGAAGGCGTGGTTCATGATGTGTCGGGCTTCATGGCGGAGCATCCGGGCGGGGAGACAATGATCCAAAGAATGCTGGGGAAAGATTCGACCTCCATGTTCAATGGTGGTCTGTATGCCCATTCGGACACGGCGAGAAATGTGTTGTCCACGATGCGCGTGGCAGTTCTCCGTGGAGGTGGTGAGGTGGAGGTTTGGAAAGATCATGAGGGATTGGGTATATCTGGCGAAAGCCGATAGGCAGTTCGTCTGGTGCAAGGATATTTTTCTGCATTTTGATGTCAGCATGAGGCTTCTGTTTGCAAAATCTGAACAGACCCGAGATTCAACCATTAAACCACCAACTTGTTTATGCACCAGGCCCAGTAACCGATTGCCCAAGATTTGTCCTTCCCATAGAACTTCTCTAACGGCGAACCGCTAGAGGATCTGATTGTAGGTTGCGATGGAAGGATGGAAGGGTGACCGGCGAAAAGGATGTGTGTGACCCTCGATTTACCATCCCGTGGCTCTTGACGCGATAAACATAGCTGTGCGTGGCAGCCTCACCAGTCAGGCAATTATTGATGATATGTACAGCGGCAGCTTCACAGATCAAGTCTTGGAGACTGCATACGAAATATGAGGACATGAAATGTTGATCAAAAAGATCTCCTGATCCGGGGATGAAGTATAGATTTGGAAAATGTTGGCGGAGAGAGCGTACCGAGCATATACACAATTGGCCTAGTCGAATGTAAATCACGCTGTTGCTTTGATTTGACTAGTTGTGTATACCGAAAATGGTGTAAATATGGTTACTCGTCTTTGGACTAATTGCAGGTACTTTCGACTGTGGGCTGATTCCACAAGTCGATATCCACCAGTCTCTGGGTAGGTTAGACTGTTGCCCCTTAAATCCTATATTCCTTGTACAAAATAGCTTATATAGTAAATCACAAACACTCTGATGCGCTCTGCATGCCCAAGCCAAATACCAACAGAAGTGGCTGGAACAACCTCCCCCACGGCCACCGTAGTCGAAGCTCCCTGATATTATATACCCGAGGCAGCCCAGGTAGTGAATAACAAAACAAAAACGATTCACTGAATACCTGAAGCCACCTGGCAACAAAGCCCACGACCGTACCGTCTGTCTGTCGCCCACAAATTTCCAAACCGTTACCCACCACACAACCTATCTTCCAACTCCCCTCCCATAGGAGGTCGCTCCATCCTCATCCATCCTCATCCATCCTCATCCATCCTCATCCATCCTCATCCATCCTCATCCATCCTCATCCGTCCTCATTCGTCCAAAAAGCCCCACCTACTACTACACACCACTATGGCAGACGCAGCCAGCTGCAACACTTGCGGCAAGTCAGCATCCAGCGAGCTGACCCTGAAACGCTGCGCCAGATGCAAGACGAAGTGGTACTGCTCGCACGACTGCCAGAAAGCAGACTGGAAGAACCACAAGAAGGCCTGCGGCAAGAGTGGCACTGATGGGACCCCAAACAATGACAACAACAACAACAACAACAAACCCACTGCGGAAGATGCCACCCGTCGATATACCACCCCCCGCCCCAAGAACCTGGAAGTGTTTATTGAGAAGCCCTTCCACGAGCTGCACAGCAAGACCTGGCTTCACAACCGTCCGAAGAACGATGTCTACAAGCTCCTAATCGACACGTACCGTATGAAGATGGATGATCAATACACCTTCGAAGGCGAAGTTGACGTAGACTGCGTTTATGGGGGTAAAAAGGACAGTCGCATCGGGTTCCGCCGTTTCTTGAGAATGGTGGAGAACAAAAGCGAGTTGCTTCCTCCCTGGTGGTCTCCTGAGCATACTCAGGCGTGTATGGCGTTCGGGTTGAGGCGACAGGCAGGTGACATGTTGAGTATGCTGGCTTGTGCTGTTGAAAAGAGCGATATCATTGAGCACTACGATGACCGTTTTATGCCGATGCAGTTGAGAATGTTCGGGGAGCAGATTTATGGCAAAGGACCGGCCGGACACTCTGGAGCGGCAATGCTCGCGTTCCAGATGATGATTGAAGAAAACGAAGGAAAAACCACCGTGGTCACCTGAGACTTGAAGCGCCATGAGGACTTTTGGTAGGGGATGTTAACGATGGGTACGCATTTACAAAAAATATGGACTCAAAATGTTGATTAAATGACTCTTCTGAACCAAGAATACAACACCAAGAATTTTATCCACAGAATCAATTGTATCCCCAGTGCCTTCTTGTCGTTTCCCCGACGGGACTGCGTTGTTAAGCCGCGATGGCTAAGGTCGCCGATGCGGATTGCTCTGTGTCGGGTAGTAATGGCTATACAAGGCATTGCCATGATCCCACAGGTCCGTGGGATCATATTCGATCTCATGGCCCTGTCTTTCCAACTGGAAATACCGGGGCGCAAAAAATTGTAGCGTATCCGCCCGAATCTGCCAGGGAATATTTAGTGAACAGGAGTTCTCCTCTGATCTTAACAAAGACCAGTATATTAATGAGCGGCGGGCCCAGACTCATACTGCCATGGGTTCTTCTGTTAGCAAAGTTGACATATATCATATTCAAACTAGTGCTTACGATTGATTCCAATGTGGACTGGTGAACCATAACTAATCCTGGTTCCCTCTCCCAAATTTACAGTATCGCTGTGTCTTACAAGGAACAGTGATGTGATGATGCTCCAAGTATAAAGTCCGCATACAGCCCCACCAAGCCGTGCCATCAGGCCAATCAAACGCCCCATATCCCCATTCGAGGACGGACCACCATCGGGATCCAAAACGGGTCTAGTCCGCCCTCATAGAGATGCCCATTCCATCTCGTATACTTAACCCTCCACCTTCACCACCACCAACTCAACCCCCCCCCTTTCTCCCCATGGAACTACCACACAACAATTTCTTCGTTCGATCAAAAATGTCCCCTCCCACCATCCCCCTCCTCCAAAACCACCCGTACACCCTCCCCATCGGCCTCGGCTTCGGCAGCCTAAGCGGCTTCTACGGCCCCCCGGGTCCGCTGGAAACGCGGCTCGCCCTCCTCGACCACGCGCACGCCAATGGCCTCCGATTCTGGGACCTGGCGGACGTCTACGGCGACAGCGAAGACCTGGTAGGCGAGTGGTTTCGCACCCGACCCGGAAAACGGGCGGATATCTTCCTCGCGACCAAGTTCTCGTTGCAGCGGCAGGCGGATGGGAGACATACCTTCCGGTCTGATCCCGAGTACGTGAAGATAGCGTGTGAGAGGAGTCTGGAGAGACTGGGGGTTGAGTATATTGATCTTTATTACTGTCACCGTGTGGATGGGGTTACGCCCATTGAGAGGACGGTAGAGGCGATGGGGGAGTTGAGGAGGTGTGTATTTCCCCCCTAAACCTTTGCGTATAAGTACATTCGATTCGTTCTTCCTGGCGAGGTTTCTTTTACTCGAGGCCGTTGGTAGACTTGCTCACTTAAGAAACCTGAGACTTCATTGGATATAAACCCTCATCTGATCGATCAATATACTGACGGAATATTCCAGCGCCGGCAAAATCAACCACCTCGGCCTCTCCGAAGTCTCCGCCTCAACTCTCCGTCGCGCGCACGCCACGCACCATATCTCTGCCCTACAGATGGAATACAGTCTCTTCACGACAGACATCGACAGCCCTGGTTCCTCAATCCACGAAACCTGCCGCGCCCTCAACATCCCCATCATCGCATTTAGCCCGCTAGGCCGGGGCGTTCTCTCCGGCCAATTCACCTCGCACACTGACATTCCCCAGGGCGATCTGCGGCGCGGATTGCCAAAGTACGCCGAGGAGAACTTCCCGCAGATTCGGGCGTTGGTGAAGGGGTTGGACGATGTTGCGGAGGCGCATTCTTTACCTGGGCCTGGTGGGGAAAGGAGGAAGGTTACGGCGGCGCAGGTGGCGTTGGCCTGGTTGTTGGCGAAGGGGCAGGAAGGAGAGGGAGCGGGGGTGATTCCTATCCCCGGGACGAAGTCGGTGGAGAGAATGGATGAGAATGCGGGAGCGGTGGGGGTGGAGTTGAGTGAGGCGGAGGTGAGGATGTTGGGGGAGTTGAGGGGGGACTTGGATATCAAGGGGACAAGGTATTCGGCTGCGTGAGTTCCTTTTTCCTTTTTTGCCCCGCGTTGTTCATGTGAAGTGGTTTGTTTTTTTTTTGGGGGGTCCGGGTTGGGTTGAAGTGTTTTAGCTAACTATTTGGGTGTATAGGGTGATGGCTACGCTTTTGTCGGATACGCCGGAGTTGGAGTGAGTGGTGGATGCGAGACAGTCGGGAAGAAATCTGAAAGGATAAGACGTTATTCAAACTAACTCACATAATAAAGTAACAATTATATACTGTTTTGTGTCAGTAAAGATTACCCACATACACAACCACACGTATCCCAATTAGAGACAATTTACACCAATCAAGAAGGCAAAAGAGTAGAGTAGAGTACCATTCAACATCTACAAACCAATCTGCCAAATCCCAAACTTAATCCCAAGCCCGCCCTCAGCCACAACATAACAAAACACAACAACACAATCATTAGATATTCCACATCCATTCTCCCTATCTACCTACCCTACCTACCACCTGAACCTAAAAGAATGGATAAGAATATGAATACTGTACTTGGTCCAATCTCAGTTTCAGTGAGCAACAAACAAAAAAAATGCCCGCGTATGTCAGAAGCAAATATCAACATCCAACACCAAGTCATGCTTTAGCAAGAGAAGCAAAGCAGTGTATCAAAGGCCAAGAAAACAAAACAAAAAGGAGCAAAAAAAAAAAAAAAAGAAAAGAAAAAAGTGGCACATGAAAAAAAGAGGATGGGGTAATAGGTACTAAGCCAAAGGATCATTCATCGTTATCGTTATCAAAAAGCAAACGCAAAAGGCAAGTTGGAGGAAAAAAAATAAGGATATGTATGCATTCCCCCGGTAACCTGCCTGCAGGTGGTGTGAACCTGCTCAGTATGTCCCTCGGTGTGCCATCCAAAAGTCGTCGCGGGGGAAAGCACTTGCGACGGGTAACGCCAAATGGTATCGATTATTCCAGATATGGGAGCTTAATGGCGTTTATATTTCTACGAAGGTATTAGCGTCTTGTTCACACATAAGAGTCCAGCTGTAAAAAGTCGCAACTTACATCTTCCATCTTCCGCCGATTGCTAGGATCAAGGGTATTTCCAGCCCCGAGCAGCGTCTGGCCAACAGCCTTAGAGACCCCAATCGCTGGCCGGAGAACCACCGTGGGGGCATGTTTCCAGACAGCTTTGGCAGCCGCCTTGGCGCTTCCACTCTCAACGACCTCCAAAGGCACGGCAACAATGGCGTCGCGAGCCAAGATCAGATCCCGCTCCAAGCCTCGGAAAGCGCCACGCAGGCCCTGAACAACACCCACGGGCTGGTCCGCATACAAGGAGATGGTCTTGGCCTCGTCGTCATCACCGGACTCCTCTTCGGCACCGGCTCCTGATGCGTTGGGGGTTGTCAACAGACCCTCTGCGCCCTGCAAGACCGTCTGTGTGCCGATAGCGAGCTTGGCACCCAGCTTGACAATCTCGTTTGATGTGGTTTTGGCGAACGACACGGCGCCCTTTTGCAGACTCCGGACGATGCGACCGTCTTTCCGGTACTCGCGCACCGGGATCATCACAAGGTCCTTGACGCCACCACCGACATTAACCAGAGACTTGATGGGAGCAAGGCCAGCTAACACACCGGGGAGCTGGTTGTTCTTGATATCGGGCATCCAGATGTCGTTGAGCGCCTGTCCGAGCTTGTCGAACCCCGACACCCCGTAGATGATCACGTGACGCATGACCATTTTGGCCTCGTCCAGAACGAAGAAATTCATGAATTCGGTGGTGCGACCGGACCTAAGCCCCGCGTAATCCACCCGCTTGGGCTTGAAGTCGAGCTTGACAGGGATGGCATTGACCTCGACTCGTTGCAAGAAGGGGATGTCGCCCGGAGTGCTCGGGGTAGGCGCGGAATCGTCTCTGAACTCGAAGAAGCGGCATATGAAATCCAGCGCGTCTTGGTCGACGTGCAAACGTAGAGGGAGGATGGTCGCCTTCAATACAATCTCAGACGCCGCAAGCTCAGGCACAGGCCTGACAGTCAATATCTCCAGATGCAACATGCTGGTTCCGCTCTCCTTCTCACCAGCTTCATGCATGTAAGTTGCGAACTTCTTCCACGTCGAGGTGGGCACATGATCGAAAACCTCCAGGTCTTTGATACGGACATCCAGAGAGCTCTGCGTTTCACCAGAATCAGGCGGGAATATGACCAGGTCCGCACAGATACCCTTGAGTTCAAACGTCATCTTATGAGACTTGCTTCGAGAAAGACGCAGCTTCTTCCCCCGAAGAGACGGCGACTGGCCTTGTCGAACCGTCGCTCCAGTGACAGTCGTCGTAGTCGCGTAGCTCCCTGTTTCACTGACAAGATCATCAATGTTACGATTGATATCCGTTCGAAGTTCACGAGGATCCTTGTTGGCGGGAATGCCGATGTAAATCGAGTTGAACAGACAGTCTCCAATAACTGACTCCTCTTCTTCATCGAAACTGGGAGACGCACGGCTACCAACTCGTGCGCGCCGTTCTGTAGCCTTCCGCTCCACGTCCTTCACAGCCTTTGAGATAGTATCCCTTGTACGCTGCCAATCATAGCCATCGAACAGGTTCCAAATGACGTGGGCATCCCTTACTCTGATTCTCAACGGACTTCTTTGGAGCTTCGAGTCATCCGAGAGCCCGTAGGTATTCTCCGTGGAGTCCCATCGGTGCGCAGTACCTCCAACGGCCGACTGCTGTGCAAAGTGATCCTCACGGAAGTCGAGCTCAGAAATACTGGACGACACATAGTACTGTGAATGGAAGCTATCAAGAAGGTCGTTTGAGCCCGACGCCATCATGCCCTCGTTCTGAGATCCGTGCTCTGAGCCTGTCACATGCTGAAAATCGCTGACATATTCGCGCTCGTCCTCAAGATGCCCCTCTCTCTGGACTTGGCCAGTAGAATCGGCGGTCATCCCAGACTCATCTTCCGGCACATCAGGCACAAATGCATCCATGGTGAAAGACGACAGCATATCCCGCAGGGGAAGAACCTCGGTCCGGTACTTCTTGGCGACACTGGGAGGCGTCGGAGGCTGGAGCCCATTGACGATGCCGATAAGCGTCTGCGTCGAGTCGGCACAGGTTTCCAGAATCAGCAAATCGTTCTTCACCTCCACGTCAAGAGATTTGGTCCCATCATCGCTCAAGCGCATTATCCGCACAGTGGCCGTGGCCGAAGATATTGAGCAGACGGGTACGAAGCCCTCATCGATGAAGAGCCGCACTTGGTCGCTTTGTGGAGGGGCAAAGCTCCGTCGGTGTAGATTATCCGTACATCCCACATTTTGCACATCGTCGATAATCATTATCGACACCTTTCGCAGCTTAAGACTGGCTTCGGAAGACACCAGATCATGTATCGCACCCGAAAATTCTGCGTTTGTCAGAACCACCAGACCTTTTGCTGAGGTGCCCCGCGGGTTGAGACCAAGAACACAGTCCCGCAGGTCAACCGTCAGCTTGAGAGGCTTTGAGGGAGGCTCAGGGTGGGTCGCCTTTGTTGATGTCTGGTTGCTTGGCTCAGGTTGCAATTCCGCAAGGTTGGCCAGGGAGTTGGCCATATTGGCAGCCACGTTTCCTGTCGTTATTTCGTCGCTGAGTCCGAGGAAAGCAATCATGGATGGAAGTGTATATTCCGCGCGGAAGTTGTGTAACTTGATCTTGATCGTGGGGTCCATCTCATCAGCTATGTAGCGGGCCATTAGCACCGGAAGGCTTTGACCCTGTCCCCGATTTGTCGGCGATGCATCACCCACAAGCTCCTCGTTGTCGTTCCTTACCACGGCGATGGAACCCAGCTGTGCGGCAATGAGCGAGGGGAGGCTAATATATGCTGCATCGGCCCTCCGAAGACTCGCAGTAATAACACCAACTTTGCCGCCGACGTGCACCTGTACTTCTAGCTCACGAATCATTGTAAGGGTCAGGATCCCAGGGCGGTCGTCCTCCGGCAAATATTTCGCAACGTTGGACAGCTTGCCGAGCTCCTCTCCTAGCTGAGCAAGCGGGCCTAACTCGGTGATTCGGGCGACGGCAACCTTTGCTCCGGCTACTGTAACGCGAAGGACTGAGCCTTGTCTCCGCTGTCGGAATAGCGTGTCCAACATGATATCGTCGTCTTCGTCGTACTTATCCTTCGATGGGGTGATCAATCCCAGAAGACGATCCAAATCGGGTTCTGTCGGAGCGTCCAGGAACTCGATCCTGATATCATTGAGATTTATCTTAGCGGGTGCGTCACGAGAATCATCTAGAGGCAGTGGGCCGGTCAGCTTCGCCTTGTCTATTTGAACCGCTAACCCTTCAGGCCGTTTGATGACCTTGACGGCTGTCGTTCTCAGCTTGATGTAATGATATTCTCCAACAACGTCAAGCGCAATCCCGCCAATACGGGCATTTATTTTCAAAGGTGTCGACGAAGACAGTGGGGCAGCCGGGGGAGGGAACTCCTCAAAGTGCACGCCACGAGGGCGCTTTGGCACGTCCTTTTTCGGGCTCTTCCCGGTCGAGACCGAAGAGATTGAGCTTCCGAGTTCCAGGATGGTGCTCAGACCACCGACCCAATCTACAACCTCTTCCAAGCGCTGGATATTGAACTTGAACTGCAGAGGGAGTGTCATTATGACCACTCTCGTTGAATCAGGCGACTTCGTGACAGAAAGAGAAATGTCTCCATGTGTCGGTGATAGAACATCTCTGGTAGACTCACGCATCTTGAGGTCTTCGCTAAACGATATCAGATCCTCAGAAGCAAACCCGAGAGTGAATCTTGTAACTCCCAGCTCCAATGTTGTTACATCTTTTTCGGCTAGGAAATGGGCCTTCAATCCGGAAACAGAAGCTTGCAACAAGATATCTTCGCGTGGCAGCCCAAAGAACTTTGAACTGTGGTTTTCAGCAGAATACGTTTGCTCAGGGACGTGGTCAACAAATTTGATGGAAAGGCTTTGAAGACCAAATTTGAAGGCCTGTCGTTCTTGCACCTGTGGGCGACTCTTCTTGGTACTGCTAGCAGTATCGTTTCCAAATGATTCGAGAAACCTCTGCCCAATTTTTATGACAAGCCAACCGATAGCGATATCGAATTGGACTTGTACGGAGAATATCTCAACTTCAAGGTCATATGAATTGTGCTTCAGCTGTGGAGCTTTCTCGTCGGTGTGTGTACGTGGGAATCTAGCCCCAATGCCCTCACTTCCAGGATATGACCTTATTGTATCACTGCGGATTCGAGTAGAGGCGTGTGTACTGAAAGCCGCGAGATCACCTTCAGCCACAGAGTCACGCAAGTAAGCTGTCGATTCCACCATGCTTGAAGACTCTGTTTCTTGGTGGGATTCGGGCGGTAGGTCTTGAACAGGATTTTCATCATTATCGATTGAAGGAATAGTGATCAACACTTTGTCGATGCTGAAGAAGCGCCTAGCAACATGCGGAAGTTTACTTAGCTTTGGCGGACTCTGGGCAGGTTCTTTATCTCCCATTTGACTGTTTTCAAGGGGAAGTTCCTGCGAGAAGTGAGACCCTGCTTGAGCAGTGAGCTTAGGTGTCGCGATGGATTCGTTCTCTTCCTCATGCTCATCTCCTGCCTGATGCGCATCGTATTCATTTGTATAATGCGCGTGTGGGCCTCTTCCCCTAATAACCGTTGACTCTGGCGAATCCCACGCCCCGGGGATGTTCGGGATGAAACTTCTGGACATAGAATCATGGCTGACAGCACTCATATACATACTCTGCGCCTCCTCGTTCGAAAATAATCTTGATTCGGAAAGCTCCTCCGGGTTGAAAGACCCAGACGTTGAACTTGAGCTACCGGCTTCGGAAGGAGGTGAAGGAACACGTGTTTCGACCTGGGTATCTTCATCTGGTGTCGAATCCTGGGCGATATCCGGGCTGATCCCCAACAACTCCGGTTGGGGGACAGCTGTGCTAGTATCCGGAAGATGTAGGCTACTCTGAGTAGAGCCACCAACTTCCGGCCGTTGTGGCATAGAGGAAGCACCCATGGAACCATACGTTGCCCTGTCGTATGATACCCTTCTATGAGCGTGCAACTCTGGGCTTTGGGGACGCGGGGTATCGCCACTGCCTAGGACGCGCCGACCAACGTCCGGTCGTAAGCCGTCCAAATCGTCAAGATCATCATCCTGGAGTTGCGAGCCTATCACATCGTCTAGATACGACGGATTATCCAGAATCCTATCGTCATCTGAGAGATTTTGCGATTCCTCCATGTAACCATAGCTCCTGGTCTCCTCTGTGTCGGCGTCGGAGAACCTGCCATCGTAGGTGTACACGGAGCCTTCCATTTCGGGAGCATGGTGCTCTATCAATCGAGAGTCACTGAGACCAGGAGATGGATCAAAAATAGTCGATCGCGTCATCTCCATGGTGGAGCTCCGGTCAGATGAGGGCTCAGGCGGAGGCGGCGACGGCGACGGCGACGCTGGCGGTGACGGCAACGGCGAGTCACGGCTCGGAGCCCGGCTTGTTTTTGGTGGCAGAGATGCATCTGGAGACGGTGGAGCAGCAAACCGTGAATAATTCGAAAAGACGACGGGGTCCGATATCAAGGCAAGATTGATATCCAAAACGGAGATTAATCGCTTCTGTTTCCGTGATGGAGGCCCTTCAGCGCCCGAAGACGACGACACTGCATCGACCTTGACTTGTCCAACACTCAACAACCCTGTGATTAAGTCTGGTTTGTCCTCTGGCTGCCTCCTTAGCGGCCCATCTTGCTTTGTTTCCACATCGACGCGGATGGATATGTCGTCCACCTGAACTTGCAAGCGGTCTGCAACACCCTTGAGGAAGGCGGCAACGAAGCTGGGCAGAGAGACGGTCTCGTTACCGAGACCAAGATCCTCCTCGTCATCGCCGATGAATGCCGAGGATCGTTGTAGCACTTGGGATCGTGACGATATGGCAGCCTGTAGCTCGTCCCTTTCCTCCTTTGGCTCAGCCTCGAGGAACGATTGGGCAAGATCGGCGGGGTTGGGGATGATCGGATCGGTGCTTGCATCGTCTTTAGGGTCAGGGTTGAATGATTTCTCGCCTGGCCCAGGATGATGTGTCTCTTCCTCGGAAAGTAGCCGTAGATGTACGTCGATGCCGCTGGCCTGGCAGATGATACCGCTGCTGTAGATATCGGCGGGGACGGTGATTTTCAGGAACTGGACACGGGCGCTTAGGAGTTCACTGGAAGCAGGAAGGTGAAGCAGGGTGGCTAGTTTCTGTTTGGAACCGAAAAAGGGATTAGCATTTGACGCACCCCGGGGGCCAACGGTGAACAGCAGCAGGGTGGGACCGGTGACGATGATGGGCACGACGCTGTCTCACTCACCTCGAGCCTCAAGCCAATATCCCGTAGTTCGACGGTACTTCGCTGCCCCCATCGGATTCCCAGGCTATCGAGATCCAAGGCCTCGGTATCGACGATCTCCAGGCGAGATAGAGCATATCGCAGCAGTCGTTTCTGGAAGAACGAGGGCAAAAAGTAGGCCATTTTGGGGGGGGGCAAAGGAGCCGGGGGGGGCTCATTTGAGGAGGGCAGGTGTCATCTGAAGCAAAACATAATAAGGCGGCAGTGAAAGGGAGAAGGACGAGGGCGGCGGCGAGCCTGGACAGGCACCAGCACAGCAGGCACAACGATGCGGGCTGCGGAGGGTTGCTGAAGAGTCGGGGAGGATGACGTTCGGGGATGGAGGCGCTAGTGAGGAGAGGCCGAGAGAGAGATAGCAGCGTTGATCAACCGCAACAGTCAGGCGGAGCTTGGGCCGGGGCACACCCCAAATCACACCATGACAACTCACACCTACGTCGAACTTATCGAACTTATCGCTTCATCGATCGTGGGTGTCGCACACTCAACCGGAGGAAGTCCAGTCCTGCACTCTTACTTGAGGGGGCACCCGTCGAACCATGGCCTGCGATGCAATCCCCAGTGTCGGGCTCCCAACAGCCGCGAACTCTAACGGGGCACGACAAAAGCAATCAAAAGACTCCGCCAGCCGGTGCCGGAATGACCAACGAAAAGTAAAAAAATAAGAAACGGCATCAAGGGGGACTAGCAACGGTCGTCATGCTGCAGGGCAGTGGGCAGGCAGAGTTACTCTTGACTCCTGATCGCGGTGGCTCGTGGATAAAGACGACTCTTCGCCTGTCATTCGCTCCCTTCGCGCCCCTTCAACTGCTGCCCCCCTTCCTGTGCTTCATCCATCCGCTTCCAAACCAGTCTGCCAATAATTGCACGCTGGCGGTAATCAATCTGCAATCCACCCCGGACCCCTCCTCGTGCCTCCTCGTGCCTCCTCGTCTGGCCAGGAACGAAACGAGACCGGTCACATCGTGCACAACTCTGTGCAGCTTACTCATCTATATGTGACTACATTCATATGCGCGGGATTCCTAACTTGTGCACTGGCATAATTACACAATTGCACAATTGCATAACTGTTACGTTATCATTCCATCTAGCACAATCAAACGGCTTCATCGACTTCTACCTCCGGAAACCGTTGCGTCACCCACTCGCAAAATTTCTCAAACTCCGCGTACCATTCTTGCAACTGCTTGGCCCTCATCCCCTCACCCAGGATCCCTTCCCGAAGGTCACATAGCCACTCGCCCGTCGGCTGATCCTCGTAACAGCTCCACCGGATCGAGTTCTCCACCATCATGGCCAGTCCCGCGAGACCCATACTATCAAGACCCTGGATAGCTTGCCAGAACTGCCACGTCAATGCGCCGGTACTGTGTCCAGGAAGGCCCGGCGCATCGGCACCGAGGGAGACGGAAACACCCCGGGATAGTAAAACAGAGAGCGGATGGGTCTGGATGCTGTCTGTGAATCCAAAAATCTCATCGGACAGCGGGCTGCACTCCACCAGGATCTTCTTCTCCTTGATCAGATCCATCAATAATGGGTGCTTGTGCAGCGAAAGCCCTTGGCATATTCTTCGAGACCCCAGCAGGATGGCATCGAACAGGCCTTGATCTGCCTCGTCTTCATTTCGGAGAGACTCCCCGGCGTGGAAGAGGAACGGAATCTCCACTCCTTCTTCAACAGATTGCTTGCGGAACCAAAAGAGTATGGGAACCAGATCGGTGAGCGGCCTCTCATCTCCCTCCCCTACTATATCAAACCCGCAGATCACCTCTGGATAATCGCACTTTGCCAGGATACATTGTGTCATATCCTCAACGAGGTCTCTGTTTGATAACGAGCGCCGGCTGCTCCATATAATGCGTGCTCCACGAAACCCCTGCCCGACGTCCGTTTCCCGGAATTGTGCAAGCTCCTCCTGAAACACATGACACCATGCGCCGTAGTCTTCCTCTGGGACCTCCTTACTCTCCTTGCGGTATGGGAAGTTGAAAGTATTTCTCAACTCAACGTATCCTATCCCATCGTTTGCAAGATCAGTGAAGACCTGTTTCAAACATGAGCGCAAAATGGGCTCATAGCTCAGCAGGGAGTTTACAATGGGCATTGTGCGCCTGTGGTAATCCGAATAACCTGGTTTTGGCGTGCATCGGCCTTTGAGCCACACTCGAAACCCTTCTTCTCCCCCATTTGGGAACGAAGACGCTGCGCTCTGCAGTAGGACAAGGCTCGAGGGCTTGTATGTAGCCGACCACATCGTAGGTTGGTCTCCAGTGTCCTTCGTCGTTCCTAGTGAGTATTGGAAGGCAAACGACGCGTCAGTCGAGTCACCCGGAGCTGCCAGATGGCGGTCCGCATAAACGTGAATACCCGGGGTAGAGAACGCCAGGTCGATCAAATAGTCCACATTGACTGCGGCGTGTAACGGCGCATGCAAAAGAGACCCCTTGGGGAACTTTCGCATGACCTCCCACAGGTCGGTCGACTCTATCTTCTCTTTATCCAAAGAGAGAAGGCCTGCATGTCGCGCTGTGGGTGTGGATGGCAGGGCATCCTGCTCATTCGAGCCTGGGGAGCGCACGTGGTGCAGCTCCCGGTCGCGGATCTGGGAGATGATCTTGCACGCCCTGGCTGCTGTCGGCGGCAGAGCCTTGCGAAAATTGAAGTCTAATCATATACTAAAGTCAGTCCCGTCCAATCTCTTCCGCTCGGAAGACTGACCGTGTCGCTGCTTTTGCTCCTGCAGGATCAGCGAATCGCGACCCCTCAGGTATTGCTGGATGAAAGGATCCTGAACCTGGGGGATGCCTTCCTCGAGTTCCCATGCCGTGTCACTGGACGCCATGATGTGCTATTCGAGAGTTGCGTGTAGATCAGGTGGAATTCAAACGCCAGTTGTTCTGCAAGGGGCTCAACCAAGGCGATTCAGGAACTCGTCCGCGGCCGGAAACAATGAGATCATCGTGCCCCGCTTGGCCGCGGCGGTGGTGGTTCGCTACCCGATCCGGTGACGAACTCTATCCCACCACGATTCAAGCTCGGGGAGTCATGTTTGATCGTTGAGGAGCTTGTCGATCATTGATAAGAAGATGGAAAAAGCATGAATACCTTCTTCCCTTCTTCACAACTCGTGACCTAAGTCATACATATTTCTCAACATCAAATTGCATATATAGTACTATATATACTATATACTTACTTATATATAGTATTGTCGCCCGACACCGAGATTGCTACTAGTACTTTATCTACCCCGCCCAGGTAACATTCCTGACTGTCGATCCAAACCAAAAACACCGAATGCGTCCACAACCCATCCTAACTCCCATCAATGCAACATCCCTATCCAAGCCAACCCGATCCAATACTTTCTATGGTTGGGGTCGACTTCGTGTTGGACTTTCAGGTTGTATGTTTTTTTCTTCTGACTTCAATGGAATAAAATAGAAAGATGTGTATAGAAGTGTGTAGGAGTCGAGGATGGCCAGATCAGGGTGTGATATTCGTGCCAGATGAGTTGAGATGAGACAGATGCCTTGGGCCAATGTCTGATAGGCTGGGGTTGGTTCTCGCATATGCGCAAAGATTCATCAGAGAGAGGAAGAGACGCAGCCAGTACTTTGCTTAGCAGTATGGCGGACTAGCAGGGTTGTTGGAGACACTCACACGGTGTTAGTCGCCTTTGCATCCTTCTTCCAATTCCCGTCTGTCAGTGAGCTTCCGCTTTTCGGCGCCGAGTCCTGACCTACCTGGTTGGAAGCCTGTCTAGACACTAGTTACCTAGGAGTAGGATTTGTTAAGGGGTGTGGGTGAAGTGATACAATGTACTGAGCTGTCGGACTACAACTTTCGACATGCTTCTGATGAAACTAGTATTCACCAGTACAATTTGAAGATAGACCTTTGATAATTTCAAGTACTTGATAGATTGAGTAAGACAAGGGAAGTGGAAAGGACGAGGGAGAAAAGAAGGAGGGGAGGAAAGAGGAAGGAAGATGGACGTGACAAAGCACCTGACTTCACTTCACTGCAGACGCATATTCGGCAGACTCCATCCTCCCGGCTGGAACTTCCGTTTCATCCGCCTGCTCAAAGACACTCTGCTGCGGACACAAGCAAGAAAGCAACAAGTCGGACCACTGTTCCTCAAAACGTCCGAGGCTGATGTGGCTGAAATGTCAGGACAATATCCCGGATGAGTATCTGACCCCCATAGTCGCCTGCCTTGAAAGCCAGCCTTATATATATGATAATATGAGAGTCCTCTCATTTGGATACCACCCAGACTCATCGATCTAGCGGTGGGAACACGCACTGGATGCTACACCTCCGATAAATCCCCTTATTCAATTCGATGCTCACGAATGCGACGCATTTATCAATGTGCCATCCGGATCTACTGAGCGTCGGATATATGCTAGGTACAACTCGACGCATTTCCGTCGGATGCCAGTCAGCACTGACTGCCTTGGTGCGAAATAGGGGCCCCAGGACAACGATGCAGGTAGTAATATAGAGGGAAGCGCAGCGCCCCGAAGGATCCACAGCCTCATCCAGTCACAAAATTCCAGCCATAATGGCGCGAAACACCGTGGCGAGGGCTTGTGTAAAATGAGGGTTGCATTTCCCAGGCAACTAATGGGCTAGTGCTCACCCAAAGGAGCATTTCTTAACAGCTGGATACCATTGTGCGCTGGGTCTAGCTCTAAGAGGTGCGCCCCCTTTTAATCTAGGTTGCTTAACATAGGCCTCTCCACTTTCTATTGGATGTCTTCATGTCAGTTAAAATGGGGCGGGGCGCAATCTAGTCGCCGTGGGATGTCTTCAATTGAGACTTGAGACTTCATGGAACAAGCTACGACTCCCGGGCGTTGCTGGGGGCCTCCTGATGTTGTCCGATGTGCATATATATTATGCTTTGCCGTTGACTTGATGGTTCTGACAGCAGGTTCGCTTGCAAAATATACATTATGTCTTGGTTACTAGAAGTTTGGGCATTGACAACAGCTCTGGCAGCTGCGCTGTCTCAATACAGCACCAATGGTATACCTACAATCTTGCATTATCCAGCGTGGATTGATATCCGCTAACAGTGTGCTTTAACTAGGTCAATCCAAATGGGGGACATTGCCTTCACCAAACCTTCCGAAGTTTTTGGACAACTGTGTATGTGCGCTCGGTCCGTGACTTTCTTGCCCTTGCTGACCTCTCGGCCCAGTCCCTAGTGGATGACACCCCTTGGGGAGACACAGTTCCTGGAGGGGAGCCCCCCAACACCGGGGTGATCAGATATTATGACTTCTCTATCACGCGCGCTTACAAGTCCCCGGATGGATTCAACAAAAGCGTGATTCTGATAAACGACCAATTCCCGGGCCCACTGATTGAGGCCAATTGGGGCGATATGATTCAAGTGACCGTGACCAACAATATCGACAGCGAGGACGAGGGGACTACCCTTCACTGGCATGGTCTTTCGCAGAAAAAGAGTCCCTGGTATGACGGAGTGCCGGGATACACGCAGTGCCCTATTGCTCCGGGCAGCACCTTCACCTACACCTTCCAGGCCGACCAGTTTGGCTCCAGCTGGTATCATTCCCACTACAGCGCACAGTACAACGATGGTCTCTATGGGCCGATGATTATCTATGGTCCCGTCCAGCCCTCGGTGGACTACGACTTTGATCTTGGCCCTGTGATGATATCCGACTACTATCATGACAACTACTACGACACATTAGTTCAGGGATTCAAGAAGCCTCCCATCATTGTACCTTTAGACAACAATCTGATCAACGGCAAGGGCTTCTATGACTGCAACCAGACTGCCTCCGGTGATTGTTTGCCCGGCGCAGGCCTCTCGAAATTCCAAATCGAATCTGGAAAGAAATATCGCCTGCGTTTTATCAATACTGGCTCATTGGCCAATCAAAAAGTGAGCCTTGATAACCACGAGATGACAATTATTGCCAATGATTTTGTTCCCGTCGAACCCTATACTACAAATGTGGTGACTCTGGGAGCCGGCCAGCGGACAGATGTGATTGTGGAAGCAACGGGCAGCGCAACAGATGCGGTATGGTTGCGGGCTGAAATCGACATGCTCTGTCTGAATGAGTCCACCACATATGATACCGCTCTGGCAGCAGTATATTACCAGTCAGCCAACACCAGCAGTGTACCGCAGACCACAGGAACCAGTTGGGAGAGCAACCACTGTCGCAACGACCCTCTGGAAGACACGGTACCCTACTATCCCATCGCGCCCCCAGCCACGCCTTCAACGGTCGACACAGTGAACATTACCCTGGGCTACAACGCAACGGGCTACATCCTATTTTTCGTGGATGGATCGTCCTTCCGGGCCGACTACAACGAGCCCGTTCTCTTCCTAGCGAATCAAAATGTATCCCAAGTCTACCCAACCGAGCGAAACGTCTACGATTTCGGCAACAACACGAGTGTACGCATGATTCTGACCAACACTTTTGCCATGCAGCACCCGATGCATCTTCACGGGCACAACTTCTGGGTTTTGGCAGAGGGTACGGGGACCTGGAATGGAACCATCACCAACCCGTCTAATCCCCAGCGGCGCGATACGCAGATTCTCCAGGCGGGTTCAACCGACGAGCCCTCCTACCTGGTCCTGGAGTGGGAGTTGGACAACCCGGGCGTCTGGCCCCTACACTGTCACATGTCCAACCACGCCAGCGCTGGTTTGGTGCTTAGCATCCTGGTAATCCTCCCTTCCCTCGTTCACGGAAATCCCCGACCGCGACTAACATCAGCATAGGAACAACCCGACTCAATTGCCACAGAGATGAACATTCCCGCAGTCATGCAACAAACCTGCGTCGACTGGGACAAGTTCAGCCACACCAACTACGTGGACCAGATCGATTCGGGCGTTTAATCTGCGCATGGGGGCGGTTTTTTTTCATCCAGAACCCGGGCAACGCCGACGCGAAAACCGCATTGGATGGATTCTGTTACTCTTGTTATTTCCTATCTTATGTCTGTACAATACAGCTTAGCCGGACGTAGACTTGACCCTCCAAAACATTATTCCATAGATCAACAATAGATTTGTCGTTGCATCCAAAGTGGACCCTCAACCCCTCAAGCCCCATATCAAAAGCATCAGTCAGTCCATCGCTACCCTCAACTAAGCAATAAGCAGTAGGCACAGGTTCCAGAATATCGAGCCAATGATCGATCGGTCGGTCGAACCTGGGGGCCAAAAGCCCAAGGAATCCGCCGGTTCTCCCGCTTCCGCCGGTTCTCCCTCCCACTTCCGCCGGTTCTATCGGCAATTATTCCCTAATTAGACACATACCTAGATAGGTACTAGAAAACCTACATATCTTATTCTCAATTCTCCGCTAATTCAAGTCGCCTGCATGCACATCTCACGATGCATACACCTAAGTAGACCAAAACGGTACATCCATTCGTAAGTACTCCCCACCCCACACATAACTAGGTAAAACGGGGGATATAGATACGCCAATATTTTAATATGTAGTCCCCCTCATCGGCCATGTCTCCCCCCCCCAACTCTTCAACCCGAAATCGAAATGAAACTAGGTAGTACTAGTCAAGCCACGGACCGACCCGCCAAACAAACACAACCCCGCGATATCATGGTATCTATCTAAACGGTAATGTAATATCCCCGGCCCGGATGGGCACTAGATAGCAAAGGCGTGAAAGCCCGAAGAGGAAAAGCGGCGTGCGATTGAGCACTTATCTAGTTAGTGTGAGTTGGTTGCAGAGACAAAGAGATTGAGAGTTGGTGATATTAGGCTAGGCTAGGTTAGGGTTAGTGGTTGGTTAGTGGTTTGGTGGTTTGGTATGGGACGGTTTGGGATTCATGTATCTAAGTACTGTAGGTACCTAAGGTAGTAGGACTCGGTGACCAGGAGTGCTAGGACAAGGTCTAGGGGTAGTGTCGATGGGGCTCTGTACTTACATTACAGTAAGGAGTGATTCATTACTATTGGTCTCGGGATTCCCGACAAGAGAAGAGATGTTGATTAATTACCTACAGTAACTACTACCTAGTAGTAGGTTTGTACTTTGGCTGCGTTGGCTGTTTGGTCAGTCGGTACTTTGCAGTGATTGGCGGGGTTTCTGACTGGTGCCTGAATTCTTGATTCTTTTTGTTTCTTTCAGGGGTGGGGGTTTAATTTATAATTAGAAAAAAAGAGGGGGGAGAGAAGTGCTAAATACTAGTACTACTATGAGCCAGAGCCTGGTGGCTTAGCAGATAGATAGATACTATATTCAACTAAGTCCAAGAAGGTAGTAGTTGTACACTCCGCTCAAGATATAAGTATCTGTCTATAAACAGAGCCCATGTAAAAATAACTAAGAATAGAACTGACTCTCTTACAGTAAATTAAGTCCCAAAGAAGGATTAGTTCAACTTGATTAAAATACCCACCCTCGCACCTTCCCAATCCCCAATCCCTCATTTTCGACCGCCGTTTTCGATCCTCATCCAACCATCTCTCCCCACATCCCCATCCCCACCTCAACTTCAACTTCAACTTCAATCCCCCCTCTCCCTAACAATAAGCTCCAACCTCCCCGGCACAGTAGTAAAGTAATCCTTCGCATCCACCAAAACCCTCTCCCCACGGTCCGCATCCGCCCAATCAAACTCAAAATTCATTAACAGCATCGCCAACCCGACCCGAATCTCCATCATACCGAGGTTCTTCCCGATACATTGGTAGTCACCGGCGCTGAAGGGCTGCCATGTGCGGGAATCGAGGACGAGTTCAGGTTTTGTGGAGAAGCGTTCGGGGATGAAATCGTCTGGGTGGGTGAAGGAGTCGGGTCCTGGGGAGTGTATTGTACATGTGGTTAGTGGGTAGGTGGATGGGTTGGTGGGTGGGTTGGTGGGGTGAGGTGAGTGTGGGACGGAGCAAGACACTTACGTCGGAAGAGAGTGTAATGAGGAACGAGAACGGTGGTACCGCCTGGGATGAACGTATCGTGGATATGAATGCCCTCGGGGGGCGTGATACGCAATCCAGCGCAGGGAACGGGGGGGTGTAAGCGCATCGTCTCCTTGATGACGGCATTCAGGTGTGGGAGTTGCTGTAGGGCTCTGTGGCTGTGGATTGTTTCCAGGGCTTTGAGCTCAGCGCAGATCTGTTGGCGGTGCTCCGGGTAGCGGACGAGGTAGTAGAGGACGTTTGTAAGGGTTTGGCGGGCGGCATCACTAAGAATGAAGAATGCACGGTTAGATAGAGTTGGTTCGTGGAGGAAGATGGTTACTCGCCTTCCAGCGGAGAAGAGCAGGATAAAGTCGCCGAGAAGATGGTTCCAGTTGGCGGTGACACCGCCGTTCTCTTGGGCGTCGCGAATGACATGGCTTAGGATCTGGGGTTGGAGTCAGTCTGGGGGATCGGAATGTTTAAATGCTTCGGGGGTTGTAACTTACGTCCTTGTCGTGGGATTTACTCTGTGGACGACGGCGATCAGCAAGAATTCCTGACGTGGGACGTCTGGACATAATATACGTACTTCAATCTTCGCGCGCAATTGCTTCTCCGCCCACCCAGCAAACATCTTGTAGCCCTCCTGCGCGTAGGGGATGGCGTGGGTCAGGAAGTATAACCACGGGGTAGGAGCAATGACTCCCAGGACCGGATGTCCAGCACTATACATATCCAGTGCCAGGTGCTTGTGCTTTTGCAGAAGACCAAACTTGATATTGAAGCCAATGAGTCCCATCAGGTCAAATGTGTAGTATTCCGTCCACTTGGACATGTCAATCGACTTGTTTATCTGCTTTCGCAGCTGATTGACCAGTTCCTGCGCGTGGGCGAAGACTTTAGGCTCCCATACCTCCAGGGCTGTATATATTATTACCGGATGAGGGGAATGAGGGAGTGTGATGGGGCGTACCTTTAACACCTAATCCCTGTGCCCATAGCTTCCGCTTGTGGGTATGAATCTGGGCATTCCGCGTCGTCACAATCGAGACCAGAGGCAGCATCATATCGTAAAATGTACCCCGAGTGCACTTGGACCCTGGCCCATAGATCTTCATGAAGGCATCGGTGGTGAAAAGCATGACCTCGTTGGGGCCTATACCGAGTCAGTTTGCGCCAAACATAGTCCCCAAAACCTACCAGTCCGGACCACATCTCCATATTGATGATGAAGCTGATTGGTATACCGATAATTGTCGGCATGGCGGATCTTCCAGACGTGATGGAGCTTGGTTATGCGCGCCCACAGCGGGCCTGGTAGATGGTGCAGAGGGGAGAAAAATAGTCGGTAAGTGATCATGCTGGTGACAAGGGTACCAAAGTAGACACCGTCGATCTCCAAGGTCTCAAAGATGGCCTCCCGGAGAGGCATCTGTAGGACCTGCCATTGGGCCAGGCTGATGCCGATGGTCGCTGTGAGGTAGAGACGCGCGATGACAGCAGCGTGGCGATCCCGTTCGCCGCGGAGAAAGAAGCATAAGTGTGAGAGAAGCCCAGCAGCACCAGCTACCAATAGCTTCAGCTGTGAGGGAGACAACATGGGGTCAATTAAACACAGGAACAAGACAAGAGTTCGAAGGTGGGAGAAGTCCGCGAAATCTCCCCTCCTTCAACGGGAAATCTTTCAAACCCTTTCTTATCTCAATCAGAGTCCCTCTTTAGAGACCCTGTGGGTGCCTATAGCACTGTCAGCTTAGGTCTGGCCACATCACGGCGGGTCTACCATAAGCACTACCCGCGCAGCGGCAGTGGTATCGTAACCCGTCCCGTACTCGTACCATCGATACACCAGCCCTCTCTCAACTCATAGAGCCGAGGAGAATAGCCAAGATGTGTATGGGAAGAAATGGGGGCCAAATGAGTCGTGTAGATAGATGCAGTTGCACTACCAAAAGCCGAACTTGTTGATTCCCATGCCAGCACCCCTCGTCCTGCGACAGCCTATCAAGGGCTTCTCGCAGGACAGACGGCGAGATGCGAGAGACAGGCTATTTTAACCAGTCGAAGCCCCAGAGTAGAAGTGTACAAGGGCATATCTCTCACGGTGATAATTTTCAAGCTCTATTGAATATCTTCTTGCACCTACCATGTCGCCCAATCCGCCCTCTATTTCCGTCGTCATTGTCGGCGCGGGCCTGGCCGGCCTAATGACCGCAATTGGGCTTCGCCGGGCCGGTCACCAAGTGACCGTGCTAGAAAAAGCACCCGAGCTGGGACAAGTGAGTAGATATATCCCCAATCTTTCACCCTTTACTCATCATCCGAATAGATCGGAGCGGGCATCCAAGTTCCCCCAAACGCGACTCGGATCTTCAAGGCCTGGGGCCTTCTAGACGCCCTCAACGAGGTCGCGGAGGTGCCGGAATCAGCCACTCTGCGCTCATACCGCGGTGAAGCACTATCCAGGATCTCCCTCCTGGAGACAATGGAACCCACCTACGGGACGCCCTATCTGTCAGTGCACCGGGTGGATCTCCACCACCTGCTAGCGCAAACGGCGAAGGAAGAGGGCGCGCAGATCCGACTAGGAGTCGATACCCAAGACATCAAGACAGCAGGAGACCGTCCAGTCGTACAGCTAGCAGACGGAGAGATCATCGAAGCGGATCTCATCCTCGGCGCGGATGGCGAACGCTCAACCTGTCGCCGCATTCTCCTCAACGAGCCGAACATGCTCCGGGACAGTGGTGAACACGTCTACCGAGTGACCGTTCCCATCCCGGAGATCGCCGCAGCGGACGAGGAGCTGCAAAGTCTGCTGAGCCCGCCGCAGATCAACCTCTGGATCGGCCCGGGGGGCAACGCCCTCACGTACCGGCTCAAGCGCGACAACCTCTTCAACGTGGTGTTCATGCAGGAGCACGGGCCCGAGTCGGACGTACCGTTGATCCCTCAGCGCGTCGGCAAGGAGGTCGTCGCCCAAGAGTTTCAAAATGGCTGGGACCCGAAGTTCTGGCGCATCCTGGATTTGACGTCCGTGTGTACCCGGTGGACGTTGCTGGAGAGCGACATCGCCGCGCGCTGGTCGGACGAGACGGGCCGTGTGGCGCTCATAGGCGACGCCGCACACGCGATGGGACCTTATGCGTGAGTTTCCCCTCCGAATCCAGTGTGATCTTGTGACTGCTAACAGACCGAGTGCAGCGGACAAGGAGCAGCCCTAGCCTTCGAAGACGCCGCTGTGCTCAGCACCCTCTTCCAGCGCATGGTCTCCCCCGCGCAAATTCCCGACCTCCTAACCATCTACGAAACCATCCGCAAACCTCGAGTCGAGGAAATGAAGCGACAGGTACGCTGGATCCGCCAAAGACACTCCATGCGGGACGGGCCCCAGCAAGAGGAGCGGGACCGACAACTGCGCGAGCAGGCCCCATTCGCCGGCACTGCCAATTTCCTGGCGGACCCGGTCTTCCAGCCTTGGATGTTTGGCTACGATGCGCTTGCCGAGGCTGACAAGGCATGGAAGACGTTCTCTCGGGGCGAGTTCCCGGGGACTCGCGGGACGTGGAGGGAAGGAGTGAATGGGTCATCATGAGGGGCTTAGTATAGATAGTGAATGGGTACTTTCCTGGTTTTAGTGCAATACACTACTCATGCTATAAACTTCCTATCCGTGTAAGGATAGATCACTATCTTCACAAACATGATTTTAATCAATCTCCTTGGACCCCATCCTGTGGCTTAATTCCATTCTCGTATCCGCCACCCGTGTCTTGCTGGAATGTCTTAGGGCTCGTCATCGGTAGAACGATTACCCCTCATGAAACGCTCCGCCATTACGCGGAGACTTTACTTCCTGGATTGTGATGAGCTGGAGAAATCCAACAAGGCCGAAATTCTCCGTAGGCAAGTCACTTTTTGCACGCCATTGACAGGATTGACTATCTATTTGACTGTCTCCTGCACTACTACCCCTGCAAGTAAGAAGTAAGCAGATTATTCAGAGCTGACCGATCTGAAACCCATGCAGTTCCCCCCCCCCCCCCCCCTCCTCTCCCCCGTGCAACCCGAAGAATCCAGACAAATCACCATAATCCCAACCCCAATTCTACAGGAACCCATCACCGACTCTCTCTTTCTTCCCATCTCCGCGGCACTCAGCCTCCGCCAACCCGAGCAACCACACCACTCTAGCAACAGGAGAGCAAACCCCCTCTACCCACGCACCCTAACAACACACTCCACCACCATCCCCCCTGTAACAACCAGCCCCCAGGCCAGGGTTCCTTGACGAAACCACCACTCACAGTCGCCGGGATCCTGCAGCCGCACACGCCACAGCATGACACCAACGACTAACGCCGACCCGCCGGCGGAAATAACGTGGTAGCCAAGCTGCGCACCGACGACGACACCTGCATAGACCTGCAACGCTACCATGAGCAGGCCGCACAGGAGGAGCAGTGGTCGCGCGATGGTCTGGTACCGCACGGCCATGGACTTGGCCCCGGCGCGGATGTCGTCCGCCACGTCTTGGAACGCGTAGATCGTGTCGTGGATTATGCTCCAGAGGATGTAAACGATGAAGAGGGAGATTATACCGTTAGTGGGGTGGTGAGGGGTGGTTGATGATGATGGTGGTGGTGGTGGGGAGAAGTGCAGGGGGTTCGCGCCCACGGCACTAGCACCGATGGGGATTCCACAAGCGAGGGTCACGCCTAGAATGACCTGGGCGTGGTGGGTGAAGCGCTTTCCAAAGGGGTAGGCGAGGACAAGCCCCGTCAGGGGCAGGATGTAGGTCCAGTTCTGTTGGAGGGGGAGGATCGGGGAGATGATGGCCAGCCAGAGGAGGTGTTGGATAAGGGTGAAGTTCAGGGCCAGGGGGAGGGGAATGGCCCCCCGGGCCATGGGCCGGAGGCAGGATCGCACGACCTGTCGGTCCAGATCACGGTCGATGATGTCGTTCCAGGCACAGCCGAGGCTGCGTAGGATGAACGAGGCGATGAGGAGTAGCAGAACCCGGGATATCAGTGTGATGGGGCTGGGTGAGCTGATCCAGGAGCCGTAGAGGGCGCCGAATAGGTAGGGCAAGTAGATGTTCAGCACCCCGGTGGGCTTGTTCAGGCGGATTAGCTCTGCGTAAGGCACCCACGTCGGGGGCAGGTAGGACAGAATGCCCGTTTTGGGGGGATTATAGTGAATGGGAGAGGAAGTTTGGTTCTTCATTGTGTTGAATCGGGTTATGAAGTGATCTTGCTGTTGAACTGGGCTATGAAGTGCTCTTGATGTTGAACTGGTGGCTTCTACGATATATACAGATGATCCAGGAACCTCCATTTATATATCGTCTTCTTGAGAATGCTCTGGACCTCCCCCTCACGAGTATCTCCTGCAATGCACCCTTCTCCGTGTCATGGATGGTTGCATTGTGCGTTTCCTTCGCTCCGATGTGACTTGAGATACATTGGAGCCGAACTCAATCCCCTCACCTCGTATCACTTGGCATCTCCAGTTGTACTCTTGTCGGACTACGGCTTGCATGAAATGCCCAGAACCTGTCATCAATACTAACACGACGTCTAGCGGTAGTGTCAATGCCCTTTTGGCACGCCTCAAGGGCTGTATGCAGCACCACGCACATCACAACCCCTGTCTCTATCCCAATGGCCAGAGGTGCATCAACTCCTGCAAGTTGGATATGTACCTCCGGGATATTCACTCATTTGGGTACCTCGCAAACTAAATTCTCACTATCCCAGCCAGTTGCATATGTATATTATATGCAAGATACAAGATTCGAAATTGGCCCCTCGCTCGCCATCACTCTGCATGTGTCAATAGACGGCGTCGCCACGCCCCCTCCACGCCATGAACGAGAACGACCAGATGCCGACCCGGGTAATCCAACTCTCACCACCCCCTCGGAAGAGCACTCTTGATAGACGAAGAGGTCCAATCCTGAGTTCCTGTTTCTGGGGCGGGCATTTTGGCCCGCTGAGCTAGGACGAACGCCCTCATCGCCACGCTGCTGTCCAGGCTGACAGGTTGGGGGGGCATGTCGATGGCATCTAATCTCGCATGCAGTTCATATGCAGGGTTGTTTCCTATCGGACTGGGTTCATCGTCCGTCCCATTTCCATCTCTATGAATTGACCCGGCACATTCGTGATATAGATATACATCATGTCGGCAGCTGCCATCCCTCCCAATGTCAATCGCAGCCCTGGTCTTATCACCAGTCTATGGGTTCCATGGCCCTTCGCTACACTGCTTCTGATAGCGCGGTTCTGGAGCCGAATCGCAAGGCGAGACCTGGGTCTAGATGACTGGTTCATGCTCGTGTGCTGGGTTTGTTGCCTCGCCCCTGCTCACTGCGCCCTTACCGATGCTAACACCGTGTTGACTAGGTCCTCTACACAACAGCCATCTCACTGAGCACACTAATGGTCAGCCATGGCAGTATCCGACACATCGAGTATCTGTCGTCGAGCGAGCTCACGTACGTCCTGAAGCTGCAAACCATCAACGAGCCGATCGGCATGTTTGCCCTGATCTTCGGGAAAAGCAGCGTAGCGCTGTTCATCAAGCGCATCTTCTCGGGGACCAAGAAGTGGCGTCGTTGGTTCCTGGACATCAACGTCGTGCTGTACTTCCTCGTCAGTCTGGCTGTCCTGGGTATCATGTTCGGGCAATGCACATCGCCCGCTGCGCTATGGGAGCCTGAGCTCGAGATTAGCGGGAAGGTCAAGTGTATCAATTCCACATTCGTCCTGGCCATGTATATGCTTCAGGGTGGTAAGTTTGTGTTATTCTCCTAGTTCTATATAATCCCTGCGGAACAGAAAAAGATCATACTAACAGCAATTGCCAGCATGGGGCGCCTACCTCGATTTCGCCCTCGCTTTCCTCCCTCTCACGTTCCTCCTCGAACTAAAAATCAACATGCAAAAGCGAATTGCTCTATGCATCCTCCTCGGCCTGGGTGTTATGTACGCTCCCGACCCCTCTCTCTCTCTGAAACACCACTAACACCCCCTCCCCCCCAGCGCCGGCGTCTGCGCCTCTATCAAAACCTGGGCGTTCACTAAAGCCGAAAGCACCACGGACGTGACCTGGAACGGCTACGCCCTCTACCTGTGGACAGCCCTTGAACTCGCGTTCCTCGTCATTGCGGGCTGCATTCCGCCGTCCAAGACTATCTGGGATTATTTTCGTGAAGGCAAGCCCATCCGTCTGACCCAGGCTTCAGCGAGCTATAAGCTGTCGAATCAGTCGTATGATGATAAAGCGTCCCGGGGGGTGGGGAGCCATGTTGCGTCGGTGGAGCGAAGGGGCGATCTGGATGATGAGGAGTTGTTGGTTAGTGATTCGCGATGGCAGGTGACGAAGGAGGTCGCCATTTCGCAGGTCTCGAGGACGAAGAGTAGTGAGAGTCGGGGGTGAGGGGGTATGTGATGTGGGGGTTGGGAGGATCTGTGGGGTTTGTCTTGAGAGGAGTGAATGGGTTGACTATCTGATGATTTCTTATGTTTGTATAGTGTTTGTATAGTGTTTGATGGGTTGGACACTGTCGATAATGTATTTTCACTGACTTTTATCTGAGATGGGGGTTTGCTGTTTCTAGCTACATGTATATCGCTCTGATCAATATTTATATTCATCTGTTATTCAAGTTGGTGCTCTGGATATATTCTCTACCAGGTGGTTTTATTATTGTGAGTCTGATTAAAGGCCTACATACTAATCACCCTAACTACTTAGCAAGCACCCGCCAAACAAAGGATCAACAACACTCATAAATCAGATATGATAAGAATGCCATTCTACTAATTTACACCAGAGTTTGATTTATGCACAATCGAAAGAAATGCCATGACCACCTTTATTCGATACATAAACAAAAAACATCAAATACATACCCTCCACCCTTCCAAATCCCACCCACCACTAAGCGAACAACAAGACACCATACATAGCCCCCTCCACCCCAATCCCCAATGGCCCGATGGCTCAATCCCCACTAAACGCCACCAAGCCTTCGCTTCCTCTGCGGCTCCCGGGAACGCCGACGGCATCCCCGGCCAGAACCATCCAGACCCATGCAAGTCCGTAAGCAGTAAGGACACTGAAAATCAAAAAGCCGCAACGTCGAGTCCGACTCAGCCAATCGGGATTAAATCTTCCGGCATGGGGACAACGAGTCAGTCAGCAGTCAGCAGTCAGCATAGCCTCCCTCCACTTGACTGATGAGCAAGATCTTGGTAAGCTATGTTGTGCGGCGTGTAAGCAGCCCGGAATCAGATCTGGGGAGGCTGATTCATGGTCCATAGTTAGAGTAAGTAGGTAGGTAGTAGTGCGTAAGTAGGACGGATGAACCAGGGTCAACGGGCCAACGGATCGGTGCACGGGACAAGTGTCAACTGTCACTTGCGACTGGTTCCACTGCCGCACAGGCCGGGGATGGGGATGCGATGCGATGCGATGCGACCAGGGGGCCGAACTTGGGTACATTGAAGTGGATAGAAATTTTAGCGGCGGGGGTTGGGCATTGGATTGGGGAGTCTAGGTAGATAGATAGCCCACTAGTTAGTTGATTAGTTGATTACCTCTCCCCATACCTACTACTGCTCACCAGGTTGTATCGTACCCGTCATGGTATCGCGCATACAAACGGTACCTACTATAGTACCTTGGGACTTTGGGTAGCATCTCCTCTTCGCTACTAGTCCAGGGCAGGTCAAGCAGATTAGCTATCTACCTAATAGTCAGCAAGCTAGCAAGGGTCCATGGCACTAACAGGTTCACTATAAGCGCTTGTAGAGATATTACCCCTCGATTCAATCAGCTCAGCCCCTCCGTGGGTGAGGGAGTAAGGCTGAGGCTGAGGATGAGGATGAGGGAGGGGGTTAAATATCCAAGATACCACACCACCTACCATTCTTTTCTCCTCAATTGATTCCAACTGCTCACTCTCCTCTTCTGTCGCTCCTGAACGGGAAGAGTTACAATGGCTTCTCCTCTGTCCGACGTGCTCTCCGCGGCCAACGCCGCCCTGGCCGACTTCCCCGCCCCCGAGAATATCGATCATGGCACTCGCATGCAGCTTCTCGCGACCATGGATAAGTTGCGCGCGGCTTTGGAGCCGCCACGGCTGACGGTGTTGAAGCATTGTCTTTCGGTACGTCCATTATCTTGTCTTTTGGGATTAAGCCATGGGTAAACCCAGAAAATTGCTAACAATACAATTTTGAAAGTACTACGTCATAACCGCTGTCCGCGTCGGCCAGGGGATGGGCATTTTCGATGCTTTCGCCAACGCTGAGGGTCCTACCAAGCAATTGACTGCTGATGCTCTGCACGAGAAGACGAAGGGTGAAAGGGAGTTGCTTGGTATGTGACCTTTCCTACATTACTGAAACTGCAATTGGCGAGGCAGTTGTCTAACTTCGACGCGCCAAATGCAGTCCGATTGATGCGCTACCTCTCCGCCCAGGGCATCTTCAAGGAAGTCGGCAAGGAGACATACGAGGCATCGCCGCTGGCGCTGGAACTGACGTCCGTGGGTGGAGATGCAGTCAAGCATTTGTATGTCTCTCTGCGCATCCCCCCAAACACCACCTGCGCCGTGATGAAGACGGATATGGTATGGAAGAGGAGAAAAGTCTAACCTTGAGTGTGATAGCTACCTCAACATGCGCACGTCTTCCTTCCTGTACGAATACTTTGAGAAGAACGGATACGTCACCCCGTCGGAGGCGTACGACGCGCCTTTCCAATTCGCGCACTCCACCAAGCAGCACTTCTTCGAGTTCCTCGACAGCAGTCCCGAAGACCAGGCGGCCTTCAACTCCGTCATGACCATGTCGCGCACTGCTGGCGGCGTCCACTGGCACCAGTTCTACCCCGTCGCCGAAAGGCTGCAGGGGATATCGCCGGACCGCGTGCTCCTGATCGACATCGGCGGCGGAGTCGGCCACGACATCTCCACCTTCAAGGCTGCTCACCCCTCTATTTCCGGGAAACTCATCGTGCAGGATCTCCCCCAGGCTATTGCGGGTATCAAGTCTCCCCTGCCGGAGGGCATCGAGGCCATGGGATATAACATGTTTGATGTGCAGCCTGTCACGGGTGCGAAGGCGTACTACATGCGCACGGTGCTTCACGACTGGCCCGATAAGCAGGCGTTGGAGGCCCTGGCGCAGATAAAAACCGCCATGGCGGAGGATTCGCTGTTGTTGATCAATGAGAACACCCTCCCCGAGTCGAATGTCTCGCCGGTTACCGGGACGTTGGACTTGGTCATGATGCAGACGTTTTCGTCGCTGGAGCGCACGGAGAAGCAGTGGGTTGCGTTGTTGGAGAAGGCGGGCTTTGAGGTGCTCAAGGTTTGGAAGCCCGATAGTTCCCATGTCACGGATGCGTTGTATGAGGCGGTGCCGAAGAAGAGCGCTTAGTTGATGGGCTGTTTCTGTATGTATTGTGGGGTTGGTTGTGCATAGCATGGCATGCATGGATGGAAGGTATTGGTGGATCTGTCGAACTATTCTATATGAATCGCATAATTGATGCAAACCTCTGCTGTCCTATCTACTTGTACTTATAGTACCACACTGCCTGACTACGGTACCTCCCTGCAGGAGCCAACCCCCCTTCCTTTCTCAAGAAAGAAAAAACTCCATTCCCAACCCTTCCGTACAGGCTTATATTCACCGGTACATATAATGACGTAGTACAGGTTTATAGCTTAGAATTTTGACATGCTTTCTCCCAAGGAAACATTGTCCCGCGCCTCCCTCCTACAGGTCTCCACATAATACTCACAGGATGGGATCTCAGGTCTTCAACAAGCCGCCGCCACTCCGCACTGCCTTCTGTCCCGGTGGGAGGCTCAAACTCCACGCTTGCTTTGGAGACAACGACAAATCCATACTGCTCATACAGTCGGACTCCCATCTCGGTGCCCTCCAGATATGCCTCCATCTGCATCTTATCGGCATGCTGGACAAACTGGTCGACAATGAGGCCGGCAGCTCCCTGGGAGCGATATGCAGGAAGGACCCAGAGTGCGTTTCCGCCTATGACTCGACCTGATCAGCAACCACTACCAAAACACGACACCGTGACCCTGATGGTACCTTATACTCACAAACATGCCTATCACTCATCAGTCTGGCCCTCCAGCCCCATAACCGTCTGTACATCGTCTCTGCTAATTCACGTTTCTCGGTCCCCGGAGCAAACCAGTGAGCACTAGGCGTGGGCGCCCCCGCCCGGTAGGGGTTGGAACAGTGGACCTTGTACATCCCGCCCCCAATGATGCGATTGGCTTGGGTTTCAGTGCATTTGATCCAGACAGTATGTTCTGGGTCTGCATGTGCCTCGTCGAGCAGAGCCTTTTTCAGCTCCGCAAAGGCGTTCTGTTCCTCCCGGGTCCCCGTTCCTAAATGAGCGAAGGTTAGCTCCCCTGCGGCCTGGAGCGGGTTGAGCCAGGAAGCCCAGTAGCTGGCCATGAGTTGATCCCACTCCCCTTCAGCTGTCAGTGAAACGCGGGAAACGATAAGATTGGAAGCTGCCATGGGTGTGGATTGGTGAGGAGCAGCAATGGGATCAACTTTCTGGAATCGGGCAAAGCTAATAGAGAGCCCACCACCAAGGGATAGAGCCCAAGATATGATGGAAACTATCTAAAGGTGGAGGTGTGTGTGCCTGTCGGCCTTGTGTATCAAAAGCCTCGTGTACTGCGCACCTGGTTGCTTCCAAGACAGGGCACAAACATTGTTAATTCGCACTGCTTAGCCGCAGGGCTGATCGACCACAACCGGTGTCTAATTGGTGTTCCTTGTGACTGCTAGCTGGTTGCCTAATTCAAGGTTCCGATAAATGACAGGACGATCGCTGATGCAAACGGAGAACTCCTCGCTCGGGTCTTCCCCGGAAGGACTGGCAGATACTGGTTGGGTGGCAGAAGCAAGCAACGAAAACAGGGAAACATGCTTCATGTGGCGGCAATCTAATGCACGCGTATATGTAGCCAAGAGGCTCTAACCCTGCGAGCGGTGGCTATATCTAGTTCCAATCGCGTTCCTACCCATTTACCCATCCATGCCGGACCCATCCAGCCCGACCGACGACCACCGATCAACCCCCCGCCACCATCTTGATTGGGCATCGATAACACCACGTTACACACAATCTGAAAACGAGCGGCTGGAGGGCGTGTTCAAGCTCTGGGGCTGTCTCTGTACCTGAGATGCGGACCCAGGGTATGGCTCCAACACAAAAAGACGCTGCTGGGATTCCTGACTTTGGCCGTCTCCGCGATTCTTGCCGGGCATCCGGGCCACCTTGGCCTTGCCCAGGAGGGGGCGGATGACCGGGAGACAAGCAACGACAAGGCCCAGACTGGCCTCGATCATACTCCACCAAAGCATTGTCGTGACCGTTTCTATCCGTGTTGTCAGTCAGACCTTCGCGTTGGTGATCTACCAGGGGATTCTCACGATCGAGGTCATATCCAGTCACGTACCCAGCCATGTAGACGATGAGGTAGATGGCGAGTCTGACTACCGATGCTGCAACGGCCCTGGATATTGGAGAACGGAAACCGAAGTAAGCGCGATATTCTGAAAGTTGGAGAAAGAGGGGTTGGGACTTACACAAACCCCACACAGAAGACCCCAATCAACATGATCTTCTGGCGCAGCCGCATATGCAGCCCCCAAATCTGAGCGGGATCCGTCAATCAAACTGCGTCATATAATGTTGATATTGGACGATTATGTGATACGAACAATTGGCAGGGGTAGAAACAGGATCATCAAATCCATGATGAGGTCCGAGATGACGAGGGCTGATTCCGCCGTGAGCGGGTTGCCGCACTGGTTTTTGACCTCCTCGAGCGGCGCCCAATGAAGGTAGATTTTCTCTCTGCATCCAAACAAAAAGAGTAGGAAGAACGCCAGGGTCCAAACCACGGTCAGAGTAACGAACCCATGGAACGTCCAGCCCAATTTCGAATTTTTGTGAACGAGAAAAATCCGCCGGTAGAGCAGTATGATGCTGAGCTTGATGAGGCCATATGCTGGGATCATAAAAAGTTGAAAATAGAATTCGATCTACTGACGTGTGAGAGGGCAGCTCCTCAGACCAATAAGAATAGACCGACCTTGGCTTCGATGGCATACGCCTTCATATACCTCGACATTGCGGTCTTTGGGTCGCTGCCTGCCGGAAATGGGGTCGGATAACCCATGATTCGCTTTGAATACCCTGGCCATTGTAAGTTACGCACTGAATGAGGCAGAAGTGAACTCGCTGACCGTAGATAAAGCATACCCCCATAGCAATGATCAGAGCCTACAAGAACGGTCAAAGGTGCTTCAGGGAACACCAAGGTCAACTGAGGGGTGAGAATACCATTGCTGGAACTGTCAACCAATCATCCATCCCGATATGCGCCCTCTGTTGCACCCTCGCAACAAAGCGCAGACTAACAGCTATGGAGCAAACTAGAGGAAGAGCGATACCGGCCGCAAGGACATCTCCAGGTGACGCAAAGCCAAAGGGCTGCTTGCTCCATTGACTGTTAGTCGACATGACTTTGGGATTGCACCGATGGCCAGAGCAGGTTCTCTTTTGAAGATAGAAGCAAACAGTTGTTGCAGAATACGTCGAATAATCGTTTGTGTCGCAGAACGTGGACAGGAGCATCCAGCTATATAATACATGGATTATACTCCACGCCTGTCTCGTAGACAATCCAACGCAATTATAGGTAGTATTGCCAAGAGCCTCCCCTGCCCAAGAACGCCATCCCTCCAGCCCATTCTATAGCCTGTTTGCTTCTTCTTCTTCTTCTTCTTCTTCTTCTTTTTCTTCTTTTCCCCCTCAGCGGCCGAGTGCCCACATCTATTGGAAATCAGGCTGACAGGGGAAAAGAGCAAACAACGAGTAGTTCAGCCACGCACTCAGCCTTGCACTTGTCGCATTGCATGAGCAATCCAGAGGGGCCATGTTCTTCTGACCGAGTTGCTCGTACATGGCACTGACCGTCCATCCCCTGAAAATAGGAACCTGTCTTCACTTCCAACTGACCAAATAAGGAACAAGGCAAATCATGGCTCTTCAGGAAGAATGCAATCATCTACTCCATAGTGATGACGAGGGGCACCAGCTCTCCCTGAGTCACCCCGGAAGAGATTTCATTGCCAAAAGGATGCTACGAAACCCGGTCATATCTGGATTGGCTTTGATATCCGTTACGATGAATATCATCCTTGTCTTACTTCTCATACCCAGATCTGACCCAAGAATGACAGCCACCGGTATAGTTTAAGCCTCTCTTATGTCTGAGCCTGTCACTAATCTCAAACAGCAAAGCTCCAGTGGGAAAAGCAAGATACATTGTGGTGGAACACAGAATACAGTAACTCCACCAACGAGACCTATTTGAGTGACCTGTGGGACTCTCATATTCCATGGGAACGCGGTATTATTGCTATCCAGCATAATGAAGCCAACCGTCTGGGACTTCCCAAATCACAGCCCTTTCCCTGGGATCCGACCAGTGGCATCTACATCCTCAATGCACATCATATCCTTCATTGTGTGGTAAGTGGGGCGGGATCCACATTATAGTGATTTATCGCTAACCTTCTAACCAACCCAGCGGAATATATTCATCTCCATACAGGAGTATCGCCAAAATCGGCCCCAAAGCATCACCTATGAACATATCTTACACTGTCTAGACAGCATTAGACTCGAGACCATGTGCACCGCGGATGACACACCAAGATACGTCCCTCCTAATGCCGTTGACGGATTTAGACCAGGAGATGGGCAGGCTCGATTATGTCGGGACTGGCAAAAGTTGGAGGCCTTCGTTGACCGACACAGTCCGTGTTATCAAGAGCTGTCACACACTGATGAACACATATCGAATCTGGACAGGTTCAAGTACTGCCCCAATGACTCTCCTTATTTGCCCTTGATTAGAAAATTCTTTGGCTACGATGACAACTGGGTCCCATGGCCGGATATGGAATGATCGGACTTGCACCGGCTATTGGCAGTGGTAGAGCTAGGATTGCGGACACTTATGGAAGAAGGTCAGAGAGTCAAGTTAGTTCCCCGAATGAATGTAACTAGACACAATCTAGGGTAACCCTTTCGTAGAAGGTCATAGGGTCAAGGATTTTGAATACGCACGTATATAATTGTGCCCTGTACTAAAAGGAGAATACAACCACAAGACACGTTTGGGTTGGATACCTGTAAGAGACGTTATATTACACCAAGATTTCGAAGGGGTTTGTTACGGAGTGCGCTGGTCTAGCTGTCTGAGGCGTATTTTCCACACAACAGATCTTTCTAGACGGAGACATTTACTTGTCGAATGCACTGGATTGGGAGTAAGATTCCCTTCTTTGAATTGGAGTTTAGAAGATAGATATCTTTCAATCCAGGTACAGTGCACCATCTACATTAATACAAAACATATTCCAGATTAAACGAGATACAATCGGTTTCCACTTTCATTCAACAGGTTCTGGTTCTAGTTACAAAGTATGTATCCATCATCCAATACCCACATTCTAGCGCACATTGCCCCACCCAAGACAAAGGTCCTTCGGACAAGCTCAGAGGCAGCAGTTTTCAGGTTCAGCCACAGCGTCGAACGTGTTCTCATCGGGCCGGGGCGTAGGGCTCGCCATCAGTCCAGTGGCGGAGAGCCAGAAGGTCAGGATTATGATCATGAGGTTCGCCATGTTGTCTGTTCTATATTAGCAACAGTCGCTTGTCATCATATTCCAATGGTAGGAGTGCTTACGGATCAAGGAGGAGGACTGCTTATTCTGATAATATTCAAGGGGCGAGACGGGAACTATTGCAGTTGTCTTTAGAAATTGGAGTAGGGGCTGTTCGAGAGCCCTATTTATGTTCTTTTCTGTTCACGGTGACTGAAATGGTTAGATCGAAATCCAGTCACACCGAGAGGTGTCCATGATGTATTATCTAGACCGCATATCAGAAGCTCACAGACATCCAAGGTTTACAGGGATATGTGGCGGTCCCTTAGCGCGGTAACTGGTGTGATCACCTACAGGGATTGAATTCCAGTAGGGTTTTGACAAACATTTGTCTTTCCCGATAGCCTTGCTGACCGCTCCCTCTCGGTTCCAACATTTATACCTCGCGCGAGCCCGCCGAGCCTGTTCTGTTCCCCATCTCCATATCCCCATCAATCCTCTCTCTATCCAACCCGTCAGCTAAGAAACTCACACGAGACAATTAAAATGACCACTGAAAAAGTTGACGTCCTTATCGTCGGCGGCGGCCCTGCTGGGTTGACAGCTGCCCTCACTCTTGCGCGCCAACTGCACACTGCCATCCTTTTTGATAGCCAGTCCTACCGGAATGGCAATTCCCCGTTCATGCATATGATCCCAACCTGGGACCACAAGGACCCCGCCAAGTTTCGAGCTCAGGCCCGTGAGGAAATCCTGTCCAACTATTCCACCGTTCGGCTGGAAGATACAAGCATTGAAAACGTGGAGAAGGGAGACGATGGCCTCTTCAGAGTGACAGACGCGAATGGTCATGTTTGGCAAGGAAGGAAGTTGATACTTGCAACTGGATCCCAGGACATACTTCCAGAAATCCCCGGCTATGCTGATGCCTGGGGAAAGCGCATGTATGATGCTCTTGAGTTCAATCTTGTATCACCGATTGTCTCCTGTTGTCAGTATTAACTCTTTATTTTTCAGCTTCCACTGCCTCTTCTGCAAGGGATACGAAGACCGAACCGCAAAACGGGCCGGCGTCCTCGCCATCCAGTCCGCCGCAAATGTCCCCATGGCTATGCATCAGGCCGAAAATGCCGCCCAGCTCGCCTCCCAGGTCACCATATATACCAACGGGGCAGAGGGTCTCGGGTCCCAATTGACTACCACCCTATCCAGTCAGGGCAGCAATACCATTTTCAAGGTTGACAACCGTCAAATCACCAGCTTTGCTCTTAGTGGTGATGACTTGAGCTCCCCAGTCTCTATTCAGGTACAGCTTGTCGATGGCAGTCAGGTCGAAGAAGCGTTTCTCGTGCATAACCCCAACACACAGGTCAAGAGCTCGTTGGCTGCTCAGCTGGGCTTGGACTTTGCGCCCAGTTTCGTTCCCGGGAATGGTGATGTAGCTGCCACTGCGCCCTTCCATCAGACTAGTATTCGCGGAGTCTTTGCTGCGGGCGACTGCATCACTCCGTATAAGGTGGTTGCGGGCGCTATTTCCAGTGGATGCAATGCAGCTGTTGCGGCTTCGGCGCAGTTGCTGGCGGAGAAGTATGACCATCAGCCACTGTTTTGATTATTTCTTTCCATTTTCCACTTTTTTTTTTTTTTCACAGTGGCGCTGCGATGTATTGTTGCGTGTTGCGTGTTGTGATCCACAAGTTGACAGAACAACCTCACCATTGAGGAGGTAGTGGGGTTAACAATAAGAAAAGTTTGAAACAAAAACCAGGCGTCATCTCCAGTAGACAGTTCTTGGTTATAACCCCGCCGAGGACCAGACCCCTAAAAGTAAGGATGTATATGCACCCGGGACGCTGATCAGCGATCACAAGTTCCTTGGGTTGTGGTTTTTATTCTCGCAGGATTGTCAGCGCTTCAATCATAGTATAAGGTGTGTGCTGAAAAAAAGGTTTATTTTGAGGTATCACAGCCGACTAATGCGAGGAAGGATAGCTTCGAGACTGGCATACCTCCTCTGGGCTTCGCCTTTTTTGGCACACACAATTAGTTTCCCCGTTTATAAAAACATCTTACCAACTTAACACTCCCGGTCACTCACCTTCTCATGCACGCATATGTATCAATCGTCCTTGTCATCAATTGAATCAGTCTGGCATTGGCAACATCCAGATATCTTCCATTGGATACACACTTAAATGTGTCAGCTTCGGCGCCAGCATTGCTCACTCTTGCGATATTCAGAATGGAGGGAAGGGAAAGGCGCTCAACTCGCTCAACCAATTCAGCCGGTAAAGAGGAAAATTGATGGAAATTTACTGGGAAGTGTTCAAAGAAGGTATCAAAGCAACTCGCGATGGATTTCTGGTCGTATGAAGCGCAATGACGGCTACTGCGGCGGTGGAGACAAAATTCCAAACAGATAATGCGGGGCATTTTGCTTCCGCGACGGAGTGAAGTGGATATTGGTATTTCATCATTATTCACTTCGAGAACCCACTTCAGGATGCACAGAAAATAAGAATAGGTATGGGGTGAGCAAAACCATACAAGACATGAGATACGCTGGTGGTCAACCGCCTTTGTATTATGGTTGTGCTACTCTCTCCACCAATAAGAGATGAGAAAAACAGCAAAAATACATGCAACAGAAGGGATTCGCTGGTGGTCACCCACCCAACTACTAACCTCCCGGCGTGTGGCTTAAGTACGGCTGAGCGGACGGGAAGCCCTGTTCTCCACACCCTATGGTCGCATGTGCTGGTTAGCAGGTAGGAGGGAGTTATATCGAGAAGCATGTCAGGCAGACCAGACCTTTTCTGTAATGACTACGAAGCTGAAGCTAAAGAGGAAATAGAATAAGATGATCATGGCGTTCGATCTGGTGGGGCTGAAGATCATTTAGTATCTCGGATAGCTAGCAGTATAAATATCCCCACCGTTTGTCACAGGTGTTTACGAAAATCATCTAAAAGGACTATTTTCTACGAAATCCAGTCAGGTCTGGCTGGCTTGCCGGAAGGCATATGCGGTAGCGACATGTACAAGTACAAGGAAGACACCGGCCACCCTTTCATGAGGGATCACTTCATCGTCAGTCATTCCTGTAAGCACTACACCAACAATAACTACTTGTATGTCTATGAGAACCAGATCTTGCAGTATAAACAAATATATAACGAGGGGTCAAGAGGGATGCCCACCTATTCCAACATATGCGGGTCTTATCTAGACTTTCCTGGGCCCCGTCACTATACCGCTTCTGTGGAAGTCACAAGCGATCGAGGGTTCCTGTTTAGGTCAAGTAGTGATATGAAGGCAGCGAGCGCATATTGAAGAGATCACTATCAGGAGCATAATCATCCTCTAAATCCTATCAACTTCCATGTCGCTGTTGGGGTAACGTACGTCCGAAAAGACCTCGCTCACGTCGGAGCTAGCCATCGCCGCCGCTCTGACTCTCTGCCAGGTTCGACCGGTTGGTGGCGAAATGCCAATGGTTGATACAGTCCATAAAAGATTCCTCCGAGACTTTGAGATGCCAATTCAATGACACATCTCTGTATCTGAAGTATAACTCCGGTTTGCCGAGATTATGTCCGACCAGAATCGCGTGTTCTCGAAAGCTTCTGGTAGTGTCCGAAGGTGGTAACTCCGAACCAATTCCCCGAGCACTCGGCATCCAGGTCCGAGGATTGCCCCAAACGCCGCATTTTGCCTCAATCCCCTATATATATAAGTCAGATGGGTGATTAGGGGTTTCAGACATGTTTAACAAGTATTCGATTCTTTCAGTCTCAATTCTTAGCTTTTATTGATCTCTTTCTCACAAAGCTAACAAACCGAAGCCCACTTGCCAAATTCGACAGCAGTTATACATCGCATTCCTTGCAATTGATCTTGCAATCATTCATTCTCTGATATGGCTCCCGCATTATTAAGTACGGCTCTCAGGGAGCAGCATGTGGTTATCCTTGGGGGTGCATACGCGGGTCTGTCCACGGCGCTGAACCTCCTCCGGATCTGCGACGGGACCATTGCTCAGTACGGCAAGGGAGGTAGAGGTGGTGGCAGGAGCGGTGGTAGGGGAGGTGGAAGAGGAGGTGGTGGTGGTGGTGGACGAGGAGGCTTTGGGGGACAGAAAATGGAGCTTCCCCATGCTCCCCGAAACATGCCCAAGATCACGATCCTGGATCCTAGAGACGGATTTTGTACGTGACCCCATCTTCCATCTTGTCTGTTTCACTGAAATATTAATGGCAGCGTAGATCACACCGTTGGAACGCCAATGGCTCATACATCCAGAGACTTTATTCCTAAGCCCTGGCGAACGTGGGAAGAGATCCCTGAGTTGAAGAGAGAGTCTGTGTCTATTCTCAAGGGAGCTGCCGTAAAGGTCGATCCGGAAGCGAAGTCATTGCTTTATGTATCGGGTGAATCGGAGGGCTTACAGCAGAAATCCCTCGACTATGACTATCTCGTTGTGGCCACTGGCCTCAGGCGTCCATGGCCCACGGTTCCGGCGGCTACCACGAAGTCGGAGTATTCTGCACAAGCTCAGCGATATATCGACCACTTGCAGCAATGCAAATCCATTGTTGTCATTGGAGGAGGTTAGTACTCATAATTTGCAAAATTCGACATTCCACCTTCAGGGCTAACACATCTCTAGGCGCGGTTGGCATTGAAATGGCGGCAGAAATAAAGCACCGGCACCCTACCAAGGAGGTGACTCTGGTACACTCTCGCTCTGAGCTTCTGTCTTCCGAGCCCCTGCCCTCGGAGTTCCGAGAACAGGTCAATCGCATTGTCGAAGGCGGCGGAGTCACCGTGATTCTGGAAAACCGTGTAATCAATGTCACAGAGGAATCGGGTCCGTCCAAGATAGTGACTTTGCAGAACGGCCACCAGATTGCAGCTGACGAGGTAATCTGGGCAACCTCGTCCGCTGCGCCAATCACTGAATTTCTCCCGAAAGAATCGCTGGATGAGAGAGGATTTGTGGAGACCCTCCCAAGGTATGTCCTCTCCCAACCAATGACCTTTGAAATGGCACTGACAGGCCATCAATAGCACACACTTCGCCAGAAATATACCCAACAGCGACTCCCATTTCGCGGTGGGCGATGTGATTGCGACGCCTGGAATTCGACTGGCAGCAGGTGCAGTCCGAATGGGAAAAATAGCTGCCGCGAGCATTGCTCACATGATTGTGGCTGGGGAGTCAGGACATGGGCTCCCAGATGCACAGTCAATGCCCCAGAGTAAAGGGCCCAATTCCGGTATCAAGTTGGTGATCGGGGCATCTGGAGCCGTATATGATGGGAAGACAGGAGACATGATGTGGGGTCCTGAGGTCAAACAGAGAGTCTTTGGAGATGATATGGCGCTGCATCGTATGTATAACCTTTTGCCTTTTCTTTTGCTGAAGTTGCTAATTGTACCAGGTGCATTGGGATCGCTGGGCTTGCCTTTGGATGCTTAGCCATGGAGACGATAGGGTTATGAATCGGTCACCTACCCAGGCAATATACATTAATGATGTGACTGTCAATAATTATCGTGTACATAGAGAGCGTTCTAGAGATCAACTTGGATGGGTGTTACCGCCTGCAGTGACTGCCTCCGCAGTCCTCTCTCCTCCGCTTCCTCGCTTCATTATAGCTAGCACCACGAATCCAACGGCCCCTACGGCCTCGTTTCTTTCCTGCTGTAGGCTCTCGTCATCAAAACATCTCATCAGGCTGTCAATGCTGCGAATCAAGACCGTTGTGTGTCCGGAGCTGACACCAGCCTCGTTGGCCCTCCAAGGACCCTGATCGCTGAGGAGAAGGCCAGTGGGACGGAGAGCGAAAACGCGGGGGAGGGGGGGGGGGGTTTATAGGATTTCGACAATGTATGGAGAACCCGGTTTGGAAGGTGCGCGATCCCGCCGGGTTGAGGGGGGATGGCATTGACAACCTAACAGACCAAAACAGACCACTCGACTAAAAAGGTGTCCAGACACCTAAGTAGGTGTGATACTGAATGATACTAGGTTTGACACAACCCCTCCGAGCGCAAGAAGCATCATCGTCTCGATATCTCGATAACCCTCCGGTGAGAATTCAGCAGCGGCTCGTGGTCGCAGTCCTTGGGTCGCTCTCCTCAGCCGGAAAGAATCCAACAGACCAGACAGGCTCCAGTTGGACTTGGTGTCATTCGACAAGAAGGGGGCAGATGCATCCCCCGCCAACACAGGCTTGTATGGTCATGATGTCTTTTTCAGTACGGGCCCAGCCCACCTGTAAATTACAGACGAGTATTATTTCTCTGTAAATTACCACTCGTACCACCGCCAATACCTGCGTAACAAACGTACACTGCAGCGCAGAGGAAACCAGGATAAACAGGCACCAGCCATGCTACACCCAACACCCCACCCAGCTCGACAGAGATGTGTGCTGATATTTCTTTCTTAAACTGGCTTCTTGCAGGTCAGTCAGCATGTGAACTCCAGTAGATCGTTTTGCTCAGGCTTGCTTCCGTGTGGCCGAGAACCTTCATCAATCGACAAACCAAGCAATAATGAATATGGTGCGACAGTCTCTCGAGGGCATTTCTCCCCAATATTGGACCTGGGAGCGGGCGTTGACTGCGGTCATCTCTATTTCGCTTCTCGTCTTCTGCCTGTCCATCTCCTACGGATCTCTCCGCAAACCCGAAGTCGTCATCGACCAAACAACCGGCAAAGAGCTGAAGCGCCCTTCCACTCTTCCATCCTCGGCCACAGCATCTGAGTCTGCGCGATGGACACCAGCTGATGCTCGCCGCAGCGTAAAACATCCTCAATCCCAGCAAAGCATCACTGACACGGGCCCAAACAGGGCATACATGGACCGCCTCGTCCCCATCCGCGTCGCATTCCCCGGTTTCACAAACTATATCATCTCCGGCCCGGAGTCCATGTTCTCCTACTTCAGAAAATCGCGCGACCTGTCCACCACAAGTCGCAGCTTGGTCGTAGTTGAGAACGCATTCGGCTGTCCACATCACTTGGTTCATCTCAAGCCACTCAAGATGGCGGCCCCTCGGACATCGAGCATGCCATCCACCGCGCCGTTCAGACCGGTCTTTCCGGGCCAGCCCTAGACACTCTCTCCGAGCGGTTCCAGATCTACCTCCGCGAGCGCTTCCAGTAGGATCTTGACTCCTACATCGGATCCGACTGGATCGAACACCACGATCTCAACGGAGGCGTGGAAAAGCGCGTCTTCGAGGCTACGGTCCGCGCGCTCTTCGGCGACCACATTCTCACGGCGAACCCCACCCTCGCGGACGACTTCTGGCACTACGATCTCTACATCGGGCCGCTGTTCATGGGTGCCCCGCGGTGGTGGAATCCAGCCGCGTACAGGGCGCGTGAGAAGATGGTCAACCTCAAGCGCTAGCACGACTTTTGTCGGGAGCACTGCGACGTGAGCACCATTAGCGATGATGTAGAATGGGAGCCTTTCTATGGCAGTAGGTTCATCCGCGACAGACAGAATCTCCTCACCAAACGCGGCATTCTCGATGAGACTGCTCGAGCTGCGGAGAATTTCGCCTTCATGTGGGCGTAAGTCCCTTTCGTCCCTGGGATCACACAATATGAACCTAGGCTAACGCCCCCAGAACAAACTCCAACTCTGTCATCGTATCAGTGTGGTGTGTTCTAGAGATTCTCCAAGACGTCACCTTGAAGGAGAAAGTGACCTCCCTGTTACCCTCTCTTACAACACCCCCAACCCCAGAAATCACTACCCCCAACACCCAAATCCCCACCTTCACCCTCCCCGTCCTAACCTCCAACCCCCTCCTCCAACCCCTTCCTCCAATCCATCTACGCGTAGACCCTCCGCCTCTGCGTCGCCGTAATCATCGTCCATCAACCGTCCAAGCCCAATTTCTCCTTCCGCGGCTACCACATCAAGCAGGACAAAGTCCTCAGCATCTCTACTCTTACCGAATCCCTCGACCCCGAGATCTGGAGTACCGGACCCACTGAGCCCCCGCATCCCCTCAACACCTTCTGGGTGGAGCGGTTCCTCGTGAACCCCGCCGACGCAGAGAGCGGGCCTGCCAGGTCCCGGAAGGACAGGAAACGGACTGCTGGTTCGGAGCCATATTTCTCGCTAGATGGGTTAGCGGGCTCATGGATTCCGTATGGTGGGGGGAAGAGCTTTTGTCCCGGGAGACATTTTGCGAAGAGGGAGATTCTGATGACTGCTGCGGCGGTGCTAGGGACGTTTGAGATTGAGCTGTTGGACACAGGGAAGGAAGACAGAAGACCGGAAGGGAATATGCGGTATTTTTGGGTTTGGGACCATGCCGTTGGATAGGAAGGTCGCGTTTCGGGTGAGGAGGAGAGCGGGTTTTGTAGATTTGGTGGTGGCTGTAGGATATGGGCTGGCTATTTTGAAGTAAATATTGGTGTTTGTACACTAGTAGTGTCACTGGGTGCATAGGCTTCCAAAGCTCCTCGGCAGTCTTTCTTTTCTCCCTGTTTTCCTTCTCACTCATATCACAATCTTACTGGAAACGCATCCATCCACACTCACTACTTCTTCTCCCCACCACCACCACCACCACCACTATCCACCATGCCACCACCACAAATCACAGCATGGACCGACTTCACCCACATATCCGAAGAATTCGACCCCGAAACCAACGAATTCAAATACACCATGTTTGCCTTCATCGCGCCCTCCGACGACACAATCTACTTACTATACTGAGCTACCCACCCGCCAATCCAATCTCACCATCCAGCAAGTCGCCGCCGCTCTCAACCCCATCCCGGATACCGAGCTATACCCAGCCCTCCCACCACCAGAACCACCACTACCGTCATCCTCTCCCAATCAGCTTCCCCCCTTGGAAGAGTACCTCAGACCCGTAGGAGGAGGGTCAAGCCCGGTGACCAGGCGAAAGATCAACAAGGAAGTATTCATGAGCGAACATGAATCCGCGATTCGGCGTTTACATTCCCTTCGGTGGGCGCATAATGATCTGAATCCGGGGAATGTGATGGTTGATTATGATTCTGATGTTGGAGATGGAAATGGAGGGGGGGGGTTATGCCGGTGCTGATTGATTTTGGGTCGGCGGGGGAGGTGGGCAGTTTGTTGGGGACGTCGAGGGGGACGTCGAGGGGGACGGGCGGGTGGATTGAAGGAGGGATGGAGGATTATGTTTCTTCAGAGAAGAGGCATGGTACTTTCGCGTTGGGGAGGTTGAGGGGGTGGTTGGATGGGATGGGTTGTGAAGAAGTTGGTGGTGATGGCGGTGGGGGGAGATAGTGTGAGAGGGGGCTGTTTTTGGCGCTGTTTGGTTGTGAGTGGGAATTAGTTCAGGGGCAGAATTGGGCGATTCCTTGATGATGGGCATGTTTGAAGTGTCTGACTGTACCAATAGAGATAGATCGCATATGTTAGAATTCATCTACATCAACACCTCCCTCCTGCTCACTCGCACCCTAACCTCTCCATCAGGATGGGGCGCCCCAGCATCCATCTCCCTCTGCACCACCCACCGTCCATCTTGGCCCTTATCCCCCAGGAACTCCATATCCCAAAGACTCACAACTGCCGCCACAAAGGTCAACACCTCCCTCTCCGCAAACAGCCGTCCCTTGCACATACTATAACCGCCGCCGAAACTATACAAGTGTCGAAACATCTCTGCTTTCTCTGTTGTCTTATCCCGGGAATCTTGGACAATGAACCTGCGAGGGTTGAACTCCTCGGGATTCTCCCACAGTTTGGGGTCTTTCTGCGTCGCGCCGTTGTGGATACACACTACGTTACCGGCTTTCAGGGTGTAGGATCGGGGCAGTGCACTGGGACCACGAAGCATGGTGGCATCTTCGGCGGATTCGGTCACGCAAAAGTCTCGTAGGATATATTTCTGTTCCGCGCCGAAGAGGTCCCAGCGCATGGTTTCGTACCAGGTAGATTTGAGGATGGGGCATTTTCGGGAAAGAGAGCTGTGGTCGAAGGTATATTCCCTTGAGGGGAGGCGGGTGATGTAAGGGGATACTTCTGCCCGGATAGAGGCGAGAAGAGTGGGATTCTCGTAAATGTGCAGCATTGTCCAGAAAGCGATGATGTTGGAGTTCTGCAAATGGTTAGATCACACGCCCCTGTACAAGGTAGAGGAAGCTTACGGCATGAAGTCCCCAGAGAGAACTTAGCAGACTGGAGATAGCGGCTTTCTCAGCCTGCGGACCGCCACTCCGCCACGTTCGATGCTGGATTCGCATCAGCTCGGACACATCACCCATGTCGCCCCAGCCAAAACGGGGCTTTCCACCATCTTCGACAGCTGTCAAGGCTTCGAACCACTCTTTCATGGCGTCCAGACAACGATCCCGCGCGGCTTTGGCTTTTACAATCTTCCCTGTAATGGCGGGTACGCCTGCGAGAAGAAACGGGAATTGCCCATCGAATACAAACAGATCATCCATGACGTCGGGGAATCGCTTGAGGAATGACTGGCCAAACATCGCGGGCGTTGAGCATGTGTATGCCCAACGGGTAACAAGATGAAACATGTCTGCCTCGATTGTCTTTCCGTTGTTGGTTACTTGGGGATTGGCGCCTCTTTCCCAGGCCGTCTGTTTCGCACGAATTGATGAGAAAGAAGTCAGTAAGGAGATACTCTTCCCGACGGCCTTGGCTGTACGGTCTGAGGCATCGAGGATAGCACTTTCTGTCATAAGAATGTGGAGATTGTCGGTTATCTTTGCGTTCAGATCGGGCTGTTCTGCCGTGGTGCCTTCATCGCGGAACCCATTTCTGGCGATCCGGTGGATGAGGGGTTTGTTGGAGAGAGTGGTTGCGCGCTGTTTGAAGATCTGTTGAACGATCGACGGTGTAGTGATCATGTAGTGTTGGCGGTGGAGGAGCCTGATGGTGTAGATGCTGTCGCGGCAGTGGTCTCTGTGGACTGTCAGTGTTTGAGAGGGTGGTTGGCTGTGAATTATATACTGACCTGGCTTGGCCCGTTAGCTTCCCATTGTTGGAGATGTAAGAGATGACATGGCCGAGAAACGGAATCCAGTATGGGAGCGTAGCTGGCTCCTTGGGATTGTCTCTGGCCTGGATTCGCGCATATTGAAGCTCGCTGTAGACGCGATTGAGCAGACAAGTGAGTATCACTAAGAGGGGAGCAGTGATATAGGGGTGTAGTGAAGCAAAGGCATAGATTTGCCTGGTGGAATTACCGAACTCCACGACCAATGAGCTCAGAGCCATGCCTGGGGATCTGGGCTATTCTCGAGGGACATGATGCGAGCAGCAAGAACCGTGCTCGCGAACAGAGTGAGCAGATCATTAAGTAGGCAGTCTCATCGTCTTACCTCGTGTGCAAAATGACGATGCTTCCTGGTAAAACATCAATACATGCGATACTTGGTTTGTTACCACCAGTACATGGAACCAGGGACATTACTTACAATACATATATTAGTGCTTCTCGCCTTGGGTGGGGCATTTCAATACCGGGAGGCGTCTGGATCGACCGTCCGTGTTTTCCTGCTCGGCGGGTCATTTCCAGCCATGCTAAGAGTTTATTAACTTTCAGACCATCCCAGTGGGGTATTCAATTGCTATTTCAAATCCCGAGGAGTCAGCTCTCTAGCACTATCAGGCAACGGTGAGTGGAGATGTGGGATTAGGAGTTCAAGGCTTCGCCGCATGAGGACCCTCTGGGGACATGTTTGTTCCCTCTGCTAGGAGTGAATTTCAAATCCTATGGCAGGTTATTGACTCAATGACTTTTCACGCCTTTTGTTTGCGCAATGGCGAATGTCTCCGTGAAAGGTAACACCGTCAGATATTGACTTTTTCTGTCCCCCACCTAGTTGAGGCTGGTCAGCACAGATCAATGGAGTTGGAGACAGATGATGCTTAGCGTATGCTCGGCGTACGTGTCCTTCGACACCCACGATCATGGCTTCAAGTTGGACACTCGTGGGTTTTCGTGTCTACACCACTCATTGGTCTCCAAGAAGTTTGGGCGAAGGATGATTTAGAATTGGTGGACGCATGACAGTGTTGTAAGTAATAACTAGCTCTGGATCTTGCGCGTTTTGTTGCTATCAGGCGACCTGCTAAGGTGTTGTCGGGATTTGACTTCCACATTGCGACTAACGCTCGGGTCGTACAGTACATTGCTTCTGCCCCGATATTGTGCCGCGATTAAGGTGGCTGAAAAGATATCCCCGACACCGGGACCGAGCATTAGGTCGCGCAGAAGGCGCGATGTACGCATAGCTTATTGCGCGAACAGGGCTAATAACGCGACTCCCTCCATATACCTATTGGGCAGAGTGGTTGAATAATCTGGCAGCCATCATAAACCTTCGGCCGGGCTCGAGACCAATCTGCATGAATCCAATGGCTACGTCCGTCCCCACGGTCGAGGATATAGTCGCCCTGCGTGTGGACATTCCGTTTGCGTTCCCACCACTCAATATCGATCGAAACAAATTTCCCGGAGAGACACACATTGTTGAAGCGATGAGGTCCTAGTGTTTAAGAAGCCGATTGCAAGTTAAGAGCATGCGCGAGGACATCTCACTGCTTTCTATGTCCTGGAGACTTAGCATAAGACTGGACGGGCCTGAAAATGATGTGTGCGGTATCTGAACGAGCCAGTCGGCGAGTAATATAATAGATTGGGGGTTTTTCTGAACGGTCGGGATTCCTTGTTTTAGAATTTTTGTTAGCGATGCTGACCAAGATAGAGCTCTGGCATTACGCAAAAAGGAAAATGACCGAGTGCAACAAACCCCAGTCTTTGCCAGGACCAATCTGCTTCCGATCGATTCTTTTAAGCAACTAGCATCTCAAGTATGGCTTTAAACAGGGTCCGATAGGGCTGTCAGGATGGGGAATGTGAGTGGCCCGACCCCTGTTCTCCGGCCCGATCAGCCACTAATAACGCATCCATATCCGGGGTTGTCAGGCAATCGATCTATAAAAGATCGCAGCCACCCAGGAAACCTGTCTTAGATATCCTCATGCAAAGCATCTTATGATTATGATCCTTGTCCTGTTTTTGCACTGCAGTCAAGTCGTCTCATATTAATGAGTGCAGGATGCCGCCAGGAACATGCAGCAGTGGTGGAGCTAATAACATTAACAGACAAAAATGAGAAGACGCAAGGTTGATCAGATACAACAGAAGCTGGGGGAAGCCCGATGGAAAGCCACCCTTCCAATACAGCAGACCGCCGGAGTGGCCGCTGCACCTTCCAAGAAGTTTCTGCCCCTTGGCAGATAGATCTTCATGTTGTACAATTTTCCCCTTTCCAATTGGCCTGGAGTGGCAGTGGTCCTGTCTACTGGTGATCCAGTGTGCTTCTCTAATGATTTTGTCACACACTTGTCATACAACATTCCCATTAAAAATTGCGGCTGCGCGCGTGGCATGGTCCCGCAAGCATTCCCCGGTTTAAATACACTCCTTGCACCTCACCACCAGTCCTCCATCTTCAACAAACTGCAGAGATGCCAGACAATAAAAATACCGACATGGCGGCCACCGCTGCAGAAAAACTTGCAGAGACTCCTGTTTCTCCCCCGAAGGTTCCCAACCACAATGATGTCATTTATACCCCAAACATGAAGTCCAGCGTGGAAGGGAGCAGCCATCATGGCCACAGTGAGGGGGAGAATCATGAGGAAGCCAGCACCAGCTCTGCTTTTCATCTGTGGAATCGTCGCTGCTTCTCCAAATACTTCAAGCATGTGGCCTATGCTGCAATCTGGGCGTTGTTTACTGGGTAAGTCTGCCTAGATCTGATGCTAAGTAACCTCAAACTAACACGCACATCTTCTTCCAGTTGGTGGATTACCGGCCTCATCTTCCACCGCTACGACCTCGGCTGGCTAATCCCCTTCCTGTTGTATCTCGCCATCACCTTGAGACTCATCTTTCTCTACATCCCCATCTCAGTACTCACCAGACCGGTCTTCTTCGTATGGAAACAGACGGCCTCACGACTCGTTGGCTATGTGCCAGAAAAGCTTCGCATCCCAGGCGCTGCCCTCGTCACCATCGCCGTTATTCTCATCGGATCTTTCGTGTCTCCCGAGTCTGCCAACAATACCCGCGCAGACCGAGCCGTCAGTCTATTCGGACTCGTTGTCTTCCTCTTCATCCTCTGGCTGAGCTCCCGAAACCGCAAGAAGATTGTCTGGCACACCGTCATCGTCGGCATGCTAGTGCAGTTTATCGTCGCGCTGTTTGTCCTTCGCACCAAGGCCGGCTATGACATCTTCAACTTCATCTCCACCCTCGCCCGTGAGCTCCTCAGCTTCGCAGAGCAAGGCGTCGACTTCCTGGTCGAACCCGGCTGGTCTGAGAAACACAGCTCATGGTTTATCGTCAGCGTTATCCCCGCCATCATATTCTTCGTCTCTCTCGTACAGCTCCTCTACTACTCAGGCGTTCTACAATGGGCCATTCAAAAATTCGCCATCTTCTTCTTTTGGTGCATGCGCGTCTCCGGCGCCGAAGCCGTCGTTGCTGCCGCCTCCCCGTTCATCGGACAAGGCGAATCCGCCATGCTGATCAAACCCTTCATCCCATACCTCACCATGGCCGAAGTCCATCAGATCATGTGCTCCGGCTTTGCCACCATCGCCGGCTCCGTCCTTGTTGCTTACATCGGCATGGGCGTCAGTCCCCAAGCCCTAATCTCATCCTGTGTAATGAGCATCCCCGCCTCCCTCGCTGTCTCAAAACTCCGCTGGCCAGAGGAAGAAGACACTCTCACCGCAGGCAACGTCACCGTCCCAGAAGACGAAGACCACAAGGCCGCTAACGCCCTGCACGCCTTCACCAACGGCGCCTGGACGGGCATCAATATCGCCGGCTTGATCACCGCCACCCTCCTATGCATCATCTCACTCGTCGGCCTTATCAACGGCCTCTTCACCTGGTGGGGTCATTACCTCAACATCAACAACCCCCCTCTCACCATTCAACTCATCCTCGGCTACCTCTGCTACCCCATCGCCTTTCTCCTCGGCGTATCCCGCGACGGCGACCTGCTTAAAGTGGGCAAGCTGATCGGGACGAAGCTCGTTATGGTACCCCTTCCTCCTTCCCTCTTTCCTATACACCCCCAATGTTAACACCCCAAATCTCCAAAATCAACAGAACGAGTTCGTAGCCTACCACGCCCTCCAAACCGACCCGGAATACCACGATCTCTCCCCCCGCTCCCGCCTCATCGCCACATACGCCCTCTGCGGCTTCGCAAACATCGGTTCTCTGGGCAACCAGATCGGCGTGCTGGCGCAGTTAGCCCCCGGGCGAGCGGGCGATGTCTCACGCGTCGCGGTGAGTGCCATGCTCACTGGGGCGCTGGGTACGTTTACCAGTGCGGCCATTGCGGGGTTGTTGATTACTGATGAGGGCGGTTTTTCTCAGCCGAGCTCATAGGTAGAAGGTATCAGGGACGTGAGGCGAGTTGCTTGGGGTTTTGGCTCGGTGGGATAGTAATTTGATAGATGGGGTTTAGCATGGGAAATGGCTCGGGGGTATGTGTGAGAACTTAGCTACGGCTTCATGTACGAATTGGCTAAATAGACTCCTTGCTTGAATGTTAAGGTATAATATCATCGTAGATATTAGTGATAGTAGTAGGCGTTGGGGTGGTGTAGAGTAAGTAGAGTGTAGTGTAAATCCTGGCTGGCGAATCATATGGGGGCGCAGTTTAATGTAGATGTTTGGTTCTCGGTAGGTTGCTCTACGTATTTCGTCTTCGTCGGATTCCGGTGTTACTAGATCGAGTATGGAAGGGATGAATTGCATTGTTAGGGGCATATATACAATGGCAGAGAGAGGAAAAGAGAGAGAGAGAGAGAGGCCTTCAAGATCTGAAGTAGGTACGGTACTACTTGACCTCCTCCTCGAGATTCATCAAACAGAAACTTGGGATATCCCCATCACATCGCAACAGCTAATCCCACTATTAACCGGGATATAGAATGTATGATATGGAAATCCTCAATGGTATGGTATGGTATGGTATGTATACGACAACCTCAACTTCAATGCCAGCCTCCACTGCACTAGAGAAAAGAAAAGAAAGAAGGGTAGGAGTATCTAGGTACAAGTTAACCCAATCCCCCTCCCCCCCCAACCTTCACACCACCATTCATATACATCCATCCACGGACCCAATCCTCCACCAGTGCCCATCCATCATATCCAATAGGAATAATAGCCTACTGACAAGAAAAAGAAGAAATATAAAAAAAGGCAAAGCGCAGGGTATTTAATCCCAGGACCGACCCTGTCATTTCCCATTTCCAAACGAAAAAAAAAAAAAAAAACAAACAAACAAACAGACCCCGCCTCCCAAACGCGAGAACTCCGAAAAATCATGAAATCAACCCAGCCAGCCAGCCCACCTCTTGTACCCTCAGGTAGAAAGAAGTGGTAGGGGAAGGAGGGGTAGGCAGGCACCATGCAGCCGGTTTCTTTCCCATAAAGTCAACGCACAACGCACACAACGCACAGACCCCAATTCTCATGCAATGCAACGCGGACCCGTTGATGCGGGTCCGGATTCTGTCAGGTCACATCGTGGACGACAGAGACGCTCACTCCGGGACAATCGTAATTTTACTCGATGTCTTCGATGTCGCGATGACGGGCGAGGACGTGGCGCTTGTATTCCTCCTGGTCGGTGTCCCAGAGTTCGGCGGCTTGGGCGTTGAGGGGGCTCGCGCTGAGGGTTGGCTGTTAGGAGGATCTGGGGTGAGAGAGAAGATGGAGGAAAGGGATGTCTTACTTGTTGGGTTCGCCAAGCAGACTCTGCAGACTCAGGAGGACGCTCTGGACGTTGTAAACGGCACTCCACTTGTCCTTGAGGATGTCGAGACAGATGCGGCCGGAGAAGTCGACGTTGGGATGGTAGATGGGGGTCTTGAAGAGGACAGTCGGCGCTGTGTAGGGGTAGTTGTTGGGGAAGGCGAACGAGAGTCGGAAGGTGAGGCCTTCGTAGGGCGTCTCGGTTGGGCCGGTGATGGTGGCGGTCCAGGAGAGGAGGTTGCCGTCGGCGTCGGGAAGGCGGAGATGCCCGGCGACGGCGAGAGCATCAGTTGCATCAGCTCGGCTTGGAGGCTGTAAGGACGGAGGGGTCGGGTGGTCAGTATGGGGTTCCACAAGGATCATCCTGAAGTATACAGCGTGTACAGTGGACGCTGACGGTGGGAGGTCGTGGTACGAACCGCTTAGTGACGCCCTGAGTGTCGGTCCTCTGCGCGGACGGGTTGAGCTTGGACGCTTCGTGGGCGTCGGGGGCCGAGTTCTGTGTGTCCTCCATGGTGTAGTCCATTCTGGTAGAGCCGAGAGGCTTGAAGCGGGCGACGGTTGATTTAAGCAGGGGTCAGGGAAACGAGGAATGCAGCGAACGTGTAGCGTGTGGATGTGTGGGAGGAGAGAGAATAGAAGGGAGGAGAGGAGAGGCGCTGGCTGGAATGACGCCGGATGCGAACGCTGCGACTTCGTTGGCTGATGCGGACCCGATTGACCCACAGGCTGAATCCCCCGGATGTTCGAACTCAGACAGGCGGACGGGTGATGGCACGGTAGGACTGGCAAGTAGGTGGGAAGGTGGGAAAAGAGAAGGGTTACTCAGGAGTCAGGAACTTAGGTTTGATCGGTAGGGAGAGGCAGGAGAAAAGAGGGCGATCGTGAGGGTCCCTGGGAAAAAAGCAATAAATCGCACCCTCTTTGTTTACTCGCCATCCGCCCGGCAACGCCGCCCCCGATTGATCCAGCCAGTCGCACATCCCCACCGGTCGTTGCAACTGATGGACGGACTGACTGGTCGCGATCATCTGCAGACACCGTCTGATCCCTTATCTAGATGCATGATCTACTGTGCGATCCAATCTGAGGACAAAGCCTGGACCAGCTAGCCTTGCCACTTGCCTTGTTGTTTGAGTTTGCGAGGGTACTGGGTAAATAATCCAGGCCAGGTTGTGGTGCAAACAAGTCCTCCTCCTCACCGGACGGTCTGTGCTGGTTTAAGTGACTTGGTTACGGGTGCGGGTCTGGCGTGACAGCGTCCTGAAGCAGACCACACCAGGCGGTCAACTACTAGTTGACTCGCGACTTGCAGGTGCAAGTCTTCTTCTCCTATCTTGATCTTCACTTATGGCTTCAAGATACCATCCTCTTCCTCCCTCTGGAGTCCCCCTTGTGACAGCATCGTATCTCCCCCAAGATGCCGGGTTCTGAAGGCTGCGACCGGCAGCCGTCAACAGACTGCCGAAAGAGGATAAAGTGGCTTTCGCGTGCCGGTTCTGCGCGTCCAGCTTCCTCGCCGCCTATCCAGCATCCCATCCAGCATCCCCTCCCTTGCGTTGCTTGCCGCCACCACCCCGGGCATGGCTTGAACTCGACTTCATGATCGGACCTGTCACATCAGCCTGCACCAGGGATTTTTTCGCCCAGTCGTCCTCGTGAGTCTCTGTCGCCATGCACCACTCTCAGCTGGCCCCGCTGCCGAATGACTTGCCCTTCCGCATCGTCTCCAAGACCATCGGCCAGGGTGCCTACGCCTGGTATGACAGCTCTGCTCCCTTGCCAAATTTGGCTCCTCGAAAACTCTTACTGACGAGTCTTCATGTCTAGTATCAAGAAAGCCGTCCCCACCTACACAGACAACCCCGTCTTCGCAGTCAAGTTCATCCACAAGGAATATGCCGCCCGCCATGGCAAGGTCACCCCGCGTCAGTTGCAGATGGAAGCAACCGTCCATAAGCATATCGGGGATCACAACAACATAATCTCCTTTTTCCAGACGGGCGAGGATGACGTCTGGCGCTGGGTGGCCATGGAGCTGGCCGAGGGGGGCGATTTGTTCGACAAAATCGAGTCCGACGAGGGCGTGGGTGAGGACATCGCCCACGTCTACTTCTCGCAACTCATCAGTGCCGTGGGCTACATGCATTCCAAGGGGGTGGGACACCGCGATATCAAGCCGGAGAACATGCTCTTGACGGCCGACGGCAACCTGAAAATCGCCGATTTTGGCCTCGCGACGTTGTTCGAGTATAAGGGCGTGACTAAACTCTCCACCACATTCTGCGGAAGTCCCCCCTACATCGCCCCAGAGGTCATCTCGTGCAGTAACAGGAATATGGTGAAGGGGTCTGGTTATCGACCGGACCTGGTGGATATTTGGTCCTGTGGGATTGTGCTGTTCGTGCTACTGGCAGGCAACACCCCGTGGGATAGTCCGACCGACGGCAGTTACGAGTTCCAGGAATATCTAGCGACAAACGGGCGGACATCTGACGAGCTCTGGCAACAGCTACCGACGGCAACTCTCTCCCTGCTGCGGGGTATGTTGAATGTCAATCCAGCAAACCGGTTCTCCTTGGAAGACGTGCGAAGACATCCCTGGTACACCCGACCGAACAAATATCTGTCGCGCAACGGCACGCTCCGCGACCCGATTAATTTGGCAACCACCATGTTTGAGTCACTCCATATCGACTTTTCCCAAGATCCCTTCGCGCGGTCGCAGGGGGGCAGTTTTGCGGGCGCACGGATGGACGTCGATCTCGGCGAAGAACGAATTTCGTCCACCCAACCGGACATGCCGAGAGGAGACATGCTGGTGGACTGGGACATGCCCCAGGTGGCCGATGCGTTCTCTTCCACGCAACCCATGGGACGGCCCTTTTTTGCAGATGACACGTCGGTGCAGGATCATCTGGAGGATGAGCCATCTATGTCACAATTCTCGCCGCATCCGTCTGTGCCCCTCAGTCGGACACAAAAGGCTCAGCGGTTCCAGGACATCGTGCCCTCTCGTCCGATGACACGCTTCTTTTCCACTTGGGAGCTCAAGATACTGGTCCCTCTCATCAGCGAGGCTCTCCACCGCCTCGGGGTCCCTGTCCCTGCCATTCCTGCGGTGTCTGCTGGAGACACCTCCGCGATGATCCGGATCGTCACTCGGGATGGGAGAATGTGCACACTCCAGGGCAAAGTGCTGATGGAGTGTGTGTCGGAGGGCCTCTTCGAGATCGAATTTATGAAAGTCAAGGGAGATCCGCTGGAGTGGCGACGCTTTTTCAAGAAGGTGGCTGTTCTTTGCAAGGATGCTGTCTACAAGCCCGACAGTTAGGCCGAGCGGTCGGCTTGAACAAGCATTCTCATTGCGTCTTGTCACGTCTTACGGTTAATGTACGAGTAATGGATTTATGATGATTGGGTATGAAATTGGCAGGACGGGTTAGGTTCAAGGGTTATGCGTTGGCTTTGTTGGTTATTACTGGTTTAAAAAAAAAATACAATGACGGTCTTATTTTCAGAGATAGTGCGAGTACTACTATGTTGTTTGTCAGAGAATGTGACTAGGGTGTTGGTGTATATATAGCCGGTATGGCTCGCCTCAGAATGCCGCGAACCGCGTTTCTAGCAGCGTAGAAACACCAACAGACTTTCCTCCCGTCAACCCCTCGCAAATACAACACCAACACCAGATCCGAGCCTTATCGAGTAGTACCCAACGGATCCACGACCACGTTGCGCCAGTCCTTCCGGCCGATATACTGCTTTGGTGCTTCCGTTCTGCACATCACCACGTGACGCCGGTCTAGACTGCGGATTGTGGGGGATAAATTGGAGCTTCGACCCCAAGAACTGGCAATTATGCCCTCTGCTCTCTGCCTCCTCTCCGCCGTGCAAGCCCGATGAGTCCGGTCGGCCCTCAATGGTGCTCTCGTCCCCGTCTCACTCATGGAGAAGCTCCCCGTAGAGATTCTCTGCGAGATTATTGACTGTACGCCCTGTCCCTTCACCCTTCATAATCCCCAGCTCTTCCAGTCCAGCCAGCCTTCCACTACCCCACATCAGCAGTTTCATGCCATGTGCTAGACCACACCACCACCACCCGGCTAACGCCCCCTAGATCTCACCCCACATGAGCGGGTACAGCTTCAATCGGTATCGCGGCGACTCTTCTCGGTGGCCCGCGACAACAACCTCTGGCGACTCCACTGCTTCGAGGGATCATGGAGCGCTTCCGGAGCCTTGCGTCCCTCCACCAACGGCTCCTCGCAGAGCCTCGTCGCCAACCCGACCGCCTCGCTCAGCGCCCTCGGCCACACCTCTCTCCGATCTCTGATCCAGCCCCGCGCGTCCCGTAACGACCCCCAGGATAAATCCCCGTCCTATGGCCTGCGATCCCGAGCGGCGGCGGGGTGGGATCCGTCTTATGAGGGGGAAGAGGTGAACTGGTACTCGGAATACATTGCCCGGAATGGACCGATCTCGCTCAGCTGGATGCAGCAGCCTTTCACCAAGGTCTCCCAGGGCCAACGGCGGGACTACCGGGAGGTGAAAGGTATGGGGTTGCTCCGCGACTGGAGTTCGGCCAGAGAGAATAAAGTGATCGCGCCCCTTGATGATGGGAGCGTTTGCATCTGGGATCTCAACCACTCGCACTCGATCGGTTCCCGCAACACCAAGGGCAAAGTTCTTGGGGTGAGCTCGCCAGGGATCTTGATGGCGAACCTGTCCGGGCGACGGGACAACTCCGGGACGAAGCAGGCCCTGGAATTCGTCAACCTGGGCGAATGCGTGAGCGTAGACTCCATCCGTCGCAGAGCCTATCTGGCTGTTGGGAACATCCTAAACGAGGTCGATCTCGAGACTCTCAGCGTCATCTCTCAACAGCGATACCCATGGTCTGTGTTTGCCTTGTCCCAGGAGACTGATTACTCGGTACCGTTGACGCTGGCGACCACACTAAGTCTGCATATATACGATGGTAGAATGTCGGCGATGGAAGAGGAAGCGGCCATCAACCTACGCTGTGAGGAGCCAACTGTGTCTTTGGTCCCCCAATCCCAGATCTATGCCCCTCCGGACTCGCCCCTTCTGCAACTCCAACCGGACGGTCGACCCCCCCATCGAATCCGAAGCCCAGACCCGTCAAACAACAGTGACAACTACGCCCCGTTGTTCCAACCAGGCCCTCTTTCGCTGCTTCATGCTCCTGCACCGCATGTGAACTCGATTTTCCTCGCCGGCCGCTTCCCCAGCATCTTACAATACGATCGCCGCTTCTTCCCACGCTTACAAAACACCATCCACTCGGGCGGTCAGCTCTGCGGTCTTGCTGCTGTTCCCGCGCCCCGGTTTCCTGTCTTCCCCAGTTCCGAGTTCCCAACCTCCCATAAGCTGGTCGCTTGTGGGGACTATAAGGGTCGTGGATCCCTGGAGCTCTACGACCTGTCACCTTCAGGCAACAATTACAAGGCCGATCCATCGGGTTGCTCGTCCTCGCTGTCGATGGCGTACCAGAACCGGCAGAGTGTCGCCCGGTCGAAGGTGCTCTCGGTTGAATCCCACGGGACTCGAATCGTTTTCTCCGACGCAGATGGCAACATCAAGTGGGTGGAGCGCGATGGGCGGTCGGAAGTCCGCCGCCTGAACATCAACGCCTACCAACCGCAACGGCGATGGAACCAGCAGCCCGGGGGCGCCTCCATTCGCTCTGGGGGTGGTGGGGTTGAGGGGGAGGAAGAGCATGCGCCTGGTCTCTGGGGTAGTCTATCACGGTCCCGCAATGACGGCGAGGTGGCGCGAAAAATTCTCCCTACTGGCGCAAGTTTGACGGGCGATGAGCTGCTCGTGTGGACCGGTGAGCACATTGGACGGGTTCGATTTTCGAACACCCCTGAAGCGGAACTCGACCAAGACGACGAGGATGAAGACATGGTCATTGACAAAAATATCGGCGAGGCTGAGGTCGAAAAGAGGCAAAATGACCGACGCGAGCTGCGACGGCGTGAACATGAATATGCGACGATGATGCGGCGGGCCCTGGTGAGACAGGCCGATGAGGTGCGGCGGATGGGTGGTCTTGGGCTGTGATGCTGGTGATGATCTTTGCGGCTTTTGCGTCTTTGTTTGCTGCTTGCTGCGCTGCTTGCTACTTGCCATTTGATGAGTGATACCTACGATCTGGGCTTATGTTTATTGTGCTGGCCATGCCCCTAGATAGACTTGAACTTCCTTCATAGAGCGGGGATATAAACCGGTAGATTTGCAGACTTCTGCTCCAGCGGGAGACCATTTCCATTCCAGGCCTCGGCCACCCGCGATGACTGGCTTCTGACAAACCATTAGTGAGCCCGCGGCCGTTTCCGTCTCTTCCTTCGCATTCTGTCCGAGTCTACTGCTGGGTAGATTCCTGTTTTATAACATCTTCCCGGTGTCTCTGAGTCTCCTCATAGGAAGTAATTTCCCGATCATCATTTGTGTCCTGCTGCCGCCATCCCCGAGCCCGAGCCTCCGAACCTCCGCCCCGCGAATCCCGACCGATAAAGAACCACCACCACCGCCAGCCTCGCCATTGCGCCATACAGATTCTCCCCGCTAGCCATTGGCGCTCCCCTTTCTATAAAACGCCCGATCCTGCACTCGAAATCCTGGTGCTGACCCAATCGGAACGCCCTGAGCAAGCCTTTCCCCCCCTGCAGTACATACCCCGCCCCCGATTCCGCCATCCGCACGCACCGAGGGGCATTTCGCTGATTGATCAATCGAGCAGCACAACAACACCCTGCCTATACCACTACCGCTACCATCCAAGATGCCTTCGCCTGTGGACCCTACTCTTCAATTCGACTCCATTGAAGACACGATAGCTGCGTTCAGTGAGTGCCTTCTCCTTGCTTATCTTCGCTGTGTCTTTCACCGCGGGGCATTCAATCCCTCTACCGTCATCTCCATAATCAATAATCGCAACCACAAGACAAAGGAAGACAACCCATGCACACCGCTAACCCCCTCTCCCCTCTCTAGAAAACAACGAATTCATCATCGTCCTCGACTCCCAAGACCGCGAAAATGAAGGCGACCTCATCATCGCCGCCGAATCCATCACCCCCGCGCAAATGGCCTTCCTGGTGCGCTACACAAGGTACGACACAACCCCAATCCCCTCCTCTCCTCCATACCCAATACCTCCCCCCTCAATCCACAATCCTACGAATTAAAAGCACCCCCCTCTAACCATGACAACAAAAAAAAATAGCGGCCTAATCTGCGCCCCCATAACCCCCACACTCGCCTCCCGCCTGCACCTCCCTCAAATGGTCACCCACAACGCCGACCCCAAGGGCACAGCGTACACCATCTCCATCGACGCCTCCGACCCCTCCGTGACAACCGGCATCTCAGCCCAAGACCGCGCCTTGGCCTGCCGCACCCTCGCCTCGCCCACCGCCCACCCCGACGACCTCCGTCGTCCCGGTCACATCATCCCCCTCCAGGCGCGGCCCGGCGGCGTGCGCGAACGCAGAGGCCACACCGAGGCTGCGGTGGAGTTCTGTCGTCTGGCCGGAAAGGCGCCTGCCGGTGTGATTGCGGAGTTGGTAGAGGATGGGGAGACGGTCCCTGGCGTTGCGGAGATCGGGGGCGAGAATGGGATGATGAGAAGGGATGCTTGTTTGAAGTTCGGGAGGAAGTGGGGGATTAAGGTGTGTACGATTGAGGATTTGGTGGAGTTTGTGGAGAGAGAAGAGGGGGGAAAGAATGGGAGTGTTTAGGTTAAGATGCTTGGTGGGATGGCGGTTGGGGTTTTTGTATATTCTTTCTTCTGTCTTGTTTCCTTCTTCCTTCTGGACACTGCCAACACCGAGACGGTGGTTGATTGCATTGTATATGGCTGCTTGTGTCTTTGTTTATTCCTTTTCTTGTTCCCTTCTTTGATTCTCTCTTTCAACATTTCATTGTCTGTTTCTTCTGGCCCCTATGGATCACTGCAAAATAGATGGATAAAAAGAGAAAGAGGCATTGGTGAGGATTTTCATTGAAAGCTATTTCTGGGACTGTATATCACTCTGGATTCTTGATAGACGTGCATGATATATGTTTGAATGCTAGTATTGGCATGGTACAGACGAAAGGACTAATGAAAGCACGACTACATTGAATCACCATAATAATCCACTAGAGTAGAACACCACAGGAAAACACAACCCACCCCAAGAACCAAGTCCAGTCTATAATCAATTATTATTCGGGTATCGAGTTTGCTGTATAGTTTTACACAAGGCTGCAACAACCAGCCAGAGAAAAAAAAAAAAAAAAAAGGAAAAGAAAGAAAAGGAAAGGAAAGAGAAGCACAGCAGCCATTCCCAGTCTTCCATGAGAACAAAACAAAAGGAAAAGAAGGAGGCACCACCATCTAATTCCCTAACGCCAGAAATGCAATCCCAGGACAATTTTCTTAAGAGAAAAAAAAAGAAAAGCCGAAACACTTTTAAGAAACCGCATACTACCGTTTCAAATGCGAATAATCTCTCAAAACACCCATCATATGGGTATTGGTAGTCTTCCCACTGCGTCTGGCCTTCTTGACCTTCTTATGCTCGATCTTGGGCCTCTGCTTGACGACCTTATTCTTGCTGGTGGGCAGAATACCCGCCTTATCCAGCTCCTCCTTGACAGCCTGCTGGTCGGGCACGCGCACCTTCTCCCAAATAGTGCGGAACTCCTCATCGAAGACCTGGATGAGCGAGGGATCATTCGCCCAGACCATCTTGGCGTGATCATCCTTCTTGTTCCGGGTGACGAGGAGCTTCCCCTCCTTCTCCAGCGTATTGATCGTATCCTCGACGTTAGGCCAGCCCTCGCGCAGCTCACGCACGCTCATGCCCGCACCTGTGGTCTGCGCCTGCAGTTTCTGGAGCAGCTGTTCGGCGGTGCGGATGTTGTGCGGGGGACGGAACCCGAATGTGCCTTCGCCGTTGGCTCCGCTAGGGTCGTATTGCACTTTCTCGTGCACTTGTAGGATGCTCCGCAGCGCTTGGATGTAGCCTTGGTCATTTGCTCGGTGTTGCAGGGACAGGTAGCTGACGATGTCGGAAAATCGGAGCGGAGTGCCCTTGGATTTCATGTGCTCGATCGCGAATACCACCTGCGTCATGATATCCTTTCCCGTGCCTGTGTTGGCCGGCTGCGAGTATACGATGTCCGCATCGTGGCGTTTGCGCTTTGCTTCGTCAAGTGTGCTGCCGCCGGGTGTTGGGGTCGAGGTCGACGATGGGAGCTGAGAGCTGCTGCCGGACGTGTTGGTGTTGGCGTTGTTGCTGTTCACGAAGCGGCGTTGTTGGGGCATCCGCGCCGCGTAGTCGACTACGCTGGCGCTGAAATTCTTGAGCTGGGCTTGAAGGTGTGACATTTTGCCGGTTGCCGGTTGCCGGTTGCCGGGGATGTGATCGGGCTGAGATGGGGAGGGAGACGGCGAGAGTGAGGTCGGGCCCGAGGCCAGGAGACAGAGCGAGGAGGCGAGGCCTCGCTTTGTAAGAGCACAAAGGAGCTCTGTTAAAGATCGTGTTTTATCATATGAGACGGGGAAGCGAGGGGGTCGGGGTCGAGGATGGGTTCTGTATTTGAAGCCACCGAGAGAGTGAGCGACCAACGAGTGGGTGGTGGGTAAGTGAGAAGTGGTGGAGGAATGAGGGATGGATGGACGATCCTCGTCATCGTCGACTTTGCGATGCCCCGCTGCCTGAGGCGGCTACAGTCAGGTGACGGGACTGGCACTAGCCGCAATGGGAGCTCCGCCCAGGCGACTAAGCCTCAGGCCCTCCCGCCGGTCATTCATCATCGCGACGGAGACCTTTGTCTGCTGTCATTTCCATCTATCTTCTTTGCCCCCGCCTCCCCTCGCTCCCACTCCCTTCAGGCCTGCTTCCATGGCTTAGTCTGCTCCTGGAGGCTGTGCGTTTCTTTTCACTTCCAACGCGCAGCAGACTGACGCCAGCGCCTGGCTACCTACAACCCAACATCCCTCACCTCCTCTCATACGATCATCACTCATTTCACAACATAAGCCAGCTTTTCAACGATCCAGCAGCCATTGCTGCGGTCAGCCCATGGTAATCATGGCGACAGCTACGATTGAGCTCCCCTTCCTCTCGTCACACTACTCCGTGGCTGAGTCGACGCTGAGCTCCCTCACGCAAGCTCCCACCGTCGAGCTCGTCAACCAGCTCCTGGAAGCCATCACCAAGAAGGCACGCGAGCATGATGAGCTGAAGTCCGACAAGATCCGACTAGAAGTGGAACTTGACAATGCCGTCCGCTCCAGCGAGAACAAGATAAAGGTTCTGAAGAATTCCGTGGAGAAGGGCCATGCAGAAGTGGAAGAAACGAGGAAGAAACTTCACGAATCGGGTAAGTACCGTGGAGATGTGTGGTTGGAGATTTTCCCTTGTTGCTGACGCGTGGTAGAAACTGCTCGCTCTGCGTTGGAATCCGAAATCGCCTCCCTTAAGTCGTCCTCTACGTCGAACGAGTCCGAGGTGAGCTCGCTGAAGTCTCGCATCTCGTCCCTGGAGGCTTCCAACAGGGATACGCTATCGCTACTCGAATCCAAATCCGCCGCCTACGACAAGCTGTCCGAAGAACTCTCCGCCCAGCATAAGAAGACCATCGAACTGAGACGCCAACTCTCCACCGCCGAACAGAACCTCCAGGCCGCAACCTCCGCCTCTGCTACCGCCAAGTTCCGCGAACAGAGCCTTCAGCAGGACTTGGAGTTGACCAAGAAGAACAACGAGTGGTTTGAGACGGAGCTGAAGACCAAGTCTGCCGAGCACCTCAAGTTCCGCAAGGAGAAGAGCGCTCGGATCACGGAGCTTCAACGTGAAAACGAGGAGGCCAGTGCAAATGTGGACTCCTTCAGGCGCAGTGAGAATGCTCTGCGGAGTCGTTTGGATGAGGTGGAACAGCGCTACGAAGAAGCTCTTACCAGTATCCAGCAGCTGAAGGAAGAGGCCGTTCAAGCAGCGGAGTCGTTCCGGATTGAGCTGGACAGCGCCAATCGCCTGGCTCAGTTGCAGTCGAACTCCGCGGAGACGTCGAAGCAGCGTGCCAAGGATTGCCAGCTGGCCTTGGAGAAGGCGAGAGAAGATGCGGCGGGTGAGATCTCCCGACTTCGCGTGGAGGTCGAGACCGAACACTCCGACAAGGAGGCTGCTGAGCGCCGTGTGGCTGAGCTCGAGCTTGCAGTTAGCCAGCTGGAGTCGGAGGGTCGCGCAGGCAGAAGAAGATCGATGAGCCCTGCGGTGAATGGCGGACCAAGCACGCCCAAGCGTCCCAGCACCCCGGCTGCCGCATTCTCTCCCAGAGCCTCGCGCGGCAAGGGTGGACTCACCCTCACCCAGATGTACAGCGAGTATGACAAGATGAGGACCTTGCTTGCCGTGGAACAGAAGACAAGCCAGGAACTCAGATCGACTCTGGACGAGATGGTTCAGGATCTCGAGGCCAGCAAACCTGAAATCGACGAGCTGCGCGTGGATCACGGCAGGCTCGAGAATGCGGTGGTCGAAATGTCCAACATTTTGGAAACCGCCGGAAAGGAACGGGACGACGCGACGAAGGAAGCGAGGAAGTGGCAGGGACAGGTGGAGGGATTGGCACGGGAGGGTGACATTCTGCGTCAGCAATTGCGGGATTTGAGCTCCCAGGTCAAGGTCCTGGTCTTGGAGAACGCCATCATGAAGGAGGGCGAGGAAAGTTACGACAGGGAGGAACTTGAAAAGATTGCCCGCAAGGAGATTGATGACTCGTCTGCGGATCTCAACCCAACAGGCCGGTTCATTAGTCGTAACTTGATGGCATTCAAGGATCTCCATGAACTTCAGGAGCAAAACGTCACTCTCCGGCGCATGCTGAGAGAGCTTGGAGATAAGATGGAGGGTGCGGAGGCTCGCGAGGCCGATGCCATGCGCCAGCAAGACCAGGAGGAACTGAAGGAGCTGCGGATCCGCGTGCAGACATACCGTGACGAGATCTCCAACCTTGTCGCGCAGACGAAGAGTTATGTCAAGGAAAGGGACACCTTCCGGAGTATGCTGACCCGTCGTCGCCAGACCGTTGGCGACGCTTCCATCTTCTCTCAATCTATGCCCCTGGGCGCAGCGCCCCCAGTCGCCGAGGAGCACGCCAAGGATGCTCCCGACTATGCCGAATTGCTGCGCAAGGTACAGGCCCACTTCGACAGCTTCCGCGAGGAGTCAGCGACCGACCACTCCGCATTGAAACAACAAGTCAACGAGCTTTCTCGGAAGAATAGCGAGTTGATGAGCGAGATCAGCCGATCCAGTAGCCAGCTCGGTGCCGCCTCTCAGCGCGCGGAACTACTCCAGAGCAATTTCAATATGCTCAAGAGCGAGAATTCGGAACTGCAGAAGCGCTACGCTACAATGTTAGAGAACGCCACCCGGCAGGACCTCCGGACTCAGCAGGCTGCCGAGGACTTGGTCGAGATGAAGGGTCTTGTGGAGAGTCTCCAGCGGGAGAGTGCGAACCTCAAGGCTGAGAAGGATCTCTGGAAGAACGTCGAAAATAGAATCCTTGCTGAGACGGAGACCTTGCGGAATGAAAGAAGCCGTCTTGATACTCTCAACGCCAACCTTCAAACCATTCTCAATGAGCGAGAGCATACCGACGCCGAGAGTCGTCGTCGGTTACAGGCCAGTGTCGAGTCTTTGGAATCGGAGCTGCAATCTACGAAGCGGAAGTTGAACGACGAGGTGGAAGAGTCCAAGAAGGCAACGCTGCGCCGCGAGTACGAGCATGAGCAAAACCAGAAACGCATTGACGACCTGGTGACGAGCCTGGGCACGGTGCGGGAGGAACTAGTCGCCACGAAGACCACGCGGGATCACTTGCAGTCCAGGGTAGATGAGCTCACCGTCGAGCTGCGTAGTGCCGAGGAGCGCCTGCAGGTCGTGCAATCCAAGCCTACTGTTTCGGCTGCGCCCGTCGAAGCCCCTGCGACTGAGGAAGGCCAAGAAAGTGGCCTGACGCGTGAGCAGGAACTCAGCATCGAGGTTTCTGAGTTGAAACGCGATCTGGAGCTGGTGAAGAACGAGCTTCAGCACGCCGAAGAGCGGGTTGAGGACTACAAAGCCATCAGCCAGCAGAGTGAAGAACGCCTGCAGTCTGTTACGGAGACTGACGAGCAGTACCGTGAGGAGACGGAGCGTCTCATCGAAGAGAAGGACAAGAAGATTCAGGAAGTCGAAAGGCGGATCGAGGAGATCTCTTCTGAGCTGTCGACTACGAACAGTGAACTTTCTAAGCTGCGTGATGAACAAGGGGAGGCTGGTCGTCGCTTGGAGGAACAGAAGGCCACGCTGGATGCGGAGATCACCCGACTGAAGGACGAGAACGAACGACAGATCGCCGCTGCGCAATTCCACCAGGAAGACCTGAAAGCCCAGGCTGAAATCTCTCGGCACGCCCAACAGAACTACGAAAGCGAGTTGGTCAAGCACGCTGAGGCCGCGAAGAACTTGCAGACAGTCCGCGCCGAAGCCAACCAATTGAAGCTGGAGGTGATCGAATGGCGGACCCAGGCCGAAACCTTCAAGAAGGATCTTACTCAAAAGGAGGAAAGTTGGAAGGAGATCAAGGAGAGGTATGAGAGCGAACTCACGGAATTGCAGAAACGCCGGGAAGAAGTCCTCCACCAAAACGCTCTGCTTCACACTCAACTCGAGAACATCACCAACCAGATTGCGGCTTTGCAGCGCGACCGTGCCAGCATGCCGGAGGACGATAACGACGGAGATTCGGGTGCGCCGAACCTCGAAGGCCTCCAGGAGGTCATCAAGTTCCTGCGTCGCGAGAAGGAAATCGTGGACGTGCAGTACCACCTGTCGACCCAAGAGAGCAAGCGTCTGCGCCAGCAATTCGAATACACCCAGTCTCAGCTGGATGAGGCTCGGTTGAAGCTTGAGCAGCAGCGTCGTGCTGATGCTGACAACGAGCACTCTGCCCTGAGCCACAACAAGCTGATGGACACCCTGAACGAACTGAATCTGTTCCGCGAGAGCAGTGTGACCCTCCGCAACCAGGTCAAGCAGGCGGAAACCTCCCTTGCAGAGAAGTCCGCTCGCGTCGAAGAACTTGTCCATCAGATCCAACCCCTGGAGACTAAGATCAGAGAACTAGAGAACGTTGTGGAGACGAAGGACGGAGAACTGAAGTTGCTGCAGGACGACAGGGACCGGTGGCAACAACGTACGCAGAACATCCTGCAGAAGTACGACCGTGTGGACCCTGCGGAGATGGAAGGTCTCAAGGAGAAGCTTACGACACTGGAGAAGGAGCGGGACGAAGCTCTCGCAGCCCGTGAGACTTATCAGGCTGAAGCTGCTGCATTCCCGGAGCAACTCAAGCATGCGGAAGAAAGGGTGCAGGAGCTTCGCACGAAGCTCACGGAACAGTTCAAGGCCCGGTCGAAGGAGCTCACTGGTCGCATCAATGCCAAGCAGGTGGAACTGAACGCAGTCGCTCAGGAGAAGGATGTCATCCAGGAGGAGTTGAAGATAACTAAGGAGGAACTGAATGCGCTGAAGGCCAAGATGGCCGACGCACCGGCTGCCCCCGCTCCGGTCGAACGCACTGGCGGTGTCGATTCGACGCCTGCATCCCAATTCCCCGTGCCCACTACCCAAGTGGCTGTTGCTACAGACGACGAGCGTGTCAAGGCTCTGGAAGAGAAGGTGCAGCGCCTTGAGGCGGCTCTGACCGAGAAGGTCGCCGCATTGGCTGCCAAGGACGCGGAGCATGAAGGCAAGATCAAGGAGCGCGTGGACAAGCTGAAGGAGATGTTCAACGGCAAGATGGCGGAGGTCCGGACAGCGCACCGACAGGAAGTCGAGCGTCTGAAGTCGACTCAAGAAGCCATCCCACAAGAGCCCGGCACTCCCGCCAAACCCGACCAGGCTTCCGCCGTCCACGCCACTCCTGCCACTCCTCTCAAGGATGGCATTCCCTCCGAACTCACGGACGCTCAGGCCCGAGAACTCGTTGCTAAAAACGAAACTATCCGCAACATCATCCGCAACAACATTCGGACGCAAATCTCCAAGCAAAAGGAACAGGAGACGAAGGCCAGCCAGGAGGCCCTGGCAGCGTTGGAGCAGAAGTTCAATGAGGAGAGAGAAACGCTGAAGAAGGTCAACGGGGATGGCGTGGAGGAGAAGATCAAGGCTGCGGTGGAGTTGTCAGATAAGAAGTCGCTGGCTAAGCTGAGCATGCTGGACACCCGGTACCGGACAGCTCAGGCGAAGATCGATGTGGTGCAGAAGGCCGCTACGGAGACGCCGCAAAGGCCTGTTGTCGAGGTCTGGGAAGTGGCCAAAACCACCCGGGCTCCTGCCCAGACTCCCGCAAAGCCCGTGCCATCGCCTGCGCCGGTCCCGTCTCCTGTCCCGGCGGTGGTCCAGGCTGCCCCTGTGGCCCCTTCTCCGTCCCCAGCCCCGGCTCCCACACCCGCTGCAACACAACCACCCGCCGAACCGGCTGCTGAACCAACCCAACAGCCTCAACCACAGCCTCAACCTACAGAGCCCGAACCTCAGCCTGGCGCGCAAGCCCAGCAACAACCACAACAACCTCAAGAGCAGCCCAAGAAGCCGCTCCATCCACAGCCCCGAACCCATTCGGTCAGAGCCAGAACAAGCAGCCTCCATCGCTGCCCAGCAAGCCCCCAGCCGGTACCGCCGGCACTGCGCCAGGTGTTCTGAAGGCCCTCCAGTCCGGCCTCCCCGTCGCCCGAGGCGGCGGCCGGGCAGGCGGTCGCGGCGGCGCGCACCAGCAGAATCCATTTGGACAAAGCCAGCAACAACCCCAGGGTCAGGGCCAGGCCCAACAGCCCCAGCCCCAGCAGCAACAACAACAAGCCCAGGCCCCGAGCCAGCGCGGCTCCGGTCTCCCTCGCGGTCGCGGCGGACGAGGAGGCGGACACGGCCGTGGCGGCAACCAGAACGTGCAGACCGCTCAAGTCCAGCAGGGCCAGGCTAGTCCCGGCCGTGGCAACCTGAACGCCCACGCGCGTCAGTTCGTGCCGGGGGGGAACAAGCGCGCGCGCGAGGATGGGGGAGACGCCGGCGGCGAGGGAAAGCGGATGAGAGGCGGCGGTGGACAGGCCCGGGGATCATCATCATCATAAGTTAGTTTTCTAATATCTTGATCCCTGTCTGACCTTGATTGATATCTGGCGGTTGATCTTGCAGTTGCTACTGCCATGCCATTGTGATTGTATTTGTGATTCCAGTCTTAGTCATAGTCATAGTCATACTCTTTTTTATTTCCTTTTCATGTATTTTACGTCTGAAATCTGTTTTGTGTGGTGTGGTGTGGTGTGGTGGGGATTGAGGTGTTCAAATTAACCTTCCTGCCTTCCATCCTACCTACCTACCTACCTACCTATCCATCTGCCTTTCTTCTCGGAAAGCAAAACCCTCACTCATACCATTATGAATTTTCCTCTGTTGTGACATGTGTTCCGATATCTTAGAGCATTGATTTGGTTTTTGGGGCTTTTCTCAGGTGATTGGTTGGTTGGCTGTATTGTTGTCGGTAAAGCTTGTAGAGCGGAAATAACTAACTAGTTACCACATTGTCTCGTCATTAGATATCAGGTGATTTATGGACATTGTCTCGAGGGATAACTATGCAAATTGTGAAGATCGTACTGGATGGGATTATAGATTTCTAGTTATTGAGTGCGATTGAATTTACAAACTATTAACTACATGCTATTGTCAAAATTTACATCATCATCATCACCCACACCTACTTACAACGATTCCATGTTCAGTCATGACTCTGAATCATCGATTATGGCAGTAACCGATTTTTCATCATGATAAACAAAATTCAATCCAATGATAGTCAGATACCTACCTATCTACCTACCTACCTACCTACCTAGATAGATAGATCGATCGATAGATAGATAGATATATGCTAGGATTGATTAGAATTGAGGCACTCCCCTCCCAACAATCAACTCATCATACGCACAAGCCCCAACGCACCCATATACTCACGGAGCAGATCCCAATACCTCACATCAGCGGAGGTCATCCTCCGGTAATAATCGCCGTCTCTACAGAGCAGAATATTATATTCGTTGTAGTACCCGTCATAAGAGAAGTCACCGAAGGCCAGAACCTGCAGATTCAAATACCCACACGGCCCGAAAGCCCATTGGGCTATTGGTTCCAGGATCGCATCATTGCTTATCGCAACCATTTCCGCGGAATCTTCGTCTGTTTGCCTGCGCCTCATGGGGCCGCTTGATCGGAGGTGTAATATCTTGATATTTGGGTTCGGTGTGACATGATGGTCGAACTCCTCGTGAATGTCCTAGAATGGCAACATAGTCTTTAGTATCTTATATATCCTCGGCTTGTTTCTCTTTCTCTTTCTTTTTCCTCTTCCTTTTATTTTTATGGGGGGTTTTTTTCACATGTTAGATATCAGATACCAGGCCAGGGGGTTCTTACAAATGAATAACCGATCTTTATTGAGACCCCGAAGAAGTGGAGGTCTATGCTTGGAGAAAGAAGGTGGTTGTTAATAGTGTAGTGAAATATATCCGTGTCCATGGAATCCCCGTATTCCGTTCTATCAAGGCCATGGGTGATCAGGTGCTTGAGTGTGGAGCGGTGATGCATTGTGCCTTCATTAATAATGCCCCAGTCGGTTGGTACTGGGAGCATGAGATGGATATCTCTCAACCCATCGAAAGACTTGAGAAATGCTCCAACCGTCTCCGAGATACCGTCCTGGGACTCGTCCGTGATCTGGTTCAAATGTTCTGGGTTGAATGTTAATTCGAGCGATTCCAGCTTCAGAGGCACCCCAGAGCGGACAGTCTGTCGCAGAAAGCGGAATGTTCCGGGGCAGTTTGAAAGTTGTAAAGCGCGCAGCGCTCCCATGTTCAGCGCATCGACCAATTCGGTCTCCATGGGAGAGAGGGATACTTGTGAGAGAGACAAGCGTTGAAGGGCTGGGAGAGGGGTCCGTAGCTCTCCACCCTGGAGGCCAAGCACGGATTGCGCAAAGAAGTTCTCCGGCAATCTGGTATTCGGCGTGAATTTCTGCAAGAAGCCTCGAGACCATGTCAGTCTGGCACTGTCCCAGCCGATGAGATCGAGATACAGTGTCTTCAGGTGAGGCCCATGGGCTGCGATGAAATCTCGAACTGACTCGAAATCGTCATACCGCTTCAGCCCTTTCCAGGACAGAGATTGAACCCTAGAAAGCCGAGCGAGATGGATACTGCATGACGCATTTCTGTTCGCCCTGCAGTCACTGTCCCCGATGAGAGATATTGAGGTAATTTGACTCTGTTCTCTCAACATTAAATCGATTCTCTGGGCTACTTCATCGGGAAGGCACGTCCCTAGATCCCACCTATGGCGCGTCAGTGTTGAGTCGGCGTAACACATCATCACAAATGAATGTCCGTACCTGAAGGTCCGCAACTGGTCCTCGGGAATTGTGGATACCGCAAGATGCAGATCATCCATAAACTGAGAAAAAGGCTCGAATGGATTGACCTGTCGAGGTAAGCACAGAGTATATTCAACTCCCGACATGAATCCACCAACCTCCAATCCAAGATGTTCATTCCGGATAACCAAATGGTCATGGAACGGACAGCCTCCATTGACTGGCTCCCCATGGAATGGGCCGCACAGGCTGAGGTCTCTCGTATGAACTAGGTGCGAGTGGTCGATCTTTTTAATTGTAGAGGTTATGTTCTGAGCTGATGGTTGCGTCGTTGATATGACCAGGGACTTATACAGATAAGGAACAGTTAGGAAATGAATGTCCTTGGAGACTTCACAGAGACTTTTGAGATCAGTTCGAGTCATCTGGGAGGCGTCAGTAGTCCGGTTCGACTGGAAGGTGGGGGAGCTGCATACATTGTTGAGCACCATGGCCAGCAGCTCGGGGGGTAACTTGCTGAGCATGATGGTTGTCAAGATTTGTCTTGAGGTTGAATGAGGAAGACAGAGGTGTCACTGGATTTGTCAATATCATATTGAGGCTGCAATCACAAGTTGCGAGGAGAAATGTCACGCTGGCTATGAGAACAGGCGCTTTGCTTATTACTCGTCAGCGCTAATTTCACATCTTCGTGCTTCGCGATAAGCTCGGTGCGTCGGACTTCCGGAGGGAGATACTAATTACAGCAGCAAGGCCGCGAAGCTGTCGGACTGCTGGATTGGAGGCTAGTATCGACTGGGTTGCAATTCCAATGTCGTTTAGATCATCTATCATCTTCATTCACCTTAGTATATATATGCCTGCTACATCCCAGACTTTCTGCTTCCTCCCTATACTTTCCCATCTGGTATAAATGTACCGGTTGCATTAGTATGTATTATCTTGACTGACTATCACACATATCATATCATATCTCATATCTTGGAATCAAGCCCAGCCACCCCCAGGATCACCTCCGTCTCCCCCCCGCCGCCGCAACCCCAATCAACCTCCCCAGTGCCTCCCTCTCCTTATGCAAAACCATGACCCTGGCACTCTCAATAATCTTCCCCTCCAACGCACCCCCACTCCCCCTGCCCCGGCACCAACATGAACCACCTTCCCAACAGCCCTGGTCCGTCTCCTCTGTCCAAACCCACCCCCTACGCCCCAAACAACCGTCCACTCCTTCACGTTCGCCCCAGCCGGCACCTCACACCCTGCACACACCTTCGAATGGGCGCCGATGACCGCCCGGCGGTTCACGATCGCCAGCGCGTCGATGGTCACGGTGGAGTGGAGGACGGTTCCGGGGAGGATCTGCGCGCCGGGACCGATGACGACTGTGTTGGAGAGGCGGGTGGGGATGGGGCTGGGTCTTTCTCGTTCCAGTTCTCGTTCCCTTTCCCTGTCCCTATCCCGGTCTCCTGTGGATGTGGATGTAGCGGTGGGTGGCTTCGGGTGTGATGAGGAATAAGGCCCCGGTGAAGATGGAGGCGGGGGTAGCGGCGCCCCCACGATGCTCTTCTCGCTGAGGATGCACCCGTTTCCGATGATAATGGGTCCCTCGTGCGAGAGGATGCGCGTGCGCGGGTGGATGATCGTGCCGGCGCCGATGGAGATCGGGTGGCTGCCTTGGAAGATGGTCGTGTCGGAGATGGTCGCGGTAGGGTGGGCGGTTATGGGTGGGCGGGAGGGCGGGGGCATTGAGGGGGAGGGGGCGCGGTGGTGGTGGGTTGGTGGTGGCTTGAGGTGTGTTGATGATGACGGTGTTGGTGGTGTTGGTGTTTGTGTTGTTGTGGGGGTTGGCGGGGGTCCATTGTTGCTGCTGTTTCTGCTATTTTTGTTGAGTATGAGGTTGAGTGTGGAGAATTGAGAGGCGAGGAGAGGAGGGGAGATATGAGCCGGCACGTCTCCTTTTTGGTGGTTGTGGTTATGGTGTGGTAGAGGAGGTGGTGGTTGGAGGGAAGGTGAAGTTGGAGAAGCAGAAGTTCGGAGGTGGACGATGCCGTCCGCGGAGGTTTGGCGGAGACGGGCTGGTCAGAGCAACTCCAGCAACACATCCTCCGTTCTCACCGCAAAGTCCAAATAAAACAATGTCTATATCTCCATGTCTACCTCTATCCTATCTAGTAAATATTCCTCTCCGGGTATCTCATGTCACATCGAACAAGTCATAATCCAAAAACATAACCCAAACGCCCATCCCCTCCCATCCTACTCCGTACCATCAATCTACACTTACTCCTCCTCCCCCTCCCCCCCTTCACCCCCTCATCTCTCTTCCCCTTAATCCCATTCCTCCTCCTCCACGCCCAAACCCCCCGATCGACCTCCTCCCTCGTCATGCCATCGCGCACCAAACAAAAACTCACCCCCAGCTCCGTCTCAACATTGCGATTCCTCGCCTCGTCGTCAAAAAACAGCATATCCTCGTATGCAACCCCGCTGGCCTGCTGGATGCGCGCGAAATGCTGCGTCTTGTTCGCCGGGAAGATCTGGATGTAGTCGAAGTAGTCGAGCGCGCGCACCGACTTGGCTTTCGCCGCCGGGTTGTCGGAGAAGCTGGGAATGATGTGCAGGGCTTTGAGCATGTCGCGCGCTAGGTCGGGGGCGTGGGTGCGGGAGGCAAGGGCCAGCGGGATGGATTTGGATTTGAGGGAATGGAGGATTGAGGACACGGCGGGGTAGAAGGCGAAGGACTCGTTCCATCTGTTTTTGGTTTGAGGAAAGTGTTAGTGGGGTTGGTTTGGAGGGGAGGGGGGGAACTAGTTGGAGGGGTATGTAGGGTGGATTGGAGGCTTACCGATCCGTGCAGCGCGAGTTATTATCACGAGGCTTGATCGGGGCGCTGACATGTGTGTCGACCCAGAAAGGCCACAGGGTGTAGTCCAAGTCGAAGGCGATCAGCTTGGGGAGAGGCAGTCCGTCGTTGAAGGTCGCGGGCGAGATGGACGCATCTTCGAGCGGCTGCGTGTTGGTCCGTTTGTTGCGCATGGTGCCGGCTCGAGCTGATCGGTATATACAGTGGTGGTGGACTGGCTCTGGGCGACACGCAATCTGCAGCTGGAAAGTTGGAGGAAGGAAGTTTGACGATGGAAGATGAGACGATAGACAAAGTAAAGGACGGTGACTATGGCGTCACGTGCGGGGCAACTGGAGTTACTTCGGCACTTGTTTCGATTGGATTCTGCTACAGGACTTCATTCTTGCTCGTGTATGCGTGTATGCGTGTATGAGGATCACTCATTATTCTCATTCTTTTTGTTACTTATGATTAATTATGATGAAGCTTCAAGACATGGAAGGACCAACACCAAGGTTGTTCTCAAAACCACCGCAACGACACTCGGATGCCACAACCGCGCCAGACCAAGCCCGACATCCGGGCTCCAGAGCCCAGACGCCCGAGTCAGTCCAGCACCGTCAGTGGCGCCCACATGTACGTTGCCCATGATGTATGCCCAAATGGACCCGCGTCCACTGCATGTCTCTTTTCAATTTCGTTACCCTTCATCACTCATCTCTCGTCACTCGTCATCATGATCATCATCATTCATAATACGGTTACCGCCGCAACAATCTCCCATACAATCCACTCCGTCCATCCTCACCAGTAGCTGTATGTGAAACACTTGAGAGTCTCGAGCAGTTTCCAGATCTGTTGGTGGTCCTCCGCCCCCTTGATGGTCTGTTCGTACTCCACGGCGTTCCAGTCGGCGGCATATTCCATGATACGCACCTGCTGCTCGCGATCCAAGATGCCGTCTGCGCCGACAGCCTCGGAGATCACCCGGCGCCAAGCCTCAGTGGGCAGGCCGAATCGCCAGATGCGTTCGACGGGCTCCTGGGCGTCGCGTCTTTTTCCCGCTGCCGTGGCTTCTGCCAACCTAGCCTCTTCTTCCTTCTGGGCTTCCTCCATCTGCTGGCGGGCCAGGGCGGCTTCACGCACCTCCTGCAAAGTCGGGAATTCGGCGTAAAAGGCCTCAGGGTCCGTGTGGAACGGGCCTCTTGCAGCGAGGGGCCGTGACATGTCCACGATGCGTGGGTTTTGAAGCAGCGCGTCACGGATGAACCCTTCCCCCGTCAAGAACATGGACAAGGGGTAGGGGGTCGGCTCGGGCTGGTAGAACGAACGAATGTGATACGGCTGGATGACATTGGGCTGGATCTCCTCGATATGACGGAATGAAGGCCCTTCCGATGAGCTGTCCTCATCGTGGTGTCTGGCGGTGGACGGCTCGTGCTCCTCGGCCTGTTCATCAGACACATTCGGGTTCTCGGGCTCCTCGGCTTCAGTCTCTTCCAGGGGCTCCTCAAGTCCAGGACGATCTTTGTCATCGAGCAAAATGGCGCGGGAGACGATCATCATCTTCAACGAGACGCTCCAGATTGTGCTGCTGTGGACACCGTCTTTCTTTATGGCCTCCAAACGAACCCGTTTGCAGAGCCGGGTGTACTCAATCTCCAACTTGTCATGGACCTTTTTCTGTGCAGCCTTGTCTACTTCGGGCTGGCCCTTGTTGCTGCCGGCACTGGATGAGGTCGCTGCCTCTGCAACATCCATGTCGTCACTCAGATTGTTCGTCTCGGACTCTGTATCAAATTTGTTCTCCCGAAGAGCCTCAGCCACTTCGAGCATTCTCAAAGTGTAAGCCGTGAGTTCATGGCAGGGACGCCAGATAATGCTTTTGCATAGGGGCGCGCTCTCCGGCAGGGTCAATGCTTTACCAGGAGGAAGAAAATTCAAAAGGTGATCTGGGGTTCTCTGAACATTGAGCATGCTCAGTAGATGGATAGCACTTGTGTTGGACATTCCAACGTCTGACAGGATGAAATAAGGAATCGAACGAAGGCCCCGAGTACAGGCGTATTTCTTCAACTCGGCTGGGTCAGCAAGAATATAGGCGTTATCTATACCAATCACAATCAGTTCAACCCACGCCCTCAAACAACCCAAAATGGTACTCACTGCTGGTACTAGCCACCTTGGCCTTACTCGGAGACTTCTTCTGACGAGTCGGCACATTCTCCTTGCCATTTCCACTGACCTTCATTTCCGCGACCCCCTCAACAACACCACGATCCTCCTCACCACCCTCGCCCCCCTCGTTATCCCCCTCCTCACCACAGCCCCCCAACAAAGCATCAGCATCATCCTCAAGGAAGTTCAGATCACTCTTGAGATAGACCCGCGCCAGATGCTCCACTCCCATCCGACCCAACGGGTTACTTCCCAAATCCAACTTCTTCAGCACGAAGCAATCTTCGAAGGACTTGAGAAACGCCACCCAGATCTCAATGTCCGCGGGCGTGCGCACCCGGATGTTATTGTTCGAGATATCCAACTCACGGATATCCCCTGCACTCAAAGCAATCACCTCGCCCAGTTTCGGCAGGCTCGCGATTGTCAGCTCGTTCCCCTGCAGGTGGAACTCAGCGACCCGAGCCAGCCCCATGGGGTGTTCATCGTCTCTGAACTTCAGACATCCGAGAAGGTCGTCAATGAACTGCGCGAAGCCTTCGTCCGTCAGTGCCTTGCCTGTCACGTCGATCTCGACGACCGGGTCGCGGGCTGCGGCGCGGGAGCTGAGACCTGGCGGGAATCGCTTTTTCTATTAAGCTTCTGTTAGCTCATGTTCTCTATTCCTGACCTTTTCCGCAGGTCATGTCTGCAGTGCAACGCAGTGCAATGCATCACAGTACACTGCAAGCTAGACAAAAGGTGAAGGCATTGATCACATACCAAGTCTTTCGACACAGCCTGACCGGCTTTGGTGCCACTGATCCTTCTCTGCCGGAAGAGCAAGCACTTGTTAGTCTGTTGGTTTCAGTATTGGTGGTGCTGCTTGGACGGCAGCGGCGCAGCACAGTACTCACAGCAAGATAATTCAACTTTCCCATTTTGGGAATTGCCACGAAGGCGCGCCGGTCGCTTCAGTTTGGTCTGGTCCGGTCTGATCCGTCTGTTGCCATGGACATGGTAAGTTAGCTTTGCCTTGTGCATGCAGTCATTATATATCATGTCATGTCACATCACAGCAGAGACATGAAGGAGAATAGACGTGGCGTGACAGCCATTCTACCCAGCGACAAACAACCCCGCGAAACATGATAGCAAGTGAGCAGTCCCGGGCGCGCTGGCTCGACGCGTCGTTCGCCGAACCCAGCCTAACGCAGCCCCGATACTTAACCCTGGGAGGGAGAATGTAAAAAAAGAGAATGGAGCTGCGTACCTGGATATAGATCTAAAGAAGGTAAGATGTATCTGGGCAGACAGGAAGTAGAAGCGTGGTGATCCTGACTCCCAAGAGACGCGTTAGGGGGGGAGAAGAAGCGAAATTTCGCACTCTGGTTCAAAGAAGAACTAGGTGTCAGGCAAGCAAGCAAGAAAGCAAGCAGTCTTATATCAAGATGGAGAGGGAGTAAGTTTGAACTTACAACTGCTTTGTTGTGATATTTGTGGAAACAAAAGAGCAGTGTCAAGCAAAAGAAGATGGTGGGGAAAGAAGAAGCAGAGCGGAGAGAGGGAGGGAGATATAGAACACTGAAGAAGGGTAAACCTGGGGGGGGGGGAGAGGCAGGGGGCTATACGGCTCTGCTGGTGGGCACGGGATTTGGCCCTGGTTTCCAGGGAAAAGAGTATTAATTCACTCGAACTGGAGACAATTTGCATACGAACGGATCATACAATGGTTTCAAGGGTCTATATGGGTGACTGATCTCCCTAAGAGAGCTTGAGATGGATATTTACTGATGTTGAGTAGATTTTCTATGGATCTCCCTTACATCTGGCACATCGAAGTCTGGTAGCAATATACCGCGTGGGACATTCTCGTTGCATTCATAAGAAAGAACTATGTAGGAATAAGAGGGTAATTCCCTGTATGTGCTTCAATATAGCCGACATCGCACAAACTCACATCTCCTAGAACAAATTGATAATGTCTTTATACTCACTCAACAGGGCAGGGTCGATATCTTCCCAGCCCTCTGGTATATTCGAAAATGTCGCCTCAGCAGACTTTGGTCCCTGGCAGAAGGCACTGGAAGTAACACTTTTGTTATCCTGGCTTTCTGCAGCACAGTTCTCTTTGTTAATTTTACATTTCTTATGTCCGTTACTGCCACCATCACTGGTTGTTGAGAAGGGAAGATCCCGCTTTCTCCCAGGGAATATCTCCGAGTCTGGGGGATCGTCATATTCGAAGATAGAAGCTTGGCTCGCAGTACCACGGTTGGTGTCTGAGGCCGTCTTTCCGTTCTGGATGTGGGTCCCTGAGGCCGTTTCAGCATTTTCCTTCGATGTAACAACTTTGTCTTGCCCTGCTGGGCCTGCGGCCGGCAATGGTGAGTGCATAGTCAGCCATATCTCGTCGTCCGTCCAGTCTTCATTCACATCTTTTCCACTTTTCCCAGCGTTAGAGCTCCCCAAGTCTTTTGCGTGGTCTTTCGGCGTAGCTGGTATCCCGAACAGCAACACCGTCGGCGAGGGGAAGTCACTGAAGCTGTCGTCATCAAATTCACTCGGAGACTTGCTTTTGGAGGTTACATTGTCTGTTTTGATATCACGCTTCTTGTCTTGACTTGAAGTAGATCTTGGGGTTTTTGACTTTAGCTCAGGGAATTCGGCTTGATTTTCACACGCTTTCGAACCAGAAACTCCTTCATTGGCACCCTTCCGGACCACCGCCGCTGAAAGGGTTGTCTGGCTGAGCCCTCTTGCCTTCTTATCTCCGTCAACAACGGGTCTTTTGCTCGCTTTGGGTGGCTTCTCCAGTCCATCCCGACAGCAGAAGTGCTTACATCTATGTACGTTAGCTTTTTCCCGTTGATCCTTGCAGTTGCATACGTTGTCTTATCCTTGCATCGATGATTGCACGCCCAATTGCCATTGGCAAGTTGGGTAGGTGCATCTGCTTCAACTACTTTTCCCTCTTCCGAATTTCTTTCCTCGGTTCTCGGCTTCTTGGTGGATATATTTTTGGGGGGTTCTGGCAGCTTGGTAGCTGCCGACAAGCTCTCGCCTTGGTCTGCGGACATTCGAATCACAAGTTCTACCTGGATCTGACATGGTAGACTTACCCTTCTCCAGAACATCATCAAACAACAAATCGTCACTATCCCAGGATGTGAGACTCCGAAGCATGGCGTTGTTTCGAGATATGTCATTGCTGCGGCGGCGTGAAATATTCGGCATGGGTCTTTCAAGCACTGTACTGACACCTTCTAGCTGAGATGGAAAACAAGAATCAGGGAGATCGGGCTTCAACTGTGCAGACCTCATAGTTCCAGCTGCAGGCTATTAGCAATCAAAGTGGTCGTTAGCATATCGATCGGACATACTTACCTATATCGTCGCACATCGCATAACACGTCACAAACTGACCCGCCCCCTTCAATTCCGCTCCCAACAGTATGTCTTGACCATTAGGCAACTTCGTTGCGCTATATCAGGTCACTCAATGGAGACTCAACTAGATATAGTTGCCTTACCTCATGCGCCTAAAGTCAATCATACGACCATCCGAAGTCTCCGCTAGGAAGCAAACGTATACAGGGCGTTTTCGAAAATACGTCGGACACTTCTCATTCATGAAGGCAATCTCTGCTCTGAATTGAATCCTCACAGAACTTCCAGGCTTGGTGTCCTAATTTACCTTAGCATGTATCCCTATACCAGATCTGCTTTCATACCTTTCCGGTCATTTTGACAGATACCCGAAGCTTGGGAAATTCGACGAGTCGATCAAGCATCTTCCTTCCGAATGGTGGATTCCGACTCAAAATCATATCGAGCTGATGGGGCTCACAGAGCTCAAGTGTCTCGATGCTGGAAATCCCAGCCGACATGAGTTTTCGAACTGCAACGACTCCGACTTGTTCAATTTGCTTCATCTGGAGCGGAGAATCGTCCCAGACTCGGGCCCTAAAGCTTCTTGCAAGTTCGAGCGCATTTCGCAGTGTGATGGAATCTTCAAGAGCTACCTGACAGTCTATGACACAACGAATAAGTCTGTTTATGTGTGAGAAAACAAAAGTCTTGTCTTGCTGCAGGGGGAATTTGTGCTTCTGATATTGTTCACCGTCTGGGAGATCAACTGCGCCCAGTTCAGACTGAATCAGTAGCGAGATCTTATGAGCTGAAAGCGCTACATCCACATTGACGGGGAACCGGGTTGCGCTGGCGCGATTGATCTCCTTGTACAGTGACTTCTCGCCTGCCTTTAGACGAACGTCGCGGAATTCTTCCGCTTTTGCGATCACCGCAAGCTGCATGCTATTAGCCTCTGTCAGACATCATAAGCCCTACTTACAATCTGTGACATGCTGGAGTGGGGCTTCAATGTGAGTAGCGTCCTCATTGTCTCAAAGCGGACATAATACCGAGCCATGGCATCACCGAACTTGGTTGATTTGAGACATTTCGTGGAGACCAACCCGCATTCCTGCAGAAGCTTGATATCTTTCTCGCATATCCGTCGAAGCATCTCATCTTCGTCATCCTTATCAGCATCCTCTTTAAGTTGATAGTGTGTTGGGTTTCTCCTCATTCTCACAAACAGAAAGGTGCCAGCGAGCCATCGTATGGCGGAATCGATATCGGTGACGTTACCAAGTCCGATCTCGGCATTCAGGTGGTCAACAAGATTCAAATGCAAGCAGCTTTCCAGACTTTCAGAGCCAGTGACAAGCTTTTCATATCGATTCTCGCGCTCTTTCCTTGTCATAATCACTGCTATTGCGCTGTCGTCGAACTGCGGTCTTCCCGCACGACCAAGCATTTGCATGATCTCTAGGTCTGAATACTCTTTGCAGCCCTCCTCCTGCCATGCGACTGTGCCTTTGATAATCACAAGATGACATGGAAGATTGACTCCAACTGCGAGGGTTGAAGTGCAGCAGATTATGCTAATCTGTCCCTGGAGAAATCCCGCCTCTACCGCACGCCGGTCAGCTGGGTCGAGGCCAGCGTGGTGAAAGGCAACACCAGCTCCAATTGTGGCTGCGCCTAATGCTTAGCCAGATCCAGGACAAACGGCGAGGAAAATGCTTACCTTTTAAATCCAAATTGTGTACCTCCATCACCCTCCCTGATCCTTTCCACAGTCTAGCAGGAGGATTGGTCCTGGACCACAAAGAAGCAAGCTCTTTCGCAGTCGCAGCAGCCGAGTTTCTCGTGCAGCAAAATATCATGATTGGCTTTCTGCAAGAATGCGAGGCAATCACATCTGGAACCCTAAAAGCGCATCAGTATCGACACGCAAACCCATGGAAGAAAACGTACTTTGAGCTGCACATCTTATCGAATGCAAAGTCGTTCCCTTGAGACTGGTAGCCGTACACTATCTTTTGCAGCTTCACAGGACGAAAGTCTTCACCAAAATGCTCTCTGTGAGCAGGCATGTGCTGATTAGTTGCATCCTTACCGAGCCAAGTTGCGATATCATCCGAGTTTGGGACAGTAGCGCTGAGAGCAACAAAGCGAACATTCGATCCATTTGTTTTCATGCGCGATACGACAGCCTCCAGGGTTGCACCGCGCGCCTCTTTGAGAATATGCACTTCATCAATGAGAAATAGCTTTACCAACTGCATCAACCGCGTATGATCTTTCCATTTTCGAGTCATGCTATCCCACTTCTCTGGGGTGGTGATGATTATCTGGCTATTTTGGACACTTCTCAACTGCATATGATCTGTATCCCCAGTCAATTCTGTACACTGCAGCCCTAATGTATGGAATTTTCTAGTCCAGTCCCTGAATTTCTCTGAGCAGAGAGACTTTGTCGGGGCCTGATACACCACCTTGAATTGTTCATCTTTCAAACAGTTTACTAACCGACAAATGGCCAGTTCCATGATGACTGTCTTTCCACTTCCTGTGGGTGCTGCGAGCACAATATTGTTATCAGTCTTATAAACAGAATGGAAGCATTTGGACTGAACGGCGTTAAACACCGGGAAAGGGAAGATTGCCCGACAATTATCTGGAAGCTCATGCACCGACACAAGGACAATGCCTCGGACGGAGGCCGGAATATTTTTGAAGAGATCTTTTCGCTCTCCTTGACGACGCGCTGCGGAGGCGGTACACATTGGGCTATCTTCATGGTATGACAGTGTATGAATATCTCTGTATTCTATAGCACTGTCACGAGACTGCGCGGTACTCCTCTCAGCCTGAAGTCTGACCAACGGACTCGACTGTGACCTTATATCCATATCCGGGGAGCTCGAGCCGAGGCTTTGGTGTGGAGTAGCGTGGGGTCCGACTGCTATGCCAATCAGTCATTTGCGCTTTGTCGCCATAGAAAAGCCCATCCGTCATCTACTCCATATGTGCACTAACCATGAAAGAAGCGAGAGACGTTAATTGCTGTTTGCGATGGCCCAGACGACAAGGGAGCCCGATCGGTGGGGTAGGCGGATACCTGGAGACTTTGTGATTTCTCTTGAGGCTGTGCAAGCAGTTCAAGGTCTGGGGATTGGATAGTCAGCTTGATTCGAATGCCATTTTATCATCAGACCTGTGTACCAAACGCATCCAATTCCATGTCATCATCGGGAGGAAACGGTTGCAACTCGGGGGGGAGGTCTTCAGACGTTCTGGTGAAGCATGATAACTGGGCATCCTCAACCGATCTTCGATCAATGATGCCACTTGGGTTAGATCGGCGGGGAGTTGGGAGTGGAGGGATGCCTTTGCGCCTAGGGTGAGTGTTTTGGCGGGCTGTAGGGAATGGATGGTATGGTTTTCGACGCATGACAGGCAGTGGGGAAGGATAACCAGGTTGATGAGGAGGGCTGTGGAATCAGAGCAATTGCATTGACCGGCGAGAGGTTGTCTGAAGTATAGGGAAGGAAGTGGACGAAGTCACCTGCTACAGATGAGAAAAGCACGTGAGGCCGCTGACGGTCTGAACGGCGGCATCATTGAGAACCATGTCGCTAGAAGAGAAAGTCACGATCCGGTTAACACTATCCGAAGGTCGTTGTGCCTGAGTTTAAGTTTGATCCATTCTATGAATCGCATGCACTCAAGTAGATCCATGGCTGTAAAACTGCTATTGAAAGAAATAGGTATAGAGATATCAAAACCCAATACTGGTCAAAATATAAATCAACAGGTGTGGAAACGAATAAAATACACGAAAATGAGACATATTCGATGAAAGACGTAAGTGGCATCATCGCTTCTATCCATCCTTATTTACTTCCAGGTGACATGATACAACAGAGCGAAGGGTGGTATTCACGCAGCAAATGGATGACTTATCCCGCGAGGGATTCAGTGATCTCGTAGGTGCTGCTGGTGCTTGTCAAAATACCCACTGCTCGGGGTGCGGCCGACTCGTACATGACCAGGAGATGTAGGCCTAGATGTAGACAGCCCGGCATCGGACAGGAATGGCGTGCCAGGGAGCTTGATCGAGATTTCATCGGGTGAAGGCGAGGCTGGGGAAGCATTCTCGCTGTTGGTTTCTTTTTCATAACGATCCACGCGGATTGGAGGCGGTCGAAGAACCGGACGTTTGGCCTGGGCAGCTAACGAGCTCGAATCTTCGCAAAGGCAGGTTGCCACGAGTACGGCGAATGACCCAAGAAGAAACTGTCAGAACACGATTAGCATATATGCAGCGAAGTAAAGATGTAAAGCGCGTACATTGGCAGTAAGCTCGAGTTCGAAGAGCCAGATGCTGCCCAACGTAGTGAGAACGATGCTGGCGGCCGTGGCCATGTTCTTCGCATCGCGATGTGCATAGCCGATGCAGAAGGATGTTGCAATTCCCCCAATCGCCTGGACAAGAACGGTAGACCAAACCGCCCAGTTATATCCCTCGAAGAAGCCATTAGCGGCGACCTTCTCTCCATCTAAGAAAACAACGCCGATAAAAAGCGTGGGAAAGATCGAGTACACAGCCAACTGCACATTGCGAATCCAAAGCGACGTCGACTTCGCGCTGTCCCTGAGGACTTTCTCAAAATATACACTCGCAAGGCCGGAGGCGAGGCAGGCGCCAACGGTCGCCAAGAGGCCGACTGCAGCGTTCATCCTGGGGTTGGCGGTCATCATATCCTCTTCAATCCCCTCATAAGTTGCGGAACGCTTGTGCAGGTTCTCGCGTCCCAGCTTCGCAGCTTTCCATTCTTCCAGGGACCGCGGGAAAGCGAGATGCGCGGCCTCGTCCTGGAGTGTGATCTCATCGGGGTTGCCCGTGGGCATCTGCACCAGAGCGACCCCCACCACGAGAAGCACCAGCAAGCCCCACTTGCGCAACGATATGGACCTCTTGAACAGCACCAGGCCGGATATAGCCACCACGATCAGTTTCAACTGATAGGACACTTGGAAGGCCGCTGGTTGTAGGTTCGACAGCGCGATGTACTGCAACGAGTTCGCAATTGTATACAGGCAAGCAGGGATCGCAAGTTTCCAGCTATCGCCCGAGAAGATGGTGGTTGTAAGAGAAAAGAAGAGGGAGGTCGCGGGGACGGAGGGAGGGGCTGTCTTCGACACCTCGTACAGCGCCATGGTCAAGGAGATGGCTAGCTTGGCCACCTCGTTGAAGAAAACGGTGGTGGACGTGAGATACCGTTTGCCGCCCGCTGGCGACATCACTCTAGAATAATGCAATAACTATGAAGAAAAACTTATATAAGTCACTCGTCGAGATTATCGGGGGGTAGAAGACAACCCACCAGGGCAAATGCCGTGTACTGCGCCGTCAACTGCATAAAGAAACGCAACATTAGCGACCGTTACTTTGTAGTTTTCGCAACGTGATAATAGCAGACGTAGTGTGCGCGCAAAATGCTGTATATCTTACCAGAGCCCAGGCTGAGTGCTTCCAGCCCGAACCCAGCCCTGAGGACTGGCGCTGTGTGCTTTCCCCCATAGTGACTATGTGCCCGTGGCCCAATAGCTAGATGACGTTTCCTCAATAGACCCCCAATAGGGCGCGGGTCGATTTTTTCGAAGTACAGGGATTGCAGGTTGCTGGGCGCTAGTTGACCGAAAACCCGGACTCGACTGCCGAGAGTATTGCACACCAGTTGTGCGCGTGGGATGGTGCGAGGGTGGGAGGGGGTTATCCTCGCGCTTAAGCTTAATCGGGAGGTGTCCACCAGCAAACCGGACCCAGTCGAAGTCAGCCGGTGAGTAGGCGGGAATGTGGAGGGTATTGACGATGTTCAAGGAGTGAAGGGGATTCAACAGAAGGGTCCCCTCGAGGATGAGAGGCCTCAATGGAGGGAGTCAGGACGCCAGGCGCAAAGGGGCGAGCGAGAAGAAGGACAAGAGAGAGATCCGGGGTATTCGCGAGACGCTTGTTTGGGCGGTGTGGATCACGGGGGCAGGTGGCGGTCTAGTCCCGCCCGAGTCTGTGACACTTTCTTCGCGGTCTTTCGTTCTTTTGTCCTTGTCTGCAAGTCTGCGGGCTGCGTGCGGGCTGCGGTCTACGGTCTACTTACTTAACTCTCTGTCCTTTTGTCTTTGTCTGCTTTTGTCTTCGGGTCCCTCCCAGCCTCTGCCATGCTTTGGTTCGACCCTTCGCTAAGCTTTCCTTCTGAGGGATCGGATCTGACGTCAGGATAAGACATACATGCTTCGATCAACCCCATCGATTACGCTGCACGCTGTGCTTGCAGATCCGAGGGCTGGTGACGGAGTTTCTTTCCCGCAACAAGGCACGGGCTGCAGCTTACGCTCCGCTCCGCTCATCAACGTGCCCTGATACTATTCGGTGCACCCGATGTGCGATCACCGTGGTCGGAAATCCCCACGCGTGGGGATGATCTAGACATGGCGTCAAGAACAGGCGACTGGTATGATCCCCGGTCCTGCGGTTCTTATTCCGTCGGTGCGACATGTTATAGGGCTCAACCTCGTGGCGGAAATGAAAGCCGACCAACTGCCAACAAGGCGGGCTGGACTCGATTGTTGTTCCAATCCGGATCTCTGGGCGTAGTTTCGATAAGTACACATTGTTGGTCGGTCTATTCATTCCAGTCTCTATACATGAGTAACCATAACCAATAACGCTAATGTGGTCGGAAAATGGTGCCGCATGGCCAAATCGCTAGACAAGAAAGTACATCACACAAGTAAGGAAAACAACGAGTGTTGGGTGGGTAACAGGTATGAAATCAGTAAGAGAGTGAGTGCGCAGTCGCAAAGAGGTATCTATGGTCGTTTCAAAACAAATCACGAAGGGATTGGGCTTTTCATGCTTGCATGCTGTGATCTGCAAGCCGCACCGGTTCAGTGCACAGCCGTCATAGTACCGGTCTCATGGTTCCACTTTAATGACCACACGGGAAGCTCATCGCTTTGCTTCGTATCGTCCGATTCCTCCAGGACGATCGCCTCGCTGCTGTCCGTGCGTCTCCTCGAATGCCGGCGTTTCTCTCGAGGCGCGGCGGGGGGAGCGTGGCGGGGAGGCGGCTTCTGTGAGGGCAGGGGTGAGAATCGATGGATAGGGAGCGTCGGTGTCAAGGGCGATGCTCCGCTCGCGGGTGAGGAGACCGTCGAGTAGGCAACGCTAGTCCGGGGAGAAGGGAATGAGTTGATGGTTCTCTGTTCCGCATCTGAAAAGGTGCTCCGAGAAACGGACCCTTCTCGGTCGCTGTTCGTCTCCGTGGATTTGGTCGGGAAAGCGGGACTGAGACGTAAGAACGACATGTCCGAACCATAAAATGAGTCCCGCGAAGGGACAGACAGCATAGAACCTTGGTCAAGCTCTTGATTATGAGAGCGGGCTTCCGAACGGGCTTCCTGGAAAATGCTCGGCGTGATCTTCCCTTGCCGCAGTCGCATGGCTTCGAGGAGATGCTCCTCCTGTCGCGTCACCGCGATCACGCGGCTCCTTCTGTTGGCCTCCTTTTGCGATCGGCCAGGGTCCTTGCGCACACTATTCCGGGCTTGGCTGAAGATGGGATCCCCGTGGAAAAATTCTGGCTCCGAAATCGTGGGTATCTCACTGGCACGAGATTGACTTCTGTCCACAGCTGACGATCTTCCTGCCGATGATACGGAGGTGTCTCGCTGGGCAGAGTGGTGTCTCTGGGTGGAACGCGATCGATTACTCGGAATAGGCCAGTCAACGCTTCGTACCGTGCCCTTGGTAGCCTGCGAAGCGGTGCAGATTTCGGGTTCAAATTCGCCGTAGGTCTGGACGCTGCCTCTTACAGCTTGGCTTTCCCTGGGGAAGTCTTCGTCGTCCTCGTCCTCGTCCTCCGAGGAAGAGAGACAAAGTACGCTGGAGTTGTTCAGGTCCGCATTCTTCAGCGTCGTTCGACTGCTCTTTTTCAGCATCGCATCTTTCCCCCCAGAGGCATTCGCGTACGAGCTGGTCTGCCTGTGATCGGGGAGATCGGGGACGCGTGGCAGGCTTGGGCGTAAATAGGTTCTTGGGGACAGGTATGTCTCCTTGCTCCACCCACTGGCAGAGCTCTGAGTAGAAGCTCTCCACGCATTGTTGTCTGTGGGGTTCGAATCCCTCGTCCGTGACTTCTCTATGGTGTGAGGTACGAAATATAAGCGGCTGCTGCGACTTTTGTCCTTTCTCTGGGGGCTTTGCTGCACGTTACTGTACTTCTGCAGAGCCTCGTCGATCTCGCTGGTTGGCACTGTCCTCTCCAAGGAGGGATTGGACCAACTCGAGTTTCTTGACTCGTGAGAAGTAGATAACTCATGGGCCTCGTAACCGTGCATTCGAGTAGAGCCTTTTGAGCGTGGCGGCGTTTTCATGAGCTTCTTCGCAGTATCATGGCTTTCTGGCTGCGTTTTGACGACAGGATTTTCCGAAACCACGGAGATCGCAGAAGGCGAGTTGACCATGCGCTGTGGCGACAGCAATGGCTCGGCGTTTGCTCGTGGCTTCGGAAAGAGTAATGAGAGATCAATCCGGGGTGGACGCATTTTCCGCTTTGACTCCTTCAAGGGCCCTTTTGGCTGTCTGGGCCCAAAGTTGGACTCGCCATTTTGCTGAGGCCCTGACTTGGTGCTGGCAGGAGAGCTAAAGTCGCTCGTCGCGATTCCAGGACCAGGGTTTGAGTCGATTGTCGACTCTCGTGAACTGAAATACGAGAACAGCGCAGAGGTGGAGCCAGCCTGGTGGACTTTCTTGGAAGGCGCTGGAAAGGATTTTTCGGAGGCATCTTCGGGGCGATAATCGTGGCCTAGCAGAGGCGATGATGCCCGAACACGAAGGTGCTGCGGTGGAAGGGTCTCTTGCGTAGCAACTGGGAAGGGAACAAACCCCGCGGTTTTCTGCGATTTGATTTCCGGGGCCCTCATGAAGCTGGGTCGTCGCGAGCGTCGTTTATCCTCTCGTCTCGGATGGTTCTCATTGAGGGAGCCATCGGCGGTCCCCAGTATCTTATATGCTTTCAAGGAATTCTCATTCCGCAGGTCTTCCTTGCTGGTGGCGGTCGGAAGTACTCCACCCGGGGATGCATGCATATTGGATGTTCTGTAGGATTGCTGCGGCATGGGCATGGTTATGGCAGCGCCCGTCGACGGTCCTTCGGGTGGTCGAATGATAGCGTTACTTCTCGGGAGCTATTGTTGTCGCCAGACAGGCCCGACAGCGGGGGGTCTGCAATGCCTCGTGAGACTAATTTTTCGGCAGTTGATGGTTGATCGCGACGTCCCTTGGTCAGACGGGCTCAGGGGGTTTCAAATACTGGGTTTAGCTCTGGACCCCAAACCCAAAGACGTCTTTCCCCACACTAAGTCGGTGAGTGTCTAAGACCGGATCGGAGCCTTGCGAGGTTTACCGCTTCGGTCATTCGAAGTCCAGAGGCGGTTTTTGGTTTCGGGCGAAGAGGCGGTCTAACGAATGGAGGCGCGCGGAAATTGGTGTCTCCCGGCGAGGGGGTTTCAGGGGGCAGGGAGGTTGGAATGGTGATAAAGGATGGTCAGGAAAAAGGACAGAAAAAAGAGGGGAACAGTATGTAAAGAAAGTCGAAGTATGCAGGTCCCAAGGAACGAGGGAGAGATGGTTAGTAGACAGCTCAGGGACCAGGGGGGGGGGTCCGCCAGCGAGCTTTTGAGTAAATTCAAGTCGGAGCCGGAGAGGAGCGGCCGTGCGAGGCCAGAGGTCAATTCGGCGCTATATATAATTTGCTGTTAACACGATACATGTGAGCCAGACATGGAGTGTGTGTGTATGGGGCACAGGAATTTTAGAACGGTGGAGAGTCGTGGCTTAAGGGGGTACGAAAAGGACGCCAAAAGCGTCTAACTTCAGCATGGGCCAGCGCAGAATTGAAGCGATTGGGGATGGGGACACAGACGATTGACGAAGGGGATCCGCGCAGAGGGCCATGGAGGGACCCGTTCAGATGGAGCCCGACAATCGAGAGGGGTGAAGATACTCCATAGTACTGTAGATGGCAATAGTGGTGGTTGTCATACTCCTTTCAGGCGATCCTCTTCCTACCCCGAGACACTAGACAGCACCGCCCAAAATCGGCCATCAGGAGAGTTAAGATTCGTGTCACCCCCTCCCCCCCCCCACTGGCGTACCATCCCAGTAACAATCGACAGGTACACACCCCTATGGTTCCATAGATCGCAATGCGGTCGGTTCCTGGGCACCTGTGAGTGGCCCATCCGGTGGATGCGCGCGGTGGTGAACCAGCGACTGGTGAGGGCCCGAGGGCCCCGATGCCCGTTCGAGGCAAGGCTAGTCGAGTCAGGATTTCTTCGCGGGACTCCGGGAGGTTCATTAAACATTAATATGGTTAATATGGATCGTTCGGTTTGTTGCACACCACCACCAGCCTACCCGGCCATGGATCATACCATTTCGTTTCTGACCCTCGGGTGTTGGTCACGTCGCTGCCTGGCCTAGGTGCAACGGTGCGTAGGAGTTAGTCCCTGCCTGGGTATCCTCCGTTGCACTGGCGGGGACAGACAGTCTGACTGTCTCAGTCGGTGGGGTGGTACCTGAGGGTTCGGAGGCTGTCTAGACTAGTAGGCCAGTAGGCCAGTAAACCGACGGGTTGGCAACACAGAACGCGGTTATCGAAGAACAAGACGATGCCGCCTTCACGGATCGGATCCTGGTCGTATCCCCCTTGCCTCATTTGCGTGCTGGGCGTTGGCTAGTCGGTTGGCTTAACTTCGACGGGTCTTCCTTCCCGCCTTCTCTGGATTCCAGGAGAGATTCTAGTCTTCTCGAGGCCAATAGTAGTACTAGTACGGAGTAGCCCGGCTTAAAACGCGGCCGCACACGTGCGCTTGCCTGCTTTGGGCCGGTTCCTCAGGCACCCTTCCCTGCCTTGCCCATGATGCCTTTTCCGCGTGGAGGCCCCAACTTCCTGCTCGCCTTGCTTTCCACTATCCATCCATCCATCTTCCACTTTCCACTCCTCCTGCCGCTTGCGCACTCTGACGTCCCGTCGGAAATTGGGCCAACGTGCTGTGCTCCGTCCGTACCAGCCATTGCCCCAAATTAAGGGGCTGGAGCGGCTACATTGCGGCCTCGCCATTATTCTCCACGGGTTCTGCCAGCAGAACAGAACGCCGGATCCTCGCCTGTCCTCGCCCGCTCGTCCACCCTTGCCGTCCCTCCCAGCTCTTCCAATGAGAAACCGCAGTCGCTGCTGATCGTCATCCCCATCCCCCCCCCCCTCCCAATGCCATCCCAGCCCTCCACCGTCATAGCGGTGGGGTCAACCAAGTGCCGATTCAATAGTGCTTGGTGATGCGATCCAGGCTGGAGGCACCGCGCTCCCGTGAGATCGCCCGTCTATACTCTAAACGGCATCCCCTAGGGTTGTTTAGTCCGGCTATCTCTTCTCCATGGCTGCCTATAACAAGCGGCTAATGGCTGGGTGCAAATAGTCGTGCATAGCAGGATCCTGCAGATGCATGTGCTGCTCAATCGTCCTCAATAATCAACAAGGCCATTGTGGTGTTTCCATGGAAAGGTCCCGCACTGGCGCCCGTTGGAATGTCTATCAATTCTATATGTTCTGCGGTGGGAACAATGGAGATTGACAACCAGGCCTCTAATCTCGATTATCTATTCCTGCTCTGGGCTATGGTTGCCGGTGTCCATAGGAGATCAAGACATCTACCGATCGGAACTTATCTACACTCAATGGAGCCCCAGTTCACCTACTCCGTACACTGACCACCATCTAGATAGATAGTACAAATCCACCGTGCAACACACTGCTCCAGACTCTTCCGGATTTCCGATCAGTTTCTCGGTAGTGGGATTGAGCTAATCTGCATACGGAGTTACTTAGGACCTCGTCAGCCGCCGCAGTTAGTTCAGAGTGGCATCTCCTATGCAGATCCTCAGCCCAACCGTCATTCCGTGCGACCGTCGACTTACCCGATTTGTTCGGGGTCGTTAAATCTCACGCGCCGACCTCTGACTGGATAAGGACAAAAATCAATCGATCGGCTGGCGTCTGACAAATCGCCACTTCCGCCCCATGTTCGGCACCTACAGTAGGGGCTCTGTCCCTGACGGTACTTTGCTCATCTCTTTCCCATAACTTGGGCACAGGAAAATGCGGTCCCCATCAAGCACCACACAGTGCATGTGCGGTACGAAGTACGGAGCACATGCATATTCTTGGACATCGATTTAGAAAGCCAATTCCTGCCGGTTAACCTTCCGGTACGATCAAATAGTCCCGCAATAGCAGTTTCAAGCTCGCGATGCTAGTGGACGACTCACTGAAGTCAGTCCCGGGGAGTTGGAACCTTGAGTATTTACTCTGCTTTCGCCCCTTACCGTGGCGATCAGCCCAATCCTCATCTTTCCCGAAGAGGAATTCCCCATGCCCTTCTTTTCTCCTCACTCGGTCCTAATAATCCTCAGTAAGAGGTCACGAACAAGACTACCTGCACCGCACCTGCAGAAAAGAGCAACAGCAGGCGCTGTACTTACAAAATCCCCCCACCATTGTCCACCACTCCCAAACCCGGCAGCAATTCTACCTACTTTATACCCGAGAATCAATCACCAATCATTACCCATTAAACATCTCATAAACTAGACAGCGTCCTCTAGGCAAGTACCTGTCGCAGGTAAGTAGACTCTGACAGCCAGCCCATCCCGCCCCTAACTTTCACGGCAATCCCTCGGCAACCTCCACCTCCATAGTGTGGCAGATCCCTCTTCCCTCTATACCCCCTTTCGACAATGCTCCGAATATGACGGACGGCTCGGAGCATCACAATCGCTCTTGTCTAGTGCTCATCTACCTAATTTCTACCTAGCTACGTACTGTAAAATCCCAGCCGTCCGTCTGCGGCGCCTTCCGGTGAAACGAGCTCAATTGACGGACGGGAGGAGGAAGATCTACTGCCTGCTTTCGAGGTGATGCTTTCTAGCGCTTTACAAACCACAACCACGCCCCCCCCCCACCCCACCCTACACACACATCTCTCCCCATCTATCTACTATGCATGTATCTAGGTTTGGATACTCTACCTACTCCGTATTCCGCATGCGAGATCCAATGCGAAGAAGCGGGGTGGATGATCATATTTCTTCCAATCATCAATCATCACGCATGGGGACAGAATGGGGAGCGGGATATATGCAAGACATATCTAGGTATATATATACATACTTACTAGATACCGAAGTAGGTAAGTAGCTAAACTACTAAACCCAACAAACCGTCTTCTCGGATCGGAATTGCAATCGGAATCGGAAGTGGTGCTGGGTCTCGTTGCTTGGCTTTTCTTAGCTTGGCTATAACCATAGTAACAACTCTTGCACTTAAGATGGATGGATGGAGTCCGTGCGTGCTGGATAGAAAATCTAAGCTGTGGTACATCTACACAATTGATTTCCACGCAGACCAGTCGAATTTCCAATCCCATAGCATCTTACTCTAGTATATACTCTCAACCTTGAATTTACCATTTTGTATCCTCATCCTGCAAACGGCAAACACACCTACCTACCTACCTACCTACCTACCTACCTACCTACCTACCTGAATTAAGCTCATAGCTGACCGACTGGTGAAATAGGGGGCCCTCAAGTCAAGATATCCAGATCTCCAAAGTCCAACATGCCAGGAGTCCGGACCCAGACGCCGGACGGGTCACGGACGGATGGCACTTCCGCCCTCGCCTGATGACGAGCGAACAGACGAGCGAGCGAGCAAACTTGACTTAAACGATTGACTGATTGATTAACCCTGCTAGTAGTTCCCCTCCTTCTTCCCCCTCCCCCTCCATCTACAGATTGGTTTTGGTGGGGTATCTATACGGAGTGTGCTGTGTCCGCTAATCAATCAGTCAATCAGCGAGCCGGCCAGCCGGTCAGTGTTTGATGTGTAGTATGCAGATATGTATAGTATGGGTTGGTAGTGTACACGGGTTCAGGCCATGGATAAATTAGAATCACTATCATAGAAATACAGTATCCTGGATGTGGGTGTGGATATGGATACACATATAAAACGTTACCCCCTCATTAGTGCACTGGCGCTCTTTTCTATTCACCGTGGGTGGGTGGGTATCTATGTATTTGGCCGATGCAGGCGTCAATATAACCAGACCACGGTGTAGTCCAACAACAACAGAGACATCAGCTGTGCTTCCTCTCAGTCTAGCCCAGTCGCCCAGTCGCCCTCCCACTTTCTGACTCGCGCATTGACTCGGGTGCTCCCACCTGTTCCCGCAGACATGCTTATTAGCTTCAAGGTTGATTCAATAGTTGCTACGTTGAAACACCGGGTCCCTTGAATGCCGGCTGGATGCTTCAGATCACGAATACATGACTCTCGGGCCACCAGTTCGCAAGCATCCTCTCGATGACACCTTTCTCGGGTTTGATCGGTCATGCCGAGTGTCGAGCCTTTCTTTATCTTTCCCTTTTCCAATCAATTCGGGGATATGATTAACGTGAGAGAGAGGGGGGGGGGGAGGGGGTATTTCCGTAGAATGCGTTTCTAGGAAGCATCGTGGTCGGAATTTTCAGCGCCAACATCAATGATTTTGGAGTAGTTGCTGATCTTGCGTCTTTTTCTGCTGCTTCGGCGAAGACTGTCGTCGCTCAGCTTCCGGTGAGCGGGGGTTTGGGGCCCGGACCCTGGTCCTTTGCCTGCTTTTGCTCGTTCTGCTTTCGCTCGTTCTTGTGCTTTCGCTTGTTCTTCTGCTTCTCTTTTACTGTCCTTTCGCAGGACTCGGCCGAGTCGCTCGGGCACGGGCACGTCGGGACTTTTCACGGTGCTGGGTTGGTTGGACGCGTTGGCCATCGATGCCTTTCTCTTCCGAGTCATCCTTGCCTCTACCACTGTGGTCTCCTCGATGGTCTCCTGTGTCTCCTGGTCACTTTCTTTGATTTCAAGGGATGAATCCTCGTCCTCTTGGGACATGTATTTGGCAATGGATTCAAGCTCATCGCCAGTCACTGATCTGAATAGCGTGAATTCATCTTGTGGGCCTCCTTGCACAAACTACGAGAGCTTTAGCGCTTGATAAAAATGCCATAGCAGGGAACACTTACGTGGTGCTGTATCTTGATCATAGGACTCAGTATCTCCTCTTGGAGTCTCTGTTTGGCATCCTCTGAACCAGGAACGCTAAACTTCGGCAAGCCCCTTCGCACGAACCCTTTGCTCTTATACCCTGAGGTTGCTTGAAGTAGTTTGCGCTTTCTGAGTAAGTCTGTTATCTGGACAATACTCTGCCCATTGCAGTCTAAACGGTCAGATAACGCAGAAGCTAAAAGGTTGGGTAACTCACGAAGCTTTTGTGTGAATAGTGTCGTTGTGCTAGGGTATCCTTCGTTCAGGATAATCCTCACTGCTCTCCTCAAGAGAGCCAAACTATTCATCTCACGAAGCAGTTTGGGCTCGTTGGGCTTAAGCAAGCATTGGTAGCAGGCGTGGATATCAGGGACTCGTGGGTCACTGGCATCCTCATATCCGTAACAGAGCAAATGCTGACGCGTGTGACAAAAAGCACATTCAATCTACCGATATCAGTACAGTACTGGTTGGTATCTGGGCTATCAGCCTACCATTGCTGCGTCCTCGCCATCCCAGCCGCATTGACAGTGGACGGGGCTTTGTCCCTGGGCTGTCTTCGTAGTCTCGAGGTCATGGGAGCGTAGAAACTCTTGGACCTTTTGCCTACTATCCTCCGTGAGAATGAACTTCCCGCTTTCTGCCAGAGGTGCATCGTTGTCCTCGACTGCCATGGTGGGTTTGATCGGTTGTGTAGGCTCCAGGTCACTATCTGGACTCTCTGCTTGAGACTACTTTCATCAGTTATCTTGTCACAATTATGGCAGTCTACGCTCCACGAGCTGTCAACTCACAGGTAACATCTTTTGTAGCCGAAGCTTATCGGCAAGATCTTGCGTCCCTTCCCCAGGCTCTGTCCTCTGTGACGGCGCAAGCAAAAGGCCTTCGCTTGCAGATGGTCGGTCTTCCGCAGTCGGTTCGCTGTTTTCCATGGCCAGGTCGCGGTCTGGACTGCTGTCTTTCACGGTCAGAGTGTGGTCTTCCACAGACGGATTGCGGTCTTCTACTGTCGAATTGCGGTCGTCCACAGTCAAATTACTGTTTTCCACTGTCGAATTACGGTCTTCCACTGTCATAGTGCGGTCTTCCACTGTCGCATTGCGGTCTTCCACTGTCGCATTGCGGTCTTCCACTGTCGCATTATGGTCTTCCACTGTCGCATTACGGACTTCCATGGCCGTGCTAGACATGCCTCCCATTGCGCGCAGCATTTCCTCCTTATCTTCGAACCCAATATCCTGCATTCTTCGTACGGGATCATTGTATTCCAGCTCAGACGGGACCTGGGGTGGAGCTTCGGATCCTTCGGGTTCGGGGCCAGTCCATTTGAGGGAGGTTACCTTCAGTCCGACACTACATTTGAATTAGTCAAAGTTGGGTCCAGAGGGAAGGAGCTACACACGTATGCCATCCACCGTCCATTGTTCCACATGACTGTGTTTCCCTCTTCCAGTTGTCGTTGAGAGGAAATTTTAGCATATCGTCATTCGCCCCGTTGAAGCCTGGAGGCTCATAGTCAGGGGGGCAATCATCGGTGTAGAACAGATGTACGCCGAGATTTCGCTTGTCTGGAAATGCTATGAGATAGAGGTCCCGCCAGGAAGAAGGAACACGCACTTGGTAGGGTTGGGAGGAAGGCACTGAGAGTTATCAAGCGCCTCACAATCGTCTCCAGACCGATTCTAGCCGTTTGCGCCGACTTCATATCGGCCACACAGCCCATGGGCTCGATTGACAGGCTCTCAAGGCGACTATTGATGTCTCCGGACGCCCCTGTATACTTGAAGGAAAAGGTATACGACTCGAGTACATTGTCGGGGGCATCCTTGTCGACAAGGATAGTCAATTGGACGGCCTCGAGAACGTTCTTGCTCAGCGCATCGAAGATACCCGTTTCCTACGAATGTAAGCAGAGCGACTTGGGGTCGGGATCGGGCAGCTTACCAAGATATCAATGATCATGTCCGCCTTGGGATCCGATCCTCGAATGATGATCTTCAACGGCTGTCCTTTCTTACCTGTGCCGAAGGGGACATCCGAGACGCGCGATTCATTGTCGATGAATTGGAGATACGAAAGGTTGTTCTCTCGTTGGGCTTCTCTCAGGTCCCGATCGTCGAAGCACGGGAGCGGTAGGAACTCCCTGAGATACACTGATGAGACTGGCTCTAACTAGGCAAAGGTTGAGGGAGGCACCCGACGAACCGAAGATAAAATAGTGTTCCGAACTGCGGTTGAGTTAGATGCAAGTTACAAAGTTCTGGAACTGCGGAGCTTACCGAAACATGCAACATGATCTGTACCATCTCCAGACTCTGCTGCTGCTTCAGCGAGACGCGTTCCTCCAGCGTCAATTCGGGGGGCGCCTCAATTACATCCTGCGCCTTGACCCGAGTGACAGGTCTGCTGTTGGAGGCAAGGGTGTGGAGGTTCCGCGGAGCAGCCTGTAGCTGGACGGTCGACGGGGGGGCAGTGAACTTGATCCGAACCATGCTGGGCAGCTGGGATGGGGAGGAGGTGGAGATAGGCAGCGAGCGAGCGCCTGCATTCAGCACCGGGCAAGCCAGGTTGTGGACAGTCAATTGCGTTCGCGTCGATGAAGTGGGAAGGTGAAAGAGCAGGTCCACGACAAGTCAGGTTGGTTGACCGTTGACGACACAGGTACGGGTCACGGGAGTCGGGCCCGTTTGTCGTTTGCCTGCCTGTCGCTGGAAGCGATCTGGCTGAGACAAACAAACCCCGGGTGGGAGCGTCTCTCTGTACGATACGAAGGGAAAGCACAACAACTACTACTAGTGGACTATCTCTAGGTTTGGGCTTGTTGGAGGGTCTTGGAGAGTCTTGGGAGGTCTTGGAGAGGCTGGCCGCTATCTCACTGTCCGGGAGGCGGTAGGTATTTATTTATATCATATCGTCGTTTGAAAATTACCCGCCAGGTTGCAGACATGTCCCTTACCAACATTCCTGGCATTCTTCCTCCAACAACGGACAAGAGAATCTCCAAGCTTCTCCCCATTTCATGGAATAAAGACCCCAGCGCCGCTGACTTCACTCCCCCCTCCATGTCAAGCCCCGTCAAGCCCGATGCCGGCTAATTTTAGCAGAAGAAGCGCAGTCCCCTGATTAAAGTTACCAAAAATCCAGTACTTCTTTTCTGCAGTGGTACGTAGTACACATTGGTATGTACCGCATACGATGTGAAGGATGCTGGCCTCCATAACAGCAGGGGTCGATCATGGCGTAGCGGATCCGTATGGAGGACCTTTGACTGCAACTGCATGTTCCAACTACTCCAGCAACGGCAAGAAAGACCGGGGGTGGAGCGTTGAAAGTTGAAACAGGCCAAGTCCCGCGGTAGATGAAACTACGAACCAGCCAGGCTGCCAGCACCGTGAGCCCGGCACGGCCATCGCGACGATACATAGATAGTCTAGTCGCCATATCTCGGCGCTTCCCCGCAATTGCCTGGGGCGGCCTTAGTCAAGGATTTAGGATTGAAGGCAACTATGGAAAGGGTCGGCCGTAAGGTTATGGATCGGACGGGCGGCCTATAATTTTGCCTGTTAAAGGCCTACTCTTTGTCTCCGTTTCTTGATCCTTCCCCAGGCTCCAGCAGCTGACTGACAGGACATGATGGGATGAATGGATGGATCTTATGGCCCCGAGGGCCCGGACATCGAAAAAAAAAAAACACCGACGAGGTTCTGGATTCCTGGGTTCTGGCAATACGACGGACCCCACCATATCACGTGAGGGTCAGGCGGGTGGCAAAGAAAGACATCACGGCCGGGATGCTGATGAGGAGGAGGAGGAGGAGGAGGATAGTTTGAAACCCGCGGAGGAGAAAAGACGCAGCGACTGAGATCTGTCATATGCGCGTCCGTCGGGCTATCCTTTAGCGAGAAATGTCAAAGACTCAAAGATGAAGAGATGTGGGTTTGTGTAGTCCGATTAGTCCAATATGACCGCCTATGTATCTCGCTCGGGCAGCGGCTATCCACAGGACGGTGTACAGTGGTGGGGGCCGGACCAGGGACTTCCCTCACCGGGAGGCACCGCCCTGCGAGTCGCGACGTAGGGCCGTGAGGCGTGACGGCGTGACGGCGTGACGGCGTGACGATGGCCCAGAGAGCCGGCTGATTGGGTTCCTCCCAGCCAGCCGGAGTGGTCCAAAGGGCTAAAGGGGAGTGAGTGCTCCGAGCGCTGGGCGAGGGAGTCGACCTGCAACGCAACAACTGCAGGACGGCAAATTCAGAACCCGCCTTGCCTGGCCTTTCTCCTCGATCAGTCTAACTTTTTTTCCCTTGACCCTTTTTTTCCTTTTGTTTCGCTGTGTCTGTCCCCCCTACATTTATTTACTTTGCTCACCCTGTTGTGATCCCGGTCGATCCTCTGTACTTATCTACTGTCCGTCTCCCACCATCACCTGGCTTTTGAGTCTGTCTATCACGCGTCTATCTCTCTGGTCTATCTAATCTGTCTCGAGATACGGACTAGATAGATATCGACAGACAGCATTAGGATCCTCTTTTGCCTCCCATCTGATTACGGAGACCGCCAGCCTCGGGAAGCCGCCAGATTGGGCTAGCCGGCCGACGAACCAGGCCGGAAACCAGCCAGAGCCTAAGAGGAGGCACGACCAACCACCTTCGGTTCAGCTCCCTCCCAGTCCCTCGATCATTCTCCATTCTCCCTCTCCGCCGCCCAACACCTCCTTGTCTTGTCAGTCAGCAGAGCACGCCACTGCCTGCCCTCGTTCACTCGTTACACTGCTTGTTTTCTCTCCACTCAAGCAACCTGCCTACCCCGTCGTCTCCATCATGTTCTAACAGTGTCCCCCTCCTCTCCCCCCCCTTCATCTCCGTCGGCACTCAGATGGTCTTGACGGGCCTGTATAACCCCAACCGTGTTGGCGGCCCTCTTGGACACCGACTAGTCTAGTCGCCTCAACGTGAGGCTGGCCGACCCCCTCAAACAACCACCTCCTTCCCGTCCTTGTTCTCGCTCCTTGACACGCCGAATTACTCACAGCCTCATCGGATCGGAACTGTCTAAACGTGACTCGCCTGTACCACGCCACACGCGCCTCTTCATACCCATATCCTACCCCTCGGATCTCCCACTACATCAGTCGTACCTCCAACCCTCCGCCATCCTCAAAATGGAGGAAGACGGAAGCAATCGTGGTCTTGGCTCGGGGTCGCCCAGCGGCTCGATCGGCCAATTCTCGTTTGCCCCTGCTACTCGAACGACAGTAGTCACCACGACAACTACCACCACCACCAGCTTCCCCCCCGTGTTCATCAGACCTCCCCGCGCAACGCGAGATTTGGATCCCAAACTATACCCCCTAGCATCGGCACCCACACCAACGTCGCTACGCAATATCAGATTCGAACTCGGTGGAAAATCAGTCATTTTCAACGAGCCTGAAGATACCACAAGCACTCTCAACGAGGTACGTTGTCCTTGATGCTGACAAGCGTTGATATCCTGAATTGTTTGCTTTCGTTTACGTCTTTGCCGCTTCGGGTATTTAAAACTAACTGCCACAGTTGAGTGAAAAGGATGACGCGCTCAGGGCGTCCAATGGTTTGGTCCGATCCGTGACTTCCTATACGTCTGAAAATCAACTGTCTCGACGTCTCGCACACAGAAACTCGAACCAAAACCCCCTGTCAATCTCCAAACGTCGACTTCCAGAATCCCAGCAGGCATCGTTGCGGGCACGCTCCGCTCGTGTGCCATCGGAACCTTCGTTTCGTTCGGTCCGCCCCCATGGCTCTACCCCCGTACACCCCACCGTCGCGGGCTTAGCGACCCCAGAAACGGAAAGCAACAGTAACAGCGCGACGGATGGGATCTTGTCTAGGCGGAGGGTTCACAGCACTAGTAACCCACGCAGGGAGACGCTGCTTCGATCTCCTTTGTCCTCGGAAGTCGAAGCTCAGGGGGCTTCCCAGTCAGTCGGCACAAGAAAAGAGACCTTGCGTACTAAGTCTGCTGCTCAAGATCAGAACAGACCGAACGATCGCCCCATCGAAGCTGCTTTTGCGAGGCCTGCGTTTCAAAGAACCGAATCGGATCTCAGACATGCCACTACAAGCCAAGACTCTGGTTACGATGCTCCCGGCGACGAAATTCAACCTCCTCATACCGAGTCAGCGTCCCAGCTTGCTTTTATCGATAACGTCGTGGCCCAAGATATGTGCTTACCGAGCCCGAGTTTGTCCCCGGTCGCTGCTATGAATGCGGGGAACGCCGAATCCTCTTTCGATTCCGCCGAAGACCAGGAAGACACGGACTCCAGCCTCGACAATAATGACACTCGGTTCATGAATCCCTTACGGGTCGGTGACTCGAAGGGAAAGGCGTCATACGTCGCCAAACCCGATGAACTCCCCGCAGGCCCCATGGTGCCACGCCCGGCCTCTTTGATGGACATCCCCAATGTGTTGGACTTTTTCGACTCGGTGCCCGATAGCATGAAAACATATATGATGTATCAACTTCTCAGGCGATGTCCGAAGCAGACGTTGCATTTTGTCGCTGATGTCGTCAACCCGGCGTTGAAGTGTGACTTTCTGTCTCTTCTTCCGCTGGAGCTCAGTCTCAACATTGTGAAATACTTTGACGCCAAGACCATGTGCCGTGCGGCGCAAGTGTCTAAGAAGTGGAGGCACATCATAAACTCTGACGAAAAATCCTGGAAGGAGCTTTTTGATAGAGATGGTTACGTTCTTCCGACCGGGGAGTTGGATCGTGCGATCAGGGAAGGCTGGGGGTGGCAATATCCGGGTGGCTGTGAAGACTATGAGAAAGATATGAGTCACTCTCCTTTCATCAAGCCTGATCCTGAATCATCTCTTCCCCCCTTTTCTTCACTTGGTGAGTCAAGTGAAAGAACCCTGTCCGTGAGTCGCCGGCCTAAAAGAAAGGCCTGCACCCGCGTTTCTAGTCGTAAGCTGTCGAAACGGAAGATCTCTTCAAGTGGCACGGATCATTCTGAGTCCTCGGACTGGAGAAAAGAAGTTTCTGCGGCAGAGGGTCCTTACGCTGCTGCGAACGCTGCGGCTGCGGCGGTCCCGTATCCGGACATCGGTATCCCGTCTCTTCGTGGACTCCATCTTTACAAATCCCTTTATCAACGCCATCATTCAATTCACAAGGCCTGGATGAAGCCCAACGTCAAGCCAAGGCACATCGCCTTCCGCGCACATGACCGCCATGTGGTTACTTGTCTCCAGTTTGACACTGACAAGGTTTTGACTGGAAGCGATGACACGAACATCAACGTCTACGACACGAAGACCGGTGAGCTGAGGGCAACGCTTGAGGGCCACGAAGGTGGTGTTTGGGCACTCGAGTATCACGGCAACACCCTCGTTTCCGGATCTACTGACAGGTCGGTCAGGGTTTGGGACATCGAAAAAGCCAGATGCACTCAGATCTTCCACGGCCATACCTCAACCGTTCGCTGCCTGCAGATTGTCTTACCGGTGGAAGTGGGGAAAAAACCTGATGGCACCCCCGAGATGATGCCAAAGGAGCCACTGATCATCACAGGCTCTCGTGACTCGAACCTTCGAGTATGGAAGCTTCCTAAACCGGGCGATCCGGGCTACTACCAGAGCGGACCCCACGCCGACGATGCGGATTGCCCGTACTTTGTTCGTGTTCTCACCGGCCATCAGCACTCTGTTAGGGCGATCGCAGCGCATGGCGACACGTTGGTGAGCGGCAGCTATGACTGTACAGTGCGGGTTTGGAAAGTTTCCACTGGCGAGACTGTTCATCGGCTTCAAGGGCATACACTGAAAGTGTATAGCGTGGTCCTCGACCATAAGAGGAACCGTTGCATCAGTGGATCTATGGACAACATGGTCAAGGTGTGGTCTTTGGAAACCGGTTCCATCCTCTACAATTTGGAGGGTCATACTTCTCTTGTCGGTCTACTCGACCTGAAATGCGACCGTTTAGTCTCCGCCGCTGCGGATTCCACTCTGAGAATCTGGGACCCGGAAAGCGGCCAGTGCAAAAACATGCTGAGTGCCCATACTGGCGCCATCACCTGCTTCCAGCATGATGGTCAGAAAGTCATTTCCGGCTCGGATCGAACCCTCAAGATGTGGGATGTGCGTACGGGGGAGTGCGTCAGAGATCTGCTCACCGATCTGAGTGGTGTGTGGCAGGTCAAATTCAATGACCGTAGGTGCGTTGCTGCAGTGCAGCGTGATAGTCTGACCTACATCGAGGTGAGTCCCATACAGTCATACCAGGTTGCTGCCTGCTAACTAGTCTTAGGTACTTGACTTCGGAGCTTCACGCGATGGAGTGCCCAGTGAGCAGCTCGGAAGGCGCGTCGTCGTCAATCGATGGGGCCAGGAAGTCAGTGACACCGACGAGGATTACGACCTTTCCGACGCCTAATGCTACAAACCCTTGTCTCGCTTCGTACCTCAAGGGCTGAAGGAATATCACCCTCTAGCGTCTTCATTCTCTGCGCAAGGCAACAGCGATCGGCGATTTCTTTTTCACGTTCTATTTCTACCTTTTTTTCTCAACCTACTCGAGCCATGAAACATCTACGATACCCACCCAATGGAATTATAATTCCCTTTTTACGAGGACTTGCATAGCGTGATCAGCATCCTTTGACATGCATCATCATGACGGACAGGCGTTTTGGCATTCAAAACGGATTCAATCAACCTCTTGTCTAATTTCCGTTTCTCTCTCACCTCGATTCTCGATTCCCTCAAACGCTGTCGTTTGTCCGTTACGTTCGATATACGTCGTTCCACACATAACCCGTTTGCCGAAGTTAACTCACATCACATCCACACTTCCATGCATACAAGTCGACGTATCCGAATACCCCTTTCTCTATCTTATAATTGAATATCATAGACTCTGGTTTTTATCTGCAATACGATTATGACTTGATCTTAACTACGACGAGAGTCTACCTCGTGTAGATTGAGGTAAATATGGGTATATACATCGATAGTTTCACCAAGCATCTCTATCGACGGCCAGCGCGAGTTTCGTAGGTAGAATCGAGCGCTGAGCGGCATCTTTTTCTGCCCTAGTACAGCATATACGAAGAAGGGCACGTGGTTAAGTCCGTAGACAACCGTGCAGCTCATACGCTTGCTAAATCGAGAGCTTGTAGTATTTATCTCCAGACCATCAGACAATACGAGCACACAACCCCAAGCATAATGTCATCACGCTGGTAAGTGCGTAATATCCGGCACCGTCGCTCTTCTGATGCAAGCAGTAGAACGAGCCAGCATGCTCAAGTAAGATATGCTAATACCTGAGAGAGAAATAATCTTGCCGCGTGTGTAGGGCAGCAAATGCCACATTATGACGACATTACTCTGTGCTGCGATCTCACCCCTCTGGCTCATACATATTGTCCAAAGCAACAGTATCTCTGTTAGTCAGTATCAAGTCAAGAGAAATCCCACCTCGTCTCCCTCTTCGACTCAGCCTCAGCGCTAGGCACATCAGCATCAGCAGCAATAGACCCACCCTCCCCATCCGACTGACGATCCACCCTAACCTCCATCCTCCCATCATACCCGGCGGCCGCCAAAATGGCCCAGCGGATAGCGCTCATCCCCAAATGATCGCCATGGTTCCCGGATACACTCGAACTGCAGGTCAAGATCTCGCCCAGCGCAGGAGGACCCTCCGACCGACCAACCGGCTGGATGATCGCTTTCAGATCCCGCAGCGATTTCCGCACGCCAAGGATGTTCGCCTCCGTGACGCCGCTCATCACTTGGTTTCTGCGCTTCGCGAGGATCTTGTCTACCTTGGACACGATCACTTGGTGCGGGATGGCGTATTCGCGGAAGAGTTCGAGCATGTTTAGGTCTGAGCGTTTGATGCCGTGCAGGCCATCTATTAGGATGAAGGTGCGGCGGAGTCTGGATTGGTAAAGGGTTGGTTGGTTAGTTGGTTCTTTAACACATACCTCCCTCTCCGCAATGACTCGAGCAATATGGTATTATGATAGGACAGGATATGGAATGGAAGATGGATGCAACGTACTGTTTCCTTTTATTCAAATACTTCATAATCTCATCCCCCCACTCCGTGCGACTCCCCTTTCCGTACCCGGGCATATCCAAAAGCACGACTTTGGATTCCCCGCCCTTGGTGCCTCCGATCCCAAACGCGTTCATGGTTGTTGTCCGCCCCGGTTTCGATGACGTGTAGCATACCTCTGCGCCCATCAGGTTATTCAGTAGAGAGCTTTTGCCGACGTTCGACCGCCCCAAGAAGGCTACTTCGGGCGTTGTCGACGATATCGGCGTCGTGCGGAACTTGGCTAGCGTCCATAGTTTGATCGGGGAGTGGCGCGACGGGGTGAAGACTTTGTCGGCGTAGGCGAGTTGCGAGGCGGTTGGGGCTTGGGTGTCCCAGTAACTGTTGAGTTCGGTGGGGGAGAGGTCGGCGAGTGGGCGTTTGGTGGGGTGTGGTCGTGGTTGTTGCTGTTGTTGTTGTTGCTGCTGCTGTGGTTGTTGCGGTTGGGGATGCGGCGTGGAGGCGGTGGTTGTGGTGAGGGTGCGGTGGGTGGTGGAGGGGATGGGGGATGGGAGGGGTCGGAGGGTGAGGGGTGAAGTGAGGGTGAGGAGGCGGTGCTTCATGGTGGAATTGTGAGAGGATTGAGTCCTTGCGGCGTCCTATTGTACTTCGCGGATTCGTTGATGCTGTTGAACAGCTTCTCCAGAAATTATCTCGGGGATAAGAAAGTCTGCCGAGCGCGGCCCGACAAGGAGGAACCTTTGCCGAATCTCCGCCGCGGGCCGATAAGCAACGCAAGTGAGGGACAGCGTCAGATCGACTCCATCCACATCCACATCCACATTCAACCGGGGTCTAGACCGACGCAGATAGCTTGCAACTGCGCAGTCGCCCAGTCGCCTCTTTTTCGACACTCTCTTCCTCTCGAGACACATCTTGAACCATCAGCCAGGGTCTTCCGCCCCCCAGAATCCGTCATCATGATCAGCGCCGTCCTCGTCTTCAACAATAACGGACAGCCCCGTCTAACCAAGTTCTACACACAGATCGTGAGCTTCCCCCCTCCCCCCTCCTTCCCTCGCCTCCAAACCAGACAACGAACCCTTAACTAACTACTTACCCCACACACATGCAGGACACCCAAACAAAACAGTCCCTCATCGCGCAAATCTACAACCTCGTCGCCCAGCGTCCCCCAAGCGCCTGCAACTTCCTCCCCCTCCCTCCCCTCCTATCTCGCGGCGCGCGTTCCAGCGAAGCAAATGGCCCCTCAGACAGCCCTACGCAAATTACCTACCGTACCTATGCGACACTATCCTTCATCATGATATCCACATCGACGGAATCCCCACTCGCGCTCATCGATCTGATCCAGGTCTTCGTGGAGTCGCTGGACCGCATGTTCGAGAATGTCTGCGAGCTGGATCTTATCTTTGGGTACGAGACTATGCATGCGGTGTTGGGAGAGATGATTGTGGGCGGGGTGGTAGTTGAGACGAACATCGAAAAGATCATCGCCGGCGTGCGCAATCAAGAGGGTAATATGGGGAAGAAGAAGGCTATTCAGGCAGCTAGTGCGGGGATAGGGAGGGGTGGGCTGGCGGGTTTGGGGGCTGGAGGTGAGATCGTGAGGGGTAGATTCTTGGCTATGATTTGTTATGACTTGGGGTTTCTTTATGGCTGCTTGGCTGAGGATGGGGCGGGTTTGCTGGCAGTTGAGAGAGGGGATGTAGCTAAGCATGGGCATGGCGTTTTTTTTTGCGATTTGGTAGCATGGGGATGAGGATGTATGAGATGTGTGAGGTACATAGAACTAAGATGCTCTAACCAACTCCAGTGGGGCTTTCTGGTCAAAACAACCCATTACTCCGTGGAGCATAGCATACCCAACTATTCAGAAACCACCACTGATTATCGAGAGGGGAACCGTCACATGCCTTTTTACTCTCTACGGCGTGACCCAGATTCTTGCCTTACGCCTCAGGCCCCAAGGGAAAAAAAGGGCTAGCCCTACCCCGTGACCTGCACTTTCCGGGTCGCGGGCGAAAGGTTAGTCCGGCCGCGGCCCACACAGGCGACGGGGCCTTTTCTTTTCCACGCACGAAATTCAACGAAGTTCTTCCTTCTTTTCTCTGTCAATCCCGTCACCCAACGCCGATCTCAGTCGACAAAATGGTAAGCACATAGATTTGTTCAGTTGCGATCTCTTTATTGCAAGAGGGCTATCGACTACGCTTGCGACATGGCGTGAGAAATCTCGTCCGCTTTTATCTCGCACCGTCGAGAAGCGTTATTTCCGCTGGTCGCTCAAATCCTTCACGGGACGCGAGCGCCAGTGATGATTTGGCTGGAGTCACGAATTCAGTAACCGGGTGAAACTGGTTACTGGAGGAGTGTTCTCTCTTAGAGTTCAAGGAAGATGCAGCAGATGGACGCGATTGCTGATCTTCTTTTCTCAATGATAGCCTGCCCCTAAGTCCGGAAAGAAGACTGCTCCCCTCCCCTACCCCCAGGGTAAGGCTGGCGGTAAGAAGGCTGCCAAGGTATGTGCTAACCAGCTAAAACCCTCTCTCGATAAGATTGATGTCGCTAATCGTTTCCCCCAGAACCCTCTCATCGAGAAGCGTTCCCGCAACTTCGGCATTGGCCAGGACATCCAGCCCAAGCGCAACCTCGGTCGCTTCGTCAAGTGGCCCGAGTATGTCCGTCTGCAGCGCCAGAAGAAGATCTTGAACCTCCGTCTCAAGGTCCCCCCTTCCATCGCTCAGTTCCAGCAGACCCTGGACCGCAACACCGCCGCCCAGGCCTTCAAGCTCCTCAACAAGTACCGCCCCGAGACCAAGACCGAGAAGAAGGAGCGTCTCCTCGCCGAGGCCACCGCCGTCGCTGAGGGCAAGAAGAAGGAGGATGTCTCCAAGAAGCCCTACAACGTCAAGTACGGTCTCAACCACGTTGTCGGCCTCGTCGAGAACAAGAAGGCTTCCTTCGTCCTGATCGCCCACGACGTTGACCCCATTGAGCTGGTTGTCTTCCTTCCCGCTCTCTGCCGCAAGATGGGTGTCCCCTACGCCATCGTCAAGGGCAAGGCTCGTCTCGGTACCGTCGTCCACAAGAAGGTGAGCATCCATGCGTCCAACCACCCACTTACCAAAACGTCCATGCTAATTTAGCCCGTTCCAGACCGCTGCCGTCCTCGCTCTCACCGAGGTCCGCGCCGAGGACAAGTCTGAGTTCGCCAAGCTCCTGTCCGCCGTCAAGGAGGGATACACCGACAAGTACGAGGAGTCCCGCCGCCACTGGGGTGGTGGTATCATGGGCGCCAAGGCTGTCGCCCGCCAGGAGAAGAAGCGCAAGGCCGTTGAGGGTGCCATCCGTGTCTAAGCTAGCTTAGCTCTGACAGGATAACACTTTTAAAAAAGAAATTTTTTTTTACTTCAACGAATCCTAATGACTCCTTGCGTCTCTCACCCATCAAAAAAGTTCTTAGGGGCACACGGTGTTTTTATGGGAGCGACCTCGGAGATACCAAAGCAACTTGATGGCATTTCTAGCTTAGATGGGATGCTCATGTGGTTGTTAGTGGGTGTGAGAGGCCGCCTCTTCGCCAGACACTACAACTGCATCATCCTTGCCTAAATTTCAATCCATCTAGTCAATCTTGTGGATGGTTTCTTACCTACAACCCCAACCGTCACTATACTTTTTTGTCATTTTTCTCTTTCTATGTACACGTTGCAGATACCCCCCCATCCATGAATGCTATTTCGGACATCAACCTCCTGTCGTGTCGGCCTGGTCAAGGTCTTTACATGTAGAGACATCCTGTCTGGATGTCTTGGTGTTGATTGTCGTGATGATGAGCATTTCATGTGATGTCTGCTTCTGTACTGTAAGTCGTAGTTTGTAGTCCTGTGATCCTCGCGCCTATTATTCATAAGCTTCGACCATCATTTTCTCCTGCTCTGCTCTATGACAGCTGCTTGGCTCGCCGCTTGGTCTGCAAGGTAGTAACTATTGAAGTACTAGTAGTTGGTTGCATCCCACCAAGTCCTCCGTCCACCGCTTTACATATCTATATCTACTAACTAGCCAAAGCTTCACCATACATTGTCCATCTATCTACCCACCATAGCATTAAGTCTCTTCTCCTAAGGCCTACTTAACTTTTTTCATGAAACTACTTCCTTCTTTCATCTTTCCCTTTCTTTATTTCTCTCTCTTTCTTCTCCTCTTAATACTCTATGAGTCTGAAGTCCAAGAGTCTGTCTGACACTTGTACACGGAGTACAGTAGGTACGTAGATCTGTCTATCCACTCACACCACAGACCAAGTCACAACACCCGAAAACACATCTCGATACCAGAAAACTAAAATAAATCAAGAGTGAAATGGTACAAGAAAGGATCTATACAGTGCAATGAACTAGCACCACAGCAAGGATAAAGACAACGATAAGGATAAGGATAAGGTAAAGATAGAAAGGCAGGTGGTACAACAACAGCATGGTATGGTATGGTATGAAACAGCACACGGAAGAATAGGTAGTAGTAGGTAGGTAGGTAGTACCAGGAGGTAATGTAGGTAGGTCCCCAACCCCATACAACACAAAAGAAAAAGAAAAAGATAAGAAAGAAAATGCAACCGATGCCCCTCCCCTCCCGTTCCATTTCCCTTTTTCCCTTTGCTTTGCATCCCTTTCGACCTATTTGTCAAGGTCCGCAACCGAATTAGAAGAAGACAGAAAAAGAAAGATAGAAAAAAAAAAAAAAAACCGGAAGAGCCAGCCACCACACCACACACCACCCAAGAAAGACGAGAGGAAAGAAGAAATGAGATGAAACACTTCTTTTTGTTTGTGGAAACGAGTACAAATATAGGCAGGCAGAAAAGAAAAGAAAAGAATGGAAACACTTCAGACGAAGCTAGAATTGATGCGGAATTTGGAGGAGGGTGATGGATGATGGATGGAATCAATCGTGTTCATTCGTTTCAAGTCGTTAACGTTGGGTGGGGGGTCGTGTGAGTCCTTGTCTGGCCTGTGGGAGGGGGAGTGAGTTAGTGATTTGAAGGCTTGTTGAGGTGATGAAGACAAGGGACAAGAGGAAGGGAGGGGAGAGGGAGTTGCGTACCTTCATTTGCTCGATTCTTGCTTTCAGTTGGCTGGTGACTTCTGCGGCTCTCTTCCAGTTCTCTGCGGGCTCGGAGCTCCTTGTACCTTGGTCCTCGCCTGAGGCACTGCCCGACCCCAGGATTGATGACCGAGTTGGGCTTCCCAGGCCGGAGTAGCCAGTGCCGAAGGTAGGGCTGAGCTTCCGCCGGCCAAGTCCCTCTCGGCTACCCAGTCCCGGGGAGTCCAGGCCGTTGTTTTCTTTTTCTTCGCTTGGGCTGGCCGAGGCATAGCTGCGCGGCCGTGAGCTGTCGAGTCGTGCGCCCAACCCAAGACTAGCCCGGGACATCAGACCGTAGCTGCTTCCACTCGGGTCCTGGTACACAGATCCCGCATCCGACATAGGCAAGCCAAGCGTATCCGGCAAGGGGGGACTGGCAGCACTGGCACGGAGTGCCCTGGTTAACTCGCGCTTCAAGCGGTCAATCTCCCGCTGTTGCTTTTGGACCGTTTGCTCTGCCGCCTCTGCATCGCTGCGTGCGCGCACCAGTTGAGTCTCCTTGGCCTTGATGCTCAGAACATCCCTCGTATGATCCTCGATGAGCTGGGCATTCTGGTCCTGGAGTTCCATTACTTGTGAGTTCAGTTTGGTTCTATCGGACCTCAAGTCCTCGATCATCCGTAGGAATCGGTCCTTCTCAAGACGCAGCTCCTCCAATTCGGCCCGTTCGATGGCGGATATTCCGCTCAACTGAGGGGCTGCGGGAGCGGGAGCAGGCTCACTAGGAGCTGCGGGCTTTGCTATCGGACGCCCTGCAAGTCCTCGTCCAAGACCAAACTTGGGAGCTGCAGGTGGCGGTGGTTGGTCCTCCGACGGTGGCGACATGACTCGCCGTTGTGGGGATGCTATGCCTCCTATACCGCCAAGCTTCTTCTTGAGGCCGCCTGGGGCGGGTAGACCACCGGGCTTGGGGGGCCCACCGAGCTTTGACGGAATGGACCTTGTGGCAGGCCGGGGTGACGGGGCTGCTGCTGGTTCTTCGACAGGAGCCGGGGGTGCCAGCTTCTTGGCTCCCAGAGCGGGCTTCTTTCCGCCGATGACCTTCTTTCCAACAGCAGATGTGGGTTTCGGGGGGGCAATGATAGGCTTGGGTCTATCTTTCGCCTTGACCTCGGCCGTTTCGAAGTACTCCTTGATCTTCGTCTTCCTGATGTCGTCAAGCCCGTCAAGGTAGGGGTTCATCGCACGTTCTCCCATGATTTTCATCAAGGTTCCCAGAACTTCAGCTCCTCCGGCACGGTTGACCTCGCTAGAGTCGGTTAGAAGCTTGGTCGCCACCTCAGCTATCGACTTGACGTCCGGTTTGGCAGGGACATCCCTAGTGGTACGAAGGCAACGGATCAAGAACTTCAGCGTCTCTTGCTTGACCTGGGGGTTCTTATGCTTCAAAAATTCGAGGATTTCCTCCAGACATTCTGATAGGTTCGTTGAGGCGAAGACGGAATCCAGGGCCTGACCCAGGGCATCCGCAACACTCTGTTTCTTTTCCTTCAGGCGCTCCAACATCGGCGATAGGATGCTAGACCGATACTTCGCAAATCCACTGCGAAGACCCTTCGCCAGTAGATCAATACAATTGGCAGCAACTGTTACCACGGCGATGTTGGCGTCTTTCATGGATTTGGCCAGCATCCGGATAACATCATCGAACTGTCCGTCCTTGATGCGGGGAACGTTCAGTACCGTGTACAGAGCGTCCAGGGCCTCCTTTCTGTCCTTCCATTTCGACGAAGATAGCTGATCCACAAAGTCCTTGGGGATCTTGGCAGTGACATCAACGGGTTCGGCGAGATCGAAAGCATCGACTTCACCTTCTTCCTCTTCCTCGCCATACTCCTCGCCACCTTCAACTTCATCGTCGCCTCCTTCTGGGACGGCACTAGCCGCTGCCATTGCATCCTGCTGCGCCCTCGTAAATCTCTCCTGCTTGGGCGAGCCCTCCTGCTTCACACTTTCGAACAGCTTCTCCAAATCCTGCTGTTGGACGGGCTTGAGCTCGCCCCAGAAGAGAGGTTTAATAGCTTCCTTGAGCCACCGGTATAGCTCCACCGTGAGATTCTGGGCCTCCGCACGGACATTCTTGTCGGCATGACCAAAGACCTTCGGCAGGGCCTTCAACACCGGCTTGGGGTCAACAATCTTGCACCCGAAAGCATGATAGATGGCCCTCAACCCCGCCAGTCCCGCCGCAATAACCTTCGGGACTTTGTGTGACAGCGCGGGCAGCATTTCTTCGATGACCGGGTCGGCCTTATCCAACTCCACACATAACAAGAGGGCTTCGATCGCATTCGTTTTGGCGGCGGGTCTCGTAGACGGAAGGCCTTTCTCGCAGATAGGAAAGACGGTGTATCCCCGGGTTCTTCATTCCAAAACTTCATTAGCCCCCCTCCTTAAAAAACACCAAAACAACACCTCAAAGAATGCCCCAAACGAATTGACAAACAACCTACCTCGTACAGGCCTGGACACCACCATATTGCAAAAACGCGCAATAAGACCCCAGACCTTCCTGCTGAGCCGCAACATTGGAGTCCGCCACCGCCCCTTTCATCAAACCAGGGTCTTGTGTGAACGGCGCGAATACCGGGTCCGACTCGTCGGGGGATTTCTCAAATTGTTGTTTCGCATCTTCGTATCCTTCCTTGCGGACCTTCCAGTTCTACAAAAATTATGATCCCAAAAGCATCAGTCTCCAAAGTTGCATATCACCGATTGGGTTGGCGGAGGAGCGGAAGTAGACGGACGAACGACGAACCTTATGCGAGAACCGGTCGGGCAATGGCAGGGAAGAGAAATCCTCCTCTCCCTCGGCCATGATGATGATAGTGGTGGTTTAATATATGTAGGTAGGCACTATGAATGGCGAGAGGAGGCGATGGATTAGCGATCCGCGATCAATCGAATAACATGGGAAAGCATGCGCTGAATTCCAGCCCAACGGCGATCATTGAAATCCAGACAAGACACCCTCAAGATCCTCCGTCCCCACCAGCAGTCAAATAGCGAGGAATCAAACACACACCTTGATTCTGGCACCGATCGCAGATCTCATGCACCGGCGGAGAGTCGTGTGGGTGGGTGGGTGGGTGGGTAGGCTGGATTGAATGTTTGTTCAGGGTCGCACAATCAGTTAGATATGCAAACGCGGGAGTCGGAATCGGGATCGCCAGAAGGCCTGTTCTGGGGGGGGGGGGTGGATGGGGTTTGTAAAAGTCGCGGTCGCGGTCGCGGTCGCGGTCCGAGGTGGGGTGGCGAGGGATGATGAATGAAGTTCAATAATAAGAGAGAGAGAGAAAGGGAGGGAGGGGGAGAGGGGGGGAGAAGGAGAGAGAGAGGGATGAATGAGGGATGATGAATGAGGGATGAGGGATGAGGGATGAGGGAGAGTCGGTACTGTAAACAACGGCCAAAGTCGCTGGGGTGACTCGCGACCCAAAGACCGGCCTTGGCGGCGGAGGGATGCCCGGCTTTGCTGCCCGGACTGCTGTTACTCGGTTTGTCTGTCACCTGGAGTCTCAGGTACGAATCTGGTGGGGTAATAATATGTAATTAATTGGAGGCTGGATGACGCAAGCTTTTATTGGGTTTAGATATTTTCGCATAATAGTGTTGCATAGATCTTTTTCGCTGTCCTGCGGGAAAAGTGCAGGGGCTACCATCTATATATCACTTGGCGTAGTTTGGCCCCTTCTCAATGCCACCAACTGATGATCGTTTGCATGGACTTAAGGGTTATCCAGAAATACATGATTACATCCTCCAAAGCTACGGAGCACTGCTGCATATCCAACATGCCATGAATAGGTAGATAGTAATATACACAAGGTTACATACAACATGGAAAATAGAACAACAGCAGGAAACCGGGCGTCCATCCATCGATCACCCAACCAGACACAGCAACAACAAACCCCCCCAATCTAGACAAACCTTCCCCCTCTAGCCCCCCTCAAGTATATCATCTACTGAGTTCTCTCAAGCACCAACCTCCGAATGCGCCCAACATGCTCCTTCGGGGGAGCATCAACCTGGCCACTCTCGAGTCGTCTCGCCTCCCTGCGCTCAAACTTAGCCGCCCTCTTCGCCTCGCGCTCCGCATCCCTCTCAGCCCGGGACATGACAGGCGGTCTGGACTCAACGGGAGATCCGAAGGGAGCGATGATGCGGTCCACGACGTGACGCACGGTGCGGCTCTTGGGATACCCAGACGAGAACTCAATCACGTCGCCTTCGCGCAGCGAGTCCCGCGGATCCGACACCAGGAAGGTCGTCTCCTTGGGGTAGTACTTCTGGATGTACGAGTCCCAGACGCTGTGGCGGTGGCTGACGCGGACGGTGCGGTTCATTCGGCCCACGGTGGTCACCGTGCCGATCTTGGATGTGTAGGGGTATTTGCGGAGGGAGGGCGGCAGGGCTCCCGAGAGGGGGCGTTGTGATTGTTCGGATTCTTCTTTTTCTTCTTGTTGTTGTTGTTGTTGTTGGCGGGGGTTGTGGTGGTGATGTTGGCTCGTTGGGCGTGCTGGGTGATGGCGGAGTGGTATAGAGACGGAGCGGCTGTGCGGGTGGTCGTGCGGATCATGGAGGATCGCAGGGGCTGCAGGGCCCGGAGGAGAGTGCTGGGACGCATGACGGTGATGGGTATGGGTGACGCCGAGGTTCAATGCCTGGTGAGCTGGTGCAGATGCTCAGTTGGGTTGAGCTGAGTCGAACGGGGATTGGGAGACGTCGCGTTGCGGTGGTATCGGAGACCACGGGGGGGTCGAATTGCTGAGCTCAAGGGACGGTGGATACGGAGAAAGACTATCCGCTCTGCGAGATAGCTCTTTGGAAGCGAATGACCCTGGATATCACGGAAGGAGGAGCGTGCAAGGCGACTTTAGCAACCGGAGCAGCATCGCGGCGGCGGAGGAGTTGGCCGAGAATTTCTAAAATCTCGGGCCTGTTTGCACTGTTTGCAACGGCTTTCCGCGCCGCGATTCCGCTTAAGATGGGCGAAGACCGACCAGTCTGTTGATGGATAAAACATGCATTTGGATAAATTCTGAACATTAGACACAAAATAACTGTAGAGTCCTTCTTAACGCCTCGAACCCCCGAAAAAAGCCGACCTTCGAACACCATGGAGAGTTGAAGTAGAGAGATCAACGGCCGGGGAATCTATACAATGCTCCATATACAGTAACCCAATCAAACACCTCCCATGCCTCATGTTCATGCCTCATGCCTTTTGTCCAGCCATACCCGAGAACTTAGGACCCAGATGCAGTGATCACTCTTGTAATATTCCATACGGAGAACCGAGATATAAATCTGCAAGAAAGAAACCCATGTTTCGCCACGCCTGGTGCTCAGATACCAGTAAAACCTATGTCTAATTCATTCACGCATCCCCGTTTTTACTCGACCGTTCGCCAAAAGGACTCATCGCAAGCAGCAGCATGGACTTCATAACGCTGCCCATCCTTAGGCCGGAGCCGTCACGCCGTTCGTATGCTCCCCGTTCTCGGAGGACGAACTGATAGATGCCTTTTTGGCCAGGAACTTCTCCGCTGAATGTTCCGATATGCGGGTCAGCTCAGTCACAAAGGACTGCCCCCAGAATGCACTATAATGAAATTAGTTTCGGGTCTCTCAGTAGTCTCGAGACAGAATCGTACCTGGTATATTTGTTGACGTATTTGTCCAATTTAGAAAAGTTAAGGGCCCGCTGCTCATCGCTCATGGTCACGGCTTCCTGGTAAGCACCGGCCAGCTCTTCGGTATTCCAGGGGTTGATGATAATGCTGCCATTCAGACTCTGGGCTGCACCGGCGAACTCCGAGAGCACCAATGAACCATGGCGCTTCTTCTGAGTTGCAATGTACTCATAGGCGACGAGGTTCATGCCATCGCGAGTCGACGAAACGATGCAAGCGTCAGACACCGCATATAGGGCGATCAGCTCATCAAAGTTGACGGATTTGTGCAGGAAATGAATTGGCATGAATTCAACGGTGCCTGGTTCTCAGTCAGCATAGACATTAAACTTGTATGCGAAGCGCAACCTACCAAACCTGCCATTGATTCGGCCCACCAATTCATTGACCACGGCGCGGAGGTTCTGGTACTCCTCCACGTCCTGTCGACTGGGAACCGCAACCTGAACCAGAACAACTTTGCCAACCCACTCCGGATGGTCACTCAGGAACACCTCCAGCGCGTGTAATTTTTGCGGAACACCCTTGATATAATCGAGGCGGTCAACACCGACCATCAGCTTCACGCCCTGGAACTTCTGTTCCAGCTGCGCAATCCGCTTCTGCACCTTTTCCTTCTTCAAGCCCTCTTCGAACTTCTCCGGGTCAATGCCAATCGGGAAGGCACCACAGGAGATGAGCTTGCCCTGGAATTCAATACCATTCGGGGTGGTTGGCAGTCCCCTGGATCTCGAATATTAGCATCTGCACAGCCGCCAAGAGGCCAACGGTCTCGGGTACATACAGTAGTCGCGAGCAAGCGCTCAGGAAATGCCGGGTATAATCATAGGTATGAAACCCGATCAAGTCGCAATGGAGGACACCGAGCAGCAGCTCGTTCCGCACCGGCAGGATTCGGTAGATCTCGCTGCTAGGGAAAGGGGTGTGGAGGAAGAAGCCAATCTTGACGTTTTCCTTGGTTTTGCCGATCTCTTCGCGCAGCATTTCGGGAAGGAGCATTAGGTGGTAATCGTGAACCCAGATCAAGTCCCCATCTTGGACCTCCTTCGCCACGGCTTTGGCAAAGAGGCGGTTGGCGTCTTTATAGGCCTCCCAGGCGGACTCATCGAAGGTAATCTCACCGGGGTGGTAATGGAAGAGAGGCCAAAGAATGGAATCTGGAGGGAGTGACTACCAGTTAGCAGGTGACTTCTTGAACGAATGACCGGCTCCATTCCGTAAGCCGATAGGATGAGAAGTGAGACCCACTGGAGAATCCATTGTAATGGCGATCAGCCAGTTCATCGTCGATGAATACCGGCACCGCGTTATACTCCTCCTTCAGGCGTTGTTTGACAACTCCAATCTCGGCCTCGGGGACCTCCAAGCCGGGCCAGCCGTACCATTGGAAGGTGGTGGATTTGGACAAACCACTGAGTCCGCTGACCAACCCACCGGAGGACATGGAGAAGTCATACCGGCCATCATTCGACCGCTTGATGGTGATTGGGAGGCGATTGGAGACAAGGAGCAACCGAGCCTCATTCTGGGTGGGGTGTTCGAGAGAAGGCATAGTGTAGTCTGGGAGGGGACCGGGGGGTGAGGCGGGGCGCAGATGTAGATATGATAAGTGCCAATCTGGTTAGACCGACAACGGGCGACCAATGGTCTGGATGGGAGGAGGGGACAGCAGAGATTATCAGATCTCAACGGTGAGACAGGAATAAAAAAAAAAGCGAACGGAACAAGAATCCGACGACAGATGGAGGGCGCAATCAAATTAGGATTAATTATTTTAGGGAACAGGAGAAGAGAAGCAAAGAAAGGGTGGGGAAGACAAAGGACGATCAAAATCTTCAAACAGAGTCAGGAATTGAAACGAGAAAGGTGAGCCCCAGCACCAGACAGTCCAGATGACAGGGACAGAGGGTGATCAATAGGAGGGTTAAGAAAAGAAGAAGGAGGAGAAGACAAAGAAGAAAAAGCACTGAGGGCTAGCTCCTGCGTGAGGCCTAGAGCAGCAGTGATTCAAAGGCTCTCTCTCTCTCTCTCTCTTGCAAATCGCGAGAGTTCCAAGGCGGCGGCGGGGAATGCGGACTAATTTGATTTGACTTGACGGGGTGACCTCACTCACAGACCGGCGCGCGGACCAACCGACCCAGGCTTGGGCACAAGAGGGAGAAGAGGAGCTAAGAGCAATGCCGGAGTCCAGGAGCTCCTCACTAGCAAGCTCATCGACAGATACCGGGGGGTATCACTCTTGACTATGGCACGTTCTGCAGTGTGCTGCAATGGTTGGAGATGGAAGATAGGAGTTCTGATCGCCGGACTTCCAAGCAGGAAGAGGAGTTGGTGAGGAGTAAAGAGGAGTGAGGAGACGGACAAAGAAGAACTAGGCCAGTACTCCGGACTGGGAGAGGGGGAGGGGAAGGATCGGGAGCAGATTAGTTCCGGGGCGGGCGATGAAGTCAGTCGCAATGCGGGAGGCCACCCAGCCACTCACAGCCCCGGCCCCCCCCCATCGTGAATGATGCCAACACTTCCATGGTTTCGCCTGCCACTATGGCTGCTCTGCCTGCCTCCGTTTATCCGCCCTTTTTCTTTCTCTGCCTCGTGCCCGGCAACATCAACTGATTCGTCTGCCCACCCGGTGGCCTGATGACATGACGGTTAAACGTCGTAATACTACCCTATCAATCTATCGACCAGGATTCTCTGTCCCCGTCTCATCTTCGCCTTCATATCGTCCAAATTCGTGTCTGGGATCTTGTCCTGACCTCTCCGAACCAGCTAACCGGTGGCGTAAAAAGGCAGACATCACCTGCATGGATTTGACTCAGTTATTTCCTAGGTACATTACTTGCCTACCGACTCGATAGGATAGGTAACCTACCTCCTGTACTTAGATGGATGGCAGCAACGCAGAAGTATATCTACTTGGACACAACTTAGGTATACGAGCATGCGGGGCCCATATCGTCCACTCATCCACGCCCCTCACCTGTAGGCTGTATCTACTTCGCAGGTACTGCGCAGAATACTTCCTCCTAATTAGGTCTACGGAGCTCAGGCCCTTTTGTTCCTTGGCCCTTTGCTGCCCGAGGCCCCCCCCTCTCTCCCCCTCCGATTCCACCCTGCACCCCCGGCGATCGAAGGGTCTGGGCCTCGCCGCTGGTCCGCCGGAAACGGTTTATTTATTTGTCTATGATGATAGGGAAAAGGCAGGCGATTCTCATCCCTACTATTTCCGGCAACGCCCCTCATCTCTCCCCAAAAGTCACTGGTCATTTCCAACCGAAGAAACCAAGTATGTACTTATGTAAGTATGGAGTTGGACTGGTTAGTTAGTTACCGTAGACAAGTGTATAAGCAGATAAGTAGGCAGTCCCGTTGGAAACCCCTCATAGCGTGGACCTCCCACTCTCCAGGCTCCATGACCCATCACTCTCCTGGATAACCCGGCCCTCCTCCTCCAGCTTCTCCAGCACTAACCGTACGCCATGGGAAGCAGGGAGGTGAAGACTTTCGGAAACATCCTTGTAGATCACCCGGACTAGCTCCAGAGGGGTCCAGGACTGTTTGCGCTCCGGAGAGAACTCATTATTCACAGCGACATCGGCCTGATAATCCCGCAGAACCTGGATCACCTCGTCCTCCCGCTGTTGTCGGTGTCTAATGTACTCTGTAATCTTCGCCGTGGCGCTCTCAATTACCGCGCCATGGCCGGGATAGCCGCGGCCCGACACCCGGTGCTGCATTCTCTGCAGGCTGGACAAATAGGCCCTTAAATCCTCGAAGACACTAGTGCCGTGGCCCAAGACATCTGACGAGGTCGGATTAGCCACCACATACCCCGGTAGCCACCTCGTCGGGAGTACTTACTATCACCCGTGAAGACTGCATCTTCCTCTTCGAGAACAAACATCATATGGTCGACCGTATGTCCCGGGGTATGGTACGCCGTCAAGGTTGCGCCTTCGACGCGGAAGACTTGGCCATCTTCGATGCCACTCTGCCCTCGTTCTGGTTGGTTCTTGTAGATGGTTGCTTCCGGGCACAGCTCCAGGAGGTCAGGCACGCCCTTCACATGATCTGTATGCCAGTGCGTCAGAAGGGCTTGGTGCACGGTTGCATTCTCTTCTGCCAATAGGGTCTTGAGTTGAGATGCCCACGAGGGCTCCCCTTGGCCCGTGTCAATGAGAATCCGTTGATATCCACGACCGATCAGATATGTGTTCGTCCCTGTGGAGGGTCACAATTAGCTAGATAATGTCTGGGCGACACAGGAAGGGACGAGGGCACACCTTGCAGAGTAAACTAGAAGATGAGGCAGCGCCTTAGTCGCAATCCATGACTACGATAGTGTCCATTTTCCAGGATCGGGTTGCCTACCTTGCCAGGGTTGCCCCCCAATATCCTCACAACCGAGGTACTGAGCCTCTCCACCTCTGCCAGTGAAACTAGCTGGGTGGCCATGCTCTAGGCTGTAAAGGTAATCAATCAACCCGTGGCAGCCAGCCTTCGTGTGGTGTCAGCCAGATTGCACCGCTCCGCAATTCGTCGATAAGCGCGAGTTGGTGGAACTCGGTGTGAGAGAGAGCCAGGACATAGGAAGGGGTCTACTTACAGGCATGTAGTTGCACCGGAGTAACAGACGGCGATGCGGAAGCAACGTTATGGACCAGACCAGTGTATGCCACGGTGGTTTGTAAAGCAGGAATTACTTCAGACTGAAGACGATCAGGTAGAGGATTAATAATGGGTGACGGGGTCAGTCACGTGGAGATGTAGTCACAGTGCTGGATGGATGATGAATGAGGGATGTTCGCGCAGTCCAGTCTAACTATTACTACTTCCTGCTAGTACTACTACTAGTGTCACCCTCGACAGCGCCCAGAAGGAAAGAGTCACACTCCAAGGCGGGTGACCCCGGCATTACGACCTCGGCGCCGGCAGAGACAACCGGCCTTATGTCAGCACTCCCCCAAGAGGCCCTACAGCTACGGAGAATCTACAGCAGGATTTCACGCAACCTACTCGGTCTTTACGGGGAAAAGCTCGGTTGGAACAGAAGGAAATGTGGTATGCATGCGATCCCTAACATACAGTGTATGATATAAAGCGAAAAAAGATATATCCATGTAGTCCACCGGAAATCACAGGGTGTACAAAAGAAAACAGGCCCAGGCGGCAACAGAAACAATTCGTTAAAATTTTCGGAACACGACTCCGGATTTTCCCATCATAGACGCTCCAAGTGCAGCCGCTATCCCCAATGCTGCCTTCGAACATCCAAGAACACTGCCAGGGAGCGAGGGATTGATATCCTCGCCCCGCAGGCAGATCGGTTAGGTATCACGTCTCTTCGCGGCAGTTAAGAAACACAGCGATCATAATTTACAGACGAGCCCTCGCTTGTCACGACCAAGGCCTATGTCTTGTGTGCCAAGTCGCGGTTGATTTAGTTACCCTTGCGGGCCATGGTGTTGAGGGCGGAACCGTCGTGGAACCACTCGATCTGGGACTCGTTGAAGGTGTGGACGAGCTTGATGTCGAAGGTGGAGGAACCGTCCTTGGGGTGGACACGGAGAGTCATGGGCTTGCCAACCTCGAGCTCAGTGCACAGAAGGTCAACGGTGTCCTCGGGCTTGATCTTGTCGTAGTCGGCGGGGTCGGCGAAGGTCAGGGGAAGCATACCCTGCTTCTTCAGGTTGGTCTCGTGCTGGAGTAGACAGTTAGCTTGGTTGACAGTGGATTGGACAATATGGAGCAACTTACGATACGGGCGAAACTGCGGGTGATGATGGCAAGACCGCCAAGGTGTCTGGGCTCCAGGGCGGCGTGCTCACGAGAGCTACCCTCACCGTAGTTCCAGTCACCGACGACAACCCACTTGACGCCACGGGCCTTGTAGTCACGGGCAGTGGCGGGGACGGCATCGTATTCACCGGTGAAGTAGTTCTTGACCTTGTTGGCCTCACCGTTCTCGGCGTTGGTGGCACCGATCAGCATGTTGTTGGAGATGTTGTCAAGGTGACCACGGTACTTCAACCATGGGCCAGCCATAGAGATGTGGTCGGTGGTGGTCTTGCCCTGGCACTTGATCAGGATGGGGATGCCGGTGGCGTCCTTTCCGTTCCACTTCTCGAAGCCAGCAAGGAGCTGGAGACGGTCACTGGTAGGAGAGACGGCGACAGAGATGGACTCGCGGTCCTTAGGAGGAGCCTGGTAGGTGTCACGGCCGGCGTCGTATCCCTGGGAGGGGAGACCATCACCAGTGGGGGCCTTGAGCTTGAACTCCTTGCCGTCCTTGTCCTTGAGGGTGTCGGTGAGGGGGTTGAAGTTCAGAGTACCCGCAATGCACATGGCGACAGTGAGGTCGGGGGAGGCAACGAAAGCGTGGGTGGCAGGGTTGGCATCGTTACGGCCAGTGAAGTTACGGTTGTAGGAGGAGATGATGGAGTTGGCCTCGCCCTTCTTGACGTCCTTACGGTCCCACTGTCCAATGCAAGGACCGCAGGCGTTGGCAAGGATGACACCACCGAACTCTTCGAGAGTCTGCAGCTGACCGTCACGCTCGATGGTAGCACGAATCTGCTCGGAACCGGGGGTGACGGTGAAGAGAGACTTGGACTTGATACCGTGGTCGAGGGCGTCACGGGCGATGGAGGCAGCACGGGACATGTCCTCGTAGGAGGAGTTGGTGCAAGAGCCGATGAGACCGACCTTGAGATCCTCGGGCCAGTTGTTGGCCTTAACGGCCTCCTTGAACTTGGAGATGGGGGTAGCAAGATCGGGAGTGAAGGGACCGTTGATGTGGGGCTCGAGCTCAGACAGGTTGATCTCGATCAGCTGGTCGTACTCAGCACCCTCGTCCTCGCGGAGCTCCTTGGCGTATTCCCGGGAGAAGTTACCAATGTGCTGACGCTTGGTGGCCTTCAGGTAGTCGTACATGCGGTCGTTGAAGGGGAACATGGAGGTGGTGGCACCGATTTCAGCACCCATGTTACAGATGGTACCCATACCAGTGCAGGAGAGGGAGTTGACACCGGGTCCGTGGTACTCAATGATGGCACCAGTACCACCCTTGACGGTAAGGAGACCAGCGACCTTGAGGATGATGTCTTTTGTTTACCGTTAGCAAACACTCATCTTTTTAACCATGCAGACATTAAAAACTTACCCTTGGGAGTAGTCCATCCGGACATCTCACCGGTGAGCTTAACACCGATGACCTTGGGGGCCTTCAGCTCCCACGGCAGACCAGCCATAACATCGACGGCATCAGCACCACCGACACCGATGGCAGCCATAGCAAGACCACCAGCGTTGGGAGTGTGAGAGTCAGTACCGATCATCAGACCACCGGGGAAAGCGTAGTTCTCCAGAACGATCTGGTGAATGATACCGGAACCGGGCTTCCAGAAACCAATGTTGTACTTTCCGGTAGAGGAGGAAAGGAAGTCGTAGACCTCCTTGTTAATCTCGTTGGCACGAGCAAGATCCTTGTCACCACCAACCTGGGCCTCAATCAAGTGGTCACAGTGGACAGTGGTGGGGGTGGCAACGGAGGGCATGCCAGCGGACATGAACTGCAGGATGGCCATCTGGGCAGTGGCATCCTGGCAGGCAACACGGTCGGGGCGCAGCTTGAGGTAGGAAGTACCACGCTCAAGCTCCTGACCGTGCGGGTCGTCAAGGTGAGAGTACAGAACCTTCTCGGCGTATGTGAGAGGACGGCTCAGACGACGACGAACGATGTCGAGGTTCTCAGACATCTTCCTAGAAAGTTGGCAAGCATGTTAGCATACAGTCAATTGATCCAGGAGGAGCAATCGCCGATTGCATCCTTGTATCAGGAACCAAAGTGTTGCCATACTTGTAGTTGATGTAGTTGCCCTGTAGAGCGCATTAGCGGATCGTGTCCCCAAATTTGGCACCCGCACTACCCGAAGCCAGCCGAGCCCATGAGTTCACCACTCACCTTTTCGGCATTGGTCATCTCGACCTTCTTGTCGAGGGGAGAGTCGCCGACGGTGGCAAAGCCCCGAGCCCCGAGCATCTGCACAAGGTATCAGTATTTCCAAGCTTCTACGCAGAGATCTCTCTGCGTCCCTCGCGGTACGACCACGAGCGGACGAGACAAGGGCGAGCGCTTACAAGGCGGGACTTAGGGGCCTAGGGGAAGAGCAGGTCAGTTTCCATTGATTAGGAGAGCACACCAGCCAAGGACATCGCATCCCAGAGATGGAATGAGATGCCTTCGCCAGATGGTGAAGCAACGTGGTCAGGACGACTTACCAGCGCACCCATGCGCGCAAGCCTTGTGGAGATCATGATGGAAGCTCTCTATGCGAGGTGGGCGAGGCCGCAACACATTCAAAGAGACCAGCAACGGAAGCTAGCTTCAACGCGATGAAGCAGCAGTGGTAGAGTGGAGTGGGAAGGAAAGGAAATTCCAAGGGATAGGAAGAAAGGGAAGATGGAGTAGATAAAAAGGAAGCTTGAGTGGGAGAGAATTCTTGTTTCCACCAGAGCGATTGACTGAACCGGAGAAGAGGACCCGTAACCGCTCCTGACCGTACGGGGCCCGTACGCCAGTACGCCAGTACGCATTCGTAGCGTGCAGCGTGCGACCGGAGAGAAGGAAGGTGGCTGGACAATCCGTGGGACCCCTTTCTTACCGTCACGATACCGTAAGCCTGAAAAATTCCGCTCGACCTGCAGACCTCCCTTTCTACAATCCATCTACCTAGTACGGAGCAGGACGGCGGGGACCCATAATGCCTTTACCCGGGAACGTAAGGTCGCCGTGGGATTCGAAAAGGCCTCACTGTCAGTGGCCTTCGGATCCCCCGATGACCTTTAAAATCGGTCAGTCGCGGTGGCCATTATTTTGTCCCCCATGCTCCGTTGCTCCCCCATGCCCGGCCCTCCCATGAACTGACTAGTGCCTTACCCAGGTAAAAATACAATGTAATTCCAACCAGCCTGTGCAACGCGCACAGGGCATGTGAGATGCTTCGCTGTAGTCCAATCAGATGTACTGGATTACATCCTACATCATAGACGTTCCGTCGACGTCACTGAGGCTACCAGCTCCATTGGGTCGTACAATCCCAAATAATCCAGAGCATAGTACAAGCCCTCATTCAGAGGATGTGACCGATCTCCACGCAACCGATGTCCGCAGGACTGCCAGACCGCTTGAATACGGATTGAGATCGGGATTGTTGCTGAGGAGACATGGTGGTAGGCCAGCTAGCGTGCGTATTATTTCACCTGAATCGCCAGTGGACGATGCTTGTTCCGGAGCAAACGTGCCGGCTCCTGGCAACGTCATAAATTACAGGACCACGGGGAAAAGGCCGTACGGAAGCAGCCCAAGGGCGCTGACAGAGCGAGAGCCGACTCAGAGCCGAGGCCTACCGATGGCAATCCCGCGGCCCGCCGCCAAGACCCCAGCTGACTTTGACCAATAACGGGCAACGTGTTTCAGGAAATTCTGCTTGCGCACACAAAGGCGGAATTTTCGAGATAAGCGACCCGCTCTCGCAGCGCCTAAGGTCTTAGTTTCATTCCGTATATCGGGGGAAAACCACTTTGCGACGCTCACTGGAAGCATACCCATACTAGGTATACTGACTACGGTTTTTGGCCCGCTATCATCAAAATGGGTGCCGTCAGGAAAATCAAGACCAAGCGCATGACCAGGTATGTAGCAAGTGATTCCTTTCGTTCTGGTTTCTCTATACCAAATATAGCCTTGCTATCAAATATGGAGTGCTGACGATCTAATCTGATGCGACCGACAGAGGTTATGACCAGGTCCGAGAAGATATCGCATCCTCCAAGCACCTCGCTCAATACAAAGCTACGAAAGACGCGGAGGACCTTCCAGGTCTAGGAAGACACTACTGTGTCGAATGTTCAAAATGGTTTGAAAGCGAATTCAACCTGGTCGCCCACAGGAAGGGCAAGAACCACAAGAAGAGGTCCGTGGCGAGCAACTTTTTATCGGCATGGCTACGTCGAGCGCAAATCAATTCATCGCATATTGAAGCTGACCTCTCTTCTTCTTAGGGTCCGCATCTTGCGCGAAGAAGCCCATTCACAGAAAGCTGCCGAAGCTGTTATCGGCTTGGGCACAGACAACGGTGTGAGGTCGAAAGACGCGGAGGTCGAAATGGAAGATTAGATTGTGGAAAATGAGTCTGAAATGGCACTGCAGCCATCCATCGACTGTCCATATGAGCAGCGCCGGCTCAGAGACCCTGCCAAAGCTCCCTGGCAGGATATCTAGAGCTCACCGGTCTTGAAAAAATTTTTGCGCATCTACGCGTTTTTTGCCGTTGTTGGTCCACGCGCCATATTACTGGCTGCGCGCAGACAAGGCTCGTGACCCAATCAGCGATGGACCCAATTCGCAGGTGACACGTGAAGCCGCATTCGCCGAAAACCGCCTCCGGCGGGCGATGAGTTTCCGGGTACGCCGGTTCCGTTCTGCGGAAACTCGCTCAAAACCGCCGTTTCTCGGAGTGTCGTATAGCCAGGTCCCCACTCTATCGGACGCGGTTCCTTTAGGACGAAATTAATTTACAAGCTGCAATAATACGACACTTGTTGATCGAGACTTGTATATGCTCCGTACTGCGTAGATGCTTTGAAATTGCTCCTGCTTGCCTGAATTTATGGATTCTGTAAATACTTCATAAGCCATTCATATGCCGCCCACTGGTTTCAATCCACCGTTAGCATTGTACTGAGAAAAATTCGAGCTAACATACCTGGACAGCATTTACTATAAAAGCCCTCACACTACAAACTCCTAGCCCGCGATAGAAGGCTTTGAAGCCCTCGTTGAGGTAAACTTCCCTAGCGATCCGGAAGGAGCCTTGAGCGTGTGTTTTTCTTGAAGTTTGCATCAGTGGGCGACTTTCAGGGCTCATCTCAATTGTTTCTGCTTGCAGTCTTGTCTTGATCATGTCTAGAGGGAAGACCGAGGCCCAAGTAACGATGCCAGCAATACCTCCGCATAGTAGTATCTTCATTGCATTCATACCATTCGTGTCGTCGTCATTTGAGGCCGTAAGACGTTTGCAATACTCGTAAGACCAGAAGCTGTGGCGTACGTCAGTACTAATGAGCCGCACTGAAATACCGGGGAAGATCTGGGGAAGGCAATTGCGTACTAAAACCCATAGCCAATTGCATCTCTGGCACAGGTGATCCCTCCTCCATAGTAGAGACCCCTCCAGCCGCGCGTGCGGATGATGTCCCTCGCCACGGTCAACGACGAGACCCCCGGGCGTGAATCAAGCTGAGCTCGGCATTTTATGAATTCTGTTGGGGATGACACAATCCAGCTGGTCACCCCGCCTGCAGCACCAGCAAGCCATATTTTAGACAGAGAGGCACTCTGTGGATTGGTGGGATCTATGATCGAACTGTCGAGGAACTTCAACGAGCGATTATAGGCCACAAAGAGCAGCGCATTCAGAGCCCCATACCCAAGTATTGGTGCAGCAGCGCCTAATCGAGGAGTTAGCATTCAGGTCCAAATCATGCCTTACGACAAGAGTCAAACCTCGAACGAGAGAAGTGGCGTTCTCGAAGCGACTCGCTTGTTGCGGGGTGGTCGATGCAACGATATCTGGAGTCTGCCCCGCCTGTAATCGAACTTTGATAACATCGAGGGGGTTGCCGATGATGATACCAATGGCACCGCTAAGGTAGCCAGCCCAGAAGTCCGAAGACATCGGCCGAATTGCTGAGCCGGAGGGTCTGTAATTTTAGCAGCAAATAATGGTGTTGAATATCATGATGGTTGCAACAACCTGTTATCTACTATTCGACGGATGGGAGGTTCATTGACTAAACGGTCCCACATCTAGAGGAAAGCCGGAAGCTATACTCAAAGAAGAGATAGTAGAAACTCTTTCTCATATATGGCGCGAAGTCTGGGTGCTCCGTGATGGATTTTCTTGTGGTAGAAGAGTAACATGCATGCTAGATTGGCATGATGTATTGTCTCTTGCAGGATGCAGTAGGGCTGCATTGACAGAAACTTTGCTTTTTCCTACTCGTCTAGTAGTAGTCATCACCGCGTCAGGTCATTCAGCCAATACTTTGTTGTATACATATATTCTCCACACAATTGGCTGCGAGCTGATTCGATCTAGCTCTCTCAGTGTCTGTTCTCGCTTACCACATCTCACCCAGGTCGCAGGTTAACTGTGGAACATTCACTCCAAATCATCACTCATTCTACTGTTACTCAAGGTGCAACGTCAGTCTTTACTACGATGGGTTAGTGCCGCTCTAACCCAATGCCGCAAGTATATACTTAGGTAATCCTTGTAGCAGCAACCATCGCGCTGGATACATAGTTTTCAGAAACCGAGTCCACTGGCTGAATAAAGATGGTAACAGGCCATGTTTGTAGACTCTTAATGTGCATCAAACTACCAACGGAAGCGCAAAGTACGACGGTGCAAGGTTGATCCTTGCTGATAGTCACGTGACCGCGTGATACTTTGGTGTTTGCGGCAAGTGCATGCGACGCGCTAGGCTGTGGCAAGCGCGCGTCGGTGCCTGCTCGGTGCCTGCTGGTCATTGTGTGTGACTGCAGAACGACAGCCAACCGATCCTATCCAGGCCGGTCAGCGACAACGAGAAAAGTCTCAGAATGTGAGTCTTGATACGTATTAAATACCCTGTCTTTTCTCGGCTGACCTATCTAGGTATCGACCTCGACCAAACGCGAATGGCGATGCTACAGGCACACCGTCCAAGCCGCTGCAAGCCGGCGCCTCCACCGACCGTCTTTCGAAGCCTTTCAAGTGTCCGGGAACAGCTACAGCCACACGGGCATCGGAAAAACCGGCGAGAAAGCGGAGAAAAGTGAACTACGCAGGAGCGGATGGAAGCGTGGATGACAACAGTGTGAAGCCGTATACGAACGAGGACCGCCTGGCACTCGCAACAAGAGACGTGAACCGGTTCCCTGTCTTCAAAGTCAAGGACAAAGACACTACATTCCGGCAAAGATTCAAGATACCTCTGATCAATAAGGCTACGGACAGTTATGGTGGCTCCAGGTCAGCGCCGACGCTAGGAATGAGACAAGGCGCTACATTCATTGTGAAGCCATTGCACGATCCTAGTGGAGAGTTTGCCATAGTTATGTACGACCCCACGGTTGATGATGTCGATGAGCCGTCAAAGGAGGAAGAAAAGGCCCCGGAGGCAAAGTTGGAGGAGCCACTGGAACACAAGAGCTTGGCGGATATACTTGGACTCAAGAAGAAGGTCGAAGACCGACCAAAGGTTCCAGTCGTAATAGACCCACGACTGGCGAAGGTCCTTCGACCACATCAAGTGGAGGGTGTAAAGGTGAGGCTTTCCTTCGTACAAAATATGGGACTACTGGCTAATACACCCATCATCAGTTCCTCTATCGTTGTACAACTGGAATGGTCGACAAGAATGCAAATGGGTGTATTATGGCAGATGGTATGGGATTGGGCAAGACAGTATGTTCACCGGTCTACTACATCGATAATGAGACTGATCGTGGTAGCTCCAATGCATCTCGTTGATGTGGACGTTGCTCAAGCAATCTCCAGAGGCAGGAAAAACAACTATACAGAAGTGCATCATTGCCTGCCCCTCTAGTTTGGTCGGAAATTGGGCCAATGAACTTGGTAAGTCAATGTCACTGCTTGGATCACGCGTTTGCTGACAATTGCAGTTAAATGGCTGGGCAAGGATGCTATCATCCCATTTGCAGTTGATGGCAAAGCCTCGAAAACAGAGCTTATCACTCAGATGAAGCAATGGGCCATCTCTTCGGGGCGGTCTATTGTCAGACCAGTACTTATCATATCATATGAAACCCTCCGCCTGTATGTTGACACGTTGAGAGACAGTCCCATCGGCTTGCTTCTGTGCGATGAAGGCCATCGTTTGAAGAATAAAGAAAGCTTGACGTGGACTGCGCTCAACAGCTTGAATGTACAGCGTCGGGTGATCTTATCCGGCACACCCATTCAGAATGATCTCTCGGAATACTTTGCTCTTCTTCATTTTGCCAACCCCAATCTGCTAGGGTCTCAGAATGAATTCCGGAAGAGGTTCGAACTTCCCATCCTCAGGGGAAGAGACGCAGCAGGGACAGAAGAAGACCTGAAGAAAGGCAACGAACGTCTGACCGAACTTTCCGGTATCGTGAATAAGTTCATTATTCGCCGAACCAACGACATCTTGTCCAAGTATTTGCCAGTCAAATACGAGCATGTGGTTTTCTGCAACCTATCACAGTTCCAATTAGACCTTTACAACCACTTTATCCAGAGCCCTGAAATCAGAAGCCTACTCAGAGGCAAGGGGAGCCAGCCCCTAAAAGCCATTGGTCTTTTGAAGAAACTTTGCAACCACCCAGATCTTCTCAACCTCTCGACTGATCTTCCTGGATGCGAATTCGCCTTCCCAGATGATTACGTCCCACCGGAAGGGAGAGGCCGTGATAGAGACATCAAGTCTTGGTACTCAGGAAAGATGATGGTCTTGGATCGGATGTTAGCACGCATCCGTCAAGACACTAACGATAAAATTGTCTTGATTAGCAACTATACTCAAACACTGGACCTATTCGAGAAACTGTGCAGATCCCGGGGGTACGGCTCATTGCGGCTGGACGGCACCATGACGGTGAACAAACGGCAGAAGCTGGTTGATAAGTTCAATGACCCTGACGGAGCCGAGTTTGTCTTCCTGCTCAGTAGTAAGGCTGGTGGCTGCGGTCTGAACCTGATAGGCGCCAACCGCCTCGTCCTGTTCGATCCAGATTGGAACCCCGCTGCTGACCAGCAAGCGCTGGCACGAGTTTGGCGTGATGGCCAGAAGAAGGATTGCTTCGTCTACCGGTTCATTGCGACCGGCTCGATCGAAGAGAAGATCTTCCAGCGCCAGTCCCACAAGCAATTGCTTTCGTCTTGCGTTGTGGATGCGGCCGAAGACGTCGAACGGCACTTTTCTCTGGAATCCCTCCGCGAACTATTCCAGTTCAAACCAGAGACTCGAAGCGATACACATGATACGTTCAAATGCAAGAGATGCCGACCAGATGGGACACAATACATCAAGGCGCCCGCCATGTTGTACGGTGATACCAGTACTTGGAATCATTTTGTGAATGATGGAGAGCAGGGCCTCCTCAGTAAGATTCAGGACTTGCTCATTCGTCAGGAAACAGGGGAACATGACGTGTCTGCTGTCTTCCAGTACATCAGCCACTGAGAGCGACATGACAGGACATGTTGAATACCTTAATGATTTGTTTTTTGGAGCGTACATGACTGCGATATTTGGTGTCTTGGGAAGCGTGATTGTTGATTTATTTAGGCGGTACTATGGTTATTATTTCGTAGAGTAGACATGGCATAGAACAAGTTATACAATAGAGTGTATGGAGTTGCTGCAGACACATCAATGGTCCCGGGCGGTAAGCGGCGATGCCTTGCGCGCTGCCACTACGTCACATCGCGTCCGCTAGGACACCACCCACGTTGCCAACGCATCTTGCTGTGAGTGCTCCCCACACTGATAGTCCGGCAACCACCTAGCGACCAGGCTAAAGCGACGGACGGGTGCTCTCGATTGTCGAACAGGTCCGCTCTGTTTGTTTACCGTCGACCCCCTGCCGCCACTGCATCCGATGAGTCTGGGAATAGCTACAGGGCAGCCTTTCCTGTGAACTCGCTCGAGTCGAGAACCGTCGCCGCTTCACCGCCCAGCCTAACCAGACGACGCCTTCGCGCCATGAAAGCCACCATCTAAGCTAACTACGCCCGGAGCCTGTGACTCGATCCAATCCATGTGTGGTGTGCCTGAGCGATGGATCACTCAATTCAGCGCTCGCTGAACGATAAGCTTTACGACCGGAGGAAACAGGGGGCCTTGGAGTACGCACCATCATTGATCGATAAGACGACCCCGGCATGTCCGTCCGTCATGATATCGTGTGACTAACTGAGACGGGGTTTCCAGGCTCGAGAAAGTTGTCCGCGATGCCGCATTCAGGGGAGAACACGAGGATATCCAGAAAATCGTCGACCAGCTTTGTCATGACTATGCCTACGCCGTACATCAGCCCCACGCGAGAAACGGAGGTCTCATCGGTCTCGCTGCCGCTTCCATAGCGCTAGGATCCGTGAGTGCCATCGGGATATACTGAAATGGTCGCGCAGGCGCTGAGTTCAAGGATACTAGGAAGGCGTTGCTCCCTATTTAAAAGAAATCGTACCACCGGTGCTTGCTTGCTTTTCCGACCAAGATGCCCGGGTTAGATACTATGCTTGCGAAAGCATGTACAACATCGCCAAAGTGGCCAAGGGAGAGATATTACTTTTCTTCAACGATATATTTGATGCCTTGAGCAAGGTGGGGATTTCCTCCTTATCGCGTTTGCTTTGGTCGCGCAACTCACATACATACCTTAGCTGGCTTCGGATTCAGAACTTTCGGTCAAGAACGGCGCAGAACTTCTCGATAGACTCGTCAAAGACATCGTATCGGAGTCCGCCGCTTCCCATGTGTCCGTCTTACAAATTGCCGAGAAGCAGACAACTGACCCCGAGGGTTTAGAGGATGTCGATCTTCCCACGGCCTTCTCGCTCCCGAAATTCATACCCTTGCTTAAAGAGCGAATCCACGTCATCAGTGCATTCACCCGCACATTCCTTGTGTCATGGCTGACTCTGCTGGACACGATTCCCGACCTGGAGTTGATCTCCTATTTGCCAGAATTTCTGGGCGGGTTGATCAAGTTTCTTGGTGACCCCAATAGGGACGTCAATGTCGCCACCCAAGCGCTCCTTGATAGGTTCTTGTCGGAAATCAAGAGGATTGCACGGCTCAAGAAAGGTATTGAGGAAAGCCGGAAAAGCCAGGGGAGCGACAACAGGCAATCGACCATAAGCGACGCTCTTAGCGTTACGACGACCACAGATCAGACCCTAGCTGCTGAGTCCGAGGTGACCGATAATGCGATAGAAGACTCCGAGGCCGGATCTGTCACCGATGACGACGGCTTGCATGTCGACGGAGACTGGATCCCGGGGCAAGATGTTCAGATCGATTATGCGAAGATCCTAGATATCCTCGTTGGCTTTGTTGACACGTCTTTCGGTAAGCAGGCAATGCTGAATGGTAATTTATCGCTACTGACCACAAATATTAGTGGAGGAGATGCAGCTAACTGCACTGCGCTGGATCGATAATTTCTTCGAGATCAGCCCGGAAGACATTCTTCCTTTCGTGCCTCGTCTCCTGACGCAGGTACTTCCGGCGATGTCCAGTGGCTCGGATCAAGTGCGGCAGGCCGCAAATCGGGTCAACACGTCTCTGATGGAGTATATTGTCACTCTATCTGAAGATGCAACGGATGAGAGCCGACAAGTCCCTTTGGCGAAGTCATATACTTCGACCAGCAAAGAAGAACGAAGGGCGTCCACACCGGGGAGTAAAGCCCCGGAGACCCCTTCGGGTGAGCCGAAAAAGCAATTGTCTCAGCCAGAATCAACGGACCAAACGCCGCGAAGCAGCATCTCAACACCCATCCCTCCTGCGGACCTCGATTATGCCGCCGCCGTTAGCTCACTTACCCTGCAGTTCCTGAATGAGAACGAAGCCACCAGGGTAGCTGCTCTTTCGTGGCTCATAATGTTACACCGAAAGGCCCCCAAGAAGGTCATCGCATTCAACGATGGAACCTTTCCTGCGTTGTTGAAGACATTGTCCGACCCCGCAGAAGCTGTGGTTACCAAGGACCTTCAGCTTCTGTCGCAGATTTCGAGAAACAGCGAGGACAGTTACTTCAAGTCATTCATGGTGAATCTTTTGCAGCTCTTTTCCACGGACAGGCATTTACTGGAGGTCCGGGGGAACCTCATCATCCGCCAACTTTGTATGAACCTAAGCCCAGAGCGTATCTATCGAACGCTGGCGGATTGTCTCGAAAAAGAAGAGGTGAGCGCTAAAACGGATGACATCTGCCGTTTTTATGCTAACTCCCCCCAGGACATCGAGTTTGCCAGCATCATGGTACAAAATCTGAACAACAACCTGATCACTGCACCTGAACTCTCGGAACTTAGGAAGCGGCTAAGGAACCTGGACTCCAAGGTCAAAACACCCACATATACCAAATGAACAGCAAGAAAGCTGACCAGTCTTCAGGATGGCCAGATGTTCTTCGTAGCATTGTTTCGATCGTGGTGCCACAATGCTGTCTCTACCTTCTCCCTATGTCTACTTGCACAAGCTTACGAGCAAGCCTATAACCTCCTTCAAGTGTTGTATGTGCATCCCTTCCACAGCAATCCAACCCTACCCAGCCCTGCTAACAGCTCCATTCCATAGCGCTGAGCTCGAAATGACAGTCAACATGTTAATTCAAATCGACAAGCTGGTTCAACTCCTCGAATCCCCCGTCTTCACCTGTAAGCCCTCCTTCCATTTCCCTCCCCTAAAACCATCAGCTAATCCACCCACAGACCTCCGCCTCCAGCTCCTCGAACCAGAACGGTACCCCTTCCTCTACAAATGCCTCTACGGCGTCCTCATGCTCCTCCCGCAAAGCTCCGCCTTCGCCGCCCTCAAGAACCGCCTAAACAGCGTCAGTAGCATCGGCCTCCTCCACACCGGTCCCCGACTGTAAGTTCCCCCCCCCCTTTTCTCAGCCCCACCCCTAACGATTATCAATTCCCAGAACCGCCACATCCTCCACAACCTCAACCAACAACTCCTCCTCCTACGACCGCACCTCCAACAGCCGCCTCAAACGCGACGACCCCCCCATCCGCTGGGTCGACCTCCTCGACAAATTCAAGTCTACGCAAGAGCGAGCCCGTCGCTCCCAACGCGCCTCCCAACGGCCTCTCGACCTGGACCCTGCTTCCGGGCCCTCCTCCTCCCTCTCCGACCCCACTCGAAACACCAGAGATCGTTCGTCTGCCGCAGGCGCAAACCTCCCTGATACGCCGCGCGGGGGCGTCGGTGAAGGAGGTCGGGGAAATGGGGCGGACACGGGGACTACGAAACCCGGGGGATCGTTGTTGGGCGGTGCCCATAGGCATAAATCTAGTTTGTCGAATTTGGGCCGCCTGGGAATTGGAAGTCGGAAGTCGAAGAGGTAATCAACCAATCAATTTTCTTTCTTTTTTTTTGGTGATGGGGTTAGATGAGATGCGATGAGATGAGATGAGAAGAGATGAGAGAGCAAGGTAAAGTAGGCGAGGAGACGGACGGAGCGGAGTGGCTGTGTTTATTGGGATCGGTAGGTTTTGATGGTGTTGCGTTGCGTTGCGTTGCGTTGCGTTGCGTTGCGTTGCGTTGCGTTGCGTTGCGTTGCGTTGCGCTGCGTTGTGTTGTGGAAGGGACGAGATTCAATCTATCTATCCATCTATCCAGTTGCTGTATTTCTGCCATGGGATATGGGGATAAAGAACGGATCGAAAAAGGAAACGGCGAGAAAGAAGTACAGTACATAGGGGGGAAAGATTCCGGGTGGGCTATACTTGCTGTCTTCTACTGGATTGCTTATCTATGGCGGCGGCGGCAGCTCTATGATTTCTTTCCTAGGCGCCTTTTCTAGATGAGATGAGATGAGATGAGATGAGATGAGATGAGAATGATATACGGAGTGCGGACACGATTTAATCAAACAGAGTACATGCATGTTGGGTTTGGTTACTAGTAAGTAGCATTTGCGCTGTAGGCTGCAGGCTTCTGCAGGCTTCTAGAAGTGTACGTATGTATGTACCTATGTATGTACCCTGGCACTAGGAGGAACGTGCTCAGGACCGAAATGGAGGGTTGGTGGTGGGGTTTAAGCTTTGGGTGGTTGATGATCATCATATCTTTTGGCTCAAATGTAAAAAAAAGCCTATGTACAGTATAGTAAGGCCCGTGGAGGAGGCCTTGGAGCGAGAAGGTAAAAGGGGGTGGTGGTGATAGTGGTGGAAGAGAAAAAAAGGTACACACAAGCCACCGAACGACTCGCTAATGGGCTTGTGAGGGGTATGTGTGAAAGTACACAAGTGTGACAAGGAACAAAAAGCCTGCTCGTTTTTCAAACTCCCAAACAGAGCAGAAGTATAAGCATCACGGCTAGTTGTGATAGGGGGGAAAGTATGGTCAGAAGCAGGCAAGCAATCATGCGTGAATCGCGTCAGGGAAATGATACCAAATGACTCCAGAAAATAGCTTCAGGTAGATAAGTAAAGTGCCAAATACCCATCGGACCGGTGGCTCAAAAGCGCGTGTTGGTGGTAGGCAGGTTATGGTGATTGATTGTAGAGGCGATTATTAACCCAGAAAAAGAGTCAATCGAGGGGGATGCTGTTTTGAGGCATCGCGGGTGGAATCCAACGTCCGATAAGGCAGGTCGAGGAAAGGAAGAAGAAAAAGAAAGCATGAACCTTTTTCGTTCGCTTTCTTCTCCCGTGGAATGGAATAAACAAGGACAAGTCGTCGCATCCTCTACATGAACATAATGTGGGGGATCGATAGCTGAACGGAAGGAAAACAGAACAGCGCTTGAGAGATCGCGAAAGGTGTATCACCGCCAGCGCGATTCGGACGAGCTGAAAGTCTGTGCCTTCCAGTGGCTGCCTGTCGAGTGCTTCGAGACCGTGCCTGAGGAGGAGTTCGATCCATTGGAGTAGACGTATTCCCCGTCGACGTACTGAACCCCCGAGAACGTGCTGCGATGTTTGCGACGGGCATAACGCTGCTCTAGGCGGTAGAGTTCAAACTCTGTGGAAGAATCTTGGTTAGCACTTGGAGCCCTTGCAAGTTGGGTGATTATGGAGACGGGGCATATGTAACGGGCGCGGTTGAGCACCTATGGCCGACATTCCAGGGGGTTCGGGGAGACATACTTGCTTGCAACTTTCCGATGAAACCCATTGTGTATATTGTACCAGGTGATAACCTTATTCCTTTCGAGTATTTGTCACAGTAGAATGGAATTGATAGCGTCACTTCCGGGCGTGTGTATGCAGAATCGAGAGTTGTGGTGTGTCCAGCGTTGGGATAAGGGGATGCAGTGTTGTATTTGAGTACTGGCAGCCAGAAAGCCAATTGATGCGACAACGGCTCGTCGGAGAAAGCCTGCAGATACGAGGGGAAGGTCCAAGAAGAGAAAAAGGAGGAAAGTAGAAGATCCGGGGGGAGGGGGAGGGAGAACAAAGACCGGATCGAGAGCACACGCAGGGCGGGCTAGTGGGTGTTGTGGCGGATGGTGCAAGAGTTCGACACCCACCAAGAAAGATAGTCCTCCGAGGCTAAGGAGCAGTAGCCCGTAGTAAGAAGTCAATGATAAATAAGACGCCGATAGTGCCCAAACACGATGGCTGGAGACGGAGTCCGGAATCGCACAGAAAGGATTGTGGAGAAGAATGCTGCGATGCGGGAAAGCCACCGACGGCTACGTGCCAATAATGAGGGGGCCAAGGGGAGGATGCAAAAAAGGGAGATTGATTGATTGATAAAGGAAATTGGAACAAACGAAGGAACGAGAAGAGAAAGCAGGCTAGAATGAGCGTGGGGAGTCCAGAAGAGGCAACAAATCAGAATGGCATGAGAGAGGAAGAGGAAGAGGAGGAAGAGAAGGAGGAAGGGAGAGCGAGCAGAAGATAGCGGGCGAGGTCGAGTTACTCCCTCCCCCCTCTATACTCCGTACGAGGAGTACCGCCTCTGGCATGGGAACGGGACCGCACCGGCCAGCCGAGCGGGGGGCTTCCGTATGGTATCACCGTATCAGGCACTGCCAGTCGCAGCAACGTGGGGAGTGGGGCTAACTGCCCCTTCAGGTCTAGCCAGGGGTTGCTCGGGTGTTGTGGTTGGCCCAGGACAAGGTCCGGTAAGAATGGTACCTGACGGGACTGTGTCTCAATCTGAGTTAAATACTAAATACCGTCTGACATGAGTCGCGGCACAGCACAAACACTCAACCTGTGCCCCAAAAAAGACCCCTGACGATGTCTCGGCCCGTCTAAGGATAGATAGATAGATAGTCCGTAGTATCTAACTGAGCGTTTGCGACTCGCAGGCCTGACAGTGGTGGGGAAACAAGAATCGCTAGACTGCAGACTGACTTCCGCGGTTGGGTGCGCTATCGCCCCTGATCACCCACCATTGGCCTGACCCAGGCATTTTCCCACCACTCCCTCAACTTTTGCAAACAATCTCAAAGAGCCCTAGGCATTCTGGAGGACTTCCCCCCCACTCTTCCACTCCCCGGGCCCTATGAGCCGGGCATCTCTAGCATTCTGCAGTTTTAACGCACGGTGATCAGCGTTGGAACGGTTGCGACTAGTAGATATAGTACTACGGGTCACTGCAGTGATGCAATGCATGAACCCTCAGTCCAAGTCCAGCTCCAGAGTACTCCGTAGATAGTCCAGAGCTCTCTCCAGTCGTGATTCTTTTCCCCCCTGTACCACTCTGCGTCGTTGTGTGGTTCGTCGAAGGATAGAACCGACGCTAGGGCCGCTTTGAATTTACCGGTGGTTCCGTCTAGATGACCTTTCACGGCTCCAGCTGGCCTCCGGCTCGACCGCCGGCTTTACGGCTGGTTTGGTTTGCTTGGCTCGGTTGCCAGTGGTGCTTCCCGTGCATTCGAGTCCAGAGGTCGGATTTAAGTACGTAAGTACGCTAAGTGTGTCTGTCTCATTGCAGTTGAACCATTCCAAAATCTATGCCTGTTCCCCAAGGGCACAAAGGTATCAAGCGCTTATTTCTGCTGCGGTGCTGAGGCCGTGGTCTGTGCCGCCTGGTCCGTCTCCTCCTCGAGCTCCGCAATGCGGTCGGATTCCAGATCCTCTGCGAGTGACGTTTCTTGGGCTGTGGCGCACGTTAGCATTCGCGCGATTTTCTCGAGAACCAATCCGGTTGGCGGGGTCCTCACCGTTCCACAATTCGGCGTAGATGCCATTCTGCTCCAGAAGTTCGCGATGCGATCCCTTCTCCGCCACGTGTCCCTCCTTCAGCACGAGGATCTGATCGCAGTCGTAGATCGTGCGCAGTCGGTGCGCCACGAACACGCTCGTGCGTCTCTTTTCCTTCAGGATGCTGTTGATGTTCTGCAATAGCGCCTGCTCGGTGTACGTGTCGAGCGCGGAGGTCTACATACATGTCCGTGAGATTAGTGCACACGAGCTCGCGAATCTGAGGCTCGAACTTACCGCTTCATCGAAGAAAAAGAGCTCCGGGTCCTTCAAGATCAGTCGGGAGATGGCTAGCCGCTGCTTCTCTCCACCCGAGATCATCATGCCTCTCTCCCCCACGGCCGTCTTATAGCCTTCGGGCAGCTTCTCAATCAGCCCATGGATCTGGGCGCGCTGCGCCGCCATGTGGACTTCTTCGTCGGTCGCGTCAATCCTGCCGTAGCGGATGTTGTGCGCAATAGTGTCGTTGAACAAAGGGGTATCTTGCGGCACAACGCCGATGGCCTTGCGTAGGCTCTCGACCGTCACGTCGCGCACGTCTTGCCCGTCGATGAGGATCCGGCCCTCCTGGACATCGTAGTAGCGGAACAGCAGTCTCAGGATGGTCGACTTGCCACAGCCACTGGGTCCAACGATAGCAAACTTCTGGCCGGCAGGGATCGTAAAGCTAGCGTTTTTCAGGATGGGTCGATCGGGATGGTAGCCAAAGCTGACGTTTTCGAACCGAATCTCGCCGCCCCGCTTCAACTCGATGGGTTTGGCGTCGGGCCGCTCGATAATGTTCACGTTCACTTTCTGCAGGTTGAAAAGGGTCTCCATATCCAGCAAGGACTGCCGGAGCTCGCGGTACACCGAACCAAGGAAGTTGAGCGGCACCGAGAGCTGGAAGACAAGCTGATTGACCATGACCAGGTCGCCAACAGTCAGGCTACCGCTGGCAACTCCGTTGGCGGCGAGATACATCATTCCTGCCAGCGCACTCGAGAAGATCATGTTCTGGCCAGAGTTGAGAAATGCCAGCGACGTGGTGACCTTGATGGAGGCATCTTCGTAAGCTTTAAGCGCCTTGTCGTAACGCGCAACTTCGAATTTCTCGTTGTTGAAGTACTTCACGGCCTCATAGTTGATCAGAGAGTCCACAGCAACTGTGGCCCCACGGTTGTCTGCAGCGTTTGCCTGTTTACGGAATTTCGTTCTCCAGGCAGTTGTCGTTATCGTAAAAGCGGAATATGCGACCATCGTCGCAGCCGTGATCGCGGCGAACTGGGCGCCGTATTGGTAAGTCTACCATGGTCAGTAAAGTCAGCATTCCCGTGTTCTTCGATCTGCCATACCAGGATACTGCAGACAAGGGATATCTCCAGGGCTGTGGGGACCACATGAAACACCATAGAGGTCAGCAGGAAGCTGATGCCCTTTGTTCCACGGTCGATTGCTCGAGTCAAACCACCGGTCTGCCGCGTCAGGTGGAAGTTGAGATCCAGTCGTAGCAAGTGCTCGAAAACGTTCCGCGCGACTCTGCGGATTGCCTTTTGGGCAACACTGGCGAACACGGCATTTCGCATTTCCTGAAAGAGAGTAGCGCTGATCCTAGTGACACCGTCTTATAACCGTTAGATAGCAAGTCTTTCAAGGACGCGATCTTCCCTTACATGCGATGATCATTGAGCCCGCCACTGTATAAGCCGTCCCGCCAACGGCCGCAAAGTCCACGTTCATCGAATCGACGATGTTCTTGAAGTAGAAGGGCACTTGAACGTTCAGGATCTAGTCACCCAGTAAGTATCGATGCAGAGATGCAGAAACTCCATACGACTCACCTTTCCGCCAATGAGTAATGACAGCGCAGTCCCGACACGAAGCTTGGTTCCCCAGTCATCCTACACCGTTCTTCATTAGCACCCCATGTCACGATTCCACAGCAGTGCCACTAAGCCGCCTCACCTTTGGCCAAAGATATTTTGCCATTTCCTTCATGATCGCCCAGTCCGCCTTTCTTTGTTCTTTAGTTGCCACGGGAGCTTCGTTGAGCAGGTCCTTCTTCGGAGTCGCGGTAGCATTTTGGGCACCCTTCGGGCTCTGCGCATCACTGGCAGCACCCGGACGAGTGGATGAGAGGTCATTGGAGTTCGATGTCTGCGAGTCTGAGGGGGGTTTCTCAGCCGTCTGCTTCCTCAACGGACCCCTGGTGGTCGAAAATGCTCTGAGCTGGATCCCGCGGGAGACAGACGCCCATGACGTTGGGCGCGGAAAGGCCGCAGCGTGGTGTATGAAGCGCCCCGGGACACGCCAGCAAGGCGTTCGGGCCGCCCTGGGCAGCATGATGGGCGTTAGAGATTCTTCACGGCAACCGGTAGTTAACAGGAGCTGTCTCTATAGCCAATGGAGCATTGTTGTGGTGGTGAGGCCTGCTGCGCGAATTGCCGCCTCGTAATGGGGACCGCCGGGTTCGGAGGAAAACGTCGGTGGCGGGGATGAGGTATCGAAGGCGGGGATCTGGTGGAGGAAACTATACTAGCGAGGACGGGAGTTGGTTATAGTGATGACTCTTCACAAGACCCTGCCTGGATATGCATTGACTCGAAGGCGAGGACTGGGACGAAAGGGGTTATTATATAGAGCAGGATGGAGAGTTGGGGTGGGAGGATAGCACCAGGGCAGGCGGTTCTGTCGCAATCGCCGATTCTCCTGGAGCGACTCCGGTAATAATTACGGTACGCGATACGCTTGCGGCGGTTGATCGCGGCCTCGGCTTATCGGCTGGACGTATGACAGAAGCTACAGTAGTACTGCGTACTCCGTAGAGTGCATGTCTTTAACTTGGCTGGATGGTGTTCCTCTTTTTTAAAATGAACACAGTACACATTAGTGGAGCTAAATTTCAAATGACAAGAGCTAAGAACAACCAATTAGCCAGCTAGCCGGCCGAGTATAGTTTATATGTCTCTGTTTGTAGACGATTTGTCATAATGATATAAGGCCAAGGCTTTCCGAAATCTTTAACAACCCCCGATGGTCTAGTTGGTTATGGCGTCCGGCTGTAATGGTTAATTGTCACCGGAAAATCACCAGTTCGATTCTGGTTCGGGGGATGATGATTCTTTTTCAAATGTGAAATATTTGTCAGCACCAGCACTTTCACAGCGATGTAGGTGCTTGGAGACTTCTTTTAGCCAAGTAGTATTTTTTTTCAAATAGTATTCTTGATGCTTTTGTCACTTGTTCCTTGGAGGCACAGGTCTGCATTTTAACTAGTGACCCAGTGATTAGCAGTCCTCATGAGTTGTGGTGGTTATATCAGCACCCTTGGCTAGAGTGGTTATACCTAAGTTTTATCTTTGGCTGAGTAAATATATATTTTAATAAATTCTTAAAAAAAATCTGTCAGTAATCACTAAATAAAAATTCTTAAATTTTTAGATTATTATTATTATAACTCTAAAAAGTACTACTTCTATCTTTTATTAGTATCCTATACCTGCGCCTTAGGCCGTGACCCGTGTACAAGTGAAGCGTCCGGAAGCCCCTACACCCCTGAGGATCCACTTCAGTTACGGGGCAGTGGGCGGTCAAGGGGGGGCTGGATGTCCAAAGTTACGGGTGGAAAGGGAGCTGTTTCTGGCCTCAAAAGCGGTCATTTTTGGCCTCAATCCCACAGGTCCCCATATTCTAGTTGTAAATGACCGCTGCAGAAGGTGTCTAATGAGAAATACTGTAAGCAGCAAAGTACAGTCTTACAGAAGAGGGAGGATCATCCCCACCCTGTAAGAGCTAAGACAGTGCAGTACTTATTCGTAGTCTATAAATAAGTAGCTAGACGACCGCTGTTGCTTGACTTCGCTTACTTCCTTCTTCCAAGCCCTCCCTGGCGCAGAGCTTTTATTGTTAATTCATACTTCAAAGAGAAATGTCTCCTCAGAAGAAAGTCCTGGTGACCTGTGCCACGGGCAATCAAGGCCGCGGCGTGGTACAGCATTGTCTGGCTGCGGACCACCAAGTCTTTGCCTACGTCCGGGACCCGACCACACCTGCCGCCACTCAACTCGCGCAATGGGGTGCCACTCTTGTGCCGGGCGATCTAGACGATCTTGAGGCCCTTCGCACCGCGATGGATGGCATGAACTCCGTGTTTCTCACCGAGGTGCAGACCGGCGACTGCACGGCGGACCTGCAGCGGAGCAAAAATGTCATCCTCGCGGCGCAGGAGGCGGCAGCAGCAGCAGCCACTGTATCCCATGTGATTCTGTCGACGGCGATCAAGACGGGTCAGCATGCGTCGTTTCCGGGATGGGAAACCCCTGCCTCAGACTCCGATGATGATCATGCTCGTGCTCATCCGATGCGACAATACTGGCTGAACAAGCACGCCCTGGAGACCCGTGTTCGTGCAGCAGCAGCAGCAGCATCAGCATCAGCATCAGCATCATCATCGGACGGCTTCATCCGGCACTGGACGATCGTGCGGCCAGGCCATTATTTGCAGAACCTGCTGCCTCCTGTTAACGCTCTCACATTCCCCGAGTTCCAGCAAGACCGGGTCCTGAACGTGGCATGGAAGCCCGACACGAAGCTGCCCTGGGTGGATGCGGGCGACGTGGGGATTGTGGTTGCGGCAGCCGTTGCAGACCCTGACCGTTACTCGCACCGGACCGTTGATCTCGCCGTCGAGGCGCTTACAGTCGAGCAATTGGCCGAGAAGATTGGACGCGTCCTGCATGAAAGCAAAGTGCAAGTGCGATATCGGTCGGAGGAAGAAGTGGATGAGATGATCCGGCTGGGAAGTCCGGTGGCGGCTGCGCACCGATGGGCGAATCAGGTCCCTGGCGAGGACGCGGTGGGCAACTGCCAGGATGATCTGGGTGAGCTCGCCCAGCATCTGACCTCGGTGGATACTTTCTTGACGGCTCATGCATCGAGACTTTGAATTTGGATAGAAGCATGAAAGCGGGTGTTATCGAAGGGAACGGAAACCAGGAGAATGATGCCTGTTGCTACTCTAGAAGGAATTGGCCACTATGGGGTGAAATGACCGCTTAATCCGAATCTGCCTAAGAACCCTCGACATCAAATGTGTATACGTATATTCTTAGTGGTTAGTACTGAGTGAGTAGTTACACCTGTACCTCTCTATGCTACTCCACCATCGAATCACAGTAGGTACTTATTTTGAGTTTATGTCTCGTGCCACGTAGATCTGACCATATAAATCCGTCACAACAAGAAAGACTTCCCATGCCTTCCACACGGATTTGGAGACCTGAGGCTGCAACCGCTTCACCGCCAGCTCCAGGCACTCGCGCTCATACTTGGCGATTTCTAACAACAACGTTTTCTCATCTCCTTCTTCGGTGTCATTGTTTATCACCAGAAAATCAACGCTATTGAGATTATGCTCCTCGCGGTCACGGGCAATGGAGCCATAATCATTGTACTGCCGGCACATGGTCGCTAGATGGCGACAGACGTCCTGGGCGAGATATTGGGCGCGGGGCCCCGCGAAGCAATCCTCCTTGCCCACGCTGGAAGAAACAAGGCAGCGGAAGAACTCGAATGAATATGGGCAGCTCGTGTGGTCCGCTGATGTGGTGCGAACCCAGTCATAGTATGTTCGTGTCATCGTCGTCGTCGTATGCGAATCGTTATTCTCGCCTTGGGTGACATGCGCGAGGAGAAAGATGTGGAGCTCCTGCCGGACGCGCCGGCGCAGCGCAGGTGGCGCCTTCCGAACAAAAATGTTCTGGAGCACGCCCTGCACGAACCTCCTGAGGGTACGATGGGCCTCGGCTAGGAATGTAGCCTTTTCGTCCTCTTCCTCGTCCACCAGGGTGTTAATCTGTGCAGCAGCAGGAATGCTAGGTTCGGCGGGATTCGCCAACTGACGCCGCTTGTGATTGTGCTGATCATCTGGCAGCAGCTGCTGCTGCTGCGTTTGCTTCCTCTTATTCTCCCTTGGATGATCCTCTTCCGCGAAAAGCTCCCTAATGACGGTCTTGAGGGCCGCCCAATCGCCCCGGAGCCGCGGATCCTCCGTGGTTTCTTCGAGCCATTTGTCCACCTGGAAGTTGAGCAGAGAAAGGACCATCATCTCCACCATTGTGGAGGTGGATAGACCGTAGCTTGCTGCTGCGTTATTGGACGTGGTCCACGTCAATGGGATGTATTCCAGGTACGTGGCTGTTTTCCCCTCCTTCCTATCTCCTTGAGGGAAGGGGAAGACGGCTAGTTCGACGGCTGCTCGCCGCAACGCTGGTGCGAGTAGATCCCCTTCGAGAATGGAAGCCTGCAGCCTCCATCTCGGCTCGCTCTTAAAGATTGGCAGCCGAGACAAAAATTGGCAGAGTTGGTCAAGCCTTTTCTCAGAGACCTTGCATAAATTCGTGACTGGCTCTCCCCAGCGGGACGGATTTGTAGTTTTTCGCTGCAGTGCAGCTAAGCAATAGGTCTCGGAGAGGATGCTGGAGCCATAGTTTACTTTTTCGACCCAGATCACCTCCGGGTTGTTCCAGCGATCCTGGTGAACTCGCAGGTATTCGATGGCTCGGTCAATGCGCTCATCGATGACTTGGGGCCCTACAGCCGCTCGGAGCCATGGCAAGCTGGCCAGTGCTTTGAGAGTCAAGAGCCCGTAGGCCGTGATCTCCGGTGACTGTTTCCAGGAGCCGGAATCTGTCGACTGCGCGCTCAACGTCCGCACAAGGATCTGGAGGGTCACCAGCGGAACGTGATCGGCTAAGAGGTTGGGATCCAGATCTCTTCCTAGAGTACCATCATGCCAACGCTCAATCAGGGTTGCGAGAGCATCGGCCAAGAGCATCATGGCGTATTGGGCCTCGATATTCTGGTGAAGATACGCGGTTAGAATTGCCGCTCATTCCTTGCAAACACACAGGCTGACCATTGAAACAGCTTACCCATTTGTCACTCCATTTACCATTTTCCCAAGCGCTGCAGAGAAACCTCAGAGCTTTGGAAATCTGTGTGAGGTGTCGTGATGGATCTTGGGATGCAAGCAGCGCAATCAGCACATTGCAGTTGACACTGAAGGACTCTTTAGCCTCCAGATTGTACGTCTTGAAATGGGTAGGGCCTTCAAATGCCTGGAGCATGGCTTCACAGTTCGTGCGCCGGCCCAGAAGTCGAAGTGAATATATGCTTTTCGCCGTGTCATCCGCATCGGCAAGCATTCCGGGGGCTGCATTCACTCCGGTCATTGCGTCAGCTTTGAGCTTAGACCTCCTTGATTGAGGCTGAAGAGAAAGGGTACCTACCGAAGCCCGTGATGCCATCATTCTCTGCAAGTCGAGACTCAATGTAATTTGCTAGAGTGGATACGTTCTCCATTCCTAAAGCAGTGGCTTGAAATCCCGAACTCAGCAGGGTAGAGAGAACCTACAGCGACAGGATTTCATGGTCAAAAGCGTATTCATGAGCAGGATTCTGCTACGATAGGACCTACTTACCCAGGAGAGCTCAAAGACACTGATGGGAAAGGCAGAAGGCACGCGTCCGTTGTTGCGTGCTACGACAAAGCGAAGATACCTTTCCGCCTCTTCATCCCAGTCGGGGCTGTGGATCAGATAGGCGGCAGTTGAGGAGGGCGAACCCATCATCGACCCGTTTACCAAACAAGGCGCCATCTTGCCCAGATCTACGCTTCCGATGAAGCTCTCGAGCGAATGCAGCAGCGTGGTTTGTGATGGGTGGGGTGTGTCCAACGCGGACTGAATCTTCTCCATCTTGCGCCGATGCAACTTCATGAGGGCGTTGCGGCCGGGAAAGTCAAAATGCAGCCCTTGCTCATGCAGCAAGCGCAGCAAGCTGGGGACTAGGATTTCAAATCCCACCTGCACGGTTGATCTGACATCCCAGCACTGCAGGGCTTGGTTGAGGTACGCCTGCGCCCGATCGATGCAGTCTTGCAGGTCCGATGAAGATGGGGGAGGAGTACATTCCTGGTGCGGGCCATCTCGGATGGAGGGGGATGGGCTTTTCTGGTGTTTGCAGAGCGCCAGAAGTGCAGCCATGGTGCTCAGAATGCCGTCGAGCTGCTGCAGCGGCGCCTCCTCGTTCACGCCAAACCCGCCCCCGGGAGATTGACTTCTGAGCACCACCTGGAAGCACTCCGGGAAGAGCCACTCCCCTTCTTTGGCTACCAAGGACACCCAAGCCGTATCGTAGACGGAGAGAGTCATGGAGCTGGAGCCCTGATATGGCGTTTCGAGCGATTCCGCGAGAGAGGCGATAATCCTTGCGGCTCGGAGGTCCATATTGGCGGCAGCGCGATCTGAGACCTCGAACAATTGCAACTTGTAGGGGCTTAGGTAGTGGTCGTCAATTGTTATAACGACAACGAGATTTATCTTGGGTTGATTTCCCCCCCGGAAATAAGTTGGGGGATTGCTTCGCTTGTCATATATACAGAAGAGTCCTTATCGCCAACACTATCCATTTCCGAGCTATGTCTATCGACTTGGTTGCGGGTTTGGTTTGAAGACGCAGACAAGCGGAGATACCAACAAGCTGGCCCCATTCCCCTCTTGCACGCTCTCCGTTCTTTCCATTAATTCGCTGGGAGTCGATCATTTTTCCACAAACACCGACGGGACTTGGTTGACCTATACTATAACTGAGGCAGTCGGTTCTGAAATGTCAATACCGTGTGGGTCTCGTCATGACCGGTTAGTACGATGGGGTGGTATCTATATAGATATGACATCGATCAGGTACCACCTTGACATCCAAGCGTGCGGAATGGCCCGGTCCGATTACCAGTATGGTATGTATCTACTTCCTGAATCAGTTTAAGTGATTCTCGGAACTCCGGGAGATTCTCCTTTCTTCTTGGCACCCAAACCAGACTTACATTCGACGTGGGCTGGTGCTTTAGTGCTTCTAGTGCTTATTCCTCCCCAGTCCAGCCTCGCAAATCACTACCAGTTGAAGCCATCCACATTTCCCCAATTAGGAAGAGAACAAGGCTTAGTATTGAGTTAGTGGGAGCGAGAGAGAGGGGTACCAATCAACCAAACATCTGTTGGTGAACTCTGGGTGCAGGCGACACTGGATGCACGGATGGGCGCACCTTCCCTCTTGCCCCTTGAAGGGTGAGATTCCTTCTCTATATTAAAATGTCGAGGGACACACGAGGAAACCGGAGAAGAATCTGAAGAGAAGGGAGTCCAACCCCACCAACCTCAACCTCGACCTCGACCTCGAAAGCCAAGATCAACATCCAAACCCTCCCTTCTCACCCACCCATCATGGCGGCCACTGCCTTCGACCAGCTACGATTGCTCTTCCCAGAAAACACCACCGAGAAGGTGGTAACTCCTATCGACCAGGACAATAACAGCGAGAAGTACCAAGCTGCTGTATCCCGTCCCTGGTCGCAGACTTGCTGGATCCCCGCGGCAGCGTACGTCTACCTGAGCTCTGTTCAGGAACTGATCCAGGCGCTGGCCATTGTGCGAAAGACCGGCACCAAGTTCGCCATCCGGACCACCGGCCACAACCCCAACGCCGGTTTCAGTAGTGCCGGCGAGACAGCCGTCGTGCTGGACATCAGTCAGCTCAAATCCAAAGAGCTAATCACGGCCGACGAAGGGGTCACCGTCGCCCAGTTTGGTGCCGGAAATACCTGGGGCGATGTATATCATTGGCTGGAGGAGCGGGGATTATCAGCCATTGGGGGCAGGGACTCGCAGGTGGGCTTAGGGGGGTTTCTCTTAGGAGGGGGTATGGGCGCCTTGCCTAATCTCCATGGGCTTGGTGCGGATGGGGTGAGAAACTTTGAAGTGAGTCAGATTTCTTTCCTTTTTAAAAAGGTCGGAAGTTCACGCTGCAAGCAATAGGTCCTGCTAGCCGACGGCCGTCTCGTCAACGCCAACGCGAATGAGAACTCTGATCTCTACCGCGCTCTAAAGGGCGGTGGCTCGAATTTTGGTATGTTTCTGGCATGCCATGCTTTCTGGGGAAATCCGGATGGGAATTTAACCACTCCCTCTAACCGGTCGAAACACAGGCATCGTGACGCGGCTCGACCTCGCAACCCACCCTCTGATCAATGTCCAATACACTATCAACCTCTACAACCCCGATGATCACGTGGCAATCAATCAGGCCACCGTGGCAGTCCAACAGGCCATGGAGGAGGATCCCAAGATTGGGCTGTTCACCAACTTCAACAATGGCTTCGTTGCGGTGGGCTTACTCTACGGAGACCACCCGGCCGAGCCCCCCCAGGCTTTCGGGCCGTTCCACAACCTGAAAAGCCTGGTGGCAACGGCGCTCCAGTCCACGAATGGCACGCTCTTGTCACTAGCTCAAGCTATGGGTCATCCCCAGACGGCTCAGAAGTGAGTATCAGTGGCTGGAACATACCCTTTCATTCACTAATGTTGTGTACATTCCATAGGCGACGCATTTGCACAATCACCACCAAGGTTTCGCACGACCTGTACGAAGAAGTGTTTAAGGCCTGGGGAGAGGTCAGCAAGACCCTCCCTACTGGTGCCGTTCTACATTATACCATCCAGCCATTTGGTAAGGCAGGTGTCCAGGCTGGCAAAGCTCGTGGAGAGAACATCATGGGTCATGAGAATGTTTCACAGTGTTGTACGTGTCTTTCCACTCTTTCTTCTTTCTCATCTCATATCTTTGAGCATGTGGCTGATGTGATTCTAATGCATCTCGAATAGGGTGGGTTTTCACCTGTGAGTGGCCTAAAGACGGCAGTGATGATGCCGCAGCGGAGAACGCCATCGATGCCATGTCGGAAAAGGTGCAATCCCTGGCCAATGCCAAGGGTCTCCTCCTAGACTTTAAATGTATGAGCTTTGCTACCGCCTCGCAGAAGGTTCTGGGCAGCTATGGGGCTGAGAACGTCAAGCGGATGCGGGAAGTGGCAGCTAAATACGACCCGGAAGGCGTCTTTCAGAAGCTGCAGAATGGCGGCTTCCTTTTACGCGACAACGTCTAATTACTTGTCCCGGCGATGGTCGGAGACCAGGGGAAGAGGGGAAATCCCGATAGTTTCCGATAGCAATATTGATTTATTTTCTCTTATTGAGAGTGCAAGTTGTCAGTAAATTGGCTAGCTAGCTAATTCCTAGCTGATCTGCATCAAATTTGTCATAACCAGCCACTCTGTATGCATGCAGAAGTATAGTACAGTACATGCATGAATCTCCTAGCGACAGGCCCGTGCATAAGGCCTTGACTATCCTGGCAAGATGTTTGTGATTCCAACAGGAATGATACTGAGCATGACCATGCAGACCTGGGCCAAGGGGGATTCGCAGTCCAAATGGGGGCCAAATTGGGGTCGTGAGATTTTAGAGAGATCTTAGAGAGAGAGGTTTTGGGGCCGCAGCAAGGGCCAGGGCCAGGCAGGCTATCATCGTCCCCTTCACACTGCAGCCTTCTTTCTGTCAGCGATGCAGAATAAGCCAAGGATTGTACCTCTGCTCTTAAAACAAACTTTTATATCCCTAGTACTCCCGATCTATATATATTACCTCTCTGCCCTGTGATTATCAAACTCCTTGGTCGTTTATCCATCAGCCTGCGAGTTGACGCCGGTGTCATGTCGACCAAAGGTACCTTGTCGACCGGCGCCTATGTGGCCGTTGGGACGCCTCTGATTGTCCTGTGTGCGGGTTTTGTGGCTCTTCGATGCTGGATGAGCTACAGAGTATACAAGAAACTACTCATTGCGGACTGTATGTATCAACAAAAAGCAAGAAGAGACAGCATGGTTTTGCTGACGTCTCCTCTCCCTGCTCATAGATCTCTCCATCCTGGGATGTGCATTGGTTACGATCGCTTTCTCCATGAATGATATCATCATCCAGCGTGCGTCTTAAGTATCACACCAAGAACAACAAGGGATCAGGACTGATGGATATCACCTCCCCTCGGGGGCACTTGTGAGGATTGTGTAGGATTCATGAACCCAACCCACTCCCTCAACTGGCTCAACTGCATGGCCGTGGTCATCACGGTGGTCATCGCCTTTGAGCTCTGGACGACCAAGGTGCCAATTCTTCTGCTGTATGTGAAGCTCTTCGGCATCCAGAAGTGGCTACGCTGGACCTGCCACGCCTGCCTGGCCATCACAGGGGTTGCGTACATCTGCGTCATGGCGCCCACGTTCATGCGCTGCAACCCCTCCACCACCGAAGCGACTCTGACAGATCTGGCCGTGTGCACGACCGGTACCACGCTGACGGGCGTGCTCTCTGGGTTCATCGCGCTGGCCCAGGACGTGCTCATCTTTTTCTTACCCATTCCCCTCGTTCTAAACCTGCACATGCCCCGGGGCAGGAAGCTGGCGGTCGGGGCGGTATTCTTTACGGGAATTCTGTATGTGGCTTACTACTACTCCTCCACCACAACGCAATCAACGACAAGAGAGATTGACCATATACTAACCTTCAATTCCTGGGGCGGCAGTGGTATCGTCGCCTCTATCGTGTCGCTGTATTTCAAATGGGAGGCCTATACGGGTGCGGTGTCGGATACTCTCGCGACTATGCTATGCGCGTAGGTGCAACCCCTTTCCTTTCTTTATTGACCTTGATCGTCCCCCCCTCTTGCTCGTACTCGTTCTGCCTCCTTCTCTGTATAGAGGACTGAGAAATCTTCTGTGAAGGGTAATCGAAGGAACAACTGCCATTATGGTCGGTTGCGCCCCCTCGATAAAGCAGTTCTGGAGCACGACAGTGGGCACCTCCTTGTCCTCGTCGGGCCCCACACGAGACACCAACACCGAGTATGCGTCCTCGCATCGTTCGCGGGATCTCATGCATTACAAGAAGATGGGCCTCTCCGAGGTGGATATGACGCCATTACAGCCGAAATAGATACGGAGTGGTAGTCCCGGGTGAGGTTCACTGGTTTCTCTTGCTTCTTCTTTTTTTTTTCTTTTTTTCTTTTCTTTTTCCAGTAGAGGAAGGATTGGTAGTGGGGAGAGGAGGCTGGGTAGTTACTGCGGAGTGATTGCTAAGTTTCTTGAAAGGAGGGGCTGACATTAGGTAGAAAGATAGAATTACCTATGGACTTACTATACAGTGCTGCATCCAATAACAAGTTTTGAGATAGTAAGTAGTAAGTATTTCATCATGACAAAGACGAATATACCGCCGATCGATGCTATGGTCGATGAGGAATTAGAACCGGGGTTGAGATTAAGTCTTGCTTGTGACCTATCAAAGGATCACGAGAGTAGTGTTCCTGATTAGCGTGGGGTCCGAAATATGGAGAAAGGAGGGGGTGCAGTGATAATCTGCCGCCGTGCCGCACGGTCTTTCTTCCTCGATTCTAATTAGAGTGGCACAATACAGTATAATCCATACGTACAGTATCTATACCGAGACTGCTGGTAATACCATTTCGGATATCACCACTCTATATCGGTATTGTTCCAATGCACTTATTGTAGAACCAGTTACGCCTTGCTGCTGCTACTAGTAGTCATCAGGTAGTATATATAATCCTTTGATGGAGATATGTCCCACATCCTACGGCAGAGGCATTTATTTAAACACCCTTGTCCCTCCTTTCCATGCTGTTCCGTCGTCATCATTCCTGCTCGGTTTCTTCAGACGCATCATGAGCGTGATGGATGGCCTCTTCTCTTTCCACTTCGCGCCGGACCCTACTGGCAGCTTCCTCCTAAGCCCCACAGTATTTCGCATCTTCTTTCTTAGTATCCTTCTCCTCATCTTGACTCCCTTCTTCTCCGGCCGCAAACTACCACCCAATGCCCCCGTCTTTGGCTATCGGTCCTTGCTCGAGCCGACCTTCCTCCTGCAGAGCCGGTTTATCCTGGGGGCCTGTGGCATCATCCACAATGCATACACCACTGTAAGGCAGTCGTGATTCCGTCTGGTCTTGTGAAGAACCTCGTTTTCCTCACATCCGCATTCAATAAACAGATGAAAGGCAACCCGTTCGTTCTGCGACGGTGGGATGTTGACTTCCTGGTTCTGCCGATGAGGTATCTCGAGGAGATTCGACTGTACCCTCCCTCCAAGCTTAGTAGCAAGGGCGCTCAGACTGGGGTGGGTTTACTACTTCGTTCTTACCTGATAAAAAGCTGACGAGTGAACCAAAAAAACGAAAATAGAATCTAGCGCCTGAATACACCTCGATGCAATTCCTATACCACTCCAACCTCCACCTCGACGTGCTCAAAAAGAAGCTCACGCCCGAGCTGTACACCTATGTGGACAAGGCCAGCGAAGAGTTGGTCTATGGATGGGAGCAGGATTTACCGCACACTGATGGTCAGTACAAGCATCAAGCATACCGCGTACTCGGCATGTGTTACAGGCTAATGCTGGTGAGTTTGAAATGCTCTAGAATGGACCCCCGTCCTCATTGAGCATCACCTCCGCATGCTCGTCGCCCGCATGACAGCCAAGGTCTTCATGGGGGCGCCGACGTGTCGCGACCCGGACTGGCTGCGCATCTCGATCGACTTCTCCGTGGACCTGTTCACCACGGCCTTCACTATCAAGATGTTCCCACCCTGGCTATACGGGATTGTCGCGCGGCTCGTGCCCGCTCGCTATCGCACCTTCCGGCAACTGAAGACCGGTCGCCGCATCGTGGGCGAGCTCACGGAGCGGCACCGGCTGGCTCAGGAGAAACGCCGGCGCGGGGAAGCTGTCGAAGAAGAAGACACCTTACTGAACTGGATGCTGGACCACGGTACTCCAAGTGAGGTCGAGGTATACGAGATGGGCGCCCGCCAGTGCGTCCTGACCCTGGCCAGCATCCACACCACCGCCTCCAACGTGTCCAACATGCTGTACGACCTCTGCACGTACCCCGAGTGGTTCACTGAGCTACGGACCGAGGTCCTCGCCATCGCTGCGGAGTTGGGCGGTCCCCCCGGTCAGGAAAATCCTCCCGTCAGTGCGAAAGAGTGGTGTGCGCGATTGGACAAGTTGGATAGTTTCTTTGTAGAAAGTCAGAGACATAGTCCTGTTCTTCTCCGTGAGATTTATCCCTTCCTCCCCCCCCCCCCCCTTCATCTCAAACGTCTTTGAAAAGTACTAAAGCTAATCATGTTTTGCCTGCATATCGGGCCCGTTGATTTTTGAGAAAAGTGAACCCCCAAAGACTCGCCTACCAAGACATCACCCTGAAAGACGGTACCTTCATCCCTAAGGGATCCCGACTCGCCTTCGCCAACTACGAGCACTCGATGGACGAGGCCGTTTACCCGGACCCTCGGACCTTCGACCCCATGCGCAGCTACCGGAAACGCATGTCCCACCCCGATCAGCGTGATCGACACAAGGCCGGCATGACCCATCCAGACAACCTGGCCTTCGGGTACGGGAATCAGGCCTGCGCCGGCCGCCAGTTTGCCGTCGCTGAGATCAAGATGATCATGGCGCGGTTGCTGTACGACTTCGAGTTCGACTTTCCCGCCGATTGGAAGGCGAGAGGGCGACCGAAAACCATGCATATCAATGAGAATTGCTTTACCAATCAGGGAGTAAAGTTGCTGATGAGAAAGAGGACAACGACGATGAGAGGGAAGTCGGTGTAGAAGGGTGTGATTGGCGGATGCCAATGGAGACTTAGGGTAGAACAGGCTTCGAGAGAATTCCCGGACTTGGGCCTGAACGACAATGTTATTAGATCGATAAACATTTTGACACTGTACCGGGACATCTGAACATGGAGAAGATATAATTCCGGATCGGTCTTGCTGAAGCACATTGAATATGTCGGTGAACGGTGAACAGTGATATTGCCTGGGCGGCTTTCACATGATAAACAAGGTACTAGTAGCTTAGTTGGCATCTTTCTTACTACCTTGTCTCTGATATATGATATATACTAATAATACAAGCATAGTAGTTTTTGCTCTCTCTCTCCTTTTTTCGTAGCACTTAGAGAGGATCATCTTGACATCCTTCTACCAGACACTGTTCTATTTGTTTCCCCTGAGGCTGTCCACAAGTGGTTCAACAAGCTTTGTTGGATCGATTCAGGTCCCCGCGTCGGGACAGCGACGGCCATATTCCTTCCATCCATCCATCCTCCCTTACTTACTTTACCCTCCAACCCCTTCGAACCCTACGACCGTACTACTATTTTGCAACATGCCCGAACTAATGTACCTCAACCCATGTGCCTTCGACTAGTGAGCGCCTGTCAAAGGCTTTCTTTGTCTGGCTAGGCTGGGTTACGTCATTAGCCCTCATGCTTCACAATATATATTAAGTAATATAATATCACCTGCCCGTTCCGCCAAGGCCTAGTTATATAGTACGAAATACATCACTGACTGCTAGCGCAATTGTAGATGAACTTTTGCAAGCTTACCCCCCGATGGTCTAGTTGGTTATGGCGTCCGGCTGTAATGGTTCATTGTCACCGGAAAATCACCAGTTCGATTCTGGTTCGGGGGAATACAACCTTTTTTAATCTAAGCCTTTTATATATATGCCGTGCTCATATCTTGATGCGTACGGCTTCAACTTTTTGAGTAGTCAACTGTGCTTATAACTCGAAAATGAATCCAAGTTGCTCGGGCTAACCCGAAGAAAGCAATTGGAGAAGTCTGCGTATAGTCGAAACCGGTCAGCTTGAGTCGATTTCGACCAAGCAGTATGTTTTGAGGTCGTAGATCACCGTGAGTGAGGTTGAACTACTCGAGGAAAGCGACCGCTTGAGCAAGGTCGTCCACCCACTCCTTTCGCAAAGACAAAGGCTCTGTCTGACCTTTCTATCCTAGAAACAACCCTTGTTTCCTGGTTCCGAGTATGTATGGTGGTATTGGATTCTAGATAGAAGAATATGGATCATCTAGTGACGCTATTAGTACTATGCTCTGTGCTTGAGAAGAGGGGGGGGGGGGGCTTGGGTAATAAAGAAGAAAGGAAGTCACCTCGCGTATCTTGACTGGTCAATCAATCTCTTATTCGTGCCTGGTTTGGCGGGACAGGCACTCTCCTCGTACAGATTGTACTACCTTCAAGTACCTAGGTGACCAAGTCCTTCTTTGTGCCGAGCACTTATTGTGGCCTTCCATAGGTGTATCCGGAAGATATGAGATATTTTATAAGCTTTTGCACAGTGATTGATATCTACTCTACAAAACGCAGTACGAACAACGGTGTACATCTATGCGGCACTGGTCGTGGGGGGGGGTACACGCCAGCTTTTGTTATGTATCATATGTAGGTCGCTTCCAGTCCTTATTACCAGACCAGGCCCAGGAGCAGGAGGAGTAGGCAGACAGACAGCCGCCTGCAGGAACAGTTATATATATATAGCCACCTACCTGTCGACTTGACCAACAGACCGGATTGTCAAAAATCATCAATCAAAAACAAGAGGATTCCCCCGAACCAGAATCGAACTGGTGATTTTCCGGTGACAATGAACCATTACAGCCGGACGCCATAACCAACTAGACCATCGGGGGTTTTCGTTGGAAAAAGCATTCTTTAGTATGCTACAGAAGACAAGCTAGTGTCACACATGTGGTGTTGCAGGAATACTCAAGTATGACATCAGAGCAAGAAACAGTCTGCCACAGCAAAGCACCACTAGGCTGCCAATCCCTCAATCTCCCCCCCCCGGTATCCTCCCAGACGGTCTGACACACCCAGTGAGGTATCGCTCTCCAGATCTGTCGACGAGGCGGGCTGTTACAGCACCTGCACAACTGCAGCACCGAAGCGTTTCGAGTGCCAAGCCGCAGCCAAACGCTTTTCCCGATCTGGAACCGCGAATCCGGGCAACGAGAAGAACGAAGAATTGCCGCGGAGATCGAGAGCTCCTGCGAGTCCTGCTTTCCATCCAGCTTCCCTCCATCTGCTTCTTGTCCGGCAGAATCTCCCCATCATGGCACCGGCTCAATCCTGGAGGAGCGCCGCGAGGACTCTCTCCTGGACCCGAGTCCTTCCTCCACGGGCGCGACAAGGGGCCCTGCTGCGTCGCGGATGGCAGACCAGATGCGTCCAGATTCGCGCGGCGCCCGCGGAGCAGCCATCTACGGTCAATGGCGACCATCTCCCGGTCTCCAGCACTCCGAGCTCTGCTCAATCCGCTGGTAAGCATTCATGATCTACTCAACCTGCCTCTGAACCGATGATCCATGCTAACCAGCCGTGAACCATAGATGCGCGATTCGATGTCATCGGTGCGCCGTACTCTCTACTCTCGGTGTCGCTTTCCGCCTCGCAGAATCTCTACACTCGCCGGGGCACGCTGGTCGGATTGAGTGGGAAGGCGGACAATGTATGCAGATGCTTTGCGACCCGTATATCGTTCATTTGTGCTCCATTGATTAACGGCTTTGGTGTCAACGCAGGTGGTCTCGACATTGAGTGTGCTAGAACCCTTCCGAAGGGCTGTCGTGGGCGTGCCATTTCTCTATCAGAAGGTTCGGCTGGTTTCCTGGAGTTCGTGGAATGAGCATGTAAACTGATACCCGTCAGGTGTCCTCCGCAAGTCCGGTGACTGCCCTGGTCTCCGTTCGTTCTCCTAATACGTCCTTTGCTGTTGTGCACCTCAATGGCTCTGTGGACTGGATGGTGGCTCAAAGACGGGCGCTACTCGCATGGTCTGGTCGTGCTCTCTCCATCCGACCGACTATCAACACAAGCCTGGTCCGTTTGTCCCCACCTGCGCGTGTCAAAAGTGATACTAACCTGCGCAGAGCCTTGCCCACTGGGGTAGCTCCGAGGTCACAGGACGAGGATTGTTAGCGTTGGTTGGCAACGGACAACTATACTCTGTTGAGCTTAAGGCTGGGGAGCAATACGTTGTTCATCCGAGGTAAGCTGTTAACAGTCTTGCCACCCTTGTAGCTTCGTATACTGATACCAGGAAGCAATGTCGTTGCCTACTCCATGGCGTCTAGTCCCCCGCGCCCTTACCGCTTCAAGTCTACGAGCTTGAAGTTCCAGGTCCCAGGCCTTAAGGGTCTCCAGGGCCTGCCGACTTTCATTCAGAACTCCAAATTCATCCAGGACATGTCGGCATCAAAAACATGGAAGACGACGATGAATATTGTCCACAAGCTCCGGACATGGTCTCGGATGACTATCTGGGGAGATAGGGTATATTACGTCTTGCGTGCCTCTCATGTACCGTGCTAATATGCTTGTTTCTAGCTGTTCCTCCAATTCGAGGGCCCGTCGACCATTCTTCTTCAGACCCGCGGTCCTCGCATCAACGAGATCCTGAGCACGCAGGAAGTCAATGAACTTGCTAGCGCACCCAGAGGATTGACCATTGGCCCGTCACAGCATCCTGAGGGAAAGCGTGAACCCACAGCAGAGGGTGAAGAAAGAAAAGCGGCCGAGAAGGCTGTCAACGCCGCCCCTGGACCATCAAGGTCGGTAGAAGCCTTGACCAATGAGGTCAAGGGCGTCTCTCAGAGTATTGCGATCTTGACCAAGGAGGGCAAGGTGATCTTTGAGAAGCCAGGGCAAACGAGCTAAGCTTCAGGTCTCTGTCCCTAGCGCTGCCTTTTTCACGCATAGATTCAAGAGCCACATACCTGGGGATGATCTTTTCATTGCAGGCTCAATGTACTATAGACAATAGCTTGTGTCCGATCACACCGACACTCCGGTCGAATCCTAAGTTCTTCCTTTCTCGTGTTGTTTCAAAGTCCTAGCCAGCCGGGGAATCCTTGCTTCGTATCACCCGACTGACATGTGCGCGGGGCTTCCATGGATGAAGGGCTTGCAAGGAGCACCCTCGTCTGCCTCAATGTCTTACACCCCGGTCGTTCCTTGATTCCATGCCAAGGACCCCCTGGCGGATTACTCATAGTAGGGTATATATGGTCTACGCAAGGGGTTTCACGTTCCTCTAGGACTAGGCGCCACTTTTTATTTTACGATCTCACCAGAAAAGCGACGATCCCTGGGCCCCGACCTTATCTTCAAATTCAACTTTCGAATCCCGCACCCCTAAGTTCTCCTCGTCAGCTATTGTCCGCTTGTCAGGAACCAGCTTCGCTCGCTACGGAGTATTCCCTTCCTACGTTCGGAAGGATATACCCTGCCTCTCGGGACACAGACGGCCCTAGTCGCCGCCACGGACAAAATGCAACACAATGAGGATCATATAGTCAGTGACGCGGTCGAGGAAGACAGAAAAGAGGCCATTGGTACGCATGGCTCTGCTTCAAGTACAGGTGACGATGTCGAAGCAAACAAGGACAACAATGTCCAAAGACCACAACCCCTTGAGGAAGAAAAACACGACGTAAATGGAGGGCTGGGCGACGGCTCGGAGAAATCGAGTACCATTGTCCAGGCACAGTCAACGTTAGTGGCCGATGAACCCCCCGACGGAGGATATGAAGCGTGGATGACAGTGGTCGGAGGCTTCTGTGGCATGTTCGTTAGTTTTGGCTGGACCAACTGTAAGTGGACTCGAGATCCAAACCCCCGTGGCCGAATCCTCCCATCTTTAAGTAAGATGCGATCGCTGACACAGAATGCCAGGCATGGGTATATTCCTCGATTACTATCAAACCCACCAGCTGAGCCACGAGTCTACAAGCACAATAACATGGGTCACCTCGTTAATGACGTTCATGATGTTCTTCGGGGTGCGTAGCCAGCCCTAACCCGAGTATCATCATCATCATCATCATCATCATCATCATCATCATCATCATCATCATCATCACCATCGACCAAAGTCGCTGACACCAACACCAACAGGGTCCCTTCATAGGAATATTGTTCGATAACTTCGGTCCCCGGTACATCATCCTGGCAGGAACCCTCCTCCATGTCTTTGGCATCATGATGACCTCCATCTCAACGGAGTACTACCAGTTCCTCCTGGCCCAGGGCATCTGTAGCCCCATCGGCACCAGCGCCCTCTTCCACGCCGGCATCAACTCCATCAGCACCTGGTTCCGCCATCGTCGCGCCCTCGCCCTCGGTATCGCAACCAGCGGCGCCAGTCTCGGGGGAGTCATCCTCCCGATCATGCTGACCCGGCTCTTTCACCAGCTGGGCTTCGGCTGGGCCATGCGCATCTGCGCATTCTTGATCCTTTTCCTCCTGATCATCACCAACCTCACGACCAAGTCCCGACTCGTCCATCGCAGGAAGCGCTTCCACCTCATGGACTTCATCCGTCCGCTCGGCGAGCTCCCCTTCGTCCTCACCACCGCCGGCACCTTCTGCTTCTTCTGGGGAATGTTCCTTCCCTTCTCCTTCATTCCCTCTCAAGCCGAAAGATACGGCATGTCTGCAACGCTCGCATCATACATGATTCCCGTCCTCAACGCCGCCAGGTTCGTTTTCCCTTGTTTTCCCCTCAGAACACTCCTTCCTTCCTTCCTTCCTCCCTCCCTCCCTCCCTTATCCTGCCTCCCCAACCAACCAACCAACCAACCAACCAAATCAACCAACTAACTAACAAACAAAAACCCCAGCACCCCGGCCGCATCATCCCCCCATACCTCGCCGACCTCTTCGGCCGCTTCAACCTCATGATCCTGACGACCCTGTTCTCCGGCATAATCGTGCTGGCCATCTGGCTCCCCACGCGCGGCAACGCCCCCGCCATCGTCTTCAGTGCCCTCTACGGCTTCAGCTCCGGCACCGTCGTCTCCCTCGCCCCCGCCCTCGTCGCCCAGATCTCCGAGATCCGCGAGATCGGCGTCCGCAGCGGCACCTATTTCTTTATCGTCTCGTTCGCCGCCCTCACCGGTACCCCGATCGCGGGCGCCTTGCTCCCCGATCCCCTCCATGGGTCCTATACGAAGCTGTATATCTTTTGTGCCGTGGTTATGTTTGCCGGCGCGGGGTTTTATCTTCTGGCTAAGGTGAGGTTGGTGGGGTGGGGGTTTGGAGGAAGGTTTGATTGGGTTGGGGGTCTTTGTGGAGAAGGGGAAGGGGGAAGAGGGAAGAGGGTTGTTGAGAAGAGAAGTGAAGTGAAGTGGGGCGGGGATGAATGGGGATGGATGGAATGGTGTTTAGTTATTGGGAAGGAAGGATGGTGGATTGTTTGGTTTGGCGGGGCGTGGCATGGCGTGGCATGGCATGGCATGGCATTGGGTACACGATAATCATATGGAATGATGGATGGAATTAATGAATGATGTATGCTGATGATAGATCGATAGATAGAGAGTATCTCCAAACCAATAACTAACTAATCCGATTTACTATTGACCCGACTCCCAAACACCGGCGCTCGATGGAAAGATCGTGCATGCAACAGAAATGCACGTCACAAGAAAATGAAAGAAAAGAAAAAAAGTAACAAGAGGGCGGTGATGACAAGATGGATGACAATGATGACGGCAATGACACTGCATAGGCAAAAGCCAAACAATTGTGGAAGCATGTTTGCATGCATGTATGTATCCCAGCGCTCCAAAATGCAGCTGTCAATTATTCATTGGCTGTTGTACAACCTACACCAAGACTCCGGTGCGCATGCTTTGGACGCTTTTCACGCCGACACCCTTCAGCTTGCTCAATTCGGCGAGGCTGCTGATCTGGAAGTGTGCTTCGTCTGCGTGGCCGTGGTCCATCTCACACAGGCAGTCGACGATAGCCTCGGCCTTTTTGACACCGACGCCCTTGAGGAGTTTGATTTGGCTCACGTCGCGGGAGTTGATGATGGATAGGAGGTGGATGGTTCGGGGGGACGGGGCCGGCTCATCAAGGTCGATGCTAGCACACTCTTCCTCGATCGGAGACTTGGTCTTGGTGCGTTTCTTGCGCCTCAGGTGCGCGATCTCTGTGACATCCTCGTCACTGAACTGTTCCGCGGCTTCTTCGATTTCCTCATATTCCGCGTCCGAGTCGTCGGCGTGACGCTTGTGGGTTGTTGTCTTCATCGGCTGCTTCTTGAGTGAAAGCATGCTGCCAAACTCCCTCTTTCCTCCTGGGATAGTAATGGTGGCGGTCGTGTCGGCGTCCTGGTGGTGGGGTTTGCTCTGGGTCCGCTCTTTCAGGGTGGCGATCTTCCTGGAGAGCTTCTCGTTGTTGGGGAAGAAGGGGAGTGCGAGCTGATACATCCTCAGGGCGAAACTGTCCTCGCCCCGAGCCTGGTGCTGCTTGGCCATGAGCAAGTAGGACAGGCCTTCGGCTCTTGCGTCCTCGGTGCCGTCGATGCGTTGCTCGAGGAGCTCCAAGCGCCGTTGTACCTGCTCGTTCAGTTCGCGGACTTGCGTTTGTCTGGATTGCTCGCTGACTGCTCGTACAGCCAATATTTCTTCAACCTTCTTCTCCACCATCTCTTCGATCTTGGCTGCGGAGATCTCATCGTAGTGCTTTGGTGGCTGATGTGGGGGCTGGGCGAGACGGGTAGGTTTTGACGACAGGCGGGAGATTTCCGAGCTCAGAGAAGTCCGCTTGGGGGCGTCGGGTTTCCTGAACTGTGTGCTGAGTCTGGGGAGGGTTTTGTCGGAAAAGACGTGGAACGCCTTCGGGGGCTTTTCGCCGGTCTTCGCGGCGTCTTTGGCGGCGGTGAGGTTCACGTTCACCGAGGCTGTCAGTGGCCGCAACGGCTGGCGGGCGCTGGCCATCGAAGGCCGCGCCGCGGGTCGCGGAGGACCCTTGAACATGGGCTCGTTCTCCACTTCGCGCACTTCGATCTTCTTCGTGCGGTTGGCGAAGTTGAGCGAGCTGATCGTGTCCAGATGATAGGATCTGACAGGCGCCAGGTTCAGAATCATCACCGTCAGCCCATTGTTCTGCCCCAGAGACAGGATTCTGGTCATTTTCGATTCCCGGTATGGAATTCTGGAATGTTTCTTGCTGATCGCTTCCACGCACTGAGCCAAGACGAACAGGCTCTTGTTGATACTGGCCGACTCAACCATGCGCTCCTTGTCGTTGTCCGTCCGGCGGTTATCCTCGGAACCCGCAAGGTCGATTGCTGAAGCCGTGCTGATGCATGTCTTCTCAGCGGAGCTGACGGCGACTTTAACACAGAGGATGGCATGGGATCGTGAAGAGTGGGCGTTCAACTAATGGACTGTCAGTGCCACCCTTACGTGCTGCGGTGAAGTATGGGAGATGCAAACCTTCGTTGCCGATGTGGATCTGTTGATGTTCGCCTGATCATACAAGACTTCAAACTCCTTCAGACTGTGGCATGGCCTCTCCGTCAAACCTACAACCACCGTCTTTCCACCATTGTCTCGAAGCGGCAATCCCGCCAGTGTTCTCTTCTCTGGGGGCTCAAACAAGTCAAAGACCTTGTCGTTATAGATTTCGTAATAGCTCAAGGACACATTGACCGAGGTCTCCCCATCGCTGTCCTTCTCCATCTTCCGGCTGCGTCGGTATATACTGCTCAGGAGACGGGGGATGGCGCCTCGATCGGCCAGGCTTTTACCGCCTCGCATTGTGTGCGTCTTTCCGGTTCCCGTGACTCCGTATGCGAATAGTGTTACGTCGAAGCCGTTGAAAAGGTGTTTGACCGTTGGAGCAACTGCGACGATCAGTATGTTATTCCCACCAGGAGAAATTGGCTGCGTCACGAACCCTCTGCGTCGAAGAGCTCCTGCTGCGACGCTTCCGCATCATACACAGCATTGAACTGAAACGAATACTCCTCGCTTTCATTCTTCGGGTTTGGGATCCGTACTACAGTATCCCTGTCCCGCAGTGCCGCCAGAGCTCCCTTCTCCTTCTTGTCGCTCTTACCAGGCACAGCCTGGTTCGAGGAGTCTGTCCGCAAAATGACATCCGCCTCTCGTTCCGACTTCAGAAGCGGTCTTACCCGCCCGACAACCCGGACACTCATGTTGTATTAAAAGGTATATCTCCGACGCTTGGTGAAAGTCCCGGTGGTTCGTCGTATGCACTAGCTTGATGCTGCTAGTACTCGACTGATCAAATGTGTGGACCAATTGCTGGGTCGCGACTTATATCGGCCGTGTAGGAGGAGTATACTGGAATGGGGTAGGTCGAGACCAAAGATGGGCAGCTAAACCTTGCGAGATCGGTCGCCGCCAAAGTATGTCGCACTGTTAGATTCGGAGAAGTCGAACGCTAAATTTACCACTCATTAAATCGATGCGCACCGGAGCAAAACAACACGCGAGGCATAAAATCAAACAGAAAAGCAGGACAATTGGCGACTGGTGGTGGTCAAAGGCCGTGGGGGAGGTTGAAGAACGAGGAGAGCCACAGTGAAGCGACAGGGATAGCTGGTGGTGGTGCGGTCAGTGCTGTTGGCACGGCAACCTTCCACGTTCGGCTTCCCCAGGTCAAGCATGCCACACACACCACATCGTGCGTTCACTCTTGCTTTTTTCTTTTTCGGTTTCTTTTCCCTTTTTTCCTTTTGAGGCTTTGGTCTGCATTGCGGGACCTGAGAGGCTCTGTGACTAATTACATCAACTATTTCGACGTCACTCCGGATTTTGTGCCGACCTGCGCAACAATATAAATAATGTCACACTACGTGGAAGCAATGGTCAATCGGACATTAGCTTAGCATATATATTGCAACCCCCCACCGAAGGCAGATCAAGACCACAGAGCGTTGTCCAATACCGATAAACAGACAGATATCAAACACCGCTGAGGTCTACCGCAGTGTATCATGATATGAGTAGCCTCCCTATGAGCCAGGATGAGATCATAGGACCTCCTGCAGGTGCCAGGCAGAGACCGGACGGCAGACAGCAGACAGGAGAAAGCAGGCAGCAGACAGCCCTGCGATAAAGCATGTGCTCGCAACAACCACGATTCTCTGTGCCGTAGAAATGACCCAAACCTCCAAATAAAAGTCAGACTCGTCCGAAACATAAGGGACTCTCGAAGTACCCCGTAGTGACTGGTGGTTGAGAGTCGGCTAGGGCGCGGGGCGCTGATTGGCCGAGGCGCGGCAGCCGCAAAGGCCACCGTACACCAACCATGCTTGCTTGCTTGCTTGCTTGCCTCCATCATCCATCATCGTTCATCGTCCACTTCCGCTCCCACTCCCAGGACTCCTTGACCTGCCCCCCCCCCCCGGAGTGTGGTCCAGTCCTGCCTTTCCCTCGGACTTTGAACTTGTCCCGTCTGTGATCCCCTGCTCTCTTGCTTGTTAGTATGCACTTGCCCCTCCAGCCGCCATTCCCCTATCCCCTCCCTCCACCATGAATTGACCGCCGATCCAGTGAGCCTGTAACGACCTGCCCGACATACGCACACCCTCAAACGTCCCCCCCCCGTTGAACCCCCCTCGGAATCCCACCATCCACCTTATTAAGCGACACAATAAACACAAAGTCCTCTATGGCAGCACCGCAAGGGGGATACCCTCCCCAGGAAGGGTACGGTGAGCCCGTCGGCTACGGGTCTCCCACTCAACAGCCCGCGGCGTTGGCTCCTGGAGCCCCCGCCCAAGGCCAGGCTGGAGGTCGCAAGAAGCGAGTCTACGCCGGCGAAGCGTTTGACTTCGGCTCTGGAGCCAATGCTGCGTTGGGGGGTCAGTTACCGGGTGGTGGCAGCTATGGTGCCTATCCGCCGCAACCACAGGCCGCGGGATACCAACAACCTGTCTATGGGGCGGACCCAACTCAGATGCAGCCCGTGGCCCCAGGATATGCGGCGCCTGCCAGCCCCCAGGTCGCACAGATGACCCAGCAGTTTGGTGCTATGGGAATGGGAATGACTGATCCGCACCTGATGCCCCCGCAGCCCGTCGCCCAAGCTCCTCAGGCCCCGCGGGCCGTCCCCCTCAACCAGCTCTACCCGACAGATCTTCTCACTCAGCCGTTCAACGTGGCCGAGCTTGACTACCCACCACCTCCTATTGTTTTGCCTCCGGGTGTATGTCCCCCAGAAGCCCTTGGTTGCGGAGTACTGGATTGCTGACCCGTCGCAGACTAGCGTTTACCCTTCTCCCCACTCCAACTGCCCTCCGAAATACGTTCGCTCGACGCTGAATGCCGTCCCGACCCAACACTCGCTCCTCAAAAAGTCCAAGCTGCCGTTTGCTCTGGTTATCCAGCCGTATGGTTCCCTCCATGATTCGGAAGACCAGGTCCCCGTCATCCCCGATCAAGTTATCTCGCGTTGTCGTCGCTGCCGGTCCTACATCAACCCCTTCGTGACATTCCTCGACCATGGACACCGCTGGCGCTGCAACATGTGCAACCTGACAAACGATGTACCCCAGGCCTTTGATTGGGACACTGCCCTGCAGAAGCCGGCGGACAGGTCGTTGAGAGCTGATCTGAACCACTCGGTGGTCGAGTTCGTGGCCCCCCAGGAATATATGGTCCGTCCCCCGCAGCCGCTGGTCTACCTTTTCTTGATCGATGTGAGCTATGCGTCTGTCACCAACGGCCTTCTGGCCACGACTGCTCGGTGCATTAAGGAAAGCCTGGACCGGATCCCGAACGCAGACCGTCGCACCCGCCTGGGATTTATTGCGGTCGACTCTAGCCTTCACTACTTCAGCATCCCCCGGGATGGATCAGAGAGCTCCGACCCCCGGATGCTCGTAGTGAGCGATCTGGATGAGCCTTTCCTTCCCATCCCCGGCGATCTTCTGGTCACCCTGAGCGAGTGCCGCGAGAACATTGAGGTATTCCTCGATAAGCTGCAAGAAATGTTCCAGAACACCCAAAGCAACGGCTGCGCCATGGGATCCGCGCTGCGTGCGGGTTACAAGCTCATCTCCCCGGTGGGAGGCAAAATGTGTGTCCTCAGCTCCTCTCTGCCCAACATCGGCCATGGCGCTTTGACCATGAGAGAAGACAAGAAGGTCCTTGGCACAAGCAAAGAGAATGGTCTGCTGCAGACAGCGAACAGTTTCTACAAGAGCTTTGCCGTGGAGTGCTCGAAGGCGCAGGTCTCTGTTGACATGTTCTTGTTCTCATCCCAATACCAGGACGTTGCGTCTCTCAGTAACCTGCCCCGGTACACCGGTGGACAGACCTACTTCTACCCCGGCTGGAATGCCGCTCGTCCCGAGGATGCGATCAAGTTCGCGCGCGAGTACTCTGAATACCTCTCGTCCGAGATTGGTCTGGAAGCCGTGCTCCGTGTCCGTGCCACCACGGGTCTGCGTATGAACACCTTCTACGGCAACTTCTTCAACCGCAGCTCCGATCTCTGTGCCTTCCCCGCCTTCCCGCGCGATCAAGCGTACGTCGTCGAAGTCGCGATTGATGAAACCGTGGCGAAGCCTGTCGTCTGCCTGCAGACTGCGGTCCTCCACACTACATGCAACGGCGAGCGGAGAATCCGGGTGTTGACCCTGGCGCTTCCCACCACCCAGAGCCTGGCCGATGTCTACGCTTCGGCGGACCAGCAGGCGATTGCTACCTACTTCAGCCACAAGGCCGTTGAGCGGGCTCTCGGAAGTGGTCTGGAACCTGCCCGGGAGGCTCTCCAGGCCAAGGCTGTGGAGTTGCTGTCGACGTACCGGAAGGAGCTGGCTGGAGGCAGTGTCAGTGGTGGCGGCCTTCAGTTCCCTGCTAACCTGAGAGGTTTGCCGGTTCTTTTCCTTGCCATGATCAAAAACGTAAGCCCTTCCCTCCGACCCTGTTGACGCTTATGGCGACGAACTGACGTTATTTAGCTTGGTCTTCGGAAATCCGCACAAATACCCACCGACATGCGCTCCGCGGCGCTCTGCCTGCTCTCGACCCTTCCCCTCCCCCTCCTCATCCAGTACATCTACCCGAAGATGTATTCGTTGCACGACATGCCTGACAATGCCGGATTGCCGGATGAGCAGACGGGTGAGATCGTTCTGCCCCCGCCGATTAACCTGGCGTCGGAGCGGGTTGCCTCGTATGGTCTCTACCTCATCGACGACGGACAGACGCAGTTCCTGTGGGTGGGCCGCGATGCGGTGCCGCAGCTGATCGAGGATGTGTTCGGGCTGAGCGACAAGTCTCAGCTCCGGGTGGGCAAGCAGAACCTGCCGGACATGGACAACGAGTTCAGCCAGCGGGTGCGGGCGGTGATCGAGAAGAGCCGGGACCACCGGTCGAAGGGGGTGGGCAGCATCGTGGTGCCGCACCTTTATGTGGTGAAGGAGGACGGCGAGCCGGGTCTCCGCTTATGGGCGCAGACCATGCTGGTGGAGGACCGTGCCGACCAGAGCGTCAGCCTGTCGCAATGGATGGGCACGCTGCGGGAAAAGGTCTGATTGTCCCGGTTTCCTAAGCGTTCTCTCTCTGTCTCTCTCTCTCTTTCCCTCTGCCGTCATAGACCCCCCCGGTCGTATTTTGAGGCATTTGGACTGACGAGCTTCGAACACGCCTACAGGTTGTTCAGTAATGATAGCTTTTTTCGATTTTGGTAAATTACATGGAAGATACTTCAATACATTTCAAGTGGCTCTGTCTTGTTCGGCTGTCTCGTTGTAATCCTATTCGCTGCTTGTTTTCTACGGAATACCTTAATTCTTCCCTATGGCGTCTGCCTGGAAGGGTGACGGCAAAGCATTTTGCCTGCGTTGATTGGCCTCGGTATACGACTGCGGAGTATAGGAGAGTCCATTATCAGAAGGGAGGGAGAGCCTTCATGGGAACCCGTCTTGTAGATAGCCCACGTCCCAGGGACGGGGAGTCAGATCTGATGATGGGGGGGGGGAGGGTGAGTGAGTGAGGGTGATCTGATCCCTCCCGAATCGACAGCTTTGCCCTCTTTTTTTGGCATCGTATCTTGTCTTGTTTTGTCTTGCCGTTCGACGCAGCGGCCGCGGCCGCGGCCGCCAACCACACTGGCCGCTTCCCGCTGCTCCACTTTAGGATTCTACGTACTGTGTGAGTGTGCGCAGTTGCACCTCGGGCCAAATGAAGCCAAAAAAAAGAGAGAGAAAGGGGGAAAAACAAGGTTCTCAGTCAGTTAGTCGGCCAGTCGGTCTGTCAGTCCACTCGCTGAGCGGGGGGATTGGATAGTACTGGACACCGAGGAGGCTGGAGGGCCTGTGTCAGACTGTCAATGTGAGTGTGAGTGATGGCAGACAGGCAGACAGGCAGACAGGCACATTGCATTGGTCCGGGCGTTTTCTGTGTGGCCGATCATGCAGTGTAAACTTTAGATCACGGCTTAGTGGGATGCCGGACAGAAGCGCTGGCTGGGAGGGGGAGGAGCAAATCAGCGATGAGAATGGGGGTTTGGGGGATTCTGTGTGTGAGCGCCTGTGAGGGGGTGTTGGCTTGGGAGGACGGAAGGATAGGTGAAATGTGATGGATGGATGGGTTAACCTGTTGTGATGTGATGTGATCAATTGGGGTTGAGGGGCAGTAGCGCCTGTGATTGTACCTAGGTGTGTAGTATGTAGGTACTGTGATTGTGACTGTGACTGACGGTGAGGATGACATGGGATGGGATGATGGATGATGGCCTCGGGGCATCCATCCCCTCACTTTTCTCACTTATTGTTCTCGGTCTTACTCTCACTCATCATCACTATCCGGGTTGTACTGTATGATTATGGATGAGTATGGGCCTGAGTATGGTGTAAGCCCCTTCCCTAGAGGGACGAGTCCAATATTGATCCGATCCAATCCAATCCAATCTATCTAACTATGTACTCCGTATCGTGATTAGCAGATCCCGGGCCAGAAAAAGGCGGCTGGTGGAGACGGCGGTGGAGGGTGAAACTGCGAGAGAATTGGCGCCGTGGCGGCCAACCTCTCGCGGAGGCGGCGTTGAAACACTGGTCGAGACGTAGTCCTCAGGAAGACCCAGAGAGAGACCCAGCGAGAGGGGGCCCTGATAGATGACAGGATGGAGGGAGGGCCGGGTTGATCGACCACGAGGGTGTCTGGTTATCTGTCTGTCTGTCTGTTTGTCTGTATGTAAAGCAGTAGGTAGATACGATGTATCTTATGGAAGGTATGTGGTTGATCCTCCAGTTAGTTATATTTGACTCGATATTGGGTCACGGTGGTCTGGCCGGAAAAAGCCCCCGGCCCTCCGGGTGAAATGAAGTCGAGTTTGGGATAGATGACGGTACTTTGGCCGGTGCTTCCAGTCAAGGCATGAGGAAATGATTCATCGGAGAGACTCATCTTATTTGCATTTGATCTCATCTCATCTCATCTCATCCTCATATGAAATTGAAATGGGATGCTTAAAGAGATGGGTCAGGCACGGGGTCTCTGTTTAGTCACGGTTCAGTACCGTATGTACGTATGGTACTATACGGTAACAGCCCCTCTCGAGAGTCTCGGCGACTCATCCAAGGATCGCAGCTCTTCTCCCATCTTTCTTGCTCGCTCCCCTTAACTCTCGGCTTCTCCCCCAGCTGGCTGGTCATCGCAGCACGTCGTGGTCTTGTTTCGTCCTTCAGTCCTTTGTTGGGGCTGCTGCTATTCTTATTTCTGACTTACTCCTGTCGGTAAGTTGGCTGTCTGGTGGCTTATCTGCTATCGACCCTGGTTCCTTGGTTGGGCTCCTCACTCTATCGATAACTTGCTCCACGTTTCCTGTCCCTCAACCCGTCTACACAGCTCTTCTTTTGTTGTCCTAGTCGTGATTGTTTTGGCTGCTGTGTTGGACTTGAAAGCTCAGTCAACACCTGCAGCAGTCCCCGCAAATTATCTCTTGACTTCCTTTTGTCCCCTCCCCCCCCATTCCTTTGACCTGACCTGCGTCCAGCATCTACTGCTTGCTGTCTTTCTCACCACGTTTCCCCTCCATCTCTCTCCTCCTGCCCCACCCCACTCTGGCCGATCCGCGCCCGGTTTATTAACTTCCTACTACGTACGCTAGTCCCCTTGTTGCTTCTGACTACTGTCTTGACTATTGTCCTGTGTCTTTCCATCCCCTCCACATCCCTCGAGCTCCCCTTCGTCTTTTTTGTCCCAGCGTCTGTTCGTCTGCCCCCCGAACTGCCCCCCTCCCCAACTGCCCCCTGGTGCGTTTCTGCTTTGAAATTCCAGAAGCTCAAAGAACCTCGTGAAACTGACTATGCGTCCCGCATAGAACCAGATAAGAGGGCATCACCATACAACGGAATTAAAAATAGAACGCATTGCTGAAACACAAGACGCGAGCACCCCCAGGTCCTGGCAGCTGGTAAGAACTCTCCTTTTCGGCGGCTTCCGGCCTTGAAATAAGACCTCAGACCCGAACCTCCGCTCTGGCTCGATCATTGATCATTGACATCGTCGATTCGCTGCTAGATCACCCGACACGGCCATTCCCAGCGCTTACGGAACGGTTCATCCATTGCCTCTAACCTAACCCAACCCCCTCCGAGCCACAATCCGGCTGAAATCCCTCGCATCCCGATCGTACAGGCGCCTCCGGAACACCTGGCGGCTACTTGCGGGTCCCTGTGGTTTCGATTGCAGCAGACACGCGCTGTACCCCGCTTCCGATCCTTGACAGATTCCGAACGTCTGTCACCTGTCCAACACACTCGCCCCTAGCATGCGCATTTGCTGGGACTAGGCTATCACTAGAACTCGACGCGAGCGTCTCCTGTAAGCGATACGCCCAGTGCCTGCTGTCCCGCGTGTGATGGGCCCGCGGCGCTACCCCTCGTGGGCTACCCTGGTTGTCTGCATGTGACGAACCCAACACATCGGAATCGATCCTAGAATTTGGGGGCTGCCTTGGTCGCTTCACTTAGGATGGGATTGAGGGATGAGGTAGTCTGCTGAGCGCGCGGCCCAACACACAAATACCCGGCCTTCGGCTTCAACTGACACCTGTCTAGTTCCCGTACCCGCAACCATGGTGCAGCAGGCGCCTCCTCAAGGGGGGTCGCGGAAGATTTCCTTCAACGTTTCGGACCAGTATGAGATTCAAGATGTCATCGGAGAGGGCGCCTACGGTGTGGTGTGGTGAGTATCGACGCAAGCTGGGCATTGATCTCATGCTAAGGGGACTCCAGCTCCGCTATTCACAAGCCCTCCGGGCAAAAGGTCGCCATCAAGAAGATCACGCCGTTCGACCACTCCATGTTTTGCTTGCGAACTCTGCGTGAGATGAAGCTGCTGCGGTACTTCAACCACGAGAACATCATCTCCATCCTGGACATCCAGAGGCCTCGGAACTACGAGAGCTTCAACGAGGTGTATCTGATTCAGGTACTGCCCATCCAGGCGCTTCGAAACGCTCGAGACTAATCCTCCCCAGGAACTGATGGAAACCGATATGCACCGGGTTATTCGCACCCAAGACCTCTCCGACGACCACTGCCAATATTTCATCTACCAGACGCTGCGCGCGTTGAAAGCCATGCACTCCGCCAACGTTCTCCACCGTGACCTCAAGCCCTCCAACCTTCTCCTCAATGCGAACTGCGACCTGAAAGTGTGTGACTTTGGTCTGGCCCGGTCAGCCGCATCGACCGATGACAACTCGGGATTCATGACGGAATACGTCGCGACGCGGTGGTACCGTGCCCCGGAGATCATGTTGACGTTCAAGGAATACACCAAGGCCATCGATGTGTGGAGTGTCGGCTGTATCCTGGCAGAGATGCTGAGCGGGAAGCCGCTGTTCCCAGGCAAAGACTGTGAGTGGCTTGAATGGCGCAAATGCAGGGTAACGCTGACATGGTGCTAGACCACCACCAACTGACCCTGATCCTTGATGTCCTCGGCACACCAACCATGGAGGACTACTACGGCATCAAGTCTCGGCGTGCGCGGGAGTACATCCGGTCTCTGCCATTCAAGAAGAAGATCCCGTTCCGGGCGATGTTCCCCAAGAGCAACGACCTCGCGCTGGACCTCCTGGAGAAGCTGTTGGCCTTCAACCCGGCCAAGCGCATCACTGTCGAAGAGGCGCTGCGCCATCCGTATCTAGAGCCCTACCACGACCCCGAAGACGAACCGACGGCGCCACCTATCCCCGAAGGGTTCTTCGACTTTGATAAGAACAAAGATGCTCTCAGCAAGGAGCAGCTGAAGCGTCAGTTACCAATGATCCCATAGCCGAACAACCACTGACTTGCGCGCAGTTCTGATCTACGAGGAGATTATGCGGTAGACGGCTTACGAGGAGATGAGATATACCACGGAGTAAGAACAAGGCAGAGCCTGATGAGTTGGGACAGTTGACGTCGTCATGCACATAACCCATGGATGCATAGAAGAAGGGCCGGGCAAGTTGGACATTCCGACCCGCCCTGTGCGGAGTAATTTGCTGCAATTTGCCCGTTTGTGGGAGTCATTGACTGCGACATCTAGTGCTTTATGTGACATTGGAAGAAGCGGTTTGCAGTTTCAGCGATAGTCCAGCTCCTGAATATACATTATGTTAGCGTCATTGAATGCGAGACAGAATTCTGTCCACCGAACCAAACTATGGGTATATATACTCCGTACAAGACCGGCCTTTCGATAAGCAGATTCATCCTAAACATCACCCACCACACACCACCTCAAGCCCTAAGTACCTGGTATCTAGCCACGTCCCTCCATAAACCTCCGAATCCCCTCCCCTACCCCCTCCGGACTAGGCCTCTCAGCACAAACATCCGCCTCGAACCCAAACTCATTGCGAAGATGATCCCTCGTCGTCGGCCCAATCGTCGCCACAAAGAACCTCCTCCTCCTCCCCCCATCCTCCCCATCCATATAATTATTCTCTCTCAAAACCCCAACCATCCCCTCACACCCCGTCGGCGAAAACACCACCACCCAGACCACCCTCCCCTCATTCTGCTTCTCGGGTGCGCTATCCCGCATTATTTCTCTTTCCGTCGCGATGATCTGGGAAAAACTCTCCTCAAACCCCTCCATCACGCCTGTCTCGTAGACTACTAGCTCGTCGACCCCGATCCGCGTATGCGGGGGTAGGGAGGGGTTGGTGAGCGTTTTGGGGATGATATCGCGGCGTTGTTCGCCGACGAGGAAGAGGAGGGGGGGTTTCAGGGCTTTCTGCGCTTGGGTTTCTGGCTGGGTATTCGCGTCGGGATCGGTGGTGTTGGGTGTGGGTGCGGTTGTGGTTGTGATCGTGTCAGAGTAGAGACCGTTATAATGCTGGAGAATAAACTCGGCCAATGCGCCCCCGTTGCCCGTCTCTTGGCCGTGGATTGTTGCGTGGGGGAGGTGTTTCGTTGTCAGGGTGGAGAGGGAGCGGTGCGTTGCGGGACCGACGGTGTATAGGGGGAGGGCGAATTCGCGCTTGATTTTCTCTGTGCGGGGAGGAGAGTTGGGAGGTATGTGTTAGTATTTGTGGAAGGGAGGGGGGGGGATGTTTTGGAGTGTTCTTTGTTGTGTTGGGTTGCTATTGTCGTAGCTGTGGGTATAGAGTATGGTAGTATGGTGTGTGTGGGATAGGTAGATAGATATCTATACACACCCACCCACACATGCATATACCTCTACACACATACACACAGATGTGATTGATTCCTTCCAGTCCAGTGGAAGAAAGAAAACCACCAGAGCAGAGAAGACAGAAAGAGAGAGGTAAGGTAGGTAAGGGTAAAGGTAAAAAAAAAACTAACCATCAACAACCCCCCCCACCACATCCGCGAACCCCTCCACCGCGCGCTGGCTCGTGAAGATCAACCCCCCGTATTTTCTGTTTTCTGGCGGTCCCAGGAACCCATTGTTTGATGTGAAGAGGTCGCGCACGGTCTGTAGGTTTGGGGTATGGAAGTTGTGCGAGAGGACAGGGATGAAGGTTGGAGTGGTTGTGGTTGCGGTTGTGGTGGGAGCTGGGGTGGTGGTGGTGGTGGTGGTGGTGGTGAAGTATTCGTCGTACCCGTCGTGAGGGACGGATTTGGTTTTGAGGAGCAGGATGCGGGTGGTTCCCGTTTCTGTGTCGGGGGAGGGCATTTTGTAGGTTGTAGATTGGGGTTGAGTGGCGGAATTGGAGAGGAAAGGTGGTGGTGGTAGTGGTGAGGTGGGATGAATGGAGGGTGGATGATGGATGATGGAGGCGGAGGTGCGGGTGGGGTCCGATTGACGTCTTTCTGCAATGGTCTGCTCTATGCTCTGTTGATTGACCCCGCCTATTGTCGCGGCCTGCCTACTGAGATGCCTGGAGCTAATATTCAATGTTCAATTGGGATGTCTAGTTACCAGCCTATCGAGACTGCCGTTTACTACATTTACTGAGTTGTCTACCATCTGCTTAATGTGCTCAGTCGAACAAACGAATCAATGGGTCTAAGGTATGTACACTAAAAAAACAAGACTACTGGTCGTCGAGAACGTGCAGGTACTTCTTCTCCTCCCGTCTCTCCCGCTCCGTGGCCGGGGGCAGGTCGTAGTAGGAGGCGCTGCGGTATCCCAGCTATGCAACATTAGCCAATGCCTAGACGCACCAGGAACACACTCACCAGGTAGTGGAAGGTCAGGTTGCTGAGCTCGGCGGGCTCAATGTCCAGGTCCTTGAACGTCTTGGCCGTCGGGTCGATCACCTGGTCCATGAACTCGCGCTCCACCTCGTCGGGGGAGATGGTGGGCCACCACAGGAACTTGTTCAGGTAGTGCGCCATCGGCTTGAGGAGCCGCTTGGGGATGTTCACGTGGCGGCGGTGCTTGACGATTTCCTTGTCCACCAGCTCGGCAATCTCGGCCGTCGAGTAGTTCTTGGGGCCGTACAGTTCGTAGGTCTGACCGACGGTGGTCTCGTCGTGCAGCATGCGCTCCAGGGCGGCACCGACGTCGGGGGCCTATGTACATCAGCAGCTATCCAAAAAAAATCACATCCCGAATGACGTACGTGGACGGGCCAGTAGCGCTCCTGCATGTGGTTGGACGTGAAGAGGTTGGACACCCGGGCGAGCTTGTGGAGGAGGTTGTCCTCGAAACCGAACATGGGCGCGGGACGGACAATGGTGGTCTCGGGGTAGATGGAGCGAACCACTTCCTCACCCCAGGCCTGCGACTATCAGCATGCGAGCGACCATGTATGACCAGAACCACGGACCTTGGTCGAGAAGTACTCGGAGGGAGAGTCCCGCTTGGCGTTGTAAGAAGAGACGTGGATGAAACGGTCAACGTCGTACTTGGCGACCGCCTCGACGATGCGCTCCGTGCCGTCAACGTGAACGTCGGTGTAGGTGAAGTTCCTGCGCCAATTAGCAGAGCGCTCACCATTTCCCTTCATTTCACTGACTTGGTAGGGTATTGACGACCGACAAGGTTGTAGACAACGTCGGAGTGGCGCACAGCCTCCTCGATGGACTGGGTGTTGCGCAAGTCGTATTCCTGCCACCAGTTAGCGGGCCACGCCACCTGGTCTATTGGGAGCCGTCATACAATGAAGTTGACCCGGCCAAGATCACCGGTGACCTTCAAGTGTCTCTTCGTCATCTCCTCACGGTAGGGCACGACAACGGTGCATCCCTGCGTAGCTAAACGGCGTCAGCGTCTGTCCTTCCCGTCGACCAATTGCCCAACATACCGAGTCTGTTGACGATGTAGCGACCGAGGAAACCAGTGGCACCGAAGACGGTCGCGGTGTGACCTAGAGAAGAGTTTAGTCTTCTGGCAGCATACGAAGCGGCGGAGACAAGGGCTATGTACCTCCCAGAGAGGAGCTGTAGGGCGACTAGTCAGCACACGAAGCTCCACCACATCGGAAGGCGCCTTACCGTCCACCCTGGATCTTCAGAAGAGGCTTTCCGGTCCGAGTGATCGCGACATCCTGGAGATTCCGGCGCTGCATCTGGAATTGGACCCGGGGGGTGGGGACGAATGCCCTCGACCCCATGGCGGAATTGACGGCCCGGGACGTCTGCATGGTCTCAATTCTGGTTGGAATCAGCCGAGACCACCGAATTGCGTCCGGCACGGTGTTTGGGTAGAGAGTGAGGAAGAGAGGGGAGAGAGCGGAGCTCGGCGTCAGGACTGATGCTGCTGCAGCTGGTCGAAAGTGAAGGTCCCGAATATCTTGGAGTTGGCACGGGACTCGCGCGCTAGTCCCCTTTCGGCCACCACCGGTCCTCAGGCATTTGGCCATTGCGACCTCCCCACGCTAGATTCAGACATCTTACGGTCAAATAGGGCAGAGAGACTACTCCCCTACTATGGACACAAATTATCTACTCGGTTCGAGCTGGATGGCCCTCGTCGTGGTCAATCCGGGCCTCACGCCGGATCGCGTCTGACTATTCGACCACTCTGATTGGCTGCTGGACATATCGTCGTCATGCGAGGTCTACTACCACCAGGATAATTGATGAACAGAAGTTACTCGATGGGTCTAAGGGAGGATTCTTCGTAGATCAAAGGTCTACAGGGAAAATCCTATAGAATTATTGCGTGGTGCTCATATTCATCATGCTACCTGTCCACAAAAACGACCTAGGCACGCTGGCCACGCGAGAGGAAGAAGGTCAAGGTCCTCTGCTTCCCATCCTTCTGGTACACAAACTGCTCGTTCATAGACTGGTACCGGAAGTCCTCATTGAGCCCTGCGCCTTCGTGCAGCTGCCTCATCTGCTCCTCGGTAAACCCATGGTTTGTGACCGTGTGCTCAGCCTCACCAAAGTCGTGCGCCATCCGATGGTGGTCCGGCACAATGTCGATAATCAGACACACGCCGCCTTTCTTCAACCGCTGGCAGAAACGGGACATGGCCAGTTCCGGCTTCTCAAAGTGGTGGAGGGCCGCACTGACGACAACGATGTCAAAATCAGAGTACTCCGGTCCTGAGAGCTCGTCCGACAGAGTCTCAGACAGAAGGTCACCCTTGATCGCGGACATCTTGTCCCCGAAACCAGCGTCGTGGGCGTTCTGGTTGAACTGATTGATCATGTTGTCTGCGACGTCCATGCCCACGATCTTCGACACGAAAGGTGCCAAAGTCTAGACTTGTCAGTCCATATGTCTTTTACTTTTCACCCCCCTAAGACGCAAAGTAACTTACCAGAGAGACAACGCCAGTCCCACATGCGTAATCTAGCACCTTGATCTCCTTCCCCTGACCGGCCTCGGTGTCGGTCCAGGTATCACTGATCCAGGTACGGCGGGCCGTAACATTTCTGCAGATTCCATCCAGGACAGGCTTGAAACTGTCCTTGTAGGACTTGGCAAGATTGCTGTGCATGTTAGAAACCTTGTTCTTTAAGACGTCGACGGGTGCTACTACTCACTCAAAGTATTGACGGTTCTTCTCGGTGTGTTCGGTGTGCTCCGCCATGATTAGATGTGGGATATTCCAATTTATGTGAGTAGAAACGGACGGTAGAAAAAGATATTCCAGAAGATAGAAAATTAATTGCTGAGAGATAGATATGAGGTGAGTCTGAGCCACAGAAGAAGAAACGCCGGGAGTCAAAGGGCCGTATTTATAGCCCTACGGGACCAGTAAATATCAGCCTGGGCGCTGGCAGAACCACCAAATCCATAGCTGCCCGGAGAGATATCGGACACTTTTTGTAGACTAACTGGGTCCAAGATGCCCGCCAAGAGGGATCTGGGGAGGCCCAGACCGGAGAGCTGCCATGATTACTGAGATGCTGAGATTCAATTTGTCCACAAGATGAGTCGACCGATGCAAGACGACCTCGAGGGTCCTCGTAGATGGTAGCGGAGGAGAGCGAGCAACTGAGCCGCCAAAGATGATGTCGTGCCGGCGATGTCATGTGCCTCACCGCCCTCCCGATGAGGGTTTCGCAGCCCAGCGATGAGCCAACAGCTCCGCTTCCACCTTCCGATCAGCTTCCCTCCCCATCTTCTCGCCATTACACCCATTCGCCCTTTCCCATCCTCCGATCTCCCATCTCGTCCCTCTATACCCCTCGCTTCGCGTTCTCCAGACCTCCTCCACCATGGAGAACCAACGAATCTCCGACTTCCTCAGCGAGCAGCTCGAACAAGCTCCGGAGACGTCCCAGGCCTCCTTCCTGAGCTTCGAAGACCTCTGGGAGCGCAAGCTATGGCATCAGCTCACGGACTCCCTGGTCGACTTCTTCCGCTTACCCGAGAGTGCTCCCCAGCGCCTACCGATATTCAAGTCCTTCGTCCTCAGCTTCGCCGACAGAATCAATCAGCTCAAGTTCGTCTCGCTGGGTTTGATGGCATCATCAGAGTGCGCTGGTTTGTATCCCACCCATCGCGCAGCAACCCGACGGCCAATCTGACAAGATCTCCCCCAAACCATCCAGATGACCAAGAACGCCTGTCTTTCCTCACATCGCTGGCAGACAAAGTCAACAAGCCCGAGTCACAAGACGCTTACATCTACGCCCTTGCCGATGTCGCCAACGTTAAGCAACGGCTACAAGACCTGAACGGTGCACAGAAGGATCTGGAGACATGCCAGAAGGTGCTGGATACATTCGATTCCGTGGAGACCGTCGTGCACGCCTCCTTCTACAAAGTCAACGCAGACTACTACCACGTAGGTCCCCGCACTCAACTGCCCCCTCATCTATCTTTCAGTATCGTGTACGGTATACCTAACAATGGCCCCCATGTCATAGACCAAACAAGAATTCGCCTCCTTCTACAAGAACGCCCTCCTCTACCTCGCCTGCATCGACCTCGAGGACCTCGGCGAATCGGAGCGTGCGTCCCGCGCGTACAACCTCAGCGTGGCGGCGCTGGTCTCCGACTCGATCTACAACTTCGGAGAACTGCTCCTGCACCCGATCCTGGACTCCCTCACCCAGACGCCGCACAGCTGGCTGCGCGAGCTCCTGTTCGCCTTCAACCGCGGCGACCTGACCGCCTACGACGTCCTCGCCGGCAACATCTCCAAAAATCAGCTGCTCGAGCAACACCGCATCTTCCTGTACCAGAAGATCTCCCTGTCCGCGCTGACGGAGATGGTCTTCCGCCGGCCCCCGCACGACCGCAACCTTACGTTCTCGTCCATCTCCGCGGAGACAAAGGTCAAGCCCGAGGAGATCGAGCATCTCATCATGAAGGCCCTCTCGCTGGGCCTGCTCAAGGGCGCCATCGACCAAGTCGCCCAGGTCGCTCAGATCAACTGGGTCCAGCCCAAGGTGCTGGATATGAAGCAGATTGAGGGCATGCGGAACCGTCTGAAGGATTGGGATGCCGGCGTGAACCAGCTGGGTCACTGGATCGAGGGCGTAGGAAAGGACGTCTGGGCTGCGTAGACAGCCAGCCAGTCAGATACCTTTCTGGTTTACTTCCCTTCCCTTCCCCTCTTCCCGTTATTTGGTCCCCTGACTCGCATAAGAGCTACCCCATCATGTATGTACGAACAATTCCTCCGTACTAGAACCTCATTATAATTGAGATCCATACGAGACTTGCGGGGTCTTTTGTAAATAGATGTAGAGTGTGAAATTCAAGGCGGAAGAGACAAGACACGAACGACTGGAAACAGACAGAGACCGAGACAGATGATAAGAGAGGGGAGAGAGAAAGAAAAGAACCCCCCAATGAAGTTGACATTGATATTTAATCTAATACAAAAATACTAGTAATAAACCTGCTCATGCCCAAGTCGTTGCAATTATAATAATACATAAGTATACAGTTTGTTTTATCCCTCCCCAGTCATACACCCGGAAACACCAATCGCTATCGCTATCGCTATTCTAGACAGACAATATATATACTAATACTGATATTCTATACTATACAAGGAGATTTCATTCGGCGGCAGAAGAGCGGGATCCGGATCGGGGACCGGCACCGCCGCCCTGGGCTCGATGGCGCTGGCTGATGGCCGGGCGGCCTCGGCCGGCTTTCTTCCGCTGTTCGGCGGCCTGGCGCTTCGCGATGATGGGGTAACACTCGATCGGGGCGCGAGAGCCGACGTGCAGGCCTCTCGGGGTGAAGATTTCGACTTGAGGGAAGGAAGACGGGGGAGAGTCGGGGTTGGGTTTGGGGGTTAGCCCGAATCTGGGATCGGAGGTGGTTCCGTCTTCGGATTCGGGCTCGAGTGGATCCATGTCTTGCTTGGGGTTGAAGTCGATTACGGGCTCCATGTCGTCGAATTCGGGTTTAGATGTGGTGGATCTGGTGGTGGTGGTGGTGGAGGTGGGTTTGGTCTCGGGCGTTGGCTGTGTCGGCTTGGAGCGAAGCTGCACGGTAAGCTCGATCCAGCCGCATCCCTCGATCAGGATATCGGTGGACATCACTTTGTAAGGCAGAGACGGGGCCTTCTTGATGATCTTGTCTTGGAGCGCTTTGGCGATGGATCTCGGGAGATGCGATTTGGTGACATCCCATTTCAAGTCGAAGGTTCCGGCGGGCCTGATGCCGTCTCCGAAGCCCTTGGCGATGATGGTGCCCGGGTAATGACGCCGCTCGGCCTGGATTTCCATGGCCTTGTCGGTTCTTGTGACGAATGGCTGAAGCGCCGGCGACACGAAGCAGGCTGCCATGAGCACCGTGTCGGGATGTGTCGGGGTGATTCTTACCAGCCCCCCACCGAGCAATAGCGACTGGCCGGGCTTGATGGACATGTGTTCGGGGTTTACCCGGGAGGACATGATCAAATCGCGCTTGTGCTCGTCGAAAACATAGTCGCTGAGATCGTGGCGCTTCAGTCCTGGAAGGTCAAACATCTCGCCCTTTCCATGTCCAAAGGGGATGCGGATCGGAGAGACCGTCGTGCCTGGTAACGAGGACACAATCGGAAGAAAAGGATGGAGACCTTCCGGAGGCGGAGGTGGGAGAAGAACGTTTTCTGTGCCATGAAGAACAGAGATGTTGGGGTTGGGAGTCAGTTTGGATTCTTTGTGGCGCTGCACCATGTCGGCAATCTTCTCCAGATTCCTGGTGTCCTTGGGAAAGCAGCTCTCGATGAAGCTGCTCTTTCCCACGTTGGTCTTACCGACCACCCAGATTCCACCTCCGTGCTCCCTGATTTCCTTCTTGACGTTCTTGGTCCACCAGCCCCGATGAGCACTGATTAGATATACGTTGCCCAAGCGGTAATCTGCGGCCTGGTGCTTGAGAGTATCACGAAGAACCGACTGGAAAAACTTCATTTTGGAGTCCGCTTGCTCCTTCGTAGGCGCAAGAAGATCCGCGCGAGTGATGATGAAGCTGATGGTCGGCATTTTGACTCCTTGCTTATACCTGTAAGACGCCGAGCGCCGGTTCTTCGTGCGCTGATTGAAAATACCGAGCTCTTGGTAGATATATCTGACAAGAGACATGGGGAAATCTGCCGCATCGACGACATGGTAGATGCGGTTATGGGTGTAAGGCGACTCATCGAGGTATGCACGGATGGCGCTCATACTTGGCGCAATGACAGGCATGGCCTTGTTGTGATGCAACAGATCGTGGCATCTGTCGCATATTTGTACCGGGGCTGTCGCAGATTTGAGGTAATTGCTAGCAGTGGCTATGGCTCTTCCTACCGCAGCTATGTTCCAGTTAGTACCAACGGTTGCGCGCTATAAGAAAGAAATCAAGGAGGACTATCGCACCTGGCTCGCGACGGGGTTTCCCCTTCTCTTCTATCAGCTCAAGATGCTGCCGAATCTCCGTTGCGGCTGTCTCCGCGTCATTTTTCAAATCAAGACCAACACCTTCTTCTGACTCCTCATTTAGACGTTCAGCCAATTGCTGCGTTTCAGCCATCCGCTTCCGCGTCTGCTTCTTGGTTGTATCGTAGAAGCCGGGCTCGAGGGGCTCGACGGTTTGCGCAAATGCACCACATCCGGGGCAACACAGAGGGAGGGGGAGCGCATCGAGAGGGAGAGCATCTGCCACAAGATCGGGCTGTTCGGGAGAATCGGTATCTGCAGAATATTCGGGTGGTTCGGGAGACTCAGGATCCGCAAGAATTGAGATTTGTTCAGGAGCGCTGACACGTAACGGACGATTCGTGGAGAAGGAGCGTAGCAGTATTCTGTGGTTCAAGCCATCTAGACTTCGGACGGGGAGGACCTCCGGCTGCGAAAAGACAGCTGCTCGCGTGCACGGCCTGGAGAGCTGTAAGGACTGGCGCGGAAGGCGTGAGGAAAGTCGATTTAATGTAGGACCCCTTGGGATCACGCGCCCGAGGTATGGCGACATGATGGAGTCCGTAGACTGTAGCAGCCTTGGGCGGAGAAATTGAATGGGAGGGAAGAATTGATGGATGGAGAGCGGCGATTGATAGTGACGGCGGCGGAGGTCCGCTTCGACGCCCCGGAAAAAGTTCGCGGTGGCAAAACAGCCGGACAACAATGGCCAGTATGACTGTCAAAACCAGAGAAGATATAAACATTTATTTATCTTGAGGTGGTAGTAGGAAGGGTCATTATGTATTTCAAACAAAACTGTACGCTAATACTAAAGCTGAAAACTCCCGCGATCCGCAGACCCTGCATGTAAATGACCGAACGACTGAAGAGCATGAAAGAACCCGAAGGATGCATGAACCATACTCCGTAAACGCATAAACAACACAACCTTAACATGGCTCACGCCCTTGCCTTCCCTTTGCCCTTGGTATCATCGGCCGACTCATCCTCCTCCTCATCAGAATCGCTCATGAATTCATCATCTTCATCGAACCCAACATACCGCCTGGGCGCAACACTGCGAGCCGGTTGCGACGGGCCCGGCGCATCCTCCATCTCCTGCTCATCATCGCTTTCCTCCGAGGCAGACGCAGACGGAGTGTCTTGGCCACTACCTTCACTGGCACTCGTACTCGACCCACCCAAGATAGTCTCGTGCAGGTTATCCGTCCACATACCATCCTTCATGGCCATGAGGACCGCCTCTCTCGCCTTCTCGTTCATCTCCTCCTTATCCTCCATCCACTGCCCATCGATCTTCTGCTTCCCGCCGCCGTTCTTCAGCTCTTCCTGGCGCTTCTCCGCCGCATCAACGACAGCCTGCCACCTGCGCCGGCGCTCCTCTTTCTCCTTCTTGTCCATCTCCGGCTTGAGCGCAAGGTACTCGGCCAGCGCCTTGGCTTCGTTGACGGTGCGAAGACGCCGCCCATCGAGATTGCGGCTGGAGCCGTTGTCGTCGCCTTGGTTGCGCTTGCGCTTACTGGACATGCGGCCACCGGCGGCACGAAGCTGGGATCCGAAACCACCCTTTCCACCGCATAGTGGGGCGCTGAGGCGGAGGGGGAGGATTGAGGTGGGCGCGGAGTCGCCGGCGAGGTAGGATAGGAGAAGTTCGGGTGAGGGGAGGAGTTGTTTGTTGTTGGTGGTGGTCAGGACGAGGGAATCCAACGACACAGAGGAGGGGAGGAATGAGGTGACCTTTTCCGTGAGCTCAGAGATGCTCGACGAGGACGGAAGCGAGAATGAGACTGTCGGGGGTAGCGACAGACCCGGGAAGGACGACAGGAGGATGTTGACGTTCTGGGGCGCCATTTTGATGGTGATGGCTAGTGGCAACTTGAAATAGGACTGGGATGGAATGGGAGATAGGCCGGTGTTTAGTAGAGGATATGTAGCACCGTCGCACCGCAACTGTGTCGCTCGTTGAAGGTGGAGTTGAGGACTGCAGAACAAGAGACGCGATGCGGAGAGTTCCCGATAAGCCACCGCTGACTAAAGAAGCTGACTAAGACACAAGGAGGACTCATGCCTTAGGCTGAAACAGCTCAACTTTCCACGTGACTGCGCTTATCAGGCTAGCGGGCCGATTAGGGCCGCAACCCTGCAAGCGTATCCCGATCGGGAATCCGCGCACTTTTTCCCTCGACGGCCGCCGCTCCACTCATATATCTACATTTAAACCACTCTCTTCGCGCGTTGTCAAGGCGATTCCCCGAAGAGCGCTAGGAACTCGCGACAATGTAAGTTGACGCCCCTAATATTAGCCATTGGGCTTCAATATGATGATAACGATATGATGTGATGTGATAACTAACCTCTCCGCCTTCAGGCTTATCCCCAAGGAAGACCGCAAGAAGATCCACGAGTACCTCTTTCGCGGTATGTGAAGCTGCGCCCGCCGGCCGGCATCCGGTCGAGATATGCGCATATGAAGGAGGAATATTTGTCGCTGACGGTTTTACTTAAACAGAGGGTGTGCTCGTGGCCAAGAAGGACTTCAACCTTCCCAAGCATGGCGACATTGACACCAAGAACCTCTACGTGATCAAGGCCCTCCAGTCCCTGAACTCCCGCGGCTTCGTCAAGACCCAGTTCTCGTGGCAGTACTACTACTACACCCTCACCCCCGAGGTATGTTGCTTTGGCTATGTTCCAATTCGGAAGAATAAAGGACAGCTGGTCTAACTGAAATTTTAACAGGGTCTGGACTACCTCCGTGAGTGGCTCCACCTCCCCGCCGAGGTTGTCCCCGCCACCCACATCAAGCAGCAGCGTTCCCACGCTCCCCCTCGTGGTATGATGGGTGGTGAGGAGCGTGAGCGTCGTCCTCGTGCTCCTCGTGAGGGTGGCTACCGCCGCCGTGAGGACAACAAGGAGGGTGGTGCCCCCGGCGAGTTCGCCCCCAGCTTCCGTGGTGGATTCGGCCGTGGCCGTGGTGCTCCCTCTTCTTAAGAGTGTCGCCTGCTGGTCTTCCAAGGGTCTGATGGGATCGTTGCCGGTGCGGCTTGAGTAGGCTTTTCTTTGAAAGAAGTCAGAAATTGCCGTGCTGCTGCACATCCTTAAAAAGAAGTTTATGCCTTCTGCTGTCTCGATGTCACGAAATAGTTAGGATTAATGGCATGATTTCATGATACCAATTTTGGATTTGTAGTTTTCGTAATAGTGTAGCTAAGCTAACTGGGTAAATACATAGCCTGTATTATCGGCCATATGTTCCAGTGCTTTTCTGGCCCAGCTCCTGTACAGGGCTAGATACAGCAGAGCGCACGTACCACTGCCAGATTTATTTGGAGAACCTCTGTCGATCATAGCGGATCACGGCTTGCAGGATGACCGATGCACCTGTGGCGCAATCATCCGCAGAGCAGAATTCCTCCGGATGATGGCTCAACCCATCTTTGCACGGGACAAAGATCATACTGGTTGGGACTCTTTTAGAAGTGAACACACTGTCGTGTCCCGCACCACTCATGATCGTCCGAATAAGTGACTTGGGCTCTACAGCATTGCTGTCCGCGACAACGGCTTCCGCAGATTGTTGCACGCAGTTAATGCAGTCGGGGTGAAACTTCACAGCCGGTGAATCGAAGTCGAGAGTCCACTCCACGCGGCAGGGCTTGCCAATGCCCTTGCCCTCTTCTGCAGCAATCGAGTCGAAATCCTTTCTCAATTCCTGTTCCACAACCTCGACCAACTCACTTTCCGGTCCCCGGATGTCGAGACTGAAGCTGACGAGACCAGGAACCGTGTTCACGCTACCGGGCTTCGCTTCCACAATTCCAACGCTGGCCAGACAGCCGTGGGAGGAGGCTACCTCGCGTGCACGCACCATCATACGAGCGAAAGCATATAGCGCATCTGCGCGGTGCTCGAACGCAGTCGTACCTGTGTGGGTATCCCTGCCGATGATGTTCAGGCGAAACCAGCGGTATGCCTGGACCGCAGTAACAACACCGACATGCTGGCCCGCGGAAACGAGGTGAGGGCCCTGCTCGATATGCAGCTCGAAGTGGGCTGCCATTGGCGTTTGCTTGTAGGAGCATGGGGTAGTTCCCAAGTAGCTGATCTTCTCCAGTGCGGACTTGATGGATTCTGGGGCGGAAGACGCCGTAGGGAGAGAAGCGACAGTTGGGACCTCCTTGAGCTCATGTGCCTTGGAAAGGGGAATGCATTCCGCCCAGACTCCGGAGGACACCATGCTGATGGGAAATCTGGCACCCTCTTCGCTATGGAATTGTTAGTGATGCAAGATCGAGGGTGGGTATAGCTACCGCGGCCTTACTTTGTCCAATTTACAACTCCCACACCACCCTCAGTCTCCAGCCCCATCTCATCCAACACTTTCAGTGTTTCGATACCGGAGAGTACGCCCAGGATCCCGTCATATCTACCACCCGTCGGCTGAGTATCTAGGTGGCTGCCAATGAAGGTGGCTGGTACATCGGTCCGTCGTCCAGGACGAACAGCGAAGATGTTTCCCATCTCATCCACCGTGATTTCACATTTCAATGCCTTCGTTGTTTCAATGAACCAGTCCCGCACTTGCTTGTCCTCTTGTGATAGCGCCAGGCGCTGCATACCGGTGTCTGTGGACCCGCTAGATGATGATCAGTCTAATTCTCGTCGAGGGCTGTGGCAATTGAAAGAGGGATGTTCTCTGTCCTATACAGAGCTTTTCGCACTAGCAACGTGAACGCATAGGGTGCGACATGAAACTTACTCTCCCCAGCGAATCCCAAACCCCCATTGACAGCTGAGATGAAGGTCCTTCGCAAGACGCTCTTTATTGGCCCTGAGAGCCGAGACCTCAGCCTCCGTCAACTCCGTAGACAACATGGCCCGATTATGAGAGACTTGGAAGGCTCGACGAGAAGATGCAAAACCGGTCCGCACGAAATGGGATATTGCCTGGTTGACAAGTAGGCCAGCGACTCTAGCAGCTGAAGAGCCCAAATATGAAGCACAAGACATCCTGGCCGTCGATGGCGCCGACTGGGGCTATATCTACTTCGAGGGCATCGGAGACCCCTCCCGATAAGCGTAGGATGATAAGATAGGCCAGTGGGGTCAGCTGCGGCCTCGGGAATGCCACCGAATCAGGGCGGAACGGACTTGTGTCCGTCTGGCGATACGATCGCTTGGCTGTGCTCCATCTCCTCGGGTCGGCTAGGCTGTTGGAGTAGGGATAAGGAGTGGAAGCTTCTCGGCGAGGGAGGGAGGGTGTCTTAGTGAGGGGCACGGAGCTGTCCGTACCGCGGCGGCATCCGCGGAGACCGCTGGAGGCTTTAGCAATTGCAACATCCGATTGAATAAAGAGATCGATTTCACTCGGTGGCGTAAGGCTAAAGGGATAGTTTAAGCTGTAACTGAAGTAGCACAAGTCTGGCGCAAATGGCAGGCTGTCTATTGGTTATAGAAGGTCAAATGTAGGGACGGACTCCTTCCAAAGCGTGTGTCGGCTGTGGGCATTGGCAATTGCAGCCTTATTTATGCACACGGCCGTGGCAATAAAACGAACGCACCAGTGCCCTCCAAACAAACAACTAATCGGTGTAAAAAGGAAATTCAAAAAGGATCACCAGACAGACCCATCCTACGCGATACCACCTGAGCAAAAAGAAAAACAATAAAATCGACGGCTATGTCGATGGATAAGTCCAAAGATTGAGAAGAGGAGTCTTTTGGGCAAGCCACGGCCATCTCTGGTAAAAGGCAAGAAATGGGTTCTGAGCTAGCTTGTCCCACTCCTCCCAGACTGGCCCTTATTGTGCTACTTAACCCGCCTTTTTGTACGCTCTACAGCCGCGGTTCGAATCCCCGACGGCGCGATCTTTTCTTTCCCTTTCTTTTCCTTCCCCTCGCCAGTAGTAACAATTGTCCGTCGCGTTCCGCCTCAACCCCGCATTCGGTCATGGCTGTCGCCCTTCTTCTGCCTTGAGCATCACATATCTTCCTTCGTACTTTCGATCCCCCAGCTTTCGTATCCATCACACGCAACCCCAACTTCTACAAAATGTCGTCGTCCGCTGCTTGCATCTTCTGCAAAATCATCAAGGGTAAGTAGGATAAACAACCTGCGTTCCCTCTGACAATCAGGTCTCTCCAATTTCGCCCGCGAACCTGTCTGTTGTGTCTATGGTGGCTCCCTAGCTAATCCCGCCCGCCGTAAAAACCACCAGGTGATATCCCTTCCTTCAAGCTCTTCGAGAGCGACAAGGTCTTCGCCTTCCTTGATATCCAGCCTCTGAGCCGTGGACATGCGGTGAGTGTTGCCCTGCCCTGCCCTGCCCTGCCCTTGCTTGTGAACTTTTCTATGTTCATCCCTGTCTCTGGTCACCCATCCCCGCACCAGTCGACGGGACCCTTGAGATGAGCATCAATGAAATGTCTAATAAGCAATCCTTTACTGCACCTCCTCCCCCATTCCTATCCAAATGCATACGTTCCCTCAAAAAGATAAAACAAATGAATAACGCAAGATTGAACTAACAAACCCCAGCTCGTGATCCCCAAATTCCACGGTGCAAAGCTCACCGACATCCCCGACGAAGATCTGCACGAAATCCTGGTACGTAGCAGCACCACTCCCGAACCCGGGGAGGCGGCACAGGGCTACTTTATATCACCCCCAGACTGAGGACCCTGCGAGATGCTCCCCCCGCAACGAGGCACTAAACTAACAATCGAAACCAGCCCGTCGCGAAGAAAATCGCCAAGATCAGCGGCGCCGAGGACTTCAACATCCTGCAGAACAACGGCCGCATAGCGCACCAGGTTGTCGATCATGTAAGAAACTCCCACCCATTACTTACAAACCCGTTCACCCATTCCCCTATTGAGGAGGGATATCTGGCTAATGCGGAGCTTCTGCTGTTTTTTTTTTTTTTGTTGCTACTAGGTTCACTTCCACATGGTACGTTACCCCTTCGCGTTGTCTCCCTCTCCCTCTCCCTCTCTTCTTATGACATGACTATGGCTATGGCTATGGCTATGATGTCAAGGATGCTGTAGGCTGTAGGTTGTGGAGTGCTAACGAATGTCAACGAAACAGATCCCCAAGCCTAACAAGGCCGAAGGTCTCGGTATCGAGTGGCCGGCCCAGGATACCGATATGGATAAGCTGAAGGCTTTGTACGAGGATCTTAAGTCGAAGATGTAATTGTAGGTAGTACGGATTAATGTCTATAGTACCATGACTTTGTGTACTCCGAATTGAAATTTGTGTGTATGTGTGTGCTTGGAGGAGGGTTGTAGGAAGTGCTGTAGCTGTTTTGATTGATGTTTCCTATGTAAATATCTAAAATGTTCCCTCGGATTGTCAATTCCCTACCTACCCTTGAGCTGCTTTACACCGGTCAAAGTGCTGGCCTGTATCTCATCTCATGTCACGCAGGGTCAGCCAAGCTGGCAGCAGTGCATGCCCAAGTACAATCAAGCCCACAACCGTATATTCCAGTCTAACGGCCTATAAAAAAAAAGGAAACAATCCATGCCCATCTAGACAAGAAGCTATTTACATGCCACAGTGCAATCCTATTATGACACACCAAACCTCTATCAACAACACTCTCTAACACGCTATATAACATCATGGGCAGGGCAGATCATTCCGCCTTCTCATCGCTGAGCGCGTTTCCTTCGACCTTGCTCGCGGTGGGATAGAACTCGATCTTACCTCCTCCTTGGATGACATCCAGTCTGTCGTACAAGGAGGTGGCTCGGACGTAGGGGTCAAGCTCCCAGTACTGGACTCTCAAGCGCTCGATGAGCTCATTTCTCTTGTTCACTACGGCCTTGATGGCCCCGTCGTCTTTCTTCATGGCGGAAGAGATCCACTCGATGGTGAGGCCCTGGATCTCTTCAGAGAGCTGCCGCCGTTCAGCCAGCAGTTCGTCTCGCTTGGCTGTATCCTCCATGGGCTTGTTCTCATCGGGCTGCGCCTCGATGTATTTGTAAGCCCAGTTCTCGTCACCGTCCAGTTCTTTCATGATGCGGTCTTTGGGAATGAACTTCTCCAGGTCCTGGACGTTCTTGGTAAACTGGATCTTGGAGGCGACGACAGGGTCAAGCCAGCCCTTGATGATATTCCATATTCCTATCGTCGCGTTAGAGCACGGTCGTCATGATTGGATGGAGGATGCAAACCTGAGAAGATCCAAGGGGCCTTGTGGATAAGAACAACTCCCAGGCATTCCGGGTAGTTGGCTTCGAAGCATTTGATCATGTACTTGACGGGGTGGTAGTCCTATGCCGGGTTAGAAAGAATAACTTGCGGGAGACCACAGTGCACATACCATGTTTGCCAGAGAGAAGTCGGTCATATCAAAAACAATACACTGTGTACGGTCAGAACATCTCCTGTGTCAACCGGCGTGAATACTCACGGCTGTTTCGACCGGAGGTGCAAGCATCATCCGGGCCGACTCGATGGTATACACGGTGAACCTATCCAAGGCTTCCGCGTCCTGATCGGCCGTGCGATGCAGGCGCACTCTGACGACGCAAATCGGGCGGCCGAGTTTGTCAACGCCATGGAGGAAACTCTTGCCCTGGCGCATTTGGAACAAGAAGTCCTCACCCAGCTTCTTCTCAGCCGGGTCAGAGCTCTTGGTTTGGTTCAGAGCATGCAGTTCGCCATTCTTCATGATATCTTCATCCAACTTCACATCCAACAGTCTCCAGCGAAGCGTGGAGATAAACATGACAAGGGCTTTCTTGACGTCCCATTTACGCGCCCGCAGGAAACGGAGAAGCAAAGAATCGGGGTTGTCGTGCTTGACCATCTCCCAAAGCGTGAGGCGGATCTCCTCGGGCTTCATATCCACGAGAGCCTGCTGGAACTCCTTCGACTGTCCATACTTGTCATCTCCGTCGGCGATGTTGATGGAAGCCAGGCTGGACGTGACCCCATTGCTCGTCTTATCACTCGCGGTGTCTTCCTCCTCGCCATCGTTGCTTCGGAACAGGCCAAACCTGCGCTTTGACTTCTTCTTTTCCTTCTCCTGCGATGTACTTGAAGGGGTTTCGCTGCCGCTCTGCTGCTGCTCAATTGCATCCAGATTGACACCGCAGACCTTCAGCAGAAGGACCCAGAACTCTTGTAGCTTGGCTTCCTGCTCCGCTGTGAGGTTCCCGACGGTTCCGGGCGGTAGATCCATCGGCATTGTCTTAAGGGTTTCGATCACACCAAGAAACGGTTCGTCTAGATTTTTCTGAAGTTCGGGGGGGATAGAAGCCGGGAGGGGCTCGTCGCCGTGGTTGTAGAATTTATTTTGGAGCCAGGATCCTGCACCGAGGAGGATGAGGGTGACTGTGATCGTCCAGAACGATGCAGCCTGACTCGGTTCGCGACGATGTGACGGCGAAGTGGAGAATGGCCGTGTGATCGGACGAGACTTAATCAAAGGGGTATAATTAGAGGAGCACCGTAGGGAGATCTGTGCACGTCCAGGATGGAACAGTCTTTGCGACGCAAATTGGATCGCGTTGGCCGAGGAAGGAAAGAGGCGGCGGCGCAGGAATGGACCAGCCTGCATGTGCTTGTTCCCGAGGGCCAAAAGGCGACCGGAGACTGACGACTCGGATGTTCAGGGCAGGTCCTCCTGTGCGAGATATCTCGATCCGCGACTCGCTGAGCGAAAAGCCACAGGCAAGAAATGAAAGCCGGGGGGAGGGGAGGGGAGGATGCGGGGAAGGCAAGCGAGAGAAGGAGGCGAAGGGAGGAGGGCGAGCGGAACGAGGCGGCCGGTGAGAACCTTAAGGGTCCAGGGTTCATACAAAGACGGGCACTTGGGGAGGTTCGCAGCTAGCGGATGATGCTATCGGATTCCGATTCAGTGCACTGGTGCAGGTTTCAGCGCCCCGTAATAAGAATGGATCAGAACGGTTCCCAGGCGCTCCCACCAGGGGTCTTGCGTAGTGTCTCGTCCGAACCTAATTATAGGTCGAGTAGCACCAGAACTAAGAAGGACTGCCAGGCCCAATGCGGCAAGTGGGCAACCACCATCGCAGCCTGAGGCATACAGGCCGTGAGAGGGTCCAGTGATCAGGACTTGCCCGAAGCGGGGAGCAACAACAACAACAACAACAACAGACACTTGCCGTCCCCAACGCTGCAATTCATCCAACCAGGCTGAAACAAGTGGCGTCGCTCATATCACTGACAGATTTCCTCTTACGCCCTCCGCCCGTTTGACCCCCCGGAAATTCCTACGGCCCATAGTCTAGGCATCGTCGTCATGGATGCGTTTTCCCACTCAGCGTCTCGCCCACGGCCCTCGTCGAGACCTACAACCCCCCTGAGACCCGGTTCTCGATCGTCGCTTCGTGAAGCGCATGGCTATGGACACAGCATTCGCAATGCAGGCTACACGCAGCCAGCCATCAATGCGCTGGAGCCTCAGTTTGCGGAACTCGCGGACTCCATGGCGGATCTCGAGGCCAACTTCATGCACCTCCAGTTGATGCACGAGAGTCTGACGCGGTTCAGCGAGAGTTTCGCCAGTTTTCTGTATGGCCTGAACATGAACGCTTTCTGTGTGGACTTTCCCGAGGTATTGTGGCCCAAGACCTTTCTGTTTCCACGCATAATGCTCACTGAGGGTGCAGGCTCCTATCCCCGAATCGTTTCGAAGGGCAAAGCAGGCGGAGACGCAAGATGGTAGGCCTGATCCACTGTGACAAACCTTTGAAATATTAATTTTTCTTTACAGACGTCGAAGCGGAGCAGCTGAGACCGAACGACGTCGAAACAACATTCATGTGAGTTTGGCTACGTATGGTCATGTTCTGTCTCTGACGAAATCGTGTGCCTAGGACTACGGATACGTCGTTTGTCGAGAACCCCCCGAGCACTATTTCGACCAAGCCTACGACGAGGGTCCCGGCTTCGTCTCGTGGAACCAAAAGAGGAACAACGCGCGGTTCGACGAGGGGTCGCTATACGACCAGAGGCACGAGTCGTGGGGCGCGCCCAAGCGCATTGCCTCGAGGCAGAGGAATCCGGTGAAGGAAGGGACAAACATCATAAAGTGTATTACAGGAGGCAGGCAGTCGGGTATGCAGAGCCCACGAGGCCCGGAGGCTTGGGCGTAGGGAACGGTCGGCAATCAGCAACCCGCCGAAAGGCCTTGCAGTCTACCGTGCGCTCCGGGGACTCGACGAGGAATCGCTTCCGGATCGGACGCCGACAGATGCTGCAGTTCGTGACACAAAGTCTGCCAAGCACTTGATCGATCCCGCGACTCGTGTCCTGTGCGATGGAACATCTGGCTAGTGTCGGGTTGTCGATCGGATTTGCGATAGGCTGGGAGATTGTTTCGCTCCTGAGGCGATTAAGTTTCCTAGCTCTCATGAAACAGCCTCCACGAAGTATGATAGTGTTGTGTATGAATGATAAAGAGCGATCCCGATGGATATGTCGGGTTCTGGTGGGCTTGCGGCCCAAATAAGCCTTTTACGCCATTAGGCCTTGTAGGACTATCGCCCGTCTCCAGAGTGACCCACCCTGGGGTAGTAGTAGAGAATTGCCTAGCAGGAGGGTGGATAAGAGACCAGCAGGTCCCATCCAGATCCAATCTAATCCAGATCGAGATCCAGCATGCGTGGAGAGCCCAGCGGCTGTGCGTCCGGGAAGGGAAGGCGCGGCGGCGGGCGTCGCAGTGACGAGATGGGAAATCGGATCAAATGCAGTCCCGGTTGCTTTATCGCCCGGAGCCGCGGTCGTCCCTTGCCAAAAAAAAATTCATGCGGACTCGTGGTCTTGCGCCTGCTACGTCTTCTCTCCAGGGCAGTCTGTCATCGTGGACTTGGTCATTGACTGCATCCATTGCTCCCATCCAGGGACATTTCCTTCCGACTCCAGACGAACTCCGATCCCGACTGCGGAACAGCCGGTGGCTGCGGAGAAACACTGAACTGCTGCTCCATCCTCCCCGTTCACCCCATTCAACCCCCTCTCCCCCGGGCTTGCTATAGGGCCCGTCTATTGAAGGTGCTTCTTCCTTGCCTCCTCCCTTCCTCCCCTCCTCCCCTCTGCCTCTTCACAGGCCCCGCATGCCTTGCCCATAATACAATGCTGATCTGATTGAAATGCGCACAGTCCTCTCGGGTGTGACAATCCATGGATTCTCTCTTTCTCTGCAGTTGACCTGCTGAACACGTCTACCCCCGCCTCTCCCCCCTGGTCTATGAGAGAGGACCGCTGGAGTCCTGAACATCCTCTTTGGTCTGATATACCAGACCCTCACCTCTCGGTCGGCTGTGCCAGATAGGCGTCGAGTGCGACCCTCAAGCCTCATCTCCGCTTACCCGTCCCCACTATACCGTCGGAATGGCCAGTGTCCTCTCCATATCGTTACTCTCCGAGGCCGAGTTTGGCTGCGGTATGTATAGATCATGCGCATCGCGCCTCATGCCATTCCGTCTCATCGCTGACCCGCTATAAGAGCATCTTGGCGCGCTGCTGAAGCAGGATGGGGGCACTGCGGAGCAGTTCAAGAGTGCTTTCATCAAGACCCATAACGCCCTGGGGGCCTTCCCGAAATCCACGGAAACCGCGAAGAATGGTCGCCTCAGGGCTAAGGGCTTCTTGAAGCCTAAATACACCTGCCTGACATGTTCCGAGACAATGGCACTGGGAGATCGGAAAGCTCATTCCGAGAAGACGGACCATCAGTTCTGTAAGAGATCGTCTTTTGCGCCGAAGAGCGCTGGCTAACCCTCTGCCAGTCATGGACTCCAGAGCCCGAACGCTGTACTGTCACTTGTGTGATGATTTTGTCTACGACCATCACCTAGAACGATTGCGGTGTTCGACGGCGGAAAGTGCGCTGGAAGGTTAGCGACTGATCTCATTTCCGCTTTCTGTCGCAGCTAACAGGGAGAAGTTGCCAAGAAACGTCGCTTTAGCGATAGCTCCGCCGACGAGCTTTATATACGAAGCAATGCCACCAAACGTCCTTGTGCGAAACAAGGTGTTAGGGGCTTGTTCAACCTGGGGCAAACATGCTATCTCAATGTCATTCTCCAGACACTTCTACATGACCCTATACTCAACACATACTTCCTTGGGAGCGGCCATCAGCCTCATGACTGCACTGCCCCCGACTGTATAGGGTGCGCCGTTGCGGAGGCTTTTGCCGACTTCAATAGCAGCGACAGGCCGGAAGGGTTCGCGGCCTTGAACCTCCTTCTAGCTTCATGGCGCTCAAGTCCTGTATGACATCTCACCTTCTATCCGTCAGTCAATACTAATGCGCATTTCAGGCCTTGGCGGGCTACCAACAACAAGATGCCCATGAATATTACCAATTTCTCGTCGACAAGCTCCACAGTAGCGCCGAGGGGCACCGGGAGGGCCATGAGAAAGGTTGCCCCTGTTTCTTCCATAAAACCTTTTACGGCAAGCTTCGCAGCAGCGTGACCTGCGACAAGTGCGGCAATGTCACGCGAACGGATGACCCGATGGTAGACCTCAGTCTCGACGTTCAGGTGCAGGCGAAAAAGCGAGCCATGGGCGGCATCGGGGCCTCGTCGACGCCCACCCTCCGCGGGTGCTTGGAGAGTTTCACATCACCGGAGAAGTTGATGGCGGGAGTGTACAGCTGCAGTCACTGCGGAGGGGCGGCTCAGAAGGCGACCAAGCAGCTGCGCATCCGCAAACTGCCTGCTATTCTATGTATGCAGTTGAAGGTACGGGCCGCAATGCTATCCTGTGCATACATGAACCTGAACTAACTCGGACAGCGTTTCGAACACACATTTTCCGTCTCTGAGAAACTGGAAGGCAAAATCGACTTTCCGCTTTCGATCAACATGCTGCCTTACACGACTCGTCCCCATGCCAAAGTCGACAGAACCAGGTTCATGTATGACCTCTCATCTGCCGTGGTCCACAAGGGCAAATTAGACGCGGGGCATTACTATGTGTATTGCCGCCAGGGCGACGAGGTACGTCTCAAACTTCTTTTCCGGCTCTCCAGTACTGACCTCAACACCATCAGTGGGTACTCTTCAACGACGACCAGGTCACGCCGGTCACCGAGGCAGACGTCCTCAACGCCGACGCTTACCTTCTGTTCTACAATCTTCGATCTCTCGCTTCTGCGCCGCAGTAGAAACGGTGCAGATCCAACTATTGTTTATCAACCATTCCATCCATCGGGCGGCTTTCCTCGCATTATTTTATTTCAGCGACCCGGAGTTTCGTCAGGAGTTCAGTCATTGACCTGATTTTGATTTTTCGCATACCCATCTGGAGTGGTTAACTCGGAGATGATAGCATCTCAAGTGATTCCAAACGTTTTGTTGCTTTGTTTTCTTTCTCGGTAAACGTTGGGGTAGGATGGTGTTGCTCGCTGGAGATACAGTGGCTTAGACGGTGGCAGTTTATCAGTGGCTTCTGCTCCGTTAGATACTTATGAATGCTGTTTGATGTCTCGATATTTCCTTTCTATAATTTGGGGGTCACACCAGGCTGAAGTGCAATACGAGAGACAGTATGGAGTAAACTACGCAAGGGCTATCTATGCCTTGACCAGCCTGCACAGAGAAAACAGTACAAGGTGAGTGCCAGACAGACATCCATCCCGGCTGAAAGACCAGAAGGCAGCCATCACATGTAACACCAGAGCAGCATCGCCCCGTACCCCAGCCTGACAGCCTCACCATCAATCAGGACTAATATAATAAATACCCCAGAGAGCACAGTCCATCCAGCCAGACAAGAAAGCGGGAATCCCTCAATCCCACCCCTACCTCTACACTCTCAGTCTCCAGAGGATGATCACCCTGATCAATCAAGAAAAGATGAAAAAAGGGAAAGAAAGTTGCCCATCCCCACAATAGTTACTGCAAGCAAGATAAGATCATCGTCGACAAAAGAAATCATTAATTGAATTGACGCCACCACCTAACCTATCCCTAATTCTAAGAGAATAGAATAGAATAGAAAAAAGTAAGCCACGTCAAAAAACAATTAAAACCGACCATCCCCATCCCGCGCAAACATATCCCTTTCATCAACCCAATAATTTTTCTCTTTTTTTTTTCTGTTGTATCGTTATCAACTCTTCTTTCCCCGAACCCCATTTACACACATCCCACACGGCTAGATAAAAAAAAAAGAAAAAAAGAGCAATCTCAGACGAGACGCATGGATCATTCGTTTTTCTTTGTCAAGGTTATCAAGTTGTCATTTTGGTCGGTTTTTTCTTCAACTAATATTTCCCCCATCCCCGCAGCATACACACACACACACACACACACACACACACACACACACACACACACACACACAAGCCCCCCCCAACATTGTTTGGTCCTTCTCTTTAAAAGAGGTTGATTGGATTGATTGTAGCCACTCGCGGGAAAAGGCGACAAGGGAGGACGTAGGTAGGTAGGTATGTATGCATGTATGTGGAGCGGTCAAAACCGAGCAACCGAGCGCCGAGTGCGTCTTTTCTTTTTAAACGAAGTTGTCGTGAAATAGGAAATGGGCATCGAGAGAAGTGATTGGTTTAACGGTACTGAAGAAGGTGGTGAAGGCGTTAGTTCTGCTGTTTGTTTCATATTTCTGGGTGGATGGGTGTGGATTTGTATTTGTGTGGGTGGTTTGTTGTGATATTGGCGTGTCCCATTTCCTCCTCCTTTGTTTCTCATCCATTCGAGGCGACGTATATGTGCAGGTGCAGGTGGGTAGTAAGATGGTAATGGTGGAGGAAACCAACCTTGTGGAAACCAATGTCCGAGGACTTCTCACGGAAGCACTGACGGCAGATGTTCATCTATTGAACCTGTTAGCCCAGCCCACGCATGATATTTCCCCCGGTTCAAGCCTTGATTCCAATCCCGAGGTCGCGAATCCAGGCAGAGCGATCAATATAGAAAAAGTGGTGTTCTCATACCCCATACTTGCGGATAAGACCGGCGCGGTGAGTGCAGACGCGGCTATATCAAACACAGATTCAAATCAGCATTCCATCCTTTTTCTTCTTTCTCCCGATTCCTTTGCTTCCGTATTCTTCTTCTTTGCCGTCTCTTCTTCAAATCGAATCGCAATTCCGGAATAATCAGATAGTAGTGTGTACGCACCAACCACGGGAACCCTTGCCGAACCTATATCATCGTAAAAAAAAAAAACCTCGTTAGCCTTCACATTCAAATCTTCAACATTTCACATTCTCCCGAACGGCGTATCCTTACTTGCGGGGACGGCTGAACCAGACGGACTCGTGAGTCATCTTGAATCTGAGGCGGCGAGAGAAACCTGGGGATGAGACGGGTTGTTTGACGGGCGGTTTGTCGTCGCTGGGCGTTGAAGGGTTGAACAGGATGGTTAGGGTTCGAAAATTATCCGTTGTGTGCTTTCCGGGTTCCGTGATGCGGGCTCGGACCATCTCGCTTGCGGGTGGGCACTAGACCTGTTTGGGATGAATGGGTCATGTGATGCGTGCCTTCGTGACTAAGGAGGGGGGAAAACCCGGGAAAGGGGTTGGGGCGGTGATCAGGGCGGTGGGTTCTTCCGGGCTGGTTCGGTGTATAACTAACTAGTTACTTGCTGGCTTGCTTACTGTATACATCGTTGTCTACACTCTACTGAGTGCTGCTGTTATGTGGTGATGCTTTGAGACTCACCGGATCTGTACACTCGAAGCTATCCTTGATTCTTTCTACCACGGAGTCTGTCTCGAGTATTCCAAGCAGAGGATAACTATCGACGATGATATCACCTCCCTCCTTCCCAGACGCGACGTTCAAACACATACTACTCGATGAGCGCAGTTGAAGTTGACCACCTACTCTGCACCATTTGTACCAGAGAAACTCTCACACTACACCCCCCATACCCCCATACCTATGGTTATGGTAACCCCAATCAAGCAAAAAGAACCAAGCACGAAGCACCTCGACCAACTAACCCCCTCGCCCCCTCCACTCCCCCCTCAGCCATCGCCGATCTCCCCTCTCGCTAGCCAATATCTCGACACAGATAAGTACTTACATACCTAGATGGTGGCATGACCACGCGACCAGCGGAAGGGACACCATCCTTGCAGGACGAGATTCGAACATGACACGCCCGGTGTCAGATCACAGATAACGGAGACAAATCGTGTACAGTGTTGGACTCGGGGTGGAAGTCGGGGTCGGGATGCAGAATTGGGATGGGGATTCGGTCACATGCTTCGTTGAGATGTGCACACATACATACTTATGTACATATGTGCAATGTACATAAGTACATGCCTACTGACAACCTCCGAGGTAAGTATGCAAGACCTACCTACATAGGTCCTAGGTATAGTTAGTAACCCCAGAGTCTGGACTTGTCGGTCCACAAGAAAGAAAAGAAAAATGCGGTTCTCCGCATATGTAGGTGCTCCGTAATCCATCCGTAAATGGCGCGATATGGAGTGCAGTAGTAACTCCCCTCCCCAGGACCCTTCGCTTTCTCTAGCCTGCTTGCTTCCTCTCCGGTACGGAACAAAATACTGTACCTGAGATCCTACCTAGTAGGTATGTACTAAAGTACGGATAGTCAGTCCTGTAACGCGGCAACGCCAGACCAAAGGCCAATAACGCCATGCAAGATGCAAGACTAGACCGCGGAGTAGATATGCCGTGGTACCTCCAGTATGGAGTACCCTGAGCTATCTATCTACTATATCTAGCAGAACGACAGCAGACAGACAGCAGACATAATTACTTGTATTCAGCCTTGTCGACTGACCTGGCCCGAATAACCCAGCCAGCGAGTCAGCCAGCCAGCCAGCCAGCCAGCCATCCCTCCCTCCCTCCCAAACACGTAACGATCATCCAGTACGGAGCAGATAGATAGAATGTGATTGTCTGGGCTAGGTCGACTGGCCAAGAAAGTCCTGCCAATGAACATCGCATCCAAGCCAATATAACCAGGTACTAGTCCAGGCACTGTACTATACAAAGTACAACGGACGGGATGCAACGAAGCGATTGGGTATCTAGTCGGATGATCTGGGAGCTCTTTGCCGACTGACCCAGAACTACTAGACAGGTACCTACTATACCTAGTAACTACCTATCTACCTACTTATGACTTATGTAGTACGGTAGGTAGCTTCCGACATTGTAGAACCCAACATCCGACATCCCGATGCGAAGGAAATTCGCTTCGAAGCCACTTGCGGGATCACCCGCTAGCCCCGGTGATTGATTGATTGATTGATCCCTTGGAGATGAGATGGATCATGACACGGCAAGTTGACCGCAAATTCCCAAGCAGGGTTTTTTTTTTTTTTTTTTTCTGCAGCCGTCTTACGGACCAGACCAGGATCTTTTGGTACGGATGTGCTGGGCCAGGTGATTGGATCAGAGGGGCCGGGGGGGGGGGGGGAAGGGTGGTTTGGGCGAGTTCGGAGATTGGCCTAGGTGAAGTGTTTTTTTTTTCCATGTGCCGGATTTCCGGCATCACCAACCATTTGGGGGGTTGGTTGGGTTGTGCTGTGGTACGTGTTTGCCATGTTCCCAACATACTTACCCATGTTGCTTGCTTACGGGGTACCTACCTAGTACATACATACTTCTTTTGGCACTGTGCACCAGTCAGTTGAAGATATGAGATATGATTTGGCCGGGCTGGGATCGAGGAAAGGTGTTTTGTTTCCCTCTCAAATGCTGAAAGGGACGGGAGCTACGGAGATCCATGTGGTGTGTGTACTCCGAGGGCGCGCCTATACTGCATCCAGAAAGCCGTACCTAAGGCTGTCAAGCAAAGATTTCTGCTTATAAATGCAACCACGGACGGCGCCCTCCGGCGGGTTTTGCTTACTCTACCAATATCAAAGATTTTCGCCAAGAGCACTACTGCTCGGAGCATAACCAGTGTTGAAGCGGAAATCCACATGGAGGGGAAAGTCTCCGGTCGAGTTTGAGAGCCCGGAATGATCAATCGTGGGACTGATTGGGCGATGCATTGGAGCTGGGGTCCACAGCTATACTGACTGGCCATACTGTGTAAAACTAGAACTAGACCGCAGGACAGTGGCCGGCAGGGGACGGATGGTTGGTAAGTAGAAAAGAAAAGTCCCAACCGCTGACGTATCACCGAAATGGCTGTGTGAACCCGAGTTGGACAAAATAATCAACCCATCCTAGAGTTTATGTACTGTGTAGACGGCCTGGCCCAGCCGAGTGAGCCGGATGTCCCGAATTCAAGGTCATGGGATTGGGTTGGATCTTATCAGCCAATTTTTATGGCGGGTCCGCCGGTTCGTTACTACTAGTTATGTGCTGCAGCCGGGACGATGACAGCACGGATGTCCAAGACGGCAACGATTGCTGCGCTGCGGGGTGGCCTTCACATTGAACTTCCCAGGACAGGCAAAATAATAGCCATGCTTGTTGAGAGATCGGATTGACCTACTATTTTTATCGTTCAACCCTGTAGTCAGTGGAAGGCCTTACATGAGTGGAATAGAGCTGCCTGTCAATAGACGATGAAATGACGTCAACGATCTGATCGCTTCAGATATCCGACCCGTCGCGCGGGCAGTCAAAGTGCGATGAGTCAAACTGTGGACTGTCATACGACGCACCACTAGGACTAGCTAGCGAGCGGTGGTGTGAAGGGAAAGGAAAAGGGTTAGGGCCAAAGTGGGAAAGTCAGAAGAAGAGGCTCGAGGAAAGCCGCCTGGAATGGATAAAAAGCCGTGCGAGAGATCTCCGAGAGCTCAGGGATGTGTGTCCAGTCCCGAGGTGCGTGTCCGTAAGGCGGGCATGTGTGGTTGACCGGGCAGTTCATACGGAAGGGCGCGGATGTTGGATTTTGCAAAATAAATCCTAAGTCCGTCTTGGTATTCCATCCAGTGACGCCAAGCCAGGATCGTCGGTTGGGTTGTCAGATGAGGAGGAAGCGGTTGGACCATCAGACTACTAACTAGATATGTCCCGATACACAGAGAAGATGGGCACAGACAGACAGGGCTGGGCAAAGCCCAACGTGCGAGGCCCGCTCGGTGGGGTTTGCTTCCGAGGCAGTTGATGGCTGCCACTAAGGCGGTAGAGATCGACGCTTGCTGGCGCTCCATCATTCCTTCCCTACAAAGACTCAAAGGGGCTCCCGCAACTGATGTTCAGGGCCGCATATAGAGTTTCTTTCTCTGCGATCCATCCCCCCAAGATCGATCGTCAGGTATAGACCCGTACTATCTAAATGGGGTCTTGTCCTACTATGTACACCATCTCGCCAGTAGTACCGACGTTTAGTGCGACAGCCTGCATAACAACGTCATGCTACACGGACATGCGCCAAGTAGGTGAGAGATCAGCCCACCTGAGCTTGGAGATGGATGAAGATAGATAAGCCGTGGGCCAGTTGGGTACATTCCGGCTGGGCCTGTCAGACAGGGCTGGGCCTTCAGAGTTCAGGCACCCCACGGCTGCTACACCCACCGCATGGAGGCAGAACTGAGATTCAAAAAATTAAGTGTAGTAAGACAGGCTTAAAAATAGAATGTGCGATCGACCTTGGCGAAGCGAAAGGTGTATGTGTGTGAGAGTCCCGGGGTGGTTTCGCCCTTGTATCGCAGACGGAGAAGGCTTTCCTCCTTCAATGCATCTGATATGAGGGATACCGGGATGCCAAGCTTCCATTCGACGAGACGTTCTGTTCATGTTCGCACCTATTGTCTCATCTTCCACCTCTGTAGCTTGGCGCTTTCGAATAAGTGCTCTTCACTTGGAACTATGGCATTCTGGTCACGACGCCTCCAACGACATGTCTCCGCAGCCCCCGCATATGCAAGGGGACGGTCACCCTGTTGATGTCGGCACCCGGTCAAGAAGTTTGGCAGACTCATGACCATCGACCATTCTACACTAGAAGACGAACATTCCTGCCGTATCACCGTATCACTCTCCCACGAGCTGGGATGGCCGCCGTGGCAGAAGTCCCCCACGGTCTCGACATACTACCGATGGTGTAAGCGTCGATGCGACTCCCATGCTAATTAATAATGGCACAGCAAATAATAAGTCAGTCCGTGGAGAGACGGGGTCCAAGATTTGACGGTATCAGCATCCCTGCATATGGACACTGCTTATTCATAATCGCACCCCGCGATCGAACGATGCCGCCTACACCGTAGTCTTCACGAAGAAGGTAGTATCCAGCGCCTTCTCCAGGGGATCCAGACCACTCACTGTCTGTCCGAGTTGGCCCTCTGATTTTGATGCTGCAGACTGCAATCCCAACGATTATTAATAAATCCGCGGAGGGGCCATTCAAGCGCAAGCCCAAAGAAAGCATGATCCCGATCCGGCCTGGAGTGGTCTGCTCTAGGCCAGCCGCTAACCGCCCGGTACCTTGGGATGAGGTCATTTCCCACGGAGCCGGCAGCGCGCCAGGACTTGGTCATGAAGTATCTTCCCGGTCGCTCCGGACTTCCGAGACCCAAGAATGGACTCGTTTTTCTGTGGTTTGAACAGGATTACATCAATGCATTAAGAGAAGAGACTGGGTCTCTCCTCTGGTTGGGGCTATCGTCTGGGCCTGCCTGGATCTTGCTCAGAGTCAGATTCATCATGAGTCAGAGTGACAGCAACAACTCTAACTCATGCGATGCTTGAAAGGAAGTTGTAGAGCTGACGGGCGGGATTGGCTGCCTGCCCAAGGGAACATCCGGCAAGCGTGGGAACCGAGAGAGGGGGGGGGAGTGAAAAAACGGAAAAAAAAATGAAATAAAATAAAAAAAAAGAGAGAGACAGAGAGAGAGCTCTAGAGAGACCAAAAAAAAAAATAATGAAGTATTAAGGTTCCAGACTCCAAGGGCGGTGACCAGGTCAATCACCAATAATCTTCTGCTGGCGAGAGATCATGAGGGAGTGGTACCAGCGTTTCCGACGGACGACAGACACCTCATGATGACGATGCTGCAAGGCTGAAGACTTTCAGTTATAACATGGTCATGGTCAGGTAAACGGCTGCCTACAACCGGCATGTTCGCGAGTGCAGTGCAAGAAACATCATCGGTTCCACCTGGAACGATCGACCTCTGGACAGCAGGACAGCAGACAGCACACTCACTTGACTGATACCTACGAGGTACACAGAGAGAGAGAGAGAAGTATCTAGATGACCGACTAGGGACGGTGTTCCCTGCTAGCGCGAGGGTGCGAGCCAAACTCCACTTTCGGCACACGGAGCTTTGGGAGCTCCACGGGCGTTGTTTCCACGGCCTCTCGGCCTTGTGGCATCCTATCCCCGCCTGCTCCGAGCGAAGGACGAGCAGCGACACGGCGCAAGGAAAAGTACTAGCCATGAGTAATGATTAAAAACTCTCGCGCGACCCTCTCACACCCCAGTCCTTTGCCCTTCTTTTCTTCCATTCCCTGGTTCATCCGTCGGCCGGTTCGGTTCCCTGGACTTCTTCAGCCACTCTTATACTTCTGCCCTCCCCGGCCCTCCCACGACGGTCAGCTTCCCAGACCTCTTCTACCTCAGCCCTACTCTCGACCGGCCAGACACTTTTTCGCCTGCCCTCCACGAGCTGGCTGCCGACCCATCCGCCACCCGGCTTTCCACAAACTCCCACCACCCTGAGCGGGCTAATTCTTGGGGCTTGAGTTGACCTGAACTCATAGCTCCAGTATACTTAATCTCCCTCTGTCGCATCCCCCCGCGCATAGTGGTTTTTGGCTTCTGCCCATCAGAGAAGCTCCCCGTCATGTGGCAGCGAGCTTCCCGGGCCGCGCTTGCGGCGGCTTTCCTCCTAGTCTCCATCGCGAACGCCCTTCCTCACGGAGATGACGACGCGATGGACATGGGAATGGACATGAGCATGGACTCGAGCAGCAGTGATACAACACAGGCAGCGCAAGCGGATGCAAATGCCGACGCGCCTCTGAGCTACTTCGCGTATGGGAAGCACAGCGGTGCAATTGTAGCCCACATCGGTTTGATGATTGTCGCCTGGTGCTTCACTTTGCCGACAGGTATGGTTTTTTGGTCTTGTTCTCACGCGCGGAGTTAAGACTAATGGTTGTAACCGCAGCGGTTATGTTCAGCATCGCGCATTCGCGCTTCGCGCTACCGTCGCAATTCCTCTTCTTGGTGCTCAACGCAGTGGGGTTGCTCATCGGAATCATCTATAACAGCCAGACCCCCGATCTGTATGAGAACAACGCTCACCACAAGATCGGTTGGATCGCGACCTGGGTCATGAGCGCGCAAGTCATCATGTCGTTGATCTTCGCCTATGCGGGTAGAGCCGAGACAGAATCGAGCTCCTATGAACAGGCAGCCTTTCTCCCGGTATCGACCGACGAGATGGCCGAAAGTCCCCAGTCATACCCAGCCGGGATCCGCCACTCATACCGTTGGTCGAGGGACAGCGGACAGGGCACCGAAAGAAACTCCTCGTCTCTTCACAGTCGCCCTGGCTCCCCGTCGTGCGGCTCTCCTTCGGATGAGTATGACGGTTTCGAGAAGCCTGAAGACTCTCTTCCCGAATCTTCGTCCAAACCACGCGGGTGCTTCCGCGTTCCCTTCGCCGACCGCTTCCTCGCCAGTCGTGTGCCTCGTATGGTCTCCGGCAGAGTCGTTCGAATTCTCTCGATCATCTACAATGTGATTGATCGGATCATACTGCCGTTTGGCTTTGTCGCCATCGCAACGGGTGGTGTCACTTACGGCGGTTTGATGGTAGGTCCCTGGTCTGTTCTTTCGGGTGCGACATTGACTGACTCGTGTCACAGAGAGGAAACGGAATCTTCAACGGCCTCGCGCACTTCATCAAAGGAGGAATCTTCTTCTGGTACGGCATCCTGACCCTGGGTCGCATGCTTGGCAGTTGGGCCGACCTTGGCTGGGCGTGGAACGTGAAGCCGTCCAGCACCATTGTCGGTGGCTGGAAGGCCAAGGTTCCCACCGGTGAATTCGTCGAATCGTTCGTGATCTTCCTGTATGGTATTACCAACGTCTTCCTGGAGCATCTCGCTGGCTGGGGTAGCGCATGGACTGCGACGGATCTCGAGCATGTGTCCATCTCGGTCATGTTTTTCGGCGGTGGCCTCTGCGGTATGCTGTTCGAGTCGAGGCGCGTCAAGGGCTGGCTGAACAGTACGGTCCTGCAATACCCTTCTCACATGGGTGCGCACAAGTCAACCGATACAGCTTGGCAGCTTCCCGACACCCAGGGCGTGTCGCTCAACCCCATGCCTGCGCTGATTATTCTTCTGCTGGGAACGATGATGAGTTCTCACCACCAGGACAGCATGGTCTCCACCATGGTGCACAAGCAATGGGGCAACATGCTTGTCGGCTTCGCGCTGGCCCGTGGAATGACGTATATTGTTATGTACCTCAAGCCTCCGACTTCCTACCTTCCATCTCGCCCCCCGACTGAGATTGTTGCTGCGTTCTGCCTGATGTCGGGTGGCTTGGTCTTCATGCTTAGCGTAAGTTTTATGGAGCCCCACAACGATCCGCGGGACCACCTGGCTAACTGTTCGTCCTAGACCCGGAGCGTGATCCAGGTTCTGGAATATTACGACCTCGACGCGATGTTTGTCTTCACAGTCACCATGGGGCTGACCGCCTTCATCATGGCCTGCGAGATCGTCGCCATCTCCATCAAGGCGTGGGCGGTGAAGCGGGAGTCTCGCCCTCGACTGCCGCCTTTCCAGTTCCCGGCATCGGCCTGAGCAAATCTGAACATCCACCTGACACCTGACGAACTTGATCATTTCCAGTACAGACAGGTCCTTTTCCCACACCAGGACCTAATGGCCCTTCCGGGGGAGGATCAAGTCCAATGAAGTGTGGAAGTGCATCCCAAAATCGAAAACAAAATGAAAGAAAGAAAAAAAGAAAAAAAAAAAAGAAAAAAAAAAACTTATCTGCTATTCACAGCATTATACCCCCTACAACAATGCCTTTCTTCGGCCTGGTGTCACAGCTCGGACATTCGGGTGACGAACATTATAATACGACCGACCACCATATATACCACGGCCCTGTCCCACGACTCTCTTGTTGTTTATCTGACGTGCCCCCGTGTTAATGACCATATCCCTGTTATGCAAAGATAATGAATGAGGAGGAGGTGATTGACGAGTACGAGTTTTCCGGATCTATGCAGCATGATGATGATGATGTAATTAGTTGACAATAGGATTCTGTTTGTCCATCTATCTGTCTATCTATTTATCTATCTATTTATCTACATTTGTCTTTTTGGCTTCGTTTACATCCAGTAGAACCGATAACTGTAGGTAGATACTTGATTCTCCACTTGGAATTCCCCAGCATTCATCGGACCTACGGAAGGGGAGGTGCGTTTCTGCTTGCAAATCCAATGCCGATCGCGGGGTTGGTCCGCCCCTGTTAAGTCCGGACGCCCGACAAAGCTTAGCCCTCTGAGAGCGAGCAGGCGAATAATCCCAGCCCGGCAGATCCTTGCCGGTCAGGCTGTCTCGGAGGACTGGAAGGACCCCACGACTCGCGAGGAATCAGAGACCACCACTACTCAACCCAATTGCTTACTGTGCTCCGTGCGTAGATAATCAGTATGTTATCCACGACCCCCCCCCCCCAGATGTGATTTGATTGGAAGTCGGACTCTCTGACAAGAAGCCGAAGTGAGAGGTGGTGCATGGCCATAATACGGGGTAGATAGTTAGGTAAGAGGTGATGTGATGTCAAGCCTCTAACCTCTTTCGGCACGGGAAATGGCGCATTAGTAATAGATGGCAACGAGGGAGGGGCAATAAGTGGGGATGGATGGGAGGGAACCTGGGAGAAAAGGCGGACGGGTAAAGGAGTGGTGGTGGGTGGATGCTTTTCGGTTCGGGGCAAATTCCCGAGCATATATCTATGCGCCGGTTCTCCATTGTTAGCTTTTGACTCTGCTCCAAGTTCCAACCTCTCTACTCTCCGTTTATAAACACCTTCGTCACCAGACCACCCCACCTACCCTTCACAATGGCCTCTAACCCCCCCGGAGCTTGCTGTGCCCAGGGCTTCAAGCACGAAGGCACCCCCGTCGGTGAGATCAAGAAGATCAATGACAGTGAGTTGTCCGAGACTCCTAGTGGAAACTGCTTCTTGCCTGCGTTGCGTCGCGGCGCGTATGGAGACACCTTCCTAACAGCCACTCTTCCTCCCCAGTCGACACCTATGTTGTCTACCCCAAGGACAACAAGAACCCCGAGAAGGCCGTTCTCTTCCTGAGCGACATCTTCGGTCTGTACAACAACACCAAGCTCCTCGCCGACGAATACGCCGCCAATGGATACCTGTGTGTCGTCCCCGACCTCTTCAACGGCGACTGGGTCCAGCACAGCGACATGGCCGCCGGAAAGTTCGACTTCGCCGCCTGGGCCCCCAACCACCAGACTCAGCACATCGACCCCATCGTCGAGTCGTCCCTCAAGTACCTCAAGGGCGAGCTGGGCGTGAAGAAGGTGGCCGCTGTCGGCTACTGCTTCGGTGCTAAGGTGAGATCCCTCGCAGGGATGAGTACCTTATCTGTCGGGATTCCTGCTAACGGGGCACACGTTAGTACGTCGCTCGTTACCTGAAGGACGGCCAGGTCGACGTTGGTTTCAACGCCCACCCCTCTTTCGTCACCCACGAGGAGCTCGCCGCTATCAAGGGCCCTCTGTCCATTGCTGCTGCTGGTATGTTCATATTGGTTGTTGGGTTTCTCTGAATGTTTTGTTTGCTCCTGGCTCTGTGGACGAATCCCTAACGCGTTTCTTTCTCCCAGAAATCGACAGCATCTTCACCACCCAGCTTCGTCACGAGTCCGAGGACATCCTCATCAAGACCGGCCAGCCCTGGCAGATCAACCTGTACAGCGGTGTCTCCCACGGCTTCGCTGTCCGCGCCGACCTGAGCAATCCCCACTTCAAGTGGGCCAAGGAGCAGGCTTTCTGCCAGGCCGTCGCCTGGTTCAGACAGTACCTGTAAATGCGTCCCAGCGTGCCATCGTGCCGCAGGACCCGCTGTTTGTTCCATAGCCGTGACCATTAGTACATAATGAACCGAGATGAGGAATGACATGCTTTTCCATAAGATGGAGAGATGGAGAGAGAGAGAGTCGTGAATGTAGGGGTAAGCAGTAAGCAGTAAACAGTAAGCAGCAGGAACGATAAGCGTTATCGAGCACGTGACTCACCCGCGGATCCGCTGGAAAAATCACGAGCGAAGACCAGATCAGTCTTAATTAATTACTGAGTCCACTCAATAATATTAATCGATCCCCAGGAACTAGGACGCACAGCACGGGTCGGGGCTTTCGTTAATCAATTGCTCTTGTGTTGGGGTTTCGTCTCTCTATTGGTTCCTTTGCTTTGTGCTGGTCGGGTCTCGGCTGTTGTTGGTTTGGCCTGTTCATTCTTCTCGACCCTCCCGTCGCGTGTATACCAGAACCACCCGCAGTCTGCGTCCCTTCGTCCCCGTGGTGGCTGGTGCTGGTACAGACGACTGTCGCCCATGACCTGCCGTTGAATAATCCCGCTCCCACAACTCCCTGTCACGGTTTTTTTGCCTTCCTTGGATCTATCTATACATATCCTCGATTCCGATCCCTTCATTTACCCCCTGTGGGTCATCTGCAAGCCCCCTCCCCCCGAGGAGGCCGTTCGCTCGCTCGCTCCCTGCCTAGACCCCGTCAGCACCGTCCGACGCCGCCCTTGACGCCCTGCCGTCTGTTCTCGATAAATCTGATCCTCTTCACCGTCGGTCTCCACACGACGACTGCTTTTGCCCCCTCCGCATTGTAATTACTCGCGTTTGCATCGTTGCAAATACCGAACACCATGGCTACCCCCGCCGCTCTGCCGCCGTTGCCTTTCAACCCTTCCCGGGTCCGAACCTACGTCCTCCGACTGCCTCTGTTCACGCGCCTGGTTCTGCTCGCGATCATCATCTTTTGGCTTCTTGAGCTTCAGACGGTTTGGAGCGTCGTGCAATGGGGATCCATAATACCGGAGGAGGCTGGATTCGGCACCAGTATGTTCACACGTGGCCTTGCGTCCGTGCAAGTGCGAGCGCAAGCTCATGGGTCGGCGATATAGGTCGCGAGCTAACATACGGAACAGTGTACCGACTCAACACGTATCCTTTTATCCATTTGGGGTTCTTCCACGCCTTCCTGAATGTGTTGGCCCTCACGCCGTTGTTAGAGCGCTTTGAGGCGGAGCATGGCACGTTGACTGCCGTTGCGCTGTTTATTGGACGTAAGTTCGGTTTTGTGGAAGGTTGATCAGAGGGGATGTGCTAATTCAGGTCGTCTCTGCTTCTAGCTCTCTCCACGCTCCCAGCGGGTGCTTACATCTTGATTGAGAAGTTTGTCCTGCATAGAAATACTGCTGTCACGGGTGCAAGGTGAGTCCTGGGTCTCTCAGGATGCGTGATATGTCGTCTAATGGGCTCAGTATCTGGGTGTTCCTTCTTCTGGGCTCCGAAGCCATCAGGACGTTCAAGTCCAACCCCTACTTTAGGTACGATTGGTGCTAGTTCCGCGGTACCCGGGTTCTGTTGCTGATGGTGTTTCTAGTCTGGGACCTTATAAGATCCCTACGTGGACCTCGCCCCTGTTTGCGTGCGCTCTCGTCTCGATCCTTGTGCCCAACACAAGCTTCCTGGGACATCTGTGTGCGATCCTTGTTGGATATCTGCGTAAGTTGTCCTGTCTCCATCCCCGCGACCGGTATCTGACTCAACCCGACAGTCGGCCTTGGGGCTCTCAAGTTCTTCGTTCCCCCGGAGAAGATCCTGCGGTGGATCGAAGGAAAGCTGAACCTGCTCGGAAGACTGCCACACTACGTGTCTGTGGACCAGAAGACGTACGGTCGCTACGGCGTCCTGCCGACGACCACCACCGGGGGCGAGAGAGGAACCCCGATGAGCTTCCTCGGCACGTCGCAACGTCTCGGTCCGTAAAGGCATGCGGCCTGCGGCAGATTACCTTTCTTGTGCATAGTTAATTAGCATTATACGGCATTATACGGCTGCATTTGGTAGTGACCTGCAATAATAGTAAATGTTGTGGGGTAAGCAAATAATAATGGATTTGGCATTGAGTTGTGCAGATGGTCCGTAGCGGTCAACGTAACCTTTGCGGGCGGACGGGTGCTTGTTAGTAGTCAGTACTCAGTAGTTATTGCTTAGTGTTGCTGCTGCTGCTGCTGTCTCTCGGCCCGTCCAACCAACCATCCCCCCCCATCACCAACCAAACCACCATGGGACAACCTCCCCGAATGCCCCAGATCCCATGGCCCTGAAATGTAAGTCGTGTCTCGTTTTTAAAACTCCGAGCGGGTCTGCCTCGCGACCTACTAGCGATCTCCAAATACCCGTCTTCCACCCTTCCCTCCTCTTCCATCCTATGGCCCGCCTGCCATCGGCACCTTACCCCGGATTGTCGCAAAGGAACAGGCAGGACAGCTAAATACTCCTGGTACACCCACGCTGACTCAAAGGACCATGACAGCCGCCGTCCGCAAGCTGCGGAGCAACCCTCACTTCCTCTTCGTGCACCTCCCGCACATCCTCTCTTTCATCTGCATCGTCGCCGGCGTCGTCTGGCTGCTCCTCCTCCCCCTCAACGACTACTCCCGCCAAACCTACATCTCCGAGAACGCGCTCCTCCCCGGCCAAGTCCACGCCTATTTCTCTGGTAGCGAACAACATGTCTTTCGCGGTTATAAGAAGGAGCTTGAGGGGATTCTAGTCGGTCAGACTGAGGAGGGGAGGGAAGGGAGGAATGATGAGTTTACGCCGGCGTATGTTCTGTTCTGTTCTGTTGTGGTGCTTCCTGCGGCGGGATGGATGGATGGATGGATCATGCGATGCAATTAATGGATGGATAAGCTAATTGGGACTTTCTTCGTGCCAGGGTGTCTGGAAAGATTCAATCGGTTCTGAAAGCCGCGGGGCTGAAGGTCGCTACGCAGAATTACGAGTACACGTCTTCGGGCCTCACGCACCAGGGGCAGAATGTCTATGCGATTATTCAGGCGCCGAGAGGCGATGCCACCGAGGCGATTGTGTTGGTGGCGGCGTGGAAGACCGTGGATGATGAGTTGAATTTGAATGGTGTCAGTCTTGCGCTGACTCTGGCGAGATATTTTAAGAGTGGGTGGTGATGATTCTTGGTTTTTGTTTGATGGACGGATGGATGGTTTGCTGACTGGGTTCGTGCAGGGTGGTCGCTGTGGTCGAAGGATATCATCTTCTTGTTTCCGCCGGACAGTAAGGCTGGCACGCAGGCGTGGGTTGATGCGTATCATGATATGCAGCCGGCGTTTGTGCAGCCTTTGCCGTTGAAGAGTGGTGCGTTGCAGGGAGGGCTGGTGATCGAATACCCCTTCGACCATCGGTTCGAGTCCCTGCATATCCTCTACGACGGGGTGAATGGCCAACTGCCCAATCTGGATCTGTTCAACACCGCCGTGTCGATTGCCAGCGGCCAGATGGGTATCGGGGCTAATCTGCAGGAGATGTGGGATCACAACGACAGCTACGAAATGCGGTTGCAGACGATGATGAGGGGGATGGTCAAGCAGGGGTTCGGATACGCAACGGGCCCGCATAGCAGCTTCATGCCGTACCACATCGACGCCATCACTCTCCAGCCGAAAGGCGATGGCTGGCAGGATGAGATGGCCCTGGGCCGCACCGTCGAGAGTCTTTGCCGCAGTTTGAATAATCTCCTGGAGCATCTGCATCAGAGTTTCTTCTTCTATCTCCTCATGCAGACCAACCGCTTCGTCAGCATCGGCACGTACCTCCCCAGCGCCATGCTCATCGCTGGGAACTTCACCATCATGGCCATTGCCCTGTGGCTCCGCACAGGCTACTACCCCTACTCCCAGCAGAGCCCTGTCGGTTCTCCAGTCGAAAAGCCCACAAAAGAGGAACAAGCTGCAGACCCCCCCAAGACCAGCAACGACACCCCCAAACCCGACACGAAGAACATCCGGGAGCGCCAACTCGCCCTCCCTCTCACCCTCGTCGTCGGTCTCCATCTCCTCGGTCTCCTGCCCCTCTACATCTTCAACCACATCCCCCACACAGTCAGTCCCCTCCCTCTTCTCCCAACCCACCCCACCCCACTAACAAACCCCAGTACTACAACCCAGCAACCTACACCACCATCCTTGCCAACGCAGTCCTCCCCCTTCTCCTCTCCTCCTCCCTCACCCTAACCCACGGCCTCTCAACCCAACAATCCCACCTCATCAAATCCTTCTCCCTCCTCACCCTTGGCCTCTTCCTCTCCGCCCTCGCCACCCTCAACTTCTCCCTCTCCTTCATGATCGGTCTCCTCTGCGCCCCGCTCAGCTTCGTCAACCGCATCAACCCGCACTCCGTCTCCGCACCCCTCCGACACGTCCTCGCCGTGCTAGCCCTCGTGCTGCTGAACCTCCTCTCCCCGCCTGTTGTCCTTGTCGTCGCGTGCGCGTACTTCGGTGTCGACGTCGAGTCGGTTCTCACGCAGGCGGCCTTCGGGTGGGACGTTTGGGGCGTCTGGACCCAGGTCGTTGTTTGGTGTGTTTGGTGGCCTGCTTGGGTGGCTGGGGCTGCGTTGGTCGGGTTTTCGCTGTTTTAGATTGGGTGTTTACTTTTTTTTCCTTTTCTTTTTAGATAGTAAGGTAGAGGATGTGGAGTGGGGTGGTTGGTAGATGGAGCTGGGGGCGGCGGGGGAGGCTCTTATATAGGTGGATGGGTGTATTTATAGTATAATGTTATTTTACATTTGCGGAGTATAGCTTCAAAGTACGGGGGTCTATTTATTGGACTGGACAGATCTAACTGATGTATGCATGTCAGTCAACAATGCCTTCATGGAAGCTAGAAAGAAGCTGCTCCTCCTCCTCCTCCTACAACGACGACGACATCTGGCCCCTCAATCCATGATCAAGTATAAAATTCGTCCGTGTGTATAGTATCACACAGAGTGCGTGCGTCAATTGCATTCGCGAGCGCATGCTGTCTGCTGTCTTCCCTATCTATATTTATCTATCTATCTATCTATATTCATATAGTACTTAGACTCAACTTATCGAACACTAACACCGACACTGACGCGTACTATACATTGACACCCCTTGTTCTGGTTGTTTTTGCGAATATAGAGTATAATGAAAGGATTGATATTATATATATTGTGCTTTCTTATTACGGGATAGTATCTACTTTATCTACTTTTGTTGGCGATGTGTTTGGTTTCTTCTGGTGTCGATTGGGAGATAGATGGGCTAGTTCCTGATAGTGGTTGGTTGGTTGGTTGATGGTGGTGGTGAAAGGGGTTGTAATAGAGATAGGTTGGTGAGGGTTGGTTGGTTGGGTTGGTTGGGTTGATGATGTATAAAAAAGGTTCCCGGCCCGGGGGGGGGGAGAGAATTGAGGAATTTAAATGACTCGTGTGCATAAAGTCGGAATTTGAGGCTGCTTGGTTTATCATACTATGATGAGGATTCTTTCCGGTTCTGACGCAAACATCATGTATCTATGTCTAGTAGTAAAGCGTACCTAGATAAACAATAAGATACTATAACAGCCACCTCAAGTCGTAATCTCTAACGTAAATCATTCACATTGCTTATTTTATTCCTAAAAAGAAAAGAAAAGAAAAGATGAATACATCCCCATAATCTACTGCACGCTATCTCGAGTGGTGTGGTATAGTAAATCTCTCTACTCAATGTTGGCAAAGTTAAACGTAGGCTGACCGGGCACGGCATTCTCGGCGAAAAGCCCCTCGCGCTTCTCACCCGAACCCAGGACCTCACCGGTCTTGCCACCCTCATCGACGGCAACGATCTCGAGCTCCTTGCAGCCGGTGACGCGCTGGATGGCGGCGACCATCTCGCGCAGGACGGCGAATTCGTCGAAGGGCAGCTTGCGCTCGAAGACGACTTCGGGGCTCTCCTTGTCGACGACGAGACGCTTCTTCAGGCGCTGGACAAAGGGCATGGCCTTCTTCATTTCGCCCAGCTTGCCGACCTTGGCGTTCAGCTCCTTGTCGTTGAAGGAGATGCTCATGGAGTCGAAGGCGTCACGCACCAGGTCGATGTACTTCTCCTGCCACGAGGGGTACTTCTTCGCGGCGTAGATCGTGAGCTTCTTGGGCTTGCGCGGGTCGAAGGCCATCTGCTTGCCCTTGGAGAGCTTCTTGACGAACATCGCCTCCGCGGAGGTGATGCTGGAGGAGGTCGTGCGGGCGTAGTCCAGAGCGGCGGACAGCTCGGGGCTGGTCTCGGGCACCTCGGGGAAGCGAGCGCGGTGGATACTCTCGGGCTGGATGTGGAGTTAGTGGTATTTTGGGATGGATGGGTGATCAGATACGAACCTTGTTCAGGATCTCGAGCCAGATGTACTCAGCCCAGTGAGGAGTGATGACGGCCATCATCAGAGCCTGCAGCTCGATGTAGCGGAGAACCACGTCACGGTGCATACCCACGCCGGCAGTGGTGGTGGCCTCACGGTAGAAGTCACGGGCGCTGACCATGTCGTACAGAGCCGTCTTCAGGGCAAGCTTGAAGTTGGTGCTAGAAAGGTGTTAGCATCTGCTGAACAGGGGCCCTGCAGTCAGACTCACTCCTGGTAGTTCTTCTTGGTCTCCCGGACCAGACCGTTGAGCTCGTTGTCGAAGAGCTTGTCCCAGAACGCATCCGCGGGTCCAGTGCGCAGGGTCTCATCCTTGACGGTCTCCTCCATCCACTCCTTGAGCGTGTGGAGACGCAGGATGTTGCTGTTGGCAACGGTCTCCTCGAAGTTGGCGTCCTCGATACCATCACCAGCATCGGCGAAGGCGATACGGGTAGCATCGGCACCGAACTTGTCGACGGCATCCTTCAGGGTAAGGAAGTTACCCGTGCTCTTGCTCATCTTCTCACCGTTCAGAAGCAAGTGACCGTTGGCACGGACACCACGGGGCCAGTACTCCGCGGGGAAGAGGGCAATGTGGATGTAGAGGAAGAAGGTCAAGTGGTTCTGGATGAGATCCTTACCGGACACTCTGACGTCCAGAGGGTACCAGTACTCGAACTCTCTGCGCATCTTCTGCAGGGAATCCTTGCTGATGCCGCTCTTCTCGATGAGCTCATCGCTGATCTCACGTCTGGTGAAGATGTAGTCCCAGACCTCGTCAATCATCTGCTCCGCCTTCACGTTCAGAAGACCGGTCTCCTTGCCGTAGCGGTCACCGTGCAGGTAGTGCGCGATGGTGTAGTAGGCCATGTAGACGGTACTGTCACTCAGACTCTCAACGAGGAACTGCTTGTCCCAGGGCAGCTTCGAACCCAGGCCGTAGGTTCTAGCGCAAGCCCAGCGGTTGAGCCAAGAAAGGTTCTTCTCAAATCCGTTCTTGGTTTCGTTCGAGTAGGCGTTCAGGGAGTTAACAACGTAGTTGAGGGTGGTGTTCTGCCACTCAGCATCGTTCTCGCCGTAGTTCAGGAACCACTGGCCAAGGTAGGCAACCACACAGTCGTCGCCACTGCGGCTGACAACCTTACCCATGGGGTCCGCGAAGGGGAAAGCATCTCCGCTGTCGTAAAGAGCCTGACGGATCTTCTCCTTCGCAGCGCTCACAGGCTGGCCCTTGTATTCGCCCACAATCATCGTGCCCTTGTAGAAAGCTTCACCGTACGCCAGCTCCTTGGCCTGGGCAAGCTGGTTCACATCCTTGGGAGAGTTGATCTTCAGCTGCTTGACCAGCGCAGGAGCAGTGAGGTTTCCGTATGTCGGGGTCTCAATCAGAGGGAAGATCTCCAGCTCAGCCCACTCCTTCTTAATACCATAGTACTCGGGCTTCTTCGCGAGATCGAGCAGAGTGGCGTAGTCGTCAGGGCTGTCCGAGGGCACAGAGGTGACAACACCGGTACCCTTGCTAGCCGAGACACCCTCCATAGGAAGGATGCGCACACCTTCAGAGTGGAAAGACAGAGGAGCGTTGACAAGAGTACCAACAAAGGCGGATCCAGGGGCCTCGACGACAACGGGCAGCTCATCCTGAGACTTGGGGAAGTGCTCGCTGTCGAAGAAATGTCCCTGGAAGGCCATGTTCCAGGCACCCCTCTTCGTGACGACAACGTACTCCTTCTCCTTGGTCTTGTAGAGACCGTAGGTGATCTTCGGGCCGAGGAAGCAGCAAGTCTGTCCGTACATGGTCTCCGGACGCAGAGTGGCGGGGACAAAGTAGACGCTGGCATCCTCCTCAACCTTACCCTTGACCAGCTCGGCAATTTCAGGGGCCCATTCCTTGACCTTGAGCTTCATGGCGGTATATTCCTGGGGTCCGATACCCTCACCCTCAGTCCGGTCGTGGTCCATGCAGGGTTGTCCGTCCTTGGGAGAATAGATGGTGTACCGGTTACCGTACATGATCTTGCCGAGCTCGTGAAGGCGGTTCATCTGCCAGCGCACAAAGGCGTCATAGTAGGGGTTGGCGTCAGTGGTGACGAACTGTCTGCGCCAGTCCACCCGAGCACCCAGGCTGTCGAGATCGCGGATGGCGAGAGGAGGGAAATGCTGGAGCCAGTGAGAGGCGTCGGCAAACTTGTGGATCTCCTCAATGGGAAGGCCAATGGCCAGCATGATCTGGAACTGGTACTTCATCTTCACCGTCTTGGCAGCGGCCTTGCTCTTCTTTCCGGAGAACTTCTCCTGCTGGGCCTTGACCTCCTGCGTCGGGGCGGCGACGGAAGTCTGGTCCTGCTCCTCAGTCTCCTCGCTGTAGCCCTCGAAGTTCTGTCCAAACTTCTTGACCTCGTCCCGGAGCTTATCCGCACAGGCCTTGATGGGCATACCGGTGCAGTGGAATCCCAGAGGGAAAAGAGCCCTCTTACCCTCCATGCGGGCCACACCCGTCATGAACTCGACCTTACTGGCAGTGAAACTGTGGCCTGCGTGCAGGGTACCGTTCATGTAGGGGTAGGCCATGGTTCCGAAGAACTTGGGGTGCTTCTCACGGAGCTCCGCGGCGGACATGCTGCCGAAAGGCACCTCCGAGAAGGAGGGAGCATCGACCTCAAAAGCCTTGTTTTCCTTCCATTGCGCCTGGTACTTCTTCTCGATGGCGATGAGGGTATCTCTCTTCTCGGTCTATTTGGGCCATGGACCATCAGCTCTGTCTGGACAATATGGGGGGGGGGGGGGGAGGGGGACGAGGAGGGGCAAGTGAGGCGGACATTTTCGAGCTTCATGGTATTTTTGGTGCTGTTGTCCTGATCAAGGGCAGCTGCTGATGCAGCGGCGGCTGCCATGGCTGCGGATGTGAGGGATTCCTGCTTGAAAACTGGAGATAGAGAGCCCTGGGGCGAGGGAGGAACAGGGCAGTCTTTATAGATCGACTGGAGTCACCGCGGGGTCGAAAAGAATTGCTCCGTATGTGGGAAAAGGCGGTCCGTGAGTCACCGCCTGCCCCAATCAGCCGCTGTTTCATGCTGCGTCGCTATGCTCCGTACAGTTCTCGGCGTGCAATTGACTCACATGCGCCCCTGTTGGTGCTGATATGGGGGGGGATCCTAGCATCAATGATACGGAAATGGGAAATGACTCATGAACGAGAGGGCAGAATGCGATGGCGTTGCTCAGCGCTATCTCAAGTCGCTACGGAGCCAACGACTAGATCATCTTGGCATGGTGCAACTATACATACTATGCTCGAACACGACCAATGACTTCCACGAAGCATATCAGATACGCACTGGGAGAGAAATCCATATTGCACTGGGATTCCAACCAGACAATCATCAATTCATCAGCTGCCGACGACCATCGAATCCCTTCAACGCCCGGGCAAGCATGGCCAGCCATCACGTGACCTGATATCGGCCGCTTTTCTTTCCGCCGGCGAGCCCAAAAATCAACGAGGAAGCTCCAAGCCAGTCACCCTCCATCCCCTCCGCCGCGAGCTCACCAGACCGATTGCTGCCGTATCTGACTCGAAGCAGCCTCTCTTTGACCAATCTCTTCTTCAAAACCCAAGAGCTCGCGCGCTCACCCGTCACAATGGTCAACTTCTTCAAGCGGATGCGGAAGCTGAATGCTGTAAGTCGAGCATCACCCCAATATCAATGACTCCGAATACTAACTCGAATTGAACCCTCCTCCAGAAGGTAAAATCTACTTTTTCCAAATTCTTTCAATCCTAGCAACCTCCGATGCGGCCCCCTTGAGCGGACGTTCGCGCATCCCTCACGGGCCCGGAATAAGAACCGGGGAAACAAAACCACCACCACACCATCACCACCACCACCACCACCAGGAATGAGAACCCCTGCTAACTGCAACTTCCAACTCTCCAGCTCCTCGACGTCCGCACCGGAACCGGTGCCGCGATCCTCCCCACCGCCGCGACCGCCACCAAGGAATTCCCTGCCATCACCCGTCTCCACCTCACATACGCCCAGAAGATCTACGGCGGCCACCAGGGCGCGCGACATTTCTGGCGCAAATGTCTCCCCCGTCTGAAGTTCCACAACCCGGCCATCCCGATGACCGTACGACAGACCACCGAGCAGGAAATCCCCGCCTCCCTGACGATCTACTTCTCCGAGCGCACCAGCGACGCCGCCTCCTTGCTCGCCGCCAAGATCACCGACAAGCACGCCCCCAAGCCGCTGGACACGGAACAGTCCGCTATCCTCGAGCTCAAGGACCTCGATTTCCAGGCTATCTGGAACAAGGTGGCCAAGGTGACTGGCGCCCAGGAGGTCCCTCCCACCGCGGCCGATCTGGCTCAGCGCGCGAGGCATCAGGAGATGGACGCTAAGAGTATCACGGATCGTGCGCGCGTTGCGGAAATCAGACAGCAGAGGGCGGATCGCGAACGCATGCTGAAAGAGGCTAAGGGTGAGATTGAGAAGTTGAAGGAGATCTAAGCGGCCTTCTTTCTTTCTTCTTTATACCTCTCCTCCTCGATGGCTTGTCTCTTCCTTCTTCTTCTTTCTTTTCGGTCCACCGTTTTGTGTCGCCGGGTATATAAACTCTGCTTTCGAGATGGGAGTCGGTTTGTGGGATTACGACTTGGGCGTGGTCTCTTGTAGCATGGCATTTCTTTACTATTCCTGTTCGATTATGTAGTTTTGGGAATCTCTTTGTTCAAACTTTTTGCTCTCTGTACAACACTGATGAATGAGGATCAATGTAATAGACTGACTGGACATACGTGATCGTCCTGGTTTGAATTGCGAAAGGACATAGGTATGGAGCAAATAGGCGGTTCATGTTCTGTCGTTATTGCACGAGGGAAAGGGGGAAAAGCCAATTTGTACAGTCAAGGGCTGATATAACAAACCAAGTCCCGCCTTCGTGACCTGCACTCGCATGAAACGGCCTATAGATAATCACTAAAACAGGCCGTCGGGTTCTATACACGACGAGAAGGCTAAGTAGAAGGGTTCCATCAACACTCTAATTTGCAATTTCCTTGGACGCTATCCCAAACAGTCAACCAAACTCCTGTAAACCATACACTACAAGGACTCTCCGGGTTCACGCATGGTCTGGCGTGTAGCTGGTTTCACCCAGCATACTCTGTCCCGCTGGCACCGTGGGGGTTGGGGTCTGGGCATGGCTGGACCCTTGCTGGTTCGATGTAGACGTCGACGGCGGCGGTGCTCTTCCGGCAGCAGCTGCTTGGAGTCTCTGGTCGAGTGCCTTCAGGGCCAGGGCTCGTCTGCGCTCGGCCTCCTCTCGCTTCGCCATGGCCCTTCCGTTGCGATGATTTGAAAGAATACTCGGGAGACCGGCCTCGCCCCGTACCAGAACCTGTTGATTGCCCGAGGCGATTTCTTCCTCGGAGAAAGGCGTGCAAACCCGCACCGCAACCAATAGAGCATACACCTGGTCGGAGATAAACGCGATTGGCGGCTGAAGCACATCCGGAAAGAGACAAGCAAATGCGAAGGTCTCACTTGCATCGCCCTTGATGCCTAGTCCGTCCGTCGACGTGCCGCTGAGATCCGGCTGGCGCTTGAAGAAACGCAGGTACGTCCAGCTGGTCAACAGGCCAAGCCAGGAAAGAATCGTCGCGACATGCGTGCCGAAAACCACCCCGCTGATCGTGTTCAACAGCAGAAAGAGGGCGGGGAAATGCTTCACCCGCATTTTGACCAAGCCCTTGAAAAGGGTGACCGTGTGCTCGGGCACGAGTTGTTTGAATGCGACAAGGAAGGATGCCTGGATCGAGATACCGCCGCATATCTGCGTTACGCTTAGAGTCGGTGAGTCAGTAGGGAAAGCGCAGGATGTTGTGCATTCGTCACTAGGAAACAAGGCGTACCCGCTACCGGAGGTGCCCCTGATGGCAACCCCTATGATATAGAGCGGGACGATCACCACATTCGGAACCACCGCGATGGCGAGGATGAATTTCGCAAACTCCCGGGAACTCCATGCGCGCTCCAGGTATTTGCCCCCGTAGAATAGCGTGGCGGCGTTCAACAGCACGGTGAAGATGTTCTGCTCCACGAAGGTCGCTGTAAGAAGAGTCCATGGATAGAAGAGAAAGAGCGATGGGACGAGCGTCAGGTAGGGTACGACGGGGGTGATGGCCGGCGCCCTCCCGTTGGGGTCAAGTTGGCGCCATCGGGCGATGTTGTACAGCAAGGAGAGGGTGAGGAGGCTGATGAGGCAGATGCGGGTTGCTGGAGGGATATTGACTCGAGGCGCCATCGTGGAAGAGGAAGCTCTTGCGGCTGGGGGGACCGCAGGCTGTCGACAGAGCCCGACTGGGTTGGAAGAGGAAGTGGGAAGAGCGAAATTCAGTCCGTTCAGTTGATCAGTCGGCCGCGGCGTTTGGGGGGGTTCCATTTTCGGGCAAGCTGCAAGGACGGGATCGCGCCGATCTGATTGGACACCTTGCATGGTGTTCCCCAGGCCGCCATTCTTGCTGGTGCAGCCCTGCCGTGAAATTGTTATTACAGGAACTGTCTGCCCCCCTTAAGTTCGTACGGGGTAGATAATCGGGGTATCTAGAATCTAGAGATAGATACATACGGAGAAGTGACATGGACTATGGAACATTCGGGGCTAGAGTGGGGAGACCTGCTGACAGATCCCAGCTGTCTGAATAAGAATAGTAAGGAATAGTTATCTGGATCTTGCCCAAGCAGAGAATAATGGGGAGCCATTCATCGGATCCGTGCACAATAAGCTTCCGGACCATCAATAAGCCTTACCTGTCTACACAATAGATAGCAGCCATATTGCTCTGGCTATTGTACTCCGTATGTCCCTAAGACATGGCTGTTCCTCATGGGCAGATCGATGGGCATCGCAAGGGGGTCACGTGTGGCTCAGTCATCGGGGACTGTGGCTCAGCCCAGGGAAATTACTGCCTGGCCTCATGGCATGGTTACCCACTCAGTGATTTTCCAAGTGGATCGCCACTGAATAAAAGGCCAGGATCTCAGCTTAGCAGCTAAAGCAAGCAAGCTTAGCATGGAGTAGCATGGAGTCGCATGGAGTCGGAGTCACATGGAGTAGCACGGAGGTCTTCACACGGCGGCTTACTACCGGCAGGGGATGGGTTTCCCCCCAGAATGCATGCATGTACTCCAGAGGGATGTGCTTTGTACCGGTACGCAGTGCAACTAACTGATCTGCATCCCAGCAGAAGAATGGACGCCCCCCCCCCCCCCCCCCCTCCCTTCCCCCCCAGAGATCCCGATCTGGTTGGATCATTGGCGGAGGGGATTTATTGAATCATCGGGGAAAGATCTGGGAAAAAAAAAAAAGGAGCCGAAGAGCTGGCTGGCCATGATGTAGTTATCTAGAACTTAATTCTAAAGACATGACCTTGGTAGGTTGTATGGAGTAATATGTATAGGTGGTCTTTCATCGTGGGTGATCCGTGGATGTGCATCTATTTTGTACAGGACGCTTAGGTAACCCCATCCCCAGGACACGAAAAATGCGCAAAATGCAAAATGCACGAACAAGGGCCGCGGGCCAATCGAACCATGAAAGGGCCGGAGACGGCTAACCGTAAGGGGGCAAGCGTGGAGCTCGATCGGCTGGCCGTCCGTCAGAAAGGTCAGAACCGCCTTCAGAACCGCCCATGGACAAGGGGCCCGGAGTGGGTTTGAGGCCGGCTGCGCGCTAGCCAGTGGCCTAGACGCCACAACGAGTCAAGCCCCGAAAAAGTCCCAGAGCACCTCAGCAAAATGCCCACTCCCGGTGCGCCCAGCGTCTGAAACAGCGTGCCAGAGCCGCCTGGAGAAATTCCAGCTTTTCCCTTTAGCCTGCTTTGGTTGGTCGACTGGTTGACTGGGTTGACTTGAACGGTCTCGAGGGTCAACTCAGTGAACTCACTCCAGCTCAGTTACTACTGACTTGACTGACTCTTGGTACCTCTTTGGTCTTCCTGCCTGCCTGCCTACCTGCCTGCCTAACACCAACACCAACACTAACGGGAGTTCCTCGTACGTACACTTGTGTTCGACCTCCACTGTCGTTCTGGCTGGCTGCTGGTCCGTCCCATACTCTCTCTCTCTCTCTCTTCTCTCGGTCTCCATCAGTCATTCATCCACTCGGATCTTGACTGCTTTCTCCCTTTCCCTCCCCCCCCCCCCCCCCCCCCCTCTCCCCCATCCATCCATCCGTCCATCCGCCTTCCCCTCCCGGAACTGAAAGTCAAAGGAACCTCCCTAGGACTGGTGTTGCTTCTCCGGTCTTTGCAGTTCGCTAGCGGGTCTGCTATCTTTAAGCCACACGTTGGTGTCGATTTCCTCCCGTCCCGATATTATTCGTCCTTCATCTTCCTCTCCCCAATTTGTTCCTCTGTCCAAGACCCGTCTCGCGCTTCCCCCTTCAACAACTGTCTCCCCAGGTGCATCTAACTTAGGATGTTCGATGGTCTCCGCTACTACTCTCTTTGACTGACGTACTTTGAACCTTCCCCCGTGGCGATTTGTGTTCTACGTCTTCACCCTCCCTTCCAACCACTGCTTCCTCTCCCTTGTCCCAGCCTTGGCTGCATCTCTCTCCCACTCCGTTCTCCCCTCTCGTCCCAGAAGCCTCCGCGTCTTCCATTCGAGCTCTGATTGAGAGGGACCCCCGAAAGAAGAGTTTTTCTTTTCACCCTCACTGAGCTAGACCCGTCAGCTCCCTGCAATCATCATACCTCACCAACCTGACCTCCCAATCCCCGCCTGCTCTCATCTACCTTTAATTCTCGGAGACCCTTTCGTTTCTGGCATGCTAGCGGACCCTCCACCTTACTAGCTGTCATACATGTAACAATGGCACAACCCGATCTCACATCGCATCACGTCAATTACCTAATATGGAGGTATGTATCTAACTTGCTTGCCAACCTCATGGTCTAGCAGTGCATGCTCTCCGTACCTGTTAAAATTATCCTGCTCGATGTCTTTGGGTATTTTGGGCTAACTGGGAACTAGGTATCTTCAAGAGTCAGGTACTTTAATTCTTGCCTTTTGATTTCCATTGCCCCAGGTCAATGTCTATTGATGATCAAAGATGACTAAATCTTTCACAGGGCATGGGGAGGCCGCACTGACTCTGCAGCGCGCGTGGAATCTTGATCCGCAGAGTTTGTCATTTGCCCCGTACATCAAAACTCATGCTCTGGTATCCCTGGTCCAAAAGGGTCTCCAATACCATGAGCTCGAGCATTCTGTCGACCCGGTATGAAAATTAATTTATTCCCCCCTCCCTCCAGCCTGATCTTGATTCTACGTCGATCACCGGGTGGGCAAAATTAATCGAGATTACAGGATGGAAATCCTACGGCGTTCACATCGTCTGATTATTTCTTCGGGCCAGCGCCGCTGGAACCGGAGCCGGAAAAGGGTCGCAGTGGCCCCGGGGAGGCAGGCGTTGGCACAGACCAGGCGCCTGTCTCGCCTACTACTAGCAAAGTTGCGCGAGACGGCGGCGTGATCAACGGTCACTTGACAGCCGAGGCCGCGGTACCCCAGCCCGCTGCCAGCACCAGCGTCAAGAAAGCCCGTAAAAGCGACCGCGGGGAAGCCAACGGAGATGAAGTCCCTATGGATGTTGATTCGAACGGAGTGGCGACTGAAAATCCACCAGCAGCCGACGGGTCTCCAGCAACGGCTGAGATGGCGGTGGATGGTGACGGAGATGTGAGCATGGGCATCCGACCGGATTCGCAGGACCAGGAACCACCCGCCGCCGCGCCGCCGACCTTCACGTTAACCACCGGCCACAGCGTTGGCGTCCAGATCACCCCCGCCAAGGCGGCCGACCTTGGGCCCGACACCGCCATCCTCGATGTGGCTAGTGCAGACCACGTGACCCGCGCCCTGTGGCGCCCCAAGGACCCTACCGTCGTCGTGGCCGCCGGCGACTCCTTCTGCAGTTTGTGGAAGCTGTCGTCGAGCGCGGCTCCCGTGCAGGAGAAGCTCGTGGAGAACAAGGGGGACAGCACCTGTGTCTCGGCAGTCGCGTGGGACCCCCTGGGCCAGAAGCTGGCGGTGGCAACCTACAATGACATGAGAGGTTCGATCACCATGTACGACGTCTCGGGGAATGCCGTCGATCTTCTACCCGAAGTCCCTCGGATGATCACAGGACTCCATTGGGCTGAGAGCGGGTCTCATTTGATTGTCGTCGCTTCAGACAGCAGGATATCCGAATTGGCTCTGTGGGACGACTCCTTACGCCCTGACGAGTTCCCCTCTCCTCATGTGGTCGATGGTTCGATTTTTGATCTTTGCTGGCTGGGTCCCAATCAAGCGTTTGCTTCTGGTAATGGTATTGTGTACCAGTGCGACGTTGATTCGAGCATCCATGTCTCGAAGACATTCTCATCTGGCAATGACCGACCCTGGACATTCATCCGCTGCGTTAATGCCGGCACTTCGTCCGTCGCGGTGACCGCGTCGTCTGCAAATGCCACTCTGTGGGTACCCACTCATGATATTCTTGTCGATGGAGCGCATGAAGGTGATATCACGGCAATCGAGCTCAAGCCCAACATGGAACAACAACCACTCCAATCACTGGTCCTGGCCTCCTCTTCTACTGATGATACAGTCAAAGTGTGGCACATTGATCTGGAGTCGAAGACCTTCAATCTTATCCACCGCTTGTTCCTTGGACCGACGTCGCCTGCTCTTGCCAGCACTTTCTCCCCTGATGGATTCGCTCTTGCTGCCGCTAGTAAAGAGGGCCTTTTTATTTGGAATGCACAACGAGGTGGCACTCCGCTGGCTACCTGGAAAGCACCAGAACGCGAAGAGAGGAAAGAGAAGAAAGAGGACGACGAGATGAGTTCCGTCGTGAATGGACATAATGGAACTGTGGAGTCGGTGCCCGATCGCAGTCTAGCATGGGACACTGATGGCAAAAAGCTTGCTTTCGGTTTTGGTAACCAGGTATGTAGTCCTCGATTGTTTGTGCCAAATACCGTACTAACCTGGCTTAATAGCTTGCAATTGTAAACCTACAACGCTGATCTTGACCGGCGAGCATTCGAGCCGGCCTCATGACGATTTCTTAATCTCCGATAGTACATTGAGAACATGGTAAATAGCCATCTGATACATTTCCCATTTATTCTTCTGCGGCGAAGGCAGGCCGGACTTATCACCAAGCGTCGGTATCACCTCGGGCTAGTCTCTCCGCTCCCGGTCCTCGGCAGGCCCCGATGTGCCGTGTTGTGGGAGCGTGACCGGACAGCATCGCCTCAGCCCTCCTACACCTCCATTACAATAATCATTAGTTCTTTTTCGAAGGATTTGGATTAGATCATATCGAACGGCGCAGCTCAGGTCATCAGGGAAACGCGGCGGTTGGCGACATTACATGGTTACGGTGGCTACGTTGACTTTTTTTTCTTCTTCTTTTCTTGCAGTGTACCATTTGTTCTTGGACAGCTTAATCGGTGATTTCAAAGGCACATGATCGGTTGAGAGTCGCACCAGTTCTCAGCAATTTTCCAGCACGTTACTACATTAGCAACTATTATGCCGATGTGGTATGCCCTCATGCCTGGAATCCTCAATCCACAGCCTCGGCCTCATTGATCAATGTCCCAATTCTACTGGGCAGTGCCCTTTATATATATCCGCCCGTGCCTTCTGTCTTTCTTCTCTTCTCAGGCCGCGGTCCCTCTCTCTGATACGAAAGCCTTCCTCGACATCCTTCCATCCTCGCATCCATGCGGTGAGGCCCTCGAAGAGTGCTTCGCCGTCATGATCCACATCATCCATCCTACACTTGGACCATCGTCGTTGACCATTTCGCCGGGAAGTGGCACCCGGTTTCCTGGCCACCGCAGTCGCCAAGCGCTGTCTATGCCATTCGTCCACCCAGCTCTCGAGTCCATGTATCGTGCCTTCGATGGCTTCCCGCTCTGCCGAGTCCTCAAGAATATCCATTTGCCTGCAAGATATGAGATGTATTAGTGAAGATCGCGGCAAACATACTCGCCCTAAGAGATGGTGCTCACAATTCCTGAATCTCGTTTTCTAGCTCCGACATCCTCCGTGTCAGTGCCTGACGTTCCCGCCTGAGCAAGTCATAGATATCTGCCGACTCCTCGCGACGCCGATCAAATTCCACCTTGAGTGCGGTCACCTCCCCCAGGATATCCTTGAGTTGAGGGTGGGACACCTCTTGTGGCGCCGGGAGGGAGTCCTCCGATTCCTGGGAGTCGGTTGTGGAAAAGGAAGCGACGGAGTTGGTGGATCGGGAAAGAGAGTGAGGGCGGCACCGGGCGACCTCCTGTGACAATCCTGGACGCGGGTCCAGCAGGGATTCCAGGGTGTCGAGACAGTGGTGGAGAGTGCCGGCGTCGATCTTGGACAAGGGGTCCAGCTGCGAGGCCATGTGGGCTAATCGAGTGAGTCGGACCGGCAAGGGAGCGGCGGCATTTTCGGTGTCGAGGATGTGGGAGGCATAGTCGGGGTCTGTGAGGGCCATGTCCCAGATCTGGTCGGCCACTGAGGAGGGGGGCGACAGCTGATCGTACGGCGCGGGGTGAGGTTGGTCCATGGCTGGCTCGCGGGGCGTTGACCTCTGTAATTTAATGCTTTGCTTGTTCTCTGTTTCTGATTCTGGATCTGGCGACCACCTCAGAGTGTAAATACATGCGTGAGCGATCGGTAGCCGAGAGGGACGGATGGAGGTAGCCGGGCCGCTGCAAGGTGGCGCGGATTGCAGGAATTTACGTGTTTTGACCTGTCACTGGGAGACGAGATGAACTAGAGAACTAACTGCGTTTCCCCGTATATGCCGGAATGCGCGGTTATTTGTAGGCTCCGGGCGAGAACAACACAACACCGTGATCTGGCGGGCTGGAACGGTACGAAGGAGAGGGGAAGAGCCGAGCTGGGCTGAGCTGAGATGGCGGATTCCCCCAGCAACCGGCGAGACTTTCTGCAGCAGGACCGAAGGAGGTTAGCGGTTCGCAGGCGTGCAGCCCAACAACTGAACGTGCAGAGGCAGAGGCACAGGCAGAAGAGGGGATTCAACCGGTCAGCCTGGCTTGGTTGATGCGATTCTTTTGGATGTGCAGGAAAAGACGGTCAGCGCGACAGGATTGCGAGCTGCTGCTAGATGGCCTGCTAGTTAGATAGATAGACACCGGTGGACTTCTAGTCAGTCAGTTAGTTGGGATCCATCAGTCTTTAGTGATGATGGCCTGAGGTTAATCGCCGCTGATTCGATCGAAGCCGATTATGCTCGGCGCGCTAGGCCTCTTTGGGCCATCCCCAGCAAGGCCGTCGCTGCCTTGAAGTCCGGGCGGAAATGCCTGCGTGCCTGAAGGCGTCCCTGTGCTTCTGGCCTTTCCATCCTTGTGCTTTTACCTCCAACTGTTCTTCTATCCCTCTTCTACATTTGAGGTGAGTCCCTGGTCCAGTACGCCGTACACAGCGGGCTTTCGGACTGACACCCCCGCGGGGTAGATCGAGAGTGGTCTTGAACACAAAGGGAATCCCATCCCTCGCAAAAGCAAATAAACTCCGACTCCCCGCCGTCCTGCCGAACTCTTCTCATCTTCCACCCCTCCCCGCAGTCCAAATCCCCATCGCCGTCGGCATCGCGAGGATGGCGCCTCCTGTACGTTCTCCTGTTTGCTATCCCCGCTGTCTTGCTTTCCAGATTACCGCCAGTCAATGGACTCCTCCCCTGGAAGAGGACCTGAACCCGTTACTGATGCCATACCCATGTGACTCACCCAGGTCACGATCGTGCCGTCTCTCGAGACCGCCAGCGAAGTCATCGCCCGGTCGAGAGACTCGAAATTCTCCCCTAACCTCCTGCCCTTGACGACGTCGATTCCCGCCGACCTCTTGACCCCTACATTGGCATACCTGAAGATCGCGGACAAGTGAGTCGGTCCTCTCAAGACCGCCGCACGGCCTGGCGGGCACATGCGCTGACGTGGTGTTGGTCCAGATCGAAGTTGTCCTTCCTCTACGAGAGTGCTGCCACGACCGAGACCATCGGGAGATACAGTTTCGTGGGTGCTGGTATGCGAACATCCTCGACGCTACAATGCCGGGTGGAGCGATGACTGACGAGTTCTCTGCATCTGTCTCCAGATCCCCGTAAAGTTCTCAAGACCGGCTCTGGCCATGGCCCCGAGTGCGACCCTCTGCCTCTCCTCGAGCAGGAGCTCGCCGAGTTCCGGGTCGCGACGGTACCCGGCTTGATCCTCCCTCCCCTGACCGGCGGTGCTATCGGATATGTGGGCTACGACTGTGTGCGGTATTTCGAGCCCAAGACGGCCCGGCCGGTCAAGGACATTCTGAAGATCCCGGAGTCGCTGTTCATGCTGTTCGACACCATCATCGCCTTCGATCACTTCTTCCAGGTCGTCAAGGTCATCACGTACATCCCCATCCCTAGCAGCGACGCGGAGCTGGCACCCGCATACCGCCAGGGACAGGAGACCCTTCAGCGCACCATCGACACGCTGCTTCGCCCCGACTACACCCTTCCGCCCCAGGGCCCGATCATCCAGAACCAGGAATACACGTCGAACATCGGCCAAGAGGGATACGAGCGGCATGTGACGAGGCTCAAGGAGCACATCTCCAAGGGCGACATCTTCCAGACGGTGCCGTCGCAGCGGCTGTCCCGGCCGACCTCCCTCCACCCTTTCAACCTCTTCCGCCACCTCCGCACGGTCAACCCGTCGCCGTACCTGTTCTACATCGACTGCGAGGACTTCCAGCTGGTGGGCGCCAGTCCGGAGCTGCTGGCCAAGGAGGAGAAGGGGCGGATCATCACGCACCCGATCGCGGGCACGGTGAAGCGGGGCAAGACGCCGGAGGAGGACGAGGCACTGGCCAACGAGCTGCGCAGCAGTTTGAAGGACCGGGCGGAGCACGTGATGCTGGTGGACCTGGCGCGTAACGACGTGAACCGGGTGTGCGACCCGACGACGACGCAGGTGGATCGGTTGATGGTGGTGGAGAAGTTCTCACACGTGCAGCACCTGGTGTCGCAGGTGTCGGGCATCCTGCGGCCGGAGAAGACGCGCTTCGATGCGTTCCGGTCGATCTTCCCGGCGGGCACCGTGTCGGGGGCGCCCAAGGTGCGGGCGATGCAGCTGATCGCGGAGCTGGAGGGCGAGAAGCGCGGAGTGTACGCGGGCGCGGTGGGCTACTTCGGCTACAACATCGCCAACGCGGACGGGACGACGGAGCTGCCGGGCGCGATGGACACGTGCATTGCACTGCGGACGATGATGGTCAAGGACGGGGTGGCCTACCTGCAGGCCGGTGGAGGTATCGTGTTCGACTCGGACCCGTACGACGAGTACGTGGAGACGCTGAACAAGCTGGGAGCGAACATTGCGTGCATCAAGGGTGCGGAGGCCAAGTACCTGAGCCTGGAGGAGGAGAAAAGTCAATCCTGATGGTGTGGTGATTTTTTGTTGTTGTTGTTGTTGTTCAAAGCTGTTCATTCCATGACATTTGTCGGGGGTGTTATGACATATACACCCTGCCGAATAATATAGACACACTTGAAACGATTGGCCTTGCTACTATATACTTATGTACAGTTGTACCACCAATTGTTTGTTTGTTTGTCTGTTTGTCTGTTTGTCTGTCTGTCTGTCTGCCTGCCTGAACCCTAAGTCAACCCAGACCAGACCAGACCAGACCAGACCGGATCAGGCAGACAGGCAGACAGGCAGACAAACGGGGCAATTCTGCTGCCTGGACGCACCCGTCCTACGTATTTGACAGTCCACTAGGCAGTTCCTTGCTTGGGGGAGGAAGATTCTAGGCGTGAGGCAACTGCAAGGGTTCTCCGGAACGTGCTGGGGCGCTGCAAGGCCGCCGTCCGATGACGTCGGTTTTGTAACTATACAACAGGAGGGGATCTGCACCGCCACAAGAACCGGGTCCGGGGATGTAGATAGATAGACTGTAGATACAGAGAGAGAGAGAGAGAGAGAGTAAGAGTGTTTATATAGTTAGACAGTCTGACTCGATTGAGACGGGAGAGAGGAGGAATTGACTCCCCCCCACTCGATCGACCTGCGGCACGGCGTATATATTGCGAGTGGAAGTATGACACCATCTCTGTATCATCTCTGTATCCGTAGTTAGTTTCTCCATCATCTCCTGATTCTTCTCCAGCTTTTTCTCCTCATCTTGAATTCGGTTCCGGTTCCTGGATTGCTGGCTGTTTCTCCGGTCATTGTTCTTCTTCTTTTTCTTCCTCCTTCTTCCTCGTCCTCCCTTTCTCTTCCGCTATTCCTTCCCAATTGCTCTCCTGGGACTGAAGAAACCTTGAGTGTCGTTGGCGTCGTAATCGCGGTTCCGGTGGCAGCCCGACCAACCAGCCAACCAACCAACTCACTAGTCCTTCTATTCCTCTTTCTCTCTCTCTTCTTTTCTCTCCTCTCCTCTCCTCTCCTCTTCTCTTCTCTCCCAGACTTCCCTCCCATCCATCCATCCATCCATCCATCCCGCCACTCTGTCCCGTCCATTCGATCGACATCCCCCTCCCCTTTCACTGCCACACCTGCTGTCTCACTTCGTCACCGACTGACCATTCCGACCGCGGCTTACATACGCCCGCCGCCTCTCTGCCTTGAGTGCCACTGCCACCACCACTCCACCTCCACCTCCGAGCGAAACTAACCTTGAACACTACACTACTCATTCCACTACAACACACTACCCGCTAGTACCACCACCACCGCGCGATAAGGAGAGACGGGCTGGCTCTGCTCCCATCGCACTCCCTACTACCTACACCCCCCCCCCTTCCACCACCAACACCACCCACCAGCCACCGTCGCGCATCCCCCCCTCCATCGACTCGCCCCTTGAACGGGATCTAACGAAGCAGGGTCCCGCTCCCTGTTCGCGTCTGGCTACCACCACCACCGCTCCGCTATATTTCCCCCTTCCCCCTCCCCCCTCTCGCCAAAATGTCCAAAGTCGTGCGCAGCGTCAAGAACGTCACCAAGGGTTACTCCTCCGTCCAGGTCAAGGTTCGAAATGGTACGTCCCTCCCGTTCCGTTCGCCTCTATCGCCTGTCTCTCATCGCATCGTCTGCTTTCATCGCACGTCATATCTCGCTCGCCGTCGTCGGTCGGCGGAACGGTCAACGGTCGTCGTGATCGGATTTGGAACGGACTCGTGCTGACCTGTGTTTCCTCGTGCGTTTTAGCCACAAGTAATGATCCATGGGGGCCTACGGGCACCGAAATGGCTGAGATTGCTGCCTTGACATTCAGCAGGTAGGCGGCCCCGAGCCATTGACTCCGTGCTGTTCCGCACGCTAACGTTCTCCCGTGGGATTGTCAGTCCGACCGATTTCTACGAGATCATGGATATGCTAGATAAGCGGTTGAACGATAAGGGCAAGAATTGGCGCCACGTGCTCAAGTCATTGAAGGTGCTCGACTATTGTCTGCATGAGGGTTCCGAGCTGGTGGTGACGTGGGCCCGCAAGAACGTCTACATCATCAAGACCCTGCGCGAATTCCAATACGTGGATGAAGATAGCAGAGATGTCGGACAGAATGGTAAGCTGCGCTCCAGGTGTGGCGTCGTGTATGTGTTTATGTGTCTGACTGACTGGTCTCGTTGCAGTCCGTGTTGCCGCCAAAGAACTTACCTCCCTGATTCTGGACGAAGACAGACTGCGCAGTGAGCGGTCCGACCGCAAGCTGTGGAAGTCCCGCGTGAGCGGACTTGACGACTACCAGCCTCAAGGGCATGAGCCGCCCCGTCGGGAGCGCCGCGAACGTCGGCGTACGACCAATGACGACGACGATGCAGAGTATCGCTTGGCGATCGAGGCGAGCAAGTACGAAGCCGAGGAGGAACGCAAGCGACGGGCCAAGGAAGCCGGGGTGGACAATGACGAAGATCTGGCCCGGGCGATCAAGCTCAGTCGGGAAGAGGAGGAACTGCGCAAGCGGGAGTTGGAGGAAAGCAACGCCAACTCGCTCTTTGACGACACCCCGGTGCCAGTGGCCCAGGCGCAGGCCACTGGGTACAACCAGGGATACCAGCAGCAGAGCGCCGTCGACTGGTTCGGCAACCCGATCAACGCTCAGCAGCCGTTGTCGACCGGTTACCTGAACAACCAATATGCACAGCCCACTGGTTTCCAGGGACAGATGACGGGCATGCCCAACGGGTACGCCAATGGATTCCAGTCCCAGCCCTCCGCGTTCGACCAGAACCCCTATGGCCAGCAGCAGAGCAACTTCCTGCAGCCCCAGACCACGCTACAACCGCAACAGACAGCCTTCGGCGGCGGCAACCCGTGGGGCACCGATGTCTTCTCGCAGCAGCCCCAGCAACAGCAGCAGCAGCAGCACCAGGAAAACTACCTGTCGGCCGGCACCAACAACCCATGGGCTGCGCCCGGCACGCAGTCGGCGGACCCTCTGAGACCCATGCCCACCGGGTCGAACAACCCATTCGCGGCCCGCACGCAGTTCCAGAGCAAGCCGGTGTCGACCGGACCCCCGACCCTGAACTCGCTGGCGGAAGAGCGCACCACCAACCAGTTCAACCCAATTGCCAACTTCCAGGCCCCGCAGTCCTTCTCCCCACAGCCGCAGACCCTGGCGCCGCCCAAGAGCACGCCGCCCCAGATGCAAGACCCGCACCGCGCCCAGCTCAACGCGCTGCTGGCGTCGGGCGAGGGCCAGGACACCTTTGGAAACACCGGCGACCTGCGTATCCCGGCCCAGCACACCGCCCCGGGGACGTTCGTCAACTCGGCCGGCCAGGGGATAGATCGGCTGCGGGCCGCGCGGACCGGCAACAACCCGTTCTACGGCCAGCAGCAGCAGCAGTTCGTCCCCCAGCAGACGGGCTTTGCGCAGCCCGCCAGCAACCCCTGGGGAGGACAGCAGACGTACCATCAGCCTCAGCAGGGCGGCGGCAGTTTGATAGATCTGTAGGCGACGATGCGGTACGCGAGGAGGTGATGGGGTCGGGTGCGGTCCAGATATCTAGCCACCGTTCGAGGCTCGGGCTTTTATGTTTTTATCTCTCTCTTTCTTTTCTTTCCTTCTCTTCTAGTTGCAGTTGTAGGAGTCGAATCCGGATACCATTTTTTTCTTTTTCTATTTCTGTTTCTGTCGTTCTTGATGTTTTTACTGTTTTTGATGCCCGCTGTCCCTTCCTTTTACTTTACGCCGTTCGTTGCATATATTGATGGTACAACCAAAACCAACTACGAAGTCATCTTCCGTCACTCACTCTCCTCTCCTTATCCAAATTTCTTTATTGATTGGCCGATTGACTGATTTACAGATTGATTGATTGATTGATTGACTGACTGCTTCTTCCATTTGTCATGTACCTGCCCTACCTTACTACCTCGCCTTCTTACTCACACTTATGTACTGCACAATTTCCAAGCCAATCCCACTCCCTTCCCGATTCTGGGACACTGGGATACTGGGATACCGAGATACCGAGATACTGATTTATATCATCCATATACCCTCTGTTTCTTGCCTTCGTTCTGCCTGCATCCCTTTTTATTTTTTTCTCTCTCTCCTTCGTTCCTGTTTGTCTTGCTGTCTTGCTGTCTACCTGTCTACCTGCCTACTGCCTACTGCCTACTGCCTTCGTTATTAATTCATTGGTTCATTGGCACATTGGTCCGCCCGTCCGTCCGTCCGTCCATCCATCCATCCATCCTTCCATCGATAGGATGGTATTGGTATACCGTTACTCCCTTGTTGTTTATCCCACCCAATTTGGTCTTTCCCGTTCTCTTTTCTTTTCTTTTCTTTTCTTTTTCTTTTTCTTTTTCTTTTTCTTTTTCTCTTCTGGTAGATAGTTCTTTTTAGAAAATACCATTGATGTAATTCTTCGTTCTCTCACAAAGTTTTTTTATTCTGTTTGGATTTGTAGATTGATGAGGGAGGGGAGGGGAGGGGAGGGATAATGGCTCCGACCGACCCTTGTAGTAGTGGTAGTAGTAGTAGTAGTAGTAGTAGTAGTAGTAGTAGTAGTAGTAGTAGTAGTAGTAGTAGTAGTAGTAGCAGGAGGAGGTACAGCGATGTTACATCGTCTCGTGTTCTTGCCTACTAGGTAGATACTAGGTAGGTAGGTAAGTAAGTAGGTAAGTAGATGGGTAGATAGGAAGGTGGTTTCCGATGGCCGGATTAGGATACCATGTCATGTCATGTCATGTCATGTCATGTCGTACAACCCAACCTAGCCTTCCTTCCCCCTTCCGTCTCTTTCCTTTTCTGGTAGGATAGGATATAGCATACATAGTAGAGAGGAGAGAGTAGAGAGTATGGGGTAGTCTACAGTATATTCTAGTTAGTCAGTCTATCTTGTTAACATCATGTTATATCCATATCATAACATATCATACTATCATAACATATCATACTATCATAACATATCATACTATCATAACATATCATAACATATCATATCATGCCATACTAAGTCCTATCCACCCCCCCCCCCCCCCCTCTCTCAGTGCCATGATCATGATGGTAAAACAATAGACAGAATACGAGAAGTAGAGTTTCAGCAGTGAGTGAGTATACAATATATCTTGCAAGCCTATTATTGAATTTGAATTTGAATTTGAATTTGAATTGAATATGACAGGCAAACTTCATCTACACCAGGACCAATTAACACCCAGACACCTACCTATCCCGTACCGAAGTAGAGACAGACAGACATGAACAGCACAGTAACACCTGAAGTAATGCACCCATCCTATATCCTATCTTTTCCTATCCCTATCCTATCAAGTATCAAAAGCCTATTCAATCCATCCCACCCAAGCCTATCCCAGTCAGTGACCATGCACCGTCTGTCCATCGATCAGTCAATCAATCAATCAATCAATAATATCATGTCCCATTCCAACATCAACATCAACATCAAGACGATAATACAATCCATCCGTCCGTCCGTCCGTCCATTCATCGCCAGTTATCCAAATCAACCAACGCACCGAATCCAGTATCCAGTATATAAGACCGACCGACCGACCGACCGACCAACCCTGTACGTACGCCATTCACACAGAAGAAAGAAGCACAAAATAACACAGCCAAGACAACACTATGTAGATACGATAACTCTTCGCACCAGACAGAGCACACGAGGAAAGAACGAGAGAAAGCAAAAGAGAGAGAGAGAGAGAGAGAGAGAGAGAGAGTGTGTGTGTGTGTGTGTGTGTGTGTGTGTTGGGGGGCCAGAGAGGAAGAAGTCTAACCCCCCCTCTCACCAAACTGTCTCGCCCACTCCTCATACTCCTGTAACCCTTCCCGACTCACGCTGGGTCGGATGGACGACAAACTGGCCTCGAAGTCCTGGAAGCGGATGGCCCGGATCTGGTCCATGGGGGTGTGCAGCAGCGCTTCGCCGAGGTTGCGGAGGGGGCCCATGGCGGCGTCCTTGGCGAGGGCGGTCATGTCGGAGCCGGAGAATCCTGGTTGATTCGATTAGTTGTTATAAAGAATAGATAAAAAAGAAGAAAGAAAGAAAGAAAGAAAGAAAGAAAGAAAGGGACTCACCCTCCGTAACCTGCACAAGAACCTCGATATCCTCATCGGAGAGCTCATGGACCTGGTGACTGAGTAACTTGCGTAATTGCTGTTCGCGAACCCCGTGCTCGGGGAGAGGAATGTACTGGCGACGGACGAAGCGGCGGCGCGCGGCTTCATCAATGTCCCACGGCATATTAGTAGCCGCGAGGACGAGCACACGACTGGCGTCGCCCATCTTCTTGTCCTTCTGTTCGCGCCCGGCGGCTGCACGCTGCAGGTCGGACCATTGGATGAGGAACTCGGTCTTCGAGCGTCGGGAGGCCTCGTTCTCGGTCCCCGACGACCGGGCAGACAGTAGAGAGTCGATCTCGTCGACGAAGATGATGGACGGGGCGAGCGCTTTGGCGAGCCCGAACAAGGCGCGTACCAGCTTCTCGCTTTCGCCGTGCCATTTCGACGTCAGAGTGGAGGCCGACACAGAGAAGAAGGTCGATTTGGATTCCGTGGCCACGGCGCGTGCCAGCATCGTCTTGCCTGTTCCTGGGGGGCCGAAGAGGAGCATGCCGCGAGCCGGTTCTCGTAGACCTGAGAATAGATCCGGCCGGAGGAAGGGGTAGACCACGGCTTCTTTGAGGGCTTTCTTGGCCCCGTCCAGACCGGCGATATCATCCCAATGCACCTCGTCTCCGCGGACGACGATGTCGTTGAGGATCTGCCGCGCGGACATCACGTCGACGCCTTTCGGGAGCTTGTTCATGACATCCATGATCGCATCGTCCTCATCCGCATCCTCATCGACCGCATCTTCTTCCAGGTCGGTCGATTTGGGCCCCAGCGACTCCGGATCACTGGAAGGCGGTGTTACGTCACGTCTGAGCCGAGGCGTTGGTCGGACTGGACTTCCCGGCGAGAGCGTCATCCGATCCAAGCCTGGAACCAAGGCGTCATCGGCCGATGAACTCGGCGTGACCCGTGGCCGCGACAGCGATTTTGCCGGTGATTTGCTCGGCCCCTCCGACGTGCCAGCGGATAACCCCGGGGAGGTTGGTGTTGGATTGGATGACCTCAGCGCTACCGGTTTCGGCTTGATAGAGGGCTTCGGTGGAAATTGCGGGCGAACGGCGTCTCCCGAGGCGGGCCCCACGGACGCGGACTGAGAACGAGGCGACGGTTGTTGAACTTCGATGACCGGAGGGCGATGTGTCGAGACCGTTGGTGTTGCTTGAGGCGTGTTCGACGAGGAGGGCTTCTTCACGGGCGGCCGCCGGACTGCCTGATCGGGCGCGCGGAGCTTCCGCCCCGTGCGACGACTATCTGGGTCCTCTGCTGGGTTGGTTGGCCTCCGCTGGAGACGCTCATCCCCCGAATGGGGTCGACGGGGTTCTGATTCTCTGCGAAAGCCGGGGTCATTGGGGGCGCTGTAGCGGGAGGATGCGAGGGCGGCATCGCTGGCCGTCTTGTCGGGCGAGGAGAACGTGGGGTAGATACTACCCCAGGCGAGACCCGCCGCCTGAGAGGCTGCGGCCGGCCGCAGATCTCTCCGACGGGAGCTGTCCTTCTTCTTGGTATGCTTCTTGAGATCGCTGTTGCGCAACGTGAACGGCATGATCTTCCGCCGGTCGGGGCTGGGGTCCCGGGAGTCGGTTTTGCTGGAGGAATGCGACTGCGTGCGCTGTGCGGGGATCGGGATGGTGGGCGAGGGTGTGGCGGCACTGCTGGACTCCTTTCTGATCGATTCAGAGCTGACGGTGGTCTTGGGCGGCGGGCGCCCGGGGATGGTGGGAGGTTTGGAGAGGTCGGTATATCCGACGGCGGGAACGGTTCCGTCACCAATCCAGCCGGGAGTGGTTCGGGGGGGCGATCGACCGGTGGAATCTTTTCTGCTCTCACGGAGGGCCTGGAGGAGGTCGACCCGCTCGCTGCATTGGAGCTCGAGCTGGCGGATGGAATCCTGCAAGGCGCGCTCGGTCTCGTTTTTGGGTGTATACTTGGAGGACACCCGATAAGCGTTGTGATAGTAGATCGTTTCTAGGGCGGAACGCCAAGATCTCAGGGCCTCTTCTTCATTATTCTGCCATCGGTCGGGGCCGCATTAGTTTGGGGTATAGTTGGGAGAAGGGGAGAAGGGAGTGAGTGAGAAAGAAGGGGGAGGAGGAGGGGGGAGGAAGGTAGCATTGAGTGGTGACGGACCTGGCCCTCGAAGTAGACGGCAGTGGAGCACATCAGGTAGCAGTCATCGTAGGTCTTCTGCAGCGAAGACGCCGGCTTGGGGCGCATCATGGATGAGGAGGCATTCAGTGCCGGAAAGACGTGGATGTTGCAGGGCCCGCCCGCGGGAGTCGAAGGATGAGAGATTGAGGGGGAGAACGAGCGGACGGAGAGGTCAATTGGGGGGGGGTTTGGGAATATGGGGGAATGGAGGGGGGGAAAGCAGCAGAGGACGACGATCTATGAAGATGAAGTATGAAGAGAGGAAGAGGAGGGAAGATCCGACCGAAGGAAGAGTACGTACTGTAAGTCACTCGTTTCCCCCCCCAGTTTTTCCCTGTGACGTCGTTGGTTACCGGTTTTGGCTGTTCTGGAGGTCTCGCCCCACGAACCCATTATTTCCTTGACCGACTACTTCGAAACTACTTAGAAACAACTGTCTCGGAAGGACATGCACCCTCTCATGGTCGCGTGCATACCAATCAATCGATCATCTCGTTCCTCTATAAAGTACATACATACACAGATTCTCGTTCATCCAATCCGGCACATGCCGCAAGAAATGTATCCGAACAGCAAACATCCAAGACAATAAGAATAATAATAAAAAAAAAGGAAGATAGAAGATAATGCAGAAGGACAATCCAACCAGACACAAATGAAAGGAAAAGAAAAGGAAACTCGTCCAGATGTTCCCCTGCATGCCAACGCCAGTAGTACGCGATCGAAGCACGAATGAAGAAGCATACACCACCGGGGCCCCTAACGAAGGGCCCCGATCCGAGCCTGGGGAATGAAAAAAAAAAAAGCCCGGGCTCGCCAACACCACGCCAGGGCCTGCATTCATCGTCCATCAAGCCAGTCAACTGTACCCCGTCCAAAACAGATAAATACACGTCAGAATAGAAGGGTTCCCAATTCGGAGTCGGACATCCTCCCTCTCTCGTCCTCGGCGCTGCGTGTATTAAGTCCGAGGGTCCGGAAATGGGGCACACGCCCGAGAACGAGAGGGATCGATAGGAGAGAAAGGAAGCAGAGGAAGAGGAAAGGAGGCAAAAGACACCCGACGAGATCGCAGGCCCGCAGCTCGCAGGCAATAACGCTCGATCGGTGCTCCGCATGTGATACTAAGGGTAAGTCGGTTAGGTAAGGTAGGTAGGATGATTTGACTTCTCGTTCAACAAGACGATCTTTTTTTTTTCGAAAAACTTTTGAGGGTGTCGTTATTTCTTCCTATGCGTGGCTGGGGTTGGGTTTTCTTGGGAAACGGGTCTTTGCTTGTGCCCTTAGACAAGTCTGGCCGCAACCAGAAGAGGGTAAAGGGGTCGCTGAGCTGGAGGGAGTCGGATTCATGCGATTGGGCCGTTAGCGAAGGCCGTGGTCGCTCAGTTGTCCACCTGGCCCTTGAAGTAGGCCTTGGCCATCTCGTAGGAGGTCCTATGCGAACGCGTCAGAATAAAAGGCCCCAGCGGCGCACAGATGCAGACCGGCCGGGGGGGAGACTCACCAGCAAATGGCGGTGCTAGGCATGGTGGAAATGATGCGGGGGCGAGCGCCACGCAGGAATCCCTTCCAGCCGAACTGGCGCTTGATGATGGACGCGGCGTTGAACAGGCCCTTGGCCGACCGGATCTCCTCGTTCTGGGCCAGGCCTCGAGTCTGCAGCAGCGTCTTCACCACGTCCAGCGGGGTGGTGAGACCGGCCGCGAAGGCGCCCGCCAGACCTCCCGCCATGCAGTGCGTGAACGGATCGTAATCCTGCGACGGGTTCATGACCTTGGACAGGGACTCGTAGGCGACGAATTGAGTGGCGGTGAAGGGGACGGTCATGCAGAGGGTGGTGGGATAGGAGACGTAGAACGCCTGGAGACCTTCCGTCCGGTAGACGGTCTGGGCGCATTGGAGGAGGGTCTTGTGTACGGAGCCGTGGACTTGCATGCGTTGCTTGATGACTGCTCCCGTCAGCATCGCCGAAGACATCGATATCGCAAGGGTCGCGGAGACTCACCATCGAAGGGGTTCATCAGAGCATCGCTGGCGATGGTCGCGCAGGCACCGCTCAGCGCTTGGGGATCGTCAGCAATTGCGCTCGTAAGGTCGGGACATGACATCTCACCTGCTGCTACCGGGTGGTGACCATCGTCAACGTTACCACCGGCCATCTCCTTCACAACCTCATATGTACCGAAGTATACGGCGTGGGCCGGACCTGTCCAAAAAAAAAAAAAAAAAAAAAAAGCCCGTCAGCCTCCGCGACTGACCGCGCCCCCCTCAAAAACCTCATCATCACCACCATCATCACTACCACTTACCAGCACCGACAATAACACTCGAAACACCCTTCCATAGTGTCCTCCAGCCCTCGATCCTGTAAATCGTCGAGACCGCATTGGTCAAGCCTGTGTAGAGCCCACCGGTCGAGGGATGCAGGATTTGCATGCGTGTCTGTACAAATACCCCACCATCAGCCAGAGCCCTTTTCACTAGTCCGCGCACAGCCCAACCCGAAGCAGAAATCGAGTAGGAGCTTTAGTCTGGTCGGTCGCCCGCCCCAAAACAGCCCCCAAGAACAAAAAACAGACGCAGACATACCTTCAACAGATCCACCGGGTACATAACAGCGTGTTCCTAGACACCATCACCCATCACATCACATCAGCACGGCCCGACTGTATTTTCCCCCCTCTCCTGTATACACCACAAACACGCGAAGTGTGCACATACTGCTATTCCCGCGAAGGCGCCAGCCATCATATTCCGGCCGAGACCGTAGTTCGAGGGGAGGGCTTCATAGCTAGATTTGAAGAAGCGGCGTTAGCTCTCAGGATGTTTACCGGAAAATTCACATGTCGCTCGTCGATCAACTAGAAAGTAGAGCAACGCAATCAGGATCCGGAGGGAGGATTTGACACCCCCATCCTCCCCCCCCCTTGCGCGGACTGGTGAAATTGAAGCCCAAGGGCTGGATACCGGGGAAACACAAAGCACAACGTACTCGAATTCCTGCTCGGGGAGATGCTCGGGGGTCGCCATGGAGCTTGATTGGGACGTAGCACACAGCTGGATTCACTGGAAAAAAAAAAAAAAAAGAAAAAAGACCGGAGGGGGGGAACTCGGAAGTCAATGATACCGCGACTCGTCGAGGGGAAGGGTGATTGAGCTGAAGGTCAAGGTCGAAAAAGCCGACACAGGAAATCGGACTTGCGGAGCGGAGAGGAAGGAAGACCGACAGACACGGAGCGGACGGACAAGGATAGGCGGAAGGGGAGGAAGTAAGGAGCAGGAGGAGGAAGGGTAAGGAAGAGGAGGAAAAGTCGAAGAGGAGAGAGCGGTGCCAACCGGACCCAGAGCGAGGAAGAATCAATAATGCAGCGAAGGGGAGAGAGGAGGGAGAATGGCGAGCAAGAGGAAGCCGGTGATAATAATTCTTTGGACGGCCGGGAATTTCTTGCTGCTGCTGAAGGTGGAAAACTAAGGTACTAACTAAAGGAGCAGGTCGGCCGCTGCATACCGTCCCGTCCCGTCTTGTCAATACGCGTCACATACGCGACACCGCCCGCGCAAGAGCAGGCCTGGAGCCATTTCGGAGCGTGTATGGAACGGTCAGCTCGGCGTACGGCGTACGGCCTTACAGGCGCGGCATCGCAGCTTCAGCAGATGATAGATTGATATGATTTGCCTGCTGCATCGCTTCCTGGACCCATGAAGAGGAACAACCTCCTTCGGCCCTGATTCCCTCGGTCTTCTAGCCTGGTTTTCTCCATCTTACACAGTATGTACGGATATTCAGAGTATGATAATAATTCCCCATCCCGACCTGAGGTTTTATTTTCTTTTTCTTTCTTCTCTTTTTTTTTTTTTTTTTTTTTTTTTCTTTTTCATTTGTCCTATCAACCGCTGAATCAGCTTCCCCGACCTAGACCACCACCCTCTTTTAGTTTTCTGCCCTAAGCAAGCAAGTCAGTAGCAGCCAACTAACGCAGCCTTAGCAGTTAGCAAGTTAACACCCTAGGCTAAGTTTCCAACCTATCCACTCTGCAGTACGGAGCAGACACTAGGTAGATACTCCGTAGTACTAGTATCTAGTAGTAGTTAGTATCTACTATCCATCCACGGCAGTCGATACGCAGTGCTCCGTACCTTACCTAGTTTGGCCCTATAATAACCCTCTTATCCATGTATCTAATATGTATGTATAGTATCTTATGCCGGGATCCAGTCCACAGAATACGGAGACTAGTCCGTCCAGTTACTGTTAGTCCTACGCTAACTATCTCAGACTCTGACTTCTTTCATTCCGATGACGGACCATTTCTCCATGAGTAATGGATATTGGATACCTGTCCCACCTGCCACCTGCCACCTGCCACTTAGATACCATCTACCATCAACTGAAGTAAGTATCTAACTAACTGCTTTAAAAAAACAAAAAAAAAAACTGCTAGTAATAATTAATCAAGATCCCGCCAACTAGGTACTAGGTAGATATCTATTCACCAATCATCTCCCTCGATCTCCAGTCCCTGCACCGATATTTTTTTTTCTCTCCCTAGTAGATATCTAGTAGATAGATACATACTATAGATACTAGAATAGATGGTAATAAACAACAAGGGTGGTTTTGCCGCGGTCCCCCCCCATCTCAGCACGGGCGGGCAGACAACCAACCGAACCGCCGAACCGCGGAGGAATCCATCCATCGGTAGGCCGGCTCCCCCCCCCCAGGACTATCTTACTACAGACTACTACTAGTATTAGATACTAGTCTAGTAGACGATCCTTCCTGCCCTGCGCGTGCCCAGCCGTCTTATCTGATTTTTTTTCTTCTTTGCCGACCCTCTCTTACTTACCGTAGACTGACTAGGCTGGCTAGGTGGGCGTGGGTGGGTTAGCTCTAGTTCATCTCCTCCTCTGGTCCTCTAAGCTTTATCCAGCCAGCTCGGGAACCCTATCGCCGACTGCGATGGAAAGGAATGAAGGAAGGAAGGAAGGAAGGGAAAGGGCCCCGTCTCGGTGTTGCTAACTTGCTCCGCGGATATGCCGCGGACTGACTGGCACTGATTGTCAGACTAGTTCAGTTCATCCCAACTAGGTTCCAGTATATTTACTCCCTCCCTCCCTACACTGAAGAGCTGGATTTTCTGTTGACGGACTCATCTCATCCTTACAATAAATCCTCTCAAAATTCCGCATCCTAATCCTAATCCTAATCCTACCTACCCACCCACCTACCTAGTTACCCATACATCCATCCATCCATCCATCCATACGTGTCCAAAACCAAATGCGAGCCCAAATTCCCATCACACACAGAGGGCGAAAGAGAGCAAAGGTAGATAAGCTAGATATAAGGGAAATTGGGAAGATGGAGAAGAGAAGAGAAGAGAAGAGAAGAGACGAGACCCGCATCAGTATCTGCTACAATAGAAAATAAACATGGCAAGGTAGATACAACACAAAAACGTTCGCCCAGCAGTTAGTTGATACAAGCAATAAAGATCTCCATCCAGGAAGGAAAACATTTCAGGACGCCGGAGGGATAGTGAAACCATATGCGCTGTCGTTATGCACGTCGTGAAGCTCGTCCACTGGTCGGGGAGGGTGGACCCGACATAATGTACGTAGGTCTGATCATTCTATACGCTCTACTCTACCAATCCACGTTGAAGGTCCATTCCCCTGTGATACGAGTCAGTGTACAATACCCTCGAGGCACAAGGGCAGGGCAGGGGCTTCGTACCGTTTTTCAGGTTTTCTGCGGTGTCGCTCAACAGGATCACCCGTCGTTTGTTGCAGTAGGCCGTCTTGTCCAGGATGTCGACCTTCAAGTTTGCTAGCTCCGGCACGGGCTTCTCGAACATCTCACTCAGACTCTCCACCGCCATCTCCAGATCCTTCTGGTTGTCCTCGAAAATCTCCGTGAGATTGTTGCGTGCAAGGTAATAAGCAAAGGCATACGTCCACTTCAGCGTCTGCCGACACTGCTGCAGCGCTTGGGACGCCGTGTCGAGGAACTGCACTTCTATCCAGGAAAGCCCGGATTGGGACTGCAGGCTGGTCATCTTCTTCTCGGTCTTCAGGTATAGGTCTTTGTCGAGCTTGGCCGATTGCTCGTGGTTGGCGTATCGGTTATAGTAGTGGAGATACCGCTCCAACGACGCCCGGGATTTCGCCTGCTCGGTCCGGGCCTCGGAACCGGATTTCTCTTCGTAGCGATTGCAATTATACCAGCTGGTGCCGTGTTCGGACCACAGTCCCATGCACATCCAGCAGAACTCGTGCTTGCACTTGCGGCACGTCATGTGGTTACATCCACCGTTCTTCTCGATCGTAGAGTGGCACCTGGGGCACTCCTTGGTATTGGCCGAGATCCAGTTCGCCGTCTCGGAGTCGTCCTCGCACTTCTGCAGCCACATTTTCACCAACACACAAGGCGCCGGCTGGTGGTCACTCAGCGTACATCCAAAGCAGAAATAGTGCTTGCAGTCGCATTGCACTGTCGGCACAATGCGACGGAGGTCACGCTGCTTCACGGGACACTCGACCGCGTACTCGCAATTCGGGGCCGGACACCATTTGATGTTGTCCCTGTCATCGACGTACGTCCGCATGAGAAGGGCATTATATCTAAACGCAAGCATCAGCACGCCACACGGACGAGTAATCAAACGAGGCACACTCGGTCCTTACCTATCCTTGAGATCATCCGTCACAAGCAGCCCTAACGATTTCGAGTCCACGATAATATTACATGTGTCGCCCGGACATTCTATCCGAGCGGCTTCTCCCTCCTCCCGTATCTTCTGCCGGAGGTAATGTCGATAGCAGTCCACGCAGAAACGATGTCCACAACGCATGGCGTACGTCTCCAAGTCGTCCCCGTCTTCACAGCAAATGTCGCACACGAATCCTGGTATTTTTTCGGTCCTTGGATTCACTTGGGTATTGGCTCCCAGACCCGCTTCCTCTAGGGTCGTCTCGGGGTGATCCATGTATGAGTCAATCAACTTCTCGCGGTTCCACCGTCCATATCGCAACAGGATGGCCGACGACTCTGGTGGCAGTTTGAGAATAGACGAGACCTCGTTGATCTGTACATTCTGTTGTTGGCGGATATCCTCCGGGCTCAAAACACTGGACTCGACTTCGTAGGGCTTCCGTTTCGTCGCGATAATATCTTTGTCTTTGGAGAATCCGCCATCGAAATCGTCTCCGAAGTCTGGCCAGTAGAAAGAAACAAGGGTCAGCACAGGTTAAATCAGGCACAGCCAACAAATCGAATCACCGACCATCTAAACTCTCAACATCACTTCCTTGGGTATCCAGAAAGTCATCCGGGCTTGAGCCGATGCTCATGAAATCCTCGTCCGACTCCATGGTGGTGGACACCGGGGTGTTGAGATCCGTGGACTTCGTTCGCGCAGGAACCGAGAAGCTCCCTGAGATCCCTGACGTGGAATCTGTGCCGGGATCCTGCTCTGCGGACCTGAGTTTCTTGCGGGTGGAGTTGCCCGAGGCGGGCGTTCCGGTGGCGGCGGGCGAGAGGGCGACGGAAGCCTCGGTGGCGGCTGTTGTTTCGTTATGTACAAGCGTCGCCTCGGCCGCCTTCCTCTTCCTCGTGAGTGGAGGCGTGGTGAAGGCGTCCTGCCCGTGGCAAGCGGGTGTATGTGCTGATGCGAAAAAAGGCAGGACTCGAGGTGGAACGTCGAGGTCTCTTTTTCCGAGACAACACAGCCTACCGGAGAGACAGGAGGGGGGTGGACGGATGGAGAGGATGGGAAGGTTTGCGGAGATAGGGGGATAAAATGGAAAGGGTGTAGAGGAGAGAGGCGACGCGGATCTAACCCTCTAACCCTCAGCCGAACGTCTGCGGTTGCGTTTGCTGTGGTAGCTTATTGATGCTCATTCAAGAGCAGGGTAAAAGGGAGGGGTGGTGTCACTAGCAAACGGGTGGACGTCACGGGAGGTGTGGGGGCGTTCGACTCAGGCCAAGCCGCACCGCACCGCCTGCTGGAGGGGAACAACCGCTGGACTCTGGAGGGTCCGAGAATCGACCTGAATCAATCGAACCTTAGATTCAAGTAATGAATGGTGGCGGGGCAGTAAACACACGGGTTTCACTGCGTGCAAGAAAAAAAAAAAAGTAAAAAAAGAAGCGAGGGCTAGCAGCAAAAGGGATTATCACTGATGCTGGAGGCTCCAACATATGTATCGTATGTAATGTATGTATGCTCCGTACCTTGGCAGGGTCAACTGCAGGAGCCACGAACTCGAAGGGCCCAAGTGTGGACTGAACTCCACCAAAGACCCAGAATTTTGTAGATAGATAGGCCCGGATTAGAATAACAGCTGTCCTTCTCCGTGGAAGTGATCAATCACTGTATGATTGGGACCACCCGGGTATCTGCGGTGATGGCAGCTCCCAAGGAACAGGAACAATCTGCAGTGTGCAAATGTCGGATGTTTGCTTGCTTGAAAAAGAGATACCAGGCAATACTCCAGACCCTGGACAGTAAGGAGTAAGTAGTTGCTCTGTATGCCAGGCCAGCACATGCATGGGCAGGAAGAAGAAGAGGACCACGATGAGATAGATCGATCACTGACAAATAATAGCCTCTAAATATACTCTCTTTGGGTTAGCCCTTCACCTGACCTCCGCGGTGGCCTGGCCAGGCAAGCAGGCAAGCAGGCACCCATCCAGGCCCCATTCAATCGATCCATTCATTGATTGTGAAGATTCCCTCATGGGTCTTGATTTTGCTAGCATTATGGGCCATGGTCTATTTCATCTACTCATCATCTTCATCGCTGTCCTCCTCATCATCACTCTCCTCCTCGCTGCTCTCTTCCTCTTCGGCATTGGCCAGCCAGTCCACAAACTGTTGGGTTTGGCTGCGCACCTGTCGCATCTCCTCGCTGTTGCTCGACCGCTCATCAGCCCACCATTGCTCGTAAGCCTCCTCCTCCAGGATCTCCAGCTCGTACAGTTCCTTGGCCGTGAAAAGCAGAACCGTGTCACCCCGGCTGCGGTGCACAAGATCCTGCTGGATGAGAACCAGCAGGTCCACCTGGTCGGACTTGGTCTTGCTGTCCCGGTCGAAGAGAGCCCGTTCGACGATCTCCCGGTACTTGCCAAAGATCTCCCGGATGACCTCGCCGGCTCCCTTGCCGCCTTCCATCAACTGTTGGATGCGCTTCATGAAGGCCGACACCACGGCGCGGCGGACCTGGTGGTCGGAAGCGTTGGCTGTCATCCGTAGACTGACCAGCTCCAGCTGTACCACGTCCGACGTGACGCTATCCCGCAAACTATCGTAGACACTAGCCGCGGCATCGTGCACGAAGTGATCCTCGTCGTCCTCGGACATCGTAGTACTGAAACTTCCGGAGCGAGATCCTCCGAAGTCTGTGATCTCGGAAGATAGCGTCGAGATCGACTCGGTGGAAAGTGACAGGTTCGCCATGTTGTAAACTGCAAACGCAAGGTTAGCCGGGCACGCAATCCGAAAATCGGGGAATTTCCAAGCAGAGGGTACATACTCAAACCAGACGAAGCATTGCTGGCCGTCTCATCGTCATCTTCGTCTTCATACGGAACGTATTCGTATCCCTTGCCGCCTTCTCCGACGACCTCGGGTTCATTGGTTGGCTCGCCATCATCATCCTCCCGGGGAGCCTTTGTTATCCGCCTGCCCTCGGTGACGTTAACACCGTCGGCAATCTCCACCCCATACGAGATCAGAGACCCAGGCTCGATGATGCAGTTTTTGCCCACCACCGCCCGGTCAGCAACGATGGCCTGGTTGACAGTCGTTCCATCACCGATCACCGCGCCGTCCCAAATATAGGCACCGTCCAGCGTGACATTCTTGCCGATCTTGCAGTTCCGTCCGAGAACCGTGTTCTTAACCGTCGTCTTGTCCCCGATGCTCGTGCCCTGACCGATAACCGTGCGCCGCCCGATAACGCATGAGCGGGCCAGAGTCACGCCCTGTTCCTGGTACAGGCTTCCCTTCCGGAGCTCGTAGTTGTGACCGGGGAGCAGGTTCGTATCGGGACACAGGGGGTACGTCCAACGAGAGATGATATCCTTGCTGACGGCATCGTAGGCCTTCAGGTTCCGCACCCGCGCGGCATAGTGGTCCTTGATGATGTGGGTATGGATCGTCTTTCCATTCAGCTCGTAGTCCTTCAACACGCCGAACAGGAACTGTTTCCGGGGCGCCTGGTAATCGAAGCTGTCAGACCAGAGGCTGAGCACGTCCGGGGTACAGATATCGATATTGCAGTCAATCAGGTCTTGGCGAAGATCAATCTCCTGGTGCGTAGTGATGAGTTCGGTATCAATGTTCAGGCGGGAAGACTCCGGCGAGTAGTGATCGATCTCCTCGTAGTGTATGCAGCGGTCCTTGGTGGGGTCGATGACGAAGACAGGCGACACAGACGACGACTTGGTCCTGTGGTTGCGACCAGCCTCGCGCAGCACCATGGTCATGATCGCGTTCTTGTCGGACTCACGACGGGCACGGTGCTTGGTCAGCGCACCTTCGATGGGCAGGTTGCTGATGACATCGCCGCTGACCACGATGAAATCGCCCGTGATCAGATGCTTGCCGTCGAGATCACGCATGACATCTCCGACGGATGTCGACGTCGACTTGAGGAAGGTCAACTGCTTGAACGGCGACGACGGCGCTCTCCATTTCGACGCACTGTGTAGAGACTCCTGGTCAGCCCCGAGATCCAATCGCCAACCCCGCAATGTCAACCCACGTACTTGATGTATTTCTCCAACTGATCCGAGTGCGCGCCACCGTACAAGAAAACGTCCTGGACACCGGCGTTGGCAAGGAACTCAAGCGTATACTCGATCAAAGGCGTGTTCGCAAGGGGCAAGAGACACTAGTATCCCTCCATTAGTCCACATCCTCTAATATCCACCCTCCCTTCTTTCTTTCCAGCACACGAGATACATACCCGAGGCTTCTCCAGTGTGAAGGGCTCGAACCGAGTCTCAAACGTATCCGCAAGCACCTAGAACCAGAAAACAACCAGTCAGTCCAGCACTCGAAACCACAGCGAACCCAAAACAGATCAAAGAAAGAATAAGAAAAGAAAAAAAAAGGAACAGAACAGAACATACCACAGCCTGCAAAGTCTCCTCCACCTCCTCCGTGGCATTCGCCCTCTTGGACGCACCACCTTTTTGTTTCGGGCCCATCTAATCCCCCCCCCAAACCATCAGCAATTGATACACGACTCATACAATGCGCACTCACATCTAGTTAGTTAGACAGATTCCCCCACCTCAAACTCAAGTATTCAAAGAAAAAAAAAAGTCCCCAGAGGACAGCGAAAAACCAAAGCAGGGAGGTCCAGCCGTAACGCGCACAGGTTCAAAGCAACTCACGACCGGTCGAGTTCACCAGGTGTGGGGGGGGGAGGCGCGCGTAACTCGTAGTAGTCTTCAGTTCGCAAAATCTCCGCCAAGCCCGCGTTCATCGGGCGGAGGAGTCAGACTCCATCCCACCTTTGCGCGCGGTTTGCACTGTTTGCCTGGTTCCTGACCGCCCAACCATCACGTGCTCCACAGAGTGATCACGTGTTGCTGGGTTGCTGCATCAGCCACGGTGGCTTGATCGGGGTCGGGGGGTTCCAAGAGTCCAGAACACGGCCAGGGGCCTGGGCCCTCATGGACTCGAAGGAATATCCCTTGTTCAGGGACCACCGGTCTAGAACCTTATCTGTCATGGGTAAGCTGATGAATGCACGATCGTGGGCTGCGGGAAGCTTGGTTGGGGTGGATGAACACTGGGTCGTTGGATCTTCACCTCCGTGAGTGGTTGCTCAGTTGCACAACCCAGGGCTGCTGATGGGGGCCGTATACGCATACATTTACAGTCCACGGTGGTTCTACGGCTTACGCAGCTGAATAATGCCGGGCAGGGTGGGTTTACTAGGTAGCACAGAATCGAGGTAGGTGTGCTTGCGGGGTAGGATTGGTGATAGTGTAGATATGTGATTTGGCTCTATAGATTTCCCACTGCCCGGCCCAACAACCCTGCTGTTATAACCAATTAAATGACCCACCACAAATTGACCTTCCCAACAGAGTTACAGAAAAATGGTCGGCGCCTTAACGAGTAATCGCTTCCAGCGACACGCACACAAATCGATGGATACTACCTGCTGCCAGCTCAAGGTCCCTTCTTTCAAACCACGGTATCTGGATGCCATACCTCATGTGCCAGTTTGATTGTACCGGCCATCCAGTAGAAACGAAACAACGCAACAGTTTGCCGCAAGACGATTCGCAACCTATGCAAGTAACAAGATACGCCCTAAACACCGGGATATATCGAACAAATTCTGCAAAACAGAAACGCAGTACAACTCCCCGAGTCAACAGTATCGTACGGCTAAGATTTCATGAGAAGAGGAGAAATGGAAATCGTGAGGCGAGGAGGCATGGCGGGAGTAGGGGGAGAGGAGCGGGGGACGGGATGGGAGGGACTGAGAGAGGTCGTCCTGAGTTGTGGTGGACGAGGCGACGTATACAATAGTAGAAGGCACCGGGCCTAGCCAGTCCGCGTCGCTTGCATTGGGTTGACGATGGGCTGCGCCTGGTGCGCATACATGCGCGGCCGTTTAGCTATGTTAGGGGGTTCCCCGGCACTAGACATTTCTGAAAGCTGCCGTCGTGGTTGCGGCCTGGCGGCTGCTGCAGTCGCTGCAGCTGTGAGCGCCACAGGAGGTGCAGGATATTGAACGCCATTTTGGTCCACGGCATATGCAGCCGCGGCCGGGGTAGCAGGAACGTATTGACTTGGGACCTGTTGAATGCTAGGGGCCACAGGGGCCATTCCCGGGAACTGGCCGGGGGATTGCCAGTTATTCATCGGAGTTACTGGTGATTGACCAGGGGAGCTGTCCTCTTTAACCGACTGGGCCGCCGAGCTCTGGGCGGCCATAGTGACCGAGGCCGCAGATTGGGGAGGCTCCATGCCCGGCTGAATCTTGAGATGGACCAAGTGTTTCTCAAGCATATCAAGAAGACTCTTCCTCGTGAAGGGCTTGGGGAGAACATCATCCATGCCTGAAGAAATTAGCCCCTGAGCAAGAACGACATTTGGGGGATGTTTTCACAACCGCGGACATACCATGCTGGAAATAGAGTTGGATATCATCGCTCCGGATATTGGAGGTCATGGCGATGATGGGGGTTCTGTCGAACTGGCGGATCAGATGGCAAGCCGAGACACCATCCAAATTGGGCATGATGATATCCATGAGGATAAGATCGTATTTGGAGCCATCCTGGATCTTGTTCACAGCTTCCAGTCCATCAAACTGCAACACCGTTAGTTATCATACACTTGAGATACACCCCAGCAGGCAAAACTTACCGCGGTATCAATGTGACAGTGGAAGGAGTAAAGGAATTTCCCGCCGATCTGTCGGCATGTCGCATCATCCTCCACAAGCAGAATATGCGGGTTGCGCATCCAGCCAGGGTCGACATTTGCGCTCTTCTTGCGGTTGTCGGGGAATTGCCTTCGGGTCTCGTCAAGCTCTTGCTTGGGGGGCATCGGGTAAGGGACGTTGTTGACATGTTCGCTGTACATAGGATCGATCCCATTTGTGGCACCGACGGGGTAAACGACGGGCTCGATCTCGCCGTTCATCTTCGAATAGACCATGGCCTGGTTTGTGGGCGGGGGGCGCGCGACACCGTTGCGCGAGGCCGCCTCCATAGCAGGCGCAGGAACTACCGCCGTGTTTTTCGGGGGCTCCCCCATTGACTCCAAGCCAGCCAGGTTGAACTGGATTTCGGCGTTCATATCACTCAGGAGTTTCGAAGCATGCTGCAAGGGCGATGACGGCTCGTCGTCCATGGTTGCGACCTGCGAAGGACTCATGGTCGAGCCAGCTTGGCCCTGGGCTTGGAAAGGCGCCGCTGCCTTGCTGTCGCGCCTTTGGCGAGCATCGACAGAGAGCAGGTAAGTCATCACCTGGTGGATGACGTTCTCATGGTTGAGGACCGTTTTCTGGACCCTCAAAAGCTCCTGCAGCATCAACTGGTGATCGACCGTCAGCTGTGCGTAGCGATCCGACAAGTTTTGGATCTGCTGCTGCTGCGCCACAATCTGCTGGTTCAGCAAGTCTATTTGCTGGGTAGGGACCGAGTCGTCGCTGGGCTGGGTCTGTTTGCGCGGAGCCGGGGCCTTCCGCCGGATGTTATCGAGCGACTCCTTGCTGTTCGCTCTGAACTCGGGGTGTTTAAATTCCCACGCCTAGATCCAATTAGAACAGATCGCATCGACCGCCACCGAGCGCTGCATCCTTACATTCTGGCCGTATGGCGACTGCCCATTCTCCTCATTGTTCTGTCGCACTTTGTGGAAGTCGTACTTGTTCAGCTGTCGCACGAAACTGGCGAAGTTGCTGTGCTTGAAGTGTTTCGGAAGGATGGTTTTGGTGAATTTCTCGCACTGGCAGGTAACCGGTCAGTCGCGGCGTTGCGATCGCGGGAGAGGGGGGAGAACACGGAGAGCGCCGCACCTCCAGGACCACAAAACTATCCCCTTCATCACCCCACCGCACGATTTCCGAATACGAGGGATCCTCCAGCATCCTTGGCCAAGTCAGTACTCATTATCCGATCGATATGCAAGGTATCTGTCGTTTCAATCTATCGGGCGCAGCGAACATCGGGCAGTGCTGGGGTGGGAGGCGTTGAGGGTCGGGTTTGGGGGGGGGAGGAGGGGAGGAGCCGAGGGCGAGCGACCGGACGGACGATCAAAGCGAGGGAAAAGGTACGGGGGAAGGGAAAAAGGGGAAGACTCACTTGTAGAGTTTCCGTACCTAGGCATTTTGTTAGCGACCGAACAGAAGGAAAAGTAAATAATTCATTGATCATATCATGATGATCAGGGCCATCGGCATCGAGGCCGATACTTACAAAATCGCTGGAGTTGCCCGCGGGGGCGGCGCTGGTCGAGGTCTGGCCACCGTCCATCGTGGGCTAGATGGGTCGCGACCGATCGAACAAGCAACAGGCTCAACACGTCGCAGGGCTTCGAGGAGCGGGCGTGGACGGGAAAGAGAAAACCAACCAGCCGACGATTTCTCCCGGAAGTTCGCAGGAGGCGAGAATGGGGGGGGGATTGGGGGGGAAAGAAGAATAAAATAATAATTATAATAAGACACGATAAGAGGAAGAAGAAGAGGAGGAGAGAAGAAGAATGGGGGAGAGAAGAAAAAGACGACCGTAAGGTAGCAGTAGTGGTGGTGGTCGCAAGAGAGATGGAGTGGAAGGAGGAATGGGAATTAATTAGTCGCCTCCGTTTGGGTTTAGTCCGGGTCGCTCGCAGTTCCCCCGGTGGGCCTTGGGGTGTGGTGTTCAACCTTCACGCTTCACAGTACAGTGGTAATGAGAAATAATAAAATGGAATTAAAAATGGAAATGCCTGAGTTGTTGAGTGTTGGTGCAAGTGGGCTGATGGAGGCGTGGTGGATGCAAGCAAGCAGGCCAGCAATCAATCAATCAACAGATGGGGGTTTTTTGCCTTTCCACGGCTCGAGCCCATTTGGCAATCAGGTTCAAGGGCAACTGACTATCAAGTGGGTTCTTCCTCTTTTCCCCCCCTCCCCCTCCCAAGGACGTGGTGGTGGTCACTAGCCACACAACCATCTATCTACCCGACGGTTTATGTGTCTGTCTGTCGCTGTTTATTATTTTCTTTCTTTCTTTTTCTTTTTTTTTCCCTTTTGGTTCACTCTTCCCCCCCCCTCTCCCCCTCTCCATCCCCAAATTACTTCCCCCCCCTCCCTCTCATAATTCCTATCCATCCATTCTATCTGGTATTTTCTTTTTGGGTTTCGGGTATCCGGGAGCTTTTCTACCTGCGCGAAATGTTTGGTGGATGACCTCAAGCAAGGAGATCCTAAAAGAGGGGTAGACCAGAATTCTCCTGCTAACTCCAACTAACTAATTCTTAGAGCCTCGGGGACTAACTAATAGGGAGAGACAACAACTCAATAATATTAATAAATAATCCTCGCCCGGCCCAAAAGGGGAAGGTTCAAAGAAAACCAACCCCGAAGCATCAAGTAAGGTAGCCAACTTCATCAACAGTGACGAAATGTATCTTCTGGCGGCACTCCCGGCCCCAGGCTGTCAGTGCGCCCGAACGATGCAGAACCACTGCATGAAAAAGGATGGGCGGGGAGCCATGGGGATAGGCTGCCCGGAGCGGAGGGGCCTTGGGATTTACCCAGCGATCAACAACGGTCGTCATAGTATACGGACGGACGGTTTGTCTGTTCGCTCGGCCCACGCGGTAGACAACCAACAGATGCGGGTAATCGAAATTGAAGTCAGGTCCGACGGTTGCCGGATGGGAACTATCTATCTACTAGTATCTACATTCCCCAGATGAATACTATCCTATCTTTGGAGTACATCTGCCTAGGGGCCCATCCGATGGGGGTCTTTATTTCGGCAGTCAATGCAGATCCCTCACTCAGATAGCCGACAATGTGAGGATTGGAAATGCAGCACACACACACACACACAAATGAGTTGCGGACAAAGAGAGACAAAGGCACAGCCATTCCGTGCCCGAGTGTTCCCAGTTGAGCCAAAACGATATGATAGAGATCCGGCAGGCGCTTTATTTAGTACAAGGAGTGACGGGATGGATGCGCCACCTCCCAAGCATCATGTACTCGTCAAGGGAGCAGAAGATGCCCGACTCCAGTATTACTTGATTGATTCCTGTCCTGCATTTCTTCTTAATCACGCCCATCAATAATATCCAGCCGCCACGGTCTGAGATAGATGGGGTGCAGCCGGGGCCCAGACTCCCTCCCCGGACCACAGCCACCTGAATGTTGCGAACCCTTGCAGTATGATATAGACAATGCAGGGCAACCCGTCCGTCAGGCGGGAATTGCGAACTGTCAAAGCTAGTGATCGAGACTGGTCCATGGAAACCCGGAGGATATGTCCATTGGGTTTGATTGATTGGATGCGGTCTCATCTGAGCATCTCATCTCATCTCACTCGGGTCCGGATACCTACTGGACATGCCGGGGCATCGGAACGGCTCTGACTAACCGGGGAGGAGCTAACTAGTTATTCCTTCATGTAGATAACACGATCATGAGGCTCACTCACTCCATCAACAATTTGACGGACTGATAGCCAAAAACACAAAAACAACATTTCGATGACAAGGATGGGATTCGAACCCACGCTCTTTCGAACCAGTGTTTCGGATCGTATCAAGATAGGCTCCTAAAACTGGCACCTTAACCACTCGGTCACCTTGCCTGGAGATGACAAAATCCGTCGATTTCCTACATCATCGCCCAGCATAGCATCGATGAAGGCAAATCTGCTGTGGCCAGCGACTCACGGGCACCCCCTAATTGGGTTGTCAACGGGACAAATGACAGCTCTCTGGATGTCTCTCCGCATTCTACGGAGTACGACCGTCCTCACTGAAACTCAATACAGGGCTAAGCATTCCTCAAAATGAGAATAGAAGGACTTGGTCATTCAGCCAGGGCCCAGGGGAGCGAGTCCCCCCCCCCCACGTTCGGCGACTGACGTCCGGGCTCTGCAGCGGCCGAAAGCGACCATGACGAAATGATGTTCCGCAGCTGAACCATCCTCGAGAAAGCTCCACCACTTACCACTTACTTGCACTTCCCACTCCCTCCCCTCTCTTCATTGACAACTCATTCCACGGCTCCAGACTTAGGTTAGCTTTCAGGGGCTCCTGTGACTTGAACCTCCCATCTCTTCCATCTAACACATTCCTTAGGAAATTATCATTCATTCATTCCTCCTCCAACCATGTTTGCTGCTCGCCGTCTCACCGCGGGTGTCCCTCGCGCCCTGTCCCAGAGGGCCCTCTTCCACAACACCGCCCCGGCTTTCGTCCAGAAGGGAGACGCCATCCCCAACCTGGATGTTCTCGTCGAGAACTCCCCCGGCAACAAGGTCAACCTTGCCACGGAGCTCAAGGGAAAGGGTGTCATTATCGGTGTCCCGGCTGCCTTCAGTACGCATCCCTGTTTGCGCCGACCTGCTCGTCCCGGGCGGAGAGAGAGAACACAAACCCAATGCTACTTCATGTTTTTTTTTTTTTTTCAAATGCTAATTCCTGCTGTCTTAGGCCCCGCCTGCTCTAGCAGCCATGTCCCCGGATACATCAACCACCCCAAGCTCAAGGAGGCCGGTCAGGTCTTCGTCGTCGCGGTCAATGACCCTTTCGTGTAAGCTACGAGCCACTAGCCAGGTTCTTCGACTGAGGACTTTTTTTGGACTAATCCCACAATAGGACCAAGGCTTGGGCGACTTCCCTCGACCCTAGCGGCAAGAGCGGCGTAAGTGATACCGCCCATGTCCCTTGCACGAATCCTCCAATATCTCAATTACTAACAACACCATAGATTCGCTTCCTGGGTGACCCCTCCGGCAAGTTCTCCGAAGCTCTCGACGTGACCTTCGACAGCGCCTCCATCTTCGGAAACAACCGCAGCAAGCGTTACGCGCTGCTCGTCGAGAACGGAAAGGTCAAGGAAGCTTTTGTGGAGCCCGACAACATCGGCCTTGACGGTACGTCTCCTGTCAACCCCGTAGCATCAATCATACTTGGGCCGGTACTAACCGCGAATACAGTCTCTGCGGCCGAGAAGGTGCTGGGCTAAACGCGTCCGGCTTACCCGTACACCATACCCCAGCCGTTGTGTAAAATCTAGTATACAAGACATGACAATAGATCATAATATTTATTCCGATATAAGTCTATTTCCAAAACCCATAGCCAGCGAATGTGAAAAGAAAAAAGTTGTAGCCGGCTGCGCAAAGCCCTGATCATCGATTAACCCAACGCCCGACTGCAATGCCCCTCAGACGACAGAGAGCATGCTCAATACCCAGGATATATCCACCTCCACCTCCGATTTCCTCCCAACTGCCAGGGAAAGAAAGACAGGGTTCGTTCAACCCTGCAGCGCTTGCCACTGCTCCGGAGTGTAGCACTTGGGCGTCCAGGCATGGATAGCCGCGATCTCAGCCTTCAGAGCCGAGTTGACCAAGCGATGACGGGCCAGCATGGTCTTCTTCTCGAACTGCGGGGAGACAATCACCGCCTGGAAGGCCTGTCCGCAGCCACCTAGAGAACAAGAAAAAAAAGATACCGTCAACATTCAAGTCCTCATATTTTGTATTTGTATATAGAGAGAGGGAGCGGGCATCCCGCAAAGCAACAAGCAAAGCAATTAATCAGCAAGCACGGGCAATTTTCCATACCCGACAAATCTTCAATCTCGACATGCTGAGCCTGTAACTGGTCGATCAATTTAAGCTTCAGCGAGTCTGCCGTGACACCCGGGGTATCGGCCATGGCTGCATTCACTGCAGCGAAGGAGCGCGCGGAGATCGAAAAGGGCGATTGGTGATGGTGGACGGGGGTGCGGAGAAGATACCGGCAGCTTCTGCTCAACAGGGTAGTGGTGCGTGAGTACATCAAGCGCGGACTGGGGAAGGTGGTTTCTCGGGGAAGTCAAGTTGATGCGGCAGGTTCTATTTGGGATTTATATTATTGGGGACCGGGCAGGGGGAAAGGCGACCGATATCGTCCCAAGCAAATCTGATACTGAGGTGCGGTTGATGCCTCGTTCTTCCGATGTAGGATGACGGAATTCCTCTTGGTTGGGTTAGTTACCGTACCGTATGGGCTGTATTGGTCAGCTGCCGCGGTGGCTGGTGCGTGCTAGGCTGGATGGGGACTGGCGTGGTGTGGCGCCAGCTTTCGCCTCGGCTTTTGATCGTCTCTCTGCCGTGCCGTTGCATTGATTGTTCGAGCTTCGTCTTGTTTCATAATCGCGGGGTTCTGCTGTTCGAGCTCGACGTCCCGCTTGATTGCTGACATCCCCGGGTTAAATCAATACCTCCATTATTGTCTATGAATACTCTTGCCCTTGCCCGCTATTCCCATCGCCTATACTCCACAATGTCGCAGCCCATCTCGTCGCCGTTCACGCGGGCAGTGGTGAGCTCCATGAGGAAGCTGTACGTCTTCTAGAACATCAACATCAACGTCGATTCTCTCGCGCATTGCTCGCTGACACCGCATATCAAAACACTAGCTACCCCGAGTCCCTTGCAGAAAAGAGCTGGGATAACACCGGCCGTAAGCTCTCATCCACCACCACCACTACACACCCAACTAACACCCATCTCCCAGTCCTCCTCGAAGCCCCCTTCAACCACACCCGCAGACAGAAGAACTCGGTCCTCCTAGCCATCGACCTCACCACAGCAGTCGCCGATGAAGCAATTGCCCGTCGAGACTCCATAGTGGTAGCCTACCGTATGCAATGAACCAACCCACCACACCACACCACACCACCAACTAATCCCTCCCCTCCCTCCCCTCCAGACCCGATCATCTTCCGCGGCCTGAAATCGCTCACCTTCAACGATCCTCAACAATCCACCCTCCTCCGTCTCGCCACAGAAGGCATCAGCGTGTACTCCCCGCACACGGCCATCGACGCCACCCCCGGCGGCATGGCCGACTGGCTGTGCGACATCGTGACCGGCGCAATCGCGCCGACCAGCGCCTCGAAGCCCTCGATCCAAAAGTCCTCCTCAGCACACTACTCGCACCTCACGTTCCCGCACCCCCAGCCCGCCACGCCCGCCACACCCGTCCCCCACGTCCGAAACACCATCATCCCGTCTCCCCCGCCCGTCCCCGAGGGCATGGAATCCGCCGGAATGGGCCGCATCGTCACCTTCGACGAGCCGCAGCCTCTCACCGCCATCGTGGATCGCATCGCCCAGGGCGTCGGATACCCCGGCGGTATTCCCATCGCTATCCCGCAGACGGCCACCGTCGAGGATCTGAAGATCCGTACCGTGGGCGTGTGTCCCGGGTCCGGGTCCAGTGTGCTGCTCAAGGGTACCGGTGGTAAGATCCCAGATGTGCTCTTTACCGGAGAGTTGAGTCACCATGAAGCCTTGGCCGCTGTTGAGCGCGGCTCTGTCGTCATTGCCCTGGCCCATACGAATACTGAGCGGGGGTACCTCCGTGCCGTGATGCGGGAGAAGCTCGCCCGTGCGGTGCAGACGGAGTGGGAGGCGCAGCGCGCAGAGGGGTTGAAGGATAGCAGCAGCAGCAGCAGCAGCAGCAGTGCGGCGGACTCGGACCTGAAACAGGCTTTCGATGATGCAGAGTGTATCGTTGATGTCAGTGAGCGCGATCGCGACCCTTACGGCATCATGATCCGGCAGGTGTAACTGCAGCCCTACAGGTAGGTAGTATACATAAAACCAGAGCAATACACATATAGAGTCCATACGAAAAAAAAAAAAATTCACAACACAAAATAATACTATATACATACATACATACATACATACATACACCCTCAAATAAAACCCACCCCAACCACCCTCACAAAACGACTAAAAACAAGAAGAAACGAACCCCCTAAAGAAAATAAGATGAATGAATCTCTCAACTCAACAAAACCCTAATCTCCCCCGTCGTCCGGGGGAACAACTTCCTCAATCCCCAATCCTTATCATTCTCCTCCGCTCCCTCGTCCCCATCCGCATCCTTACCCTCATCATCCTTCTCATCCCCAACAACATCCACATCCACATCCACATCCACATTCCCCCTGGCCTCATCCGCCCCGATAATCATACCCTCCACGAACTCGAAATCGCGACAGAACGCCTCCACGGCTTCTTCCGTCACGCTCTTCACGAAGGTAGCGCTCTGCACGCGCTTCAGGTTATCTGTTGCGTCCATCAGCGCGGACGGAAGGAAGTCGTCGAGTTGCTGGCTGGTGGCGATGAGGGCGGCGGGTTGGAAGGCCGGGAGGGCGGTGATGTCGGCGATGTTGTTTGGTTTGGACGACTGCTGCTGTTGTTGGTGGTGGTGGTGGTGGTGTTGAGGGAGGGCAGCGGATGATGATGGGTGCGGGGAGAAAGGTTCCAGGGCTGCGAGGAGGGAGTGCAAGCCTGAGGAGGTGAGGAGGTAGCGGTGTTGGATGTCGAGAAGGTCCATGCGGAGGGTGGAGAGGGCGGATTGGAGCGGGGGGGTATGGGTTGCGCTTGCGAAGGGGTAGGGGGTTATGGCTGCGCGGGTGGTGAGGTGGATGTTTGTGAGGTAGATGGTTTGGATGGTGGTGGTGGGGAGGTCTGCGGCAGAGGATTTGGCCAGGTCCAGGAAGGGGTCCAGCGCGGCGCGGAGGACCGGGGTGAATCTGTTTTCCTGGGCGGGGTTGCTGGGGTCGGGGTCGGCGCCGAAGGAGGCTTCGTGGGTCTTCATCAGGGAGGTGAGGACTTCGAGGGCGTCTTGGAGGAATTCGGGGACGGAGAGGTCCGGAGGAGGCGTGAGGGCGGAGTGGTCGGTCGAGAGGTTGGTGACTTTGTCGCGCATCAGGATGTCGAAGTGCTTAAATGTGAACGCTTCGAGGGTCGAGAGGAGTTCGGAAAGGCTAGATTGCGGGCCCAGGAGCTTGGAGAAGGTCGTTTGGTAGAAGTTGAGGAGGTTGACCACCTTGTAGCAGGTGACGGGGTCGTCGTGGCCTTGGATCACCAGCTCGACGCGTTGGCGCAGGGCGCGGGACACGCCGATCAGGTCGCGGTTGACTAGGTCGCTGAGGGCTTTCTGTCCGTCGAAGGTGACCTCCTTGTCTTCGTCGATGCGGGACCATGGCTCGCTGCTGAGCCCGGCTTGGATGCCTTTGGCGAGCTCTTCGCCGTCCGCGACGAAGAGGGCCTCTAGGGCTTCGCGCTCGGATACGGTGGTGGAATGCACCCAGGCTAGCATGTCTCCGATGTAGCGTAGAGGGTCGTGGGCGGAGAACTCTATCGGCTTGACATTTCGATCCCCGTCCGCGCCGGATACCGCGTCCGTGAGGGCGTAGTGGAAGGCGTCGGAGAGCACGTAGTCCCGGGCCTCTGCGAAGAAATCCAAGCAGCTGTGGAACAGGCTCGGACGCTCGGCCAGGACTCGCAGGACTCGCCGGATGGAGCTGCTGATCCGGGGATCTTCGAGGTTCAATGACCGGAACTCCTTCTGGATCCACCTGTAGAGTTTCTGGTAGGCCGAGTTGAGGCTTCTCGAGCTCTTCTCCATGAGTTCCAGACCGAGTCGCTCGTTCTCACCACCCAGCAGCACCTCGCAATCACGGTGCACCTGCTTCACCCGGGAGAGGATGTCGAAGAAGTGATCGTCGATAGGCTCTTCCACAGATGTCAGGACCAGAAGATCCTCGTCAGAGACGATGAAGTGTTGGGTGAATGCCTGGAGAAGTTGCTGTTTGGTCTCCGCCTCTTGCTTTTGCTTCATCAACGCAGACGCTTCCTCGAGAACAGGGGTTGTCTCTTGTCTCGCGGAGACTATGTGCTTCCGCATCTCCTCGCATGTCTGGTTCAGGTTCGATATCACGGTTCCAATTCGTTTCAGTTGCTGCGTATTCGACCCAGGTTAGCATGCATATCAACTCTCCATCCAGTTCCCCGCGAATCTCACCTCCGCAACCTTCCCAAAGTCCCGTACAATCTCGGCGTTACTGTCGACCACCTCTTTCTGGACGTCTAGACGGAGCTGTCTGCGGACCTCGGCCGTGTTGTGGATGCCCCGGAGACTGAGGGTCTCCAGCGCGTCGCGAATGTCCGAGTCGGCATATGAGGCCGAAAGTACACTTGTCAGTCGGTTGGACAAGGCATTGGATCGCTGGTGTGCCGGCGGCGAGAGGGGCGAGGAAGCCGGCGAGGACGCTCGAGTGGACGCATGGCTGGAGATGGCTCCATTGGGAGGAAAATAGCCCGCCATGCTGCCCGATGTTGGTCGAATGAACCCGTATCACCGGAGTGGTGGTGGTCACTGCGACGGTCCCGATGGGCGGAGGCGGAGGCGGAGGCGGAGGAGGCGGAAGTCGGATAAACACCGCGCGCTTTGGCCGGCTGCAACATCCCCCAACCGTCCATCTGCCATCACCAAGCAGCAGTCTTCGTATTATTGGAGACGCTACCGTCGTATCCGTCATGGACAGCCCCCTCGTCTCCCCCGCAAAGGCCCGCCAGGCAGCTATCCAGGCCAAAGACTGGGCCTATGTGAACTCCTGGCTGGGTCGGCAATATGCGCCCAATCCGATTCCTAACTTTGAGCGGAATGATGATACCCTACGCACTCTACTGGCCCTAGCTGCCGCCAACGATGCTGCGGACGAGGAAGCCACGGTGCTCCATCAAGCGCGCGAGGAAGCGGTCCGGCAGTTCAAGGCCGGAGAAGAGATGGAAGAGAAACAGAAGACGGAGATCTTGGATGAGGTGGAGATGAGTCTTGATGATAATGGCACGCGGAGTCTGGAGGATTTGGCACAGACGACTGCGGTGCTTGGGGCCCTCAGCTCAGAAACGAGAGACCTTGGCCAGTCAATTATCGAACTCACGAAGGAAGAATTCGGCGTCCAGGAGCAGCTGTCTAAGGTTCAGACGCTACACAGCTACCTAGAAACCGAGCTGGCGACGCTCCGAGAGCAGCTTATGGATCTTAAAACGAACGAGGCGTTTGAGACACCCGCCAACCTCCCGGCACAAACAGCTGAATGGACGAGAGGTACCAAATTGCTCAACGCCAAGGTTGGCGAGTACCAGGATAAGATTGCCTCCCTGCAAAGGAACCAGAGCAAGGGGCCTACGCTTGAGGAAGTCATTGCAGAAGAGGAGAGCGTCACAAAAATGCTGGAAGCCGTCAAGACATTACAGACTAGGGTTGCAATGTTTCATGACCTCCCGAAGGACATACCCGGAGCCAGGTCCAGGTACAAGGAACTAGAACGGGAGCTTGACGAACTCACCCTGCAACGGGATGGCATGTTCGAGAAGCTAGTGGACAGGTAAAATGCGTTTACTGATGGAAAGTAGGATGTTTGTTTGAAATATTACAAGACTAGCATTGAGCCTAGTGAAGTGATACTATCAAGATATGGTATCGTCGAAATCATGATATCATAATAGAAAATGTTCCGTGAGCCGCCAATCCATCTTCCACAATTCCCATGCACAAGACATCACAGAACCGAAAGTGTTGTTAGGCGTGACTCTTTAAGGGTATATGTGGCTGGCTTAGTTACCACCGAGACCGACGGCGTTCTTGATCTTGTCGCCACTGTTGCATATATCAGTGCACTGTTTCAAGCTGAGACACACATCCAAGCCTGGGCTATACTGACATCGAGCCGGAGGCACCGCCGTGGGCGGCCTCATCGTGGGAGCGCTGGGTCTTGTCAAAGGCCTCCTGGGGAGCGGACTTGCTGTCGTCGGACTGCAAGCCGCGGGCAACACGGTCGGTGGTGTCGGTGAAGGTCTCCTTAACCTTGTCCTGGGTGGACTTGGCGGAGTCGGGAGTGATCTCCTCCTTAGCCTCTGTGCATATGCGTTAGCATCCTGCAAGCAAATGACACGGTAGCCAAACATAGGAGCAGGGGCGACATACTGGTGGTGAAATCCTTGCGGCCGGCGTCAGACATGATGATGGTAGTTCGGTTGGAAGTTTGAAGAGGTAGAGAAAGATAGTTGGTTTGAAGAATTGAGCTGTAGTGGATTCAGATGAGGATGGTTGATGATGAAGCGAGGTTGAGAGGGGTGCAAAGAAGGCTTTATATAGCTTTCTGGTGGTATACAACTTGCTCCATGACGTCGTTAATCAAACCCGGGCATGAAAAGGCTACGCAATCCAGGTGAATGTGATGCTTCTACTTTTAGTGAATGCAAGCAATTTCCCTGGGAGAGATCCCAGCGAACCAGCGAGCCAGCGAATCAACGTCATCGTGAAGAGGGGGACCCAGTTCCAATCACGACGAAAGATCTAACATGAGCGTCATCGGTGACAGTCCTGGCGATCTGGTCTGGACTCCCGAACCAGGGAAATCGACCAGCTTCCCCGGATGCTGGACGCAACGCCATAATGCGCCTATCAGATTCCATGACGTCTCGATGATTGCATGCACGTTGAATGCGGTTAGCGCCGTGGCCTGCGCCAAGAAATATCGGATGATTGTTGAAGCGACGTCCAATACACGCCTTCCCGTTTTGGGCATAGCCTCTGGGGGCGACTCCCACGGCAGGCGGTGGGCTGCGGCAGTACCACGGCCAGCTGTTCACCGCCACGCGGCGAGTCCCTTCAGGCCGAGTCTGCCTGCCGTCGTGCCTGACGCTCTCCTTCTCTCTCTCTTTCGCATGTTTGTTTGGCGCCAACACTCTCTCGTCGGGTCTCCCTGACCATCATGTTGGTCTGCGTTATATCTACTACCTCAGCTTTGTCTTCCGGCTTCTATCTCTAGTTTTCTTTCAGTCTCTGCTTGACATTCTCTTTGAGCGATCTTGGTGCTGCTGTTCTTTGTGTTGTGTTGTGTCAACGCTCAACCCCGCCTTATCCATCCGCCAGCGCTCCCTTGAGTCGGGACGGTTATAGGTGATCCCTCCGCCTGCGCACTCTCAATCCATTCCATCATCATCATCATCATCATCATCATCATCATCATCATCATCATCATCAGACTTGTCAATGCCATCGTCGTATGAATCCGCTTCAACCTGGGACTTCACCCCGGTGATCAATCTCCTGCGCACGCCCACGTACGGCAGCAGTAGCCCCCCTCCTCCTTATCGCCACCATGACTCAACCCTCGTTTCCCGGCCCACCGGGGACGCAAACAGGAATGAAGTCTCTACTTCCACCGTACAGTCGCACAATGTGAGGCTTGGGGGCAGTGATCCCCCACGGCTTGGGGATTTCGGTTCACTCTGGGAGCTGCTGGGCAGCACCAGCAGTGCTAGCCCTTCTCCCTTTCGCGCCCGAGTTGAAACCCACGAAGTTCACGAAGTCCAGACCATCACGTCTGTTCCCCCACCACAGCCACCCAAAAAGATTGAAATCCTCAAACGACCATCCAACAACCATGTAGGCCCTGCAGGTTTCGATCAGGTGGCCCCTCGAGCATCACCGAGGCCCATCCCCGTTCCTGGTGTCTCCAAGTCTCGCAACTTGCAGGCCAAGGTACCGAGTGGGAAGAGCGCCCGTAATAACCGCGATGCGGGTACCAGAAAATGCACTTACGAATCTAGCTCGTCTGAGACTGCCGTAGAGGCTGAATCCGACGGCGTGTTCGACCATCCTCTTTTGAAGAAGGGCAGCGTCCTGTCGCTGGTCCCTGCGCAGGTGGGCACACCGGGGGGCATGCCAGATCCATATGAGACACCACCATCGTCGTATGATGAGGTTATCGAGGCGTCTCCCTCTAAGGTGGTGAAGGCTACGCCCAACCCCGGCACCACCCGCATACAACCCATCGCATACAGATCGGCCAACGATCGAAAGGTCGGCCTCCTGACCAAGCTTTTGAAAAACTTCCCCGACTACGCAGATGCCGTGACCCAAGTAGGACGGCCTGTAACTCCCAAGAAGGGGCAGACGCCATGTCACCCCATTCATGTCTTTGTCGATATGTCCAATGTAAGTATGACGCCCTGGCGACGGGGAGTTCTGACTAACTGGCTGTAGATCATGGTTGGATTCCACGACACGGTGAAACTATCACGCAATATCCCTGTGAAAACACGGATTCGACGGTTGCCTCTCTCCTTCCAGAACTTTTCTTTGATTCTCGAGCGCGGTCGGCCTATTGCCAAGAGAGTCTTGGTAGGCTCCGACCGATTTGCAGCGATCACCGAAGGCGAACAGCTGGGCTACGAAGCGAACATCCTCGACCGGGTCCATAAGGTCAAACACCTGACCCCCCGGCAGATGAAATTCCGCAAGAATCCTCGGACGGGCTCTCACGACCCCGGCAGCGGTTCAGAAACGAACGACGCGCCGGAAGAGCGCTGGGTCGAGCAGGGCGTGGACGAAATTCTGCACCTGAAGATCCTGGAAAGTCTGTTGGACACGGATGACCCCGCGACCATAGTGCTCGCCACGGGAGACGCGGCGGAAGCTGAGTTCTCGGGCGGATTTATGAAGATGGTTGAGCGGGCGCTGCGACGGGGATGGGCCGTGGAGTTGGTGAGCTTCAGCCAGGTGACGAGCTACGCGTATCGCAAGAAGGAATTCCGGGCGAAGTGGGGGAATCGGTTCCGGGTGATTGCTTTGGATGAGTACATTGAGGAGCTTCTTGATATGTAGTGTGATAATGCATGCGCCTATCTTATATGCAGCTAGCCAATGGACCTGTAGTTATACATGTGGCCAACTACTTAGCTGTAGTACTCCTCAGTAGACTAGAGTTATAAGCCTTATCCGCAAGGCTGGCTCCTATCGGCGGCGGGCCAATCGGACCCCGCACCCCCCACCTTCAACTTTCTCTGAAGCTCCGATCGGTTTAACATTTACTTCTCTTTCTTCTTCTCCTTCTTCTCCTTCTTCTCATCAATAATATTCACCAAAGAGACAACAAGACAACCCTTCCACCATACAAAACTCGGTCGATCTCCCACCACCACAACCCCAAATAATACACCACCCTAATGACCCAATACACCCCCCAAGGCCTCTACGGCGACGCCATCAAAGGCCTGATCCCCCGCGGCTGGATCGACTCCAGGTAACATCCAACCTCCCCTTCCCTTCCTTTCCCATAATGCATCCCACCAAAGGGGAAGAATACATATCTAATCATAAATGAAATAACCCAGCACCCTCCGCGAAATCCCCGATCACCAGGAAATCTTCCTCTCGCCTACAACCCTCAGCAACCTCATCTACGAGATCAACCAGCGCGTGCCGAATTCTACCGCGCTGGAAACGCTTGCCTCGTGGCCGTCGCTTTATCACACTACTACTACTACTAGTAGTAGTAGTAGTAGTAGTAGTAGTAGTAGTAGCACCACTACGGCGCAGGGTACGGCACAGGGTACGGCGACAGCAACTACACCCCCCTCCCCAACGCAAGAAACCCTCGACAAAGCCTCCGCGATCTACCACATCCTGGACCTCTGCGATGCAGACGACAAGATCGAGCTCCTGGCCGGCCCGACGCCCGTCGTTCTCCCGAAGTTCCCGGCTGAGGTGAGGGGGTATACCGGTGAAGTGAGGTTTACGGCGCCGGTGGGGAATAGGCGCGGAGAGGTTGGGGCTGGGGCTGGGGCTGGGGCTGGGATAGGGGTAGGAGGGGGAGTGGCGGGTCAAGTGGGGAGGGAGCCCTGACGAAAACAACTCGCTGCTGGTTTCTGTTGGTGAGGTTGGGGGAGCAGGTGGATACCGATTTGCTGGTTTGGGGGAATGTGCCCGAGCAGGAGTTTGAGGGGAAGGGGGATTTGGAGGGGTTGAGGGGGAGGAGGCTATGATGGGGGAGTTGGTCGGGAGGGAGCTGGTGCGCGGGTTGGAGGTTGTGGAGTGGGGTTGTTTGTCTGAGGATTGATTGATTAGGGCTTGATCCTGATGGGGGGTGAGGGTTGTTGGTTGGTGTTGGGGTAGATGAAGGTGGGGGGGGATTACCTCTGGATGGATGGTAATAAATATATTGCGTTGGGGGGGGGGTGGACAAAGGATGGAAGAGTGGGAGGAGGGAGGAAGGAGGAAAGGAACTTTCCTATCTAAGGCTACTTTACACCAAAGAAGGACAGGAAGGAGTTGGTTGGGCAGGATCTGTATATGTATAGATAGTATGACGAAATGATACCAAGGACAGGAAGAAAAAGAGCTGCATTCAACACTCATTAACAAGCTGTATTATGTATATAGATAGATAGCTATAGATGGTTCTAGGTAGTTACAATACTAACCACTTACTCAAGAAGAATAACCCCGAAATTGCCAAATTTACTCCTACTTGTCCTGATGAACGCCAGCCATCTACACCCACATCACCTCCATCCAACATGTATGTGCAATTTGTATGTACAACCATCCAACCAACCAACCGCCCAATAGAGAACAGACAAGAAAAGAGCAGCGGCAGAAACAAACATGCTCGCTAACAAACAGCAAAACATCCAACTAACCAACAATTTATCTATTATCATATCATTCCCAACATGTCAACCAACATCAACTAGACATGAACTACACCTTCATCCTCGGTGTCACTGAGCGTCACAACAACAGCAAGGCCAAGCCCACCATCATCCAACCCACACTTCGTGGACTCGCGGGCTTTGTCTCTGTCTCTGTCCGCGGCCATCGCCTCGACGACATTCTCCAACAACCCCTTAGCATTCAAGGGAAGTGACTTCTTCGTCTCGAGGGGCGATATCTTCTTCTTCTGCGGCGATTTCCTCGGCTTGGGCTTAACCTGTCTGAACGGGCCGTGGCAGTTCCCGCAGACGTGAGATTTCGTGATACTCCTCGAATGCCGTTTAATGACCTTGTTGCAGGGATCGCACTTCCACTCGTACTTGTAGTTGATATCATAGTTGTGGCAATTCGTGATCGTGACCTGATTATTGCCATAACGGGGATGGGGTTTCATGACGGCCTCGCACTTGCGCGCCCACCGCTGGAAGCTCTCCCCGTGAAACTTCTTGTGCTCCTGCGAGATCATGAAGTTGGCGAGATGGCAGTACTCGTGCGCCATGGTCTTGATCAGTCGGTCTTCGCTGTCGATGACCCGCGGCGCGAGCTGGATCGTCGCGTGGTGCCGGATCACCTTGTGCGCGATGTTGGGCACTTCGCCCACCACGCCTTTCCAGACCGCGCGGCCGGCGGTCGTTTGCAGCGGCTTGTGCCAGATGATGTGCACGCCGCCGGTCGGGGCGGAGAGCCTCGAGATCTCCCCCCCTGTCATGGCGTCGTCGAGGACGTTGAAGAATTCCCGCGCCAGTCGGTCTTTGTTCTCGTTCCATTCTTGTTGGCGCGCCTTTTCGGCTTTGCGTTGCGCCGCTTCCAGCTTCTTGATTGCTGTCTTGCTGGGGGTTTTTGTCGGGATCGGCTTGCTCGGAGGCGTCGTTTCGGGGATGGCGATCGGGCTGAATGCTCGACGGCTGGACATTCTGTTGTTGGTCTGGTCCATGGGCTCGGTGTCCGAGTCTACGAGTTCCTGTAATGGGTTCATGTTCTTTGGCTTCCGCGGGGAGTGCTTGTCGACCCAGGCGTTGGTGGTCTCTTGGTCCCAGAACAGGTCGGTGTTTTCTTGGTGTGGTGTCGGTGGTATACGGACCCTTGTCTTCTTCGGTGATCTGAGGAGGTTTTTTCTAGATGGGCTGCCTGGGGGGGTCGCCATGATAGGGCCTGTTTCCTTGACTGGTCCGGCATTTTGGCTTTGTTGTCTGAGACGTCTTAGCATCTATATATACTCACTGTGTTGTTGAGTAGGAACTTGTCAAGACTCACCCTCTAGGGACTTCGTCTGTTTCAGACTCTGCGCTATTTTGATTGAGCTTCAGGTTACCCAGTCTGTCGGAGAGGTCCAGCTCCCTTTGGAACAGCCTTCGGGGCTTTGCTTCTAGTCTGGGGACCGCGCCTGTCAACGCACCCGGAAGGGCTGGGTCCAGGCGGAGACCTTCATTGGGGGGAGAGCCCTGCGGAGAGGTGCTCGGCCCTGCTTCAGTAAAGAGCCGTCTTCCCCTGATCAGTCGCTTTCTTGTCCTGGGCGGAGAGGGCGTGGGCTGTTTCTCTTCTCCTACATCTTCTTCCTCGGATGTCTCGTCGGCGGATGACTCATGGTAACTGATTTCGTCGTTGTCGCTGACGATGAAATCATCCAAGGAGTTGGTGTCGTCATCATCGTTTTCATCTTCGCTTTGTTCATCTTCTGAGCTTGGCTGCTGCTGCTGCTGGAGATAGCCCAGGTTTGGAGTCCGAGGCCCTCCCCTCGCTCCAGTGTGGGGAGGAGGAACCCTCCGTGTCGGAGATTGATTGGAAGCAGTGGACGAGTTCCTGGACAGAGACGGGCCCTCGTCCTCCTGCTCCTCGCCATCGATCGGGTCATTCTCCTTGTCGTAGTTATACCCCACCGATTTACGGACCGGCCGGGCTCGCGGCGGCGAGGGCAGCGGAAGCAGCAAAGAGTTGACCTGGGTGAGCTTCAACCGGTCCGCTGTACTAGACAGGGAAGACCGACTGCTCTCCTCCGTGTCGCTTTGCCCGTCGCTTTCTGAGAATATGTTGAACGTGCCACTAGACACCGTTCCCGTCCTTTGTAGCCGATTGATCCTTTGTGGGGGCCGTTCCGCCGCTGCCGCCGTTGTGGTGGTGGTGGTTGTGGGAGATCTGCTCTTTGACCACGACGTCTCATCGGTCAACTTCCATTGTTCCTTGTCTGTCTTGCCCTGCGACATGGGGGTGCTGTCTCTGAGCCCGCGTTTCACGGTGGCACTGCGACCGATGTTGCTACTGCTGGTGGTGGTTGCTGGTAGTCGCTCGCGCAGGACAGCTGGTTTGGTCGGACTGGCGGAGTTGAGTCGGGCCATCTTCAACTGTTGTCTGTTGTGTGTTGTCTGTTGGTTATTGCCGGGGATCGGGTACTATGTATATGTATGTCTGCTCCGCGGCACGGAGCTTGTCCCTCCACCTTTTGGGCTGGGGGTGTGAGGGGTCTGAAAACGCCGGCCGGGCAGTTGTCGATGTGTCTGTTGAGGTGCAGCGGTGGACTCCGGATATGTACTGTACCTGCGTTGAGCAGGTGGTGTGAGTGAGGCTGCGATTGATTGTCGGTGGGAGTAAAAGGCCGTTGGCTGGGCAACGTGCTTGTACAACAATTGATCCGCCGGTGTCAATGACTGCGGAGATTATCGGTGCTAGAGGGGTGTCTTGGGGACAAGGGCTGGCAATTTATTCGTCCATGTGGGAAAGGTCCTTGTGGTGTACGTTATTGGTTTTCTATCTATTTGTATGGTCGGTCTCTCGACAGTATAAAGATGCAAAAAAGTCGAAATAAAAAAAAGAAGAAGAAGATACAAGGCCCGAGCCGCGGATCGAACGCGGGACCTCTCGCAGATATGCTTGGGTTGTACCCCTAAGCGAGAATCATACCACTAGACCACCCGGGCTTGTTAGATATTTGCTGGTTAATTTTTGCACTATAAACCTATTCTACGGTTCAGCATTTGTCAAGCTGCAGATGATAATCTCGACAAGTGGTTGCTGCTTGATGAGTTCTGGTTATGGTATGGTTTATGGTGATTTCTTAGACTAAAAGCTCTTCTTCCCAGGCAAAATCTCATGTTTTGCTCTTGGTATTTGCCATGGATTGATTGTCCTGTCTGTAACCTTTGTATATATTCCCTGCGGTTGGCATTCTACCCGGACAATGTAACCCGACTGCAACGCGATGAAATAAATCGAACCCAGCAAAGGTTTCATACTACTATACTGACCAACTATATCGGCTCCAAGTCTCCCAGATCCCGAAACAAACGAATAGAAATGTGTTTATTGATACGACATACTTCAAGGACAAACCTAATATCCCACGCGATGGGGAAGCTGAATCAACAACACATGTAACGGGAAAGTGTAAGTATAGCCTTACTTGATAGAGAAAGATTTCAAAAGTTCCACCACCGCTCATTTTCACGGTGAAGGGGAACGATCCCGTATTGCTCACTATTGCCTTTACCATCCAATATGCCCCCCTCCAACCCCTAGCCCCCCACAAACTGATAAACCGATGAGCCAGAACATCAAGTATCAAGCCAGTGAAGACTACTCTCTCCAACCCTGCACCCAGACACAGGGTCTCTACCCCCCCCGGAATCATTCCTCCTATAATGGAGTAAAGCACAACATCCTGCAAGACCAAACAGTCCATACCACGAACCATATACAGAAACTGTATATAGAGCCGAGGCAAGACGACTCTATACATAAAGATACCCGGTATCACATCCTAGCCATACTAGCCAATAAGGCCAAGTTCACAGCCAGAAAGTAAATTCAAGAAAAACCCAACATGCGCGATGGATGTCTCCATACGAGGTATGAAAATGCCCACCGGAGAGCAGCCGCTGGGCGACAGTCCATGTGCCCCGAGCAAGTATGGAAGCAGAAATCAATAGAAGACTCACACAGCCACATCGTATCACCGAAAATGGCCGCTATGTACTGGGTATCTAGAGCTCGACATGTCGGTGGCAAGGACACTACGTAGTCACACAGATTGCAGCCACCTCGTCAGGAGGCGCATATTATCAGGAATCAAGACCAGGCAGCAGATATACTTAGTATAAGTATATACTTCTCTGGCAATGGCCGTGATCTCCAACAGGGTGATCTGCCAGGAAGATGAATGAAACCGAACCGTGGAATATAACATAGGTAGAAGTTGAAGGCTGACTTCGGCCATGATCTAATATCAGGTAGCCGCTAAATAATGATTTGATGGTATCCTACTACAGTAGCTAGCAAGGTCGAAGGGTATTGCGAGTACAAGAAACTACACATCGGATATCCGTCGCCGGAGACAGTTGCTCGGCAAGAAAAGCGAGAGAACTGACTGAACCGTGGCAAAGAACCCACACAACAGGTAGACTCCGCACGCATATCACACGGGAACAGACAAACCTTGAGCTTGTATTCCGTCTGCTCCACAGTAAACATCCGTGCAGCAAAGCCCCCCGAGACATGTTCACTGCTAACGGAGCACCGATGATACAAGAGTCCCCGAGTCCAAACGATTTGTTAGGAACCCGTCGTAGCTCCCCGCATAATGTCTCAAAAGCAACCCCGTCGGGCCCATTATTGCCCAGAACCAGATGATATCTAATGGAGGCAGATCTTCTGTTGCTACCAACCAAGGTAGCCGTAGCTAGCCGATTGACGATGAAAACGGAGCGAGGCTGGTAGTTAGATAGGTGTTCGAGACACGATTATCCCATCTGCTGCATGTCGCGAAGTATCGGAGCATGCACAGGCAAACTGCAAGAGCGAAACTGCATGATCCACATCCCCACACAAGTCGGGTAACACCACAGTCAAGGATTGTCGGTTGGAACACCTGAACGACTGCACATGCACAACAGCCCATTGGAAGTCCAAGCTTAGCGTGTGATCAAGCAACTGGGATGTCACTGCTTCAACTGAGACCACGATTCATGCGTGTCTCCCATAACTGCCACAAATCCGGTGTTGAATGCGGAGGTGGGTTGTACTCGGTCGGCATCGTCCAAGCATCATTTCGTCGCAAATCGGATCATGGCTGAAGGCAAGCTCGCCACCAGAATTATCGCATCCGGTTATGATGGCGATAATAAATGGCAGCATCAGCTCCTGAATATCATGTTGCCTTGAGACGTGCCGATCCTGCATCGCACGGAAAAGCACTCCGTAGCACCGGACAGAAGACGAGTGGGTGTGGCATATCGATGTGGCGAAGTGCCTACTGAGACCGTCGGTGGCAGGAGAGTTCAAACAGGTTGTTGGACCTTACTGTTCCTGTGCAGTTTGAGTCAGTTGCCATCCATCCGTCGATCCCTGCCCTTCGCGGCGGGGGGGAAGTGCGAAGGGCCGTCCGATAAGCCTGGACGGGATCCCGGCCTGAGACTTCCCCTGTCGAGGCCTTTCTTCGTAGGGACCGAACTATTAGAGACTTTCTCTAAGGAGGGTGCTCGGACGACTTTGATAAGGAGGTGATTATAAACTGTCACTGCGTTAGGGGAGATACTCCTCCTATATCCATCGGCCTGCCTCGCCGCTTCATGCGGTGTAAGTCGGAACATAAGATACCACGCACAGGCCATTCTTGTACGCATTTCGCAAAGTACAAGTGGACAGTACTCTGTAGTACTACTCCATAGTATTTAGCGCAGACATGGAGTAACCACCACTGTAAGACGACGGAATAGTCACACATAAATAAAACTATAATAATAATAATACTAATAATAATAATAACAACAATAATAATGCGAAAGATAATAATTCCGGGGTCTAGGTCGGGCGAGATGAAACCTGAAACCCCCCCTTTTCGCAGCGGTCCCACGTCTTCGACCAGGCCCGGCCATTCAGTCTGTCGACCGTCGCGCGTCAGGGAATTGCCACCCGCTGGCCTTTGTTGGCCTGCCGCATCCGATTGGTCCCGGACGGCCAAAGATCCCCACCCTCCCAAATTTCCACCGCCCCCCTCTGTTTAGGGATTGGCCCATCAGCGGGCAGCTCATGAAACCTGTAAAGTTGTCCTGAAGCCGACCCCCCACCATCGCACCGAATGGGGATGGACGCTCAACCGCTGCCCGGCTGCTCTGCTGGCAACATTGATTAAAATCGCCTTGTAACGTTGGTGCTTACTTAAGGTTCATGCCTGTACTCCGTACTCTGTAGTTACTTACAGTCAGTTACGCAGTACTCGAATTACTGACTTTGGGTGGTACATTACCTGCTGTGGTCGAAGTGATAGGTTCATATAATACCCTGATAGATGGATTTTGTGATTGATAGAACTCCTATCATCCAATGATTCCGGGCGATATTTGCCCCCAGGAACTATTCCATAGATACTTCGGGAATTCTACTATATTAAAGGTGGTAGGTATATATACTTAGAACAAACATGGGGCCTCTTGCCTTGAAGGGGTCTGATTAAGGGTCGACCGGTCGGGGTTGTCAGATTCTTGGATGCCTGCAAGGGCAGGAAACACCAAATCGAGGTAGTTACATGCATAGGTACATACATATAGATACTCCGGAGGGGGGAGCAATTTTAAATCCATCGGTGGAACTGATGGCCGGAGTTCTGTAGAATAAAATCTGCGGCTGGGGGGGGCAATGGGTACAGGGCATTCTAGATAGATGTATCCAGTTATCAATCCACATCAAAGTCAAACCGGGGAACCAGATGCAAATACTGAGACATTCCCATCCGAGGGACCGGTGGTACGGCGGTGGCTGGTCCCATGGCTTTGAGCTTACTGGGTGGGATCTCGATACACTGGCTGTCACCGGCATATTTTTGGAAACAATCCATGTACATCCATCCATCCATCATCATCACCTGGGCAGATTCTTTAAGATGGCGGAAAAGGTTTTAAGACTTAAGATACTTTGGGTCTGCCAATGATTACTCTTCTGATCCTCGAAATTATCAATCAATCGTTTAGATGTCGTCGCCCCTGCGATTAATTCTATTGATTCGGGCAGTCAGCACTCACACAACGCTCGCTCACGTTCCACCGTCCGCCCGCCCCCCTTACATCGTCTTCTAGAAGTTCTTTTTTTTTTTTTTTTGGTTAAAGTAAAGTAAAGTAAAGTAAAGTACATAGTTACGGCTCCTGCTTACATTGTACTAGCATGCTAACTACCTACCTACCTACCTACCTTAGCGATGAGCGTAAACGGAGTCATGGACATGAAGCAGATACAGACTAGATACACTGTGGTAGCTGCCCACTAAGGCTCTACCTAAGCACATAATCATAATGGTATCCACAAGAAAGTAGCCAAGTACCCAGCCTCCAGCACGGAAGGCTGGAAGGCCGACCACATTATGTGTCGATCATTTATCTAGCCCGACTTCTTCCATTTACGATTCCCGTGGTCGCGAGATAACCGTCCTTCTTGCCAATAAGAAACTCTCGGGCGAAACGGAATTCTTGAAGAAAAAAAGGAAGGCGTCGAAGAAAAGCAAGGAAAAAAAAAGCCACCACTCCAACCAAGGCTGAAAAGTTGGGTCTGCTAGTCATGGTGGGGGGTTCGCTTGCCCTCGAGCTCTTGTTGACCTTAGTGGTTTGACGACCACATTTTATCTTGGAACGATGTGCTTGACTTTGCTTGTGTGGTCACTGAGTGGGTGTCAGCGGCGGGTTGGCTGCATTACCTGCTAGTAAAATCGAAGTAAAGTTGGCGGTCGCCCGGCCCGTAAGCGTGTAACTTTCAGCTGGACCCCATGTGTTCGAACACGCCGGGTGGGAGGGAGTGGTATTGCAACGGCTGACAGAACTTAGTATATAGTAACTAGTAAGGTAGGTATATAGGTACTAGATATCTACGCCAACCCGAGGAATGATCGAGATAAATTATGACTCTCTGTATGGGGTATCGAGGGGGGAGTACGGAGTAAAAGTCTAGAATACCCTTTTATGGGGAGGGGGGAGATTTGATTAATCGTGTGGACTCGCAGTAGCTTATTTGCAGAACATTACACGGTAGAGACAGAACAAACCTGTATTATTGACAACAGCGCCATGAGTTGCAACACGGAGTACTACAAAGTATGCATGGCATCTCTTTAAACATGATCAATGGCTCTCCGTGGCTGGGGTCGGTATGCTGTGAATTTCCCCTCTATAGTAAGTAAGTTGTCTGAAGAATGAGAACAGCCCCCCCATCATACCCCATATTCTGCATTCCTGTGGGGATACTACTATGTAGTATGTACTGCTCGTCTGCCATTGCTATGGAGAATCCGTAGCCGTCAAACATCGAATATCCGTCTGGGTAACGCCCAACGTGCATAAAGAGATAATGTCATCTGAGGGAGAAGCCACAGCGTCATACTATTTGCTCCTCGGCAATGGTCTTTGAGACGCCTTTAAAGGCACCTACCTACCTGTAGGTCTCTCTTCATATGCTCAGTGAGGGGGTGAACATCGATGACCCCCTTCGGTTTCAATAGGAGTCCGGTACCTAGGACTTTGAGATCTGACATATTGTCCGGTGGTGATTGCCCGTCAATGTCTATTATAGATGCCGAGTAGAAACTATTGGTGGCAAGGGGGGGGGGATATAAATGGAAAAAAAAGTAAAAATGGAAATGCTGCCTGCGATGATGTACCTATTCCTTACTCAGCGGATATGAGCAGGTTAGCTAACTATGTGATGGGATAGGCCGATGCCTGCTCTGTGTGCGAACCGTGGCGAATCGGTTCAGGCTACTGCTGCAACCAAAAGACTCTTCATATCTTCGTTTCCCGACCATCGAGTACGTACTATTGATCGATGGCAAGGCGGATTATGGATAGAAGGTGCGATGATATCGTGATGTTGGCCAAGGAGGTCAATTGCGAACAAGACTGTAGTGGTTCATTGAGTAGCTACGATTAACACTTGCCCGCCTCGTCTTTCCATTGATGTGCAGGAGTTATATTTGGTAGTTGTCTATCAAAGTACTTATATTCCACCTATCTAGGTAGTTAGTATATACTCCGTAATGACCCCCAGGATAACATACAGGCAGCGGTTGATAGAGTAAGTATCTATGGAGTAAGGTACCTACGTACTCCGTACTAGGTAGTTAGTTACATTCGATGCTTACAAGCCAGACGGGGTACTGCGGGTGTATGTCAGCATGGATCAGGAACAAATTCCAACTCTTTTGTACCAAAGGCCGTGGGTGGCAGGGGCAGGTTCACCAGGATCGAGAACCGACTCCTACTCCACACATAATAAACAACCTCAAGGTGGTAACATCCAGCCATGGACTGCATGCATAGCGACGCATTTTTGACTTGCCACCTGTTGTACGGGCAGGCAGTCGCTAAGACAGTCTCTCAGGAATGAGGAAGATTATCCCTGCATGCCGGGCGGAAGCAACGTAAACAAGACCATCCATGTCGAGACATACATACATACATGGAAGTAACGCCGATACACATCATGTAAGGTACGGGGAAGGTACGGTATTGTTGCGCCATCTGCATTACCGGTCGGTGGGTCGGGGCTTCAGGGGCCGTCGTCGATTCCCATGGATTCCGCGACTACCACCGTCTGGAACTGGTGGATGGATGGAGAGGAGGGAGAGAGGGGGGAGATATGTTCATGTTATTGCCGGAAACGCTCCGCTTAACCTTCTCCTAGAGCCCCAAGCTGTCAGTGTATGAATTGAGAAAAGGATTTGCTGCTCCCCGAGGATGAATTGGTACAGAGAGAGAGAGAGAGAGAGAGAGAGAGAGAGAGAGAGAGAGAGAGAGAGAGAGTGGCAACGGAAATCTGCCGTGAATAGAAAGACTGCAAACAACAAGATCCCAAGTTTCCTAACGTAGGCTTTACGCGTACCCACGGCCACAGTGGCCCATCTCCATTATCTATCCATGGGTATCTGAGGTACCTTCAATCCTTGACCTGGTAGGTCAGACAGGCAGGTAGACAAGATGAGCCACCTGGCGTGGCAGGCCAATCATGGCAGACCCTGCCAAGTAATCCGCACTCCGGGCCAACCCCCAAAGAATCTGAGTGGTGAGTGAGCCTGTGAGGTGCGTGGGAAGAAAGAAAGTCCAGCTGGATGGCGGGCGGATGGCGAGCGGATGGCGAGGTGGTGGGTGGTGGGTGGGTAACGATACGCGCGTTTGGTACCGGGTGCGGTAATACCAGCAGCAGCGAAAAAGCAGGAGGAATTAGCTTGTTCTCATAGGCCAGCGGGGCCACCCTTCTAGGACAGAATCGGTATTGCATACAGGTACGGGACTGGCGCGCAAGTAACCTTGAAATTAGCAGATCCGGATCCCAAAATAACCACCGGCCCCCCCTTCCCAGGTACTAGGAGTAGCGCCAGTACTATCTTCCCTGCTTGGGTGGGCAATCAATTCCCTTTTCACCACTACCGTCCAACTCAAGCCTCCTCCTCCCTCTCCGTCCGTCTCTTAGTTCCTTCCTTCTTTCGTTCTTTGGATCTTCGACCTCTTTTCTTTCGGCTTCCGTTCACTCTTTTACTCCTCCGTCCCGACCTCACTACCCTGCAACACTAGCGACCGCCCACCCCCTCCAGACGCCCTTCCTTCTTTCTTGCTTTCGTTTGAGGAAAGAAGAGGGACGTCTCTCTCTTGGCTGAGACAGGTTCGGCCTGTGGTCGTCGGGAGGCTTTTCTTCGCCCCTTAGTCTAGTCGTGTTTTGTTCTTTACTACTTCGCTTCACCCTGCCATTCGTTTGACCAACGACTTCGAGTGACGACCCTCCGGCTCCGCTCTAGAGTCGACCATCAACAAAATATTCCCACGATCCTTGCTGCTGAGATAGATTGATTGCTTTGCCTCGTTTGACAGTCCGGGACTGGTGCCTCTTGAGAGTCAATTTCGACGCGTCCTCCGAGAATCTTCCATTACATATTCACTGCACCTGAACGGCAAATCTGTTCATGCGTCTGATCACTGAAAACGGATCTAAGTAATTTTTAATGGGCCACTGTCTATGTAAGTTGGCGTGCCCCCCTCCCCCTCTCCGCATCCATGGACCCTTGCTGGCAATCAGCTGCTGATTCTCTGAGAAGAAGCTCTTTTCAAGGCTCGGTGATTGTGGCTTCTCAAGATGTCTGGATATCCAGCAGAGCAGCACTACGATGATGGCTACGGCCATCAAGAGCATGGCGATTCCTACTATCAGGACGAAAACGGCGGCCAGGCTTATTACGATCCTAACGATTACGGTGGCGATAGTTATTATGACCGAGGGTATGTCTTGCACCGTAAACATACTCAGTGGGGCTGTTCATTGACGTTTTATCTCTCCTTGCAGTAACAGCGGATATTACAATGCCGAAGGTGGTCAAGAGGGTGGATACTACGATGCTGCCCACCAGGATGAGTACTATGGTGACCAGTACTATGACCAAGGGAATGGTGGGAACCAGGGAAGACGGCGCGGCGATTCAGAGGAGGATTCGGAGACCTTCAGTGATTTCACCATGAGGTCGGAAACTGCGCGCGCTGCTGATATGGATTACTACGGTCGCGGGGACGAACGTTACAACAGCTACGCCGACAGTCAGTACGCTGGTCGAGGATACGGTGGCGGCTACCGGCCACCGTCCTCTCAGGTCTCGTACGGCGCCAACCGATCATCCGGAGCTTCCACTCCGGTATACGGCATGGACTACGGCAACGCCCCCGGCGCCCAGCGTTCGCGGGAGCCGTACCCGGCATGGGCGTCCGACGGTCAAGTCCCCGTCTCCAAGGAAGAAGTTGAGGATATCTTCATCGACCTGGTCAACAAGTTCGGTTTCCAGCGGGACAGCATGCGCAACATGTACGACCATCTAATGACACAGTTGGACTCGCGAGCCTCGAGAATGACTCCGAACCAAGCACTTCTGTCCCTCCACGCTGACTACATCGGTGGTGACAACGCCAACTACCGCCGTTGGTATTTCGCGGCCCATCTCGACTTGGACGATGCGGTAGGTTTCGCCAACATGAAGCTCGGTAAAGCCGACCGGAAGACGAGAAAGGCCCGCAAGGCTGCCGCCGCAGCCAAGGCCGCCGCTCAGCAGAACCCCGAGAACGTCGAGGAGAACCTTGAGGCCTTGGAAGGTGACAACAGCCTGGAAGCCGCCGTGTACAGATGGAAGACCCGCATGAACCGCATGTCTCAGCACGACAGAATCCGCCAATTAGCTCTGTACATGCTGGTCTGGGGTGAGGCCAACCAAGTTCGTTACATGCCCGAGATCATCTGTTTCATCTTCAAGTGTGCGGACGACTTCTACACTTCCCCCGAATGCCAGAACCGCGTGGAGCCGGTGGAGGAATTCACCTACCTGAACGAAATCATTACCCCCCTCTACCAGTTCTGCCGCGACCAGGGTTACGAAATACTAGATGGCAAGTATGTTCGCCGAGAGCGCGATCACGACAAGATCATTGGTTATGATGACATGAACCAACTCTTCTGGTACCCCGAGGGTATCGAACGCATTGCCCTCGAGGATAAGACACGTCTCGTGGATATCCCCCCCGCCGAGAGATGGACCAAGTTGAAGGATATCAACTGGAAGAAGGCCTTCTTCAAGACATACAGAGAGACTCGGTCCTGGTTTCACATGGTCACGAACTTCAACCGTATCTGGGTTATCCATCTTGGTGCTTTCTGGTTCTTCACTGCTTACAACGCCCCCACACTGTACGTCCACGACTACCAGCAGCAGCTGGACAACAAGCCCGCTGGTTCAAAACAGTGGTCCGCTGTTGGTTTCGGTGGTGCTCTTGTCGGTTTTATCCAAATTGCTGCTACGCTGTGTGAATGGATGTATGTGCCTCGCCGCTGGGCTGGTGCTCAGCATCTGACCAAGCGTTTGTTGTTCCTCATCCTTGTCTTCGTGATCAACCTAGCCCCTGGTGTCGTCGTCTTCGGCTTCTCAAGCTCCCTGACTGAGACGATCCTCCTGATCATTGGTATCGTTCACTTCTTCATTGCCCTGGCTACGTTCTTCTTCTTCTCTGTCATGCCTCTTGGAGGTTTGTTCGGTAGTTATTTGAAGAAGCACGGCCGCCAGTACGTTGCCAGTCAGACGTTTACCGCCAGCTACCCGAAGCTTCAAGGAAACGATATGTGGATGTCTTACGGTCTCTGGATTTGTGTCTTCGGTGCCAAGCTGGTCGAGTCTTACTTCTTCCTGACCCTGTCCCTGAAGGATCCTATGCGTATCCTTTCGCCGATGCAGATTCACCAGTGTGCCGGTGTCACGTACATCCCGAACAGCCTTTGCCACGCTCAGCCTCGGATTCTCCTCGGTCTCATGATGTTCATGGACTTGACGCTGTTCTTCTTGGATAGTTACCTGTGGTACGTTATTTGCAACACCATCTTCTCGGTGGCCCGGTCCTTCTACCTCGGTGTGTCTATCTGGTCTCCCTGGAGAAACATCTTCTCTCGTCTGCCCAAGCGTATCTACTCCAAGGTTCTTGCGACTACCGACATGGAGATCAAGTACAAGCCCAAGGTCCTCATCTCCCAGGTGTGGAATGCTATCATCATCTCCATGTACCGTGAGCATCTGCTGGCCATCGACCACGTTCAGAAGCTGCTGTACCACCAGGTTCCTTCGGAGCAGGAGGGCAAGCGTACTCTGCGTGCTCCTACTTTCTTCGTCTCTCAGGAGGATCAGTCCTTCAAGACCGAGTTCTTCCCCGCCGGCAGTGAGGCTGAACGTCGTATTTCCTTCTTCGCTCAGTCCGTCTCCACGCCCATGCCCGAGCCCCTTCCGGTTGACAACATGCCCACCTTCACCGTTCTCATCCCCCACTACAGTGAGAAGATCCTTCTCTCGCTGCGTGAAATTATCCGTGAAGACGAGCCTTACTCTCGTGTCACTCTCCTGGAATACCTGAAGCAGCTCCACCCCCACGAGTGGGACTGTTTCGTCAAGGACACCAAGATTCTGGCTGATGAGACTTCTCAATTCAACGGCGAAGGCGAGAAGAACGAAAAGGACGCCCAGAAGAGCAAGATTGATGATCTTCCCTTCTACTGCATCGGTTTCAAGTCTGCTGCTCCGGAATATACTCTTCGTACCCGTATCTGGTCCTCGTTGCGCTCCCAGACCCTTTACAGAACTATCTCCGGTTTCATGAACTACAGCAGAGCCATCAAGCTCCTGTACCGCGTTGAGAACCCTGAAGTCGTCCAGATGTTCGGTGGCAACTCCGAGAAGCTCGAGCGCGAACTCGAGAGAATGGCCCGCCGCAAGTTCAAGATCTGCGTTTCCATGCAGCGTTATGCCAAGTTCAACAAGGAAGAGCGTGAAAACACCGAGTTCCTCCTCCGCGCCTACCCCGACCTTCAGATCGCTTACCTTGATGAGGAGCCCCCGACCGAAGAGGGTGAGGAGCCTCGCCTGTACTCCGCCTTGATTGACGGCCACTGTGAACTTCTCGAGAACTCCATGCGCAAGCCCAAGTTCAGGATTCAGCTCTCCGGTAACCCCATTCTCGGTGACGGAAAGTCCGACAACCAGAACCACTCGATCATCTTCTACCGCGGTGAATACATCCAGGTCATTGACGCTAACCAGGACAACTACCTGGAAGAGTGCCTGAAGATTCGTAGCGTTCTCGCTGAGTTTGAGGAACTGTCCAACGATAACGTCTCGCCCTACACCCCTGGTGTTGCTTCTACTGCCGAAACCCCCGTCGCCATTCTTGGTGCCCGTGAATACATTTTCTCCGAGAGTGTTGGTGTTCTTGGTGACGTTGCTGCCAGTAAGGAACAGACATTCGGTACTCTGTTTGCTCGAACGCTCGCTCAGATCGGTGGTAAACTGCACTATGGTCACCCTGATTTCCTGAACGGTATTTTCATGACTACGCGAGGTGGTATCTCCAAGGCTCAGAAGGGTCTTCACCTGAACGAGGATATTTACGCCGGTATGACTACCCTGTGTCGTGGTGGACGCATCAAGCACTGCGAGTACTTCCAGTGTGGTAAGGGTCGTGATTTGGGTTTTGGCTCCATTCTGAACTTCACAACCAAGATTGGTACTGGTATGGGTGAGCAAATGCTGTCCAGAGAATACTACTATCTCGGAACACAGCTGCCTCTTGACCGCTTCCTGTCTTTCTACTACGCCCATCCTGGTTTCCATCTTAACAACATGTTCATTATGCTGTCCGTGCAGATGTTCATGATTGTCCTGATCAACCTGGGTGCCTTGAAGCATGAGACCATCACCTGCCGCTACAACTCGAACTTGCCCATCACCGACCCTCTCCGCCCCACGTACTGTGCCGACTTGACGCCGATCATCAACTGGGTCAACCGCTGTGTCATCTCCATCTTCATCGTGTTCTTCATCTCCTTCGTTCCCCTGGCTGTCCAGGAATTGACCGAGAGAGGACTGTGGCGCATGGCGACCCGTCTGGCGAAGCACTTTGGTTCTTTCTCCTTCATGTTCGAGGTGTTCGTCTGTCAGATCTATGCCAACGCCGTCCACCAGAACTTGTCCTTCGGAGGTGCTCGTTATATCGGTACTGGACGTGGTTTCGCCACTGCTCGTATTCCCTTCGGTGTCCTGTACTCCCGTTTTGCCGGTCCTTCCATCTACGCCGGTGCTCGCTCTCTGCTGATGCTTCTGTTCGCGACTTCCACCGTCTGGACGGCCGCTCTGATCTGGTTCTGGGTTTCCCTGCTCGCCCTGTGCATCTCTCCGTTCCTCTTCAACCCTCACCAGTTCGCGTGGCACGACTTCTTCATCGACTACCGCGATTATATCAGATGGCTCTCCCGTGGTAATTCCCGGTCCCACGCGTCTTCCTGGATTGCCTTCTGCCGCTTGTCTCGTACTCGTCTCACTGGTTATAAGCGCAAGCTTCTCGGTGTTCCGTCGGAGAAGGGGTCTGGTGATGTTCCCAGAGCCAGATTCACCAACATCTTCGTCAGTGAGATCGTCGTGCCTTTGGTTCAAGTCGCAGTTACCCTCGTCCCCTACCTCTACATCAACTCGAGAACCGGTATTTCGAACGAAAGTGCCAGAGCCTCCAACGCCGTTATCCGTATCGCCGTTGTTGCTTTCGGACCTGTTGCCATCAACGCCGGTGTTTCTGGTATGTTCTTTGCCATGGCGTGCTGTATGGGACCTATCTTTGGCATGTGCTGCAAGAAGTTCGGTGCTGTTCTCGCTGCTATCGCCCACGCTATTGCCGTCATCATCCTGCTTGTCATCTTCGAAGTCATGTTCTTCTTGGAGAGCTGGTCCTGGCCTCGTATGCTTCTGGGAATGATTGCCGCCGCCGCTATCCAGCGCTTCTTCTACAAGCTCATCATCTCCCTCGCATTGACCAGAGAATTCAAGCATGACCAGTCCAACATCGCCTGGTGGACCGGAAAATGGTACAACATGGGCTGGCACTCGATGTCCCAGCCTGGTCGTGAATTCCTTTGCAAGATCACGGAGTTGGGTTACTTCTCCGCTGATTTCGTCCTGGGTCACATCCTCCTGTTTGTCATGCTGCCCGCTCTCTGCATGCCTTACGTTGACAAGTTCCACTCGGTCATTCTTTTCTGGCTCCGGCCGAGGTACGTTACCGTGAATTCCCCTAGTTGATTGCAATCACTAACAGACCTCTAGTCGTCAAATCCGTCCTCCGATCTACTCTCTGAAGCAGTCGAAGCTCCGCAAGAGAAGAGTTGTTCGTTTTGCCATTTTGTATTTCAGCATGCTGGTTCTGTTCCTGATCCTCCTGATCGCCCCTCTGGTTGCCCGTGACATGGGCATCAGTGTGTCGATGAACATCCCGATGCAGCTTCTGCAGCCCCTCGACTCGGACAACAACGACACCATCTCCAGTTACACTGGTAACGGTCTCCCAGTCGGTTACTCCGCCTGGACACCGTCCGCGTCCGCCTAGAGGCGCATCTCGTGGTTCTTCACTGTCCTTTTGCATTTTTGCCTGTCTTTCTCTCTTTTCGGAAATGGAACATGGAAACGAGCTGTATAAAGTAACCAGCGCCTTGAAGTCGCTGCCGGGTCTCATACATTTGCCTAGTTTTTTTTTTCTCGTTTCCACTATTTTCTTCTCTTCAATGAAACTGTGCGTGTATGCTCCATCCGTTGCCAACATTAATGGGTTCAATCTCTCTCGATCGTGTTCTGTCCCGGTGTTTTCAGTCCTTATGTGTTTACTAGACCTGCCCACTTTTTTTGTATCACCCACTGCATCCTGTGCCTGTGCCATTGATTTCCTTGCGTTGTGTCTTCCAGAGGGCTTCTCGCCTGTAGTTCCTGCGTCGACTATCAATCCGACTGTCTTGAGCGCTTATCCTGATCCGTTGTAGCGCCGTAGCGGAGCGTCAGGCTGCCGGCTAATAAGAATGGATCCTGATCCTTCGCATGAATAATCCTCGTAGCGTTCATAGTAGGTAATAGGCGGCATGAGTAGTTATTGGGTAGCAGAAGAGTACGCCGTACGCCGTACGCCGTAACCCGTAACCCGTAACCCGTAACCCGTAACCCGTAAGCGTGGCTGCAAGGAGCCGGCCAGTCACGTGCCGGGCCGCGCCCGGCCCCGAAGTTGGACTTGCCGCGTCGCTTCCACTTCGACCTCGATGGCTGATGAGCGACGCTGCTGACCTGATGCTATTCATTCGACTGTAAACCAACCTTTGCTTTCTTCTCCTACCTCCATTCGGTCCTTTCCCTCCCCCGTCGCGCCCAGGTTCTTGCGCCCCGAGCCACCCCTGAGTGGAGTCCTCTTCCACCATGGATATCCAGGAGACCCAGCGTCTCCTTTCGGAGTACCTTCATGAGCTCGCAGACCTGTTCCATCGTGTCCCCGGCTCGGCGATCTTCCTTCGTTACGTCAAGTCCAGCTACCAGGATGATCCGATTCGATCCGCGGTCGAGCTCTTCCTGTTCCTGTTCGCGTTGCGCTATCTTATGGCCCCGAAGTACTCGACTAAACCCGGCGTCGTCCAACTCTCCGAAGACGAAATCGATGACTTGGTGGATGAGTGGACGCCCGAGCCTCTGGTGGGAAAGCCAACCCCATTGGAAGCTATGGAGGTTGAGAAGCGCACGGTGATTGTTGGGTATGTCTCTGCGACCTTCTCCCTCAACCGATGCATGCAATGAATGCTAATGGAATGACCGGCGATTTACAGTCCCGTGGGTCCCAAGTCTAAGCTGAGCAATGGTCGGACGGTCGTCAATCTCGGTTCCTACAACTACTACAACTTCAACACGAACGAGTCCCTGAAAGAGAAGGCGATCCAGACTCTCCGCAACTATGGCGTCGGGCCTTGCGGTCCCCGCGGCTTCTACGGTACCCAGGATGTCCACATGAAGACCGAAGCTGATGTCGCGTCTTTCCTCGGCACTGCATCCTGTATTATCTATGCCCAGGCCTTTTCGACCATCTCCAGTGTGATCCCCGCGTTCTCGAAGCGCGGTGATATCATCGTTGCAGACAAAGGCGTCAGCTTCGCTATTCGCAAGGGTATTCAGATCTCTCGTAGCATCGTCCGGTGGTATGAGCACAACGATATGGAGGACCTGGAAAGAGTCCTGGCCAAGGTCACCAAGGAACAAGCTAGAAAGCCTCTCACGAGACGATTCATCATCACGGAGGGTCTGTTCGAGTCGTATGGTGACATGGTTGATTTGCCCAAGATTGTATGTGATTGACTCTCTGAAATCCATGATGGCACCGGCTAACTCGGATGTGCAGATTGAGCTGAAGCTCAAGTACAAGTTCCGCTTGGTCCTCGACGAGACCTGGTCCTTTGGCGTTCTCGGACGGAGCGGCCGTGGTGTCACTGAGCACCAGAACGTCGACGCGGCAGAGGTTGACATGATCGTGGGCTCGCTGGCCGGCCCATTGATTGCAGGTGGCGGCTTCTGCGCGGGTTCGGAGGAGATCGTCCACCACCAGCGTATCTCCGCTGCTGCATACACTTTCTCTGCGGCACTCCCTGCTCTTCTGTCTACCACCGCTAGTGCCACGATTAACATCCTCCAGAACAGCCCTGAGACCGTGACACAGCTGCGGGAGCACACCAAGGCCATGTGGGCCCAGCTGGATCCTCGCAGCGACTGGGTGTACTGCACCAGTGCCCCGGAAAACCCGATGATGATTCTGGTCCTCAAACCCGAAGTTGTGGCTGCGAAGAGACTCTCTCTCGATGACCAACAATTTTTGCTGCAAGACGTCGTCGATGAGGTATGTACCTGATTCTTAAACTGTGTCTATATGGAACAGATGACTAACGAATCCGTGTCGCGCTTAGTGTCTTGCAAATGGCGTCCTGATCAGCCGTCTAAAGACCCTTCAGGACAACTTCGAGCCGAAGCAGATTGTCTCTCCTGCCCTGAAGGTCTGCGTCACAACCGGCCTGACCAGGAAGGAGATCGAAAAAGCAGGAACGACGATCCGCCACGCCATCACAAAAGTTCTGAGCAAGAGGAAGTAGAGTCTTCATCATTATACGCTCGCCCTTCTCACACCCCCTTCGGCCTTATACAGGGAGATGGCCATGAACATTAATGCTCCAACGATACGCCCATTGCCCCCTTATTCCATTCTGCCACATCCTCCTTGCTCTTCCAGTCGGTAATAGAACGCCATTACATGGTTCTTTGTATAGCATATTGCACAGTGTGATGGTACGACCCAAGTACTTTTTTTCTTTCAGAGGGAAATGAGGAGTTTGTTTATTCCATGCTCTTCCGGAAATGGCTTCCTTCTACTCTTTTTTTGCAGATATTCTCACTTGCCCTTTTCATATTTCCCCTGTGGACATTATTAGACATAACATTTTTTTTAATATCAATTCGATTTCTGCTCGATTGGTTATGTGATTTTTATTGGCCAAGTTGGTTCAAAATGAAAGGGGTACACAGGGGGGTCTGCTTCCTTGGTTCCTTGACAGTCCGAGACACGACAGGGAAAGAAGACCAGCCTTCAGGTGAAGTTGCTAAGGGGTTGTTATCCCCTTCACGACCCTGTCGGTCGCGCATTCTCGAGACCCAAGGGTCTATCGAGCCAGGTATGAGGCGAGCATTCCATCTTGAACTGGCCTGGATTGAATACATTCTTCCTACGAAGAAGACAGTGGCGCTCCCTTGGCTTCTCGATTCGATCCATCAGAATGAAGGGAATGAGTCCCTCACCATGTGTAACACGGCAATTTCGTTGCGGCAGGGTCTGCAGGTTCTGTCCTTCTCCCCGTCCGACTTTGCCTGGAATCGTTAACGATTTTCTACCAGATCTATCCTCACCGGTATTCTCCACACCGGCCGCATCTCACTTTGTCATTTGGGATACGGTCCTCTATTCTCTCCATAAGTCAAGTAGCTTGGGTTTAGGAAAGCTATCGTGTTACCTCGAGCTTGGCGAGATCGTGATACCGGACCCACGTTCAATCAGCGATGAAGCCTCTCGTGCAATTCCTTGTTGTGCTGCTACTCAGCCATCTTACTGGTGCGCTTCCTTATGGTACGTTCCCTGCACACAGAAGGACGCATTGGCGCCGGCCTGTTGATTAACGACCGACCAGGAGGTCATGATACTGGCGATGGCAGAATTGCCTCTCGCAAGGAGCCACTGGTAGCCCAGGTGCTTGTTTGGGTAGATGGGGAAGGGCATGCTCTTGCCACGAGTGCTGTGGACGATGCAGTACCAACACCAACTGCCGCCAATGTAAGTGTTAAAATCATTTTCTGCTACACATCAGTCAGGCTTCAATTAACCTGAAGTGGCTGTTAGATACCCACAGACCTTCCGCCTCTTCTGCCAATCCCTGATGACAACGCGCCCTTTGAACTATCGCCCGCTCTTCCAGATGGCGAGGATGGCGAGACCAGCATTCCCCTGCAGGCAGAGAATAACCGCCATTATGGGATCTCCTACTCTCCGTACAACGATGATGGCACTTGCAAGTCTCAGGTTGAGGTTGACAAGGACTTGGACAAGCTGACACATTATGGATTTATCCGGATCTACGGCGTCGACTGTGACCAGACCAAGAAGGTATCTACGGCAGCCCGACGACGCAATATGAAAGTCTTTGCTGGTGTGTTCGACTTGCAGAACTTCCCAGACAGCCTGGATTACATTACCAGGGCGGCAGACGGAGACTGGACCGTATTCCACACGATCACCATCGGGAACGAGCTGGTCAACAAGGGGCAAAGCTCAGTCGCCGATGTTACAAATGCCGTACAAACTGCGCGCCGCAAGCTCCGTGGCGCAGGCTACCGAGGCCCCGTGGTGACCGTCGACACATTTTCGGTGATGCTGCAGCATCCCGAGCTCTGCCTGGCCTCCGACTACTGTGCCGCTAACTGCCACGCCTTCTTCGATGACAACAACACCCCCGACCAGGCAGGCCAGTACGCCAAGAACCAGGCCATGAAGATCTCGAGAGCGGCCGGCGGGAAGAAAACCATCATCACCGAGTCCGGCTGGCCCCATGGCGGACAGCCCAACGGCAAGGCTATCCCGTCGGCGGAAAACCAACAGCAGGCCATCGCCAGCTTGAAGCAGGCGTTCCCGGACGACGACGAACTGATCCTCTTCACTGCCTTCGACGACGGCTGGAAGCAAGACTCCAGCGGCACTTTCGGAGCGGAGAAGTATTGGGGCATTGAAAAGCGCTGACATGTTCGAGCTTCGAAGCCAGCATTATTATTATCATTATTGTTCCACAGTCCCACTATGCCGATCTGGCGGGCGGGCGATCTGGCATCGTCTTGACATTCCTGCAAACATTGATTGATATTTGATACTCTTTTGGCCGGATCGCGCTGGTTGTGATCGTCTTGGATTCTACACTACACCACACCTTTTCTACCCTTCATCCCCATGAACTCTAATTCATGTATCACGTGCATGTGCGTGTGCATGTGCATATGTTGGTATTCTTTCTATGCAGCAGCAGCAGCCAGACTTGTATGTACTACCATCATTACACGCGGCGATTATTATGAGTGTTTAAACGTCTTTGAGATTTCCACGCCTGTACATACTACATACGTGCATCCATACCTTCAGTTCCCATACCACAATACCTTTGTGTATTGTGTATGGTACTTTGTACAATGGTATTATCCATCGATCAGATCCACTCCCTAGTTCCTTAGCCCTCACTAGCCACTCACCAGGCCCAACGTCGTCGTCAGCGGCTACGTACTTTTTCATTTCCCAGTTCCGCGGCGTGCAGTGGTCCGCCGTCCACCATCCTTCCGCACTCCGTCGTCCCGGATCCAGATCTTGAAGTCGGACGCCGGACGGGTCGTCACGCAATACTCTGTACAGAGTATCTACAGATTGAGATTTGGTTGTGGTCTGGGTCTGGTCTGGGTCTGGGTCGAGGTATGGTATCTTCTATCTGGTATCTGGTATCTGGTATCTGGTATCTGGTATCTGGTATCTGGTATCTGGTACAGTATCTTCCTGTCCGGTTCGGGGTTCAGGATCCACGGTGTTTTGGCTGTTCCATACCTACATATCCAATTTCCAATTTCCAATTTCCCATTTCCCATTTCAACAGTGAATAACCATATTAATGATGTATACTGTATGAGGTTGAAGTTTGTAGTTTGTTGATGGATTTGTTAATAATACGTTGAGTTAACTAACTAACTAACTAACTAACTAACTAACTAACTAACTAACTACTCTGTACTTAGTCAGTGTCTACTGTAGATAAACTACACATACACACACAGTACGGAGTATTAAGGTAGGACTGGACTGAACTGGAGATTGGGACTGACTGACCAAGAGGAAGGAAGGAAGAAAAGAAAGAAGCGGGTACAGAACGGAACGGAACGGAATGGAATACCAAGAAGCGTTTCTTAACGTTTCTTAGTTGTTTCTTAGCCGTTTTAGCGGGGAAGCTAGTATGTATTACCTACTAGTAAGTACTATTGGATGGAGTCCACAACTAACAACCTGAACTTGACCAAATTCATAAAACCTGCTGAGACTAGATACTAGCTGTATCTACTCCGTACTGTAGTACATAACTATAGTCAGTAGTATTCAGATTTTAGACAGTACTTACTGTATGGGTGTAAGTTACCTACCTACCTACCTACCTACCCTTAGGTAGGTATGGTTCTTACGGTGTCCAGTTCCTGAGTTAGGTATTCTGTACGGAGTACAGGAGGGACTTGGTACTACACAGTATAGTTACTAGGTGGATAAGGTATGGTGGGTAGGTGGTGGTACAGGCTGTGTATGGTATAGTACAGTAGGACTGTTACCTATCGTTTAGGGAGGTGCCTGCTACTACTAGTACTAGTATCGTGTCTGGCCACATGGTAGAAGTAGTACTAAGGTAGGTGTAAGTTAACGGTGCACACTCTATCATTATCGTTATTAATTAAGCATGAGGAGGTACCCTGGGTAAATGCTCAAGGGGAATCTAGGTAGGTAGGTTAATTCCATTACATTGCACTCCGTGTCAGTCCGTGATAGATGATCCAAGTAGATGATAATAATAATCAGAATAACAATGATGATGGATCAAGATTCAATAGTATTGAGAAACAAAATAGGTACTAAAGTAAAGTAAAGTAAAATAAAGTAAGAAATTATTCAGAGAAAGATGGATGGAACAGACACAACGAAACACAATACGATACGCTGGTATGCCTGCCAATGGATGCGATTGGTCGATGGAAGGGATCATGGAGGACTCAAATGAGATGCAAAGAAATGAAATGAGATGGAAATGGAGGTAAGGTAGCCAGGTAAGTAAATGGGAATGAAATGAAAATAACCGTATGTATGCAGAGCCGTTTGACTTGATATCGAATCGGAAAGTCAGTCACTCAAGAGACACGTTCTGCACCGCTTCCTCCACGCTGATGGTGGCGCTGGGCTTGGGTGCCTCGCTGTCGGTTGGGGGGTCAACAGTAATGTGTTCTCCTGGTTGTGGGTGATGCGTGAGATGTTCGCTGGGAATGTCAGGCACATGGGGTAGTGATGGTAGTGGTGGTTGATCAGACGAATCTGGCACGGCGCTTCGAGTGCGACCTCGACGACGGGTTTTCGGCGGTTCGGGCTTCTGTCCGTGCTTCGGGGGGAGGGTGTTGGGGCTGGTACTGAGGGGAGGCGCGGTGGTTGATGTGCTGGGGGTGCTGATGCTATGATGATGGTGCTGCTGCTGCTGCTGCTGCTGCTGGGCGGGTCGGGATGGGCTGGTGAGTGGAGTGCAGTGGCTGGTTACTGGAAGGGCCTGATGGATTGCGTGGAAGTGGGGGACGGTTGATCGTCTGGGTGGAGGAACGGCCGGTGGTGGGTTGGAGGCCGAGCGACGTGAGTGACCTGGGACAGGTGGCGGGACGAGTCCTGACGTGCTGGTTGAGTTCCTTCGGTCCACGGGCGTGTGCGCTCCAGTTGTCGAGGCGAGAGGACTTGTATGCTGGGATTCGGTATCTTCGGGGATCCTGTCTGTCGGCGCCAGATGGTCCTCGTCCTCGGTGGCTCGTCGGCCTCGCCAACGTCTTGTCTTCGGGGGCAGGGGCTTGATCTTAGGTCTGCCGACTATCTTCGAAGAGCTTGTTGGACTGGCTGCCCCCGCGCGGACATCATTGCGGCTCGGGGTCATGACGCCCGGTTTTTCGTGCTGGGAGGCCACTTCCTGGACGCTAAGTGACGACGATGACGCCGGCTCCAGATGCATCCCAAGTCGTTGCGCCTGGCTGAGTTTGCGGTCTGCGTCGAGCTTCGGGAAACTGGAGCCTGATCCGTCCACTCTGGTAGGTGATAAGCTCTCAGGGGTGCTGTCAACCGTGCTGGTAGGCGACAGAGTCCGGAACGATTCCAATGGAACTCCAAATTCAACATCAAGAGGCCCCCCGTCTGAAGCCGAGAGGGGCAGCGCGGGGGTTTCGTCTTGAGGCTTCTGGGGCTTTACCTCCCGTAGCCACTCCACCGTTGCGCAGCGAAGAACCAGCCTTCGCGTCGTCTCGTCCACCTCGTCAAAGTGCATGATCTTCTCGCTGTCTGCTTCGCCATCGGACAGCTGGCCGTGAACGAGATTGCTGAGCATCCGCCTGAGTTCATTGCGTTTGTAAAAGGGCGGGTATTTCAGCTGCGTATGGGCGAGTAGCGGATAAAGGACACGGAGGTAGGTGTGTCGGAGAGCGGACGCCTCTTCGGGCAAGTCCAGAAGGTTTCGGATGAGAATGTCCACTAGGACATGAAGATCGTTGGTGAAGAAGTACTCGTAGGTGCTCGGGGTGGTGAAGATGAGGTATAAGAGCTTGAGCGTGAGAAGCTGGAGCGAGGTTTCGGCTATCATTGCGTTAGATCGTCACTTTCACTTTCATTGCGGTGGGGACATTTTACCTTCGCGATTGATAAGGAGGATGATGTTCTCGCCAAAAGTCTTGTATAGATTGCCGTGCATCGACAAGATCTTGATGACCTTATTGGTCAAGGTATTCGTCGATAAATTCTCCTCGATAGGGTCATGCGCAGAGATCATAAACTGCTCATTCAGAACCAGCTGTAAAGACATTAGCACGCCATTATCAGATCTGAAAACACCGGCACAACCACTCACCAAAACCCGAATCACCGGATAGTGATAAGGATCATTGACATCGTAAGAGAGATCCTCAATAATATCAAAGAGGCCCTTGACGAAATCATCGTCCACGAGAACTGCCACACAGCGTCATTGTCAACAACCCATTCCCAGATCCGACAATCGAAAAGTAGGGGAAATCAAACCCACCCAGATCCTCAATCTTGACTCTCTGAATCCTCGACATCTCATAAATCAGATCCATCAACTGCCGATGCAAACCAGCCGTAACGCCCTCCTCCTCCCTTTGATTCCGCGCCTGCAGCAGCTCCAACAGTCTGGGGAACAAGCCCTCCTCATTCATCATGCGAAAGGCCACATCATGCTGCCGCCCATCGAAGAGCAGAAACGACACAATGACATGAAGCGTCGCCGGATCGTCATCCTATCACCCCGCAAGAAACCACCATTATTAGAAGCATGTCAACAAAACCCCCCTCCTTCTCCTCCCGCCAGCTCAAGCACCCTGTCTATGTGCTTGTGCATTGTAATTGATCTGCATACCTGCAACAACCCATAGATCATCTGCCTCCGAACATAATCCGTATGCGCGACGAAGATATTCGACGCGAGCAGCTTATACGAGCATCGCGTGATATCCAAATCCGACTGAAGGTATTCATCTGACCGGCAGCCAATCCCCTCACACGTCAGCTTATTCATTCGCTATTGTATCCCCCGGCAGTAAATGTCGACAAACCTCGATACTTCGCCGACAGACTCAGATAAGATCGGAGCGCATCGTCGATATGGTCTTCGGAGGAGCAAGGAACGGAGACGATCTCTTGGATTTCTGTAAACGTATCGATGGGCGAATTAGCCTGTGCCTTAGATTTTTTTTTTCGGCTTTGGGTTCGTTTTGGGTTTTGAGTTTGGGATTTGCTTTTATGGTGGAATTGCTTTTTCTCCTCTTTTTTGCGACATTTTTTTTATCAAGGGGGAAGGAGGAGGGAGGAGATAACGAATCGGATACTCAAAACAAGCAAGTAGATAGGAAGATACGAGAGGGAGAGACAGGGAAGTTTGTTATTGTGGGTGAATAAAACCCAATAGAGAGAAGAGCAAACAAACAATGGAACCATAAGATAGCAAGTATAACGCACCGTCCCAGAATTGCTGCTCGTTCTCCAGGGAGACCTCAAACTCCATTTCCCACAGCTCGGTCGTCCTCGTCGGGCGTGGCGTGTCCCGGCACTCATCCCGTCTTGCGCCCGTCGCGAGTAGCTGGGGGGGTTTGCTCCGTGGGGAGGGGGAGAGGAACAGAGAGATGCTGAGACCGATGGGGAGGAAGTGTGATGGAGGAGTGGAGGAGAGGAGGAGAGGAGGAGGGAAGTGAAATGAATGAAGTTGGCCAATTCGGGGCGGCGGGGGATTTGCGGCCCTCCGCCGCCTTGGTTTCCGTACGTCATTCCGATAGAACGACTTCTACTTGACATACAACCATCTCCCCCTCCCCCAACCCAGCCAGCGACCGACTCGTTTTCAGATCGAAAATGCTCGGATCAGCTCTTGGGGTCTGAATGATCTAGTTGCTCGGCTCCTTGGCCACCAGCGGCACGTGGACATTGTATCTCTGACTCTGGAACCATAAACATTGCAGAAAGCCTCCCCCCCACAAAGCTATCTTGGTATTGTGCAGGATAGCCCCGAGGGACAGGACCTGCCTGGGTTTGCTCTGCGGGTCTTCGGAACAGGTTCGAGTTTCCAACGCTTTCGTGTCGGAAAAGGTCGGCAAACCGGGCATCTCTCCTCCAGGGGGCTTCGTCGTGCTCGCAGAATGGAGCAATGCCGGTCAAGAGTTACTCAAAGGATGTTGCTTGGGATTGTGAGCTCTGGATAGCTGCCTGGATGAGATGCAGGAGGTCATCCTTTTTATGGACACTGAAGCCTGGCCGTTCAAGATGCCGAGTGAGGTCTCTCATATCTGCAATGGCGCCAACAGACCGGACGATACCGAGATCTATGGCTGTGGAAGGGAGATCCTGACTGACACAATACCTGGCGAGTGCATCCTGGAAGGCACTCCCGACGGTGTACGCTGCCTGCGAGATCTTACCCAGAACCCCGGTCGTGGAAGAGAGAGTGAGTAAAAAGTCGATATTGCCACGGCTTTGGAACTGACGATGCAGGTTCAAGGTACCAGTGGTCTTGGGCCCCAGGACCTCGTGCAACGCACCGTGGCCCATGTTATCAAACAAGGCGTCCCGCAGAGCCATACGTGAATCACGCCTCGGATGGGAAACCCTGTTCCTACACGCCTTGAACCAGAACACGCAGGCTATCTGAATCGGTGATGTCCAGGTTTTGAGCCACAATGATTGTTCCGTGAGAGTGAAACTGGTTGGAGAGATGCAGGAAGAAATCCCAGTGCTTTGGACATTCCGCGTTTCTGGACGCCAATATAATATGCTTAGCACCATGCTGGGCCATCCATTTGGCATTCGATACTCCAACCCCGCCACCAGTAAGGTATGACCTATTGGGCGAGAATAGGAACTTGTGTGGTTGCGGAAGTAACTGAATTCAACAGTCAATATAAATCTTCCACCCCCAGGCACTGCTGCGTGTCCAGTAACCAACAGACACCAAGTCATCATGTTTAGCTGTGATCACAAGTTTCCCAGTATGTCTTCCTGTCTGCATGGTCCGGAACGCCTGCTGGATATCAGAAATAGAGGAGTTGATCGGGATCTTAGATTTCAAACCTCCATCCCTTTGCATTGCAATCACATTGTCCAGGACCTTCGCCAGACCATTTCCATTGTGTTTTGCAAGAGGCAGAAGATCGATGGCACGGAGCGAGACCGCGCGTTCGAAACGAGCCATGGCCAGCTGACGATTTAGCTGAATATATCGCTTCCCAATCTCGACAAACCGGCCCAAAGGAGCAATACAATTCCATCTCGCCCGCAGGAGAGCCCCAGACAGGCTGTTGAGAATAACATCAACCTCTCGACTGTTTGTCACGGACATGGGATTCTTCTCAAAAGACATGTCCCGACTCGACACAATATGATCAGACGGAATCTGGTAGGTTACTGCAAAGAATCTTCGCTTCGCCTCAGAGCCAACACTGGCATAGATCTCGCGCGAGATTGATCGCAGCCTGACCAACTCCGCCAGTGGCAGCGTGGATGAGGAAGCTTTCTTCTTTCTGGAGTCGCGCAACGTCCACCAGGGCGTGATGCGCAGTCAAGTGGATGATGACCAGGATTGAGGCCGCATGCGCTCGAAATCTATGTGTCCAGGAATACGCGCGACTGATGTTGAAGAGACGTGGATCCGGTTTGCTCAGCCACCACCCACCATCCAGGGAGAGTTCCAAAAACAAGTTATACATCCATTGCATCACGCGTGCTTTCCATAATAACAACTTTACCCCCATTCTGCATAGTTCGATGCAAGTTCCTGGTAGCGTGCAGGACCGAGCACGCGACCACCAATCAGGTCATAAGTACCATTTTCAAACGACTGGTTTCCCCGGGGGTCCTCTTCAATGTCCAGGTCCCTGCCCTGGCTGTATCCACCATGAATGACAGCCGGGTATTCAGTCATTCACTGGCAATAGAGAGAAAGAAAGAAAGAAAGAAAGGAAGGAAGGAAGGAACGAAGACAGATCACTGACGTGTTTATTCTTATTACCTTTATAGATAACCCCGTCTTCGGAATCGGCCATATAGAACATCGGCATCCGGTGTATTTTATCAAGGACGAGGAACTTGAAAAGAGTACATCCATGGGCGGGTTTTCTTCTTTCTACTCCAGGACATATAGTTAGAGGGATGAATGAGTGAGGAGGTGGGTGGGTAGGTAGGTAGGTAGGTAGTGACATAATACAATAGACACCTAGATAAACAGAAATAGAACGGACATGTCAAATAGTACCCATACTTCGCACTGACCTACTCTACTACATACTTCCTCTGGGATCTACTCCATCCTAGATAGGAAGGCACGATAGACAGACACAGACATAGACATACATATACAAAGCCAGAAAAGGAAGGCATTAGGCAAGCTTCATCCGCCTCATTAGTATTGTTTGGTTTACCTCCACCGCACACGCTCTATACAATAACATCACGTCCCAGCCCGGTCGCCGGTGCATTACAGATCCAGATCGCCATATATCAGCCTCTTATTCCCAAACCAGCTAGAAATAACGAAAGCATCACAGAAGAAGATAAAGAAGAAGGAAGAAGGAAGAAGGAAGGGGGGGGATGTCACAGGAGGGGACGACCCATAAGGGGACGCCACAGAAGGAGGAGGGGCAAGCGGCGCATCAATCAACTCATGTACTCGGGGACGTGGTATCTGTACTTTTACAAAGAACGCATCAAAAACAGCAATATAGACGTATACTGCACATGCATACAAAGCCATTATTAGTATTGCGGACGCCTCAGCGGGTGCGCCTCCGTGTTGCTGCAGGGTCACAGTTAGCCTGATTCTCATAGATCCAACGAGGAGCCACTTACAGCACATATTCGTCCAGGCTCAGGACCCCCGGGTCGCTGAAGAGCAGATAGAAGTACTTCAAGGTCTCCGCCAGCCAGAACGACTGCATCTCATCCAGCATCGTCGGCGTCTCCACCGTCACGTCGTCGATCTCCGAGTTGGCCAGCTCCGTGCGGGTGTACTTGGACACGGCCTCGAACATCTCCCACCCCTTCTCCCGCCAGTATTCGTCACCCGTCAGGCGGAACATGATGAACACCGACTCGATGGCCTCGGGGCGCAGGAGATACTTGCGGTTCACGAGCATGGTGATGCCGGGTGGCAGCCGTTCGTTGCGGATCCGGGCCGTCGCGAACTCCTCGTGGGAGGGAATCTTTTCGTCCTCATCCGAGTCCTCGTTTTCGGCCTCCGCCTCGGCCTCGTCCTTTTTGGCGGACTTCCCATCCGAGTTCGCGACAACATGCCAATTGCCGCGCTCGCGCTTGCCGATGGAATTCTTCTTCTTGGAGCCAGAACCTTCAGCGTCCGCCAGGGCCTCCTCCTTCTCCTTCTTCTTCCTCCTTTCTTCCTTCCGTGCCATGGCCCGGGCGAGCCGCTCCTGCATGTTCGGGTCGAGGGCCTTGTAGTAGGCCGTCTCGTTCCATTCACAGCTCTCTCCCTTTTTGCATGGAACAAGGGAAAAGTGCTCAGGCATGATTCCGGACTTGGTGGACTCATACGCCCACACGCAAGCGTCGGTCAGTTGGTGGGCAAGTTCCATGTCGCTTTCAATGCCAAAGATCTTGGCTCCCACAGCAACCATGCCACCGGCAAAGCACGACAGGTGATCGCCGTCATATGTGGTCCGCACATGGCCATGATCCTTGGGCATGCTGACAGTGCTCAGGAATCGAATGTCGCGGTTATTCTTGACCATGGGCTGGAAGACCAGACGTTCGCGCGCCGCCGTGATGGCCTTTTCATACATGGTACGATACTGCTCATTCTGACCGCCTAGAAGCATGTATTCCTTAGGCAGGTACTCGTAGGTTGAATCTGCGAGAGCACCCAGGCCATACTTCTCGCTTTCACCGGTAAAGGCGGTAAGACCTTCTCGGCACTGCGCCTCGGGGGATTGCTGCTCGAAAGACGCCCGGTATTCGCTCTCCGAGTTGGGGTACGGCTGCGCAGAGACACCACCGTACCCAGCCGGCTGGGCATCATCATGAAGGGACCTGCTGTCGCGAGGCTCCAGAAACTCCTCGTAGCTCTGGGCGTCAGTCGGCAAAGCCTTCATGGTCGAGCTGGGCTTGGACTGAGCAGAACTGGACGGGGTCTCGGCGGGCGATTGGCCACGCGGGGCCTCGTGATCAACGTGGGTTTGGGATTTCCTGCAACCAGAAGCGTCGATTCTGAGTGGCCACAAGCCAGGAAGCTGAGTGTTGTCCTGGAACTTCTCGAGTTCATTCGTAACACGCGCAATTGCATCGTAGTACTTGTCTTCCTTGGTCAGTTGGGCCAGGCGAGTGAATTCCACAGAGAGAGAGCCGAGTTCTGCGAGCGCGGCCTTCTTATCTGCACGACGAGGCAGTGCCATGCTGACCCTGCGAATCAATTTGTCAGCCACGCACAATTATGTCAGGTTTCAACGAGCCAAAATCGACTTACGGAGCCCATCTGTGGAAGAGCCCTGGCATGCGGTTCGGCGTATCGAAAGCGCCCATGAGAACCTCAGCCAGCTCGACCGCTTTCTCCAGCAGCACGTCGTACTTGTGCCCCGAGATATCGTACGCGCTGAGCAGGCCACCGAGGTAACGAATGACGGTCTCAAAGAGCGGGATTTCCTTCTTCTTGGTGGTCGTGAAGTCAATCGTCTTGATGTAGTCCACCGCAAGAGAGAATTCCTCCTTCAATTCCATGAGCCAGAGAGTATCCAAGGAGTCCACCAGGGTGGCCCCCCAGCCATTGAATGGGTCGCGATACCCACCGCGCAGGGGCCTGACTTCATCGTGGCCCATGGCGGAGGTCTTGTAGCCGGTCCATGCACGTTCAAAAGTGGTCTTGATGGCGGACAGTCTCTGTACACGCTGCATCTTGTCGGCGGAGGACTCGTCTTTGAAATCCGCCTGCAGTTTCGGGAGCTCCTTCGGCTGGCCGGTTGGCAACCGGATCAGGTCCTCTGACGCCACGGGGTAATGCTCTGGCAGCTTCTTCCAGTGAGGGTGTGGCCAGGTCGCTTCGGGGGTCTCTACTTCCAGCGCCTCCTGTTTCTGGACCCCCAATTTGGAGCGGAGCGGAGCGGACTGGCTCTCCTCCTCGTCCTCATTGACTGCTGCATCGCTCGATGGTTTGGGGGCCTCCGCCGAGGGCGATGGGCGGATATCAGCGGGAGTTTCGATAGTGGGGTCCTGGACCTCTTCGGTAGAGTGCTGTTCGGAGCTGAGATCGGGAGTAGGAGGAGAAGGAGGGGGGGCAATTGGGGCGGAGTCCTGGTGGTCGACTGTGTCGGCAGCGGGCGAATTCGGAGAGAACGAGGCAGGGTGGCGATCGATGGGTGAGGGGGACTGTTCTCGAGATCGGGCGAAGTGTATGAAGGCGAGCACGAAGATGGTCGCAAACACCAGGAAGACCCGGTACCGTCGGGCTCGAAACATCATGATGGCAGGAACCCGCGGGGAAAAGTCTCACAAAATATACAGAACCAGAGGGGGAGGGGAACGAAAGAAGAGGTCTCCAACCCAGGGTCAGAGGGACGGATACGAGGAAAGAGGGACAGAAGGAATCACGAGATCCTAGTGTGTAATCCTGTAGTAGTCACGGAGGGGTGTGGCTGAAAAGGAGTGGAGGATGGAGAAATGCCGGCTATTGTTTGGCAGAGGGCGAGAATCTCTAACGACAGACGGGGGTGAGATCCAACATAGAAGTGGACCAAACGAGTGGCAGAATTGAGTCAATCAATCGATGCAGAGAAGTAAGTGAGGTAGGACAGTGAGGCCTCCTTTAGGTCATGATTGAATTGAATTGGGTAATTGGGGGGATGAGGAAAAGAGGCAACAACAGCGACAACAACCACCTGATCAGGAGGGAGGGGGGAGAGAGAGAGAGAGAGAAAGAGGGAGGGAGATGTTGGAAAAGGGAAAGGAAAGAAACGGGACGGGAGGTACGCGATAAGAGGGACCAGAAACCAGAACCAACTAAAGGACTGAGCGGCCAGACTGGGTAGAGAGACTGGGGCCGGGGCCAATGAATGAAGACTGAGGAAGAATGGACGCAACCGCCGGCCACCTTCTGCGGTCGGAAACCCTCTCCGTTGCGGACTTGGAAATAGATGCATGCATTGGACTATTCTTCATTCTTCACTATACTTCGGAGTACTTAGTAACCACTTACTTACCTTAAGAGCCGGGGTAAGCAATACTCCGACTCATCCATCACTGCCTAGTCTTTCTGCATGATGTTTCCACATGATTTACTGTCTACCTAGATACACAAAGGTAGTAAGTAGGTAAATATGGAGTTGAAGGATCCCTGTCAATTTGCTTGATATTTTAGTCGGGCGAGCCAAAAATGAAAATGAAATGAAGGGGGAAATAAAAATAAAAACCAATAAAGGCACCCACAAAATAAGATGAAGAAGAAGAATAATAATAAACAAACAAATAAATAAATCACTAGATCAATCGAAAATTTACTGCCAACTATTTTTTTTCATCTGCGATCGAGACCGCAGGAGATCCCCGGATCAGCGACCGAGGGAGGATCAGATCAGCAGTCTTCTTTTTCTTTTTCTTTTCTTTTCTTTCTCTCTCTCTTTTTGGTTTCGTTCCAGGCCTGGATTTGCTTGCTGCAGCCATTGCCAAGGGGGGAAGGGGGGGATGAAAAACCGACTGACTGGCTGTCAGGGCTGGGTTGGAATGGGCTATTTACTGATTGACTTACACGGGGTAAGTAACCTGCAGCGATACATACCACCGATGCCATGTCATGTCATGTCATGCTATGCCATGCTCTTCTTTCTCCCTCTCGTACTTACTTAGTTGTTGCACCATTCTACAAAGTAGTATAATAAATACCCCCATAAGGACGTCCATCTCATCTCCAGTCCCTCTGGCAGGAGGCCATCCCACATCCGTCTCTAGCATGAGCCACTTAGCACTATCTCCATAGTACCATCTAAACAACCACAAGCAGAACTAACTATCTAGACGGGCTGCAATCCTGCAGGGGACGGACGGATGGACGGACAGACGGGCCAAATCGAATATTGTCACTTTCTATTTATATCTCCCCCTTCCCCCCCCGTAAGTAATCCGATACCTTACTTAACTTACTTAACTTACCGATACTTGCTTAACTTACGGGAGGGGGTGGGGCACTAGCACTCTTTAGGTAGTCGCTACTCGCTAGTGGTCTAGCCCCATCCAACATTCAACATCCACCGCCGGCCGGATGGACTGGACTGGACTGGACTTTGCATCCAGGGGTAGTCTAGAGCTATCTAGATAAAGTACCGGTAGTAAGAGAGAGAGAGAGAGTACCCAAGAAAACAGTAATTGCATTAATTGGACAAGTCCTTAGATTACGCTGCACTATAAAGTTACTTACTTACAGACTATTGCTTGTGATTGTGATTGTTACTTTTTGAGTGTCTTTCCTCCTCCCCCTCCCCCCCTTTTTCTCGCTTCTATCTACCAAACACCTTTCTCTTCTCATCATCTGTACATACTTTGTACATACTGTAACCGGCGGGTCACTGCCCCATCCTCGTTTCGGAAAAAAGGACCCTGAAACGAGGGCTTCACAAATTTACTTCATGGAACCCTACGTCGCAAGTAGTATTTATCTACTTAAACCCAGAGACCCCTAACCCTAAGCCTAAGGGGTGGGCGATGGGTCGCGCGAGGAGACTGTTCGACAACGGGATTGGATGGGGCGTGCGCCGACAGAGCTTGACAGGAATAGTAACCACCACTAGATACTATCTACGGAGTAGACTAAGTCTCTTCTAGTACGGAGCACCAACGCCACTCGAGTCATGATTGTATGTAAGTGGGTAGGGAGGTAAGTAAGCGCTATCTATGTAACGTTAAGGCTTTAAGCACCACGAAGGTTCAGCCGGCCCTTTATCCGAGCGGGGAATGGTCGGCACATGAGAGTAGTGAGGGTAACTAGTAAGCACCCTTCAGGGCTTCGACACCTGATCACAATAATCCAGCGTTTGGGCCTCCCCCCGTGACGGTTTGGGAAAGGTACCTACTTAGTAGGTAAAGTCTCCGGGAAACCCCCCCCCCCCCCCCCAAAGCTCACGTGGGTAAGAATTCTCCAGTTATCATCGCCTGGCATGAATGAACGGATCCTCGCGGGTTCGAGCACAGTTGCTTATCTATATACCAACCGTCGGACGCCCCCGATTGTCTTGGTTCACTCGTTGAAACTGTTGAATGAGGCCCAAAACACCTGCACCCCCCGCGAGTGCGTCGGCATTGTCACCTCCCTCGTCCTCGTCCTCGTCTCCCTCCCCCCCTAGGTTCATCCGCCACGACTCCTCCAAGTTGCTGTCACTGGTGCCGATGCCGCCCCCGCTCGACCCACCTGCGGCTTGTGACGGCGACTTGGCTGCAGCGGTACGAGCCTTGGCCGCAGGCGAGTCTTCATCCTCGATAGGGTCGGAGATGGTGGGAGGGGGTCGTGTGGCCCGATAGCGTGGGTAAGGGTTAGCGCGATGCGTTGAACGGAACCCTGATGCGGACGGCTGATGGTGCGGGTCAAGCAGAATGGACGGAGCAGGCGATGCATGGTCGCCCAAGCCGGTGGGACCGAACCGGGGAGCACCAAATGCAGACTGTTGGCCCATGAGCCCTGCTGCTGCTGGCCCCGGCCGTGTCAGCGTCTGATCGAGTCGATCACCAAAATGGCCCATCTCAATGGCAGACGGGGACCCGAGGGTCGGGAACGTAGGAGGTGGGTAGAACTGGCGTTTGCTCGGGGGGGGCCGCCCCGAGGGTTGGCGCCGTAATTGTCCAAGAACCCGTAGTAGGATGCGAGCATCTTGCCGTCCTTCGTCGAGAAGTAGTCTGCCCGAAGGTCTTGCCGTGAAGGGTCTCGTCGACTAGTGTCCCCCTGGGATATGACATTGGTGCCTTTCTTGAAATCGAATACAGCAAAGGAGCAAAGATAGCCCATCCCATCGACGTGTACTGTGAATTCCCGGAAGAAGTCGATGAGACGATCACTGCATTTGGGCAGGCTGAACCAGAGAATGAACGGCGTGAATAGCATGCTGAGGATCTCCTCCAGGAAGATAACAACCTTCATCTGGTACAGCACAGCAAAATCTTTGCGGACGTCGTCACTATGCAACCGGCCTTTCCAATGACTCGGGAAGTAATGAGTGAATTTGATCACTTCCAGCAGCGCATACTCAGGATCGAACACATTGGTTTCTTCCGGGACCAGGCCCCGAGCAACGGCCCAGACTGATCCAAAGACACCCAAGTAGAACAGCACTGTTCGATCGTGGGTGATCTCGAACCCTAGGAATAACTCCGGGTCCACGACGGATGCCAGGGCTAATACCGAGGCGAGAGCGCCAGACACGAACGCCACGAATCCAGCCAATTGGACGGTCTTGTCTTTTGGAAACTGGTCCACATAGCGACTAGCGAATGGGTAAGACATGTTAGTACGCCGTTCAAAAAGGTGCCATAATTCGTTGAACTCGCGAAACTTCCACTCGGCCAGCGGGGCGTATTGTCGAGATCCGATTTGAGACGGGTTCTTCTTGAACTCGTTGAAATAGCGAAAGAAGTAGTGCATCAGGAAATAGACGACAATGAAGGGGGCTACAAAAATGTTCATGATGCCTGCAAATATGAAACGCCGACGCAGGCCCTCACTCAACACGCGTCGGTGGGTGTCCTTCAGAAACAACGTTCGCACTTGACCCTGCTCGTTAAAGACATAGTCCATAATGCAGAGGTTGATGTTCCATTCCAGTGTACGGGAGAACAGCTGCCTGTTCTTGAGGAACGGTATCGGAAGAGTCAGATCTAATATGTCCTTGTTCACCAAGGCAATCAAATAGTTCTCCTTGCGCATCAGGCGGTTCGCGATGTCGTGAGCATCCATACGTTGCTTGGATTGACTCCCCATGAATTTGCGATGCTTCGCGGAGACCGCGCCTGCAGTCGCGGGGTTGGAATCTCTCAGAGTCATCAGTCGACTGACAACCTCCTGCCAGGATATCGACTGGATCTCGGCATCAGATATTCCAAGTAGGTAGAAATAGAAGTCGTGCATATGCTTAAGCCTTCTGATATCTAACAAGTACTGAAAAGCCTTGCCGATCCAGAAGAGAGAAAGTAACCACAGCAGGAAGGTCGCGGAAAAGGACATCTTTTTTGTGCATTTCTGAATTAGGATGTCGTCTAAAGTTTTACTTCCGCGTACATTGTGGTAGTCGATGCAGTTGGTGAGGAATATACTAAATCCTACAACGAACCCAAACGTCCTGCGAAGTCACCAAGAAACCTGTTAGCCGGGGACATAAGATCTGACGCCCATATTGAAGAGGGGGTGGGAGACGCACAAAAGGCTCAGGACCCGGTTCAGTAAAATCGACCAAATCCCATTCCCAAGAAAGTATGTATAGACGTCCTTCAAAAAATTGTCCAAATTATCAACATTGGCCCACATCCACATTGCTTTCTCCTTCGGATCAACTGTAGCCAAGTTGGGGTACCCAGCCGACCACAGCGTCCGAGGGCGCCTCCGATTGGCGTCGTGAAGAGGTAACTGTTCTCGGGTCGTTTCCCAGCGAGCCCACTCTCCTCGAGGGGGGGATCGGGGGCGAGGAGGTTGGTCGGGGAGGCGATGGGATGGCGGTGGAGGAGGAAGTCTCGACCTCAGGTCATCGTCGTCATCTTGACCTCCTTCCACGAGAAGAGAGGCGGGGACGTCATCGTCACTATCGTCAAGTTTATGATTAGGCAAGGCTATGTGTATTCCCCGAGAACGGCTGCGCTTGCGACGGCGAGAGCCCTTCTGAAGGATGCCTCCCCCATCTCTTCTCCGGGGCGGACTCTGGGGCGGCAGAAATGGATCGCTCGGGCCCGGGGAATCATCCCTCCCAGCATCTGCTAGGGCTTCCTCGAGTTCACGGTCACTAAACTGGTCCCGGTGGTCATCTTCCAGTGTCAAGCCCGCGCGTTCCTCGATGTCCGATGATTCTGAGTGGGAATCGTGTTGTCGGATCGTCTCATACACGGATGGGGAGCCGTTTGGAGGGAGAAACCGGGACAGGATGTTTGATGCCATCATCTTGGATTAAGATACTCGGGTAAGTCGTGGAATTTATAGAATAATCAGTACATTATAGCGGCCGCAAAACCGTGGATCGGATCACTTCAGGGCCATCCAGATGGGGAGAGGCTATATAGCAACGAGGCAGGGTGGTTGAAGCGGAGAGGCGGCAATGATAACCTAGAGACAAACGCGGCTGATTGACCCAGCATCTATGGAGCGATATGATGGATCAGTTCTGACTCTTGAGGTGGGTCAATAGGAGGGGAGAGGAGAGAAGCAGATGAACTCGGCCGAAATCTACTGAACGAGCTCGGTTGACTGTGGGAGGGAAGAGGAAGGGGTCGGTCAGGAGTTGATAGATGGCTGGAATCGAAAGAGGAGCTGATGACCGGCGGCCCTCGTGATAAGCTGCGATGATGCAGGCGGTCAGGTCAGTCGGTCGGCGGTCAGTCGTCACCCGGAGATACTTGGTCGGTGTGGTGCCTGAGGCGGGTTCCTGGTGTCATGTGATAACCATCCGGAATGGCAGTTAATGCGACCGCCGAGCGCCGAGGGGGGCCTGATTCTCACGTGACCCCACGACCGAGAGTCTCTGACGACACGAGTCAGTTCAGACTTCAGAGTCAGTTTGAGTGGGATGCTTACGGGATGAGCCGCCGACGGGGACCACTGATTGGCTCCAGCGCCAGAGATCCTTGAGCGCGTCGGTGGCTCGTGCGGGGTGGGCGTCCATTCTGGAAGACTGGAATCACTGGAACGCTACTGGAAGTTGCTCCGTAGTGGCTCATTTTTAATAATCTAGATACGTGGTGACTCGCGGCGTTAGAGTCGTGGCTTCGCTGGCCCCGTTGGCCTTGGGTGGAATTCTCTTTCTTTCTCTTCTCATGCCCGGAGCTGCCCCCTTTTGCTCCGTCCCTCTCCCCCCCCTCCCCCGGGCCCGGTAAACTATCTATAGTGTAGATACGAAGTGCCCTCGTACTCCGTCCCGGCGTCCATCAATTGCCATCAAACGGTGGAAAGCTAGTAGGGGTTTGGTGCGATCAATTGGCTACCCGAATGATCCACACCCGGTGAAATGATCGCTGGGTCAAGACCTGTACCATGGACACGCCTGTTATGATCCTCCGTCCAGTGTCGCTGAAGCTGGGGAAAATCTTCCAATCGTGGTGGCCGCAATATTCAGGTCAACCCTTGTCATTTCCCAGACCCGGTTATCACCCTTTGTCGCAGGCGGCGGCACTCAAGATAGATAACAGCCACAAACGTAATGGGCCACCTATATACTATGGAGATGCCTAGTGCCAACGACTAGCTAGGCTAAGCGCCATGCAGTGATATTAATGGCCCGCCAGTGTGCAGACCATTTGGCCACAACCACGGCAGATCGCAACCGATCATGTTCTGCACACCGTTGATGCGAGCGTAGTCATACGTAGCCAGCCATGCTTAGCGGCGCGCCGGTACACGCCCTCCTGCCCAGGACCCAACAACCACCATAGTCCAGAATACTAATATCGGGGCAGAAAACTACAGGGGAGGCGGGAAGGATCCCAGTGGCGATAATCATTAGTCCCTCGGATCTGACTGCCGCACCCTGTTGGGGTGGGTTCTAGAAATGGGCGACTATGTAGGTGGTAGGTTATTCATTGTACGACCAACTGGGCCATGGGTTGGGTTGGTGCCACCATCCTCTTTGCCGATGGAAGAGTGAAAGAAGAATCGAACACGGGCTAGTTGCATTGGAAAGGGACAAGGAAGGGAAGGAAGGGAGGAATGCGGTCGGAGTAAACCACCATCCGAGCTGGGCGCTGCATTAGCCCCAGCAGTCAGGTCCAGGCAGGCAGGTCTGTGGACCTTTCTGGAAGCTCATCACCATGATTGACCGGCCTCTCGAGGGATCCTGCATCGATTAAAGGCCAACTCATCCGGTTGATAAATGATGGGTACATAATCTCCACATCCAATTGAGCTGTAGCCTATTTGGAATCTGACCCATCCGCTTTTCCACGGATGCCAGGAGCAATCAATGCTTTGTATAAGGACACCCCAGGCGAAGAACGGGAGGTATCAATCGTAGACCTAGCAGCTGGGAAGGACGCGGAGTAGTCTACACAGTCTACAGACCATCCTTCTACAGAGTCGAGATCCAAATCAAGAGAAAAGGAAATAGGAGGATTACCCCCAGGGATCTCAGCCCCAGAGCCCGAGCCCAACAGTTTTATTTTTATTTCTATTTCTAGGTTTTTTTTTTTTTTTTTTTTTTTTTTTTTTTTCATTTTTCATTTTCCCACCTGTTCAATTAGAGACTTAACTACCAGATAGATAGTCCCAAGCTTGGACTATTTCCCATCCAAATAGAGGAGTGTGGACTGGACGTTGCAAATGAAAGCCAGCGCAATATTCTTTCCGGATAGCATCAGGCCATTCTAGGGGGAATATTGCGGTAACCATAAGCAAATCTCGTGTACAGACTACAGAGAACCAAGGTCCCGCAAAGTGGCTGGATCCAGACTGTTGTTGTGCAGTATCACTATCATTCAGCGCTCAGCAGAGTAGACCTCCGAGCCTGAGAGATCGGGCGTTCTCCCGTTTCCCCTGCATCTGGAATGGGAAAGGGTCCTTCCATTGTCGTATCATCGGTCTTCAATCATCCCTGATCCCAGGTGCAACGTGAGTACTTACCGTACCCTATCGAGATCGTGGGATTTCGGTTTGTCCAATTCATTCATTCCCCATCCCAAGCCTATCGCTGTCTCTTTCCCTCCCTTAATTGGGGATTATCAACTATCAATCCTCCTCAGTCTTGCTCTTCCTTTCATCCATCCAAAATCACCCCCCCCCCTCTTTTTTTTGCCCTGTTGCCGTCCCGCTTCTTCAGCTGCACGACTTCAACACCGCCTCCCGCTTTCTCCCTCTTTTCCTTTCCTCTCTCTCTCTCTCTCTCTCCAGCTGATCCTCGACTTGGCTTCCCTCTCCTCCCTCTCCCTCGCTTACTGCCACAACCCTCCTCCCACCCCCCCCCTCAAACCGACTAGACCCCCGTCTGTCGTACAAAAAAATGCATCCTTTCTGATGCGGGATCTGCAGTTCTCACAACGCACGTCGTCTGGGTAATTGGCCTCATTCAATCAGTCCGTCTGTCAATCGGACCAGCCAATTATCCACTCATTCACCCTTCCTATTTACACCTTCAAGGAGGCGCTTCTCTCACCTATTATTCATCCACCCCCCAATACCCCCCAATACCCCCCCCCCCAAACCCCCAAAGCAACCCAACCACGGCAAAGGTGTCAATTCTAGCTGATGAAGGTGCGTTTTTACCCATATTCCCCATATCCCCAAGCTTCTCCGGTCAATCCCAGTGAGATCGCGTTGCGGTTGGTCGAACCAAACCTTTGTGCCGACCGACTATCTACTACCTACCTAACCACTTCTCGCCGTACCGTTCGGCCTCCACCACTCCCACTCCCACCACCACTACTCCCACCACTGCGTTCTTTCAAACCCGCTTACCCCCATCGTGTCCCTCCCTCCGAGCTAACCTACCCCGACGATGCGTTTTTAGCAGCGACATCGCGGCCGTACCTGGACTGTTGGAGGATTGGATTCGTACCGCGCCTGTTAGCGATTTTCGTCTCGACTTTTCTTCCACACTGGCTGCGCTTTTCCCGCCCACTCACTACTGCCACCGCCATCCAGCCATCGTCACCACCGCCCAACACCACACCAGAACACTCCTCTCCTCCCACCCCCTGAATTAGCAATCGTTTGGCTGCCCCCCCTCCCCCCTCATCGCTCGTACCCCAACGCTACGGCCTCGACCGAATGTGCAACTCCATCTCCCTCCCTCACCCCGGACTCCATGCGTTCAGCTAGCGACCCATTGGACGACAAAGACCCCCAATTGTTCGAGGACGGTTGCGCAGCGTACGTTGGGTGCCAGCGTGCTGCAAGGTAACAATCCCGCAGTGTATCACCAGTTTATGTGTCTCCGCCCGCCTGTCTGTGTCTCGTGTATTTTGTAGCGACCTCTTCCGAGCGCCGCTGCTGCCGGTTCCGTCGTGTGTGGTTGGGAAGAAAAGATGGAGCCGGAAAGTTCGAACGGGTTCAAACGGAACTCGGTTCATCAGGGAATTTACAGTCGTCCTGTGGAACGGCGGCCCAGCAAGAAATCCTCCTCCAAAGATCGGCATGGGATGGTCTACCCCGACAGTTTCAGGGACACAGGCATTCGGACAGTGACCCCAGACTCTGAAGGCGGCAACCACTCCACTTCATCGGAAGCCGAGAATCACGCATCAAGTGCAGCAGCGTCCCCTCGTCCCGTCGCCCGAACACGAGCCTCCGATCGAGACTCGCGTCGCGAATTCCACACCTCCCACTCGGCGGGCAACGAAGAAGAATCCCGTGTGGAGTTGAAAAGCCAGCGCGCGCGATCACGGACCACCACCCTGGATGATCAGCGCAGCGAAATTTCCCCTAACACATTTTTCAGAGCCCGGAATCGCCTAGGGTCTATAAACACTGCAACTGCCCAGTCCAAGGCATCGGACGACCAGACAGGATCCATCGGCTACCCGTCAATTCAATCTCCCACCTATCTCAGTCAATCCCTCGGCCGTCACCGGTCAAGCAAGCCCCCGGGGGGCTCGGGCTTAGCGACGAGCGTCTCGGCCAATCAAACCCCTTCCCCGCTGTCGAGTACCGATGCGTCCAAGATTCTGCAGCTTATGAAAACAACTTGTGGAAGGATGCACGGCATTCTTTCGTTTCGGACCGCATCGACAACTGCTTGGTCATCGGGCTACTGCGCCATCAACGTCGCCACGGGAAGTTTGATATACCAAGCAAAAGGAGAGCCCGCTTTGGCCAAGACTCTAATTCCAGATCTTCGTGGGTGTCAAGTTCGCTCTCTTGTCGACCCAGAATTACGTACAAACTACCTCAGCGTATCAACCTTCACATCGGGCTTAGGAGTGGAATTGAGGCCTCACGTGAGTGAAACATTCGACTCCTGGCTTGCTGCTCTGCTCTGCTGGCAGCCGATCCGACCCAAGGGCGTCCAGAACAAGATGACGAAGCCTCAGTCGGTCGCGATAGGGGATCGCCGCTTGACCGACCGTCGGCGCAACTCCGAGAGCACAGTTCAGAAAGAAGCTGCGATCATCAAGGTTGGTAAGATGCTCCAATGGGACAGGCCCAGTGCTTCTGGTGTCCGACCGTCCTCTGGCCGTCGGGTCTCGACGTATCGCCAGCAAAGGGCGCTTTCCGCGTCGTGGCTGCGAGTCAGCTGCACGCTGCAGGAAAACGGTGCTTTCAAACTATACACTGAATCTGACATCACGCTCGTGACTTGTGTCCAACTTTCTCAACTCTCCCGCTGTGCAGTCCAACAGTTACACTCTTCCGTTCTGGAAGACGAATTTTGCATCGCTATCTACCCGCAATATGCAGTCCATTCTGCTTCCGGCATAACACGTCCTGTGTACCTGGCTCTGGAAAGCCGAGTCCTATTTGAGGTGTGGTTCGTGCTCTTGCGCGCTTTCACCATACCCGAGCTTTACGGTCCCGAAACCTGTATCGAAGAGGATCCTAAGGGTACATCCGATACCAGTACTGCTTCCATGGCAGATATGTTCAGAATTGAAAGGGTGCTCGATATAAGGGTGACGGAGGCGAAACTACATCGAAACAAAGCTGCGGAAAAAGCTCCCCGAAGTCGTAAGCAGTCGCGATCGCACAGTAACTCGTCCTCGTCATCCGCGGTGAGCGATTACTACACCGAAGTCCTTCTGGATGGTGAGATTCGGGCCAAAACTGCTGTCAAATATCGCACAGCAAACCCCTTTTGGCGAGAGGACTTTACTTTCAGCGACCTTCCTCCTGTCTTGTCTCAGGTCTCGATACTTGTGAAAACCATTAACCCAACCCAGAAGGACTGGTCACTTATCTCACATGGTTCTCATTCACTGAACCAGGAGTCAAACCCTACGCGCGCCTTGGATGACGTTGAGCTATCTTCCCATGATGCTACATTTGGCAGGGTTGATCTGAAGCTGGACGATCTACAGCCGGGGGTGGAAACTGAGAAGTGGTGGCCGATCTTGGATGACAAGGATCAGCCAGTGGGTGAAATGCTCATGAGAGCTCGGATGGAAGAGACGGTCGTTCTGATGTCTCACGAGTACGCGCCGATGTCTGAAATTTTACACTCCTTCACCAACGGTCTTACCATCAATATGGCTCAGGTCATGTCTTCTGAACTCAATCAGTTGTCTGATGCTCTTTTGAATATCTATCAAGTATCAGGCACCACCGTCGAGTGGATCTCGGCGTTAGTAGAGGACGAGATCGATGGATTGCACAAAGAATCAACTGCCAACAGGCTAAGGTATACCTCGAGGATCCATTCCAATGACTCCCGGGAGTCGGCTCAGGATAGAGAAGTCCTCGTCAGGGACATGGGCCGCACTGCCACAGTCGAGGCGAATCTTCTTTTCCGGGGAAATTCCCTTCTCACCAAGGCGCTTGACTACCATATGCGCCGCCTGGGTAAAGAATACCTGGAAGAGACGATCGGAGAGCGGCTCCGCGACATCGACGAAACCGACCCTGAGTGTGAGGTCGATCCCTCCCGCGTGCACCGGTCGGATGACCTTGATCGCAACTGGAGAAACTTGATTTCCCTCAGCACGGGAGTCTGGAAATCCATTGCTAGTTCCGCGTCAAGATGTCCGGCCGAACTTAGGCTCATTTTCCGACACATCCGGGCTTGCGCAGAAGATCGGTACGGGGATTTCCTCCGGTCAGTCACGTATAGTAGCGTATCTGGCTTCCTCTTCTTGCGATTCTTTTGTCCGGCAATCCTTAACCCGAAGCTCTTTGGATTGCTAAAAGGTACTTCTCCCCTCGTGTTCATTTTAGTTCTTGTTCTAATGCCCTGCAGATCATCCTCGCCCCCGCGCTCAACGCACATTGACTCTCATCGCGAAGGCCTTGCAAGGTCTAGCCAATATGACCACATTCGGTAGCAAGGAACCTTGGATGGAGCCCATGAACAAGTTTCTGGTCAGCAATCGCGCAGACTTCAAACAGTTCGTGGATTCCATTTGTGGAATTCCAGCCGACCGTCCGGCTCCAATTGTTACACCCTCCTATGCCACGCCCATCCAGATCTTGGGACGCTTACCCCCTACTTCCCGCGAAGGTTTTCCCAGCCTTCCTTTTCTGATTGACCATGCACGGAGCTTCGCCAACCTGATCAGTATCTGGCTCGACATGGCTCCGGCGAGACTGGGTGAAATGGAAGACATCGACCCAGGGGTCAGCAAATTCCATGAACTAGCCCTTCGCCTCAACCAACGCACCAAGGAGTGTTTGACTCGAGCCGAACAGGCAGAGCGCCCAAGTGGAAGCCTGGAAGTCAAATGGGAGGAACTGGTTGATTCTATGGAACGTTCGGTAACTTTCTATGACGAGAGCTCCAAGCCTACAAGCCCGGCCACAGAGGCAGCTGTTGCGGGATCGACATCCCTTACCGGCAGCCATCGAAACTCGATTGGTTATTTTACGTCAAGACCATCTCTACCCCGTCGGTCCACTGACTGTGCCCCTGAGGGCGAGGAGGAAACCCCTCCCAGCTCCTCGTCTGCCACCTGGGACCAAAGTAGAGTGCCCTTCTCGATACCGCGGTGGGCTGATCCTCGAGACAGCACCGGCAGTTCGAAAAACTCTTCTACCTACTCGCTGGAATATCACGAGCCTTCCAAATCTCGTCGATCAAGCATCACACGGGAGACAACGAGCAAGTACCGATTCTTCGACTTTGTCCCTGCCCCGTCTCGACGCAAAGCCAAGGATCGAGACCAGGGCCAGCAGCAATCGCGTGAGGAGCAGCGAAGCGAGTCATGATGACTCAAACTTCTCCAGTCATTAATATAAGCCTTTTGTGGGGAACCAATATCTCCGATCTCCGATAATCCTGCTTTGTCGCCATGCAGCGACCCCCGGGGGACCTAAACCACGTCTGTGGGTCTGCAAAAGCCTTACTTTACATTCTACCACCACCCCGCCCGCTCTCTGGGACTGACCCCATCAATGGAGCCCATCGAAGCCGGCCTCGAAGCCGAGCCGTGACCGATGCGGCGACCGACCTCGAAGCTCGCGGGAAGCCATTCTGTACAACACGAGAGCTTGATTTCATGTAGTGAAATCCGTGCATCTTCTGGTGTAAATTTTCCTGCCTTTACCTTTCTTTCCAACCCCTTGTTCCCTGCCGCATGTGCCCATGATTTAACGCTCGTTCTTCCCATCACCTCATCCTCTGGTTGTCCCCCTTATTACTCTTCTTCTTTTTATTTTCTATTTTTTTTTTGGAAAGCATTTGTCATGGTGTTGATACCCTGCTCTGATGGTTGTTTTTACGTGGAAAACAAGAGGACCTGTGAGCAGAGTGCCGGGTACGATCCTCCAAGGGCGATGGATCAGTGACGAACCGGGCGAAAACGGGTCACGGTCCTGGAATCCTGCTTGCGGCCTACCATTGTGATTATTGTGTAAATAGCGTCTTCCCTTCTCTCTGGGCATAGATGAAATGAGTACTCCACCTTTGTTAGACCCGTCATGGCCCGATGTCAGATCTCTAGATAAGGACAAAAGCGGAACTTGGGGGGGGGGGGTGGCGATGGCGGAGAATTCCTCTTAAGCGGTGGCCTGAGCAGAGCCAAGATTCTGGGGGTGTCCGTGCTGCCAGCTAGCTAATAGCTACCTGCTTGTCAACTGTCAACTGTCAATTGTTTTAACAAACTAGAGATTCTAACTAGTTAGTAAGATCTACCTAGGTAAGCAGGTAGGTAGGTACTGCCCGGGTGTGGTGTCACGGTGTGCTGTACACTACTACCTACCTACCTGTACCTATACTTCACCGGTACCCGCTAGATACTACACACTAGCTAAGCCTCCGGCTGTGATAGGCTGGCAGTGACGGCTTCTTCCTTTAAGAGGGAAGGGAATCAATTCAACCATGGGAGGGAGGGGGGGATTTGGGGAGATATGGGGATCTGTCATCAACAACTTGAACCTGCGGGGGTGTACTATACTATCTATCTAACTATACGGAGTACACAACGCTCCATACCCAACTAGCTATCTATCGACCTATCTACCTGCTCTTCCCCATCCATCGTGGCATTATCAATTAGCCCATCCCGTGGCCCCGTCCCAGCCCGTCCACCCCTCTTTCTGGAGCTCCGATTTGCTCTGGGGGGGTTGTTCAAACTCTGGGAGTCGATCCAGACAGGCCTACTCTACTACTCTACCTCCCTCCTCTCATTCCCTCCCTCCCCCATCCCATCCATCCATCTCCTCCCTCCCCATCCATCTCCATCACACCTATCTTCCCTTCCCCTCGGCCACTCACTTGTCTTCTCTTCTTCCACATCCCGCTGGTCTTGTCTTTCGTCCTTTCGTCCCTTGTGTTTTATTAATTCAGTTTTATTATTATTATTATTTTTTTTTGGCTTCCGCTGGCATCAAACCAAAGACCATTAATCATGGGTGGGTGGTCCTTTTCCTACTGACTCTTGGCCCTTCCCCCTTCCCTTCCCCTTCCCTTCCCTTCTTCCTCCCCCAGATTGTTTGTTTCCCTGATGATCCACCTGCCCTCCAATCCAATGCCCTGGATCCTCTACTCCCGAAACCATCGCAGCGGTCGTGATCCAGCCCTTCTTCGGGGAGCTCACATTCCTCTTCCTCCCCCCCTGACGGGCACTGCTCCCCCGTGACATGATCGCCCCCTTGTCCGGGTTGCGCGCATACCAACCCTGTCGACCAGTGTTGATGTTGATACGGGTTCCCACTCCGGTACGAACCGGCCATCTTCCCCTCCCTGCGGCACCCGGCCGTATGTCCGTCAGACAGACAGGCCCGGTCTGGCGTGCCGAGCCAAAAGCAGCGGGCATCCTGGCCATGCATCCATCCCATTCCTCTTGCCGTGACTCCTACGCCAACCACATCCACGCTCACTGGACAATGCCTGCGGATGCTCGTCGGGGGAGGGGAGGGGGGGAAGGCCAATCACCCTGTGGGGCTGCATGTGTCCCGAACAGTCTGACAGACAGATGGAGAGATAGACAGACAGGCAGACAGACAGGCAGGCAGGCAGGCAGGCAGAGACAGCCAGACTGACTGACTCTCAACTGTTTGACAACAATGTGACGGACACGGGCTAGAACTGGAACTGTTTCTACGCGGTCCTCAGCTCAGCTCAGCTCAGCTCATCTTTTCTTTTTCCGAGTCTTTCCCACACCCCCCCGTCCGTCCCTACTACTGTGTACTCCTACGACTAGTTAACTTCCCTGGCTCTTCCAATAATCCTTACACACACCACCCACACCAGCACCCTCTGGCTAGGTTTCCTCTTCCCATCCCCTCCCCCTCTCTCCCTCCCTCTTCCTCCCCCTCCCCTCCCCTCCCCTCTCTTCCTCCCGTCATCACCCTACTCTCTCCATTTATCTCTCTCGCCTCCTCCTCCATCTTCTTTCTTCTAACCCCCTCCCCTTCCCGTCACTTTTTCCCTTCCCCACCCCCCTCTCTCTTCACTTCTTCGTACTTTGGTAAACCCCTTTGCTGCTTCTTTGTTCCACCCCCGACCATTGAATCGGTGGCTTACCATCCAGGCCCAACCTTCAGCCGACGTCTATCGACCATATCAAGTAAGTTTGCTTTTCCATCCGCCAGTTTGTTAGTGTAGCGAGTCGATGTGCACTTTTGCTCTCCGGGTTGCTCCTGGAAAATGATTCCTTCCCTCTTCTCGGCGCGTATCGAGGTCCCTTTGTGCAGGCCGCTAGGTGGGAGGTAATGGGTTGGCCCATCCCCTTGCTAAAGATCATGGGCGGTGCAACACGTTCGGGACTCCGTCATCCCATCCCCACCGTTGGCTCGATCCCCAGCGAGCTATCGTGTACACCTGCTGGATGCACTCCATCCCATCCCATCCCATTCTATCCTACCAAAGCTGTTGTGATCTTACACATCCATCTATCTACAGACACACACATTCTCTCTCTCTCTCTCTCTCTCTTCCCCCCCCCCCTTGTTAGCTGGCTGTTGCTGGTCCGGGCATCCCGTGACTTCCCCAGGGTCCCCCGTCTGGCGCCATTCCCGATCGGGCCTCGGGTCACCTGACCGGGTGGCTCTCTGGCGTCCCGGCACCCGGACCCAATCCAATCCAGTTCACTCATTCCTGTCTCTCTCTCCTCTCTCTCTCTCTCCCCTCCTCCTCAGTCATCTCTCATCTCTTCTCCCCCCCCTCAATTCATCCATTCTTCCCCCCAGCTAGGGACCTTGTGCGCGCAGATCACGTTACCCCCCGCCATCTCATTTCCCCCTTCCTTACTTTCTTCTCCCGCTCCCCTCGCTCGCGTTCGCTCGCGCGCGCGCTCCTTCACATCGTCCATGTCTCCATCTGCCTTTGACGACGACATTGACCACGCGCAGCGCGAGAGGTCTCGTTCGCCCCGTCGCCGTTCTCGTAGCCCTCGTCGCAGTCGCCGCTCGTACTCGCCTCGCAGTCGCTCGCGCAGCCGTGACGACTACCGCCGCTCCGACCGTCGCTCTCGCTCTCCTATGAGTACGGCCCCCGGCGTTTCTGGTGGTCATTCTGCTTCTGGTTACGGCGGGCGCAGCAGCTACCCGCCTCCTCCCCGTTCCTTCGAAGATCGCGCCGTTGCCAAAGAACAAATGATGCAATCCGTGCGCGAGTCGTCCCAACAAGACCGCCGTGTCTATGTGGGCAACCTCTCCTACGATGTCAAGTGGCATCACCTGAAAGATTTTATGAGACAGGGTGAGCAGGGTCATATTGCGCTGTCGGGCGCGTGACGTGTTTTGGGTGTTTGGAATCCGTGGCTGACTTTGGAGGGGGACTTCCGCGACGTTCGAACAGCTGGAGAAGTGATCTTTGCCGATGTCTTACTACTTCCCAATGGAATGTCGAAGGTGGGCGCCAATGCGTAGTGTGGCTGGTTTCTTTTCCCTTTGTGCTTCTGGATTTTCCCCCGTTGGTTCGTTTGTTATGGACTGTTTGGGTTGACGGGCTGGGCCTGGCCGTCCGGGATACTGTAGGGATGCGGGTGAGTCTCCTCATTCTCCTCGTGGTTTACCGCGTCATACGGACCGTGCTGACGGTCGCAACAGGATTGTGGAATACGCGACTAGGGACCAAGCGCAGAATGCGGTCAACACCCTCAGCAATCAGAACTTGATGGGCCGACTGGTCTACGTTCGTGAGGTATTTGGGGACCTTTTCTCGGCATTGTGGGCAACTCCAGTGGTAGCTGACACAGACAGGACCGTGAACCCGAGCCTCGTTTCACGGGAGGCCCCTCTCGTGGAGATTTCGGAGGCCCTGGCCGCGGCGGCTTCGGCGGTGGCTTCGGCGGTGGTCCCGGTGGTCCCCCGGGTGCCAGTGGCCGTCAGCTTTATGTGTCCAATGTTTGTGTCCCCGTACGAAATTGGCTTGGGTGAGGTATTGACATTCGGGATGTTTAGCTTCCGTTCAACGTTGGCTGGCAAGATTTGAAGGATCTTTTCCGCCAGGCTGGTATGTATTAGACAGCAGAGTCCATCCAACCGCCGCCTCTGCTCTCTCTCCCCCCCATTCCTGAACCACATGTCGCTTCGAAGACTGACACCCGCTTCTTCCTTAGCTCAACAAGGTGCCGTGATCCGCGCCGATGTCCACACCGATGCCACGGGCCGCCCCAAGGGCTCCGGTATTGTCGCTTTTGAGTCGCCCGAGGATGCCCGCAACGCCATCCAGCAGTTCAACGGCTATGACTGGCAGGGACGTGCTTTGGAGGTCCGTGAGGATCGCTTTGCCGGTGCAGGACCTGGTTTCGGTGGCCGTGGTGGTGGTTTCGGTGGTGGCTTTGGAGGCCGTGGTGGTGGCTTCGGCGGCCGCGGCGGTTTCGGTGGCGGTCGTGGTGGCTTTGGCGGTGGTTTCCGCGGCGGTTTCCCTGGCGCTCCCCCCGCTGGACCCCCCGGCGCTTTCGGTGCTCCTGGTGGTGGCCCTGGCTTCGAGGGCGTGGCCTCGGTTCCCCCCAACCCTTTCACAGACTATGCCACCTCCGGCGGCGAGAAGGGCGGTGTCATCTACGTGCGCAACCTGCCCTGGTCGACCTGCAACGAGGATCTGGTGGATCTGTTCTCGACCATCGGAAAGGTCGACCGTGCGGAGATCCAGTACGAGCCCAACGGTCGCTCTCGCGGCACCGGTGTGGTTCAGTTCGACAGCGGCGACACCGCAGAGACTGCAATTTGTAAGCGTCCTGAATCTATTCAGCCTGGATACTCTACTAACACACATTGCCTGCTCCAGCCAAGTTCACGGGCTACCAGTACGGCGGCCGTCCCCTGGGCATTACATTCGTCAAGTACCTGAATGCCGGTCCCGGACCCGAGGACATCATGGATGACGGCCCCGAACCTTCCGCCGCGCTCACCCAGGACCAGATCATGTAAATTTACCATATGAATCTTCTTCTTTTTTTTTTTCTTTCTTTTCCCTTGGCCTTGCTTGCGGGGGATCATACATTCGAGAGGCTTGAAAAAAAGTTTGCCATGTACTACGTACGTACTCCGAATCGAGATTAGGATGATGAATGACCGGTCCGACCTGTTATTTCTTGTGTTGGCTGGCTCGTGGTGGGCTCGAGTCGAGAGCGTGGCGTATCTTTGCTTGTTTCTCGTATCAGTCACACTCACCCTCACACCTCTTTTTCATGTTTTGTTGTTGCCATTGTCATGCAGCTAGCTTTTTTACTTGCTTTCATTCACTTTCTTTCTTCTGATTTCTCTTTCGGATTCTCTGGTCGAGCTTGTGGGGTCGGACAGATAGTCAGACAAATCGGAATTTTATGTTGTGGATTGTGGATCTGGAATTGAACTGGGAGGTATCTACGGAGTACTGAATACTGAACTGCGCAATGGTTGATAGACGTAGGTCTGGCGGTTGCTTTTGATGGGGTTAGTTGGTATGGGTGTGTTGTGTTGTGTTGTGTTGTGTTGGGTTGGGTTGGGTTGGATTGGGTTGGATTGGGTCGATTCGACTACTCCAGTCAGTCAGTCAGACTCACCCACCCACCCACCCACCCATAGTGAAATTGTGATTCTGAGAGGTTGACTGTTTGTTTCTCTTTGTAGGCTTTTGTAGAGATATCGTATCTGTACTATGGACTGAAGTAAGCAGGAGCAGGAGCAGGAGCAGGAGCAGGAGCAGGTACTCCGTATGGAGTAGGGAGTACCTACTTAGGGAGTAGGTATGTGGGAAGCATAAAGTAGTATATACACATCTATATAGTATCTGTCTATCCACCATCTACTATATATCTGTCTATCTGTCTATTTCCAGTCCAGACCTTGATCTTGGTCTTGATCTTGGTATACTCCATGCCATGTCAATAGAGTAATACTTATCTAGTAAACAGAACAGCTGGCTGAAATGAAGTTAGATTTTTTTTTTTTCATCTGAGTAGATGATTTTAGGAAGGAGAGACTACTAGAGCCGTGCTACTGTTGTCTGCTGTCTGTCTGCTGTCTACTTAGTCTATTTGTTATCCATACAATCAAAGGTAACTGAACTGACATGAAAGTATACAACTAATAGTTATCTAAGTTATCGTAATCAACCAGGAAAAGAAGGGCAACCAAATTACGATAAACCAACTGCATACACTCTACTCCGCATTCGCCATTCCCAGTCGAACCTTAGACTTAGTGAGTGGGTGGATAATCTATCATTCCATTCATTCGAATCAGCTACCTAGCTAAAATCCCATCCCACCCCAGAGGACCCAGCCAGGTTGACTGACTGATTGACTTGACCATAGCCTTCCCAGATCCCAGTTAAAAGAAACGTGAGAATGAGATGAGATAGATGAAGCAGAAGTAGACACCAAATAGCAAGGCGAGAATGATTCATTCATATGGTGTGATATGGTGTGATATGATGTGATGGATATGATAGATATGATGAGACGAAAAGGGTTGGGAAAAAAACAGATCCAAAAAAAAAGAAATTCCAGATCAACCAGCTGAAGCAGGATATAGGTAGTAGAAAATCCAAACCCAATAACCAACCAAAAACAAACCCAAAAGAAAAGAAAAGAAAAGAAAAGAAAAAAAAGAAACAAATTTGGTGGGGGAATATGGTACAGAGAAATGAAGCGCAGGAAAAAAAAATCAACCAAAGTTCAAGTTGCCAGCCAAACCATCCAGAAAGTGATAGATGAAGCGCAAGTGGAAAAGAACTGAACCAGAGCAGAGCCAGAAGCAAAATGAAAAGCAGAATCAGAAACCAGCCATCCATCCATATATCCAAGAATTGTACCGTACGCCTTTGAGATAGCCATAGCCAATCCATGTAACCATCCCATCCGATCCCATTCCGACCCGTCCGTCCGTCCGTCCATCCGCCTGTCGACCTGTCATCTCGACCTGTCACATGAGAACGCCGAGTAAAACTGATAGATAATATGTGGGGAGGTCTTGGTAGGCCGATGGTTGGTCAACCATATAACCGTCCAGATGCCCCTGTTTTTGAATGAACAATGGGTTCGTGTTTTTCTTCTTCACAAGGGAGAGAAGAAGGAAGGTACGTAACATGACCACATAGATGCGTCAGATACAAAGGAAAGTGACAAAGGAAATAGACAAAAGAAATGGGACATCAAAGCAAAAGGGCATTCGGGCCTATGTGGCCTTGCATGTCCAAAGGTAAGGAATACCTTTTTTTTTTGCTTATGCAGCCAGATTGGCTGGCGGGTAGTGGCCTGGAATCCGCAGTTCCAGCGTCGACACACTGCCCTTGGATTGAGCCGAGGGACGCTTCGCAGTCCCATTCTGCGAGACGGCCGCATCGTTCCCGACAGGTCCAGCTGGTGCGGTCCGGACTGAAGAGCTATCTGCCGGTCTGTCTCCTTTCACGCCGTCGAGTTCAAAGCCACCATGGGGCGACTCTTCGCTTTCGTCAATCGAAGTCGGCACGGTGGTATGGGTGTAGTCAGTCAGGTTGGCGGTGGTAGGCGCAGTCGAGGCGCTCTCGCCGCGGTTTCTCTGACGAGTCAGAGACGGGTCGCGCGAGCTCGTGGATCCGAGCCCTGCAACAAAGAAGGAGTTCGAAGTGTTTCCCCGATCGGACCAGGCGGTCTCTCTGTGGTCGACGGGATTGTGCCCCTGCTGAGCAAGCTGCTGTCTCTGTCGCATGGCGGCGTCTGAAGTGCCCATCCAGTTGCCATAGTAGCTGTCGTGCCTCTCGACATCGGCGGGATACGGTCGGTCGGTCAAGCCGGCGGCGGTCCGGGCATGGCTCTCGTCCATCTCATTGCTGAAGGAAGTTCGGCCGTCGGGAAACGAGCCCGCTGCAGCTAGGAGATCCCTGTCGCCGGAGCTCTCTCCGCTAGACGGCGACAGTGGAGCCTCCAAGTGGCGGTCTATCTGCACGTCACTGGGGAAACGCCCCCCCGGCTGACGAGGCTGGGAAGTTGGGCGTTCCTGGTGCAAAACCGCCGACTCGGCTGAGTACGGCGTCCTGTCCGCTTCGTCCTCGTCCATTCCGTCGCTGCTGTTCCGCCAACCTGTGCCACTCACGGTCCGAATATGCTGTCGCACGTACGCGTTTCGAGCCTCCCCGGTCTTCGATATTAGGCTCTCGATATCTTCGTACCACGCCATCATCGTCTCGTGGGATTCGGCGCGGAAGACCCACGAGTGACCGCGGTGCATCGTACCGGTCTGACGTCCCTTCAGCATGAACTTGTGCGACGTCGAGTCCGGTTGAGAGTGCGACCCCAGCTTCTGCTCCGGGAGGTTCAATGACATCACCGGTTGTTGCCAGGCCACCCGATCGGCAGACTTGAACTCATGCAGATGCGTTGGAGACAAGACATACCTACTCCTGGTCAGCAACGCGGTTGGGAAAGAGAGAAATACGGCATGCGAAGAACGTACCAGCCAGGCGTATAGCTCTTCAGATACTTGCTCTTGCGCTCCAACATCCCGGACCGGACCTCCGCAGCAGCGGGATGATCCTTACCCGGGTATGTGATGTTCTCCACATCGCGGAGAGGAACACGCGGATCGACCAGTTCGTCCGTGGTCGCGACGAATGAGTTCCACTCATGATCGTGAGGCATCGAAATCGGTCCCGCGCGGAGTTTCTCGACCGTGTCGTATGTCTCGTCCGCTTCCCGCTTCAGGATGCTGGCATATGCGTTATAGGCCTTTTGGATTTCGCCCACCACGATGGATTCTAATTCGCGACCGGAGTTTTCCAGGTTCAGGAAGGCCTGGGAAACGGTCAGCATTTTGATTTCCAGGTCCTCGCTTGTGACACGGGGTATGGCATACCCTGTGCAAATAATTCTCTTCTTCGATCTGCTTCTCAATCTGTCGGTCCACATTCAAGCGGACAATGAAAGGATCGCCTTTGCCTGACGTAGCCGAAGAGTCGGTGTCAACCATGCCCAGCGCTTCATGCAAGTGTCGCACGCTTTTGCGAGTAGCCTCCACTTCCTTATCCACGGAGTTGCGGAAGTCGCCCGAAAGACTGCGGATTTCCTTGGTCTTCTTTTGCAGGTCGTTTCGCAATCCCATTAGCTGGTTGACCACCTCACTTTCCACTTCAGCGGCCTTGTTCGCTTCCGTGTACCCTTGTCGGTGAAAGTCCCTCAGCACCTCGGTCGCATCCGCGAGACCGCCAGATTTGAGAAAAGTCGGTGGCAGGGAGGTGTTTTGCATGATATTCGACGCTGACAGAAACAGTTTGGAGCGGGTTTCGTACGATTTCTGGATCTCCTTGAAGAAGACAATGAGGTCTTTGAGGACCTTGCGCCACGCTGCTGCGCATTAGCGAACCATGAGCTGGGGAGCCTTTGCGACATGCGATCCTACCTTGAAAGCGGTTCGCTAGGACCTCGGTTGGGCTCCCGTTGGTGGGAACAGGGATATAGAACGCGCTGTTCGGGTCCTCGTCGGCGCCATACTTCTCCTTGTCGCCCAAGACGAGACTCCTCACACTGCCCGCACGCAAGCTTCGCTTGCTGCTGCTACGACGCATGCTTCCTCGCTTGGTAAGGGAGGCTTTCTTCTTCAATGTACTCGACCGGGTCGGGGTTGCGGAGCGCGACTGTGACATCTGAGAGACGGATCGTTGCATGCCCGCGCTGGACGGACCGTCTAGAACGACTGAGCCGCGTTGGCTAGTCGCATCGAATTCCTCGTGGAACCGGCCGTTGTGGGCGAACGAAGTAGGTTCGGCGTTGGCGCCGTGTGGGAGGTAACCGGAGCTGGTAACGATCATGGAATTCGGTCGGGAGCTGGAGCGCGTGCTGTACCCGCGATTCAGCAGGAGATCGGGATGGTGAGGGATCGCGCCGTATGTGTCCTGCACCGGCGTCTGCGACCTAACGGCCATAGCCATGACTGACGGCGTGGCAGGGTGACTGGGCAGGAGGAGGAGGGGACGAGAAGGGGGCGGTGATGACGGGCAGGCGAGAGGGTAGCAATTGGGCGGTGCAGGGCAAGCCGGGCCCGTGTGTCGATATCAACCGATCGGGGGTGTTGGAAAGACAGTTCCGGATGCGGGCCGTGATAAGAATATAAGGAAGGGAGCGGCCGGGTAAGGTATGGGATGGTGAAACGCGACACCAAAAACGAAATTAGAATAGGAGGGGAGAAAAAGGAGTCCGATCTGGGAGTCCACTCCGGGAACGACTGAATCACGACGACGACGCGCTTTTTTGGGGGGGGGGGGGGGGAGATGGGGATGGGTCTATTCTATCTAGTAGTCGGCAGGCGCAGGCGACTAGATAGTTGCGTGGTTACCAGGCGAACGGGGGGAGTGGAAATTAGAGTCGCGCGGCGAGCGTCGAGACTCGGGCGCCCAAAGGGTCTGGGGCGGACTGTTTGCGGGGGCAAAGCAGCAGGCGACACTCCTATCCGCCGGTGGTGCTGGGAGTGGTGCTGGGAGTGGTGCTGGGTGTCGTCGCCTCCGTCTAGCGGGTGAGACTAGTACGCTTGCGCTCGCAATAGTCCCTGTTCTGGCACTGGGAGCAGGAACCGTCGCCGTCGCCGTCGCAGGAATAATCGGCGGCCGATCAGAACGCGACTCGGGGGTTAAAAAGAGATTGGGCCCCACCGGTGCAGGTGAGACTGCGAGAAGAAGGGGATGGGGATGTCGGAGGAGGAGAGAGAGAGGAGAAAGAGAGGAAAGAACCAGAACCAGTAGTATCCGGCTGTCTGGGGGGAGTACTGATGCAGAGAGACACCCCGATCGACAACGACTCACTCAGGAGTATAATCCTCCGAGGCTGCAACAAGCAAATGGTGAAGTGAACCTGGTAGTAGTACTCCGGACTCTTAGGGGGGGCAGTGGTTACTATAATCCCAGCGCCGGTTCCGGATGACGTCTACGTTGGCCAGAAGCACCAAGGAAGCTGCGACGTTATGACGACCAAGGCCCCTCAAATGCTCGATGGTGAACGGTGGGAGCGGAATCCCCGGATCCGAGTTGACTTCACGCCAGGAGGAAGAGGGGGGGATGGGCCACAAAGTTCGCAACCCCGTGTCGTACCATGAATGGCGCTCAATGGACGATGCCAGATGGATGAATGGGCGGATGGATGGATGGGTCGGTCTGGATGGGTGTTTGGGGAGGAAGGGGGGGGGGGGGGGGAGTGATCGTATCGTGGTCGATCGATATGCCCTCTCCTTTTTGGAATAATAATAGTACTACCGGTAGTCGGTAATTTGATCAGAAAATTAGATTTCGATCTATAAAAATAAACCGAAAGGAAATGAGGATACAATGGATTTAATAAATGGATCTGGGCTGCCGTCCGATATCTATACTGGGAAGGAAGGAAGGAAGGAAGTGGGTTTAATGCCGTTGCCTGTTCTAGGAGGAGCAGCAACAGCAGCAGCAAGAGGAGGAGAGGGAGGAGCAGCATCTCCAGCAGCATCAGCAGCAGCAGCAGCAGCATCTCCAGCATCGTCATCATCATGATCACCAGCATCATCTCAGGCACATATCCAGCCATTTAGCCTCCGCGGTGGTCTCTCCCATCAAACTTAGAACCCATTCAAAATCGTTCTGCCTTACAGTCGGGAAGTTACCTACCCTATTCAGCAGGCGCTGCTGCTCCATCGGCGTGGCTTGTACGGAGTACCAGGCCGCACTTACCCCATCGGTCCGGACAAGGCTGGTGGGTGTGGCTCAGCTCTATTCTGATTGGCTGACTGCGCAAATTGCTTGGTCGTCGATTCCCCGCTGGGCCAATCATTTCCGTCCGTTCTTTCTAGCGTCTGCACAGTCGTTCTTCATGGCTTCGACGGACTTCCCCCCTTTTCAAAGGGTAAGTACTGTGGCAGTCCTGACTCCTGTGAGTGTGAGTGTGAGTGTGATGAGATGAGACCCATCCCGACGGGTCACGGTGGCAATCGTCCATCAGAGTTCAGGCGCACGCAGGAGAAAAAAAAAATAAAAAGGAGACCTCCGAGCGGATCTTCGGGGTCTTGTCTTCCCGCTTTGGGTATCGTTGAGGCAGCAGCCCAGCATCCCAGCAGCCACTTTGACCCTCGACGTCATGCACGGTTCATCCGGTTCTTTGTCGATCCGGTCGGATTCCCTGCATTCGGGTTCGACAATGGGGGACTGCGATGGAGTACCGTACTGTTAGGTTCCCTGTGCCAGCCTGCCAGTATGGATGGGTCTCTAGCCTCGGCACTTAAGGGACTGCTGCGTCTGCGCTGCGACTCAGGGACTTACTTCTCTTTGCGCAATCCCGAACATACTACGGAGTACTACATAAGTCGTACGGAGGATCCCGGATACGCTGGGTTTGGTTCCTCAGTCCCTCCATGTTCCACATGGCAATCTACCTGACGTAGTCGATTAAGTACTCCGTACTCCGTACTACTTGCGCAAATGCAATCTGAGGACTACTATTCACTAGATAGATAGTAGTAGTAAGGAGTCGCACTCCCTCCCTATCTGATATCCAAAGTAGCCTCCGTACCAAAGTACGATGTCCTGTTCCCCCGTTCGCTCAGATGCCCGGTATGCTTGCTTCCCGATGACCTTCCAGGAATAATAATGAGCCCAGAGAAGGTTCCATCATGTGCCCTCCGTACTCCATATTTCTCCAGCCGATCCAATTATCTTTACCCCGTGTGGTTAAGGGGCATTGACGAAGTGATATCACATTTTCCCCTGCATGGATTGTCGTGCATCCCTTGTATCGACGTCAATAGATTGACAGGGCTCCAGCACGGCGTCTCCCGCCTCGATCGGCTGAAAAAAAAAAGAAAGATACACTGGTTGGGCTTGTCTTGTCTCCTTGCCTGCCTCCTCCCATTTTCTAGGTGGGATCTTTGGGTTGTGTGGTTGTATTCCGTACTCGGTCATCCGTCCGTGGCACCTGAACGCTTCTCCTGTCCTTCCGGGATTGGATAAGCCGGCCATGTGATTGGCCGGTGTGGCTGGGGGGGGGCAGCTCCTCCCCGCCCTCCTATCAACCCCAGCCGGTACTATCAGAAACACACACACCATCCAAGCCCTCTACCTGGCTACTAGTAGTATCCATCTGCTGTCTCACAGACGCCACTGGACGGGATCATCCGTAAATAGCTAGGCAAAACAACGTCCTATTGCCCCTGGCGTGCTTCGGAGGTATAATTCCCGTGGACGGCTGTTCCATGTTACAAAACCTAAGCTATTCATCTATCTAAGTACTACCTGAGACGCTCCACCTCTATGTTACCCCTCGCAGTTTGGGGAGGTCGGTGGATCTATCTAGATTGACAGCGCAGACAGTTCAGTGTGTCATGCGCGGGTATCATATGAGTGTTTCCGACAGAAAGCGTAGGTAGCTGTGCGCTCAACGCCTCTGGAGGGGTTCACATATTCCTTCCTACTGTGAGTACCCGCCAGATAACGGCAGTGTCAGAACGGGAAAAGGAAACTTTATTGGTGGGTGTACCAAATCTGCTAGCTGAACAGCATCGAAACAATGGAATAGTTTTACACAAAAACCTGAGAATTGAGGGACTGCGCTGGAGATATCTAACGAAACCGGGTTCATGATGCGGGGGCCGGGGACGTCGGAACCTCGATACCGTATGCCTCCTTGATCCTCTCGCTCCGTCTCTCGGCGTATCCGGGAGCATAGATACCTGCGTAATCAGATCAGCAACGTCGGGGCCATACGGCATAGAAGATATCTGCGGGATGTACGAACCTCGTCCCTCGCCCAACTCAGCAAAGGTCTGCTCTGCCGGGCTTCTGTATGTCGTCCTGATCTTCGTCCGGCGGTCGAACTCGTCGACCTCCAGGTCCTTCGGCTTCTTGCCGAACAGCCCACCGGTGTATTCGTAGGCGCCCGTGCAGACGGCCAGCGCAGTACCGTAACCCAGAACGGCGGGGAATGTGCGGACTGTATCTTCGTCAGAACGATATCGACCCAATTGATGGTCGGGTCATGGGGAACGCACCTCGGATTCCCAGAATTGCTCCCGCGAAGAAGCCTCCCAGAGCGACGTTGTAGTGATCATTCTTCTCACGAAGGTTGGCCGATGCGGTCTTCACGAACTCGTAAGTACCTCCCATGGCAGCTAGAGAGACACCGGCCGTCAGCATTGACACAGCTCGAGACCTTGTGCTCGATCATCCAGGATTGTATCCATACCGAAAATACCGATTGTGCCTCCGCTCCGCGTGAACACACCCATGGGGCCGACATTCCTCTTGGTGAGGGTGTTCTGGACCGCGGAGGCGAAAAGACCCACGCCACCAGTGATCATGGAGCTGTTCAGTGACGATTTGATCGCATCCTTGGGGTGATAGTGGTGGTCATCATGAGGCGGGGCCATGGTGGCGGTTGGAGACTGGGACAGAGCTGTGGCTAGCACTCGAGAGTGTCGTCGGACGGAGATGCGATGAATTTGGGACGTCGCGCTTTCTGCCGGCCCCCACCGCCTCCACAGGCTCCCCCGAGAGGAGCTCACTTGATGGCCGGTTTGACCAGAACATCTGATCGATGCCCGGAGCGCGTTTGTTCTTCTCCCTTGGCATGCGGGCTTCCTCCTTCATCTCCTCCTGCACCCCGCGGTGATCTTTCTTTGCTCCCCCGAGACCTGGTTGTGCTGGAAGTCCTGGTTCAATCACCGTCGAGCTGTCTACTTGCCGCCCGCTTGCCTCATCCGCCCCTCCGTTACCACACACCTACAATTCACTGCCCAGCTTGCTCTCTCACGCATAGTCGGATGACGCTTAGAATATAACCGCAACTGTGCCCCTGAGACTGTCGTGCGTCTCTCGATTTCCCGGTACTAAATTTCATGGGCAAAAATTACTCCAAGATCTTGAACGATCTCCTGCCTTGATCCTGCGGCAACGGCGAGCTCAGTAGAGCCTACTCATGTCGTCTCCTCAGAGGCCAGGTAACGCATCGTCATCCCGCAAGCGGCGCACCGCGGTGAATCGCATCGAGTAGTATGAGCTAACACGAGATTATCTCATCCAGGCAAGACTGCCCCGCGTCTTGTGCAAGACATTCATGATTACGATCCCGCCCACCCTCCAGCTTCAGGCCGCAACCTTCTCTCGGAAGTCCCCCCCGTCTTCCCAGATCAATACAATGGGCCGCTTGAATTCATTTCCCCTGCGGCTTGCCGTCATACATATGTGACCAAGCCAAATCAGAGCTTCCTACCTCAGCCGGACCGAAGAGCCAACTCTGGCAACCCCGCCAAGGTCTCGGCCATATGCCCCAAATGCCGGTACCACCTACAACTAGTCATCAGCTCAATACCCGGAATCGGACAATCGAGCCAGAACCTCCCAGGTCACATCCATCATCTGGTGTACAAATCCGGACGGCAGAGAGGTGGTGTCTCTCCCGAGGAGATCACCCCCAAAGGACAGACCACAGAGACATTTCACTACGAGTGCTCCTATCTCAGCTGCCCCGTCGTGGTGTCTGTACGAGCTTCCTCCCCCGTGCTCAATGATGACTGGGTACATTTGTTGACCGATCCGGAACTGTTGCGAGAACGAGCGGCCGAGGCAGCTGCAGCACACCCCGAGCGCCTGGAAGGGATGTCCATGCCGCAACCGATCAATGTCCTCGATAATCTGCGCGCATATATCAGCAATTCCTTTGACTCTAAACAGCAGAATAAGTCGATATCAGCGATCAACAAGAGATTCATGTCGTGTTTTGGCGTCGAAGGAAAGCCGTGCAAAGAACTACTGGAGTTCATAGGGTTCACCGTCAAGGTTGGTTACTTGCTTCACAAGCTTCGTAATCATGATGCTTAACATCACTTAGAACGAGGGTTTCTGGGAACCACCGCGTCCGAACCCATGGACGGAAAATCCTTACCGAGATCAACTGAAGATCTTCCTCGATGACGTTTTGCATGAGCTTTCTGCTCTCATCGAGCAACGGCCCGTGTTGGAGAAGAAGGGACATCAGCTGGAATATCCTTACCATCAATCACGCGATGACCTTCTTTATGTCTTGGAGGCCCGGGAGTGTAAGTGAACCTAACTCTATTAGAGGCTACATGCTCATCAAACGTTCAGATCAAAGGGCGTCCCGGTCCGACGAGTTCCAGATGTCACCTGCACCGTTAGTTCCACCCGCATACTGTCATGTCCCAGAAGTAAATTGACGAGATATCAGTTATTACGAAGACTTAGGTGTTGTTGAAGACATGTCGTCTCAGTCGATTATCGAGGCTTTTAATCGGCAAATCGCAATGGATCCAGCGCGAATGACCGCCTATTTCAAGAGCCTCAAGGCAATCGGGGATCTCCGGGTAGGCTACGAGAGTGAGGCTATCGAACAGGCCGTGCAAGTGGCTTATTCCGAAGGAAAATTCACCGACGAAGATGTCGTAGATGCTTATAAGTATTTCGGATTGAGTCATGATGACTCTTGGCTTACCGATGATAGTATCATCGGAAAGTTCTATGCCTACTTGAGCTCTACGACTCAGGAAACGGAATCCCGCCGACAGTTGTGGAGGATAGGCGAGAGCAGACGTAGTGAGCGCATCAAATCAGTGGCAGAAGATAGTAAGACCTCTTATTCTACCCATGACCATGATATACCTGACAGATAGGAAGCTGACTTTGATGAAAGGAGTGGCAACCGTTGAACAGGCCCAGGTTTACCTCGGCGTTGGCAATGAAACGAGCGACGATTTTATAATGGCGATATATACTGCCAAGGTACGGTGACCCGAGTAGAAACCTTTATCTGGCCATGCGCTAACAGATACTCTAGGTCGACGATACGCCGTCTTGTAAAGACGTCGCTCGGCGAGCTGTTGAACTTATTGCCGAAGCGCGAAAATCCGATGCTCTCAAGCACTTCATACAGACCGGTGAGATGACGACTAGTGAGATGGATATCGGAGATGCCTACCGCCTTCTCCAGATACCGGATCGCACAGTTGACGAAGGTGCAATCATGGCGGCCTATACGATCTGTGTGGACGAAGCCCCAGCGCAGGCTGAAAAATACAACGAAGCCTTACGCGTAATAGCCAAAGAAAAGAACAGCCCTTTACTGAGCAGCATGGTTTCAGGGAGTGACACGAAGCCGGACCGTAATATGGCGGAATGGCCGGTTGGGTTGCAGAATATTGGCAACACCTGCTATCTCAATAGCTTGCTGCAGTTCTACTTCTCTGTACGCCCATATAGGGACATGGTCTTGGACTTTGAGAATTTCAGGATGGATTTGAGTGACGAGGGTCTGAGTCGGAAGCAGGTGGGATCTCGCAAAGTGGCGAAGAAGGAGGTGGAGCGTTCCCAGAGATGTAAGTGCCTCGTCACCTTTTGTGTGTTATGAGAGAAGCTCACCTTTCTACCGTTCTAGTCCTCAGGGAGTTGCGGACTTTATTTTCGGACATGATCACGTCCTCGTCCTCCTGCGTCACTCCGGGTCAGGAGTTAGCACGATTAACGCTGATAAGCCCCTCTAACGAGGCAGCAATCCGTCGCCGGTCAACCATCTCCACAAATAGGCCTGCGGGCGCACTCGGTGAAATCAACGGTGCACCAGTACTAGGACCTCTCGGGCCTCCGCAACCAATTCCAGAGACGGAACCAGAGGACACGGCGGGTGTCGAAATCGAGGCGTCCAAGCGCTCGACCACGAGTGAAGTAGATAGCGAGGCCACCCTTGTTTCTGACAGTGTCAAACATGATACCAAGCCTTCTCATATCGAGGGCAAAGAGAATGAGCCTCCACTTGATTCTGTGATGGTGGATGCACAGAATGAGACAGGCTCCGAGGCCGTTGAAGAGCCACCCAAAGACACAGCCCCTCTCGACCAAGCCGAGCCAAACAATCAACCACCTCCAGTGCCCCCGCGCCCTACTCCACAAATCGATCCCCAAAGACAGCTTATAGAGGAAGTAGAGATTGGAGCCCAGCAGGATGTCACGGAGGTCATCAACAATGTGCTTTTCCAGAGCCAGTGCGCTATCAGGCCTATCTCACACGCTGCAGATGGCGAACAAGTCGACCAAGTGAAAGAGTGAGTTTTACTTTCTACGCACAGATAGTTACAAGTCTAACCTAACATCCACAATAGCTTGTTTTATGGCCAGACTCGATCGTATATAGCATCGGATAAAGGTATACGATCTAAGGAAGAGTGGTGGTGCGATATCAAAGTCGATGTTGCGACTGGCCCTCGCGACATATACGCAGCGATCGATGGGGCTTTTGACGTTCAGAAAGTGAATGTTGAAAATTCGGTCGCTGAGCAATATGGGGCTATAAGCAAACTACCTCCGGTGCTTCAGATCCAGGTTCAACGTGTCCAATTCGACCCAATGACAAAACGCTCATTCAAGTCTACGCATCACCTCGGGTTGAAGGAAACCATATACCTTGATCGGTATATGGACACGCAACAACCCGAGTTTGTGAGTCGACGACAACAGTGCTGGCAATGGAAGAATTCGCTCAAGGATCTCGAAGCACGCCGCGCGGAGCTGTTACGCGAATTGGTATGTTGCGAACCACCTGTTTCTAGACTATACATCTGATATTTGGTGCAGGAGTCCGATGGCCAGGATACAGCGGCGCTACTCGGCAGTGCGAGGGAAGTACTCGAAGACCTTGTCTCTATGAAGGAAGAACCAGACATCGCTCAAGACGCTATTGATATCAAACCTGGGATTCTACCCGAACTCGATCAGCTCTCGCAGATAGCGAAGGCTGACTTAAACTGTACGGGATCTCTTTCCAATTCCTCAAATCATGGTTCAAGAGCTAACCTTGTTACAGATATCGAGGACCAGATCAAGAATACCCAGACGATGATCTCCAGCCAGTTTGCCGACTATAAGAACCTAGCCTATCGGTTATACGCGGTGTTTGTCCACCACGGGTCGGTCTCGTTCGGCCATTACTATATTTACATCTTCGACTTTAACCGGAAAGTCTGGAGGAAGTACAATGACGAATACGTGACCGAAGTACAAAACCTGGACGAGATCTTCAGCGACGAGGGACAGCACAACCCTCCCACGCCATATTTCCTCGTGTATGTCAACGACGTGTTGAAGGATCGCCTAGTCGACCCCGTCTGCAGAGAGGTCTTTGAAGCCCCAACAGACAACACGACCCCATTGATGGAAGACGCCACCTCGTCAACGATCACTCCTGGAGATGCGGATAGGAACCCACCAGCGTACGATGAGATCTGGACTGATAATGGCGCACCAGGTACGGGAGCCGACTTCCCCATGGAAAAACATAGACAAGGCCTCGATGCAGGAGACGGCATAGCTACCAGAGGATGGCAGATGCAGAGTGACCCTTACTTACGTGACGTCAAGTGGTAGGTTCAGGGCTAACGCCGCCGGACCGACTCTCGACACCAAATCCTCTGAAACGCAAGGGTTCCGATGATGTGATGGGCTGAAGCCATGGGCTGAGGACTCATTACGACATCCCCGGACGATTCATCACACAGCAAAGGCCATAGGGCTGGGTGGTATGAACCGCGACGGCTTTGATTGACAGTGGAGGCTGAGGCTTTGTGGATGTTGAAACCCTTGCCGTCGCGTTGCAGCTTTTTTTTTTTTATTCTTGTATTTGTTTATGCTGACGACGATATCCTTTGTGCAAGCTATCTAGCGGAGATGTTGTCATGTTTTCCTGTAAATACCAGGTGATGTTACCGGCCATGACTCTTGATGATGTACAGTCTTATTTCTACCTGTGTATGATTGCATATCTGAGGCGCAATACTCCAAGTACCTACCGTGATGTTGCCATGGTTCCTTCCTGGCTTTTCCTAGTAGCCTGTAGCACTGACTAGTCACGTGACCCTCACAGGATTAGTCACGGGGTCGGTGGCAGATCCGACGCGGGCCGCGGATCGGGATCGGGTGCAACGCTGGCGCCGGCTCAGCATGTCGGCAGTCGATGTGGGCGCAACCGTTGGGGTACACCCTTCAGAGGAAGACGAATTGACGAGTAATTTATTTTTTTCCAAACGAATGGTGCTCAAGATGGGAGAGGCTCTGCGCCCACCTCTAGATCCTAGAAGTGCCGGGGAAGTCTCCAGCTTACAGGCCGGCCGGTCACCACTACTGCATCGAGGGTCTGCGATGAATGCGGGGCCATTCCGGGGAAGGCGGCCTGGCGGGTGGCTTTCCGCTCCTCCGCATTTGACCGTCCTTATCCACTCCCTATAAATGGCGGCCTCGTCGTCCACTTCCAACTTCCCGGAAAGCTACTTACTCCTCTGCGATCAGACCCCTCCAATCGCTCTGTGCGAGACAGATCTTCTACCAGCCCACTATCTTCTTTGAGCGCCAATTGGCATTCGCGCACCCCTACTAAGCTCTTTAACTCTCCCTCGTGATTCATTATGCCGTCGCAGGTGGCAACATGTCTGCGCATTGCGCGGCAGTTTGGTGCCGGGCCTAGCAAGGTAAGAACATAGTTCCCTGTGCAATATAGCTTCGGGATGGGGACACTGACGGGCTTTCTGCGCTGTATAGCACCAACGGTTCCTTGCACGTGCCTTTTCCAGTAGTGTTCGTCGGCCTGAAATCAATAAAGTCCTCTCGTCCGCAGACCTCGCCATCAAGGACATGAAGTCCAATTCCACACTTTTGGCCGGTGGATTCGGTCTTTCCGGTGTACCGGACACGCTCATCAACGCGGTGAAAGCCAACCCGTCGATCACTGGACTGACGGTCGTCAGCAACAACGCCGGTGTGGATGGAGCGGGCCTCGGTCTGCTTCTCCAGTCCAAACAGATCAAGAAGATGATTGCCAGCTACGTGGGAGAGAACAAGACTTTCGAGCGCATGTACTTGACCGGAGAAATCGAACTCGAGTTGACTCCCCAGGGTACCCTGGCTGAGCGTTGTCGGGCAGGTGGTGCAGGCATCCCGGCCTTTTTCACCCCCGCTGCCCTCGGGACGGTCGTGCAGACGGGCGAACTGCCACTGAAGCATAATGCCGATGGCACTATTGCGCTTTACAGTCAGCCGCGGGACGTGAAGGTCTTCGACAAGAAGAGCTATGTGATGGAGGAAGCGATTAAGGGTGACTATGCCTTCGTGAAGGCCTGGAAGGCCGACAAGCTGGGTAACTGTCAGTTCCGCTATGCAGCGGCTAACTTCAACGGGGCGATGGGTCGCAATGCCAAGATGACCGTCGTCGAGGCCGAGCACATCGTCGAGCCTGGGGAGATCGACCCCGCTGCCATTCACCTGCCCGGCATCTACGTCAAGCGGGTTATTCAGAGCACCACCCCGAAGAATATCGAGAAGTTTACTTTCGCCAAGGAAGAGGGCGAGGATGCGGCTGCTGCTCTAGGCAAGGGTGATACGGCCGCCAAGCGCGAGCGCATCGTGCGCCGTGCGGCCAAGGAGTTCAAGAACGGCATGTATGCGAACTTGGGAATCGGTATGCCCATGCTGGCGCCTAACTTCGTCGACCCCTCTGTGTCGGTTACGCTGCAGTCGGAGAACGGTATTCTGGGCTTGGGCCCTTACCCCAAGAAGGGCCAGGAGGACCCTGATCTCATCAACGCCGGCAAGGAGACCGTCACTTTGCTGCCCGGCGCGGCTTGCTTCGGCAGTGAGGAGTCCTTCGGCATGATTCGTGCCGGACGGATCGATCTCACAATCCTGGGCGCAATGCAAGTCAGCGCCCGGGGTGATCTGGCTAACTGTAAGTGAACCTTTGAAAGTTATGGTAGGAGATCTTCATGCTGACGGCGAGACTTTAGGGATGCTGCCCGGTAAGATCAAGGGCTTTGGTGGTGCCATGGACCTTGTCTCGAACCCCTCCGCTACCAAGGTGGTGGTGACCATGGAGCACACGGATAAGAAGGGCAACCCCAAGATTGTGAAGCAGTGCGAGTTTCCCTTGACCGGGAAGACGTGCGTCAGCCGCATCATCACCGAGCTCTGCGTGTTCGATGTCGACTTCACCGACGGGTTGACGTTGGTTGAGCTGGCAGACGGAGTCACCGTGGATGAAGTGCGGAGCAAGACAGAGGCGCCGTTCAAGGTTGCCGATGATGTCAAGCCTATGTTGTGATTGTCGCCGGTCGTCATCTTTTCCTATCCATTCCCAGACTTTATTGGTCTCCTTGTCATTTCTGTACAATTTTCAAGCGTGTTCTTTCAACGGCGATATCCGACTGCAAAACTACTATATACTATCTCGCACTTAACAGTATCTAAAAGCCGTGCCATTTCTCAAAGACCAAAAACAACATTCGCATGCAGTATTAAGTATATATACATTGTCGTAAAAGTACAGGGATGTCCACTTATTTTCTTTTCTCTCGTCTCGCGGCCTCCGAGTCTCACAACCAACCCTGACAAATCCATCCCATCCCATCATGCAGCCCAATAGTGATACAACAGTAGTAGCATGTGCATGTACACTTTTCCCCACCCTTACACCGTACAGTACAGGAGAAACGCAACGCAACGCAACGCAACCCAAGCAGAAACAAAGACCCAACAGCCCCGCACGCAGTAGTATCTATTTAAACCTGAAGACACCCGCAAGCCTCTTCCTCAACCGCCCCAGCCAATCCCGCGACGGCGCCTCGTCGATTTCCCGAAGAAGATTGTCGTAATAGTCCGGGTTGCTGGCCGGGTGCCGCATGCGCGGAGACAACGGGTACCGTCTCGCATAACGGTCCTCCAGCAGCGATGAGAGCGCGTCCGCGGATGACTGGCTGATGTTGACGGGCGGCGTTTGTTGCGGTTGCTTTTGCTGTGACTCGGCGGCGTTGGCTTGCGATAGGGATGCTTGGAGGTAGGTCTGGACGGAGACGGAGGCCGGGCGCACGTTATCGACGGGCCAGTGTTTGAGGAGGTGGGCGATCCGCGTTTGGATGGCTTGGGGGTTCTGTATTTTGTTTTCGCTGGTTAGTTCCGTGTCCAAAGAGGGCTTGTTTGGGGATTCGCCGCGGATTGATTGCGGGTGGTATAGCGTACGGGTTTGGCGGCCATGGTGGAGGTGGATTGAGGGCACTGGTGAGGGAGGAGGTGGGATATATGAGGTGGTTGGGATGTCGGATGAGGTCGGAGGGATTGTGAGAGGAGCCAGTTCCAGTGCGAAGGGCTGAGGTGTGCTCTCTGCAGCATCTACAGAATGGCTCGGGATGTCGCAAAAAGCCGGTCACGAGGAAATATGCGGCCTGAGGCATGCGGGCGCACGAACTACCAGTCCAGCCTGACTGCCTGAGCCACCGGGTCATGGGTGCCTGGGTGCCTGACCTGGCTCTTCTCCTCGTCATCTCCAGCTGATCTCCTTCCATCGTCCCTCCCACTCATCCCATCCATCCACGTTCTTTACGCCTCTTCCTCTCTGCCTCGTCCTACATACTCGACCGTCTTCGTTGTTTTCCTTTGTTTCGCCTCTCTCGTCCCTCTTCTCTTCTCCTTCCGGACTCCCGCTCGCTCAGCTCGTCATGAGCTCGCAGCGTTATCAACGGGTATGAGGCACCAGCGTTTCAAGAGACCGGCCGTCGGGCCTGTGTCTTGCAGTCCGCGATGGGCGGGAATCCATGAAGGATCGCTGACTGACATCGTTATCTGTATAGGTGAACGCCCACGATGAAGAAGGCGACACACACCAGTCACATTCGTCGATCCCTCTACGACCCAACCCGACGCCTTCCTCCCCACCTCCCTCGTTCCGCTCTCGCTCCTCCTCCCCATCCAGACGCCTTCTCCACGACGACTCTCGCCGAGACCATGCCGACCAGACGTTAGCCGATGCCTTTGGCGATGGTAGTGAATCCGAGGGCGAGGATGAGCCCGACGACCGCCAGCGGCTAATGCGGGCCCAGCCGGATACCCGCTCGGTGGCGGACAGCAGCAGCAGCAGCGTCGCCGCGGCGTCATCATCGTCGTCCAGTGGATCGGAACAGCAGGCAGGGGACGTACGCTCCGGCGGAGGCATTCAGAGAAGACCGACGCTTTTGCCGTCGTTTAACACCCCGGGCTCGGGCGCCGGTCGGGTCATCAGTAACGCGAACGATGGTGTTTTTGCCAATCTGGCGGCTAAGCCGGAGCGTGGGGAGAAGAACGAGGATTTGCCTCCGGTATGTGGATTTCGACTTTGGAGATGTGTTTGTAAGGGTGGAGGTGAATGCTGATGATGTTCTATATATAGTCCTACGAAGAAGCCGCTGCGGATGCCACCCCCCCGTACTGGGAGACGACGATCCTTGCGCCGGGGATTTCGTCAGATGAGGTGTTTGTGGATGGGCTGCCGGTTGGCTCGATCTTCTCGTTTGTCTGGAATGCCATGATCTCCATGTCGTTCCAGCTGGTCGGATTCCTCCTGACCTACCTCCTTCACACGACGCACGCCGCCAAGAATGGTAGCCGGGCTGGACTCGGCCTCACATTGGTGCAGTACGGCTTTTACATGAAGGGCGGCGGTGACTCGAAGGGGTCGGACGACGGGGGCTCGGACTACGTGACGCCGCCAGACCCCAACAGCCATAGCTTCGACCCGAATAATGTGGATGGGGGCTCCGGGGGGGATGGCGGCGGTGCCGTGTCCGCCATCACCACGAGCGAATGGATCTCCTATGTCTTGATGATCGTCGGGTGGTTCATCCTGATCCGGGCCATCAGCGATTTCCTGCGCGCGCGACGCCACGAGCAACTGGTGCTACAGAGCCCCGAGCGAGGACTCAACGTCCCGATCATTGCGGAGGGCGAGCGATCGGAGACGGTCGTCTAGACATCGCGTTTTCATGGAAAGGGGCATGGTTCACTTGGGCGCATGGGAGTTCATAATGTTGTTCTTGCGAGTCGCTATTCTTATAATTGGGCCCTACGATCCGATCCACCTTGTAGGATGGATGGGAGCCTGCTGCTGCGGGATTGTTGTTGACTCGGGATTTCTTTCCTCTTCTTTCGTCTTATATTGCGGCGATTGCAGCTATCGCATGAGGGGGGGCACGCCAAGTTACCTGACCTGTAGCTTAGAATTCTTGTTATATTGTTGGCGAGATACCTTTTGGACGTGATGATAATTGACCGAATCCATACTCATTGCTTGCTAGGGACGCTGTGGTGGCTGTGTACTTCCTTCCCTCCTTCCATTTTGCCTTGGCCAGGCAGCCTCATTTCTGTCCCACAGGACAGTCCGTCCGGTTGATCGTCACTGCTGCTGCTGCTGCTGCTGCTGTGCTTGTCCCACGTAGATCCCGTTGTGCCACTGGGAGATAGATAGATATCTCCAGAGTCCAGTCCTCTTGCTGCCCGATGCTGATCAACCTCTTGGCGGTTTCTCCGGCTTCTCCGCTTTCCCTCATTCCCTCCCTCTCTTGTCTCTCTTTCTCTCTCTCCTTCTCCTCCCTTTCCCCTTTCCCCTTTCCTTTTGCTTTCTCTCTCCCCTTTCATTTTTCTGCTTTTTGTTTTCTTTCCCTCACCCCTGATGCCGGTTGTTCTGATCCCTGCGACCCTTTCCCCTCGGTAACCCGCACCCCTCCCCTCGGAACCCCCTCGCATGGCCATGGCCAAGGTCGACGCCGCGGGGGACGGGGAGTCCGTCTCGGTGGCCGCCACGCCGACCCCCGGCCTCCCCAAAGCCCCCGTCGAGGCTCGTTCGCTGTCCTCCATCACTGCCGTCGCCTCCAACCCCCCCGCCTATCCGCGCAATCCCACCCAGAAGAAACTCGATCCGCTGGTCTTGTACATCGTGCGCGTCCCGGGCAGTCGAGGTACGTCGCATCCACCCCCTCCCTCTTTCTTCCCGATCGCCTGAAGAATGCCCCGCATGGGCGGTGACATGCATATGATCGATCCGCGAACCCCCCCCCTCCCTCTCTGGTCTTCTGTTCGGCCATGGACTGACATGTTCCTCGCTTCGCCTAGATGTTTTCCTGTCCCCCTTAAAACCACCGACCAAGGCCAGCGTCTCTGCAGAGGCCATCAATGCCTCCCTTTACTATCTGCATGTTGCGACTCCCGACGATGAGGTCCTTCTCGAGGAATACGAGCAGGAGCGCGAAGAAGAGGCCAGGCTGCGGAAAGAAGAGCTCGGGGACGACGCAGAGGTTTCCCCCTCGCCTGAGCTTGCGCGACTGAACAACGTCAGGCGCAAGCCTGTGCCGGGCGCTGGTAAAGCTGGCAATCCGGTGACGGCCGATGCGGGTGCCCCTCCTCCCCCTCTCCCCGCTCGTCCGCGTCCGACGTCGTGGCAGTCGCAGGAGACCAGGTCGCCCTCACAGATGCCAGACTACCTGCAGCGACCTCCCATGCCGCCTCGTCCCAGCTACCAGGGCGATACTACACCGGGCGAATCCATCTGTGCACCGCCACGCTCCGTTCCAATAACCTTCGATGACTTTCTCGAACCCACCCGAACAGAAGATGCCGCGGCCGTTCAGAATGCGCGCCCTTCGCGCCCGCTCCCCCCCGTCCCTAGAGAGGATCCTGTGTTGGGATCGCCCATAGACCCCGTCCCGGCGAAGAAAGCCAATCGTTGGAGCGCAGCGCTGTCGGGGTACCTGGCGCGAGGCGAGGAAAAGTGGAGGGAGAAGTACGAGGCTAGTCGCCATAGTTTGGATTCCAGAAGGCCTCAGATCCGGCCACATTCAGCCCACGGGAGTCCATCGCGAACCCATCTGGAATCGCCAGTCAGAAGCCCTCCGCAAAGCCCGGGGCAGTCGCCCGCCCTGAGACCGCACGACCACCGGGCCCCTGCTCCCCGGGGCTTCCATATCACACTGATCCGTCGTGACCCTACGCACGGCAGTCAGTGGAATGTCGCGACCATGTCGACCCCCCGGCTCGATAACGGCGCCATCGACATCGACATCTTCACCCCAGGCTACAACCGGTTCATAGCGCAGAATGAGCCGTTCTCCTTAGCCAGCCTGGGCAAGAGCCTCCCACCCAACGGCCGTCCCATCTCCCTAGCATCCTTCAAGCCCCAGGCCGACCCGGCAACTCCCATCCCAACATCCGCCCCCAACGAGCCCTCCCACCCCCGCCGCTTCCATCGCAAGCTCTGCGTCTCCCGACCCTACTTCAACGACGAAGCCCGCGGCGGCTCTCTCGACCTCCCCGGTCGCCCCTCCCTCGACAGCATCGCCAGCGGCAGTCCCACGATCTCCCACGCCCCGGGCCACCACTCCAAGCTGAAAAGCGGCTACTACACCTTCACCTCTCCCTGGAACGGCATCTGCACATTCTCGACCAGCGTCAATGGCCGCAGCCTAAAATGCAAGCACATGATCCCCACCCCGGGCATCCCCACCCCCAGCTCCAACCAATCCTCCATGCCCGAATCCCCCGCCGTCACCGTCGCGGAAATCCGCTTCAACACTCCCTTCCAGCCCGGCCACCTGCACCAACCCCCAGGTCCCTCCCACATCTCCCCTTTCGCCCTCAGCCAAGCCTCCGCCTTCCGCGACCAACCCTCCTCCGCCCACCCCGCTTCTCCACCCACCGAACCATCGTATCTCACCTCCCCGCAATCTCCAGCCGCCACAACTACCACCGCCGCCCCCTCCTCCTCTAAACGCTCCTCCCTCGCCCAATTCCTTAATCCAAACAACCATACTCGTCCCCGCGCTCGTTCCGGCGCCAGTATCACCTCCATCTCTGGTGGCGGTGCCAGCGGTGCTCACCACTCGCGCAACCCCTCCAACAGCAGTACCAGCAGCGGTGGTGGTGGTGGTGGTGGTGTTGGTGTTGGCGATCCCTTGCAGCACGAGAAAGAGAAAACGGGCCCTCTGCGCCGTCCACCCAGCGACGACCGTCTCGATCTTTCTCTTGCGCGCGAGCGAGCGGGGGGCGGTATGCGCGGGAAATCCGCTAAATTGGGGAAGTTAATAATTGAGGATGAGGGCATCAAGATGTTGGATTTGGTGGTTGCTGCAGGAATGGCGGTTTGGTGGAGGGGGTATTATTATTGATTGTTGATTTGACTCTGGGTGGATGGGTGTATGGGTGCTTGTGGTATATGGGGTGGTGGGTTATTGGGTTGTGGAGGTTGTATTGTGTTCGAAGTGCATTGGATTGGATTGGATTGAGTTGAGTCTCTTCTCCTTATTCTTCTTCTTGTTGTTTTTTTTTTTTTTTTGGATATCATTGGATCTTAGGGTTGAATTGATAGTTGTGTAAGGTAGTTTGCATGGATGGGATGGATTGGATGGGCAGATGTAAAGTAGAACAAACACCACTGATTGATATGATGATTGATGAATGATGAATGATACTTATATTTTTCTTACTCCCTACTACTACTTAACTAACCGAATGAAAATTGTGCTAGCTGGTATGGATAGTGTATAGGAGCTTTCTCTCCTCTCTCCTCTCTCCTCTCTCCTCTCTCCTCTCATCTCTCCATATGTCTGTCTGTCTGTCTGTCTGTCTGTCTGTCTGTCTGTCTGTCTGTCTGTCTGTCTGTCTGTCTGCCTGTCTAGTACCTATCCGCCCATCTGCCTATATATAATTCACTACAACAATAGATATGATTACGGATGATACACGTGCTAGCTGAGTAAAAGGGGAAAAGAACATGAAAGGAGAGGACAGGATAGGAAGGAGTAGGCAGCCAGGTAGTAAGGCACCAAGGCAATCAGGCAATCAGGCAATCAGGCAATCAGGCAATCAGGCAGCCGGTCATTTAGGCAAGAAAGGAAAGAAGGAAGGAACTGCCTAACTAAGAAGTCACACATATCACACACCACACACCACACATCACATTGGTGGTGGTAGATAGTAGATAGAAGATACTAACCGAAACCATATATAGATCATTAGATCAACCAACTAATCAACCAAAGTACTATATCTATCTATTCCATTCATTCAATCATCCAACCAATCAATCATTGAACCAAAAGGGATGGGTGCAATCAAACCAGCGCTCAATTTCAAATGCATCACAGCACAGCACAGCATTTCGACCGTAGTCTAACCAGTTAATCAACGAATAACCAATTAACCAACCACCCGGAATGCGAGCAGAACCAGCTATCTCTCTCTCTCTCTCTCTCTCTCACACACATGGCGAATATCACGGACAGCAAAAAGCAGAATGGGAAGGGTCGTTGCATTCGGTCCAAAATTGGGTCGGGGGCAAGGGCGTACATACATGCATACATGGGGATGGAAGGGGTAATGGGGTAGGGGTGGAGGGATTAGGGCAGGGCAGGGCAGGGTAGGATAACAAATAGAGAAAGGGAGGATAGATAGGTGGAAGGATAGAAGGATGGATAGATAGATAGGGATATGATATGACTAGTGATAAGGGTACGTAGCTAGTCCAGGAAACGCCCGCGATTTCCAGAACCACGATGGATTGATTATATTCAACGGCGAAGCGATCAGGCCTTTTTTTAATCCTCCGCGACGAAGTGGGCAGGTAGGCAGGCAAGCAGATAGGCAAACAAACATGTACACTGTGGGAGGGAGGGAGGCAGCTAGGTGGGCAGGGCACTGGTCCAGGGGGGGGTTGTTTTGTTTATTGGACGTCCATGCCCCGTTGCAGCGACGATTCCAGATCGTTCTGGTGGAGACCGCCCGCCTCCTGGGGTTTGGGCTCCTCCTGCTTCCAGCCGCCCTGCTGGTTATCGGGGATGGGCACGTTGGTCTGCTGGGCGATCTGCTGCTGCTGCGCGGCGGCCTGCACCTGCGACTGTTGCCGGACGGTGGCCCGGAAGCGCACGACCTCGTCGTAGATCATGCGGCGCATCTCACCCACGTCATCGACGACCTCGAAGTGGAAGTCGAAGGTCGTGGGGCAGGTCGGCTCGTCCGACGCGTCGTGCCAAATCTGCAAGTAGGGGTGCTCCAGGGCCTCCTCGACCGAGATACGCGAGGAGGGGTCGAATGCGAGCATGCGGTCGAGCAGGTCGAGCGCGTCGGGATTCGCGTTGGTGAACAGGCGCTGGAACGGGATCTTAGGCATGAACGGCAGGTTGCGCACGTACTCCTGGGCCCGGGGGAGCCGATCCGGCTCAGCGTCTCCTCGTTGGGGGTTCCCAGGTAGTGGAGGATCTGGTTGAGCTGGTCAACGTAGTCGCGACCCTTGAAGAAGGGGCGACCGCCGAGAAGCTCGGCCAGGATACAGCCCACGGACCAGACATCGACTGCACATTGATCAGTATACCGTATGGGGACGGAGATGGGGTCAGGAGGAGCACGTACTGGCTTTGGTGTAGCTCTGGAAGCTCAGCATGATCTCCGGCGCACGGTACCATCTCGTCGCGACATATTCCGTCATGTATCCAGCGTTCTCCTCCGGGTCGATCGAGAAACCACGGGCCAGACCAAAATCACAGATCTTCAGCTCGCAGTCGGCGTTGACCAGCAAGTTTCCGGGTTTCAAATCACGGTGCAGCACGTTGGCGGAATGGATGTACTTGAGACCACAGAGGATCTGGTAGATGAAGGACTGGAAGTGGGCATCGGTCAGGGGCTGTCCGGAGCGGATGATCGCGGCCAGATCGCACTCCATCAACTCTGTTCAGGTCCGTGATTAGCGACGGAAATGTACGTGTGTAGCGGACCAGGGAAGATCTCACCCTCGTATAGGTAGGTCTCATTGAAGTTGTCCGCGCGGGGGATGTCCATGTCGTATAGGCAAGTGATCTGGGACATGGCCATGTCAGTGATTACGCGCTCACGGGCTGGCGCTGGGAAGGACGAGAATGACGCACATTGCGGTGACCTCTGAAGTGCTGGAGCAGCTTGATTTCTCTCAGGGCGCGCTTGGCGAGAATCTTCTTGCTGAAGACATTGGTGACCTTCTTGATGGCCACGCCTTCGCCGGTCTGACCGTTGGTGGCGGCGCTGGTGTCGTTAGAACCATGATTTCCGTGGGGAGGGTCTGTCCTCGCCGGGGGGGGGGGGGGGGGGGCGCCGTGACGCCGACGGAGGAGAGCCGACCTACCAGACGATACCGTATGCGCCCTGGCCCAATTCCTTGGTGACAGTGTAGCGTTCATCGACGATGAAGTCCTGGTTGAAGACCTTGAAGATCTTGCGACCCTGAAGGTCGGACATGATGACACGATGGGGGGGCGACGGACCGGGGGATAGGGGGTGGGAGAAAAGCGAGGCAGGTCAGGGCGGGGGAGAGGAGGAAGGGGAAAGGTACGCCGTTTGGGTAGTCAGTAGATAGTTAACTGGGACCGTCGGCCGATGGGGGATGGGGGGAGGGAGAGAGTTGTTCCGATCGAGGGTCGGATGGCACCAGGTGGGGTAGAAGATAGATAGTACACAAGTAGTATCAGCAGTATCCGCTCGAGTACGGCCGTTGTTGGGCTGGACCCGAATCGCTGCTCTTCTGGTGGATGGAGGAGGGGAGGAGAGTTTGGTGCGGGTCAGATAGCCTGGGCTGCTTTTTCTGGATTCCGTGCTTTCTGTTTTCTTTGTCCCCTGGGGAAGTTTCTCACGAGGAATGAATAATGGATGGCGTCTGTCAGTCCGCAGTGTCCGCAGGTGGTGGTTGTTTGGGTCGCTGGGTCGGTTGGCCGGTCGGTGCCCCGCTGATGTCCGAGAGGGTCTGGATGATTCTGAAACAGGAGACGGGATCAGCAGAGACACGGGAGAATAACAACAAGATGAAGAAAAATCACAATGATGATCAGAGAAGAGAAGGCTCTGGAAGAATGAGGAGGCGAGGAGGCGAGGAGGTTATATTCCTCTTTCTTCCCCACCTCACCTATAGCACTCCATACAGCACTCCTACAGGGAATCCAAGTGATGGGATGTGACAGACCCCCCAGTCGGCCTGCTGATTGGGTCTGGGAAGCGCGCAGCCTGCAGTCGCCGTCGAGGGAAATTGAGGCAAATTGACGCCATGGGTTCGCGTCGACGCGATAGGCAGAGAGAGCAGTCGGAGGCTCGGAGATGGATGTTGTTGGCCTTTCAGTTCCACTCCGGCGAGGAACCCGGTTGCCTGGAAAATGCCTGGAAAATAATGCCTGGAAAGCCTCAGACATCCAGTGCCACCTGTGCCTGAGGCAGGCGTGTCTATGCCTAGTACTTACAGATCAACCATGCATATGCAACTGTCACTTAGATGGTGGAGTAATCTATCTACTACGAACGAGGCACTTGAGACTTTTTCCTCCACTGCTCCAGCATCAAGCTGAAAGACTAGGTAGAATCTATACACAGTATCGTATCTCTGTGTCTATCGGTCTCAAAAAGGAACATAAAAACCAGTTCCTCACGGAACCAGGTTCCAAACCACCTCCAACACCTCCAGCTTCTTTGGCGCCACCTCATGCACGTACATCTGCCGCACCCGCCCCTCCTCCTGTACTGCATCTCTTAGTCGGAACGAAATCTTGTTCTCATCCTTGCGACGTAGGGGCCCTAGACTCCAGGTGAACGGGTCCGGGCCGGGATACTTGCTCGCGTCCCAGGTATGCTCCATAGGCAACGGATCATCCGACACGGTCGAGTACTTGATCACGGAGAACCCATTGACCAGGTACCATTCGTCCGGCAAGAGCCACCGGTGGAGCAGACATTCCTCGCCGCAGATGCTGGCCACCTTGCTGAGGCCCACCATGTCGGCCTCGAACCAGGACTTCCAGTGATGCACGGAGAGCGGCTGGCCGCGTCCGGCCTCGTAGAAGCCCGACGCATCGCCACGAAGATCCAGCTGGAAGAGATCCCGCTCCACCGAGAGCTTCGTGGTCGTGTGCGCATAGATACACCGCGAGAGCATGCGGTCGCCTCCCGCTTTGAAAACATAGCATTCGTCAAAGTATGGCTGCAGCTGCTGGAGAAGCGGCATGGAGAGGAAGATGCCCGCACCTCCGTACGCCATGTACCCCGAGCCGTACATATGCTGCAGGTCCTCGGTCACGCCCCCGACGTACTGAGGCTTTGTCGTGTCGTAGGTGGCCAGCCGATCCACCAGCCTCGTCATGGACGGGAAGAAAGTATCGTCGTCCATCATCACGGCCCACTGGGTGTTTGCATCCCGGTGTTTGTACAGGTATCGGATCAAATAGAAGTATCGGTCCAAGCGCTCGTCCTCCTCCTGCAGGATGGTGAGACGGATTCCCAACGCATCCGCCCGCTGTTGTGCCTGCTTTTTCTCGGGCCCTCCCCCGTTATCGACGGCGACCAGGAGTTGCGCATTGGTGCCCGCAGCCCAGTGTGCGAAAGCATCCAGGGAGTCGAGGAGTCTATCCAGGGACGTTGCAAGGCCGAAGATCATGTGCGACGCATCGGGGCGGGCGCTCGGCATGGGGCCCTGGATCGTGACGGAGGCGGTGCATTTGTCCGGCGACAGGTCTTGTCGATGCGCCTCGGTGTCTAAACGAACGGTGCGGAACTTGGGGAAGCGCGTGTTGAGGGCATCGGCATGGCGAGTGAAGTTATCCGTGGGGGTTACGGCGATTTCTAACCGGGCGTACTCGACGGACTCGACGGAGTGATTGGAATACTTGCGAAGACGGTCGAGGTCCACGGAGCACGGGTTGTATTCGTCGGGGGGAGGGAGCGAGGGGCTGAGCTCGGGGTCGGGAAGCGACACGATCTGGCTCGGGGGTCTGGAATAGAAAAAGACTACAAAGCAGGCGGAGAAGAAGGCGGCCACGAAGAAGAAGACCGGCGCCTTACGCCACAGAGGTTGGGGTTGCAATGAAAGAGGCATCATGGACCAGTCATGACGGGAATGTCGGGGATGTCGCTAATTTCGCTAATTTCGCTGGAACGCAAGACTCAGTTCGTTGCAATTGTCATCGTCCTCCCTGTCGAGGAGGACCTGGTGTGTTTCCCAAAGGGGTGGGAAGGATGATGGGGGAAGAAGAAGAGATGGATGGATTCCCTGGCCTTTTGGGATCGGCGTCGGACTGGGCTGGTCGGACCTCCGAAAGCAGGGCTGGGACACACAACATGAGACACGCCGTCAAACACTCCTTCGCCTTGCGCTCCTTATTAAGTTTGGCAATTCATCGCAACTACTACTCCATATTTACCCAGAAATAAAAATCATATACGATTCGCCGTCAATCAAATGTAACGCCGTCTCGTCACTTCGTGCAGTCTAGGATCTTGGTCTTTCTTTTTATGTCATGCTAAATCAAACATCAATAATGCCCTCATGACCTCACACGATCTAGTATCTAAGCCATGGTATAGTGACACGTAGATCTTCTCATGCAAATAATCCACAATGCAATTCCGTTCACAGAGCGTTGACCAGTCTCCGCTCCTTCCGCAGAGCCTTCAGCTTCTGGCGAGCCTCTTCCAGAGGAACCATGACACCCATCTTCTGGGTAGCCGGGTCATCACGGTTACGGATGTTCACCGTGCGAGACTCCTTTTCTTGGGCGCCGACAACTGTGTGTGCAGTTAGAGTCAATCCGAATCATGGCCAAGAAAGGAGGTGAGTGCACTTACCAAAGATGAAGTTGTACTGGTGCAGCTGTCCAGTACGGATCTTCTTCTGCATGGTGTTTCCGCTGATGTCGATGTCCACGTTCAGCTTATCCTGGCGCAAGATGCTCTGCAGCTCCTCCACGTAGTCGTTCACGGCAGGCATAACGGGCACGATCAGGATCTGGCGAGGGCTGATCCAGAAGGGCCACTTGCCGCCAAAGTGCTCGATCAAGATTCCAAGGAAACGCTCGAAACTGCCGATGATGGCACGGTGGATGACAACCGGGCGGGCGCGGCCAGGACCGGGCTCGTTAGGCTTGGCCTCGCTATCCTCGGTCATTACGGCCTTCTCACCCTTCTCGTTCGACATGTACTCGAGCTTGAAGTTGATGGGAGCCTGGTAGTCGAGCTGAATGGTCGCGCACTGGAACTCTCGCTTGAGAGCATCGGCAATAGTAATGTCGATCTTGGGTCCGTAGAAAGCACCATCACCCTCATCAATGATCCAGTCATTGCCCTTGAACTTGGTCATGGCAGCCTTGAGCTGCGCCTCGGCCTCGTTCCAGGTCTCCAGCTCACCCAAGTACTTCTCGGGGCGGGTGGAAAGCTTCAGCTTGAAAGTGAAGCCGAACAGTCCGTAGATGGACTGCAAGAAGTCAAACAGACCCTCGATTTCGGACATGATCTTCTCGGGATTAGCTCAATTCAAATGCCTATTGGGAGATCCAAGGGCATGTACTCACCTGGTCCTGAGTACAGAAAATGTGCGTGTCATCCTGCTGGAACTTGCGGACACGGGTCAGGCCACTGAGGGCACCGGAGGCCTCGTTTCTGTGCAAGACACCAAAGTCCGCAATTCTCAGAGGAAGCTCTCTGTAACTCCGCTCACGGTGACCGAAGAGGACAAAGTGGCCGGGGCAGTTCATGGGCTTCAGGGCCCACTCCTTCTTCTCGACGTCAATCTTGAACATGTCATCCTTGTAGTGAGCCCAGTGGCCAGACGTCTTCCAAAGGCCCACATCGTACATGTTGGGGGTCTGGACCTCCTGGTAGCCCCGCTTACGGTACTCCGTGCGCAGAAGGGACTGAAGGGCGTTGAAGATCTTGGTACCGTTGGGAAGGAGGAAAGGACATCCCGGAGACACCTCATCGAAGAAGAAAAGCTCCTGCTCCTTACCGATCTTCAAGTGGTTGCGCTTCTCGGCCTCCTCCAGGAACTTCAGGTGCTCCTGCATCTGCTTCTTGTCGGGGAAAGCAACACCGCGGATACGCTGCAACGAGTCGTTGGTTTGGTCACCGAGGAAGTAAGCAGAAGAGTTCTGTGAAAGATCAGCCGATGTTATCCGGTATGCGACGTATACTAATATATACCTGCATGATCTTGAAAGTCTTGATTTTGCCAGTGCTCTGGATGTGGGGACCCCTGCAGAGATCGACCAAAGTACCACACCGGTACACAGTGCTCTTCTCTCCGGTCACCAGCTTGTCGATGTAGTGCAACTTGTACTTGCTGTAGGCAAACATCTTCTTGAGGTTCTCTTTCGTGACCTCCAGTCTGTCGAAGCTCTGCTTCTCCTTGAAGATGCGGTTTGCGCCCTTGTCCAGCGAGGACCAGTCGCTCTCCTTGACGACACGGCTGTTTCCACGTCAGCACATCTGCTCAACCATGCGACCCTCTCTATACTCACTTGTCAGGCATGGCCATGTCGTAGAAGAAACCTTGCGGGGTCGGAGGTCCGTGCGAAAGAAGACATCCGTATTCGCATTCGCAGGCCTCACCGAGGCAGTGCGCGCTGGAGTGCCAGAAGACCTCCCGTCCCTCGGGGTGGTCAAAGGGGACATAAGAGACGGTACAATCGCCCTCCAGGGGACGGCCCAGATCCCAGAGATCCTTTCCAACCCTGGCGAGGACGATGTTGGCGCTCAACTCCTTGGGGACGTTCTTCAGAAGCTGTGCGGGGGTGGTCTCCCAGGCCTTGGCGGTGACATCCAGGGTGTTTCCATCACCGAGTTCAATTGAGACCTTGATGTCGGGGTGAGGGCGGTTCTTGGTTTCCTCGAGATACTGCTGCCACAACTCCTCAAAAAAATTGTTCCGTTCGATCATGAAATCGGGGAGAGATCCGGCGCCTGGCGCAGTCAACTGGTTAGGAGGGGCTTCGACAGCATTTGGCGGGGCAGACAGGCAGTGAGTAACTCACCACCGGCAGGTTTGGCGTCGGCCGCCGGCCTGACGGGCAGGTCCTTGGAGCCTTCAGAAGCCATTGCTGTATCCCGCAGCGTCAGGAGAACAATCTGGGAGGGTTGGACCGAAAGAGAGCGGAGGACCAGCAGCGATGACTGACTTTCCGCATCGAAATGAGACGATCCGGAAACGCAAATCGACAAGTGACTCAGTGAGGGACCGCGGGCGGTGAGCCACGTGACAGGAAACTGCCCTTGCGGCTAGCGACACTTTACCGTTTCGAGCTTCCCACCATTTGAAAACTTCTCCGGACTCCGAGATCTCCAGGTCGACCGCAACAACAGCAATACAAGATGTCTTTCCGTGGAGGCCGTGGATTTGCCAGTGGCGCCAACCGTGGCGGTTTCGGCGGTGGCCGTGGTGGTGAGTCGGAAACAGCAATCGCGAGCCGACTTTGGCACTGGAGGATGAGCTGACGAAAATTTCATCGGACAGGTCGCGGAGGTTACCAGCAGTCTTTCGGTCCCCCCGACCAGGTTCTGGGTAATTATTCGCCCCAGCATCGAAAATTGGAACGTGCGACTAATCTGGATCAATTAGAGATGGGAACTGTCATGCACGCTTGCGAGGGTGAGATGGTTTGCGAGTCGATCAACCCCAAGATTCCCTACTTCAACGCCCCCATCTACCTCGAGAACAAAGTATGAATCACCGACCCGAGAACGACTCACAGACGCGCATGAAACTAATCGGCATAACAACTTTAGACCCCCATCGGCAAGGTCGATGAGGTCCTCGGCCCCATCAACCAGGTCTACTTCACCATCAAGCCCCAGGAGGGAATTGTCGCGACCTCCTTCAAGGCCGGTGACAAGGTCTACATCGGTGGAGACAAGCTCCTGCCTTTGGAGAAGTATGTTGTCGCTGATTCTTGTCTGTCAAACGAAACACTGCTGACTTTGTACCACTAGGTTCCTCCCCAAGCCCAAGGCTCCTGGTAGGATCCCCGACGATTTTCGCACAAGCCAGATGGTCTTGGACTTTTTTCTAACTGCAATACAGGTGGCGCGAAGCCCAAGAGAGCCGGCGGTGCTTCCCGCGGTGGCCCCATGCGCGGTGGAGGTGGTTTCCGTGGCGGTGCCTCCAGAGGACGTGGTGGCCCTCGGGGAGGTGGTGGTTTCGGTGGTGGTCGCGGTGGTGGTTTCTCGAGGGGCGGTGGCAGAGGAGGCCCCCGCGGTGGCGGTGGTTTCTCGAGAGGCGGTGGCCGGGGTGCCCCTCGCGGCGGTGGTGGTTTCAGACGATAGACGGTCTCTGTCTTTTGGTAGTACTGTCTTATTACGGCGTTTTGGGAAAAGGGAGCTCTTGCAGGAATTCATTTGTCTCTATATTCTTGCGCGTCCTAGAAAAGAATCTGCTGCTTTGCTGTACGCAGAGGCTGTCGCGGATTTGCTCAGCCATGGAATTCATGTATTGCAACGATTAATCACGCTGAATCTTGTTCTAAACCTCCCGTTTGCCATAGTATTTCAGTGCCTACCTCTTGATCCTTGAGTTGTCTGAATAGTAGATGCAGTAGGCGACAAGCCCGGTAAGGGTGCCTGTGGCGCAGTGGTAATCGGTCGGCACTCGGCAGCGGCAGCACCGTAGTGTGGCTGGTGTGAGGGTGGCGCAGGCAACACCGCCTTGCAATGACGTCTGGCCACGCTTGAGCCGTAGAATCTGTGCGCCTGTCAACACGCCTGCTCAAGGTAGCTGCCTACCATTGCATCATTCCCCTTCGACCCTTACAACCCACCCTTTCCACATAAACAAACATCCCGACCTGTCGAGAATCTACCTTACGAGCTTTTCTTTCTTTTCCAGCTTGAGCATGTCTCGCAGGATATCTACCATGCCGTCGAATACCTCAACGAATAGCGGTGGCCCACCTGCGGGTGACGGTGGTAAGTTTGCATCCTGGCGATACTTCCTCAAGGGCGCGACGGACTAAAAGACTCGTAGGCCAAGAAAAGCAGAAGATGCTTCTTTCCTCGGAAACCGGCCACTTCAGCATGATCAGGTAAGTTTTCGTGGTTTTGCTCTGGGGCCTTCAAAGGTCACTGACGCAGATTCGCAAACCAGGGCGATGCATCTCGCAGATTTAGTCACTGAACTCAATGGTAAGAACCCATTTCCCTCCGGAACATTATTCCGTCTACATCTCATCCGCTAACGCGTCTCTAGGATTTTGTGGAGGCAAGCTCACATCTCACTTCGGCTCGATATCCGCGAACTGACACTAACCGCTCATAAACAGTGATGTCCGTCTTCTCGTCTCTGCGTTACTGTCTTGGCGATCCCCACGAATTCGGTGCCATCTGGGCTGCCCTGGCTTTCATGCCATTCGGGCTATTCTTCGACTTCATGGACGGAAAGATTGCTCGGTGGAGGAAAAAGTCGTCGCTTATGGGTCAGGAGCTCGACTCCTTGGCGGATTTGGTACGCCCCCTCCCCCACCCCCCCGGGTCTCACACCGGCAAGTGACTGATTGCCTGCTTTCTGTACTCTAGATCTCCTTTGGCATGGCACCCGCCGCGGCAGCTTTCGCCCTCGGAATGCGCACAGGCCTCGACCATCTGCTCCTCTCCTTCTTCGTTCTGTGCGGCTTGACGCGGTTGGCACGGTTTAACGTGACCGTTGCGGTCCTGCCCAAGGACAAGTCCGGCAAGTCTAAGTACTTCGAGGGCACCCCGATCCCCACAACCCTGTCCATCGCGTCTTACATGGCCTACTGCGTTTCGCAAGGATGGGTGCTGGACGACCTACCGTTGGGCGTTGCGGCCGAGGGTACGATGTTTGAATTCCACCCCTTGGTGCTCCTCTTTGTGCTCCACGGTTGTCTGATGGTCAGCAAGACGCTGCACATCCCTAAGCCATAGATCAGGGCAGGGCTTCACAGACAAGCGTGACGCTTGTCTGGACTAGGACTCCCGTTTCTGATAGAGATGTCTTTCACGAGCATATATACCAAGGGGATACTAAAACAAAAGTGGACATGAAGCATTTATCGGAGATAACGCAGATGTTGCGGATTGAAAATGGGTGGCATACCTTGCATGCTGCGGGGTGTCGTTGCCTCCGTATTCTTATTTAATCTAAATGAATTTTTACGATTCCTTGATATGAAGCTTGTTGGATGCGGTGATCGTACGGAGTAGATAGAACTACTGGGTGTGCTGCGCGCCTTTCCTCAGATCCAAGTGCTTGAGCATCTACCCGTGCTTGGAGTCAACAAACGAGTCACAGCACATCGGCAGTAACGCACCGCGAACATCTGGCCATACTTAACTCCAGGCTCATACAAGCCATGGCCACAGTTTCCAGGCACCAACTTATACCTACCTTGAGAAAAGGAGGAACTGCCCATTCCCAATATATCTACGGGGTACCTATTCAATAGTCATGTGTCGGGTCTCACAGGACCGCCGCCCTCCGTCCGGAATATAGAACCAACAGGTCATCCACCCAGACCTCCATCGGACAGATCATTTACCTACCTACCTACCTACCTAGGTACCTTGTAGTAGTATCACGCAACGATCAAATGATCCATGATGATGACGACGATGAGAATGAGTATCCCATAGCTTGCGCTCGTGCTGATGATCCGATCCGCTGACCTACTCAAGTAGGTAGGTAGATGATACCTCATGCTGGACCCCCAACCTGACTATTTCCCCAACATTGGGGATAGAGCTGCGGACGCCACTCGGCCATTCACACACACACACACGCCCTCACTTAAGTACTCTCAATAATGATGTTGTATAGTACTTACTACTTACATAAATATATGACTAAGGTACTTACACAACCTAGAATCGAGGACGGGCGGAGTTCTGTTCCTCATCCCCGAATTTCTCACTCACCCACTCATTCACTCACCCAGGTCAGTCAGGTCAGGTAAGCCCAGTTCACAGCCAGCCAGACTGACAGACAGCATCCCAGGGCCCAATTTCCCCATTTCCCTACACGGTCAACCATCTTGGCAAAGGAATAAGTTGAATCCTTCCAATGCCAACACGACACTAGTAACCGGCCTTTTTTCTTTTTTTTTTTTTTCTATCCGTCCTTTATTTACATATACGCCCGTATTACTACCTAAATCACGCGGATGGGGAGAAAGGTAGTAGTAGTTTATAAATGGAAAAAAACTCGGCAGAGCAGCAGAGCTACCAGAGCAAAGCAAAGCAGAGACATCGTATCGTGGATCATCATGACACGTTCTAGACCCTCCCACCTCGGCCTCGTAGTCGTCCAGGGTTTCACTCCGCTGGGTCCCGGGTACGGACGGGTCCCTCTTCTTCGCTTCCCTCCCCTTCCCTCCCCCCTCTCTCCTCTGTAATGGCTCATCTCAGTCTCACCGTCTCTTTTGGATTTTCGGTGATAGTCCTACCTACATACATACCTATGGAGATGCCTAGTCACTAACCTAGGTAATTATATCTACCCTGGTGGTATTGGTTTTCTGTGTACGGAGTACATGGGTTATGGGCCATTATTGGGAAGAAGGAAGAGGAAAGAGTCGAGACGAGGCTAGAATTCTCCTTGTGGATGACGGACGGATGGATGGATGGATGGATGGGCTCCGTCGGTGCCCGGGGCTGGCTGGCTGGCTGGCTGGCTGGCTGGCTGGTGATCTTCGGTCTTTTGTTCGTTTGCAATGGCTAGATGTGGTTATTGGTGGTGGGTATATACAACCGTATGGAGTATTGGCTACTATTAATTAGCCTTGGGCTGGGCAGTCTGACAGTGAGTCAGAACACGGTGGGTGGATGGGTGAGTGACAACAGCCTAACGTGACATTTGAGCATTGTGTGGCACTCACTCCCCAGGTTTTTGTTGTTGTTGTTGAATCCAGCCAGCCCTGCCAGTGCTAAGTAGGTATCTACTTGGGATAGTTCGGGAAGAGCAAGGCCAGACAGGTAACGGCTTCGGATTATGCCCTGCCCAGCCTATAGGCCAGGATGGGCGGTACATTAGTAGTAGCCGGAAGTGTCAGGGCAGTGGTCCCTGACTCTGGTCTTTAGATAGATACTAGGTAGATAGTGTCTGAGTCTCGCATGCTGAAACACACAATAAGCTTATTTGTGCCCGTCTGTCGGCGTCAACATGCTTCATGCTTTGTGCTTCCAGAATAGTTTCACCCGCCCTGGGAATGTGGATTCGGTAGTGTGAGTCAGGGTGCGTAGTATGGCATGTATGCGCTGAGAGGTTTTATCTTCCTAGATATGGAGTAGCAAGGCATTCCTGTCGGTATGTGTGTATGTTAATGTGGCTCAAGTCATCAGTACGTACAAAGTGATGTTCATGCGGGAATACACTCCGTACGAACTAGCAGTTAGAAAGCCGTCATCTGGCTCCATCCCCCCCTCTATCTATTGCAAACGGGCCATGGCCTTAGCAGATTATTATTCTCCTGGTAGACAGTCGAGACGCCGACTGCTGCGCTGCACTGTGCTTTTGCAGTGCATCAACTCTGCAGATACACGCGTCAAGGGGCGGAGGTTCCTTACATTATTGCGGTCCCTGGAGCTATTTACTAAGCGGTAGCTACCTATCTAGTTAACCACACCCAAGGGCTGCAGAAGAAGGGGTTCCAGTTCCACCCGCGGGCCTCCCTCCCCCGGGAACGGCCGACCGCTGGAACCATGGAAAACCAGCCCAGGTTTCCATCGCATCATAGTAGGTTGGCTGTGGCCAAGAATGATGCAAGAGAGAGGACACCTCAAATCGATCGAAACAAACCGTTGGACGTCGCTCCGGAACGACGATGCCAAGGCGTGGGCATTTCTATCCGATCGAACTCCCTGAGTCGGGGGTCGAGCTGGTCCCTTCCGTACATAGAAGGAGGGCCCGCATGGTGGAAAAATCAAACGCTCGACGCCTAAATCCAGCTTGGCTCAAGGGTCCATTTCTTTCCGCTCACCGGCTGTTTATTGGCCCGTCAAGGATTGCCAGCGCCTACGGAATAACTACTACTACACAGTACTGTGTATGATAGCCGGGCGCCGGCCAGTCACGGCCGTTGCCATTCCTCCTTCAGAAGCAGATGTGCTGGCCATCAATTTGGGGGAAAGGGTGTCATACATATTTCCTGGAAATTTCGGGTGTTGGATGCTTCTGCACATCTGTTTTGAGGCAGTTGGAACGATGGAGGGGAATTGGCTGTGGTTGTCCAGATTGCACAATAGTCTGTAGTAGTTAGTACTCCGTACTTGCAGTACCTACGGAGTACTTAGTAGGGGGTTCTGCATGGAAATCGCTACAGTGGCCGGGAACACCAAATTGTCCCGTCTTGCAGAACAGCAAGGAATGGCGCAATAATAATGTCCCGTTGAACAGCTCATCACCACTGGTGACAGTCAGATTGGAAAGAGATCACCGAGTCATTCATTATTATCTATTCATCATCATCATCATCATAATCCATAGCCACGACCGAAATCGACACCGACACCGACACCGGCACACCCGCCCAGTGCCCACACCCACACACCCACACCACCACCACCGCTGATGGAGGAGTGAAAAGCTGCCCGTGTCTTCCTTGGGTCACGAGCGCCCCCGTTGAATGGTGGGAGGATCCTGGAGCTACTATTAATACATTGCGCCCCAGGCAAGTCTCACTTCTGGCTTCTTTGTATGGCGGAGGTTGCTTCTTGTCCGAACCACCCGAGGACGGACGGATAAGTGACTTGACGGTGTGGGTGTGACAAGCTCTGTCCTCCCTCCCTTCTGCTGCGCGTGCCCTCATCGGCAAACATGTAGTAGTATTATGGTGGAAGAATGTCGCACGAAGGTATGGTTGGATTTTTGACCCGAATGTCTGCCCATACTGGTATGTTTCTGGGAGCCCTACATTGCTGCTGAGTAGTAGTAGGATGTCTCGATGGTCATTCTTCTGGGTACGTAGTCCATAGTATCTATCTATCTACAGATAGTAAATAGGGACTCCCAAGTCGGCCGAAGTATGAGCATGAGCATGAGCATTCAGCATGTGCATCACCATCACCATCACCATCACCATCAACAGCATCCCCTCTTTTTGCCGCCATGACCCGGGCGGGCTTAGCGCATGCCACTCATGGCCAGAAAGGGGAAAGGATGGGCCCCTCCTCCGTGCCTTCCCATCCTATCTAGTTCTGTCGTACTCCGTACTTACGCAGGACTAGTGCGCCGTGCCCCTGGACGGCGGCGCTGAGGTCAGCGGCCGGTCGCGGGTATGATTGGACCCGGGCGGCCAGGTACGCGGGAAGCTGGTAAATTACCGCCCTGCGCATCCAGGGTCAAGTCCCGTCGGGGAACCACCAAAAACGACCCTAAAGCGTACCGCGTATGGAATGGCGGGCTGTCATTGGGGGAGCGAGGGGGGAATGATGCTCCTCCTCACGCTTTGTTTGTCCCTTTTTTTTCGCCTTGGCCAGATGGGAAAGTTAGACTGCCTCTCCTCTGCCTTCCCCCTGGTATCTAACAGACTAACAGACGGACGAACAGTAGCAGCAGTACGGAGTAACTAGCGTCGCTTAATCCCTTCCCGGCAGGTGAGGTCCTGCAGTCACTCTCTCCCTCCCCAATCCGTCAAGTCCTGGGAAACTGTCACTCGTTCTATCGTCTCCCCTTCTTGTCCATCCCTTCGCTACTTCACCCTCCACACTCTTTTTTGGGCCTGAGGATCATTATTGACGGGCTGTCGGGCATTCTTGTTTACCTTTCCTTTCCCGATCCTCTCCATCCCTCCCTCCCTCCCTCTCTCTATTTTGCTTTCACCTTCGCTTGACAAGGCTTTCACGCTACTGGAGATTCCCATCCTGAGCCCCCTGGGCCATAATAGAACTCCGTCTCCCCTCTGATTGCAGTTGCTGGGGGCGATTCCGATCCTGGCCGTTTCTCTGCCTAAACCGCCCGCACAGGTGTGCTCATTAAACCCTTTCCGACAGAAAGGGGGGGCTTGAAACCACCCGTCTCCAGGGCCCTTCCCCGCCAGCGTCAGGGACCGCCTGTTCCCAAGGTAGACATCACACACACAACACTCACTCTTTCATCGCCATCTTCACTCGATCTCTCACCTACTCGCCTGCTCGCCTGCTCACCTAACTTCCATTCGCTTTTACTCTGCTGTCGCCTAACCCGACCGGATACCCACACCTCGTCCCCATCATCTACGTCACGCGCCCTTATTTACGACCGGCCCTTGTCCACGCTTGCCCTGTTCGCTTCGGGACACCATCGCGAGACGAGTCTAACAGCGGGGACAAAGTGAGACAAAGAACAACCAAGCTTTGATACAGCTTGAAGAGGCCCAAAGGGTTACGCGGGTCGTCCCTTTTCCTTCGCTTGATCCATCATCTTGCGCTGCTGCGTCTGAAACCTATGTTCAGACACTCATACTCGACCCTCCTGTGATCACTTACTCCGTCCACCATGTATCATCCCACAAAACCCTTGACCTTCCGGTCGGCTCTGGCGGCTTCTGCCGTTTTCCTGGCTGCCAGCTTGCCCGCTGCCCACGCCTATACAGAGGTATACAACGGCTGTTACTCCAACTCGACGCCATTGACGGACCAAGGAACCTACACATATCAAAGTGATGGATACTGTCAGAAGCTGTGTTTGAAGGGCAGCTACACCGTGTTTGCTTTACATAATGGACAGGACTGTCTCTGTGGCAATGAGTTGCCTGCATCGTCGGCCTTGGTTTCTGACAGCAAATGCAACATCGAATGTGCCGGTTGGCCTAGTGTGGACTGTACGTTCCCTGCTTTCGCCCCTCTCTAATGACTTGGTTTACTGATGGTCCCAATCACAGGTGGTGGTTCCGATACGTATTCGGTTTACCTCACTGGTATGGATAACGACGTTGAAAACTATTCCGCCTCCTCAAGTACAACATCTAGTGCTGAGAGTGGAACGTCCGCTACATCAACGACCCAACAACCCCAAGCCCACGTTGTCACCAGCGCTGGTACCACACAAACAGTATATGAGACAGCAGCAAGCGAGACGACGGCTGCAAAGGCCGAAAGTGCCACGACCTCTGCGGCAAGCAAGGATAAGTCGACCGCCAGTACTGCTGCCATTGCTGCTGGCGTCGTGGTGGGTGTGGTTGGCTTGTGCGCTATTGTCGGTGCTGGTTTCTTCCTGTGGCGCTTCAAGAACCGGAAATCTGTTGAGGCCCAGTACCGCCGCAGTGTTGGTGTGGACAACTTTGGCAATCCGATGTCCCAGAACTCCATGTCGGATTCTAGATTTGACGGCGACTTCATGGCGCAGAGGCGTCAAAGTAACGGCAGCATCGACGATGACCAGGATTTCTCGCGTCGGATCTTGCAGGTGAGACTGACTCGGTGATACCATAGAATAACCGTGGCTAACATGATTTCCAGGTGACGAACCCTGATGGACGCCTTCATCATTAAAAGGCTAAAGGCTTTTGTTACCATTTGACAATACCGAGTGATGCATCGAGGTCCACCTGAGCTCCACGTACCCCCATCGGCTGAGCCATGCGCTCTCGTCGCTTAACACCTCACACTCGACCTTCGCTTGTCGCAACCCGTTGCGCTTTTATGATAGCGTCTTCTTTTCTTTTTCTTGCTTGGCTATTTAGCGACCTTGCGATACCAGCGCCCCACGACCAGGATATGATATCCTCTCGATCGTTGGCTATTAAAGCTCCGCTCCTACCTGCATGCGGTATCGTACCGGTCTCAGTGGATATTAGTCGACGGTGTGCAGCCCTGAGAAACTCGATTATTTGGGTACTCAGCGCTCCCCGTGGATCATCCTTGGGCTGCCAGACCAATTGCGGTTGCACTCGCGGACCGCCAGATTTCCTTATCGCAAGGACCTCTAAAGGGCAAGGCTCGCTGGACTGGACTGCGGCACATCCGTCCAGCATTTTTGTATTCTGAAAAGGCGTTTGATGCGGGCTGTATCTTATTTTGGTTCCCCTCGCGGACAGCAGTGATTTCCCCATACCTTTTTGTTTTTTGAAACCAGGAACCCCCGATCTGTTCTATTTTTGTGATGTGCTTATTTCTATTGGCGATCTGCCACGCTTGCTTCACCCCCGGCACTGGCCTTGGTGTGAAGTCTGTAAGTAAGGTGATGGACAGGCCTGTAGCTAATGTGAGGATGAATGGATACCATGTATTTTCCCTGAATTTGTGTCTTGGCCCTTGGCCTAGAATTAAATGAGTGTCTGGGTGTCTGATGGGTGGTGTGGCAAAGCAACACATCTCGACTATGCCGTTTATGCTAAAGATACTCTGCTTTCCTTTGCCCCCCCTCGCTATTCGTATTACTGTCATCCATCCATTTGTAAATGTCCTGTGCGGATACTTATATGGCGGAGATAGCTTAGTATCCCGGTATACTATATCATCACTGTATATCGATTGTCCCACCCCTTATTTATAACTAGTTCATGAACACTCAACCAATTACAGTGACACCTATGAATATATGTGTATATATAAGAATAAGAGATGTAGACAAGAGTAACCAGTGCATGTGCAAACATTTAATAGGGGTACTACTACTACTACTACTACTACTACTACTACTACTACTACTACTACTACTACTACTACTACTACCACCACCACCCCAGATAGATAATTCTTGCCCTCTTTCTCAAACACCCATTCCATCCAGACAGTATAAAAAGTACTCAAGGGAGTTCATTTTCGCTACAAGGAGCACACATACCTGTCTCTACCCTCTGATTATACAGATACTTACTCCCTAGATGGATGTAAATTATAAATCCTCCCAGCCTGTTTAATTAATATAAGTAAGTAGTAAAGTAGATATACTTATACTGCTTACAATGTTGGAGACAGTATATTGCCTTACTTTCTTTACTACCACCAACTAGAGAAGGAGGAGAGGCAGGCAGGCAGACAGGCAGGAGGCACTTTCGGATGGGTTCCTGGATGAACAGTGGAATTTATTTCTATCTATTGCTTAATTTCGTTATTGGAGATTCCTGTTGGGGGGGGGGGGGGGGGGGGGGGTAAGATAGATAGATAGATAGATGGCTAGTTTAGCTAATAGGCTATTATTGTGCATCTGAAGAAGCTGATTCGAGCTCTGATCCTGCTGGTATGCTGGTATATTGGCTGGATTTGGGTAATGCCTGAATATTGGATTTTAGATTTAAGTGTTTTGTACAGGGAGGAGGGCGGTATAGATATTGGATTGACTTGCTAGGTAATTAGAAGTAGTCTTTAGATTTGTCTTTAGCAAGTTTCTCCTCGTGAGTTTCTGGTTTTGATGGGATGGTGGTGGTGGTGGTACTATAATGTGAAGTGTTTGGCTGTCTGGGTTGTCAAACATATATTATATGTTAGATACTGTAGGGTACTGGCTGGTTTTGCTATGCCGATTCAACTCATGCGAATGTTTGCTTTTCTGAAGTTTCTTATACTAACCCAAGACCCATCCTGGGTATTTCATCCAACTGTATTATCGTCCATCAGGCCTTTGAATTCAGAACCACCGAACTTGAACAGATGTTCTCATGTTTGAACACAAAGGTGGCCCAGTCGACCCGACCCGACCCGACCAACAGGAATGACCGGTTCAGCCCAGAATGCGGGGACGGCGACAAAGTACAGAGTACTCAAGTCATCGATTCCGCGGGTTCTTTGTCTGCTCGTGTTTAAATGTTTGTTTGTCCTCGACGTGTCTTCTCAGGTGTGGAATGACGGTCATTCAGCACATATCTCTGTATATACGGCTCTACCTACGTGCCTACGTGTCTATATGCTTGCCTGTCTACCTACCTACCTACCTACCTACCTACCTACACACACGTACAATCGCGTATCCATTACGCACATAAGCAAAAGATAAGGAGGTGGCAAAACAGAAACAAGACAAGCAAGATATGCCTCGCAAACGGACCACCGCGGAAGAAGGAGATACTGGATTGCAGCCTCTGAGCAAGCCAGACCTAGAACGGGCGAGCAAGCGATCGAAATCTGACCTCAGGGCTAGCATGCAGAGGCAGAGGTGGAGGAGGGACGGTCCAGGCACAGAAACAGCAGCAGCGGCAGGCCTGGACCAATTCCTCCCCTATCCGATCCATCAGGTCAATCGCCTCCTGGAGCCCGGGCCTGTCGTACTCGTGACTACGGGGTCCCTGGCCAACCGGACGCACAACATCATGACCATGGGGTTCCACATGATGATTCAGCACGAAGAGCCAACGCTGATCGGGGCCTGCATTGGCCCGTGGGACAAGAGCTACGATACCTTGAAGAAGACGGGCGAGTGTGTGCTTGCCATTCCCGCGGTGGAGATGTTGGAGAAGGCCGTTGACATTGGAAACTGCAGTGGCGAGGATGTCGATAAGTGGGAGACATTCGGGATCAACCCTGTCCCAGCACCGGAGTATGTTTCAGATTCTGGGTCCGCAGAGGAGGAAGAGGGAAAGGGGGAAGAGGAGGAAAGGGCACAGACACGGGCACCATTGGTTGGAGGGGAGGACGTTGTGGCTAATATCCAGTGTGTGGTGCAGGATCGAGCGTTGGTGGCGAAGTACAACCTGTGGGTGCTGAGGGTGGTTGGAGCATGGGTGAATAGGGATATGGATTTAGAATATGGCCAGGGGAGTAAGAACGCAGGAGACGAGAAGAACTCTGTTGGTGGCAGAGAGCTAGGGGTGAGGGAAATGAAGATGGCTCACCATCGCGGGGATGGCAGATTCGTGGTGGACGGAAAGGAGGTGGATCTGAGGGCCAGAATGGTCAAGTGGAAGGAGTTTCAGGATTAGGTTCGCGGAGTGGCCGCTCATCTCATGCTTGCAGAAGACTGTGTCAGATCTCTCTGCACGGTGCTTCGTCCCAACGCCTGTGCCCGCAGTCATGCTGTTGGTTGGTAGACGGTAGGGACCTGGAATGGTGAGACAAGTATGACAATTTCTCTGTTCACCTAATCCTAATCAGTATAATATGGAGAGTGTCCTTAGATGCAGGAACTGCTGGTAGTATCATGCTTAAATTGCGGTTACTGCGCGTATGAACGAGTCAGCGGTAAACTTCGAACCAACATGTTGGTTCGTAGTGGCTCGTGTTGGGGGCTGTTCCTATTGCGTTGCTTGCATCAGAACTGGCCCCAATTGGATAAGCATCATATTTCACAGCATCCAGCCTGGAATAGGTTGCAAGTCCGGGCTCAGCCGAATGTAACACCACATATCAATCCGTGGAAGGTGATGGGAATAAGGAATCGTGGGATAGCACGCTGGTCGATGATGACGCCATGGCTTAAAGCCCCGCAATGATTAACATGTGTGTCACGCTGCCATTATGGCCTGGGATACGGGGGAGATAAGGAGATCCTCAGTGGCAAAAGCCCCGGCCGTTGTCCAGCAGTATCCCTGCCATCGTATTGTCGCAGAGCGCAATATGATCTTCACGGCTCTCGAAGGGGGGTTTGCAACCTGCACACGTGTAGTCGGATGAAACACCCCTGCATAGCCTTGCTATCATGCAGAAGGCTTGGTCCACGATAGACGCCGGGCAAATCAGCCAGGCGGCATTTAATATCTCCTCAGCATGCCATTAGTCAATGGTAGGGCTATTCTCAGAAGGATCCAAAAGATCATGCATCGACAAGGGCTCCGTAATAGCTAGCAGGGAAGCGGGTCCTTCCAGTGTTTAGCCCGCGGTCAAAAATGGCTGTGCAGCGGGGTGACAGGAATTGGCTAGTTCCACTTAGCAGGATGACAGGTTGATAATCTAGATTATCTATAGACCGGCCTGACGGATGATATACTCGCATTTTGATAGTCGATCGATTCGGTACGTGGCAATCACCAGCGGCTCGTAAGAGACATATGAATCCCGGTCAGTAACAGTAAATCAAAGCAACTGCTTTCTGATCGGTTGGCGGACCGGCCAACAGTAAGAATTAGATCAGACCATGTGGCTATTTTCCGCCCCAGGGCGCATGTCACCTCTGCGATGGGGGCGGAAGGAGAGGCCTCATGGCTCTGTAGCCCGTGAGCCTGCTACTTGTGCAGTAGTTTGCAGGCTACATGCTGCACGAGGATGTGCTTCTCCCAAAGTGGTATCCAACGTAAACCGGAAGTTGGTATATAGAATGTTCGAAGTAGTATGGAAGCAACTCTCCACCAATGACGTCCGGAGAGGCCGAGCAGCAGATAACCTTGCCCTGATACCGGGTGACTAGGTTACAACGTGTCCAACCTCGTGTTGGTCACTATGCGCTGACAGGGAACATGCTGACAGGGGAAAGCCATGGTTCTCGGATTCGAAATTGGAAGTGGATTGCGCCTAGACACACTGCAATCAACAGTATACCATGGAAGAGACGGGATAAACGGAATGCACATTGAAAGAGGATAAACGGCATACAGCCTCACGAACTCCACCCTTCAGATGGGATATGCCGATATGTGACTGAGATCAGTGCAAGTCTTGGGGCCCGTGGGAATATTCGACATCGGAAGGGGCCGTTCCGCCTGTTGAAGGCTCAGCCTGGTCTGGAATGCTCGAGCCAGATACACGAATGGCATAGCAGACGTCGATCACAGTCAACATGGGCACAATGACGGTTGGTCTGGTCGGCCTCCCCGGTCGTCAGTTGCTTTCTGCGTCAATCAATGAGGCTGATTCGCTTGTTCGTTTCGCACAAAAGACCCGCGGAGGATACGCAGCGGCCCACGGGGTGGACAATCATGCAGGCCAATTTAGACGAACTTGAATAGACTGCTTGGCAGTGGGGGAGTAGGCAGACTTCTGCTTTAGGATGAGAATAACAGTCGCTCAGGCTAGTATTGTTATTCATTAGACAAGACCGACGTTAGCACGTACATAGTGCCATAGTTAGCTGGCCGACTAGGAACCGTCCCCTAGTTTCTCCAAATGGGGGACGACGGCTCCAGCGGCTAATCGCCTAGTCGACCGGTGTGCTCCAATTGTAGCTGGCGTCAGCTGCCTAGCATGCTAGCTGCAGCGCTTGATTTTAGTGAGAGTATCGAACGTATCTAAATTCTGAATTCCGATTATAATGTTGCTTATCCCACGGGGGAATTCCATTTAAGTCTTGGAATTTGTCACGACGTAACCAGGGACTGGGACGTGCCCACAACAAACCTGAGGTGTAGGTAGAATAATAATGTGGGCTCCATAGTCCATACTATGTGCCGACCTCTCCACATGAGTGGGGCTAGGGCAAGAGGCTGATCGAGGATGAGAATAATGCGAGGACGCCGATGTGATTATCGTTGAACGGTGGGTTTCTCTTGGTTGAGGGCTCATCTTCGTGTGTTTGCCTGGACATCAGTGATGGACGGTAGCTGGAGGTAGGGAGCCAGGTTTCTGTCTAAGCCTTACAGGCTCTTTTCAGTAACAGACATGGATTGTCCGTCAAGGGTATACGCGGATGCAGCATTCTTCAAGGATTCCAGGGATACTGATAGACCCGATTCACGCGATGGCGCCAAAATTGGGTGGTCTTGCACGATCCCGCCCCGAGATGGATTACATAAGGCCCGCCGGCCTCAGGCAAGGCTGATTTGAATTCCTGATTTTTGATCGCCCGGAGAAAAAGAAGCCTTACTGTGAACCGGTAGGGTAGGCTTAGGCCCGCCATATGGAGGGGCCAGGCAGGCTGGCCGATGATCACAGTGTGTTTCAGATTCCAGGTGCTCTGCGCTCCGTATCGACTCCGTGTGGCGGACAGTTGGGGATGAGGTAAGATCATGAGATGATCGTGTTTGTCATGCCATCCGGCCTTGATTCCTATCCATTGACTGGGCTGAATGATTCGAGCAAACAAGGCGGATAATTGGCTTGCTCTCGCGTGGTATTCAGGCTCACAAGCCCCTTGGAGTGCTGATCATCAGGTTTGACGGCCGCTGCTCTTCTCGAAGGGGCTGTCCGTCAATCAAGGTCAATCATCCTACTTACCATCTACTCCGTACTGCCTTAGCGACGAGACCTCTCGGATCCAACCCCGGCCGTGAGGATGCAGGATGGACACAGGATCACGTTTCCATAGTATAGCTCACAACTGTAAATCCTCCAGGCATCTTGTTATCCAGTCGATGCAACATCTCCGAGCCAGACCACCTCCTGGAGAAATCAGGAATCCGGACGAGCCCACGGGTACCACGGCCCGGGGAAGAGCTAGGCTCCGTGGGCTCTGGCACCGGATCCCACTTGTTACCGAGCGTCCGATGAAGTCAACGCATGTAGACGGAGCAGGGAGGATTGAACCCGAGACCGCACACGGGTAGACGGGCGTTGAGCATGCACGTTGTCACGGAAGCGTTTCAGCATCAGCGGCGCAGCGAGTGAAGCAATGATGACTGCAGTAACTATCATCACCTTGCATGGCTGGCTAGTTCCGTAATCGGATGGCAGAGCTTCGAAAGGGATACTTTGCGAGATGGGGGAGGGAGCAAAGCAACTAAGTAGACTAACTAGAACTGGGCTCGCTAGCGGCTAGCCTGCCTTAGCGGGGTTGGGGACGCAGCCAACCAGCGGGCGTGGCCACTGTTATTTTGCCGGCGGGCACTATTTTGCACAGTGGTTGCCATTTGCGGCCTAGCGCCAGAGGTGGAGGGGAACTGCCCCGGGCACATGACAGCTCGCGATCGCCTAGTCCTGATCCGGCCAGGCACCCTCTTCCCCTCTTCTATCTACATTCGTTCCCTTGTTTACACACCCACCTATATGTCCCATGTACGGGGTTTGATGTACGAGAATCATCACTGCATCATGACACCCATAATAACAACAATAAAACCGCGTGTCTATCCTGGCCAACTACAAACCTACTAACCAGGTTGAGGAATGGCGCATTCCGCGGGTGGAGAGTGCCCAGCGGGCCTGCACTAAGTACTTATCTAGGTAAGTAATCGGTTCCTCCTTGCTTCCCCACAGGATGACCACGTTGTCGACCTCGTCTTCCCCTCCCCCCCCTCCTACCCCTTCCGTCGCCCGTGCTGCCCAGCCGCCCACGGAGACAGGCCCGGAAAATACGGCTGGCTGCTGAGTAACATTGGCATTGTTGGTTATTATTAGCCTCGAGGCTCTTTCTCCATATCCGAATCAGTGCTTACAGCCATGTGCAACTCGGCAACTAGTCCTATCTATCTCCCTCCCTCCTTCCTATCAGACTGTCCAGCCTGCCTGGCAGGACGCTTGGCTCCGCTGTCTCCGTGCAGACTTCATCGTATTCCCTTTCCTGATTCCTGCCGCGAATCCAGCCGCTGCTAGGATCAATAAAATCGCTGTTGTCATATACCCCAGATGCCACGCGGACATCATGAAACTGCTATCGGTATATCGGTGAATGCGGTCATCAGGTGCATGAGCAGGCATTGGATTGAGAACCTGAGATGCCCACATGGGCGACCCCTTGCCCGACTCGCCAGCATCCTTCGAAGGATTCTGATTCTAGGATGGGGGTCCCCTCCACGTGTAGCCTGGTAAGCCAATGCGGGCTGCAGACATGCTGTCATGGTGTCATGGCTATGCACAGTGGCACACCCCTGCTTGATAGGTGGTACCTTACTCTTTCCCTGCTCCTTTTGCCTGAGGCATTCATTTTCAAACAAGTTCAGAGTCTCCATCGGCCAAGCCGCCTGTTGACTAGCCTCCTGACAATTATCCGCAACTAGACTCTACTCCAAGTCTCCAATGGCCCCCGCTCATCATCCCCGGGCTAGATTTTCCGGAAAAGTCTGAGATGGCACCCTGCGGTCCCTCCAGGCTCCTGGACTCCTTGCGTGTGGGCTGTGGAGGGGTGTCAGTGGTAGTCCTGCTTTTAGTGCTCCCATCGATACGCAATAATGAACGTTTCCCCACCAAGACACCCGGTATTTCACACCAGGAAGATGGCTCCAATCGGAGTCGACCGATCATATAACATCTGGGCTCCTTCGCTTGGCAAAAGCCTGCTGACTGCGGTTGCTATCTATTAGGGCTCTTTTCAATGGCACCCTGTCCTGTCGATTATTAGCCCGAGGGTATGGGATCCCGCTTACTACGGGGAAATCGGCCTACTTGCAGACCGTGATGCGGTTACACCATCCTGCCGCGGATCCTAGACACATGGCACCGGGATAATTTGCGATTAATCTAGAGTCTGTCAGGTGGTAGCGGAGCTATCTATCTAGACCCTCGATGGCAGTGTAGTTATCACCAGCCATGACAGAATGCCATATGGGCCATCTCGGTATGGATCTGCCTCTAGTCCAGAACCGGTCGCATTTGAAGGCCCAAGCCCCAACCCACCTGGTAGCTCCCACTCCGAGGCCATTGACGGAACGGGACTTCCGCAACCTTCATACGGGAGAACCGTGTCTGTGATCCGATATTCTCCCTAGTGGACCGCAGGAATTGCACACCCGTTGAGCAATCCATATCCCCTGGCTCTGAGGCTGTTCTCGGTCTTATCGAGATTGTGTGCGGTGGCCCGTTTGCTTCCCAGCCCATCTCCGACTAAGGTACTCCGTATTACTAACTGCATATTCCACAACCAGATGTCATCCTTCTCGAAGCGCAAGGCTCAGCGTGCAGAGTTACACTGATCCTCGACATGAAACGAGCTAGAAGCCTGTGCGAAGACAGAAGGGGGCCAGGACATCATCCAGGGAGCGTGAACGGCATGGATGTTCGTGTGCTCGTTATCTTCCTGCCTTCGTGTACTGTACAAAGTATGTAGGCGAGGGGCGGCGAAACGAGAATGCTGGCCCCACAGGGCTGGGTACCTCGAGGTAGTACGCGATACTCAGCAAGGGGGTACCCAGCGCCCTAAGGCTCTCCCACTACGGAATACGCCGTGCCCCTGTGGGTACTAGCGCCCAAGGTAGCTGGTGGTACATCGCTTCATGTAATATTACGCCCTGTGGTATTAGACCTGTACCGTCAGTCGCAGTGGACACCCAATTTAGATGTGTCTATCATCATCACGGATATCGCTTCGCTATCTACGGAGTACCATGTGGGAGATGGAGCTATAGCTCGCATTCACTTTAATATCGGATGCTATTACACCGTGCCGAAGTAGGTGCCCCGGTCTCTATACAAGTGTCGGGGACAATTTGGCAACAAGTCAAGGTTTAAAACGTTGGATGGCTAATGTCATGTGTGTGGTCAGCGGCGTAGAGTGCTTATCGCGGCTGTTCCTTTTTTTCCCTTCTCTTCACTTTGCTTTTCTTCACCAAGTTTCCTTCCTGTGCCCCTGATTCCGGGTGCTAAGTCTTCCTCCCGTGGTCTGCAGAGAGGTAAAGGGCCACCGAGCATGGCCGGCACCAAATCACATGGTGTTGCGGGTCCCGATACGGAATACGGAGCATCCTACGGAGTACCAGCCTACCAGGTAAGTGATGAATGAGAGACATTGCTTGGCAGGCAGACTCGACTTGCTGGCTGCTGGCGGGCTTTAATCCGGCGAGTTGAAGATCGACATGGGTTGAGCACCTTAGCCTCAGTAATATGCATGGCACCAGACACAACATCCCTGCTACTTCACGTGGTAATATTACAGGTTTTATGATTGCGAGTCAGCCGGCTCAGGCCTTCCATCGACAGTACCACGTTGCTAGCTGCCTTAGGTGGTGGGAAGTATCATGCAGTAGTAGTACGGAGCCAGGTGGGTGCTCCATACTTCTTAACCCCGATGATCTAGCGGGACGATTGATGTCCCCAGAGGAATTGCACCAGTTGTCTAAAAGTCTCCAACTTTTTGTTGTTGGTTGCGAGCGAATATTTGGAGACCAGTCATGGCCAGACTCGCTTTCAGCCTCCGAAATCAAGATGAGCACCGCTCCACAACACTAGGGAAAGCCCGATCGATCGCCAATGCTATGACAGTGGAGTTGTGACTCGAGACGGAGAGGCCTCTGGTCTGGTCCGGACGGGGACGGGAAAGTAAAAAGATTCTCTCTCCGGCTAGCGGGGAACCGTTGGGACTTGGGACTTGGGAGGCCTTGCGCGGTGGTTTGCGAGAACGGGAAAGGAACAGGCTTCCTTTCCATGACAAACCTAATCCATGCAGAACTGCTGGGGCTGTCCAGTTAGCATGGCCGACCGATGTTGCGGATGGGTTATAATTAGTTGGTCGCATGGGACTGTCCGTTCCTCTGCAGGTTGGCATCTTGAAACATTGAACTTCTTACCCGCCTTAACGGGATGGTCCGGGAGGTCACGGGCAGGCAGGGAGGCAGGGAGGCAGCAGCATCCTGGATCCGTGCCGTACCACCAGCAACAGCAACAGCAACAACAACTGAACCCTATCGCTGCTTCTCGGATCATGGATGTCAATTGTCTAAACCAAATTGACTGGGTGGGTCGCCCCCACATGGCTCACGTTTAGCCTGGAAAGGATCTTGGCTGGTGCGGTCCGTGGAGCAACTCTAGCTTGGGACCTTTGGCACATTCGCTCCAGCAGTGGGGTCGCTTGAGGCTTGGATCACGGATGAGAGAGCTTGAGGACGGCCGTGGTCAGTCAGGTTCCTGCCACTAGTCCTCTAGCATGCCGACCTAAGGAGGTTGTTGGTTTGCAGGCTAAGAATCGACCTACGAGACGACCAGTCCAATTAGGGGCCTCGCGGAACCAACATTTCCCCCGACCGTGGACTTCCGCTGTAATAATACTCTCCCTCCAACCTCCTAATCCAAGCACGATGTCTTCACTGTTCTGCTCTTGTTCCTCCTTATCAGTAGTGGTACTCCGTACCGCACCCACACCCACACCCGGTGCATGCATGCATGCATGCATGTACCGAGCCCTGTCAGCATTCCGGTGAAGGAACAGCAGGGAGGGCCAGCCATGTACTCTCCGTACTCCGGACTCGGAATTGAACCCGCCAGGCGACTCATGCAGTTGATCAGATGAAACCGCAAAGATGGCGGAGTGGCAGTTTCAGAATCAGACAGTAAGGCATCGACCCCGCTGCTCTGTCGTCACTTCAGGGTGGTAGTCAGGTAGTATGACTCGTGTGTAATTATGGTGTAGTCCTCCGTAGATACATACTTGGTGCTGACAGGATCTACCAGGGATGATTCTAGCCATGTGTACTTTAGGCAGTTTGTGCACGGAGTATTGCCTGAGAGTGGGGTATCCCTTTTTTTTTTTTTTTTTTTTTTTCTCCATTACTCGCTCTCTCGTTCTCCCTTCAGTTTATTACCACCCCTTTCATATTAGTCTCCTTTCTCTGCATACAGGACATACATAGTACGGAGTTAGGAAGAGACCATTCATCAAATTTGCAATCACGATGATTAATTTAATCTGTTCCTTCCTGGCTCCCAGCGAGCCGTCTGGGTACGTCTGGCTGATCCTCGTGGCCGTCGGAGATGGAGATCTAGCTACATACTGTCCTCCATATCTGTCTAGTGCGTACATGACTCTTGCTCATGGAGCCAACCATAGAACCGTTGAAGTATATTTGGGCGAGAACTGCGGTCCGACTGGCCCGTTCGGGCAGGGTACACATCCAAGGCATCGTAATGTAAAAATAATCAACCACACAGGGCCTGTCCTTTTCTTCACCTCACTTCTTGCAGTGCGCCTCAGCCGCACACTTGGCTGCTTTTCGCTTGGAGATTGAGGGGGCGGGGAGAAGAGGGGGGGTGAAGGAGGGGAGGAGACATCCCATGTTGGATTGTCTGTCGGCTGTCATTTGCCCGTTTTCATAACGGGTCCCATTATGACAGTGGATGTGGACGATGGGGATGGCTGCTGAAGCCTGAAGGGCCCTTACCTTCCTTACCCAGGAGCGAAACCTATCGTCCCGAGGCGGTATCGAGAAAATACGGAATTGGCTGTTTCTTCATCCTGGAGTTTGATTTTATATTATTATTGGTTTTTTAATTTCGTGGGTTTTGTGACGGACTGGATCAATTAGATTGATGCCTTCAATCTACTTTCCTAGTAACTACTAACTTACTACTTCTGCTATAACTAATACTACTGCTACTCTAGTCACTGCGGAGTACATCGGTGATAAAATACCTGAATTACCATTACAAGTGCTCTGGGAAGAGCTGTCTGCTCCGACTCTGTGACTGCTACTCCGTACTAGCCGTCGAACATACTGTAGTAGTAGCATAGCCATGCTTGCTTTGATCACCCTGCAGATGGATCATCAGCAAAACCACAATTGGGTTGCTCGCTTAGGACTAGCAGTACTGGCCTGTACTAAGCTACATTCCCTGGTTCTCAGGCCGCAACAGATTGGCCGATAATCGCATTGTAATATTTATTTTTAACCCCTCTTCCCCATTTAATAACTGGGATTATTATGATGATTATTTTGATTATTATTCTTTTTTTTTAATCCTTTCATTTTTATTTTTCCATAATCAGATTATTTTATTCTTCCATTTATTATTATTATTATTTTTTTTTTTCAAATCATTCATCTCTTCCCCCCCCCTCCCCCCAGTTGCCCGGCGATCTTTCGGGGAAGGCCTAGTCTTCACCAGGCCCACACCTGCGCTGGAGTTGTCTGCACCGGTCTAGCCCCATTGGGGGGGTTCTTGTATATCGCCGTGGTTCTTCGCGCACCCTCCATCTCCCACTACTCTAACCCACCCTAGAGCCTCTCTGCCACCATGCCGCCCGTTTCAGATCCTCACTTTCCTTTTTTCATACCTAGTATCTCACTGCCTCGCCCTGGCCTGCAGATGCGAGGCATTTTTCCTGATCTCACTCTCCTTCCTCTTCCCCTTCTGGACCGTTCCCCAATTCTGCTAGCAGACCTGCATCACAGCCCACCTGCCCACTTACCCCCCAATCTCCACACGCATACCACCACGTCCCGTTCCTGACAAGTTCTGGGTCTGTCGCAGAACTGCCAGGGGATCGTCTCCTTCAGGAACTGAAACTATATCTATCACCCAGTCGCCAGTCCGTCTGCTCTCTATCCTCACTTCCACACGCGACTCTATCAAGTCAATTGCTCCTGCCCCTCCATCTCTGGATTGCACCAACAAGACTCACACCAACTACTACAACAAAACTACAACGTCTACCTTCTGCAACCCCCCAACCATTGCGGCCAGGAACAACAACCCATCCACCATGCGTCGAAGCACTACTCAATCGGAGATTCCTCTCCCCATTACCTACACGCCAACCACACACCGCATTAGCAAGGCAAAGAAGGGCAAGCGCGTGCATGCCTGCGAGTACCCGGGCTGCAACAAGGTCTTCACAAGAGCAGAGCACCGCAGGTAGGCATCTGTCTTGGGATCCCAGCCTTCGGCCATCTAATCATGCTAACTGAATCGCACAGACGGCATGAGCTGAACCACAACCCGGAGGCCCTCTATCGGTGTGCCCACAACAACTGCAAGAAGGCATTCCACCGTCCCGACCTACTAGCCCGCCACATGGAGCGACAGTGAGTCAACCAACCGGAATCGGATTCGCACCTTGGATGCTAATGGTCACTTTCAGCGAGTTGGAAGCACAGATGGACCGGACCGCGCAGTGGCAACAGCAGAACCGTGCCCCAATCATGCCCGAGCACTATGTATCCCACGCCACGCCTATGACCTCGCACCCGGGACAGTACCTTGCCGTGACCCAACCGCAGAACGCGATGTCTGTTGGATCTCTCGTGGCCCCTGCTATTCACCCTGACCTTACCGGAGACTGTGGCTTGATGTGGAATAGCGTGGAAATGCCATCTGGACATCATACGCCCATGTACCCTAGCCATCCTCACATCCACGAGTCGGTAGAAGACAGCCGGTTCTACGCTACGCCGGAAACGTGCCCGTCCCCTCTTTCAGATGGTACATCCCTCTCAGTTCACTCCCACTCCCGTTCATCCGTCGTCTCGACACCAGTCACAGTCGTTGAGCCGTATCCCGAGAGCCTCATGGAACCCGACCTGACATCCTCGCCAATGTCCATGCAGTCGAACATGCGCTGCTGGGAGCAGCCAGACACCAGCCTGCCGTCGTTGAGCATGATGCCCCTTCCTCTTTCGGAAGGTCTGCTCCAACCAGTATGTCAATCGCACCCGCCTTTTGCGAAAACGCTAACACGCATCACTCAGACTATCCACTGCCCTTATCCATCTCCCGGCTGGTCAACAACGCATAGCCTCACTTATGACGACCATACTCTTCCGCCTGCGGCATTTCCACCTGTAATGGGGTGGAAGCCATGGGGAATGTGAATGCATACGAAATCAGCACGAAGTGATGACCATGATCTTTCGACTCGATACCCAGCAGCTGGGCTCACGGTGCTTAGTCGGGGCTTATAAGCCGTGTTCTTATACGACTGATGCGCCATTACTCGACCCATTGGGACGCCCGATACGCCGAGACGCAGCGATGCGCACTAATCTTCCTGGTACATTTAATCAGTGTGAGAACGAAATAATGCGACTACAAGAGAAGGAATACACAAGGAAAGGGAAAAGAAGCAGCTCCACGGGATCTCCCCCGGCTTGTTCTCACACCATCGAACCATCATCCGACTAATAATGTCGCGATGCCTCGAGCCTGTCGAACAAGGGCATCGAGGCGGTCATTAGGCCCCAAAAAGCCACAAAAGAACAGTGGCCTGATCCGGTAATCTTTTTTTCTTCTTCTCTAGACTTTTTTTCTTCACTCCCCTATGTCATCTTACTATACCTTCATCTCCTTTGTCACCTTGCTTGGAAAAGCTTCATTCTCGCAACGACTGTTCAATTCAGCTCCTGCTTCCCCCCCCTTGTCCATATGCCTCTCTTCTTTTTTATGTTTCCCATTTGGACTGACTGGGCTTGGGTTGGCCTTTTTTTCTTTTTCTTCCTCTTCACCAAGATATACCCATTTTTGTGGCTTCCTTTATTTACTCTCTGCAATGCGCCCTGGTTTGTTCATATGTCATTCATGTTCTTACTGAGTTATGCTACGTTTATGCGCCAAGGTATTGATTGTCTTTTGTCTGTTTTGGATGTATGTTTGATCTGACCTCATGATGCTTCTTTTTTTCTTTTTCTCTTTTTGTCTGTGTATCTGTATATTTTGATTCCTTTGTATCACTACTGTATCAGTATATTACTACCTATAGAGTGCGATGTTTTGCATGGAATAACTATGGTCTTTGTTGATCATCTTTTACTTTGTTTATTTTATGGGTATATTATTGTAAGCTTGTAAGCTCGTAAGCTTGAAGACTGGAAGACTGGAAGATTGTAGGGTAGTGTGGTTGGACGTGTGGACGTGTGGACGTGTGGACGTGTGGACATGTGGACGTGTGGATGTTTGTTGGAGGTTGTGTAGTTGGGGTCTTAGCTTTGGTTTACTGGATCTTTATTAAAAGGTTCTAGTGGATTATTATTTGGAAGTTGTCAACAGGTTGGGTCTGCCATTCCGTGGGATTCCTGATATTGAAAACTCTGGAGGGAATCGATACTACAACATACAAAGGAGAGCTGTATTTGAAAAGCAATGTACTTACCTAGGTTGGAAGACGGGGTTAGATAAAGGCATCTTGAGCGGATGTACATTAAAGAGTCGAAAGAAGACACTACCTTAGGTATTCTTTACTGATGAAAAGCCCTTGGGAAGTAAAAGTACGTATGTATATATGTATGTATTAGATTCCTACTTAAGGGGATGAAATAGACATGGGACGTTCGAGTAACTGCATCTGCATCTGCGACTGCGACTGCACCTGCACCTGCGACTGCGACTTCGACTGCTACCCGCTCCGCTGAGTTAGGGTACATACGTACGTACATAACGGTAGATAATATACCTCCTCTTGAAACCAGCCACTACATTCTGCCCTGATAATGGATACGGATCAGATCTCATCACAACTCTAACTCCGTCTTCGCTGGAACGACCCTCCAACACCACCCACACCAGCTACGATGCAGCCCCTTCTCCTCTCGAACGAGATAATCGCCGGAGTCGCGCTCATCCTCATACTCAACGACACACGCACCGACCGTGACCCGTTTCTTGGATTTATGCTTGACGCGCCCGCCGATACCGATGATCTCCTGGCGGAAGTAGCCCGGTTGGTCTTCCTCGCGGTGATCCCAGACGTCAGGGGGGGCGGAGGGATGGACAAGGGGGGTGTGAGGGTGGTTTTGTCGTGGGGGACTCGGTGCGTGGCGCGGGGGCCCGTAGTGACGATCGTAGTCGGTAGGACTACCGGATGCTTCGTCGGCTTCGCATTCTACTTCCATTTCGATCTCTTGGGCCGCGAGACAGTCTTCCCCTCGGCCGCATTTCACGCCTTGGCAGCCTTCGCCGATTCCCGTGCCGAGACCCCCCAGGTATGTGCTGTATCGAGTCCGCCAGGACCACACCCGTCGGTAGGTGGTGTCGTTGCTGCGGACTTGGTGCCCGCATTGGTGACACAGCCAGATGGCGTCGGAGCAGGAGCAGGGGGTGCGTTGGAAGGCGGAGATTGTTGTTTGGGAGGGAGAGAGGGGTGGCGTGGTGGGTGATGATGAGGAGGATTCGCAGGGTGGGTGGATGAGGTCGTTGAGAGGGGCTGTGCGGCAGGTGGTGCAGAGACGACGGATGCGGTTTTTGAGCATGTTGTTGTTTGGGGGCTTGATGGTGCAGTTCTGGGTGGATGAGAGAGTTAGAGGGTGGGTTGGATGTATGGTGTGGGGCTCGATGGACTTACCCGGCACACAACTTTGGAGCAGCGGTGACACTCTGCAACCATGTCTCGGGCACATTTGCCAACCTTACCGCGGGTCATTCGTCCGGAGCTTCTGGCGTTCTCGCTCAGGAGCTGGATCACGGACTTGACGTTGCGGGGAATGGCAGCCTTGCTGTCCAACATGTCCGACAGTGTCTCGATGTACTCGTTCTCGCAACGCAGGGTCTGTTTGACCAGCTGCGGGCGATATGGGGCCATGTTCGCGTGGAATTGGCGACATGTTCGGGCAAGGGCGTGCAGGGTGTTTAGGTCAATTGAGCGAGCGATCTCCTTGATGATCCTGGATCCGCAGTTAGCACAACATCCCGAACCAGACACTGGTGCGGCCTGGTTCAAAGTGTTTCATACGGATAGCAGCTCAGAGCAGCCGAAAAGGCGTTTCGATTCGGAGTCTGTTCTTCTTTGGGGAGGGACGGGAGGAGGTTGGACAAGGGCTCTTTGTCCGCCGGACGAGGCGACCCCTTTGGGCTCCCGGCTGAGAGCTTGGACAGCGCAGGCTGCTGCTGCTTCTTTGGTTCTAGGCAGGCATGGAGGAGGGTATCAGGACGCGCGGGTAGATGATGCTGGTTGAGCATATCGCGGTCGTAGTCAATGAATACCACCATCTTGCTCGGATGGGGAAAGGAGTAGGAGTGTATAGTATAGAAGGAAGAGTATCCGCACGGCCCACAGAAGCTAGATGAATGTCCGGCAGGAGTCTAAGTAAAGTGCATGCAGCAGGATTTGGATTCAGACTTCTTCAGAACTCGAACTTAAGCAAGTCAGCCTGATGAATCCGACCGGGTCATAGTCAGTTTATAACGCGTAACGGCGCCCAGCCCACAGCGCGTGACGGATGAAGCCTGCAGTGGAATGATGCGGCAGGGAACGATCCAGCTCCGTCTTCGGCGCGGGTCCTCGCGATCAACGGAAGTGGTTCGTCTCGGCGGACCAGCAGCCGGGACGAGTTTTTCTGGGTCAGATGGGGAAGCGCAGTGCCGAACCGGCTGTTTCAGGAGGTTTAGAGGGGCAGAGTGAGGCGGTTAGATCATATCAGATCGGCCTCGTGGAGCTTGAGGGGAGGAAGTGAGGGGATTTGCTGCCGCACGAGAGGATCTTATCACGGTCAGGTGCCCCGCCTTACCCTTTCGGGCCTCGACGCGCTGCCGTCCCCATCGGGAAGGTGCGAGCCTCGGCCGTGCATGCCCATTTGCTGCTCCTCCTCGTCTTCTGCCTTTGCTCCTTCTTCTTCTTCTTCTTCTTCTTCTTCTTTTTCTTTTCCTCACTCTTCTTCAATTACTTCATGACTGCACCCACCAACTCCCACACGGACAACATCCTCCTCTTGACTACCGTCGCCAGTTGTCTCCCAATCCATCGCCATCTTCATCCACAATGTCCTAATCTCCGCTCACCGCCCACTTATCCTCGGGAATGCCCCGACTGCCCCGATAAGATATGGTGGCTGTCTCCAACGTGGCGGGGCACTGTCACTGCTTTGCCCGCATTGGATTGACCTACATCGCTATCTTCTTACTCCAATTTATGGTTCTTTAAATTACTTTCTCCCCCCGGATTCTCGTCCCCTCACTCGTTCCCGGAACCTTCCACTTTCCCTCTCGAGGCTATCGCAACCCCAACCTCAATTCAAGATGCCCCTGAACTCCAAAGCCGTCTATTCCCGCCTCAACCCCGACCTGGTCCCTTTCGCAAGTCGGAGGAGCACAGTGCACAGTACCAAGGGCATTGTCACCTGCACTCAGCCACTAGCGGCAGCCGCGGGCCAAAGGATTCTGAATGAGGGAGGCAATGCTGCTGTGCGTCGGACCAACCCGAGTTCCTATTTCTTGGATACATGCTGACTATTGAAAGGATGCTGCCGTAGCCGTAGGTTAGTCAGAAATTCCGCACTGGCACAGACGGACGCTGATTCGTGTGTTTTACAGCGGCCGCATTGAATATCACCGAACCCTCGTCGACAGGTATCGGTGGGGACATGTTCTGTCTATTCTACGATGCTAAAACGAAGAAGGTTCATTCTTTGAACGGCTCCGGCCGGTATCCTGCCGGCGCAACGCTTGAGAAGGTCCGGAAGGATCTGAACATTGGCCCTGATGAGTCTGGGAAAATCCCTATGACCAGTGTCTTTGCTGTGAGCACGCCCGGTGCTGCGGCAGGGTGGGTTGATACGGTAGAGAAGTTTGGTAGTGGCAAATTGTCTCTGGAGCAGATTTTGCTTCCAGCCATAGAACTTGGCGAGGAAGGCTTTCCTGTCTCCGAGCTAGCATCCTTCTTCGTAAGTACATGTCGCCTTTTGACCTTGGACATTCAGAAGCTGACGTATCCGTAGTGGCATGAAAGCGAGCATTTGATCCGGAACGCATCTCCCAACTACCATGAGATGCTGAAACCAGACCCTAAGGCGGAAAACGGTTTCAGGAGTCCTCTGCCTGGGGAGATCCTTAGAAACCCAACGCTGGCTCAAACATTCCGAGCACTTGCTGCGGAAGGCAAGAAAGGTTTCTATGAGGGCCAGGTTGCAGAGGAGTTGGTCAAGGTTGTCCAGGATCTTGGAGGCTACATAACCTTGGAAGATCTCAAGTACCACGCAGAAACGGGGAGTCAGGACACAGAAGCCATCTCGCTCAAATTCACCGGTCAAGGTATTATAGACAAACAGACCCCAGGAACATCGGATGAAGTCAACCAGGGAGTGGAGATATGGGAACATCCGCCGAATGGTCAAGGTATCGTTGCCCTCATGGCCCTGGGAATCCTTGAGGAACTAGAACGCACCGGCAAGACCCCCAAATTCACTGAAGCTCAGCACAACTCCGCCGAGTATCTCCATGCCGTCATCGAAAGTCTCCGCATTGCTTTTGCGGATGGTTCCTGGTGGATCGCAGACCCTGATGTGGAGCAGGTGCCAAGCAAGGCTCTGATATCGCGAGAATACCTGGCGGAGCGAGCAAAACTGTTCAACCCCGACAAGGCATCTGATATCATTGACCATGGTAGCCCTGCTCACAACCACTGCGACACAGTCTACTTCGCTGTCACAGATAAGGAAGGAAATGGAATATCGTTTATCAACAGCAACTACGGTGGATTTGGCACATCCATCATACCTAAGGGGTGTGGATTCACGCTGCAGAATCGGGGGGCCAACTTCTCGTTGACTCCCGGACATCCGAACGTGTTGGCTCCACGCAAGCGACCCTATCATACCATTATCCCTGCAATGATCACTAATGTTTCCGACGGTTCCTTGCATTCGGTGTATGGTGTCATGGGAGGCTTTATGCAACCCCAAGGCCATGTCCAGGTTTTGCTCAATATGCTTGCATTCAACTACCATCCACAGGCAGCCCTCGACGCCCCTCGGGTCTGTATCGCGGCTGGCAGTGACGAGAAAATTGATCGAACAGTCTATGTCGAGGAAGGGATCAGCGATAAAGCTGTTGAGGGTCTCAAGGAGCTGGGCCATCAAGTCAAGGTGCTGACTGAATGGAAAAGGGGCATGTTCGGTCGAGGACAGATCATTCGCTGTCATTACGATGAAGGACAATTGATCTACAGCGCAGGCAGTGACCCGAGAGGTGACGGAATGGCAATCCCGGTGGTGTGAAATCGCACAAAGGCTACACCCTGATACGTGCCTGAAGACTCTGATTGGTCGATTCTTATACACACTACTTATGGGCGCGCACAATCAGAACGCAAGCACATACGTTTAGGAAAGAAGATTACAGAATATCCACTTATCAAGAAGAAGGTCATAATCATCATTTGCAACATACAGTCCAACGTTAAGATACACAACAGTATAACTGAAAGGGCTAAAATGCATGACAAGTAACCACGAATGCCCCAACCGCTGATGCATCAATTGAACCCTGTGCAATGAACAGGCAAAACACTGATAAATATAGGGGAAAGTAGGGACAAGTACAAAGAAGTAAGTAATATGTCATGTCGAAGGGGAAAGAAAGGGGGTTTTCCAACAAAGGAAATGAATGGGTAGGTAGATGGATTGTAGACGTCCGAGACTAAGGGGGAAAGGAAAGAGCACTCAGTGCGCAGCAACAGCCGCCTTGAAGAAATCTTTCAATTTGGAGACTCCGCTCGGAGGAGGCGACGGCTCACGACGTCGATGATGACGATGGCGATGTTCTCCGCTGCGATGGGAGCGGCGCTGTTCGGCCTCCTGCTCCCTCGCTCTTGCCTCTTTCTTGGCCCTTGCTTCCTCCTGTTCGGCTTTCTTGCGAAGCTCTCTGCGAGCTTCACGCCGAGCACGGGCTTCCGCATCGTCGTCGGGACGCGATCCCGATCCACCGGAGCGGTCACTGGTGCTCTTGCCCTCTTGCGACGAGCGGTGGCCTTGATGGGAGGGCCTTCTTGGACGGTCGTAGACGTTGGCAGCGGCTCTGGCCCCGTTAATCTTCAGGAGAGGTCCGTTGGTGTCAGACTGCCCTTCGGTCACGTATTTAAAGAAAGAGCGAGGCTTGGGCGCGGTTGCCTGCACGCTGGGGCGCGACGAGGAGCTGCTTTTTTGTTCGCCTTCCTGGCTGCCTGAGTGGTCAGAGCGTTGTCTGGACGATCGAGTTGGTGCGCTCTCCTTGCCGCTCGTCGAACGCTCGGAGTGCTCTGAGTTCCCGGATTTTCCAGATCGCTCGGAGCGTCGCGGACGTTCACGATCGCGATCGCGATCCCGTTCATCGCGGCCACGATCCCGATCGCGGCCCTGGTCACGATCGCGGTAACGGTCTCGGTCACGATCACGATCACGGTCTCGAGGGCGGTCACGATCACGGTCGCGATTGCGGTCCTGGTCACGATCCCGATCGCGATCCCTGTCTCGCTCTGACGAACGGCGCTCTTTGTCGACAACAACCACCTTTTGCTTCTGTTTCTCTCCATGTAATCTCCTGGATTCCTTGAGTGCTTCAGCCCATCGGCCGGTAATGCCGGCGCGTTCACTCTTCTGTCGTTGCATTGATCGGTATCCATCGGAAGAGCTTCTTGACTCTTTGCGCTCGTATTCGACATCGGGGGATTTTCTGTGTCTTCTGCGGGAGGAAGATGGCTGCATTACTGCAGCGGCGCCCCCTGCAATAGCCCCGGCGGCGGCTCCAGCTACGACTTCATCCTTGAAGGAACGAGTAGTGTCTGGTTCATCATCCGCGGGCTCTGCGCTCGGGTCATCTTCGTAAACTTCCCTTTCAACGACCGGTTCTTCCGCTGCAGGCTCCTCGATCGGTGCGGGTTCCTCGACAGCAGGTTCCTCAGCCGGAGCAGGTTCCTCAGCGGGTGCTGGTTCTTCCGCAGGTGTAGCCTCTTCGACTGGAGCAGGTTCCTCAGCAGGCTCCTCAGCAGGCTCCTCAGCAGGCTCCTCAGCAGCAGCTGGTTCTTCGGTAGGGGCGGGCTCTTCGGTGGGTGTTGGTTCATCTGCTGGAGCAGGTTCCTCCGCAGGTTCCTCCGCAGGTTCTTCCGTAGGTTCTTCCGTAGGTTCCTCAATAGTAACTGGTTCTTCGACAGGCGCGGCTTCCTCAGCGGGTGCAGGTTCGTCTTCCGGAGCGGGCTCTTCGGCGGGCGCAGGTTCGTCTTCAGCGGGAGCTTCCTCAACAGCAGCTGGCTCTTCGGGAGCGGGTTCCTCGACTGCAGGCTCTTCCGCTGGAGCTGGCTCGACTGGCGCAGCTTCTTCCTCAGGAGCAGCCTCCTTAGCCGGCTTTTCCTCAGGGGCAGGTTCCTCAGCAGCGGCGGGCTCCTCAGCGGGCGTTGGCTCGTCTTCCGGTGCTGGTTCTTCCGCAGGAGCAGGCTCTTCGGCCGGCGCAGGTTCTTCCTCGGGAATTGCTTCCTCAACAGGAGCAACCTCTTCGACTGGTGCAGGTTCTTCGACTGGTGCAGGTTCTTCGACTGGTGCAGGTTCTTCAACTGGTGCAGGTTCTTCAACTGGTGCATGGTCCTCGGCCGGAGTCACTTCTTCAGGAGTTGCATCTTCTTCGGGGGCAGCTTCTTCGGGAGCCGCCTCTTCGGGAGCTGGCTCTTCGACAGGTGCTGATTCCTCGGCGGCGGGCTCTTCGGCGGCGGGCTCTTCGGCGGCGGGCTCTTCGGCGGCAGGCTCTTCCGCAGCTGGTTCCTCTGGTGGAGCCTCAGCTGGCTCAGGATCTTCAGCGGCCGGAGCTTCTTCATGCGTTTCTTCAACAGGTTCCTCAATAGCCTCTTCAGCTGCAGGCTCCTTAGCAGGCTCCTCAGCAGGGGCAGGCTCTTCAGGTGCAGCTTCAGTAGCTGGTTCCTCAGGAGAAGGCTCTTCCTCAGCAGGTGCTTCTTCTGCAGGAGTTTCTTCTGCGGGCACTTCTTCTGCAGGAATTTCTTCGGCAGGTGCTTCTTCGGCAGGTACTTCTTCGGCAGGTGCTTCTTCGGCAGGTGCTTCTTCGGCAGGTACTTCTTCGGCAGGCGTTTCTTCTGCGGGTGCTTCAGCCTCAGGGGCAGCTTCCTCAGGAGCAGCTTCTTCCACTGCAGGTTCTGCGTCCGGAGCTTCCTCGGTTGGCGGTTCCTCTACAGCTGGCTCCTCAGTCGTAGTTTGCTCCGTAGCAGGTGTTTCATCAGTCGCATCCGCACCTTCCTCAGCCGGCGTTTCTTCACTAGGTGCCTCTGCTGCCTCTGCTGCCTCTGCTGCCTCGGGTTCCTCATCGGCAGCTGGGGCTTCTGCCTCAGGCTCACCCGCGGGTTCGTCGGCAGCAGCCTCTCCAGCTGGAGTGTCTGCGTCGGCGCTCTCACCTGCGGGTTCGTCCACGGGCGCAGATTCCTCGGCAGGAATTTCAGCAGGTGCATCCTCTGTAGCTTCTTCGGCTGCTTCAGGCTGTGTAGCCTCTTCGGGCGAAGCCTCTTCGGCGACGTCGGCTGCTTCTTCTTCTTCTGCAGCAGCTGGCTCACTGTCAGGTTGAGGCTCTGCAGCTGACTCTTCGACCGGTTCTGGCGCACTTTCTTCTACGGGTGTCTCGTCCGCAGTTTCTGTAGTTTCGGGTTCGGCTTCAGCTTCAGGCTCTGGGCCCGCAGCTGGCTCTTCTGCACCCGCATCACCGCTTCCATCCGCACCCGCGTCGTCGGAATTTGAGGCATCATCGCCATTCGGAGGCGCGTCACCCTCTTCCTGATTTTCGGCCGGAGGCTCTGCTGCGGCGTCGGGCTCGGCATTGTCGCCGTCGATATCAATGAGGTCTTCGGTCACTGCTGGCGGTTCGTCTTCCGGCGCGGCGTCCGCGGCCTCTTGCTTCGTGGCTTCTTCCTTTTCGGCTTCGACTTGGTCTTGTTCTGCTGTAGGATCGCACTCTGGAAAGTCGTCCTCGGAGTGTAAGGTCAGCTGACTTTGGGAACTATCAAAGATTGTAGGCGTACCATCGGTGGGGGTTTCATTGTTCTCCTCCGGTGGCGTGACACCTGCATCTGCCGGGGCGGCTTCTTCGGCCTGTTCCGGCTCTACGTCTGGAGCCGCGTCTTCCGCAGGTTGGTCACTTGGAGCGCCATCCTCGGGTGCGGGTGCGGACACCTCTGCTTCTGGAGCAGGACTCTCGCCTTCCTCCTTTGGTCCCGTATCGTTGGGGGCTTCTTCACCCTCGTCCGCTGGCGGTGTTGTGGCTTCGGATGTGTCTTGTAACGTTAGTATGTATGCTAAAATAAGATGTGTAAAGCGGGACAAGCATCGAAAAGGGAAGGGTATCACAAACCTTCAGTCTCAGGAGACGATGTACTGTCAGCAGGGGTACTACTTGATCCATCTTCCGGAGCACTCTCGGGGGCAGGGTCTGTCTGTGGCTCGACGGGGTTGTTGTTGTCCTGATCCTTAGGCGGCGTCAGATGATCCGCAGATGAAGATGAAGGATTGACAGGGTAATATGAAAATTTAAAAGTTTGACGGTCGAAGGTCTGATAATGACGCTCGAAAGTCTGGTACTCAAATTTGGGAAGTTGTGCATACTGGGTCGGTAGTTGGTCCATCTTCTCCGACATCCACCGCGCCTTCCGGGGCCGGATCAGGAGAGGAGATGTGCTCTTTGGAGGATTGATTGTCGTTTACCGGGAGTCGTTGCTTATTATTGCTGTTCTTCTTCTTGCCTCCCTTCTTATTCTTACCCATGGCATCGGATCAGTGGCGTTTTTCGTGGAATCTGATGACCGGTTTCGAGGTGGGTGTGACAGGCGAATATAAATCCGGTGCAGAATTATGACATATGCCTGTCAGGTTCTAGACAGGGCGTAGAAGACAGGGGGAGGGCGAATCGCGAAAAGAACCCAAAGAAAATAGGGGGGGGGGGGGGGGGGCAACGCAAGAGAAAGGGGTGTGAAACGAGGGGAGCCTGTGTGCATGTCGGGTTTAAGCAAACGCAGCGGCATGAGAGGCTGGAGGGAGCAGGGAGACTACAGCATAGGCCCGACTATGCGCCAACGACAGAGTGGTTCCTCTCGCGGACCAAGGCGAGGCGACGTATCGTATGTAGCTCACCCGGCTACCCAGTGGTATGGAACAATGGCCCAGGAGTGGTTTGGGGTTGGGGCTGGGGACGTCATGGACGAACAGCCCAACGGCATCGGATCTCATTGGGCCACGTCTCACGGGCCATGGGCCCTCGCGGACGGACATAGAAAGAGGGTCCTCTTCCGGAAGCATCACTGGGGCAAGGGGGCAAGCCGGCGGAGAGCCATCTGCAGACGAAGCCTGCAGTAGCAAGTGATGGTGGCGGGGGGGATGGGGGAGGAGTGCGGCCCAGATAGGATAGCAAGCCCTCAGGGAATTGGGTGCTTCGTTAGGGTGTCTCATTAGTGTGGTGGGTGGGGGTGGTGCCACAGCCCACAGCCCACAGCCCACAGGTCCATCGGGATGGGATGCCCTGGTAAGTTTTGACACTGGTTGCCTTTGCCTTCTGGACGCCTGGAGGATGCAAATAGATCCAATGCACTGGGAATAAACAGGCAGGTACTTTGTGCATCGACAGTCGGACTCGATCGAGCCAAGGTCACTGGCAGCAGAGACCCGCGCCTCGACGATGCACGGTCAACTGATTGATCTCCGGGCCGGCAACCAAACACAGCCAATTAAGCCTGCATCTGACCCCAGGGAAGGCGTAAAGCCATCCGAAGTAAAAAAGTCCGACTATAGGAGAATTGGAGGCCGTGGTTACGCCGAGTTGGTGATTGCGTCCATCACCGACATGGTTAGTTAGCATCAGCAGCAGCAGCACATGCTGGATTATTCATGCCCAACGAGGGTTGCGGCGGTGGGTGTAAGTAGATTATTGGACTGGCTGCATGGTCCGTGGAGAGACGACGGGGTCCCTGGCCAGGAAAAAGAACTAGCTAGCTAGGGGTTTTGGGTGTAACTCGGTGACACTGCTCTGTCGAGGCATCGCATCACCATCATTTGCCGATGAGATGGGCGGATGAGGGCAGATGGAGATCGCATCTGGCCCAGTCAGCCCGAATCGAGATCGGGGAAGCCATCGCCAATGGTGATCCATTATTCTCATCGTGAGAGGCAATAACGATGAAAGGGAAGAGGGGAGAGAGAGAGGGGGAGAGAGAGAGAGAGAGAGAGAGTCTGTTGATTCCCCACCGGCCACTTCACCCGCCGCAGATCACTTGACTGCCCAACCGGGCCTAGCGGATCCCGCCAGGTACTGCGTATTGTAATCTGTCCGTATTGTCCTTTCCATCTCTTCCATCCTCATCCTCCTTTCCTCTGCCTCCTCAACCTCTCCCCAGACAGAGTCCAAGCAAATCGAATATCCCCCGATCCTGGCGATCTACCTCACAGCTGAAATCCAATCCCAATGCTTGGAAACCACCGTCCCCTCCCATTCAATGCCCTCCAAGACCCGACCCGACCCAGAGACGCACGGCGGTGGGAAGATGACGGACCGTCGCATCCACCGACCCCCCAAGTGAGGCGCGTTGGCTGCTGCTTTGGCAGTCGGTGAGTGGCTGGCCATCCCGAATCCTCCCCATCCAGACTCGGGCCTGTTGAGGACTCTCCAGCCCCGAGTCTGATTATCTACGGAGTACGGAGAGATGCGAGCTACTGCCCAGCCTGCGTGTGCGTGTGCGTGTGCGTGTGCGTGTGCGGTGCGGTGCGTCCAGTTGACAGCTCCCCTGCGCGCGCCGTCCAAGGGGCCAACAAACGAGGACTGTTTTCCCCTGTCCCTCCTCGTTGGGTCTCTGGCAACAACTCTCCACGTCACGGAATCGAATCGAATCTCTATCTCTCTCCCGACTCTCGTGGACTGACGCTGCTGGAAGGAAGGGTGTCCATCTCAGATACACATACAGATACAGCTTACTAGATCTTTCTATTGCCAGCACAGCACGGCAGTCATCGGCGAATGTTGCGCGGCAGGCAGATCACACTCACCCACTCCCTGCCACACCACACACATCCTATAGGCGCTAAGTAACTACTGACAACCTATGGGGTACTTGCGGAGTAACTGGGTATGTAGTCGCCTGTCTATCTACCCATCTGTGTACCGACCTGTGTACCGACCTGTCTACCTACCTACCTACCTGGCATACGCAACGCGCCCAAAGTACTCAGACAGACAGGCAGACAGAGAAAACAAAGTCATACCTTACTAGATGTTCTGTACCATGTCCATCTGTCGTACAACCTTACTACAGCCAGCTAGCTACCAGCTACCAGCTACCTACCTCGAAACCCGAATAACAATGACATCCTCGACAGCTTCAGTTTCTCACACACTCCGTACCCTAGTTACCCAAAAACAACCCCGGCCAATAAGAAACAACCATCCACCAATATCAGTGGTCACTGTCCCCCCATCCCACGCTGGGCAAAACGCAACGGGCCGGAAATGGGCCCTACCAACCTACCACCAACCTACCAGCCTACCCTAGTAACGCTACCTACCCTAGAAACCTACCCTGACGCCTCTCTTCTCCTCCCTGCCCTCCCCTCCCCTGCCCTCCCCCACGCATTTCTATATCTAGTAACCTTGCGTGACAGCGGACAGTGGCAACAAGGCATCACCACCCCTACCCCTGCTGATAATTGATAATCATGAGATCCATATCCAACTCCCATCTAAATCCCATCTACGGAGTACCCTGTAAACCACCACACCCCATCCTCTGCTATGCACATTACCTAAGTAACCACATACATAGTTACTCACATCTCATCTCCCATACACAGCACTGTAGATACCTCAGCAATGGTCCGGTCCGTGTGTCTGTGATATATATTCCGTACCTATGTATCATGATGTACCTATGTATGTGTATGCATGTATCCGCTTCGATCCGGCCGGCCGGTCGGTACTGTTAGCTCTTTCTTTCTCTCTCTCTCTCACACACACTCTCTCTCTCGGTCTCTCCCTCTCGGTTTCTCTTTGTAGGTACTTACTCCCTACCTTTTCCACTGACCTGCATCGCATAATATCACATTGACATTCACATCGCATACTCGTCTAGTAGATAGATATACGTGTACATGTACTCCGTGGCGCGGTAGGAGAATTCCCTCTTCCTCTTCCTCTTCCTCTTTCTTTCTCTCTCCTCCCTCGCCCTCTCCCTCTACTGGTCTATTGATTGGTCTACTGCTCTGCTGCTCTGCTGCTCTACCGTGTAAGAAAATACGGAGTGCTTCGTAGGTACCGTGGGGGAGTCGTATTTGTACATGTCATTCATGCATTGATGTTGGGTTCCATCTGTCACTTCATCTGTCATCTGTCATCTGGCGTTTGCGTTTGGTGGTGGTGGTAGTACCTGACATGACATCCGGAAGATTATAGGCAGTCTAGGCTTTAGGCTGTAGGCTGTATGGTAGGTAGGCTGCTGTATGCTGGGTCAGGTAGGAAGATAGTATAATCAGAAATGGAAATGACAGCCGGGCTGTCGGACACTCCGTTACATTATGATATGGTCTGCTTGGGTGTCTACTCTAATGCAAACCGCATTACAGAAATTTAGGGTGCTGACGTGAAGCAAAACCCCTTGAGGCCCCCAATTATCACTCTCACGCCAGCTCTTTCTGTCGGGGCTGAATCTTCAGGGCTGCATCTTCTATCGCTGGCACTACGGATCAGGCATTTTGCCACAGCCAGCAGAGCACCTGGCATTTCTTAGGCTCTCATTTATCCTAAAAATACCACTAATCGTAATCATCTTTTGGGTATTCCCGAGTCGTAATGCTTTTGAAGACGTCGAATCGTCCAGACTTGCCACTCAGCTGTTCGAGAACATGAAAGACACCGGCACCCCCGCGAAGGAAAATCGCACCAAACAGAGCAGGACAAGAAAAAAGGGTATATGCAAGCGTCTACTATGATCTTGACCATGCGTAACCATCACCAACAGAACCAAGCCCCAAAACCAGCTTTGGGTACCCAATACGGCGCTACGGGCGTCTCGCAGATGACACATGACAGGGTCGACAGGAAAGGTCACTCCCTCAGGGCGTCCATGGACTTTCGCCATCGGGGGCCGTACACTTTCATCACGAAGAGAACGGAGCTGCTTGCAAAAGCAACCAGTCCGAGGATGGTGAAAAGCCAGCCGTTGCCAATCGCGTCGATGATTGGGGCCGTGACCACAGATCCCACACACGAGAAGATGTTTCGCATGAAGTTGTTCAACGCAACACCGGCGGAGGACCTCTTGGGCATGAACTCGGTCAGCATCGTCGTCGCCATGCCGAAAATGAGCATGGATCCGACGCCAAAGAAGAAGTTTGCGATCATCTGTGAATGTCAGTCCGAGCCATAAATCCGGAAGATATCCAGGTGAAGAGTCGCCAAAACATACCGGGGCAAGCCAAAATACACCCCGATCCGCGCACCAGCCATACCAAATCAGCCCAGCAGGGTAGAGAACGGCTCCCAGCCAGGCATTCTCACGCATCCGGTCTTCCGGGCGGTAGATGAGTCTGCCGTGTTCGTCATATCGGTTGGCCTTTTTGGCCTCCCGTTGCATGATCTTGTCCATCCAGCGGCCTCCAAAGCTGCTCGCAACCACATAGCCCAAGGAGTTTGGTATATACATGAGGCCGACAATGATCGTGCTGAAGTTATACGGGCTACTCCCGAACGTACGCTCGACACTGACATTTAGCACATACAGAGACCCGAACGTGATGCTGGCGTAGTACACCGTCAACAGGACCGGAGGATAGCGCAGGTAAAGAATGATTTTCAAAGGATCGATAAGAACCATTTTGAGCACCTTGAGCCATCTGGTGGTGAACTGGACAACCTGCCGAGAGGAAACACGACTCTGCTGACGCTGAAGTGGTTCCTGATGCTCATCCTTCTCTCGGGTCTGGAACTTTGGAGCTGCGAGGGTCTCCGGAAGCGCGAAAAGGATAAACACAACAGTGAGGCCTCCATACGCCGCCAAAAACCACAGGGTGCTTCGCCACTTCCATCGTTCGGCCAACGCGCCACCCACAATCGGCGCTATCAGGGGTCCACATAGCGGGCCTAGGTAGAAGATGTTCATGGCCCGTCCTCTTTCGTGCGGGTCCCAGAGATCCGCGATGGTTCCGGCGCCCACGGCCTGGACTGATGCAGACGCGCCCCCGCTCAACATCCGGAGCACAATCAGCATAGCTATGGAGCTGGATATCGCACAGAGGGAGTTAAAGAGAACGAAGAGACTAAAAGAAACGAGGTAGATCGTCCGTCGCCCGAGTCGTTCACTGAACGATGACCACCACAGTGGGAATATGGACATACTAAGCATGTACAGTGATATCGTTAAGTTCGTGATGGTTGTTGACGTGCCCAGATCCTTTGTTACCTGAGAGAGCGAGGCTGATGCTGTGGTAAGCGGTAGAGATTGGCCATGTTGGGGATGGCAGACTTACGGAAGAAGATTGAGCTGCCCATCGGAGCGGCCGCGCCTGCCACGGCGACGACAAATGTGATGAACCACTTCGTTTTGCGAGGATAGACCTTGGGGTTTTCGACCTCTTCTAGCAGCGTGAGCTGACCGAACAGCCCCCTCCGTTTCAGTCGCGGCACCACGACCGGTAGTTGTTGCTCCTCGCGCGAGTAGATGGACGATGAAACTTGGGCCTCCTCATCCTTCCCTTCCATGACCGGAGGGTCATCCGAGTCCTGGGATAGCGAGTCATGATTGTGCTTGAGGTCCGTCATTGGGCCTGTCGATCGCGTTGTTTGACGAAGGTCGTGCTCAGTCAGAGGGGCCTCGATGACTTCCGGTTCGGGAAGGCCATTCTCCTGCCCAGTAGAAGCCGTCATCTCCAGTATAGATCGCTCCAACGAGATCCTCTCCGTATGGGGTTAAACGGCGCGATAGGCCTGGCTCAACCCGGGCCACAGTGAAGGTCCCGACGAAGCAAAAGAAGGTGGATGAAGGATGGGAATACCATGCGCTAAAAGGCCTCGCAGGCGGTGGGGATGGGTATGAGTCAGGGATAAGCTGATGCAGAGAATGGAATATGATGGGGTATGAGATACTGTGGGCCCACTGCTAAGCATTGGAATTATTCACAATGATAGGTAGATATGGAGGAAGAGAGAGAGGGAGAGAGAGAGAGAGAGAGAGGGAGAAAGGAAAGACTGAGGAGAAGGCCTGTTATCGGGGGTCCCTGGCCCCTCCCAATTAGGCAGGTATTCGCAACCCCACCTTCCCTGTCGTTGCACATGCAGCCATTGGGTGTTGGTCCCAGGGCACTAGTCCAGGGAATTAATTCCTATCAATATCAGCAGCAGCAGGCTAGCTTCCGAGAGAGGGTCTCCTAGCCATTGATTCTCGGGGGGTTGGGGGAGGGGGAGGGGTTTGATTTGGTTTATGATTATATGGTGAGTTTTTCTTTTTTTTTCTTTCTTTCTTTCTTTCTTTCTGGTTGCTCAGTGCTCATGGCTGACTGGGATAGTTCTTCTGCGCGTTGCATCCGTCGATGCGTCCGGCGTGGGCTCTCCGACACACCCCGCGGGAACCTGATCTGTATGGAATGGCTAATAACCTAGTGTTGATTGGGCGCGTATCTACGCGCTCCTCTATGTCTGCTTGGTGAGCGCATTGTAATGCTCCCCAAGCCCGTATGTATGTCTATAGTATGCCAACCAGATGACCCGCTTGCCTCCCTCTTCGTCGCTGGGCTCATCGGTCTCGTCTGGCTCGATCTTTTCGATCCGCCCATCGCCCTGGATCACGTTGATCTCCACGCCATATGCCCGTGCAATCGCCTGTAGCTCGAGTTGTCCGCCCCATTCCGCCGTCAGCTTGACCTTCCGCGTGTACCGGTCCACGGGCTCCTCCATGAACGGCTCGAAATCCTCCTTGTGGTCGCTGATGAAATCCGCCGCCACCGCCCGAACCGCCCGGTAGCCATCGTGCTTGGGCGAGGCGACCGTATCCACGCGCGACTGGGTAGGCCCCTGGAGGACCATGCGCTTCGGGTCGGGTTTCAGCCCGATCCCCTGCTCGTCCAGCTGGCACGCGATGGCCGAGAAAAGACAGTGTCCATCAGGGTTTATCTCCACCTCCTTCAGCTGCAGCCGCTTGAACACGCCGTCCATGACCTCCTTCTCGTTCCCACGGTGGTCCGTTTGCTGTGCGGCCTCCTGCGCGGCGATCTCCGCCTGGGCTGCTTGCTCGGCCGCCCGACGCGCGAGACGAGCTTTCTGGCGATTGGGTTTCTTGGCACGAGAGCCGGAGGATTGCGACGAGTCGTCGGAGGGGGTGTTTTGCGACGGCGTGGTATCGGGTGTATATGTAGGTGTAGGTTGTTGTTGTTGTTGGTTTGCGGTGGCAGGGTCGTCCGCGTCCGCGTCCCCATTGGGTTCGTGGAGACTGAGGTCTTCGAGGCCGTCGACGGGATCGGATTCGCCGTTCAGCTGTGCGATCTCAGCCTGCTGCCGATCGGTGAGGTCTCTTTGCCATCGCTCGCACTCGTCATTGACGCCCTTGCGGGTTTTCTTGGTGGCGGACTTCTTCTTCTGCGTGATTCGGCCCTGGAGCTCTTTTTGCTCCTTGCGGTGCTTGGCTAATAGCTCCTCCATGGTGTGGTGGGGATGTGGTGTGTAATGGATATTAATAGTTCTAGCAGATATGAACAAGATATGTATTCACAGAATATACGGGGGGGGGAGAATGTGAAATGTGAAGGAGGGTATCGTGGCTAAGTATGTATGGACTGGGAACAAGTTGAGTTGCCCCGCCACAGCCTGGGGACTTTTTTCGAGCGAGTCGTCGGGGCTCCGATCGGCTAACCAGCAGATTCAAGCCCTCCTGCGACGGATACCTCAGGCAGCGATACCCCATGCTTGTGGGGGTGGTCCGATCAGAGAGAACGAGGGACGGACTCCGCATCAGCGCATCAGCCAAAGAAAGTCACACGGTCTCTTCTTTGACTAAGTCAGTTTAAGATTTAAGATTCGCAGCTGGTCTTGGTCTGGCCTGTTTGCCACGGTGATGCTCGACCCGCGCATCATAGTTGATCCGGCCCGCCAGCCTCGGCATCGTCTGCCAAGCGGCGCAGCGCCGGCTGTTCGGGTACCCCCCGACATCTACTTTTGTATGTAAGGGGTCCCCCCATCTTTGGATGGAGATATCTTTCTCTCTCCCAACCATTCCATCTAAACAAATAATCCCACCTCCCTCCCCAACTCCAAATCCTAACCACTACCATGGACGTGCAGAAGCTTTTCGACGTTAAGGTTAGTTGTACAACAGTCAATGCGATGCGTAGACCCCGCCGTAGCCCACCCAGCCATCCCATCATCGCCATCCAACATCCAACCTAACCATATATATCTCCAGGGCAAAGTGGTGCTGGTCACCGGCGGCGCCAAAGGCATCGGGCGGATGATCTCCGAGGGCTTCGTGACCAACGGCGCGACGGTGTACATCTCATCGCGAGACGCGAAAGCATGCGACAAGGCGGTCGACGAGCTCAACGCCCTCGGCACGGGCAAGGCCCATGCCATCCCGGCCAATTTCTACCAGGAGGAGGAGTGCAAGCGACTCGCCGAGGAGATCGCCAAGCGCGAAGATAGTAAGTGCTCTCTGCCTCTGCCACCCCCCTACTTGCGAAAAACGTCAGGCGGGATCTAAAGCATGAGCATATATGCATGATTAATACTGACGATCATAGAACTGCACATCCTGGTCAACAACTCCGGCTCCAACTGGGGTGCACCCTACGACGAATACCCCTCCGCGGCCTGGACGCGGGTCCTCACGCTCAACCTGCACCGCGTCTTCGATCTCACCAAGCTGCTCACCCCGCTGCTGGAGAATGCCGGGTCGGCGGGCGATCCGGCCCGCATCATCAATATCGGGAGCGTCGACGGGCTGAGAGTGCCGGCGCTGGAGACGTTCGCCTACAGTGCCAGTAAAGCCGGGCTGCACCATCTGAGTCGCGTCTTGGCGTATCATCTCGGGAAGCGGAATATCACGTATGTTTATGTTTCTGTAATTCGCCGTGTTGGCATCGAGATCCGGAAGTGTGGCTGATCGTTGGTTGATTGTCTGACTCTAGGTCGAATTCGTTGGCGTGCGGCCCGTTCGAGAGTAAGATGATGGCTGCCACCCTGAAGTCCAACCGCGAGGTCATCGAGAGCAATATCCCGTTGGGTCGCATCGGGACGCCCCAGGATGTCGCGGGCGCGTGCTTGTTCCTGGGTAGTCGGGCGGGGTCGTATATCAATGGGGCGACGATCACGGTGGATGGGGGGAGTGTGATTAATGCGAAGCTGTAGGCTGGATGTGCGTGTATTTTCTTGGGGAAAGAAAGGCATGGTAGTGTTTTTGTTAATATGGATCGGAATGACTTGACAGCCATTAGCATCTGAATCTGCTATTTTTTTTTTTTTTTGGTCGAGGGCATCCTCGTAGGCCAGAAGAAGCATGTCACGGTGGGTTCCCTAGTTCCGGATGCAGCGACACTTGGCCGACTATTGATTTTAGTCTACGCTTATTTGTTCTGACATGTCTCTGGAATGTATTCGGGGCTTTTTGATTAACTTGGCTTTTACATCTGATCGATCTACACCGCAGTGGATCTGCAGATTCTCATCATGCAAGGGTGTTTGTTGCATGTGTAATTCCAAAAAAAAAAGATCAACCGATGGCCGTGGTCGTGGTATGGAACAGAAGCATATCATTCCCTTGGAGCTCTTTGCGAGTCCGGAAGATGTCTTCAGGAAGATGTGAGTGATAATGAAAGACGGAGGTCGGGGATCGGGGGTCGGAATAGCAGCACACCACCCGACCCTCAACCCTCAACAGGGTTTAACCTTCGCATGTGAAGGAATTGAGCTTCTGGTGGACTATTGAGACGGTTCGTACCTCGAAGTGGGTTTGCCATCTCCCTGGAACGCTGGTTCCCCATTACCGTCCATCCCGCGGGGGAAGAGGGCAGTGGTAGAGAGTGGCCTCGACGACAGTCGACAGAACATCCCATGTCGGAGGTCGGAGATAGCGGTTGCAATCCAGCTGCGCATGAAGACGCTGCGTCAGGAGGCTATAAACCGCTGCAAAGTACAGGGACAAGCTTCATCGGACTCCAACCATGTTCAAATCACTTGCCGCGATTGCCCTCGGGGCTTCCCTGGTAGGCGCCCAGTCGCCGCCGGGATACATCCCCTCGTCGAACAACTACCTCGGCGTCGACTTTCAACTCTGTCATCGTCAGCCCCGGCCACTTGGTCAACGCGTCGCGTATGTCCCCTCCTATCACTCCCCTGCTCCCCCAGGACGGATCCGATCTGACGGAGATCATCATATGTGCATTATCAGTGCCTCGACTAGAAAGTGACCAGACACGGACACCCAGATGGGTGTGATGGTGCTAAACAGACAGCTCGGGAGTAGTACTCAGCCATGTGTGTGAGCAGGGATGTGACCAGGGATATGGTGTTGACAGAAATTGCCTCCGATGAGAGCGGAGTGCAGGGATTGCCGCTGCAGAAGCTACCCGCAAGCAGCGTAGCTTGCGAGAAGTGGGGCTGGTCAGCGACACAAAATAAAGTATCTATCTATCTATCTGGCTGGCGGGCGCAGTGATCTGCCGCCACCAAAAGCTGGGTCCTCCAACCATGGGAGCCGTGGCGATGAATGCCATCATCCTGACTGACCGAGGCAAGGGGAGGTGAGGGGAAGGCATGTCTGTACTCCGTTCTCCGTACATTATTGCATTTTCCATTCGGGGGATTTCCTGCGGTCGCAAGAATTGCCCTTGGAACCCGTGGTTCGGACTCGTGTTTGTGTTCTACTACCCTCTAACTACTTGTCTGGCAAGAGAGAGACCCCGCTGGCGACACGAGCCCTCCAAAGTGTTACCTTACCCTAATCAACAACCCCGTGCGTCGGTCAGGGGTTTCTCTCCGTTCTCTCCAACTCTCATCCTTAACGGTCGCCTTTAAGATTACATTCCCCCCCCCCCTATCTTTTTCTCCCTCTCTCGATCTGTCGAATCCCTCCTTTCTTCCTTTACTTTATTTTCCGCCCCCTCAAAATCCCTGCAATTAATCTGCACGCCCATTCCTTCTCCTTCTCCCCCCCCCCCCCACCACCCGCACTTATTGCTGACATCCTCCACTCCCTCCACATCATCATGGGCGCCATCGAAATCCCCCCCATCCAATATACGCCCGTCGAAGATGTCGCCGCCCGCGTCGCCCGCGTCCGCCAGACCTTCCACGAACACACCACTCGCGATGTCGAATACCGCCTGGTCCAGCTCCGCAAACTTTACTGGGCGTAAGTGTCCCTGGCGGAAATGTCTCCCGCGTCGCATGGCTGACCACCGACAGGATCAAGGACCATGCCGAGGAGATGCACGAGGCCCTGCGCCTGGACCTGCACAAGCCCCTGTTCGAGTCGGAGATGTCGGAGAGCCATTGGATGATGAACGACATCGTCTACATCTGTCGCAATTTGCACAAATGGGTCCAGGATGAGAAGGCCGAGGACATCGACCTCTCGCTCCGACTCACCAACCCCGTCATCCGGAAGGATCCCCTCGGGTGCGTGCTGGTCATCGGGTAAGTGTCCCTCGCCCCCTTTATCGCTTGTCCAGCATAACGGCCGCTAACGACGGGCCAGTGCGTTCAACTTCCCCTTCCAGTTGACCCTGGGCCCCGTGGCCGGCGCCATCGCCGCCGGCAACACCGTCGTCATCAAGCCCAGCGAGAAGCCCACCCACTGCGCCGTGGTGATGCAGCGCATCGTCGAGGCCGCCCTCGACCCCGCCGCCTACACCATCGTCCAGGGCAGCATCCCCCAGACCCAGGCCCTGCTCGCCGAGCGCTGGGACAAGATCTTCTTCACCGGCAGCGCCAACGTCGGGCGCATCGTCGCCAAGGCCGCCGCGCCGCATCTCACCCCCGTCGTGCTGGAGCTGGGCGGCATCAACCCGGCCATCGTCACCAAGCATGCCGACCCCCGCCTGGTCGCCCGCAGAATGCTCTGGGCCAAGCTGATGAACTCCGGCCAGCTGTGCACGTCGCAGAACTACCTGCTCGTCGAGCGCTCGATGGTCGATTCCGTCGTGGACGAGTTCGACAAGGCCTACAAGGAGTTCTACCCCCAGGGCGCCAAGGGCTCCGACGACTACTCGCGCATCATCGACCTCGATGCCTTCCACCGCATCAAGGGCATGCTAGACAGCACCCAGGGCAAGATCGTCGTGGGAGGCACCATGGATGAAAAGGAGCTCTTCATTGAGCCCACCGTCATCGTGCTGGACTCCGCCGACGACGCCCTGATGACGCAGGAGAGCTTTGCCCCGCTGCTCCCCATCCTCCCGGTCGACAGCGTCGACGAGGCCATCAAGATCGCCAACGGCATCCAGTCCACCCCGCTGGGTCTGTACCCGTTCGCCTCCAAGGCGGAAACCGACCAGAGTATGTTCCCTCCCCTGTCACTACTATCACACAGACCTAACCAACCCCCCCTCCAGTCATCTCCCAAACCCGCTCCGGAGGCGTGGCCATCAACGACGCCGCTCTGCACATCCCGACGCTGCAGTTCGGCGGTGTTGGCGAGAGTGGCCAGGGCGCGTACCGCGGCAAGGCCAGTTTCGACGTCTGGGTGCACCGCCGTACCATCACCACCAGCCCGGGCTGGATGGAGACGTTCCTCAACATCCGGTACCCGCCGTACGGCAACAAGATCGAACTGTACAAGAAGGCGACCGTCCTGGCGCCCGACTTCGACCGCAGCGGAAAGAAGCTCCCCCTCGGCTGGCTCCGGTACATGCTTACTGTGGGCGGCGGTACCCCCAAGTCCGGTGCTGCGCGCGCCACGGTCATTGCTGCTGGTGAGTGATTTCCTGTTTGATATCTCTCTTCCACCCTCCCCCCCCCCCCCCTTTTTTTTAATCCCTTGTGGGCTCGCGCACGGTGCTTGATATGTCAGACTTACTGTCCGTCGATCGACAGACCAGAGTGAAGGTGAAGTCCATGATGCAGCATCGGCTTAATGCTTCCGATCTTTTTCTTCCACGACACCCTTTCCTCTTTTTTTCTTTTTTTCAATTTTCTTACGACACCATGTCTATTTCATCTCTCTATCGTCTTTATTTAGACAGAATGGTTTTGATCTGGATATCTGCTCACCATCTCCCAGTTGCTTATATTCTGCGCCATGTGCTCGAGCGCCGGTCCTCGAAGCTGTGAGTTACGCAAGCAAGTAATGTGTATTTCTAGTTTTTTCTTTTACTACAATATCCGTCAATTTTTTACCTTTACTTTCACTTTTGATGTACTGGGATGGCTACATAAGTTGCTACTTAGTTGGTGTTGATTGATGGGATGTTCGAGTGGTTCTACATGTTACCCACGGGGTGGTGGTCTGGTGCAGGCAGGCAGGTAGGTATAGTAGGTAGGTAGTAGGAAAGGTGAACATCCGAAGCAGTTCAGTTCATTCAACGCATTGCATCAATCGTATGGGGTCTGAACTAGGTAGGTGGGGAGATATCTAGATGGAGACGAAGATAGTAAGCAGTAGAAGAATCTACTAGTAGTATAGTATGTAGTAAATGTGGGTAGATGCAACCGCGTTACCGCTGTCTGTCGCGGATGTTACCGCTCGAGACGATGTGATGTTACCGCTGCGTTATGCGGGGAGTGATCTGTCATGTTACCGCTCTGTAGTTACAGAGTACGTATGGGGTCAAGATGTTTCCTCACCAACTCCTTCTCCTCCTCCCACTCCCGCTCCCTCCTTGTTCTTCATTTTCTTTTCCATTCCATTGTTATTAGTGCCACCGACGATGTTACCGCTGCTGCAAGTATATGACCGCTGCTTAATTGTCACCACGTGCAAAATGCAAAGATATCACCGCTCTTCTTTTACAAACATATACTATATATAATCATATCACCGCTGAACAAGCGGATAAACCTCCCGCCCACCCCCTACAAATAAGCATAACAAAACAACCCCCCCGAGGTACTCATCAACTCGCTCATCCTCCTCGTCTCCCCCGCTCTCACATACCCCACGTCTACCACCGACTCCAACGTGGTATTCGCCGACGGCGGCTCATTCATAAACGTGCCCGTCCCCGAGATCTCCTTCTCCCTGCTCTGGCGATCCAAACTCTGCCAGATCCACCACACCCGATCGATCATGCCATGGTGATGCCAGAACGCCACGTCGCCGGGACTGACGAACACGTCTCGCCCCGGATCCCCGCCCATGGCGTAATGCCCGCCGCCGTGGACGCCGATGGACCCGCTGCCGGGGACGCCCTGCATGGTCATCTCGAAGGTCCAGACGTCGGGGCTGTCGGTGATCAGGGAGAGGATCTGCGGGTAGGTGTTGTACCGCGAGAGGATGGCGGTGGTGAGGTCGCGCTTCAGACAGCGCGGGTTGTGGGCCAGCGGGTTGGCGGCGCTGAAGGTGCTGTTGGCCCCCGGGAGGGACAGCGCCGCCGGCCCCAGGTTGAGGGTGTAGTTCCGGAAGGGCCCGCTGGTGACGCAGCCCCCGCCGGTGCCTGCGGGGAGGACAATCGCTGGGTAGTTACCCAGGAAGAGCGAGATCGGGGGCTCGTTGGCGATCGGCGCCCCGTTGCCCGACATCGACGTTGCCGTGCCGTCGAACACCGGGGACGTTTCCATCGAGGAGGCGTCGGCGCCCCAGTCCCAGTATCTGGGGAAGAGTTAGCGGGTGGCGGTAGAAAGAAGAAGGAGGAGGAGGAGGAGGAGGAGACGTACGGGTAATCGCCCGTGTATCCGCATTCTTCGCGGAGGGATTGCTCGAACCGGTAGATGAAGTAGCGGTGCCACGCCAGGAAGGTGCCCTGTGGTGAGGATTAGGACGTGCGGGTCGTTAATGTGTGGGTATGATGGGTCTACCGTGTAGTGAATCTCCAAGGTCTGATTGATATGTGTCGCCACAAAGTCATCATACCGCGTCTTCGCCCCGGGGGCCAGCTCGGAGGGCGTGCGCGCGGGCCGACTCTGCAGACACAGCACCGAGTCGATGTAGGCTTTCTTCTCGGGCGTGGAGAAGGCCCGCCAGTTGCGGCGGATGCGCAGGGTCTCTCGCGTGCAGGGCCCCGAGCTGGGCAGGTTGGCGATCGTCTCGTTGTAGGCATGGCTGGCCAAGTGTGAGATCTGGGCTGCGGCTGCTGCGACAGCAGAGCTGGAGTCTGAGTCTGTTGTTGAGGCGGTGGGGATGGCACAGGCCTGCAGGGCGAGAAGACCCAGGGCTAATAACGTCTTGAGGACCATGATGCTCTCTCCAGTCACCGTGAGAGATGAACGAAAGCAGCGTGAATGACGGACAGGCGAGCGGATGAACGGAAATAGCCGTCAATTTAAATAAACATGTGAAGCAGATTGCAGACAGCCCCAGACACGGTGATATGAGAAGTAGCCCGCCAGCGGTCCATGCCGCTGGCGGACGGGGCCGGAGGACGAAGCCCTAACCCGGCCTGAACGTTTGGCCAAGCGCCCTCACTTGGATACGAGATGCAGGCCCATGGCTTCAACGGCGATGCGCTGTCTGTCGCCGGCCTTGCCTGTACTTGGCTGCTCCACCCTGGCCCAGACTCGACTTTCACCCATCCCGTGTCGGCTAATACTCGGGTCCGTGGGCGGATCGTCCTGCGTCGAGCCTATTGGGATCAGCCGGTTACTGCCCGGTTAAGTGGTGAGATCCTGGAGGGGAGGAGATCATCTGTCTGTGTCTGTGTCTGTTCCTGTCTCCTGAGACAGGAACAGACTCCTGCGGGTTAGCCCGTATCGGATTGCAGGACCCTGGCCCACCCTCCGATTCAGATTCACTCGATTACTTACAACTATCATGGTATAGTAGCATGATATCGGTCTGCTGGGATGCTTCCAACTCGCCAGGTCTACAACACCTACTAACACCGCAGAACATAACCCCACACGATCCCCTCGCGAGGCCCTCGTCAGAGCCACAAGCGACAACATAACCAGACCGAAGATTCGATACCAACTAAAACCAAAAAAAAAAAAAAAACCAACCACAACATCTTCGCCCTCATTCCATCCAGACAAGACAGAGTCCAAGCTCGCCTGGCAGCCACGATAACAGCGGAACCCCCACCAATGGCGAGAAAATGTTACGGTTGACGGAAGAGGTTTCCAAGTTTCCCACTCAAATCCCTCGGCAACCTCGCAGTCCCCATATTTGGGGCTTTTTTTTTTTTTTCATTCTTTTTTGACTTCGGCCCTTCGCATCCTCCATCCATGGTCCGTCCGTCTTCCTGGGCCGATCCATTGCGTTCCGCGGATCCGTCGATCGGCCGTGACCGTTGATCGTGGCCGTCCAACCTGGTTCCGGCAACAGAAATCGATCGGTCCGGATGATCATTACGATCATTATCGGTCAAAAGCCACATGGATTGTTGCAGGGGCTGGGATTGGTAAGTCTGATATCAGGTTTAATTTGGGGGAATTTGGGAGGGGGGGTTCGATCAGAGAACTTAATCACTTAATCGGTGTTACTAGGATGGTAGCAATGACTTCGCTATGGGTATTTGTAGGGGATGATTCATACTGGATGTCTAGTACGAAATACAAAAGTGGTGAATCATCCAAGGGAATAGGACGCAACCTCTCACGGGTGTCATGTATGCACCACTTTTTACATGCACAGAACCTCACCAGCCAGACTGTACCCTAGTGGTCAATCATGATGTGCGGATGCTACAATCCCGAGCTCCAACAGGATTCCCCCGAGGTTCTACCTTAATGTCCTGCTCGTTGTCAACGGCTGCAGTCGCCCCATTGGCCAGGTTCCTGTCCAGGGTTGAAGATGCCTGGGATCCGAATCCTTTTCCTCAGCACAGGGATCGCCAGAGTTGCATCCATCCATCCATCCATCCCTACCCCGTAACCCCTGGATGGCTGCGGCTTTTTCGCGAATCCTCAAGCCTGGACTTCTTGGCAGGATCCTGCGAGGAGCGAAGGATCTAGTGGGAGGACAGCGAAACATGGATTGTGATGAGGGTGAGGGTCGGTCAGGAGAATGCCATCGGTGCTCATGAATAAGTTGCCTCAGAGTCAGGGTTGATGTGTTGTGTGAAACGGTGATCGACCTCGGCTCCGGTGTTTTGGCGCTGGGTTTCCAGCAGGGCTTTGGTTTGATTTCGTAGAGTGTTGTTGGATGGGCAAATATACTAGTATCAAGCTTTGTCCCTGAATTAAATGATGGGCCACCCCTGCCCTATGTTATATCTTGTTGACCGTTCCTGCCTGGTCTCTCGGGAATATGACACTCGTGCGTGCATGCATGCATGGTCGATGCTTGATCTGCTACTACTCTTCCTCCTACTCCTACTCCTACTACTATGTCGGGCGCTCATCTGGGGGGCGCGGGCCTGCCCGATGTCAGTCAGGCTCCCAAGATCCTCACTGCTACGTCCATCACGACGATGTTCGCACTGGCCACCGTCCTGGCTCGGTTGTACGTGCGTGTGTTTATCATCCGGAATGTCGGGCTTGATGTAAGTCGTCATCTTCACCGGTGGCTTGTGTATTGACTTGTCCAGGACTATACCATGGTCTTGACCATGGCGCTGGTAAGACCCTCCTGCTTCGTGTCGACCAGTCCTGACGACTCCAGTCTCTCAGTGGATGGGCTATCATCATACCGGAGGTTATGTACGGCGCCGGAAGACACACGGTGTATGTGGAGAAGACGGCCACATTGGCAAGTCACCTCAACTTTGCCACGCAGGGTATATACATGTGGGCGATTGGATTGGTCAAGATATCGATTGGGCTGTTTCTTCTGCGCTTTGCACCGCGGCGGGGGTATAAGATCTTTATCTGGGCGGTGATCGGTATGTATCAGAAGATATCCGGGATCTTTCAGGTCAAGACTTTGGTCACTAGCCACTGCGCAATGCTGACCCCCTCGCAGTGCTCATGCTCCTCTACACCACCATCTGCTTCCTGGTCCGTCTGCCTCTCCTGCCTCGCGATGACGTCTAACCTCCCAGACCCTTATCTTCCAGTGCAAGGACATCAGATCGAGCTGGGACCTGTCCGTGAAATCGAAATGCTTCGCCCCGACCCAGCTCCTTACCCTGAGCTACGTTAACACATGTACGGAGTCATCCAATCCCCACCGACGACCTATCTGACATATCTACCCAGCACTGAACATCCTGACGGACCTGATACTCGCCGTTCTCCCGGCCTTCATGCTCCGGTACATTGATCCTATGCAGAATCAGACCGCTGGCTAACCCCAGTAGACATCTGCAGGTCAACCAACGCACCAAAGCCTCACTGATCTGCATCTTAGGGTTAGGGATCTTGTGAGTTTCTCATCTGCACTCAACCGGTCACCCTCCTAATAAATTATCCATCCAGTGCCTGTGCCGCAGCCATCGTGAAGCTGTCCTTCATCGCAAACTATGGCCGCACCGGCGATCTCCTCTGGGACTACTCCAGCTTGACAATATGGGTTGCGTAAGTCCACCCATCCCAACACCCCCTCCCCTTCCAAGCAAAATAAACCCTAACCCCCCCCCCCCCCCCTCCACAGCGTCGAATCCAACACGGGCATCATCGCCGGCAGCCTCCCCACCCTCAAACCCCTCTTCAAGAAAGTCCTCGACAGCTACAGCTACAGCTACCGCTCCCGCTCCCGCTCCCGCTCCCGCTCCAAGACGCCCTTCTACAACCACGGCGACTCCAAACCCAACCCCCAGCACTCCCTATCCCAATCCCGATCTAGATCCCGATATGATCACAACCATCACCAGCACGCCAAATACGACCGAAAAACCCCCCAGCTCAGCACAGACCCCTACCCCATCCCGCCGAGCACGTACCATGGCGACAGCGGGAACTCCAGCGATGAGTATATTCTGTCGTTTCGCGATGACTCGAATAGTATTATGCTTACGACGGAGGTTACGGTTTCGAGGTCTGGTGGAGGGGTGGAGGGAGGGGTGGAGGTTTCTGGGGGGAAGGGGCCTGGTAGGTCGTTGTCGGTGGGGAGTCGGTATCACTTTGAGAATATGATTTGATTTGGTTTGGTTTTTGGGCCTGGGTTGGGGTTGGGGTATGATGATGGTATGATAGTATGGTTAATAGGAGTTATAGGTTGCGACGGACTGATAGGTTTTGGATGTGGGTGGAGGTGGAGGTGGGGGTGGTGTACACTAAATTGGTTTCTAGTACTAATAAGCATTTAATGTATATTTTCACAACTAATCTGACAACAAACCCCTATGACGCAAAGAGAACGCCCCTCTCAACGACCTTTCCTGACAAAGCTGGGAGAGGAGGACGAGCTGGTTGGAATAGTACGGTAATGGTAAGTTTTTGTTTTTTTTCTTTGTCTCCATCCGTTGTACGCAGTACTGGAGTTCGCTCTTCCCCGATTCCTCCTAGCCCTAAGATACTAAATTGAAGATGGGCAGGCCAGTCGACGCCAAACCCCCACTATTGATCTGCTGCTTTCTGTTTTCTGTCTGGCAGTCGAACACATCCATGCACTCTGTCTTTCCGGAGGGGTCATAATCCAACCCGATCTGCTGCAGCGACCACGCCACGTTGGTCCACGTGAGGAGGGAGCCGCACCGGATCGCTCTCCGGTATAGTAGTACCTCTATGCGACTAAATCTGGCATCCCAGTCACAAATCAAAGAATCACTTATGATACTCCGGAGTTGGTCTCGGGTAAAGTAGCTAGCCCGGGCTGGTCCATGTAGTTAATGCAATTAGATTATATAACGGTGACAGTGGCAGCTGGAGCTAATGTCGGAGCTACTGGGCCACGCGAGTTTCCCCATTTTGAGTCTCAAACTAAGCCGCAGGCTTCATGGCTGGTGGTACACCTAGTTTCCGCCAAACCTTTTAGGGCTCAGCCTTGCGATGATGCTTTCTTTCCCTGGGACCTGAAAATCTTGATCTCTTAATCAGGGGGGGTGCTGCCGTCACGGAATACTGTCTTGCTTGGCTGTCTTAGTCAGGTACTTACCTTCTACCAGGTCTACTCAATTGGTCAAAGCAAGATGTTCATCAAATGTTCACTTCTATGTACCTAGTATCTATAATCTGCAGCTTTGCCTCGTCGAGATCAGCAAACTCTCCCCCAGGAATCGTAATCGGCAATTCAAATTCGAATCCAACACATGTGAGCCAGATAGCCAATTCTCAAACTTAGATATCCAAGCCAAGTCGTATTTCAGCATCGCCGCTCCACGCCCTTCCGGCTGACACAGATATATTTCACCCCCTTGTATGGCTTCACGCCCTCGCCGAGTCCGCGGCTTCGGCGTGGGTCGATGTTCAGGCTTTCGACCTTGATGCCCGACGGCAGCCAGCCGCGGACCGAGAACGAGACGCTCGCCGAGTTGGGCATGAGCGTGGCGTTGAGTTGCGCCTTGGTCTTGCGCGCGGCCGTGAGGAAGATAGAGGAGTCGGAGGGCGCGGGCGGAGGCGAGCCCTGCGATTGGGATTCGGGTCGGGGTTGTGGTGAGGGTTGGACGGGGGTGTGGGGCTTTGTGGTTGGGTTGGGTCGGGGCAGGGGATGTGTTCGGGGTCGTCGGATGCGGGAGGGAGGAGATCGGCGGAGGTTGATGCGGAGGGTTCTGTCGTCGTCGCTGCTGCTGCTGCTGCTGCTGCTGCTGCCGCGGCCGCCCGGGACTTCTTGACCACCTTCTTCTTCTTCTTTTTCTTCGTCTTGCGTTTCGTCGTGTCGGCGTCTGGGTTCTGGTAGGATGCGGGGGCGTCGTCGTAGTAGCCTTGGAGAAGGTTGGCGTCCGGGTCGTCCTCCTCGTCCTCCAGGTCGTCGTCCGCGTAGTGTCCCACGACGGTGCACCGGAGGGTGGCTGTCCCGGAGACGGTGCCGGCGTCTTTGGTCGGTACTCGCCATTCGAGGGCGGTATTGCCCGGCGAGAAGAGTGCCTCCCCACGGCTAGCCTGCATGTCGGTAATGTTCCGGACCGACTTCGGAATGGGAATCGTCACAACAACCTCGTCCAATACTGGCATCGACGAGTTTCCTCCGCCTCCTGGCAGGAAAGAGGGCGTGGTCGAGCCCGATCCCGAGCGTCCGACGCCTGACCGGCTCGCGGACGAGTAGCCCGGGAAGTTCGTGTTGAGGATGAGGCGCACTTCGAACTCTGACCCTGTCGGCCCGAGGGACTTGCGGATGTTTACGATCGCGGGCAGAAAGAGCTTCTCCATGTGACTCGGGGGGTCGTCGAGGCTGGGATCCATGGGCAAGAGGTCAACCTCGTATCCGGAGAGAATGAACCGCCCGTCTGGTGGTACAAAGCTGAGCTCGCCGGGGCGTTCCCGCCATCGCGCCAGCCTCACACACGGGTGGAACACGGGCAGCGCAAACTTTTGCCCCAGCATCTTCGGACCACCCGGGGCCGTCAGCGACAGAAGCAGGTCGGGCACCCCGGATATTTTGGCCGTAAACGCAATGGTACCGGAGACCATAGCGGAGAGCAACCGCCCGGAGGGGGCTATCGTAACCGACAGCGACTCGATGATGTCGACATATAGCTCGTTGGAGGTATGTCGGACGCCCGGTCTTCGCCAGGGAATGGCCGGTCCTTGCGCGGCGGCGGCGGACATGGATTGTTTCAGGGCATTGGACTGGCCCAGGATCGGGGTGGATGATCTATCATGCTCGAGCGTCAGTCAACCAAACCAAGACAGTATGACACCACTTGAAGTCATCTTGACAACTCACCCCGCTAGTCCCACACCACCCAACAGCTTGCCCATCCACCCGGGCATCTCGACCACCTCCTGCAGCGCATTGGTTTCGGTGTTGCACACGATGCCGGCATCGCACATCTCATGGAGGAGTTGCGCGACCACATCGTAGTTGGCCTGTAGCTTCGACGAGAGCAAGGGTGCTCCGACGAATTCCTCGAGCACGTCGACCACGCGATGCAAGAATTCCAGCACCAGCAGCGGCTCGGTGTCCTCCTCGGAGAGGGCGAGAAAGAGCAGGTTGGACTGGACGACGGAGAAGACGGTCACGGGCGGGGTGGCCCCGGGGATGTAGAGGAGCGATGGGCGCGGCGCGGCATGGGCCAGATAGAGGGGGAGGATGGCCGGTGCGGAGGGCGGCCGGGAGCGATAGACCTGCTCGACGAACGGATTGCTGGAGGGGCAGGACCGTCAGTAGCTGGCGACGGAGGGCAGATATCTCGACAGGGGCATACTTCTGCTCATCGTATATGTAGAGGGCGTCGATCTGGCCGCTCATGGTGGTGAAGGCGCCCTGTGCGGAGCGGTTGGGGGGGAGGAGTTGGAGGGGGTCATGTTGGATGGATGGATGGATACTTGGGGCGATCGATCGCTGTGCCCTGGACGCTAAAGGCCAATCGCCGCCTCAGCCCCGTTCTGCCGCCCCGCCCCGCCTTCGCGCGGATTTCCGCGGCGGCGGCATTGTCGCCGTGCCACAGCTTGTGCTGGCACTGGTGCTGCTTTTCCTCCAGAGGAGCTTGACTGCCTTCTTTGTTCCTGCCTGCTCCTGCCTGCTCCTGCCTGCTCAGCCAGTCCTCATGGCCCCATCCACCCCAGACAAGAATGCCTGGGACGTCCAGCCCAAGGACCCGAAACGCGCCCTCGCAGAAGACGCCTACGATGACTGTCTCTCCTGCAGAGTGACTGGTGAGTCTTCACCCCACCACTGTCTGTCCCATGCGCATGTGATTAATCCAAGATAGGCTCCGCTGCATTCATCGGCCTTGGCGTGTACAGCTACTACTCCGGCATGAAGAACCTGACGGCCCAGGAAAAAGCCATCATGCAGGGTGCGACCAAATACAAGATGGGATCTCGGCGTCTGGGCATTGCGACCATCTCTGCAGCCCTGGTCGGCCTGGGTATCTGGAGGGCTGTCAATTGATCCCCGCCCGCAGTGGGATCGCCTGTACTCTACTTCTTCCATGTATCTACCTACTGCTTGCGTGTTCTCGACTTAGGGCGTTGGGGGTGAACGGAATGCATGCCGAAGCGTCGCTTCAACTGTTGATAACTCATATACACACCAGACCAGTATATAAAATAGCACCATTAATCTCACAGACCGCCGCCTCGCCGGGTATCGCCATATCTGGTAACCTCTATAGATTGAATGTTATGTGACCAAGGGATATAAGGATAAGTAAAAAAAATAGAAAAAAAATGGAAGAATGAGGACTGGACAAGAAAATATAAAACACAGCATAAGGAGAATATGATAGGTAGGAGGAAAATGGAACCCCTGGCCCGGAACAGGACCACATGCAATACTCCCACTAATGCACCGAAGGAAAAACCACGAAATCAAAATGCAATCGACCGCTGCGTGACCGTAAGAATATTATGCTCGTCTAATCGTCGAGATGTCATATTCTCTAGGTGAAGCGGCCTCGTTTGCCGCCGCCAAACATGTCTCGATTCCCGAGGCCGGAGAGGTCGAAGAAATCCGGCACGGCTAGCTTGCGCTTCGAGCCGATTCCGACGGACGGTTCCCGCGCAGACGGTCGGGTGTTCGTTCGCGAGAAGTTGTTGTGACGGTGCTGTTGCCGCGAGTTCCGTGGCAACACGGAGACGCTGACCGGCGCACCGTCTTGGGATGCAGGAGTCGAGTTGTCGGAGGGCTGCATGTCCATGTCTTGTTCGGATATTTGCGGGAACGTTGGCCCGGAGGTGAAGGTGAATATAGTGGGTCGATCGAAGGCATTGGGTTCGGGGACGGGTGACGAGGACACAGGATGCTGTTGCTGCGGTGTGGCAGCCTGCTCGTCCGTCGCAGGGGAGGCCGGCTTAGATGGTTGCCGGGCAGGCTCTGGCTCTGGCTGTGCCTTCCGGGCAGGCGTGGGGGTTGTGCCTCGGGCGTGCTTTTCTCCCTCGTCGTCATCGCTGGGGGGGCCGGTGCCATCACTCCGTTCCGTGGCCCATTGTCGAACCGCCCAGCCTTCCCCGTCTCCCAGACCGAGGTTCTCCCGGTCTAGAAAGTGCAGTAGATCCTCAATTGCTTCTTGGTAGCCGGCTTGCTTGGCCTGGGACTGCTCGAAGACGGCATTCTTGTAAAGGTTGGTGACGGACAGAGCAGCAGCTTTGAACGACTGCAGAAGTTGCTCGGGGGGTTGCGGACGAGGCGTCGACTTGGGCAATGAGGTGTTGAGGGATCGCATGGAGTCCATGGTGAAGGGTGGTGCTGCAGCTCGAGTAGTCCTCGGGGAGGACTTGAGATAGTGAGCAAGTAGCGTTGGAGGGGCGACCTGAACCGTGCTTTGTCAACAGGGCAACGAGGCAAATCCCGCGGCAGCCGGAGGAGTCAGCCGGCTACGGCAGACTAATGCGAAGAACAAAGGAAAAAGGTGATGCCCAAGGAAGGGGGAGGGGGAGCGCTGGAGGAGAGGGGAGGCAGCAAGAAAGGAGAGGGAGTCAGTCGACCTCGTGGGAGTGGGCTGGAGGGACTCTTCGATCGATCGGGGGGGGGGGGGGGGGGAGATATGGCTGCTTTGCTATGCTGGCGCAGCTGATCTTTCTTTGCGCCTGCCCGGGTAACGTGACCCACCGCGGGGAAACTCGTCTTCCGCCCCCCTGCTGACTCACGCCTGAGTCAGTCCCGCCTTCGCGTCTCCCGTCCAATCAGCGCGTGTCCCGGCCGCGCTTCTCCGACGAAATTCCATTTGCCATCCCAGCTCGAGCGCGACGGGCGCTGCTTCTCGCTTCTCTCTCGTCCTTTCATCATCCCGTCGCCAGTCCCGACTGCTCCTCCCTTCGCTTGTCCTCTTCACTCTCAAGTTCCAATTCCAATCCCCCCCCCTCCTTCCCCCCTCAGATCCGCGGAACCCAGATACTGCACTGGCAGTGGGTCTTGTCTTGCTATCCATCTCCTTCCAAGCTCCCCGGGTTTGTTTGCTTGATACGCAATCAGGTCGTGTCCCGCCATATACTACCAACCACCAAACACCTGCGCAGAGGTGCGCCGTGGACCGTGATGGCTCCTTCACAAGTCCCCCCCTCCGATTCGCCATCCCAGGCCGATACCCCGATGACCGATGCGAACTTGGAGCCCGTCCCCGCGGTGCCGGTCGATAGCGTAGACGCGCCGATGACGGTGAGTGCGCCGCAATTCCTCTCGTTTCGCAACCTATCATTTCCGGGCGCGTCTTACTGGAGTTTGGAGGCACCCCCGTTGACGATCGGATCGATCTAGGGGCAGCAGGACTCTCCATACTACACGGTAAAGGCGCTCCCGGCCAATGGCGGGCGGTCCGGCGGACGAGCCGACTAACGCAACCTAGGACTCCGATACGAACCCCAACACCACGGCGAGCAGTGTTGCAGGCGACGCAGCCCCTTTGGATGGCCGGAGGCGGAGGTCGGAAGCTTTCCACATGAGGAAAGGTATCTGGAGTAAAAAGCACGGCCGATTGGACGAATCCAAGGTATATCCACGCGACGGTCATGTGTCGATGTCTAGAGGCTTACGATCGATGTTGCTATAGGAAGATGACTCTATCCGGAGATTCCGCTACCTGCTCGGCCTGACGGACCTGTTCCGTCATTTCATCGAAACGAACCCCAACCCGGAGATCAAGGAGATCATGGCCGAGATCGACCGGCAAAATGCCGAAGATGAAGCAAGGGCGAAGAAGAAGGGTTCCGCCCGCTCAGGTGGTGCGGGCGGAGACAGGCGGCGCAGAACAGAGCAGGAAGAGGATGCCGAACTGTTGAAGGATGAGCGAAGCGGCGCCGGAACGGGCACGGTCTTCCGGGAATCCCCGCCCTTCGTTCATGGCGAAATGCGCGACTACCAGGTTGCGGGGTTGAACTGGCTGGTGTCTCTCCACGAGAACGGTATCTCGGGTATCCTGGCCGACGAGATGGGTCTGGGAAAGACCCTGCAAACCATCTCTTTCCTTGGCTACCTTCGACATGTCTGCGGCATCACCGGGCCTCATCTTGTCGCTGTCCCGAAGTCCACCCTCGATAACTGGAAGCGGGAGTTTGGAAAGTGGACGCCCGAGGTTAAGGTCCTTGTTCTGCAGGGTGACAAGGAACAGCGGCACAAATTGATTAATGAGGAGCTCCTGGAGGAGAATTTCGACGTCTGCATCACCAGTTATGAGATGGTTCTGCGGGAAAAGTCGCACCTCAAGAAGTTCGCTTGGGAGTACATCATCATCGATGAAGCTCATCGCATCAAGAACGAGGAGTCGTCCCTTGCGCAGATTATTCGAGTGTTCCACTCCAGGAACCGGCTGCTGATTACCGGAACCCCGCTCCAGAACAACCTTCACGAGCTTTGGGCCCTGCTCAACTTTTTGTTGCCGGATGTATTCGGTGACTCGGAGGCATTCGACCAGTGGTTCTCCGGCCAAGACGCCGACCAGGATACGGTTGTACAACAACTTCATCGCGTTCTGCGGCCTTTCTTGCTGCGCCGTGTCAAGAGCGACGTGGAGAAGAGTCTGCTCCCTAAGAAGGAGGTCAATCTTTACGTGCCTATGTCGGAGATGCAGGTCAAGTGGTATCAGAAGATTCTCGAAAAGGACATCGACGCGGTCAACGGAGCCGCCGGTAAGCGTGAGTCGAAGACCCGTTTGTTGAACATTGTCATGCAGCTTCGCAAATGTTGCAACCATCCGTATCTTTTCGAGGGAGCCGAGCCAGGTCCCCCGTACACGACCGATGAGCACCTGGTTTTCAATGCGGGTAAGATGGTGATTCTTGACAAGCTGCTGTCGCGTATGCAAAAGCAAGGGAGTCGCGTGCTCATTTTTTCCCAAATGAGTCGTGTGCTTGACATTCTGGAGGATTACTGTGTGTTCCGGGAATACAACTACTGCCGTATCGACGGAACGACCGCCCATGAGGACCGAATCGCTGCAATCGATGATTACAATAAGCCCGGCTCTGAAAAGTTCGTCTTCCTGCTCACGACAAGAGCCGGAGGTCTGGGTATCAACCTGACCACTGCGGATATTGTTGTTCTCTACGATAGCGATTGGAACCCTCAGGCGGATCTGCAGGCCATGGACCGTGCCCATCGTATTGGTCAGACCAAGCAGGTCGTGGTTTTCAGATTTGTCACTGAGAACGCGATTGAAGAAAAGGTGCTGGAGCGTGCCGCACAGAAGCTGCGGCTGGATCAGCTTGTCATCCAGCAAGGACGGGCCCAGCAGCAGACCAAGAATGCCGCGTCCAAGGACGAGCTGCTCGGTATGATTCAACACGGTGCGGCCAACGTCTTCAACACGCAGGGCGGGTCCGGTTCCCTGCCAGACCACCAGTTCACCGAGGACGACATCGACGAGATCTTCCGCAAGGGCGAGGAGAGAACGGCGCTCTTGAGCAAGAAGTACGAAAAGCTCGGCATCGACGACTTGCAGAAATTCAGTTCCGAGAGCGCCTACGAGTGGAACGGTAAGGACTTCACGGATCGTAAGAAGGACATCGGCATGAACTGGATCAACCCGGCGAAGCGTGAGCGAAAGGAGCAGTTCTACTCCATCGACAAGTACTATCGCCAGGCGTTGGCTACCGGCGGCAGGACGGCAGATCCCAAACCTAAGGTTCCTCGGGCACCGAAGCAGATTTCTGTCCACGATTGGCAGTTCTTCCCGCCAGGGCTTCAAGAGCTGCAGGAGAAGGAGACTGCCTACTTCCACAAGGAGATCGGGTACAAGGTTCCTCTCTCTGACGGCCCTGAGGAGGAGCTCAGCGAGCGTGAGGCTGAGCGCGATCTGGAGCAACAAGAAATCGACAATGCGGTACCTCTTACCGAGGAGGAGCAAGCAGAGAAAGCGAGGATGTCCGAGGACGGCTTCTCCACCTGGAACCGCCGTGATTTCCAACAATTCGTGAATGGTTCGGCCAAGTTTGGTCGTACTGACTACGCTGGGATCGCCACCGAGGTTGACAGTAAAGAGCCAGATGAGATCGAGGAATACGCGCAGGTCTTCTGGGAACGCTACACCGAGATTCAAGACTACCCTAAGTACCTTCGGGTCATTGACCAGGGTGAGGACAAGCTGCGGAAGATGAACCACCAACGCAAGATGCTCCGCAAGAAAATGGAGATGTACCGGGTTCCCCTGCAGCAACTCAAGATCAACTACACCGTCTCGACCACCAACAAGAAGGTCTACACCGAAGAGGAGGACCGGTTCCTGTTGGTGATGCTGGACAGGTATGGAGTTGACGGCGAGGGTCTCTACGAAAAGATCCGCGATGAAATCCGCGACTCCCCTCTATTCCGATTCGACTGGTTCTTCCTCAGTCGGACACCCGTCGAGATCGGGCGCCGGTGCACTACTCTGCTGAACACCGTTGCGAAGGAATTTGAGACAGATGGGAAAGCCAACGGTGAAAACGGCAAAGGCCGCGGCCGTGACCGCGACGAGGAGGAACCCGAGGAGGAAGAAGGGCCCCCCGCCAAGAAGAAGACCAAGGGCGGTGCAGTAGTAAGTCATCATCTACTGCCACCATTCAATTTCCCCTTTGCCGCAGCTAACCCAACCCCTAGAACAAGCAAGTGAAAGCCGTCAAGGGTGGCACCAAAGCCAACTCCACCTCCACGTCCCGGGCAGCCAGCGTCTCCTCCAACACTGCGCCCAAATCCAAGAGCCGCCGGAAGTAATGATTTCCGCCCCCCTTTTTTTTTTTTTTCTTTTATCTTTTATCTTTGGGTGGTATAAGTTGAGGGGCGATGACTGGGAATTGTTATGACTGGTTCTGTGTAGACTGCTTGGGAAGCCTTTTTGACAATGTAAGGGAGAGGGGTTCATTGGTTCTTTTTGTTCCATATATGTCGGTTCCGGCGTTGGCAGATAGATGCCGTTGTATGTATTTTATGATCTGAACTGTTTGTTCTTTTTATCCCCGCCGTCACTCTTCTGAGCTGTGTAAAATGACCCGAGGCAGATGGATAAAATGGTTTCTTCTTTTCGATCTCTGCACTGCACGAGGTTGGATTCCCGGTGATTGAGAATCGCCCACTTTATTCAGGTTTCCTCACCGCCCGCGACCTGCCCGATCGATAAGATGCCGCATCATCGTTGTTCCCGCGCGGAATTTCGCGTCCGGCGAGACGCGTGCTGGAAATTGGTTAATCGCAAGATCGCAGGAATCATTCCACCCCGTTGGGAGATGCTCTCTTCACGGCGGCTTCCTTCCTTAGCTTTCCTGGAGGACTCCCCTCGCGTTGTCCCCTGATCCTCTCTCTTAATTCCCGAGACTTTCCTTACCCCCACCTGGCCTCGCACCTGACTGGCCCTTTATTCCTTCCCTCCCGCCTTCTAACAACACCACTTTGTCGGACTACATATGTTGGGATATTGAACCATAGTCATGGATATGGATATGGATGTGGATGTGGATGCGAAAATGGATATCGACCAAGGGAATGCCACCGGCGACAGGCCCAACACCTCAGACAACGATGGCGACCTCGTCCAGGAGCTGTTCGCCAAGTTCAACAATCCCCCGACCATCCGCGCCAAACCGCCCGTCCGCCCGGAAACGCCGCCGCTGGTTGTTCGGATCCCAGGCAGATTGTCGAGTGACCTCGAGCAATATGAGTTTCTTCCCGGTCATTTCGATGTCCGCTACGTCATCAGTGAGATCTCCGAGACGGATGAGGAGCTCAGCTATCAAGTGAAGCTACAAAGTGGTGAGATTGAAAGGGTAGGAGTTTCTTTGCGTTGACTGACCCCTCACCTATCGCTCACCCTGCTCATCTCACTCTCTCCCTAGATGTCCTTCTCGCAACTCCAATCCCTCCAGAACGGCCCCGAGGCGCTTTCTAATTTCCTCAACTACGGACCGGCCAACTACGTTTCATCTCGATCACCCTCTCCTGTCACCTCAGCAGAAACATCTGCCTCGGAACCAGAGATTAACGCGAGGCGCTCCCGGCGCACTACCGTCAGTCGCAAGTCAGGCTTTACCGCATTCTTTGGAGTCATCAGCAGTGACGAAGAGACACCTCGTCGCGCAAGGAGAGATTCACCTTCGAGTGAGGACCTGATTGCTTCCTCTAGCAAGACCGGCCGAGGACGGCGGGTCTTAAGGAAGCGCTCCAGCAAAATGCGCTCAATTGCGATCTCGGACTCGGAAGAGGAAGAGAGCAGCAGCGGTGCGCGCAAGGGCACCCGCTTTTCCACCAGATCCCGCAATACCGTGCGGAGAAACCTACGCGAGAGGAACGAAGATGACATCTCCGAGAATGACGATACTCCCAAGACACAGAAGTTTTTTGGAGCCAAGGAATCCTTCCACGAGCTGTCCGAGAGCGACGCTTTTCGACAACGCCACCGAAATGTTTGTGAAGTCTGCCATGTTATCGGCGATGACAAGATAAAGGGTCCTCTCGTCTTCTGCCAGGGATGTACCAGCGCTTTCCATCAGGCATGTCTGGGTCCCCGGTCTGCGCGAGATCATCTGGCCACCAAGGTATCGGAAACGCTGTTCATTCTCCAGTGTCGCCGCTGTCTGGGGGTTGCCCACGGAAAAGACTCATCCACTCCGCACCAAGGCCGTTGCGCTATCTGCAACATCAAAGGAAACATGTCCAAACCAATTAAAGAACGTTTGACTCCAAAGGAGGAGCAACAGCTCCGACAAAAGAACGGGGGCAAAGATCCCATCACGCCGTATGATATGACCCGAGTCAATGACATCGATAACGTCCTCTTCCGTTGCACCACATGCCATCGAGCGTTTCATTTCGACCATCTGTCCGAGATCACGCACATGACCTGGCAGTGTCAACATTGCGCTACTGTACCCGGAGAGGTCGGGGCGATCGTTGCGTGGCGGCCAGTTGATACCCGATCGGATGCCGCCAAGGACGAGGATAGAGAGTACCTCATCAAGTGGAAGACGAAATCTTACAACCATACCACCTGGATGCCCGGGACTTGGGTATGGGGGTTTGTGAATCACCATATGCGTCGAGCCTTCTTGAGGTCTGACAAGAGTGACGAACCGCGCAGGACCCTGGAGGAGGCAATCCCTGAGGACTTTCTGCGGGTGGACATTGTGTTTGACGTCCGGTATGCCACCGTTACACCCAACTCCGGTAGCAAACGCACCTTCGAGTCAGACCTGGAACGCGTGGAGGATGTGGTCGAGATGTATGTCAAGTTCAAGGGTTTGCCATACGAGGATGTAACTTGGGATACGCCTCCTGATCGCAGCAGCCACCCGGAACGATGGGAGGACTTCAAAGCTGCCTATGAGGATTGGGTCAAGAGGGAATACACTCACATTCCGAGCCAAGAGGCCCTCAGAAAACGCATTTCTCATGTTAGGAAACAAAGTTTCAGCACCAAGGTCGTGAAAGAGGGCCAGCCAGATATTATGACGGGCGGGCAGATCATGAACTACCAGAAGGATGGGCTGGACTGGCTCTATTACATGTGGTTCAAGCAGCAAAATGCTATCCTGGCTGATGAAATGGGTCTTGGAAAGACCATCCAAATCATCGGTCTTTTTGCCACCTTGATTCAGTACCATAAATGCTGGCCTTTCCTTGTCGTGGTCCCCAATTCGACATGTCCGAATTGGCGGAAGGAAATAAAGGCATGGGTTCCTTCCATGCGGGTAGTCACGTATTACGGATCTGCCTTCTCTCGGAAGCTGGCACAGGATTACGAGATGTTCGCTGATGACGATCCCGAACTTCGGTGTCATGTCGTGGTCGCATCTTATGAGACTATGGTGGACGACGCATCCCGCAGAGTGTTGTCTAAAGTACCCTGGGCGGGTCTTGTTGTCGATGAAGGACAGCGGCTGAAGAATGACAAGAGTCAGCTCTACGAAGCCTTGTCACGGCTCAGATTCCCTTTCAAGGTTCTCTTGACCGGTACCCCTCTTCAAAACAACATCAGAGAATTGTTCAATCTCCTGCAATTCTGTGATCCATCGAAGAAGGCTGAGAGCCTGGAAGCCGAGTATGGTACTCTGTCTAAGGACAACATCCCAGAACTGCACAACACGCTACGCCCATTCTTCCTGCGGCGGACAAAAGCTCAAGTTCTCGATTTTCTACCACCGTGTGCTCAGATCATCGTTCCGGTTTCCATGGCCATGGTGCAGAAGAAACTGTACAAATCTATTCTGGCAAAGAATCCGCAGCTGATAAAGGCAATCTTCCAAAGGAGGGATGGCGGGAAAAGCTTGAAGCAGACCGAAAAGCACAACCTCAACAACATCCTCATGCAGTTGCGGAAGTGTCTTTGTCATCCTTTCGTTTACAGCCGGGCTATTGAGGAGAAGACGGCCAGCTCTGCTGCATCCCACCGGGCCCTGGTGGATGCGGCCGGCAAGTTCCAGCTCTTGGAGCTCATGCTGCCCAAGCTGAGAGAGCGGGGTCATCGAGTTCTGATCTTCAGCCAATTTCTTGAGAACCTGGATATCCTCGAGGACTTCCTGGAAGGTCTTGGATTGCCGTTTCTTCGCCTCGATGGAAAGATGACGTCGCTTGAGAAGCAGAAGACGATCGAAGATTACAACGCGGAAGACTCCCCGTACTTTGTGTTCCTCCTGTCGACGCGATCGGGTGGTGTGGGAATCAACCTGGCTACCGCCGACACTGTGATCATTATGGACCCAGATTTCAACCCACACCAGGACATGCAGGCATTGTCCCGTGCCCACCGCATCGGACAGAAGAACAAGGTTCTTGTCTTCCAGCTCATGACGCGGGGAAGTGCGGAGGAGAAGATCATGCAGATTGGCAAGAAGAAGATGGTTCTTGACCACGTCCTGATTGATCGAATGGTCGCCGAGGAAGACGACGGACGGGACCTGGAGTCCATTCTGCGGCACGGTGCTCAAGCCCTGTTTGATGACGATGACTCGGGAGATGTGCGCTATGATCCCGAATCGGTTGATAAGCTTCTTGACCGTAGTCAAGCTGAGCAGGTCATGTCCCCCGATGAAGGCAACCAGGAGTCACAGTTCAGTTTTGCTCGAGTGTGGGCAAACGACCAACAGAACCTCGAGGATCAGCTGGAGACCGTTGAGGAAGAAGCCCCGCCGAGTGCAGACGTCTGGGAAAAGATCCTCTGGGAGCGAGAGCAGGCCGCCGCCGAGGAAGCCCGACGGAAAGCAGAGACGCTGGGTCGCGGGAAACGTAAGCGGACAGCTGTTGACTATGCCACCGAGGCCCTGGAACTATCGCCGGTCAAATCTCGCACGGAGCGTGAGGCCGAGAGCGATACCGAGTTCCGAGCCGAGGCAGCCATGGAATCAGAATCCGATTCCGCGCCCGATTTGGATCCCGACGAGATGGTCCAGGCCGCTCAGGCCGATGGGGTCTTAAAGGCCACGAAAGGTAGATAGAACCCCCCTCGCCCTGGCATCTGACTGAGGACCTTCGATCCACTGACCAGCCACGCAGTACGTCAATTCGAACGCATCCCCGCGCAGAACTTCCCCCCGGCCCTGGATGGCAACGTAGAGCCGAACCCACACCAAGCGCCTCCATGCATCGCGTGCAACCAGGTCCACCCGATCGGGCACTGTCGCCTGAAGATGGCCGGGGCCGAACATTGCCCTTTGTGCGGGCTGGCACACTACGGGTATGCCCGCACATGCCCGCATCTGCGATCCGAAGACCAGGTGGCCCGCATGCTCGGCGCCCTGAAGCACAGTACCGAGGACCCCGAAACCATCCAGCTGGCTAAGAAATACCTGACGGGCATCCGCGGGGACCTTGCACAGCGTAAGAGGCGACAGGCCAGTAAGGCTGCATTGGGTCCCACCAGCAATGGCACCCCCAGCAGTAGCACGCCCCAGCCTGCTGGTGCCGTCGTGACGAACCCCCGTCCCTCTGTGCCCATGGCCTACCCTGTCGTCGATCTCACCCTCGATGGCGCCCCGCCGCCGACTTTCCCCCCACCACCACCATCATCATCATCATCACAAGTCGCGAGACCTCCTCAACCTCCTGTCGTTGGTAACCAGTACCGTCAGGGGCCTTGAAGGATGTAGCAAGGGATTGGTCACTAGGAAGAGAAATTAGCAGTACCGGAGTGAGGGCATCCGGATTTTAGGTTTAGGGCGCATGGACTGGGGATCCTTGTCAGCGTTTGGCATGTACATACATAATACATAAGATGCGAGCATAGTGTAGCATAGTCTAGCAGAGCAATTGACGTGGAGGGGACAACCCATGCTTTTGTTGTTTCTTCTCATGATTGGCATTGAGGCCAGAAATGGCAGGCACGGCGGTCACATGTGCAGCCGCTCCTCCGCCGCGGTTGCCGTCTTCGTCTTCTGCTTCTCCCCCGAACTTATGCCCAATCCCTCCCAGGAGAGACTCCCATCCGTGATAAACATTTCCAATGCTGGACTGTCCGTCCTGAAATCGATTAATCTGGAGGCCTGGGCCGACAGAAAGACCGGTCAGGGCCCAGTTGCTTCACAATGTGGTCACGTTCCCATCCCAGCCAGGGGATCTGGTGACATCTGCCCCGGCTGGTAGGATTATGACAGCAGTAACGTCTTCCCCGTACGAATCATGTGTCCATGCTGGCCACCTTTGGCTAATCGCAGATTTTCCACGGGAGTGCGTTTGGTGCTGATTTGCCGGGCGATTGGAGCCGTTGTGTCACCAACACCAACGGCCGATATAAGCGTTGTTGCCTCCACGTTGCTATCGACAATCAAGTCCCCCCCCCCGGGACCAGAGACGCTGGGCATGACAGACCCTGGCCAGAGGGACATGGGCATTGGATGCTGGGAGGGGACCCTTCCGACGGCTTCCTGCAAGCAGACAAACCACCAACCACCATCGTCGGTCTTGGCTGATCGACGCAATGGCAATCGTTCCAGGCAGACGGGTCAACATAAACTAGGGGGGAGGGGGGAGGGAAACAGAAGAAATGTACGATGCAATAATAACTGCCAAAAGCTTAAACTCCCCGAACGCGAGTCACTACACCCCCTTCCCCCCCACAGCAAAGCAAACCTGGCCGACCAGAAAGATAGAGACCGTCCCGGGCCCAGAGGGGAGGAGGGCTGCAGCCATCCGGGCATGACGGTTGTACTGACCAACATCATCGGACAAACACTGACGGCATTTCGTCGTGGCTGGATCTGGGCTCAGGCACTGCTTAGGGATCCCGGGGGGCTCTGGGCTCTTTGCTGCAAATAATGAAAGCTGCCCGTTTCCCCTTCTGATGGCTGCTTTGTTCTCCCTCTCCTCTGGGGGTGAATGCTCAATGTGATCGTTTTGTCGCTTCTTGTATCCGTTGCTTGTCGTCCCCTTCTTCTCCTTCCTATTCTTCCTTTTGTTTCTGCATGGCATTGTTGTGGTAAAGTGTTTAACAGTATATATGTCTGCGCGCTATATTTTGTCCCTGCCTCCTGTTTTTATCTCTCCATCTCCCTTAGAGTCCCCATCTTCACTGGCGCGGTGTTATCCAGCCCCTGCGCGTCAGTGAATGTCGATATCCCTCTCGCTCGTCCATCGGCAATTCACTACTCTGCTTCTCCCACAAATTAATCTGCCTGGTGACCCTTTCTTCCTCCCTCGCCATCTTCTTCCTCCCTCCCGACGCTTCTCTCTATCCTCATCTATCCGCCGTTTTCCCGCCTCTTGTGTCTTATAGCCGCATACTTCCGCGTCACCTTCTAGGATTTACTGCTCTTAGCCCTCCAGGCTTCCGCACAGCGGTTCGCCAGCTCTCTCGTTGCCTTTCATCTTCTCAAGTTATCATGTCTTCCCCGACTCGCCCCCAGTTCTTCTGTACTCGCCCAAATGGCACCCTCACCCCCCTGGTCGCTGTGGATGAGCTTCCCTCGCACATTTCGATCCGCGGAGCTCCCCGTGTCCTATCGGCCAGTGGGACTCAAGGGATGACCAGCCTTGGGACTGTGAATCCGAGGACTCGGTGCTATGTGGTGGAGGGCGCTACTCCTGTTGCGACTCGTGCGTCATCTGCCGCCGCCAACGCAGCTGGTCACCGCACCCATGACTACGACCTGCAGCTAGCTTTCATGAGGCTCCTTTCCGATGAAAGTCTCCCTACCAGCCAGCGTCTGGCGGTGACTTCTTTTCTGCAGCAGGGGGCCCCTCAGAATTACTACTCCAGTCCTTCCAGTAGCACTTGGTTGGTCCCTAATAGCGGCGGTGGAGCCGCTGGTCACAGTGGTCCCAAACAGGTAAGTGTTACTCAACATGTAACCTTGTCAGAACCCTGGATAAGCCTCCGGGCAAGGTTGACCCTACCCCAGGGTCCTCACTACAATGCGAAGAAAGAGTACTGTTCGTACTGGATTCGTCATGGCGAATGCGACTATCAGCAGCAGGGTAAGGACATCGGCTTGTGAATTCAGGATGCGCTCCCTAACATGCCTGCAGGATGTCTTTACAAACATGAAATGCCCAACGACCCCGCCATGTTGGAGAAGCTGGGCCTTCGTGACATTCCTCGCTGGTATCGCGACAAGTACGGCATCCCCAGCCTGATCCCCAACGGACATGCTCACCCTCGTTCTCATATCAGCCATGCTCTTCCCCCAGCCGACAGCGGGGCCTTCAGAGCGATCCAGTATCCGGCTCGTCTGGGAATCAATGGAGCGATGGACGCCTCTGAAATCGAGAAGGAGTCCAAATACAAGGCATCCGGCCAGCTTCTCACCCAGCAGTCGTCAATTGCCCTCGCTGGCGCGTCCAGGCTGGCGTATGACTCGACCAAGGGCCCGGTTCCTCCTAAGCATGGAGCTAGATATGTTTCCAGCGAGGACAACTCAGCGATGAAAAAGCTTGATCTGTTGTCTTTTGAGCCTCTGCCGGAGTTTGCAGAACAGTCGACTATGGAGCCCGCGCCTGGCAGCATGAGCGCCCTCAACTATCCGCGCCCTCGGGAGATTGTCCCCTTCCCAAGCAGCAACAACCACCGCGATGAGTTTGCCCGCAGTCTTCAATCCCTCATGCCAGCTTCCATGGCCGGACCCTCGGATTACCTGATGACCAGTCCGTCTTTCAAGAACCAGGCGTCTCAGGGCCGCGCCAAAAAGACACCGAAGTCCCGTCGTTTGTACGGTTACCAGCCGCGCTCACAGCTCTCTGCGCTGGATTCTGGGCACGAGACCGGTGCGGTTGATGCCTTTGGAAACTTCTTGATGAACTATGCCACTACCTCCTCGAGCGTTGCATCTCCGACTTCCCGGGTCACTTCCGGCTCGCACCTGGCCAGTCCAAACATCGGGCCCGCTCTGGACATGCCAGTCTCGGAGCCTCCTTCTCGTCAGGAATCTCCATCTAGCCCATCTGGAACCGCTTCTTGCGAGTCAAGCCCCAGCATCGCCCGTAATCGCACCAGGGCCAAGCAGCCCAAGTCGGTTTTTGGTGCCATCGGCAGCCGCAGAATTCATCGCCAGCAGTCAGACGGATCATCCGAAGACGACCTGCTCGGCCTGGCGATGCGAGACGCGAGATGAGGCCGGAGCGCGATACTGTGCATGTTGCAATACGCAACGAGCACTTCGACGTAAATACAACACCCTATGACCTTTATGATATGACACGCGGAACCTAAATATACCTTACTACTACCGACTCTCCTTGATGGTTCTAATTGATTAACTGACTGACTCTGACTGACAAAATGACTGCGCAATGGCCGGATATCGAAGTATACACTCGAAACCTCCATGGAGCCGAGTTTAGTCTGTCTTGTCATAAATAATACCTTTCCTTGACTTTGTTTCCTTCTATCTTGTTTATTTTTTCGCTCTTCTTCGTTCTCTTGTTCTTGTTGTTCCTCTTCTCGTGTCTTGCTGAACATTCCTTGTTGGATGGAATTTGTGGTTTCATGGTGCACTTTCCTTCTTTCTGCTTTGTGGCTTTCTTGTACTGGGGTGTGATGGGGGTGAGGGGTGATCGAATCTAGATACATGAACCAATGGGTGGCGTGTGGAAAGTGGGATGGAGCCTTGGGATGAAGCGAAGTGCAGTGACGTGCAGTGAAGTGAGGAAGTCCTAAGGGTGGATTGTTCGTCTGTGTGTGTTTTTTTCAATGTCTCCTTATTTCTTTTCGACCCTCCTTGATGCTTTTCTTTTCTTTTTTTTTTCTTTGTTTTGCTTTGCTTTGCTTTTTCCCCCTATCAAACGGCTGGCCCTCTAGGGTGTATTATACGCAATGGTCGTGTTTATACCTGCTTTCTTCTGTGCCCTGTGAAGAAGGGACGGGATGCAATGGTAGATTTAGTAAATAAGATATGAGCAACGGCAGTCTGTGTTGTGAATTCATACGGCTTTCTTTCTTCTTTCTTTCTTTATATTTTCTCTTCGGTATTTGCTGAGTAGTTTAAGTTAGGATAGGACAAATCAGGTGGTGTGTGTGCAGTGTCACAGTAAATGAAATATGGTACATTGACATAAACTAGATAGATAATATCTAATACAACCATGCAGGAAATAGCGCCGCCCTGTTTTGTTTGAGCCTACACAAACAGACAGACAGGATGATAGGTGACAGAAAGTACAGAGAGGAAAAGGGAAAAGAAAAAGGAAATGCAAACCCTTGGGGAAAAAAACAGACACATCAGTTCTTTATGTATAGACAAGACAGAAGACGAGACAGGACAGAGGAGGACGAGATGAGATGAGCCCCCTGCTCAGTGTCATCGCCATCTCCATCTCCATCTCCCTTAATCAGCCTCAATCTCAGCGAAGTCTCTTCTTCTGTGACTTGGCATTGACCTTTATAGCGACCTTCTCGCGCTCCTGCGTCGCTCTAGCAACCATAGACGAGTTCAACGCCGGCAGGGACTGGATAGCATCCAGAACGATCTGGTTTCCATGCACGGGGGGCTTCAGCTCCTCGTCCCGGGCACGCGCTCTCTCCGCCCTCCGGGCCTCAAGCTGCTTCTTCCGCTCCGGCGTCATCACCCACTCGTCGGGGAACCGGCGGGTAACCTTGGGCTTGTGGTGCCGCACGTCGAGAGGGATGTCCGTGAACGCGTCGCCCTCCTTCGCCTCCTTGATCAGCGTCTTGATCACGTCGCCCAGGTATCGCTTGTTCTGGGCGCGGGCGCCGAACTTCTCGCATGAGATGCGCACGATGTCCGTCTGCGGGTTGTAGCGGGTTCCGACCAGCTTCAGGAAGGTTTGGCGTTGCGGTTCCGTCAGGTACGTGGGCGTTAGATCTTTGGAGCACAGTTCGACGACGACCTTCGGTTCCGACGGGTGTTGCTCGCCCATGTAGGTTGTGTAGCGGAAGCGGAGGATGTGGGTGGAAGGAGGGAGGGTGAAGGGTTGGGCGAGTGCTTTTTGATTTGTCGGAGAGATATTGTCAGTACGGTTGATGCACGGTCAATTGGGATGGGGCGGTGCAGATGTTGGTTTTGGTTCGTACGTACCACTCAGTGAAGGCATCACCCAGGCCGCGATACGAGTATACTCTCGAATCTCGCGGTGCAGTTCGAGTTCGGCGTGAGCCATGCTCGTGATCTCGTCGTCGTTGAAATGCTCGTCGTTGTCCAGGTCCACGGCGAATTCATCATCCTCCTCATCTGCAGCCCAGAATCCATTGCCCTTCTTACTTAGCGGCTGATCGTCGAAGTGCAGCGGGATGTCGCGGTCGATCTGGTTGAGTTGGCGGTCGAACTCGTCGAAGATGGCCACCCGCCTGCCAATGTTGTTGTACTCGGCCACCATGTCGCGGTTGAACTTGTCGAACTCCTCGCGCTCCGTGAGCGACATTGCATCGTATTGGGCGCGCACCTCCTTCGGCAGGTCGTCCGGCGAGTAATCGGGTGCCGGGGGCAGCTCTTCCGGACGCAGTTCCCGGGGCTCTGGTAGAAAGTCCGGGTCCTTGGGCATGAGGGTGCGGCGGGAGACGGAGAATGGGCGGAATGGCACGGTCAAGGGGAACTGGCCCCGACGGACGAGGAGTTGGGCCGGACGGCCCAGATACCGTGCTACTGAGGCCATTGGGGGGGTGGTGGGGGGGGGATGACTGGGGAGGAGATGGGGGGATGCGCAGTTCGAAAGGCAAGTTCGGCGGATGTTTTTCACCTCTGATCAGTCTCCCCGGGGGCGCTAGTCCGCTTCGGGGGAGAGTCCCCTTCACCGCCCGCCATGGCTGCCTCTCTGCCTGAGATCCATTCATCTCTCCTTCTCTCCTTCTCTCCGGCCAGAACATGTCGCACTCGCATGCTCTCCCTCGGTGTCATTGACATGATCCTCCACCTCCCCTCGTCAGCCGGTGTCTAGCTTGGCGCTGGCCATCCCCACATCTCCACCCCCAACCCAAACCCCAACCCAACTAACCATCAACCAACCAACCATCATGGAGCGCCCCATCCCCATGCGCGCGCGGTCGCCCATAAAGGTCTGCTTTGTGACCGTCGGCGCCACGGCCTCGTTCCACGAACTCCTCCAAACAATCCTCCAGGAGGACTTCCTCCAGGTCCTCCGTCGCTTCGGCTACACCAACCTGCTCATTCAGTACGGCAAAGACGGCAAGTCCGTCTGGGATGCCTTCGAGCGTCAATACCCTCCCCACACTGGCTGCCGCAATGGCCTTCTAGTCGAAGGGTTCGACTTCAACCCGGACGGCTTGGACGAGGAGATGCGTATGGCCCGGTCCAACCTCTCCAAGGGCCATGACGGAGGATTGATCATCAGCCACGCCGGTAAGACCCGTTGACCCGTTGACTCGAGGACGGACGGACGGACTGGACTGGACTGACCAACGCGATCCCCATCTAGGATCCGGAAGTATCCTCGGCGCCATGCGTCTGGGCGTGCCTCTTGTCGTCGTGCCCAACTCGACTCTGAAGGATAACCACCAGCAGGAACTGGCCGACGAGCTTCAGAGTCAGGGCTACGTCATCGCGAGCAGCTGCCAGTATGCGTCCCCACCTCCATGATGGTCTGTCTCCTTTCGGCCAGAGCGACTCACTGACTCGCTTCCCCACAGAAATCTTTCTGCTGCAATCGGCCGGGGAGAACGCCTGCGGGCCCAGATGCTGGCGTGGCCGCCCGTGTGTGCGGTAAGCCAGCGGCGCCAGCGTTCGCTGCAGGAGGTCATGTCTGACGAGCTGGGCTTCTTAGATTGAAGCCAAATTCAAGAGACTCGCCATGGCCATGTCCATGACCCCGGCATATCCCAGCATCGATTCCCTCTGGCAGGACTGTTGACGCTTCCGTCGCTTGCTCGGGCTGAGGCTCCCCTTTCTGCAGTGCCATGCCTCGATGCCCTTCCCGTCAGCCGATGTCCAGATAAGAGATTATTAGTAGCTATACGGACTCGCGTCGGGATGACGACATGATGAGAAGAACCGCATGGGTACGCCCAGGCTTTGATGGCTTGCGGAGTGGGAAAACCCCTCTAGTTGATCTTTGTCCATAGCTTAATCCTGACGTTAATCCTGACGAGGGATCAAGGGGGTTCTATCTCGAATTCAGATCCGTGATCCGTTCATTTGTTAGACCACATTCGTAGAGGCCGTATAGATCGGGACCGCCTTCCGCTTGGGGGACGCATTCTGCCGGGGGATACGTCCGAGGAGGGAAGGCGGAAGGGGCCATTCCGGCCAAGGACGCGCCGAACAAGACGCCCGACCAGCAGCTCCGTCGGCCTCGTTCGTCTCCTCGTCGACCTCCGGAGATTCGCAATCGCCTTTGGAACCGTCCGGAGAAGATCTTCGACCTCGTTGGACTCCCTCGTGTCATTGCCCAGCCATCCACCTGGCCGCGGGGCCTCACCGTCACTTCTCCTCCCTCCCCTCTCCCCTGCAGCGCATCATAACAAAACACCCGCTCCTTTACTTTACCTCCTCTCCTGCATCCTCCCCTCCCCCCCCCCCTCCCCACAACCCCAATCCCACACAATGGCAGAGGCCACCCTCCACAACGCCCCGATCGTCATCGACAATGGCAGCGGGACCATCCGCGCCGGGTTTGCCGGTGAGGAAATCCCCTCGTGCTACTTCCCCTCGTTCGTGGGCCGGCCCAAACACCCGCGGGTCATGGCCGGCGGTCTCGAAGGCGACGTCTTCATCGGCCAGCGCGCGCAGGAATTGCGCGGCCTGCTCAAGATCCGCTACCCGCTCGAGCACGGCATCGTCACCGACTGGGACGACATGGAGAAGATCTGGCACTACGTCTACGAGAACGAGCTGAAGACCCTGCCCGAGGAACACCCCGTGCTCCTGACCGAACCGCCGCTCAACCCGCGCAAGAACCGCGACACCGCCGCTCAGATCATGTTCGAGACCTTCAACGTCCCCGCCCTGTACACCTCCATCCAGGCCGTGCTGTCACTGTACGCCTCCGGGCGCACCACCGGTGTCGTGCTGGATGCTGGCGACGGCGTGTCCCATGCGGTGCCCGTCTTCGAGGGCTTCGCTATCCCTAACAGTATACGGCGGATCGATGTGGCGGGACGTGATGTCACGGAACAGCTGCAATTGCTGCTGCGGAAGAATGGCCATGTGCTCCATACCAGTGCGGAGAAGGAGGTCGTCCGCATGATCAAGGAGAAGGTGTGCTATGTTTCGCTGGATCCGAAGCGCGAGGAGAAGGATTGGATGAATAGCTATCACAAGTCGGAGACGAAGTCGGTGGATTACGCCTTGCCTGACGGACACAAGATCAAGGTGCGTATTTTCGCTCATGTTGTCTTCTGAATCCGATTTCCTAATTACGACATACAGATCGGTCAAGAGCGCTACCGCGCCCCGGAGATCCTCTTCGACCCGGAACTCATTGGGTTGGAGTACCCCGGTGTTCATCAGATTGTGCAGGACGCTATCACTCGGACAGATCTCGATCTGCGGAAGTCCCTGTATCTGAACATCGTCCTGTCGGGTGGATCGACGCTCTGCAAGAACTTCCCGGACCGGTTGATGCGCGAGATCAAGCGCCTGGCTGTCGAGGACATGAAGATCCGGATCTCTGCTCCTGCGGAGCGGAAATACACGACATGGATTGGAGGTGGCATCTTGGCCGGTCTGAGCACGTTCCGGAAGGTATGGCATTCTCTTTTCTCTCTCTTTTTCCTCTTCCTCCCAAACTGACCAATCGACAGATGTGGGTAAGCGCAGACGAATGGCACGAAGACCCCGAGATCATCCACCGGAAATTCGCCTAAGGTGCTGCTGCAGCCTCGCAAGACGACCTCCATCACCGGGACTCCCCTACCTGGCTTCACTTCACTCACCCCCTCGCCGAGCGACGGACCGGACGGGGCCAGGATCGCCCGCAAGACTCGAGACCCTCGATTGTCCCACGTCAGACAAGATGTCGATTGGGCTTCTGACTCCGGTCAGGGTTTATGTAGATTTCCAGCTGCAGCTTTTAATAGATACCCCTCCTTTTCTCCTGTTCCCTTCGATTCAAGGTGCCCTCCTCCTACCTTCGTCCACCTTGTTCTATGGATTGTATATCTGAACGCCGTCGCCGTCATCCGCCTCTATCTATCTATCTAACTAACTTTCTATCCATCTGTCTATCATCTCCCTATCTATCCCCCTCCTTTTCTCCTGTTCCCTTCGATTCAAGCTGCCCTCCTCTTCCCTTTATCCACCTTGTTCTATGGATTGTATATCTGAACGCCGTCGCCCGTCATCCGCCTCTATCTATCTATCTATCTAACTTTCTATCCATCTGTCTATCATCTCCCTATCTATCCCCCTCCTTTCCTCACCGGATCAAACACAAGTCTACACTCTTCAATCCGGTCTAACTGTCCCTATGCCTATGCAACGAACACCCGATCGGTAGGCAGGCAGATTAGAAACAGGATATCCGCTATTCTACTTTCTTCTTCCCTCGTCTCTGTTTCTTCCTTGCTTGCTCTCTTTCTTCCCTCCTCCCTCTCTTCCTCTCCTTCCTGGTTCTCTGTATGTATGTGTGATAACTATAGTGTAGGGTGGTGTGGTATCTGCATGCCCCAAATTTTGTGTAAATTTTGGATGGATGGATAGATGGAAAAATATACCAGTACCTATTTATTCACCTTTTCACTAAGTAGATAGATAAATCATGTATTTGAATTTGCTGGGAATTGTCAAGAGAGATTCGGTGGTGCCGGTTACACAGAAGTAAACAGCAACTGCCCTAAACGGTGGGCCTGGTGTGTTGGTTCAATTCACTAACTAACAAGGGATCCATGTGTTACATAGTGAGAATATGCAGGGTTATAAATACATTATAATGTGTGGGGGTGTGGGGATAGTAAGTACTACCCACTGTGTGATGATATGGTGAGTCGGTGGCTCCTGCCACTGTGAGGTCATCCTACTATTATATACTTGACCTCAAGTACAGGCAAGAGATAGCAAGCTGTAGATACGGCGAGTTGACCGAACCAGGTCCGTTTTCTACAGTACTACTGGATAGTCGAGTCTACTCCCTTACAAGAGAAAAAAAAAAAGAGGTTGTTGCTCTGTTCTTGTTCTTTCATTTCAATTCACAAAACCAGATATAAACCCATAACCGGTTAAACATGGTGAAGCATACATGCAATAGGGGGTATATTGGCTCTAGGATGAGCAAGAAGCCAACAAACAAACCAAAACGTACTCCCGAACTGCCAGAGAACCGGATCCAGAAGTACAGAGATGTAACCGCCGGCAGGGTATGCAGGATTCCAATGCCATGAGAAATAGAAAAGAAAAAAGACAAGAAAGCAAGATCCAGTGGATGGACGGGTGGATGGTGTTTGGTTGGTTCAAATGAAGCAAGCAAGCAAGCAGGGCAATTGTTAAATGCCACGCTCAGGTCTACGTATATGGACGAGAACCATGGCGAAAGGGGGTATCATGTTGAAAGGATTTTTGGGGTAGTGGTTGAAGTAAAAAGATGAGTGGGTGGGGGGTGTGTAGAAGCCAGCACCCTTTTTCAAGTCAAGGTAGTCGGCCATGGCAAGTGCCGATGGCGATGACGATGACGGCGATGGTGATTAAAGTGTCGGTAGAAAGATGAAGTTGAAGTGGAAAGGTTGAATCGAAGTGTGCGATTGTTGAAAACAAAAACTTTTTTTGGTGGTCGTGAGTCGTGAGTCATGATCTTGCAGTGATGCAACGCTGATAGGCAGGCTGAAGGAAATCCAATGACGTCTGGATGGTTGAAAACAGAACGGTTTCCTTCTTCTTCTTATGCCATGCCCCTGAGCTTGCCCCAACCCTTCTCGAGACCGCGCAGAGCCCGCTCGCGTGTCGAGCCGGTGCTGCTCGAGGTGGAATTGCTGCTCACGGAAAACTTGCGGCTCAGGCTGCTGGAGGAATCGTCGCCGAAGATCATGTTGCCGGCGCCTCCACGACCGACGTGGTAGACGGGAGCGGCGCGGCGAAGGCCGCGTTCGAGCTCCTCGTCGAAGCTGAAGATGGCGCGCTCGCTACTGCTGTGGACGTTGCCCGCGCCGCCGCGGCCGGAGGTGAAGGTGCTAGGGACGTTGGAGTCCAGGCGCGTCAACGAGGCCGGACCGGTGGCCGTCCGCGAGTCGGTGGTCCTGGTGCCCTTCAGGTTGATGACATTGCCGGCACCGCCGCGCGCCGTGTGCAGAGCAGGTCGGCTGGTGTGCGGGATGGACGGGTGCGGTTCAATGACGCGGTAATTCACGGAGGATGGCATGGTGGTGGTGGTAGTGGTGGGCAGTATAGGTAGAAGAATCGCAGTCTAGGCGGAATGACTCAATGCGCGGAAGCCCAATGCAGAGCAGACTATGGCGTAATGGACATATAGACAACGAAGACCAGCTTGGTGGGAACGAGGGACCGAGGGTCGAAGTATAGGACGGGTGGTGTAGATGGATGGATGGATGTATGAGGAGGAGTGGGCAAAGAGCAGGACGGTCGAAGAAATATCAGAAAGACAAAGCGTCAAGAAAATTTTCCTCGCTTTGTTTTTTTCCTGTTTTCTATTTTTTCCGTGTTGGCGATGGTGATGGAATCCACTTTGGATGGCCTGGAACCAGACATCGCGGCGGGGAAGGTTTTATATAGTTGGCCGAGCAGGCGTAGGGGCTCCAGTAACAACCGGGGGAAGGAGTCAGGGCAGCCCCCTTTGTGACGGCACGCGGGCTCATGATTGCACCATGGTCTTTCCTCACCGAACCGCAAACCCAGGGTCACACGCGGTGGGTAACCCGCCCACCGGTGGAGCCCTTGACTCAAGCCTCAGCCCTCAAGGTTGCGCGATGCAAAAATGGCGAAATTTCTGCGGCCCCTTAGCTAAGCCCATGCCCGGTGGCCCGGCTATGCGCGCGCTACGACCCTACGCCATCGTCGCCCATCACCGCTGCTTTCCCCCCCCCCCAGCAAATTTTTCATCCGGCGGCTTCAGGCTTCAGGAACGTGCGGTCGCCGAAGCCATTCACAGGTCCTCGGTCCTCGGGAAACCCCCCTCATTGGCTCTGCCAGCCCCGCCACCCCTGCGAGTCATCGCTGCTTTTGGCCATTTCTTTACGATCATCTGACATGCACGGCGCCAGTCCCAGGCGTGGCGAAACGTAAGAGAAATTGGCGCCGGCACCAATGAGGAGGGCGGGCGTCCACCAGGTGGTTTCCTGGGGGTAATGAAAACTACCCGCCGGTCACGCGTCATGGTCTGCGTTGGCAGTTGGGACAGTTGGACGTTCGATCAACACAACTGACTCCCCGAGTTACGACCTACCTTACGGTCTAGTGCTCCGTACAAACCCATCCTGTGCAGGTTGTTCCGTTCGTCAAGCACGCTGTTCAAGATGCAATATTCAAGGCATGCCGCGTGGCTGCCCCGAGAACCAGTCAAGCGCCTGGCAGGCCAGCCTGACAGGCCCAGTCTGCCGAAACGAAAAAGCAGGGCGGTTGCATCATTCGTCGTGATCGCGCTGGGCAGATGGCTAAACTTAGATCCTGATCGTACCGCTGAGCCAGCAATACATAATGCTCGGTAATAAAATGGCGGCAATTACTGTGACTCGCCCATCATCCTCTCACGGAGGACCTTGGGGTGTTACTGTATGGAGTAGGTGGAACAGCAGTAGATAGATACTACTGTAGTTACAGAGTACAGAGTACTACAGACAGAGTTTCCCCCCCAACCAGGCACGCTGCAGGACGCTGGAGGCCAAGGCAGGAGCCGTCTGTAACTGCATTACTACTGCATGCTACTAGTTATAGGACTGCCTGCACACTTGGACCCCGGGTTATGATGGCATCATGCATGAACCCGCCGTTGTGCAGGAGGGGAAGGCCGTAGTAACCTGCCGTTCGCGATCACCTAATAATTCTAAAATAGTTCGATGGGGGAGCTCGGCAGTCTGGCCTAGCGGAGATCACCCAACGATCAAACAACCGCATCATTATTGTTCATTCCGTCCGTCTGGACTCTCGTGCCAGATGCCAATCGGATGGCGTCTGCCTACTTGGCCTCACTGACGTCGACCAATGCCTGGCTGTTACCGGCCATCGGGCGGGCTGGAATTTGGGGAGTGGGAGGGGGTGGGAGGGGGTGGGAGGGGGTGGGAGGGGGTTGGTGCCTGAGGCCCGTCAAAGGACCAGGATTGCTCCCCCCCACAGTCTTGGTAACGCTAATCCCAACCGGGCCAGTTTTCCCCAGACGGACCGGCGACGGGCTGGACTCTTTTTCCCGACGCGAAAGAATGACTAACCACGACTAACTAACTAAGGAGAGGGGCTGCCGGCTACCGAGGAAGTAGTACGAAGTAGGTAAACGAGAAGAAATGCCTCACCCTGATGATCCATCATCCAACATCCCAACGTCCAGCATCCAACCGCATCCCACACGACGCTGTCAATCCCCATCCATCCCCACCCAGTGAAGCGGTTCCTCTTAGTCAACGGAACGGTGTAGAACACACTATGTCGGATACTAACGACCAACTACTGGCTGCTAGTCGGCCAGGACTCAGACATCAGGGGTCAGGGGGATAGACTATCTGCATCCCCTGAAATAATAATAACCTGTCGGATGAGCCGGCAAATCATGGTTGGAACTTGGCGGGCCTTCCCTGAGGCCTGTTAGAGTCCAGAGTCCCCGAGGTTGAATTCTGACTGGCACCTTTGAGGCCACGTCGTATTTCTTCCCCGGATTTTCGCCCCGGGCGACTGCCGCATGCAGCTTTCGCTCTTCCCAATATTCTTCCGGCCCTTCCATCCGCCTGACGGGCGTGGGCCCGGCATGACGTACGAGCAATTTCCCCGCCGTCCAGAACCTCTTCTGGATGAAACCTCGAAACTTGAGACGCCGGAAATTATCTATTGCTGGCCATTTCTGCCATGGGTCGTCGACCCGCCGACCCCCCAGCTGACTGACCCCCTTCGACGACGGCCTTGTTTTCCAGCCCCTTCCCCCCCTCGGGGTCTCGTGACAGCCAGTCATTCTCCAAGACTTTCGTCGCGTGCGTTGATCGCCACAACATCTCCTATCACCAGGAAGCTGAAGAAGCATTCCGCAGTGTCACTGCAACAAGGTCACCCTTGCGTCTGTTAGCCCGGTACCAACCGGTTGGGAGGAGGGAATCTTCACCGTCTCTGCAGCTGTCTATCTGCCGCCTTCTGGTTTCGTTCAAATCCAGCCCCGACTTGACTCCCCTTACGCTTTCCTGATTCCAACATTCTCAGTCCACGCCCGTTCTTGTAGACCACAGGGGATTCTGTCCGGTTCAAGCACGCTTGTCATTATCGTCATCGATCACATCATGCTGCATGTCGAATGGTCACACCATCGTGGAATCGATTTCCTCACCAGCGCGTCCCATGACGAGATGTCTAACCCTTGCGCTCTATTGCGTAATACGAGCACACGGAGCATCTATATCTAGGATGGTTTCCAAAAGCAAAAGAGGCCATGGGTGAGAAGAGCCTGCCGGTATATTCTGTTCAGAGCTCAAGTCGGGGCAAGGGCCTCATCTTCAGCGGAGAGCGTAGAGACTGGCATCGGGACTCTGGGGCGTAAAAGATTCGAGTGAATCGTATATCTGAGGAGTATATCAGATCTAACTATGCAATACTACTAATAAAGTAAGTAGTCTTAAGTTGACACGATTCATTAGTTGTTCGAGTAGGTCTGGAAGTACTTACTCATCGCATAAGCCACAGATATATATATCACATGATATATACTACTAAGTTCGTAGGGCCGTTCATGAACTTCAGGGGGCTGGGATGCTGGGATGCTTGGATTATGGTGGAATGACAAGCTAACTATGAAAATTGTCACCGTAATGCATACTACAACATCAACACACCAAAAAATGATATTAATAATTCGCTCACAACCCACTCAGTTGACCATGCCTGAGGCCACGACAGGGCCGGCATACTGCCACGCCCGACCGCCCTGGTACCGCAGTGGAACTCCGCCTCCGGCCCTCCATCGCCAGCCATTTCGCGTCCACGAGCATCCACGGTCTTTCGCGCCCATTCTCCCTCATCCCGGGCTGACTCTCTCGCGCTATCCCACCTCTCGCTTCTACAGCACTGAACAATCCCGACCCGAGTCCTCTCTCTCCCGCGCTACGCGCCGTCTGAGCGCTGCCGACTCCGACTTATTTCCCCTTCCAAGAGCAGTTGCTCTGAAGATTCAAGATGCCCAAATATAAGTGCCCCATCCCTCCTTGACCAGGACCTCTGCTGACAGCCACTTTACTCTTCTGTAGGATCCCCCTGATCGCGCCCCACGCTCACCCACCCACCCACCTCCCGCGCATGCAATTCCTTCCATCGCCCCATCCATCCACCCAACTCCAACTGACCATGTCCTGACCTCCAGGCGACTACTGCGATGTCTACCTGACGCACGACTCGATGAGCGTGCGCAAGGCGCACAACTCCGGTCGTAACCACCTCCGAAACGTCGTGGAATACTACCAACGTACGGCTGACCGACCCGTCTCCTCCCCCCCCCCCGAAGAAAAGAAAAAGGAAAGAAAGAAAGTGCTAACCCAACGGTCCTCAGAAATCGGACAAGAAAAGGCCCAGTCGGTCATCGACTCCATCACTTCGTCCTATGCCGCTGAAGGCCAGGCCGTCCCTAACCCGGCAATGGTTCCCCCCGGCGCGTTTCCTCCTCCGCCTTTCGGCTTCCCTGGTATGATTCCACCACAGCATACAGCACCCCCCCCCCCCCCCCCCCCCCCGGAGACCCAAGAGAAGAGAAAAGAGAACACAGGCTAACACCCCCAGGCCGACCAGGTCAACTTCCCCCTCCTCCTTTCGGAATGCCTCTTCCCGGCGCAGCACCCGGCGCTCCAGGAATGCCTCCTCGTACGTCATCTGTCCCCATCTCCATCCGTCACATAAATATCTCCAAACTAACCACTGCCACCACCAACAGCCCCCGGAGCCCGAGGCCTCCCCTTCCCCCCTCCCTTCCCCGGCGCCGCCGGTGCTGGAGGTCTCCCCCCTCTCCCCAACATGCCCCAAGGCTTCCCTCCTCCGCCCGGCGGCTTCCCCGCAAACTTCCCTACCCCCCTCCCGGATTCCCCCAGATCCCTCCCCCGGGCCAGATGCCATCGGGATACAGCCCCAGTCCGACGCCCGGTATCGGTGGCCCGCCGGGTTCAGACGGCTATGCCCCTCCTCCTGGTATGAGCTCGAGTCTGCCTGGCCCGCCGCCGGGATTGGGTGATAGGCGGTGATTAGGCATGCTTTTTTTGAGGATTATGTTCTTTTTTTTTTTTTTTCTTATGTGTCATATGGATCGGGGTTCTATTTCATTTTTCATTAAGTGTCTACTACTAGATTTATTTGTGTTTTCTTATACGAGCGTTTGCTGGGGATCACCCCGTCATTAGTCTTCCTGTGGTATTTCTGAGTTCATGAGAAGGAAAAGTTAGGACAATGGCAAACAAATGACAGACAAACAGACAGACAGACACAACAAACAAAACAGAAATGGACGGTGGATTTGAATTGCTTCGTTCGTCTGTGTATCTATACGGTCTACTTTGCCTTGAGAGGTAAACTGACTGAATAGCGCATATACGTCCTCAAGTTCACCCGACTTCAACCCCCAAACACCAAACACGGCGTTATGCATGGCATACCACCTAGGTACCTATGTATAGTAAGTTTAGACTTATGCGTAAATCATACTAGGGTCGACCTATTACATGTCTACATCCACATCTATAACTACATCCTAATCTACATCCCATCTACATCCCATCCGCATCTACGCCTACAATAGCCCCCCATCTACACCCTACAAGAAACACAAAACGCACATGAAATTCCAAAAACTAGGCCAAGCCCCGCGTCATCGCCGTAGCACAACGCAGACCCCAGACCCAGCCACAGCCATAAATAGCATTATGATTCCTCTGCCTGTCTGCCTGCCTGTCTTTCATTCTTTCCATACATACACGCACGAAAGAGAAACCACAACCACAGCCACCACCACCACCACATGTCCCTCAGCAAGAACCCCCGAAAACAACAGCAACAAATAATACAGGGATATCGGGATCAGACGGTAGAAAGTAAGCATTGAAGATACAACATACCCGGACGGACAGACAGACACCCCTGTCAGTTTGACAGTCAGCAAGGAAGAAAGCAGCAAGCGGAAAATTTGGTAAAAAAAAAAAAAATTGAAATAATAGAAAATATAATTTCGAGACAAAATGTTTCCGCAAAAAACCCTAATATATAGTTAAAATAAAAAGGGTGGGGGTACCGATCTCCAGACCCAGTATATCAGAACGCCAGCGACGAGGGAGATAAAGAGACAGAAGACACACACAGAGATAGAGAGAGAAGGAAAGGAAGGAAGGAAAATGCCTTGGTAGGGTTCGGATGACGATGATGGTAATAGTAGTAGTAATGGTGGTGGCAAAAAAAAAAGTAGTTTAAGGGAGAGAAAGAAATTTTGCTGTATATCACAGTATACGACAAGGAATGGTAGTCCAAAAGAAGCAAATGGACAGGCAAATGGGAGAGAAGCAAAATCAACAGCTCAGAAGCAAAAAATCGCGCACGTATATGGTGGGCGGATCACAGTCGGTCTTTTGAAATCACTCTTCCCGCGCCTTGTCCTTCCCTCCCATTCCCGCACTAAGCCATAACTTCATCGCGAGCAAGGCTAGAAAGCAATCATATTAATCTTTCAGTGGTCGTAACCGGCCCCCCGTTGCCATGGGCTGGGGTTGTTTTGTTGCCTGTATGCATGTGCGTTTTGGAAGGGGGAGCTGTTGTATCCCCGCGGCACTGGTGATGGTGACCGTCCGATGTTCGACTCGTAGCTCGGAGGGCCGTTCCGGGACGAGTTGTCGCTGGGGAACAGCGGCAGGGACGGGTCAACGGGTGACACGGGCGAGTGGCGCGCGGTGTGGTGTGGTGAAGGGTCATGGGGCTCCAGGTTCTGGCGGCTGATACTGGCACCGTTGCCGCTCGAGAAGGACGCGTTATCATCCTCAAACGGACTGTTGTGGTACGGAGAGCCCTTCATGTCGCCGCGCGCGGTGGCACCCAGGGCATCCAGCTCGGTCGTCAGCTGCTGGCCTTGGCCCTTGATGAACGACCCGCGGTCATCCCTCATGGGCTGGTACCGTGTGTCGGGGTTCTTGGAGAAGATGGCATAGACCGACGCGATCAGCACCAGGATCAACAGCACCAGGGCAAACACGGCGTTATACACGAAGAAAACCACGCCCATGACACCGGTGACGATTCCAGGCTGGTTGAACACGTTGGAGAAGAACAGCAGGAAGATAACGTTCAAGAAGTTAACAGCGGCGATCGAGATATTGTACACGTTCGTTTTCTTGTCCATCCACGGGCGTAGGACGCTGACGGCGATGAGCATACAGGCCTCGATGATGACCAGGGCGATTGTTTGAACGACCGGAGCATGCTGACTCAAGCCAATAAACAAGCCCTTGATCAGGATGTAGCCCAACACGGGAAGGATAAAGTAGTATGCGGTGGCGCGATATTGCACATACAAGAAACCCCACTTGTTCAAGCAAGTTGGGTCGGAGTAGAGGATATAAGCCGGGTTCTTATGCATGACGACAGATCGCTGGGCCAGATGCATGACCTTAAGGGCAGCCCAGCCCAGCGCGGCGACGACCGAGAGGAACATAATTACCGCGAGAACCATCTCTGCGGCCGAGTCCCTCTGGGTGAACTCCCACAGACAGAGAACGCACATTTGAGGAAAGCCGATAAGCGTCAGTCGGAACAGAATTCCACGGGCAACAACCTGCCATCCGTTGCGGAACTCCTGGAATTTATCGCCCTTCATCTTGCCATTCTTGACCAGGACCTCGCAGCCAATCTTGAAAAGCCCCACAAAAAGCATCACCAACGCAACGAAGACGACAAAGAAGATCAGTCCAGTCATGAAGATATTGGTCTCTTCGATCCCGGCGTGGAAACCGACCCGATCGATACCACGCACAATCACGCTGGAATCAGTGGCAGTGTTGGTCGCTGTGGAGCGTTTGGCGAATTTTTGGCTCAGTCTCTCGTAGTAGTGGAAGTAGCCGGTGGCTCTGCGGACAATGTTCTCTTCGTCAACAGAGCGCTTGCGGCGTTTGTAGGCTTCAACCGACGTGGTCGACAGATCCGACAGGAGCGTAGAAGGGGTGCCTCCGGTGGATCGTTGATACCAGGTGCAGATGGTTTCCAAGAAGCCGACATGGATGATACCCATACTCCACTGGAAATTTTGCGTCCACGACTCCACGATCGGAGGCATGTGAACCGCCGTCATACCGATCATGGCTTGGGATTGCATGAAACTGAACAGAGACAGAGCGTTGGCTGCGACGTGAGCAGCCGTGTTCGAATGACCCAGGCCGGAAGTAATGGCGGAGGCCGCGAGACCCAAGCCAGAGACGACAGCCGTCGCCCAGCCGACACCCTTCTGGTAGACAGTCTTGCCGTTAGAAAGAGATGCTTCGACGCAGGTGATACTCTCTCCCGTTGCAGTGGAGTTGATATAGATCCGCACGCTGGCATCGAGGTCGGGAACAGTATAGGCGATGCCTACCGGGGGGGGAGAGTGGTTAGGGCCCATCTGGGGGACATGGAGGACCGAAGACACTCACCTGGAATATCCTTGACGACAGATTCGGGGACGGTGATTGTGGCTGAGGGGACGTCGATGCTACCGGCATTCATGGGGCAGAGACCACTAATATCCATCTCACAAGGGTCGAGGGTCTTGGTCAGGACCTGGATACCATAGGCCTCGAGGACCAGGGTGGCCGTGACCTTGCCCGAAATTGCGGACACTCCATCGAAACTGAAGGCGAGCGAGCGGTTGCCCGGGGTGAAAGTGACACTAAAGTAGGTGGCCGTGAAGTTGGTACTGTCTTGACAGATACTCAGGGCATTGGATTCGATGAGCCTGATGGCGGCCACCTGCGGGGCGTTCAGCACGGCGACCAGGAGGCCGATGACGAGGGATATTAATCGCATGCTGGCGGGGATGTGACCGAGGACTACCGGTGGGGGAGCCCGTCGAGAAATGGAATGTTAAGTAGCAGGGAGAAAAGAAGGTGGTACTCCAGAGCACCAGCTTGGCGCGGCCGGATGCGGAAGTCCTGAAAGGCGGGAGGACGGTATTGTGCCTTGGGGCTGTGGTCTATAGTTCTTTCGGGGGTGCTATCCGGAGCGTGTAACGAAGGTGAAGTTGGCCTGGGGGAAAAGTCGGAGGGCGCAAGATGTAAGGATGATGATGATGATGATGATGATCGCTTGACGGGGGGTAGTGCCTTGTTGCGGTTCCGGTTGGTTCACAACGTCATTGGTAGCCCAGGGCGCTTCGGGATCGTGTCGAGGAACAAAAGATCGGATGAAACGGATTCGATCGGGTCGAAGAAGGGAGCGAAAAGAATGGGATGTATAAACGAGTGTCGAACTGCAATATCGGGGGCCAAGGGAGTGTAGTAGTTGGAGCTGGGAGAAAGCGAGCGTGGGGATGGCGACACACAGTATGGCCGAATCGAGGTGGGTGGTAAGAGTCGCAGGTACGGACGGGGACAAGACAGGAGACGGTTGCCTGAGTCTCCCTTCGAGAGGGGGATGGGGAGGAGGGAGGAGGGGGGGGGGGGGAAGAGGCGTTCGCACCCTCGGGGGACGAGCGGACGGAGGGGGACAGTCAGTCGTCGGAACAGTCACTGTCGACTTGGCGAAGCAGAAGATGGAACGAGAGAAGTGAAGAGAAGGGTGGTCGACAGACGAGGAGGAGAAAGTAATCTTTCCGCGTCAGGGGAGGAGAGGAATGAGAGGCGACGACGACGAGCGACGGTCGGGAATGCCACAAGGCTAGTCCGCCGTGGTCTCCAACTGAAACAGGTCCGTAATGTACCAGAAGCTGACTCAGCACGGGGGCTGTCGGGTGAGCAGCCAATCAGGGGCGGGAGCGGAGCTGAACCACTGTACGCACAGCGTATGGTACGGTCAGGCGGGTATGGTGGTAATGGTACTATGGGGATTAGTGCTGGGACTACGGAGGACTAGTACTACGGTGCCTGCCTACACAAATATGGGGTCTGAGTGATGCAGGTGGTACTGGCGGGTTGCAACTGGATAACTAACTAACTAACTAACTAGTTAACTACCTGGGGATGGATTACTTAAGTTTGTAGAGTGTAGACCCAGAACCATCTTTCCTGATTCATTCATTCTCTGAACCTGCCTGTCCATGACATCCTTTTTCTCTCTACACTCATACTACTTGCCAAGTGAAAGAACGAGAACGAACCCACTCGTGTCCATTATTTTCTCCCCCAACTCCTCCCAAGTTCCCAACTGATGTACTCCGTAGGTACTTCTTACTTTTTACACTCGCGGGTGCACGCGCGTCCCTCAGGGGGGGGCTGGTCTGGGCCGAATGCGGATGCCTGCCTACTTATGCTTTCCTCTGATTTGCCTGCCTTGGACCGTCGACTGAAAATCTCTGGCGCCCGAGAGGGCAAAAACGGCTGGTTTCATGGATGGTTCCATACTTCCAGCCCATGGCGAAATTATCCCCTCCCAGGCTGTGGGGTATCGCTGCTGCAGACTGCAGACACTCAGACGGCATCCAGAGCTTAAGTCCGGTGCCCAGTGGATCTGCTCTGCCGCTGTTGCTGCTCATCGAACTGTTCAGGACCTCTCGAAGCCGACTCTCTGACTGTGAGGATCTGCCGCCCCTCTATACGGCTAGTGTCCACCACCCACTCCCTCCCTCTTATCCATCGTCATTGGATCTGAGAGTTGAGTTGAGACCCCCTCCCAACCTGATGACGGAGTGCTTCATTCCATTTTGCCTCTTTTCAGCAACTGGGCTTTTTTTTTTTTTTTCTTCTTTTTTTTTCTTGCCCCTCGTTCCTCTTCGCCCGTCCTCACCACCGCCATCGACTTGGACGCTATAAATAACCCCCAACCCGAGAGTCCACGAGTTCGTGATGGGCAAGTGATACACCGCGACTGAAACGGCTCGGAGCGTCGCGGCGGTACATACACTGGAGGGAGGATGGGCGATGCAACATGCACGGAGTCATCCACAGGCCCAGGCACGTCCCCACCCCATAATATGTAGAAATATAGATAGCCGTACCTGTCTAAGGACCGCCTACTTAGGTAGATAGAAGGGTGCATATAAGAGACATGGTGCCGCGGACATATGAGATGTCAGGTCTCGCCTTGATCGATCGTTTCAAACTGTCAAATCTCGCAGGAAGAGATTATATTCCGGCCGATCGGGCTCTGTTTCAACCATGGACCTGGACCCTGTGCCTGGGATCGTGTAACAACTACGAGATATCTACTCCGTACCACGCACATAAGCGCCGCCTGGTGCTTAGGCTCTAGAGAGACGGCACAGTCGAACCAGTTGGTGCCCGGAGGCCTGGTTGCATTGTGTTGGGAGGTGCTGATCCGCTGTATAGTCGGGGAGGGACTCCGTACTTTCTGGTACATTTCCACCGTACCACCTTACAGCGCAATGTAAGATACATACATACATACTTACTTACATACATACATGCACAGCCTCCTCCTCCTCCTGCTGCAATATTCTCTCTCCCATCAACTCCGATGCCTTTAATCAACAGTGAAACACCATCGCCTTCCCCACCGAACCCAAGCTGCTTGAATCTTCATCGTTTGATTTCTTAAACCCACCTCCAATATTATTACTGTGTTGTATATCTGCCTCCCCAAGCCCAAGCCCAAGCACCCCCCGGCACACGGACATGCAACATGCAGATGGCATCCCATTGAGGGGGCGGATCATCACACCTGCCCCGTCCGTGACTGCGCATCATGACGTCCCTCCCCCCATCGATCCCCCCCCCCAACCCCGTACATTTCCACGATTTACCACCAGCAGACGGAGTAATTCAGCGTCGAGCATACACGTTCTGCTGCAGGCCGCTGGTCTCGCATACGCTGGGTCCAGACCAACTGGCCCAACTGGAACCCGCGGGAAGCAAATTGGCCGACGAACGGAAAGGGTCCAAGGTGCGAATTGCTGACGCCGGATCCACGGAAGGCGCCGACTATTTTTGGCATTGCGACGAAGTGCTGAACCTTGAACCAAGGTTTGCGCGTCTCCCGGCCAAGCCACCCAGAATCAGATAGATCTCTCTCGCCTGGACGGTGGTGGTGGTGGTGCCCCAACCTTAATAATCTGCTTCAGTGCTGTGAACACACCCGACCAGACACAGAAACCATGGGGCTTCTCAGGGTCGTCGCTCGGTAGGCTTTGTATGTTCCGGGAAACTTACGGCCCGGCAGTTGGGAAGCCGGAATTAACTATCTATCTGGATGCCTAAACTACGGCACTACTTACTAGACCTAGGCGTCGGACACGAGCGATGAAAGGGATTCGGCTCTCCAGCAATTCCGTTCCTATTCCGCTCCCGCGATAGAACTGCAGTAGATGCTTCCTTAAGCAAACGTCTTCGTTGGAAGACCTCAATCTCTCGACCTCGGAAGGCTGTTCTCTGATTCTCCGTCGGTGACGTGTCTCAACCTGCTTTACGTATTGGCGCCCCTACCGGCCCGCACAGATGTACGGATGCTGTCTATGCGTCCGTGACGATATTTGACTTTCGTACTGGTTCTCCCCGCTGATTCAGACGCGGGAGGATGAGGACATGGTTGAGATTTATTAGTGCATCCGAGTGACCCAAAGAGGAGTTCGAAAATCACAGGTACTCTGACAGGCCAAGCCCGCCAGTCCTGTACTTTCATTGATTTTTGGCAATGGATGGACAGTGGACAGCCAAGTAGCATGCTAATCAAGAAACTGACAGTCAACCACCATCCTAAGTATAGGCCTCTCTGAAACACCACGCAAGATCTCCTCCACCATCACGTCTGCTGCAGCTTACCTGACTACGCTGAATGCCAAGCCGTCATCAGGGGCATTTACTCAAGTCCCGATATTTCAAATGCTAGCATGGTTAGGCGCACATCCCTAATCAAAACGCATTCAGGGGTAAGCGGTTCACAGCCACGTCTAGTGCTCAACAAAGTCCCGCGTGGATTCAAACGACACATCCGGTGTTCATTGCCTCAAGCAGACTGAACTCTAGCTCTATGCATTGTATGCATTGTATGCATTCGCGGACGAGGAGAACCCGAAGCGCGCTATCCATGCCAACTGCCATATTGTATTTTACATTATCTACCCAGCAAACATCTAGTTACCGGAAATCTGAGGACCCGACCAAGCAGAATGACAGCATCGGACAATTCTCATGAGCCCAGGACCCTTCCCAGAGAATCCAAGCCACGATAGTCATCTTTAAAGAAGAAAGGGCCTCTGCTAGCAATACGGGGTAGACGCCAGTGAGTCGATATCCACACTCTAGTCATCTGCAAGTCCCCCCTATAGGCCTGTAAGTGAAGCCAGCGAAGACACGCAATCCCGATACTTTGATTCGGTGTCCCTCAAACTCAGGAGATTGCGACTATGCAAATGTAACCGCTGGGATACCCACCAGACACTACAATCCAACATCTCCTGGCCCGCCATGCTTGGACGGTGCTTTTGCCGTTCTGCATCACCGTCACCGTCTTCACTGGGGTGCCAAGTCTTGCTGCCTGGCAATGCTGGAGAACACAGGTAAGCTACGGACTATAATCTATCATCTAATTCAGGGACCGGGTGTAGTGGGGAACCTCCCTGGCGATGCGCCTTGTCGGTCTGCCTTGTCATATGGGCGCCTTTCGATGTGACTGACAATCCAGCTTAAAGCAGGTCAAGGGAGGAGCACACATCATGTAGACTTGGCGATACTGGGATACTATCCATGCTCTCACCAACATCCCCTGAACACCTATGCGATTATCTAAAATCATTGTGCAGTCTTCAGAGACTATGTATGCATCATTATTTAACTTACAGTCTCCGAGTAGCCGACAGAATAGTCTGAGAGGGTAAAATGCGTGTTAGATTAACACAGCTTAGCTTTTTTCCCCCCCATGTCAAACCAGGGAGCAACCTAATCTTTTGACAATATATTCCGCAGCAAACGCTGGCGTAGCATCTGTTCTACACTCACCCTGCCTTGTATGACAGGTAGTAATGCCGTGCAGTCATTGACTATACATCCTTATCCTTTATCTGGTGGTGTAAAACAAAGTACCCAGAATGCCCACCCTTCTGCACTCCCTTGAACACTCTGGTTTATTTACTCCTCCGAGTGCGTTCCTAGTTACCACCGCGACTGTGGAAAATATGAGCTGCCTGAGGCTGTCCCGTGCGGATGAGTAAGCGTAACTGCCTCAGGCACCAATAGTCCACCAATTATCGCCGCTTATCAGCACGTGAGGCGGAGGATGGCAGAACCGGACCCAAAAAAAGAGCGCGGAAGAAAAAAAAAAAAAGAAAAAGGCAAGCCGGTCGACCAGATTCAACGAGCCAGGCCCACCACCTCAAGTCCCCCAATCCCCCAATCCCCCTCGCAAAGGGAACTCAGTCACCATGCCGATTCCCGTCGATACCGCGAAATCGATCGCCAAGAAGCGCAAGAGAAAGCACAGTGGTGGTGCCCGCGCTGAGGAGGTTCCCGCCGCCGCTGCTGCGGCCGAGGATGTCGTCGAGGATGTGACCAAGGATGAGAAGAAGAAGGAGAAGAAAGACAAGAAGGAGATGAAGATTTTCGACGCGGTGAAGGAAGAGAAGAAGGCGAAGAAGGAGGAGGAGGCCCCCAAGAAGCGCAAGGTCGATCACTCCAGCGAGGAGGATGAGAACGACAGCGACGATGAGATCCATCGCCGTCAGCAGGCTGATGAGGATGATGAGGCTGAGGAGGGAACCGGTGCCGACCTGCCCTCCGTGGACGCTGTCCGTCTGCCCCAGACCGAGACCGACATCGCGCCCCAGAAGTTCACCGAATTGAACCTCTCGGACAAGACGATGAAGGGTATCCAGGATATGGGTTTCGAGACGATGACCGAGATTCAGCAGCGCACTATCCCCCCGCTACTGGCTGGTCGTGATGTGCTCGGTGCGGCGAAGACGGGATCCGGAAAGACGCTGTCTTTCTTGATCCCCGCGGTGGAGATGCTGAGTGCCCTGCGCTTTAAGCCCCGTAACGGTTGGTTTTCTCTCTCTCTACAGGCGGCGGCGGTGGTGTTTGTCGGATGCTGACTGATGTGGTGTGGTCTAGGTACTGGTGTCCTGGTGGTGTCTCCTACTCGAGAGCTGGCGCTGCAAATATTCGGTGTGGCTAGAGAGCTGATGGCTCACCACTCGCAAACATACGGTATCGTGATTGGAGGTGCCAACCGGCGTGCGGAGGCCGAGAAGCTCACCAAGGGCGTCAACCTGCTCATTGCCACCCCTGGTCGCTTGCTCGACCACCTGCAGAACACCCCCGGGTTTGTCTTCAAGAACCTGAAGACCCTCGTTATCGGTAAGGACTACATCTACATCGTGGATGAACGGATGGCTCTAACCCTGCGCAGACGAGGCGGACCGTATTCTGGAAGTCGGTTTCGAGGACGAAATGCGCCAGATCGTGAAGATCCTCCCCGCCGAGGAGAGACAGACGATGCTGTTCTCCGCCACCCAGACCACCAAAGTCGAGGATCTGGCCCGGATATCGCTGCGCCCCGGCCCCCTGTACATCAACGTGGACCACCGCAAAGAACACAGTACGGTCGAGGGTCTGGAGCAGGGCTATGTGGTCTGTGAGGCCGACAAGCGCTTCCTGCTGCTCTTCTCCTTCCTGAAACGCAACATCAAGAAGAAGATCATCGTCTTCTTCTCGAGCTGCAACTGCGTCAAGTACCACGCCGAGCTGCTGAACTACATTGACCTCCCCGTGCTGGAGCTGCACGGCAAGCAGAAGCAGCAGAAGCGCACCAACACATTCTTCGAGTTCTGTAACGCCAAGCAGGGCACTCTGATCTGTACCGACGTGGCCGCCAGAGGTTTGGATGTGAGTAGTTTATGGCTTACGACATTCTGAACACCTGCTAATAATCACAGATCCCGGCCGTGGATTGGATCATCCAGTTCGACCCCCCGGATGACACCCGCGACTACGTCCACCGTGTCGGTCGGACGGCCCGTGGTGTGAACGGCAAGGGCCGCAGTCTGATGTTCCTGCAGCCGTCCGAGGTCGGCTTCCTGAAGCACCTGAAGGAGGCTCGTGTGCCCGTGGTGGAGTTCGACTTCCCGGCCAGCAAGATCGTCAACGTGCAGTCGCAGCTGGAGAAGCTGATCGGCCAGAACTACTATCTGAACAAGGTGAGCTCCCACTGACACCACACAACATCTGACCTGTGTCGTCAATACTGACTTCATCCCCCCCCACCAGTCCGCCAAGGAAGGCTACCGTGCCTACCTCCAGGCCTACGCGTCGCACTCGCTCCGCTCGGTCTTCGACGTGCAGAAGCTCGACCTGATCAAGGTGGCCAAGGGCTTCGGGTTCTCGGCGCCGCCGCGCATCGACATCCAGCTGGGGTCCAGCATGAGCCGCGACAAGAGGCAGCAGCAGCAGGGCCGGCGGACGTACGGCAGCCAGCCCAAGGGGGCGTTGAAGTTCAAGCGGCGGCACGAGGATGAGTAGGGGGAGTGGAATGAATCAAGTGGGTTGATTGATCGGATTGGCATTTCGTTTCGGAGTTCTTACCCTGTGGATATCTGGACTGTTCCTTTTTCTCTTGTTGGATATGTAAAAGCATTGTTTCAGCGGCATGCTGGTTCTTGAGTGGGAGGTGTAGGGATGCAGTAGTATACAGTAGGGCTGGGGTATCATGTGTGCAAGTGCGTTCTGATGGGAAGGACAGCCAGTAAGATGAGAATAGATCTTCACTACTCAGTAAAGGAGGGGTTGAAACATCCTTCTCCGCCATGAGCCCCATCAACGGGCATCTGGATATGTACGGAGTACGGAGTATTCCGTACCTAGGTACAGTTCAATCTTCAACATCCGTATTACTTTTCCCCTTCTTTCTCTCTTCCATTCATACTTTTTAGTAAGCGTGGGGGCTAACTATTTGAGTGTATGAAGTACTCCGTAGATGGAAGAAAAAGGAGGAGGTTGGTCGCCTCCACCGGCCATGTAAAGACGGTACTTTTAGTCCCTCCCTCGCAAGGAACAACACCCCGAACACAATGATAATAATAATAATAGGGTGGCTGGTCCAAATTGACTTTTTTTTTTTTTTTTTTTTTTTTTTTTTTTTTTCACTTCTCCGGTGGCTGGAAAGTCGGAAGATAGAGAAAGATCGAAAGATGGATTTTCCCTTCCCAACGTACAGTTCGAGTGCCACCCCGAGTAAGCACCAGTCAGCCCGTGCAACCTCCCACAGGCTTCACTCCCCAATCACCGCCTCCACCGGCGGCATCACGGATGTGATGAGTTGGCAGCTCCATCTCCCATCCGCCAATCGTGCCGTCGTCGGGGAGACCGCGCGGGCTTGGCTTTTTTTTCCGGTCGGGGGAAAGGCCCGCCAGAACCAGAACCATACTTGTATCTTCTATCCTACTCAGGGGTCTGTTTTGCAGAATGAAGCAGAATGAAGCAGCGCATCGATCGTGGCTCCCACCCCGACGAGTCACCCTCGCCGCAACCACCGTGGCTCGTGTTTCAGGGTAGGTATATAAATGGCAGCACGACACGCTCCCAGGCAGGTTTCATCCTCCAGGCAGATGGATGGAGGCCCTTCACACCTGTGCAACCCTCATAGGGCCACACCGGATACAGATCACATCTCGGGTTGCACTACGGAGGCAATGGGGCCGTTGCCCGTTGGTGATGCTGCCTCGTGCTTCCTGCCTGCTCCTGTTGATCCCGAGGGTGAAGAAGAGGAGGATCGCCTCGCCGGCAGCGTGGTTAGCTCGCCTATCTAGCTAGGTATGTCTCTATTCCCGACGGTGTAGATTCGATGGAGAAGCATTCATGTAGATTGAAAATGTAGCAACCCAGGAATTCCCAGGTAGATAGTAGGTCGGTGAGTATGGAGTAGGGTATAGACAATACACACACGTAGGGCCTTTTTCATCCATCCATCTCCCTCGAACCCAACCGACGTGGGAATCTCGCAAGGGAACCCAAACGGCGCCAGACTGAGTATAAGAGGATGATGCTGGCCGATCGCGAGGCTGGAGGGAGGCTTGACTTGACTTGCCCTCTGGAGTGTTGGAGAGACGATCTTGTTCTACGGAGTACTTTGTTATACTGTTTGTTCCCTGCCAGCACATCCCATCGCCTGGCAGTACCTTACTTAATTAAGTCTGGTGGTTGAGAGCCTTTCTATCTATCTATCTATCCATCTATCCATCTATCTGTCTGTCTGTCTGTTTAATTCTCCATCCCAGCCATCGCCTTTCCTTCCCCCCCCCCTTCCCCACTGCTAGTGTCTCTTTTCCCCCTCTCGGCGAAAGAACGGACGAGTTTTCATCTGGACCTGCTGCAGCACGGGACTGACTGACTTGTTGTTGCGGTGAATGAGGCTGCGTCCTTTGGCTGCTTCACCGATAATCTCCCTGATCATCTTCCCCTCGTGTGTTTGTTCTTTCTGTTCCTGATCCTGTTCCTGATCCTATTCCTGTCCCTCTTGTCTGCTCCAACCACACGCCACTTACTTACTATTTACTGCTACTTACTGCTACATACTGTCTTCCCCCCTCCCAGCGCTGGTACGCTTCGTCTCTCGTCTCTCTTTGCTTTTTTTTTTTCGTGATATTGCAGCTCCCCTCACTTCCCTCCCATCCCCTCCCCTCCCTCACTTCCTCATCCTGATCCCATCCCATCCCATCCCATCCCATCTCACATCCTCTCCAGTCCCCACTCCCGCGGATCCTCACTTACAGCCACCCAGGCGGTGTCTGTGCCTCGACCCCCATCCATTATTCCATCTCCTCACCTCAACTGCATCCCAATCCGTCCGATCGGGTGTGACACGCCATCTGTTCTGTTCACTACCCACACCCACATCATCTGAGGTCCCTTTTTCCTGCTGCTTCCCTCCTGCCTCCCACCCCTGCACGTTTCCTGCCCCCTGAAAAAGCACGCAAAAAAAAAAAAAAAAAAAAAAAGAAAATCACCCAAAGAAGAAGCTGCAGTAATATGATCCGGTCGGGCTGAGAGAAAAAAAAAAAACAATCCACCATCAGCAGCATGGGTGTCGACACTCGCCGACCGATCCTGCCAGCCCCCACAGAATCCCTCGTCGACACCAACACCACCATCGCCGGTAGCATCGCAGGCACCGATCTGGCAACTGACCTCTCTCGCCGCACAGACAAGTCCTTCTACTCCATCCCCGACGACGGGAGCCCCATCACCATCCCCACCCGCCGCCGACACCGGTCCCGCGGGGACGACGACTCCAAGCTGTCCCGCTCGTCGCACCAGCACTCCCAGACCTCCCTGCTCATCGAGTACTTCGAGGGTGGGAAGGGTTCTGGCTCTGGCTCTGGCTCGGGCTCTCTCGTCGCCCGCCCCAGCGTCCGCGTCCGCGTCACCCCTTCCTCCGCCCGCAAGTCCAAGGACCACCGCGACCGCGACCGCGACCACCACCACCACAGCAGGGACCATCACATCCAGATCACCGAGTCCTCCGCCGGTCGCAAGCCCGTCTACTCCCGCCGCATCTCCCTGAGCTCGCCCCACCGCCACCACAAGGCGTCCCGGCCCGAGTCCGACGACCAGGGTTACTCCTCCAACAATTCCGCCACCGACGAGAACCAGCCCCCGGGCCCGCCCGTCGAGATCGAGTTGATGAACCGCGACCAGGCCAGCGAGCTGTCCACGCTCTCCCGCGACACCCGCTACTTCCACCCGACCTCCGACATCTCTTCCATGCCCGCCGATAGCATGCTGGAAGCCCCCTCGTCCGGCCCTCGTCGCAAACGCAGCCAGAGTCTAGAACGCGACCCGTCCATTGAGAAGGAATACCTCAAAACCCCCCGCCGCCAGCGCAGCCGCAGCCTCAGTACCGAACGCATCGCCCATCGCGTCGCCGAGAAGCTGAGCAACGACCCGCGCGAAGTCTCCAGGCAACGCCGCCGCGCGGAGCGCAGCAGGTTCGACGACAGCGACCCCCAAGAAATGGACACGAAGTCGCCCCGTCGTCGCGGCACGGAGGACGTGATGAGTCCCGAGTCGAGCCTCCTCAGCGCCTCGGCCGTCTCCTCGCATCGGCGGTCCGGGGACCAGTACTCCTTCAAGTCGGGGACCTCCAAGTCATCCATCAACAACCCGAAGCTGCTGGAAACCGTCGAGGATGCCATCCGGCGGCTGATCCTGCCGGAACTGAAGGAGCTCAAGAAGGACCAGAAGGTCATCTCCAACACCTCCAAGTTCGACCGGGACATGAACGCGTCGTACTCGTCTGCCAGCACCCCCTCTCGGGACGAATTAGGTCGCCGCCTCTCCAAGCACGCCAGCGCCCCTGACGTCCGCAAACCCAAGGTCGTCCTCAACAAGGATAGCCGCGACGAGGGGATCCTGCTGTCGGGCGACTCTGTCCCCTCTCACAAAGAACGCCGCTCCAGCAAGGACAGCGAGCGGTACAGCGAGAAGGGGCCCGAGATCGGGTACATCAAGTGGGGATATCGGCCCGAGATGACGGAACAGGAGAAGCTGCGTCGCCAGAAAAGCAAAGGCCTGCGTGATGCCGAGAAGGCTGCGCTCGTCGGAAACGCCCTGACCGCCGCCGCCCTCCACCATCACGACTCGCGGTCGAGCCTCGACAAGAGCGAAGGCCGGAGACGCAGCAGCGGCGGCGGCGGCGGCGGCGGCGGCGGCCACAGCCGTACTGGAAGTATTAACGAGACCGAGCTGGTCTTCCAGAAGCACAACATTGCTCCCATGCCCCTGCGCAGTGCCATTGAATCAGATCTGACCAGAGCATCGCTCCTCTCCGAGCAGACCGCAGCAGCATCTACGTGGTACGACGAAGACCGGGCCCAGGAGGTATCCCGCGCCCCCCCGTTCCAAGCGCTGTCCCCGACGCCTCGCACGCCGAACCGCACCCCCTTGGATGCCCGGTATGAGCTGCGGCTCAAACACAGCAACCTGTCCAGCCATGATCTGTCGATCCACAGTCCCAGTTCCTCGACGCGCTCGCCCGTGGGAGAGGCAGCGGGCTCAGCGATCGCCGCTGCAGCTGCCGCCAACCTCCTCGATATCCACTCGGATCACCATGATCTCAGCTTCAGCGATCTGGGGAGCCGTCGGCGCACGCTGAGCCCGATCCAGAGCGTCGCCAGCTACCAGAGCCAGTCTCCGGTCAAGCAGGAGGCCCATCATGATAGGTACGAGTACTCTGAAGATGAACGAGAATTGGAACCACGCCTCTCGATTGACTCGCTTTCGTCTGCGCCCAGCACAAACCTGGCCAGATCCACTCGTCCAGAAGGTCTTAGCATTACCAGTCAGACGGAGTCTCTCCGGCGCCAGCAGCAAGAATATCCCGGTCCGGAGCTCGGCTACGAGGAGACCCCCCGGCCCTCCCCGCGCGATGACAAACACTGGGACGAATCCGAGGACGAGGAGCATGATTACCGCCATTCGATGGCCGAGTCCACGGGCACCGAGCGCCAGCGGATGACCGGGTACACCGACGAAAGCGAGATGGACTACCGCGACATGGTGGACCAAGGGCACCATGTGGAGGGGGGAACCGCTGCCAACCCTCAATTCGTGCATCCGATGGCGGTAGAATCAGCTGTCGCCTCCCTGCTCGACCCGACGGTGCTCGACCAGACCGTTCTTGACAGTCAGTCCGGGGCGAATCGGTCGATGAATGATATCCCCGAGCAGGATGAGAGCGAGGAGGAGCTGGATGACATCACCCCTCAGCCATCTCGTCAAGGCAGCCCTCTCAAGCAGCGGCAGGATGCGCCGAGCCCGGATGCGCCGAGCCCGGACGCGACCTCGTTTCCCCGCCGGATGGGTGCAACCTCGCCGCCCCAGAGCGTGACCCAGTCGTTGGAAGATCTGACGGAGCCCGCTCTGTTTTCGGGTGTAGATCGCGAGAGCCCGATGCCGCATGATGAGGGGAGCCCCGATTCCGAATCCGAGATCAATACCAATCCTTCCATCATCCAAGGTCCTGCGGCTCAGGAGCACAGCTGGGGCTTCAACCGCACGCCGTCCAAAGACGCCCCGTCGCCGCTGTTTGACAAGTCCGGCGCCGGCGCCGGCCTCGGCCTGGGATCGGTCGAGCAGCCCAAATATGGGGACTACTACGAGGACAACTATGGCAACTATGGCGACACCTATGGCGCGAACGACTATGGTGCGAACGACTACTTCGATCAAGACTACCCCCGACAGATGCTGGGCACCCCTCTCGGCGCCAAGGATGAGGGTTATGTTTCGGCCGCCAACCCGCGGTCCCCGAGCGTGGAGACGCCGGAGCCCCTCAGCAAAGGGATTGCCGGGATTGATACGAATGGCATGGGCATGTTCGACAGCCCCATCGGGGGCGACGACTCGTTCATGCCCTCTCACCAGCGACAGCTGAGTGGGTTCTCCCATGGAGTGCCTTCGCCCCTGTACGACAGTGCGACTGGAAAGGGAATTGACCGGATCAAATCCAAGGATATTGTTGCACTAATGGACCATGTAAGTCTTTTCCGAGCGGGCCATTTGATCTCATGCTGACTGCGCAGCTCACCGTTCGGGATGCCCAACGGAATGCCAGGGATACGGAGATCCTCGTGACTCTTGTGCGGAGCGCCGCTGAAATGCGCAATTCCTTCGAGGAGATGAAGAAGTTCATTGCCCAACAGGATGGAGCGATCATGGACGCGAATGACCGGCAGCACGAGCGCACCCACAGAGCCCTCGGCGGGCCGCGTCCACTGCCGGTCAGTGCGCGCAGCGCTCGCCAGATGTCCGTCGACGAGGGCGAGGACATGCGCTCGAAGCGGAAGAACATCTTCAAGCGGGCACTCAAGGGGCTGAGTCTGAAGAACTCGAGCGATCTGGGCCGCATCGAGGATATGCTGGAGCAGCTGCTGGACGAGGTCGAGGCTCTGCGTCTCAACCAGGACGACAAGTACGTGCGCGCGCCCCGTGCCGCCAGCGTCGACCCCGAGGGCTACGAGCCAGAGGGACAGGCCGGGACATCGTCTCCTGGAAACCAGTCCGAGTATCTCTCGACCTCTTCGCAGCCAGCGCAGGAGCCGCTCATCGGAAACGGACTCCGGCGGGGGATGGAGAACCGGGTCAGCACGGTTCCGGAACTGGACGAGGACCTGGACGTCGACGAGCGCGGGGAGTTCTTGAGCCCGCCGCTGCCGTCGCAGGAGGCCAACCGCCAGGACCGCGCCGGCTCCGCGCCGGTCTCGACCCCCCGCGGGAACCCATGGCGTCGGGAGCCCTCAGCAACGACACGACCCCGAAGACTGAGAAGGCCAAGAAGCACAAGTCCAGCAGCTCCTCGTTCTTCCCGAAGATCTCGCGCTGGTCGAAGACCACGGCGTCGTCGATGGGGGACAACATCCGCAACAGCATCCAGCCCGGGCGCAAGGAGCGGGCGTCCTTCGAGGCATCGCGGTCGGGATCGGACTTCGCCGGGGCGTACAACAAGCCTGACTTCTACGACCAGGGGGACGGGCTGCGCTCGACGTACACGCTGGAAGATCAGGCGCAGGAGAATCGGCCTCCGTCGCCTCTCGTGCCATCCCAGGCGTCGGAGGTGCCGAAGTACCAGGCCCACCGGGGCAGTCTCGATCTGTTCCACCCGCAGCCGCGGCAGGGACCTTCCGGGCGCTACCAGTCTCAGCTTGAGACGCAAGCGCAGGGATACACGATGCCCGGATCGGGAGCGCCATCGGAGCAGTGGGGATCCAACCCGAGCCTGTCGGGAGTCAACGCCAACCAGCGCTACAGCGGAGGCAGCCGTCTGTCGCCCATCTCGGATGCCGGCTACTCGGAAGCGAGCTCGCGCCACACGGGGCCGCCACGGCCGCCGAAGGTGAAGGACGACGGGCCACTGATCCCGGAGAGGCCGCTCAAAGCCAAGGAAGACGACGAGCGGTCGTACGTGGAACGGGTTGCTTCGCGGGTTAGTGCACACGTGCGGAAAGGGCGAGTTCGCCGGATGCTGACGATATTTCTGTAGAGTTCTGCGATGCGGTCTCCGCGCAGCACGCCGCCGCCGGCGCGCAAGCCGACGGGGCCGCGGCCGTTGACGTCGGGGAGTCAGTTCAGTCCTGCCCGGAGGAAGCACAGCCAGTACCGGGCCAGTCCAGACCAGGTCGACGCGGAGCTGGATTATTGATGATGATGATGATGATGCTGCTGCGGATTTAGCGGAGTTTCTGTCCTTTCCTTTTCTTTTGTTCACCCCTCACGACTTATGATGCGTTGATGATTCGTTGATGATTGAGCGTGTTGCATCTGCTGCTTTGATACTTCTGGTTTTGTATTGCGGTTGGAGAGGTGTAAACCATGTCGAATACCATGTAATCGTTTTTTTTTTTTTTTATGATTCCCTTCCTCCTTCTTGCGGGATATTTTGGCGGTGGCCGGCCTTATGCTAATGAATGACAAAAGTGAGGTTACATACATTTCATGTCATGCGGAGTGGATCAGCGGAGTAGATGATCGTTTATCCGTGTGCTACCGTGGTTGGGACTTTCTGTTTGCTGGTGGCCTGCGGGGTAAAAGGATAGATAAAGCTGCTTCTCCTCTTGTTTGGGACCTGATCCTGTCTGACTGTCTGCCTGTCTGACTGTCTGACTATATCACCCTCCTGTGCTATACAGTTCTAGTCCCAAGCAGTATCCATCATGTCCGACCCTCTCGACCCCCATCTCGACCTCATCATCTGCTCGACCTGCGGCACGCAGTTCTCGACCCCGTCGCCGCCCCCGAACTGCAAGATCTGTGATGACCCGCGACAGTATATTCCTCCGACGGGGTGCGTCTTTTTTTTTTTTTTTTTTTTTTAATAAATAACCCTAACTTACCTATCCACATGACATCAACATCAACATCAACATCTAAATAGGTGTCAACTTCCACCCCTCACTTCCTGTTATCCCCCTTTTATTTCATTTTCATTCCAATCATATCCCACTCACCCCCCCCCCCTCCCTACCCACCCAACACCCCAAATATACAGAAATCAACCAATCAACCAACCAATCAATCAATAAATCAATAAATGAACAAATACCAAGCCAAGGCTAACCCCAACAGCCAAACCTGGACCACCCTGCGCACCCTCCACAACGCCTCTCCGACCTACACCAACATCTTCACTCCCCTGCCTCTTCCCCAAGGAAAAAGCAACCTCTACTCCATCCACACCATCCCCAAACTCGGCATCTCCCAGCGCGCCTTCCTCCTCCTCACCCCCCACGGCAACGTCCTCTGGGACTGTCTCACCTACCTGGACGATGAGACTATCCGCCGCATCAGCGCCCTCGGGGGTCTGCGCGCCATTGTCATCTCTCATCCGCATTACTATACCTCCCATGTCGTCTGGGGGGAGGTGTTTGGGTGTGATGTTTTCCTGGCCGCGGAGGATAGGGAGTGGGTGGTGAGGGGGAGGGGGAGGGGGGGGATGGAGATGGAGATGGAGATGGCGATGGAGATGAACGAGAAGGAGAAGGAGAAAGGGAAGGAGAAAGGGAGGGGGAGAGGGAGGGAGGTATTCTGGGATGGACGGCAGGTGGATTTATTCGACTCGGTATCGACATCTGAATCTTCAAGCTCATATCATGATGGGGTTCAAAATGGTTATGGAGATGTGGATGCGGGTGCAGATACAGGTACAGGTACAGGTACAGACACAAGTACAGGTACAGACACAGCTACAGCTACAAGTACAGGTACAGACACAGGTACAGACACAGACACAGACACAGACACAGGCAGAGACGATATAATAGCCATCAAAACCGGCGGTCACTTCCCCGGCAGTTGCGTCCTCTGGTGGAGGAGCCAGAAGGTCATGTTCCTGGCTGATACCATCGGGACGGTGCCCAGTGGGATTTATCATGTGGGGAGGGAGCCGGGGACCGCCAGTTATACCTTTATGTGGAGTTATCCGAATATGGTTTGTCAATCCCTCTCTCACTGACTCACCTACTCTTCAACTACCTACGGTTCAACCACCTACGGATTGACAGACTGCTAACTACCAATGATCATCATCCGTAGATCCCCCTCCCCCCCGACGACGTGCACACCATCTGGAAATCCATCCGCCACACCGACTTCGACACCGCGTACGGGGCGTTCGTGGGGATGGACACCCACGGCCACTGCAAGAGGCGCGTGCTGGAGAGCGCCAAGATCTTTGTCCGGGCGATGGGGTATCGTGATCATGCCATTCATGGGGAAGAGTGTGATTGAGAAGTAGTATTATTAGCATTAGTATTAGTATGAATGGGATGGTTGTATACATGGATATGGTTTATAGTTGGGGGTGGTGACGGGTATGGATGATGTGTGGAGGATTGAGGTGGTGGGTTGGATGATGATGATGATGATGATATAGCTGAATAGGGGATAGGGTTGTCTGCCAGAATATAAAAATTGGATCTGACGCCGAGTCTGATGAGTGAAGAAGAATAGCAGCATAGGTAGGGCACGGATCCAGAAAGACAGACGTGACCGAAGACAAAAGTGCAGGCCTGGCAGGAAGATAAGACAGTACACGCTCACGGATACAGATAGGTCTGACTGCAGATACAGGCCACCCGAGTATAGACAATACAGGCATCACGGCAGTGCATAAGGAATATGCCTATACCTCGGTCGGCCTCACCGAAGCCCTGACGACGGCAGTTTCGCTCCCCCCCTGATTGACCCGCGGCGCCGCCGACGCCAACGCACTGAACTCCAGGCCCTCGCTGATGGGAAACTTGCCCGGATAGCTGTCTGCCGATCGCGAGCGCTGCAGCTTCTCGATATCGACCACCACGGGGCCAGCCGACACCTCCGACATCAGCCCGGACAGCCGCATCCCGGAGAGCAGGCTCTGTCGCTGGCTCGCGGAGATCGAACTCGGACCACTGATCGACAGGCTCCTGCGGATGACCGACGAGTAGACCGAGTCGCTGACCAGCGGCCGATGGCCCAGCCGCTGCGCGCCCGTGTCTTCGAACTCGGTGCCCGGCCCCAGCACAGCCGCGTTGGCGATCTCCACGTCCACGCTGCGGTGCGAGATGCAGTTGGACAGGTGCACCATCGGCGAGACGCGCGTGGGCACCGGCATCAGCGGGAGCGTCATGTTGGTGGATGCGCTGCCGCGCGTGGTGGGGAGCAGGTCCGAACTGGTGTTGGAGAGGATGCATCGTCGGCCGGCGGATCCCCCGGGGTGGGAGAGAGAGATGGGACCCGGCAGGTAGAGCTCTTCGGGGACGAGGATGAGGAGGATGTTGATCAGGTGTTGCTCTTTGCGCTCCAGGGTCTGCGCAATGCGGCTGTTGGGATATTCCTCCGTCGTGCGGTCCACCCGGAACACGTCGAGCACCGCGTGGAGGAACTTGATCGTCAGCAGCGTCTGCAGCAGAGAGACCACGCGGCGCAGGCTGAGTGAGTCGATCAGGATCGCGGCCTTGATGGCGGGCTCGTTGGAGGACATTTCTTTTGTCGTGGTGGGGTGGGTTGGGGGGGGTAGCTGAGGAGGTGGGAAGTTTCCAGAGGCGTTCGGTAGATGTGACAAAGAGCATCAACAGAGTCTAGCGTTGGTTGAAGCCAACTCTGCCGGGAGAGAAGTGGATGTGGATGCGACAGGAACGTCGGGGTGGGATGGCGATGAAGCTGGACACTCCCTGAAGCAGGAGCCACTGACTGCTGACTGCTGACTGTTGACTCCTTCCCATCTGATGTCTCATATTGCAGCAGACTGGCGCAGTGACCACCGGATCGCGATCTACCGCAGAGCATCACACCGTTGTAGTACTACTAACTGGATAGTTGTAGATGAAGTTGAATGTAGTGTCGTGTCGATGTTAGGGCAGAGAATCCCCTCCCCGCATTCCCCACTCGTTCTTATCTTAGCGCGCCACTTCATTCCTGACCTGACCTGACCTGACCACATCACACCATCTTTCCATAATTCATGCTCTCTCTCTCTCTCTCTCTCTCTCCCTCTTCACCAGCGAGAATCATGGCCTCTCTCAACCCATCCCCCCCTCCACGCCGCTTTGCACCCCTCCACCCCTCCACCCAGGCCTCTGATGCCCCCCCGCTGAGGGGCATCGTGTTCGACGTCGACGGCACTTTATGGTACCGCCATTCTTTCCCCAATTCCCTCCCCCTTCCCTTCCCAGCTAGCTAAATGATCCACTCCACGAAACAATAGTCTTCCCCAGAACTACATGTTCGCTGAGATGCGGTATTCCATCCCTAACCCAACCATTTATACTATATAATGCTACCCCCACCCTAACAACCCCCAGCGCCGCCCTCGACATCCCCCCCCAAGTCGACATCCTCCACCACATCGCCCACCTCCCCCCCGCCTCTCGCCCCGACGCCCTCAACAAGATCAAAGCCATCGAGCAAGCCGCCATGCTCACCCAGCGGCCCCAGCCGGGCCTCGTCGAGCTGATGGATTATCTCGAGAAGAGGCGCGTTCGACGCGCTCTGTGTACGAGGAATTTCGAGTATGCTGTCTGCCCTTTGTCTTACCCTGTTACCAGAGAGAGAGAGAGAGAGATGATCATCATCGGTATTCTGCGATTTGATGACGGCTAATGAATGAAGAACCCCCGTCCAAACCCTCCTCGACAACCATCTCCCCACCCACCTCTTCCTCCCCATCATCACCCGCGAGACCCCCGGCGTCCTGCCCAAGCCCGATCCAGCGGGTATCCTGCATATTGCCAGTGAGTGGGGGGTGGGTGCCGACGGGCTGATTATGGTATGTCTATCTGCCATCCGTGACTTTCTTATTCCTTTCTCCCTTTCGGTTATTCCTAGTGTCATTCCACACATAGTACTTCGACATTCAACGAGAATGGTGCAGTGGGCTCATTCATCCAGGTCGGCGACAGCATCGATGACATGACCGCCGGCCATGCCGCCGGCGCCGCCACGGTCCTGCTGCTCAACGAGCACAATGCCCATCTGAAGGAGCATCGGCATACGGACCTGTGCATTGAGCGGCTGGACCAGTTGATTGGGGTCTTGGAGGGGGGGTTTGTGGGGGAGAAGAATGGATTGGCAGGAGGGGGTGGAACTGCGGGTCATTTGAAGATTGAAGATTAAGACTGAGATGATGCGTGTGGAGATTATAGATGTAGATATCGGATCGGATCTGTATATGACTGATTGATAATTGGGGGGGGGGGGGGGGAAATACTTGGATAGACGTACGGTTCAATGGATACATACCGTTCAGATATACGCTGCTTGTCTACGATTCCATCAGTGTAGGATATAATACATTTTAAAAGAAATCACGGGTATACTGCACCGTCTACCTCAGCTGTACACGCGAATCGTCAGAGAATCCACCACCACCACCATCACCATCACCATCACCCAGCCACGCTCATTAATCATCAGTCATCAGTATCGGGATCGATCCCACGCCTTCTTCCCCGCACTCGGCATCGGTCGATACATGTCTCCCCCACCACCACCACCACCACCACCACCACCACCTCCGCCCCCTCGCTTCCCACCGCGTCCCCCACCGCGTCCAGCATTCCCGTTTCCGCGCGACGGCGGCCGACTCGGCGGCTTCCCGCGTCCGCTCGGCTGCCAGCTATCCTTGCCTCGGCCGCGGTTGGGTCGCGGGTTCGGCGACATCGACCGCTGCCCGGCAGACGAGTAGTCGTTCCGATCGGTGCGGTATCCGCCACCGCCATTGCCCGCTGGAGCCAGGTTCTTGTTGCCGCGGCCGATCCCGCTCCCGAATCGGATGTGGCTGCGCGTGGCACCCGCTCCCCGGTTGACGGGCGGCCGTCGGTTCGACATCATGTCTTCGCTGTCGGAGGACGAGCGCTGCTGCTGGTACTGGTGGTCTGCACGGCCTCGGATCTTCATCCCGCCACCTCGGGGTCCGCCCGGGCCGCGGGGAGCACCGCCGCCGCGACGTGGGGCTACCACGGAGTTGAGGTTTGTGATCGTGTTCGGGTCGACGCCCTGGAGCGTCCAGGATGAGGAGCGCAGACCGGCCGGGAGGGAGGGACAGTCGCCTAGCAGGTGGCGGTTGCTGGTGCAGTGGGCGCACGATAGAGATACGAGGACAGGCACCGGGGGCGCGTCTGAGGTTTCGGGTTGGCTGGCTTTCCATTTCCACATGAGATCGCAGTCCAGTTCGAGATGCGTGGTCGAGCCGCATAGGTCGCAGGGAGTTTCGGTCGCAGAGCCTTTCAGTGCCGATGGGCATGCGTCTTGGTCGTGCCCGCGCGACCGACATCGCTGGCAGCGGAGCCACGTCGGGCAGACGTTGCTGGGGTGTTTGTTCCATGCGCTGCAGTGGATGCACTGTAGTTTGGTTAGTTGAGTTGAATAGGGCCGGGGAAGAGGTTGGGGGGGGGAAGGTACCTCTTTTGACGGACAGACGGCGGACAGGTGCCCCTCTTGCAGACATTCAGTGCAGGTAATCGGTAGCTGCAGGTCGATGTCGTTGACGTCGCGGTCATAAAACCGGTACTTGGCCTGAATGTCCATGTCGTCGCGTTCCAGATCGGCGAGGGTGGAGGGTGCGGTCGGGTATTTCTTCGAGAAGCGGAGGAGCGCGGTCTCCTTCGACTGGTCATCCGTGCCATCGTGTCCATGTCCATTCGCGGTGTTGCCGTTCGACACGGGCAGCGCCTCCGGGTCGTATTCGTCGTCGCCGTCGGGGCGCGATCCAATGTTCAGCAGAATGGAGTCGTCCGCTTCCGAGTCCAGGGAGCCTGACGAGTCCGAGTCGCGCATCTGGCTGGACTCATCCGAGCTCGAGTCCACCTCCCCTTCCTCTGTGGCACCACCCTGGTCCGGCCTCGAGTCGGTGGATGCACTCCGGCTGCGCCAGAATTTATCGTTGACGGCGTCGAACTGGGACGCGGGCTTGCTCTCCTCCGCCTTCCCGCGACTGCGCAGCGACGTCCGGATCGCACTCTTGTTTCCCTTGTTCCAGTTCGGAGGAGCCGCGGGAGCCTGCGCACCGCCCGCGTCCGGTGCGTCATCCGATGAAGACGCATTGTCGCTGTCCGAGCCCGACGAGGAGGTGGAATCCGGGTCGACCTCGAGGGCGGTCGCGCTGAAGGTGGCGCCCTGGGGCACAAAGTCTTGGGGTTTGCGGGCGTCGTCGGATCCGTTGCGTCGCTGTCTCTTGCGCGGGTTCGGGTTGGAGTCTTGGGAGCTCTGGCGCGACAGGGTCTTCGCCTGAGCGCGGGGGGCGACCGAGGCGGTGCGTGAGTCGTGATCGTCTGATGGTGAATCTGCCATCGTGGGAGAGTGCCGGGTTGGTGAGGAGGTGCGTGAGGGAAGTTCAGCGTCGACAGCAGCAGATTTCGAGCTGGAAATTCACGGGGGGCGGCAGTGACCAGATGTGCCGTTCCGCACGCCCTGTATTTCCCATACCCCGGCCGTACCATGTTTACCTCCTGCCAGCAATCGCTGTAGGGACGGGCGTGGAAATGGCCGGATGGAGCCTGTCGTGTCTACGGGGTCTGGAACTGTCGTCTATCTATCATAGATCTACAGTCGAGTGCATGAGAGACGAGGAGGGAGGGCTCTTTGCCTGATGGCCGCGAGGGGCGATGCGGATCTAGAACAATGGGATGCAGCAGCAGCAATGCTGAGAACCGCGCCAGACTCGCAACTGCAACTTCTCCGGCGTCATCCCCCCGGCTGTCCGGGCTATTCTTAGCCACATCCCCCCCCCGATCGGAGCATCTGGCCTTTTCTGCCCTTGATTTATTTTCCTCCTCCCCATCTCAGGAGCTAGAGCTTCAGCTAGCAGCTTCTAGATTGCAGAGATCTCTCGCTTTATCTCCATCCCCCCTCCCCCTCCCCCTCCCCCTCCCCCTTTTATTATAATTTTTTTTTCGCCTGCTTAGGGTCTGCCGGTGTAAGAATAATGACCGCCGCGTCCCGGTAATACGATACGGTACCTGCTCCCGTGACCAACCACCGCCGCCGATCGTCTTCAAGATCGCCTCCGACCAACCAAACCAACCGAACCCTCGAACTTCAGCTTCCATCCATCCAGCCAGCCAGCCCTGCTTGACTCTCTCGTTGCCTCTCGCGGCTGCTTCGGTCGTTTCCCTTGCACCTCTCGCCGTCGTTCTCCCTCCCTCCCTCTCTCTCTCGATCCCGACCTTTCTGTCCGATACCCCTATCGATCCCTCCCCCCCCCCTCCCCCGTCCGATTCAACACCGCCAAAGTGTCTTCCCTACTCGCCCCCCGTGCCATCTCCTTCCCCCCGGAGGTCGACGCTGCGTCGCGCCGGTTGGCTCCGGACTCCAGCATGGCTCAAAGCAAGGCTGGTCGGAGGAGACGCTCCAGCAGCATCATCTACCAGGAACCTGCCGAATCCATTGAACACACCAGCGACCAGGCGGCTTTGCCCAATCTGAATGCGAACTGGGTCAACGCCAAGGGTGAGTACCTGTTTCCCAGATCCTGAAGAGGGGTACCTGCGGGGAGTGCCCAGGATGGCAGTGACACAGTGGCTAACCGCACGCCGTCGGACAGGAGCCTGGACCATCCATTTCGTGCTCATCGTGGCCCTCAAGATCCTCTACGACATCATCCCCGGTCTCTCGCAGGAGACCTCCTGGACCCTCACCAACATCAGCTACATGTTCGGCTCGTTCCTCATGTTCCACTGGGTGCGGGGCATTCCCTTTGAGTTCAACGCCGGCGCGTACGACAACCTCAACATGTGGGAACAGATCGACAACGGCGACCAGTACACGCCCACCAAGAAGTTCCTCCTCTGCGTGCCCATCTGCCTCTTCCTCCTCAGCACGCATTATACCCACTACGACCTGACGTATTTCACCATCAACTTCCTCGCGACCCTGGGCGTGGTGATCCCGAAATTGCCGTTTGTACGTGTTTTGCCCCCCCCTTGAGTCACGGAAAATAAATGCTAACACGGGGATTAGTCGCACCGTCTGCGAATAGGTTTCTTCTCAGATATACCAGAGGAGTAGCCGCTCTTTCCTCTCTCTCTCCCTCTCTCTCTCTCTATCTCTCCCTCCTTTTTTGGCCTGTCTCATTTACTTGCTCTTATTCCCTTATCTTACACTCTGTGTTTCGCGTCCTCTACACTACTTATCGTTCTTGATAATATTCTCCGCTTGGCGTTGTCTCATTCCCCACCCCCCGTCTCGCTTCTTGTTCGACTCCCGGGGTCCCGTGTCGTGTCGCCGTGTCGCCGTGCCGCTTCGGGCGGTGCCGCATCCCCGGAGCCCCCCGGAAGTGCGCTCGCTGCTTTGCTCGGGACCGCAGAATCGAGGAGACAGCGGGGGATGCGGCTCAGGTTATAGAAGGGGGAAGGCGTGATGGTGTGTGCGGAATAGATGATGGCATGGGGCCGGGCTGATGTTTCTGGGCTCGCTGCTCATCACCACTACACTCTATATAAGAAGGTATTCCATATTGCTGCACCTGTGCCCGTTGTAAATCGGTGGATCGGCGGATCGATGGGGGGTGGCCGGCTTCTCGTGACTCCTGAGGCAAGGCAGCCAAGTCCGGCTGAAACGAGCGGAGCGGAGATCAATGGCGTGATTGTCGAGTCGGTTGCCTTGGCTTTCCACGTGCCGAGATGGCTCATGCCGAGGGTGGTCTTGTATATAGCTAGCTTATGCATAACAGGTAATATCGTGATATTCTGTCATGGAAGAGTCACATATCGACAACCGGGCCTTGGCTGGCCAGTGATCACCACCATAGCACGCACCGATGACTTCCGGGCTAACTTATTTTGTGGAAGGTTTGGCTCCAACTTCCGGACTGCGTAGTCCTGACTGAGTTGTACCACTGGATCCTGTGTATTACGTGGATAAATCTTCTTCACGTCTTACTGTACCGCTTATCGAGTTACTGGTTCCTGCTACGTAAAAGGGTGTTGCCTAAATATGATGTATGTTCATCCATCGTAAAGGTGCATTAAGAGTGATGTTGCCTGGAGAAATATGAATGTAGAATGAGCAGGGAATTATGCACTCTGCATTAGCAGTATGTGCATTATTCTAGGAGGTACTACTACTAGTAGTTAGTTAGTTAACTAGTAGGTACTTCACTTCTTACTAAGTACTACTATGTCTGCCCATCTGACTTCCAGATCAGGAAGGTGGAGGTGGGGCAGATCCGTCCCCGACTTCCCCGACTCCCACCCATCGACATTCCATCTACTCACATCTCACATCTCACTCAAGACTTTGATCCCTCCTACAGATGTCAGTCGATACTGGATGCTATACGGTCAAACTTGACTAGATCAGATGGATGAACGCGTGGATAGACGCGATGGACTAACTGCTGTTTATTTCGCGCCGACAACGCGTGCTTCATATCTCGGGGTGCAACCCGACTCAGTCTTTTAAGCTAAGACCGTGTCGACTGACGATGGGCTTACACGGCTAGCTGACGATGACTCTCACCAAGCATCTACGGCATCAACTGATTTCTGGCTGATCGCGTGAAACAGTCGTCAATCGCACGATCAAAGGCAGCCTCTCCCAAATACTAAACGACAGCTGATCGGTCCACGCCAGCGACTGCGGATCCAGGCTGACGTCGAAATTCCACAGGAACTTGGCCAGGATGGTTCGCGCTTGAGCATAAGCTAGTCTAACAGTGACACCCGCCGATTAGCGGCACGGATTCTAGCAGCAGGATGTATCAAGGAGCGGCAGCTCACCTTTGACCAATGCAGTTCCGAGACCCATAGGAGAAGGGCTGCAACGCCTCCCGACGGTCGGCGGCAAACTTGGTGTTCCATCCCGGATCTTCCTCGTCCAGCCAGCGCTCCGGGAGGAACGAGTCTGGTTCGGCGAAGTTGGTTCTTGATCGATAGGTTGAGTAATGGGCGACGGAGACGGAGACCTAAAGAGGAACAGAATGAATGGATGGCCTCCTCGGGTGTGCGCCTTGACTTACTCCTTCCGGGACATGTTCGCCGTTGAGCACGGCGCCGCCTGTGGGCACCAGTCGTGGGAAAATGGCGGGCACTGGGGGATAGACGCGCAGTGTTTCTTCGATCACCGCGCAAAGATAGGGGAGCTTGGCAACCGACTGAAAGGTGATCTGATCGGCGCATTCGAAGCCCCCGCGGATCTCCTCTGTGAGTCGTCGATAGGCGGCGGGGTTCTGGAATAAGTGAAAGATACAGCCAGAGAGCAACGTGGACGTGGTTTGGCTCCCTGCGATAATCAGAATACCTGCATTTGCTTCAATCTCGCTATGGCTCATTCCGCGCTCGTCGTTGTGCCGCAGGATATAAGTCAGGAAGTCTTTCCTATCCGTCTGGGTGGCCAGACGACGCTGGAGCTTCTCATTGCTCATGTGCCAATGGTCTCTTCGCATTTGGACAAGTCGTCGAGGTAGCAGAAGCTTAACGAGTGGAGTGAGGACGGGATACACCAGCAGACTCCGCTCAAACTCGGCCGATTTCATACTGGGATAGACGATAGATACCCATGGGTGGTACTGCTTGGACTTCACACAGTCAAATGACTCCCCGAATGCCAGGTCTCCGGTAATGTCGAAGGTGACGAACTCGAACCATTGGGCCATGTCCACGGTCTGCCGGGACGCAGATACCTCGGCCCGCAAAGTCTCCATAAGTAGGTCCACATGAGCATGAATGAGAGCCTCCTGCTCGCGCAGTGCTTTGTCTGCGAAGGAGTTCACGAGCAGGCGCCGGATGCGCGAGTGATCGGCGTCGTTTGCCCCGACGATGGTCGGTCCGCTGGGAGTTGGCACATAGAAGCTGGGGTCCTTGGGGAACCTTCTCTGGGTGCCATATATCTCTCGCCACACCTGAGGGCTTCGGTAGGTAAGAGAGTTGGGCCCTATACGGATTACCTCGCCATAGCGGTCGTGAAAGTCTTTGATTTTGAATTGGAGAGTTCCTGCCCATGTCCAATACAGGTAAGGAAGATCGGACAGGGCGGCTATCCATGGCCCAGGATATCGCCGGAGTGGATGAAAGGCTAAGCGGTAGGCCCCTACCGCTAGTGAGACTACCAGAGTCTACTTTTATGAGTATGAACGGGCATAAATAGCGAGGTGACTGAGCTTACCAGCACGACGATGAGAGCGCATAGAATAGGGAGACGGGTTTCCCACACTCCCAAAGAATGGTCCAAGGAAAGCATGGTTTGCAGTGACAATGATAATATTGCGGAGGGTATCTTCCTCTTGCTGTGCGTTATCCCACTTTATAAGCCAACGGTAGGTGACAAGGAGATACAATCAAGGATTATGGCGGCACAGTGCGAAAGAGCTCGTTACTCAGAGGGAGAATCCAGAGTGACTTACCAAGATTTTCTGGATTCAGGTAAACGCCCGATTATGCATGCAGATATCTGTACTCTGGGGCTTGACCTCGAGTTTGAACTGGCCCCTCTTCCGCCACGTAACCGGGTGGATGAATGCGATGCCCCCGCTGCAGACTACGACCTGAAGCTAGTCAAATCACTGCTCTTTGCCACCGTTATGGCGTGTCTTAAGACGAGCAGACGCAGCTGCCTGCATGATACTATGCAGAATCCAGTGGGTCCAAGTGAATTTCACACTCTCTTGTTTCTTCGGTGGCACTACAGGGATATGACCTCCATTGAATGGTGCTAATGCAGTCAGGTAGCATCTTGGACGCGTACCAAGGTACTGATTGATTGATTGAATGATTGATCATTGCATTGTACCTGATTTCAGCACTCTCGCGGGACTCTTCCGGGTAGCCGACGGCCGAATAGCCATAACTGTGGAGATTTTAACAGGGTACCTCTTCAGCTATTGCTGTTGTACTTACGGGAATATTCGGGTTTACTGTCTACGAAAGGACACGTAATCGTCACTATTCCATTCGTCTGTTTGCTAACGCATAGCACGGCATCGGCATCTAGATCTCAACCTTGGGAGGAAACCCATTGAATCGAACAATCGTGCCGTTGCCATTCGCAGGGAAACCGTTGCCATTCGCAGGGAAACCGTTGCCATTCGCAGGGAAACCGTTGCCATTAGCAGGGAAACCGTTGCCATTAGCAGGGATCCCATTGCCATTGGCCTTGGATTTGAGATGCACCATGGGAGGATGATACAGGCGGCAATGTCTTTCCACCCCTTTCAAGATAGCCCTTGCCACAGGCTCCACGTCCTTAGGATCCACCCCGACGGAGACGCGGAGATACGGATCCACATTCTTGATGAAGGCGAGTGATTCATAGATGCGGGTGATCGAGAAGCCTAGCCCGGCGCCCTTGGTCATTGCAACCCCCTCCTCCTCGGCAGCCCGCAGAATCAGGTCCGAGCAGGCCTCCAGACTGGGTCTCTTGTTCATCCCCTCGCCGTAGAACCGAATGGTAACCACGTTGCCTCCATGCCGCCAGCCCATCCGCCGCCAATGGGTCGGGAACATGAACTCGGCCACCCCGATGTTCCGCTTCTCCAGGATCAGATACAGCTTCTCTGCATTGGTGGTGATCCAGCTCATACGGGACTGGTGCACCGTACTGTCGATAGGGGGGAGGACTGTGACCATGCGGGAGTAGAGCACGCTGCCCGTATTCTGTCGAATGAGCGACATGGTGGAATCCAAGGCCTCCGGATATACAGTGAAGCCGCACATAATCACATCCATGCCCATCTGGATGTACTTGTGGGCGCTTTCATAATAGAGAACTTGCGGGGCGTGAGGGCCGTGAAACCAGTTGTACACCTCCATGCCGCCGGAAACGAGGGTTCCGTCGATGATGACATGACGATCTGACCAACCGTCTCGGGAGGAGACCATCTGCGCGAATTTGCGGAGATCGGTGGTCTCCAATCCAACCGTGTTCACCATCGGATCCACATACACTACCTTGGCGTTGTGCCTTTCTGCGGTAGCGATGATATCCTCGGCCTCGAATGTCTCGGAGTTCACGACTTGCACGTGAGACAGTGGCCGGAGGTGCTGAAACGACTCGAAGTAGATATAGGGCGACACCACGATCGTGTCGCCCGCTTTGACTACCTCTTGCAGCACGTACTGCTGCAAAACTGAAAAGGCGGACATTCCGCTGGACGTGAGAGCCAGCTTGACCGGTTGCTGGTTGCCCAGTTGCAGCGCGTCCAGCAGTCTCTTCTCAAAGTCTCGTACGTCCGGTGACCCAAAGCGGTCATAGTTGATGCCAGTGGACTGGTAGTAAGATGGATCAAACCACCAGAAGACCTTGGACTGGTCGTAGGAAGGGGTGGCCCTCTCGAAGAGCGACCCAACAAAAGACTGCAGCTGGATCAAGGCTCTGTACCGCTCCTCAATCTGCCAGACAGTTAAGGAGAACGAAGAGGCCGGCGTATTGGCGGATGCCGACTGGCCTTCAGTTTTGGTAATGGCCAGCTGCATCTCGAACTCGGTTGTCAACTTGAGCAGGCGTGTATAGGCCTCGAGGAAGATCGAAGTGCACCATTCATCGGCTCGAATATCTTTTTTTTCTCCGACCCGCGAACGCTCGTCGAACCTCTGCTTGATGGTCTCCGAGGTCTGTTTGAGCCGAGAAAGCAGTAGAGACCATGCATCCACGATGGATAGCAAGGGGGTTTCTCGGCCTTTCGGATCCGCGGTTCGGAAAGATCCTGGCCAGTGGCTGACTGCGGTCATGTCAGGGCGCATGGTGCAAGAACAAGTTTAACAGAAAATGTAAGTAGAAATGCGTTCCTTAATCCGTTCAAAGACTTATCGAACAGGCGTACTATTAATACTGTTCTCAATATCCGGACGTAATCGGGACATTGAAGGAACAATTACCTCGCTGCGGTCTGTGGGTCGCCATTGAACGGCCCGGTCCGCGCCCCCCGACACTAATTTCACTTTCCAGTCTCTCGAGATGAGGGGTGCATGCAGCACGTTGTGACAACACATACCTCCCTAGTGGCAAAAGTCTCGATAGTCTGCATCGGATCCTGGTTCTCTCTCGAGTCCAGATCTTTACGAAGATGTCGAGCCTGAGAAGAGACCCACCTTCCGACGGTGTCCGGCGCATCACTGCAGATAGCTGCGCAGCTCATCCCTGTCCCTTCAGTTATTGTCTCAGTTTTATCTCCTCACCAGCACTGGTGATGTATCGATTTCCTCGTAGGGACTGCTTGTTCCGCGCCAATTATGCAGTGGCCTACTCGGAACAAGGTCGCGGCAGCTCTCTGCGTGAAGAATTGGCTGAATGTTTCGGCCGAAGCTATCTCAGAGCATGGTATAGAGAGTGCTGCATATGCCTCGCCTTTACTACCCTGATAAAGTCGTGAACAAGGATGTGAAGCGATGCAACACTACAGGGGGTTTATCTCCGACGAGCAAACCAATCGAAGTGTTCCCTCCTACCACTGGTAGGCCACTTGGTTCTGGGTGCTTCGAATCTACTCTACCTACTCTCAGAACCAGGATCCGCGAAGAGGGGAAATTGTGGGGTTGGGCCTCGCCTTCTTCGCCTCGCGATTTTGGCGAGCAGATGAGGTGGCAACACGCATACTAATTTATTGTACTTTCGATAATTTCTCCAACAGGACGCCACTGCCGCCATTCTTGCGTATGGCCTGATGCTGGAAGGTATGACAGAGGGCTTCTTTCAAGCGTTGAGGATTCTCATGCAAGGCAAGCTCGATGCTACTTATACAAGCGGATCCTGGGCTTGGAGGAATGGTCATTTGTGATCAGAGTTTCTCTTGACTCTATCGTGTGAATTCATCTTTACCCAACGTCCAGCGAACCCCCTTCCTATCCACAATGGGCATCTCCAGTAAGGACTTGAAAAAGTCTATCTATCCTTCTGCCCACACCCTGAACGTGCTTGATCGGCGATATGACGTGCAATTCTACGAGGCCATAACAAAGATCATGGCGCTACGACAGACGTACCTTCGGGACCACTACATCTTTGTCCGCGGGGAGGATATGGTTCCCATTTTAAGGGGGTTGGGAGCGCGAGAGGAGGATTTTGAATTTCTCAAGTTTATCAGTGATCAGACTGGTGATGATCCGACGGTGGACTACCGCACCCTGACATACGGGAGGTACTGCATTGACTTCGAGACGCGAAGCATTCGGCGATTAGAAAGACAGCCTTTTACCCTCACCGTTCAGGAAGATTATAAACGCCACGACTCCGGCATCCCCAGGGATTTCGACGAGGCCCCAGCCGACATGCAAGGCAACACCGTCGTGCAAGCTCTGATGCTTTTCAAGGCGTTGGTCTTTCAGAACGTGCCTGTGGTCCCGCGAGACATGCTGGACTACGCCAGCCACAGCTGGATCTGCATGATGTTCAACGTGCGAACATTCACTGAAGAGAAACTGGGCATCCTTGGCGAGCCGGCCCTGGAGGGCGTCCATTCTGACGGCGCCGACCACACCATGACAGTCCTTATAGGGAGCAACAATGTCAGGTCCGATAGTGCGGTGACCTACATGCACGAGAACCGAGAAACCACGGGAATCCCCGTCTGGGAGACCAACCCAACCTTGATCAAGGCACGCGTGCAGCATCGAGACTTCTTGGATACCCTGGTCTTTGTGGACCACGACTACAAGCACAGTCTGACGCCCATCTACCAGATCGATCGATCGCAGCGCGCTACTCGCGATATGTTGGTGGTGCACACGCGTCGGCCGAAGGTGAAGGGGCACATTTCCGGATACAGTGACACCATGACGCTTCATCAGACGGCTTCCATACACATTCCTATGTGGCTACCTTGATTGTGGCTTCGATATCGTCTCTGGTATGGGTTGGTTGAGGGTTGTCTGCTGGTCTAACCTTTAGTCAGTAGATGAATACACCCGATTGCGCAGGCTGGTTAAGACATGTCCCACTTATCGCTGTCCGTACGAAGCAATCATTAGCTTATTAGTAGAGTCGCTATGCATCTGGCGGGGGTTTGAAATGCACCTCTCCTCAAAAGAGGGGTACCTGGTCAGGGAGCTTGCTAGTCTGTTTGATAGGACCGCTGACGTAGCTCAAAAACAATGTTCATTTAGTTAGTGTGCAGGGATCGAGCCTGGACTTGTGATGTCAGCTGACAGACAAAAAAAAAAAAAACTACGATGTCTATATCTCCTGCAGTTATTGTCGGGGGTTTAGCAGCAATCAAGCTCCAAATTTTGGGAATACTGCAGACATTTACTCCGTAGCGTTCTGCGGTCTGCCCTGATTTATCGAACTGGTGGTATACCCTAGGAGAAGTACTCCACACCCATCCGTATTCTCAATCCGCAACCAGGGAAAGCAAATCAAATCTTCGATACAGTATGACCACACTCCACAGAAGCTAACTCCGAGGCCTAGTAGGTCCGTCGCTCCTTCCCCCCCTGCACGCTGGGTCGTTCCTTCCATTCCTGCCTGCTGGATCGCTCCTTCCGTTCTTGCATGCAGGGTCGTTCCTTCCTTTCAGGGTTGTATCGCACCTTCCCTTCTGGGGTTGCTGGGTCGTGCCTTCCATTTCAGGATTGCAGGGGGTTGCTGGGTCGTGCCTTCCATTTCAGGATTGCAGGGTCGCTCCTTCCCTCTGTGAAGTTTTTGGTCTCTCCTTCTCTTTTAGGGCTGCAGGGCCGTTCCTTCCTTTCTGGGACTACAAGATTATTCTTTCCTTTCTGAGGATACTAGATCGTGACTTCCCTTTGGGGCTCATAGATCATTACTTCCTGTTTAGGACTGCTGGGTCATGTCTTCCCTTTTCGGGTTGTAGGATCGTTCCTTCCTCCAGTGGCTGTTGGGCAGTCCTTTCCCTTTCAGGGTCGTGCCTTCCTTCGGACGTAAGCCCACCCCCCAAGCACCCACTCATCCGTGGATCTACACAACCGAAATCCAATACCTCCCTTCCTCAATCTTCATATCCAGGTCCTCATACTCCATCCACCCCTCCTTGCTCACATCCCCAAACGCAGCCCAGTCTTCCATCCCCAGTGCCCCCGAGAACACAGTCATCCCGCCCACCCGTCTGAATTGACCTCTGGTTTCCCCCGTCGGCTCTAGGAGGAGTAAAGACATCGCCCAGCCGGGGGACGGGGACTGAGACTGTGTTTTGGTCACGTATAGTGGCACACAGTGGAGTTTGTGGGTGGAGGGGGTGCAGTCGAGGGTGAGGAAGATGCGTCCGGGGTTGACATGCCATGTGTTGTTGAAAAGGAAACGGAATTCGCCTTCATCCTCATGGACTTCGATTGTCGCGAGCAGACATTCGAGTCTGAGATTGCCACCTGTGACAGGGCCGAAGGGGTCGTTAGTCGCAGTCTCAATCTCACATGTCAGAATCTCCACCAGTGGCTCTAGATCTTCCTCCTGCTCCTCTCGACCCACATTCTCAACACCATAATCGCGATAGCCCAGGCTAACCCGACCATCCAAACTCGCCCAAGACCACGACGGCGCGCGATACGGACTCGGTCTCATCCCTGCATCACCCCAGCCCCTAGCCCCAGCACTAGCTCTCCGCCACCCCAGATCCGTAACCAGCGTCTTCCTCCACAGCCCCGCACAATAATTGTCGTCCAGCGCATGCTCCATAATTCTCGCAACCCCAGATATCGCAACGAGCTTGTCAGTCGAGAAGGTCAGCTCGCTTTCCGTGTATTGAGCCACGATACTCGTCCAGAGCTTACGGGATGTTGCACGGCGAGAATCTCCTCCTCCCATCATGTGAGGGCTTTGGGAGAGAGCCAGCGCGTCCCAGATGGTGGATCTGGTCATCCATCGCGGACTGTTATTGGGTGGAATGCCGTGGGGGAAGATCTCGCAGGCACTGAGCTCGCCGCATTCCCAGAATAACTGGGATCCGCAGAGATGGAGAAGCCGTGGGGCAAGAAGGAGCTCTTGGACGACCCAAGCTCGGGTCATGAGGGGCATGGCTGTGAAGGTGTCGGACCAGAAGTCGTTATGGTAGAGGCGGTAGGGAGTGGTAAGGGGGCCATGTTCGTTGCCATTGTTATTCCAGGGTGGTCGCACAATGCAGGGCTGCAGAGAGGATAATGTGTTGTTGTCTCGTGGAGGAAAACAACTCATGTCACTATGGGCAGCCACGCTGGCAGCAAGATTGATCACCGCTCCACCGTAGATGTAGCTCATGCGCGGCGCTTCATGGAGCCAGTCCTCGTGCGAGTCCTGTAATATGCAGAGGGAATCGACCCAAAGGAGCGAGAGGCCGAGCAGACGGGCGGTGGAGACCGCGTCCCGGGCGACGTGGTCGAGTTCGGAGATCTTGATGCCGTTTTGGAGTGTCGCGAGCGAGGCGGATGTCAGGCGGGAGGTGTGCGAGATTTTTGGACTTCCCCAGCAGTGGCTGAGGGTTGCGTATCGCAGTCCGTGCTGCGTTTCTGCATGTGGGTTTAGCCAGAGGCTGATTTGATTAGGGCCCGGGTGGTCGATTCGGATTAGGCGTGTGGGGGTACAGCCGGACAAAGGGGGCGTTCGGCATCGACTGTGCGTTTCCAGGCAGGTGTCGAACCACCTTTTCGCTGCCTGGAGGCTGTGGGACCAGTCGTTGGGCTCGGGGGTGGAGAGAGTGCTGGGGTCAGGGCAAGGGTCGGTTTCTGGAAGGGTTAATGCGGATGGCACTATACTATATGATACTATGGGGAAGAACGGACCTTTCATCTGTTGCAGGGAAAAGTTAAACCCCCGTCCCCCGTCAGTGACACCGTCCTTATCAACCATGAATTTCAACTCGGTGATATTCTGGCTAGTGGGCGACTCGCGGAAAATATAATACTGGGAGATTGGCTTCAGATCGGCCGCAGGCTCAATGCTGACCCCGTTCTGACACTCTTCTGGCTGTCGGGGCGGCTGGTCAGAAATCGCTTTCCACAACACGTGGCATATGTGGCAGATTTCAGCCGCGGCCATTTCCATCTCGAAGGCATGGAAATGGTGGTCTTGGGCTTCAGGGTTCCAGGGTTTGGAGAAGATCTCGCGGCAGAGTTGACATAACATGTTGGCTTTTATGGTCGACATTGGCTGGTCAGAACGTAATATTCCTATGAGACTGATCGATATGAATAAGTATACGAGAGTGGGGTGATGCAAGGAAAGAAAACAGAAATCTTGCCATCGACCCTGGAAACAAAGCAAGAAATGGCCCAGCCTTATGGCAGACTGCTGGGAGCCACCGATTCAGCCGCCATGCCATCCAGCGCTAAATACCAAATGCGTGGGGCCATAGAGCGTCTCTCACGCAATGTCTGGGTAGGGCTTGAGCGGCCCCTTGTGTAGGGTTCTGCAGGGATAAGAGGCCAGGCGGCTAGACGGACACTGTAGGCGCCGGGCTTTCGCGAATCAGGAATGCCAGAGCGATGCGGCGCGGGCAATGTATCCATCAAGTCGCAGGTACTACTAGGCTTCATCCCCTGTAATGCAAGGCTGCGAGAGCGCATGTTGCGGATTTTCATCGCCAATCTGCTGCTTTGTTGATTTATGTATCTATTGCCAACATGTTTTTTGCTTTTGGTAGCTCTTGTACGGCAGGTCGGCGGGCATTGCGCCTGTCCAGGTTAATCGTCATTATAATGGTCCCGTCACAACCGCCAATCGACAGGTACTCAGACAATATAATGAGCTCATACTCTATTCGACATTGAGCCCTTCCACCTCCGCTCCTGCGCCGGATTCCGGATACAACTGCTTCCGACGAGCCTTGGTGCCAGGAACCGTGTTAGAAGGCCACGAGGTGGGCATGTACTGCTCACATCTGACGGGTGAAGGATTAGTTGGAACTTGGAAGTCTCTACAGATGACTTGACTCCGCAGTCTAAGCAAATCATTCGCTGATTCGCTCCTTCGCATTAATCTCCTATGCGGGAACCGGCCGGCCCACATGGCGCATGGCGGGATCGGGGCTGGAGCTATCCGGGCGGGCCTGGTATAGTAAGTAACTGTAGCCTGGCTCGAGCACCCTGTCGCTTTTATATAAGTCGTGGGAGCTGTCTTGTCTTTGTCTATTAGTAACGATCGTTCCTCCATCTAGGAAAGAATGGCATCCTTAATTGGCCGAGTTTTCACGGCGTTCGGCCCCCCGACGGTCGAGAAAAAGAGCGATGCTCTCCGGTTCGGCATCTTGGGCGCCGCCAAGATCGGGTAAGTCTTCTGGAACAAGCCAGGGCCAGGTGCTAACTGAACAGGCCCCTCGCCCTGGTCACACCCGCCAAGTCCCATCCAGATGTCATCATCCAAGCCATCGCGGCGCGCGATCATGCACGGGCCGAAGAGTTCGCGAAGAAGCACGGCATCCCGGACATTCGGGGCTCGTATCAGGGTTGGTTATTGAAGCCCGTCTCCACCATCCCCGACCCGCAACCCTAACCAACTTTTGCCAACCTTCCCCAGAGATCCTCGACGATCCCAACATCGACGCCGTTCTCATCCCCCTCCCCAATAGCCTTCATTTCGAATGGGCCGTCCGCGCCGTCCGCGCCGGCAAACATGTCCTGCTCGAGAAACCCTCCACTTCCAACGCCATCGAAGCGAACATCCTCTTCAACCTGCCCGAACTATCACAGCCCAACGCCCCCGTCCTCCTCGAAGCCTTCCACCACCGCTTCCACCCCTCCGTGCACAAATTCCTCTCCTTCATCAACCCCGCTGACGTCGTGCACGTCCATACCGACTCTATGGTGCCGTGGCTCCTGACGGCAAAGGAAAACATCGAATTCAACTACTCCCTCTCCGGCGGCAGCATGATGAACCTGGGCACGTACAACTTCGGCCTCCTGCGCATGATCTTCAAGGACGACCCGGTGGAATGCGTAAGCTGCGAGACCAATGTCTTTGGCGACGGCAGGCACGACAAATGCGACTATGACTTCAAGGCGCAGTTCCGGTTTCCGAACGGTGGGATCGCGGAAGCGACGACTTCCCTGCGCGGTTCGATTTTCTGGAAACCCTCCGAGGCCCGCGTGACAACCCGCGAGGTCGTGGTTCCGGATGACTCCCTTCCTGGGACGCAGGAAAAGGTCCGGAGTCGACAAGTCACACTGCATGGATTCATGCATGCCTTCATCTGGCATCAGATTGACGTGCAGGATACGTTTGTGGTTCGGGAGAAGAAGAAGGACGGGTTGCCGGTGAAAAGGTGGGTGGAGAGTACGTCGCAGAAAGCGTATACGTATAAGGAGGCGGGCGGGCAGTTTGTGCATCTGCCTGGGGAGGATTGGTGGATGTCGTATCGGTATCAGCTGGAGGAGTTTGTGAATCGGGTCAGGGGCCGGCCGACGCAGTATTGGGTGGAGGGACAGGACTCGTGCAACCAGATGAAGATGATCGACCTGGCGTACGAGAAGAGTGGGTTGGGGCTGCGGTCGACGAGTGAGTTTCGATAGTGGAAGGTAGAACCTGGATTGCGCTCTATCTCTATTCTTTGGGTTCTGGTGTGTCAATTGCCATCCGCTTGATTCACTTAACTTCAGTTGGGATGGGCTGGAAGGGGATTTGTCCTTGAAGCTGTCCAGAGACCAAGATCATCTCGAAATAAAACAGGAATGATATAGAATGAGAAGATAAGGTGTTGAACTGACTTGAGGGTACTGATGTAGTGGGCAGTAGAAGGGAGGGAGAGAAGAGCAAATGAGAAAGCGGATACCTCGGAAATTGCAAAGTGAATAACTATCCTATGCAGCTACCTAGGAGACGGGTCTTTCCTTTTCTTCCCCTTCTCCTTCCCTGTTACAAACACAACGGAAAGGCCCTGACGCAGAACTTGGTAATTCGGTCCGAGTACGCAAAACCGACCCTACCCAGAATGATCTTGATATGATGATATTGTTGCATCCATCCAGGGTTAGGGTTCGGGGACTGGCACGGCTGCCGAGTATTGGCAGCCGCGTATTATTACGCTCCGATACGCGCAGCCCCGATCGCCCAGGCCCCGTCCGTCCCTTCTCAGTCCCTGATGACGAGGAACACTGTTGCTGATAAGTTGCTTCTCTCTCCACTTTGACGCTCTTTTCACGCCCGCCCTCTTCCTCCCCCCAGCCCTTTTCATTCTTTTCCCTCGTTGTCTTGGTCCCTTGGTCCTGCAGCAGCTCTTGCCCAACTCGGTCGGATGTTCGGACGCCCGAGCAAGATTCTGCTGCCTGCACACCTCCCTCCCTCCTCCTCCCCCTCCTCCTCCACCACCGCCGTATGTACCGAGGCTGTACGACGTTCTCGTGCGCGCTGTCCGATTCGGTCGAGGATGCAGACGTCCCAATGACTCCCGCATTGGCTGTGGAAAGATCCGCTGTACGTCTTGTCTTGGCTTGGCTTTCGCTAAGCTTTGAGACCCCTTTCTGGCATCACGACGCTCATTTTTTCCCTCGGCGTTTCGTTCCCGCGGCTAACTCGGTGTTACCAGTGCGACTTGTGCCATACTCGGAAGGTCGGTCCGAAGTCATCGTGCTTGACTTGGCCCATGCATGTTCTTTTGTCTCTCCTAGTTGGATGGCCTATCTAAACCCCAATCGCTGTTAGGTAAAATGCGATCGCTTGGATCCTTGTATGAACTGTGTCGATGCCCGGGCAGAATGCCGGCGTACGCGTCCCAGGCGCAGTATGCGGCCGAGGATTTCCCGGTCCGTCTGCCCTAACCCGATCCCCGAGGCTGCTGCGTGCGGTTGCGTTCGCTCCCTCCAACGACTCATCATCCGGTCGGTCTGACCGTCTGCAGAATCTCAGGGCTCTCGGACCGCATATCATCTCTCGAGCAGTTCATCTCCAACCCCCAGAACGCCGTCCCGCCCTCCGCACCCGCCTCCGTGATCAGCTCCAGCCACGGTCAAGACAGATCGAGGAGTACCAACCCCTCGGAGCACGGGCAGAATGTGTCTGGCCATGCTCAGGTCTCTGGGACTGGCAGCGTGAAGCGGAAATTCGAAGACGCAGAGGCCACGGTCGACCAATCTGCCGAACCACCCACCACCAGAGTGCCCCCGATGCATCGAGCGTTTGAGGCCCGGCAGTTCATCCAGGGGGAGCTCCAGCACAGCGACCACATCCCCCTGGATCGTCGTACCGTGTTCGAACAAGCCCTGTCGCTGGTCGACAGGATCTCTGCTTCCTCTTCCGAGCCGAGACCGGCGAGTGCGGACGAAAAGAACGCGGAGAATGAAGAGGTGCTGGAACCTCAGAAGTTCTCGTTGGAGGTATACTATATGATGGCAACGGGTCAGTGCTCACGATACGCTCCGCATCCAGGGCTAATGATGATTTAGACATGGCCCATCAGCACTCCCCTGGAAAGCACTTCCACTGGCCGGATCACATCTCGGTCCAAGGGTTGGAACACATGAGCCTGTCCATCGCGGAGGGACGACTGGATCGACAGACCTCGCTGCATTATCAGGTCTGCGTGTTCACGAAAGCCTTGTTTTACATGACCCGGGTGCCTAAACACCATCTTTCGGAGCGGTTGCGGATGCATCTCAAGCGATCCCAGCAGAGATACGCCTTGGCGGCGTCCCGGGCCTTGGATGAGATCAACTTCGTCGGCTCGAACTCTATATCCCTGGTTCAAGCACTGCTTTCTGGGGTATGTTTTATCCTTCTGTTTCTCAATGCCGCAGCCTTTTCCCCCACCAGCAAAAATACTAACCGACTAGGCCCTATTCCACCAAATGCAAGGCAACCCCATCAAAGGCTGGACATTAACCGCCATCGCCTCGCAAATCCTCGTATCCATGAACTACCACAACATCAAACCCAACACGACTGCCCAGAGTGATGAAGACCAGGATGCCCGACGCTGTGTCTTCTCGTGTTTTTTCCTCGACAAAGCGCTTAGCATGCTACTCCTCCGCCCCCCCTCCCTCCCACGACTCAAAGTCAGCCCCGCGTCCCTGGTTCCCCTCGAACACGGCGTCCCGCTCGGTCTGATCGTGAAAACGGTGGTCGAGCTCGCCCAAATCCAGGACCAGGCGATGGAGATCTACCACCATGGTCAGGGCCCGGAAGATGCAGGCGAACAGGCTGCGAAGCTGAGTTCGCTGGCAAGGGAAATGGTTTCGTTGCATGCAACTATTACCGAGGTGAGTAGCCTTCTCTCAACCAGCCAGCCCAGCTGATCACATCATCTTTTGTGTTTTCGCAAAATCAACTTGTTATAAAATCAATATTAACGAATCATTTTTTTTTAATTCTAAAAAAAAAAGAGACGCGTCAGTTCCAAACAAGGCCTCCAACTGGAATGGACCGCCGTCGAATTCCGCTTCCAGGCCGTCCTGACCACCCTCATCCACCTCAAATCGCAAGCCCTCGGCGGCGCCCAAGTCCGCGACGAATGTCTCTTTCACGCGCGAAATGCCCTGGGAGCGTTAGGCCGGCTGCAGAAGACCCTTAATGACGACCACGCGTTTGTAGGCGTCTATCCATTTTTTCTGTCGTGGTGAGTACTTCCCCTTGGACATAATCTGTTCCACAACCCTACCCTACACCCTACACCGCACTCCCCAGACCCCTGTTACTTCTATAACTTACACACCCCCACCCAACACTACCACTGACACGACATAAAACAACAGGACCGTCCTCTTCTACCCCATGACCCCATTCTACATCCTCTTCTGCAACGTAGTCTGCACCTCCAACCCGCATGACTTCCACCTGATGTCGGAAACAACCCAGGGCCTGTACCAATTCATCGAGTCGAACCCCGCCATCGCAAAGCTGCACCATCTGTTTACCACCTTCTTGACACTGTGTAGTCCGCTTGTTCAGAGTCAGAGTCAGAATTATAGTCATGGTCATGGTCATGGTCATGGTCAGGATAGTGAGGGGAAAGATGCCATTCGGCAGAATATCGTACATGGTGGCAGTGGCGGCGGCAGCAGCGAGATGGGGGTGTATACTGCAGACTCTGCGACAGAGGCGGAGATGTCATCGGAGACGATGTCGTGGTGGAATAGCACGCAGATGTGGGAGCTGTTTGGGACACAGCCGTCGTTTGAATGGGTGGATTCGGATTTGTTGGTTGGGGGGGTCGGGGACGGGGGGTGATACACACACACACACACACACACACATTGTATAGATCGGTGTTCTTTTTCGGGGTTGTATAGGAAGTTGTTGGGGACAGAAGGATGATTGATATGAATTTAGAAAGGAAGTCAAAGAACCATGTACATGTACATATACTGCAAAAAAAATGACTATCCATATTTCTTCATATCACATCACACACAAGAAAATGAATCCACTAAACAAGACACGCTTTCACTTCGTCTGTAATATTACTACTTAGTACCATTGTAACAAACACACCTACATCAGTGCTCACTATATATACGATACTAACCTACCAACTAACCAACCAACTACAGATCCACCAAAGCCCCATGTACCTCCTGATCCCGATGCTGGTACTACTGATCCTGGACCTGTTCCGTTTGAACGACACCCGCCTGCCTCTCCCCTCCGGACTTGATATCCGACAACCCATACAGCGAAATGACCGCCATTCCCAAGAACGCACTCACGACGGAAAACACCAACGCGACGATACCCCTCGCCGTGAACCCGGCAGGCAACCAGCCCAGCTGCACGTTCTGGCCGGTCAGATCGAGATAATCCTCCGTGTTGGCGGCGGCGTTACCCTGGTAGGGGATACCGGCAGCCTCACACACCTCGTAATGCTGCTGGGGGATGGTGACGCGCTCCTGGATGCGCAGGGGAGCCTCGATGAAGACCATGGCGAGGCCCTGCGACAGATGCCAGTCGATGTGGCAGTGGAAGAACCAGACGCCGGGGTTATCGGCCTTGAAGCGGATGACGAAGTAGCCCTGCGGGGGGAGGACGAAGACGTCGCGCCGGGGTGGGTATTCGGGGAAGGCGGAGTGGTTGGAGGCGTTGTAGACGACGGGGTCGGTGGCGTCGACGTAGTCGTAGAAGTGCTGGCCGTAGCTGGGGAAGCGGTCGATCATCTGGAAGGCGTGCCCGTGGAGGTGGAAGGGGTGCGAGCCCGTGTCCCCGTTGTTGAGGATGATCTCGACGACTTGGTCTTCGTCCAGGACGACGGAGTGGGTGTTGGTGCCGTAGACGGTGGGGTCGGTGGCCAGGTCCCCGGCCGACATCACGGTGTACAGGGCGGGGACTTTGGGCTTGGTGTAGGTGATGTCGTTGAGGAAGGCGTAGTCGGCGCCGTTTTCGAGGTCTTGCATGGTGACGGTGAGGGTCAGGGAGTGGTCGGGGTCGGTGAGGAGGGGCTGCTTGTCGTAGGGCACCAGGTCCATGTCGTCGTAGGGGTCGAGGTCGGAGCACACGGCCACGGTGATGTTGGCTTCCGGGTGGGGGGCGCTGGAGCTGTACTGGAGCCAGTTGGTCTGGTTGAGCTGCAGGTCGGAGGGGATGGTGTCCAGCAGGACGGAGTCGGCGACGGTGACGATGGCGTAGTTCTTGTCGGTGGAGTTCTTCATGGTGACCAGGACGGAGTAGCGCTGGGCGGCGGCGATGTAGAGCACGTCGGCCTCGGTGGGCTCGACGTAGACGCCGTCGATCTCGACGATGCGGAGGGAGTGGTCCTCGATGTAGAAGTATTGGGCCACGAAGGCGGCGATGTTGATCAGGCGGAGCAGATACGTCTTGCCGGCCTCGACGGGGACGTTGGTGCTGCTCACGGTGTCGTTGAAGAGGAAGGATTGAGGGACGGGCTCGCCCCCCGTCGGGTTGTCGACGGTGATGAAGCTGGGCGCGATGTCCTCGGTGAGCGTGTGGTACCAGTCACTCATGGTCAGCGTGTACTCGTCGTCGTACAGGTCGTGGAAGTAGGACGAGTTGTCGTGCACGATCAGGGCCTGGCGATAGCCGTCCGGGTAGCAGTAGTCGGTGTGGCAGTGGTACCAGTACGTGCCGTTCTGGTTGACCGTGAAGTTGTACGTGAAGGAGCTGCCCGGAGGCACCGGGCACTGGGTCACCATGGCGGGACCGTCCATGTCGGTCGTGTTGGTCTGGTACATGCCGTGGAAGTGGATCGAGGCACTCTTGTCCTCGAGTCCGTTGTACATGTTCACCACCAGCCGGTCGCCCTTGTCGACCTCGATGATGGGCAGCGGCCATTGCCCGTTGATGCCCACCACCTTGCGATCGTGCAGCCCATCCGGGTTGGCCGTGACCCAAGTGACGTTGAAGTCATAGGTCACGGTCTTGGCCTGACATTGGCTGAGGCAGAAGACAACACTGGTGAGCCAGGGGAGCAGATGGCGGAGGAGGGCCATCGTGAGGAGGGGGGGGGGGGGTGAGTCGTTGGGGTCAGGAGGGGGGAAGAGGAACGGGGAGAGGGCGTCGAGTTTCTTATAAAGTCCCTCTTGTGGCGGCGGCGCTAGTGGAGCAGGGGATCGGCCATGCCACTTATCAATCAGTAGATACTCCTCCTCGTCTACTGTTGAGTGCTCACTTAGGGCAAATCTCGCGGTCCCCGCGCTTGGCATTCATCCCCCCCCCCGTTCGTGCCCCATTTCCAGTATAATCCAGATGAATTTTTTTTCTATCTCCGACTGCTGTTCACTACAGTAATGCACTGCTGCTGGTTGATTCTATTCACCAGCGTTGGGGTATGATCTGTTCAGGTCGCCTGCCTCTAACCAATCGCTCGTCCTTGTTCCGAGTCTCTCGAGTTTTTCTACGACCAAGCCCTAACTAAGCCTCCGCTTCCCTCACCCCAACACCAGCTATGATCTCCTTCATCCTGTTACTCTGCGCCATTTCCAGCGGCTCCACCGGGCCACTGTCCTCGTCCTCAACCGGCCTGCGAAGAATGGCAGCCTTGACCCGAGCCTTGAACGCCTTATACCGCGCCAAGATCGGGTCGATGACGGGGATCGCGCCCTTTCGCTCTCGATACAGCATCATGGCGTAGGCGAGCATCACGCAGATCCAGTACAGATTGTACGAAATAACGGACCCGTAGTCAGCGGAGTTGGTCCATCCGAGCAACGCGTTGAAGATACCCCAGCCACCACCGCCACCCAGCTCGGGGTTGCAGCAGTTGACGTGCCAAACGCTCTTGCGGATATCGTACGATCCGGGACCAGACCCAGTCTCGGAGGCATCTCCACCAATGATGTTGTTCCAGGCGTTGTTCTCGAAGTACCACACTCCACGCGAGAAGAGCCCCGCGGCGACGAGGTAGAGGAAGCAGGTCGAGATGATCAGGAAGATCTGCATCGAGGTTTCGCTGCCACCTCTACACCAGCAATATATTAGCATAAATCACGGGGATTAGCTGGGGGGGGGGGGGGGGCACGCATACCGAAAAATCAGATATCCGACCAAACATCCCGCGAGGATGCCGCAGAAGACCGCCAGGGGGAAGGATGTGGCTGGCAGACCCAGTCCGACTCCTCCGACGTAAACCACCGCCTCCAGTCCTTCACGAAGAACCGTGATGAACGGGAGGATGAACATGACATATTTCTCGAAGAATTGCTTGACCCGGCCCTGACGCGTGGTATTGGTGTTGTTGTGATGTTGCAGGGCCTTGGTCAGCTTCAGGCGCCACTTCTCCTGGAGCTTCGACACCCGCAGCAGGGCGGCACCCATGACAGCGATGATGATGGAAGCCAGGATTCCCAACACTCCCTCCCAGATATCCTCCGTGCTGGAGAATGTGTCCGTGCCCAGACCGTAGAATGCGCCGATCATACCCGCGCCCACGCAGAGACAGAGGAACAGTCCCAGCGCGCATCCTAGCCAGACCTGAGAGAGAGAAACGTCGTCAGTAAGGTCTCGTATGAGTATTGATGGCATTGAATGTGGGCCAGTTTACCTGCTTCACTAATCGCTTGTAGGTCTGACGGTCCTCACTCCGTCCGAGCGACTGCTTCAAGAACGCCAGCAGAACGGATACGACGACGCTGGTTTCGAGACATTCTCGAAAGCAGATGAAGAAGACTGTAGACGGTGAGTCATCTCCGACCCCTTCCCAACAAAGTATCCGAGGATGATGCATGATGACCTACCAGTGACCGCAAAGACGGGATTGTTACCCATTGTGGCGCCTGAAAGCACCTCGAAATGTGGGCACGCGACAATGAAGTTTTTATCAGATCAAGCAACACCCGCGAGAGATCCGCCGATTGATAAGTAGTCCTTCCCCTCCCTGAGATCCCCAGCATCCCTTCCAGTTGCCAGGACCAGTTCCCACCCTATCTTACCATACCGCGTACACACTAAAGGACAAACCTTGCTTGGGATCGACTGCTGCATTTCCCACGGAAGCTCCCTTAGCCGATTGGGTTGCAGTCTTGTCGACCCGTCCCTTCGAAGCCCAGCCATTCAAAATCCCACCCCAACGCACGTGTTGGTCGGGAATTTTCGCAGATCCGGACGGACGGTGGGAGCCATTGCTTGGGTGGGTGGGGGACCAGGCTCGTGATGGTGGACAGAACCGACAGGAGTATTCTGGGACGTCAATTGTCAAAGCCCCGGTGGGTCTCGACCTGCGAAAGCCCGGCCAGTGCCCGTGTCTCGTCCAGTGGGGCATCAGATAACCACCCAACGCGTCGTTCCTGAGTCCCGAGCGCTTTTTCCCATTGGTCTGTGTGTACTTCGCATAGTAGCCTGGTACTATAATCCGTCCGTAAGATGGTCTAGAAACGGACAACGTTGGCGACCCAGCCTTGGCATGGGACCACCACGGCGCCAAAGACAAAAAATATTGGCTATCGTCAAGCTTTTCGTCGGACGACGGAAATTGGATCGCCCCCGTCATCCGTCGCGGAGGGGACTGACTGGGTAGGGTAGGGCAGGGTAGGGTCCGGTCCGGGCGAAACGGGTATAGCGTGGCCGATCGGGAACGGTTTAGTGTGTCTGGGCTGCATGCACCGGCTGGGATGGGAGGACAAGATTGTTGTATTTTATTTACAGTCGATTTCTGTCATCGCTGGATTTGGATAATATGACCGAGATACTGTCCGAGACTTCTATGTAGCGAAAAGTTTCCAGAACAATTGATGTATAATAGCAATTGGAGAAACACAAATTGTTCTGACGTGTGACCCAATGGCACAAGGTTCAACTACAAGGATGTAGTTTTCGTGGATGGCGGTGGAGAAGAAGACTGGGTGAAGGCAGATGAAGGACACCTTATGAGTGTGGGGTGACCTTTACTATGTCTACATGTGGGTTACTGTGTATACACTCCTACAGGGATGGCGAGTAGATCATGTATGGGTTTTTTAGAAGACTTCAAAATATAAATTAATTCAAATATAGGGATATGGCGGTGGTTGATTGTGGAAAGATGTCTTCAAGCTCCATGGTTACTCTTAATAGATTCGTAGGAGTATGAGAGTCCCAGATTCAAGAGAGGTACAATCCATATATAAACACACTTCACGCCCGAAAATGAAAATGTAAATGAAAAGCAAACACCGCAAGGAAATAACAAATGGCACAGGAGATATGAGAGACTGTGGAAATTAGAGAGTGTGACTCTTCTGCAACACTGCATCGAAGCCAGCCCGGATCAGGTCATTGTAGCGCTTAGGCAAACAACCCTCTTCAAGGGCCATTATCACAGACCAGAATTCAAACTTGATGGGTAAACCACGACATCGTCTCTTACGGTCAATATCTTCATCCTTCTCGTCTTCAGCCTTCTCACTATTCTCATTTTCGGTCTCATTCTCTTCGTCTTCACTCTCTTCATCGTCACTGTACACATCTTTAGGGGTGAGCTGATCTCGAACATTGTGCTTGATCTCGTTGAAGACGTCCCCAATGAAGCAATTGCACGCCATATCCGTTGCGGCCTCATATATACTTTGACAGATGAGTGAGTTGGTAGTCAGGTCAGGCTGCGCTGGTAGATCTTCTGACGGAGAGGACCGATGAGACCGCATGAACTCGGCATAGACAGATCGGTAGAATTTCAACTCTTCTGCTGAATCTGTCCAGGTACGCCCAGGCTGCCAACCTATCACGTTCTCTTCGGGGCCAAACTGCGGGATATCCCGATCGCACATCAGCCAGCGGGGGTATCGTTCGTTTCCAATGCATCGAGGAACGGCCACTGGTTCTGACCAATACGGGAAAGCTTGCACTGCGCCGTCGTCGGAGACAATCATACTCCACAGACCCAAGTGTCGATTGTCTAGCACAAAGGGCTTCCGTCCATCATTGGGTTCCGGGATCTGGTCGACGAGCATTTTTAGAAAGTCCATTTCGCCTGTGAGGAGCGTTGACAGAGACCTTTCCATACGCCAGTCGCCCACGATGGTAAAGTATTCCTTCGTGTCTGAGATCGGACCGAAACCATCCATATCCGCTAGCTCATCATCATCGGGCTGTGAATGGCAGGGACATGGATTGATGGGGGCTGAATAGACGTCGATATCTGGCTCGGAATCTTCGCCGTCGAAGACCAGGCTCCCTCCCTGATCGAAAGAGAACTTGTCGAGCTGGACAAAGGCGGCGGCGACGTCCTGCAGTATACGAGTCCGCTGGGCTCGCAGAGCTTCATCTGACGCTTTCTCGTCGTGCCACACGTGGTACGCGGGCTTGCCTTTAACATGCTGGAGAAAGATGAAGGGAGAGTTCAGCTTGTTGTCACAGGTGTCGCTGAAGGCGTAAACCTCCGGGATGGGGATGGTGGTCTCGCGCCGCAGCATCTGCATAGTCCGAGCCTCTGCCCGTACAGCCCTCGCACTATACTCATCGTAGGTGTGGGCGTTTCCCCCGAAGGGAACTTTGAGAAGCCAGGATGCTCCGTCGTGGAACGTCAGGGGAAATGAAATATGCTTCCTGCCAAAGATCGTGGGGCCGATCTCAGGTAGCTGAAGATCCTCTTCTGGGTGCATGGTCTTCCGAATATCGAAAGCATATTCGGCAAGACGATCCACAGCAAGACGATCCACGGCAAGATGATACACGGCAAGGCGATCGACGGCAAGTCGTGACAGGAAGGAGGCGAGTTTCTCTTCTTCACTCTCTTCTTCACCGTCCGATGATTCATCGTCAGAGTCATATCCCCCCATGCTGCAGCAACCACAACAACAGGTAGACTCCGTCTTTGCTCCTTCCGAGGAAGTAGAAGAAGAGGTGGGCATGGTGGAAGTAACGGGTGCTTCAGAAGACATCTTGATGCGAGACGAGAGAGTGTTGACTAAGATAAGTGGGGAGTGGTTGGGAAGGAGAGTTCGAGGAGGGAGGGAGAAGAAGGCTTCTTATACATTCAGACCTCTGGCAGAAATGAGTCTTTCCTACCGTTTGTATAGCAAACGACAAGCCCCGGCTGTTCAGTAGCATCTTCGAGTTGGTTTGCTGGGGAGTTTCCTGGTGCCATCTCGCCATGCATTGAGATACTTCTTGTATGGATGGAAGTGAAAAATACCGGCTGCAAACCCCAAAACCAACCCCAGATCGCTTTTTGCCTCGGCGGATCCCTGCCCCCGCCCGCCAATCACCGCCCGCAACACGCGCCCCCTCCACCGATAAGCGGCGCGTCATTCGGTTGGTTCCTTTTTGTTTCTTTTGTTCATCTTTCACTCTTCATCCGACTTCCTCCTCACCACCACCATCAGCTTCTCAGCTTCCCAGCTTCCATGACCGTACCGACTTCGCAGGAGGCTCTCCGGCCCCTCTATCGCCCCGCCAGACCTGTTCCCTTCGAGCTTGCCCAACACGCCTCCATCTTCTTGGAGGAGAAACTCTGTCCGTCTCCATGCGCTCTCTTCCTTTGTCCGCCCTCCTAACATCCGTCCAGACACCCAGGGCCTCAATTTTCTCCTGAACATCCTCACTTCCGGCACCGTCGCCTCAACCCCGGCCCTTGTTCCCCCCGTACAACACCTCGCCGTCGCAGCGACCTTCCTCGTGCACCCCGCTACCACCACCCGCGCAAAAACTGCCGAGGAGGAAGAGGCGCCTCACGCGGCGCTACGCCTTCTTCGACTCACCAACACCCTCGTCGGGCCCATCGCCTCGAAACTCGGCCCCGCGTTTTCTTTCAGTCACCTAGAGATATCCCGCCATGGGGGCCGGCGTCGCGCGGATGACACCCCCGTTCGGGGAGACCTGTCGGCCGATGACGCGAGACCCTTGAACCTGGACCTCGGCCAGTCGCAGTCCCTCTGGTCTCGCGCAGGAGACTTCTGGCATGCCGTCGGCTGGGCCTTCAACTGTTCTGTCCTCCACCACGAGCGCTGGGCGCGATGGCAAGTGTGGCTCGAGTTCATGTGCGATGTCCTCGAGAGTGACTGGAACGAGCGAGTCCGACAGCGAAAAGAGAGCCAAAACACCACCGCCCCACCCCCTCCATCGACACCTCTCCTCAACGCAAGACCCGACACCGCCACAGAGACAAGACCAAAGAGCAAGACCCTTCCCTTCAGATCCTCAAAGACAGCCTGATCTTCCAATACATCGACGAAGCCAGTGCCGTCTACGGGCGGAACCGGCGCATCGTCCGCTCCATCTTCGCCGACGGGGGCTCAACCTCCAGCAACGAGTTCCGCGAGGTCTTCTCCCACGAGCTCAAACACGCCGCCAAGACCGACAGCGCAAACGGCAAAAAGCGCAGCGCGCAAGTCAACATCGACGAAGAGGAATTCGGCGACTACCTCACCTCCGACGAGGATGAGGACGAGAATGAAACCTCCACCACCGACTCCGCCGCCGCCGCAACCCGCAATTCCAAACGCCCGCGGCGCAGCGCCCGCAAAGCCCCCGCCCTAGGCCCCGGCATCAACACGCCCGCCGGCCCTACGGCGGCTCCGCCCCCAGCACCGGAATCATCGTGCCCATCAACGAAATCCCCACCAAACACATCCCCTACATGCACGGCGACGTAGGCTTCTTCGGGGGCATGCGATCGCTCGCCCTCCGCCAACGTCTCCTGCACCTCCTCTCCACCGTCTCCGAATTTCTCCCCGAAGACTTCACCCCCCTGGAAGACCTCTACCATCTCTTCGCCGAAAACATCCGACACCTGCCCCTCCCCATCTTCCAGGCCTTCATCAGCCCCACCGTCCTCCCCTCCTTCTCCCCGGCCGCCCAAACCACCCTCTGCGAATTCCTCCTCTACCGCATGCGCGAGACCGCCGCCCCCACCTCCGACGAAGAGTACCTCAACCAGGGAAAACTCGTCCAATGCTTCCTCCCCTACTCCGCCAATACATCGAGTACCTCCGACAACGCCAAAATCTCCATCATCCTGGAGTCCCTCCTCATTCTCCTCGCCGATAGCAGCATGTTGACCTCGGATCCGGCGTTGGATCGCGCCGTCCGCGATGGCATCGATGCCCGCGCGAGGAAGTCTCAGCGCGAGTCCCGTAGGGATGATGGCTCGCAGTTCGCCGATCATATCGAGTATACCTGGTTGGCGGAGAGTGCGGAGCGGCTGCTGTTTTTGGTCGATGAGTTTCTGCCGCATGTCGAGGGGACGGCTATGGTGGAATGAACGAATGAACGAAACAACGGATGAATGAATGAATGAATGAATGAATGAATGTTTAGTGGGGGTTGGTTGGTGCGTTGGAAGTTTGGCGGAAGATGAAAGCTTTTTCGGGCGTGTGTTTGGGCTTTTTTTTTTTATTCCAGAGTAGCATGGGCGTTCCGGCTTCTTACGGTTGCTGTTGTTTGGTGGCGTATATTTAGCTACTCTACCGTCCGTCATCGATTGTTACAGATACCCAGGTTGTGAAGTGCAATTCTATTGAAATCTAATTCTGCCATTGTTGGACTACCTATTTACAAGGGCAAGGGGGGATTGAAGTATCGGATTGCATACTGAGTAAGAAAGCGCAGGGGGAAGGGTGGGTATAAAGCGACTTCAGTCTGAAGCTCTATGTCCTGGTAGGTACATGCACAGCCATTTACGGAGGGGGCCGCGGGCCAATGATCTGGCGTCTGGCGCCGCCAACGCCCAGACCGGGACCGCCGCGGTTCTGGCTATCGCCTCCGAGGAAGCCGTACTGGTGGACGTCCCACGCTCCCTGGCCCGGGCCTGTGCCGAGAGACCCGTCGCGCATGCCCTGGGCAGCAACCTGTTCGGTTTGCTTCTGGTTCTCCTCCCACTCGCGTTGACGCTCCCGTTCGCGCTCCATCTCCCGCTCGAGCAGGGACTTGGAGGCCCATCCGCCGGCTTTGGTCTTCTCCTGGGCAGCGATGCGGCGGCTGTTCTCGGCGTCAACCTCCGATGTCGTTGTGAAGTCTTGGGGACGGTGGGTGGCGGGCTTCGCGGCAACAGGGGGACGGTTCGTGGCGAGGAAACGATCCACACGGCTCTCCTGCGGCTGGTCTGGGAGATGGCGGGGCGGCATGGGGGGCGGCACTTCCGCAGGCTCGGGCAGAGGACGAGGGGGCATGGGTGGCTTGTCTTCCACGGGCTCGGGAAGAGGTCGTGCAGGCATGGGTGGAGGGCTGCTCGCTTCGGCCGGATCCTCGGTATGGTGGTTTTGCCATTCTTGGCGCAGCAGGCGGCGTTCCTGCTCCAGTGATGAGAGGTTATAGCTTGCTTTGACAGGAACAGGGAGCGCGCGGGGGCTGCGAGCTTCCGGCGTGGCGGCCTCCTTTTCGCCGCCATCCTGGCGTTCGCGTTCGTACTGGCGCTCGCGCTCCTTGGCCCGCTCCAGCTCCCGCTCGAGTTGTCGGACGCGCTGTCTTTCCTGGTTTTCGGCTGCAGGGCTAGTAGCTCCTGCCACACTGGCTTGGTATTGGCTGAGGAACTGGCCATTGAGACGACTGTCGGTGGCCTCCCGTCGTTGCAGCCGTTCCCGTTCGAGCCGATCCTCCACCTCCTTCTCCTCCCGCACACGCTGCTGCTCCTCCTCGTCCCACTTGCGCTGTTGGTCTTCCCAGCGCTTCCTCTCCTCCTCCACACCGAGGCGCTCTTGCTCCCTTGCACGCGCCGTCTCCTCCTGCCAGCGGCGTTCCTCTTCGACGCGCGCGCGCTCCTCGTCCGCTTCACGCTCTAGCTGACGCCGGCGCTCCGCTTCCTGCTTTTCCAGAAGCTGGCGTTCGTCTTCCTCCCGTCTTCGCTTTTCCTTTTCGGCCAGGCTGGGAACATGCGGGGCAGCGGTGGTAATCTGCCGACGAGCGCCGAAGGCGACGCCCTGGTTTCCCTGACTGGCACCACCCATGTAGCCATACTGGTGGATGTTCCAAGCAGGAGCCGTGGCAAACTGGTCCGATTTCTTGCTCCAGCTGCTCACGGGGTTGGGAGACCGAGCCGGACTCGAGTGTCCGGAGGCACTAGACTTCGTGGGGGTGTAGGGTCCCTGGCTGGACCCGGTCGCGTGCGGGCTCAGCGTAGTTCCTTTGCTCTGCGGGCCAAGTGCACGAGGGAACTTGCTAGGCTGCAGGGCATTGGCGCGTCTGCTGAAGGACGTGATGCACTGCAGGACCTGCGCGGGATCCTTCGCTTCGTAGAGATCGACGGTGAGGAAGACATCGTGAGGGGGCAGGCTAAGAGGCTGCGTTTGACAAGCGCGCAGGAAGTGAGAGATGTTCTCCATCTGTACGAATGGCATGGATGACTGCTTGTACTTGACACCGGGGGAGACGGCTAGGTTGACCAGCCTGCGACGTCATTAGTTAGTTGCTGCCCAATCACTGATGGCTCAAGGCTCTGCGATGGCTGGCTTGGGGTCAGGGAATGTGCGGATTGTCTTACCGGCAGAGTGCGACACCATCTTTCAAAGCGTCCAGTAAATCTCCAGCCTTTAGTCTATCCTGAAGCGCCTCTTCGATCCAGTCGCGGACCTCCGCGGCTGCCTGCGGGGTATAGCGGGACAGGCGCAGATTGCGCAAGTCCTTGTCCAGGGAGGTGACGGAAGCCATCGGGAAGTTCAAACCGTCGAAATCAGAATGCTTGTGGCATGCAGCAGACCGATGCGAAAAGCAGAATGGGGGCGAGTGAGCGAGAGGAATAGGGGGGGGGGGGGGGGGTTTCGCTGTTTATAGTGGCTGTGGCTGCGGGTGGGACGAACGGGTACGTCACAGACAGGGGTTCAGGAGGGGATCGAGATCCGGAGTACAAAGGGTCCGGGACGACGGACTCGAGCAAAGAACAGAAGTGTCCGCTTGCAGACAAGATATTGAGTTGTTGAATCGCACAGATCTCCAGCCGGTGATGGTAGAAGAAGATAAACAGCGTCGAGACAGGCGACGGCGAGGAAGGGAAGGAATGCGGGAGTGGAATGGATGATGGAAGCCCGGATGGAATCTTCCATCATCGCCGAAGGAGAAAGAATTAATACGCCTGCCTGCCGCTGGCCTGGCTGCCTGGCTGCCTGACTGCCTGGCCGCCTTGCCTCGGGTCCAACCTTACCGTACGGGCAATACACGGCAAGAATACCCTCCGCCTCCGCCTCCGCCGATGACGTGCCGCGGCAGATTGTCTCCCTCTGCCGAATCATCATCCGCCTGATTCGCATTAACTATTATTCGCTTCGCGTTTTCTTCCTTCCTTCGGCCACCCTCCTACACGCCCGGCTCAATCTCCGTCCGACTTCCCCAATTCCACCCTCATCACTCAGGGCCCAATGAGTCCGGTGAACAGTCTCTGGTTTAAGTGGAAAAGTCTGCGCCTTCCGTGGCGAAGTTCCTTCCTCGTCGGTATGTCCGATCTCCAATTCCACCCGCTCAGCGCATTCAATTCACACTAAACTCACCCAGGTACCGACCTCTCCGGGAACACCTTCTGGGAATTCAAAGACCATCTGAACGCCGGTCGCTACCGGCGCATCGTCAAATGCGACCCCAAAACCCACTTTAGCGATGTGCAAGTCAGTCGTGAGTCCCCCCGTGGAAGAAATCCGACCGGGATCATACACAGACTGACACCTCTTTGCGACTTAGCACAATGGCACCAATGGCTCCGATACGTCCGCGCAGAAGCCCCCACTCTCGAAGAACAGCAACAGGACATCATCCGCCAGATTCAGATCAAGGAACTGGCGCGTCTAGCCGATGCCCGCTGGGCGAGTAAACCGTCCTATCTCGACATGCCCAATACACAAAGGCCCCTCCCGACGACGAATACCAGTGGCGCTACGCTGAGCTCTCCGGAAACGCAGAACAAGGTGCCTGAGCAACAAGCCCCGAAGAAGGCAGCGCCACCGAAAGAAGATCCTTGGGCGAAGGCCCGTGCGGGTGGTCCGAGTGAGAATTGGCAGCCTCAGTCGTGGTCGCCCCCGTCTTCGAAGAAGTAAGGTGTTTGGTGAACTTCTATGGTTCATACGATTGCCCTGGTCCGAAGAGATTTGCTGTCAACTGCCATTGATGGCCTTGTGGCTTGTCACGGAACAGTATCAGATCTGGTAACATGGTCGTGATCCGGGGCGTCTCATCAAACTGCCGTATGTCCCTGAAATACGGAACAGGTCTGAATGAAGAGGCAGCAAGCTTCAATGGCAAAATCTGATGGCGAGACCTGGCTCAACAGGACCCAACAGGCCACCTAGTCCGCTCAGAAAATACCCCTGTATATTACCTACCCATCTATGGATAGATTTGTATTCTCGATGCATGTATGATATCTTCACTCCGCTACCACTCGGAATCAAACTCGAAACAAGGTACAAAGCCATGATATCTTGCAACTAATACCCAGGACTGGCCAAGTTTCTCCACATTGTAACCCGCCCCCCACAATGAGCTGCTCCTTGTTTGTGGAGATTAAGTAAGGCTGTGACGTAGTTGGTATTATTGCTGGGGAATGGCTCCATCAGTCAGTCATGCTTTCATCCCGGCAAACCAACTTCTACTATAAGAGGCACACCAACCCTCCTTCATTCTGTCTTTTACTTCTACATTGCACATACCACGTCCTATCACCGAAGTACTTAGTCACAGAATCCGTTCCAACCCTTGCCACGAACCAAAATACTCAGCCGCCAACATCCAACGCGTTGTCCATCATGCCAGTAAGTGCCCGACCTGCCAACCAGGGTTCATTCGCCATCGGAAGATGTATGTTTACTCACCTCTACGCCGTCCCGCTGCAGCAAATCCGGTATACCTACAACGATGCCTTGACATTCGACAAGCTGGACGTGCGGGTACGGGAGTAAGTCCACGGCCTTGATCCAGGGTCATCCATCCATCTTGCTTTTCATTTTCTCTTTTCTCGATAGCCAGACTGAACCGTGGCGATTGCTCTCCAGAATCATCCAAAAGGATACGGGCCAAGAAGACTGGCCGGTCGCTATCCGGGACCCTCCTCTCGGCAATCCTCCGTAAGTTCGATAGGCTGCTGCTGGTGACTACAGTATAGCGCTGGAACGGAACATTTTGCTAATCGACCGGTGGCAAATCTAGTCCCGTCAGCGAGGACGCCATTCGGAAATTGGAGGCCATTGAAGGCGTGATCATCGATCGAGTCGAGGGAGAGGGTGACAACTAGGTGGTTTGCGGTGTCGTAGGATCGCGATTTTGTATATTTATCTACATGGGTTTATCACATTTCATGAATGAATGGCGCCATTCCGCAGGCAAAAGAGTTGCAGAGTAATACTAGTTCGGCCGGCTCGGAAGTCATGGAGAGCCCTAGGTGCGATTCGGGACGGGCACGCTTCACCACTCCCTCGGTAACAAAGATTGGGTGTAGCTGTAGCTGGTCGTCCCAGTCCGTTTGACAGAGGATGCATTGCATGGGTACATATTCTGTACAAATAATATTTCTGCGTTGCCGGGGGGGATTCAGTCGCGTCAGCATTATAGACACTCATGTCATGCATCACAGAGATCCGGGCGCAGAAGTTGGGCTTTGCCCTCGATGAATTCCAGCAGCCGGGCCATGAGCTCAATGCAAGAGCCCGCGGGGGAAGGCCCACTGCGATGCCCATCTTGCGTCCGTATCGACTGGTGAGCTGCGCCGACAGCAACGAGCCGAAGAACGTCCCGACCCAGCCCAGTAGATGGCGTTGATGAACCCCAGCCACGCGCCGGCCGGATGCTGCATGAATGCCATCCACGGATCCAGGGCCTGCAGGCTGTTGAGAAGGGAGCCGTCGTATCTGTTCGCCGACGCTGGCTGCTGTTTAGTAGTAGCCCTTCCCACGACGGTGCTGGTGTAGAGTAGGCGAATGAATGATAATCAGTGATCAGACTAACAGAAGAGACACAGTCCCACCACACAGAAGCTGGCTTTCCAGAGGGAGCGAGTTCGGGGCGAGGCGTGAGGGATCTCCTCGTGGGTCCCGTTAGGGCTGGGCGGGAGATCTGGCATGGTTGGTCGCCCACTGTAGATACTTAGTAGTATAACAATATGGCATCCCAGGAATGACTCGTAATTATATATATATACCGCAGCATTCTCCGGATTCCCCCAGTCCACACGACGGCCATCTCCCGAATCGGACCAGATTTTCCTTTTCCTTGCTCATCTCCACCGGAGATGTCTTGAGTCTGGCGGATGGCGGCCCGCAAGGCCGAGTCAAGCCCTGATTCCTCACTGCTGCGGGCCACGGTGACGGCACGAGCGAACCAACTGGCCAACAGAGACATTGCGGCCTGCATCCCCATGGACGGCTATCACTTCTCTCGCGCCCAGTTGGCAGCCATGCCCGATCCAGCCACGGCTATCACGGCTCACTCGCGGGTGGTTGTCTTTGAGGGACTGTATCTGAGTCTCGACCGCGAGCCGTGGAGGCGCGCAGTTGGATGTGGATGTGATCATTTACATGAAGTATCTATCAAGTGTCGGATTTATCAAATTAGTCTATCAGATATCTAGCACTCCGTAAGACTAATGACTGTATTGTTGGGAATGGGATGGGCAATGGGTGGGGTTTAGTTGGTCCATATTTTCTTAGTATACTATGCCTTGTATAATCTCTATATAGATAGAAGATGTAATAGTAAGACTAGTTTATACCTCGAAAGGCCTATTTTTCAGCACTTCCGGAAATATCTAGTATAGGTCACGATATATCTACTACATACGGACAAGTTATATAATATGATCAGGTAGCTCAGGCCCCGAATGCCCATTGAAACAGATGGCTACTCTGCAACGAAGGCCAATCGGTGGACTTGATCATGAGTTGGATGTCCCAATCCGCCCCGATCTTCCCACCCGCCGGCATGACGACCGTCAAGCCGCCGTTCAACCCGAAATGCATCTGGAAATGCGAGATGGCTCCCAGATGTCGCCCAAAATCGAACCCGTACACCTTCCAGTCCCTCCAACTGGAGATCGAAAGATCGGATGATCTCATATTGATTGCATTCCAGTCGTGCATCTTCGGCAAATAGCCCATCAGACTCCGTACATGTCGATCGTCGACTACCAAAATGCTCTGTCGGATTCGAGCCGCGGCGGCGGTGATCCGGAGCAGGTCCTCGCGTCCAAGTCCAAGGTCGTCGAATCGAGAGAGGTCGACGGGCAATTCTGGCTCGGATGATGGGATCGGGGCATGAACCGCCGTGATCATGTTCCCCAGGTAGTGATCGGGGCAGGGCGGGTCTACTCGACGCCGCATATTGACAATGGTAGTGAGCTCGCTTTCCTTGCCACCGTGGGCATCGTGGCATTTGTTCCGACAGATGGAGATCAGCGCGGAAAGGACATCGTTACTGGACACATACAGTGGCCAATCTGGGCATGAGGCGAGGGCAAGAATCTGGTTGCAGACAGTTTTCAACCTTTCCAGTTTGCTGGCTGACAGCTCAAGGCGACAGCTCGTCAGGGATGTGGCGAAGGATTCCATCATGCCTGACCACTCGCCCGAAGACAGGCAAGGGATCGTCCCCGTGGCATTGTACTGTTTGGAGTGGTCCATATCAGCAGCCTCTACCCCCGTAGTAGTACCGAGAGACGACAATTTCCCTCGTGAGGCCTGATCGGACAGGTTGAAGATCGGCAAGCTCAGGTCAGAGTCCGACGTTCGACAGCACTCTGCCAGGGCTTCCATGATAGCCCCCGCCCCGCCTCCATCGAAAAAGGAATGATTGATGCTCATTGCCAGAAGGATCCCATCTGTCATGACATTGGCGGCAAATCGCAAGATGGGTCGTCTTTCCAGGGGACTGATAAAATCCGGCAGGGGCGTACACGCGTCAGCCAACCGCAGGCTCTCCACGCCACTCTTGACCTTCTGGGCTGATATCTCGTGGAGAGAGAGTTTCGAATGGTGTCTGACTTGCAGCATGGGGATGGCAGCCGTCTCTTCGTTTGGTTTCTGTACGAACTGAACGTTTTTGTGGCCATGGGCACTTGCGCGCAGAATTGTGTCCCCTGCCAGAACCGGAAGACGTTGGATGAGCTTGGTGATCCCTTTCTTGAGCGATCGCAGACCATCTTCCGGGGTTTCCAGAGGGAAGGATAGGAAAAAGGCAACGTAGATCTTGGGGATGGTGTGGTCCAGGGGCGACAGCATGTAAGGGGTTTCTTCGGAAGAGACGGTCATTTCGGCTGAGAGCTATTCCTTGTCTCTCTGGATAGTATCATGGAATGGATTGTTGGGGATGGAAATCTAGACTGTTGTTGGAATGCAATGGGGCTGTAACATTGTGGGGCTTATATGTTGGCAGACAGAAGTTGGGCTAGGACGAGTCCCTCTGGATGGCTGGTTAGGGTACCATTGAGATTGCTAGCGACGGTGGATGAAGCTGACACCTTGTCAGCATTACACGCATTACACCCAGGCCGTCAGGACTATCTTCTGACCACGAAAATACTGCTGCAGAGGTGGCAGGATTCTGTAGCTATAGTGCCATCGTAGCATAGCGCCACGAACAATGTCCCAATTCCCTGTCTTAGATGGCCATGAGAGGGACTCCACATCCAGGATCTGATCCTGCGGTAACTTAACGCTACTACTACTACTAAAACGGCTCTCTTGACGAGCTGTAAGACGTTGGGTGCCCTAATAAAAGACATAAGTACCAGTGATAGTCGAACCGTCGTGTGGAGCTGAGTCAGTGGCGATATAGGATCAGGTGAATTATTTTTCGGACAGGTTTCATTACCTGGGATGACATTACTAGGCGTCCTGATTTTCGTAACTCACTTTCTTCTAGCATGATCGTTGATTTCTTGTCGGGGATAGTTATGTTTCTCTTTTCAAGATTGTGGATCTCAGTGTCACACTAGCAGTCAACTTGAAAGATTTGATTTTTTTTTACCATTACAAACTAACAACAGATACCTGGCTAATTTGGGGTAAAAAAGGCCAAAAATGCGTAACATGATTTAAAATTCAAGTCTAGGTATCAGGACATCAAGAGCATAGCCGTATATTTGAGGGAATGGGGGAACCCCTCCCAAGAGAGCAGAACAGAAAACAATCAATCAATCAATCAATCCATCAATTGACCTGCAGCGAACCCTCAAACCTCGATCTGAGAGTATCAAGCCGATACCGCGGACATCTAATATGCCAAGAGATATACCCCTGCTTGAACAACGACCACAGCGTAGCCGCCAGCTGAAACTCATAATCCACACTCCTCGCCCCCGAGGAGGAACCAGCGGGTCGTCTGGCCCCAAACGCCTCATCGATGGCCCGCACGCACTGCACGGCCCGGTTCGCAGTCTCGTACAGCGTGTCCCGCACCGTCCACGGCCTATCCTCCACAAACTGGGACTTGAAGCCGGCATCCTGCTTTGTCTTCGTCTGGATATTGATGAAGTTGAACTTCTCGCAGTCCAGCAACTCCTTCGGGTACGAGAACAGGTCGTTCGAGAGGCACGCGAAGACCTTCAGCGCGGGGAGACAGGACATCCACAGCGTGTAGGGGACTTCCAACCCCCTGGTCGGCTTGAAGATCCCCGTGATGTAGGGGATGGGGACGCCAGTTATGGAGCGCAGGTAGAAGGGGAAGTCTTCCACGTGGCAGATTTTCATACTCTGACTCTGACTCTGAGGGGCGGGCCTGGATTTGGATGTGGATTCGGACTGGGACTGGGACTGGGACTGGGACTCGGACTCGGCTTCGCATTGCGTGTGGCTGTATGCGAGCTGGATCTGCTCCTCCAGACACCAGCCCTCGACGTGCTGGCCCCAGCCGCTGGCGGAGAGTGTGCCGATGAGTGGGTCCAGGGAGCCGTAGAGGTCGGCGACTTCTTTGGTGAAGGCGGAGTAGGAGGAGGAGAAGTCGTCGAGGGGCTTGAGGCCGGCGGAGAGACGGCACTGGGATTGGGCTAGGTTTTGTTTTACCGTGGGGTGGATGAGGTAGCTGTCCAGGGACACTATGAAGGCAGTCCCTTGGGACATGGAGAGGCGCATCTCGTTGGAGGCCAGCGGGTAGCAGGACTCGGTGAACGAGGCGGCGGCCTCGAGGACGGGCTGCAGGCTGCCCATGTCATACGAGGTCGCGTGGGTCAGTTCCTTCTCTGCCCATCCCCAGAGCTGCTGTCGGAGATGGGTGTCTTTCTCGAATGGGAGGTAGGTGCATTTTGTTACTTGGAAAAATAGGCCCAGGAGATCGCACACTTGCTCGCTGATGTGGGCGCGACTGGCTGGATCAAGCTCCGAGTCGTCGAGATAGTCCAGGCACGAGAAGCGTTCCTCGGAAAAGAAGGAGTAGAGGTCTGTTTGGGGGACCAGGACCATTGTGTAGTTTATGGGTGGATATTGTTGAAGAGGGTGTGTGGGATATGTTATATGATTCGTATCCGTTCCGGTTTCTAGGGGGTAGAAGCGGCTTATATACAGGTAGACAGACAGTCGAGTGAGATCCTGTTTCCATCATTGAGGGTTGACTAGACCTTCCTGCGATGCTAATTGTCCTTGACGACTTGCAATCCGAGAACGGCTGAACGCTGAAGGGCGCACGCAGTCAAGGGCTGATGTGATACACGTAGGATACCCGTCTGTGACTAGTAAAGGAGGCCAAAAACGGCAGGATCGAAAAGCCTCGTCATCAAGCGTGATATCAAGTACCGTAGTCCCTTTTTTTGTACGACCGGAAGAATCTTCATCACTTGAGGCTCGCTTCCATGATTGATGCCCCACACGGACGTTGAATGAGGCATAGTGCAGATGCCATGGATCACTCAGTTTGAGTGGGTCTCGGGTACAGTCCTGATCAATCCGCTGATTCAGATCTGACAAGTGACAAGGTGACAAGGGGTTGTTGGATGGAGCCCTGGAGTCCACCGGCTAGACATCTATCTAGACCTGTTTAGTTGGGTTGGTATCCAGACGATGGCCGGCAGTTCAGCCGGCCCACTCTCAAGCAGTGCAAGCGACGTTTAAGTGATCATCTGGCTATGTCCGCGGAGGGTTCACAGCCCCTTGATTTGATATTCTGTGGCACTTGGTTCGATGGTTGACCGTGTGCTGATCCGTATGTGGGAAGAAGGAAGAAGGAAGAAGGAAGAACGAAAGAGGAAGGAAGGGATTTTACCGGTGGCGATCACCTGACACGTCCTGACGCGTCGCGACTTCTTTTTCTTTCTCTTTCTCTTTTTCTTTTTCTCTTCTTCCTCCCCTTCTTCTTCCCCATCCCGCCATCATCCTCGTCATCATCTTCTGTCTCAGCGAGCGAGCATCCAAGAACCATATACTATCTCATGGTAGTCATGTATGGGGGATTGCCATCTGGAAACACCGCAATGCGCGTCACAGACTGCAGATCGAGTCGCAACAACTGCCTATTTTGCCCTTGTCCATGTTATGGCCCCCATGTGTATGACTGCACGTTCTGCCTGCGAGCCACCCTCCATCCTTCGCGTCCCCATTTGGTCCACCATCTCAAGTCGGATATATACATAGCGGGGGGGGGGGGGGAGATGGTCGAGGGGCCCCGCTCCGCATCGTAGCCCCATACTACGGTGTAGACCTCGAGACGACAACCACCCACGCCCGCCGGGTTCCTCGAGTGGTCGGAAACTTCGCCTTTATGGTTCCTATAGTCTAAGCAGGGTACACTGTTGACTATAGACTGTTGTTATACCCCTTCGGAGCTGGGACTGAAACCCCAAATAGTGTCTACCATGATAAGTGAGAAATATGTATAGGCGATCTGGGCACCATGCCACTGGGATGCCAGAACCAATTTGCCATGTTCTCTAATGCCCAGGTTACTGGAAAGTTTCGACACTAACGGTCAGATTCGGCCTTGTGCCGCAGCGGTCTACTGACAGCATCCTGCAGGGCGCTTGTATCTCGAGATGGAACCTGCGTTCTGCAGGAAGAAGCGCTAGATTAGCCGTCCAATCTCGGTACTAAGTTAGTTGTCTAGGCATACTGCATGTGCCTTAAACTGGCCTTCCAAGCCTCAAGCCTTTCCCCAAACGTCTTAGCTGGGGGGTTCACTTTCTTTACCTTTCAGCCACTCGGGAATGGTCGGTGTTCAAGTATACTTGTTACGACCCCAGTGGTATCATGCTCTTGCCCATGAGGCATGAAGGCCAATGACAAATGCGAAACTATCCCAGCGGATCTCCGGTCATGTCCGGGCAGGATTGAGAGCTCCACACAAAAGTATGCGTCCGGATTCTTTACCAAATCCCATAACCGTCAAGCGATGGGGCCAGTAACGAGGTCAACATCTACATTGAATCTTTCAAGAGCATGTATATTCTGTAATTATCAACTCCCACATACCTTTGTATCTGTCATGCCCCTCTTGATGCTGATCCCATATGATAATACAGACAGGCGGTATATAAGGGAGATGAACATCAGCCCCGTTGAAATCCAATAGTCTCCAAATCCATATATCAAGCGATCATGGTCTCAACACAATCTGTGGTCTTATCCCTGGGGATATTGTTTCTGCTATATTTCATCAAAGCTGAGCGAAAACTTGCAGCTTTCCCAGGACCCGCTATTGCTCGGTATACGGATTGGTGGAAGGTATACCGCCACTGGAAGGGGGACTATGTGGAAGTCATGTCCGAATGGCACAAGAAGCACGGGCCTTTCATCCGCAATGGTCCGAATAGTCTCTGTGTGGGAGGCGTGGAGAACGCAAGGAAAGTCTACCAGACCAATCCTGTCTTGAAAAAGGTATGTGTACAGGGGAAACTCTACATGAGTCGTGAGAGGCTAATCCAGGTGACATGCAGGGAAGCGTATTCAAAACCATGGTCACCTGGTATAAGGGTAGGAGTGTCAGCGGGTTGGAAGCCATCCTTGACGAAAATGAACATACAACTACGAAGAGGATGGTCAGCAAGACCTTTACCCCTGTTTCAGTTATGGGTTTTGAGTCGAAGATGGACCAGTGTACTCTTGAATTCATCGGCCACGTTGAGGAGCGTGGCAGTTTCGATATGGCCGAGTGGTTTGTCTACTACTTTGCCGATATGATGAACGACATTGCCTTCTCGGCCAAACCCGGCTTCATGGAACACGCTACTGACGTAGACGGGTCTTTGTATATCACGAAAGTTATCACTCTAACTTGGGCACGAGTGCACGCGATTCCGACCATCATGAGCTGGCTATCCTGGGCGTTAGGCTACATGGTTGGTCTGAACTGGAAGGTCGTCCGTCTGGGACGTGAGTGTCTGAACTCACGGCTGGAGAAACCCGATCCGGAGAAGACTGATCTGCTCAATGTCTATATCGAAGCAGGACAGGAACGGCCTGATATGATCTCTCCCGAGCGGGTACTTGGGATGACACTCAGCACGATCATCGGGGGGTCCGATATCACTGCATTTACCGTCACATACGGACTGTCCGAGATTCTCAAGAACCAAAATATCCTTAGCAACATCGAGCAAGAAATCAAGGGACATGAGCTGTCCTATCCACCAAGCATCAAGGAGCTCTCGAAACTACCATACCTTAACGCAATTGTCAAGGAAACCCTTCGATTATCTTCCCCAGTTCAGTTCAATCTTGACCGCGTCACTCCCGATGGCGGAATGGAAATGGGCGGGACCCATATCCCAGCCGGAACAACGGTTGGCTGCCTTCAAGGGATAATAAACCATGACGAGGTGTTTGGCTCCGATGTCACCGTATTTCGACCAGAGCGATGGATCGAGGCATCTGAAGAGAAGCATAATCTCATGGAGCGCTCTATCATGGCCTTCGGAATGGGAAAGCACACTTGCATCGGCCAGCATTTCGCAAACGCGCAGCTGAGGAAGATAATTGCAACCCTGTTGATGCGTTTTGAGGTAAGTTCTTTTTATTCTCTTTTCATTTATTCTTTTTGTCAGATTTTGTCAAAATAATGGAACGAAAAATACGGATGGCTCACTCATGACTCTTCTACAGGTCTCCGCGGTCGACCCACACGCCCGGCTTGTTTGGAACACCCGGACATTCTTGCGACACCCTCAATCGTACTATATTTCGGTCAAGCGCAGGCAGTCTATAGATGTTGCGAAGGCATAACGACCCCGCAGCCAACATGAAATTATGTCCCTGCCGCTTGTAAGCTGCTTGGACCATCATCCATCATTGAATGAATGGTTAACACACTTTCTAGAAGACTCAATGAAGAAAAGACTCTACATCACGTCTCTTCACCTCCACCCTGAATCATCCACTCCAAGTCCTCATAGACAATCCAATCTAATCCGAGCCACAGCCAGCGCCGTGATTTCCTCTCTCCTATCCTACGCAAAAGCGCATTCCAATACTATTCGCCTCGATGGTTGGGAAATACCCGTGGAGCAGACTTATTGGGAATCCGTAGAAGCTCCCTCGTTGTCTATCCACCGTGTTCTCCACTAGGTGTCAAGTCAAGTCAAATGGAGATATATCGAAGTCTCGGAGGGAGGAAGAGAGTGTCTGTCTGCAGGCAAAGAATGTAAAAAATAAATAAATAAAAGAGGGGACCGTGATGCATATTTCGTTTGGTCTTCATACCCCTGGGCCCTGATATGCAACGTAGTACGCCACTACCCCCGAAGTGGCACTATCTTGCAGAGTTGCGGATTAGAGCACAATCAGAAGGTTGAGCCGAGATGCCAAGCGGCTGCTAGATCGTTGTTGTCGAGGATCTAGAATCCGGATTAATAAGCTCTTCATGGAACAGCAGCAGGAACTTGAAATGTTAACAAGGGAGTTTGTTGTGTTGAACGCTCGGATAATCATCAAATCAGGTTAGATGTGGTATTTGAATCAGTTTGACACCTTGATCAGAGAGCCTATTGTTAAGATTACTAGGTTTGGCTAATAGACAGTAGGGTGAAATAGTATATTATACTGATTAGTATATATTATATGACCATATGCCCGCGAATCTAATGCTTTTGAGATCCAGCGCCAAGCAAGTCCCATCCTGCTTAAAAGGAAACAGCAATAAAAAAAAATAAAAAAAAAAAAAACACCGAGTCCAGAAATCAAATGGTATAACGAAACACCGACGGGCTAGTTGCAGCAAAAAAAAAAAAAAAGATGAAGAAGAAAAACAGAGCAACGAAAAGACAATTAGGTATATATAGATGAGATGGTACAGGCATGTGTCTAGCACAGGATGGCCTCAAGGGCCTCAACATCTCCTCCTGCCCTTCGCACGGCCAGTAGGGCCGCTTCGCTGAGCTTGCGTCGTCGGTCGCGAGCCTCTTGCTCTCGCCGGGCCTTGGTCTTGGAGCTACCGCTGGGGGCAACGCCGCCAAGGATCTTCTGGCTGTCGTGTGCGGTGAAGTTCACAAATGATACGGTGACGGATTTGTTGTTCCCCTTTGGACTCCCCGAGGAGCCGCTAAGTCCCTTAACTGGCTTGGGGGCGGTCATCGAGTTGGAGGATAGCTTCCGGCCATAGCCTCGACGTGGGGGAGAAGACCGTACGCCGTTGCCGTTGTGCATGGTCGATCCGCTTCTGGGGGAGCCGCTGGTCCCCGGTGATAGTGATGGTGATCGGGATTGCATGGGAGGAACTTGGGGGGTCATGAAGGAGGATGAGTCCACGGATGCCGTGGTGTTGTGGCTGTAAGGGCGGGTTTCGTGGCCGTTGGGGGCCGAAGGCATGCCACACGAGGCGAAGGATGGGTTTGTGCCGGAGAGATCGAAGGATGAGGGGTCAAGTTGGATCATCAGGCCCCCTTGCAGCATGTCGTTTTGGCTTGCGGGGTTCTGCACGGGTCTTTGCGCAGCTGGTGATGTCACCATCTGCTGGTAGGAAGGCTGCCGCTGGGCAACGCGAGATGTCATTGGAGACCACCAGGCCTGGGCGTCGTGGCCGTGAATGTCAGGGGTGTATGGAAGCCCCGTCGATCCGAGGGAATCGGAATGCCACGAGGACATGGACTGAGGGTCGGAGGAATGCGGGGAGGGGAAGATGTCGTCAGTCGACGGGGGGCTCGAGGTTGTCAGTGTGGAGTTGTTCGATTGACTTAAATATCTCTGCTGCTGCCGGGCCATGGCGTTTGCTGATGGTGAAGGCATGGAGATGGCGGGGGACTGGTTGAAGATGCCCGAGTCATAGTGAGGAGTCATGTCCGGTGGCGGCTCTGCGCGACTCAGGTGTGCGGCGGTGTTGTCTGCTGACAGGTTCTCATGTTGAATGAGGATATCAGATGGCGGTGGTGATAGAGGCAGGCGGTCGTCTGAGTTCCGGAAGCTGAAGTTCTGGAATCGCTGCCAGGCTTCGGGGTACGCCATTCTACTCCGTTGGACTTGGGAGGAGCGCGATAGGCTGGGGGAGAAGCTCTGATTGCGCATCAGAGCACGACGGTCATTAGGGTCACGGTGACGACGGATCGACTTGGGGGTGACCAGGGCACTTTTCGGCTTGCGACTGGGAGTTGCGGGGGGAGTCGAGGGCGAGGAGCGGGTGTCAGGGAGGAAGGCTGGCTGGGGAGGAGGAGCTTCCAGGTTGACACTCAGATCGGAGACGGCAGAAGGATGCACGGTATCGTGCTGCTGGAGGGAGAAGTGGCCTTGGTCCGCAGAGGGGTCTGCGTCCTGTGGCAGACACCAGAAGTCTTTACTCCAGGTCTGGACAGCCGGATGAGGTTGCTTGGTGGAGGAGACGGTGGGAGAATGCTCGCCACAGTCGCTCGACAAGGAGTCGAGTTGAAATATTTGGTCAAGATCGCCGGGGAATGAAACATCTTTGTTGCCGTCCACACTGGCAGAGTCCATATTGACGTACTGATTAAATAAATCATTGAACGAATGGTCGAAAGGTTGGGCGAACATGGTGCTAATAGGGCCGCTTTCCGTTTGCGGCGACGACCAAAGAAGCTGTCAAAGGTTGACCCAACAAACAACTGCGCGATATCAGATATGACTGGCGACGAAGCTAACTGCAGCAAAGCTTGATGCAAGGGAAAGCTTGCGGAAGCTGTGCAGCGCGGATATTTTTGCCGGGGATCCGCAGAAGAGTCTCCAAAGGGTCTCGATGGTGACGATGATGCGACTGAGTGGTGATGATGATGATGATGGAATGTTCCGGCGCCGGGAGAACCTTGCTTTGCTTTGCGTGTTGGGATCGTTTGACAAGTTGACAATCAAAGAAAACAGTGCAGAGGATGCAAAGGATACAAAGCAAACAAACAACAGACAGATGGGCCTATTTGAATTGCTACGACGGGCACCAGCCTCTGGATTCTGCATACATTCCACCCCCTCTCAAGATGGGCAAGATGGGCAGGGAATGTGCCATCAGGGAATGGCCGGCGCTCGATATGGCCCACTCCCTCCTCAGTCGCCCGAACAGAACGGCCCATGCCTTGCCCACAGGCCTTCCTTGCCAATCAAGAGGCCGGGAAACCTGGTGGCTGATTCGTGTCTTCTTCGTCACCCAGTAGGCTCGGGACCCAAATGGCCACCCGCGGGAATGCAACCCTCACTATACCAGAAGCAGAGGTCATAGGTATCAGCAGGGCCATCGTAGGCGGGCCCCAGAGGGGACCACCGCCAGGCCAGTCCAATAAAGCTCGCCTGCTCGGTGTTTGATAATCAGTGCCAGGCTGGATTGAACCAGGAGTGACACAATGGATGTCACTCCGGCTTCGACGGCACGACGCGTCAAGGGGCTTTGTGGAGCAGTCAGGATGGCAAAGCTGGCGGACGGTCATCTGGAGTGTAAGCGTCATTAGGTTGCTTTCTCCATCCCCCCCGGCCCAGAGCTGGGATAGGCTGCTAGTACGTAGCTGCGATGATTTGCACTATTTTCCCCCCCGACCGATGCTCTGCTCCACACCTTCCAGCTCTGGTGGAGTCGAAGACCTCGGGTATCCAATGCTCTACCGTTGAGGAGCTAGCTGGATGGATACTGGAATGCTGGGGCTAGGAGGAATGCACGCCCTCAGCAACTATGCGTGGAAGGAAGCTTGGGCATACCGGGCAATAGCCACCCATGAGCTATCCACAATCAGGGTTAGCTTGAAGGAAGTTGGACAAAAGAGACAAAAGATTTGCAGCTCAACTGTTATCACAGGTTTCTATAATTATCATTTCTACGTGTCAAGCTGCAGCAATAACGTGGTTATTCGCATTCAGCGGGTTCGACTCGAGCAAGAGGGCTCTGAAACTCGAACAGGGCAACCGCAGCTCGATTGGTCTTTTCTGAAGGACAAGCAGATGATATCGTCGACTCGCCCTACGGAAGGACACGAACTCTAAGCGTGAGATGTGCCAGCGGTTTCTTTGTTTCCTTGTCCCAGGTGGTGCGCCTGATTTGTCAACCTGCTGAGGTTTCTGATGGGCTCGACTTCGCAACTCGTAAAGAAAGACGCCATTCCCCTTCTTTGCCAAGTTGGGATTTCTTTGTTCGGATCCCTCACGGGTGTACATGGTAGTTGAGTGGTAGTTCGAGGGCACCAGGGCACCGTACTAAGAGCCCCGAGCGAACATCACAGTTAGGGTAAGGCCACCACGCCCAGCCAAAGAGCAGAGACGCTAGTGTTTCGAAGATTCCGAGTCACAGAAGGACCGAAACCGTCGGCCTGCATGAATAAGGTGGTCCGATTGACAAAGGGCCAGACTCACCCCCGCGAATGGAACTGCAAGCCACGCAGAAGAATTCCCCGGGAAGCTTCTTTTAGCACGAGCATACCAGGCCTGCATAACGGCCTGTGCCGGGTAAACAGTGAATAATATTGCACGTTCATCCCGTGGATGGCCCTTGAGTAGAGGGAAGGCTAACATGGCCAGCGTGGGGGGGGACGACGCGGTTTTCGGGAAAGCGAGTGATAGCCAGACAGGTCGATTTGAGGAGCGTTCGAGATCTTGGGAAAGCTCCGGAGAGAGTTATCCATGGGCGCGAGAAAGCATCGCAGGGAGTGGAATCAGGAATGTCAGCGATGCTACCACAGATGCCAGCCAGAAGATGGACCAGCCCAGAGGAGACGAACGACGCCGATCCCCGTCCGATCGGGGAAAGTCGCCCGCGAGTCCCGTGCAAACTCCGGCCCGGAATAACTGCAGACGCCGGGCTGATATAGATGCCGCTGATTGGCCCGCCAAGCGAGGGCGCAGTCTTCCGCGCTAGTCCCAGCTGGGCGTTCCGAGACCGGGCCGAAGGCAGCGCAGCGCCGGAAAGGGACGGAGGCAACAAGGCCGCGCCGGGCAGGTCAGGTGCCCAGGTGATGACGGAAATCTGACTGACCCTGCCAGGCGTTCCCCCCGGCTTCTTCTCGTCCTTTCTCTCCTCTCCTCCCCCCCCCCCCCCACAGCACTCTTGCCTGTGCTATTTCTCACCTATTTCAGACACTTCTCGACCCTTGGTTGTCGAGATTTGATAATTCCCTGACTACCTCTGACTTGCTTCGCAGGAACACGCCTTGATTGTGTTCTCTGTACTTCGCCCCCGCCTGCACCTTGCCTATCCCCGCGAAAAGTGGGCATGTCCCTATAGCGCAGGGCATCCGCCATCGGTTATTACCCCTCTTCGCGGTCCAAACCACGAGCACGGAGTCGGCTTCAGACAAAGCCACTACCCCTCCACTTTGACCCTCTATTCTCGCTTCAAGTCGCCTGCTCTCTCTTAGCATCGACGCGTCGTGGTCTTTGCCTCGCATCAACCACCTCCTCTCCACTCAGCTGAATCCTCACGAACGACCCCACAACAGTCTATATGTATTACATCAGACAGTCCATCAACATCGAACGTGTTTTTAAGGGCAAGAAAGGAGTTTACCCGTGTATCTCCGCCAACCTCGACAGCAACCAGACGCGCATGCGTTACAACCTCAGAACCTCTCCTATCTCCAAGTGAACAGACGATTCAACAATGTTTTGCAAGATTACTCTGGTCAAGGGCCTTGCCGGCTCTCACTAGGTGAATACCTTGTTCACACTCCTGTGCTTCACCATGGACTCCTCCCCGCGTACCGAGGGCCTCCGAAGCCACTTTCCGAAAATCAACGTACCCTTCTTTGTTTACCTTGAATAAATTAACCACTTTTCCTACCTCCCATTCGCCGCATTGGTACGAGTGGGAAAATCACTGTTCGATCAACGCGTCTTCCGTGGGTCTGTACCACTTTCAGCATTGGGGCAGTCTATTTGGTGAGACCTTTGTCAAAATGAGCACTCAAAACATGAACAAAAAGTCCTGGGAGTCTCTTTCTTCGACCTTCTCGCAGCTCGAGATCTCGATCTCCCAAGACAGTTGCTATGCCTCGGACGAGGTCTCGGTGACGTCGAACGGTCAACCGGCTCCCAAACCGGCCCCCAACAGCTCAGGTGTGCTGCCCGTGCAGCCTGCGACAGGACCGTCTCTGCGTCCTTTACTGAAGCCTATCTTGAAGAGGCCGTACTCGGAAATTGAAGACGAAGAGTCCGAGTCGGGCTACGCATCGGAAGATTCGGACTTCGAATACGATGCGATCTTCGGAGAATCCGATGACGACGACGACGATATGTACCACGTCTCCGGATGGGACGACGCATCTGACATCATGTACGAAACGTACGATGAAGAGGACGATGAGTCCTGCGACGGTGACTTCGTTTCGTTCGGAGGATTCGTCCGATTTGACGACAATGTGCGGTATATTGATGCGCCAGATGTTGACGATGCTGAGGATGAAGAACCCCAGCGGGAAATGACCTGTCACGAACTGATGGAAATCGCGCGCGCCTCCGGGACGCTGCATATACAAGAGGGGGAAAGCGACGACTCGGACGTCGACGACATCGAGGATGACGAGCATAGCAGCATCCTCGAGTCGATGGAACAGCTGCCTGAGGAGCACCCCAGTGACAGCGTTGAACTGGACAGGCGGATCTTTGTCGCCTACATGAACGCCATCAACGGCATCAGCGATCTCCGATACAAGGCGCAACTGCGCAGCCAGGTCAACGATTTCGAGACGGGCCGTGTGCATTCGCCGTACCTGGACTCTGGCGATGCCACCGGAGCCTACTTTGACACCCTCCTGAATCACGTTATCGGGTTGTTCCGCAACGTCGTGGCCAAGGAGGAGCTCAGCGACCTCGTCAGCCTCAGCAATCAAGTCCCGGGATGTTTTTCGGACGCCTCCCACCCAGAGACTCGGGTCAGGATTGAGGCTATCCTCCGCGAGAAACTCGCCTGTGATACTATCAACATCGGGCCTGACGAGCTCAGTTTCTTCGCCAGTGGCGTTGTATACGCACTGGAGAAGTGGCAGGGCTTCCTACACTAGGTGGCCGGTCATACAACATGACCACTTCCAGAATGAAAAACGAACCGCGACCGCGCAGTCCGGTCCAGATTTGCTAAACATGATGCACACGACATACCACTGCATAGCAGGGATTCCAAAAGCTCATAAGCGGGGATATTAAAATTTCGGGATGATTATCTTCTACTTTAGCGTGCCACAATAAAAAGTGCCTTTTCCTTACAAGGTTGCCCTGGCCTTGCCATCTGTATAATAACAATAACAACCCCTTGCCTCGAAGCGAGAAGAGAATCATCCATAACGAGGACTCGGCTCGGGTAGACATGCCCACCCACCCACTTGTCTACCTCGAGAGATATACGGAGTAATACAACGGGGAATTAATGTCTCACTAGGTGCCGAAGCGAACTGTTCGAAACCAACCGGAAGCTGAAACAGAGATCGACAATGCCTCCCCCCCGGCCGATGCATGCCAGGAGGATTCCTGTCGAACGCGAAACAAAGCCTGCATGTCGGACTCGGACCTGGTCCAGCCCGGCATCCTGCGTAACGCGAGTTTGTCTAGTCTGGCCGACCCGATCGATCGCTGGCTAGACTGTTTGATGTTTGATACTAGATACTACAAAGTAAGTAGATATCTAACCTCCCGAACCGAAGCCAAGCGAAGCGAAGCGACCGAGTCGAGAAAAAAATAAAGAAAAAAAAGTAAAATAAAAATAAAATAAAATAACGTAAGAAAAAGAAAATAAAAGAGCAATCCCATCAAACCACACATCATACGATCCGGTAATCCGACACGACAGACAGGTAGACTGCCAGGGCAGGCAGGCAGACAGATAACTTTGTAAGTACTAGATAGGCGGTAGGTAGATCGTCGGCCCCGGGAGTCGGGCTACTTACTATACTACACTATACTACACTATACTATACCTGCTTATTGCCTAGAGAGCAATTTCTCGTGCAGGGTTAGTCCGTTTAACTATGGAGAGATGAGATCATTTTACCTTGTAGACCGTAGACTACGGAGCATTATGGGGCTGAGATGGTGGGGTCGAAATGGGATCTAATTTCGCCCCGGATGGGAATTATCTCGGATGAGATGATATCTTACTATATACTATTACTACGCACTTAGTTCTGTAGGTACATATACTAGTTATATGTAGGCAGATACTTGGTAGGGTAGGGGAAGTAAGCAATAGCCAGATTTGGAATCTGGATGCAGGTGAGAGGGTAAGAGGTAAGCAAGCCAGGTGGATTACGTACTTCAGTAGTTAACTACTGACTTACTGTTGGTTTGGACAGACAGGGGATGCATGTCTTGCGCAAGTGGGAATTTTATGCCTGATATGGGTACAGTGATTCTCTACAGTCTCTTATACATACATGCATGCTATCCTGGGGAAAGGGGAAATAAGAGGGGAATGCTCTGTCACACTCTTTTCTAGGTTAGGGTTGCTTTTAGGTTAGATAGATCGAGTCGCCCCCCCCCACCCCTCGGGACATAGAGTTGTGTAAGTATGTGTTACATGAACGGGGCTGGGGCACTCTATCTAGACTATCTTCTATGCGTTCATTGTTAGAGTCGCAGGGTGTGGATTGGGTTCTTGAGTTCGGTGGTGTTGGTGTTGGGGCCTTGGCGGCTGTCAGCTGAGTGGTGGTGTTGTGGAACGGGTACTTGGGTACTACACATACACTGACAGTATATACTAACGTAGACTCCAGCGGAGAGGGGTGAGAAGAGAGTTAACTGACTGCCTGTCTGTCTGGTAATCATAAAAGTGGATTCCGGGTATGAGTTTAAAGACAGGCAGATGATTGTCTACTGTCCATCAGGAAATCCCCGTTTGTCTTGAAAGAAAATCAAAAAAAAAAAATAAGTAAGTGGGGCAGAATTTTATATATTTTGTTTTGACACGATGCATATTGATCCTGGACAATAGGGCGGCCCATATACACTACTACTTCCTGAGCAAATAACCATAACCACCATATTTTATAGTTAGCGATATAATATTACTCACGCATTATGTAAATATTCATGCAGTATTCCGTATGCTGGAACCATAGACTTACCTTGACCAGGTTACATGGGTATTCACCATCCAGCCCATTTTTGAGAACTGACAGTCATCAATCGACTGGCTATCCTCTTGTACTGACTGGTTGGTAGTCTGTAGATCGCCCGTGTACCTGTCTACTACTCTACGACTCTGCCAGGGTTGAGGGGTCACTAGATAGTCACCATAGTTAGTACTCCGTACCACGTACTTACTTACTAAGGACAGGTGATCGTCAGCCCGAGGTATATCTATACCTTGAGTTACACTCGTCATTATTATTGGAAGGGGGGGAGAGAGAGAGAGCTTATTCCATCCAGGGTCTGGTGTCAATTAGAAGGCACCACTCACCAACCACCACAGCATGACCTCAATAAATTCCTTTGTAAAACCGGACAGTAGACAGTCAATAGACGATAGACAATGTCGCACAGGTCTAGATAGAGAATAGAGCCTCACTTTCCATCCCGCGGGTTCTTTACCACATGTACTTACGACTTTATAGTACGTAGTTACAAAGTAAAAGGGTGGCAGTGGCACTATCGGATCCGGTTGGCAGGTCGATCCCCCACCGCGGCGCAGCGATCGCTAGGAAACCTCCTCACGAGCATCTCCTTCCCCATTATTATTTTTATTATTATTATTATTATCATAATCATCATCTATCCCGGATACCTGCATTGAGTAACACCCACATGCCTTGGAAGATGTCGCACCTCGAGTCATGTAGCATACGATACTACGGAGTATCTACTTCGTACTGACTTCCCAGCCGAGCCTGTGTCCACTGTCCAGCTCAGCTTGACCCAGCCCAGCTGAAGGCCCACGAAACGAAGTGGATGGCGGGCAGTCCCCGATATATTAACACGGGGGGGACTCGGGGAGGGAAGCCAATCACGGGGCATTTGCGATGCGTGTGCACCCGATTAACTATCCGGCTGGGATGACCCGGATGGGGTATCTCGATTCTCGAACCACGGACGGGGGGGTTCCACTGGGCTGGGACTGGGAGGGAGGGTATCACACTGCATACTGTGTGTGTACTCTAGATGTACTCCGTAAATAGACACAGCATCCCGAATTGCGTGCTAAGAAAGTGGGTATGGATGCGATTTCGAACCCGGGATTATTGGATTGCAGAATACAAGAAAGAACCCGGGACGAAGCAAGGTTAAGACGGCACACTCAACTCCCCAAGATTGATAATCCCGTGCTTTTAACCTTTACCGGTCTGATGGGAGGGATGGGAGGGGTACTAAGATAGTACTTAGTATCTACTAGTCGAGAGAATGGTCGGAGGTTTGCTGGCCCGTAGATGGGCACCGCGCGATCTAAGATTTGTCAAGGCGTCCCAGTAGTTAGCTAACTAGTTAGTTAGTGTGAATCGTAATGGCCAACGTGAGAGTCATGCATGCGCAAGCCCATGCACATCGTTTCTCGAATCTCGTGGCATCCACCCTGCGATCGACCTTGTCAGGTTGGAGATCGTCGTTCATTGTCAGTCAGTCAGTCTATCTAGGTATCTCCTGATGGAGCCATCCAGTGCTTGTCTGCTTGTCTTGCGGAAGACAAGCAACAAGTGACAGGATATGCGAGTGTGGGCTTGTGTGGATTTGAGGACATTCTGGAAAGCGACCGTTTTCTTTTTTTTTCTTCTTTTCTTTTGGGACGCCCCTGGTGCGCCATTATTATTTCTCAGTGTGTATCTCCAAATCTTCAGAATCCCAAACCCGTGTGATGCGCTTGCCCCGTGGTTAGGAGGTGGATCCCGGAGCGGGCGCTTCCCAACCAAAATGAAGGATGGAGGATCTTGTTGGATTTAATAGTCGGAATCAGAGTTTGAGCTTGCTTGGGATGGTCTTGATCATTTCGGGAAAGATGATGCGGGTGCGCCAAGGCCACCTCAACTGGCGACTCCGTAGTACAGAGTGCAAAGTAAGTAGTCCATGACAGAGGACGTGCGGTGTTTCGAGGGGATTAAATCGAATATCCGGGGCATGCAGTCTAAGACCCGACCCAAGGTCACAGACGCACGAAAACCGCAGCAGCAGTGGGCGGGCGTACATTAGATAGCGCCCCTTTCCTGCAGCCGGGGGGGGGGTTTAGGGTTTGTTTTGTCGCGCGGTGGGGCAAGCCTCGTTGGGACTGACTGACTGACTTACTACTGTTAGGGAGTTCGGGACTGGCGATCGTCGGGTTTCTTGGGGGCTTCGGTGCCTCTTCTTAATTAATGTTGTCTCTGCTCTGTCCTCTGGCCCTGGGACCGTGGGACACTAATCGTGAGAGAATAATAATAATAATAATAATCATCATAATCATAATAATCATAATAATCATAATAATAATAATAATAATAAGAGCAAGTGCCAATTTCAAGTGCCCCTGGAGCAGAGGAAATTGGAACTACAAATCTTCAAAGGCAATTGTTGCCGGCGATGAGCCCGTTAGGGGGACTTCGAAGAGCTCCATGAGGTGTTCCATGGGCGAGAGCGGACAAAATCAAAATATTTCGAAATTCAAACACGGTACGGTTGCTCCGTGCCGGGTGTGCCTGGCAAAGTAGTGTGGTGTTTGCAAACAGTGGCAGTGGCAGTGGTGGCAAGTGGCCAGCCATGTATGTCGATCGCGGCAGGGCCCCCCCCTCCCCTTCCCCTCGTGCCTGGCTGGCACCATCCCATCCGATTAGATCGGTAGTATACACAAACAATTTACACCCTGCAGAGTACACCGTACACAGGAAGTAGTCTTACAAGGGACAATCCCTCCGTCGGATGGTCTAGAGAAGGAGATAGATAATAGATAAGTTGGTCGCACTGCTTCCGGATAAGAATAATTTCTTTGCCATGAATAAATATCCTTTACTCCACCGACGGCGCCGTTCGTGCCCTTCATTTGCCTCTGGAGCCTCCAGAAAAGAAAGGGTGGGCTCCACCTGCACCTCTCCTGATTTTGCTAGTGACGGCTTAGCTTGTCCGTCGGCCTGTAACTGTAAGAAGAAGTAGTCTAGTAGTCAGTCAGTTAGATAGTCAGACCTGATTTGTTTCCCGGATCTGGAGTGGATTGGGAGGAACAGAGACGGTGTAGTCGCCAGGTGGATGGGATGGGATGGACTGATACTCCTGAATCTTCCATCCTTCCTTAGGGCTGTCTGTCTCTTAAGTCGTAACTAGTAGTTAGTTGCTAGAGTACCGTTGTCCATGGTTTCTGTTTCTGCTTCTGCTTCTGCTTCTGCTTCTGCTTCTCTCCTTTCCTACACACACACCTTCAATCGTTCTCCTTTCCTTCACCCCTCCCTTGTTCTCTTCGTTACCCAGGCCAGGTCTTCACTGATCCCCCGGAATCCTTTTCCCCCTCAACATGAGTTACTCCGACTGCTACCACTGCTACCACTGCTAAAGCGGTTCGTTACACGGGTACGTTCCAGGTTCTCACCCGTCCTCCCCCCTCGTTGGCCCTTTCCTTTCCTTTCCTTTCTTTTTTTTTCCCTGCTTCTTCGTCGGCCTGGCCTTTGTTCGTTCGCTCTTTTTTTTTTGCTTTTCAGCCTGAGACCAGACGACCAGCCAGGCCTGACTGACGCCATCTGACGGCATCCCCCGCCAGCAGGCAGACTGCGCAAAAGGCCCCCATTCGGGCGGTGCAGCATTGCTCGCTCGTATTGCCCGAAAACGCTGACGAAGAGATGAACGCTTAGTCGATGCCCTGGGATCGCATTCATTCCCTTCTTCTTTCTTTTGGACTTTCCTTGCCCGAGCCACTCCCTCTGGACCCCCCCGTCTCCCTTTTCTCTCCCTCTTTCTCTCCCTACGACTACGACTACAACCCTTACCTACTATCTCGTGGCTGCATGTGAGCCCGCATCACCACTCACCATGCCGCACAGCAAAGGACCCGACTCCCCAGAGCTGGGACGGACGGTCTCGCGCTCGCGCTCGCGCAGCAGCATGTGCAGCGACTCGCAGCTCTCGCACTCGTCTCTGCTGGCTCCTCCCCCGGTCATGCCGGCCCCGTCCTTCATCGCCTCCTCCGCCGCCGCCCAGATTATCACCGCCGACCAGGAGTTCAACACCGCCGACTTCGTGGCCGACGACGAGATTCCGGGCCGGAATGCCAGCGCCCTGGTGACTCGGGACGCCCTCGGGGCCCTGAACGGATTCCTCGATAACATTCTCTTCAATATCCTCGCCGCAGCCAAGTCCACCCAATTGGGATGCATTCGACCCGCCGTCGCGGAGGTGCTGAAGCCTCGACTCGCCCGGGAAATGGTGTCGGCCGCCGACGACGAACTGAGCGATTACTTGGGAGGGCCCGAAGATGAACAGGCTGAATTCCGCGGCGGACTGACCCCCGCGGGTGACTTCGATCTGATTCACTCATGGAAACTGACGCGGTTGCGGTGCATGGTCTACACGCGGCTGGGTGATATGGAGGAGGAGGACGAGGAGGAGTACATCAACCGGGACACTCTGGGCGACGGCGACGGGCTCCCCCGGCGGCTGGCGAGTCACGTCAGCAACATCACACCCGCTGCGGCCATCTTCCTGACCTCCATCATCGAGCATATTGGCGAGCAAGCGTTGGTGATTGCGGGGGAGACGGCGCGGTCTCGACTGTCGAAGAAATTCGCCGACGAGCTGGACGTGAGCGACACGGGCGCCAACCGAGGACCGATGGATCGGCTGATCGTGGAGGACTACGACATGGAGAAGCTGGGGCTAAACCCGACGCTGGGACGGCTCTGGCGGACATGGCGGAAGCGCGTTCGAGGTGTCAGCCTGTCGCCGATGATGTCGAGAGAATCCCTCCGGCGTCGGTCCAGCACGACCTTTGTGTCTGCCGCCAGCCGCAAGAGCAGTGCCGTCACCATCGACGAACACGAACTTTCCCGGGTCAATCCCGCGGCCGTCCCGCTCCCCGAGAGTGAACACGACGTCCAGGAGATCGAAATCCCGGGCTTCCTCCCGGAGCTCGACACGGGGGACATCCAGACCATGCAGGCGGTCGTGGCCCACAAGGTGCGGCCTCACAGTCTGATGGTGCTGACGCTGCCCTCGCCCCGATCGCCCTCTTCCAACGCCAACTCCCCCTTGACCCCCAAGATCCACAGTGCAAAGACCATCCCCCCGTCCCGCCATGCTCGCTCGAGATCCCTGCCCAACGCTGCGCCCGTCGAGGATCCCCCCTCGCCAGAGGAGCAGCCCGAGGAGCGCTCGTCTCCCACGCCATCGGAAGAACGAAGGCGGCTGGAGACGATGTACGAGCACGAGGAAGACGAGGAGCCTGCAACCACCACCAAAACCCCCGTTATTTCCGAACCGTCGGAATCGATCGCAGTCCAGGAGTCTGCCACAACGTCACCCACCTCGGTCGCGTCAGTCGAAGTGGCCCCGAGCGAGGCGAGCAGCACGCCGATCCCGTCGACGCCCCTTACCGATCGTGAGGAGGGGACGGTGCACCGGCCGAACCGGAAGGCGATGCGCAGTGAGGAGGGGACGAGGGTGAGTGAGGAGGCGAGGGAGAATGCGAGCGAGAGTGCGACACCGCGGGCGCCTACCGGCAGCGAACCAGCGGCGCGGGCGCAAGGGGAGAGCGACTCCACTCCGGCCCAACCCGCCGCCGACGAAGTGGATGTCGATGTATCCGATCCTGACGCCGTCGCCCCCCCTTCGTCTTCCTCCGCTGCCTCCTCTTCGTCCACCGACGAGGCCGTCAGGCCCGCCAGGCCCGCCTCCACTTCTGGGGAGAGCGCCCATTCCGACGTGTCGCGCCCCAAATCCACCACTCCCCTGACCACCTCCGGCAGTCCGCATCGCTACGGGCGCTCGAGTGCAGGCAGCATCGCAACCCCCAGCTCCTCCGGCATCGAACGCGCCGCCGTGCAACGCTTATCCGGGCGCCCATCCACCTCCGTGGCGTCCTCCAGCTACTCCCAGTCGCGTCGCTCTGACAGTTTCGGCAGCAGCCGCGAGAGGCGCCCCGTCACTGCGGGGTCCACCACCTCGCAGGTCTCGAACAAGCTGAAGGGTCTGATCGGTCGCCCGGGGGATCTCCGTACCTCCTCCGAACTCGATAGGGTTTCCACCAGGGAGTCTGGGCTCGACAATACAACCGGGCTGGATGAGCTGATTCGCAGCGAGGAGACGATCCATTTCACCCTGACCCCCAAGAGCATGCGCGAAATGGAGGTGAGTGCGCCCATGCCCCATGCCCCATGCCCCATGGTCTGTCCTCCTTGAGGCCTACGAGTACTAACGTGCATTAGTTGCCGGATTCCCCTCGATGGAAAGCCCAGCAATCGAACCCTGCTGACTTGGCCGGCCTCCACAAGCGCGCCAGTCCGTCCGACGATCTCTCCCCCCTCAGAACCTCCATCACATCCTCGCCAGGCATCACGACGGGCCTCCCTCCAGTATCCAAGACCGCCCCCGACCAGTCAATTCCTAGAGCGATCGAGATTCCCAGCATGGCCCTGCAGCAGAAACCGACCCCCAGCTTCCGCAAGTCCAGCGGTCCCAACACTCCCACCAGCCCCGCCGCCGGCGAGAGCAGCCCTAGAAAGCCCTCCGCCATGCGTCGCTTCTCCGACGCGACCGTCTCGAAAAAGACCAATCGGCCGGCCAACCTCTCCATCTCCAGCTCGACGCGCAGCGGTTCTCGCCTGCAGGCTCGTTCCCCCGTGACTCCTAAGGGCGACCAGACGTCCGACCTGATAGACTTCATTCGCGAAGGTCCGCCCACGGCGGGCGCCCACCGCATCCCTCGCACGGTGGCACCCTTCAGAGACACCATGGACTCGGACGAATTCACAGAGGACGAGCCGGAGCGCGCAGGACGAGGGGCTCCCTCCGTTGCCAGCACCCATGACTCGATGGCGAAGTCGATGACATCCGTGGGCTCTCGTACGGCACTGTTGGAATCCACCGTCCGGGCGAGCACCCCGTCCACCATCGCAAGGGTCCCGGTCACATCTGTTCCCGTGAACAACAATGTATCGGATGACCCCCGTCCCCCACGGACCCGGCGTCGGGTCCCCGATCCGTACGCCATCGACATGGACGACGACGACGACGACCTCGAGGACCTTCTCGAACCCCCGAAACCGAAACGCGAGGAAGAGAGTCTCATGGACTTCCTCCGCAACGTCCCTCCTCCGCCCGAGATCCCCGAATCCTCCCCACCCCCCTTGGTGAACACCCGACGCGGTTCGGCAGGCGGGCTGAGTGCATCCGCCATGAAAGCCCGACTCCGCCGGAACACCGCCTCCGAGAAGACGCCCAGCGCGAAACCTTCCAAGAGCTCGCTTCGCCAGCCCTCCGACAGCATCAGCAACAACAACCATGCCGCCGTCACATCCAACTACACTGTTAAAGTTGGCATGGAGCGCAACGGGGGTACGGGAGCGTACGGAGCCGGGTCCACCGCCCCCAAGAGGCAGACCGAGACCAGTGCCTTGGCCGACTTCCTTAGAAACACGGGCCCTCCTGAGCCCCCTGTCGTGGTGAAACCGCCCCCGAGCAAATCGAAGGACTCGGGCTTCGCGCGGCTCTTCGTGCGTCGGAAGAAGGTCGAGGTTTGATGTCTCTCTCGACGAATCGCCTCTTTCTTCCTCCCTGCTATGCCATCCTCTGTTTCCGCGAACACGATATGCTACATACATGATTAGTAGCAAACGACATTGACATGTCTCGTGGCCGTCACCCTCATGAACGATGCTTTTTTTTTTTCTGCTTGTCTATATTGAACCTTAACCTACCTACGTCTCCCCCGAACTTCTTCCCTCCCTTCCCTCTCCTTGGGTCTTGATTCTTTCTTGTATGGCTCACCTGTGCCGTTGGACTGTTGGACAGTATCACTCTTTACATTACAGCGGTATTCTTCCTTTTTCTCTTCTTTTTCTGCGCTTGATTCCCCCTCGACACTATTCTCATCTCTTCTCTTCTATTTTCTTATTTCTACATTTTCACTATTACCTTGTATATGTCTTGTCTGTGTGGGAGGACAGATTTTCTGAATTTGGATATGAATGATATCAATCTACCTACATGCCTATTTATCTAGCTATGTACCTGCCGTGGATGGCATGTTTTTCTTTTTTTTTCTTTTGAACTTGTTGTTTTTGGGTTCGTGAGTGCGTATGGGGAAGTAGTCTGTTATCGTAGTTATATCCTTGACTACTAGTAAAATCTCCGTAAGGTAAATAACCTAGATCAATCCCCAAGAAATGTCCTCAAAACAGACAGACAGACAGCATTTCACCAGAACTGCACAAAAACGGCATTATGATTATCAATCCCCCCCTATGGTCACCCATAGTAAAACACCCCCAGTGGCCCATCCCGGAAAAACCATCCCCCGACATCGGTCCGCCCGAGACGCGGCGTGGCATCAAGTCCGCCGCACCGCAGCTTCCCCGACCGTCAATCCGTCCAACTACACTCCCCGTCGCCAATTCGAACGAAGAAATGGGGACCTCCCAATTCACCATGCGGTCTCTCCTCGGCCTCGCGCTCCTGCTGCTGGTGCAGCTCTCCGCGGCCCTGAAATTCGATCTCTCGGCCGTGAGCGGCAAGAATGAACGGTGTATACGCAACTTCGTGTTCAAGGATCAGCTGGTTGTTGTCACGGCGATCGTGAGCGGGAATAAGGGTGATGGGCAGGTTGTGAATATGCATGTATGTGGATTCTGGATTGGATTGGATTGGATTGGATTTGTTTCGGGATGGGTTATGTTTGGGTTGAGGGGGTGGTTGGTTGGTTGGTCGGGATACTGCTGCTACTGCTACTGCTACTGCTGCTACTGCTGCTGCTGCTGCTGCTGCTGCTGCTGCTGCTGCGTGTCTCGATCGATCGTTGCCCGTTCGGCTTCGAGCTTGCCTTCTCGCTGTTAATGTGATTTGCTGCTAACTGTTGTGCTCTGATAGATCAAGGATGCTCTGGGCAACGACCACGGTCGTCCGAAGGATATCGCCGGCGAGACTCGTCAGGCGTTCACTTCGCCCGCTGATACCGCTTTCGATGTTTGCTTCGATAACCAGCTGGATACTCGCAGTATGTTGCCATCTTCCCTTCTTCCTTCTTCCCCCCGCTTGAGGGAATACACGGCGGAATGCTTCCTACTCTTCTCTGTGTGTACGTGCATGTGTGAATACGACCACTGACAACACCAGAACCCAACTCCAACCCCTTCAAGTCCATCGAACTCGACGTCGACATCGGCGCCGACGCCCGCGACTGGTCCAGCATCCAGGTCCAGGAGAAGCTCAAGCCCGTCGAGACCGACCTCCGCCGCATCGAGGAGATGGTGGCCGAGATCGTCAGCGAGATGGAATACCTGCGTGCCCGCGAGCAGAAGCTCCGCGACACCAACGAGAGCACGAACGAGCGTGTCAAGTGGTTCGCTTTCGGGACTATGGGCATGCTGGTTGGCTTGGGCGCTTGGCAGGTGGTGTATCTGCGGGCTTACTTTAGGTATGCTTTCCTCTTCCTCCTCCTCCCTGTGCTTTGTCTTTTGGGAAGTGGTGGGGTTGGTCAAGGGGTGATGGCTAACTTGTTGTCCAGATCCAAGCACCTTATCTAGAATATCTCAGCTGCAAGGCGGGTCATACAGACGAGAAGGTTCCAGGTTGATGCTTTCTCGGCCTGTCATGGCAAAATATGGAGTTTCCCAATACATTCGTTGTGTTTGAGGCCTTTTTTTTTCCTTTTTCTTGTAGGCTTGTCTTTGTCGGGATATACTTCGAGGTACACTGTTTTGGGTATTGATGGTCTCTGATGGATGGCTGTATATTGCTGTATATTGGGCGGTGTTGAGCGTCTCTCGGTTTCTAAGGCAGCGAAGCAGCTTGCAGTTGCATTGAAGTAATGTGTCGGGGAAGTAGCGATGCAGGAGTAGCATCTGAGAATATTGTTCTCTGGGGGTTCCTTTGCGTTATTAGGGAGTTTTGTATATCTCGTAGGAAGTTTGGAACCTCCTTGAAGATATACACAAGCTTCCCAAAAGTTGTACAAAGCGAATTGGATACCTCTGACATGATATCTTTGATCCATGGCAGACATTGAACTGAACCACTGCCGTGACCCCAACTATAGTCTAGCAGCGTTGCCAATCCGCCGGCGCCGGTTGGCGCATCCTGTGCAAACAGTGCAAACGATATTTCTCCGGATGATGTCAACCCCGACATTATTAACGCTCCGGCTAACTAACTACTCCAGAGTCTAGTGACTACTCAATCTCGATCATCTCGACCTCCCCAGGTTCTCTCCATCATCTATCTCCCTCATATACACACCATCACCATGTCCACCCCCCGTCTCATCACCCGCTTCATGCGGCCCACCACCACCATCTCGAGCTTCGCCCGTCGCTCCTTCGGCAGCTCGGCCATCCAAGCCAGCAAGAACCGCTCGCCATCCACGGCCCCCGAGCACCGCGAGAACCAGACCAACAAGCCCCCGAACACCTTCGTGCCCAACACCACCTCCACGCTGACCAAGGACTTCCCCAAGGTGGGCGAGAGGCCCGCGCCTCCCGAGATGCTCAACTCGGTCGATCCGAACTACAAGCCGGCGGATCCATACCCGGGCAAGATCGAGCATTTCACCGGCGGACGGCAGGAGACGGGCGCGCAGAAGCCCGAGCTGGGCGTGGGTGAGATGGAGGGTATCACCTTTAAGGTTGAGCCGCTGCGTCGCAAGGATGAAGATGTCTCGACTATGAGGGCTAGGATGTTGTGTTCGTTTTCCCCTTCCCTTCCCCTCCCTCCCTTCCTTTCCTTTCTTCTCACTCTTTTCCACAACGGTCTCTTGAATATCATATACGCATCTTACGGATAGTAATGGCTAATAAATAACTGATGGAAACAGACCAAAGCCGCAAGCGCGGCATCCTCGAATCCGACCTCCTACTCTCCACCTTCGCGGACGTCTACTTGGCCAACATGGACAAGACGCAGCTGCAGGAGTACGACCGGTTCCTGGACGAGAACGACTGGGACATCTACTACTGGGCTACGCAGGATGCGCCGATCAATGAGGCCAACTCGACGGAGGCGGGCGCGCAGGATACCCCCACGGAGACGTGGAAGCGCACGGGGGCCAAGAGCGGCGAGTGGGCGCAGACGGTGGGCGCGTTCAAGGCGGCGTATCGGCCGGTGCCGACTCGGTGGGCCGAGTCGGATGTGCTGAGGCTGTTGCGCCAGCATGTGCGGGACAACAGTGCGACTGGGTTCCAGGCGGCGAAGAGCAAGAAGACGGGGGGGAAGGGGTTGGGACGGATGCCGAATGTGCAGGTGTTTAACTAGATGGGTGGTAGATGAGGGGGGGGTTTGTATATTGGCTGTATATTAGAAGAAGAGTAAAAAGCACACTTGATTGATCAGCGGAGGAGTACTCCGACTGGCGGCACGGAGGAGGATGACTGTATGACATAGCTCGGGAGTAATCGGGGGTGCCAAGGCAGAAGGCGGTGTGTCAGGTGACTCGCTTATGCCTGGTTAGGGTTGGCGGTGCGCACAACGCTTCGAGGCGGGCGGGCGCGCTAGTTAGGGCTCAGCCTGCTCTCCATCGTCGAAACGTCGCCGTGATTTTTATCTCCAGCCCAGCGTCAACGACAATTGCTCCGCCCGCCTTCATCCTCTCCTACCATCCCTCTCCCAGACTTCGATCATGGCTGAGCAGCTGGTCCTTCGCGGCACCCTCGAGGGCCACAATGGCTGGGTTACCTCCCTCGCCACCTCTCTGGAGAAGTAAGGGCCTACCGAATTGCTTTGAAACCCACCCGCACTGCGTTTGCTGCATTTTTGTTGCGAGAAGAAAAAAAAAATAAGAATGGGCATCCACGGAAGACTCGGTCTGTGACAGAGTCTCTCCGTGATGTTGCAAGACCAAAAACCGCATTGGTTGAATATGGACAAACTGGGTTCTGACTTCTGTGTTTTTCTTCCTCGATTCTAGCCCCAACATGCTGCTCTCTGGCAGTCGCGACAAGACCCTGATCATCTGGAACCTGACCCGCGACGAGCAGGCCTACGGTTACCCCAAGCGCAGCCTTGAGGGTCACTCTCACATCGTCTCTGACTGTGTACGAAACCCTTCCCCCCCCAAAACCCGCGAGACCGAGAAAACCGAGTTTCGAAACCACACAAAAAGGGACCAGATTGGCTGACGGGCCTGATGTCTATAGGTGATCTCCTCCGACGGTGCTTACGCTCTGTCCTCCTCCTGGGACAAGTCCCTCCGCCTGTGGGAGCTCTCCACCGGTGAGACCACCCGGACTTTCGTCGGCCACACCAACGACGTCCTCTCCGTTTCCTTCTCCGCCGACAACCGCCAGATTGTCTCCGCCTCCCGGGACCGCTCCATCAAGCTCTGGAACACCCTGGGTGACTGCAAGTTCACCATCACCGACAAGGGCCACACCGAGTGGGTGTCCTGCGTGCGCTTCAGCCCCAACCCCCAGAACCCCGTCATCGTCTCCGCTGGCTGGGACAAGCTCGTCAAGGTACGTTCCCTGCGTCATTTAATTCCTCTTTTTCGTTCGGTTCAGTTCCACATGATGTATTGCATATCTACGTATTTGCTACTTCAGAGCTTCGGCCATGAGACAAAAAATCACCAATGCCCTGATGGATCCTCCCAACATTCTATATGTTTATTTTATTTCCTCGATTTTCTTTCGTTGGCAATTCGCTAATACAAAGAATCCAGGTTTGGGAGCTCGCTTCCTGCCGTCTCCAGACCGACCACATCGGTCACACCGGATACATCAACACCGTCACCATCTCCCCCGATGGATCCCTGTGCGCCTCCGGTGGCAAGGACGGCACCACCATGCTCTGGGATCTCAACGAGTCCAAGCACCTCTACTCCCTCCACGCCGGTGACGAGATCCACGCCCTCGTCTTCTCCCCCAACCGGTACTGGCTGTGCGCTGCCACCGCCAGCTCCATCACCATCTTCGACCTCGAGAAGAAGAGCAAGGTGGACGAGCTCAAGCCCGAGTACATCGAGAAGGGCAAGAAGAGCCGCGAGCCCGAGTGTGTCAGCTTGGCCTGGAGCGCTGACGGCCAGACTCTGTTCGCTGGTTACACCGACAACAAGATCCGTGCCTGGGGTGTTATGTCGAGGGCCTAGATATCCTCTCCATATTTGATCTGAGCGCGGTGTAGACGGGGTGTTTCATGGAGAAAGAGAGAGAGAGAGGGAGAAGAGAGCCAAACAAACAAGATAACTCCATTTCTGTTTTTTATCATCTTTTTTTCCTACCAAAAATGAATGGGCAAAAGGCATTGGGTTGGGATTGTATGAGCCATGAGCAAATGAAGAGTACACTCCGTCCGTTTCCCCCCTGCTTCCGGAGACATAATACCTCTCCCGGGGCTGGACGGGCTGGTTTATCTCACACATGTCTAGCTTTACTCGATTCGTTCGTCATAAAATCCGAAATGTCTGGAATCTTGTGAACGATGGCATGCATGTTCTAATACCATTTTAAAAAAGACTGTTTGAAAAAAAAAAAATTATTCCCAAACCTGATGATGCCCCATAGACAATTCTTTCGGCCCGTGCTCATGCTCTTTTTTGAAGTCGTAGTTTTCCTTTCTTTGATTCATCATCGTCCCTGTGGTAACTATATATATACACTGCTGTCTCTATCTATACATCCATATCGTCAAATTCACTCTTTTTTGCCTTCCCTGGCATCTTTCTCCTTGGCTTCCTGAGTCTTTCTCTCTTCTTCTCGTCGAACATCTTCCAAGGTCTGCTTGAGTTTTTTCTGCAGCTCCTTGTCGCCTAAGCCGTCAGCTATCTCCTTGGCTTTTGTGTAAGCCGCTGTAGCATCCTCATACTTCTGCTGGAACCAACTCAGCTCCCCCAATGTCATGAACGACGAACAACAGGAGAACTGGCATTCTTCCTCCTGCTGCAGTCGTAACTCTGGCTCATCACTATACGTTACCTTGGCTTTCGCATCGAGGGCCATCCGTGCCCACTTGCGCGCCGCATCGAACAAACCGTCCGTTTTTTCGCCCATCGCGTGCTCGGCCGCGCAAGTGGCGATGTTGCTGAGGAGGGTGATGCGCTTGGGGGAGAAGGTCTCGTCGCCCTCTGCGGCGCACACCAGGTCCAGGGCACGCAGGTATAACGGCTGCGCCAGCTTGAAATGCCACTCGCCGACATGCAAGCCGGCCAGCTCGGTCAGCGCGGTGGCGATGTCCGCCAGACTCAACCAGTTGTCTTCGCCGCCGCTGAGGCCGCCGACCGGCAGCCCCATCTTCATTCGACGGTTCATCTCGGTCAGGGATATTTCCACCGCCAGCTCCTGTCGATCCTGCGCCTTATCTTCCTCCTGCATGTAGTCGCTCGCATACAGAGCCGCCAGTTTCATGCAGATGCCCACCATCTTGCGCAGGGCCGTATCCAGGCGTCGCACCGCCAGGGGGTCACTCTCAAGGACCACCGTCACCTCCTGCTGATCCACGGTCCTATCCCGACCCTTCACGTCCTCAAATTCCTCCCCCTTAGCCTTCACGACCCACGGTCCATCCTCCTTCTTCTGCTGCTGCTGCTCCTCCTCCTGAATCCTCTTCACCTCCTCCCTAACCGCCATCTCCTTCTCCAGACTACCCCACGCCGCCCTCTGACTCCTCACATAACCTGTCGTACCCGCCAACAACCCCTCCAGAATCTGCACCGACGCCTTCACCAGCCCGGCCTTCTCGAGCATCATCGCCGTCTGCAGACGGATCCCAATGACCTCCTCGCAGTACGGATGCATGTTATTCTCCAGCGCCAACTTCAACGCCTCCTGGTACGCCTGGGCCGCCTTAATCGGGTTCAGGTCGATCTCCGTGTAATACACCGCGGTGCGCAGCCGCTCCGACACCACGTCCGGGTACCGGCTGTACTGCGGCACGTTCTGCGTCAGCTCGATGTAGTTGACGAAGCCGAAGATGCCGGCCCCGGTAATCACGGACAGGATGGCGAAGGGGAGGAGGATCGGGTTGCGCCGCCAGATGTCTTTCTTGGAGGCGTCGTAGCCGCGTCGAAGGCGTTGGAAGTAGGTGAGGGCGCGACGTTGGGTTTGGAGAGGGGTGCTGGTGGGTTTGAGATGCGAGGGCCGGAGGGGGATGTGTTGATGTTGATGTTGCTGTTGCTGGGTGTTGCGGAGGGCGCTGCTGGTGGCGCTGGCAGCGCGCCGGGTTGCGGTGCGGAACATTGCAGTTGTATTTGATTGTGGTGTGGTGTGTCTTTGTGATTGTGGAATTGTGGTGGTAGAACCCAACCAATTCCAGCCAGACCGACCGAAGCAGGAAAGAAGGCGGGAAAGTCAATTGCAGTGGCGGTCCAGAGCGGTGCTGGTTGGTCCGTGCGTCTTTTCGTTCTTCCGCCCCGTCGCATGACGTCGAACTGATCCCATACATCTACATCAACATCAACATCAACATCAACAGAGCATCGTCCAGTCCAGTACTGCTCTTACTCCATGTCAGTCGCGCACACCGGTTGATTCCCATCCACCATGTGTGGTCGCTATGCCCTGAGCGTGGTGCGTATTCCCTCCCACTCTCTCACGATCAATATATATTCTACTACTCTACTCCGTACTGACACCACTGCACGATCGACAGCGAATGAACTTCATCCGCCAACACCTCCAAACCCAAGGCATGCAGGTCGACGAAGTCCCCGACGACGACGAAGTGCGCGAAACGTTCAACTTCGCTCCGGGGTACAATGGCGCCGTGTACCGCGCGGATATATCGCCCCGTCCTGGCAACGAAGGTGTGTATCGTATCTATCTACTATCTACTAGTTATCTGTCTGTCTGTCTGTCTATCCCGCTTACTTAACGATGGGAGCTAGAACACGCGACAGTGACAGACGGAACGGCACAAACCTCAGTATCCCCAAAAAAGAAAAAAGAAACAGCAGAACCCCGGTACAAAATCCAAAGCATGCGCTGGGGCCTCGTGCCGTTCTGGACGAAGCGCAGCCCGGACTACGGCTTCCTCATGCGGACGATAAACTGTCGGAGCGAATCCCTCCTCGACGACCGGGGGATGTGGACGTCCATGAAGCGACGGAAGCGGTGCGTGGTGGCGTGTCAGGGCTTCTACGAGTGGTTGAAGAAGGGCCCAGGGGGGAAGGAGAAGGTCCCGCATTATGTGAAGCGGATGGATGGCGAGTTGATGTATTTTGCGGGGCTGTGGGATTGTGTGGAGTATGAGGGTGAGATTTCCTCTTTTCTTTTCTTTTCTTTTCTTTTTATGGGCTGGGTTGGGGGTGTGCTGTGCTGACGGGATAGGGTAGATTCGACGGAGCCGCTCTACACGTATACGGTCATCACGACGGATTCGAATCCACAGCTGCAGTTCCTGCATGATCGCATGCCGGTCATACTGGACACCGGGAGCGAGGCAATGCGCGTTTGGCTGGATCCAGGGCGGACGACCTGGTCGAGGGAGCTGCAGGCCGTGTTGAAACCGTTTGAAGGCGAGCTGGAGTGTTATCCCGTCCCGAAGGAGGTCGGGAAGGTGGGCAATAACTCTCCGGATTTTGTGGTCCCCGTGAGCAGTAAGGAGAACAAGGGCAACATCGCCAATTTCTTTGCCAATGCGAACAAGGGGGGTGCGGTGAAGAAGGAAGACGTGGTCAAGGATGAACAAGAACACAGAGAGACGAAGGATACGGAGTGGAGTGAGGATAATGCCCCCAAGCCGGTGTCTGGGGTAAAGAGAGAACTTTCGGATGAGCCCGTGGCGGAGGATCTCAAGAAACAAAAGACTGGTCCTAGTATGACTTCCCCGAAGAGTGTGCAGCCCAGCCCTTCGATATCGGGGGTACAGCCGAAGAAGATGCGCAGTGCCACTCGTAATAACAAGCCTGTGAAGACCCCGGAGAAGAAATCGACTGGAACCCAGCCCATCACGAAGTTTCTTCACAAGTAAGATTGAACATGACATCAGAATTGCACGCTCTGGCTGGATCGAGGGCTGCCATTTTCGGTAATTTAGGCATTTTCCAGATTGATAACTGCCCAGCAGTTTAATGGGAGCCATTTCCAAGTAATAATACACCTTCATTATTGTACAAGCTCATCTGAGCATCTATTGGGCCTCCTGGCGCAGTCGCTGGACCAACTTTTCTCTAAGGAAGGGACTCAACCCAAAGCTGGCTCTGTCAGCGCTATGCATACATGCCATGGAAAGATAATAACGGGTAGACTTACATTCCATCCCGAGTCACAATCCGGTAGGTACCTTGTGAAGTCAGCCCCAATTCTCCAGCAGCCATCATGCACACATACCGCTCGACTGATAATTGCCATTGCCTCCCACAAAGCTCCCATCGGCATCGACCTCGAGACTTCCGAAGATATCCTCGGGCCTGTTGAGTCAAGTCAGCACAGCCCACATCCCGTTCAGGAGCACACATACCAAGCAATGCGGCCAAAGTCCGGCGGCCGTCTGCTATCAGACAGATGGATCCAGCCGCCTCTCCCCGCCGAGCCAGCACCACCTTGGCCACTGGCTCCG